ATAATTGAGACCCTAGGCTCAGTAGATGTTTCAAATGATGCTGTAGAATCTCTAAGCTTATGAGGCCTTGTTGGCTCGTCAGGGTCGTTATTAATAAAGAGGTCATGCCTCATTATTAGATCCTCGAGGGATCTTGCGTTAACCCTCTGGTCGATATGGACATTCCACATCGGGCTGTGGGCGTTGAAGTCTCCAAGAATGAGGCATCGACCCTCTAAAATTGGTCCCCAATCAAGATCCGTGAGGGCTCTTCTTGTAAGTGGGCTCTCTCCTGAGTATGTGTGACGTGCACCTAACCAGTTGTCATAGCAGTTCACTATCCTTGTACGCCTCCCCTGTTCTAGCACGTCAACCACCATAAAATATGGATGGTTAGCTAGATCTGTACGCGCCTCCACCACTAATTCTCTCACTAAATCTCTCCGAATCGCTGTCACTACTCGAGCATGTTCTCGAGGACCCTCAGGCCAGTAGAACAGGAAGCCAGGATGGCTTATCTGGTATTTTCCACGTACTGGGGGTTCCTGGAGACAGGCTATCCCGGCACCAGCCTGTAGTGCCACTTCTAGGGCTGTATGTACTACAGCGCCTGTACGGGCACAGTTGTGTTGTAGTACTATCATAGATCCTCACTTTGAGGCGCTTCAGTGGCTGACTTGAGCTCTGGCTCTAGTGGTTGTTGGCTATTTCCCTCGTGAATATCAGCCTCTAATTGCATCTCAGGCAGCAATTCATCTTCTTCTGGAGTTGACATCTCCTCCTCTAGAGACTGTCCAGGTCTCTCCTCCAAGGTCAGTACCGGTTTTGGAGGCACTACCGCGAATGTCTCATCTAATGGGATGAGGTCTTGTAAGGATTGTTCCCTCATTCTCCGGATAGCCCTTTGACGAGCCTCCCTAGCTCTAGGGCACTTAGGAGATGTAGCCTCATGTGCACCTTTGCAGTTAGCACACCTGATTACTGTGTGTTTGCAAGGTTTAGCTGGCCCAACCCTACAATCCACTACTGTACATGAGTGCTCTATTGCCTCATGGTCACCTGCGCAGATCGCGCATTTAGGAGGCTTGCCACCACAAGCCATGAAGCCAGAGTGGCCAATTCCGCAGCATCGAGGGCAGATACTCTCAGGATTTGACTCCCAATAAGGGGCTACTCGATGGTGTCGGCCTCCAAACTTGATGCCTTTATTGATCAGTGTTCGAGCTTCCTCTAAAGAACCTACTGTGATCACAATCGTGGCAAATCTCTGGTTGCTAGCCTGTATCGTCTTAGCTCTCTTGAGCCATGTTGGCTCTCGTTTCAGCCTGTAAGGTGTTCCCAACTCAATCTCTTCCTGGGCTAGTCCTAAGCCTTGGTCATTGTACATGTAGCGATCCACAGGCACTGCCTAGATCTTGACACGGTGCCACTGTTCACTAATCTCTACTGAAATGACTGCCGGGTCTGTTTGCCTTACAGCGGCTAGTAGAGTATCGTTATAAGCAGGTACGAGGGTGCTGCTGCGAGTTCCTCGCTCAAGGAGCACCGTCAAGGCTCCTGAGGCCGCGTATCCAGAATCGACTGCTCTTACAAAGTCAGGAAAACCTGCCTTTGCAAGGGCACGGTTAAGGGCCAAGAGAACATCAGCTTTCAATGCGGTCGGAGCATCTTTAGGATATTGTCGTCTAAAGATGAGGTGTCTTTCCTCCTTGCTCCGGGTACTCACAGGCTTCAAGTCAGTTATCGATAGAGCCTTAGAGGGTGCTGAGGCCTGTTTCTTATACTGGACGGTTTTCCATCCTCTAGATTGGGTATTATTCGCGGCAATAGCGGCCCATTTCGTAGGTGCGGGCTTGGTCAGTGGCTTAGCGGTAGTTTCGGGCTGTTTAGTGGTCTTCGCGGCGGTTCCAGGTACCTTTTTAGGGCCCTCAGGTGGCTGTATGGCTTGCTTCGTAGCCTTTGTTGGATTCTGATATCGCGGCTGCGGCTGAGGTGCGGTTGAGTTTATCGCGCGGCTCTCAGGCGCGGCATCTAGCTGTATTGGGGTGGACGCTAAGCCTCCCGTGGAAGCGGCTCTTGGCGGTGGCCCGTGCGCCGCAACCTCACGCGTTGCAGTGAAGGGGTCGAGTGGTAGGATCTGACGGCTTTGTAGCGCGTTCACGTAGGTTTCAAGGCTCTCTAGCCTAGCGTTGAGAGTAGTAATGAGGCCCTGTTGGGTATTGATCACGTTTCTGGCAGTCGTCAGCTCCGCGGAGAGCTGGTGGACCGCTTCTTGCAGATGGCCGTTGAGGTCCTCGATCAGGCCCATCACGAGGCTATCCTCTGCAGGAGCACTCGCTGCACGCATTGCGGTAAGTGTAATCTTCCTCTTCGGAGCCGCGCTCAATCCAGACCTAGTTATAGGAGTCCGGGATCCTATAGTTAGCCTTGAGGCCTTCCTTTTCTCGAGGATCGTTCCTGGGGCTTGTTAGGTTTCTCTAGTCTGTCGTGGCGCTTGTAGAGCGTCGCTGTTGCTCAAAGTAGGTTCATTGGACTGTTTCTGACAGTCTCCAAGTCCTGCAAACAGTGCACGGGTAGTTGGAGGTAGCTGTGACGTTTCCTGGGAGGGTGTCGATGAATCAACCCCAGATCCAGGTCCCATGATTTCTGGATCTCCAGTGGCCCCTGGAGGCCTCTCTGGACTTTCCATGAGGGTTTTTCGATGCTAAGAAGCCTGCAAAGGCCCTTGGAAAGCTCAATAAGCGTGGTTCGTCGTCAAATCAGGATCTCGCTGTTTTTGCGTGTTACTTCTTCCTACAATTGCACTTCAGAGAGAATCTTCTACTAATATATCTTTCTCGCAAGAAGCTTGGGAAGAAGATATCTTACAGTTCCTTACACTTAATTGACTTCCATTTCATCTTATTGAGCATTCAATGTTTCAGCGGCTTATTTCTCGGGCTCGCTGCGCTCCATCACTGCTAATAATCCCATCTGCTGATACAATCCGTCGCCGACTAAGGAGCCTTGTTCAAGACCGGCAAGAGCGTGCCCTTCAAACACTACCCACTGGCTCAAAGATATCAATTGCACTAGACTGCTGGACATCTTCATTCTTACAGGCATTTATAGCAATCACAGGCTATTTTATTGATGCTGATTGGGTCTATCGCGAGGTACTACTTGGGTTTAAGCCTCTTTATGGGCCATATACTGGTGTGAACCTAAGTAGCGTCGTTCTTCAAACTCTTATGGAGTATAACCTTGAATCACGAGTATTTAGGTTAACAACAGATAATGCATCTAATAATAAGACCTTGGTAGATTCTCTTCAACAAGCTCTACCAGACAGTGTTATTATTACCCAGATTCTATGCCTTGCTCATGTTATTCAGCTCAGCCTCAACCAGCTTCTTGATCGCATTAAGGCAGTCCCATTAAATGACTCTGCTGTGACGAAGTGGACAGAAAAGCAGTCAGGACTAGCCCAAGCGAATGCGCAGCACCAAGGGCGAGAGATATCTTATACCTTAAATAAGGTCCGCTATCTCGCAATCTATGTGAACGCAAGTCCTCAGCGCCGGGAGACTTTCTATAACCTCCAGACGTCAAGCGTGAAGCTAGTGCCTATCCAAGATGTGAGAACTCGATGGAATTCAACTTTTCTAATGCTTCGTCGGGCAAAGCGTCTACGCGGTATCTTTACGCCATTTTGTGCAGAGTATGACTGTGAAGAGATGTTACTTCAGGATGAGGAGTGGCGCCAGGTTGACTAACGTAATCGCTAAGCGAACCGGCCACCTCTCCAGAAAATAACTCTCTATATTGATTTACCATATTACAACGCGTCAAAATGCCACCAATTCGCAAAAAAGACCCCCTAAAATCCACTCAGGATGAGGGGAAGATCGAATTAGCTATTTCCGATTTAAAAAATGGAAGAATTCGCAGTATTCGTGAAGCTGCAAGAATCTATATGGTTGCTCGTACAACTCTTCAAGATCGAATGAAAGGAGTGCCGTATCGACAAATAACACGCGCCAACAACCATAAATTGAGTCAATCTGAGGAGGATTCGCTTGTCAAATGGGTGCTTGATTTAACTAAACGTGGATTACCGCCCCGGCACTTTCTCGTACGAGATATGGCTAATTATCTTCTCTCACAACATGGAGATCAACGGGTTGGAGATAAATGGGTATATAATCTTGTTCAACGTCGCCCAGAGATTGAATCCAAATTCTCACGAAAATACAACTACGAACGTGCTAAATGTGAAGATCCAAAGATTATACAAGGCCATTTTGACCGCGTACGAGATATAATATCTGAGTACGGCATCTTACCAGAAGATATCTATAATTTTGATGAGACGGGCTTTGCTATGGGACTCTGCGCAACTGCAAAGGTTATTACTGGAAGCGATCGATATGCTCAGCCAAAGCTTCTACAGCCTGGAAATCGAGAATGGGTGACTGCAATTGAGGCAACAAATTCAACCGGATGGGCTCTGCCTTCGTACATGATTTTCAAAGCAAAGAAAAACGTACGATTAGGCTGGTTTGATGAGCTTCCGGATGATTGGAGAATCAATATTAGCGATAATGGCTGGACTACAGATCAGATAGGATTAGAATGGCTTAAAACCCATTTTATTCCTCTTACTAGTAGTCGTACATTGGGAACATATAGTATGTTGATTCTTGATGGCCATGGAAGCCATTTGACTGCAGAATTTGACCGTACATGTACGGATCATAAGATTATTCCAGTCTGTATGCCTCCTCATTCTTCACATCTCTTACAGCCTCTTGATGTTGGCTGTTTTGCAGTTCTAAAGCGACATTATGGGCAGCTTGTTGAACAACGAATGAGGCTTGGTTTTAATCATATCGACAAAATCGACTTCTTAACGGCATCTTCCACAGGCTCGTACAGTGGCATATAAAACTCAAACTATTCGGAATAGCTTCGCAGTCACCGGATTAGTGCCTTTCAATCCAGATCGAGTTCTTCAACATCTTAATATTTAATTGAAGACTCCAACCCCCCCTCTAAGTCGATCAAGCAATACAAAATCATCCTGCTTACAAACACCTCAAAATATACGCCAATTTGTACGCCAGTCAACTACAATCAATAAACGTATAAATGAGCGTACAGGAAGCCTGAATCAGAATCAAGAAATCAATCAAGCGGTTATACGGTTGTCAAAAGCCTACGAAATATTAGCGAATGATGCTTTACTCGTATGGAAAGAAAACCGTGATTTACGAGCTGCGCATGAAAAAGAGAAGCAAAAGCGCAAAAGATCTAATAAACAGATATCTATTGAGCAAGGGATTACTAGAGAAGAAGCTCAAGTGCTCGTACAAGGTCAGGTTGAAGCATCTCAAGCTGTTACTACTACTCCAGCTGAGCCGGAGCTCCCAACTTCTCAAGCAGTCGTACGCCGCCAATTTCGCTGCAGTGACTGTAACGTTGAAGGGCACAGGATTAACCGATGTCCTAATCGTACTAGTAATTAATTTTTTGTATATAATTTGTATATGGTTGAGAAATTGTGATTTGAAATCAATATAGAGTTACTTTCCGGAGAGGTGGCCGGATCGCTTACGTGGCCGGACCGCTTACCGATTACGTTATACAACTCAGCTATCAAAGACCCGAGATGTCACAGCACATTATGTGTTTAAGATTTACAATAAACTCTTCGAACACCTTGAGTAGTCAATGAAGCAGCTACGATGAAAGCGCGCTCCATGGAAGCAACAAATGCTTTATGCACTAGAGGCTGGTCGGACAAAGCTTGATGAGTACTACTCTCAAACTGATTATATTCCAGGGCACATCTATGCAGTCAGTACGATGCTGGCACCAGTGAATAAATTCAAATTCTTCCTTACAAAGGATTGGGATCAGAAATGGCGGGATATCTATCACAAGTCCTTCCAACAGGCTCTTATTCCATATCAAGAGCAACTTTCAACAAGTGACCAGTCTTCAGACGGGTCTCACTCAGCAGCTCGGCTAAGCTCAAAGCTTGATAAGATGTTAGATGAGAGTGAAACACAGCTAAATGCAGCAACTGATGAAATAACCCAATATCTTGATATGTGACGCTGGCCAATACCTTGCATTTGTTGCTAACTAGGTGAGCCTATCTACGAAGAATAACAAGCATCAAGAAGGAAAGAAGAAGAAAAAAAACACAGCGCCCCTCTACGCACAGCTCCTTCATATGATCCTTTGTGTGGACGGAACTTCCCAATACAGTACCGCTCCCAATATAGCATTGCTTAGGGCTCAAGCCCTATCTTGAGATAGCGGGAAAAGCCTCCTAGGATGACACTGTACGGAAGGCTCCGTCGCCAAGCCGTAGAGCTGTCAAGCCGCAGGGCTGGCTGTCACAGATAGTGGTTTGTTTGCACGAAGTCTTTGCTAAAATATACTAACTACTTAATAGATACTATTCATATTGCGCCTCTTGCATTCTGGAAAGAGCATCAAACTCGCTTTCCAGCAATTGCTGCCCTTGCGCGGGATATACTCTCCTTTCCTGCAACAGACGCAGGAGTTGAACGGCTCTTTAATACTGCTCGGGATGTCTGTCATTATCATCAAGGGAGAATAAAGTTGCAGACAATTGAAGAATTAATGATGTTTCTTTGCACTTCAAGGTTTGATATAGAAGAGCAGGAGGTAAAGCTTCTGGAGAAGTTCTTCTCCTATGAGGAAATGGAATCTGCAAAGGAGAAGGATGAAAAGCTTGACAAGATTGATATAGATCTGATTAGTGATACTGAGGAGCAGGATACTATGATTAATGATGAGATAGGGCTAGATGAGGTAGGCGAGGCAGATGAAGTAGGTGAAGCCCAGATACCACTGCCTAGGAACAACACCCAGGTACGGGTCTCAGGATGGAAGCGCAAGAGTCGAGATGATGATATCTTTGAGTATCATTAGTTAGTGTTGGAACGTCAATATCAAGCCTTATAATAACTGATCTTTAATGAGGCAATCATTGAAGCGATCAAGTATATTGCCGGGCGGTGAGCACACTGCTCTATAGCGCTGAACTCCCGGCACCCCTTTCTTAGGAATCAAGCAGAATATTAGGAATCAAAACAAATTCCATTATGTTTCACTTCGTCGGACCGCCCCTTCTTCAAATCTATTGAGCTGATCTAGGATGGGGATAAACCGATAGTTAGATTGTATCTGTAGATAGAAATATATTATACTTTGCCTTCTGATTCTTTGATATTCCTTAGTCTTTCCCGTTCTTGCTTCCCCTGATTTAGCTGTAAAGGAAATACTGAATATTACAGACAAAAAATGCATAATTTATGTAGTCACGGGCCTTGGCATATATGTTACGTTTGTAACCCAAGTTGGGGCCCCGGACCCAGGCTGGGTCACCCAAGTGTAACCCGGACCCAAAGCTGGGTTAGAGTCTTCGACCCAAAACCCAACCCAGCCCGGGTTGGGTCCGGGTTATATTGGGTCATGCGGAAGTCTACGGATTAGCCACTTGACATGTTTAGAAATAGAACCAGGCACCAAAGCACATATATTATGTCACTCTGCATCGAGATCCTTCACTCCTTTTGTATGTATACACATTTCCTTTGTTGTTTCGGCGTTCTGTTTGCTCGTTATCTGTTGTTGGTGTTCTTCGGATCTGGATACGGATATGTGTTGGGATTTTCGCGTGGTGTTGACTGAGCCAGCGCCAAGCCGGAAGTCTTGGCACGTTGACGTTGATTTATGCTTTTGTACGGCAGTACGCCCGCTGCCCAATTAGAAGGCGCCGCCGGCCACTAGGCTTAGATGCGTGTATGAATCAATCAATCAATGAGTCACTTCCGGCTAACGTGCTTGATCTAGCGGTTTATAATCGACCCTATTTCCAACAAAAAAAAAAGGTGAATAAACAGCCCGATGCGGGGCTCGAACCCGCAACGTTCAGATGCCTCAAGAGATAAGAGTCTGACACTCTACCGATTGAGATAACCAGGCAGCTAGGACCTAGTAGCTGCTTTTGATATTGATAAGATCTCTCTCCATATTCAGATTATTCAAATACAATTAGATCAAAAATACCCGTGCTGCTAGCGCGCGACCTCACCGCTCCCGGTGAGGGTGCGCGTCACATAAATGATTACCAGAGCGTAAGCTCTGGTAGTTTACTTTGATCCGATATGGTAGTTAAAACGCTACTGTGACGGCTTAACTCTAGCTTCCGCGGGCTCGGCGCAGCACGTCCTTTACTGATTGGGTATCCTTGTATGGAGATCTCAATAAGCGAGATATCAATCAGCATTATTCTCTGCTTTTGATACACATTGGGACACCGGCTAGGCGACGGAGATTTGTATGAGACGGGCAGCACCGTCAATGAGTGAGGATGGAGGCCAATAAATATGGACTGCTTCCCCTCGATAGATAGTTTCCCTCTTCATACTTGGTTTCTTCGTCGACATAGCACCCTAGGAATAAAAATATTATCTATTTGGATGGGCTCCCGTCACAGCTACCTGATTGGGTACCAAATAATGAAAACTTTTATTATTGCTCGCAAAAAGGAGACGACACGTGATCTCCCGCTTTGGTAGTATAGTTAGGGCATGAACTTAGGGTTATTCTTTTTTTCCATCTTCGCATAGACAACAACACCACTTTCCTTCCCCTCGACATCCTAGACACCAATCCTTTTATCATCAACCTCGTCGAAAATCCCATCTCCTCATGTAAAGAAATCGGTGAATGGATCGTATAGACTCAGAGGATTGATATCGTTCAGTAATAGTGATCAATGATCAGTTGCTTGCCAGTATTAATAAGGAGATGATTCGATGCGTTGAATCTCTGTGTATTGCTTGTCTCTCTAGTTACATACAACTCAGGGGTTGAGACTATAATTAGCCTCGGAATCACTAGTCATCACGTGACCTTGTGATCATATTCTTTACACCTCAAAATCCTACCTTATCAAGGCATCGTACCGTCGCTCCATTTCACGGCTCACCGTAATGGCTGAGACCGTTCAGGTATACTCGAGGTATCTAGCAAACAAGCCTTTAGACGAGTTTGAGACCAAGACTGGAAATCGCATCTTCAAGACATGCTCTACGTGTCGCACAAGAAAGCAGGATAATAGGGTCTTCAAGCGTAAGAGCCATGAAGCAGAGGTTCCTGAGCCTCCAGTCCAAGAAACTCATGTCCCTCATTTCATGAGGCCAACTACTTCGTCACCCCGCTGCCTTGCACCACAACGTATATCCTCTCAACAGTTCCAGCAGCAGTTTCAAGAACAGGGTACTCAGCAAAGCGCTGCCTCGTCTCCCGCCCCCTCACATCACCGTCGAGGCTTCCAATTTCATCGTGCAGCGCGACGTGCTAGTGAAGACGTGCCACCCACTCAGGAACTAGATGTGTATCTTGCTCGCCAATAGGGCCCAGATATTCCTCCCTCTACTCAACAATCAGCTACTCCACAAGCAAGCCAAGCTTCTTCAACACCTGACCCATGTGACGATGCCAATCTGCTTGATTTGAGTACGCTATCCTAGCTAGCTATCTCGTACAAGAGGTGCCCGTCGACAGGTAATATTGAGCATAAGGGGAAAAAGGAAGAAACGAAGCAAAAGCTCTAGCTCTCGCTTCTCATATAAATCTCTGTGCGGGGGGCGCCTTTCCCTATCCAGCTCCTACATATGATGTTGATATGACTTCCCAATACGGCGTGGATAGGGTTATACGGCTCCGAGCCCTATCTGTGAACTGAGACGGGAACACAGAGCTATGCTCAGCCGTCACAATCGACTAATGACTACCAGTGAGGATGTCTTGCGACCTCTGATTCCCTCGCCTTCGTCGGAAATCCCCCAAGCCAGCCCTTCCCTACACAGGACAGCTTCTAGTGTATCTATACTGTCGTCCAACCCAGATCCTCTTGCTATATTCGGTAGTCGTGTATCTACGTCCGTCATGAAGTCCACGCCTACGGGCTTTACTCTAGCAAAATACAAAAGACGTAGCTCGCAAACTACCTCTAGTACATAGCTCACAATACGTGCTATGACTTCAAATCCCTTTTTATGCACCACTTGTCAGACACCACGCCATCTAGATCGGCGGATTGCGAATGTCATCGATATATGCCAATACGGTCAGAATGCAAGCATACCGCTCGAGGATCAATACAAAGTTTGTGTCAGTTGCAAGTGTGATGTTCCTACATCTGCCTTCTTTGATGACAAGTCCCAAGAGCACGCTCACTGTAACCTATGTCGCGTTAGTTCTTTGACCCATGAGACTAACTGCTCCTATGTTCCCCCGAGCAGTGATGTTCGCTCGAATGATATACCTTTACGAGCATCTACCCATGCTCATGAACAGTCTGAACAAGACCCTCTTTACGTCCCCGGTAATCCTGATGCTCTTATACAACCGGTACTTACAGAAAACGATTGGAATTATGTCAATGATTTTCATGAATCCTTGGACAAACAGCGGTTGGAGTACTGTCATCGCTGCTATGAAAGATGGTTCAACCTCTGGCTGAACTATCAAGGTATTTGCGATCGTTGTGTTCGTGCAGACAAAGGTAAAGACGTCCGCCTCTTTAGTGCTGCGAATAATCTACACTCTGGCCAGATGCCTGATCTCCCTGAGCTCTCTCAAACAGAAGAGGTGCTAATTGCTTGTGTCCACGTTTCTGTCCAAGCACGCAGAGCGCGTGGACAGCAATATAAGTATAGCGGTCATGTGTAAACTTTTTACGGGATACCGCACATGTCTATGACATCTTACCCCTGCTGCCTCGACACCTGGAGGTTATCCTTCTTCGCCCAGTTAATGCCGAAACTGATTTAAGATTGCAACGCCAGTTCATACATGGCTTCCGCGTACGAAGAGATCATTTTGTTAAGTAGCTCTCCTTTCTATGCTTAAATCACCCCAGTTATCGTGACATCACTATCTCCCAGGAAGCTATTTATATTCTCCCTCAAGACAGTAGTGTGGTGGATGATACTTTTAGTCAGATAATAGACCCCGTGAAGATCGGTCCAAACGATGTGTCTAATAAAATTGAAATTCCTGAGCATTGCGCTGTTCCTGATCTTATCGCATGGGAAGACGAGATACAGCGATTAGAGAACAACTCCGTCCCCAGCAGTCACGTCGAGTCTATATGGAAATTTCGTTGAGCGTTGAAAGTGAGTTGGATTGTAGTCAGTTCGTACGCAGGCGTTGAAGATCTCATAAATTGTGTTGAGGATCACTGGTATGCCAATAATTCTGTGCTAGAAGCTACTGGGGATACCATCCTCGCCAGGGGCTTTATCTGGTGGTGTTGAACGAACCACGCGCTCTCGATCTTGTGGCGTGGAATCTCCAGAAATTCAATCTGTGTGGGATATTGACTATCCGCGATATCTGATAAATCCGCATTCGGAATAGCTGGGAAAACGTCTCTTTAAGAAGCTGCACTTTCGCCTCCACTGTTTCGGCCGTGCGGCCATCCGGGGCTTGTAGGGTAGGGGTGATTCCTGATTCGTACGCTCCGTTGCGCGTACGTGCCCACCTTGCCAACCTCCAGAGACCTAGGGAGCCTTGCTCGGTGGCTTGTTACACGCAACGTCGATGGCCTAGTCGTAAGGATTTCTTGACGAGGCGTTTCTTCTTATTGCGTGCACGTAGGTAAGCTTCCATATCCAAGGATTGTGTGTATTGGAGGTAGGTTCGTACAGCTTCTTTGCATTCCGGTGTGAAATCCGGATTGCTCCATGTGCTCGGACAACTGATTGGTCAATTGCCTTTCGTATAGCTGCTGTAAAGGCCACTGTTGCAAGCTCGATATAAGTTTTTGACGCGTTCGTGAGGCTTGGCACGGTGATTTGGCTAAGCAATTTGTGCAGCAATTTGATATCTATAGCTGCCCATTTATGACGGTGTGGTGGTTCATGGGTCGACCGGAGTATCAATATCGATCTGTGTTCTGATTGGCAAGTGAACCGAATTATGTTGAATCTCATTGGCGCGCTCATGCAATATAAGTCGATTAAATAAGGATGCAGAGAGGAGGAATGTTAGGTTAATAGTTGATTGCGATTGACCACGCTCCCAGGTGACTAATCCTTCCTCAAGTAGCGAGTTCGATTTCATGGCGATCCATGATCTCAAGCAATTCAGTGGCTTGTTCATCAATTTTTGGCTAGGGCCACCCCAGGCTGGATAGTGAATGTTCATATCTAGAAGCACTAGATGCGCTGAGGGTTGTGAGCTTCCTAATCGGTTTAGCTCCTGTTCCACGTGTACGAAAGTAGCCGAACGTGGCTCATTATAAACATTGTGGATATAGAGATTGTGCGGTTCGTACGATTCGGGGGTTCGAATTGGGTAGGTGGCATTGATAGCGAATGTGTAGGATTTGGTAATCAGACGGTACGATAGTGTGTGTGAGACCAGTTGGCTAAATTGATACTTTTATTGACGAATAAGGCCACGCGGGCTCTTTGATTGTTGTTCGATTTGAGATAGAGTAGTTAGTGCGTGAGCCTTGTAGGCTGGTGCGTCATATCGTTCAATTTGTTTCTCCATCGTTCTTGGATTGCAATAACTGAGGCATGGAAAACTCGGGGATCACGTAGAAATATAGCCATGACCTCATCCTTTGATTTATGCGTATTGTACTGTATAGCTTCGAATGTTGTACTCATTGACTGAGGGCATCTGGAGAGGAGCGCATGTTCATGCTTTGTACAGTTTGTAGGTCATTGTCCTCATCTTTCTCCTTAATCAGGGGTGCGTAGTGACGTTGGCTAGGCCTAAACCTATTCATAAGCTCTGCATAGCCCTCCGAATCAATAGTCATGTTTCTATTGAGTTCACGATAGCTAGCCGTACTGCTTGGGATGATGTTATTATCATCTATCGTCATGCTTATATGAGGAGGCTGCAGTATCTAGGGCAACAGTATCTTATCTGATTCATGAGATCGTGCGCGTAGCTAGCGCATCTGGACAATTTTTCTGCATAGCTGTTAGGCTCAGGTTTTGGATTTTGTCACTGGGGCCGTTAACAGTATCGTATTATCCTTATTTAGTAATGCAGGGTCAATAGTCTCGATAGGAGCACTAGATCAGGTGATATCTAGGGCCGATTGAATCTATTTAGTGGGCTCTAACTCGTCATCGTCATTGCTGGGCGAGTTGGATTAAGTGGGCTACTGCAGGACCACTTCTCAACGGTAGTAAACAGGATAGCCTTGACTTTCTCAGCTATTGGGATGATTTGCGAGGTCGCAGGAGTCTCTGGTATTTGTGGATTTGTTGTTATTGGAGCTATGGCTTTAATTGGTTGATTCACTGAGGCCGTTAGCTCGTTGGTTGGATTTGTAGGAGCTGCGGACATTGTAGTTGACGTTTTTGTACGCTTTGTGGCTCTGGAGGTGCTTTTAGCAGTTATCGATTTGGTGGTGGTGCACTTCTTTATAGCTGCTTGAATCTGCGCAGCTTTGTGGGGTATAGAATCCACGTTCGTGGCAGTGTTCTGTTGCATCGATTTTGGCTATAGATACCAAGGTACTCGATAAAACAGTCCACAGTTGATTAGTGCGTATTTTGCCTTTTCCAAGGCCTCACGTCGTAGGCCGCAGCTGGTGCTTACGGCATTATATGGACCCTTACAGTTGGCACATTTTGGCATGAAATCTCTTTCCTTATTCTGATGCGAAGGGTATTCTCAGATCGGATGCTCCTTGGCACAGATTCCACAGATAAATTTTGGATTTAGATACCGCGCGTAGATGTATCCATATTTTTGACGCTTCTTGCATATCTCGCGTCGTCCCTCTCGACAATAGGGCCTATTGGTGTGACTCCGAGACCGCCATACTGTCCCCATGAAAATCGCATTATTGGCCATAATTGCATTTGTAAGCTCAACCACGAGAGATCCTTCACGACTTCTAGGCTTGGTGAGCCAGCCAACATGCGCGATTTCGATCTCGGCTTTCTAACCTAGGCGTGTTGATTCTCAGAAGCTAGTTGCTGCTTGAAATCGTCATTTAATAAATCCACTTCCCAAATAGGCATCCCGTCAATAATGATTCCCTATGTATGCACACGTACGTATGCAGATTCTCCGAATACGCGAGCCCAATTTTTTGTGTCGGCGGAGGACTTCCGCTGCAGCAGCATTCGAAGCTCGCAAACGGACATTACCAGAAGGGGAACTGTCATGCAGCAATAAAGGCATGCCCAGCTAGAGGTAGGCTTGGAGTGCCCTTCGCTGCTTGGGCCCTAGCTCGTTCGGCACGCTTTACGATATCCGCAGGTTGCATTCTACGTATCTCCTTACGGAGGACCTCGTCACGAATTTTCACGGTGATTTCGCAGTCCATACCCAGCTCCGTGTGGCTGACACCTGGTGCAGAGGAGCAGGCGCTTTGAGATGTAGGTACGGCTGCGCTCCGAAGGCTGGCCTACCAGTTCTGGGTGTTCCCCGTTTTCCATGAGGACACGGATGATAGCCCGGTTGACGCGCTTGACAATTATTCTAATCGTGTGTCCCCTTTTGAACATTCTAAAGATTTTTGTGAGGCCGTGAAGTTCCTCACGTCCTCGATAAATCCTCGTACCGTCGGGCTATCCTGACCCTCGCAAGGCCTAGAGTGTATATATTGAGACATAAGCTCTGCAGCACAGGCAAGATCTTCCGTTTTTGCGAAGGTTTGATTGGCTGTTGTGGTTGTTCACCGTGTTGAGCGCGCGCGTGTACGAGAGCGCGCCGTTGCGGATGCAGATTTTCGCCCGTTGAAGGTGTCAACATGCGCGCCTGGGCCATTAATACGTTCTTACCTAGTAAAACTAAGCTCGATCGATGGCTCTTGACTCAGACGATAAACTGCGTGAATTACAGCCGCTTCGGGCTAAATCTAATGGCGTAATTTCAAAAATTTGATTCGCGCGAAGATAGATGTTTCGAAACGGCTTATTAAGATTGTTTTATTGGGGTTGCTTCACGTGATGATCATACTGCGGGGGTTCTTCCTCCTTACAACAGCCTCATGAGAGTCAGGTCTTCGACGCAGAAGCAGAAGCAGCTCTAGCTGGCGCTCAAGCAGCAATAGCGTACCCAACAGCTCAATTTGCTACCAACCTATGGATCTGCCTTGACAACCTGGAAGTTGCCATACGCCTTCTATCTCCCTCTACAGGATCTTCCCAAGAAATCTTTGAATCCTTCCGCACCCTTGCAGCCGCCTGGCCACTTCGCAAAAGGCTTCCTCACACCAAAAGCGGATCTATCCAAATCCGATGGGTCCCTGGACACGCCAAAATCCCTGAGAACGAAGCGGCTGATCTCGCTGCCAAAGAGGGAGCTGCCTCAATCCCTCCTGCTCCTCACAAATCCTCATACGCCTCGCTAAAGAGATACGCCAAGACTCAATCCCTATCCGCTGCTCAGTCACAATGGGAGAAGGTGGCACCACAGAGCTATCAAGATCTAGAAATAACCACTTCCCCTAAGCGCCCTGGGGAGCTTCAACTCAACCGACTTGACCTCGGCCATGTTATTGCGGCCCGTACTGGTCATGGAGACTTTGCAGACTACCATGAACGCTTCAACCATGATGATGCTTATCTTCTCTGCCGATGCGGAGCACGAAAAGCACCTCTGCACTTCTTCTTCTGTCATATAGCTAAGAGACGAGCCCCTCGGCCTCCTGGGCCCCCTTCTGAGGTCATCTCTTTTCTCTTAGGCACTGCTAAAGGAGCACAAAAGCTAGCCACATGGCTAGCAGAGACCCACTTCTTTGAGGATATCTGCCCTCGCCAACCTCTCCTTAGCACCTAGCTAAGACAGCCCTACTCTTCCTTTATATTTCTCTTCTCCTTCTTTCTTTCTCTTCTCTTCTTTCTTTCCCTCTCTGCAAAACTTACTGTTCAGTTATAATAGTGGTGGAGTAATAGGTCATGGAGTGTAGGCGGACCATTGCAGCTGGCAAATACCTAAAACCCACTCAAAGTGGACCTCCCTGTAAGACCATGGCAGCTATGGAAATGCGCCAGAGTCTCTTATTTGTACACAAATCTGATAGGACCCGAAACCCGAGGCTTACCCCTCGGCGGCCTATGTCCCAGTAGGGATCGGTGGGAAGCGTGCGAGTCACGAACCACGGCCGTTAAATATACACACACACACACACACACACACACACACACACACACACGCCTCATGAGAGTCAGCCGCTCGCCTCCGCAAGTTGCCCGTCATCTCTCAGGCAGTCAAGTCTTGATTTTCCCACCCATCTCCCTATGTACATAGGCTCATAGTACCATTACACTACAAAGACACTTGCCTCCCTACAAGGGAGCGCGGACGGGATCCTCTCTGACGTTACGGTCTAACGCGTTTACGCGTAAGACCTCAGTGACAGGTGACCCGTTGCGGCCAAACTATACACATATTTCCCATCATGACCGCGTGAGGTCACCAATAAAAGGGCCATCAGATGCTTGGCTCCAGTTTGCAATGGTGCGTATGCACACATAATTGACTACTCTAACTTTAGAGGCGGCTGCTCTATGATAGTTCTAGAGCGACTAGCTAAAGTAATAATATTTCTCACTTTCACAATCCTACAAGTCAGGTAGTACTCATCAGCAGGTGAAGTAGATTGTATTGAATATGTAGAAGCTATTTGGGCTATGAGTATCTGTGTTACTGCTCTCCTCTCGCAACTAAGATGCTTTCCTGTGTCTTCACAAAATATAGCCGGATTTGTAGCGAGTTCTCCCCTTCCACTGCTTGATAGATTCTCTTTGCTCTATAGTCAAGTATCACATTCGAAGTCTATAGATTTGTTGTCCCATACGCAGTTTAATCTTGCACTGCGGCTACTTCGTCTTGCTGTGACTTGACTGTCTTTCCAAAACGCCTTTAACCTCCCTGCTCATAATGGCGTCAGTGAGACCTTTCCCCTGATCAACCAGCTCTTTCTGCACGGCAAGCATCCTGGACAAGAGCTCCCAAGTCTAACTATGCTCTAACCGGTGCCTCTACATTTCATAACCAGTCGAATCTTCCTTTCTCTCTTATATCCCTGAAGGCTGGAATCTAATACAAGTCCAGCCTCTCACCACCATCGTACTCTCACACCCCCACATTATAGTGATGAACACGAAATGGGGACGAACGCCAGTACCTGCCAGCTCCTAGTACTCAGATCCTAGTCATCAAGGAACCCTGCATACAGGTGCCACTTATGCCTACGAGGAGGTGCACGGGGAGGAGGAAGAGTAAAGGAGGAAAGTCAAGTGAGATTCTTAGGAAGAAAGCCAATACGATACGAGTATTGACATTTGTGACAACGAACCGAACCTTAATAATCCGCTATCTGCGATCTAGAGCACCCGTAAAAACCTGGAACGCCATAAATGCAATAATGCTCAAGAAAAGAAACCGACAGCCAGCTCGTTCAGCGTACAATCACTTCTCCGGAGCATCAGGGAGACGCTCAATCACATACTTGCCTCGTGCCACATTCATGATTGGAACACCAGGTATTTTACTGCAAATCAAGAGTCAGTCGGGTCAGTATAACAAATACGTGAAATAGCTGGGCTTGTCTCACCGTATCCTCCTCTTCAAATCTCTGTCATTCGTCGCCACAATATAGACTCTGTGCTTAATCACTCGATCAACTAAACAATCGTCCGCATATGTGCCCCGATGATCACATTTTATCCGCTCAAACCGAGGATCTTTGGCGATTCGTAACGCTAGTCGATATTTCTGGCCCAGCTTTTCCAATTCCGCCAACACACAGTCCGTAATAACGGGGATACACTTGGCGTAGAGACAATCCATCATCGTGGGAATCACTTCTAGCTTATGCTGTACGCTGTGGGAGAGGAAGTTGGTGTCGACCAATACTGAGTAAGGAGGCGTCAAGGCGGTGTTGTACTGGAAGAAAAGAGACGAGGAAACTTGAGGACTGGTCACGCGGGCCTGTTAGTATTTCTTCCATTGTACTTGTCTTGTGTGTTAGGAAAACTCACATTTCTCGGACAACGTTATCATCCTTTTTCTTATTCTTTTCCGCCTCTTGTGGTTTTCTATATGCAGACTGTTAGTCACTACATATGGAGGGCAATAACAGCTATACTCACAACCGACTGTCTCGCAAGGTTATAGCACGCTTGACTTGGGCAAACTTGCGGACCTTCTTCTTGACACCCATCGTGTACTATTATAAGGATGGAGCAGAGTAAATTCACTGAAGAGTGTGCGACAGGCGAAAATGAAATGGCACGAAGATATTCGATTTGATGTTATTGAGCGAGATCATCAAAAATTCTTATCGCAGAAATGGAACGGATGGAATTTTGTGTTTCGGAAATACCGTATCATTCTTATCTGCCCAATAAAAGCCGGCTATAGGTCGTATAGCCCCACATTTACGTAGTGTAAGTCTTTTCAGTACGTATTCCTCTGTATCAAGTGTATTTATGCTTAACGACTTCACTCTATCGCAGACAACTGGCCACATCCCTTAGCAGCACAGAAATCAATTCTCCCTTGACGTCTACAACGAGAATGACTCAACCGGAGAAGCAGGACCACAGTGATCTTTACCGGGAATGGGGATTCCATATTTAACGCGACATCTCGCTTCCTTTTCGAAATCGACTCTTCTAGGGACCGGCCATGATCCCTCATGCGAGACTATAAAGTCCGTAGTCATTGATGGCCCCGGACTTGTACATTATGTCCACTCGGTGTTGTTGTCACAAGCCAGTAACAGTTTAAACCAAGTGGAACGCCAACCCAGCTGTGATGAAGTCAGTGTGGCGGTTATGACCTACCTCGTTCTGCTGCAGGTATCAAGTGTAAATATGTATGTACTCACCTTCATAAGAAAAAGAGTGTATTCACTAACCTGTCAAACTCAAAGACTGAAAGTATATTTCGACGGTGCTCTACCCCTGAACAAAAGGGAGACTAGGTTGTCAAGACTGGAGGCCTCGAGAAAACAACTAGAGACATTTTGCCTAAGTCACCGGGAGGGTTTTACATGGTGTCCTATTGAACGTCAGTTCCCAGCGATTAATCCCCTGAGACTCTTTCAGGATGGCCATATCCCCATAAAGCGTTCCCTGTTGCCAGGAAACCCCTTTATGGTATCTGCTGTAGCCGAGGATCTGAAGTCAAGATGGACTTGTTCAGAAATGCACTCGTACTTACCTGATTCTCTGAATGGCATATACGAAACAACCGACAGTCGTCTTCCCTGGTCAGATATCGTCGAGATCATTCCCGGAGAAGCTGATGGATTCTGTGCTGCTCTAGCGGCTCAAAATCCCGGCACGGCTATACTAACGAGCGACTCTGATCTTTTTCTGTTTGACCTTGGACCTGAAAGTGCCATTATATTCTTCGATACAGTTCGAATGGAACATTCCGAGGATAAGACTGACCCCAAAATTGAGTCACCGGTGACCATAAGAGCAATGAAATATTGTCCGGCCTCGATTGCAGATCGATTAGGAATTCCTGCACTACCTTACCTCGCCCATGAACTGAACCAGAGTCCCCGATCAAGACTTGCCGAGCTTGTCCGCCGCGCAAAAATTGCTTCAGACTTGAATCCTAAGACGCCAACCTATCTCACATTTCTAGAAGAATATGACTTGAAATACCTCCTCCAATATGACCCATCAGAGGCACAAATATTACAACATCTCGACACAAGGATCTCTGAATTATTTGTGCAATGTTTTTGGACTGCCAAATTCCAGGACAAACACCAAGCTCCTCGGATATACCTACCTTTCCTAGTGGAAGATCATTCGCGGAAGTGTGCCTGGGCTGAGAGCATACGAATCAGAAGACTTGCGTATTCTTTACTTGACCTGAACCACTCCTCTCCATGTTCACCTTCCGATGGGCCGAAATACTTGACCGTCACTGAATGTGTACGGCGAGGGAGGAGGTTCTGCTTCGACGACATTGATTTACATAGTGCTGAAAAAGGAGAAATCGAAAAGGAAGCAGCCTATCTTCTGGACGGACTTGAATCTTTCCGGAGGCAATATCATCTTCACCATCACACGGCCTACGAAACTCCTATATTTTGGCGAACATATGCATTATATGAGATCCGCAATGACTGGTTCGCCACATATCATAATCCTCCAGCATTCCAGAATCACATCGCTCTGAAAACGTTCCTTGGTTTTAACCGGGGCACTGATTACAATACCATTGAATGGGACGACATCCACGCCCTGGCGCAGCTACAAGCAGTGCTGTACTCGTTACGCATGGTTTATCAGATTATTCAGGGGTTGACGCTTGACCATAGGGGAGCTCTTATGCGACTTCGTGTGCTTTTAGCGCGGCTACCACCGCTGCATGTCTTAATGAGGCCGTTTCATGAAGTGAGGCAGGAATTGTATGGATTCGAACCAAAACCGACCACAATCGCCAAATATCCCTCATGATGAATGTAGACACATGCAGGGTATTTATGGAGGACTTTAGTTGCTACGAAGTTTCGATTCGATTGTCCTCGCCAATTGGATTGAGGATATCTATATGCAAAAAATACATAAAATTTTGCTCAACGAGATGAGCGAAGGAATCCAATAATACCACGACAGTATCCCATCAACTCAGATAGTCGTTTAGCTTCATTCTCTTGCTCCTTTTTCCAACCCATCAGAGCAGTACGTAAAGCATCCACCAGACCCTCATCTGATGAAACAGTAGACAGGTCGCCATCACCGCATATTAGATCACTATGGACCTTCAATAACACAGCCATCCATGCATTGACAAGTTCAAAATCTTTCTTCGAGCGAAGTCTCTCTGTCAATGCATCCACAAAGCTGAGTAGCTCACAGTATCCATCTGGCAGAAGTTGGACATTCAAGGAGCGTATTTCTAGGTCAACTTTTCCTGGTGAGAGGGACTTGAAATAATCGACAAAAGGTGAAAAGTTTTTGTTACTTGAGCCGGATCTCAACAGCTTGCTAACGGGAGAGTCCTGTTGAGAAAGAAGGCTTTTGGATATGGGAGCTGGTGCTGTCTCCTTCTGGTCCTCAATTCCAGCTATAGGAGCGGTAGACTGATCATCCCGGAGAGATGGTAGGAAAAATGGTGCCTTTACTGGAGCTTTGGCCGGTTCCTTGGGCTTATTGCGAGCCTACGTGGTTCATTAGTCATCTGTCTCATAGAAAGAAGCCCGGATAGACCTACCCTGACAATATCTAGATTGATTAGGGTTTGCCAGGTTGCACGTGGAACAATACTCAAAGTCATCATGTCCCGGTCCAGCTGTTCGAATGATATAGTGGTTTTGTCTTCACCTTCGTCATCTGCTTCGGCAGTCAAGGCAGTGTCAACTATGCCTGATCCAGACTCAGTAGATGTCACAGATGTCACATTCGATAATAGGGCAGCCTCGTCAATGTGGATAGGTCGAAAGTTGGTAAAGAGACTCTTGTTGTTCCAGATATGCACACCAACTTCATCCGCATGAGCAGTGGCAAGAAATTCTCCTGTTCCAGAAAATGCAAGAGCCGTGCAGGTGGCAGGTACTCGGAAAATGTCAACCAAGTGACCTGTTGGTAAGTCCCATACTCTGATTATAGAGTCCATAGATGCGGCTATGATCCATCTGCCGTCGTTGGAAAAGCAAAAGTCGTTGATTTGCCCTCGGCAACCCCAAAGTTCTCGGACAACTTTCTTTGTCTCGAGATCTACTACACGGATAGATAGATCATCGCAGCTAAGGGCAGCAAGTTCATTGATGCTGCTAAACTGTAGTCCGGTAATGGCTGCCATTGGCGCCCAATCTAATTCAGCAATAAGATTTCCGGAGGTGAAGTCCCAGAACTAGAGTTGTCAATGTGGGTTGAAATCAATAGATGGTAGGAAATATGCAGCATACCTTAAGTTTCCCATCTAATCCACAACTTACAACGTTCCGGTTCAGATTATCGATCGCAAGACCAGTGACAGCTTTAGTATGGCCTGAGGATGCAATCTTTGAAATTTTGTTCTTGGAGGATGGTAAGGGTGGAAATCGTTGTCGACGCTGGCCAGATTGTAGATTGTAAATATCAATTATACCCCCAGAGGACCCTACAGCAGCAAATGTACCGCAGTTTGATATGGCAACGCTCTGTGAAGAGTTAGTATGAATCTGCGAATAGAGCCATGAGAAAATATTTACACACCTTGACCTCGGTTCCATCACTCGTCTCAAGCGCCCACCGACCGGCCTTTTTCCTACCCCAATACCAAGTGCGCGCATACTTATCCCCTCGGTGTGCTGTCACAACACTCTCCCACCCGTTTTCTCCCTGTGGGTGCTTCTTGAGATCTCTTGAATTGGTCCATACTTGTTGGCTACTTGCTCCCATCCCAGGATCACGATTGAGCGAGCATGCAATTGATGTGATTTCAGGGGCCTTGAGCTCCTCAGCCGCCTCCGCTGCGCTCGATATGCCTCGTTTCTTGGCAGTTGCTTTGACTTTACCCTGCGACAATTCCACATTTTGACTGTCTTTGCGCAGACTAAAGGCCCACAAAGAGCGGTCTCGGGATGCACTTAGTAGCCATTTCCCGATTGAATCGCTACCATCGGAAACCGAAGGCAAGAATCTAAGGGAACAGATTGCTGCAGCGTGACCACCTCTGGAATGCAGGGGCCTCGGAATTGGAGAGAAGGGAGAGTCGTCGAAAATCCAAGTCTTCAAAGCATTGTCCCTTCCAGAAGAGACCAGAACTGGCTGGCCGTCCAGGAACTCAATCTTGTTGACACCACTGTCAGAGCTCTGGGCAGTCATATCATGCGCGCTTCTGAGCACACTAGTTTTCTTGCCTCCGTTATTGAGATCCCATAGAGTAACGTCACCACTGTACACAGACGCCGTAGCCATGACTCCCGCCTTCCTGCCATCTTCACCAGCCCCCAGGCCATCAGTTCGGAAAGATATCGAGGTTATTGGATATGATTTTGATGTTGATGCGTTCAGTGATAGAAGCACTTCGTCGGTGTCCACATTTCGAAGAACGACAGTACCACTTCTGTAAGCAATAGCGATGAGTGAAAGAACAGGTGTCGCTTCCATGGCAGTGACAGCGTCATCGTTGGCAGTTACAGGTGAAAACCTGTGCAAAAGCTTGCCACTACTGATATTCCATAGCTCAACAGTTCCATCGTATCTTCCAACAAAAATTTTGTTTAGGTATGTAGGCATGTTGCAGACATGGCCAGTAAATACCGGCAAATCTGAAGCGCCTCGCGCAACCTCCGGGACCAAGCTCGTATAATGCTCAAAAGACGTATTCTTCCATACTTGTATCCTGCTTTCGCCGCATCCGACAACCCAGGATCCAAAAACGAGAAGTCGCGAAATGGGGCCAGTACCGTGGGGCACGCTTTCTAGCTCAGCGATTCTCTTTCCTCGTTGAAACACCCATACTCCCGATTCTTCGCCAGGACGTAAACCTCCCCAAGCAGCGAACACATAGTTCCTCCAAGCAAAAGTCGCCGTAATTAAGCCTGGAGTTCGAGGTTGACTGGCGAATACCAGACCCAAACCGCGCTTGAGGTCATAGGTTTGAAGCACTCTTCCGACAGACGTTGTAATTTGATATGTGGATTTGCCAAGTCGCACTGAAGTAAACGGAACTGTAGTCGGAGAGACTAAGCCGAGAGTCTGCATAAATAAAGAAGGGTTGGTCAGCAAGCTGTCGTAGTGGTCATATCAAAACACGTTCGCCAGGCATCAAAACCTACCCTGAAATGAGAAAAGATTCGGGACTGCGATTCCTTCTTCTCTCGTGCCAACAATTGTGGTTGCGCAATTCTCTGGCGTTTCGATACGGGAAGATCAAAGCCATCTCCAGTTAGGGAAGGCATGATGCCTTAAAGAAACGAGAGCTTGCGTGTTCCAACTTTGATGATGCTCTTTTTGTCTGGGCCAGAATTTTTTTGGAGACTTTGCGGAGGAGAGAAAAAAAGCTACGGTAATAAAACCGTCTGTATACCTGTATTTTGATTCGGTATTGGTAATAAATATTCATGGCGGCTTTGATAAATATAAGCCAATAGGAGCGGGTAGATAGCAGCATTTTTCTCAGTCGATACAAGTATGTCCAATCAGGGAACATTGTTTTTAGAGTTTCTTGCCGCTCAAATACCGAATACATGTCCATACATATTACATACATACACATACACATTGAAATGATTGCGCCTTCCTTTTCAATGTTCCTGAGAAATATCTTATTCTCCACGATTTTGAATGAATGACTGCGCATACAAAAGCAGATCTATGCGATCCTGCCGACATCGAGATCCTCAGTATACGCTGGGATGCTGGTTCTATACCTCTTACAATACATACCGCCCTATCGGACGGAGCCTTCTGGCTGCCAAAGAGGGGCTCTATACAGAGTCGCTGTGTTGGACACCCTGGAGCAGATAACTGCCTCATAGCCTTCAGTTTCAAGTGAGTTGTCAGATGTATGTCTATGTATATGTCTAGACAAAAGACAAGGATTCCATCTGTCTGGTTGGCTGGCTGAGAGGAGAAGATGAAATGGTTGAAACTTCCCTTAGTGTGGATGGGTCGACCCAAATTATCTTCTCTTTCTAAGCGTGAAAAAAGGTCAATTCTGACCTCACTGATATCTTCCTTTCTTCCCCAATGGCTTGATTCTAAGGTGCACAATTTTCATCTTCTCTCTCTCTCGCTACTATTGTTGTTCGATTTGAAACTTATGATCTGATCTGAAAATAAGAAAAGGTTAAAAAGAAGGGTTCGGCTCCGTTGCTTTTTTTTTAGGGCTTGAGCCGTTAACCATGTCGGAGAATGCTAGTGGTCAGCCCCAGCAAACATTAGCGACCACCATCAATGATGGAACAGCAACAGCATCGCCATCACCACAAAGCTCATCTGCACCTTCGGCTACGAACAGAGAGGATCGACTTTTCCCTTCAGCGTTGATCACCAACGACGAGCCACGCCAAACCTACATCTCGGACCGGATCAAATCAAGTTCTACTTCATCTGTGAACGAGCTCGGCGTCGGTGACAATGCCGCCCAAACTCCCACCAACTCCGCCTCCGTGCAACCGGAATCGAAACGGATGTCCTTCGCCTCACTACGTTCTTTAGGTTCGGTAAGCATCGCTGGCTCTGTGAGTGGTGCTCACGATGCAGCCGCTTCCAATGAAGACTCTCAGAAGACGAATGCAGGCTATACAAGGTCATCAGTATCGTCCGCCGATTACCCTGCCAGCTTTCGATCAGGCCACGCGCTGTCGGGTTTGAATCATACACCTATTGGATTATCATCTATACGGAGTGATGCACCTTCCGAGGGACGCCGGTTATCTCGACCAACACGTTCGTCAAGCAGAGCTCCAAGGAGGCTAAGCGGTAGTACTGCCGCAAGCTCTGCTAGCGAAGCGGAACCACGCCCGCCTTATGTCGGTAGAATTGGAGTTTGTGCCCTGGATGTCAAGGCGCGTAGCAAACCGAGCCAAAATATTCTGACCCGACTCCAATCAAAGGGCGATTTGGACGTGATTGTCTTTGGTGATAAGGTGATATTGGACGAAGCGGTCGAGAATTGGCCCATATGCGATTTCTTGATTTCTTTCTTCTCCGATGGCTTCCCGCTCGATAAGGCAATAGCGTACGCGAAGCTGCGAAAACCTTTCTGCGTGAATGATTTGTTAATGCAAAAGATTCTATGGGATCGCAGATTATGTCTCAAGGTTTTGGACCAAATGGGTATTCCCACGCCCATGAGAGTGGAGGTCAATCGTGATGGGGGCCCAGTGTTGGAGTCAGCTGAACTTGCCCACCATCTTTACCAACTGACAGGCGTGAAGCTTCAAGGTCCGGAGGACGGTGTTGGCGGTGGAGCTGTCAAGTCCCAATCAATATCGCTGTCCGAAGACGGGGAGACACTTATAGTTGACGGTCAGACCATTCGAAAACCTTTTGTCGAGAAGCCCGTGAGTGGAGAGGATCACAACATTCACATTTACTTTCCCAAAGATCAACAATATGGCGGAGGCGGAAGACGTCTTTTCCGAAAAGTGGGAAACAAGAGCTCAGAATACGACCCAAATCTTGTGGTGCCTCGATCCGTCACGGAGAAAGATACCAGCTATCTCTACGAGCAGTTCCTGAGAGTTGACAATGCCGAAGATGTCAAAGCGTATACGGTTGGCCCTGATTTTTGCCACGCTGAGACTCGCAAGTCTCCAGTTGTGGACGGAGTTGTACGCAGAAATACTCACGGAAAAGAGTTGCGGTACATCACCAACCTTACAAAAGAAGAAGCTGCCATGGCGGCCAAGATTTCAAATGGCTTTGGCCAACGGATCTGTGGCTTTGACATGCTTCGTGTTGGGGACAAAAGTTATGTCATTGATGTGAATGGCTGGAGTTTCGTCAAGGATAACAACGATTATTACGACAAGTGTGCAAAGATCCTTAGGGAGATGTTCCTGAATGAAAAACGCAGACGTGATAGGAATTTCGAGCAGTCCGAACCACCCTCTCCGGATACCGTCTCGTTCAAGAGAGGTGTATCAGGTTCCCATCGCAGTGCATTTAAGACAATCTTGAAGTCGCCCAGTATGTCTAGAATACACGGCTCTCCACATACCTTCAAGGATCATTTCATGGCTTCGGATGTTGTTAGCAATCCGACATCAGCTCCTGCTGGGGATATGCCCAAACCTTCAATGTCTCAATCTCGGGAGGAACTGTCACTACTGCCAGCTAGCGGCAGTCCCTCGGTGACACATTCGCCAGCACTCTCAATTTCAAACGAAGAGGAAGTTGTACCGTTACCTGCGTCGAAACATTCATGGAAGCTCAAGGGTATGGTAGCCGTTGTACGCCACGCCGACCGAACACCGAAACAAAAGTTCAAGTTCACCTTTCACAGTCAACCCTTTGTTGACCTGCTTCGAGGCCATCAAGAAGAAGTTGTTATTAAAGGTGAGTCGGCTCTTGCTAGTGTAGCTGAAGCTGTTCGGGTGTCAATGAAACAGGGGTTGGAGGACATGGATAAGCTCAAACTTCTCAAGATATCATTAGAGAAGAAAGGCCCCTGGCCAGGAACCAAGGTCCAGATTAAACCCATGTTCAGGAAGCGACGACCCGAGGAGATGTCAGGAGCAACGGCTGGAACGACCTCTACTCAGACTAAAGATGCTCCCCTTCCGGAGGATCCAACTACGCCATCACAGGAAGTGTTATCTGACGGAGAGAAGCTCGTACGATCGCAGACCCGGAGTGACTCCATCTCGGGGGCTACATTTTCTCGATTTTCTGCTGCCGAGAACGATCTTATCTTGGACAAGCTTCAGTTGGTTATTAAGTGGGGAGGAGAGCCTACGCATGCTGCTCGATATCAAGCACAAGACCTGGGTATGACCATGAGAGATGATTTGAAACTCATGAACAAAGAGGCTCTGAATGATGTTCGCATTTTTACTAGCTCAGAGCCTCGAGTTAGTACAAGTGGTAAGTGCTCGTGTGACATCCCTACTTTTTCTTGGTCTGATTTATATAGCACAAATTTGGGCTTGTTCCTTCTTGGATGAGAAAGAACTTCCAGAAGACTTCATTCAAGTGCGGAAAGATTTGCTAGACGACTCCAATGCTGCTAAAGATGTTATGGACAAGGTTAAGAAGAAGCTGAAACTCTTACTTCGAGAGGGATCCGCGCCTTCTCAATTCACCTGGCCGAAAGACGATTTTCCAGAGCCATCTGTAGTCCTTGCGACTGTGGTTCAATTGATGCAATTCCACCGGGACGTCATGCGCTACAACTTTCGCCGGTTGGCCCGCTCTGATGATGCTGATGTCTCTGGAACCCCGCATAAGCAAACTGAAAGCCCATCTGTGGAATCTATACAAGGTCGTTGGTGCACAGGTGAAGATGCCGCGTTGTTCAAAGAGAGGTGGGAAAAGCTATTTGCGGAGTTCTGCGATACGGAAAAGGTCGATCCTAGCAAAATATCAGAGCTTTATGACAGTATGAAGTTTGATGCGTTACACAATCGTCAATTCCTAGAGTGGGTTTTCACACCTCCAGAGGGGTTTAAAGCCAAGGAGCAGCTACAAGGGTTACCGTCACAACAAGCTGCTGAAAACGATATATTCGGAGAAAAGGCCGATACTAGCACCTTGGTCGAGAGGATAGGATTCAAGAAGAGAGCCTTGAGTATCGTGGAGTCCAGACGTTTTGGACGCTTGGAAGATACTTATGACAACTACTTCAAATTGCACGGCAATCCGAATTCTAAAAGAAAGAAATCCGATGAACGCCTTGCCAAGTTGCGGGAGTTGTATAAACTGGCCAAAGTTCTGTTTGACTACATTACGCCTCAGGAATATGGAATCAAGGACAGCGAGAAATTGGAAATTGGGCTCCTTACTTCGCTACCACTGTTACGGGAGATCGTGCGCGATCTGGAAGAAGTCCAAGCATCCTCTGATGCGAAATCCTTCTTCTACTTCACCAAAGAATCACATATTTACACATTGTTGAACTGCATTCTAGAAGGTGGTATCCAAACCAAGATCAAGCGAAGCGCGATTCCAGAGCTCGACTATCTGTCACAGATTTGTTTCGAGCTCTACGAGGCGAAAGATAGCGAAACAGATACATTCTCGTACTCGATTCGTATCTCGATCAGTCCTGGATGTCACACCTTTGACCCTCTGGACGTCCAATTGGACTCTCGGCATGCTATCGGATGCGCTCCTCGTAGGAGTCTGACGGCACATCAGGACTGGAAAGAAGTGATTGAAACTCTGAAGGAGAAGTTCGACACGTAGGTTCTAACACTTGAAACTGGGTATACTGGTCACTGACTGTATCATTGCAGGGTGAAATTGCCAAAGAGCTTTATTGCGGTCAATCTCAGCGACAAACATTTTGATAGGGGAGAGGGCGTTATGGGTTAGAAATGCATGTGAGTATTATGGTAGATGGGTTGGAGGTTGTAGATTCCATACCTGGTAAATAAGTAATAGACAAATAATTGCTCAACCGTATCTTTGAATTCATCCAAGAGTAATCAGAGTAAGACCAGAGTCCATGTGGAAATGTTGAGAGATGAGCCGATGGTGTTACGGAGTCCAGATCAATAAATTATTGGAATGTGGAGAGCCGGGACTGCCGCTGACAGAGCCTTTAAATGTCCGCGGCGCAATTGATAACTCATTTATCTACTCAGTGTTTGTGTAAATGCAAGACACTGCCATTTATTCCATCTTTGACCGAGTTCTATATACGCGACACTATCCTGTTAGAAAAGGAGATCACGCGGGACCGCGGTAAAAGCACGCCTCGATGACCTCTTGCTCGTATCCATTCTGTTGTTATGGGCCATCCCAATGAGCCTGCTCTCACAGAATATCCCATGATACTGTTAATGACGACGATCCAAATTCCTTGGAATAAATAATCTAAGCTGCCGGCCCTCCTATTTCTCCATGCTCATCACCCCGCGAACATACCAGCTCTCCCAGGAAGATACAGATCGATGGAACCGAACCTCCGATAACGTGCACCTCTCACCTCGATTTCATACCTTGCTAGGTTGGCGTGCTGATAAAGCCGAAGCTATACAAGCATATAAAATGCTATTAGTGCATCAATCGGGCTATGTCCGTGTCGGGGAGGTTGTGAGGTTCGTTCAAAAGTATACAATAGACTGATCAACTGCTAATTCAGATCAACTGGACTTTTTGCAGATACACGTTGACATATACACCTTCTCTAGACCAGATTCTACCAACGCCGACGGAGCTTCATGTTAAAATAAAGAATACTTCTGCGATTCCGCTTCGAGCCGCGTACCTTCATGGACCCTACACCCTTTATACGTCATGCTATCCTTCAGACTTTGATCCCAACCAACAATACCATGATAGCGAGATAAGAGGGATTCCTCAGTACGAACCATACTTAAAGGCCGGCGGGAGCTGGACGGCGAGTATCCCCGTACCGGAAGAGACGCGACTTACTGTCCCCGGAGCACGACATGCGAACTACAGCAGCAGCAACGTGGGCTCGGATAGTGACGAAGAAGCAAGAAGAAGGAGCATAACATGGATTATCGAGATTACGTCGCAGGTGATATTCTCATCGTCAGCAGCGGTTCATTTTGAGCTATTGGTTGGCCGTGATCAGAAATCACTTGAGTTCGGCATCAACGGCTCACTGTCGTCTTCCGGTATACCATCGCCAGCGCACATCAATGACCATCAGAGCTTGCGATCGGTGGCACATGGCGATTCTCCGTTCATAGTTACTAAAGGCGTCTTTTCTAAGTCGGTCACGTTGGTATTTGATGATCTCAAGAGTCTGTGGAATCGTCCTGAATGCTCCGCGTTCAAAGAACGTGAGGAGATCAATTCAAAGCTGATAGCTTCGTCGAATAAATCACGCAGTCGACATCCGATTCCAGCAGCGGATCTTTCGCCTCGATTAGAACATCATGCCGGCAGCAACAAGAAGAGGCGTATCCACCTTGTTATATTGACTCATGGATTGCATAGTAATCTTGGAGCTGATATGCTATATCTAAAGGAGAGCATTGATGCTGCTGCCGAGGAAGCCAAGAAGGCAAAAAAGAAGTCCGGTCTTTCTGACACCAATTATACGGGGAGAGGGAGTGAGATTAGTGGTAAGAAAGAAGATGATGAAGAAGTCATTGTACGAGGGTTTCCGGGTAACGTTACTCGCACAGAACGTGGGATTCAGTATCTTGGCAAACGACTCGCCAAATACGTTCTTCTCATGACATACCCCGATCAGCCATACCTGCCGGTCAAGCAAAGAAAGCAAAAGAACAATGCAATTGCAAGCCCTGAGATTAGTATACACAATGATCCTTGGGCGGATCGTCCGTCCGATTGTCAGGTTACCAGCATTAGTTTCATTGGGCACTCGCTCGGGGGACTTATACAGACGTACGCCATTGCTTATATTCAAAAACACTCGCCTGAATTCTTTGAGCGGATCAAACCAATCAATTTCGTCGCTCTTGCTACACCGTTCCTTGGACTTAGCAACGAGAATCCTGTCTACGTTCGGTTCGCGCTGGACCTTGGGTTAGTCGGTAAAACCGGGCAGGATCTTGGGCTGAGCTGGATGTCTCCCAAAGTCCGAAGTAGGTGGGATGCCATTATCAGCAAGTTTGCAGGTAATTCAGGTCCATCTCAACAACAGCAAGCACCAGCTTCCAAGCCATTACTACGGATATTGCCCGCTGGTCCGGCTCACCAGGTTTTACAGCGCTTCAGAAACCGCACAGTTTACTCGAATGTGGTGAATGACGGTATCGTGCCATTACGTACTTCGTGCTTACTCTTCCTTGACTGGAGGGGCCTGGATCGAGTGCAAAAAGCACGAAGAGGGAACGGGCTCGTTGGTACTATGGCAGAATGGGGTTGGGCAGAGCTTACGGGAGCAAATTCAGTTTCGCCGACTACACATCACCATCCCCATCACCATCGTCGCTCTCATTCGAACTTGTCTGTGGGTGATGGGACACAACATCAAACTGTTGAAGGGATATCGACACCCACCTCGCATGGTCAGGTTAGTCCCGGTCTTCATCCAACACAATCCCCAACGCAAGGCCATCTCTTAGGGGACAGTCCGCTTCATACGGAACCAGAGCCAATGTCGCCCGTGAGCACAAGCTCAAATTCCAGGGAACTCCCTCCACCTTCACCCAATCCATTCAATAACCTGTTTGGAATGTTCCAATCCAAACAGTCCAGAAGTTCCTCTTCAAGCAAGAAGAGCACCAAGATTATCCGACGCAGCCAGACACTGGCACCTTCCGGCGAGTCCGAGCATAACATGAACTCTGTAGAGTCATACCCTCCAATTGTAAGGGGAAACTCTCTGTACGACGATGAAGACCTCAGCGCTCCTCCGCGAACTACCATTTTTGAATCTGCGGGCGATGTTCTCAGACCCCCTTTGCCTCCGACGGAATTTATCATTGACCCAACATCAAGGCCGCGGACCATTTTCCATGATCGCATATATCACCCGGAGGATATACCGCCTCCTGTTCTGAAGAAGAGAGGCACCATATTCAGTGGTTCACGTGGCTCCAACAATGATACAGATGTTGATGTTGACCAGGTGGCTGCTCAAGGGTATAAAGGAAGCGGATTGAGGGTGGAAGAGAAGATTGCCAGAGCTTATCATCAAGGGCTTTCATGGCGTAAAGTCCTCGTACGCCTCGAGCCCGACGCACACAACAATATCATTGTCCGACGCATGTTCGCTAATGCATATGGCTGGCCCGTTATCAAACATCTAGTAGACAACCACTTTGGCGACACCTACTCCGCCCGAACAGAAGACGCTCTGGAATCCAACCGCGAAAGAGCAAAACCTCTTGATTTCAGAGTGACCGACTCGGGAGAAGAGACGTTTGGTCAAACCAATACAGAATCTCCTCAACAATTACCGTTCCGTCAACATGCTAGTCTGCCTCCGGACATTGATGCGCAGGAACATGCATTGGAGACTTCTGAATATGATGGAACAGCAACGAGACCGGCCGATAAAGGCAGCCCAGCGAGTCGGAAATCTAATGATTCTGCGAAATGGACTGATCGGTACTTTTCTGGGGGGGATTCTGCGTCTGACGCGCAAAGTGATCATGAACAGTCGATATAAAGTTAGCAACGTGTGTATAAATTTTGGCTTGTATATAGATAGAATGGTTTCATTGAACTAAGTATATATAATTATAATTAATAAATAAATCAACCTTTTCGTTGTATATCCTACGTACCAGATTTCCTTTGACACACTGTGGCTTTCCCTTTCCGTTTTAGTGCTCACTCCCTCGCCGCTTTTACTGAGTAATTTATAAGCACTACGATAATAGTTCTTCAATTGAAACAGAAGGATATCTATCTATCACTAGTCGAATTTGCAGACTGACTTGTCTGCAGCCGCACTCTTTAGTGTCCGCTCAGTGAGCACTCTGCGAGCGCCCTCACAAAAGCGGCGGCAGCTGAGAATGGAAACCCCCACTCGGCAGAAGGAAATCTGGTACGTATAGCCACATCGATCTCTATTGAATCTTATCGCAACATCGAAAAGAGTCGACAATGTCGGAGTCAATTGATCTGAAAGAGATCCATGATGTCCTTATTGACATCGCTGCTGAAGCCGGCAAGGTGATTACTAGCAGTTTGCCTACCATCAACTCGACAGACTCGAAGAAGAACAGTGAGTGTAGACATGCGACACCATAAACACTGTATACTGATTAAGATTCCTAGGCTCCGATCTGGTCACTGAATATGACAAGGCTGTAGAGAGTATGGTCTCGCAGAGACTAAAAGCAAAATATCCGGATTACGAGTAGGCTCTTCCTCACAATCTCCACATTGAGGCCTCCAGGAGCTCTCTAACGAATGGGATAGCTTCCACGGCGAAGAGACCTACTCCCCCGACCACCCTCTAACCGACAAACCCACCTTCATCGTCGACCCCATCGACGGCACTACCAACTTCGTCCACGGCTTCCCCAGTTCATGCATCTCGTTGGGTTTCGCAATCAACCGCAAACCCGTCGTTGGCGTCGTCTACAATGCCTTTACCTCAACACTATATTCCGCCATCAAGGGCCAGGGCGCATTCCTGAATCATACTACGCCTCTACCATTGAAACAAGGAGATAAATTAGAGGCTCTAGATGGACTTGACAAAGCCCTAATTGCGCTAGAATGGGGCTCAGAGCGAAGTGGACCGAATTGGGAGACTAAACTCCAGACGTTCGCGAGTTTGGGTAAGACACGGGAGAATGGAGGTGCAATGGTTCATTCTATACGGAGTTTGGGCTCGGCGGCGCTGAATATTTGTGCTGTTGCGTCGGGGGTTCTTGATCTGTATTGGGAAGGGGGCTGTTGGGCTTGGGATGTTTGCGCTGGATGGATTATCTTAGAAGAAGCCGGTGGGATTATGGTAGGTGGGAATAAAGGGGATTGGGACCCTGCCATTGATGGAAGAGCTTATACGGCTGTTCGACCGTCGCCGGGTGGTAAAGGTCAGAAAGAGCTTGTGGAAGAGCTTTGGCGTCATGTACATGGACGATTGGAATATTGATCTCAGCCCGGTTGTATAGAAAGGGACATTAGAATTTGTGAATCATAGCTAATGGATAGAACATCAAAATGGATATACCTACGTTACTCTTGTTTCTGTACAATTTCTTGATGGTAGCATGTACCTATGTACAAGTATGTATGCTCTGATTGGTGATCAATCGACACAGCTGATTCGACAACAACCCCAAGTAGTAGGATATAAATAGGATATAGCAACCGGGTAGTAGCGTCAATTTCTCAGATTGTTTATATCGAAGAGAGACAGTTCTATCCGGAGTAAGCAGTGACATTTCTTTCCTTGTACTGTATCGTCTGATCACGTTGTCTGTCTGCCTGAAAAGGGTGGCCGCCACAACCAGCTGTCGTACATAATCGACCTGCATCGATGTCCGAGCAACATCTGCATTTCATGCATATCAATCACCATCGATTCTACAGGTTTATTCATCTCAGAGATAGGTAATATGTCTTCCAGAACACATTCAGGTGGTCACAGATCATCTACAAGGAGAGGTCATGGAGATCACTCGAGTCGCGCTGAGATGAACGAGGAGAATCATGAGTCATCAAGGACTCATTGCAGAACAGGAGTGCAGCCTGCTCCACAGCATACCAGACAGCATAGACCTTCTTGGATGCGCTTTGGCGGGCGGACAGAGCCCCTAGTACTGTTGACAACCGTAAAGAAGAGTCAACGACCAGCCTTGCATACAAAAACTTCATCTCAGGGTCGAGGATCTGCTTCCAAGTATGAAATAAATTGAATATACTCTACCTTTGACTAGAGCTGATGCGCATATTAGACAAAACAATCCTGATTCATCCAAGGATACGAGCACCCGTCCGAGCCATACAGCACAAGAATCAAGTCTAAAGAGTTCGACAGAGTCCACAACACGCAAGAAGCAGAAGCAGGGACCTACTAGCAGTCTACTTTCTTTCTTCTTTAGCAATAAACACACTCACCAGGCTGAACCAGTCAAACAAGTCAAACCAGTCAAGAAGTATGCATCAACCTACGGTACCCCCTTTTCATTAAGAGACATGCTGATGTCCAAGGACAGAGTAACCTGCATAAGCTGTTTAGCAGATGACATACCTGCAACAAGAGCAGCAAAATTAGCTTGCTCCCATCGCATGTGCTATTCTTGTCTTCGACGATTGTTCACTCTGTCTATTACAGATCCACAACAACATATGCCACCCCGATGCTGTACGCAGGCGCACGTCCCGAACAAGTACGTTGAACTCTTATTCGATCACAGATTCCAGAAGAAATGGAAATCGAAGTACAAAGAATACACAACAAAAGACAGATACTACTGTGCCGCCGAGTATTGTGGTAAATGGATCAAACCAAGCGAAATTGTCAAAGACAGCGCTGGTAAGCCCCGGTATGGGAAATGTTCTCGCTGCAAGACCAAAATATGTTGTCTCTGTCGCGGCGAGTGGCATAAAAACCAGGAAGAATGTCCAAAGGACGAAAATATTAGGAAGTTAGAAGAAATGGCCAAGGAGAACGGCTGGCAACGATGCTACAGTTGTTCCGCCATTGTGGAATTGGTACATGGCTGCAATCATATGACCTGTCGATGCAAGGCTCAATTCTGTATGAAGTGTGCTAAGCCGTGGAAAACTTGTGAATGTCCGTTGTTCAATGATCATCCTGATAGGGAGGAAGGGGATCGAATTTTTGGTGATGATGCTGGATGGGTTGATGAAGATGATGACGACTTTTACGTCCGATTTCCGCCAAGGCCTGAAGCAGTATGGCGTCGACAAGAGTATCTTGCACGTCAGTACATTTTTGCACACCGTGCTCTTGATTTTCCGCGTAATTTACGAATGAGAATGCATGATCAGGAAGCACTGAATCGGATTCTTGGAGTGGCTTGAGATGGGAAGAGGAATAGGAGCTGTTCTTATTTATTCGGTTATGGGCCTGAGATTGTGGAAACACATGTCATTTCCATTGTGATGATGTACTAGCTTGAAGGTTTTCGTCTTCTAGTACTCCAGTTAATGTGGTCATGGTTCTGGATGAGGGCCTTGAACGTAATTTTACATACAATCGATCCGCCTATTCTGATGTACCAGAACCGCTTGATGAGGTCAAGAAAGAAGTATCATAGTTACTCGGAAGTCGGGATCAGTTATAACTCCAGCATTTCATAGCCATGTTGCACTCACTGTGCAGTGTAGTATGTAGTATGTCCCAAGATGAAAAATTGAGGATATAGTAATGGATTCTGACCAATCAGCACGCTGTATTTCTCCCCACCATAAAAATGTTATATCCAGACTGACATCCTCATCTTTCTAGTTTTCGTTCTCTATATCATATTTTATCAACTGATATTTATTCGTTTAGTCTATAATCTCTGAATTGAATATATCACAAAATTCCAGTACAAAGACAAAAGCTTTGCTGCTGGACATCTCTCAAACTATACCAAAATGCCTACAGAACTAGAGGAGGTAAGTTTTTATATCACTCTACTTTTTGACTAGGAATGTCCGAGTAACCACCTTCATCTAGCTCGTGGAGTTCCTTGGCTCTCCGAATCCACAAATAAGACAGATCGGTATGTCTCAAATCGTCTCTGTCAAGGTCGGATATGCTTACAGATATCGATAGCTGCTGCAAACCTCACTGTCTTTTCCTCAAGTCAACCCACCCTCTTCAAAAGACAAAATCTGCAACCCATAAAAGACTTGAAAATTCTTGTTTTAGATCATCCGGTTTGTTGCCTTCTGCTGTACTGAGATGATGGCAAGCATTGCTGATATAAGAACTTGCCAGACTATTGCCAAAGATGCACTTACAATGTTAATCAATCTCTCTGCAGATAAACAAATATTGAGGTTCTTAGCAGATGATGACGGCTTTATCGAGATTCTGATTTCCAAAATATCTGTTCGTTATTTATCTACTCTCTGTATTGCAAGATCCTCGGACTAACTAACAACTCGGCAGAACAAAAAAGAGCCAAATGCAGACGACATTGCAATGCTACTTGCAAACCTCGCCAAAGCAGATAGTTTTAGCCGTATCATCTCCTTCACCAGAAAGAAAGCAGATGACGTCTCTACATCGACAAACGCGCTGAATCAATTACTAGACTGCTTTGTCAAGGGTGCCGAGGGAAATCTAAACAAAACCGCTAATTACGATTATCTAGCATATGTCTTTGCAGATCTCTCAAAGACTGAAGAAGGTCGGAAATTCTTCACGACGAAACAAGACTATGACGGAGTCATCCCCGTTACGAAGTTGCTTGTCTTCACAGAACATATGAGCGACATTCGACGAAGAGGAGTAGCCTGGACTATCAAGAATGTCTGTTTCGACGTCCAGTCTCACCCTATGCTCATTAATGAAGAGGATGACGAGGGCGCCAATTTGCTTCCTTATATCTTACTTCCAATCATGGGACCGGAAGAATATCCCGATGATGAATCGTCTGAGATGCTACCAGATTTACAACTCCTGCCTCCCGACAAACGACGAGAGTCAGATCATCAAATCATCCTCGCACATTTAGAGACTATCCTGCTGTTGACCACGACACGCGAAGCACGCGATAAGATGAGAAAAGTGCAGGTTTACCCTATTATTAGAGAGTGTCATCTTGGTGTTGAAAGTGAGGAAGTCCGTGAAGGATGTGATCGACTAGTTCAGGTCTTGATGCGTGGAGAGGAAGGAGAAGTAAATGAAGCTGAGCAAGAGGCTATACAAAGAGCTGGTGTACATACTCTTCTGGGTCAACAGAAGCGATCTATCACAGAGGCTGTTGAAGAGGATGATGAAGAAGATGAGCAGATAGTGGACATACTAGCTTAATCAAAGTCATCTATTCTAGTAAAAACATAAATAGATTTAGTTGTGAAAAGAAAGAATGAGTTATTGATGTAGTTGAATTGATAAAGAAAGACAATGACGCTGTTGATGCCTAAGGCAGAAATACCTGCGGCGTTTTGTCCAAGGCGGACCTCGTTGAGAAACGTCAAGACTGACATCGTTGCGTTACCTTGACTCACCTCGAACGCCACGCTGCGAGACGGACATATCTTTTCATTTACAGAATCTATGGATGTTTATATCAAGCCTATCTGAGTAGGAAGTGAAATACACCGCCCGTCTTTCGACAGTGGCGACCTTATCTCTCACGAGGCTCTCAGTGAGCTGACTTGGTTCGCGTCGCTTCATCTGAAAGCAATTATCCACCACAACTCGTCACCATGGCTACCCCTACAGACCACAAAGCGAGCAGGGTGCCAACAGAAGGCGCTCAAATGATGAAAATCCGTCGTCCCAGAGCAGCAGATCCCCTCGTGCGGCCTAAGAAGAGGCCTCTACCTGGAAGACCTGCTGCAAATCCCGCAGCAGCAAAGGGCGCACCAGCCTTGAAACCAACTACAGCTACCCCGTTGGGTACTAAGACTGCCACAGAAACACCGCCGACTCGACTTCCGCGACCTAATGTACGAGATGACATGACTGTGAACGGATTCAGCGGTCCGCAACTCTCCAATATTGTCACGGACTACCCGTTAGTTACCACCAAGCGCGCGTTGCGAGAAGGACTCAAACATCACGTTGCCAAGTTTATTTCAAAGAAGAGCATTGATCCGAGAGACGAACAGCAGTTTACGAGACCAGTACGATTGCAGCGCCGAGATCCAAGAGCAAAGCCTCCGGACCCAGACGCCGTCAAACGCGAAGATGAAAAGCCCATCCCCTACGCTATGCGAGACATGACTGAGGCTGAACGAGTAGAATTTGAAGCAAAGAAAGCTGCGCGCGAGAAAGAGCGAGAAGAAAACCTGGCTCAAATTGCGCCGTCAACAGCCACGTCTCAGAAGCAAAAGAATCTTCCGAAACCAAAAACCCAGCAGGTCATGAAAGCAGACATGACGGCAGAAGAGATTGCTAAAGCTCGAATTAAGTATGAAGAGGCCCTGCCGTGGCATATGGAAGATTTTGACAATAAGAACACGTGGATGGGGAATTACGAAGCAGCTCTTTCGGAAACATATGCGATGTTCGTTCTCGAGCCAACTGGAAAAATGAGGATGGTCCCGATTGACAAATGGTATCGATTCAGCGCGAGGAACGCGTTCAAAACGTTGACTATCGAAGAAGCCGAGAAGTTCATGTCAAAGAAAATCAAAGACCCGCGATGGTTCATGGAAAAGCAGCAAGAGGTCGTTCGACAAAAAGAACTGGAAGCGTATGCTAAACAGAGAAAGGTCTATAGAGGCAGGGAGGTATCTACCACAGGCTTGGATGGCGACGACATGGATTTCGAAGAGGATAGGTTTGCCGATGACGAAGAAGTGGATGCCGGTCTCTTTGAGGAGGATGAGGATACCAAGGCTGCTGAGCAGCGTATCAAGCAAGACCAGCTGAAAGCTAATGTCTTCGATCTGAAAGAAGAGAAAGATTACGACGAGGAAGAGCTGCGGGAGAAGAAAGAAAGAGAAGCTCGCAAAGTGCTTGGTAAAAAAGTACGAAAGGCACTACAGCGCCGAGAAAAGAATTACGATTATAGTAGTGGTTCGGACGTCAATCCCTACTCCGATGAAGAGGTACGATGAACCCCTTGACTCAATGACCTAACATACTCACCCATCCTACAGAGCTCCGACGAAGACAGCGAAGCCGAAAATGAAAAGGAAGAGGACAAGAAAACCGAAGACGAGAAAGCCCTCGCTAAGGAAAAGGAAAAAGAGAAGGAATCTGGCGCATCTACAAAAGCAAGCACACCGTCCGGACGTCCAAAGCATACAGACGCACTGAAAAAGACGAGCGGCATCGGTCGTAAGCGTATCGGATCTCCTAATCTATCAGATGCCAGTGGAACAGATACATCTCGAAAGAAGCCCAAACATGCACCACCCCATTCTGTTCCGTCTCCATCAGGCCTCTCTGTAAGCTCCTCCCCCCAAGCCCCTATTATTATTTTGACACATATTTAACGAGTAACAAACAGCAGACCAACAAAAAGCGAAACCGAGTCGGTGGTCCCGGATCCGGTAGCGACATCGAAGGGGGCGCAATCTCTGGCGCCGATCTCAGCGATGCAGGAAAAGCGAAGAAACTCAAACTCAACCTATCTCGAGCCGGTACTCCCCTTGGCTCACGCTCTGGCAGTCCCGCAGCACCTCTACGCGCCGGAACACCAGAGGGCGGTTCAAACCTCAAAGGTCCGTTCCCCCCCCTCCCCAATCACTTCATCCTAATCATAAATACTAACTTTCCCTGAAAAAGGCCCCCTACGGACCTCAACCCCCCGCCCCTCCGTCTCCAGCACATCAACATTCCCAACCCCTGCTGAAATCCACGCCGCCATCCCGGCCTCCGGAATCACAAGTCGCGACCTCCTCAAAATCTTCAATACTCGCATTGGCGACTCAAAGGAAAATCATCGGCGGTTTATTGCTATTGTCAAGGATGTGGGGATTTATGGTAAGGAGGATCGGTTGTTGAGGCCTGGTGTTTTGAGAGAGTGATTTCGAAAACATCACACTTCTCGATACAAACTCGGTCTGGGGTATTTGTCGTTTCTGGGTTTGTTTTACTAGCTTTGGGGGGCATAATAGGGGAGCCAAGAAAGATGGAAAGCAGTAAAGTGAATAAATATCCCGTGCGAGGATGGATAAATATAGATGTATCTAAGACATTCAGTTTACTACCAGCACATATCATGACATGCCTTGCTTGCGAGATATCTAGGTGAAATACTGCAGAGGTGAAATCATATGGGTAGACTGTTTCATTACACATCGATCATAAATCGAGATCTTAGTATTTATATCGTTAGAAGAAAATTTCATTTGAAAGTCCATTGATTAAAAGGTAGGTACAGGGTACTTCTATCTATTAATGTCGTCATTAACAAGAAAAAACATCGAATGCGCCATGAAAAGAAAAAATGAAAACAACCAATCGATATCTAAATTTAATTGTATGTATAAAACAATCATCCATGCATGACATTGACATGAGAAACTGCAAATCAAACAAAATCATTACTTTCTTTATCAACTTTTATACACAACCCCCCTTCTTTCGATTCAAGAAGCAGGTGCTCGTGTGGCGGCAACGGCTTCCTTGGGATCCTCATATTTATCCCAATTAGCCAACACATTGGCGATACGAGGAGAGCCCGTCAACCTGTACACATCCTCAAAATATTCCTTGGTGATCTCGAATGGACGAGCAGTCACGTTAGGAATGTACTTTCCAATCAACTTGCTTGGGTCGATGGTGGTCTTGTTGATCTTCTTGAGCAAGAATGATCGGAACGGCTTGACTCCAGAGCGCAAGAACGTACTGTGGAAAGGCACATCGATACCACGCAGAGGAATCGTGGCAAATCCACGCTCAAGGGTGATGGGTTTGGGCTTGGCTTCGGTTTGCTTGACACACTCGTGGATGATTTGTACCAGGTGCTCCTTGACATCTTCAAGAGACATTTGCTGCATGAGTGCTTGGATGTCGATCTTCTGTGCTTTAAGCACGTTCAACAGATTTGTAAGGGTGTCAAGAGCACGCAACTAGAAGTCAAGGTTAGTAATAGTACATATAGTCAGGTCAGAATAGGACTTACATCTCCAGCAGCCACGTATTGCATGTTGGCCACATTATAATTGACAATCTCCAGCAACCATCCTGTAACTTCCGAAATGTTCTCAACACAATATTGAAGAGCCTGCTCGTTGAAGGTCTTGGAAATACGACTGGGATTGACAGCGCACATGGAGTAGTTAGAGCGACCTTGTTCGTCACGCTCAACAGCGACTTGCATGGTCAAACCACGGTAGAAGACAACGGAAACCAAGCTCTCAATAGGCATGACTTCGGCAAGAGCGGCCAACGCAGAGTATTCACCAAGTGAATGTCCAGCGAAGCTGCTATCTCTCTGGACGAGACCCTTGGAGCGCATATCCTCAAAGCTGGCCTTTTCCATCAAGGTCAATGCAGGCTGCGTGAATTGAGTTGCAGACAAGAGACCTGCTGGAGATCGGTAGGTGTAGGAGTTGGTATTCTCATCGACCTCTTTGAAGATCTTCTCAGACTTGATCGATCCATCCGCATTGACAGTCTCGAAAGTCATGGACATGTAGTTCTGACGAATTGCTTTTCCTCGTGGACCACCAAAGTAGATGGTCAACTCCTTGGGGTTATTCTTCACAATGTCAATGATGGAGAAGCCGTAGTTTTCCAAGAAATGCTTGTCGGCACGGTCCCAGACCTCCTTTGCCACTTCACTGCTAGCGTAAAGATCCATACCCATTCCTTGTTCCTGAGAACCTTGTCCAGTGAAGACGTAGGACGAAACAGGTTGCTCAACTTCTGCTTCACCTTGCAATGCCATCTCGTCGGTGTCCTTGTTTCGCACTTCAACTTTGACGATCTTGCGACCCGCAATCATACCAGTGTGTTCAAGTTTGACAGCAATGGCATCATTGGGTAGCACCATACCAACGAGGTTGACATGGAAGCTTCGGACGCGGCCAATGTTGTTCTCAGCAGCCCAAGTCTCAACCAGGCTGCGTACAGCAGCACTTGAGTACATTCCATGAGTGATAGTGCCAGGCAATTTAGCATAGCTAGAGAATACACGGGAGACGTGGATTGGATTGTAATCACCAGACACACGTGCATAGTTCTCATTGGAGGCAGGGGCACGAAGCTCGAGCGGCGTCTTACCACTGAGAGGGATGGGGTTCTCAAAGTTGACCGGCTGTTCGATGGAGGAACCGTTGCGCTCAAGGTAATCAATGACGGGATTACCATGGGACAAACCAGCTTCATAGTCGACAGAAGCGACCTGGATGATTTCTTTGGTAGGCAGTTCGAGGAGGACTTGACCAATGGTCTGGACACTGCTGAAGACGGTCTTGTTCTTGAAGCGAACAAGCGACTGAAGTCTGAAAGTCAAAGTCTGTCCAAGAAGCTCCACATCGGGTTCGTCAAGGCGGAACCATTCCTTTGACCGAAGAACGGCGATGTCCTTGGTCGAGGTAAGATGCACTTGCATAGGGACCTCATCTTTGCGTTGGAAAGTGTTCTCGTAGTCGTCATAGGTTCCTCGGTACAAGAACTGGCTGGTGACATGCATGATCGGCTTGCCTTCGCGTTTAATGGTTCCACAGACTTCAACCATTTTACCCGAATCTTGATTGATAACCGCGTTAATCTGGGCAGTAGTGTCAAGGACATCTCCGACTTTGAGGGGCTCGGCGCCGGGAACCATTCTGAAGCCGTTGGAAAGATGAACCAACTTCAGTAGATCACCATCAATTCTCCGTGGGAAGATAGGCTTGGTGATGGCTTTCCATCCAACAACAATAGCAAAGTCCATAGGAGCGTAGGTGACGCGACCAGGGCGGTTGACGAAAGCCTCCCCAGTGTTACCAACAGCGTGGACAAAGTCAGCGACGGCTTGGGCTGTGATCGTCTCACGACCGCCATCAAAGATTGCAGTGATGGGAGTATCGAAAGGAACGTTCCTCTCTCCGAACCATGCGCGGTAGTAGAATTCCTTGATGCGATCGTTGCGATTCTCCATGACCTCGCGGATCGGAGCGTATCCAGTTTCCGGGTGGTAGGTGAAGCGGAAAGTCAAGGGAATGACGCCTCCCTCGGCAGTTCGGCCCTCAAACATGGTGAGAGCAATCTCCTTTGGTCCCACCAACTTGATCTCGACCGTCTTGACTAATTTCGATGACTGACTGGGTTCCCTGACGCTGATAACGGTCCTCTCAGGATCCTCAGGGGAGACAATCTCAACGTACAAGCCTCTTGTTGGCGCGAGCAATCGTTTCAGAGGATTGGTCTCAAAACGTTGGCCTTGAACAAAGACTTCTGTGGTGAAGAAGGCATGGCGCCATGAGTAGTTTCGGCCGGCAAGGATCTGCATCCAGGTGTCTAGCTCGGGAAGCGTTGCAGACGGAGAGTTCGAAAGCCGGTAAGTAGTCTTGTTACCATCTTGAGACACGGTGAGGCCATCAATCTCAAGGTCTTCATCAAGGGGTTTAAGAGGCTGTCCACCAAAGTATTCAATGACTGGAACGTCTTCCTCCTTGCCTGCATAGATGTCTCGAATGAGGTACTGGACATGTCCATTGTGGATGTTGTCGAGAATTTCCTTGATAGGCTCGTCGACTTTTGTGACGTATCTGACAGCCATAGGACCTTGCAAAATGGCTGTTCGGCCAACATCCTGACCGTAAACGGCCTCCAAGTCCTCTGATTGCCAGAGAGAGTCCTTCTTGAACCAGAATTCAAAGTTCTCATCCAAAGCAGGGACAAACGGAACGGGCTTTTGACCACGTCGCTGGCAAAGCAATAGGAAATGCTGTACATCCTGAGCATTAATTAGCTGAGTGGAGGCCTCAGGGTAAGTAGACAAAATTTTGTCAACTGTCGGGTATGGCTGATTGAGTTCAGAGTAGTTCTGGAGGAGAGAGGCCTGACCCTCTGTTGAAGTGAAGCGTTCCTCTACACGGCGAATAAAGTCACCGGTGAGTTTCTTGAGACTTTCGTCAATCCAGCGGGATTCATGCTTGACGTACATCAATTCGACCATACGGTGGACAACCTCAGTGTATGTCATGTCTTCAAGATCCACAGTCTCACCAGCGGAATTGCGGCCGAACCACACTTTCTGGAAATCATCGTTCAGCTTCTTGATGATCCAGTCTCTGTTCTTCTTCAACTCCGGTACCCGCTTGGCTTTGTCGAGAGAGAAAATCTTCTTGTCCAACTCACTCCAGAAGAGCACACCACGGGTAGCGAGCTTATGAATGGGTTCGCCCATTTCGGACAACACTGTGATCACACCACCAGTAGGCTTTTGGTAGGTCTGTTCCCATTCCTCGTCACCGACACCAGGAGCGGCAGCGATCGCTTTTTTGGCGTTGAGAGAAGTGTGTGCTTCCTTTGCGGTCATCATACGACTACCGAACATGCAGCCATCGAAGGGCATTGGAGGGTAACCGAACTTGGACGACCAAGTACCAGTGAGATAAGGATAAGTATCCTCAGAGCCACCGAAACCACTACCAGCAACAAGTACGATGTTGCTACATTTGCGGATACGGCCGTACATCGCCAGGATGGGTTGATGGAAATCTTCAAACGAATGATGACCACCACCGCGACCACCAGTCCATTGAAGGATGACAGGGAATGAAGGATTGGCTTTAGCAATGTTGATAACTTGCTGGATAGCGTCGGAAGAGCCTGGCTTGAAAGAGATGTGCTTGATGCCTAGTGTTTCAATATATTCGTTGGCGACTTCAATGGATGGCACACCAGCACCGATTGTAAGACCCTCGATAGGGACGCCGTCAGCACGGAGTTTTCCGATCAAAGGAATCTGCCATCCCATAGCACGCGGGTTGACATAAATCAGGTTAACAGTTATACCGCGACCGGGAGGAATGGCCTTCTCAATCTTAGTGAGAGCTTCGGTCATTGTTCTGGCATTGTAGTAACCGCCACCTGCCAACTCAATGTGATAACCAGCGTTCATCGTGGCAGCGATGAAGTCCCACGGGACTGTCGTAGGGGTCATACCGGCCACCATCACTGGGGGAACGCCCAACAGCCTGCTCATCTTTGTGTCGACATATGTTTGACCAACGGAATTTTTCACCAGGCGAGGCCCATGTTCCTTGACCCAATCCACGGCGAATTTCACTGAATGTTCGTCGCGGTCGAACAACTCTGGCTTGTAGCCGACCTCCGCGTTTGTGCCGTCGAGGGCACCACCCAAGATCACACGGACGCCAGTGCCATCCTTGTTGCGATTGGTAAGGACACCCAAACCAGAAATTCCACCCGGTCCGAAATCGACAATGTGAGTAGCCTTGGGGAAAACAGTAGCCTGCTCCCAGTTTACTGGGTCGCGCGTGATCATGCGTACGAGCTCTGGAATGATGTTCTTGTCACCAACCGCTCGGAGATCCTCACCAGTCTTGGTATCAAAAACAGGGACAACCAAAGATTTGCCCGAGATCTCAACTCCTTCAACATCTTCCAAAATCTGGTCATATGCAGATGCCAAATAAGGACTGTGGAAAGGAGAGGTGATGGGAAGGAAGCGATTCACAAATCGAGTTTTGCGCTGGGTGAAAGGTACCCTGTTCTGATCAAGACCCGTTGGAGCCTTGACTTTTCGTAGGCGCAAGTTCAAACCGTATAGTGAAATGGGGGGACCCGTGACGACAAAATTTCGGGCACTGTTGACTAAAGAGATAGCAATATGCCTGTCCTGAGGCAAATGCTGGTTTGTGGCATCAATATGTTCTTGTACCGCTGCGCGTTGAAGGTCGCGGATGGACAGCATGGGAGTCGGAGTACCTTCACCGTTCTCAATAGAATCTTGAAGAGTTGAAGGCGCCAGAGACGTTCGAGGGTAAGCTTGCTGGCTACGGAGACCAATCCAGAAAAGCAAAGTAATGGCGTCTCTCGCAGCCTTTGCAAAGTCTTCCCATGTCTTTGCAGCAGCAATGGCAGCAGCAGTGACAACACCCTGCGAATGACCGGTAGTTCCGCTAATGCGCTCCAAGAGCTCACCTGGCTGTCTACCCAGAACTTTACAGGTCACCATGTAGTGTGCCAACTGCACCAAACCAATGAGTGGCAGACTGACAGGAGCCGACACCAAGTAGTCGGTATCAGGTTGCGAATCACGGTCGTGAAGCCATTGTAAAATATCTAATCCTTTAGGGTAGAGTTTCACTGCATCAGGATCGCGAGACAGGGATTGAAGGAGCTCGGCTGACGAGGAGATCAAATCCTCAACGAACGCAGGGTAGGTGGTGTAGACCTCTCGCAGTTCGTCAAAGTATTCTTCAATGTTGCCCTGCCCGCCAAAAACAGTATACACACTAGCACGTTCGTCGCCGGCAGCACGGAACAAGGCGGAGTCGTAGGGCTTGGTCGAGCGACCTGCAGCTGCACGAGCGGCATAGTATGCCTTTACAACCGAGATTTTCTTGGCTGATATTCCGGATAATGTTGCGGCGACGGCATGCACATCGTTTCCTCGCATAAAAGCTCGTTCGAATTCATTAAGAACCACTTTTAGCACTTCAAGGTTGGTGGGATGCGAGTCTTGGTCACCCTCATCGACCTCTTGCGCCACATGACCGACATATCGGGCCACCAACTCGAGTACTGAGGACGGCTCGTCGTCTTGAGCCAAATCATCTGTAGGCGGCGGCAATGAAGCATTGAATGTATCTTTTAGCTGTGCAGCCTGAAAGTGTAAAGACGTGGGAACGAGGAAAGAGAACTCGAGGGATCCATGTGTGAGGATGAGTGGGCGGAGGGATTGAGAGGAGCGAGGAGTATTAATGCCCGTCTGAGGGCCGGTAGATGTCCCGTACATGGCTGATTATGCAAGAGCGTCGCAAGTTCGTATTAAATAAATGTAATAATGATAAAGAGAGGAAGACTCGATCGTAATACTGCGTTGACTCGATGGTTAGTTTGGAACTGGGAAGAAAGGAGTCGGGATTGCAAGCAATGCTACCACCACTTTTTTGGAAGGACTTACTCAGACCTTCACAGGGAGCAACTCCTTCAGCACCCGCCAAAGCCGATGGAGTAGACTGATGTCTGTGAATAGTAGTCTTTTTGAAGGTTAATTGATAATATGGGAGGAAGAAGAAGAAGAAGAAGAAGGAGAAGTGGAGGGGAAGAGGGAAAAGGGAAAGGAGCAAGTGATGATATGGTGTGTCAGGGAAAAAAAAAACGATAAGCAGCGAAAAGGGCAAGTGGCAGGATGGGGATAAGCTTACAGTTGAGGCAGCCAAAAACAGAAGGGGCTACCGGGCAAACGGATTGAGAGAGCGCTCTTTCCTCTTGGCTGTTCTGTTCCTGCCTTTTGACGAGGTGTCGCCTTCCAGAAGCGATTTTTTCCTGCGGTGGTTGAGAAAGAAGTTGAACACCCACAAGCTCCCATTAGGCTTAGCGCGTTGCGGATGCCCCCCAAAAGCCAAACGGTTGGGCGGCCCCAGCTGGAAAGGCGCGCCGTGATTGGCTGCCGGCCCACATGGTCCGCTTATCGGCTCTAGTCGATACAATTTATGATTATCGTACCTGAAAGTAGCTCCGAGTGGACTCGCTCAAAGCATGCCCATTTCACTACGTATAACTACTAGAGAGAGCTGATCTGATGCCTCATGTCGGCACTGTGTCGATCAGCGACAGTCTATTGACGGCGGTAGATAGCTGCAGTAAGGGGCTCCTGTGGAATAGGATCAGTAACTCAAAATCGCAGAATTTATCGAATCATGCATTGTGAGGACACACGCTTAGCCAATCACGGTTAGCGCACGAAATGAAGCTCAATGGCTAGCCAATCACAACATAGTTATACTAATCGGCTAATACTATCTGGGCACTAGCGGATCCTCGACAGCTGCCCCAACAGTTGGCCTGGGCCCTTCCGACTGGTTCATCGGGTTTGTCTCGGGCATGGTATTTGCTCTCCCAGCAGAAAAAAAACTATTAGTGAACACAGCAGCCTGGCAACCATCCCAACTACTCCATCAACAACATCGTTCTGTCTGTCTGTCCAAAGCCAAGGGAGATAGCTTTGAACCTTCCTTAAGACTTCAATTGACTTCCCGTGTCTTTTCTTTCTCAAACGGTTGTTCGGTTTGTCTCTGGTTTTTCTTTTCCAGTCTTCCTTCATCCGTGGTTCCCCTCTGCAGCTTGACTCGTCAGCTGCAATTGGAACAGTGAACTTTTCTTTCTTGGTTCTCTTTTCATTCTCTCTCTACTCGCTGCATGATAAGCTATTTATCTCCTCTATAGACTCGACCGCCGGCAGACCGCTGATTGCCAGAGTGTTCCTGTGTCATCTGGAACAGCTCTGTGTGATTTATGTTCTGCATTCTCGATTCCTATTTATTACGATTTAATATAATTGCCCGTTCATGATGCGTCCCGAAGTCGAACAAGAACTCGCCCACACGTTGCTGGTCGAGCTTCTCGCCTACCAGTTTGCGTCGCCCGTCAGATGGATTGAGACACAAGATGTGATTCTCGCCGAGAAGCGAACGGAGAGGATAGTGGAGATTGGTCCGGCAGACACCCTCGGAGGCATGGCCAAACGGACACTGGCCTCGAAATATGAAGCTTATGATGCAGCCACATCCGTGCAGCGACAGATTCTCTGCTATAACAAGGACGCCAAAGAAATTTATTACGATGTCGATCCCATCGAAGACGAGCCGGAATCACCAGAGCCTTCTGCAGACTCTGGTTCTGCCGCCCCTGCTGCCGCCGCCGCAGCTCCAGTCGCAGCTCCCGTCGCCGCAGCGCCCAGCGCGGGCCCTGCTGCGATGGTCGAAGATGTTCCTGTCTCCGCTACCGATATTGTTAGAACTCTCGTTGCACAGAAGTTGAAGAAGGGACTAGCAGATATCCCTGTGAACAAAGCTATCAAAGATTTGGTGGGAGGTAAGTTGATCATTACTCGAAATTGCAATTCTGGCTCAGAAACTGACTTTTGATTTTAGGTAAATCCACCTTGCAAAATGAAATCCTCGGTGACTTGGGCAAAGAGTTTGGTTCGACTCCAGAGAAACCAGAAGATACCCCGCTCGATGAATTGGGTGCCTCAATGCAGGCTACATTCAACGGACAGCTCGGCAAACAGTCTTCGTCCTTGGTCGCTCGTTTCGTGTCCTCGAAGATGCCTGGTGGTTTCAACATTACAGCGGTGAGAAAATACCTCGAGACTCGGTGGGGTCTCGGCCCTGGAAGACAAGATGGTGCTTTGTTGCTGGCGTTGACTGCCGAGCCTGCGTCTCGTCTAGGCTCTGATGCCGATGCAAAGGCCTATCTCGATGGAATCGCGAACAAGTATGCGGCACATGCAGGCATCAGCCTTTCATCGCCTAGTGCAGGCGGTGATAGCAGTGGTGGCGCCGGTGGTGGTATGATGATGGATCCAGCTGCCATTGATGCATTGACCAAAGACCAGCGTGCACTTTTCAAGCAACAACTCGAGGCCATCGCTCATTACCTGAAGATGGACTTGCGCGCCGGGGACAAGGCCCACATTGCCTCCCTCGAGTCTCAGAAGGCTCTCCAAGCCCAACTGGATCTTTGGCAAGTCGAGCATGGTGATGTCTACGCTTCCGGTATTGCACCCTCTTTCGACTCGTTGAAGGCGCGTATCTATGATTCTTCCTGGAATTGGGCTCGACAGGACGCATTGAGCATGTACTACGACATCATTTTTGGAAAGCTTCGAGTTGTGGACAGAGAAATTGTCAGCCAGTGTATTCGCATCATGAACCGCTCCAACCCTCTTCTTCTCGATTTCATGCAATATCACATCGACAACTGTCCCACCGAGCGAGGTGAAACCTATCAGCTGGCAAAGGAATTGGGTGAACAGCTCATTGAGAACTGCAAGGAAGTTTTGGGTCATGCTCCAGTCTACAAGGATGTTGCCATTCCAACTGGTCCACAAACCACCATTGATGCACGCGGCAACATTTCATACGCGGAAGTGCCTCGTGCAAGTGTTCGCAAGCTCGAACACTACGTCAAGCAGATGGCTGAAGGCGGTCCTATTTCGGAGTACAGCAACCGAACAAAGGTCCAGAACGACCTCAAGAACGTCTACAAACTCATTCGCAAGCAACACCGATTGTCCAAAACTTCCCAATTGCAGTTCAACGCTTTGTACAAGGATGTTCTACGCGCTCTCTCCATGAACGAGAGCCAGATCATGCCCCAAGAAAATGGCCACGCCAAGAAGGGCCGTCTAAGCAAGCCCAATGGAACGCTTCGCCCAGGAAAAGTCGAGACCATTCCTTTCCTTCATCTCAAGAAGAAGGACGACCACGGTTGGGAATACAGCAAGAAGTTGACCGGCATTTACTTGGACGGTTTGGAATCTGCCGCTCGACAGGGTATTACTTTCCAGGGAAAGAATGCTCTCATGACTGGCGCTGGCGCCGGATCTATCGGAGCTGACGTTCTCCAAGGCTTGATCAGCGGTGGCGCCAAGGTTGTGGTCACTACCAGCCGCTTCTCTCGTGAAGTGACAGAGTACTACCAGAGCATGTACGCAAGATACGGTGCCAGAGGCTCTCAGCTTGTTGTTGTTCCTTTCAACCAAGGTAGCAAGCAAGACGTGGAAGCTCTCGTTGATTACATCTATGATTCCAAGAAAGGTCTTGGTTGGGATTTGGATTACATTGTGCCGTTCGCCGCCATCCCTGAAAACGGTCGTGAGATTGATAGCATTGACTCGAAATCCGAGCTCGCTCACCGTATCATGTTGACGAACTTGTTGCGCCTTCTCGGTTGCATCAAGACGCAGAAGCAAGCGCATGGCTTCGAAACACGTCCCGCCCAGGTCATTCTTCCTCTTTCCCCCAATCATGGTACTTTCGGAAACGACGGTCTCTATTCCGAATCGAAGTTGGCGTTGGAGACTCTGTTCAACCGATGGCATTCAGAGAGCTGGGCCAGCTACCTCACTATTTGTGGTGCGGTCATTGGCTGGACCCGTGGAACTGGCCTCATGAGCGCCAACAACATGACTGCTGAAGGCGTTGAGAAGTTGGGCGTTCGTACCTTCTCTCAGCAAGAAATGGCTTTCAACCTTTTGGGTCTCATGGCCCCTGCCATTGTCAACCTCTGCCAGACAGAACCAGTCTTTGCCGATCTCAACGGTGGCTTGCAGTTCATTCCTGACTTGAAGGATCTCATGTCCAGGCTCCGTAGTGAGATTATGGAGACGAGTGCTGTTCGCCAAGCTGTCATCAAGGAAAATGCTATTGAGAACAAGGTTGTCAATGGAGAAGATAGCGAGGCTCTTTACAAGAAGGTTGTCACCGAACCTCGTGCTAACCTCAAGTATCCATTCCCTGAACTTCCAAGCTGGGACGAGGAGATCAAACCGCTTCACGAACAGCTCAAGGGCATGGTCAATTTGGACAAGGTTGTTGTTGTTACCGGTTTCGCCGAGGTTGGCCCATGGGGAAACTCTCGTACTCGATGGGAAATGGAAGCATACGGCAAGTTCTCATTGGAGGGATGCGTTGAAATGGCATGGATGATGGGCTTGATCAAGAACCACAACGGGCCATTGAAGGGCAAACCTTATTCCGGATGGGTTGATTCCAAGACTGGGGAACCTGTGGATGACAAGGACGTCAAGGCCAAGTATGAGAAGTATATCCTTGAACACTCTGGTATCCGTTTGATCGAACCCGAGCTTTTCAATGGATACGACCCCAACAAGAAGCAGCTTCTTCAGGAAGTTGTCATCGAAGCAGACCTTGAGCCCTTTGAGACATCTAAAGAGACTGCTGAAGAGTTCAAGCGTGAGCACGGTGACAAGGCTGAGATCTTTGAGATTCCTGAGTCAGGTGAATACCTTGTTCGTCTCAAAAAGGGCGCAAACTTGATGATCCCCAAGGCCTTGCAGTTTGACCGTCTTGTGGCTGGTCAAATCCCGACCGGTTGGGACGCTAAGCGATATGGTGTTCCTGATGATATTATTGACCAGGTGGACCCTGTCACTCTTTACGTCCTTGTCAGCACTGCAGAGGCCTTGCTTTCGTCTGGTATTACCGATCCTTACGAGTTTTACAAATATGTTCACTTGTCCGAGGTCGGTAACTGTATCGGTTCTGGTGTCGGAGGTACTTCTGCCTTGAGGGGTATGTACAAGGATCGTTACCTTGACAAGCCAGTGCAGAAGGATATCTTGCAAGAATCATTCGTCAACACAATGGCCGCTTGGGTTAACATGCTTCTGTTGTCGTCTACTGGTCCTATTAAGAGTCCTGTCGGTGCATGTGCGACATCTGTTGAATCTCTGGATATTGGTTACGATACCATTGTCGAAGGCAAAGCTCGCATCTGCTTGGTCGGTGGTTTCGATGACTTCCAGGAAGAAGGCTCATACGAATTCGCCAACATGGGCGCTACCAGCAACGCAAAGGAAGAGTTCAAAAGAGGACGTACTCCACAGGATATGTCTCGTCCCACATCCACCACGCGAAATGGTTTCATGGAATCTCAGGGTTGCGGTGTCCAAGTACTCATGACTGCTCAACTCGCTCTTGACATGGGTGTACCTATCTACGGTATCGTTGCTATGTCCAGCACAGCTACTGACAAGATTGGGCGTTCCGTGCCAGCTCCTGGTCAAGGTGTACTTACAGTTGCTCGCGAGAACCCTGGCAACTTCCCGTCGCCCTTGCTTGATATCAAATACCGCCGCCGCCAATTGGAACTCCGTCGTCAACAGATAAAGCAGTGGGAGGAGTCCGAGCTTCTTTACCTTCAAGAAGAAGCCCAGGCGCTCAAGAGCCAGAGCTCCGAGTCGTTCAAGGTTTCCGAATACATGCAAGAGCGGGCTGAACACATTCAACGTGAGGCTATCCGTCAAGAGAAGGAAGCTCAAAGCAGCTTGGGCAATGATTTCTGGCGTCGTGACCCTCGCATTGCTCCTTTGCGTGGTGCATTGGCTACCTGGGGTCTCACCATTGATGACCTTGGTGTTGCCTCTTTCCACGGAACGTCTACTGTTGCCAATGACAAGAATGAGTCTGATGTTATTTGCCGGCAGTTGACTCACTTGGGTCGCAAGAAGGGTAATGCTGTTTTGGGTATCTTCCAGAAGTACTTGACCGGCCACCCCAAGGGTGCTGCTGGTGCATGGATGATGAATGGATGTCTTCAGGTGCTCAATACCGGTCTTGTTCCAGGCAATCGCAACGCCGATAACGTTGACAAGGTTATGGAGAAATTCGACTTGATTGTATACCCCAGCCGAACGCTCAAGACGGACGGCATTAAGGCATTCTCAGTCACTTCATTCGGTTTCGGTCAAAAGGGTGCTCAGGCTATTGGTGTTCATCCTAAATACCTGTATGCCACCTTAGACAAGGCTCAGTTCCAATCATATCGCAACAAGGTTGAAGCACGTCAAAAGAAGGCATACCGTTACTTCCACAACGGTATGATCAACAACACCCTCTTCCGTGCTAAGAGCAAGGCTCCATACGAGGACAATATCCAGAGCAAGGTCTTCCTTAACCCAGACTACCGCGTTAGCTTGAACACAAAGACTTCTGAATTCACTTACCCTGCTGTCTTTTCACCGGCACCTGCTACTCCAGTTGTTGAGTCCGACAAGACCCGCAAGATCGTCGAATCCCTAGCTGCTGCCACCGCAGGACCCAACTCACAAGTCGGTGTTGACGTCGAGGATGTCGAAGCCATCAACATCGAGAACGACACCTTTATCGAGCGCAACTTTACTGAGCGCGAGCAAGAATACTGCCGCAAAGCGCCATCCCCTCAAGCCTCATTTGCAGGTAAATGGAGCGCAAAGGAAGCCGTTTTCAAATCCCTCGGTGTCCAATCCAAGGGAGCTGGGGCTCCATTGAAAGACATCGAAATCATCAATGATACCAACGGCGTCCCTGTAGTAACTGTAAGCCTCTCACCTTCTAGCATCATTTGATACTCTCACTAACATGAAATAGCTCCATGGATCCGCCGCCGAAGCCGCAAAACTCGCAGGCATCAAATCAGTGAATGTGAGCATCAGCCACAGCGATTCTCAAGCCATTGCAGTCGCTGTGTCGAAGCTCTAAGAAGATTTTTCCTCACTGATAGATTTAATATTTCTCTTGTAATGCTTCCTAATGAGCGATGCCTTTTTCTCTTTCCTGATACTTTCCTCATCATGTCTATTTATCCTTTCTTCTGTCATGTCTCTGTATGCCGCTCTGTTCTGTTGATAAAGACAGGGAAAAGAAAATAATAATAGATTCAGTGAATAATATAGAATGATCGTGATGTACACATTCTATATACTCGTTGTGTAAATACCTAAATCATACTCTTTATTCACCAATACCATGCTCTAATGACTACTTATATAACATCTATCTACCATGTCTAATGTCCCGTCGCTTTACTCATAGGCCCCCAATTCAACTCCGGATTCATCTGATACCGTACCACCTTCTTCCTCCCTCTACCCATTTCAGTCGAGAACTTTTTACCCTTTGATTCATCGAATTTTATTGTCAACGTACTCGGGTGCGGTCTCTCTTCCGTTTTATTTTCTGCTGTAGTTGTCGTGGTGGTAGTAGGTTCCGCGGAAGGAGGACTAGTCCTCCCTTTTCGATATAGAGCCGCCTCGATCCTCATACTAAGATCAGCCAAATCCTTCCCTTCCTCCAGCGCAGTTTGCACCTCCTTCTTCAATACATTCAACGGATTACTTCCATCAAAGTGCGATCTATCATTCCTCATAATCCCCGCTGCCGGTGTACCGGGTTTATATTTCTCGCCATTGACATCTTTAGAAGGAGGACACCATTGACGAACCCATTCACGCATGATTTCCCATAGCACGTCCCATGGTGCATCTGTGCGTACGCTATTGGGTCGTGTATGGCTGCGGGTTGTGCGATATCCGAGACCGTGCAGCGCGCCGCGGAATGCGTCTGTGGGTATCGTTTGTGCATGGAGGACTTTTGCGAGAGCGCTCAGACTGACGAAAAAAGGGAATTTCTCTTTTAGGTGTGGTGACATGCGCGGGATGATGGCTGATTCTTCCTCCGGTTTAAGCTCTTCTGTGGTTTCCTTTGCGGTCGTTTCGTCAGACTCGAAAGGTGGACTCAGATCCAAATCTTCTTCCAGAGCAGTTGTCAACATCCCCTCAATTCGATCTAGGGTATGATAGACATTCGGATCTGATTCAGGCACAAGGTCCAACACTCTTTGGATGAAATGGGGATTGTGCAATGGTCCTCCCCACATCGGACCGGCCAGATGAGTCTTGAACCCACAATGTTCACAACGCGGTGATGTCGTGGGTGCTTGGGCTAGGACATAGTTATGAAAGATTTGACCGTCCTTCTTCCCCTGCTTGACCTTTGTGCCGGCCAGATATTGCGTGGACCATGCACCGCATCCAGAATCGCAGTTGAATACTAACATGGTGGTACTAGCCAAGGCTTTGACGTTGATAGGCGACTTGTGAATACGCACAAAGACTCGAGCGTAGTAATCAATAGACAGAGAAAGAAGAGGTTCAACAGCAAGACCGTATCTTGCTGCCGAACTCGCGACAGCATGCAGAATAAGTCGCAGTCCAATTTCGTGTCCATGCGGTAATCGACAGGGGATACCTCCATACAACGCATAAGTCTTTTCGGGATACCCAGTTGACGCAAAGACAGCTGCATCAGTACACGTTACGCATAGCATACCCCCATCATTAACAGCCTGAACAGCAGCATCTAGAAACGGCGCCGCAGTGCCGTAGGGATCAAGATCAATGACGTGAAACTTCTTCCCTGTTCCGTCGTTTGTATGCGTTTCGCCTTGGAGACTGTACATGTATGCACGCGCATCGCCGACGTTGGGTCGAACGATGTTTTCAACTTGGTTGTATTTGATATTGAGCTTGATAGCTTCGACGGCGGCGGCGGATAAGTCGTTTGAGACAATTTTTGTTGCGGTGGAGATTTCTTTGGCATATCGTAGTGCTCTCAGACCTGTTGCTGATAGTGCATCGAGGATTTGAAAGTTCACCGGTTTCGTTGAAGCTGACTTCTGTGCATCTGCTCCTGCTTCTGGCGGTACGAACCCCGTAACAACCTCATCCGCAGCCCGTCGCTGTCCTTCATCCCCCTCCCCATGATGCTTCTTCATCACCTCCTCACCATCAACATCAACATCATCCTCCTCCCCCTCCTCCCTCTTCCTCTTCTTCCCCTCCTTACCCTTCTTCCTCCTATTCAATCTGTTCAAATTCTGCTCCCTTACAAGCGCCACATGATGATTCGCAAACGCCTTGATCGCAAGCACACTTAAATCACGATTAAATTGCTGAATCGGATTATAAAACACCGAAGCTTGTTGCTCGAATCCGCTACCGCGGGGTTTCAGATTCGGGGGTTTATCGCTGATTGGTTTTAGGATATATGCGAGTCCTTCTTTGACGGGTTCGTATTTTTTGTTGTTTAGGTCTATAGTTTTGGGGGATTCTGTTGGCGCTGAAGCTGGCGCCTCGTTGGAGGTAGATGTCATTGCTCCCGTGGAGCGGTAGTTGCGTAGTAACAGTAGTTTAGGGTACTGGATTTGGACAGTTGGAGTAATTGACTCAATTGCTGATCTGAATGAAGTGTAGAATCTAGGCAGTATTCGCTTCATTGGCCTGCCATAGCATTCGACGCTTTGTCGCGGAGTGATCAAATCGGAGTCATCAAAGAGAAAGAAATATTTTGGACGCACGGGCCACTTCATATCGAATTTGCATGTGGATAGCTACATTCAATTAACTCAGTGCAAGTCTTGTTATTAGTAATTACAGATTAATTAATAGTATATACTGACATGCCACATTCACATCATAAGAAACAAAAGAAAAACATCACAACCACTCGCCAATAACCGGTACGCTGGAATAGAGCTTATCCCAGCTCGTCATTTCCCAACTAGACCCTGACCCAGCTCTTCCCACAATCCCCAAAGCACCAGCAAGCCAAATAGCAGCCGTAATCCCTGCAATACCATGAACAAGCCACTTATTCTTCCTCCTTCTAGCCGTCTCTTCCCTCGTCTCACCCAATATCCCAGTCTTGGAAGTTGAACCCCTCTCCATCCGAGCAGTAGTAACTCTAACACCCATCCAAGTCGCAAGACCCCCAACCAAATGCCACACACTCGCCGCAACAAATAAAATATAAAACAAATTCCAGAAAACGGGACTCCGCGCAAATCCATGCGCAACATAACCCAATCCAACGCTTGAACTACCGCCGTCGATTTCCAACGGAATAACCCGGTTAACACCCACGTGTAAACCCACAAGCGGAATCATGGCATAACCTAGCTTGGCCTGTAAGCTCGGCACAGGCCAGGATTTGATCAGATAGCGCTGATTCCGTTGTTCGGCGCCGTACATTTTGGCGCGGCGGCGTGCTCGAATGCTGCGTAATGCGATTCCGGATGCGATGTGTGCGACGATGGGGAGTGCGACCATGATAGGTTCCAGGGAAGGGGATTGATAGATGGGTCGTGTGAGTAATAGGAACGAATCGCTGGACGGGATTGAGCGAGTCGCAAGAGGGATGAGCGAGGTATTGATCGCATGTAATGCGAAGAAGACTGTAGGCGGATACGTCGAGTATCGCTGAATTGCCGATACTAGTAATACAAATTAGATCTATGCTATCGATAGCTGTATCAATGGAATACTCACGCCAATAATCCCATGAATGCGACTTCAGTCCTATCCGCGAAATACCAAAAGATCGAGCTTGTTCTCCGTTTGTATTCGCCGGCTCAGGGAAGTAGTCCCCCGTCTCGATATCAGGTGGATCATCGTCGACGGGCGAAGGGTCCAGTTCTTGCATTGACAGTATTGAGCGGGTGTCGATTGTGTCTACGCCAGATAGTAGACTGTCGGTTCTTGTTGTTCTGGCCATGAGTGCTCGCTCGGATGGTCCGGGCTTGCGGCGTGACGGGTCGGAAAAAATAGAAGAATATCAAGTAAATCAAAAAAAAGAAAAGAAATGTTATTGAAATGTTAGTTGATTGTCATGATCACATTAAAAAGGCATCTTGAAGAGATCAGAGCAAGAATTGAAGACGGAAGACTCTAGAGCATCAGGGGAAAAACAAAAACAGGCTGTGATTGGTTGCGTCATCCCAACAGTCACCGAGCTCGCTGATTGGCTGCTTCACTATACAAGTCTTTTTGTTGATCCTGAGGATGTACTATGTATTTAATGTAAGTTGTGTAAAAGATTATACTAGTATTTGTGTGGAATAGAATGAATGTGGTGCTTTCTTCGAGGAAGTCCAGAGGTGCTGAACCGCACTGACAAATACTCTTTCAAGAGAAGGTCTTATTAAGTCTATGAGTCCTTGGACTATAAAAAATCAACAAAATAATATCCAATCATAGTCCCATATTAATAAAAGAACGAAGGACATAGAAGTGTAGCAGCAGTTCGCAAGTGAAAAGGGTTCATCGATCTACCATTCTTATCTTATCTGATCTGATCTCGGCGGGTAGTGACATTATTCTCGACCTCAACCACCATCCATTTCTCAGTCAACACTCTGATATACAAACACATGATGGCACCCGTGAGTATTCAACCACAAAAATGACCTGACAAATAGACTAACCCCAAAAGCGCGGCTTCACAAACCCAGCTCCAAAGGTACATCCTCTCACCAACCCCTCGACCCCAATCCTAATCTAGTATCCTACAGACAGACTCAGCCCGCTCAGCCCTAAACTCATTCACCTGCACTCTCTGCAACAAATCCTACTCCCGCCACCCGGAATACGAAGCCCACATCGGCTCCTACGACCATCAACACCGCAAACGTCTCCAGGACCTGAAACAACTCTCTCGCGATCCCAATGCGGCCGAAAGAGCGCGGAGGGCGGAACGGAAAGCTGACGCAGAGGCTGGGTTGTTGAGGGTTGATAATAACGATATTTCTTCTTCGGTGGCGGCGACGACGACGACGACGACAGCTGCAGGGGGTAGTGGTGGTGGTGGGTTTAAGAAAGGTGGATTCAAGAGCTCATTTACGACTGTCAAGGGACCTGCGACATCTGCGGCGAGTACGACTGCACCGGTACGGAAGAATGTTCTTGGTGGTGATGACGATGATGATGTCGATATGAATGGAACGAATATGCCCAGACCATCTTCAACGGCCACAACGGATTCGAAAAGACTTGATGCCGGCGTCGAGAGTGATACAGACGAGGAATATCAAACCGGTGATGCAGAAACTGCTTATTATGATCCCTTGAAACCAACTGGGTGTTTTGATGGATGTACTGGGCTGAAAACTGTTTCTGTATAATTATGACCTTTCTGCTACGTCCATTTCTTGTACATATCGAAAACTTCTCATATCGATCTCGGCGTCAAATGTTAGTGATATCCTGTTAGAAAATATTCAACATAGTCGTACAATTCTAGAATTGGCTAAAATATAGTAAAGTTGACAAGGAAAGTGCAGTCCGAACACTCTAACAATATGACACATGACAAAATTAGATGTTTTGAGAAAAAACCTTCCCAGTGAGGTCTGTTCTCTCGATTGTTTTTGTTTTTTTTCCTTGTTTACATTAAAGGAGGCTTTTGAGAGGGGAGAATTACAGTCGGAGAAGCTTAGCAGCTTGGCCAACAATCGTATCAGTCTGGGGGAAGCTCATCTCTTCGAGCTTGGCGGCATATGGAGTTGGCACATCAGCACCAGTGACACGCACAGCTGGAGCGGTCAGATAATCGAATCCGTACTCCATGGCGACAGCGAGGAGCTCAGAGCTGACACCGTACATGGGGAAACCGGATTCAACAGCCATGAAACGGCCGGTCTTCTTGAGAGACTTGATAATCGTCTCAACATCGAGAGGCTTGACGGATCGCAGGTTGATAACTTCAGCGTCAACGCCGTATTTCTCCTTGAGCTCAGCAGCGGCCTGGAGGCAGAGACCGACTGTTCGGGACAATGAAACAATGGTCAAATCTTTACCGGGACGCTCGATCTTGGCCTTTCCGATGGGGAGGACGAAATCGCTGCTGCGGAACTCTTCGCTCACGGAGAAGGCTTGACCGTAAAGAAGCTCGTTCTCGAGGAAGACGACGGGGTTGGGGTCACGGATGGAGGCCTTGAGAAGACCCTTCGCATCCTCTGCACTGTAGGGGGCAACGACCTTCAAACCGGGGATAGCTCCGTACCAGGCGGAGTAATCTTGTGAGTGCTGGGCGGCGACACCGGCAGCGAAACCGTTGGGACCACGGAAAGTGATATTGCAGGGCTGGATACCTCCGGACATGTAATGTGTTTTTGCGGCAGAGTTGATGATGTGGTCGATAGCTTGCATAGCGAAGTTGAAAGTCATGAATTCACACTACAGAATATTAGAACCGTACGTATAAAAGCTGAACCAAACACTTACAACCGGGTGGAGGCCAGCCAAAGCAGCACCAGTTGCCAAACCGGTGAAACCAGCTTCAGTGATGGGAGTGTCAATGACACGTTTGGGTCCAAAACGGTCTAGAAGACCTCGGGTCACCTTGTATCTGTATGCATGTCAGCTGGTCTTCGCTTACACCAAAGTCTGTCTGAACATACGCTCCGTTATATTGCGCAACTTCCTCTCCCATGACAAACACCTTCTCATTGGCCTCCAATTCCTCAGCAAGAGCCTCGTTCAATGCGTCTCTAACCGTAACCTCTTTTGAAGCCTCGCTGGCATATGTACGGCGATATGAGATGGACTGGGCAGGCAATCGGAAAGCTGGACGAGAAATGGGCGACGCAATTCGCGACTGAAGCAAGCGACCAGCTGGTCGGAGAAATCGGGGAGCAGCCATTTCAACTGATCTGGTCTGTTATTAAAAGATGAATAAAAGGAACGAGAGGAAAACACAACAAGAAATCAAATTGAGAGGAGAGGAGAATGGGCAATGCTGCACCCTGATGGTTGAAGATGAAGTTTTGGGAAAGGACGGGAAACTATCGGACCGGAACTCTCAGCGAACAAAAGATTTTGGCATGTTGATGATTACCGTACAGAATACCGATCGGGTTTGGTGTTGTTGCTGTGTTGCACTCACCGGCGCCTGTCTCGGTGTAGTAGCCGCTGTATTGTCAATACCGTAATTTTGCTCCGTTTTCTTATCTTGACTTCACTTGATGTATTGAATACTATTTTCTTCGTCCAAAACTGCCGAGTAGTCCACTTTGTATATTGACTAGGCCGTCGCTATTCAGATGTACGCATTGTATCTATTATCAAGCTATTAGGAGCGAATACTGGAGACCAACATAGTCGTGGCTGTAGATGTAAGCTGGTGACTCTATCAGCTGGCTTACCTGCTAGCCAATCAGATGTCTCCAAGCTGTGTACCTTCCGCGCGCTGGACTGATATAAGAGCTCATCTAACTTCCTCTTGTTCATAATAGCCTCAAGAAGCTTCAGATTCTTGATTCGACCATATATACTCTTTCTCTGAGGAATGACAACTCTTCCCGCACACTCGATCTAACCGCGGACGAGCTGCTAGCGAGATGATTGCACGCGTCTTGCCGCTTGTCGCTCTTGTGACCCTTTCAGTACATGCTGCACAACCTGGGTCTGCCAGTCCTCTACCAGCAAAGCTCAGAGATATAACATGGGGAAAACTGAACTTCTTACATACAACCGACACTCATGGATGGTTAGCTGGTCACCTACAAGAGTAAGCACGACCAACCGCAGATAGGATGAACTTGACTGATTAGGATCTGGAAAGACCGTCGTATAGTGCTGACTGGGGCGATTACATCTCATTTGCAGCCCGTATGCGTGAGATAGCTGAATCGCGAGATTCAGATCTACTAGTCATTGATACTGGAGACCGCGTTGAGGGCAATGGTCTCTACGATGCATCAGACCCCAAGGGAAAATATCTCTATGATATCCTGAAGCAACAGCACATCGATCTTCTATCATCTGGAAACCATGAGCTCTACAAAAAGAATACCTCAGAAGCAGAGTATCTCATCACAGTCCCCAGTTTCGCTGACAGCTACATCGCATCGAATATCGATATACTTGACCCAAATTCGGGCGAACTGGTCCCCCTGGGCCCAAGGTTTAGAAAACTAACAACCAAGAAAAAAGGCTATCGTATTATGGCCTTTGGGTTCTTGTTTGATTTTACTGGAAACTACAACAACACCAAAGTTCAACGGGTGGAGGACACGGTCAAAGAGACTTGGTTTCAGCAGGCCATTCGGGATGAAGATGTTGACCTTTTCATCGTGCTCGGACATGTACCCGTACGGTCCATAGAATACGAAGCAGTGCACAAGGAAATCCGCAACGTGAGAGGCAATATCACTATTCAATTCTTTGGCGGCCACTTTCACATTCGTGACTATGCTAGATATGATGCGCAGTCATCTGCCTTGGCTAGTGGTCGTTTCATGGAGACCGTGGGCTTTCTATCGATTGATGACGTGAAAAGTTCCACGCCAAATTTTAGCAGGAGATATATCGACAACAACCTTTTCTCATACTATCATCATACTGGTCTCAACAAATCGACCTTTCCAACAGAGCATGGCCAGAACGTCTCACAAATGATACAAGAAGCAAGACATGCGCTTGATCTAGACTATGTACATGGTTGCGCGCCCACAGATTTTTGGGTAGACCGTACACCATACCCAGGTAACAACAGCATCTATACATGGCTGGAAACCGAAGTTCTTCCCCAATCACTTCAGAATCCTTCCCGTCAAGGAAAGCCAGCTCTCGCGATCGTCAACACTGGAGCCATCAGATTTGACATTTTCAAGGGTCCATTCACCCAGGACTCAACATTCATCGTATCACCATTCACAAGTGGTTTCAAATATATCAAGGACGTTCCGCTGTCTACAGCAAAGCGGATAGTGACCCTTTTGAATGGGGCATCGAAAATCCTGACAACAACGAATGAGCAACCCCATGGTCGCTATTGTCCCTTGGCGCCACCACAGCAATGCGCTCGTCAAGCTTCTGACGGAGTTGAGTCAACCACACGCAATCCAATAATGCCACAGCAACATGCGCAAGCTGTCATCTCGGACTCAGATGTTGAACCGTTTCCTGGCTATACAACAATCGATGATGCAGGCGACGATGGCGATGATACCGTTCACTCGCATATCTCATTCTACCAGGTACCGAACGTTATCCAGACGCTGATCCCGCCTCTTGATCACAGCTCTTCTGGGGAGCCGACTACAGTGGACTTGGTTTACTTGGACTTCATTGAACCATACATTGCTCTGGCAGCAAAGTTCTCGGGCTTCCCTGTAAACCTTCCAGCAGATTCGGCCTTATACATGGATGGGACAATGACCGAGTTGATTCAAACCTGGATTAAGAAGAACTGGAAGTGCACTTGAGATACCCTCAGTTACTGTTGATATTCAATGACTCTCATTGTCTGCCAGATAAATAGGGTGACAGTATGTAGAAACTATTATACATTCATACAAGATGGAATCAATCATCGCCTTCATAAACAAAAATCGTCTTGCCACTTCTGAATCCAGAAAGCGTATCCTGAACAGCCTCCACAAGCTCCTTTGGCTCTTTATCATACGTCCACTTCACTTCCTGCACAGGAATATCCTTGAATTTGCCCGCCCGGGTCAACTCAAATATATCCTTGATCGTATTCTCCTTTGCCTGCGAATTCTTGTCCCCCCATCTACTAACCCAGAACCCATCAAAGACCAAATTCTTAAAAATCAATAATCCAGACGGCAATGCTACCGGCTTTCTGGACATGGCGCCATAAGTCACCAAATGCGAATCCGGTGCAAGCACCTTTGCCATAGCAGCTGCATTTTCCCCTCCAACACAGTTGAGCGCAAGACGAATAGGCTCTTTACCATCCTTTGTGAGTTGCTTGACAATACCCCTGAATTCCTTGGATAACAATTCCTCCTCCGTCACAACAGCCGTAGCACCCAAATCCAGTAAATCCTTTTTCAGAGCTTCAGTCTCCTCTGGGTTCTCTCTCTGTCGAATAACATTCAACGTCTTTATACCCCATACACGAGCCAATTGTATAGCGGCCCGACCGACACCGCTATTAGCACCGTTCTGAATCAACCATTCCTCTCCACTGCGCATCCAGTCCCAATCACAGAAATCCTTGATCATGCGATATGCCGTAACGGGGTTGACGCTGACGGTACCGACTTGTAAAGCTGTTAACCCCTCCTTATCGACTTTGATTAACTGCGATTCTTCGAGTTGAGCGTGTGTGCGCCATGTGCCTTGCCCCGTGCGTTTCATGATTACCCAGTCACCTTTCTTGAGGGATTGGACCTGGGGTCCTGTTGAGAGGACTTCGAAGGCCCCTTCGTTGCCGGCGACGGCGGATGGTTCGGTTGTGCCTAGGATATTGGTGAAGGTGGGTTTGGCTGGGTAGACGCCTTGAATCTGGTTGATATCTGCTGGATTTAGAGGAGTAGCGAGGAGGCGGAGGTTTACTTGCGAGCCACTTGGTGGTCCAATGGAGTGTTTGTGTAGTCTGCATATTCATTAGCCATAGTTGCTTGCCTGAAACAAGAGAAAGGCCGAATTACTGCAAAACATCCTTTGGCTCTCCATATTTGGGATATACGATTACTTTGGCCTGCGTATAGCCGTATGCAGACACGAATCGTTGAGCTGCTGCTCCAGCTTGATATCCGCCTTGCACTTTTGATCGGATGAAGGGAGCTCTGACTGATTCGATTGAAGAGCGATATGAGCTTGTAGCTTGACGGATGCAGGGCGCAGATGGCCTCAAAGTTCGTGGGGTGAACATTTCGAATAACTGAGTGCTCTCAACGGATTTATAGCGATTGATATTGAGAGGATGAAGTTCGAAAGGTTGTAGTTGATGAATGACGTACTATTTAACTAGCACCTCGGGAAAAGTCAATGCGGCCCGCGGACTTCATCCGAGCAAAACATTCATTTTCCGGAGCAACAGCAACTATATACATGCTCACTTCATCAGTGTGACTATCGTCGCACTCGAGAGCGTCAATGTCACTGCTCCGCGAAGCTGAAAAATGTATAGCTAATCAGAAGCTCTTTACCGAGCTGAATGCTTTTATTACTCCTCTTCAGAGCCTAGGATCCTATGCAGATCGTATTCGAGATGCGGATGTGCGAAGGGAGAATGGTGAGCATACCTTCAAGATGTTTTCCAGGTATGTAATGACTGATTAATGCGTTAATGATAGGGACTTTGAAATCCCCCCTCGACGGTCGCTTAATTGCTATCAAAGACAACATCTGCACTCGTTCTCTACCAACGACATGCGCCTCCCGAATGCTCGAGAAATTCACAAGCCCATTCGATGCAACAGTAATTAATTCCTTGGAAAATGCTGGAGCTATAATCGGCGGGAAAACAAACCTAGATGAATTTGGTATGGGCTCTCATTCGACGCATTCTCATTTTGGACCGGTTAAGAATTATTTTGATATTGTGAACGGGGATGGCTCGGAAAGATCTCTTTCTGCTGGTGGGAGTTCTGGAGGGAGTGCGGTTGCGGTTGCTACTGATCAGTGTTATGCGTATGTTGCGCTGAGATTTGGAATTTTGGTATGATGCTAATGTATTGGGCAGTGCATTAGGTACGGATACCGGAGGATCAGTGAGATTGCCTGCTGCATACACGGGCATCGTTGGATTCAAACCTTCTTATGGTCTGATATCTCGCTGGGGAGTTATTGCATACGCCAACTCGCTGGACACAGTCGGTATTTTGGCCAAGAGGACATCAATTGTCCGCGAAGTCTTCAATATTCTGAATCATCACGATGCGCGAGATCCCACTAACCTATCTACCTCTACCCGCTCTCGAATAGCCACCGCCGTGTCACAACTCCACTCCTCAAGTCGCCTATCATCTCGCCCACTACGAATCGGCGTCCCCATCGAATATAATCTGACCGAAATGACATCAGACGTCCGCAAAGTCTGGCTCTCAACACTTCAGACCCTCGAAAAACAAGGCCACACCCTCCACCCAATCTCCCTCCCATCCACAAAACACGCCTTATCAGCCTACTACATCCTCGCACCCGCAGAAGCATCTTCAAATCTAGCCAAATACGACGGCATCAGATACGGCACACGAGCAGAGGGTCCTGATAAAGGCGAAGAACCCAACGACTATCTATACGCGCGGACCCGGGGCGAAGGATTCGGCGATGAAGTCCGTAGACGTATTCTACTGGGTTCATTCAGCCTCAGCGCAGATGCAATGGACAATTACTTCATCCAGGCGCAGCGCGTTCGTCGACTTGTGCAGAATGATTTCGACAATGTCTTTGCATTAAAGAATCCGCTTGGCGATGACGCTGAGGTTGAGAATCGGGCTCCGAGTCCTGCGGAAACGAAAGTGGATGTTATCATTGGACCTACGACGGCTTCTCTTCCACCTAGTCTGGCGTCTGTTACTGAGGATCAGGATTCTGCTGTTTCTGCGCCGTTGCATTCTTATGTCACGGATGTGTGTACTGTGCCTGCGAGTTTGGCGGGTTTGCCGGCTATCTCAGTGCCTGTTCCAGCACCGACTGGCAAGTCACTGGGTGATGGGAAGACTGGATTTGATAAAGTCGGGATACAGATCATTGGGCAATATGGTGACGATAATCTTGTGTTGAGAGTTGCGGAGTTATTGGAAGTCAATTGATTGAGCTTGCAAGAGCCTCACCTGCTGTTATAGACTGGGGTTTGTATGGTTGGAAATGTACGAGTATGTTAATTCGAGATACCATAGGTTTGTTTGAATACATTTCCTCTACAAAGGGATGATTTGATTGTCTTCTAGAGATATCTAAGTCATCTCAACATCCTCATCATGCCCATTCCCTACGCTTCCAAGTACGGTCCCTGTAACCAGGCCGGACATGTGATCCCCATTCCCATTTATATCATTACTCGTCCCTTGTTCCTCCGTCCCTACATTCACTGTAACAGTAGGCGGCGCATCAGTCGCCAACATAGCAGCTTCATACACCGCGCCCACGCCCTCTTGCACAACATCAACACTCCGCTGGCCAGTTGCAGGCACGACAGTCGACGACGAGCCATCAACAAACTCAGTGCTGATCACTGTCGGAACTGTAGCCGCACTTGCAGAGGTATTACCAGGACTAAGAAGAGCATGATGTTTGCCATTCTGTTTTGCAACAGCAGCGCCAGCATTATTGGCTCCTCTCATGGCCAGGTCCGTATCTGTAGTTTCACTACCCCATAAGAACATCGCCTCAATCTCATCGACTATATCAGCCACGATATCTTCCACGATCTGATCGTTGAATCGTTCCCCAAACGGTTTCACGACTGTTACTTCCTCGTTCTTATGTTCCTCATCCTTTGAATCGTCAGTTTCCACAACGGGCGGCGGACCAAACCACCACGGAGGCTCAAATCTGCATTCAACTGCCCCGCCACCGTAACAGCTGACTGTAGGGAAGTACCCGATCATGCCATCATCCGCATTCTCTCGTTCGCCAATACCCAAGTTATTGGTGCCGTTTGTGAGGCGACTAGCTGGTGGTAAGAAGGCAAAGAGTTCTTTGAATGGTGTTCCCATTTTCACTCCGTTTTTGAATATTGTGATACTTGAACCGGGTAAAGTGCGAAGGGATGCGTCTTCGCTATTGAATGGAGAGGGGGGTCCAAATGTAGGCGTCTCTTTTAGGTTGAACGCATAATCGCGGAGTTGTTTGGATGGGTATATGTTGGATTGTTGCCAACAGAAATCAGATTTGAGGTGAAAAGGTACTCGATCCCGAATGAAGTTCGTGACTGTGGGATATTTAGTGGGCTGCTTGTCGGCAGACGGATCGTATGTCCCCTCGGCGACCTTTTTATGGACTGATAGAGGAGGTAATGTGATAAGTAAGCCAATAACATCTCCCTCGGCAATGCTCTCGCCTTTGTCGAAAAAGTGTTCGCAACGCATGCGATTTATGACCTCCCCGTTCACGTCGCGAATACCATATCCATAACAGTCAACCCCAACGTTGACGTCAAGTTCTGCCTCTCGGCGCGCAAATCCCAGTCTTACATGACCTCTTGAAGACGCAGGAGAAGTATTTCCCTCAGAACCGTTAGGTTGCGGATCCTTAACAATACCACTGATCACCTTCGCTTCATAGTAATACGCCCCTTCGCGCGCGCATACATTTGCTCGAGCAGAGTGCCATGCATCAGTTGTTGTAACCGCCAGACCATCTTTCGTAAACGCAATTGCCGCCGGAGAATCCTCAAAGCTAAAACGAGCATGATAAGGCGCCACATCCGTCTGTCGATATTTTATATTCGTAAACTTCGGATCGGAAATCGCATAACTATACCGAAATCCATTCTTGTTGGTGAGTTTATCGACAACCTCGTAAAAATCCCAGCTCTGTCCTATAACATTCGATGACTTCCTACACAGGAAATTCATCTGTCTCGGTTGCGGTGGGTATAAATCCGACGTTCGAGGTTCTGCGAGTAATGCCGGCCTAAGCATAGACAATAATGTAGAAGGTCTCCCTGAAGCTGCTGCTGCGAGAGCTGCCTTCTTTCTAGGTGGCAACGCAGTGACATCTGTATCGAGTCCCTTGGCCTCACGCTTTTTGCGACTGTCTCTTTTGTTTCGTTTCGATCGTTGCTCGCCTGTCGTTGTGGGAACACTGGGCGCTGGAGAAGCTTTGGGTGCTTGCGTATCGGTCATATTTGGGACGCTTGGAGCTGGGGAGTTGATTCCTGACGAGGCGGCTGAGGAACCGATGCCATACTGGGTGGACGCCATGCTTGGTATGAACTATAGGGAGTGGACAAAAAGATCTCTGTGCTTTATAGTAAAGAAACTTGAGATAGTAGAGTGGAGCATCAGTGTTTAGCCCCAAGAATATTCTCAATGATGTCTAATCAGCGCGTGACATAAAGTATGAAATGTCCTCAAATGGCAAGCTCCTTCAGAGCGAAAACGCGTCTGCACTGACGATTCAGCACCTGATGAAGCAAAGTTGCGGGATGCCTCTATACTCAATTAAAAATTGCGCGATCCCGATATAATCGAGAAGGATCCCCTGAAATCTGTAGAATGCACTCTCTGCCTAATCAAGCTCCAAGGATTGAATTTTGGAATTGAAGAGCATCCCTGACGGCTGGCGGTGATCACAAATGCCGGCAAAATATTTTGGGATACGGTCATAAGAAGGCGGTGTGCCCCTCTGCGCCATTTGAAGGCACTAGGCCCAAAACAAGGCCAGTCTTCCGATTTCGTCAAATTTTCCAAAAGAGGAAATTAATTGAAGCGAGAATTATACGCCTTTTTTAAGACTCAGAATACATTTCTACTGAAAGGTAGCTTCAATGTTGTATTGGAAATGTATTTCATTAGAGAGGAAACAAGATAATCCACAACCCCGCCCCAAGTCCACTGCCAATTAGATATTTATAACCATGTAGCAGCAATATCGCCATACATGGCCCTTCAACGTGCCTGTTTCTGCAAAAGTGAATCCATCAACTAGAATAAAGACAGCTTAACACGGTGATGTGATCACTAATCTATGAAGAAGCTGATATAGAGCAAGGATATCATGCGACATGAGGGTTGTTGACATAGTCCTTGGTAAGAGCGATATTATCAAAGCATTCCGGGTTTGGCAAGGAGTAATTGTGCATTCAAACCATGTAGCATGCCTACGAATCCTCGACACGTATTTCGAATTTCCCGTGCTGACCACAGAGATAGAAAAGGGGAAGAGTGCCACGATTTCGCGCCAGAGTTTCGTACAGAGCCGAGGATATGATTGTCAGCGGTGACGCAGTCTCTTGATCCTGGTTAAGCTGCAAATGTCCATTGACCATTAGGATGCCGGAATTGCATTTCTATACCAGTTGATAAATGGGGGGTAATTGACCAACGCCGTGGCTTGAGCAAGAGAATCCCTAGAGGTCATTCGCTTGGCTGTTCATAAAGCCTCATATATATCCCTTCTGGGAAGATCGCAGTTCACAGCTAGAATGCGCTCTAACTCGCGCACATCGGTAAAGGGTGTTTGGGTCAGAATGGGAACATGTGGTGTTACTGTAAAAGCTTTTAGTTAACTTATTGATAGCTAGCAATCCAGCCATAACATTTGAAACCTCACCAGATCTCCATTCCCATTCTTCCTCTGGGCAATACAAGTGATTGACCAAGTCATCATACATTTTTCCAATAAGCTCTGCACTTTGATAGCTTTATGAAAACAGGTTTCAACAATTCGTGGAATTCGTTTGCGGAGTTTTTATTATCAGTTTTGATGGTTTGGTCTTCGATGTAATTTCCTTATGTATCTTGCAGGAAGAAATATTGTTTTCCCCCTGAAGAAGAAATAAGTTTATATAGTTTCTGGATGTCATCAGATACGGACGGTTCATACTAACTCATCATTCATCTCAACATGGTCTCGATCCCGTTCAGGATACCAAGATGTAGACCCTCAACAGCATGCTAAAGATCTGAATCATTGCTATAGAGCTCAGAATGATTTGCCTGCATGACTCCTTTTGAAGAGACTGTCTGAGTAGCCAACATTCTTTGCCATATATTTGCTTGTGCTTCGCAGTCTCAATTTCCAGGCCATCATTTCCGAATTGCCGCCACAATCGCACTTTGGGACGAAAATCATTCATATTGAGCATTAGAATCAATGTACTCCGTATCATGAAATTGTGTCCTAGTAGGGTCGGTCTGAATGCAGGGAAGCGCTAGAGTTGATGCATCCTGGATGAACGAAAGAATTTGAACACCCTATGTTCTCCAGATCAATGACTTAAGCTAGAAGCACCTTTTGAATACCAGTCCCGGGTAAAAAGATTCGAAACAACAGTAGCTGGCTCCTCAATAGGGCCAGAACTCTCGAACCCATGAGCAGAACGGACCTTGGTATCTGACTAGAGTCACGAATCCTGTGCAGGTATGATGATTGCTATGTCTCGAGATGGTAGAGGGACGGGGTCAGTAGGAACCAGTAAAAAGAATTCGAGCTGATCTCTATATCCCACTTAAAATCAATAATAGCTACAACAATCTCAATATGAGTTTTTCCCCGTAGTATCATAATTCTCGAAGTAAAATGTAGTTAAGATCGATTGATTAGCGGGGATCTGATAAGGCTGATCTTATCAGCGTATCGCACAGACACCGCCACACGGCAGAAAAAAAAAATAATATCACCGACACAAAAGTACGACCTCGGAAACAATAATTGGGCGCACTCCAGAGGAGATAAGGGCAGGTAAGACACGAATTGAAAGATTATTTAAGATTTACACTCTTGAACGAAGCGAAAAAAAATCACAATGCCCAAAGCCACCACACCATCCCGCTCCACCGCGCGAAGACACAATCCCCTCGCCGAGGATATCCTCTCTAATGGTCATTTACGAACAACCTCAAAATCCGGAAAGAAGCGATCACGCAAAAACGATGACGATGATGATGCAGAAAATGGAGGAAGGAGTATCGGCGAAGGATACATAGATGCCAAAGCATCTCGCAAAATTCTACAAATTGGTCAAGATCTCGCTGAGGAAGAGGCTGCAGAGCAACAAAAATTGCTGGATGAAACGGGCGCGGGCCAACAACATAACAAGGCATTTGATTTCTCGGCACGGTTTGGGGATGAGAATGATTATATTTCAGAGGATGAGGAGAAATTTGAGGAAGAAGATTGGGAGGATGAAGATCTTGACAAGGGGGTACGCTTTTTTTTATCTTTTGAGACGAGGTGAATGGACTGACCAGTTGGCTATAGGAGGTTGACCCAAATGACTTGGATATGTTTAATAAATTTATCCCGGCCGGTGATCAAGATCCCATTTTCGACCCTCGACCGAATGAAGAAGGTGAAGAAGGCTCTGGCGTCAACCTGGCGGATCTGATTCTTCAAAAGATTGCGGCATACGAAGCAAATCAATCTAGCGATGGGCAACAAGTGATCAAAGGAGGTGGTGCGCCAGAGGATGCTGTTCAGATACCCGCAAAGGCACTGGAAGTATATGAAAAGTATGTTTTTTTTTAAACGTGCTCTGGGAAACAAAGCTGATAATGAACAGAGTCGGCATGATTCTTTCCCGGTATAAATCAGGACCTCTACCGAAACCATTCAAGATTCTACCTACGTTACCGCAATGGCCTACACTTCTTGATATTACGCGACCTGACTCATGGACCCCCAACGCCGTCTATGCCGGGACGAGAATATTCATCTCATCCAAACCGGCCATTGCTCAACAATTCATTAACATGGTACTACTCGAACGGGTACGCGACGAGATTCACGAAACCCGCAAACTCAACGTCCACGTCTACAACGCACTGAAGAAGGCTCTTTATAAGCCGGCCTGTTTCTTCAAGGGTCTACTATTCCCGCTAATCGCTTCAGGGATATGCACACTACGCGAAGCTCACATTGTCTCTTCAGTTATCGCTCGAGTGTCCATTCCTGTTCTCCATTCAGCAGCTGCATTGTTGCGATTATGTGAAATCGCTGCCGAACAGACATCTGCATCACTTTCTTCCGAAGGCACAGGAGCAACTAATATTTTTATCCGCGTATTCCTCGAGAAGAAATATGCCCTACCTTACAAAGTTATCGACGCACTCGTCTTCCACTTCCTCCGATTCCGAGCCATGGATAACACTGAGAATGATCACATGATGATCGACGGAGCTCACAATTCAGCAGCCGCATCAATGAACTATAAATTACCTGTTCTATGGCACCAGTCCCTCCTCGTCTTTGCGCAACGATACCGAAACGATATCACCGAAGACCAGCGAGAAGCTCTGCTCGATCTGTTGCTGGTCCGCGGTCACAAGGATATTGGTCCTGAAGTTCGTCGAGAACTTCTTGCGGGTCGAGGACGAGGTGTGGTTGTTCCCAGTGCGGATTCTGTTGCTGCCGCCGCTGCGGGGGATGATACCATGGATGTTGAAATGTGAATTTTTTTTTCCGAGCTATACATAAAGATGCATAGATATTGACGAGTTTTCTTTGTTACTTAAAATACTGGAAGTCATGCTGGTTTGTCGGCGTTAGGTGTGCTTTTAGCTTCTCATATGCTAGTTCTACTTATATCATTCGATGAATTCGGTTCAGGATATGAAATGTGCTGACAATGGGAGAGGTCAGCAATCCTACCTATGTACGTACGTACTCTGTACGGAGAAGGCAGTTCTATACTACGAGTCCGCGGAAAGTATTGTTCGGCAAGAAATACTCCTTGATAATTACCGGAGGCGTACATTCGCGAGTCGAAAGGAGCTAAGTAGTCCCACGGGGACCTCCTAACTGTACTCCGAGAACCATACATTACTGAGCATCCAGGCGCTGACGTCTCCAGTCCTTCCAGGCCCAGACCAAGAAACAATAACCCGTTCTAAGGGGCAGGCGTCGTCAGCCTCGCCCCAGCACTGACAGACAGTGGTATCCCTAGATTCAGGAGGTATTCGGTACGACTCACCTCATCTATCCGAATCCCGGCACATGCTGCACATGCTGTACTTCGCCCATCGGTCCTACATTGGCGTCGCACAACATGCGCGATGGGTGACTCGACATGTAACGCTGCTGAGACGCAGTGTGGGATCGGATAGATTAAAGCGTCGTGTGGGCTACAGGTACCATAGTAAGAGCCTAAGAAGTAAGGCCGACAATCCGAGGGTGAGACAGATGACAAAAGGAGCCCCTGCAGAGTGCGTCCAATCTGCCTGCTGATTGGTTAGTCCGTGTAACTCCGCCCCCTTTGCGGCCCCTCATTGGCCCACTCGACTGCGTCTTCCCCCTTTGGGAGGATACCATCACGTGACGCAGCAACTGGCCACGCTGGCCTTAAAAAGCATCGCTGCCTGCCCTCTGTGACTCTCCTCGACCAGGCTTGTCCTCGCCCACTTATACTCCTGACACAAAACAGACACCTGGCCTCTTCCACTTCTTGTCACTGGAGTGCACACTCTGGATCTTCGCTTGGATGAACAGGACACCGTGACCTTTGTCCATCAACTCGCCCTCGACGGGAACTCTCCAGTGATTTCTATGATTGCCACATCCTTTGACAGGCTTTGTTACTACACAACACGATTCTATCAAACACTACACGAATAAAAATGGAAAACTTGATGTCCCCGATGGAAATGCTTCGGGACACCACTCCCATGGATGTCCCCCAACTCACCATCTCACCGGCAGACACATCGTTAGATGCATCGCCGCCGGCCGAGGTCAAGGTGGAAGAAACCAAGACGGAAGAGAAGAAGCCTGTCAAGAAGCGAAAGTCATGGGGCCAGGAACTTCCCACCCCAAAGACCAACCTTCCCCCTCGGTATGTTGCGCACGCCGAACTTGGATATAAGTTGTGTTACTGACAATCCACAGGAAAAGGGCAAAGACTGAAGACGAAAAAGAACAACGCCGTATTGAGCGTGTCCTCCGAAACAGAGCAGCAGCACAAACATCCCGAGAACGGAAACGTCTCGAGGTGGAGAAATTAGAAGGCGAGAAACAACGAATGGAACAACAAAATCAGTTCTTGTTGCAGCGACTCGCGCAGATGGAGGCGGAGAACAACCGCCTGAATCGCCAAGTCGCGCAACTATCAGCTGAGATCCGTGGTTCTCGCGGCACGACTCCCATGACCACTATCGATACCGCCTCTCCCACACTTACTCCTACCTTGTTCAAACAAGAGGGAGAAGACTTCACCATGGACAAGATTCCATTCCCTACTCCATCAATATCCGACTACTCCCCAAGCCTCAAGCTAGAAGATCTGGCTGAATCCTCCGACATGACACAACATCCTGCAGCGGTGTTGTGCGACCTGCAGTGTCAGTCGAAGGAATCGAAGGATCTTCCGCTGCCAACCCACTCTTCGTTGAAAGCATTTCAAATGGTGCTACTACAGCTCCTCTTTCTGACGATGACTTCCGCCGCCTATTCAACAGTGATTCTCCCTCTGAGTCAGATTCTGAACTCCATGAAAGCGGGCTCCCCTTTGACCTTTTCGACGGAGGAGACGTATCGGCATTTGCCTTTGATTCATTGGTTGATTTCGACCCCGACCCTGTCGTCGTCGTCGACGAGGTCCTCGACTCCTCGATCGGTTTTTCGAATGAGAGTGCTCACCAGACTTCTGGCGTGCAGCCCAGCCTTGGCGCGTCCACTTCGCGATGCGACGGGCAAAGCATTGCAGCTAGCGGTTGAAGCAGCAACTCTTCGTCAAACCCGGTCGGAGGTTGGTGATGTTGTTGAGACGACCACACCCAGTTGGGAATCGTTACTAACCATGGCATGGGCCATTGATTCGATTCGTTTGGGCCGTTATAAAGTCACCAGAGCGGGGCGAGACAAGAGGGTGCTTAAATCGCAGCACAAAATAATGAAACGAACCAGCATGCGGAGTTTTCGGAGTTATGGGAAATGGGCTAGTTCTGAAGCCAGTTAGTGTAAAATATTTATATTTTTTTCCTGACAAAGTAAAATCCCGTAGTTGAGTCTCAGTAGCCTAGAAGTAAAAGTACTAATGTAGAACTTGGGTAAGAGTCGAGGCACCCAGATAACGTAGCCAACCACGTTACGCTGGACCCGCCTCTCCGCCTCTATCGTATCCTCTTATCATTCATCACCGCTCAACCTCGTCACACATCTGACAAGTCTATATCAAATCTATACACATCAAAATGCCAGTCCGAGACCCCATCTTCGAAGCTCGTACAAATGTGAAGGTATCTCCCTCTCCCATCTTCCTTGTAGGAATTATACTGATGAAAGAAAAGCTCCACTCCAACCGCCTGAAAAAAGAAGCCCTCCGCGCCGAAGCAACCTACAAATCCGAAAAAGCCAAAGCCGACAAAGCCATGAAAAACCGCGAATTCCAAATCGCACGTATCCACGCTGGCTCCGCAGTCCGCGAAAAGAAACGCCAAGTAAACCTCAAAGCCGAAGCCGCACGCGCAGACGTAATAATCAACGAACTCAAAGCCGCACAATCAACCCGCGACACTTCACGCACACTCGCTTTGGCATCGAGGGGATTAGACGCGGCTAGTAAATCCGTGAATTTGGAACATCTGCTAGCGCACGCGAATAACTTTTTGGCGAGATCGGAGGATTTCAAGATTGCGTCTAGTGCTATTTCGGATGTGGCGCAGGGTGTTTCGCAGCAAGAGTATGGTGCGGAGGGGGAGAGTGAAGTTGATAAATTGATGGAACAATTGGCTGATGACGCTGGAGTGGATTTGAGGAATGCTTTGGATGCGGTGACAGCTGCTGCTCCTAAAGAGGATGTTAAGGAGCATGCGAATAAACATGCTGATGCGGAGGTGGAGGATGCTCTTGGTGCAAGGTTGAGGGCTTTACGGGCTGAGGGTTGATTTTTTTTTTCTTCTATTTGTTTTTTTCGGAGTTGATGTTTAATGTTTGATGTTTTTGGCGCTGGTTATGGATATATAGCGTAGTTCTTGAATTTGATGTTGTTTATTCGTGAGTATATACCTGCTTGTACATAACATACTGATCAACCTACACCACAACCTCATAAGACGAGCAACCTAGCAATGCCCGATTTTCCTTGGGCCCTTCTGACACTAACACATAAACCCTCCCAGCAGAGAAGCACGAGAAAAGTCAAGCCCAAAGACACCACTATAAACAAACGCCAATTCCTATCACCTTCGATGTGAAACAGGCCTGCCGCCCACAATGTCTGCTCTATGTGTGAAACTCTTTTGCAAACAGTTCTGGGAACTAACCGCAACCAGTGTAGATGAAAGAAAGATCAATGTAAAGATTGCAATGACCTTCACTGTTCGACTGTCCTTGGCTTGCCGCTGCGTAACTGCGAGGTTTACGAGATTGTTTTTCTGGCCTATGGGATTATAAGACTTGTCGATATCCATAGATACACATCAGTCTCGGTTTTAAGAAGAATCTTGGAAGAGGCGGAACGTACCACTTCAATCTGCCCGAGAAGTCTATTCCTCAACTTAGAAACCTTATTAGAGAGTGATTCGCACTGAGACAGAGTAAGTATGAACCGTGCCTCCAATACAGACATATAACATGTCGGCAGAGTACTCAATCCAAGCTTCTGTCGGATTTTCTCCGCTTCAGCGACAATATCTAAACGAGAATGTCCCATTTTCAGCCCAAAGGACATGACTGTATGATATAACAAAGCTCAACATGTACACCATGAAGCTCATTGGGTAGAGTTGCAGATAGAGACCTGAGACGATCAGCCTCTATGTTCCGTGTCCAGGTTGGAGATGTCATGTTTGTTGCTGTTTCTATCTCAGCTGTGTGTTCACGATATCAGTATTGAAAAAAAGGGGTTGCTTGTTCGGTGTCGAATGACAAGTGCTGCAAGCTTAGCTTTCAACTCAGCCTCATCTAGGCATTCATCTTGGGCGTCGGGATCAGCCATATTCCAGAACTGGGCTCTCGTCTTTGTGGTGCATATCTCATGGTTGAGATGATATCGTTGGGCTTTGGTAGAATGCCTATGGTTGATCAAGCTATTAGATTTCATGACATGCATAACCGTGTCAACTGCACTCATCATTGTTTTTGTCTTGTGTGAGGTGTGCGGTTGACTACCTTTCTTATATGACTCGGATACGACAGCCCTACAATACGGTATTCGCGAAGCCACCGCCACCTGCTCAGGAACGGAGTAGTTAATCTAGCATCAACCTCGTATGTCTCAGCTCCAATTCAATTAGACGATGACTTTTACGGCGCATTGGTGCCTGGGTTAAACTTAGGGGTATGATATTATCAAGTGCTGGAGGGCTATCTATGAAAGGGTGCCAGACTTCTATACCGGTCACGGAGGTGAATACTGAAAGCAGATTTAACGCCATATATTGAGTCACTTACGATAGTTAACAGATAGATAGATACGGCAGAAGCGTAGCAATCATCGTGGAGATATCAAGTTAGGGCACACTGAAATCGGATTTAAACTTGATTAGGTCATCCAATCCGATTCGCCGAAGATATCAAAGATCTTCCTCGGCGACATTTCCGACTGTTTCTTTCGCTTCTTTTTTTTTACCTCAAATTATTCTTATACAGAATCAATCAATATACTCACTTGATGAAAAGCTTTGTCTACAATTGATTGTAAAAATGCTCATCCCCATCCTCCAGGAATTAGGGTTAATTTCCCTCTGGCACTCCTCCCTAGACACAAAACTCCTCTGCTCCCAACGCTTCGTCCGCCTCTTTGCCTACGGCGGCTCAACTCTGATTCTGGCCTCTTACCTCTCTACTCTGGGTATATCCGATGACCGAATCGGATTATTCATGACCCTGACTCTGGTAGGCGATGTGGTAATCAGCTTCTTTCTGACTCTCTTCGCGGACCGATTGGGTCGTAAAGCGGTGCTTTTGTTGGGTTCGGCGATGATGTGTGGCAGTGGTGTTGCGTTTGCGTGGTCCGGGAATTATTGGGTTTTGTTGCTTGCGGCGATTTTGGGGGTTATTAGTCCTAAGTATTTCTCCTCCTTCCTTCATATGGTGTGTTGGATAAAAATGCTGATGATTGGTAGTGGAAATGAAATTGGTCCTTTTCGGGCTGTTGAAGAGTCGACTATAGCCCATCTTACGGCTAAAGAGCATATGAGCGATATCTACGCTTGGTATTCATTGATTGGCACCGCCGGCACGGCTCTCGGTATGATGGTGTGCGGCTGGGTCATGTCGATTCTGCAAGAGACTAAACGTTGGGATTTTATCCCTGCGTGCCGTGTTGTTTTCATGTTGTATGCTGCTGTGGGTGCCGTCAAATTCGTCTTGACGATGGGATTGAGTTCGAATGTGGAGGCTGGAAAGAAGGAGCAGCCAGACAATGCAGGCACTTCTAATGAAACTGATCCATTATTAGGATCTAGTCAAATTGACGAAACTGTTGTCACGCCAAAGCAAAAGAGACTATTCTTCTTGCCCGGCGTCGAGGCCCAGTTCGTGGGTCTAGTGACTAGTCTCTTCCTACTCTTTGCTCTGGATTCATTCGGGTCGGCACTTGCTTCATTGTACGTTTTGCTTCATTGATGATCCTATCAATTACTGACAGACGTCCAGGTCATGGGTAACGTATTACTTCCGCCGCAAATTCAACATGACTGACGGCGAGCTCGGCTCTCTCTTCTCCGGCACAAGCGTCATCCAAGCTATCTCCATGCTCCTCGCATCTTCAATCGCAAAACGATTCGGAAACGTCAAAACAATGGTCTTCACCCACTTACCCTCGGGACTCTTTCTGGCCCTAATGTCCGTCCCGAATTCCTTGCCTATCGCCATGATTTTCCTAATTGGTCGCGCATGTCTTCAAAACATGGACGTTGCGCCTCGGTCTGCGTTCTTGGCGCAGGCTTTACCTGCCGAGCAGCGAACGGCTATCATGGGCACGATCAATGTGGTCAAGACCACTTCGGCGAGTTTGGCGCCGTTGTTGACAGGCGTCCTGTCTTCAAGGGGAGCGTTGGGGGTTTCGTTTGTGGTTGCAGGTTGTTTGAAGATTTCGTATGATTTGGGTATGTTGATTACATTTGGGGGGATGGATAGGGAGCATCAGAGAAAGGCGCAGGTTGAAGCTGAAGCTGATGCTTGATTTGTCTGTAATTTTTATATTCACCTATAAATCTATCTATATAAGAAATAATAATAATAGTGAATGATCGTATAGAACAGCCCGCCCTCCTATTGGTCCATCCATGTCCAGCATCATGCGATATCCATGACCTCACTCGCCACTCTCATCTTCAATCATTCATCAAATACTTTATTCTTCTGTTTATTATAAGGACACTCCGATTAAATACTCAACTCATCAATTCACACTTCTTTCGAGGTTCTCTCCGCGGATATTCGAAGAACAAAGCTAATCCCGATGAACGCGTAAGCATCCCTGCTTTTGAGAATTAGTCTGGATCTCGTATTTCTTCTGCCTGATTCCGAATGATTGAGTACATCTATTCGCTGATCTGTCTGGGAGTCATTACGTTAGCTGACCAGGTATCCCCGCGATATATATAGAACAAGAATTGGACTTGTCCGTTGAATTAATTTAGTTCATCTCGATTTCATCAATTTATCAAACAGGCGGTTATTTTGGATAGAGCACATCAAAATGAAGGCGGCGGTTATTCTCTCCACGGCCTCGTTGGCAGCTGCGTTTGTGATCCCGGGGAATGATCAACAGCTTCTCTCGGCTTTGTCACAATATGCGGATGCCTCCAGTGTAGTGCAGGAATCAGTCTCTAAGCTAGAGTCATCAAAGGAAAGCATCGGCCATTACTACTTTGATAGTAATGATGAATATGACAACGAACATGACGGATATCTGGCCGGATCAGCCGGAAATGATGGCACCCTAGAGAAATGGTATGGGTTGGCCGAATTAGTAGATGGGTTGCAGAAGAGTGTCGAGCAGTTTGAGGAGATCGACCTTGAGTGGTTAGAGAGATCAGATTTTGAGGAGAAGCACTTTAAAGGCAAGCATCACAAGGCGAAACATGGAGATGACGAAGTGGATGCCTTTGATATTCCAGCATGCGGACACCATCGTCCCGGTGGTCTCTTATCCAAGACCATGGCTCAATTGAAGCATCTGCTCGGCTTCCCAGCTCCAATTTTCCAGAATGATGGATATCATCCTCACCATCCTCATCATGGTGGTCATCACGACCACTCAGACTTCACCATCTACGAACTCATCTCCAAAAGCAACCACACCCACATCTTCACTCACCTCATCAACAAGTACGACGATGTAGTGAAACTTCTCAACTCGACTTCTGGCAAGAAACACACCGTCTTTGTGCCCGTGGACTCTGCATTCAAGAATATCCATCATCCGCATCACAACATCAGCAAAGAAGCTATTCTCCACCTGCTCGAATACTACATCTCTCCCGAAGTCTTTTCTGCGCCCGATTTCTTCAATGTCCAGACAGTACCTACTCTTAGACAAGAGGAGACCAAGAGCAAATTCCCGCAACGGATCAGTACTTCCCTGACCCGTAAAGGATTGACCTTGAATTTTCACTCGCATGTCATCCGGCCTGATATCGTACGCTCGCCCCCCTCCTCTAACAACCCGAGAACAAAGACTAATAATAACCAGTACGCAACCAACGGCATAATCCACGCAATCGACAACCTCCTCCTCCCAGCCTTCTACTCCAAAACCATCGTCGAACTCGTCCCCTCCGTATTCAGCACTTTGGATCTAGCCCTAATGAAAACAGGTCTAATCGACGAATTCGACCCTTCCACTCCGACAATTGGCGGTACTTTCTTTGCGCCTACAAACGACGCTTTCGCGAAATTGCCGCTTGAAGTTAATGCATTCCTGTTCAGTCCGGCGGGTCAGAAATATCTAAAGGCGTTGTTGAAGTATCATCTTATTCCCGGACATACCGTTTTTACGGATGCGTATTATAAAGCTAAGTCCGATGATGACGACGATGAGGAGGATAGTCTTGTTGCTAAGAAACATGTAAAATCCCTGTCCATTTCTATCTTGATATATACTGATGATATAATATAGTTCGACCTCCCGACATACCTCGACAAGAAACCTATTTCCATCGACATCCGCAACTTCCATCGTCTGGCCCTGATAACCGTTAACAAACACACACCCGTAGCAGTGGCAAATGTCCCCGTCAAGGAAGGAGTGATTCATTTGGTTCCATCTGTTTTGATTCCGCCTCATAAGCATGATCATGGCGCTTCTACTACTGAGGGTGGATATGATGGGGATCATGGAATCAGTGTTGATGAATTGATGGGAAGATTGGAGCCGTATCTTGAGTGATTGATCATATTTTGATATATCATCTCCTCTCTTCTGACGATCATATTATGTATAATGACATTTATGTTTGTTTGACCAAGACTGGATTTCTTTACTTTGTTTCGTGTGTCATATTGATCTATTTCTTGGAATATATATTCAGATTTTGTTTGTAATCTTTTTGATTCTATCATGATCATCTAGCAGATAGGCTATTCATATGTAAAAGACCTATAGTGGAGACCCGTAGTGGAGTTTCTTGCGCATGTCTCGACTCTCAAGTCAAGATCGTATGGAGCTCGAGGTGCCTCGGCATGATGAGAGATTCGAATCTAGACTGGTGGCGACTCCGCTCAAGCCCTGAATCCCTCCTGTTGGACCGGACACGGCTTTGTGTGGTTAGACAAGTGTCATGCTCGTGATGTGTAAATAATGCATCTTCTCTTCTGAGATGAATCAAGAGACCCTCTGTTTCTTCCCCGCATCAAATACATTCCCACCAAACTTGCGCTTCTTCTGTTCCATCGCCTCCATCTCCTTCCTCATGATCATCTCCTGTTGCGAAATCTTTTGCTGCTGTGGCACAAATGTCGACTTCTTGACGCTCGCGAATGCATTCGATGGTTTGACGGCGTTGGGTTTCGCTAACGAAAACACGTTTTTCGGTTTCGATGTCGAGGAAGAGAACGATATTGCAGTCTTTGCAGGGCCTTCCGGCTTCTCTTCAGATTTCTCTTCAGCCTTATCCTCACCCGAAGACGTAGGCATAGCAGGTTTCGCTCCAAAACTAAGCTTAACCTTTTCACCTTCCTTCCTCTCCAATATCCCCGCTGTTTTCTCCTCCGATTCCTCCCCACTGCTTCCAGCCCCAGCACCAGCACTTTTATCAGCAGCAGCTTTAGCCAATTCAGCCTTCCGCGCCCTCTCAACCTGTTCCTGAATCTGCCTCTGCTCCCTCTCCTCATCGCCCCTATCCTGCCTCTCCTTCTTCATAACAGCCTCCCTCCTTCTCAACGTCTCAGGCCGATTATCAATCCAACTAATAAACAACCCCTTCTCCGTCTCTTCAACCCTCGCAATCCCCTCCCGACCCAAATAAGCTGCAAACTGCGTCAAACTAGTCCATTTCGTCGCATTCATATGCGTATGACTCTTGTTGCTGATAACCTGCTGATAGAAGTGGTTGATGTGGACTTTCTTCTCCCCATGGCTTGTACGCAATAAATCGATAAACTCTTTCAGAAACTCGGCCGAGTATTTGTCTATTGCTGCTTTGGAGTTTTCGCCGATCAGGAGCATTTGTCGAACGTGCGATTCGCTTTGAACGTGGCATTTGAAGCCATTCTCGTCGCGACAGGCCTTTTCACAGGGCTGGCAATACCACCTAAGTCTTGTTAGCCCGCGAGACTTCAGTTTGTTGCTGATTGCTTTGGTAGATCCTGCTTCGGCACGAGGCATTTTGTTGTTTTTCGGGTTGTTGGGAGGTTTGCAAGTTGAGAAGTTGGATTTGTATGAGTTGCGATGGTAGATATTCGGGTGTGGCACGTGCTTACTTCGCCACCTTGATTCTGATTGGCTAGATTATCTACTTCATTCTTTTGTGATATAACTAACCCGGTTCAAGAGTTCACGATTTCAAGAATTCAAAAGTTCGACGATTCTAAACTACATCTGATACTCAGATCAAATTATCCACCGCGCCAATCAACCAAACTCCCATCCGAACATCCTTCAATAGCAAAGATCAAACATGTAGAAAGATACTTTTCGTTCTCCAGGTATCGAATATGAAAGACAATAAACAAAGGGGATAATCAAACCAAAGCATACTCATGAATAGCCGACGGCCCATTGTCATTATACTCGGCTCGCGGTAAATACCCCTTATATTGACCCTGACTATCATTAACAAAAACGATCTTGGCCGCAATCTGAGCTCCCAAGAACACCGACTCTTCCATCCCCGGACGCGGTGCTCCCGCCGGATTTGCAGATGTCGTGTTTGTACCGCCTGCACCTGTAGCACCTGGCGCATTGCTGCCGCCTTGATCTTTCCATTCGGGGAAGTAATCGGGCGGTTTGACCGTTTTTACTGATGTGGGTGTTTGCGAGTGTCCCGTGGAGCGGTGCATGCTTGACATGGCGAGATAGGCTTGATTTTCCTGCATGCCTGGTGTGTTGGCGTGTGTTGCCGCAACAAGTAATGGGTTGACTCCGTGCGCGGCAGGGTAAGGGAGAGGGTTGGGCGTTTGGCTTCCAAGGTTTGCAGGGGTGGTTGTGCCGGTAGCCATTGGAGTGGATATATTCGAGGGGATCTCAGAGGTGAAGATACCTGCCGATGGTGACAGGATGTATTTTTGCGTGATTGTAGAGAGTAAAGCCGGGACGAAACCTGTAATCTCAGTCAGTATAGTCAAAGAAAGAAGCCTAGAGTTGTACGTACCACGAATGCGGCTCCCGTTCCCAATAATGATCAGATTATCCCACAAATCACTACGTTTCGCAGCATCCGGAACAGCCAAAATAGTATGATGAATCTGGGCAGCCAAATCCTCCAATATTCCACCACTACCCCGTTCCATCCTGTCTTTTCCAGGACTTGCAAGCAAGAACCGCTCAGGCCCAACCTCAATTTCTCGTCTTTGCCGTACATACTGAACCGAATCCTCTATTCGCACAAATTCCTCAAACTGGAATGTAGCAGTTTCACGCTTGGAGTTTGGTAAACGCGTAGGCTTATTTGCATCAGCACCGCCCTTTTTCCCCGGCCCAGAAACCGCTTTTTCCTTTTCACGCTTGGCTAGGAACTCTGTTGTATTACCACTGGTAATAATGGCGGCAACATCGAGTACGCCTTCATCATCATCACCGTTTTCATTGTTCTCAGTTTGTGTTCCACGACCAGGTCCTCGTGGAAGCTTGGACGCATTGTTTGCTTCACTCGAACCTGTGGAAGCAGCAGCAGCTGGGTTGGCACCGTTTTGATTGCTGGAAGTACCAGTAGACCCAGGTAACGGGGTCCCTGGCGGAAGAATTTCTGTAATATTACTGCGCTTCAGCTGTTCGCACATTTCTCTCGTGAATCCTTTAGGTTTCAGAAGCTCCTCCAATCGATCCGTCATCGTTTCTCCACCACAGCCTTCTAGAGCAATTCCGCGACCCTGATCTTGAACCACAGACTCCAGAACAGCAGTGACATTTGCCTTGCCGTAGCCGACATCAACAACCGTCGCAGTAACCGTGCCATAGGCATAGCAAGCCGCGAGCGCTGAGTCCATGAGACAGAAAGCAGGTGGTTTGAATTTCTCAAAGATGAACTGTGTCAGAATTTCGCGATCACGTGCTGTCCAAGCTGGTTCGGATATGATCAGGACCGGGGTGTGAAACGGTGGACTGAGTGTATTGTATACATGTTCGAGCAAGGCCAAGAAACAAGGCCAGTCAACGATATGTCCATTTTGTATAGGATATATGGCTCCCTCGTCAGAAATTATATCTTCTTCCAGGAATGTTTCTTCTTTGGGCTCGGCCTCTTCTGAGTTCGTTTCCGCCCCCCCATTTCCATTCGTTCCTTCAGCAGGCGCGGCGTTACTCGTCCCTGGGTTTTTCTCTTCTGTAGAATCATTTGCAGTCTCCGCACCTTCCTCCTGTTTGGGTGCCTCTGTCATTTCAACATCAGGCTTCTCCTGTCCATTGGTATTTTGGCTCGTAGATGTAGCTGGTTTCTTTTTCTCGCGAATTTTGAACGGCTCATACTCGCCTTTCTTTTCGGCGGGGAACATGCGCGTGGGGAACCGGTGACTGGCAGGAGTAAATGATTCAGGTAAGCCTAATTGCGCGAGTGTAGTTTGAGAGCCCGGCGCAATGAGCTAGGTTATAAGTTCTTAGCGACCTCTCGTGATACAGATGATAATTTGGGGATCCGTGCAAGACAAGATGCGCGACGTACCAGAACATGCTCATCCTTGAATTGAGGCATATCGCTCTACTCAGTCGGCAGCAGCCTAGACTGAGTAAACTGAGCAGATGCGTAACCGATGAAATGAGAAAAGCAGAATAACCGAGCGAACTGTCTGACTGCGAGTGATTGGAGATTGAAGATTGGAGATGTTCAGGTGAAGCTCGAATGCGGCCGGACCCAGCTTGGCGACGCGCTTTGCTTCGGCCAATCAGATTGCGGGGATGTGCCTATATAAAAGCCTAACAGATCGCCGTCGAAATCTTCTCTACAATCTTGACGAGTGTCTCTATTTCAAGAGAAGTGCTTGATCTGATGCTGCTATACTATTGAATATTTTCATCTGCATTTGATTGCTTGCCCCGACATATCTCATATACTTGAGTTCATATCCGCAAGACATAGCTGGATGATCCTGGATCTAATGGCTTCGATCTGCTTTACGAAGGCCACCTGGGAGGGAAATTTTGGTTGCAAAAAAGCCTGCCATGTTAACCGGGAATCTTAACTATACTATTTCATCAACCGCAATGCTAGGGATTACAACCGGACCAGGATGTCTGTAATGATCATCGCCTCATCGGGACCATGCCAAACTTGGTATGCATCTAGTACTCTCACACTAGGCACCTAGACGCCGAAAAGACTCTGACCGATAAAAAGGATCTTTGATATAGCCGGCAACGCAGTCGGCAATATGCCGATATCGCCTGTACCGAAGGGCCCACAATCACAATCCACTTGCATACTTGATGTCTTCAAGGATTGACTAGATTTGTAGTTTCTCTACTCTCGACATGTCGAGAACGGCGAATTGTGTCTGTACGCAGAGGATAAACTGTCGGTATATTGGATATCATGGGATCATCAACTCATTCCGAGCCAACTGACCTCCCAACTCCTCCTCCAACAAGCCCTAAAGTAGTAGTCGGCTACGACCTCCCAACATGGCGTAAATACCTAATCCTCTTCGTGATCAGCTGGCTCACCCTCGTCGTCACTTTCTCCAGTACATCCATGCTCATTGCAACCCCCGAAATAGCATCCGACCTCTCAACCACCCCGGAGATTCTCGATGTAACCAATGCCGGTGTCTTGGTAGCCATGGGCCTGTCGTCGTTGATATGGTCTCCGCTTAGTGATCTGTTTGGTAGACGGAAGATTTATGATGTTGCCATCTTTTTCATGTTTGTGCCTTCGATTGGAGCTGCGGTGGCGCCGAATTTGGCGGCTTTTACGGCTATGAGGTTGGTGGGTGGGTTGACGGGGACTTATTTTATGGTTGCTGGGCAGACTGTTATTACGGATATTTTTGAACCGGTATTACTATTCTCAATGCTGAAAAGATCAAGGCTAATTGGTTGGTGTCGACAGTTGTATCGTGGTCAGGCAACTGGCTTCTTCATGGTCGGGAGTGTGGCTGGTCCTGCTCTCGGTAAGATCGCGCTTCAAGGCAATAGTACGGTAGACTGATTGTAGCAGGTCCCTGTATTGGTGGTGTGATAGTCACATTCAGCCACTGGAGAGATATCTACTGGCTCCAGGCAGCCATGTCAGGATTCGGTCTGGTTCTATCCATCATCGTCATCCCCAGCATCAAGAGAGAGGTTGAAGTCGTCCATGTGGCCGGAGCACAGAAACTCTCACTCTACAAGACATTACAGAAATTTAATCCCCTTGGCGTGTTTCGACAGTTACTTTCTCCAAACATCTTGCTCGCCGTAAGTCTCCTCTTTCCACGCAGAGAAGGATAGCAGCTAAATAGAAAGGACGTAACATGTGGCTGTCTAGCAGTCACTCAATACGGAATCCTCACATCAGTCCGCCACGTCATAAATCCACGCTTCAACCTCACCACCCCTTTGATCAGCGGTATATTCTACATTGCCCCTGGAGCCGGCTTCTTCGTCGGTAGTATCGTGGGCGGCCGTCTCTCAGACCGGACCGTGAGACGCTACATCGCCAAAAGGAACGGCATTCGTTTACCGGGTGACAGACTCAATAGTGGCCTGATTGGATTGTTTGTGATTCTGCCGATTTCGTTATTATTGTTGGGTTGGGGGTTGCAAGAGGGCATTGGCGGGTTGGCGTTACCGATTGTAGCTGCATTTTGGGCTGGAGTTGGGTTGATGGGGACGTTTAATGCGTTGAATACATATACAGCTGGTACATCCCCCTATCTCTGTCTCAAGAAGTGTTACGCTAACTTCAGAAGAGGTGAATCCTGCCAAAAAAGCAGAAGTCATCTGTACCAAATACATTGTTCAATACCTCTTCGGAGCTGGTAGTTCGGCAGCTATTGTTCCTTTGATTGATGCTATTGGTGTTGGGTGGTCATTTACTTTCTGTAAGTTCTCCGCTGATTATGAAGTTCAGTGACTAATGGTTGCTCTAGTGGTCGCGTTAGACTTTATAGGAGGTGGTATGGTCTTGCTGATTACGAGGGTTTGGACCAAGGTGCCGAATGAGTGATCTCTTATGATGATGCTGATGATTTATGAATATACAGTGTGTTATTTGACAGGCTTAGATCTTGATAGACATGAATATAGAGTTACATGAAATACCAGTTGAAGTTCAAGGACATATCAATATCTAGGCTCAGGGTTATTGTAATGGGATGTTAGTCCGTTGGTTAGACAGGAGGAATTATCAATATGGCAGAAGGTCGTTTGGTATCTTCAGACGTTCATTAACAAAGGTACTCTTCCTAATGTACAGAGACTGAAGCTTGAACAAGGAAAACTACTCCCTTACCGAAAACCTCCTTCTTATGCATACAGGAGTCGTTGGCAGGAGATCTCATGTTGTGCCCCTACTTGGGTGGCTTGTCACAGATATCATGTTGTACTGTTTCAGTACTGTTACAGTTATCGAAAAGTGACCTGGGCGAGAAATGGGAGGTACCTATGTATCAACTCTATGTAGCATTTATCACTATTGGGAACCTTTTCCAAGGCTTATATTCCAAAGTATAGGTTATTTCACATTAGTATGAATGTTATTTCTTCCAGGATGCTATCAACAGATGCCCGACCAGACCCAGCTCTATCAATCTATACACACAAATCACATCCGACCCATCTATACCTGTCTACACAACAAAAGAAGAAATCACCTTGAAAACATCCCTGCCAATACTCCAGCACCAATAATAACCCCATCCGTCGCCTCCCTCAAAAACACACTCTTCCCCCCTTCCTGCGGCCCACCCTTGATCAACAATCGATCAATATACCGCTGACAATTCTCCTTATAATTCGGATAATGCTGTATTATACTCCCAATATACGCGACAACCAACTCCTCCGGCCCACCGAACCAACTTGCCCTCTTCCCTCTTCCCGTAGACGGTCTTGACGTCAACCCAAAGCTGAATTCATGAAAACTCTTCGATGGAGAACTACTCAGGAACTGCGTCTCAATCCCAAACGGCGATGTTGCTGAAGTGTGCACCGGGAGATTCGGGTCACGGAGGGATACCTCATGATTTGATGCTAGTAATCCCACAGTAGCAGCTGCAACCAGCGCCGCGGAACGGGTCTGGACTGTCTGCGCGATTTCGCGGAGGGCGTTGGCGGTTTCGATGGTCCATGACCATTCGGATGGGAATGGTGGTGGAGGGAGGAAATGATCGTTCCCCCCGGCAGTCACTGTGGTGGGGTTGTGGCTATGATTAAGCGTGTTCACGAGTGCTTGGAGCGGTAATTGTGCTGAAATTGTACTAATAATCGTCTCTGTTCGTAAAGCGTATGGTTGTACCAGTGGTGAGGGTAGATATTTCTCCGCAATACCTAAAACATTCACGAAATAGTCATTGCAGATTATCCGGATGAGTTCCCCTAGATATCGTCCGCTGGTCATGTATTCCAAAGGCTGAAATCCGGGTCTCGCAGATCGCGCATCGAGTTGCAAGTCCCATTTGGTGATGATGCCGTGCTCTCGTAGCGGAGCAGAGGCGCCGTGTAATGTCCATTCGGTGCTGACGAGTGTCTGGGCAGCTGTAGGTTCCCGACTTAAGATATTTCGACACTTTGATGGATGGAGGTCGGATAGTGTCATGGGGATAGTAGCGTTACATCCCTCGTCGAGGACAATGCCCATTGCGACCCGGCTGTTGGGATATGATTTGATCGAGTACGAGAGTGAAAGCAGTGTTGCAACAGCATCGTTTGTGAGGGCAATTATTTTGAGTTGAGGCAGGAGATAGTGTCGTTGTCTCTTTGTTGCTCTTGTCATCTCTTCATCTTCTCTCCCACTACTGCGGCGTGTATGTCGTTCATAACCTTGTAAGATGGATTGTCTCAGATCCAGGTCTGTGCCAATCGTAAACCCCTTTCCGGTTTGCATCAATGTAGCTGCTTCCAACGAATCTTGCCTATCACTCGTCAGTCTCTTCCTCCCTCTGGTTACTGCTCAAAACGAACTTGATAGGAAGCCCAAACGCAATCCCCGTCTCAATAAACGCAGGTTGCTCGACATTCAACCCAGCATTCGACAACAAATCATCCTTGACCACCTCAGCAATGCAATTCCCAATCCACAAAAACAACTCATGCGGCTGATCCTGCTTCAACCTTTCTTCAATCCGCCACGCCTTTTCCAGCGTTCTGCGGACTCTTGAATGCCTCACTTGACGAATCACATTACTCATGGATCTCGGTCTACTACCAATGCGACTGCCGTTCCCATTCTCATCATTTTCGCCACCTAGTAACTCGATAAATGCGACTTTGAGCGTGGTGATGCCCACGTCCACTGCAAGATAGCGACCACGTTCCTTTCCGATTGGTAAACGGGTGATGGGCACAGGACTGAATGATTCGTCTGTATCGTTGTTGGCAGCTAGATCGCGAAAGACATGCGAAAAGGAGCATGCAACGTCGTATACCTGATCGTCTGAGGTCTGAAGAGCACTTAGAAAGTCGCGGAGTGGTTTTTGAGTTGCTGCCAGACTCATTCTTTGATATGACGATTCTATGTGAGCAGTATAAGCGGCAGGAGGAAAATGGTCTATTGAGGGTGATTCCTTATTATTGACAGGCCAGTGTTCCCATGGTAATGCAGCGGTTCTCCGACTGTTGGAAATCATATTCGAGGGTTGTCGAAGGATGCGATTCTAGCCTGCCTGTTCTTAGTAACAGTCTTCATAACAACGGGCGTTGATATACTATTCAGCGAAGAGCATTGTGTCGTTTGCAGAAATGAGCAAATTGTCTCTTTTTATTCTGTGTACACACGAGCGATGTAACGGTGTCTTGATTGTATGTTGTATCAAATGTCCACAAGGTCCAGGAATATTGTCAAGGATGCTCCAGTGTAGAGATTCTGGCCACCTACAAATACTCAAAAGCGGATTTATTGAAAAAAGAAAACGAAAAAAAAAGGATCTTCGAGAACAGGCATGAGAGAAAAATTACCAAATAGCCTACAAAGTAGTGTCTCTCCAATATATGGTTACAATGTTTTGTAGCGTTGTATATACTATAACTCCACTCTTGCATGTAACTCAACCCTAGCCTCATCAGAAATTGATCGAATAGACGCCGCAAAATCTGATTGTCGTTTAGTTCTGAGGATTTATTGGTTGTATGTGAGCATCTATTAGCATATAAATCTAGATTATTCATACGTAAGTTATTGCTAGGTTAATAAGTAGCTATGTAATCTACAAGCGCCACTCTTGTTCTAGATATCCTTCTAGACTTTTTTGACCGACTTTAACCGACTGCCAAATGCAACAGATGCGATGCATCACTGCGCGAGGATGGATATTTAATATAATTTCAGCTGCTGTATTTGCTTGCGTTGACGAAGGATTCGTATGACGATCAGATGTCATATGGCCACATATTGCTCAGGGATAAGTACAGTGCAACGCCCAAACTCCAGTTATATCCATATTTATAACGCCATCCATGTATTTGTCCTGCCGTATGAATCAACCGATAACTCCACATGCTATGTCCGCGTCGACCGTAGGCAAGTACCCTTGTAGGAAACAAATCGCTCAAAGAAGCGGTCTCGACAACAACCCGGAAAGCGAACAGCTCATTCAGATCCCGCGTTGAACTTTTGTCCAGCCGACGCAAATAGTTCCTGTTGTTGTCGCAGTAGTTCTTCTGCCGTCAGGCCACTCTGTTCCATTTTACTCGCTTTCTTTTCGCGCGTCTATACCGTCGTCAGTATTCGCCATATTCTTATCTGTCTTCTTTTCGATAGAGTTCCCACCTTCAAAGCTTCTTTGTGCTCCTCCGCAACAGCGAGAACTTCACTGATATAATCTCCAAACCCGAGATCCCTCAACGCTTTCTCGACATGTTCGCACGCGATGGTCTTTTTGGCTTCCTTTTCGCTGATATCGTTGGCTTCAGAGGAGATGAGTGTGATGAACTCGACGCAGCATTCCATCAGTAGATCGCGCGCGTCCTTGGCAAATGTTTGTCCGGTGGAGGGAGGGAGAATCTCGGTGATTATTTTTTGGACGGTTGCTATACATGTCAGCTACATCTGATAGAGGATATTGCTACGAAATACGTAGAAGGGGTATACATACCTTTTGGAAGCGATAGGTCGTCATTTGCTGTACGCGTCAGTCAGTATCTGCCACACGACAGACAACGAGCAGTAAACTTACTGAACTCGCGATCGGACATGATGTCTGAATATAGTCGCGTGTAATATCTGCTATCCGATAAAGAGTCGAAGTTGAAGCTGTCGCGGGGCTTTCTTATTCAGCCAGTGAAGCAACGCTAGGCCGTTTCCAGCGGCTCTCCACTTTTTCCCATCTTTTTATTTTCTTCCGAGATTTTTCTTTCTTTCTCTTCTCTACTCTTTTTACACTCAACATGTTGATTTTTCTCGACAATTATTAACATACACCCAGCTCATATGTAATTGGTATGTTCTTCTCTTCTTCTGTTACTCTATTCTATAAGATGAACTTTCGTGTCGCCCCTATCTTACAAAACCGTGGTGATTACCTGTCCCGCCAAAGGACTTTCTGAAGAATTTTCATTCAACAATATTTATCCCCAATGATTTCAATGAGGAGTTGCTAATACTTCTTGTCTATAGGTAATACGTACGTGCGACCCTTGATCAGCTTCCTGCTTGATTGAATGATGTCAAGAATCCAATGTACTATCAAATTCGGATTAGATATGATCGAACATCTCTATTCTGCTGATGCATTGCTTCTTATATTTTATCCATCACTGTGGAATGCTTGATCAGTTGTTGACTTGCAGGATTAGGCCTAGAAAAGCTTGATTTGCAAGTCGAGTGAAACTGTAATGTGAGTATATTCCTTCTCGATCTATCCCGACGCGTGATGATGCCATACATTCCATGCTAAGTATGAAGGTGCTTGCATCTAATGCTTATAATGTGTATCTGCTTTTCATCTTTCGGCTGATGTCATTGTTTAATGTCACAATTGATTGTCCATTCTATATGATCTATGCTGACTCGATTCGTTCATTAGTCCTGGAATGCGGCGAGGTCCTTATCGTTCCATCTGTATATCGTTAGTTATAGTCAATGCATATATCAACCATTCTTAAGAATCATGGAAAGTAAAGACTCACGATATAAACCTCCCACTCAACTCCTTCGGCGCATCTAGCACTAGCCTAGCCATCACATTCCCCGGTTGTTCCGGCTTCAACAACTTTCCATCTCTATGCGCCTCTTCGTATCTCGTAAACGACCCAGCAGGCACATCCCCTTTCTTTGCATGATCCTCGCGAATTTCTCGCTGCATCTCCGTGTCAACCATTCCCGGCCTCACGGATACACAAGTCACATCTGGCTCCTCTTGACTTAACGCCAACGCAAAATAGTTCAGAGCAGCCTTTGTAGCGCCGTATAATGCCCACCCTGTCGTTGCCGAGACCGCTGCTCCGGAAGATGTAAAGATGACTTTACCGTGAGATTTGCGTAAAGCCGGTAGAGCTGCTTTTGTCTGTATCAATATAGTCAGACCCTTTTCCCCTGCAGACTTAGAAGAAGAAGAAGAAGAAGAAGAAGAAGAGAGGAGGAGCGTACAAAAGCAACCAGACTAAACAAATTAACATCAAACCCTTCCTTCCACAACTCGGTATCCGCCTTCTCTATAACCGCTACCTGACCCAACACCCCATGATTCAGCACGAGACCATCTAATTTCCCACTGAATTTAGTGAGTGCTAGTTCGACCGCTTTCTCGCTGATGCTCTGGTCTGTCAGATCGCCCGCGATGTATTCGACGTTGTGAGGAAATTCGGCTTTGAGGGCTTGTAGAGGTTCGGCGCTGCGGGCGAGAGCGATGATGTTGTTTGGTGGGGTGGTGGTGAGGAGGTATTTTGATATGGCGAGGCCGAGGCCTGGTACTTTTAGTTTATGCTCTTCTTCTATGGGTAGGAGGGGCATACCTCGTGAAGCGCCAGTGACGATGATTGTTTTGGACATTTTGTATCTGCTGTGAAAGAGAGTTGAATTGAGATGGTAGAATTGGGAGGAGTTAAGCTGAGGTTCCCCACTCAAGCTATGTCAATGCCCTACATTCTTGCTGCTGCACACATTCGACTACGTCCTATGATGACTATAATGACTTCAACAAAAAGTTCTAGATGGGAACTGTATCATCAGCCAATCAATAGCTTATCAATTGACTCATCCATACCCACTGTCATGTCCATCTCGTTATCTGAGCACACCCCGCTGCGGGGGACGCCTTTCGACACGGCCATCGAACACTTCTATATCAACCTCCATGAACCCAGAGGAGAATCTAATCTGCTCTTGACAACTGACTACCCTATTGACACGTCAAAATGTCAACCGTAATCATCGGCGGCGGCATAATCGGCGCCTCAATAGCCCACTACCTCAGCATCAACGCCTCCCAAGACCACGAAATCCACATCATCGAATCATCGAATCATCTCTTCAGCGGCGCATCCGGCTACGCCGCTGGATTCATTGCCAAGGACTGGTTTGCGCCTGCTCTTGCGCCCCTGGGGAAATTCTCGTATGAGTTGCATAAACGGTTGGCAGCGGAGTATGATGGGAATCGGAGATGGGGGTTTATGCCGGGGACGGCGTTGAGTCTGGATGTTAATTCTCCTGATGGGACGACCGGGTATGACTGGTTACTTGATGGGAGTAGTCGTGCTTTGGCTGCGAGTGGAGAAGCGTCTAAGGAGTTGGAGGTTCCGGAGTGGTTGACCAAGCAAAAGGGAGCGCGTGTTGAGGTGATTAGTGGTGAGGATACTGTTGCTCAAGTGTGAGTTTTGAAACCAGTCCCTTTTGATGGATGTTATTGACAGGCTAGTGATCCCCTACGACTTTGTCACTTCCTACACGAAACGACCGTCTCCCACGGTGTCAAATGGCATTATCCTGCTCAAGTTGTCTCTGTGACCACCGATCCCACGACCAACCTCATCAGCAGCGTCACAGTGCTTAACTCCGAGACTCAAACGGAATATAACCTGCCCTGTCGAAATCTAGTGATCTGTGCCGGTCCCTGGTCAAGCTTGGTTTACAAAAACCTTCTGCATCACCAGAAGATCGACCGCTTATCTCTTCGTTGGCTGGGTACTCGTTGTTAGTGCGATCACCACGTCATACATTACTGCATGAACATGATCAATACAAGGGCAAAGCCCACGCCGTCTTCACAACCTTACCCGAAGAACACGGCGGTTTTAGTCCAGAGATTTGCTCCCGCGAAGGCGCAGAGATTTACATCGCGGGATTAAATAGCAGCGAAATCCCCTTACCCGCAAGAGCAGAAGGCTCAAAAGCGATCATGGACGAAAAACAAATGGCCCTCTTACGAAAAGTTGCCGTTCAATTCTTGGGTAAACTCGCATCATCAGAGGAAAGCATTGAAAACGAAGATGATTTGGAAATCATTCGTGAGGGACTGTGTTTTCGTCCCGTCTCGAATACGGGATTACCGATTGTTTCGCGTGTAAGAGATGAGTTGCTTGGCGATCAGATCAGTGTTAGGTCTGATCATACGGCGGTTGGGAGGGAGATAGGAGGTGTGTTCATTGCGACGGGACATGGTCCTTGGGGGATTTCGCAGTCGTTGGGCACGGGGAAAGTGATTGCTGATATGGTGGATGGTATTGAGCCCGAAGTTGATGTTAGTGGGTTATCTCTATGATCGTAAATCCGTAGCTGTTTGTAAATAGTAATTGTGGTGGATGAATGATGCGGAGATACGACGCGTCTTCCCCGCGTTCCATTATTCCTTTTTTTGTCGGAAAATTTGTACCTCTCTACACTACACGACACCATCCTCTGCGCTATTATTGAATTTCTTTTAGTATCAATCAACTAACAGATTCGTATTGAAATGGCGAATTCAATGTACGAAGGCAACTACAATGACAGCAACCGCGCATTCCTGCAAGCCTTCATGGCTCGATCAACCATGACCTTTGAAGAAGCCAAGCCAGTCCTAGCTGCTATCTTCTCTGCTCAAGGTATTCTCTCGTTCACTACTCTTACATATACAGCTAACACGAATATAATCGAAAGAAAACCGTCAAATCCTCGCCGAAGACATCACCCAAGCCGATCTCAACTCCTACATATCCGCCGCCAACAGCGCAATATCACCTTTTGACTTGGAAATTCGAAGCGCCAAACCTCAAATCGCTCTAGACAATAACTCCACTAATAATAATAATAATAATGGAAGTACGATACAGCTCGTCTACGCCCTCGTAAACACAACCAGCGACCCTCTCACACAACTAGCCACAAGCTACACAGTCGACGAAATCGCATTCGTGAAACGGTTACTCGACGCGATGTTCGAGACGTATAATACCCGTCGAAGCGAAGCGATGGTGTTGTCGAGTATACAAGCTTTACAATTAGCCAAAGTTTCTTCGTCTTCTTCGTCTTCTACGTCTGCAGAGAATGCAACGAATCAAGACGGCGCTGCACAGTCACTCACAATGCCCCAGGCAGAAACAATGTTGGCACGATTAGTTGAAGAAGGATGGTTCCAGAAAAGCGCCAAGGGATTTTATAGCCTTAGTCCCCGGGGATTGATGGAGTTGCGTGGTTGGCTGGTAGATACGTATAATGATGATGAGGAGGAAGGGAATAGAGGGAAAAGGATAAAGTTTTGTGCGGCTTGTAGGGATATTATCACCGTTGTATGTTTGTCTTTCTTTTCTATGTTTGTATTTGGTGGAGTACTGACGGTACAGGGTCAACGATGCGCCAATCGCGATTGTATGGGTCGATTACATGATACCTGTATCCGGAATTTCTTTCGAATGCAGCAGTCTGAGCGTTGTCCGGTGTGTAAAGCGGAGTGGCCGGGGAATAGGTATGTTGGTGAGAGGGCAATAACGACTACAGAGCAGTATATGCAGGGGAGAAGACGGAGTCAGAATACTGCTGCTGCTAGGCAGTCGGTGATTAATAGTCAGATCAATGGGGATGAAGAGGAGGAGGAGGAGGATGAGAGTTGAGTTTGGTCGAAAGTGTGTTGTTGCTGTGTATGGTGAGATTGGGATGGTATGCTTCCTCCTTTAATAGATGAGTTTTATGTTGCTTGCAGTACATATATGTATCATAGCATTTTCACTTGGGAGCTCTTTGGTGCCCAGCCTTCGACATAAGCGAGAAGTAGCAATCCTGGAGTGGCCGGAGACCTTATAGAGCTGCCCGATACCGCCATGGAGCGGTGTTTATCCTGAAGGTTCTCAAGGAAGTCGCCGAGATGTTCGGGATGACTTTTGACCTCGTCTTTCCATTCCATATATTAGTCCTCTTCAACGGCCGTACTATAGGGGAAGCCCGGGAGTACATTTCCTCACATCCATTTCGGCCTTGAGCACAGTTTCATAATGGTTGCAGTGGCACAAGACATGTCACCATTACCAGGGTCATGGAAAAGCTCTCTCTGTATGACGAAGTGCTCATTTTGAGCTCGTAGGAGTGAGTCAGACGCACAGGTCGTAGGGATTATTAGTAGCCACCAAGCTTCTAAGGAGCAATAGCTAGCCAAGCAATCTCCTAAAGTCAAAACGGCGAAACTTGCGAGTCATGTTCCAAGGTTGGCTCGAGTTTTATTCCTCAGCTTATACAGCTTCCTCTTTCAGTATGGCTGAACTTCATGAACCGGGGAATGAAGTTTGAAGTTTCAGCTCTGCTTTGCAATGCCCGTTCCACGTTATGAGAGGATCCTATTTTTTTCTTTACTGGGTCCAGCCACGTAGAAGAATGGACATTCCGTGCATTGCCCAAAGTAGCAGACGAATCACAAGATCTTAGTTCGTTGCTAGGTATTGTACAGAGAGTCAACTGAAGATATCTCTCTGGGCAAGGGTTGGTGAGCATGATGTCTAGCAAGACGCTAGTCATCTTGGATCTTGCACGTCCATGATGTTAGCTTTGTCTTAGCACTCGGATTTGTATATGGACACTGACCTTCCTGAGCAGGACACCGAGAAAAGCAACAGAAAACTCTAGAAGGAGATCGCCATCCGACTAACCTGTAATTTTCGTATTGACTTTGTACGGCATAAGCCATGGCGCCATGTGGCGTTTCCCCGCAATGTATATTCTATATTCTACCAGTACTCGGTACATGAACGATGCATACTTCAATACCCAGAAGTTTGTGCCGGAAAGTGTATTACTGGTATGTATGAATACATCTTAACAAAATTACCTATGCGTACGATGCATCGGGTATATGCACGGCCCGTATAGAATGCACATGGCAGTTAATAAACCAATCAGCGACCAAATTAAAATACATGCCGATCATAGCCGCGTAAATTACGGTCACATGGAGATGCTTTTGCGGAGTTTTGTGGGGAAGCTATACACAGAGCTATGTACGTCAAGAAATTTCTTCAGGATGGCTGGCTTATAAATCTAGCACATGTATTAGGAATCATTCATTATTCCTCGCCTCATCTACAAATACCCAGCAGATAGCCACGTTCGGGATCAGCACTGAGGTGATTGTACATATCTCAACTGAGTGGCGCTATGTATGGTGCAAAGGTGAGCCCTATTCTTCTACTTGACAATTACTATATGCTAATAGACATGCAGCTCCTCCAGGCCTTGTGCCTTCTCCCCCTTGTTTTAGGTCTCCCTCTCAACGACCGAGTCGACCAAGTCCTCAGATCTTATGGTCCGACTTCCGATCTGGAAGCTCGTAGTCGCAAGCCTGGTCATTACGAAACCTACGAGACCCAATTCCCCGGCGTAACCTGGGACCAACGAAACTGGCGTCTTCAAAGCACCGTTCTGGACCAAGGCCACTACGAATCCCGCGGCTCCATTGCGAACGGATACATTGGTCTGAACGTTGCTGGCGCCGGTCCATTCTTTGAGTTGGATATCCCTGTGAATGGCGATGTGATTAATGGTTGGCCTCTGTTTTCGCGCCGACAGACGTTTGCCGGGTTAACGGGGTTTTATGATTTGCAGCCTACCACTAATGGGACGAATTTCCCATGGTTGGAGCAGTACGGTGGTGATAGTGCTATTAGCGGTGTGCCGCATTGGGGTGGGTTGGTTCTGGACCTCGGGAATGGAGAGTATCTCGATGCTACGGTTGATAATTCCACGATTTCGGATTATACCACTACGTATGATTACAAAGCGGGTGCCTTGTCGTGGGATTACAAATGGACTCCCAAAAACTCCAACGGATCGTTTGATATTAGTTATAAGATCTTTGCCAATAAGCTGGATGTTAATCAGGCTGTTGTGCAATTGAGTATTACTCCATCGGCCAATGGTTCCGCATCCGTGGTGAATGTCATTGATGGATACTCCGCTGTGCGAACGGATTTCGTCTCTTCGGGAAATGAGAGTGACCTTGTCTATACTGCTGTCAAGCCTATCGGCGTTAGCAATGTGACTGCTTGGATATACACTGCTCTGGACGGAGACGATGCTTTTGATTTTTCGTCAGCAACTCTTGTCAACGACAAGCCCTACGTGCACCAGAACGACTCTTCGATTGCGCAGTCTGTCAATGTCAATTTCACTGCCGGTAGTACTGTTACCATCAACAAATTCGTCGGCGCAGCTTCTACGGATGCATTCCCTGACACTCAAAGCACCGCCAGAGAAGCTGCCTTGGCTGCTCGTCGCAGAGGCTTTGACGATCTCTTCCGTTCACACGTTTCCGAGTGGGCCCAGGTCATGCCTGATGACTCTGTCGATGACTTTACCCTTGCAAACGGCACTTTACCCGACGACAGGTTCATTATCGAATCTGCAATCATGGCCGTCGTCAATCCTTACTATTTGCTGCAAAACACGGTTGGCAAAAATGCCCTTCGGCGAGTAAACAATGCCCCCGTCAACGACTGGAGTATCCCCGTGGGTGGTCTGACTTCTGATTCTTATGCTGGTATGATCTTCTGGGATGCCGATGTCTGGATGCAACCTGGCCTGGTGGCCGCGTTCCCAGAATCTGCCAAACGCATCACCAATTATCGAGCAGCAAAGTATTCGCAGGCTCTCGCCAATGCTAAGACGGCCTATACAAGTTCTCAAAATCAGACCTCGTTCTCGTCTGATGCTGCAATCTACTCGTGGACAAGTGGACGGTACGGTAACTGTACTGCCACAGGTCCATGCTGGGATTATGAGTATCATCTGAACGGCGACATTGGCATTTCTCTGGTTAACCAATGGGTTGTCAGTGGTGATACCGAAACCTTCCAAAACGTCCATTTCCCCATATACAACTCCATTGCGTCCTTGTATGGGGATCTGTTGAAGAAAAATGGAAGTTATTATACGCTTACCAACATGACTGACCCTGACGAATACGCCAACAATGTCGACGCCGGTGGATATACAATGACTCTCATTTCACAGACGTTGGCCAATGCAAACGCGTTCCGGAAACAATTCGGTTTAGATGAGAACACGACCTGGACAGATATGGCAGAGAATGTGCTTGTGATTCGAGAGAATGACGTGACGCTCGAATATACGACTATGAACAACAGCGTCGCTGTCAAGCAGGCCGATGTGATTCTGTCAACGTTTCCGTTGGATTATACTAAGAACTACACTACCAGCGATGCTCTCAAAGATCTTGACTATGTATGTCCCCTTCATCCGAATACTCGACTATTGCTAACTAGCATCCATAGTATGCATTGAAGCAATCCCCTGACGGCCCCGGCATGACCTACGCCATCTTCTCCATCGTCGCCAACAAAGTCTCCCCCTCCGGCTGCTCAGCCTACACTTACGCCCAATACTCCTACGACCCTTATCTCCGCGGACCATTCTTCCAACTCTCCGAACAACTACTAGACGATTATGCCACTAACGGAGGCACGCACCCCGCCTATCCATTCCTCACTGGCCACGGCGGCGCAAACCAAGTTGTTTTGTACGGCTACTTGGGCCTTCGACTCCTACCAGACGACGTTCTTCACATCGATCCGAACCTACCTCCTCAAATCCCCGGCGTTAAATATCGTACTTTCTACTGGCGCGGATGGCCGATTCAAGCTGCCTCGAACTACACACATACCACGATCCGGCGTGCCACTGAAGTTGCCCCATTATCGACAGCGGATAAGGTCTTCACAAATAAGAGTATCTTTGTGGAAGTGGGACAGGACACCATCAACTCCACAACATACTCTTTACCTGCAAACGGCTCAAGCATAGTCGTCCCCAACCGCCAAATCGGAACCATCAACACCGTCGCAGGAAATATCGCTCAATGCGTCTCGGTAAAGTCAACAGGTACCTATCAACCAGGCCAATACCCGATTTCTGCCGTCGACGGCGCAGCATCTACGAAGTGGCAACCAAAATTTGCAGCGAATATAAGTTCTGTAACTGTTGATTTAACGGGCAGCAATGCCAGTTTTGTCTCTGGGTTCTATTTTGATTGGGCTCAGGCGCCGCCTACCAACATCACGGTCATGTTCCATAATTCTTCCTCTGAGGCCACAACTTCTTCGCGCGGTGGATCAGGAGGTTCGATGGTCTCCCTGAATATCACAATCTCTAAACCGTACAACGCCTCCTCCGCCGCCAACGATGCGAATATCATCTCCTTGCCGACTAGTAATACAACAAACTACACGTTTCTGGCACCGGTACCAGTGCCGAGATTCGCGACGTTGTTTGTGCAGGGGAATCAGGCGTTGGATGAGACGGATAGGAGGTTTGGGAATGGGACTGGGGCTACAATTGCGGAGTGGGCTATTTTGAGTTGATTTGTTTAGTAGTAAAGTAGATGATGGATGAGTGTGTGTATATCTGTATATTTAGATTTGTAGATAGTTTTCTATGACGTAGTGCTGATAATTGATAATTGATTGATTTGTACATATTTGTTGGATGTAGTTGAGACTTTCCGAGATGGACGTAAACAGGATGAATTTGTCTTCCATAGTCTTGCAAGAGTGAAATCTGGTCTAGTGAAATGTAATAGAGCTCGATGAATGAATTCGGGGCCTTCTCTGATCTGTATATCTAGAAGTCACGGAGATACTTGGGATCCAAGTGCCTATTGCGGCATACAGATAACATGCATGTAACAATTTAGGGCTGATTAGGGCTTGCCCCGGATATCTGATTGCGCGCCGTATTGATTCCCTCCACGTTAATATTTGCTGAACACTTATTCAAGTTGTTTACCAATACAGGAGATTCTAGAGGTATTTCGAACTGGACTTTGTTGTGTAGTGCCGAATAAAAATCTCCAGATGAACCAGAACCGTTGCCGGGATGACTGCTACCCAGGTTCGTAGCTTCAAGCCATCATGTGGCTTCAGGCGTGGACTGTTGGAATAAATTTAATACTATTCTACCAAAACGGGGACCACCCCAATAGGGTTTCTCTGGTAAGTGATATTTGAGATGTTCTATAGGCTCATATTTCCATCTGGGCAACGGGCATGGGCCTTTTTATGTCTCCGTACTGGTTAGATTCTCATGATACATGTTGTATTGTTGGTTTGATCTCCGTTACATCAAGAACAAAAATATCGATTTATTTGATTACTAGCAACCGGTACTATTTTTGCAAAAGATAAGACTGCTCAATATATACAGAAGGACTTTTGTCTGCCACAACCAGCCTTGCAGATTCAACCACTGTGAGATTTGCCGAGTTTGGATGTGATTACTCGCTTAGAAAAAGAAATTTGGAGTACAAGGGTAACCGGGAAGTCTCCGCCTCACGGATAGGCATATCAAGAACGTGACTTATATTCATTATGAATCCTATTCAGGTAGCCCCTGACCAACACACCAGAACCATCAGCCGCTCCGTACCTCCTGAGGCGGGGTCTTGTCTCTTCCACTGGAGTAAAAATTAGCGGCGAAAGAGACCTACAATCCTTTTACAGTCAACATCACATTATAAGATGGCAAATAAAATAACATACTACTTCTATACCCAACATGGGATGTCCCTCCTCCCTTAAAGGACCCATAAGATTGGGAGATCTGGTTTCATCGTTGAAAAGGTCTGAAGTACCACTACATATGGCACCAGTCCCGAGTACTGACGATAAGGATCATGGCTCAGAGGTCTATTCAACGTATAAGAATGATGTGCAGATATCGACGGAAAAGACTTGACAGGGGAAATTTGCTATATTAACGAAGGTCTTATCTGTATTGGGACAGAAGGTATTTATCTATATCATAATCCAGCTGTCTGATTGTTCTGTTGCATTTATTACTTTGATTATTTGATGAAAACCACTGGTATGATGTTAGGGACGGGGAAACCCTAAATTCGACACGATAACAACAACTTAGTTCCACCCAACCACATCCTACATTCAAGAACACTGCGTCAACGCTTCTGAAACTGTACAATAATGGCTCGAGAGATCCCACTTCGGAATACCTCTGTATCTGATAACGGGTCTGAAAATTGTCACTGGCACAAAATCCGCCGAAACGCACACCACGCATGGAAGCGGAGACAGCGTCTCAACGACGGTTGACAGCACGATCTGTAGTGGTAACACTGTACCTCTCGGCGATGGACCGGAGATTGAAGTCTATGAGACTGAGAAGAAAGGGGTGAGTTGGGATGGTGGAGGAGATCTTGTGCTTGCATTTAGAGTTAAGTAGTTCAAGGTTGGGAGGAAGAGGAATGAGGATGTTAGGTAAAAGGATTGGAGGAAAGAGGCTGTATTGGAATATGAAGCAGAGGAGGAGAGGAAGGGAGGATATGAATTGATTGTTGAAAAGGAGGAGGATGAGATTGAAGTTGCGGATTTGGAGGGTATATGTGTCAGTGAAGGTGATGAAAGTGTTTTCGTTGCTGTGCCGAAGATCGGTAAGAGTAAGGGCTGAGTGAAGATATAGTGTAATATTCATGTAGAAATATCGTTGAATCAGAAAATGGAGCAGAGGAGAAGGTGAAATATTGAAATTTTTGCATATTAGAATATGACATAACTCTAGGGGATTTGTAGTCTATTTATATTTGGGATCTTGCTGTATATGCAAATTTAATCCCAAACGTAATCCATGGATTCAAAGATCTTTTATAGAGAGATTTCAAACATATGGAAGAGGAGGAGTTGAATGTTATAGGACTTCCTGTTAAAAAAAACACAGCTATATACTACTGACTCAATAAATCACGAAGGGTACATTTTATAAACCCTGCTCCTTTCCAAACAAATTATCTGAATATTAACTCAGCGCAATATAATAATAGCCATCCCTCAATCTCGATTATTGTGTCTTTTTAGTAATTCTTCGTAAGACAGCTTTCATTGCCGACTGCCGTTTTAGCATGTGCGTAGCAACGGAGACTGCTATCGGCATCGCGAATGACGTTCCCGATTTATGCTTTGTGACTACAGAGTTGTTGAGCTCACATGATATCAAGGGCATGAAGACTCGACTACTTCCCCGACTGTAACGAAATTGAGTGCATCTGACAACGCCGTAGGATTGAAGGATGACCCATTCACATTTGCGTAGAATGGGCACATATGACATTCTCGTCACGGGCTGGATAGGGACAGTGGAGATTTCCATCGCTGTTAGAGGCTACTGCAAACAAAAGGATATGTTCGGAAAACGCTTTGTGAATCGCAGTTTCGAGCTTTTCGTATTCTTCGATATCCCGCGAGGGGAAGCTAAAGAACATTCATCTTATGTCCACTTTCCATTCATCAACGGCATAGTCAATTGCCTGTCTTGAAAATTAGTATTTTTTACTTTCAGGTAGAATGGATATACCCTTGCAATATTCCCAGAACTGCACGGATTCCCATCTGATATTTTAGCTATATACAACTCCGCATCGTGCACATATTCCAAAAACAGTCCCGCAATAAAGATTCCATGTTTGTGGTAATTGTCGACAGGCTGAGGGAATTTTTCATTGGTACAGTTGTGCTGCCTCTTGATTTGTTCGATGCATGCATCAATGTCTGGAGGTGTTTGATCTACACCGGTGTCGAGAATCGCTATCTTGACGGGGGATTCGGGTGCTTCAATAATGTATTGTTCGTACTTCTTTGAAGCGATGACGCCAGTTACTGCAGTTCATGCAGCTCTTTATATTTCATAATTAGTCTGCTCTTGAACAGACAGAGTGATGTGTTTTACTCACGCTTGGGCGGAATGCTACTCTGAGACAGTCTCGTCATCGAAGAACTGCATTCTTCTGTTATCTAAATGACTCAACTGATTTCCATTGTGTAGAGATATTTGCTGAGGGATTTGGTATGAAAAGGCGTCACATATAGTGGTATAGCTAGTTGTAATTACCCCGAAAACAAATACTGCTCCTGTTTCGTAGATAGACGCAATTTCGCTCGATGACTTGGGTGAAGAGCAGTAACTTGCTGGATCTAGGTGACTTGTCTCCAGCTTGCAATATCCAGTGACTGCACAACGCAGTCCAGACCTTCAATAGGAATATAACTGAATGCAAGATTCAGTTCGTCCTTGTTCCTGCATTTGGAAAATACCATTTGTGCGTTAACGATCTTGCTCGGCCACTTAGAAGGATGCTGTATCTTTCTGCTAGCTAATCAAAAGGTGTGGCTAGGTACAATTAGATCAACACGATCCCTAAATTGACAAGATGAGGGCACTGGTGTGGAATGAGGTCGTTTGGGTCTACGTCATCTGGATCAAGGTCATCCGGATCAATGCAATGTATGCCATGAGAATCTGAGTATTTGGCATCATCTTGGACAAGCTTTGTCTGGATAAATGGCTTCAATGGAATGGACGCCGACGTAGTGTGAAAGAATAAGATGTTCGAGTGACCCCAGATAGAAGACGGCAAACAGCGTTGTTTCGTGAAAATACAAGACCGTATAACCAATAATCACGGCAAGAATACGCTTAGTCTTGTCTGTTAGCAATTGGTATTGATCTTGGATAAACTGCTGTAACGATATAGGCTCCTCTCTTACATCAATAGCATAGTAACACTTTTTCGGATTGCAACTTCCACAGTCGCCCACCATCATCGATCCTCAATCTGATGCGATCAGTTGGTTTTCTTTTCTTGATGGGTTCGCATAGATGTTTTACTTTCATTTGGCGGAATCTCTTCACATTGCCAGTGTTGCCCTTGATGAATTTGATTGCTCTACTGGTGTCTGCAACATTCACATTTGCCTCATGCCATTCTTCCTGTATCCAGAGGAAGATTTCAAAGCCGTAGTCCGAGTCACCGGCATCTGTCTCATTGCTAGGTTGTTTTCGAAATGTATTTAGGAAAAGTATCACGCCCACATCATGCATAGGTCGCATTCACATTCTTTTGTCTCTAGCAGAGCCCTGATCAATACCTCGGAGGCATTCCAAACTGCATATGAAGGTTGCTCCCTGTTCTTGGTTTAGGGTGAATAGCCATCATCCAATAGCGAAGGATCATCTGGGAATTGTTCTGCAATATTATCTTCCCAGATTTCCATGCACTCAATCAACGTACCATGCTGATTAGTGCTGCATTCAAAGTCGATGTATTTCTGAAAGAACATAGTTAAGAAACATCACCATCGACTTCGTGTGATAGCCGCCTGTGACTCTTCTAGATGAGAGGAAGTTATAGCTGTGCAACACTCGCTTCAGCTCAGCACAACGGTCTATGTTATTTAGTCGGATCGGGTCGCTCTACCATGCTCATCCCCCTTTCTGCAACCGTGTATTTGACTTTATCTTGAAGACTTCTGTCTTGAGACAGCTAATTATTTTACCGTAGGTAGGTCATCTGATACCTGGCGTCCATTTTTCAAATGAGTTCTGAGCAGACTATCGCGGAAGCGGCTGGGCTCTCTTTCAATTCCTTTCAAGAATGTCTGAAAACAGCGGCTGTAACGAGTGCTCAAGCCTAACAAATCCTATTGAGAGGGTAGCGGTGTTGATGGAGGAAACTAAGCATGAAGAGGGAAACTGTCTACCTAGGGGAAACAGTTTGTAATTGTATTTATCGGCCTCCATCCTCATACAAATCTCTAATGACTGGCCGGTATCCCAATATGGAATCAATGCGTATCAAAAGCAAAGAACAATGCTGATTGATATCACACTTATTGACGGATCTCCATACAAGAATTCACAATCAATAAGGGGTGTGCTGCGCCAAGCCTGTAGAAACTAGAGCCAGCCGTCACAGCGGCGTCCATCTCCTTCCGAGAAATGTCGCGGGTCGAAGACCACTTCGCGAGACTCTCTCTGTGGACAGCAAATATTGGACTCATTGCTTCCGGACGAGACTCGTTAGACCATCGTCTCATGGAGGCGGAAGAAGTTCATGAAGTTATCTTGGGTTGTTGGAGGCGCTGAACAACGGAATAAAAGGGTGTGAGTATGGAGATCAAAATCAGGTAGTGCAAACCAGGCGCATCATCTGTAAACGTGCAATGTAACAATGCCCACCATGAGGAAAACGAGGAACTTTGCAGTGGAATGCTAGATAGATGTATTGAAGGACTTGGGAAGCAGATAACCCTGCTGCACCGTCTATCAGATACTATTCGCGAAGCCAGCAGTAAAATCCAAAACGTCAAAGACGCCAAGACTTTCAAGATTCTGGACAAAGGAAATGACGTGGAACCGCTACAAGAAGTTATTTTTACTAATACTGTGCGCGACAAATTCCCGAGCATCGAAGAACAAACAGGAAGCGCGGATGCCACAGCTTCAGGCCATAGGAATTCTGCTGCAACAGTTACTCCCCCAGCCCGAGTTCAAGACTCAAATCAAACCTTAACTCCCAATCAACTCGAGCGAATACGGAGATTTGTTAAGATTCTTGAGGAAGATCTGGTTGCCGAGGATTATGAGCAGTAGTAGAAATATCAGTTGTACGCTCCCCTTTGAGGATTGAAATATCTTGTTGGAGCGTTCTCAACGTTCTTGTCCTTGTGCTTGTCATCTAGGAAACTATCTAAGGAGTGAGGTGTTCTATCCCGTACGGATAAATATCGGCCCGAAAGCTATAATCTTTACAAGATTCAAGTTAAATCAGTCGACCACCTGCATGGCCAACGTCCCCAAAATTAAGAAAGGCATGAGTCAGTCGGACTGAATGACAAAGAAGCCAAAGCTACTCGTGATCAACTAACGCTGGAACTCCCTGAATCCGGAGATGAGATAATATCAATTGAGCCTAGGGGCAGAATAATAGACTCTGGCACAAGTACGCCTAAGCAAATCCCGAAAGAGTTCTCTAAAGACCCAAAGCCATCCGAACCGAAGCTGGATATAGAAGTATAACCGCGCCCTGATTTATTGAGGAATACTGCTACGGCTCACGATGGACACATGTTGGACAAGGGTAAACATAAGAGCACAGAAGTGGATGTAGAGCCATCCATAGGATTGGATAGCCGTCTGAGTATCACAGCGATAGAGCCGGAACGCCGAAAAGCTACATCTAGTGTTTGAATAGCGATCTTACGAATCACTATACGGCGCTGTAGCACGCCGTCAATTCGTACGCGAACTGGTCGGGATTACTATTCTCCGTGCGCTAGAGCGACCAACACCATATAATGTATCTAGGCACCCCGCCCCCCCCCCCTGTTTCGGGGGTCAGTCTTTTAATATTACATTTCGTGCTATATAGCAAGGCTCACCACGTAGGGCAGTTGGATCGCCCTAGCTTACGATATCCTACGCTTCGTGATACGGGACGTAGCTAAACCAACATCTAGTCATGCCCTCAAATACCATAGACAAGGCAAAATACCGATTAAGCAGAGGAAAGAAGTTGATCATGTTTCTGACCTTCCTGCAACCGGCACTGTTCCCGAAGCCGCATCTCGAGAAGGTCTAGCAAGCGGGCCAATACTTGCCAACTACAATGGTAATCTCCCCACGAACCTAGATAAAGCTGTTTTGGATGATATGATTGGGCGTCTCCCTACTTCACCTGGTTTATCGTCAAGGACGCTATGCCTCAGCAACGAGGAGATAATAACGCTCTGTATGGTGTCGCGAGATATATTCCTTTCACAGCCTGTGCTGCTGGAGTTGAAGGCTCCTATTAAGATTGTCGGAGGCATCTATGGGTAGTACAACGATGTCATCAGAATGTTTGATTTGTGCGGCTACCTATCTAACGCTAACTATCTATTTCCTGGTGACCACGTCGATCGTGGCAAACTCGGGTTAGAGACAATTCTTCTCCTGCTTTGCTATAAACTGAAATACCCGGAAAAGCTTCTTCCTGTTGCGTGGGAACTATGAATGTGCCAATTTCACTCGTGTTTATGGATTTTATGATGAGTGCAAATGTCGGTGCAGCCTTAAGATCTGGAAGACGTTCATCGATGTTTTCAACTGTCTCCTAGTGGCAGCTATCGTCTCCGAGAAGATCGTTTGTGTCCACGGTGGACTATCGCCCTCTCTTCTAACATGCATGGAGGATATTTGTGTAATTAATGGCCCCACTGATATACCTGAGTATGGTATCCTCAATGATCTTCTTTGGAGTGGCCCGGCAGATATGAAAATTATTGGGCGGCGAACGAAAGTGGTGTAAGTTATATATTTGGCGAAGGAGTGATTTAGAACTTCTTAATGTAATATAATCTTGACTTGATAATATGCCGCACTCACATGATTGTTGAGGATGGCTATGAATTTTACGACGACCGCCCGCTTGTTACTATATTCACTGCTCCTAATGTAAATGACTGCCCTTGTACCTCGTCACCCGATTCTCCCTAATGAGGGCTTTTTCAGTACTGCGGAGAGTTTGATAATTGGGAAGCAGTAATGTCTGTGTCTTAAAAGCTTCTCTGCTCGTTTGGATTACTGAAGCCCCTATCAACGGAAACAGAACCTGCTACTCAAACCGAAACAAAAAGGATGAGTAATCAAACGAAGACTTGATGTATTTATATTGCCTATCTCTCCATAATCATAGAGGGCGGTGAAAGACTTCCAACATATCCACGCTGGATTTAGGCATTGGAAAGAGAACGAGGAAATAGACTAAGTCTCATCTTAGGGGGTATCTGTCAACACAAATGAAATATTAGATGGTTTATTGTCAATTCCAGCATTGTTTCTTGACATTTAAATTGAAAAATGTTCGTTCCTTTCCCTTTAAACGATAACACAGTGCTTCTTCTGAGACGATAGCAAATATTGCCCGATAAGGTAATCACTTACCATTTGAGGAAGGTTCTACTTGTAGGGCATCCGAAGTAGTCTCGTCCGTATTCTTTCCTTTCTACGAAAGAATTAGTCAACAAATACACAGATGCAATTATCCCGACAATCTGGGGACTCAAATATCCTGATGAATTTATCCGGTTGATCATTGAGCCATCAGTGTAACCCCGCATTTATGACCTCGGGGATATACATGAAGAACAACTGGCGGATAAATTATACGCCTTTCTATAGAAATGACTCCACTAGTATGGTCAGATATTCTACATATAAAATGGCCGGCTCACATCCTAACCGGACATTAAGTGCTGTCTAAAGGTTGTTGTTTTATATTCGGTCACAATGAAGTTTTTCGTTCCTGCTCTTCTGGTTGCCGCAGCGATTTCCCATCATTCCATTGCTTGCACCACTGACGATGACTGTAATCTCAACGGTATCTGTCAGCAAGGAAAATGTCATTGTGATCCAGGATGGACAGCTTCTGATTGCGGCCAGTTAGATCTTCGTCCAGCAACAAGGTACACTGGCTACAATCGGACGGCTGAAGGAATCTCGTCATGGGGCGCCAAGATTATACATGACCCATTTGACTCCAAGACATTTCACCTGTTCATGGCAGAATTTGTGAATGGATGCGGGTTGAACTATTGGAGTCCATATAGTAGAGTGATCCGGTCAACATCTTCAACTGGTCCCGAGGGTCCCTATCATTTCGATGGGGAAGTCGTGGGAACATTCGCACATAATCCTACCGTCGTGTACAGTGAAGCGGACCAATTGTACATCCTCATTCACATTGGATGTCCTGTCACAGTGGTGCCTGAAGGCTGCTCATCAACTGCACCATTTAGCTGTGGACCAGGCAACACATATGCTGGGGACAGCGGAATCAGTGCTTGGTCATCCACGGATTTGAGAAACTGGACGTCTCATGGCCAGGTGATGCCAGGAAATGCGAACGGAACGTGGGATTCGGATACCACAAACCCGTCACCATTCCCCCTCTGGTCTGCTAATGATCATACTGATCAGATGCTCATGGCATACCGCGGTTGCATCTGGAATTGTGCCAATGGTCTTGAACATATCGGTATAGCAGTGGCCTCTAACTTCACTGGGCCTTATACGCGTGCTCATGGCCAACCTATCATCACCGAAAATACAGAAGACCCCTTCTTATGGCGGGATAAACGAGGAAACTTCCACATGCTCGTTCACTCGCTTGATTCCGGTGACGGACTCGGCCACGGTCCTAATGTTGGTTATCATGCATATGCGCGCAATTGGGATGGAGAATGGACTTATAACAATAATACGCTGGCTTATAGCACTTATGTCTCATTCACTGATGGCACGGCAACGAACTACTCTCGAAGGGAGAGGCCACAGCTGTTCTTTAGCGAAGATGGGAATCAGACGCCTCTGTTTATTGCTAATGGTGTCCAGGAGGTGGATTCTCCGCAGAGTTATACTATCGTGCAACCTATCGGGGATGGAGCGAAGGAGTACATCAAGTCACTAGGGTTTTAGAGATTCAATTGTAAAACACAATTGCATGTGGAATTCGTCTTTTATCTAAGCATATTAGAATGCACCTCAGTCTAGACCTGGTCTTCTAGCACCCTTTCTAGGTAGAGAAGCAAATTTACTGATGACACCGAGTCGCTGGTCAACATTTATGCATTTAAAAGACCTGGGTTTATATTGAGTGAAGATGGGCTATATACTCTGGTATCTAGATATATGTACAGTATATGCATGTCCTGAGTTTCAATGCATACGTACTCAGCCACGTAGAACTTCCTCCGTCGTCTTCACGAGAATATCAAATGCTCGTAACGTGTGGGCTTCATCAGCCTGCGGACTCACGCCAACAACTCTGATCACATATATACCGGCGATCACACTCGAAGTGAGAAATACCTCACCACGAGAGTTAATCAACTCATATACTTTCTTTGTGATTTCATTCGCTTTTTCGTCGACTTGCGCGACTCCATGCTTGGCGACCTCACTGGTCCCGTTGTCGCCATTTGTGCCGTTAGATGTAAAAGCAGAAGACGCAGCACTGCTGCGAACGCGAAGCACAGTTAATGCGAAAGCAGGCTTTGTGACAATCTCAAACAGTTCCGGTCGACTTTGAACCTTTTCGGCGAAGAGGTTGCCGAGTTTGATACCCTTGCGGATGTGTGCTTTCATGCCGTTTAAGCCATAACTACGCATAACAAACCAGATTTTCAAGCTGCGGAATCGTCGGCCGAGCGAGATCTGCCAGTTGCGGTAGTCGACTACCGTGCCTGTTTCAGAGTAGGGGTTGCGAAGGTATGCTGGGGTGATATCAAGGGCGTTGGTAAGGTCGGTTCGGTTGCGCACAAACAGACAGCTATTTGTTTTGTAATGAGTATCCTGAGTATGTTTTATGGCCAAGGAGAAAAGCATACCTTGCATCAAAGTTCACTAATAACCATTTGTGCATATTCATGTTGAAACTGTCCACTCCTTCGGCAAAATTTTGCGCAATATGTTGGTACTCATCTTCCACCAAGGCAGCACCTGCATACGCAGCATCGATATGCACCCATATCCGCCTCCAGGATTCCCTCTCATTCAAAACAGCCTTGAGTTCCGCAAATCGATCAACAGCGCACGAATTAGTCGTGCCCATAGTAAAGTTAATAAAGAAAGGTACCAGGCCTTGCTCCTCTTCAACTTTTGTCAAAGTAGCCCGCAACGACTTCGCTGTCAACTCCACATTATCCTCTAAACTAGTGGGGATACTACGAAACCTCGTACCAGCAACCAAAGCAGCCTTAGCAACACTGCTATGAGCCTGATCGCTACTGAGAGCAACAAGTTTAGCACGATGTGCACACATATGATCTTCATATTCGGCCGAGCCGTTGTCCTTCACACCCTCAGCGAAGGTAAGTTCGCGCGCGCGTCGTTCACGCGCAGCAATCAGCATGGTCGCCACGGACTCGCTAGCGGTACCCTGAATAACACCTCCACCACGATTCTCCGATGTACTAAGAAAGCACTTCGGTAACCCCAACGCTTTCGCGACCCAATCCATAACAATCGATTCCAGCTCCGTGCAGGCCGGAGAACATATCCAATTGAAAGCTGGCGCAGTGAAAGCCGCCGAATACATCTCACCCAATATGCTAGGATATGTCACCGAAGCCGGGAAAAAAGCCATGAAGTTCGGCGACTGCCAGTGCGTCAGACCCGGCTGAATCTTTGATTCGATATCTGCCTGTATTTCGGACCATGGCTGTGGCTCAATGGGTGGATTTTCAGGAATTTGGGGACGAAGATAGCCGGGTTCAATGGTAGGGAGGACACGACGCTCCGGTAGAGAATCGAAATGATTTATGACTGTTTCACAAAGCAGATATAGTTAGCTTTGTGTCACACAAATGACTTGCATATGTAGATAAGAGCCGATTGTGTGACATGGGAAGGGCTTTGTGTGCGGGGTGATACTGACTGTCATCAATGGCTGCATGCGCTGCCGCGCGGAATTGTTCTCGGTCCATTGGCTGCACTTCTATATATAGAGTTTATATGTATATATATGTGTGTCTATAGAGTTTCATATAATATAGAAGATAGGACTTTGATTAGTCGGTCAATTGCACACATTCATTGCGATCTCGAACATATTTAAAAAAGGTGACCAGATTAGATAAGCCTTCGGAATCTCGGAAATTTCCGTTGCGGGGATTCGGAACAAAAGGCGCTATACTTCAATAGGTATAATGAACTAACTAGATCTTGACTAGCGTCCATCTTTTTCAATCTTTTCCCATCCTTCTCTACTTTGATTTGACCACATCTCGTACCATGTCATTCAAAGGGCGTGTCTTTCTTATAATGATTATTATTCTACCAAAGTTGATGGTAGTGTGAGTCACAGATGACATATAATTACAAATCCATATACCAATACGGCATTGGGGTTGGAATGACTACAAGCATAAGGACGACAAAGCCAGCTTTCTCGACAAGATCTCCTCGTGGGACAATAGCCTGTGCACCGGGAAATCATACTCCTGTTGGAACCGTTGTAACTCGTTTTGCTAGCTTTTTTGTATAAAGCTCGCATTATGACTGCAAAGTTGACTCTTTTCACATCTATCCTTAAGCAGATTGGCGTATTTGGAGATCTAACACGATAGCAATAAGGGTGAAGAAACGTTATAATTATATCACTCTACCAATACTACATATTCTATGGCTCTTGCTGTGTGTGGCATCACGGTCCCATTTGCATCCAAACTCCCTATGAGCGCTGTCCACATCTCCATCCGGCTTTGTCTGAGATATCTTGCGCATTTCAATAGGTATGCAGTTTGTTCAGATCAGAGGTATATAAACACCATCGCACTAATCATGACACCCCTCCTGCTCAATCCTTTCCTGAGGCTCCCTAGTCTCATACCTCTCCTCATACCACTCCTCATCCATCCTCTTCCCAGCAATAACCAGCTCCTGCATTGGCAGAAATACAAACAACACCCGGCACCATCTTGAATCGCTTCTATTCCGAAATGAATGTGCTGTGCCTCTCTGTATGGTAACATCTCCCTGCCGAAGTGTCCTCTTTTGACCACTATCCAAGACGAGGTCCACCTCCCCTTCCAAGACGATTCCATAGTCAACAGTCGTAGTTCTATGCATGGGCGTCTCTTTTAGTGGTTGCATATCGATTACGCGGAACATTGTCCCTAGGCTTGGCGTAAGACCCGGAGGCATGTGTAGGTAGGAATCATATACGGCGACATCGACCTCGTTCTGGCATTGGACCGGAAACGTATCTGTTGCGTATAACAGGGCAAGCTCGCCATCTTCACCTGCGGAGCGAAAAGGTGCGCATTCTGGGACTTGGCTGCCAGAGAGAAAGATTGCTTCGCCGTCGTGGTTGTGCGTAGTAATATACCGGTGGACTCGGGGGAAGCCCTTGCGGCGCTGGTCGACCATGTTAGTGCTCATCGTGGAAGGTAATATATCTTGCGACGCATTTAAATCTTGTCTGTGCAGAAAATTGACGAAATACTTTCTGTATTGTATACAGGATAAGGTTGTTGATGTTGCGAGTGAGAATGTCGCCTCTGAATGATATCATCTTTAAGTTTGACATTGTGGCACCTTAGGGTTCGGGCCCGATGAAGCATGCTCACAGCCACCTGGAATAATCACCAGCAGCAGATAAATTAGTCGACTCTCATAGCATAAATTTGACATGGCAGAAATATCACACAGCGGGTGCTGTCTCAGTTAGGTCGGATAATAACCCCATCCACTCATTAGGGCTACCCCCCATCATAGAACCGTTATCCAGAAACTCAGACCACATGTTCTCTAGATCACACATATCCTCAGTGGCGTTGATGGCAAAGGAGGCATTATTTCCCACATCTATTGAAGGGTACAAGGCTGCCGATGAAGAACCTTCTTCTGTTCTTCTTAGCGCCCCAGTATTCTCAATCTCCTGCGTCGACTGGACAACCGTTCCTTGGTGCACAGGATACTCTGTGTCTTGCGAAAGTGGTAAATGATCACTTGAGACAGACCGACAGCGACTTTGCAAGACTTCTGTCATAGCATTGATACCCTCGCGTACCAGTCTCGAATTTCTCTGAGCTTTATCGAGCATGCGACACGCCTCCATAATCTCTTCTTTGCGCCGATCAGCTAAAATATCATCCCAGTTGAAGCATACATCCATCAGCAATATTATTACTGCCATGAAAACATGATGCATAACAGACCAGGTCGTTGAGACACTCGGTGTATTTGGAAATTCCTTGTCCATCATTCGTTTAATTTCGATAACACGTCGCGCAGCCTGAAGACACATCATGTGCGAGTAAGAGTATGCAGGATCCTTGGCTCCACGGATGAAATAGCTGCGATGTAAGCGACATAAACGTGAATGATGTCCTTGCTGAAGCAACAACCGTTGCCATGCAATTTGCGGCGAACTTGCATAGAGTTGAGCATATTTGCGTCGAGTGTTAGCATCTAATCGAAAGAACTCTGGAAGCTCTTTGTTGTATTCATGCCATTTTTGGTCAAGTTCCATGATTTTGCTATAAGGAATATCCACACCTTCCAAACGCTCACGACAGGTATAGTCGACTATATCACGACAGTAGGTGGCTAGTTTGAGGCGGAATATAAAGTATGACATGGTGGTGGGAACGTTATCCGATACAGGTCCACCGCCGGCGCACAAGTCTTCGTCTGATATATTTATGGGCATATCCAGGGCCATGTGTGCTGGATTTACAAGGTAGCTACCTTCTTGCGGTCCCCCTAGAAATGCCAGGAACCTGGCAGAGTTAGATCACAATATCCGGTAAGAAGAACCGAAAGAAAAGGAAAACGAGCGTACCAGTCAGAAGAAACAACCAGCCATACCAGTCTACGTTTTAACTCCACCTCCATGGGATCATATCCATGTTTCCTCCGAAAAGCTTTGTTCTGTGCCGAATCAATTTGGAAGAGTCCCATCTGCCGGCACTGGTTGACCAATGCTCCGATATGGAATAGTGCACGAACTGAAGTGTCTTGTCCATCATTCGGAAGGATCATAGATACTACAAGAGCAGCTTGTAGACCTTCAACAGTGGGGTAGTTCATATAATCACTCTGCATCAAGGCCGCAGCGACAAGCGTGATGTACTCATGGCACCTCTCTTCGACTTGTTTGGCTGATGCAGCGTCTGCATCTAAATTTTGGAAATAAAATGCAGCGGCTAGTATACTAAATAGAAGGGCAAGATGATTCAGATTCACTGCCGCTGATGGGAACGAGGATGCTGGTGCTGATGATACATAATGCATGCTTTGATAAATTGCATTGATATGGGACTGAACCTGGCTGGGGATTATTGCATGGTAGAGATAGCCGACATAATCAACATAGTATTTGAATTGTGTCAAAGCTTCTGATTCTCGAGGAAGGAAAGAAGTTAAGTTTGTAACTGGGACAGCCGAATGATTTGCAGTTATCAGCTTGTTCTTGATAGACATTGGCAAAGCATCAGGGACGCGGGGAGCCATCATGATATTTTCTAACCAATCAGTACTTCTTTCTTCTTCAGTAGCGTCCTGAGAATTGATTTGGACTTCTGGGGCGCGGTAAACTTGCGGTTGCGCGGTTGTAGTAATGCTGTTGTTCGTCGATGATGGAATGCCCGTGGCTGCTACTGCTGGTGCTGATGCCATCGGCGGAGGTACATATTGATGAGCAACATTAGCAACAGCGTACTTGCACGGAATCCTTCTTGATCGACAACTCGAGCATGGCTGCAGACGGTCACATTTCAATTTCTTTTTGCGACAGCTCTGACATGAGACTGGATCCTGTCGTGGAGCCCGTCTTTTGGCAAGGTCATTAGGCTCTTGGACATGGGGAGACCTTCTCTTCTCAAGCATTTCGACCGAGCAGTTTGACAAGCAGTAGCTTCGAATCAGGACATCGATACTTGTCAGAGACTATGATAGGTGACATGAACAGAAAGTATGATAAGATAATTCATGTACTCAGTTGTTTCCGGCGCCATCCTATTTTGGGATTAGCACAAACGGAATCTCCACGGAGCTTGCTCGGACTGTCCGGTCGCCGCATCGAAGCCCTAAGGTACAATATTATCACTAGACAGTTTAGTAGTATGGAAATCATAATAAGGAGTCATGTATAAAGATAGTCTAGCGGCTCATTTTATAGACTTTGAACAATGCTTAAAATCGCTATCCTCACAGATATCACCAAGTCGAATTAATTATGGAGGATAACAAAACCAAAGAAGTCTCTGAATTACCTTCATCTGGGTCGTCCTCGGAGAATGGAAATAAAGTCGTTGCACCTTCTAGCAAAGAGCTAACGCATGTATAGAGCGATTGGCATATCCATCTTAGCCATGGTCCTTTACTAACTGCTTTAATCTTTCCAGAACTCGATCGTTCCTGACCCTCCTCGGTTCTGCAGGTGCAGCGTTCTGCTCTGTTGGTTTCATAAACGCATTCGGTGTATTCCAAGCATATTATGCAGAGACACTATTATCTAACATGTCCAACTCCGACATTGGATGGATTGGAGCAATCAATAACTTCTTGATTTTTGCGGGATCGGTGGTGACAGGCCGAATTCTTGATATGTTTGGTCCTGTCGTGAGTATTCCATCACCCAGGAATTGAGATTGTTTGATATTCAGTACTAACATGTGTGGTGAATTCTAGGTCATGCTCTGGTTCGGCTCTGTTACAACCGTCTTCTCCATCATGATGATCTCTCTCTGCAAGGAATACTGGCAATTCATTCTCTCCCAGGGCGTGCTCCTTGGTATCGGAAACACCCTTTTACTATGCCCAGCTGTCGCTCTCGTCGGGCAATACTTCAAGAAACGACTCGCACTAGCTGTCGGAGTTACAATAGCAGGTTCATCCCTGGGAGGAGTTATTTGGCCTGTCGTTGTTCACGCACTCATACAAAAGCCCGGCGTTGGATTTGGATGGACCTTGCGAATTGCTGGTTTCATTATGATTCCAATCCTAGTCTTTACCTGTGTTTTCTCTCGGCCACTACTTACACCAAAGAAGATGCCAGATGACGGCACAGACAACGGGGCAAATCCATCAAAGCCGGCATGGGACTGGTCAATAATAGCCAGGAAGCAAACCCTTTTCACTGCATGCGGATTCTTCTTCATTTATTTCGGGATGTTCATGCCATTCTTTTATACCACGGAATACGCTCTGTCAAAGGGCTTCTCATCGAATCTGTCGTTTTATACGGTTTCGATTATTAACGGTGCATCACTCTTCGGGCGAATCATCCCGGGAATGATTGCCGACAAATACGGAAGATTCAACTTGTGTATTGCAATGACAGTATTTTCCGGAATAATTTCCTTGTGTTGGACGACTGTTACTTCGGTTGCTGGTATAGTCATGTTTTCGCTCTCTTACGGGTTTTCGTCTGGCGTAAGTTCTTCTGATTATCGGAAATAAGTCTTATAATGATTGACATCTAAATAGGGAATTCTATCTTTGCAACAAGCTTGTGCTGCACAAATAGCAAGCCCAACCACAATTGGTACGGTTATCGGCTTCGTTATGGCATCAACTTCTTTCTCGTGAGTTTATACCTCATTTCCACTTTCCTCTACTAAGTAGATATACTGACCTTCATACAGAGCGCTAGCAGGCACTCCTATCGGTGGAGCACTTATTGAAAACTATGGATACCTGTCCTTGTCAATTTACTCTGGTGTTAGCATGCTACTTGGTGCCTCGGTGCTCTTCATAGCTAAACTGACCCAGAAGAGCCAGCCATTTGCTATCGTTTAGGACATAGCATTTCAGGGATTACCCGGCCCCGATACTAGGACTTTGGGATATTTCTTTCTTCTTCTCATGTATAAAAAGCTATAGAGCTACAAAAGAAAAGTCGGAAATAGTCATAGAGAATATACACCCTATAGATATGCACTATGTACATCTTTTTAAAAGTAGGTACAGTAATTGATGAAAGATAACACGCTAACAAAAATGCAAAGAAGAAAATATTAAAGACTAAGCAGCCCATGCTCTTCGTGCCTTACCCTGCCAACAAGGTAGCCACTCCTTCAACGCACTTTTAAACAAATCCCTCGAAGCTTCGCCTCCTTGAAATCGCATATTGAGATCAAAGCAATGCATGGCATTCTGCATCACATATCCAAAGATCTCCCTTTCAGCAGTCTTACGATTGCACTGCGGAATATTTGACCGAAATGTAACAAAATCCGGCGCAAAGTTTTCTGTAGATAGAGGTGACAAAGTTTGCCAGGGATCAAACTCGCCGCCTGACCAGTATGTATTCGAGGGTCGAATTAGCCAGCCTCCTGTTTTGGCGTTTGTTTTCTCGGTAGCTGGGACAGCGGGGAGGACTCCTTTTTCGAGAGCACGGGGGAATTGTCGATAACATATTTCTTGGTTGTATGCCAGTGACTGATAGGTGGATAAGAGACCGTGAGTTGGATCCGGAGAGATATTGTCAGCTTGGAAAAATCCCCATTCAGAGCAGTATTGCCATGTCCAGCTGATAGACGCTGGGTCAGTGAGCCTGCCACCGAGATTACAATAATGAGACCCTGCCTTCATGCTGCACTCGGTAGCTGCATAGGAATTGATAAGTGGAAGTAACTGAGGCCATGATGCGAACCGTTCAGCTACAGCTCTGTTACCGATAAAAGGTGCCCAGCCTGTCCATGGAGTTGCTGTAGCTGGACTTGGCTCATCTATCAATTCTTCTGGTGAATTTTGAATACGTCGAACGATTATTCTTGAAACGGGTTTATTCTCATCTCTATTCGTCGCTGTTGCGGTCGAAGTTGCGGTTGGGGATGCTCCTGTCCCCGTTGGCACAGCTTCCATCCAGTCACATAACGATCCAAGTCCAGTATCTCCTCCACCCATTCCATAAGACTGGAAAGTGCTATAGATATAAGCGAGACCTGCAGTAAAGTCGCCATTCGAATTGACTTCACCACCTTCACCTAGAAACAATTTCTTGATATCGTCGCTAGCAGTGCCGTTCAATGCCAATTGGGAATCGACATAACTCAAAGCTGCATGCAGATCACGGGCACAACCTTCATAGCCATTTGCCACCATACCGCGATAGACTTGTTCGAAGTATATGCTCATATCTGCGCGTGCTTGAACTGGCGCTGATGAAGCATAGGCCGCGTAGATGGTATCTGGATATTCGTTTCGAGTAAATGCCGTCCGCATACCGGAGTATGACCCTCCCATCATGATCCATGGTGTGCCTTTGGGTGATAGGTCTTGAAAAGGGAGTTCTGGACGATGGAAATCTTGGGCAAAGTATGGGATATCGGCGATTGCTTGTTCGTGCGTTAAAAATTTGAAGTTTTCAGCAGGTGTGTTCTCGTTAACCAGACCCATAGGTAACGATTCTCCATAATACCTATCAAAATACAAAGTTAGATTATTTCATTATTTGCAAGTTGGAAACGGAACGAACCTATGCTCCCAAACAATGCCAACACCACCGAATTCTTGCAAAAACTCCCTCAGAAACGACGACTCTCCCAACATATGTTGTGCCGAGCTATATGCTGAAGATTCGCCAACATCGTACAGAAATACAGGGCCACCTGATCGATAATATTTTGTTGTCACCCAGTATCTATTTCTGTACGTGCCGACGGTATGATTATCGTGATCGATTGGTATCTATTTCAGTCAAGTCAGATGCATCCGCTGCGACAAGAAAGCAAAGTCAGCGATCGTACATCAGCATATTCAGTAGGTATTGTACGTGAGTAAGATGTGTCTACCATCTTTCGAAAAGCGACTGGATTCAAAATGACGCTATCGGCACTTAGCCCTAATGCAGCGGCTAGATACAAGTCGCGGGTTGTGGGTGTGTTGACGAAGCCGATGCTGTGTACATGTTGCACGAAGAGGAGACTGTATGAGAGGAGGACTTTGCTGAGTGACAGCTTCATTTTGTCTGTTGTATGTGATTAGTCTTGTATGCTGTCGTAGTGTTGAGAAGATGAGAAGAGCAAAAGGTCTTCACTCATAATTTTGATATCGGGCTGTCATCTACAGAACTTGTATTTATTTATCTATCTATTTAACTCTTTGCTGAGAAGATACACATAATACTAAATGCGGAAATTAATAATTACCGATATCTGTTACACATGTGGACAAACGATTACCGTTAACGTCGGTAGTTCAAAATATCAGCTCTATTGTACTGGGCGTATATTTCCGGAATAGGAAAAAATTGAGCAAACACCAATCTAGATTGCGCTTCAAACGGGGCAAACATATCTTATCAGCCGCCCAATAAAATAGTTTGCATAGTTTGATTACTATGTCGAGTTTGTCTGCTATGATCTGTTTGTCTATTTTGTATGGTTTGCTGGAGGGGTGGAGTGGAATGTTGTTGAAGCAAGGGGTAGTCAATACTGTCAATACTTGCCTGATTAGGATATTAATGTGGCTTGACCAGCGATATCAAAGTATGTCAGCCATGTAAAGGGGATAGCCACTCTTGAGATTGAGGTTGTTCCAATGAAAGGAGAAAGTTAGGGCTCCTGTGGCTAGCAGTCTAGAGAAATCCATGTCCTTGACTTAACCACCCAACCTGAGCAAGACGGAGCCAGTATTTTTCTTACATGCATAGAGTATGATTACACACAGGTACCAAAACGTGGCTGGGCCAAGGGATGAAAGTACGAAGTTTGAGTAAAATTGGTAACTTACGTATCACTTCATTGCTCTGATAGCTCTCTAGAGAGCTATCTAGACAAAATAGAACTCATGAAAGAACAGAAAATGCAAAGTTGGTCCAACTGGAACATAGTATCGAAATGAGACATCAGAGAAAGTAAAAGTTAAATACATTTCGAAACTCAAAGAAGTATCATGTACGCAGCTAGACGAGCCACACTCCTCCATAGTAGCAACTGCATGTCACGGGCAAAAGATTCTAGAAACATTCCGCAATCTGATCTGCAGTGCAAGCTAGAGATACACCTGCATTCCATCGTATGGTTGGTCGGGGCGCCACGTTGCTCAGGAATGTGGAAATGTCGGGGGCTGGTACGTTGTCGGTAAAATCCCCTTAATGTCCGATAGCTAGGACTACAGTAGTACGTAGAAGTCTTGACGCATGAAACAGCTCTATAGTCTATCTATGCTATACACCCCTCTTATGTACCAACCTCCCACTAACCCAGACAGCTCTAACATTACGATCATCACCGTTCCACACCCACTTCGCAATCTTTTCTTCCCAGTTCTCCCATCCAAACACATCAACATTGCCCGTATCTTCTGTCCCTCCAAGCACCACATCATGGCTTGATTCATGAGATATACTCTCAACAGCAGGTCCCAACTCAATCAACTGTGCGTCAAAATACATCCCCTTCTCAAATCCGCCTATCTGATCCGCCATATCGACGACCTGCGCACCGCCTCTCGTCGCGAGGTACAGCGCCTCTTCGACGCTAAGTGTCTCTCGTCCAGTGGTAACAGAAGCCTGGGAAGCAACCAATCGCGAAACAAGACAGGCTTGTCGCGACGCTTCAAGGATACTAGGCGAGTAACCACCACTAACATCCGTACCCAGTCCAATCGTGATCCCATCATCCATCAATGTCCGAACGGGACATAGACCAGATCCCAACGCGCTATTCGACGCCGGACAATGCGATATCTTCGCATCTCGCTTTTTTACAAGCGCTCGCTCCTCTGGGGTGAGATGTACCGCATGCGCAAGTATAGTCCTAGGCGTCAATAGACCCGTCTCATCATAAACATGCGCATACCCTTCTGACTTCTCGAATAGTTCCTTGACAAGAAGAACCTCATTCTTATTCTCCGATATATGCGTCTGAATATGTAACGCCGGACTATATGACGAGGCCAATCGTCCCAACCCAGATAATGCAGCGTGTGAACATGTAGGCGCAAATCTCGGCGTAACGATAGGCGCAACAAGTTTCCCCTCCGGATCAAGTTTGTGGATATACTCAATAACTTCTTTCGTAGCGCTCACCGACTCCTCACTAAATGCATCATGGTATTCATCCGGACAAAAAACAAGATTATCCATGCATACCCTCCCCACGAACGCGCGTTGACCGCGTTGATGACACAGTGCCGCTAGCAAGTTTGTAGCGGGCACGTGTATAGTGGCGAAATAAGAAGCTGTCGTTGTGCCGTGGGACAGGGTACGAGAAATAACTTTGTTATAGACTGTGTATGCCTGTGGAGGAGCTCGTTCTCCTTCTTCCTCTGCTCCGAAGGACTTTTCCATGGGAAAGGTATATTTCTTCAACCAGTCTAGTAGTGTGGATGAGCCGAATATACCTGCATTTGGGTATTGAGAGGCATGGATATGTGTATCTTTTCCCTGTCAGCATATATCTTCCCCCGACCAGATATAAAAACACATACCAATAAACCCAGGAAAAAAGAATCCATTCCTCCCATCTCTACCACCCTTGACAATAACCACCGTCTCCACTCCGTCTTTAGCATCAACACCATCCCTCCAAACACTCCACCCTTTACTCTTCACAAACAAATCCAAAGCCTCTTCTAAGTCTGGATTAACACTCCAATCAAATCCATCAATCTTTCCATCTCTATTCGAAACCCATAGAACGCCAGTATTGATTCCCAGACTCGGTTTTGTGTCGATGGGGATGTGGCGCGGTAGTTGGATGAATGTGCCGTGATAAAGAGTGTATGTTGGCGCCATGTTTTCTTCCTTTCTCTCACAGAGTGAGGATTCTTTCTAGTCTATGAACAAGATTCCGTCCAATAATCAAATCCGATCCGATTTATGTACCGTAATCTCCAACCCTGTAGAATCAACTCAAATCAATCGCCAGCAGCAAACATCAAACATCAAGACAAAATAGAACAACATAGAGCAGAACCCAGAAAGGTTATCAGCCTTATATAAGTTTTCTCCTGAGCCCCAAAAATCCGTTTATACGATAGAAAGAATGATCCCGAAGAATTGGAACGGTATCGGCCGCTTCCGATAATCGGTTTTTTGCCTGAGAATTCAGGCAAAATACGATCTTCTCGAGGCGGGGCAAACAACATTAGTATTTACGGAGTTTCACTTTTGTTGTCTAAGTCTAAGATGAACAATTAATTGATTAAGTTGAAGTAAGAAAACTGGAAAATTTGTTGAAGTTGATTGAATAGTACTGGCGTTATACAAACACCAACAATAGTCGTCTATAAGTATATATATGTTGAAATAGTAAAACAGTCCTTTTAATGCATAATGAATACACCCCAAAACCAAGGGGAACGCCTGCTTTTGCAACACCATCAGAGAAGAAAGGGAGATTATCTAGGGTATCGTATAACTCGTCCACGTCACATTCAAGCTGTATCCTCGACAGGGCCGCAGGTACAGAAAAGATTCTGATCACCGAATGCTATAACCAAATTAGTATAAACTCTCATAAAGAATAGGAAAGGACGTACCATCATCGACTCGTGTGACGGTAGGCCAAAACTTCTTCTCCAACAACCACGGCAACGGATACGCAGCCTTTTCCCTTGAATACGGTCTCTGCCACTCCCCCAACAACAAATCGCGTTGCGTATGAGGCGCATTCTTAAGCACATTTCCTTCCCGAGGTTGCTCACCTTTCTCAATAGCAGCAATCTCCTGACGAATCGAAATGAGCGCATCACAGAACCGGTCGAGTTCGGCTTTATTTTCGGATTCAGTGGGTTCAATCATTAGCGTGTTTGCGACGGGCCAGGACATGGTGGGCGCATGGAAGCCGTAGTCTTGTAGTCGTTTGGCGATGTCGATGGCTTCGATGCCGCAGGTTTCTTTGAAGTGGCGGACGTCGAGGATGAATTCGTGGGCACAGCGGCCGTTGGCGTTGGTGTAGAGGATTGGGTAGTGGTCTTTGACGCGGGCGAGGATGTAGTTTGCATTGAGCAACGTGATCTTGGTAGCGTGTGTGAGGCCCTTGGCGCCCATCATGTTGATGTAGTTGAAAGTAATCGGCAGGAGACTGGCGCTACCCCATGGAGCGGCGCTGATGGGTGATGATGCAGTGGAGTCAGATCGTTTCGATTGCAGGTACTCGCTGGATGGGTGAGACGGAAGGAATGGACGCAAGTGCTCAGCGACGCCGATGGGACCAACACCAGGACCACCACCACCGTGGGGAATACAGAAGGTCTTGTGTAGGTTAAGATGGCACACGTCCGCACCAATCTCACCAGGAGAGCACAATCCGATTTGAGCATTCATGTTGGCGCCATCCATGTAGACTTGACCACCGTACTTGTGCACAATATCACAGACCTCCTTGACACCAGGCTCAAAGACACCGAATGTACTAGGGTATGTAATCATAATCGCGGCAAGTTCATTCTTGTGCTTTTCGCATTTTGCCTTTAGGTCTTCAATGTCGAGGTTACCGGTCTTGGTGTCGCACTTGATAGTAACAACTTTCATACCGGCCATGGCTGCGCTAGCGGGGTTTGTTCCGTGGGCAGATACAGGGATCAAGCAGATGTTACGGTGTCCACCAGATACAGATTCTTGGTACTTCTTAATCAAACGTAAACCAGCGAATTCTCCCTGTGCACCGGAGTTGGGCTGAACAGTGACTTCTGCCATTCCAGTAATATCAGCGAGTTGTTGTTCAACATCATCGATCATTTGAGTGTACCCTTCAACAGCGTCAGCGGGCATAAAAGGATGAATCTGGGAAAACTCGGGCCAAGAGATGGGAATCATCTCAGTGGTGGCGTTGAGTTTCATAGTGCAAGATCCAAGAGGAATCATGGAGTGAGCCAACGACAGATCCTTGGACTCGAGATGGTGGATATATCGCAACATGTCGGTTTCAGAGTGGTAGGAGTTGAAGACGGGATGAGTCAGGTAGGGAGATGTTCGCTCAAGACTGGCTGGAACTGGAATGGGAGAAATAGCGTTGTCAACGGTGACATCCCCGCCCTTGGACGATTGAGTAGCAAAGACTTGTAGAATTTCACGAAGCTCGCTCTTGCCGACGGTTTCATCAAGAGACAAGGCGATCTTGTTAGGTGCAACCTGACGAAAGTAGATTTTTGATGACTTTGCAGCTGCGAGAAGAGTCTCTGCTGCATTACTGTCTGGTAACTCAACGGTGATGGTATCGAAGAGAACTCCTCCATCAGCGGTGTTGCTACGGACAGGGACATCATATCCCAATCCGAGAAGCTTCTCGCGAAGCAAAGCTGTCATGGCCATGATGCGTTGAGCAATGACCTTAAGGCCTTGAGGCCCATGGTACACTGCATACATGGCACTCATATTAGCGAGCAATGCCTGGGCAGTGCAAATATTACTTGTAGCCTTTTCACGACGAATGTGTTGTTCGCGAGTTTGCAGAGCCAATCTGAGAGCACGGTTGCCCAATCGGTCTTTGGACACACCGACCAGACGACCTGGAATCTTACGCTTGTACTTGTCCGTGCAAGCAAAGAAGGCAGCGTGAGGACCACCGAAACCCATAGGAACACCAAGTCGCTGAGCACTTCCAAAGGCAATATCAGCACCGAATTCGCCAGGTGCTTTGAGAACAGTCAATGCAAGCAGATCAGTGGCAACAGAGAAAACACCTCCAAGCTCATGAACGGTTTTACCGAGTGACTCAAAGTCGAGAACACCTCCCTCTGTATCGGGATACTGTGCCAAAACACCAATCAAATTATCGCCTTGCTCCTTGACAATCTTAGCATCATCGGCAAGAATGTCCCCAATAACCAGGTTAATTCCGAACCCCTCAGCACGAGACCTCATAACGGCAATAGTCTGCTCATGACAAAGATGCGAAACAACAAACGACTTTCCAGCTTTCTTCTGCTTGGCCATTGGCGCAGTAGCCAACGACATCGTCATAGCCTCCGCCGCAGCGGTACCCTCATCCAGCACGGAGGCATTAGCAACCGACAAACCAGTAAGATCTGCCGTCAAAGTCTGGAAATTCAATAACGACTCCAATCGACCTTGACTAATCTCAGGCTGATAGGGGGTATAACTCGTATACCAAGCCGGGTTTTCCAGAATATTTCTCAAAATCACTGGTGGAACAACCGTAGGATAATAACCGCCACCAATAAACGACTTGCCCACTGTGCTGATTTGTTTACGGTACTCGCCCAGTAATTTGAGCATATCGCTTTCACCAAGTCCACCATCGACGGGATCACGGTAAAGTTCCGCCGCGGCGGGCACTTTGGGAGACGTAACGACCAAATCTTTCTTGGAGAGAATATCGGCGGGCAGAACCTGTTTCACAAACTCATCTAACGATGCCGCAGGCGGATTGAGAGTCGCTAACATCTCCTTCGCCGCATCGGGAGAAGGACCAATATGTCTTCGCGGGAAAGTATCCAACGGTTGAAATAAATCTCGCGGATTAGGTTCTCCATGCTCGTCTAGGGAAGTAGTATATACCCCTCGGCGTTCGGAAGGGATTGTCTGACCGGAAAGCGGTTGGAGTCGTGGGTTAGTAGCAGAGCTAGAGAATACTCTTTGAAATTGATGTGGTCGTCTCAAAGCTACAGGTACAATTGTCCTGCGCAATTGTGTAGGAGAAGCTGTGAGCTGGCGACGGGCAGCTCGAGCAGCCACGGAGAGAGCCATGTTTAAAGAAATCAAACAGACGGGAAATCTGTATAAAGGAAGAGAGAATGGAAGGGAGCTGTTCGACAGCTCAATTGCCACTCAATTGGGCTTCGGGATGGTTAAACAAAATACTGAAGCATGCAAGTTACAATCAGAAATGTGAATATAATGAAGAAAAGAAAAAGAGAGAAAGAAGAAGAGCAATTATCGCCGATGAAGAAGTCAATTCATCCATTTCCCTTTCCTTTCCTATCGATAAGAAATTGTATGCTCCGCGGCGGTTACGTAGTTGCACGATGGGTGGCTGCAGGTACTGTAACGTAGCACGTGTAACCGAATAAATACAGATTGCATGTTGTGCTAGAGCTTGGCAGGGATATCAGCCAATGAGAAGGATTAAATTATAGCCCGTAGGCGGTCTGGTATTGGTATTACAGCACGGAAAAGTTTGACGATAAGATAAGAACTTTCCGCGGGAAACTGGAGGGGTGCAAAGGGTGAAGTCGGGAAAGATTTCGGTGTCCGATCTATCTGATACTCTATCAGATGATGTTATTCTATAACTATTCATGTACAGTATGCATTCTTAGAATATATCCAGCTTCTTATGAGTGCAAATATTAGTATTCCTCTTCGGACTCCTCTTCCACCCCCTCTAATAATCCCTGTCGTTCCGACTCTGCTCCTTCTGCCAGCCAACGTCGACTCTCCACCTTCACGAAGACTACAAGAATCGTTCCGATGATAAACGTCAGTACCGCAAGAGCAATGTTGATAGGAGTCGGGTTGCCTTTTAATGTCCCCTGCGTCAAAGCATCAAGTCCAGTTTGCGCAAAGCTGATAATGCCAGAAATGCAAATGATTGCGCCGTAGATACGGCCAAACGTCGAAAAACCAAAAACTTTGGTTGCATAGTCCCTATTTGATGTCTGTCAGCGATAACTTTCACGTAGATATAAACGCAAAGAACTACTTACGACATGGCTGAATAGTATAACGGCCGCAAAAGAACGAACAGTATTACCGTCACATAGCCGGCCCAGAGATAAGGCAAACAATTCAGCACGCCGACAGCTGTAGTCAAGAAAACAATCAGGGTAAGTGTGTTTGGTACACTCAAGTGATCCAGCAAGAAGCCGATGAAAGGCGTGGTTATGACTCCTCCAACCGGGAGTGCCGCGTCAAAAAGGTTGTTGATTTGCTGAGCCAAAGCCTCCGAGTTTAGCATGTATTCATACTGGGCGCGAATAGTGCCGATGAAGTAGTTCATGCGCAGCATTTGTAGCACGGTCAGCAGTGTGATGAGAATGAACCATGGTGACATGAACTGTCTCTGGATAGGCTCGCCGTGAAGCACTCCCCAGACTCGCGCCGCGGCATGTCGCTCCTCTTCCTGCTCTTCGCGATGCTGTCGTTCATCAAGCCCACCCAGAACATTGTCGATATTCCTGAGCTTGGCTTGCCTCTTCTTGCGCCGCGCCGCTCGTAAAGATGCCACTTCGTTTGCGTCCGAGATTTCGTCATCCGAGTCGTGAATATCTCGTGAAGAATCTCGTGCTGCTTCAATTTTTTCTTCCAACTGAGACGCAGTTTTGTATGGTTTTGCTGGTAGAAGGAAGATTTGCGTAAGGAATATGGCCAATGGCACGGACAAATAACCCAAGAAGAAGTATTCGGGTCGTAAACCGCGGTCGCTAGCCTCGTACGCGAGTCGATAAAATAGGAATACGGCAGCAGATGCATCGAACGCTCCTGTAACTAGTGCAACGATGACACCTGAGTGCTTGGGGAAAGCATTGGCAATTTGAAAGGCTGGCACGAAGATGCAAGTGCCTCCTAGTGACAAGAAGAAGTTTCCAATCAAGTAGCCATCGAATTCGGGTATCCTGAAAGCCAAATACATGAGTAGACTACCGACGGCGAGAAAGAGACAGCCAGCAAGGTTGCAAAATCGTGGTCCAAAGCGGTCAAGCATCGTCCCAATCGGCAGAGCAGAAACATTTGCAGTGATGGAGGCGATTGTGAAGAAGAGGTTGAGCCTATATTTAATTTTATCAGTACAATCCTTCCCCGAGTTGCAAGTATTGCTTACTGTAGCTCTTGTTTGAAGCAGACCTCGACTCCATTTTCTAATTCGTCCTTATCACATAACCACTCATAGACACCTTCTGACAGGAGCACCGGTTTCAGCGCTGCGAACCCAAAGACAATACCTGATGCCACCCAACACGCCAAGATAGTTGCAATTACCTGAGCTAGAAACAGTCAGTCAGGACGACTAACAACAGTAAGACAGCAAAAATACCTATTCTTTTAGTCACAAAAACCTTGTATGCTGCAACGCTGGATTGCGAATCATCTTCGTTGCGGCGAGGAAAAGCATCGTAGCTCAGTACCCGGTGTACCGCCTTCCTTGGTGATATCACTGCATCGGCGGCAGGCTCGCGATCAACGCCTTCAATCGACGAGACGTGTTGAATCAGGGACATTTAATGGACTGGTCGAGTAGAGCCAGCTGATACTGACGCAGTTGATGCGGAGATAATATCGATGGCTGCGATATGAAGTGAGATGGATGATCGAGGATGAAACAGAGGAGGGCTGTGTCAGAAGTTGCAGCAGTCGCGGCCGAAGCTTCTCGACCCGGTGCCGTTAAGATTGCTCCACATGATGGACCTGCTTGGATTCAGGGTTGACGCATTGCCCTTGCCGGGCCATACACATTAGTTCATCTCCAACTCTTCACCATGAGTGGCATGTCAGCATTCTTATGAGCAGATAAAAAGCATTTGAGTAGTTCAATTGTATTGATTATTGACTGCTGACTCCGACCTTTGGAGGAAGGTTTGACGGGAAGCTCTTTCCTTCTTTGCTCCACCGCGGCGGGGCTGCTCCTCTGACATCACCCATCCCAAACAGGCTAGCCGACTTGCCTAAAATAACTTCGTTGTTCTCTCCATCCTCCTCTGCTGCTTCTCACTCTTATTCTATGGCTATGTCTCTTGCTTTTTTCGGACTCTGGCTTATGCGCGCACAATTGGGAGCAAGGTCACTACTGATCTCGTCATTTAAGGCTCGAATTTCAAATGAGCAAGTCCAACAAAAGAGGTATCTTCTCAGGAGTTAACGGGGATAGGACTATTCACCGTACTCTCAATGGCTATTGGGGCCGACAACGGCCCGGAAGCGGTCGTGTTTAAATAGATAAACGAGTGGTCGCGCCTTGCTAGACAAAAATCTTCTCAAGGAGGTAAAACTCGGCCAGAATGGCTCAATCCACTCAATCAAACACTTACAAGCAGGGCTACTCCAACTACACCCTTGCAACTCAGCAGTCGCGCACAGCCGAGTCTCATGCCGCTTTCCTCCTGCCGCACATCGAAAAGGGAGACCGGATTCTCGACGTAGGGTGCGGTCCTGGTAGTATCACTACGGGATTTGCCAAGTACGCGAGCGAAGGCAGTATCGTTGGCGTCGATATCTCAGCAGAAGTACTGCAAAAGGCAAAGGAAGCGGCTGCTGAGGCAAAAATTCCAAGCGAAGGCCCTGGCTCAGTGGTCTTCGAACAGGGGAACGTTCTAGAGGGGCTCCCCTATCCCGATGAGTCCTTTGATGTTGTCTACGCTTCTCAACTCTTCGGCCACCTGCCTCCTCCAGATCTTCCACTCCGCGCACTGGCCGAAATGCGAAGAGTTTTGAAACCAGGTGGTATCCTTGCTACGCGCGACGCGGCAGACCAGCATTTCTATCCACGAAGTCTAAACCTCGATAAACTATGGGTGCACAATTTTCATCGAGTAGCGTCGCTGAAGCTTGCACCAGAAGATGATCCGACAAGCACACGAATGCCGGCACTATTACGCAGCGCTGGCTTTGACGCTGACGGCGGCAAGGTCGTTGTTGGCGCTGGGACTACGGTTTATTCAGGTCCAGAAACTCGAAAGTGCCTAGCCTGGCGTGCCAAGGGTCATCTGCAGCAGGGAGATGAGTTTCGGCAGAGCTGGCTGGATGCTGGGATTACTGACGAGACGATCCAGGAGACTCTGGCTGCTGTGGAAAAGTGGGCCAATACGGAGGATGCGTGGTACGCGGCATTACAGTGTGAGATGCTTGCATGGAAGTGATGTAGCCGCAGATTAAGGGATAGTAAGTATGCACCAACTTTCTTTAGGATGCACTTGATTCGCGATGCGAATGATAGAAATAATAAGAGATACCTGATGGAAGTACCACAACCCTAACCCTGTAGTCTGAACAGGACTATGTTCCTTGTCCTACCAAGCTTTATAAGGCAGTAGACAGTGCTATATGCAAGTTAACATAGCTACTGAAATTATTGAATGAGTGTCCCTAGCTTAAATTCATGGCTCGTATCCATGCCTCGTAGCGCGTTCGGCTCCCACCTTGCATAAAACTCTTAACATCTCGAACGACACGTGATAACTTAGGCATCAATATTCCACCTTGACTCAAAAAGCACCGTAATCATCCAATAAATTCAGGAAATTAATCACACGTTCGTCTTTTTATTACGTCCAAGGTGTATATCGGAACCATGTCGACTATCCCCAAGGCACGACAGAGCAACATCACAGGGTTAACCGTCACGCCCGAAAAATGGGGCTCGCACCCCGAACTATCACGCTCAACCATCAAAAACTGCACATTCAAGAATCTCGATTCAGCCACCAAAATCAGCCGCTCAACAATATCAGAGTCATCAATCTTCTATGAAATATCAGCAATGAAGCCGAAAAGGGGAACGGTCATTGAACGTTCTACAGTTGACAATAGTCGCGTATCCTATTCCTCAACTGTGGATCGCTCTGAGGTTAATGGCTGCTCGATCACGGAGTCGGCGCTAGACAGAAGCAAGTTTCATAACTGCACCGTCTCAGCAGGGAGTAACGTCGAGCGCACAGAGGCCCATGCAAGTACTTTTACTGGCGCGAAGGCGGTGTCTCGCTCTGTGGTGAATAATAGTGTAGTCATGGGCCTGAGCACGGTTGAAAGAAGCAAGGTCAAGGATAATTCTGTTGTCACCGATAAATCTGTCGTTGAACGGACGGACTTGATAAATGCAGTTATTACGAGGAGTCGTGTGGAGCGAGCGACTATAAAAGATTGCGATGTCACGGATTGTATAATCGAGAGGACGGATTTTACGGGGATGATTTTGAGGTATGGCATTTGGAAGCGTGGGGATTTGGTGGGGAGAACGTCTACGAAGCATGAGGTTGTCATTAAACCGAGACAGAAGTCCGGGGCGTCGAATGCAAGAGGTGTGTCGTTGCCAGAGCAATCTGTACAGAATCCGGGGCTGGGATGGAAGGCTACTGAAGCGGTATATTATATCATCTTGTGAGTTTATGTGATGTAGCTAATGAGTGTGACAGGGGGCGGAGAGAGTTGTGGACGATGAAGAATCGTCACCGGATGACTGGGATGATCTGGAAGAGTCAGAGTCTGACGAGATATCTGATCCATCTTCGATGCGGAAAATGAAACAGACTCGGACACAAAATACTACTCGTCAAACGTCGGCAGCAGGGTTTGGAGCAGATTCCAATGATCCTCCGCCGCCCTATGAGCAATAGCCTCTGCAGGGCTCAATATGGCTTCAGTGACTCTACCTCCTGGTTGGTGCTTCGGGCTTTTATGACAGATATCCGTTTCTTCAGTGTAATAGTTTGGTATATAGTACTTTATTCCGTGGGTCCTGTTCTTATGACATCAACAGCATCTACACATATATTACGCCCTTTCTATTTACTTGCTGTATATGTTCATCACATAACTTAAATGTCAACTGTTGCATTTCCCCCTTCCACTTCACCGGCTACTCATCCTTTACCTTGATCAACTCTTCATGCCATTGTCTTTCCGACCTCAACATCCACTCCTCCGGAAACACCTTTAGTGAAACCTCCCCACGCACAAACACAACGACCTCCCTTAAACTCTCAAACCTGATCAATTTCCTAGCAGGAACCCAACTGGCATCTCTCCCCAAATCTTTCCATTTATCAAATCGTTGCGCGATCCACCATAAATACGTCTTAATCCCAGATACGAGCTCAACTAAAGAGGTCTGAACTCTAGTAGTAAACGCATCCTCATGTACTGCGATGGCAATAAAGCCATTCAGCTCCTTGAGTTGACGTCCAGTCAATAATATTTATCTCTAGACCGGACTGATCAATTGCCAGTTTGGAATAAATCCCTTTGTTCAGCGGTTGCCGTGATGATGGTGTTGTCAAAGCGTCCTTGGATCTGCGGGGATGTATCAACAATAGTTAGCCCTGATAGAGGTATTGGAGATGGGAATGGGAGAGGTTTTTCAGGTCATTCTTGCAGATCTAGGGCCTGCCCGGTGCTGGGATTGTATATCTTGTAAAATAGAATACCGTACTGTCTCTCAGTAATAGACCGGCTTTCTCGACAGACTCTGAGAAGTGACGGGAGCCTTGACCCCAGATGATGTGCCCACCCCTTCTGGTGTTTTACTTCAGTGCAGTATTTGCAGAGGTAGGTTGGAAGTACATTCAGAAATATAGGTGACGCTGATCTCGTTTTGCGGTCGTTGTATACTACGTGTACGCATACGTATCGGGATTATGCTTGGTTTTAGTGGGGTGTTCAGAGCTGATTTTCAAATCATGAACCGTAGTTCGACGGTTAAATCGATGAAACGAGGTAAAGTTGTGTGCGACAATGCGACAGATGGATTCTCAGAGATGGAGGATTGCGTTGGTGACTCCATCATGGGTTCGAAATTCATCGATATCTGGCATGGAGAGGAAGTGTGGGTCCTATCGGCTGGAGGATAAAGCATGAACCGACCCTGATTCAGCTCTCATCATGCAAGACTGATATGACAGATGGAGGTGATCTTTAATCTGATTCATTTTGATAAACAGAGTGGACACTAACCCATTTTAGTCCTCGTTCAATATATATTGAGTGGCGACTAGTCTGCATAAGGAATAGTCTGATACCACGTGCCACTTTGACTCCTTAGGCCAATAATTCCCCCCAACGTTTTGTCACTCAGCTTCATCCAATTCCATCCCATGCCAGCCCTGACATCGTCGATGCAAGCGATCCATCCATTAACGCTTCGGTGGAACCGCAGACCTAACCAAAATAAAGAAAAATCGACCTAATATAAACGCCTCTTTGTTCGGCAAATGTCGTCGTCCCTGTCGTTGTCTTCTGGGACTAGTCTCCGCAGATCTTGTCAGGGCTGCGTCAAGGTCAAGCGACGATGCGATTTGTTGTTTCCGGAATGCAGCAGATGTTTAAAGAAAGGCGTGCGGTGTCAATATATCAATATTCCCTTATCGAGTCGAACGAGTGACAACAGCCACAGTAATAATGGCAGAGTCAGCAAGCCGACGAATACGAGGCTACAATACCCGCACCAACAACAGCAGCAGCACCAATTAAATAATGCGGTTGTTGCTAGTACGGTGAAGGCGATAGCGGAAGAGAATAATATTGAGACTCTTGTCTTCAAGCCACCGAAGCGGATAGCGTCGAGCAGCGATGAAGGAAGTGATGAAGGGAGCATCGCCAGTGATGATAGTAACAACGACGTTCCCTGGATAAGGCCGGCATTGGATATCGAGATTCGAAAACAGCATTCACCATATATAGTCGATCTGGTAGCCAAGGTCGTGCGTCAAGCGCCCGGGTTATTCGTGCAGGGTCAATCATTCTTCATTCATCCTCAAGTATACGGCAACTCTCTACCACGGCCGGTTCGTGATATACATGCGTTATGTGCATTGTATGAGAACGACAAGGACTACCAATTATCTCCTGTCAAACTGTCGACACTACTCCAACGACAAATCGTTTCATTAATACAGACCGCAAAAAAGACAACCGACTTTGAAGAACTAGTGGCATGTGTCCAGGCACTCACCTTGGCGCAATGTTTGCAACTATCAGAGGGAAATATTCGCAGCCCTGCAGTTGAGAAATCGCTTGATATTTTGGCTGCTCTCGCACATAGAATGTGGTCCTTGGTACCCTGTGAATTACCAAGTAGCATGTCACCCTGGCATGCTTGGATGTTTGGCGAAACCGTTCGTCGTACAATCGTCTTCTCGCATCTCGTCATCGCTGCATTCCAATTTTTAACTCGTGGTTACGCATGTCGTACACCATTCATTGATGCCCTACCTTTCGATGGTCGTACATATCTCTGGGATGCACGATCAGAGCAAGATTGGGCCAAGTATAGTACACAAAGTGATTTTCCCATGGTCTCTGTGATTGAATATGCCGATCTGCTACAGTCTGGTCGAGCTCTGTGTTTTTCGTCTTTTGAAGGTTTGATTATTGCGACGTGTCGGGGATTGGATTTGCCGATTCATGATCCGGCCAAAGTCATGCAGATGTGATAATTTATTCTGTTAACATTTGTTGCATGGAGATATATGTCATTCGTTGTATATATGTTTGGTTGGAGGTATCATTCATTAGCATGATTACTTTTCATTTGTACATCATTTGTATGTTTCATGCATAGGGATTATTATTTGATCAGGCTTTACGTCTATATCGACCACTGTAGGTTTTGAGTTAATCAAGTCGAGTATTTCATAGTCTCAGCGCTCGTTATGGACGCTAAGCTTGATTAAACAGTAATTCAAAATCTATATCAACTCAGATATAAGCTCGTATCCGGACCCACAGTTCAATTATGGGCCTCTTGTATATATGTTTATGTTCATCGCCGTAGAATCATGGTTACATGAGATTTCGGAATAGTTGCCCGACGAGAGGCTGTATATATGAGTCTTCCTCTTCAAATCCCTCTTCGACTACGAAAATGCACTCATAATGTGAAATTCGAAACAATAAATAAAAATGTCATCAGTAGCACCACTCGCTCTACAGCCTTTAGACAGCCCTCCGTGAGTATACTCCCGCCTCACCCTACCTTATTTGCCATCTAGCCCTAACATCTCTATACAGCACCCTCAACCTTCCTCACCAATCCGACAACCCACCAGCCCCTCTCAATTCCACCGATACTAAATCCAACGACCTCATTACCCAACGAATAATCCAACTCCAATCCCTCCTCTCCACACTGCACGCCTACCGCGAAACCATCCCCGCCATAATTGAAGCCTACAAGTCTGGCAAACTCACTATTGAGCCGGGGCAACTCACTTTTTGGACTGGGAATTGCCAATTAGGCCCTGTAAGGAAATTTGATGTCCCCACCACAGAGGATGAGAGGCTTGGACAGCAGGTTAAAGTGATGGGGATGTTGGATGAGATGCTCAAGGTGCAGGATAGGGGGGATTTGTTGTGGATTGAGAATGTGAGTAATTTCCTCGCTTACTTCGTTGCCTGTATAAGGGAAGTTAAGGGATAGGGTGCTGATTTGTAGGTGTAGCCGTTGCCGTCGGAGGGAGGGTGAGTGCGTATGGAATGTTTATAGTTGATGTTGGAACTGTGTACTATTTGTATGATCGAGTCATCCATGTTAATATTTGTCTTGTCTCTAATTGACTGTGATTTTCGTCATGACATAAAACATATAATACTCAAGATCGTCCAGTCACTTGCTACCCGACACAATCAAGCAGCTGATATGTCAAGAACCCCCGTCAAGTCCTTGGTCGAGAAGTCATAGATAGGCAAAATGGTCTCTAATGAGAGTTCTAAATCTTTTTATTACATACTTTTATCAAGCCAGCAGGAAATACACTGGTGTCTTGTTGAAAGAAAGGTTGGTTTATATTTCCGTATTAGGAAATATTTTGGCTTTGGATTTATTTCCTGTTTCGGAAGGATGGATGTTGGATATTTGGCATTTGTTCTGATACAATTGTGAATTGTCAGCTGCAGTAATTTGAATTAATGGCTTCATTATAAATCCCCATTCTTTTCTGCTATCTTCTGATAATTCTTGATTTTATATGTGGAACAAGTAGAATAAAGTGGCCAATTCCAGGTAACGACAAGATGACATCACGTCCCCTTATTCAGTCTAATAAATTAAAATCTTCAACATCTCAAAAATCTGTTTTCTGTAAAATCAATTACCGACTAATACTCACATTCTCAAAAACGTCTTCAAAGAAGAAGAATCATGGTTTCCCAATCCGACGTAACCAGCGCCTTAACGGCCGATGGCATCATCCCGGACATCCTCCCAACCGGCACAACTGTGCCACGGAACCTCAAGATCTCCTTTCATACTACTACCCTTGACAAACCGGGTCAAATGATCGATCGCGATGATACGCAAGTGAAGAAGCCGACTGTTTTTGTGGATCCTCCTGTCAGTTTTTATCAATACCATTCTGGTGGCGTATACTGATGTGAATGAGTGTTATAGCTGGAGGGAGATCGGGGGGATAATTATACGTTGTTAATGGTTGATCCGGTAGGTTTGCATCACGTTCTTGGAGGATTTGGAGGGGACTGGCTGACTGAATGTGTAATAGGACCTTACGATTCGACACGATACAAGATTCGGACAAGTCAGACACTGGCTCATTAGTCACTGCTCAATTAGCCCTGCCGGCGAAGTCCTTGATGTAAAAGGTGTCACGCACTCACCCTATGTCGGACCGGCGCCTATGCCCGTTTTTGATATTACAGGGTACGCCTCTTACCTCTTTAACTCATATAAGACTAAGGAAGTAGCTAACTTATGCAGAAAACCCCATCCATCACGTTACACTTTCATCCTTTTCAAACCCAAATCATCGCTTACAAAGAGCGACGACGTAAAAATCTCCCAAAGCGAGCAATATCCTGGCCTAGCAAGCGATCTCGGAAAACCATCACAGGATCTGTTTGATCGATGGAAGTTCAGCACGAAACAGTTCATGGAGGAGAATAACCTTGAAGTTGTAGCTGCGACCTACATGCTTGTTGAAGGGAATTTGAAGAGTAGCGTTGCAAATGCGGGTTTGATGGCCAATGCGATTGGGCATAAGATTGGTGAGATTGGGCATTGATTTATTTGCACTGGAGTTTAGTTCTGTGAATGAAGAATCGGACAGCGTCAAATGGTATTAGCAAAGCTTGTCGCTTCCGTCCGAGCACATATCAAGATCTATAAGAAGTTTTAACAGACTTATAAACCACCACATGCGTACCATCCTTCAAGGTTTCATGCCTCGGTTCCAAATGATATCTCCCAATCCGTGGTAATACAACCCACCAAACAAACCAATAAACCACTGAAGCCGCCAAAATCGCAATCCCGACAACAGGAGCCAACCAATACGGAAGGGAAGTATCACCTTTCCCGCTTGGCGGACGCAAAAAGGGGGCGACAAGTTGAAAAGCCTGAGCGGCCATGAAGAATGCCGCAACGGGCCACCAGATCTTGAATGGACGATGGATGTGTGGTTGCGTGATTCGGAGATAGAACAGTCCCAGGACGACGAGAAAGTTTATTACGCTGCCTGGGTAGCCTTCGAGGTCGAGGATGAAGTTGTACGCGTCTCCGAAGGGAATGGCTATAATTACGATGAAGGAAGGGATGAAGTGAAGTAAAAGACCCGCAGAGGGGGAACCAAAGGGCCAGCTGGAAGCCCAGAATTTGGGGAATGGGATTACACCTTCTTTGGCGAGTTCTTGGTTAACCCGGGATTGGGCGAATGTGATTGTGAGGACGTTTCCGAAGGCTGATATTGCGACGAGGACACTGAACAATTGTCAGAAACTTGCTTTATAAGATAAGGAGCGAAAGTACCTCAATGCACGTTGGGCTGCGTGACCGAATACTTTGAGCATGAAATAGCCTGCTACCGTCACGCCGCTCTTTGCGATTTCGTGGGGTGTGGCTGCAGCATAGTACGCAATGTTTGCAAAGATGTAGAGAATACCGCAAATGAGTAGACCAAGGGGACCTGCAATCTTGACTGTCCGCACGGGGTTTCGGACTTCGTTTAGCACATACATGGCATTGCTCCAGCTAAACCTCATTAGCCAGCCAAGTTCACAACCATTGAAAGAGAACATACCCAGCATAAGAATTCAACACCTTGAACAAGGCAGAAGCATACATATTCCCCGAATGGCTCGATCCAGCAAACGCATTTCTGAAACTGGCATGCGGATCAGGAACATTCTTCACACCACCACCAAGCACAACCCATCCAGTGACCACGATGAACAGCAAGATAATAACCTTGATGATTGTTATCACATTCATGCCTCGAACACCCCATTTTGGGAGAAAAGTGTGGAATAGAGTGACGAAGACAATGACGCCGATTGCAATACCACGTTTGGCCCATTCGGTGACTGCGACGTCGGCTGCCGTAAGGATGTATTGCGCGAAAACGACGCAGCCGGATGCTATCACAATATCAGTCTATCAGTCTATAGGAAAATTCGATCATTGAGAGGGATTCTGCATACCGGTAAACCCTAACGCGATAGCCTGCACGGCAAAGACAATGGTAATCAAGAGCTTGGGTTTCTTGTACACAGCTTCCAGGTAATTCTTCTCTCCACCACTGCGCGGAATCATAGAAGCGAATTCGAGCCAGACGCAAAGACCGGCAGCAGCCAGAAGAAATCCGAGGGCCCAGAACATTAGTGATGCACCTACACTGCCGAGTTCTGCGGTGACGGAAGATGGTGTCGAGAAGATGCCGATACCGATGATACGGCCGACCCTGTTGCTCGTTAGTAAACCGGACGAACCTCATAATACAGCCAGATTTAAAGTGAAAAGTTGTACACTAAAAATGTCGTCGATAAAACCCCTAAGTGTCGTCCGAGACCACCGGCCGTATACTCCTCGAACGCGAGTTCGCCGACATTCTTCTGCCGGGCATCTTGGAGATCTGAGCCATCGCGTTGTGCAACATCAGCCTCGACTAAGTCTTTGCCATTATCATAGGGTGGAAAATCATTCGCCATGATGATTATCCAATTTTATCTTTTCACCCTGGGTCTCCTTCTATGCAATTTTCTAGAAGAGAAGAAAAAGGAAGATCCATTTCCCGAGAGGATTGGGATGCTGATATAGAATGCGCGACTCGTATCACCAACAATACATATGAAAAAAAGAAAATTAATCGATTTGTTATAGGCCCAAGGTTGCATAGTGCAACGTAAACCCATTGTGATAACACTGCGGCCTCTGATTGCGTGCTTGAATCCATCTGCGAGTTTCCCGCCAACGAAATACGCTGAGATATTAAACCCTTGATAAGTCGATACGATAACTAGACAATGTGGTATGCAGCTAAACGACGATCGCGTTAGCCACAGCAAGGCTTAAACCCTCATTATGCCTTGATTATGATCAACTGCGCTGCTGTGATTTGTGGATAATGATCATTTCATGGGGCTAAATGGTGTTTGCTATTTAGTATATTGAGTGGCTTCGCAGGCAGCTCCTTTTGTAACTTGGGTCAAAGAACGATTCTCGCGAATGTTGGCTACGAGTAGATGGATATGATGCATTCGGCATGACAATCGACCATGCTTGATCTCTTCTTTACTGATTGTATTACGATTCTTTGTCTGAATCGGAGGACTCCGGGCATAGATATATCTCAACCCGCTGGTGGAGTTGTCGCGTGCTTGATGTCGCGCCGGTGGGGGTTTATACTTCGTTTCGTTAAAATCCATGTCGAACTTATTTCTCTTAACCTTATCACCGACAGTATGACCATGACTTGTTAAGTCCTTTCCGAGAAGTCGATCATTCTGGTTCATAGCAAGGTTAGGGTTGTATTAGGGCTATGTCTGCCCTAATTTCCGTGCGCCTCAATCTTTCACAGGATTCTTTTCCTCGACTTTGATGTTGTTCTCCTCACGCTTGCATCAAATTATTCCTGACGTGCTAGAGGCAAATTAGATTGCCACATCACATATCCTCAATATCCTCCATCGCGCGGAATGTGTTTTTCAGGCGCTGTAAACAAGCATTTGCCATCTCGGCAAATTTTGCTACATTCGAATTATGAAGCAGCATTGTATTCATGAAACGGCGACAATCACGGATTACATGAGAAGTTCCATCTAAGACTATCTCGTGCGACTTTTTGTCCATAGAAGAGATGCAGGGCTTGTGTTTGACTCTGTTTGCCGAGGCATTGGATTTGGGACATAGAGGTGTGGATAAACTCAATGATGATCCTAGCGTATGCATGGAAACCAAACGTTTAGCGTCGGCTGATTGGAATAAATGGCTAACGAGTCACCAAATCCAAAGTGACGCAAATCATGGAAAAATTTAAGCTTACATCTATCTTCAGCACTAGATGCAGAAATCGATGTATAGGGATTAGGGGCACGCAGTGCACTTCCATCTCTCCTTCAATCATAACATAAGCTTCGCCCAGATCGCCAATAGCCATAGACACTTTTTTGGTAACCAGGTTGCCATATCATAGGTAATGAAGTATGTTGCGACGTGATGAAAATATCGAGCGAAGCGAGCGCTTTTGGTACTGAGAGGAGAATAGAATGGTCGCAGAGGACTCCGAAACATCTGGAACGGACTAATCAAAGACTTGACAACTGTGAAGGAAAAATGGAGGCCTTGTTGGAGAAACCGACAAGTACAGAGAGAGGTGATAAAGGAAGAAACAAGGATGAATGTCGATGTCGTACAAAATAATATATATGGCGCTTAACCAAAAGCGGCTAGACCAACTACAGTTCAATCTTTGGCGCTGTTTGTGTACAGGTTAGCATGCGATAAAAGTAAAAATATCAAGGTACGATATTGGATATAGCGATTTTATAGATAGCGAATCAAGTCCGTGGATGTTATAAAAACTTCGGGTGGCTGTTGTATTTCCAACTCCAGCGATTCCCACGAGGCTTAGACCATTACGTCTTCGACTTCTAAAATACTTCCATAGTATTTTCAAAGATCGATATGACTTGATTTTCTTCTTGTGTATTCATATTCTCGATAACTTGCAAAGCTGAGCTGTCTAATACCTATACGTTCAGAAATACCCATATTACTTGTATCCTCCCAACGAAAGAGACCATACCAAAAGAAACACCACCTTTAATCTGGATATATCATCAATATGGGTCTCTGTTTTAGCACTCCACGAAGCCGCGCCTTCATGCCACCTCCTCGAATGAGACCCGCACCAGTGTACCAAATACATCCGATGTCTGGCGGTATGCGCATGAATCATGTATATGGCGGAGGTTATGGAGGTGGATATGGAGATAGAATGGGATATGGAGGACCACATATGGGAGGTCGGTATTATGGTGGTGGTTTTGAAGGAGGTCCGTATGGAAGGGGACGAAGGAGACATGGGGGATACGGGAGGAGATGTTGAATGTAGGTTGATTCAGTAAGTGCCTCATTCTTTTGTCTTGAGTGTTGGATGGGAAAACTCGTGGGCTTACGATGTATGGATAGCCGGATTTGGAAGATGACAGGAAAATGTGCCCTGGAGAGCTCTGGAAGACCATTCGGAAGCCTTAAGTGTATTCGAGTCCTTACTATTTGATGATATATTATGATGGTTCCTTCGGTTGTTACACTTGACATAAGCCGGGTATGAAGATATGAGATTAAAGATATGTGGGGGTTTGTTTTATAAGACACAACTACAGATACTGAAATGCTCTTTGCATATTCTTAATGAGAGATACGACAGATGGTTCTAGGCAATTTTAAAACCCTCCCGTTGGTTCTTGAATACATAAGCATATATTCTAAAGCTCAGGTAGTTATAGGACTATACCTACTGAAGCTTTGATTCCTTCAAAAAATTTTGGCTTTATCATACGCTGTGTATAAACCCGGCTCAAAGTCATTTATTGCCCATCCTGTAATCCTAACATAATCCGAAGACAGTTACGGATGGCCGGACATAAGATTGTATTAGTACGAGAAGCAGGCTGACAATACGGCAGTTGGAACCTTCTAAAGCCTATATGGTCCAATTCATCGCGGTTATCGGTACCCCGGATTCCTGACATGTGCCAAACCAAGCGATCGAGATCCGGAGACATGGCAGACTTGCTTGGCCTTGCAGATCACTGTAATCCGTTCGAACAGGTGATGAACGTTACTGCGTCTATGCTATGTGATGGGACCTGTTTACTTAGCAGTGTCTCGGCGCTATAACGAAATATGCGGTGTTCAGCCGAGGATGTCATCACCTGCAACGTAATAGCCCTAAAATGCCCTCAGTAACGCCACCTGACAGCTGGAAACAACCTTGGAAAGCATCCACAAACACGGACCCCGCGAGAGGAGATATATTGTATGGCTGCTGAATGCTTTGGCCTCATACTCATTGTGTAACCATCATGGTATTTCCTATTTGGTAACTGCTCAAACGAGAGGAATCCGGTTTGATGGATGTTTTTCGTATCGTCTTGACAGCGCACAACTTGGTGTTTAGACATCTTTGACAATCCACATTACTAACGTGTCAGTAGGTCATGGATTGTACGGGAGTTAATTTTGGATGCCGTCTATGGCCTTTCACTCGATCCATTTCTTTCTAAGTATTTTTAGCTATACCTTAGGTACTCATACATTAAATACTGGACGTAAGCGCTACGCCCCGCAACTATCCACATCACAAGCACATCGCTCAGACCTGATCGTCCCGGCACTTCATATAGATCCGGAACAGTTAACAGCCAGTGTATTTGATATTGATATCAAACAGTCAGCGAAACAACAATTGAGAAATTCGCGGTATAGTTATGAAATTACATACACATATGCGATTTGGAAGAACAGTGAACGTATGAGCTTAGGCACAAAGATCTGACCTGTTTCTCATCAACTCACAATATAAATGAAGTTGGGTAGGAGCGGCCGTAGATACTAGCCGATGAACTGAATGCAACATGAAACGGACTGTAGAAGAGTGAATAGTTTCTTTGTTTAGTCTCTGGCCCTGATTCTTTGCCGAAGAAAGTCCCCGATGCTGTAAAGATCTAATACAACCTTTTAGAAACTCCGATAGTCTAGAAATCGATAATCTAGACATTGCTCCATTAATTCAGTTATTGGGGAATCGTAATAAAATCCTACATGCCACTAACATATATATCCAATTGTTTGGTAAGCATCCGGGGATGTCCTTACAAATCTTGAATATGAAACAACTGATTCTGTTCCGGTATTTGATTAAACTATAAGGCCAGTAGTCAAAAACACGCAGATTTTTACCTAGCTTCTGCTCAGGTGATTACTATAGCACGCCGTTACTAATGTTACGCCATACTTGTCCCGGAATATGGGTTCCCTTTTGAAACTAAATCAAAGGGGGCCAGCGTTACATTGTCACCGTCCTTAACTATGAAACTCCTCTAATTCTACAAAATATAATGACCAGTGGCCATATACTTCTCGCCGAAACAGGTATATGCATAGTACGTAGTAGTATCGATTTATGCGCGGTTTTGTAACGTTATTTGAACACCTATGAAGCCCTCGAGCATGGTTACTGAGCAGATGGGGCCTTTTGAAGTTGTATAAATGGGATGAACCTCCCGTGTCTGGAACAATATGGAAAAACAGAGGAGAGAAAGAGAGAGTATAGTCCATTAAAAAGACAGAAAATGCTTTCTACTATAGTGGCTGCCCTCGCAGGCCATGCTACCCTTACCAGTGGCCATGTCATCCACAAACGAGTTACCACTCCAGCTGCTTACGCTTCCAACTCCGATGGCAGTTATACCCTGACCTCCATTACAGCTCCTGTTCAAGGCGCCGGTTCTCCTGGGTCAGAGTCAACATGGGACCTCAGCATTGATGATACGTCTTCGGGGTACAAGCAGAAAATCACCGGATTTGGGGCAGCTGTAACTGACGCCACGGTTACTTCCTTCAACAAGTTATCAAGCTCTAAGCTTAGTGAATTGTTGAACGTTCTGATGACCTCTACCGGTGCCGACTTCAGTCTCATGCGCCACACCATTGGCGCATCTGATTTATCTGGAGACCCCTCGTACACCTATGACGATAATGGCGGCAAAGCCGACACATCAATGTCTGGATTTAACTTGGGAGATCGAGGTAACGCTATGGCTTCCATGCTGGCTAAGATGAAGTCCCTGCAATCGAACCTAAAAGTGCTCGGCTCTCCCTGGAGTGCCCCTGGATGGATGAAGTTGAACTCTGCCATTGACGGCAACACAAACAACAACAACTTGAATGATGGTTATATGGGTAATGGAGTGGGAAGCTCTGGATACTCCAGTGCGTTTGCTCAATATTTCGTCAAGTACATCCAAGCATACAAGGCATTGGGTGCTACTATTGATGCTATCACTCTTCAGAACGAACCTCTGAATAGCCAGGCTGGTTACCCGACTATGTACATGTACGCTGAGGAGCAAGGAGACTTGGTTCAGAACTATGTCGGTCCTGCTCTTGCCAAGGCAGGATTGAGCACCTCTATTTGGGCTTATGACCACAACACTGGTACGTGCAGCCAGAAATGGCACTTATATTCTAATCAAAAGACAGCACACTAACAAAGACCACAGATGTTCCAGACTTTCCACAGACTGTTTTGAACAATGCTGGTCAATATGTGGATACTGTAGCATGGCACTGCTATGCCAACAATCTTGACTGGTCCGTCCTGACAGACTTCAAGAACAGCAACCCTAATGTCACCCAATACATGACCGAATGTTGGACCCCCGCGGACGGAGACTGGAACCAAGCCTCAGATTTTACTATCGGACCCCTTCAGAACTGGGCCTCAGGGGTCATGGCCTGGACACTGGGCACAGATGAGTCCGACGGACCACACTTGTCAACCGGGGGATGCGGCACCTGTCAGGGCCTAGTCACAGTCAACAGCGATGGCACTTATACACTCCAACCCGCATACTATATGATGGCACAGTACAGTAAATTCATGCCGCCAGGTGCCATCGTTCTAAGCGGAACCGGAAGCTATACCTACGACGACGGCACTGGTATTCAGTTTGTTGCCTCGTTGAATCCTGACGCTACTCGTTCTGTTGTTATTGAGAACACTTTTTCCAATGATATTTTTATTACTCTGAGCACCAAGAGTGGTCAGAAATGGAGTGGTAATATCCCAACGGAATCGTTGGTGACATGGGTGCTGCCTGCTGTTTAAAAATCTCGAAATTGTATTGGGGAAGGGCAAATTTAGGTTCGTACATAAAATTTACTTATAAGTATATGGGAGTTGAATAAATAGTAACATGGAATATTGGTTCAACTTTGATATGTATCAATTTAACGTCTCATCAGAACGGCAATGCGCATCTCATGCCGTGGAACTATGAAGGCTCATTGGATTTCGGTCCTGGACCGAATTGTTCGAGCTGGTATAATCTTTATCCAATTTCTTTACCTTCTCAGTATTAGGTTAATTGATAGATCCAAGGCGTAGAAAGCAAGGAAAGCTGGCAAGGTCCCATGATGTTTACACAAGCGATCACCTGATTCTCTGTGCCCTAATCCATCAAACTTCAACTCCCTATTTCGATCTGATGGAAGTAACATCACCACTTTGACCTATTAATTGCATTATAATCCATGAACGAACTTTGGAGTTAGTAGGTACGGACAGATTGGGAACTGTTCATCACGTCCTCTAGTAAGCACCCTGGTGGATCAGTGGTTAAGAAGCCTTGTCTTGCACCTTCAGCTAAGAGTGGGATCGCGCATAATGACATATTTCAAAAATATTCCGCCTCCACTTTTCATGTTATACAATATCATCATCTTACTACGAATACGAGTATCTTTATAGTAGTCGATAGGTGATAGACACTCTATTTCGGCTGTCGCCCATAAGCTCTTGTGCTTCAGTAACGAGCACCAAGATCCTATACGCAGAGAATAGAAATTAGTATGTTCATGCTCTCCGAGTCAGTCATCCCCGTGGTACTGAATATTCAGCTGGCAAAAACAGAGGCATCTCTGCATGATGTATATGCGGTTCAGGAGCGACTGTGGTTTACATGGGAGCATGAACTAGAACTGCCCCGGTTATTTTTGGAAATCGTGGAAATTGGTGTCTCGGAGTGTAGAAGGAGGATGAAAGTTACCATATAAGAGGATGAGGTATTACACCGTTCCTCTGGATTTCTGACTCGAGACAGGGATGCCTGACTAACTATCTGAGAATATATAGCTATGCTCCGGAGATATATGAAGTGGCACTAGAGGCAATATAGTTGATGGGAACTCAAATTCACTCACTCGAATATTTCTATTCTGATCCACAGAAAAATATTTACGTACACATTTCCTGACGAATGCTTCCCCGAAACTCCTGAGTCACAAATCCCGATTAGTATCCCAGAACCCACACGCCGTGTTATAAAAAGGAGCAAGCTAGCCAACTGGACTGCTCACCTAGTCAACTAACAAGTGAAGCTAAATCGGCAAATAGTCCCTGCTGACAAGATGGCACCTGTATTATCTAACGTAGATTTCCATGCAACACACCACAGTCTGTTTGAAATCATCAACTACCGTGTCTCACGTTATGATAACAATTAACCAGCTGAGACAATGGGGAGCCTTATTTATTTATCTACCCTCTAGCCGTCTGTGGGGGAGTGATTAAATTCTTTACGTACATAATGTCAGCGCTCAATTGTTTGACTAATTAAGGGAAATGCATCTCCACTATTACCTGAAGGAAAGGATCTGAGCGAATTGAGGAACTAAGACATTGCGTTCGATGTAACATGAAGGATGAAGCTCTGTTTATTTATTTTTTACTTGTTACGCTAGTAACTCAGACTAAGTTAGTTATTTTACAGTCATCTTTTCGATTAGTAATTACGGCGTCTGTATGGTTTGGTAAAAGATTGTGACGGTAATGATACCATTAGGCCGTAATATAACGTTGTTAACTCACTGCACAATTATCTGATGACGAAGGTTTGAGATTGATGTTGTTTTTAAGATTGCGACATCTTGATGAGACACCCTGAAGCTGGTGACTAGTCGATTTTTGGCCCGAAGATTGAAGGAGATAGGAATATTGGACAAGTTGGAAGGCAGTGAGACGCGTAACAGTCACTGATCTAAGCTATGCTCAAGTCCCTCTATTGCATAGGAGTCGTGTCATTATATTATGTCATACAAGGATTGGACATAAGCAGATATCAACAAACATTAACAGACCATGCCATCCACTGTTTTGACAGAAATGAGGGCCTCAAATCCACATCTCTGCCTGAAACTGACAACTGGAACTGGGTTCTAGAGACAAATCAATTTGTGCCAAATCAGTATCAAAGAACGCCTTATATATCGAACGGATATATCGGTCAACGTTTGCCGGCAGAAGGAGTGGGATACTGGATTGACATCGATAAAGATGGGGAATATGTGAGGAACTGTACGGCAGTTTCACTCCTATTCTGACTGGATTTAACTAACTATCAGGCCTTACACAGCATGGCCATTGGATCAGCCTAGAGCAACATTTGGTACAGTTGCAGGATTCTGGAATCTACAATCACGAATGAAGCACGTGCTTCTACCGGACAACCTCAAAAAGGGAGGAGAATCAGTCCTTAGTGGAATTCCAGACTGGACTGGCTTGATCTTGACTACAAGAGATGGACACGCTTATAGACCGGGGGTTGATAAGAAGACTGTGGTAGGATTTCAACAGTCTCTCTCTGTCCGAAATGGACTTGTCCACACCAATGTGACATGGTCACCGACTCATGGTCTGGAGTATCAGCTGAATTTCACAGTGCTAGCCCATCGCGCTCGCCCGAATGTTGGCATTGTACGGTTGGACCTGTCCGCTAATAAGGAGGTAAATTGCTCTATTATCGATATTTTGGATGGGGCTGGGGCGGTTCGTGCGCAGTTCAATGATAAGGCGTTTGAGACGGCAGATAATGCCATTTGGACCAGTGTAAAACCACGTGGAATCAATTACAAGACTGCTCATATCTACTCCACGGTAACTTACGAGTCTTCAGATGAAGGAATGTTGAAAAATATTGAACAGACAAGAAAAGACGCGACTTTTTCTCCTTGGGCGTCTCAAAACGCTAGCACCGTTGCTCAAAGCTGGGATATACTTCTCAAGAATGAGCAATCCGTCACGTTTTACAAGTATGTGGGTATAGCATCAGATGATGCGTTCCCTCATGCTGCCCATAAAACGGCAATTCGGAGCGCTCTAGAAGCAAAGGCTACGGGTTGGCATTCTCTACTTGAAGAGCACGAATCAGCCTGGAGCCAAGTTTGGGATTCCGCCGACATCATCATCCCAGGAGACACTAAACTTCAAACTACCGTCCGAGCATCACTCTTTCACATACTTACCAACCTCAGGTCAGAAAGTGAAGACAAGAGGGGTATGTCAGACAACTCTATTACTGTTGGGGGTCTGTCTAGCGATTCGTATGCCGGCTTGGTTTTCTGGGATGCAGATACATGGGTATACCCGAGCATGCTAGCCTTGCACCGCGGGTATGCATCAACTATTAACAACTACCGAGGCCGTCTCCTACCACAAGCAATTAAGAATGCGCAATTTTATAATTATTCGGGCGCTCTTTACCCCTGGACAAGCGGCCGTTTTGGTAACTGTACAGGAACGGGTGTCTGTAAAGATTACCAATATCATCTCAACACGGACATTGCTTTAGCTCATTGGCAATATTTTCAAAGTACTCACGATACTGCTTGGTTACGTAACAAGGGTTGGCCAGTTATCAAGAATGTGGCTGATATGTTTGCTGCCTATGTTGTGCTCAATGAAACCACGCAAGAATATAAAACTATTCTCCTAGGGGAACCGGTGAGGTCACCAGCATATCCTGCTAATTCCAAATATGACTGTTACTAATCATGATTTTAGGATGAGTTTGCGTATTTTAAGAACAATGGAGCGTATACCAACGCTGGGATTAAAAGGCTACTGGGTGATATTGCCCCTGCAGCTGCAAAAACTCTCAATCATAAAATCCCTCGAAATTGGTCTAGAATCGCGGAGAAAATTAGAATACCCATTGATGATAAAAGCAATATTACTCTTGGTTTTGATGGAATGCAGGGAGATTGGAAAGTAAAACAGGCCAGCGTTGCTCTCCTGAATTACCCTCTTCAATACCAGATTAGTGAGGATCATACGCGAAACGATATGGCATATGTAAGTATTACGGTCTTCAAGAGTTATTTGGGCAACTAACAATTGCAGTATTCTTTGATCAATACTGCCGATGGTCCTGCTATGACATGGTCCATATTCGCCATCTCCGAGGCTCAATTGCAAGAAAGTGGTTGTGCAGCATATACGTATCTTCTTCGCAGTGGAGAGCCTTACTTTCGCCAACCATTCTACCAATTCAGTGAAACTGCAGTTGATAACTACGAAAATTCAGACGACTTCAACCCAGCTTTTCCTTTCGGACTATACCCTGCATTCCCATTTCTCACCGGCGCCGGGGGATATCTACAGGTATTCACACATGGGTTAACAGGAATGCGGCCGCATCTCGATTACCTGTTTTTTGATCCAACTCTACCACCGCAGATTCCTGAGGGGATCATCGTCAAAGGGATTAAGTGGCAGGGAGCAAGTTTTGATATATCTATTCAATTGGATTATACAACTATTGGAAGACGAAAGCTCTCTGTCTCTGCCGACAAGGTTCCCGCAGCTATACGAATTGGAAAGCAGAACCTTTCTCATGGAGACTATAAATTGCTTCCTGGAGAAATTCTAACTATACCAACACGGCGACCAGATCGAAACAATCTCCACAACGGGAATATCAATCTTGCTTTATGCAAGCCGATCGATGCCAATACTGGTCTTATGGGATCTGCAGAACAGAGCTGGGTCTTTGGTCGCTACCCTTCAAGTGCAGTAGATGGCTCTAATGCCACTGTTTGGCAGCCGTTGAGTCCTGAACCGGCATCGATCAGCGTAGCCCTAGAACAAAGGGTCAACGTCTCCCAGATAATCATCAACTGGGGTTCCACGCCGGCGTATGGTTTTACAATCCATGGTCATAAAGGCGAAACAGATATGACGACAACCTCGATTCTCTACCATACCAGTAAGGTCGAGATATCTGCACCTTATAATTCTAGTGATGTGTACGAGGTAAAGATCAGAGAAGGGAATACCACCATTGTGCAGTTACCCAGCATATTTGAAGCCACAAGCATCAGTCTGACAATTGAGGGAACTCAAGGCGAGGAGCAGAGGCTTGGAGCAACGGTGGCTGAGATGGTAATCCTTTAGATTTAAGTGAAGAAGCCACATTATGATCTGTTGTCGTTGATGTTCTGAATGTGACTCAATTCAAAGACATACCATAGCTATGTCCGTAGCCGAGATCCTAAGGAATTCGGGAACAAGTTGTAGGTAACATGACTTGATCTATGATAAATATTTTAACTACTTTTGTTATAGGTGACAGATATTAGTATGTAGACTCCTGAACAGCCGTATACCTCGCTCTATTCACATCGCGAATTGCAGCCATTCTAACAAGATCTTCAAAGCGGCCTAGTATCAATGACCACGATATCGATCCATGCTTGCTCGGTTTGGTGCCGATGTGATATTCCGAATTTCCGAACCAAAGAACGCTTAGACAGAATCCGGAAGGTCGACCCTGTAGATATGCTCTCCACATTTCTCCACCATGTTGACACGGGAGGGGATGGAGATTAGGAACGATATCAGTCCGAGGGTTTGGAGTAAACTTAGTATATGTGCCTAGGTAAGTATTCTGATTATGTAGTAGCTTTCTATATAATGCTTCATGCTCCACCAAATCTGTGCTTACGGTAATCATTTCGATTGTATGTTTGATAAATCGTCTTCGCGAAGCGTGAATACAAGCATGACGGCCGAGGAAACCATTCCAAAGGACACCAACTCGGAACTATGGCGAACGTTGGTTGCCAAAAAACAGATAGGAATTGAACAACAAATTCCAGCCGACTGGCGCTTGCCTAAGGAGTTCAACGACTCTCTATTCGAAGAGAAAAAGACTGCCGGAATAAACCTTATTGCAGCAGATATCCCCCGCAGAAGTGGTTTACTGTCTGAATCCGAGCTTGACATTACCGAAAACTACACGGCTACTGCCCTTTTGGAGCTGCTTGCGTCGGGGAAGTTCAGTTCGGTGGAAGTAACCACAGCGTTTTGTAAAAGGGCGGCGATTGCGCAGCAATTGGTAGGGATCCACCATATTTTTACGTCGATTGATTGAGAAAGTCAGTATAATAACTGTTGATAGATATCGTGCTTGACCGAAACATGCTTCCCTAAGGCGATCGAACGAGCTGCATTCTTGGACGAATACTTGGCCAAAACTGGAAAGCCTTTTGGGCCTCTGCATGGATTGCCAATTAGTGTGAAAGACAGCTTCAAGGTCAAAGGATTGCAGTCTACGATAGGTTACGTTTCGTTTTTGACGCATCCTGCCGAGACCTCGAACTCTCCTTTGATTGATATTCTGTTGAACCTCGGAGCCGTCATTTATGTTAAAACGAACATCCCTCAAACGATGATGGTGAGAGACATAGTATACTTATCAAACTTCGAGCAGGAGCTTACAAAATGATACTACATAGACAGGAGACTCAGAAAACAACATTTTTGGGCGTACCTTGAATCCCCATTCTACAAGTTTGACTGCAGGAGGTTCCAGTGGTGGCGAAGGTGCACTAGTTGCATTCAGAGGCTCTATTCTTGGAGTAGGGACTGATGTCGCAGGCTCGATCCGAATTCCATCGTTGTGTTGCGGCGTGTACGGATTCAAACCAACTGCTGACCGTATTCCATTCGGAGACTCAAAGTCGGAATTAGCAACGGGATATCCGGGCATTGTTGCATCAGCAGGACCTTTGGCGCATAACCTAGAAGATATAAAGATAATCATGGACACCGTGCTAAGCGCACATCCGGAGGACCTTGACGTGACAGCTATTGGTGCTCCATGGAGCTACCGATTCGAAAAGACCGGACAAGAAAAGTTGACGATTGGGGTGCTATGGGAAGATCCTTCCTTTCCTCTCCATCCACCTGTTCGCCGCAATCTTGAATCAGCCATATCGGCTTTGCAGAAAAAGGGCCATAAAATCGTCCGGCTGATTGCAACAGAAAGCTGTAGTGTAGCTTATGGCAATCGTCTTGCATTTCAGTACTTTACTTACGTCCCGCAAAAAGATCACATTGCAGCTAGTGGAGAGCCCCCTATCACCTCAGTGGCTAAGAGGTCGCATCCTATGTACACTGGTCCTCCCCCTGTTGACCCTGAACTGGACTTTGGGAACAAGCTAGCTGCGCTGGCTAGAGCAAGATTTCGATATATGGAGTCCTGGAGGCAGCTATGGGTCGATAATCATCTTGATGCTATTCTCACACCTGGAGCACAGAATACTGCCGTACCGCACGACACATATGGCTGGCCACCATATACACTGGTGTGGAATGTCCTTGACGTAAGTTTGCTCTCTTTTCAGCCACTGGAGCATATATACAGCGTGAAAAGTCGCTAACACTTCCGATCAAAGTACCCTGCTTGCATTATCCCTTACGGAGAGGCATCTAAAGAGCTGGACCCGGAACCGATGACTATAAATGACGGCGTTCAGCCATCTTGTAAGTGCAATAATTCCATTCACCATGTAGTCTTGTCCCAGGCCCGTATAGCTGATTTTTTTTTTAGATAATCCGGAAGCTGTCGATGGTGCACCGTGTGCTCTACAAGTCATCACTCGAAGATTCCAGGACGAGATGTGTTTGTATGTCTCAGAGATTATAGATAGAGATATAAAAGATAGTTCTTGAGAGATATTTTATTCGGATGCTGCAAGAAAGCAAGAATATGCGCTTGGGATGCGATATCAATCAGTCCATGGATGTGACTGCGACGCTGAGACGCCAGTGGCTTTGTTGGGATCAATTATTGTATCTGTTATCTGATACCGGATATTCCATTTGTACTTCAGCACCATTTTAATTAGTTAACTTATTACAGTTGCCCAATGGGATAATATTATCTAGGAGCTTAGAGGTTGACGTCTACTGTCTTTAGAACTAAAAATAGATTCATCGTACACACCTTAACACCGGAGACTCCGGATTTGCTGATAGATAAGGAGTGCAGGTTGGTGTCCATCATCTCCTACAATCTAAGCTGCTGAAAGTAGTCTTGACCGCACAGTAATGGATTGATAACGTAGTGAGCATCAAAGGTGTATAATTATGCTAGGGTTATTGATATAATTAGCAGGGTTAGGGGAATTAGTGTTATCTGGTCATGATAACACATTGAAGATTGACCAACTGGAATTCACAGGAGACGTATCACACTAGATCAAAAGAGGAAGGTGGACGCGATCCAATCTTCGGTAGGTTTGATAACGAACTGCCGACCTCGTCTTGCTCAGTTTCACTTTATCTGCTCTGAATTTGCAGGGTTTCGAAGCCGACTAGTCAGTGAACTCTCTTGACTTCATTCAAATCTGAAATAGGCATGTCGTCCCGTAATCGGCGAACGCGAGAAGGCTGTTGGACTTGCAAGAATAGAAGGCGCAAGTGTGACGCTCAACGGCCCACTTGTCGGAATTGTGAGCAGCGTGGCATTGCTTGTGAAGGTTATGAAGTCCGACTGCGATGGGGCACAGGGATCGCATCTCGGGGAAAATTTACTGGCGCCGATAAGCCTTTGGAGGAGGCTGTACCTCCACGGCCAAACGGTCGTCTCCGTGATGTGGCTCGTGACAGAAAAACAGTACTAGCAAACCGTGAAGATAAGCAGCAACAGCAAGATAGGTGTCATGGTCAAAATCAGATATCTCTGACTGGCGGTGACCAGCGGACTGCGTCGCATCCAGGAGATAACTCTACTCTATGTTGGTGGTTCTAATTGTATCTGGCAGCCCCTCGAGCTGTCGTTACTAGTTGGCTTTATTGATCGTGTTTTACTCACGTGCAAATAGATCGACCATTAATCCTTGAGCCTATGGAAATTCGACGGTTTGTAGAACAAACTCCAGAGAACACAATCGCCGCGTGGATATCGACCCAGAAGCCACATCATCTACGAAGGTCACTTCCCACCGAGGAAGATGTGAGAAAAGACCAAATGCTGTTCCAAGACTGTAATAAAACCTTCCTGCCCAGTTTTCTTGATTCTATTTGCATTGATATTACACACTGCTTCTGGGGATCTTGATTACCTGACACATGATGACATCTTTTAGTTATGAGTTCTGGTATCAAGCTTCTTCATGCTACACCACTCGAAGAAAGTCCATTGTTACCACGTTGTCCCCAACTTTGCGAAGAGTCTGAAGCCTTGTACTTTATATGCCTTGCGATCCAGTGTCACGTCGCTCATGAAGAAGAATCGCTGTTTCTCGAATACTACGATAAGGCGTTGAGCAGATTTCGGACCGAGCTGGCACAGAGCGAGACCGAAATAGAAAACGCGACTCTGACAGCCGGGCTACTGTTATCCACAACGGGGGTGATTATCCCAAGTTCTTCCTAAGCTAGAGATTACATTCATCTAACTAGGCAGGAGCAGATTATGCGCGGCGTTCCCTGGACCATGCACCTCGAGGGTATATACAACATCCTCTGCGCCCAAGGCTTTCAAAATATGAACCGAGAGAACGAAAGTTTTCGAAATCATTTGGTTGAAGTCATGGGGGTAATGGATATGTCTGTTTTTATACTCGGCCGCCAAACACCCTATTTTGGAATCTGGCGTCAGCATCGCCATGGCCCTGTAAATATGTCCAAACAAGGCGACGTTGAAACGGTGACTGGCTTACCTCGCTCATTGCTCGATTTGTACTCCGGCATTGGCGAAACGACTAGCGAACAGGATCTATGGAATTGGCCTGGGGAAAAGGGTAATTTGCTTCAGTGTCAACTCTGGGAAGCTCACCGTCTTTCAGCCATCTTAAATGTGCGTCGCCTAGCACGAAAGAAATCGTCACCGGCCATGGACAAACGTCCTAGAGAGCAGTAGCACATCGTATCGAGCACCGACACCGAAATCCTTGTCATGCGCATTCTCAGCTCTCTGACGCTATCTTGAGGGCGCATATTGACATGGATAAAGAAGCCGAAGAAAACCAGGTCGTCAATGCGCTGAATTATCCTGCTCTTATCGCAGCACAGGAGGTTGAAATTTTGAGGAATAATCCAGACTCAATGTCTCTTATCCGTCGTTGCCTTCAATCGCATTCTAAAGCCGGTTTCGGCTCCAAACTGCTTTTGAATTTACTGGTGGAATTTTGGGAATTCAATGATCCAAATTTGGATCTTGACAGTCTAGCGAGCTTTCATCACGTCGAAGCGGGAATTTTATGAAAGCAGAGCAGTAAAGATCTCTTCTTTTACAGAAAGCTGCGGCTGCAATCAAGACGTCTTTTGCCATCAAAAGTTTTTGACTGTGAGCAATGAAGCTTTCTCCGGCTGAGGAAATATGTAGATCAAACTAACCAGAAAACGTAAAAGCCAAGGGGGGTCGACCTACCGCATTCGGTTCTGTCCATATGCCCCGGAAGGGTTCTTCCTTGAGCTTATGCGCCACATCATACATGATTGGATTCGAAAGCCGACGGGGTTTGTGATACACGGGCATTATTAGCACTCTAAATCCCTGGAGCCCTACTATGTATGGAAGACTTGGCCACGAAAATCGGTCTACGCTTTTCCTGTCCTGGTAGGTCGACGCACGTCTCAACCTGAGGGCTCAGGGCTCTTATCAGATAGACACGATCTGTTCTGTAGCCTAGACTACAGGGAACGATATATCCCAACTCGGTTTGACTACCGTCCAGTCATCTAAGGTCAAAAATGACTGCTAGACGCCCAAGAGTAAATGACTCAAGGTTTGACACTGGTCCCGTTTTAGCTTTATCTATGGTCCGACCCCGCATTTATCAGTATCTCCAAGCGGCAGATCCGTAGTTTCATAGCAGACTACTATCAAACCTAACCTGATCCTTTGAGTTCCCTATCAAGACATCAAAACTTACCTCACCATCGCCCATAATGTAGCAAGTCGGTTCAAGGTATATGAACCCCCTTCCGCCCTCCTTGACGTGTCTATACTCGTGCATACAGCAAATTCTCATTAAAGTCTAGAGTGGAATATCTTCCTAATTCCAAACTGTGGTGAGAGTGATCCGTGCGATGGCTACCGAGACCAGCCCCAATTGCCACTCCCATGAGGAGGACTTGCCTCCAGGCACTTTCCTTCTTGTTCGTCGTATGTTCTTGAGAACCCTCCAAGCACAGGATCTTACTGAAATTTCATCTTTCGGCAGATGAGAGCAATGAGGACCATACCCAGAGTCAGGACACGGTCATGCTTGATCCAGTCCCGTCCAATGATCCCAATCAGCCACTGGTAAGCCGTTCTTTTCATCTGGTCCGAAACCTTGCTTGTCGAAAGGCTAAAAGAAGAGAACAGAACTGGAGCATGAGACGCAAAGCCGTCAATTACACCCTTGTCATGGCAGTATCTTGCCTGATCTTCACGTCGTGCGTCATGGGCCCCCTTCTCAAAAAGAAACTCGAAACATCTTAAGAGCAGGACAAGAAACTGTTGGCCCTGTGGAGTAACTGAAGTAGCTGACTTTTTTTTCCCCAGGATCACCATACAACAGAACTTCTGGCAACTGATGGTGGTTGATTTGAATGTAACCTACAAACAGCTTGCCAATTCAAATTCGGTCAACTATGTCGGCTTGTCGTGTGGATGTATAATGTTCATTCCCTTTTCCAGAAAATTTGGTCGCCGCCCGATTTACTTGATTTCGACGGTTCTGATGCTGGCGACAGCTCTTTGGTCTGCAAGAATGAAGTCCATGTGGGAAGTTTACGTGACGAATCTGATTCAAGGGTTGGCTGGAGCAACGAATGAGACTCTCGCCCAGATGACTGTTAGTGATCCTCCAGTCTAATCTATTTTGTGATATCAACTCTTCACAAAAGCGTGCTTCTGTTGACCATTTCTTCATACAGATTGGCGACTTGTTTTTTGTCCATCACCGTGCCACTGCTAACGGATTGTACGTAACTACGGTCATGATCGGAGTAAGTATATTTCTATCTAAATGAGTTCTTCAGCCATGATACTGACTCTCCCAAAAGAGCTTCCTGATACCAGTGCTAGCCGGTGTCCAAGCGACTCACCAGGGATGGAGATGGTCGTACTGGACTTTATCAGCCGTCAATGGGGTCCTAGTCTTATTGTTCTTTTTTTTTTATGAAGAAACTAAGTTCTCCACAGAAGTCATAGAAGGCTTGCAGACCCCTACTCAGGTACCCACCGAGAGACCACTGGATAAAAAATGCGATGTCGCTTCAGGCGAATGCGAAGTGCAGGCCGATGATGGTACCAAGCAAAACAAGCATGCTTCAGCTTCTCATCCGTCTGCAACGAATCACGAATTTGACTATTCAATTCCCATGAATTCTTGGAAAAAACGACTTGCACTGATAACGCCCTCTTCGGAGCCCATCTGGCCCTACTTTTACCGACCCTTTCAGACAGCGATATACTTCCCTACCGTCTTGTTCGTCGGCATACAGTATGCCGCTCTGATTGTCTGGCTAGCAATCATTGCGAACGTGATAGCACTCGTCTTCCCTCTACCGCCGTACAATTTCAATCCGCAACAAGTAGGATATATGAGTTTTGGTCCCTTTGTTGGTAATCTTCTTGGAAGTATTTACGGAGGCCTCCTTGGCGACTGGACGATTTTGTTTTTCTCTCGCCGCAACAAAGGTTACTACGAACCGGAGATGCGGCTCTATACTTTGCATATACCTGCCATTTTCCTATGCGGCGGCATTATCATGTTTGGCACAACCGTAGCACAGGTAAGTAACATGACATTCCTCCCATTTTGAAAGATTACTCAAAAGGCTAATTGATGTGCGAAGGGTATGCATTGGATTCTCCCTAGTATAGGAGGAGCTCTCTTTGGATTTGGGTTGGGCAGTATTGGTGATGCCGCGTTGACCTTGGTTCTTGACAGCTATCCAGAGGTGAGTTCTTTCACCATTCAACCTCCCAGCTTTTTTCAGTGTGACTGATTAGGGTTCCTACAGATTGTCAGCGATGCAATGACTATCATCGCTTTCATGCGCAACGCAATTAGTATCGGCATTCCCTTCGCCCTCGTTCCCTGGATGGGGAAAGGTGTTTCCAATATGTTTATTGAATGTGGATGTATGAGTCTGGCGTTCTCCGGGCTGATCATCCCCATGATCATATATGGCAGAGAAGCCAGAAGACGAACAGCACCAAAGTATATGGCCATGGCAGCGCGTTTGAAAGGACTCCACTAGTCCCTGACCTTGGTCAAACATGTGTGTGCTACAAATCATCTTTGAAGACCACTTGACAACTCCTGTCTTCGAAGAAAATTGCGTGTCTGCTTCTCAGCCTACTTTCGCAGACAGAGACTTCCAATCAATCATCATGTTATTCTCATCACTATGCAGATCTGGTGTATCCCTGCTTAGCCATATGCATCTACTTCCTCTACTATTTATTCTCCTTACAACCTAATTGATCCATGAAATGCTTGAATTTTGGAACTTTAATATTCCTTGTCAGAGACGTGATTTTCAATCTGGCCTCGAATTGTAAAACTAAGTTGAGCTCGAAATCGGGTTATCTGCGTTATTAGACACTGTTGCAGCGGTGGGTGCTCATCATTTATAATTCGAATCCTTTTATAGAATGTAAGATAAATTGAACCATTATAAATTGTCAAATCAATTAGATTATTTGATGGTCAGGAAATGCTGTGCAATGACTATAACATTAGAGCAGTTCTTAATTGATATAGGTTTAATGAGATCCATGGATGCTATTAACAGATTCAGCTACTTTCTCCGGTATACTGAGGTATGAAAGACGACTTGATCCTCTCCTCAGTTACCAGAAGCTGCTCTGGAAACCAGGACGATATATCAGGAGAAATAGAAGACTTTAACTTGTTATCATGAGCAAGCAACGTAATAGCCAGGGCCTCACCACAGAGCCAAGCATTCACCATTCCCTCACCAGAGAATCCTGCCGACACCCATTCTCCTCCTTCTGGCAGTTCATCTTGGCTCTTTTCTCCTTCACGTTGGGTTGTAGAAGCTGGCAGTCTGCCAACCCACGGCATACCGTCAGAGCTAAATCCCATAGTACCAGTCCACATGCTCTTGACGCTTGGTCCAGGAACTACTCCCCAGTTCTCTCGTCCGAACACAGCAGATAAAGCACCGGATAAGTGAATATCAGTATAGACACTCATGTCTCCATCCGTAGCAACTCCCATGTCTCGAAGACCGCCATGTTCGCCTTGCGCAAACCCGCCTCCAAACATCATCTCACCACAGGACACGTTGGAACTCTCAGGCAATTGAGTCAAGTAATCGAAACCTTTCGCATAATTAAACTGCCAAGAGTACTTTTCTCCGTACGCAGGGAACTTCTCACCGGGAGTCTGAGCTGACATTTGACCACGGACGGGGTAGACTCGTCCACGCAGGCAAGGAACAAGATGGCTAACGTGCGCATTTGTGCAATGCACTATATGTCTACATTTGATTATACCACGTGGTGTCGTTACTGAATACTGGTCTGAGCTGCCTTGAGCACTCGGGTTCCTTTCAATCTTCGTTACTGGGGTTTTTGTCTCGAGGCGGAAGTTATCTCCGAATTTTCGACGCACATGGTTGAGAATACCGGTGACAAGTTTGTAAGGCCAGAGTGCTCCCGCAGGCCCTGATATTACTCCCGCTGCCGTTGGAAGCTTGAATTCGATAGGCATATTCTCTCTATCATAGCCAGCCCATTCCTTGGTCTCTTCTGGCATTGCCTCTTTTAGACACTTCAAGTGAGCCTTTGCCACGGCCCAGGTTTCCTGGTCAAGATACACGGAAAGAAATCTCACTTTTCGTGCTTGACACTCGCTCTCAATTCCGAGTTGCTTAGCCACATCTAACATGATTTGCAAGTGGGAAAGGCGAAATCGCAGAATCTTCTTCGCCGCCTTGACACCATATGTTTCCTCGTAGTATACGTACTCCTCTGCCGTCTCGAGTATGTGGCCACCGTTGCGACCTGTAGCACCACTACAAGTATTTCGAGATTCGAGCATAACGACAGCGGGAATAGCGGACATGGAGATGTTAGAGTCCATTTCATCTTGTTTCTCATTTTCTCGAAACTGCAACAGAGAGAGTGCAATGGATGTCCCCGTTATTCCGGAGCCGATGATAACGGTATCTGCTGTAGAAGGTAGTCCAGAAGACTGCACTTGATGAACATTTGGATCAGGCTGTTGTAGCCAGAACGATTCTGTTGTCTTTGCGGCGGCATCTGGATATCCAGGATCGGAGTAGATCCTGTCTATAGCTTCCTGTCTATCTTGAACAGCAACTGCAGGATTGTCTAGAATGATTCGTGCGAAAGACATTTTGATTTGTGTATCTTTTTCTATGCACTTGAATCCTTTGGTTATTGAGATAGATTTCAATGGGGCTGTTTTCAAGTACGTGTTGTAATGGCTTATTCAACATGGGTCTCGTACGCTGGAGACATACAGAGAGACAATATAGTTGTCAATCCACCCATTAACCCCTCGGAGAGGACATATGTAGTCTTTAGAATGTAGTAAACAATTGCTCCTTTCCTTTCACATGCATGTTCAGCTTTCATCGAGCCAACCACAGCTTGAGGGTAGACCTTCCGTAAACGGCAAACGAGGCGTCCAGTTGATTCTCTACATGCTATCAACATTTAAAGTTGCTTTATCAGTAGCGAATTCAATCTCTGGAAAAGATAAATGACTGGCATAATCGAAGAATTGGAACAATAATCAACATGAGCGATAGTTTATCGAAGTTACATCTATACCTTGGTTGGTTGCTTAAGCCGAGTCGGCAAGTTCACGAAACGCCGCACTTATCTTCTTCAACAACTGAGCTCCGCGTGGAAAGTCATGTCCGAGCGGATGATGAATCTCCTGCACCAGATCTGACTCGCAAAGTGCCAGCGTATGAGCGCCGTTGTCATGTGCATCACCACTCTCCGGACATCGCACATGCAAGGTCGGTATAGTGATCAATGTCCCATGAAAGTTCGCATCATAGCGAGTCATCCCATATACCCCGTCCGTGAAGAATGGAGTTCCATCCTCCAATAGCCTTGTTTGCAGAGACTCGACTTCCTGCCGAATTGCGTCCGAATCCGGCATATCTGCTCTCTTGTGGAATGATTTTCTCGCACGCGTCGCGCTCGGTCGCAAGTATTCATCCAGAGCTGCTTTTACGACCGGGTTCCTCACGGAGTCGACATCAATAACACCATCTTGGACTTTTTCATTTTCAAGTCTAAACGCTTTAAGAGGGCTAATGGCGTTGATGAAGCATGCGAACCGAAACGGCCTCTCATCCGGGGATTTGAAGGGGTGTTTCTCAGCGTCAGAGCAAATGATCTGTCCAGCCAATGATGCCCCTGCAGAATATCCCAGCACTCCATCAAATGGACCTTCTATTTTAATAAGCTCTAATAAGGACTCTTCTGTGTCTAGTACGGATTGTGCAGATAGGGGATTGTAGTAGCCATATAGGGGGAGATCAGATGCAGCTGTTGTATATAGAGACCAGTTTCCTAAGCAAAGACTATTAGCTTCTCCCAATCCTCCAAAAATATACTCAAAAGTAATAATTGTGCTGTGCCCAAATTTCTTTCGTACCTTCTGTATGTAACACAGTCCCTTGTACAAATTCAAAGTCCATGTCATCTAGATCCGCCCGGATAGCCGCTGTCAATTTCAGAATGTCAGCGTGGTTGATCACAGCAGAGCAATACACTGAGTGATACCGGTTTGAAGTTTAAAAATCTAAGAATGGCTATCATTAGTGAGATATTCACTGGACTACTTTGAGAAAGTCAAACCTCATTGTTAGAGCCCCTTCCGTGTAGGCAAAGGATTCTCATTTCGCTACCTTTGACACATTATAGTGCTTGGAGACCAATTTCCATAAGTCAGATATCACATTGACCAAGGCCCTTAGATGATAAACTGCAGTGTTTGGGCAGGAGGGATTCTCAGTATAGCAATTCTACTACTACTCGAGTGGAGCCATCGCCTTACCAGGAAACCAAAAAAAAGTACTTACGTATAATGACCCCGCACCTTACAGTGTCTATCTATTTAGGCCCCCAAAATCGGCCGCAGATTGCTGAAAGCTGACGTTGATCCATTGTTGAAGCTTGACCGATACTTACAGGATGAGATACTGGGCACGTTTTCATACGAGTGTATTGTATCGTTGTATCAGGTATGGTAAATTACCCATACTGTACAAGTCACTGGTATTTCTATGTGGATCGGGGTTAGAAAATGTAGGTTAGTTAGTTAGTTTATTCATCGACTGACTTACCTAAGAAGTGTCGAGCAGAATAATATCTCTGAGTAATTTTCTTGACACACCTACTATTGTTACTTGTCACTGAGAAAAGACTCATATGAAGCCATTTGCAAACGGCCCGAGGTCTGGATGTCTCCTTTTTCGAACTGATATCGAATTTATTTTGGTATTATGGATTATCTCATTGCGAAGGCTCAGCCCTCAACCCTTTTTCCAGTAGTATTCTCCATTTTAGGATCAGTCTTTCTCATCTTCATCGGCACATGGTGTTATTCATGGCGACAATCCTTTCCAGCCAAACCATACACAGGCCATGAACCCCCTTTGGTCCCATACTATCTCCCTTACCTAGGTCATCTTTTTCAGTTTCTGCGAAATCCCGGTGATCTAGTCCAACAATGCAGGTATTGACCGTATGTAAAGATTGATGCAATCCTTGAATGTTTACCTCTCTTTACAGGAAGAAATACCCCAATACGCCTTTTTCCCTGCAGATGCCAGGAGCAAAATTCCATATCTTCAGCTCCCCGGAGACAGTGTTTTCAATTTTTACGAAGCCGCGTGATTTCGTCTGTGAACCGGTAGTATCTTCGATGATGAGTAATGCCCTGGAGCTGGCAGGTGAAGATCTTCAAAAATTCGATATCCCAGTCGAACACAATCGGAAATCACCGGATCTTACGCCAGCACAGAGAGAGTCGTATGTATTTGTCTCACGGAATCATGCACTCTACCTAAAATATCTATCCGGAAGGACTTTGAACTCCATTATTAAGATATATACCAGAAATTTCTTGTTGGTAATGGGTCGTTCCATTCCCATTTCTCAGCAATCGCCGACGACAACATCCATTTCCCTACATAAAACACTGCAAAAGATAGTATTCGATACGTCATGTTTCACATTCTTCGGAAACCGTGTCCACCAAATCTGTCCTGATATCTGGTCTCATTGGAACTCATTTAATGAGGCCGCCTATATTGGAGTGCGATCAAACGCTTCATTTTACGTACGTCCCTGGACGCTTCGTGGGAGACGTCTCATGCTAGAGACATTTGACACATGGTGTAATACTGAACTCGAACCCTGGGATGAGACAGATGGCGTCTGGAATGAGAAATGGGGAATCAAGCTTAATTGGGAAAGAGAAAAGATGGCCCGAGATCACAAGATGACTCTTCGAGGCCGATCATGTGTTCAGGTTTCTTTTCTGTGGGTGTAAGTTTTAACTCTATATCCTGTCACTGGCGTGGAAGCGCGACTATTTGATCAGATTTAACGCTCATCTACAGAATTATTACGAATGCAGCACCTATGTTAACATGGCTTGTCACTGCACTCCTGACACATCCTGAGCTCCTCCAAAAGTTTCGCTCCATAGCTGAACATTACATCTCCTACTCAGGTAATGGGTCATCGAGAGATATTAAGTTTGACCTTCCAAGATTTTGTGTTGAACCTTTCATCCAAGGTGTATGGAAAGAGGCCCTCAGACTAGGCGTGACCAGCGCATCGGCGAGAGTCGTGACACGGGACTCGGAGATAGAGGGTTACATCGTGAAAAAGGGTAGTGTCCTATTACTCCCTACGCGAAACATGCATTTTGAGGAACGCGTATTTCACCATCCATATGAATTCAACCCATGGCGCTGGGTTCTTCTCGACGAGGACTCATCGTCCCCTTCAGGGTTCGGCCAAGTTTCACCAGAGCAGTTGAAACGACAGAACAACAGCCTAAGACCTTTTGGCGGCGGTACAGGTATTTGTTCCGGTAGATTTATTGCTGAACAGGAAATCATGATGACCGCTGCTATCCTGTTGCATCTTTTCGATATTGAGTTTGAGCAGGGGCAGTCTATCCCAAGTCCAAATTTGAATCCCCAAGGACTAGCTGCTATGTATCCCCTGGTAGATCCGAAAGTGATAGTGAGTGGACGGAAGACTCCGAGACTGTAAATAATCTTTCGGAAACTGTGGTTGTTTTCTATCTTGGAGATTTTTAGTCTATCTCTAGCTACCTACGCCACGGAAGGTGCAAGTAACCTCGTTAAAAAGAGAAACATAACTTCTCTAAAACACACTAGTCATTGATAATCTCTATATCTAGTTACTTCAAGAGTGTCTGGATGGAAGGTGTTCGTGGGTTCAAAAAGAGAAACGATGACTGGATCAGGATTAACCCTAAGCCAAAATGTACCAATGTAGAGGCAGAAAAAACCTGGAACAATCTCTTTCATATTGATACTAATAACCTCGGCAGAGTCCGCAAAATGTGAATATCTAAACTGTTATCTCACTAACTTGCTGACAGTCGCAGCTTTTTCACTAATTGTAGCCAAGCTTTCTGTTCCCATAATCTCAAGCAATGGCACCTCTGCTCCAAGATCCTTCACCAGCCATGTTCTGAACTCCATAGCCACCAGGCTGTCAACACCGTTGCTGCTCACACTTTTGTTTGAATCAATATTATCGACAGGGATTGCCAGCAGAGAGGCAAGTTTATGTCGAATTCCGTCACGCACAATACCTACCGCTTCCTCCTTGGTGGTAGCGTACGGCAATGCAATGACCGCTAGATGTGCCGGATCCTCTCCCTTGTGGTGTCTATAAGATACCGATGTAGTATTGAGGTGGGTAAAGAGAGGATAACTCAGATAAGAGAGTGGCGGCACTCCCCTCTGTCTCAGATATTCAGTCGTGGTCAGTCCAACAACCAACTGAGCGCGTCCCAGACCTTCTTCATTCTTGCAGCGAGGATCAATAACGTATTCAAGAAGTGTGTGAATTTCATCTTCACGAATGACCTCCAAGACGTTGGCGAGAGTGGTCATATTCTCTCGGTGTTCGGCCACATAACCAACCGAGAGCACAGTGCCTAGGTCGATGCTTGTAGCAGGAAGGTTCTGTGAAACACGGTATCGCGCAAGGAAGTCTTGATACGTATTTCCCGCCGCATAGTTGGCTTGTGATCGATTACCCAAGATGCCTGTGGCTGATGACAGCATGACAAAGAAGTCCATGGTACGTGGGAGGTATTCGTGGAGGTTCCATGATCCCTGAACTTTGGGGAGAATAGCAGCCTGGAAGTCATCGTACGACATATTTTCGAACATACCGTCCTGCGGAAATCTTGTTAGAACATGTTTCATATAAAGAAATTACCATGAGAGAAGAGGGAAATGGAGAATATACTCGAAGGACCATGGAGCCCTGAATGCAACCTTTGATTGGTGGCAGACTCTGGGTAACCTCCTCGACTACGGCCTGGACACGCTTGCTGTCTGAGACATCACAAGCAAAGATATGGGCCTGACAACCTTTACTGTCAAGATCATTAATCATCTTCTGCACAGACTCTGTAATCTTCCCAGTTCTCGACAAAAAGACGATATGCTTCACTCCCTTGGACGCCATCCATTGGCCGATGCTTCGACCAATACCGCCAAGTCCACCTGCAAGGAAATATGTTGCATTGCTGTCAAACCTGTAATCAGCTGGCTGTTCAGGAACGATAGGAACTACATCTGTTGGTGAGGAGACAAGTACAATCTTGCCCATTCCCCTTCCGGACTGAAGCGTACGCAACGCCTCTTCAATCTTGTCGTAGCTCAAGACTTGTGTGGGTTTTGCCTGCTTAATCTTTCCTTCTTCGTATAGCTGTACAGTTTGCGCAATGAGACGACGGAACACGAGGGGTTTATGTTTCATCATCATAGGCAACTCGACACTGGCCATCATTGCCTGCCGAAGGAATGGTGAAAGCTCAATACGGCCTCCTAGTTGAGAATCCTTCTTACCAATCTCGATGAAGCGACCAAACGGTGCCATAATATCCCAAGATTTGCGTAGAGCTTCCCCAGACAAGGAATTCAGAAGAACGTCCACTCCTCGGCCGTTGGTCATTCTCATGATACCTTTGGCAAAGGTAACGTCTCGGCTAGAGAAGATGTGATCTTCTGGGATGCCATACTCATTCATTAGCAAAGTCCTCTTCTCGTGAGATGAGACTGTAGCAAAGATCTCCGCGCCAACATTCTTAGCCAGGTGGATAGCAGCTTGTCCAACGCCACCTGCTGCGGCGTGAATGAGGATTGTTTCCCCTTCGGAAAGGCGGGCGATTTCATAGAGGCCATATAACACCGTAGAATAAACACAAGGTAACCCTGCAGCAACCTCAAAACTCAAACTATCTGGAATCTTGACCACGTTCTGCCACTGGACTCTTCCATATGTGTGGAAGCAACCAACCGCCTCAAATCCACACATGTAAACAACCCGGTCACCGACTTTCAAATCGGGAACCCCGGCTCCCACGCGAGACACAATACCAGCTGCTTCATTTCCCAAGGAGTAGGCCATGTGCTCACCCATGGCAATCATAACATCACGAAAGTTCAGACCAACGGCTTTGACTTCAATCTCGACGAGGTCGTCGGCCAAGGGTTCGTTGTACACAGTATCAGTGACGAATTCAATCTTGTTCAGCATTCCTGGAGCTGAGGTGCTCAGTTTTACTGGCCTACCTGCCTCACCCAATGGTATCATCTTCGGCGTCGATCTGGCAAATTTGGAGTTCAAGTACTCATTTGATAAGTCTTGGTCTTTCAGACGATTCGTGTATATGATTCCGTCCTTCAATGTATATTCAGCATTGGGTCTGCTTTCAGATGCCCCGCTGAAAAACTGTTTATCAAAAACGCGGATGATCTGTGCAACGAAGTCATTCAGTGCAGGCCGTGGCTCTGTTGTTGAAAGCAGTATAAGGTTGGCTTCATCAACATCACGCTCCCAGCGAATAGACCGCATCATACCAACTATCATTCCTAATGTTGGTTCGCGGTCAATGTCCCCTGTAACCCACAGTACCCCAGCTGCATATGAAAGGAGATGACGAATGTTCAAATACTCTTCTTCAGTCAGTTGAGACAAAGTCCCCCGTTCTAACTCGACCATGCATACGCAAACGCTGCTGGACAGTGACTTGTCGGACTGTAGATTTCTAAAATCGAGTATGCGGTATGAGGCTTTGCCAATACGGCTTTTCAGTGCATCTTCTACAGCTCGGACAAGCTCAAGCGATGACTGCTCGGAAGTAACAATCACAACATCATCTCCCTTCAATTTCTTTGCCCCTTCGATTGCCGTAGCAACGAAGAGACTCTGCGTGTGAAGATCGGGGTTTTGGCAGTCGGGAAACTCTAGATTTATTCCATCAAACCCAGACTCTCGAAGCTGTGTTTCCCACACCGCCGCTGGAACCCATGGGCTCCAGGTGCGACTAGGTTCTGTCCCTTGCCACCAACCGGGTAGTTGACCGAATGCAACTGGAGAGTACAAGAAGTTTTGGCGAGTACCTTCCTGCATCAAAAGCTTGCCGCCGGGTTTGAGCAATTTGTGGATATTAGATAGGGTCTTTCGCAGGCTAGTGGTTGTGTGTACAACGTTTCCAGCAATAACAAAGTCGTATGTACCAACTCCTAAACCTTGACTTGCCGGCTCCTTTTCAGCATTATAAACTTTGAACTCAATAATGTCGCTCCAAGCGCTGAACCTTTCTTTGGCCTTTTCGAAAAACCCGGCCGAGACGTCTGTGAACGTGTATTGGATTATCCGTGAGGTGAGGTTGGAAGAAGTGTCATCATCACTGAGAGGACTGAGAATATTTAAAGTAGGAGCAGTTGAGGCACCTGTTCCAGCACCAATTTCCAGAATTCGAAGATTTGAAGAATTGCGGTAGACATGGTGCAGGTATTCTTTGAATAGGGCCGGTATGTCTCCTAGAGCGACAACTTCGTCATAAACGCGGTCTAGGATATCGTCACTAAACATGAGTTGCAATGGGTCTGTCTCTCCCTTCAGGAAAGGGACTATGTTGGTACCCATACGCACAGCGAGTGCTCCATCACCATTGTAACCTGCAACCTCTTCATAAAGCTGGTTCTTAAATTTCGCGTCATGGGCTCTATCGGCCCATTCCTTATAAGACAGATGAATTATCTGATCTTTTTCCAAGTTCTCTTTCTGGTAGACCAACCATTCATAGTAACGGCGTTTGTGTCCTTGTAGAAGCGTTGGATCGAAGTCTGTCGCAAGATCATTAAGAGCGTCGGTTACGTTGAGCATGACAGCCAGCTGCATCCGGTTAATCCGATACAAGTACATTTTCTCAGCTTCCAGTGGAGACCTTGGAACCCTTGAAAAAAGGTCAATTGTAAGAAAATCAACGTCGATCGGCCACTCAATAGTGTGACATAGATTACGTTTTTGAACGTCTGTCGTGATATTTGATTCTAACGGTGTAGCTCGAAGTCCTTTGATTGAAACTAATCCTTCCTTTCCTGTACTATCCCATATCATGATATCGGATTCGTACTTTTCGTACGCTATCATTGATGACTTTCCATACCCTTTCATTTGTGCACCAGCCGCAGAAGGAATCTTAGCTGAGAGCCAGGCCTCCTTGACAAAAACTGGAACGATAGCACATTCCAAAGTTGCTTTGCCAGTGAGATCAAGAACTGACAAAAGGAAATAATGAAACATGCTGTCCATAGTGCTTGGATGGATCAGGTGCGGGTGCATGTATTGCTTAGGCATAACTTTAGCGACGTCTGGGACCGTAAGAGTTGCAGCAATTTCTCCACGGTTTTGTCCGCTTCCCTTTACATCTCCTAGATTTCTGAAGAGAAGCCCAAAGTTAAGACCTGTTGTAACCAAGTTGTCGTAGATACTGTTGATATCCATAGGCGATCGGCATTGTCTGAAAGTTGTGTCTAGTGTCTCGCGCCATTTCGCTGCTTCACAACTTGCTTCACGACCGTTGTCTATTGGATTGGCCTTGGCTTCGTATTCAGTGGAAATATACCCTGTACAATGCTCGATCCAGTCATCCCCTACAGAGTTATATGACGAAATGGCAAATCGACTCCAGATTTGTGATGGCAACATACTAGCTTCATCCATCTTTGTAATGGAGAGGCTTGTCTCTATTCCGTCCTTGGAATCGGGGATGATCAAAGCACGTTTGATTGAAACGTCTTTTAACCGGAATCCTGTAATAGTCAAAGCTGGGTCTGCAATTTGACGACAAGCTTCGACAGCCATGATGATGTAGCCAACTCCCGGATAAACAAAGTTTTCGGTCACAATGTGATCCCTCAGCCAAGGGAGCTCTCTTAGACGGATTATTTGACGCCAACGAGGGTTCTCCTGATTCCAATCGGTAACTGGAGCTCCAAATAGGTCGTGTCTTGGATGCTTCCTTAGTCGGAAATTTCGGCTCAATCTGCTCTCATAGACGATTCGCTCGGCATGGTCAAAACTATAAGGAGGGAGATCAACCAGCATTTTGGGCATTTTCTTTCCAGGGGTTTGATTGACCGCTTGAATGTTGACTGGGTAGCCACGAGAGCTAAGACTTCCAACAGCATTGAGAATGATTTCTGTACCTGGTGCGGTTCTATCGAGAACGTTCATGTACGCCACGGAACTTCCCCTGATTTGAGACGCCATGGTCTCTTTTATAGCACTTTTCATAGCACCATGTGGGCCAATTTCAAGGATAACATCCACCTGGTATTCGGAATCGGCATTGAGTTGAAGCTTGGCTTTCTTCTCCTCTAGTTTATAGCCCATAGCAATCAATGCCTCAGAGAATAGTACCGGTGAGACCATATTCTCAACCCAGTAACGGGCGTTGAGGAGGCTGTCCGTAACCAGTTCTCCGGTCACGCTTGAATACATCAATGCATCTCGAAACCGACTATCTGGAGATTCTGCAGTCAGGTCACCCATCCCTTGAAGGTAGTGGTCAGCTACCAAGTTCATATGATCGGAATGATACGCATTGGTAACGTTAAGCTTCCGTACAAAGACTCCGTCTTTATCAAGTAGTACCTTGAGTGCATCAATCTTGGCTTCATCTCCAGATATAGTGTTATTCTTTGGGCTATTAAAGCAAGCAATAATCAGCTCTCCGGGTATCTCCCGATTGACTCGGTCAATGTATGAATTGGCGTCTTCCGTGGAAAGCCCAACCGCTAGCATTGCTCCTTTGACATTCAGGGGCTTTGCTGACGCAACTCCGCGCCAGTATGCAGCCTTCCAAGCTGCCCGTCTACCAAGCTTACCAGCAGCATAGGCCGCGGCAATTTCACCGGATGAATGACCGACCACACGGGAAGGAAGGATATCCCAGCTAGCAAGTAGATCAACCAGGGCTATCTGAAGAGCAGCGCAGCATGGGTGTGAAAGTGCCGGTGAGTTGACTCTAGAGTTCTCCTTCGACACTAATAATTCATTGAGTACTGACCACTCTGCTCCAATCGACTTCATGTATTCAGATGCTTCTTCCATGCTGCGACGGTAAACGGGATATTCTAAAAGTTCTTTTCCCATGTTATGCCACTGAGCACCCTGTCCAGTGAAAACATATCCAATTCTAGGCTTGTTGCCCGCTCGGATTACCGTCAGTGTATCGTCTCCTGTAAGGTTCTCAGAGAGGTCATTCAGAGAGCTTGCAACCAAAAATGATTTCCAGGGAAATTTCGATCTCTTCTCGGAGAGTGTAAATGCTAACCTCTCAAGAACTTCAGATTCAGTTGTCAAATTTAGGGTCTCATATTTCTTCAAATAGTCAGCAATTCTAGTGGCGTTTCTCCGTATACCTTGTTCATCAAATGAGCTAAAGCTGAAGATCCTGTTCTTTGGACGTGATTCAAGGCCTTTGACATTGATATGTCCATTCACTTCCGAAACCCTATTCGGTAGATCGCCGTTTGTTACATGGCCATTTGTCTGCAGTTGCTCGATCATTGCCCCGTTCTCTATCAGCTCCTCAGTAGTTGCGGGTTTTTCCAGCTCACTCAACTTTCGACGAATATCATCCTGCGTCGGTACTGACTCGACGGTGTTGTGAATTGAAACCATGTTCCGAGATGTCAAGTAACTATAGGCATCGTCCAAGATAACATGAGCATTCGTGCCACCAACACCAAAGGAGTTCACGGATATTCTTCTCACTCCTTCAGTTGGCCAGGGCGTGTTCTCTAGGGGAAATTTCAAGTTCCATCTCTTAACAGGCACCTTAAGGTTAGGTTTCTCGAAGTTAACATTAGGCGGAATGATACCAGACTCGAGAACCATCACAGACTTGATGACTCCGGCAACACCAGCGCCTCCCTCCAAGTGCCCGATACCTGACTTGATAGCACCAATATATAGCGGGTCGAATGTACTTCGATGTGGGCCAAAGATTTTGGCTGCTGCACTAGCCTCCACGGGGTCTCCTGCTGATGTTCCAGTTCCATGCGCTTCTAGCATTCTGGTATCTTTTGGGTCCAATCCTGCTGAGGCGTAGACCTTACGGATCAGATCTTCCTGCGCACTTGCACTTGGGAGTGTAATGCCAGCTGTCCTGCCGTCTTGATTTACTCCAGAGCCACGAATGACAGCTCTTATTGTATTTCCGTCGCGGATAGCATCTGACAGTCTTTTCACGACAATACTGCCCACGCCTTCTCCACGAGCGTACCCATTTGCTCTATGATCGAAACTGTAACACTTTCCGTCTGGAGACAGGAAGCCATGATGGGCCATTCCCATGATATCCATAGGATTTGCCAGATAATTCGCACCGGCAACAATAGACTAACCTTAACTATCAGCAATTTTTCCCATTCATCTAGTGGTCAAAGAAAAACCAACCATATCACTTTCTCCTAATTGCAAACTTGTACAAGCCAAATGTAATGCAACCATACTACTCGAGCAAGCAGTATCAATGGTCATGCAAGGACCTTTGAGGTCATAAAACCAACTCACGCGACCAGCAATAATCGAGTTGGTGGTACCCTGCGGTCTGTATTTGAGGGTAGTTTCTGGATCTGCATTCAAAAGTGCAGCATGATCGACGTTAAAACCAGTAGTGTACACCGACGTTTTACTACCAGTGACATCTTTCATAGATATTCCTGCATTCTCGAGTGCATGGTATGTATTTTCCATAACGAGTCGTTGTTGGGGATCGAGTGTATATAGCTCTGTTTTGGTCACCTTGAAAAATGGTGCATCAAAATCCACCGGGTCATCTAGGAGGAAATTCGCTCCTTTGACGTGAAACTAAGAGTGAAGATTAGCAATTGATGACCATATGATGTACCTGTTTAGTATGAAGTATGGGAAATGATTACCGTTCCACCATGTTCTGGATCTGGATGATAATGGCCATGACGATTAATCCTGTCTGCAGGAAAATCAGTCATAGCCTGCCGGGCTTGCAATAAAAAGTTCCATAGATCTTCTACAGTTCTTGCTTCTTGAGGAAACTTTGCAGCCATGCCCACAATGGCGATGGGATCTTTTTCAAATGAGCCTGTCGCCTTGAAAGTGACCTCATTTAATTCTGCTGAGGCCATGGTAGGCCCATTTGATGCACTTGCAATAGTCATTTATAATTATGTGCGACCCTTCACTGAAGGTATGAAGAGCCAAACACAAAAATGATTTAAGGCAACAGAACACGCAATTTGAGAGCTCTTAGGCTTGCCTGCTAGTCTTTGGTCTGTCTCGTCGATATGTATTGTACCTGCAGCAAGGCAAAAGTGGAAGCAAGTGAGGAGTTTAAAAACTGAGAGACAAAAATGACATAGTTGTCTTATTATACAGCGTAAGATAATACTTTTTTGAAAATTTACTAGATATATACCAGTGATACCTTTGGTTTGCTGTCAATTGATTGCTGTCCCATTCATGTTCCGTTGAATGTCTATTAGCCTTTCGATATTTTAGCTAAAACATGCTCAGATCTCCTTTGACCCAATTTTCTTATACATGCATATTACCATCCCAATCTAATCAGCTATCTATAAACGTATGTTTGTTTCGACGACCGGCACGAGCCGACTTCGGTGACTCCATTCGTGAGGTCTACGTGGCCTTCGACACTGGGACTCTACTGCATTAACATAAGCATTTAGTGCCTTACGAGCCCCGCGGGGAAAAACCCAGCAAAGTATGGAGCAAATATCGGGTTAAAGTTGAAATGGATGAGAGACAGATATGATTAGTCTGGGGCGAAAAAAAACAATGACTCGAAATCACTATATAATTCTAGTAGTACTGCAAAGAAAATGCTTATCAGCGACCTGCGGAGAGGCTACTAGCTTCGTAATCATACATATGAAAGGTAGCATGTTGAAGCTGTGCCTACCAACCATTTCCACCGTCAACAAGCAGATCATATCAACTATATCTGATGAACGAATCATCACCTCGGGCTCACTCAGCGACCCCTCATTTAACTTCTGCAGGATGACAAGAACTGGCAACGCAAGCATGCATCCGGCCCATATGGATTGAACAAAATTTGCCGAAGCTGAAGGAAGTGAACGGTTAGATATTTTACCCCACGAGTAACCCCATGGGTGTAACATCAGATGGGATGTGGCTGAACTCTAATTGGTTTAAGGATCTAATTTAGGTTGGTGGGGCCGCCTGGCTTACTCAGCCCGGGAGGCTTGGCTTACTGATGTATTGGTAATACCATACTCCATACTTACACCATAGTACGGTAACGGTATTACAGATACATCAGAGTCATCTATTGTATGGCACAACGTGGGGTCTTATGTCCAAATGTGGTGGTCTTGTGCTTATACTGATACTCATGTCGGATTTCTGCTAGACTGGATACTTATTGAGAATAGGAAAAGCATACACCATGAAGCCCATCATCCTATACACACATCGTAAGGAATCACCTGGCCGTTCGAACAGAAAAAACGTTTGACCCTATCAAATATGAGACAGAACTAGGTACCAATCCCTGGAAATGCGCCATTATCCTCGAAGAGCTCAAACTCCCATATGAGAACCGATTTGTTGAACCGGGGAATGTAAAGAAGTTTCCATATACAGATCTTAACCCTAATGGACGAGTGCCCTGCATCGAGGACCCCAATACGGGCATGGTACTCTGGGAATCAGCGGCTATCAATGAATATCTCGTCCAGACATATGATTCTTCAGGAACGCTTTGGTGTCCACAAGGACCAGATCATTTTATTATGAAGCAATGGCTATATTTCCAGATGTCAGGTCAAGGACCATATTATGGGCAAGGTATGTTTTATATTTCACAGGGTCTTTTGCTGAAAAGGCTGATCTTCAACCAGCCGGCTGGTTTGTCTTCAGACACCATGAATACCTCCCATCTGCAATCAACCGTTATCGACAAGAGATTAGGCGTGTTATTGGGGTCCTAGATACGGCCCTTGCCAACAAGGAGTATCTCGTTGGTAATAAATGCACAATTGCAGATCTAGCTTTCGTGACGTGGGATGAAATGGTCCCTGATATATGTGAGGGTGAGTCTTTTATGGAGACATTACATGAAGACTGTACCAACTGGATTGCTTGGCGGAAACGTCTTCTTGCTCGTCCAGCTGTGCAGCGAGCTTTGCGAGCTAAAGCGAAGTCATTGGAGGAAGTAGGGCCAAGCATAATACCTAGGAATTGGGAACATGAGAAAAAGGCAAATACTACCACAACGATGTAGATATGAGGATGAAACATGGCATATAAGTTATATGTGGGTAGATATGATCTACAAGTGGCAGATCCAAATGCTTCTGACGCTTGATTCTCATTAGTCTGAACCCTCCAGGGCTGGATTCACTTGTTATCATGCTGCGAGCTCTTTTCTCTCTCTTTCAACTTTTTCTCTAGCAAACCGTGCCCGAATTTTCTGTAACTTCCCAGCATCCCGAGCTGCATGCCATTTTGGCGAGAAGCCTTCAACCCGTCTCGCCGGATTACTAGCATTAATCAATTCTATCAACTCATCCACGTACGGCACTTCTTCATCATGCCTACCATTCATCAGCCTTGTATCACCCTTCTGTGCCAGACGCTTCTCATATATGCGCCTCATTTCTTGTTGGCTTGGTAAACTTGCTTTGCCGGAAAACACCTCAGCAATAAACATCGCCTGATACTCGAAGAACGAGAAAGTGGAAATAAACTGAGAAATTCCACCAAACGCAAGTGTTGGATCCGGAATATAAAACATGTCCTTGTGTAAGTTGAGTGTGCAGCTCCCGTCCTTAACCAAGACCTTGGAAACATCTACATTTGCGAATCCATTATCTGCATGTAGGTCTGGCATGAAAGGGTAAGCAAAGTGATATCCAGTGCACACAATCACGATGTCAATATCATTCAGGACTGTGCGGTCTTTTAAGGTGACCTTTCCTGGTATATGTCCTTTGGCTGTCAAACTTTCGGCAACCTTCTGTAGAGTCCCGAATGATTCTATTTCAGCCACTCTCTGACAGTTCTCAGGAATAAAGTCTAGTGGTAGATCGAAACGCGATCCACGTCCAGACTGGTGTATTTTTTGTACCAAGGGGCCCAGCTCACGCGCTATCTCCGTTGAAGATGTTCCCGCACCCACTAATAGAATATTCTGATACACAGAAGTTCGTCAGTAATATAATTTTCTAGTCTTATGAGAAGAGTTCGTACCTTACCAGAGTATTTCTGGGGGTGTCTATAAGACTTGGAATGCTCCACACGCTCAGGATATGTCTCGCGCCATTCAACCAGACCAGGAATAGAAGGCAATCGAGGTGTATTATAATGCCCTGACGCTACTACAACAGCATCAAATTCCTGTATAGATATCCATTAATTGTCTGTTGTGGATTATTTGCGTTTACAAGGCACTCCTTACCCACTTCCGATGCGATATCTGGAACTTTTCCTCCTCCGTATTCTCAGATACTATCGGAATCAAAGTCCCCGTGGTCACTTTCCACTTGTCGCCTCCTTTCTTCACTCTTTCAACCAAAGTGCGGTAATAAACTCGGTCTTGCATTCCCACTTGGGTCGCTGCTTTCTGAATGTAGCGTAAAACATTGCGGTGCGTGGTCCATTCACTTGCATGATCAGGACATTCCGGGGTTGTCATCGGAATCTCCCATAACCATGGAAGGTCCTTTAATTCAATCGTAGCCAACGAAAAGTTATTTGTAAGACCATCGTAGCATGCTCCTGGAGGAGCATGTTTGAGCGCATCCTCTGCAGAAATAATCCCATCCTGTTGGTTATCTTCCTTGTACCAGGGACATAAAGCTTGGGAAGCCTCCAGAGGCTCTGTAACCGAATAAGGCGGCTCAGGAGCTTTCTTCTCATCGTATAACCTTGCACGATTCACCTTCGGTGTCAGCTAGAGCAGGTTCCTTGACTTATGCAGAGGTACCAACTTACCAAACACCACCTGGCTTCTCGTTCCGCTCGAATACTGTCACATCGAGACCGGCTTGAAGTAGATACTTGGTCGCAAGAATACCACTGATCCCAGCCCCTATAACGGCGATTGAGCGAATACCTTCAAACCGCTGCTGTTCGTCCGCCATTATTTACGTAAACTTGCCGAACAGAAAGACGTTTTAAGCAAGACCGCCGTTCGTAAAGTTCATCATATATTCTTCACATTTGTTTTGTTACCTGTTTGACTAGTTTGGGATAATTCGAAAGATGCGTAACCTTGAATTACGAATACAGATACTTCTTCGTAACACATTTCGGTAAACTTGTAAGATATAGTAAACCATTTTTACAGAGTCTCATGATCGTATGATCGTATGATGACCATTATTACCGCTAGCCAGGGGAACTTGGCTCATGAGCGGTGAAATAACCTCTTATAGGAGTATGGGGTCGATATGGATGATTGACCCGCCTCATATCAATGTTTCATGGGGTAATGCTTACACTAATTAGCATACGTTGTACTATGGTCTATCCAGGTAATTTCCATAGTACGGTGGGGCTGCAGGGATACGTACAGGGGTTGACTACCTATCAATCTCAATTATTCTGCCATTCTCTAAAACACCTAATTAGCTAGCTAGTAAGGAATATTTCCTCCATCCGCGGCTATTACTGCCTGACAACGAGCCTGCATACTATGAATAAGCTGAATAAGGAAGCTCTCAGGAACTGCGTCCCATGCAGCTCGAACTACCTCTCGGAGCTGATCATAGGATAATTCTTCATCGTCCGGATATCTATCTTGAATCCAATCCTTCATCCAGTCCCATATTGTCTCAATTAGATTGAGATCAGGTGAAAATGCAGGCCAAAATATGGGATATATGCCTCAAGAATGAAGTTCTTCTTTCGTAAAAGAACTCGAGTGCCCTGGGGCCCCATCCTGCATCAACTGTAGATATAAACCCTCCTGGCGCATTAACCGAAGATATCCATTAATCAATGGCACAGTTCGTTCACAGTACCGCTCAGCATTGATAGAGCTCCATTCTTTTTCCCAAAATAGACATGGGTCTTTCATATTTCTATGAAATGACGACCAGAACATCCATCCTCGACGTCGTGAGATTTTTGAACGAACACAGGTATCATCCAATTCTTTACGAGCCTTACGAGTCACGTAAATGCGAGTATGAGAGCCTGATGTAACCTATGTTTCATCCGTCCATAAAAGCTGTTTCCATTGTTTATATGTCCATTGTACATGTTCTAGATCCCATATAAGCCATTGCCGTCGATTTTCAGGACTTAAGTAAGGTTTGCAAAGCGCGTTACATCGTGCATAACCTCTTTTCTTCAAGGAATAGGCGAGTATATTTGGTGTCACATTGAGATTAAGCGCCTTGATAACCTTGGGATATGGCATGCGACGATTCCTCTTAGATGAAGATATCCACTCAATGATCTCATCCATTTGAGATTCAGAGAGCTTAGGTGCAGCTCCACGCGCCTTTTTAGGAGTAACCTGACTAGACTGACACGCATATTGAACCTTATTTTGTGTAATATTGAGTTGTTTCGCTATTTGTTCATAGGTAAATCCTGCTTCTCGCAAGGTTTGAACACGAATATGATCGTCTCGGGTTAAGCGTGTGCTATACTGCTTTGGTGAGGCAGGCTCGTTCGTGGATTCGTTCGTGGACATATTCGGAGGCTCTTTTGTAGGCTCATTCGTAGGCTTAGACATTGTGGCAGGCTCTATGCGGCGTGGTAAGGAATATGTGTCAACATCTCAGCATAGACTCTAACACCTCCTATAGTAGATGGATAACCGATACAGGAAGGCGATAGGCATACCCCTGCAGCCCCACCGTACTATAGAAATTACCTAGGTAGACCGTAATAACCATTTAGCCGACACATTTGCGAAGTAGGTAATAACCTATATCGGACATTTTATATCAGCTGCCTTTCTAGCACCGATTTCGCTGTCTTACTCACTATTCATGCATACGCGTTGCCACTATCACTACCACTCGTCAGTAAAAAGACTAGATACGTAGCTAGAAACGTAACGTCTAATCTGACCTGCTCTAATTTCTAGCTTGCCTTGTCAACTGGTGGAGATGTATCAATAGGTGGTCAGTTTTGGTGCCTGAGGCCACAATTAAGGCTTTGTGTTAACCCTAATCTCGTGGGAGGGATCGATCTTGAAGTTTAATCGGGATGCAGATACTTCCAAGGGCTTTTCACGACTTTCTAAGCTAGAAGAGTACCTGGAAATGCTTTTGACTATCAGAATACTAAATTTCAAGGTTTCAACCAACCGATCTTGGAATGGCCTTGCCGCCTTGGTCCTGGTAGATAGATATACAAACGTCTGGTCGAGTTGGTAGATGTTCCCTATGAGGACTTAAAGGTATCAAGTCTCCCAGTATGCTCGTATTAATTAACATGATGAGTACATTTGATAGGCACCTAGGTATCACAGCATTTGCATCGCTATCTAGGTGCTCAGCCACCCATTATGAAGGTATATTGATAAAGGAGTCCAAAAAAGGACTAGCGTGTGGCTACCTTATCTTATCGTTGACTCACAAAAGATCTGAAAAGTGTACCCCGCTACCAACCGCGACTTTTTTCTTCACCCCTTGAAACATCAGCAGAGACCAACCCACGAGTCATACTGCTTAGTGTCACTTCAACTTGTCATCTGAATATTGAAATACGTGCAATACAGTACTGATTGAACGAATATCCGCCACCGAGCCCGACACGACAAACATGGCGGATGCCATTACCGAAGCTACAGCTAAGCTGCAGCTCGACGAGGAGACCGGCGAGATGGTCTCCAAGAACGAGCTGAAGAAACGTCTTGCGAAGCGCGCAAAAAAAGCAAAGACAGCCGCCAATAAAGCGGCGGCACCGCCTAAGGATACTACCGAGAAGGAGAGCAACGCTGCGAAAAAGCCAAAACCAGAAGAGACTCAGCTTGACCCAGACGCCATGTTTAAGGAAGGATTTTTGGCCAAGGTCTACGATGAGCGTCCTACTGGCAAGGACACTGTAACTCGGTTCCCGCCTGAACCCAATGGATTGTATGTGATATCTTTCTCTTAGATGGTGTTCTGCTGAAGCTTTACCTTACTGATCGACAAAGCTTGCACCTAGGTATTTATTCCTTAATCATACGAAATACTCGCCGGCCATCGCTAAAAAGAAGATAGGGCATGCTAAGGCTATTGCGATCAACTTCGGCTTTGCTCGTTATCATGGTGGAGTAACGGTGAGGAGTCCCTTGGTGTTACACATACAGAAAGTCACACGAGTTAATCAATGTACAGAATCTTAGGTAATAACACCCGAGGAATCAGTGCAAATGCAATAGCTCACTAGTCAGATTCGATGATACGAACCCCGAGGCAGAAGAAGAAATCTACTTCACATCAATCATCGATGTTGTTGAATGGCTCGGTATGGAGATCGCGTCACCCCATAAAGAGCACAAAGAACACGGATTAACTTGACGGGTTTTTGTTAGGATTCAAACCACATGCCATTACATACTCCAGCGACAACTTTCAAAGACTATACGACCTTGCCGAAAAACTCATCCAGCTGGAAAAGGCATATGTTTGCCACTGCAACGAGGCTGAAATCAAACTTCAGCGCGGAGGAGAGAAAGGAACATCGCCACGTTACCGCTGCGTGCACGCCGAGCAGGATGTCGAGACGAACCTGCAGAAATTCCGGGATATGCGAGACGGGAAATACCAGCCACAGGCCGCATTCCTCCGAATGAAGCAGGATATTACTAGTGGTAACCCTCAAAACTGGGACCTTGCTGCTTATCGAGTGCTTTCAAAGCCACATCACCGAACCGGTGATAAGTGGATTATTTATCCCACTTACGATTTTACACACTGCATTGTTGATAGGTAAGTTTTATCTGGACAATCGATGCAAGGTCTGCTAACGCCTAGATTAGCTTCGAGGGTATAACCCACAGTCTCTGCACTACAGAATTCCAGCAAGCGCGAGAAAGTTACGAATGGCTCAATAAGACCTTGTCATTGTACGAGCCGATGCAGCGCGAATACGGTAGGTGTCATTTTGCCTGCGTTGAATTTTAGAATCTTGGATTGACAATGATAGGCCGATTGAACGTCACTGGCACCATCATGAGCAAACGTGGGCTCAAGAAACTGATTGACGGCAAGTATGTGCGAGGCTGGGACGACCCACGACTATACACATTGATTGCGCTGAGGAGGCGCGGTGTACCACCTGGCGCAATCCTCTCATTTATCAACGAACTCGGCGTGACCACAGCAAACTCTCTGATCCAGCTTAAGAGATTCGAACAGAGTGTGCGCCGTTACCTAGAAACCGCCGTCCCTCGACTCATGATGGTCCTGGACCCTCTACCCGTCGTTATCGAGGATGCCGACTCTCTAGCGTCCAGCGAACGAGATCTCAACATTCCCTTCTCGCCCAAGAACCCCGAATTCGGATCTCACCCCCTCCGCCTCACAAACACGGTCTACATCGACCGCTCCGACTACCGCGAGGTCGATAGTAAAGATTACTTCCGTCTCGCACCCGGCAAAACAGTCGGATTCCTCCAAATGCCATACCCAGTCACAGCAACATCCTTCTCCAAGGACGCAGACGGCAAAATTACCGAAGTCCGCGCTGTCTTCAATAAAGATGGGAAGAGACCCAAAACTTATATACAGTGGGTCCCTGAGGGATCGCGTAAAGTGGAAGTTCGCGTACATACAGCGCTTTTCAAGTCTGAGGATCCAGCTAGCGTTGAAGGCGGATTTTTGAATGATATCAGTCCCAACAGTGAGACTGTTTATACTGATGCGCTGATTGAGCCTGGATTTGAGGAGGTGCGTCGCCGAGCGCCGTGGCCGGATACGGAGGGAGAGAAGAAGAAAGCTGGACCTGAGAGTGTGCGCTTCCAGGGGTTGCGTATTGCATATTTTGTTGGTCTCCTTTTCCCATCCCCAATTATGGGTCCTTACTAATGTGTCATTTTCTAGGCCATGGACTCGGATTCTACAGATGACAAGGTCGTCCTTAATCGTATCGTGTCTCTCAAGGAAGATGCTGGAAAGAGTTGAGCAATATAAACTTGTACGTTGTTGATAATTCTCATGTTGGATTTAGCATCTAGTCATAGCAGTATTAGTTGTTTCAATTGGTTTATTTTTCATCCAACGCATAGGAACAAGTATTCATTTATCAAAGTAATTCAACCAACTAGCCTCAATCCCCCGCATTCTCCCCGTTTTTGTCTCCTGAGCCCTGCGGCATTAGCGCTTCGACAACACCCTCCGACAATGAATTCACCAATCAATCTATTCGATCATGTATGTGCCGCTATAGATAAGTTCTCACTAGGTCAATCTCGACCGCGCGAGACCTGTTTCGTTGTTTGTAAGGAAGAGGAGGATGACTAGCATGTAGTTGTAGCACAAGCCACCAATACCCCGGACTTTTCTATCATGTGCCACTAGTCAACTCGACAATAAATAGAATGTAATTTCTTCCCCAGTCGAATCTTCTCTTTTGCAATTCTTCTGTTCTTTCTTTTAACTGCACAACTTCTCACCTGCTGTATGAGTTTGAAAACATCAACCACCCTTCTTCTTGAACCCAATCATGTCCCAACACCCACAAATAATAAAAATCTCATAATGAAATACTGAACCGAAAACACTCTTTTTTCCATACTCTCTCGTTTTTCTAAGTACCCCTCCTCCACATATAGACAACACATTGATCCTCTCCTCAAACGGTGCAAAAAGCCGACCCCGACTTGGTCATCCAACAAGTCGCTCCGCCTGAGAAACAGAGAAGAAATCTGTCCGACGAGAATCATTGGGCAGCGTTCTTGGGTTGTGCCTCATGTCACCAATATCAATCCCTCTTCTTTACCTGTTGGAAAGAAGGAAGAGAAAAAGGGGAGACCAGCAGACAACGACTTATCCTCGGATCATGGATTTGTTGATCATTTCTGGATCTACATAAATCGTTTATCTTGTGTTACGGGCCAGTCCCGTCGTATGAAACACTGTGAGTTCATTCCTAAGATGATAACGTACATGGGAAAGAAGAAAAAAAAACATGCAAATTCTTGTTGCGCATACCGCTTAATATAGGAACGGAGAATCGTGCTGTTTCTCTAGAGTTCCCTTTGTAAGTTCGGATATGCAAAACAGATACTCGGGATAATAACTCCAGGATCACTCGCTAGATCAGAAAATAGCTTCATGAACGGGAGTTAGTAAAGGCCGTATCCCGAACCACCTATATGGGGTTCAGCCCATAACATCTTGTGTCTTTTTCCAGCATAGTTGGTAGTATGTGGGCTTCTCTATCTTAGGGTAAAATGTGTGAGTACTTCCATTCTATTGATATTTTCAAATCCATCACAGGTACGTATCTACTATACTTGCAATATAAACTATGCTTCTGCTCAAATCCTACTATGCTAAAAACTGACATCCCTCGCAGGTAAAGTATGCAAATGCCCACAGCTAAAAACTGAAAAGTCCACTCCGCCTCTTTCCAAAAGGATATACAACCAATGCAGCCATGAACAAGCCAACTGTGATGCCAATAGCGACCTGAATCATACCAAATCCAAGATTGAAGACAGACGTATTCGATGCTGACGACAATCCTCCTCCGCCACCACCACCACCACCACCTCCTCCTGTGCTCGACTCATTCTTCGGTGCGGTGACGTTACTTCTAATCTCATCAGCGGATGCAATGCCAGAAATAAGAGACCCAGATGCGGCAAGACCGGAAGGGACGAGAACGAATATGGCCGGAAGGATCGCAGTGGCAGCATGTCCATGCCATAGTCTGCTATATAGATTTCCCAATACACCGATAACAAAAGCACCTAGCGTGTTGGCAACCTCCGAGTTGCTGCCGATACGCTTCGTGCTAAAATAGTTGACTACATAGCCAATAAATGCTATGACCATCATCACAGGGGCTTGCTTGAATTTGCCATTATTGATAATGACAATCCATATAGTCATTGCAACGACAAAGGGAAACCTTTGTATATAAGGATTGCTAATAGGCCATGGCGGACAGTTTGGGTTAGAATTTGCGTTCCCGTCCATTAAACCGTAGATTGTAACCCCAACAGTAATGCCATATCCGAGGAAGAGTGAGTAGATGATAGCATAGACCATCCGTATAGACCCGGCAATCATTTGATGGGACTGTAACTCCAAACTGCTGCAAAGAACCAAGAAACCGGGCAATATGAGAGCAATGGCTGACTGAGCGATGCCTGAAAAACAAAAAAGATACTGTTGTTTGCCATCAACAATTCCCCATCGTATGCTTCCAAATGCTCGCGCAAGGAACGAAGTCAAGACCGTTGCACACACTTCAAAAACGTTAGAATATAGCGCTGACTTCTGAGCCAGGACCAACTGCATGAAGCCCAACATGCACCCCAATATAAAGGAGATGGGCATGTCAATAGGACGAGCTTGAAAAGCAAATGGACCAACAGTCGCACTGGCCAAACCATACATAAACACCAAGAACCACGTTGGAAATTTGGGCTTGCGATTCATGATTTCCTCCAACTGCTTGGTCGCCTCCTCGACTCCAATCATATCGTGCACGACATTTTTGTACACGCTGTGAGTATCCGCTAAACGACTGAGATCAACTCCCTGAGACACGCGAACTAATTTGAACTCTGTTGTCCGCGTCGTCGAATCATCAAACGCTACAATCATACAACCTGGCAAATACAGAAACTGTGCGTCGACCTCCAGGACTCGGGCCGTCATCTGCATATACTCTTCCAGTCGATGAGTTGGAGCGCCGAATTTCATCAAAGCACGACACAGCCCCATGAGAAACCTGTGCCGAGAGATAATCTCTGCTATGTGAACTGTAACCCGAATCTCATCTTCCAGCTTCGGCTTGCCACCTTGTTTGCGCCGCTTGGCTGCAGCTGACATCATGCGATTAGAGTGGTTGGGCGATCCTGCGGCGGTCAAGTGCGATGCAGCACCGACTAGAGAGCTGGTTGATTTATTTTTGTCCTTGTTGTACCATTTCACTTTTTCTTTTTTTGGAGTTGTGGCTCCTGATGTTGGAGTGGTCCAGCCTGGGGATCGTGATACATCCGAGTCAAATTCTGTACTGGTGCTTCCGGCGCGACTGGCTTGGCCCGGTTCTTGCTGTTGACTCGCTCCATAGAGCTTGAGTAAGTTTCCCAAGACACCTCCTCCGCTCATCCTTGCCATGGCTTCTTCATCTTCTGCACCAGAAGGAGTTGCCGGTCCGGTCTCTGATGGGTGTCTACGTCGAGGACGGGGTCTGGGTTGAGCGTGATTCTGCGTCAGTTCACGAACTAGTCGATGAGCTTCAGATGTTGCATGGGCCTGGTCTCTTTGGCGATCTTCGTCCGTCTTGTGATGGTCATCTGTGATATCCGATACCGGTATATTTCCGTCACCCGCCCAAGTCTTCTCTGGAACCGACGAGGTCAGTCCATCACCTTCATGCGGTTCACGGCCCAGCTTCTGAGCCAACGTCCGCGCCTTTTCCACGTCCCAAAACTTCTTCATCCTAGTCAAAAGACCAAACCCCCTTTTCCGTTTCGCTGGTTCTTTGTCTTCGTCGTCCTCGTCGTTTTCTCGACGTTCTGGTTTACCTGGACTGGTCTGTCTCTGTTGTTTTTCTAGATCGGCACCAACGCGTTGATGCCGTCCAACTTCAGCTACATCTTCAGATACCCGTCGCTCTTCATGCCTCCTTGTTCCGGGTGGTGGATGGAATGGTTGTCGAGCATGGTCCTCGGTTTGAATTCGTTCATTGACCAAGGTACGTGCATCGTCTCCGTTGTCTTGCAGCGATCTAAATCGAACACGGGGTCTGTCGCGGCGACACTCTTCATATTCCTGCCCTTGGAGAGTTTCGTCACTGTGCTGGGACGCCACCGACCGGCGGTCTTGAGGATACTCATGGTGTTCCTCCGCAGCAGACATCATACAAGAGTCTGTCTGGACCTAACCTTCTTATCTCATTGATTGCAGTGTCCGTGAAATATTTTGGTATAACAAGTAGAGAAAGGAGATAAACAACGAGGAAGAAACAAAAGACGTCGCAAAGAGTGAGGAAGGCGAGTAAAGGCGTGGTCAATCCCAGGAAGGAAGCCCCTCCCAAGCACCTGACTTGGTCGACTCACTCGCTGCCTTTCTTTTTTTTTTTTTTGGTGGTGGCGGCAACTGCAGAGTTTATTAGGAAGGTTGAGTCTGGATTTTGGTACATGGTTCTTCTCTCACTCCTTTTATTCCAGGCCAATAACTTCACTGCTGACGGACTGACTGTACGTCTGTCCTTGCCGCGTCAATCTATACGATGTGGAACCGTGGCTGTGCAATATCCTATGCTATGAACAATTCTTAGATCGTGTTTATAAATGTCTTAGAAATTTGTTTCTCTATCATGATCGGCTCGGAGATGATCACCTGCGAGGGTGAACTATTACATTCGTGTTTTCATATCTATCCTCGGCAATTGTCATATCGGAGAAATAAAAAAGCTGACGACGACAAACATACCCCGGCCCGACAGGAATGAAGTATTGATTGACATCACAGACCGACAGAGAGTGAATCGGCTTGCCGCTGCCACCTTACGCCAAAAAAGGCAATCCATTAGGGTTTGCCGTTCCGGGCGGATGGCGACGGCATAACGTTCGTATTGTCCACGGTCTTCTGTCGTTGTTTGGAAAGGAGGTGTATAAAAGTATGAAATATAGATGGATATAGATTGTCTTCCCCTTGCATAGGTTGAAGTGGAGGCCTGACGCGTCCAGCCTGTCGGCGCGGTCCCTGGTGCAACGAGCGATCGACTTGATGATTTGACATTGCTAGTTGCCACTAGCCGTGATTACTCAGAGAGTTGAAATCAAGAAAATGATGAGATAGATAAGCCAGCTTGATCTCGTACGGCCTTTCTCTAATTGACAGTACATAGCCTGCCCAGGTATTTCAAGTCATATGTCGGCCTGGAGATCATCTATTTATGCTGTCGGGCTATTGTACGTCTCCCTAAATGGGGCAAATGTGATATGAAATGAAATATAATCCCGGGCCACTCAAAAAAGGCATTTGGCACCTATAGGGGAAGGAGTGGTCATCTTCCTCACTATCGTCCTACGTTGCAACGCTCATATAGTGAGCGACAGAATCAAGGGCACAATCGATATTCAAACACCTCCTTTGTTGTTAAATCCCTGCTAATATGGTACTTATACCATCATGAAATGTAAACACCTACAGTCTAGCTCTAGTGACTATCGACATCATGAGCACATGCACAAAAGGACAAATCTAAGGGACATCAACGCAGATCAGAAAGTGCAAGCATACTCAGCACTAACCCAACCTGTCAAACGATTCGCAATATCAGATGCATAACAAGGCGTCACACCTCTATCCTACAAATTCCCAGACGCCGCGACAGGACCTGAGTTATATGCACAGGCAGCCTTATAATACCGCTGAGCCATATCATCATCACCTGCAAGTACACATACTTGTCCAATAATGTAACCAAACCATCACCCCCCTTAGTTCCCGACGTCCCATCTTGAACCATCTGCACAATATTTTCCTTTGGATAAGAATTCACCCCGTAGCAAGTTCCGGTACCACCATGATCCTGCATCAGTCCCGGATTACTAACACCCCAGCTTGTGGTCGGGACGCGAAGACAGCCCTTTGATTCTTGCAGTATAATGGCTAGAATAAAGCGACGGTCAACGAGGGTTTCGCTAGCGACTTGTTGAATAGCGTCGTGGAGATTTGTGATTTCTTCGTCAGACGGTTTTGGTTGATTGACTTGGGTGCAGGAGCTCGCGATAAATGGGTTGTTTGATTTCCACATGTTTGTAAATGATACCCTACTTTTACCATTAGTGCAATTCTTGCTTGTTGTCCTTCATGGTCATATCATTGAGATGACGAAGGCTATCCCGCAGCCACTGAACCCTCACCTGCGTATTGAGTATATTTGTCTATACCATGCTCGACGCCATCACTGCTGTTGCCAGTTGCCACAGCCGCGGCAGAAGAGCTAATAGATCGGATTGCTCTTTAGTGGATTTGATAATGTGTCTATGTTCGCTTCGGTGGTCGCCAGAAAGACGAGACGCAGACGTCGATGCAATTAGAAAGCAGGATACAACTGTTGAGAAATGCATTCTATTATGACTTTTGTGACGTTAATGAGCAGCAGTAACCGATAAAATGAATGTGATAATGTAAAAACAGAAGAGTGGTGAGACGTGGCCTTGATTATGGATATACAAATAAAGCCGCTGTTGGGCACGAGCTCAACAACGATCTATGCAGAATGAACGTGGTCACTATGGAAGTTATATGTATCTGCAATTCTGCAAAGGCGATCACTATCAAAACCAAACTATCCTACTTTCTCCCTGGCAACTTTGATAGCGGTGGTAGCCTTGCTGATAGTGGGTTTAACCCCTAAACGAGGATCAGTCCCTGCATAAGCACCTACCACCTGGATCAACTTGAAGTGGCCGGGAATATGTCTCATCTAGTAAAAATTTTCAACTGTTAGTTAGCATCCTCCGGTCTAGAAGACAAGCGTATCTGTCGATTTTCTCATCCGAGCATCTGCGTTTAATCGTAAAACATCGGTGCAATATGGATATCCCTTCGCCCGTGTCAATTTCGATTGAATCCTAAGCCTACATCATTAAGCACCGCTTGTCGCTGAGTATATTTATAGCACTGCTGGACAATGGTCCACGTTATAATACGTACGCTACGTAACGACTTCTGAGTGATGTTGCTGTGAAGTGTATTGTCAGAAAACTACTTTCAGATCTAGCCCTAGCCCTATGATAAGGGGTAAACCCTAACTGACGTGGTATCCAGAAGAAGTAGCCCCAAATCACGACTTCCCATCATTACGTTGGGTTCAGAAACTATTCTGTCCTTATCTTGGACAAGGAAAACTATCAATTGAACTTCATCCAACCTCTCATCTTGGCCGTAACTTGCGTGGTAGCAAAATCCCGCCGCTCCAGTGCTGTCCCTTGGACCTGGCTCTTTGAACCATGCAGGCAAACATATCTTTTGGAAAAATTACTCGATGATCCTTAAAGGAAAGGCCCTTGATAATGCGCGATACTAGTAAATTTAAGCAACCACGCGCCAGTAACCATTGAATCGCTCGCGCCGAGAAATCCAAACATACCGGGGCGAGACTGCTGTGGCATGCGTAGCCCTACCAAAAATGGACGCCTGTTCACCCTTGACGCGACAACAATTGAGTTTGACTAATTCATTTTTTCTCCTCTACTCAATTCGATGTTGTTTTCTTCTCAATTTATCTCGTTGACTAACCAGACACTGGTCGAGTTCTAGTACGGTGTCCTCGTCCTCAACGATGTATATAGAGCTTGTGTGGATGGCATTTGCCTCCACAGCAGCAGCGGGAATTCTCCCATTGCTGCCAGAGCCAACGGAGTTGTTCGCTCCTGATAATGGTCTGCTGGATTTGCCGCCCAAGCCGTACGTTTCTCTCTGATAAAGGAAAGTTCAAGTGCTAATATCAAGTCACGATGCAGTATATCGGCTCTTGGGGCAGCAATGTTGCAGTTTCTCTTTACACAATCGAATACGCCAGGAACAGCTAATACGCAAGCTGCATCTTTACCTGCAACCCTGTCAACTACCGCTAGTAGTAGTACTACTACACCACCAAGTGTTTCTTCGTCGAGTCCATCGTCATCGAACAATCAGGGCTCAATGGCTAGTAGTGCATTCGCTACTAGTGGAAGTACGACTGCTAGCTCTTCAGCTAGTACATCAACTAGTGGCACTGCTTTAGATCAGAATTACTGTGCTGGTCAATCAAATCAGCAACCGACAGGATACTGGCTGCAGGCACAGGATCATACCAGTGATGCACGTGGATATGCACCCTATGCCCAGGGGAATATTCAATACCCTGTTTATCGAGTCGTTACACAGTACGGCGCAAAAAACGATGGCAGCGGAGACCAAACATTAGCTATACAAAACGCCATCAACACTGACGGTGTAGGAGGTACTCGCGAAGGGAAAGGCAGCACAAATATGCCCGCTGAAGTATTTCTCCCAGGGGGTGTGTACACCCTTGGATCTACTCTTACCCTACGTCTAGGAACAATCATCGTGGGAGATCCATTGAATAGGCCAATAATAAAGGCGAGTCCTAACTTCATCGGGAATACTCTTGTAAATGGCCAGGATCCTATTACTGGACATCCCGAAACTGTCTTCATGGTAGCCATGCGAAATGTTATCCTAGACACAACGGCCATCGACCCATCATATCCTTTTACAGCTTTGCAATGGGGGATTGCTCAGGGGTGTTCACTGAGCAATGTTGAGATTAATATGCCACAGGGATCTACTGCGCATATTGGAATACATATGAACGGCGGATCAACCATTGCCGTCACAGACGCTGTAAGTTGTCTCCTTTCTTAGCTTCTACAAGCTTTAGCATACTGAATATTTATAGACAATCAGCGGGGGCGGTATCGGTATCCAAGATTCCAACCAGCAAGTCAACTTCAAGAACATTCACTTCAACGGTTGCCGGACAGGATTTGCAGCTACTGGAGGCTTTACAGTTGTTCTCCAAGCCGCCACCTTTGAAAACTGCGGTCTTGGAATTGACATGACCAAGAATTCTCTTGGATCAATGGTAGTCTTGGATTCTACATCAATCAATACGAATACTCTAGTGAAGTTTCATGATTCTGCAAACGATCCTGGGAAAAGGAACAGTCAGATCGTCATTGAGAATTTGACCAACAATGGACAATATCCCATCGCAGTTACATCGGACGGAAGAACAGTGCTCAACGCCCAAACCCATGTCGATACTTGGATATACGGAAACGATATCCCGGGATCTTTTGTGGCTGGCGAAACTACGTACACCTCTCGACCAAGTGCGCTTTTGGATGGAAATGGGCGTTATGTGATTCGCAAGCAACCAGATTACGCTGATTACCCAGCAGACAGGATTGTGAATGTGAAAAAGGTGCCGGGTTTCATTGTCAGAGGGGATGGCGTAACTGATGACGCGACAAGTCTGAATGCTATTCTACGTGAGAATGCAGCAAATTGTCGAGTAACATATTTTCCGTATGGTGTTTACATCCTACGTGACACACTGTTTATTCCACCCGGTAGCAAGATCGTTGGTGAAGGGTGGGCGGTCCTATCTGGAGCAGGAGGCGCGTTCGCAGATCCTTGGAATCCGCGTGCAGTTGTCAAGGTCGGATATCCAGGAGACGTTGGAGTCACTGAGATCCAAAACATGCGATTCACCGTTGCCGAAGTTCTGCCTGGCGCGAAGCTATTGGAAATCAACATGGCAGGTGCCAATCCAGGAGACGTCGGGTTGTGGAATACCTTGACCACACTTGGTGGAACAGCAGACACCACCATCTCAACCAGTTGCGTCAGTCAAGACACCCGCACCTGCATGGCAGCGTTCATGCACGTCCATCTCTCAGAAACATCATCAGCCTACATCGAAAACCACTGGGGCTGGACAGCAGACCACAACCTCGACGGCGGGCCCTCCGCAATCATCGTCTCCGGCGGCCGTGGCATCTTGATTGAATCCACGAAGGCTACATGGCTCATAGGCACAAGTTTTGAACACAACTGGCTATACCAATACAACATCCACTCCGCCAAAAACGTGTATGCGGGAATGATGCAAACCGAAACACCCTACATGCAGGGTCAAGGAGCAATAGAAACCGTCCCATCTCCCTGGACTATATCAAACCAATACCACGACCCGGACTACTCCTGGTGCGCTGTTGGGGACCAACATTGTCGCTCTGCACTATCTACGAATGTTGACGGAGGATCAAATATCATGCTCTACGGCTCGGCAGCATGGACATTTTTCGAAGGACCCTGGAACGGTCTATACAATACCCCCTGTGCCAGCGGCATATGTCAAAGTAACATGATACGTGTAACCAACAATCCGCGTAATCTGGCGTGGTATTCGATCAGTACAAAGTCGAGCGATGTTATGGTGTCAGATGGGTATTCTGACCCAAGGGAGTTTAATAACCCTGGTGGATGGTCGGGAGTGATTCAGGCTTACCGCCAGTTTACTTAGATCTATTTATTAGCTCTTTCGACTCTTCATTTTCTCTTTGGGGGTTTTTTCACCTAGTACTTAGGTATTGGGGTTCTGGTGATAGTGTCAGTTCCAAGGTTGTCATGGGTGTACATATTAACTACTAGTTACCTATTTTCTTAATAGTATTACAACATATATTCATTAATTAAGAAATTTCGATAGCTAAGGCAGTCTAGGTACTTTCTTCCTTGCCAACAACAAAACGTCAACTAGTAGAACCATCTGAAATCAGGGTTATCAGGACCCTCTCTCAACCTTTCTGTCGGTACATCATGCGCCCTCAGTGTCATCCCTTGCTTGGCATCCCGTCTCTTATTATCTATAATCATCCATGCTCCCAGAACCAGAGTCAAAACAATACCAGTCCCTCCAAACGCAGCGGTTGTGATAAGAGCAGGAATGTATTTGGGTGCATCCTGATTCCGGAAGATATTCGAACTGACCAGACCCATCAAATTGGCCAGGGGAACGGCGATGCTGGTTAAGACTACACGTTTTCCTTCACTTGCGATGTTGTTGTTGTACCAGACGTCCAATAGAACGGATGGTGCGGATGTGCCCCTGAAATATGGATTCCGTTAGTGAGGATTTCAATGGGTGTTAGGATATTGACTTTTGCTTACCAGGTCATCATAAAAGAAGCGAAGTAGGCAACATTAATGTCGTGCTCGACGTCAATGGCAACATAAATAATAAACCCAACGAACGTGAAGAAAAAGCCCAGTGCGATGAACGGGAATCGCCAGCGAGTCCAGTCGCTCAGAAAAGCCAGGATTAAAAGCATGATAGCTCCAGAGACGTTCGGTGCAACAGTATAAAGATTCGTCTTGACAGTACTATATCCTAGTCGCTTGATGATCTGCGGCAGGAAAAGCTGAACGGATTGTAGTGGGACACCCAGGCAAACTTCGATACCGAGAATTATCCATGTGGTGGGATGTTTGAAGATGGTAAATGCTTCACGGATATTCAGCTTCTCATTGACGACTGAAGAGCTATCGAGACGCATCCGTTCGTATGCCACCAGTCTCTCTGATTCGGTGAGGAAACTGGTCTCCGGGCCAGAACGAGGTAAGTACCAGACTGCAAAGATGGAGAAGATGATGGTCCCGGCGCCTTCTATGAGAAAAAGGTAGCGCCATGGGGCCAGCAAACCGGAATCTATGCGGAAAACGCCGAAAGCAAGTAATCCTGAGAAGGCAGAAGCGATACTCTGAGCAGCATAGAAAATAGCAAGACGCCTTGCCAATTCTCCGCGTCGATAAAACCTGTTTGTCCCTTCAGCATTGAACTTGATTTGTAGATTTGAAGACTCCCTCACGTTGTTAGATAATAGATGACAAGTGGAAAGAAAGCGCTTTCCGACATGCCCAAGAACCATCGGATCGCGAGTAGGCCTCCGAAATTATAAACAGCGACGACAAGAAGCGTACATAGCCCGAAGCACAACATCATACACGGCAAAACGCGATTGGGACCATACATCTTCCCCAGAATTCCAAGAAATGGTGCTGTCAAGACATACGGGATGAAGAAGATGCTCAATATCAGGTTGTATTGGTTGCCATGTAGATGGAGAGTCTCTGTACCGGCGATTAACAAAAAGTTCCATCAATCACTCAATACAGGTCTATTTTAGGATGTAGGCACACGTACTTTCCAGACCAGCAGTCTTAGCATTCCCAAGATTCGATTTATCAAGACTGTTGAAGAGGTACATGGTTGCCAATACGGGCAGAATCCGAAGGTCGAATTTCCAGACCACACTCCGTTCGGCACGAGGGTCTATAGGCAGGGAAGCGCCAATCTCTGAACTCTGCACGACAGTATTCGCCTCATCGTCAGGTGACGGCTTCGTTGAGTCCTGTTCAAGAGTTTTGCTCGACATTTTGTTTTCCAATGCCTAGAATATTCCGAGACTAGAAATTAAATTCGGGAGAGATGTCGGGAATAGTGAGACCAGCGCACACTGTAAAGCATATATACCGAACATTGAACCATCCATGGATACTACGAAATTAACCTTATCCCAATCTTATCATCGATACGACTTTTAAACCGTTTAGTCAAGACTGTGTGTAATTCTCCGCGGTGGTCTACTCAAAGATAAGCCCCCAAAATTGGCTACCGGTGAATTTAGACTTAGGGTTTTGTAGATGGCCGGCTACCCACACAACTCATATTTCAACCATACAACCACTTCTCTGACTCTGAGACATATAATCTTAGGTTGAGCTAAGAGATAACCATACTTTAAAGTTAATCAGAAAGCACGAGGGGCCTGAGCAAGCCTCTAGAAAACCAGCCTACAAGCCACATAAAGGGAAATCCAATTAGCTTCAGCATCGTCTTCTTGCCTATCAGAAGCTGATCGCCACTGTATTCTCGGCCTGGGTTATACTTCCTTCTGGGATACATACTAGTTTTGTCTCTTGAGAGGTTGATTCTTTTGATGTATATTGATAAACACATCATACCACCAATCTCAGGTATTGGACATTGTAAAACTTTTTTGCATATTGTAAAAAACAACCACCACCTGTCGAAGCCTAATTTTTGAAATTTCTCCACAACCACCGATTTATCTGGCTCGGACTGTTGTCAAATAATCCAGATTACAAACGAGGCAGAGAGATCCGACTTACAGGTCTAAAAAAGGCACCTTAGGGCATATACCTGCGCACCTAGATTTCAGCCCAAAATTTACCCCTCTTGATGACTCACAAATCACTCCGCCAAAAGTGTCTATAAAAGACCCGACTTTGAAATTTGATGGATAGAGAGAGAAAAAAAAAAATACACATACTATCTTGCTAGTCACTTCTTTTCTTTTCATCCCAGTAAAACCCTCTTCAGGATTGGCCTGGAATAAACCTACCAATCCGACAACTGTGTCTCAGGTTATCCGCCCGTTCTCGAGGTATCGCTTAGTACGTACCAAGAAAGCATGGCGGGCAGCCAGAATGTGCCACAGCTGGGCCTCCAGCTATCAACCATACGCGACCACGCGATCCAACTTGAAGCAGACATACGCGCCTTAAAGGAATACCGAGTGAACCCAGTAGGCAAAAATCGCACACCGAACTAGAACATGATTGTACCATTACTCGAAAGCTTTATCAGCTATCTGCAGAAGACACGGGACCTCCTAACTACAAGTGAATTGACCGCTGCAGTCCACGAGACTGCACGCGTTCAGCAGACCCTCAGCGGAGACGTCACGGAAATAAAGAACATCCTCGCAGCTCCTGTCAGGAAATCGAACATCCACAGCAACGCACAAGTACTGAAGGACCCCTACGTAGTGAAACCTGTCGCACAGACACTCCTATCGATGGGCCACCGAGAAATCCTGGTTGAACTAAATCCAACGGATGTAGAAAAGACAGACTCAACGAGCAACAGCGGAAGAAATCAAGCAGAAGATAAATAGCACTTTGGCGAATCACCAGGATCCCGATTTAAAGAAACCTCAAGTCTTAGCGGTGAAGGGGCATCCTAGCGGAGACCTGACACTCTTCACGTCCGACAGAGGGAGCACAGAACGTATAAGAGCATATAGAGAAGACTGGCAGAAGATACTAGGAAAGAAAGCTGAGGTTAAGGTCCCGTCATATAGAATTATTATACACGGAGTCAGCACACAAATGGAAGCTCATAACAAAGTGGAAATCGAAGAAAAGATTCGATGGAATAATCCATCATTAGAACAAGCAAACGTGCTGTACTCCGGATGTCTGAAACGCAATCTTGGGGAGAAACGAGCCTCTACCATAGTTGTGGAGTTTGACCGAGAAGAAGACGTTGATTACGCGATAGAGAATGGTATTGTGTTTGGTGCACAGATTTTTAACTGCGAGTACTATGACTGGACCTGCAAGGCTAGACAATGCTTTAAATGCCAAAAATACAGACACATAGGGACTCATTGCAAAGCCTGAGAGACATGTGGATATTGTGCTGGACCGCATAGCACCAAAGCGTGTCCGGAGAGAGATAAACCCAGTTCACAACTGGTATGTCTGAACTGCTCTAAGTATCACAGTAGGTGCGGTGCGAGGCCGTTGGTTTGACTGCGGTGTGTTATGAGCTGACCTCATATTGATGTGGTTCGGACGAAGCCCTCACTAGAAAATCTGTATCGTTTTCATTCGCTTCTGCACCCAGTACGCTGGAGCGCAGCCTGGCAACTCGAAGCCATTCCCAGATGTCGAAGGTTCATTCCGATTAGCTGATCTGGCCCTTAACAGGACTTCATGTCTTGGCACTCATGTGGTGTCTACGATTATACGGATATCCGGCGCCGAACCCAGCCCAGCATGAGCGTTCCCCTTTTCTATATGTTGGTTTACCTTCGTTAGATCGCAAGATCTAAGAAGGACAGCTAATCCAACAAGCTGACTGAGCCAGTAATACTGAATTCCTAATATTGCGACTAATCCTAAGAACTAGGGGGATGCGGGTGGTGAGATGTAGTTATCCTCCGTACGCTATAGCGCACGGAAAAACTATATCCCATTCCCGCGCCGAGATAGGTAAGATTGCTATACCGACACTATATAAACTCGTATGTACGACAAAATCTTATTGTCCTTTTCTCTTTCCTTCCTCATGTTGTGTTTTCTATTCGATCATGTCCATATAGTGAACATTAGGCGGGACTAGCCCGTAACACGGTGTTTGTCAAGGAACGAAGCTATGGGGTTAAAGATTTTTTTTGGCCGTCTGCAGCTCTTGTAGTGGCTGCAGACGTAGATTGAAGTAAGGCTGTCTGTAAAGGGCCATCTGGGCCAGAGCCTTTCCGCGTCAAGGGCCGCACTACTAAGAGCTGGGAAGTGGAGGATAGTGAGGAAATTGAACCTCTAATTTTGTAATAGACAATTGAAAATGTAGACCTGTGCCTTTTTGGTGAAAATGTCTGTGACTGATCCTTGTATGGACCCTAACTTGGCTATGTGATATTCTTTCAGTCACATGGTTTCCCTTGATGAAGTATACACACTAAATATTAATTAGCGGAGCATCCAGTCTCGGCAAGACTTTTACCGTAGAAGTGCTGGACGAACTGCTCAAGTTACCGCTCTATTCGGTATGTTGGGCGTCATTGTAATTATTACTCTCTTTTCTGACAAAACAGATATCTGTGAGCGGACTGGTAGCCGACAATGATGATCCGTTGATAACTTGACTGGACCCTCCAACGGATCTTTACAATTGCGAAACATTATCGCGCTGTTCTTCTCCTCGATGAAGCTGATGTAACGAAGGCAGGCAAGTGCATCATCGACAAGAGTCAAATCGAGAACCTTGCAGCGAAGAGGCTCAATGGGCGAGAGGTAAGCATCCTAATGACTACCAGTAGAGCTTGCACTGATTTCAGCTCTAGATCCGAAATATCGTCATGATTGCTCTCGACTTAGCATCTATTGAGAAGACTCCTGTTTTGTATCGACACCTAGAGCTGGCATTAAAGTCGAATAACAAATTCGTGAAAGATGTGAATAGTTCGGGCTCTATGGAGAGTATGTATAATTAGGCATCCAATATTTCGTTCCAATGCTGTTTACTGTAGTCGAGGTTGTTAATTCTATTTCAGTCTATTTTTGCAGCTCTTTGCCATAACCATGATTGAACTGGTGCACTTTCTGAAACTCTACATATAGTGAAATTCAGATATGGTTCTTTGTAGGTAGTTTGTTCGCTCAGGCTTGTCGAAAACCGTACCATGCAATACTCTATTGGTGCCTGCGGCCTATTATCTAAAGAAGTCGATCATTCTAGTATGGGGCTTAGAGATGGAGAAGGGTAAGTGGATAGCTAGAATTGAGCTATTGTGGTATCTAGAAATGTCTTATTGGATTAGAACGGTAGCTTTCTCCTTCCAAGTTCCTGTGCTGGACTCATTGTGATTAGAAGAAGCGAGAAAGGTTGGTACAACAAGGAAGTACTTCAGACCTACGACAGTGAGCGTCGAGCAGCACCACGACACTTGTTACAGACTGACAAGGTACTCCCCACCGTCATATGCGGCCAGATACCTAAGGAATACAAAACAGCTTCTACGCACTGCAGGAAGCTCTTCAGCGAGTTCGTCAAAGAACCGCTCAGTCCAATCTTGATCTGGGGACTCATTACTGAGAGAACATCATCAACAAACGCCCTTCTATTGAAATAATTTCTCCGAGGTCGAGGGCACCAGATGTACTCGTCTACCAACCAGGTTCCCATATCCCCAATCGGCTGTCCCAATTGAGGTACGATATGGATTCATGGCCAATCCTTCTCTTTACGGGCCAACACAAGGTTACAGAAGCAAAACTCCCTGCGATAACTAATAAATTGGACAATATGGCAAAGAACTTCCCGTCTTATATGATTGGATCCATTACTATTGTCGCCGGCAGCATGGAGGATAATCAACGCTGCAATCTTGCGACTGTTGGATATACGTATTATGATCCGGGTGGGTGGGCGCATTTGACTTATAGGATTTCGCCAAAGACTGGAGCCCTGGTGGTGCTTCGACCTGATTTCTTGATTGGATACGCGACTACTCCAGACGATGCTGGTAGTGTGCGTGCGTTTCTGGCCAATCCCATTCTGGCTCCAAACTGATTGTTGGCTTTTTTGGTTATCAAAAATGGTTAAGAGATCGTGGTACGATTACTTTACACTAGATTGATTCTTACACGAACGAAAACTGTACCTTGGTAAAGTCATACTCATGATAGCCTCTTACGAATTTCAAGGCCATTCAAGATCTATATATAACATTGTGCTTCATCTAGTCAGCTGGACCACTGTGAATACAAAATACATCCAGTAATTTCAATATGCTTACTGCAAAGTCTATCTACCGAAAGGAATTGGCAGCCCTAAAAGAGGAATCTGGAATTGCTTACAATCACATTCACATTGGTCTTTTCCAGCCTCGCCTCCTGATCGAGATCAATAATCAACGCTTCATGACACAAAATTAATATACAGGTAGTAAAATAGAATGCAGCATCAACAAAATAGCGATGTCAATGATCGACGAAGAATGAAAGTATGTGCATGTTAGCCTAACAATTGATGATTCCACGTCCTTCTCAAGAACGAATCCGAAAGTAATACAGGCAAATAGAAAGAAATGAAGAATTCGAAATGACTATAGCCTTAGCCCACTCCAATCATCGTTCCCGGGATAAGCCAGGTATCTTTTTGAAGGTTGCAGAGGTCCACCTCCTTCAATACCGAGGGCTAATTGTCTGAATTTGTCATCTGGACCTGATATATCCCTTACGACACCAGGAAAAGTGTCCAGAACTTCGATCTTCCGTTTGCTCTTCCCGATGAGTAACGGCAGATCTTGCTGACTAAAGGCGGCGCCCATGCGTAACATGGTAAAGGCATCGAGAGTATTAGTCCAGCTCCTACTAAATGCAGCATACAGTGCCAGACATAGCAACGGGACCATGTATAGTCCGAACAGCACTGAGCAAGCTATCATGGCCGCGATGGGGATCGAGGGTAGGGTTATCTGCGGTAGGTCACTGCTGGCGTAGGCAACCGATATATCTCCCCCGAACTGTGCTGGGTTATCGAACATGGCCTTAACGGCAAGGAAACTAGCCCGTGTGAAAGCTTCTGAAGCACCTTCCTTATTCGAACCAAAACCCGACATCCAACCATCGATGGGGATCGCACCGGGAACGTTGGTTGTGAATCCAAGAGGGGTAAGTGGTAAAATATCATCGGCCGCAAAAATGTCATGATAACGCTTCGAATCAGACTCGCTGCTATATAAACTCTCGCTAGAAGGCGCAGTTTGTTGCGTATCAGCAAACGAACCCGGTCCGAAGAGGGCAAGGGCTATCATAGCTAAGGGTCCAGGAAGAGCTGAATTGGCAGCGAACTGTCGGCGAACTTTCAACCCTTTACAGTCAGTGAGACTTGAACAGCGAGATGAGTTTGTATCCAGGGGACCAGCAATCAGACCGTTTTGGACACTTGGCAGCTCAAATAACCCCGCAGTTGTGTTCATGATGACTTTGAATGGCTTTATACGATGTGGATCAGATGGATCGGTAAAGTGGGCGGTGGTGTTGACATAAAGCACCTCACTGAAGTCCTGACGGCTTTTGATGCTTTGCCATGGAGATAGCTGAGGTAAGCACACTTCTAGTGTTAAATTGTTTATGCTGTTGGGGTACGTATAGGAAGCATAGAACGAGGATGGATCGCTGCAGTTGGACGGGAATTCTTCTGCGGCTATTTCCAGAACCTCAGCTGAGGAGTTTATTCTTGGGATATATTGATCAGAGCGTAGACCAGTGCTGAAGTTGTGTGAGAGCGGCGCATACCAGCTGCTATTTGATCCGTAACCGCTCAATTGGCTCGTGTTCCCCCAAAGATTGTCTTGATATCCATTAACCCCTTCTGATTGCGCCAGATGGCGCACTGCGAAAATGGAACTCCGCTCCGTGGAATCATACGTGACCATCAATCGTGGTATTGATGGCACTCCAATATAGTTATTGTCGAGGTCAATTCTACCCCATCTGTCTGCTGATTGCACAGAGACTGATCGGGTGGAAAGGAACAAAGACTGAATCGGATGGGTGATGGCACCAAATATATGTATAAAGATGGCCAGATAGAGCATGCTACTACCATAGCGCTTAAAGGAAGAAGGGTAGAACAACAACCGGAAATACATCACAGGATTCATCCACGCGCGATCCGCTAGTGTTACCACTTGGCGCAATCGCAGACTATAAGCATCGCGCTGATTCTGTACAAAAATAGACGCAGCCCAAGCGCAGACATATGAGATGGTTGGAATAGTTGCAACACTTGCGACGACTTGAAGGACGCGTGCGGCTCTGTAGGAGCGGGTTTTGGTTTCGTGTACATTGGTAATATAGTCCCCTGTTTGGGACAGAATACACAGGGTCACCCATGAATAAATCGCGATGGCCGCATACAGTGCGACTGGAATCAGGATGAAGAAGCTCCGGTGCAATGTAGTAGAACGTATGGGCGCGGTATTGTGTTGCTGGTAGGGTGGAAGTACCTCCTCGGTCTCTCGTTCATTCAGTGGCACTTCGTGTTGGTCTGGATGAAAGGGGTCATGTGGCTCATGCGCAGATGACTCTCTGGACAGCTGTCGTAAAGGAACATCGTCTCTTCCCTCCATTTTGTCATATCAGCGTTCCACTTGGGCTCCCGGTTTTGAAGAAGAGCCGAAGAGGGCATTAGCTATTTATGCATTTTGGTTCACTGAGAGGAACACAATTCAGCTGTCAAGGCCGAATTGGCTTTATACTATTGCGGCATTAAAGGTCCAGCCACAAATGCCTTTTGAAATGAGACTATGGGCACCACCAACTCAAATCCACAAATGTGTATGCACGCACTAGTACTAGTCTCCGAGATGTTGGCTGTGGCAGCGCTGAGCGAGAGCAAGCGACCGGTCATGCTGCTTATTGTACGCCAATAGACCCCTCGAGTCTTTGTTTAATGGAAATGTGCCATATTAGGGTGATTGGTCTCCCCGCCGTTACCACTCCCTGTTTGGTAGAGAAATCACAAATCGCGTGAGTTTGAAAAATTATGCTTCTGCCATGGAAAAGGTTCGGACACGGACTCATTTGTTTTTGAGGCTCTTGGGGAAACTGACTCGAGTGTGTCCACCTGTGCTTCTGACACGAGCTCCACAGGCTAACTAAATGAGTCTGCCCAGAGTCTTGGTTTGGCATCAGTCACCATCGCTAATACCTCGCGCGCGCACGTAACGACCTTGGCGTGTTGGTTACTCTTCTTATCCCCGGCTCTATCGCATTTACTTCAAGGCCAACCGGCCAAATTGGTATCTTGGCCAGACCAAAATCTTGAATCCTGAGGAATCTCACACAAATCCAAAATAATGTTGGCCAGCTTACCCCGAATTCCAACGGTCCACGACAAATGCAGCAGGTGGCAAAGAATAAATGCACGTTCTGGCCGAGACATTTATGCACTGATGAGGGCCTAGAAAATGCCCTATGTGCTCTAGCTAAGTGGTGAGGTCGAGGGTTGATATCAACACCTAGAACGGGCTAGTCCCAATATGGCACAGAGGCAGGCCAGATGGCAGAGTGATATGCAAAACACACTAACCAAATTACTTGTCGCGTCGCCTCTCCCCACCCTAGACCGGGTGGTGGTCGGCCCGGACTCAAGGGCCACCCGGACTCAAGGGCCAAAAATTTCAAAATCTCAACTTGGCATTTACAAACATCAAAACCAGAGCCAAAATGACCCCTAAATTATATAAAGAAGAGGAGGAATTGATTGCAAAGACCCTCAGTGCGTGTCAACACGAAAAAAAGCCGAATTTTAGCAAATTATCGCGTGAATATGGGGTGTCTCGCAAAAAACTGTCCCGTCGGTGGCATGGCTTACCCTCTCGCTCAACACGCCCACCTACGAGGCGCCTACTATCTCTAGATCAAGAAAAGGCACTTATTCTATGGATTGAGTATCTAGATAATATAGGTGCGCCTCCTACGAATCAGCAAATTGAAGAAAGTGCGAATTATTTGCTCGGCAAAGATTTCAGTGGTCCAGGAGAGGCCCCTCGTGCTGGAAAAAATTGGGTACACGATTTTATCAAGCGCCTGCCAAAACAATATGTACGAATCGTTCAAAAACCTCAAGAAAAGGAACGTACCGTTGCAGAGCATTATGGTGAGGTTGAGCGCTGGTTTATTGACCTCGAGCTCGCTATACAACAATACAAAATTCGCCCTCAAAATCTGTGGAACTTTGACGAGACCGGATTCATTGTTGGACAAGGAAAAGATGAAGCGGTGGTAACAGCATATCCAAAAACATCAAAAAGGGTATCTAGCCTGTCCTCTCGAGAATCAATTACTGTCATTGAGGGTATAAATGCCGAAGGAAAGATTATACCACCTTTATTGATTCCAAAAGGCAAGATCCATTTGGAGGAATGGTACCGGCATATAAAAAATGACGACTGGCTAGTTGCACCTGCTTTGAATGGATTTATCACAGATGAGATCGCATTCGAATGGCTTCAACACTTTAACCACTTCTCTAGGCCCGGGGCCTTCCCGGATTGGCAGTTACTTCTTATGGATAATCATACAACTCATCTTACTATACAGTTCGTGCAATATTGTGAAATTTGGCACATTCGCCCATTCCGATTTCCGCCTCATTCTACGCATTTTTTACAACCGCTCGATGGAGTGCCATTTCAGCAATATAAACATGTTCATGGACGGGTTGTGAACAAGATTGCACGCTTGGGTGGCTTTGATTTTGATAAAAACGACTTTTTTGAAGAATTACGCGATATCCGGATAAAGACATTTACCACACGAACGATTCGGCACGGCTGGAGAGAGCGAGGAATTTGGCCTCTTAATCCTCGGCTTATACTTGATATGATGCTTCAGCCAGAGGAAGCATTTGAAGCACTTGTTGCTGAAGGGGATGCACTAAAAATATATAGCGAGGCGGATGACACTATTCCCAGCTCACCAACTACAAAATCAATATCTCCACCATCAACGGCCGTAAAACTACGTCGCTATGTCAATAAGATTGAGAAATCGATTGACGGTATAAAGGATATTCTTGACAAAGTAAGCCCGGGCCTTTCACGCCGTATAAAAGTGGTTAATCAAGGCAGTCTCACCTTGGCCGAATTAGGCGATCTACACCGTGAGAGCTTTGCCAAGGTTCGTGATATAGCAACGCGCAAGAATCAAAAAACTACAAAGCGCCAAGTCAAAGCGAGTGGTGCACTCTATGTAAAAGATGCGAATCGCCTCATAAAACGCCGTCATGATGGGGATTTGTTGAAAATCTATAAGAGCCATGTCGTTGGCGTGCCGCAGCCGATGGAAGAAGTGGCTTCAACAGAGCCTCAAAACAGCGGGTTTTTCTTTGATACTCAGGGAGATAGGTGAACAATGCTTGTATTTAACACCTGTCTAGTTTTTATATGCAATTTATATGGCGTTGGTGGACTGTAAAACATTTTACATGAGACTTCATATTTTTTGGCCCTTGAGTCCGGGTGGCCCTTGAGTCCGGGCCGACCACCACCCGGTCTAGGGTGGGGGGAGGCGACGCGACAAGTAGATGATTTTCCTAATTAGGAACTTATTAAATAGATTGTTGGAAAACACCTACCAAATCTATGTATATAGCGTACAGCGTGGCAATGAACTGCAGGTTCGCTTACCGATTACGTTAGATTACTGGGATTACTTAAATCATGACAGCAAAGCTCTTCATACACAAATTTGGGGCTGGATACTCTGTATAGAACCGCACTATTAACAATTGCAAGAACTAGCGGTTAGGGTTAGTGATACAGAGTAACAGTCAGCGTTCGATCTTCTAAAGATGGCCGCAATCTCAACTGACTTTATCATGGGAATCTCTCCATTCGTCGCGTATCTCGCTTGCCCTGACTAGGAGACCGGACCTGTTTGGAGCTATCTTGACAGCAGTAGTACTCATACACAAGACCTGGATCCTCTATAGTCCTTTTATGCTAAAATCGGTAACCTCTAGTTTTGTGGATAAAGTTCATTAAGTCCCTTAAAGCATGATTCAAAGGTTCACGATCCAGTGGAATTCCCCTCGGTAGTTCTCTCCAGCTTAGAGCCAAAATTAACAGGTAATTGATCAAGGTCGAAAATCCGCTTTAGGTCAAGAGGTTGGCTTTGATTCTACTTTCACCAATTAACACAGTCCATGGGATATATTGATGATAACTAACCAGCTGATTCCAGTCGCGAATCTCACTTATGAACCTATCCCAATAGTCGCCGCTGGAAGTTACGAGTGGAAACATAGCTGTAAATGGCCTCAGTAGCGGTCTTTTTCAGAGTCGATTTCACAGGTCATTATATGGTGTAATTTGCTGCCCAGTCTCGCTAGGCAAGGAATCCATGGAATTGAGGCTATTCAAGATTGTAGTAAGTTCATGGTTTTGTTGCGTATAGATTCTTGCCATTTCCTCCTCGTCATCTTCTAGAAGCTCTTTTTGAATCCCTTCTTGCGATTGTGACCAAGTAGACTTTTCCCAAATCCGGAACTCATTGATTTGGATAAAAAGAAGCTTCTCAGCTTGCTCAACGGTGAGTCGATTCCGGATCTTTGTATGTTGTAGATTCATTAAGGAAAAGGCACGTTCCGCGGCCGCTGAGCTAGCAATTGTATTAATCAAGCGTTTTGCAATTGAGGCGAGATTTGGAGCGAGATCAGTCTGTTAAGAATAGGTAATTAGTATAAATCGAACTTGACAGTATTCAAACTTACTGCCTCAAGCCAAAATATGCTTATATCCTTCGCTTGCCAGCAAGTTGCATTGTAAAAAGGGCCACCTTGTTGCCGAAAATGTAGGAAATCGACCCATGCATTTTGAGGCTCTAGAAGCAGGCGAATATCCTCTTCTGTAGGCGCATCAAGAGGTTGTAGAATTCTTGAAGGATCAAGCCAGTATCCAAGCCAGTAGACTGGTAATAATTGTAGTTTAGCACGCTTCTCAAAGCCTCCCTCTGTAAAATAGGATTTTATATCAGGATCAAGTGGCATATAAGAGGCCGTAGTTGTCATGTCATTTTGAAGCTTCAGCCAACGTACAATAACTTCCATGACATTAGCATTTGAAGATTCAGATTCCTTTTGAGCAATATGTAAAGGCTTTAGTATTGCACATAAAGACTCAAGAAGAAGCCAAAAATCACTGCTTTGAATTGTTCCAATAACCTCGACTAGTTGTTTGGTATCATGATTCCCCATTATCCATGCCCATTCGAGAAGCGACTGCTTCATCTCAAAAACCGACGACAAAAGGTTATATTGGCTTCCCCAGCGTGTTATAACAGAGGCAATAAGCACTTGCCGGCGATTTTTGTGTTTTATATGAATTTTTTGTAGGCGAGCATATTGTAATGGGCTGTTGTGGAAGAACGACACGATTTCTGACGCTTCTTTAAAGATCTGTTTTACGGTGACTGTTTTTGAGGCTTTCATATCTAGAAGATCCTTGAATATTAGCTGCAGACCATGAGAATCACAAGGAATCATAAAAGTGTGTTTAAGCTGGGGTTTTTGTAGCAAAAGCTTCGAAACAGCTCTCATAAGAGGACATGTATCTGTTGAGAGAGAATTGATGACTTTCCAATCGATTCTCTCTCCAAAAAGCTCTGTCAAAAAAGCCTGAAGTTGTTGAAAAATCCAATCCGCAATCATAGGTGCATTAAGCTCTTGATCCTCCATATTTTTGAGTGTATAGAACCACGATCTTTGAGATGTGGTAATCGTCATCACAATAACACGTTCAAGATTGATATTTAAGGTCTCGTCAACAGTTATATTGAGATACTGAATCCGGCGCAATTCGCTAATACCTTTTGCACGACATTCCGTATAAAGTTGAGGCAAAATCTTGTCGGCAATTGTATGTCGATCTGGTGGCACGTAGTTCGGTCTTAACAAATGTAACAATTCTCGCATGACAGGCTGCGTAAAGAGGTTGAAAGGCTGATTTCCTGAGATAATAGCTCGAGCAAGAGCACGATCGAGCGTTTCTTTTAGTGATTTCGGTGTTGCCATATCTGTAAGCTTCTTTTTGTGTTGATCTTTGTAGGATTTCCAATGCAGGGGCGCATTTTTCGATATGTTTTGATGGGGCGGGATACATTCACCGCCGAAATTTTGTTGCAGCCCCGACACCGAACCTGCCCTGCCTAGAAAATCAAATTTGAAGTTGAGAAAGCGATTTTCCAAGGTTTTGTATAGAATATCACCCTTTTCTTACTCAAAAGAGTTTCGAAGACCTTTTTTCTTTCAATCTGATCTATTTGGCTCTGTTCCAGCGGTTTTTGACCCATATTTACGTGGGAATGGGTGATATCGATTTCTGAATGCCAGTCTATCAAAACGTATATAATATATATTATCGAATATATAATTACAACTGCATTTCTACTGTTTTCAACAGAAATCCAAAAAAGCGGCAATAAAAAAACTACGTGCTCTCATTGGCTAATCTCATTTCACCGCCGACTGTTAGCATATCACGTGTTCTTGGAGTGAGCTTGGCGTATGTAAATTCGTGTTCGCAAATTACTATGGTATTTACGGAATCGAACTTTCTCTGTAAATTGGGGTCCAAGAGTTTAATTACACCATCCTACTGGACAATGTTGGTGATTAAGAATCTCCGCATACAACTTTATATCTCTCGAGTTGGGGAAGAATTCTTTGCAGACTGCATGGTTATTCTGTCCACAGTAGATCCCGAATATCATATTATTGAAAGTATGCGTAACATGATGCGGTGCACATGGTTATCATTCACGTTGTATTCTTTCCCTCATGTATGATGTCGAGTCTGTTTGGAATGTACTCGTGCGGCCGACAACCGGTAATTTGTCAGATTGATGAGTTAACTCCAGGCCAATCCTGAATAATTGCTTACAAGGATGGTAAAAGAAGAAGTGACCAGTGACGCCGGAGGCCTGGGCAAATCCTGTAACCCATTCGTGAAGAACGCAAGAATAGGTCGAAAAACTCGTCTAAAATACATGTATATAAGTTAGTATAAAGCATGTAGTAATGTCATAGTCAATGATATTAAGTAAAATATTATCCGTTCTTTTTTGTCCATGGTCTCCTCTGATGCAATCCCTTTTCTTGACAAATCAATGAAAATATATAAAAAAAAAAAGAAAATTTGCCATAAACACATACACAAACATTAATGACGTAGGGAAGACAAAGGAAGCAACATAGGAAAAATACATTATAAGAAATAAAAAGAGGTGAAGAGAAAAGCGGGAATGAGACTACTCGGGTTTCCGGCCAACCATCAAGTACATCGGTGTGAAAAGCTTCTTCTCACCACCAGCAACCAAACAATCAGCTGCAAGAGCGAGACTATCAGCGGTCTTTTGAGTGCCTCGAGGGAGAAGCCAGACTTTCTCCATAGCGCCCATTAATCGGTGCATGGCCCCACGGCCGATACGAGTCATACGCAACACAGTCAGGAAATCCCATGGTGTTTGCATATGCTTGAATTCACCGGCAAGAGGATAATACCATGGGATAGGATCGGGACGATCAGCAAGATCCTCATGATGCAACAACTCAAATCCGGCGGCCTTGATAGCGTCTAGACCCTCGGAGACCTTGACCATGTTGGAAATCCCATTTCCCTGCTCAATACCCAGTCTGATTTCACGGTGTTCTTGGTTATCGTTGTCGTATTCATCGGTCATCAACCATTCGTATACACCAAAGATACCACCGGGCTTCAATACACGACGGATTTCGCTGTAGACACCTTCCAGACTGGGGGCGTGCACAGTGGCCTCGATGGCATAGACGGCGTCGAAGCTATTGTCGGGGAACGGCATTTGCATAAAGTCACCCTTTTGGAAAGTGAGTTTATCTGAGAGGCCCTCGCGTTCAGCGTATCGAGTGGCGCGTTGAATTTGGTAGTCGTTATTGTTGAAACCGACGACATTGACACCAGCGAATTTGACCATCTCACGGGCGGGACCGCCGACACCGCAACCGACATCGAGCACTTTCATGCCTTCCTTGAGGCCCATGCAGTGAGCGAGATAGTGTTCGTGACGAGCAATAGCCTGGTGGAAAGGTTCGCCGTATGCGAAACGGCAGAAATGGAAGGAGCTACCCCATCCGTATTCGTACAAGTCTGTCGCGAGGTTGTAGTAACTATACACAAACCGTCATTAGCATTCACTCGGTCATTCTTCAGTCCAATTGATACTCACTGGCGTGTTAATGTAGCATATTCAGCTCGTCGAGACTCGCGGGTGGCTTCCGTCTCTTCAGCGGCAGTCTTATTGTCCCAATGCTTGAAATATTCATCAACCGCAACTTGCTGCGCTTTGGTATCTTTGGCGCGCATAGCAGCGAAACCACCTGCATTTTGCGCCGACTTGCCGTGCATAGCCTTGGCAAACTCAGCATCGCGCTTGTGGTCTTCCTTTTCCAACTTTGCAGGAGCCATTGTTGTGATCGTTGCGATTGTTCGTTCTTGAAAGTCGTGGTAAGGTCGTAATAAAGGGGGAGTGGATTTTCGTTTCTTGGACGGGGAAAAAAAAGAGAATGCGATGAAGGAAAGCTTGATTAAACAACGACGACAACAAAACAAGAGTCAATGAAGGATGGAATTGAAAAGTGAAGAAGCTGTTATCTCACTGACTCCAGAATATAAGCAGACGTGTTCTCATAAAGGAGACAAAAAGGAGTCGTAAGATCAGTGTTTGTCAAAGTCTCCAGAATTTCATTTTGCGGGAGCAAATATAAGCTGCGTTTTGTGATTGGAGCTGCCTTAGGCAATATGAGACAACCCGGAGGCCGTGGAATCCGGTAGACAGTGAGTTGTGATTGGCTAATTTCACTGCCACACCGGAACCCGTGGACTCCAGCCAGATCAGACATGTGATTGCTTACTCATCGTATACAGCGCACCAGCCGCAAGTGGCGACTGGTGGCTAACACAGCCGCTGATATTCTCTTCTCCACCGCAAAACCAGCAACAGCAACTCATCACAATCAGCCCCCCTCAGCGTAACAGCTGCCATACATAACCACGATGCCTCCTCAGATAAAGCAGGACCTGAACCGATCGGGATGGGAGTCCACCGATTTTCCCTCGGTGTGCGAAAACTGCTTACCCGAGAATCCGTATGTGCAGATGCTAAAAGAAGACTATGGCGCTGAATGCAAGATTGTATGTTGATCCATCTCCTCTTTTTATTACTACTTTACCAACTTACGACAGTGCACGCGACCATTTACAATCTTCCGCTGGAAAGCAGACCGCACCGCGCGTACCAAGCGAACCAACATCTGCCTGACATGCGCCCGCTTAAAGAACTGTTGCCAATGCTGTATGCTCGATCTCTCATTCGGTCTACCCATCGTCATCCGTGACGCAGCCCTGAAGATGGTCGCACCCGGCCCGCAAAGCGGGATCAATCGAGAATACTACGCCCAAAACCACGAAAAGGAAATTGAAGAAGGCCGCGGCGCTATCGAGGCATATGAGAAAACCGATGAAAAAGCGCGCGAACTGTTGAAACGGTTGGCTAATAGCGAGCCTTATTATAAGAAACAGCGCCGTATTGGATCTGCGCCTGAAGATGATGAAGAGAAGACGACGACGACGCAGGCGGAAGAGCAGGCCCCGCGACGGAGTATGTACGGGAATGGACCTGGTCCAATTCGTACAAGCGATACTCGAAGAGGAGGTTCTTTCAATGGTCGAGGCGGTGGCCGCAGTGGCCGCGGTGGTCGCGCATTTCCTTCCGCAGCGCAACTCCCTCCGTCAGCCGAGGACATCAAACCACCGGCCGACCCAAAGATTACATCTCTTTTTGTCACGGGCGTGGAGGATGATTTGCCTGAATATGAAGTCCGTGCATTTTTCGAACAATTTGGTCAATTGCGCTCATTAATTTGTTCGCATCGTGCTCACTGCGCATTTGTAAACTATGCGGCTCGCGCCTCGGCTGAAGCTGCTGCGTTACATTGCCAGGGCAAAGCGGTTGTCAAGGGATGTCCGCTGCGGGTGCGTTGGGGCAAACCGAAACCCTTGGATAGTATGGCTGATGAGGAGCGACAACGTAACGCCCGTGAGGGTCGGCAGTTAGTTGCGCCCAGTCGCGGTGGTCAGGGTCAACGAGCAATCACGGCTTCTGGCAGTACTTCCGAGACTGAGAAACACAAATACGCTGTTGCGCCTCCGCCGGGTAGTGGTGAGGTCCAATATGCCAGTTTGTCGGGCGAGTAATCCTGTTACTGTTATTTTATATCGATTTGCATTATTTATTGAGCGGGCATTTTTTTCTGGTTCATGGGTTACGGTCAAAATCGAATGGAGATGTATAAGTACATAAATATGATACAAGTATCTTTCACCTCATGCCCTCGCAATGTGATAATCAGTATATAAGCAGTATCCCAAACGCCAATCTGCTAAATAATCGAATAATCAAGAACAAGCCTTCTCAATTTTAACCTTCTTTCCCCCAATCTTTACAGAATCATTATCCCCTCGCTCAATGTCGTCGTGAATCCGTAGTTCTATTCCAGTTAGCCAGTCAGTCATACTTTCTCCTATTCCATGACGGCTATGTACGTACCCCATTTGGCATCCTCCTTTTCCGCATCCCGTGCGCCCTGGACTATGTTATGTCGTAATATACTCGCCGTTTCGAGCGCATGTTGGATCTGCATGGGTGTATCAACGGCTGTCCGTTTGTGTTGGTCGAATTGTTTACGGGCTTCGGTGCGAGCGGCTAGGAGGACTCTATAGTCATCTTTTCCGATGATAAATAGCAGTTAGCTTGGTTTCTCTTGGAGGTTAAGGGTTGACGAACCTTTGAAAGCTATACGGGTGGCGCGGAGGAGTTGCCGGTAGGCGGAGATGGCGGATACGGAGGGTGTTGTCATTTTGGACTGATTTATTATGACTTATCAATTTTTGCAGACCTCGAATTGAGAGTCGACTGTCGGGTGAGATGTCGAAGGCGACTAGTTCAGCCGATGGCAGGTTGATGATGCCGGCAGATACAAAACGGAAATTATCGTATATCGTTGTTGTAAACAGAATCAATGTGGTTTCGTGATTATCTTGTAGCCAACAGACTGATCATAGCAGAGTATAAAGCGAATGACAGATCGTAAGGTACATGGATTTGAGATGAAGAAGCCGCAAAGCTGCCGAATCCGCCATCGCTGATTGGCCGATCCTCATCGGGCCTAGAAGGAAAGGAAAAATAATTTTTCTTAGCGGCAGAACAACAATTTCTTCCAGACTTCCCCTCCATCAAGCCACAACAACATCATTGATTCGGTCAGTTCAAGACATCATGGCTACCGTAACGTCCCCTCTTCCTCCTCTTCCTCCTCTTCCTGCAGGATGGTCTGCAGAGAAAGACTACAAGGTGTTATCCAGCTTGACTAGTGCTGTGCAACGCAACATTGAGCCTGTGGGACCGCATTTCCTGGCTCATGCTAGAAGAGTATGTCTCCTCTTTTTCTTTTTTTCGTGATTGAGAGGCAATGCTAATATATGTAGAAACGCCACAATCGTACATTCTCTGAAGACGAACGCATTCAAGCCCAGAAGAATGTCAAGAAGGTCGATGAGGACGAGGACGATGAGATCTCTGAGCCTGAGGATCCTTTGATGCTCCAGCGGGATGCTAAGGACTGGAAGGTTTGTTTTAACAAAATAGGTTCTTTATTTGCAAGCTAACAATAAACAGAACCAAGATCACTACGCTGTCCTCGGTCTCAGCAAGTACCGTTACAAGGCTACCCCCGAACAGATTAAGCGCGCCCATCGTAAGAAGGTCTTGCGTCACCATCCTGACAAGAAAGCCGCGGCTGGCCAGACCGACGAAAACGACAATTTCTTCAAGTGCATTCAAAAGGCCACTGAAATTCTCCTTGACCCAGCGAAGCGTCGTCAATACGATTCCTGTGACGAGAACGCTAACGTCGAGCCACCAACCAAGAAGCAACTCGAAAAGGGCAACTACTACAAACTCTGGGACCGTGTGTTCAAGTCCGAGGCTCGTTTCTCCAACAAGCAGCCTGTCCCTACGTTCGGCAGCGAGAATAGCACTGAAGAAGAGGTTGAGGAGTTCTATAACTTCTGGTACAACTTTGACAGCTGGCGATCATTCGAGTACGAGGATGAGGATGTCCCCGATGACAATGAGAATCGTGACCAGAAACGTCATGTGGAGCGTAAGAATGCCAACTCGCGCCGCAAGAAGAAGACCGAGGATACCACACGTCTGCGCAAGCTTGTCGATGACGCCCTTGCCGGCGATGAACGTATTAAGAAATTCCGTCAAGCCAAGCGTGCCGGCAAGGATAAGAAGCGTCTCGAAAAGGAGGCTGAAGCCAAGCGTATAGCTGAAGAGAAGGAGAAGGCTAAGCAAGAAGAAGAGCGCAAGAAGAAGGAGGCCGAAGAAGCCGCGAAAGCTGAGCGGGAGGCCAACAAGAAGAGTAAGGAGGCAGCCAAGAACGCAGCCAAGAAGAACAAGCGTGTTCTCAGGAACAGTGTCAAGGATGTCAACTACTTTGCTGAAGGTGGTGATGCCTCTGCTTCTCAGGTGGACAATGTCTTGAATGATGTTGATGCTATTATGGCCAAGATTACTCCTGAAGAGTTGGCTGCGTTGGCCTCTAAATTGACTAGTGCCGGTACTGATGCTGCTGCTGTCAAGGCTGCTTACGTCGATGAAGTGAAGCGATTGATTGGCGAGGGCAAATTGAAGGAGACTGAAATCAAGGCATTGAACTAGTTGACGTCGACTATAGACTGTACATCCGTACAATGACTCGTATATGAATGACTAGATTTCTTTCTATCTTCCACTTAGTAATAGGCAGCTACATACACATCAAGCATAATCATACTCTGGCGCCCCAAACGTCAAATTCACCGGATCAGTCATAAGCCATCCACTCGTCTTCCCAACAACCCTAGGATGAGGGCCCAAGAAATTATTCGGAAACCCAGGCTCAAACTCCACCACACTCTCCAAGTACTCAATCTCTTCCAACGAAAGCCTAATCCTCAACGCATCAATATTACTCTTGAGATGCTCAATCTTCCTCCCACCAACAATCGGAAATACCCTAGGCGCTTTACTCATCACGTAAGCGAGAGCAATAGCCTGCACGGAATCCATGCCGTGTTCCTCGGCGACTTTAGCAAGTGCTTCTGAGATTTTGAATTCTTTTTTGCTTTGTTCACCGGTTGATCCGAAGATCTTCCTGAGTGACTCGCCCTTTGATTTGCGTTCTTCCAATGCCTTGCGAGATTGGAATTTTCCTCCTCCGAGGACGTCCCAGGGTGCTAGGGCCATACCGAAGTAGCGTGCCATGGGGATGATTTCTCGCTCAAAGTCGCGGAGCATCACGTTCCAGCGTCCTTGATAGATTGAAAATGGCGTCTTGCCGTGTGCGCGAGCATAGTAGTTGGCCGCTGAAGCGAGCCAGGCTGGGGAGTCAGAAATACCCAGATACAGGACCTTGCCTTGCTCGACAAGTATGTGCAGCGAATCCATAATCTCTTCAATACTGGTGAGTTGATCGTACCAATGCAAATACAAAATATCAATATAATCCGTCTGCAACTTCTGAAGGCTATCGCGCACACTCATATGCAACGATCGTCGACTATTCCCCACATAATTCGATGCTCTCCCCTTTCCCAGTTCATATGTCTTGTATCCCGTCGTATATTTGGTGGCAATCACCATCTGATCCCGGTTTTCCCGGGAAGACATCCATTCCCCGATCCAGGTCTCGGATTGCTCGTCCTGGTAGTTGTTGGATGTATCGATGAAGTTTCCGCCAGACTCGAAATAGAAGTCTAGTAGTTTGAAGGAAGACTCTTTGTCCATTGAGCCCATTCCGCTGGCCCAGGCATCGCCGATGGACATGCCGCCTAGTGCCAGGGGGGAGACATGGATGGAGGCTGTGGAGGAGAGGACGCGGAGTTTGCCTAGATCTGTGGGAGGAGAGCCGTCGGACGACATTTTGTTTGTCTATATATGTATTTGTGTATGTACTTCACGAATCCGGGGATCAGACAGGAGTATGATCTATGAGATAGCCAGGGAATCCGCCATATGTATATACCATTTCCTCTTAAGTTGACATCATGACTAGGTGTCTTGATCATAGTACAATTTCTTAACTCCGGACAGTATGATAGACCACAAAATTCTCCCCGACGAACAGTCTAGTTGTAGTTGACTTGTTCAATGGATGTTCCAATCCAAAAAAAAAAACATGGAGATACTTCCACTATCAACACGTCTAACTTAGCCCCACATCCGTCTAGACATTGGAGGTCAAACTCCCAAGTTAAAAGCCGACAATTGCGAGTGATCCACTTGATTATTTTGGCTATTGGTAACCGTTCTGGGAAGATTTAAGCACTGTAGTTGTTGGATGCTGCGGGTTTCGTGTGGCGTTATGTGTATATCCCCGGAAAATTGGTTTTTCTTCATATATGCCCGGGAGATGATTAGTGACGTCCTTATGAAATGGCGAGTGATCTAGAAGGTGTTTGAGTCTACACTTTTTATTGTTTATGTCTTCATGCCAGGGGCTAATTGATTGAGTTGCTATACAAGCTACTGCGTACAGACGACGAGTAGTGTTAGTCCTACCTACAAGTAGTCTCATTCTATTCGTTTCCAAGGTTGTAAGAAAAGAATGGATTAAAGCAATATAAATCCTTATTTTGGTATAACATACGTGAATTCAAAGCCGAGCCAAATATGTTCCTTTTGTGTCCTTCCCCTTTTTGATCAGACGGAACCCTTCATCCTCTATATCTCCGGAAAAATGTATATACATAAACCTGCTGAATATTGACTAATCGACCGTTGAGTATGACTCTCACGGATGTCGTTTTAAGCTATGGTATAGGCCACAATCACTCCAATGAGAGCTTGAAGTGAATATTAGGGACCTCGGTACTATTCGCCGGCATGACAAATGTCAGGTTCCAGAATTCGAAGTCACTATAAGCAATCAATATTAGACTAGTTTCCAAAAAGCTTCATGTGTATAGAGAATGTCCACTTACTGAATAATCGGGCAAGTACCACCCACAAATCCACAGAACGAAACCTCAGGCTCTGGCTTGACGCTACCACCAACCTCAACTTTAAGCCCATCAATAGCATCCAGCGAGTAAATATCCCGTTTAGCTCCCAAGGGATTAGACGAAAGAGCAAAGGTAAAAACGCTAGTTTCATTACCAGCAGGGTACGTCAAATTGAGCGTATAAGGGGAAACATCAGCCTGCATAGCTTTCTCTGTCGAGTACCAAGTGAGATACCCCACAGACCCATCTGAACGAAGCCATTGAACAACAGCTGGATTCCAGGCATTCGTATCTTCGCGCGAACCTCCAAGAGCGGTTTGATTGAATGATTCAGCGCCAATGGTAAGGTTTGCAGATACCCAAGTCGTGACGTTACGCGGCTCGTAATCTACCGGAGGCGCATACGCTTGGCCATGATATGTATGCTCTCCAATGAAATGCGAACTACTGAATCGACGCAGTACAGATTCTGGAATGATCTTTTTCTGGGTGTCCGCGAGGACTGCAAGGAGCGGACCGATCTCGAGATCATCGGCATGTGCAAATGTTCCGATGGGGTTGACGTTATCGTAAGCGACATCCTTTCCAACGAGGGACCAGATCCATAAGGATATTATAGCCACGTAGTTGTTCATATCATAGCCGTATGTTCGATCCCACGGACCGGCAAAGTTCCTCATCATGGGATTCCAGAGCTGAGATTCAACTTCCCAGATATCTCGGATGATTTGTTCACTGTGCTGAGCAATTAACGGAGGGTTTGTGATGTTCGTCATGTATTTTGCTGCAATCGTCAGCGCGGCGAGAGAAACGCCAACGTATGTTGGACTGTTGTACTCGGAGATGGTGTGATTGACATTATACAGATCTAAGAACTCTTGAGTCCATTTATCGCCCCAGTAAGTCATGTTGGAGTCGTTCATCTTCATTCCTGTCCATGAGCTGGCGACTGTTCTCATCAACCAGGGGTTTGTGTATGCTGGATACAAGTTATCATCATCGACACCGCCCACACGGTATGTATCGCCAACAGTGCTGTTGTAGATACTCTCAAGAACCAGGTCTTGAATATGGGGAGGAAGTAAATCCTTGTATTCTTCGTACACCATGATAAGAGTTGTACCAATAAATCCTCTCCAATTAGGATCCCATGAATTGTAGATCTAGCCATGTCAGAACGCTCTTTTCGGCCAAGAAAATTGTGAACATACCACAGGATCGTACGCGGGCCCTCCAACAGTAGGCTGCTCCGGATAAACCGTATAATCCCCGAACCACTGCTTCGAGGTATCTTTCTCCTGGTCAGCAATGATCAGTTCGAGAATCTTTGCGGCCTCCTCTGCATCATCCCCATGGTTGCGTTGAAGAAGGCCAATAGTGCGCCAAACGGTGGAACGAGTTTCGTGCACGCCAGCAGCTAGTGGGAAGTAGAACCATCGTAGATAATGGGCACTAGGGTCATAGATCATATCTTGGAAGTTCATAGATTCATCGAAAAGGTCTTGTGCATGCTTTGATAAGTGGGCAGCACGAGCAGGGCTGGTTGCTGCTAGTAGGCCAAGGCCTACGAGCCAGTTGAGCTTGGACAACATGTTTCTCAATGAGCCCTAAGTTGGAAGATTGTTGAGATCCCTGCAGTATGGAATGATACTACAGGTAGCCCTTTATATAACAAGCAAGCCCTCATTCCGAGATTGTGGGAACCCCATGTTTGAACACTACCTATGGAACCATGATACTAGATAGACGGTCAAAACAGTCAACCTTATTTCGTAGTCTATGCCCTCTCTAGACATATAGTTGATGATCGGTGTTCTATCCGGTAGATAGGGTTATATCCACAATCCGGTAAACTGCGGTGTACGCAAGTCGAGAGTTCGGTGCATTCCGGCAAAGTACGGTATAGTCCGGTTCAGACATTCTTCATATCATTCTCCAGTCTCCGGATTTTAGTCCTGTGTGGGGTATAATCTTTGAGAATGGAAATGTGTATCCAATGATAGGAGATATTGCCGCATTTTCGAGCAGAGTACCTAGTAAGTATGGTATGATTTGTCGCGTGAGCATGTACGAGGGGGAACTCTCTAGAAGATATACCGAGTTTTGGGATTCGTAAACCTTATGATTACACATAGATCTGTGCTACATGCACGAGACCGTCTGATGGAGAGATATCAGATGGAGCAGTAGGAACCGGAATTTGCTCATCTCATCAGTGGAATCTGATCTCGAGTGTCTACCGATAATACCAGCTCAACCGGCACATCTACACCGACAGTCTCCGCTTTAATGGTAGACTGAATTTGATAAGGGTCAACGAGACAACAGTATGCGAAGGTTAGGGCAACTGGGTTATCACGAGCTATTTATCTGTATTCCGGGTCCAAATTGCTGGTAGACGTCGTTACCGAGTGTGCCTCATCCTATACACTGATAGCGATCCTGCAATAAGATATTAGAAAGACAAATACACATGAACCCATAGAAGGCCACCTGAACGTAGAACTATCCCAACCATTCTGCAGAAATAACTCCACTAGACCCATTCTCCCCAATCCTATTAACAATAATTCTTCCAAAGCTCTCATCAGCCCGCTTGAACAAATCCTCCCATTCATCTGCCTCTCGCTCCCTCGAGTTAAATAGAGACATCATTATAGCATCCATCGACCTATCAACAATCAGTTCACATCGTTCACATCCATATAAGCCTAGTGATCCGCCAGAATAACTACCTCATCTGCATCTCCTGCAACAACCCCATCGTCCCCGGTTCCGGCAAAACATGATCCTGAACCACAATCTTCGCCCCTGTCTTAAGCGCCGGAATCAAATTTCTGATAATCTCAAGACAGTACTCATCGCCCCAATCATGCAGCACGTATCGAAGCAGGTAAACCTCTGCATTCTTGACGGGTTGTTCGTCAAACATATCATGAGCCATAAACTCAATTTTCTCCTTGCAGGTTACTACTGCCTCATCATCTTCAGGTAACTGATCAACAGCACCGTCAATTACCTCCGGTAAATCCTGCACTATGAACCTCAAATGCGGATATGTGCGCGCAAGATGGAGAGAGACATGACCCTTTGATCCGCCCACGTCGACGATTTTGCTGTTTGATGGAAGTGTATGCCATGGGAAATGGGTACTCAGAGCATCGAGACTAGCCTTTGACGTCGTCGCCATGGCGAACGCGAATCGTGTTGCGCGCTCTTTGTGCTGGGAGAGGTATTGGAATGTGTTTAGTGGTGTGTTGTTAGCCAGTGCATATCCCGATATATTGGCCCGGTTACTCTGCTGGGATATTGCTTCTACTGCCTTTCAAATAGTAAGTCACATATTTCCAAACCTTCAAGGGAGATGGCCAAGGGGTGAGTACATGATTATGCGCCGGCCAACACTCATCAAACGTCAACCCCGTAAGATGTCCGGCAACAGGATTCTCAACCATAAGTCTCGAGGCAGCGGTGTGCGCTACAACGCCCTTTGTGGGTTCAACAAAGACCCGATGATGGATCGCTGTGTACCTGATTATGCGTTTGAGGTCATGTTCTTGAACACCGCATTTGGTCGCTAGGACTTTAAATGAGATTATAGAGTCTAGAGGCACATAAGATGCGATCTTGAAGCGATGTACAGCTACAAGAGGGGAGAAATTTGACTGTGACGAGTATTAGTACGAACACTAAATCCATACATCCATGGATGTGGAAAGGCAAACCTCAGGAAGAAGAAGTTTCAATGGCCCCTCGAGTAACTGCCTCAATTCAATGGCTGCTTCAATTACATCTGTCTTTGCTCTTTGGATTTCCGGCGTCTCGTTCTGGATTGGTTCTGTGGGACCATTCTGGTCGAATGATGGTTGAGGGAGGTTGTTAATTTGAAGATGGCTGTCAATGATAGAGGTTTGAGAGCTGATTAGTTGGGCGAGTTGGATGATTCTTGATGTAGACATCTTGTCGTATGTTCGTGACGATAAAGGTGAGGGAGACTGAATGAGGGGTTAGGTCAAGGCAACCATTCTGACTAGTATAATATACTATCATACTAGTTAATGATTTAGTGTGTGCTGGTTGCGCCATTTATGAATATCTAATACAGAAACAGGATAGGAAAAAATGAACATTTGTCTCATGTTCTACGATCGAGGTAAAATCCATGGGACAAAGTTAGGGCTTGATAGCCACGCCTTTCTATCATTTTTATTGGACTTTACATCTAATGAATCAAAGGGTGTAAGGATGATCGAAAGCAAAAATTCATTATCTCATGACTAATTACCCTAAAAAAACGCTAGCTCGCACTCATAGATCGAATGAAACATCCAACAATGAAAGCAGAAGGGAATAACAATCATCATATACAAGAATCGTGACAATCTCAAATCAACAAATCATCGAATTACTCCTGACCCGCAGACTCAACACGTGCAGCCATCGGTCTCGATGGCGTAGCACCAGCCTCACTCTCACCATCAGCAAAGTCATCGACATCCTTACCATTTTCGATGCTCTCTACCTGTTTTTCCTTCTGTTCGTTTTTCCCGTTTATGGCATTATCAGACGTTTTCTCATCATCTGTCTTTCCGTTGTCATTCATCTTGTCGGCCGTCTTTTCATCTTTCTGATCGTTTGATTTGTCGTCAACTATCGGTGACTTGTCCTTATCCTTTCTTGGTGTGCCCAATTTCTTCGGCTTTCTTGGTGTAGAAGTAGCAGTAGCAGTACTCTCGTTTCCAGAAGCGTGAGCATCGGCTATATCACCCTTGAGCTTGGATGAAGATGCGCCATTGGCGCGATTCTGTTCACCGTTTCGTTGTTCGACTTCTTTGCCTCCAGCACGGTGCGCAGGTTTTGGCGTTGACTGTCTAGATGCACGGGAGTTATTGGTTACAGGGGGTGCCCGGGCATTAGCAATCAACCTTCGATGATAGTCATCGCCACGTGCTGGGTGTTCGCCCAGAATACGTCGAGCAGCCTCCCGGCCTACAACGGGTAGCTGCTTTACTCCGCTGACTCCTTGGGGTAGTAACTTGGTATCCAAAAGTCCAAGTTGAACAAGGACACTGGCTTGGTCCCAATACAAATGCTCGGTGAAGATGCGTTCCGCTTTAAGGGCGATAACAGCCACGAGAATTATCTCGACTCGTTTACCGGTGGGCGGTACGCCTGGAAGCATCCATGGCATTTCAACTGTATGGTCGAAGGTGATGTAGATTTCATCCACGACGCGATCTGCGCCAACAGTACGAGATAGTAGACGCAGCCTCATAGATGGCGGCTTGGTCTGGAGGAAGTCATTTTCATAGAACCGACGCAGTGCTTTCGCACCAACGCCACCAGCCAGTGTTGGACCAACAGTGACGGCGGGATTCTTATGGGTGACAAAGGTTGACATGGTGTCGGAGAGGTTGTCACGGAAGAAGCTGCCTTGATGTTGTTAGCCACAGCCCGTTGGACCGGACAAAGGAATGAGCTTACTTTCAGTATTAATCTCCCACGGACGCTCCAAATCAGCATCCTTGCGGAATGCCTTTCGCATCACATCCAAAGTCCGCGACCAAGCCAATTCTGCCGATGCATGATCATATTCATCCAAATCATGCTCTGCAAATCCGGGATCGGCAAAGTCATATGTAAATGCTGTATACGAAATATCTTTGCGTTCGCCGATACCAACTCCCGGGTCAATTCTGCGCTTGCTGATACGTTTCTTGCGTCCCTGGATGCCTAGTGCTTGAGGAGTGACAACAACATCGACCGATTCTCCTGCAAGATGGACAAGCACCTTGAGACTGGGAGGGAAACGAATGCGCGTATCTGGGATGGCGGTGGGGTAATAAGCAACCAGGGCAGTCAGTCTGGCCCCGGTGGCAGGTTTGTGGAAGTGGTCGAGACAGAAAGCGGCAGCCTCGCCGTATGCTAGGTTCATCAGTGACTGTTTTAGTATATTCAGGATAAAGGAGGGACCCACCGATAATAGCATACGACTCTCCCACCCTTAGACCCTCCTTGACACTCTCTAGACGACTAGCATAGTCCTTTCCGCCTTCGTTGAGCGGGACGTATGTAACGTCAAACCCTTCATTCTGCCAGTTGCGGATTGTCTCCGTATCGAACTCTTCCTCTTCCGAGGTAATGCATAGTCTGGGAGTCGATAGTTGAGAGTTCAAGAAAGTATTGTATACGAGACCGTTTCCGGGTGTGTTGATGCTGATGGTAGCCATGATTATATATCAGGTGGTATAAATGTAGAAGAGGAATCACTCTCACTCAGGAGGAGAGGAAGAAAAGAAGAAAAGGCATCCATCATGTCTGATATATTCTACGACGTCACTCACGAAGGAGATCACTGACAGAGTGGGGCCGCATATGTCATATTGCGGGATACTGACCAATCAAAATACAGTATTCTACTACCCCTGTCACGCTTCTGCCTGAGACACCAGGCATCAACACAGCCTCTAATCTTCCACTGGCAGTCTCTCTCTATTCTTCTATTCTACACTCCAACAGCTTACCAGGCAAGCTTCGCAACAACACCCCCCGGCCAACGTCTAACAGCAGCTTTCCTTCCTTCATCCAATATCAACAACCCCAGTCCAAACGCCGCGGGTAGAAAGTAATGCTCGGCCGGTACACTGGTAGTACCAAGCACGCTTTGGAAGCGAGGAATATACAACCAGAACGCAGCAATGCCTAATGCAAACAAGATTGCAGGGAATAGTAGCAGATTCTGGGTCTGCTTGTTGAATGCTGGTGGGTGAGAGAAGATGGATAGACGACGAGTTCGGATAGCCATGAGATTGAACCATTGCCTAGACCGTCAGCTTGAAGTTGCTTACAATGGAGGGGGGCGGAACTTACATGACCACCAGGTTGATGAAGTATATTGACGACGCCTCATTCAGTTTATCAGAGTAGTAATCCTGATCAATACCATCAGGAACAGCGCCAAATCCGAACCACAGCGACGAGAACGGTATTCCGTTGCGTTGCAAATACCAATACGACATGGAGAAGGAGCAAACAGTCTGGATTACGCCAATGATACCATACGCATTGAACATCAGCCTCCAGTCAACCAGTTTATCCTTGCGCGGGTTTCGTGGTGGTCGCAACAGGACATCCGCCTCTGGTTTTTCATACGCCAACACGGTGGCAGCCGCGCAATCCGTAAAGCAGCAAATAACAATCATCAGAAATGACGACAAAACTTGCGGCAGACCGAAGACGACGTTGGTGAAAACGGGCCAAAATTCGGAGAATGACCCAGCGGGGAGGAGATAGATGATTGTCTTTTTCAGGTTGTCAAAGACCACACGACCGTATTGCACGGCCTCGACGATTGCTGAAAATGAATCGAGGAGGACCATGTCAGATGCTTCAATTGCAATGTCTGATCCGCTGCCTAGGGCAATACCGATATCAGCTGCTTTGAGGGAGGGAGCATCGTTGACACCGTCACCGGTCATGCCGACAATCTCTTCACGAGACTGGAATTCGCGGACGATGCGGAGTTTTTGCTCTGGTGTTGTACGTGCAAATACAATCTCCCGGTACTTGCAGAGCTGATCCCATTGCGTCTCGTTCAGGCTGAGAAGTTCAGGGCCGCTGATGACAATTGCCGAGGAATGCAGCTCCGGTTTATCAACGACGGTATCGCTACCACTGGCATATCTCTGCAAAGCAGTAACGTCATCGACACGACTATTGCCCGAAATAATCCCGCATTGGCGCGCAATTGCAAGTGCAGTCAAGCCAAAGTCACCAGTTACCATGAAAATGCGAATGCCTGCACGTCTCAACGTTTTGACCACATCTGGAATCTCTTCACGAGGTGGGTCCACGATACCAACTAAGCCAACAAGAATCAAGTCGGACCTGACCTGTCGCATAATCTCGGATTCGTATTCATGAGAGCCGGGAGTGCTCGTGATATCTTGATCAGCAATGACTTTGCGAGCCAGCAATATCACCCGTTTGCCTTGGTTGGACCATTCATCTTTTATGCTCCTGACCTGGCGTAGTGTCTCTGCATCCAGGGGCTGTACACTGCCATCTGCAGAGACTATGCGCCCACATCTCTCAATCAGAATATCAGGAGCGCCTTTGATCGTCAACAGGATATCCTCAGACTTGAACTGTACACTTTCTGCCGGCGACAACGCCAATCCCAGTCCTTTGGATTCTGCAACCGCAAACGTGCGAATCATGAACTTATTCTTGCTATTGAACGCAAGCTCCCATGTCTTTTTCCACAAACGCCGCAATTCCGTAACCGAGCCAAGAACTTCTGAGAATCGAAGGATGGCTTGATCTGTGGCATCGCCGAAGATGGGTCGTTCATTGAGAGGGAGATGATCAGCTGCAGCGTCGAATTCGGCTGCGTTGCACAATCCGGATAGCGCACGCAGTTGATGGATGCCGGTCGATTTACCTTTGAGCACCATGTCGTCCCGGGCAGTCATGGGGTTATAAACGGACGTCGAAACCGCGCAATCAGTTACAAACATTTTATTCTGTACGCATGTAAGTATTCGCCTCCGATCAAAGAAGAGAGACATACCTTAGTGAGTGTCCCCGTCTTATCACTACAAATAACACTCACACTCCCCAACGTCTCCACCGTCTTGAGCGACTTGCACAATATCTGATTCTTCCTCATAATATTCGCCGTAATCGTCAAACTGGCCGTAATACTAATCGGTAGCCCTTCAGGGATAAATGCGATAGCAACACTAACACAATCCACAATCAAGGTCGGCACATTGATCCATCCGGGGTGATCTTTGCGTAACCACGTCGCCCATACAATAGCCACGACGATAATCATGGTCAACATAATTAGCACAATCAGAGCGACGAATCGCAATACTTCCTTTTCGAGGAGAGTCAGTCCTGGTTTTGGTTCACTGGCTAGTTTTGCGATTCGTCCGAACACGGTGTTGTCGCCTGTTGAGACTACTATTCCGACTGCAGAACCGGATACGCAGTGCGTGCCTTGAAGACCAATATTCTGTGTTTCGAGGTAATTCTCTTCAGTGGCGTCGATTGTGCCGCTTACAGGGAGTGATTCACCTTTTTCAATCAGTCAATGTACCCAACGCACAAAGCCAAAAAAAAGGGGGGCCGGGGGGAGAGAATACCAGTGAGTATACTCCGATCAAAACACGCATCACTCTCAACATGCACAAATCTCACATCAGCCGGCAACTTGTTCCCAGCTTTAATCCTAATAACATCCCCCGGCACAATCTCACTCGCTGGAATAGAAACTTGATTCCCATCGTTGCGGATAACGGTGCAATTCTCAGGTAACATGGCCGTTATAGACGCCATAACCCTAGACGAAGACCAATCCTGCCACGCGTTGAAAGCAGCTTGGATGAAGAACACGGCTAGCAATACAATCGCTAACGCAAGATTTGCGACTGCGGGGGGATCACCGAGTGGTTTCCACGATACAAAGACCAAAATACATCCAATGAGCAGGATGATTCCGAATCCTTTGAAGAAGTAGCCGAATATTTGTAGGAACCATCGATGCGGCAAAGGTGACAGAACGTTTTTGCCGTATTGACGAAGTTGTTGGTGGATTCGATCTGGTGAGAGGCCGTGGGAGATGTCGACCTGGAAGTGTTTTTCGATTGAGGGGATGGAGAGGGTGTGCCATTCAATATTTGACAGTTCTACACGCATCAGTCTCGTACCGGGCTGCATAGGAGTAAGGGGTGGTACCAATAGCGACACCATCATTCTTGGTTTTTATTTCTTCGCGCTGTTGTACTTCGTCGATATCGAATGATCTTTCTCTCGTCAGTCCATCTAATCCCCACATTCATTGCGAAGGAGAAGGAGACATACAAACTCCGATAATGAATCGGCAAGGTAACAGCCGGATCAACAGTGCCCCTTCTCCCAGCTCTGGTCGACATTCCAGAACTCGAAGCCGTTGAAAGCGTACGTGTTAGGTGCTGTGGGCGCGAGAGGCCGGTTTCTTCGTCTGGTTTCTCTGGTTTCTCCCATTTTAGTCGACTACCACTGGCAGTATTTTCAGCGTCATTGTGGTCTGCCATTGTGGACAGATGTAGGGACTGAACGTCCTATCAAAGAGTTGAAGAAGAGACAGATAAGGGAAACAAGATGTCAATACATTAACTATCAACAGGAAACCTGAAAGATACCTCGAATTTATAACTTCCCAGCCAAGACACCTCCACCACCCTTCTACCTAGCTACCTAGCTATGTAGTGTAGGTAGACATAAATCACTCAACAATTAATAACCAACTCGACTTAGGGCAATAATCAAATCTCTCATAGTCACCGTCTACCTAGCTAGGTAAAAGAGAAACTTTATCACTAGACAGACATCTACTACATCACTAAACCAGACTCGACTAAACCAGCCTATATCATATCTACGAGGTAGAGCACATGGTAGACATATCCACAGATCGAGAGGAGGAGGGGCAAGATGGCAGTGCACATGGCTCGACATACCCAATCCGGTACATTGACAAGTGAGATTTTGATATATGAGCGATTTATCGCTACCATATACGCACCAAAACCACATCGTTTATTCAATCGCTAATACTACTCGTAGAGGGAGAATATCCTCGTTGAAGTTTCCTGAATTATTATTGCGGCGACTTGAAGGGAAAAGATGTAGCTACAACGTTGGAAAATTGAGAGGGTGGTAAAAATGCCGCATATTTTCGGTAGTTTACTTCCACTGTCTCCAACCAAGGTGGAGGAACTGGGGGTTTCATTCATTTTGACTATCGATATATTGGCTAGGATGAAAGATACTCTGGTTCGAATATTGTAGTATCAATTTCTTAGATCTCTTGACGGAGAGTGGGATTGAGTTACGCTTTAGCCATGTCTTGCATTCAAAATCATTCTGTGATTACTCCACTATGTCCCTCGATTAGGGCTTAATGATCACAACGCCAGCCCTTATCATTCTGATCTAATCTCAGCTGATCGTTCAATGGATAATATCCGACTAAACGAAAGAATTATTTCATTCAACAGCCCTATTGAAACATATTAAAACAGAATAACCCCATAACACTTTCAAATGCATCAACGCCTACTCCCCTTTAAATATAAATAAAACCCATCAGCAGCGAAAAATGAAAGGTTAAGAAATAGTAGGCAACCCATGAATAGACTCTATTTTCACTTCCGAATTCCTCGTATCCGCATAATCATCGCCTCGAGGACGTTTCCATGGATATGATGGGTATCCCCCGTCTCTGTTGTTGTTGTTGTTGTTGTTATTATTATTATTGTTGCTGTCGGTCTGACTACTGCTAAGACCGTGTTTGCGCATACCGAGACCCGCGACGGCGATGCGGTTCAGTTGGCCGATATCTTCGTTTGTGTTGCTTGATGGTGCTGTGGAGGGTTGGTGGGGATGTTGATGGGGTGCTAGAGGGGGCACTTGTGTTGGTGCTGCGGCTAATGTATGTTGTCGTTGTTGCTGTTGCTGCGTTTGTTGTGATTGTGGTTGTGGCTGTGCCGGAGGCGAGGATTCAGATTGATGCGAATCCGCCAATGGAGGCTCAGGCCTAGGCTGCGTCAAATCGATATTATCCGGTAAAGCGGGCACCTCGTTTTGCGAATCAATCAGACGAGATTGCAGACTGATGATGTATTCTCGTAATTGGTAGTTTTCGGCTTGGAGAGCTTTGTAGCTTTCGCTGAGGACTTTGTAGTCTTTCACTTGCGATTCTAATTGGCGGATGTATCCTTCTTTTCGTTGTCGGAATGCTCTCTGCTGTCGTTAGTCTCGTCCATCCTCGTTTCAAAGATGACTTGATTCATTTAGTAATAGAGAGGCAGACATACTTGAGCAGCGCGATTCTGTTCGGCGCGTTTCGACGTCGATAGTTCGCGTTTACCATACGTCTTGCGAGACGCATCGTTCCCCGAAGCAGCTTCCTGTACACCGGACATGACCTGCGGCAGCACGAGGGACGATGCTTGCGTGTTAGGGGCAAGCATGGCGCCACCGGATATGGCAGGATCGATGTTATGACCTTGTTGTCCGGTTGGGGCACGCGATTCTTGACCTTGTGATTGGAGATGTTGTTGCGCAGCTAGAAGCTGATCGTGGAGGACTGCACGAGTTAGTTTTGAGACCATAGATATATGCGTAAGATCTACATGCATATCGACTTACCCTGATCAGCATGATCCTATGTACGAGTCAGCATGATATTGAAACGCGAGAACAATACGCGACATGACGCGCAGCAAGCAATGAACATTGAAGATTTCCCATGTGTACAGGTCAATGCTCGACAGCATCTGATGTTTAATCATCTAGACGGCGATCATGATGACAAAGAAAGGGTCCTTGCTTACCTGAGCAGAAGAGCTCTGTTGCATACTGGGATGCGGCGCTAGTGCGGGCTGCATACAATCAATCCACTATAAACAAGTCGAGGTCGCGGTCGAGATCGATATAAGAATATTCACGAGCATTAACGCGATCAGCCTGAAGTTTGAGACAAATCGCGCGAAAGAGGAATCTGGGATGTTATGAGGACGACCAACGGGAACGGCGATTGGTCGGGCAGCTGTATAGTGCACTTTCCGTAGTCACGCAAGGCAGACAGGACCTCTTCTAGCAGACTAGCAGACATACAAGAATAAAGGAAAAACAATTCAATTCGTGTCGCCTACAAGTAAAAGTCGTTGAGTCGAAAGTCAATCAATGTATAGACCAGGTTAGACTGGATTAAGTAAGACGAGGGAAGTTGAAGGAGAGAGAAGAGAAGATCTCGTAAGCAGAAAAAAGAGTCAGAGTGGCTGGGGACGCTCCCGTTCATTAATAATCCACGCCGGGCAGCCGCCTGTGGTTAGTTAGCCAGTGTAATCCGCATACGTACCGCTTAGTCATGGCACCAAATTACTGCGGGAGAAATAGATTACCCGAGTAATGCTAATACCGCTAGTCCGTATAATGAGTAATCAATACTGGGAATGTTCGATCCATACAACTTTGTATATGCCGACTGATCCGGTCTTCCTAATCCTTCGCCTATACTGAAGAATCCTTGCCCAGACATGGCTGACTGACAGTCATTTCTCCGACTGGAAGAATACAGTTAGCCAATGGATTACATAAGATGTCTCGTTAACCCTAAGCCTCTCGTGGCGCGCTGACCTATTTCCCTATTCTCTTTAGTGTCCGCCCAGTTAGTTTCCGCCATACTTACGGAGTACAGACGGAGTATCTTAACCTTACAGAGCAGCGGAGATTGTATGACGTCTGCTGAGTAACAGTACATCGCAATACACCCCAATACACCCCAATACGCCTCAATACGCCTCAATACGCCTCAATACGCCTCCAATACAAATAAATACGAGCAACTAACCGCATGCAGCCATGGCGTGATTACTTAACATATATTAATCAGTCTGACTCAGTAAATCCGTAACTCCGATATTTAGGCTCAGTAACGCCCGAATCAGGCAATGCTTTCACCAAATTCCCGAGGTCGTGTCAATTGCCGATTACTGATGTCCTCTTTACTCAAGACATTTTTATTTTTATATGAATGTGCCCAAGAAGCAGTCTGATTCTATATCTAGGTCTCGCAAATAATTCAGGTGTGTGTTTACTAGCATGAATATCGTACCAGATATGCTATGGCGGATGGCTCGGCTGTTGTATGTAAGTCGTAACGTAGGAGGCGTCTACTGTATTAGGGCTGTAGAAAACTGCTATAGTAACATGATTCCTTTCGCTAGTCTTAGGCTAGACACTCGTCACGTTTCCCAAGTCATGTTCCTATACCAACATTAGCAACTCGCAACCCAATTATCAGAAAGAGACGGGACGAACCTTCAAATATTCACTCCCCTTCTCCTGATACTCCGCCCTCGAAATCGACCCAGTCGCCAACCCCCCCGTCGCCGCCCACTGCGCAGCTCCCTTCCAAGCATCCAGAACCGCATCCGCCGCCCGCCGAACAGACAATTGCGCATTCGCAGGCAAAACCCTGACCAACTCCGTCCTCAGTCGTTCATCGAACCCTTTGAATAGGGTGTTCCCGCCCGTCAAAAACACATCTTTCAACAACCGGTTCCGATCCTCTTCGACCGTGAATCGTTGATTCAGGATATCCGCTGCGATTTCGACGAGACCTGCTTGATCAACACCGGCTATGGAAGGTTGGAAGACCACCTCCGGAACCCGGATTCGTTCCACATTCAAATGAATCTGGTGTGCTTCACGTTGACTCTCAGGATCAAACGGCCATGGTCCCCGTAGAAATACATGAATTAAACTCTTGGTCCAATCCGATTGTGCGTCCAGAGTGTGTTCATGCGTAAATTCCGGATCGTATTGAAGTAATTGATCCTCCAGCGTTTTCAGTGTCGCTGTCAAATCTTCCTCCTCTTCATCGTCGCTTTGATCGGCCCCCGTAGCTACAGTTCGGTATACACCCCAATCCGCGTCGTCGGCGCCAAAGTCATCATCGTCACCGCCTCTTCGTCGTTTCTTGGGGCCGTCCGACGCAAGATTGGCAAGTGTCTTCATACGCATTTGGCTCGCGAGCGATTTGCGGTTTCCAAGATCGGCTTTGAGCCGTTCGCGTTCTTTGATCTTTTGGAGTAGTGCCTCGCGAGCAGCGCGTCTCTCGCCGATCCACACTTCGAAATCGTTCTCGCGGCGCTCGTCGTCGAGTCTTTGCTCTTCTTCAAGACGGGCATTTTCGGCCTCTTTCTCTGCTTTGGCGCGTTGACGAGCTTCCATGTTCGATTTCATTAATCGCTGGTGACGTTTCTCTTTAAGACCAGCTTCGTCTAATTCCTCGTCGGGAACATCGAGTAAAGGAAACGAAGCTTCTTCTGGATTCTCCTCGTTTTCATCGACGCCTAGATCCTTATTCCGTGATCGTTTGATAGATCGTTCCAGCTCCTTGATTGTGCGTTCTAGCTGCGCCTCATCTTTCATATCTTCAGCCTCCAGGATTCGTCGAACCTCCTTTTTGGTCTGTTGTGCCAGACCCTGTTGAAGATCCTTGTAGTACTCCAGTTCTTGCTCTTTCTTCATCAATTTCTCCAATCGCATTTTTGCCGCTTGCTCTTGTAATCGTCGTCCGCTCTCCTTTTTCCGTTCTGCAATCTTGTCCAGTTCTTCTTGCGTCTTTTCGACGACCACATGTTCGGTGAACGGGTACTGAACGACATAATCCCGATCTTCGAGACCAGTCCAGTCCAAGAAATGAACCAATTCCTCATTGTAGTCTGTAGACACGTAACACAGTTTATGCAGCAAATCCTCCATTTGATGCTCGACCATTCGACCCGGAAAAGTCGGATATTTGAGTCGCATCAACTTCAGCAAATACTCCGATGCCTGTTGACCCCCCCAATTGAGCCTCGTCGCATTCGAAAGTAATGCCTTCGAATTCAAAACCGGAACCACATGTGTCGACGTATGCGAAGATGACACAATCAACCCATCTGTGCCACGATTATACCGATACGAAAACAACGAATCGATCCCGTACGCGACTGAGGGCACACCATAACATTCAAACAATATCTCGTTCATCACTAATTGAATCAGCTTCTCCTTTTCCTCCCCCAACTCTTTTAGAGGGTATAAACTTACCCCGTCGCGGATACGCAAGATTGGCAATCGGCTCCGTCATAACAATCGGTCTATCGACCGCACCCTCTGAAGAGCCATCCACACCCAGTTTCAGAAACACGTAATCCAATACTCCCTCCATAACATCCCAGTTTCCGACGATACTGGTACCGGGATCAAAAGCGTATCGTAATTGTCCTCTTGTGGTAGCGTCGACGTAGGCATCGTAGCCAATGAATTGGCAAGCTTTGTTTAGCTTGCGATCTCGATAACGACTCATTACGGGCGGGAAGATGAAGCGCGGGGATTTGTCGAATGACCAGCCTGCTTTGACGGTGTGGGCGCCTAGAAAGCATACATTAGTCTCTCATCCATACTACTTGAAGGCGCTGGGTTATCTACCATTATCAATCACAATCGCGCTCGAATGCGGAGATGCCTTGCTCTGTTCATACCCGTCCGGTTGAGGCGGATGGTAACCCTTGAAAGGGTATTCTTGGACATTGTAGATTTTCGGAGGCGGTTTGGGGGAATCTTTGTCGCTTGAGCTGCTTGCGCGTGTGGAAACGATGATTCTCTCTGTTGTGATTGTCATTGTGTCAAGCTCTAGTCAAGAGCGTGTCGATCGAACCGTAAGGTAGTGTATGCGGCGTGAGGCTAGGATTGTACCATCATCTTTCAGGGCGTCGCATGTGTTTTCGGAATACGCAGTAGAATTGAAGTAGGTAGCGGTGGATGTGTAGTGAAACTAGTTCTGAAATCGTGGAGCGATTCAAGGAGAGGTGCTGGTATGAATTCTTTGAGGTCTGGAGCTAGTCAGAAAGCTAAGATTCATCCCGACATCGCCAAGACCAAGATCTATCGGATCATATAAATTTATTTGTTTCTACCTTTTTTTTAGCATTTGCATTCATCGTTATTTACCATGTTTTCACTGCCTAATTCCCCTGAGCTAGCAAAACTTGATCTCTCCAGCAAGAAACTACCTAACTGCCTGATGTTGAAGGGTGTGTGATATTCTTGAGTGACAGACTAGACATGTAACACCTCTAGGGGAGCGTTTTCGAAATCTTGAATGACCTCCTCCAGCAACCTTTCGTACTCCTCGTCCTCTTGGTCTAAATCATCCTGCCTATTTACCGAATCTTCAACATCAGGGTCAAGACTTATTTTGACACAATCTTTGAGAAGGCTCAAACGAGACAAATTCCATGTGGAATAGTATGCGGATCGACTTATCTATCCGTCTCATAAATACGGCGGAACGCTGTTATCAAAATGCGATAAAACACTTCCAATTTGCAAGTTGTCCTCGAGGTGAAGCAGCGGTTCTCCTCCGCCAGGGATGTTGTTTCCATGCAGAGACCCTGTCCAGTGAGAGAAATAGCAGGACCTGGAAGCAATTGATGGAGAAAGCCAACAGGCTATTTGAACTGGCAGCGAAGCTCTTTGAGGGGATGAAGCTCATCTACATCTCGTGAAAGGCCACCAAATCCTGCGAGATATTACTCGCGGTTTTGAGTTCTGTGGGAAGCCAACATTGATGCCGCCATGCTCTTCATGATTCTATTCTACCGGAAACTCAAGACCCCAGGAATATTGACGGAAGAAGCATTCCGACTGGCTCAGCTGATACTCATGGACCTCAATTCAGACACGCTGGATGAACTGGTTAATGATCTCCTGCGCTGCTGGAACCGTATTAAGCAGGGAGAATTCCGGCACAGCCCGCATTTCGCTGTAGCCAGTCACCAGCACCGTTTTCTGAAAGCGAGAACGCGAGATATTTCGTGGAGAGACTTTGTGCTCTGGACGTCTTTTCTGCTAGTAGGATATGGCGGTTATACGTTTCAGTCATAACGTCAAAGAGATTTTTGATACGTGAAGACCAGCCGTAAAGTGGCACGGTGAGACGCGTGGAAATGACGTTGAAATCGGCTTCACTAGGAGTCATTTTCAGCATCAAATCCAGGAATTTTCATATCCTAACTGTAACACATACTGTGATCTTAATACCAGTAGACATCTACTGTAACTATTGGTTATCCATGGAAGTATTTGGCAGCAACATGCAAAGGGCTACAGCGCAAATTTTCACTACTCGCCGAAAATATACCAGACTACATAACGAACAATTTACATGTACAAGTATATTTACGGCATATACTATTTCATCCTCTCGTGGGTATTCTAATACATTATAAATCATAATTCCAAACGTTGCTCCTGCCTTGTCTATCAAGCAGGATCTTTGATATTCTCCGTTGCTAAAGATAAATATCATTAGCACACGAATACGCGCCTTCCAGCTTGATTTCCATGATATATTGACTAACCTTCAAGATGAAACAGGACATTGGACTGGTAATTCTTAAACATCTGTGCCACTAACTCGACGTTCATGTTTTGGACATTGACTTCCTAGATGGACGTTAGCAGATGTCCTGTCTGATACTCCTGGTTGTCTGAGCACACCTGAAGACCCTTGTTCAAGACCATGACTGCTTCGTTGAGTTTTTCCTGTAGTGGGTGTTGGCAGTTTGTTGTTGAGATGGACTCGATTATCTACATACAATATTGGTAATGATTCGGGAGAGTAATAAACTCTGTTGATGTTCGTGTGGGCTCTCCTACAAATCATTAGAATCAATCTCGCCCCAATATTATCATATTCAAGTATCATACTCACCATTTTGCAATCCGGCCAACTGAGTTGTCGTGTTGATTGTTATTGCCAAGAAAGCGCATCATAAAGAAAGCTTCCGCGATGCAGACACGTGATTGATCCGACAATCAACCTCTTCTCAACCTTCTCTAAAAACCTACCTCCATACCGACCAGCGAGCCCACTACCATTTCCAAATCATATCGATCAAAATGCCCCCCGCAAACGCCACCTCCGACGAACACCAACACCTCCTCGACTCCCTCGACATCGCCAGTCTCCCCCGCCCCTTCCGTAACCGCAACTGGAAACCCTCCCAACGCCGCAATAAAAACGTTAAACAACTCCTCTCCGAATCCTCACGCAAAGAAGTCTCTTCAATGGCCACCCAAGTCAACTCCGGCGCCACGACACCATTCCCGCTCAGCACAACAGATGGCTCCCAAACACCTGCCGTAGCAGCAGGAGGCGCAGCATCCACGCGCCCACCCAATATTGCGCAAGCAGCTCAGAGTTTATCGACGCTTGTTCTAGAAAAAAATCTCAAAGCTGCTTCGGGGATGTATACCGGAGGGCCGGCGGTTACGTATACGAATATTGAGTCTGCGCCGTCGTTGAGTCCGGCGAATCAGTATCGGTATTGTGATCTTACGGGTTTGCCAGCGCCGTATACGGATCCGAAGACTAGACTGCGGTATCACAATCGGGAGGTCTTTGGAGTTGTGAGGACGTTGGGGCAGGGTGTTGCGGAGAACTTTCTGGAGGCTCGAGGTGCACATGTTGTGTTGAAGTAGTTACTCGATTATCGGTCTCTTACTCAACTTTACATACGATATTCTGCTTCCTTGGTCGACCTGTACGTCCACAACCTAACCCTCATACAAATCACCACTAATAAATACCCAGAAATATAGAAACAAAATGTCAGGCCAACAAAGTCAAGCTCTTTCCACCCACCTGCCCCTCTCGAGACAGGTTCAAAGAAAACGCTCCGGCTTAATCGCGACCATTAAAAAGAAATCGATCTTCGCCCTGATCCGAAAGAATCGAGAACAACCGATACCGACACTCCATGGAAAGGGGCATCAGTTACAGCGTCAATTGACGCTGTTGGTTGTGGCGGGTTGTTTACGATGCTGGAAAGTGTAGGATTAGTGTTGCTGGATAGAGGTAATATGCAGCAGTAATCTTGACAAAAATTCATCATTAAAATCTCTGAAGAATACTCCTGTATGTTGGATGTAATTGAGAACTGATTTCATGTGTTGGTGATCATGTTGGGTGGTTGATGAATGGATTGATAGAAAATTAGAGGAAGAAAAAGTTCGGTTTTGTTGTGATGCCGAACGAAGATCGCTTGCTACTTTTAGGTTTTAGTGCCAAGACCCATGTTGTTCCGTGGAAATACGATAAGTGCGTATGTATAGACTATTTCATACGCTTCCACTTACTCTCTCTTATATCGATTGTTGACATTGAAAACATTGAAACAGCTCCTCAGAATCTCAGGGAGATTCTCTCTTCATCGATTTAGTATTCAACGGTTATGGGTCAATTAATGCAACCTTGCAACAGATGATAAGTCTGCTTCTTCACGTGTAATTCCTTTCAACATATATTCAGCTGCATCTGTGAACTCGAGATACTGTCTTCCAAGATTCTTGTATCAATACAGACTTTCACTGTTGGATTCTCTAATTTGTTTCAATAAAGAGTATCAATTCGGTGACTACGGGTTTTTTCTAGAGGACATCTGAGTGAAAACGTTCAGAGGTAGACTGATATCCACCAGAGCATGGTGGCTTGAAAATGCTGATTTAGTTTGAGGAGAGTAATACTGTAGTCATATATAAAGTCTGGAAAATTGAATTGTTCTATTCTATATTTAGGTAACTAGATAGTCAAATTCTCATGACAGCAATAATAAACTCCATGTCAATTGCCAGTTATCAAGCTGCTTGGTTATGCCTTTCTTCGTCTGATCATGAGTTGTATCTCAAAGCAACAAGGTTTTTAGAGAGGATGGGCGTAAACTTTGTACAGTCTAGAATACAATAGATTAACGGTGAACACAGTATAATTCCTCCCAGCGTTCTGAAACCGAGAACTTCCAAGTTACGTCGTTCGTGATTGCCCTCCTCCAAACCTTCCAAAATAGGGCAAAATTGATGATTGCCTAATCGGGTCGGGTTAGGGCTAATCGTGAGGATGATATCCAGTCGAAAAAATATCATCCCCTCATCCCCTCATCCCCTCATAACAAATATAGTCAAATCCAATATTGGACACAATGTACTACTATCAAATCATTTGCAGAAAGAAAAGAAATACAGTCAAAACTCGCGAAGTGAAGATACCCCCAGTAACCTCACTGCTTTCTCCCTCACAATCAAATAAGAGAGAGCCGCATCTAGATATTAAAGCGGCACCAGACTATGCTATACCTGGTTAGATGAGATCTGTACCTGACGTCTGACCGCCAACCGCAAACAGTTAGACAAGTGTACTTCTTTCCGCTTTTGAAGATCTGGCAGAAAAGGGGATACGAACTCCTTTCAAGAAAATAAAACATCGCAACGATTGTTCCATTGCTTCTGTTTTATGTGCAAATGCGAGCTGACGAGTTTCCTTTTTCTTTTGCCTCTTTCCGCATCGAATGAATTACGACGACGCTAGTGAATACGTTCGAAAAAGACACGGTGTTTTGCGCGGGAAGATTGAAACAAACAAATAGGCAGCATTGAATTGGAATTGGTGGGATAGAATTGGGACTTACAGCACCAGACTCGAATCTCGTTTTGATCTGCTATTGCAATTGCGCTGTTTAGCTGGTGAAGAATCTGGGAGCGGAAACAAGGATAAATCGACCTACTTTCAAAATGCCTACGATGTGGCTTTCAGAGACGCAGAGTGAGTCTCCTCTATTTGGGTAAATCTCGAAGCGGACAGCGGTTAACGGGCTTTCTGAATGAATAGAGATTGGCGCAATCTTTTGCACTGGCGGTACGTTCGGACATTCTGACCCGGGAGCAAACAACAAGGGCGGGGACTGATTGTTCGGTATAGGTGGTTTATTCCTCTTCGGAGGTGTGCTAATGTTTTTTGATCGATCAATGTATGTTCTCCAACTTCTCGGAATATTACCAGTCGAGTCCCAGAGGGTCTTGCTAATATGATCATTCGCATAGGCTTGCCATGGGAAATGTCAGTACACCCCAAACCCATCTACTACCCCCAACCAGCACAAACCTAACGCAACAATCTAGATCCTCTTCCTAATCGGCCTAACCCTCATAATCGGCATCCAAAAAACAATTGCCTTCTTCTCTCGTCCCCAAAAACTTCGCGGCACCGCCGCCTTCGTCGGTGGAATTCTACTTATCCTCTTCCGCTGGCCGCTAATCGGGTTCTGTGTCGAATTATACGGTATCCTAATTCTGTTCGGTGACTTTTTAGTGACCATTGGCCAGTTTGTGGGTGGTGTCCCTGTCGTGGGGCCGTATATTCAGCAGGCTTTCAATGCTTTGGCGGGGCAGAGGAGGAATGCTGAGTTGCCTGTTTAAGCGCGCTCAGGATGTGTATATGTGTGTATAATTGGTTATGTCGGTGGGTTACCTTTTTTGTTTCGTTTCAGTTTGTTTGTGTAGGAATAGAAGCTAGTCTGATTAGTTTCCTATGATGGCTGGGAAATTGATATTCTGTTGTGATGGATTCAACAGGATGATATGTTTATTGAGAGTATTAGAACACAACTTGTTAATATATATACCTAATGATATTGGCATATACATTCAATTACCGCACATTCTGGAATGATTGTGATATTGACTAATCAAATGTATAGATGTCAGAGACAATACAATATTGGACCACTTAGGCTGGAATTATAAGGCACTCCGACCTGGAAGCTCCCACTTTGCACATCATCTTCACAGACATTGCAAACATACCTAGGCAAGCCTTCTGTTACTGTTGGTTTTACTACGGTCCGTATCACGAAGCATAGACCGTAGTAAGGCGCGGACACGAAGCAGCCTAACGAGCCTGACAATATGAAGCTATCTTGATTCCTAATATTGTGACTAGTCCCCAAGAGCGAGGGTGTGTGTGTGTGTGTGTGTATTTAACGGCCGTGGTTCGTGACTCGCACGCTTCCCACCGATCCCTACTGGGACATAGGCCGCCGAGGGGTAAATCTCGGGCTTCAGGTCCTATCGGATTTATATACAAATAAGAGACTCTTTAGCGCATTTCCATAGCTGCCGTGGTCTTACAGGGAGGTCCATTTCTTGGTAGGTTTTGAGTATTTGCCAGCTGCAATGGTCCACCTACACTCCATGACCTATAATTCTACCACCATAGTACTTAAGCAGTGAGTTTTGAAAGAAGGAAGGAAAGAAAGAAAGAAAAGAGATACATAAAGGGAAAGTAGGGCTGACTTAGCTAGATACTAAGGAGAGGTTAGTGAGGACAGATGTTCTCAAAGAAATGGGTCTCTGCTAGCCATGTGGCTAGTTTTTGTGTTCCTTTCGCAGTGCCTAAAAGAAAAGAGATGACTTCAGAAGAGGGTCCAGGAGGGCGGAGGGCTCATCTTTTAGCTATATAGTAGAAGAAGAAATGTAGAGGTGCTTTTCATGCTCCACACTAATAGAGAAGGTAAGCATCATCATAATTAAAGCATTCATAGTAATCTGCAAAGTCTCTATAAGTAGTACAGGCTGCTATGATATAGCCAAGGTCAAGTCAGTTAAGTTGAAGCTCTTCAGGGTGTTTAGGAGATGTAGTTATTTCTAGATCTTGGTATGTCTGTGGTGCTATAGTCTGCCACCATATCTAAGCAGTGGAAAGGGATTAAGTCTTGGCGTATCTCTTTAGCGAGGCATATAAGGACTTATATAGAGAGGGAGGGATAGAGGCAGCTCCTTCCTTAGCAGCGAGATCAGCTACTTTATTCTCAGAGATTTTGGTATGTCCAGGGACCTATTGGATTTGGATTGATCTACTTTTGGTGTGTGGAAGTCTTTCGCATAGTGGCCAGACAGCTACAAGAGTGCGAAAGGATTTAAAGACTTCTTAAGAGGATCCTGTAGAGGGAGATAGGAGGCGTGTAGCAACTTCCAGATTGTCAAGGCAGATCCATAAGTTGGTGGCAAATTAAGCTGTTGGGTATACTATTACTGCCTGAGTACTGGCTAGAGCAGCTTCTGCTTCAGCATCAAAGACTTCTTTCCTATGTCTATATGAGAGTGAGGAGCAGAGGAACTAGTAATATACTTAAATTCTAATATAGCCACCCCCTGCACGTCTGTCTACTAGTCTAGATCTATCTAAAAAGATTACAATATCTGAGCTAGGGATGGTGCGTTGGAAAGCCATGAAATTAGCCGCTGCCTGTTCCTTAGTTTGTCCCATGGGAGCTCCTATTTGAGCTTGAGTATTCTCATGAGGCTCGCGAGGGTGCTAGGGAGCGTATTGGAGAGGGTTTATCTGTTCAGAGTTTGGGAGGGCCAATATATGGCAGGTAAATCGGCTAGTTTGTTGCTATTACTGGCGATCTGTTCTGCGCGTCTTCGAAGTGGGTGGTAAGGGTCAAGACGCCATAGGCGGACAGTTGCAAGGAGGGCTATTTGATCTAGTTCGATTTCTAGTGGAGAGAATCCAGACTCTTGATAAAGGACAGGCTTTAGGGTTGTGCAGAAGACTGGAAGGACTGCTCTTGCGCCTATTAATATTACTTTAGTTAGTTTCTTAAGATGTTCTCCAACTTGGTTTGAAGTCTGGGAAGGCCCAGGGCAAGTACATCCTGGCCACCAGGTTTCTACATCATAGTATACTTTATAGAGTACATACGCTGATACAGCCTGCTATAGTAAATAAGATTTGACTCCTTAAATAATATTCCCTAGAGAGCAAAGAGTATTAGCTACAGTGAGGGCTTTAGATACTGTTTCTCTAACATGCTATTTGAATGTTAGCTTTTTGTTAAAGAGGATTTCTAGTTATTATAGATATAGCCATTTAGTGTTTTCTGATATTATAATAGATCCAGCTTTCACTGAAGGTGTGTAGGTTGGGTCCTGGTCTGCTTTATGTTAGGAGAAGTAAAGAAGCTTGTATTTATCTAGTGCGAATGTAATGCCCTCTGCAGTGCTCCAGTTAAGAGCTTCTTAAAGTGATTCTGATAAGGCTATGTAGTTAGTAGCAAGAGATGTTGAGATTGCTAGGTTGGCTGCGTCATCCGCGTAATCAAATCTGTTCCTTAGGTTTCCTAGATGGAATAGAGGCGCTATGAAGTGCATGAAAAGAATGCTAGATACTAGGGATCCTTGTGGAAGACCGCAGGCAATGTCTGTTGAGGGGCTGATCTCTCTATCGAGTCGGATCTGAACTGATCTTCCTGTAGCGAAGGAGGCAATCTAGAGAATGAGATTGATAGGCCAGCCCTGCTCACGTAATCTGCTAGAAAGCACAGTATTAAATGCGCCTTTGACATCTAGGGTAAGAAGTGAGGTAGTCATGCCTTGATTTAGTGCTTGTTCAACATCATGTGTTAGGCATATAGTCAGGTCAGTTATAGATCTTAGTGGGAGAGCCCCAAACTGTTGTCTTGCTAATACTTTATAGTGTGTAGAGATCTATGCCATATTCCGTGCCACCAAGCGCTCAGGTCCTTTGCCAAGAACTGATAGGAGAGCGATTAATCTATATGATCTAGATGAAGACCAATCAGTCTTTTTTAGTTTCTAGATAATTGCTAAGATTGCGTGTCAAAAGCATTTAGGATGATAACCAATCTTTAGGCACCCTTGATATAGCATTAGTATCTTATCTTTGATTAGAGGCCATGCTACTTTAAGTATACAGGTTGGGATTTCATCTGCGCCAGGGGCTGTGTTTCCTGCCTGAAGTACTGACTCCTCCACTTGTAGCATTGATATATCTGGGAAGTAGAGACTAGCGGAAGGGACTGCTGGGGAGTCCAGAGGTATATCTCCTACCTCTACTGAGTTTTAGAGAAGATTACGGACTAGTACGTCTCGTTTCTCGTATACACTAACTACTGGGAGGCTATTAGGCCTTAGCAGATCTTTCAGTGGAGGGCTTCAGAAGATGCCTGTAGACTTATGCTATTTACTCATATCAAAAACATCCTTCATTTGAGATACTATAGAGAGCTTATCTTACCAAAATTGTTGTTGAGACCATCTAGTAGTCTAGTGGAAGTCTGTCTTTAAGTAGAGGCCTAAGTAGTAATTATGTAAAGCTTTCTTGCAGTCTTCATTCCACCATAGTTATTCTATGCCTTGTGTCAGGGTTCTCTTAGTAGAGCCTCTATATGCTCCTTAGATTGCAGATGTTAGTTTTTTAGTGAGAGCATCAAGGTCTTCTTCTGTCATGGTTGAGCTCTCGATGCTAGTAAGGTTAGAGGCGAGAAGCGAGAGGAAGTAGATGTGGTCTAGTATGTTAAATCTCAGTTTCTAAGCTGTTTCCTTGTATCTCTGATCCCATGGTACAGTGGTGATTAGTGGTTAATAATCTGAGGTTGCATCTAAGTGACTCGCTATGCTAGTTTTAGCTCCCGCAAGTGCCAGAGGGCTTGAGGCAAAGCTGAGGTCTAACACGTTACCCCTTTCATATATGGGACAGTCTATATCAGATATGAGGACTAGACCCTGGAGGTCCAGCCAGTTAATAAATGGCTCTGCAAAAGGTGTGGGGTTGCGATGTAGCGAGGGCTATCATCTGTTGTGTAGTAGGTTGAGATCACCTACAAGTATTGTTGCTTGAGGGAGATACACCTCTGGCAGAGTTGTGAGAGCTTTTACAGCTTCACCTGCTCTGATGGAGCCTGCTAGGACATTATAGATGTTATAGATAAGAAAATCTAGAGAAACAGAAGATCTGAGGCCTCTTTAGTGTCAGTTGTGAAGGGGCGAAGCTGAGAGGTCCAAATGCCTTTCTTCTTTTAGACATAGGTGAGGACTTATGGTCGACCGCTTATTGCCCAACTATCAGTTAGGGAGAAGCATTCATATGATAGTTTTATAGTTAAGGAATTATAAAGTGGACTGTACGAGCTGTGATTAGAGGATCTTCAGTTGGGGTGCGAGGTAGAGAGGTTACTGGACAGAAGAGAGAGATAATCTCCTAGGTTAGAGGCTAAGATAGTATCTCATCTAATACTATAGGTGTTTCTTATGTGCCTGTAGAGAGCTGAGAGCTGCATCCTCCTTCAGTTTGAGCTTTTGCAAGGTTTAAGACACAGGATTTTTAGATCTCTACTTATTAAGCTTTGATATGTTTAGTGTTATCTTTAGGGCGCAAAAGGCATTCTAGGGAATCAGCTAGATATAATCTATAGCAGTGTATGCATCTAGGAGGGTATTAATAAGACTCTAGGGCTGTATAGCAATTGACATGGCCCTCTTCAGTATGCTCTGAGGAGCCGCATAGCTGGCATTAAGAGGGATAGGCACAGGATTGTGCATTATACTATTTCCAGCATTATATATATTGAATAACTATTGTTTTCTTAGGAAGGTGGCAAGCATTGGTAATAGTGCTAAAAAAACATAACTGGATAGGTAGTAGTAATTTTATGCCTTCTAGGAAGTTGATAAATTAGCTTAAGGAGAGACTATTTGTAACAACGTTACGAGGGATACGTATAGAGATTCAAGAGGGATCACAAGAGTTGAGTATACAAGGTAGGGTATGGAATGTTAATGTACTGAAACCTATCTCTCCTGCTTCCGCAGCATGCTTTCTATATAAGAGACATTGATGTTGTTTCGTGGCAAATATCATTGACCACAGCCAGCCGAAAGTTGTCCATAGCCAGCTGAACATTTGACCATGACCAGCTGAAGTATCCACACTTTTGCCACTCCCGTTAAGTTTGTCCTCGTATCAAACCAACCCTAATCCCTAAGAGATTGGACAAGCATGTTGGTTGTTACACTATTAGGGTTAGCAGCACTTATAGTGGTCTCGCTGATAGATATAGGCTTGAGCCCTATAGTTACACTAATTTCCAAGGATAGTAGTATAGGATTGACAGGGTTAGAGAATATTGATTATCTAAGATTTAGCCAATTTTCCTTAGCACATTGATGACTTGGTATAAGACCTATTGGGAGCTGCATTCTATCTAATAGTTAACAAAGAATGCAGAGATAGTCTCTTTTTAGGCCTCAAGGGCTAGGAGGGCTTCTGGAGATGAGAGACATAGTATAAATCCAGTCTTTATGGCTCAAACTTCTTTTAATGCTGCACTGTTTGAGTTTAGTTGAGACCGTAGGCTAGAGTAGATGGCATAGACTTCCATTTTTCTGGCTGCATGGTCAGCTAGGAGACATACAAAGAGCCAGTTATCAGGAAGGGGTTGTTTCACCAGAGGCATAGGCTTTTTAATATGGGCTTTAGAGTGAGTAGTGGGAGTTGGTTTGACTAGGGCATATTGGGTAATAGTTGCATAAGTCGACTGTTCAAGACCTGAGGGGGGACGTGAGGAAGGGGGTGAAGAGGGTAAGGAATTTAGGGTGGGAGAAGGGGAAGGGGAAGGGAACAGGGCAGGTAGAATGGAGGTTGTCAAGATACCGCTAATATAGGCGTTGAAATGTTGTTGGGCTACTGAGGCGAGGTCATCGCTTAGAGTGGTGAGGGCTCTCAGTAGGTGAGGAACAAGACTGGTGGTTTGGCTGCGGTGTTTATCGAGGAATGTAGCTATAGGACTGAAGATTTTCTGTCCTTCAGAAGCTCTTGTCGTGACTGCAGACGTAGATTCCAGTAGAGCTGTCTGTAGAGGGCCATCTGTACCAGGGCCTTTACGCGCCATGGTGTTGCCGGACGCGTCGAGACGCGTCAAAGGCTGCACTTCTGGTGGCTAGGTGGTAGAGAGGGATGAGGAGTTTGAGCCTCTGACTGTTTGATATAAATAATTGTAAGGAAGTCGCCTATCAACTCGAAATCGAAGCCTTCGCAAGAGCGAGGGGGTGTGTGTGTGTGTGTATATTTAACGGCCGTGGTTCGTGACTCGCACGCTTCCCACCGATCCCTACTGGGACATAGGCCGCCGAGGGGTAAGCCTCGGGTTTCAGGTCCTATCAGATTTATGTACAAATAAGAGACTCTTTAGCGCGTTTCCATAGCTGCCGTGGTCTTACAGGGAGGCCCACTTGGAGTGGGTTTTGGGTATTTGCCAGCTGCAATGGTCCGCCTACACTCCATGACCTATTACTCCACCACTATCATAACTGAACAGTAAGTTTTGCAGAGAGGGAAAGAAAGAAGAGAAGAGAAAGAAAGAGGGAGAAGAGAAGTATAAAGGAAGAGTAGGGCTGTCCTAGCTAGATGCTAAGGAGAGGTTGGCGAGGACAGATATCCTCAAAGAAGTGGGTCTCTGCTAGCCATGTGGCTAGCTTTTGTGCTCCTTTAGCAGTGCCTAAGAGAAAAGAAATGACCTCAGAAGGGGGCCCAGGAGGCCGAGGGGCTCGTCTCTTAGCTATATGGCAGAAGAAGAAGTGTAGAGGTGCTTTTCGTGCTCCGCATCGGCAGAGAAGGTGAGCATCATCATGGTTAAAACGTTCATGGTAGTCTGCAAAGTCTCCATGACCAGAACGGGCCGCAATAATACGGCCGAGGTCAAGTCGGTTGAGTTAAAGCTCCCCAGGGCGCTTAGGGGAAGTAGTTATTTCTAGATCTTGATAACTCTGTGGTGCCACCCTCTGCCATTGTGACTGAGCAGCGGATAGGGATTGAGTCTTGGCGTGTCTCTTTAGCGAGGCGTATGAGGATTTGTGAGGAGCAGGAGGGGTTGAGGCAGCTCCCTCTTTGGCAGCGAGATCAGCCGCTTCGTTCTCAGGGATTTTGGCGTGTCTAGGGACCCATCGGATTTGGATAGATCCGCTTTTGGTGTGAGGAAGCCTTTTGCGGAGTGGCCAAGCGGCTGCAAGGGTGCGGAAGGATTCAAAGATTTCTTGGGAAGATCCTGTAGAGGGAGATAGAAGGCGTATAGCAACTTCCAGGTTATCAAGGCAGATCCATAGGTTAGTAGCAAATTGAGCTGTTGGGTACGCTATTGCTGCTTGAGCACCAGCTAGAGCTGCTTCTGCTTCTACGTCAAAGACCTCTTTCCCGTGTCCGTATGAGAGTGAGGAGCGGAGGAACTGGTGGTGTGCTTGAAGTCCAATATAGCCACCCCCTGCACGTCCGTCTACTAGCCTAGATCCATCTGAAAAGATTACAATATCTGAGCTAGGGATGGTGCGTTGGAAAGCCATGAAATTAGCCGCTGCCTGTTCCTTAGTGCGTCCCATGGGAGCTCCTATTTGAGTTTGAGCATTCTCGCGAGACTCGCGAGGGTGCTAGGGAGCGTATTGGAGAGGGTTTGTCTGTTCAGAGTTGGGGAGGGCCAGTATACAGTGGGTAAATCGGCTGGTTTGTCGGCCATTACTAGTGATCTGTTCTGCGCGTCTTCGAAGTGGGTGATAGGGATTAAGACGCCGTAGGCGGACAGTTGCGAGAAGGGCTATCCGGTCTAGTTCAATATCTGGTGGAGAGAATCCAGACTCTCGATAAAGGATAGGAATTGGGGTTATGCGGAAGACTGGAAAGACTGCTCTTGCGCCTGTTAGTATTACTTTAGTTAGTTTCTCAAGATATTCTCCAACTCAGTTTGAAGTCTGGGAAGGCCCAGGGTGAGTACGTCCTGGCCACCAGGTTTCAGCGCCATAGTATGCTTTATGGAGTACACAGGCTGATACAGCCTGCTGTAGTAGATGAGGTTTAACTCCTCGGACAGTATTCCCTAGAGAGCGAAGGGCATTAGCCACAGTGAGGGCTTTAGATGCTGCTTCTCCAACATGCCATTTAAATGTTAGCTTTTTGTCAAAGAGGATTCCTAGCCATCGTAGATATAGCCGTTTAGTATTTTCTGATATTATAATAGATCCATCTTTCACTGAAGGTGTGCGGGTTGGGTCCTGGTCTGCTTTATATCGGGAGAAGTGAAGAAGCTCGTATTTATCTGGTGCAAATGTGATGCCCTCTGCAGCTCCCCAGTTAAGAGCTTCTTGAAGCAAGTTTGATAAGGCTACGCAGTTAGTAGCAAGAGATGTCGAGATCGCTAGATTAGCTGCGTCATCCGCGTAACCAAATCTGTTCCTTGGGTTTCCTAGACGGAATAGAGGCGCTATGTAGAGCATGAAAAGGACGCCAGATACTGGGGATCCTTGTGGAAGACCGCAGGCAATGCAAGAGCGAGGGGGACGGGGGATAGCTAGCTAGATATATACGCGGCACGCACGTACCACGTCAGACTAACTAATCCGGTGCCGAAACGCGTAGGGTTTGATATTCACGTTCCGACAGTTACCCTTTGAGAATCAGTCCACGACCTACATCCACCAGCTCCAGACTGCATAAAGATGCCTTCGAAATTCAGCGGATATCTGCGTTAGGATCTGTCCATTTCTGAGAAGTAGCCTAGTCAGCCAGTTCTCGCGGCTATAACAGAAAATTTGAACAAAGTGTTTCTTCATTGTTAGTCCCGTTAGAGTTGGCCATATGGGCTATCAACAATTCATGATCATCGATGTGGCCTTTGCAGCTCCCTTGATTGATAACTTGTTCAAAGCTTAGAAATATATCTATTGTCATTCAATACTTCCAAGTTTAGGTACCAAGTCATTCAAGCATGCTATAGTGAGCAGTCCCATTTTGAAGGATCAACACCAGATTGTCCTCCCCTATCCTCAACAACGATGTTCTCGAAATCTTGCCACGTTTCTCCTTTCCTCACAATAGCACACAGGTAATCTAAGGTTTCAAATGTTTTGAACCATAACTCAGTCCTGTCTGCCGGCGCCGCAGCTAACATCTGTCGTAAAGTTTCTCCATATCGTCCACCTGGAGTCTCCATATCCGCACCCTCTTTCAGTAGTAGGACAAATATATCAGTATATGCGTAGTTAAGCGCGTGGCGCAGTACTGATTTGTACATCACGCCTTCGGCATATATGTCTGCACCCTGCGAGATGAGATACTCTACCATCTCAACATCCCCAAACTGCGCAGCAGCATGCAATGAAGTCCCAAACGCACCGCCTCTTTGATTTACATCCGCACCTTTGGCAATCAGGACCTTCAGCGTCTCAATAGATCCAAACGTTGCAGATGTAAGTTGTAAAGGGAATCCAAAACGGCCGCCACCAACCCTAAAATCTGCAGCGTATTTAAGTAGTAACTCCACAATTGCGGGTTGCTCGTTGACACAAGCCAGCTGTAACGGTGTCTCGTCTTGATACCTGTCTGAGTTGTTTGGGTTGGCACCGTTCTCCAGGAGGAAGCGCACGATATCAATGTCCCTGGATCGTATTGCTGCACACAATGCCATCGGGCTATCGGCACGAGCTCCCTTGTCCATGAGAAGCCGGACGATACGGATATCCGCAGACTTGCATGCAGCGGCAAGGCAGCTCCTCTTCCAGACGTCTAGCGTCTCGATTCCATAATTAGGGTCTGCTCCATGAGCGAGGAGGAGTTTTACGCATGGAATATCCCCACTGAGGCATGATGCTAGTAAACTCGACCCAACGTCACCACCACAAATATCGGGGTCGGCACCGTGTTTAAGAAGAATTTGTATTGTTGTAGGCTCTTCCTGCTCAAGAATATATCCTGGGCGAGACACACGAGTGGGCCAAAAATGGCGCAACATCTCAAAAACGTGACGGTCGTGTCTTCCGGCAATTGCAGCTTGCAATGCAGTCACATAGTAGCCACCTTTAGCGTTCACATCAGAACCTCGATCTAGCTCATTTTGGACAAAATCATCCAGACCGAAATAGCTAGCAGCATTCAGAACTGTAGCAAACTTCCCGTCTCCGTTGAAATCGGCGCCGTATTGTAGTAGCAATCGTGTAGTCCCAGCCTTGTCCCTAGGAAGGAGCGTTGGCAGATACGTAGCGCGTAGTGCCTTTTTCAAGACATCCTCTTTCTTGATTTCAACTTCATCGTTCTCGAGCATCAGCTTAAGAACTATCAAAAGCGAATTATGGCAAACGACCTCCAAGGGCGATGGCAGGATTGGGCCAGGCCCGATAAGATCATGATGGATAATTGGAAACTTGGATATAGGCATAGTTAAAATATGTGTAATCCATCTGGAGTATACCTCTTTTCTGTTTGAAAAAAAGCCGAAAGCTAATTGATGGGTCTCAGCTATCGTCTCCGGTACTTTCTCATAATGAAGAAGCCAATATTCCACTGCATATATAGCTAATGGGAGGCTCTCAGCAGCTACCGAAACTGCATCTTTGATCAAACGCATGTACATAAGACAGCAGTCTGTGATCAACCCATGTGCATAAGGTTCCTTAATTTGATATCGAGCTGCATGGCCACTCAAAATGTCGGTTGACAAAAGGTATTCGCGGATGGATATGTGTGCGAGTCTAACCAATATTCTTGGTTCTCCACCATGTTCATCATCGTACTCCTCAATTGTGGTTAGAAGATTGGGACATATATTCAAAACTTCTGCCGGATCCCAAAGTCGCTCGATATCATTAAATGATTCTGCATTGAGATCCAACGCAGCTAATTCCGCCAATTCTTCGATGGATAATGGCCGAACACTGAACAGCAGCCAGCTAAGTATTCTTAAAGCAACATCATAGTCATCATCAGAGATTCTGCTCAGGATCTGAGCATATGTATCGTTCAGGCCCTTGGGCATGGTTTCAAGGGCTTGTCGTAACTCGCGAGGGTTGCGGCATCTAACCAGTGATATAAGCTGGTACCTAACCCATTGAAACCTGTCATATCAAGTTAATTTCAGGAAATTTCTATTAAGATGAGCGATACGACTGCTTACATTCCGTCAGATTTCTCTATTAAGGACTGTTCAATCTCTTCTTGCACCTTGGGGTGGTTGCGCCACCTTTTTAGGTTCCTGTCCGTACGCAGCCGGTCTCGAATATACATTCGAATATCTTCTTTGACAATCGCGGCGGAGAGTTTAATCATGAATTTTTCCGTAGTCAGGCCTTCGACAAACTCTTTTATATCCTTCAATTCGCGGCTAGTGAAGAGCAGGTGTATATGGGCTTCTGTCCATTTTTCGAACTCTTCGAAGACATCAAAGAGGTGCTGCAAATCGTGGCATTCATCTAGGGCATCAAGAACAATATATACGTCACGAAACTCGGAAACAATGTCTTTCAAAGTAAAAAGAAGTTGTTCCGGTGACGGTTGCTGGTCTCCGTTGCCTATCACCTGGTCAAAGGCAGTTGATGTGCGCTTGCCACGGTCAAATAATTGTTTCAGTACAGACCGTAACATTCCCGGAGACGAACTTTTGTCATTGTCGTCGGCCTTGAAATAGAAATAAGCTATAGCAGTGCTCAAATCTTGTCTACCATGACTTATAAGGTCCTCGATGACCGTTGAAGATAAGACGGTCTTCCCAGAACCGGCAATTCCATACAACCAAAACGATGAGCCCGCGATTTGCTTCCATTCCTGATATTGATGGTCGCCAGTTAACCAAGATCCTGTATTTTGCGTCTTCATCTGCAGGGCATGTGTATGATCAACTGAAGTGTCTGGTGCAGAGAGCCATTTGATGATTTTCTCTCCATGTTCGCCTGCGAAAAATACCGTCAGAGGAGACCATAATACGAGCATATTCCAGATACTCACGACGAGTCTCTTCTTCTTTCTGTGATTGAAGGTATTTCACCATATAATGAGTCTCGAACGTCTTTTCATGGATAGCTAGTATATTATCACTAAGACATGTTATCAATAACTACTAACTCAAATCAAGTTGGGAGAAGCCATACGTTGTGTCCAAGGTCAATGCCAAACTAAAAAGAGAAATATAATGATTTATATCATCCATAATGTTTCTCATATATGCCTCCTTGAGTGGCCATTGCAGTGCCCGAAAGAAGGACTCCTTTTTGGTCAAATTGGCCTGGCTGGTGGGCGTGATATCCCGCTCTAACTGCTTCAATTTTCGAAGGCATTCTTCAAAAACGTGTTCCAACTGACACAACCTGTGAATAGTTGGTAGTAGATAAGACTCCTCATCCGGATCGTTCCCCTGGTCCTGAAGCGCATGACTGCTGCGCTTCGCTAGATCCTCCAGAGTACCAAGTACTATTTGCAGTCCGCCCAGTTCTTGGACCAGCCTTAGGATGCGGCTTTTTGTATTCTTTGCAGATTTTACGTACTGCATGCATTGTGTGCTGACCACACTCGTGATTTGGATAACCGCAATCACGCTTGCAGTAACACTCAGGGGGTCCATTTCTTAGGCTGGTATGCCTCCGGTGCCATGGGCGTGGTAAATGAACGAACTGCAACATTCTGGAAGGTGTCTATTATATAAAGCATTTGATCAGCCTTGTATATTGGCTCATCCTCTAGTCTTGCAGATGGACAGGGTTGTATGTTGGTTGTGTTGGACAAATGAAGATCAGTAGCCGCCGAGACTACGTTAGCATCCTGCAGGTGCTGCGCCGCGCGTAACGGCGTCAACGAATCATATCCAAGGCTGGGTGTGGTTTAGAGGCTATGAAGGGAATAGCTGGCTTATAATTCTTCCATGATATCGAACGCTGAAACGCAAGGCTAATTTCATAAAGAGCTTCAAACTAGCTAAGCCCGAAAGCAATGGAATATTGCGGCATCAGACAGTTATTCACTGACTTCATTCTGTCTATCGGGCACATTGTGTTATTCTTCTTATATCCAGACAAACTATGGTGGTAGATAAGGAGAAACAGGATCGAAATCCAGACATGACAACACTGGTATTTCGGCCGTGGAAACATAACACCATAACTTCACGCATCTTCCGAACAAACAAAAAAGTTCTCAATCTTTTCTGTCATACAAATGAATCATATCCTCCTCCACAGCTAGAAATGGTGGCATTTAAAGGTTGTTATCGATCAAATATTTGGCTTGCTGTGTGATCAAAGTGACAGCCCTGTTGGCAGGTACTGTGTCGGGGAAATGCGAAACGAGAATAGAGCTGGTGCACTTGGCAGCAATAATACCTTCCTTGCCCTGTTGTTGAATTTTGCTGGCGTTAGCCATCATGCGTCTTCAACTAAAACAGTCGAGTTCAGATATCATCCTATCATACCATAGCACAGAAGAGAACGGGGATCTTATCAGCCGGTTCATCGATCCAACCGAAGAAGTACTTCTTTCCTCCAACAGTAATTCCACTTTCCTGTGCAGCGGTCGGGTCGTTGAATGCGAAGGCGATTTTGTTCATCTCTTCCGGGGTGAGCTACAACTCGGACATGGGAATCAGTGATATCTCCTGGGCAAACAACCAGCATTTGGACGATATCTGTACCTCTACATCGGATGCCTTGCCCCAAACGGATTGGCCGCTTTGGTCAATAAGTATAGCTTGGTCAACAAGACCGGATCCAACAATGCTACAGCTCTCGTCAGGATAAATCGTCAATGGACCGAGGTGGGGAACATACTGTTGGCTGAGATACCCTATGTCAAGAGCGTACAACATCAGCATCTATCATATTGAACTTTAGAAGAATAATATGGTCCGATGAAAAGTGATGTAGCAATCCTTACCGTCCCAAGACATCTTGACTGGTGTGTGTACTGATCAGGCGAACAAATAGACGGTTTGTTTAGACAAGCAACCACCGACACGAAGATCAGGCGGAAGGAATACCTCGTCCGAAGAAGTATGTAGCTGGTTCGTCAGTGAGAACCACCAAAGAAGCAAAACAACAGCAGGCGAGCTTCGAAAAGAAGAGAAAAAGGCACAAATAGAAATTGAGGGAGTGGAAGTTCAATTGTTTTGTTTTGGTGAAGCGATGAAAGTTGTTGATTTACACGCAGTCACGTGGAGTGGGGGTTGTGCCCCGCCTTTTTTGGGTTTGGCTTTTTGGTGTCGTCACTTCCAAGACTTTTCAGAGCTTCAATTACTCTCGCGTTCAGTTCATTTATACTGTTGGAATCTCTATTGACTGCTGTGCTTAATGATTTACGTACGGCAATGGCTTCTTTTTGACCTTCACAGCATCTCGATGTCAGCAACGCTCCTGAAGTATACACAACCTCGACGGTTAGGAGCTCCACCCGGTGACAGCTCATGACATCTTCAAGATGGAGACCGCTCCTCATACGTGTTCGCAGAAACGAATATCCACTCGACAGATCAGGCTGGCGACTTAGCGTAGAAGAGATATCCAAGAGTACTTGGGAATAATATTCGAATATTGATATGAGGGGCTCTGCGTCTGAGATTGTCAATCATTGACCGGTGTGCCCGAGTTCAACCGAAGCTTAGCCCTAACCCTACAGTTTCTCGCATCGCGTTGCAAGCCCAATTCCAACGACACCAGTCGTCATCTCCACGCCTCGGGACTATCCAGCACCGTTTGTAGTTCCTACCGATATGAACAGTTGGTCGGATAGTTTTCGCCCATCGCAGAGCGCACGGGTTCAGCGACAACATGTGACTATAGCGAGCTTTCTGCGTTTCAGGTTCATTCGCGCTTCCAGGGACACAGCTGGGATATACTCCATGTAGAATTGAACCTGATTGACTCCTCCACGATGATAGATGTAGACTATCATCCGCATACCAGCGGCATATGTAGCCAAGTCAGCAGAGTTATGATGCCTAAGGCTTACATTAGAGTGGGGCTTTAGGGCAAGATGATACGTACCCTAACTAGCAGACTCTTCGTCGTGATGCTTGTCATAGCTACAATGCATTGACAATGCTTAGAAAGCAGTGCATTTCTATTGCCAGCATCACAACCGCGATCAAGTCCAGAGCTTTGAGACGATACATGAGCAGAATCTCCAGACACGCCACATGTTTCACTAGTGTTTAGCCTCCTAGACGCCATTCCGAATTTCTCAAAGACCATTCCACCCTAGATGCAAGACATGGAGTTCACTTACAAGGATCATGGATTATTCTACCGGACTCTACCTTCGCGTATCTCTTGTACGGCGTTCTTTGCAACATTCGACTGTCATCATGGGCAATGGGCATCAGCTGAACTGGAAGCTGTAGGAGCCTTACACGAAGCCGACCATCTAATACAGTACCATCAACTAAGAGTACGTAAATTATCTTATTCTGGTCCACCGAGATCAATAAATAGATGCCAGAGTCACCAATCTATTTGAAGATTTCTCTCTTTGACAGAAGAGACGTTGTCGATTCGGGGCCATGATTGGCCCAACAGTAAATAAGGGTATTCACCACTCAACGAAGCGTCTCCGTGTTTTTAATTAAGCCTCCACGACAGGGGCCATGCCTCTCATACACCATGACTATTCGTCTAGCAGGAAATACAGAAGAGCCCAAAACCTAGGCCCATCACTCAATCACTCAATCAGCCCAGAGACCCATTAAATTTGAATTCCGCCTTCTCATCCATGTCGTATCAGGCCAATCATTAGGGCTTGTCCGAGTCGTACCGAGTCTGTCGCATCATTTGAATTAGGAAACCAGATCTGTGCCAAGTTGCAGTAAAAAAATCACTTAAAGGGCTGACAAGTCCGACTGCGCTGGACGAATTGTTGCTCAAACATCTTTTCTTGCTTCGTATTTGAAACGTTCCTGCACCGGTGCAGCAGTGTTAGGGTTACCCCCCACCGTCACTTCTTCCTTATTTTGTTCAGGCCTTCTGGAAGGCCATCCACTCCTTTTATCTTAACAATAATTTTACTTTTCGAATGATAACCATCGTACTTACCCAATATACTTCACACCGGACCGAAAATATAAGATCAACATGGGTATCTTTGGCAGATCACGAGCAAACACCACAAATGAGATATCGCAACCAGTTCTTACATTTTCCGATGCAGCGCCTCGAGATGATCTTCAATCACTAAGAAGAGTCGGCTCTTCAAGACCAAGACAAGGCGAGAAGCCTACTGGGGCAAGCATCAATGCGAGAGGAATGAGACAGAAACCTCAGAAAAATGGTATCCATGCATTCGACTTTACAGTTACGCAACCTCCCGAAGGTCCGTTGACAGTGGATGAGACTTCTGGCTTCAATGGGAATGGAATAGACTCAAACACGATTGGAATCGCGCTTGGTAGTCCTAGTATGGTACCACCATCTCAATATCGTCCTCCGGAATGGGCCGGTGTATCAACACCTTCCGAAAGAGAGGATGTGGTAACGACAATAGTCGCCGCGCAAGGATCCCTGCGCCGAAAACCAAGTAAATGGAAGAAACTCGGAGGAATGCTCAAGGGCAGGCAAAATAATGATGGGAAACAATCTGTCGCTGCCCGTGAAGGATTCTATCAATTGAGTATGAAGAACAATCAAGAAGATACTTCTTCTCCTTTCGTCCGGCAATCGCAGTTTCCAACGTATAATACGGATGACGAGAAGCGGCCTATCGTCAGCATGTCACCCCAATTTAGTGATCGCTGGGAGGACATTCAACAGCCCACACCAACAGATTCGTTATTGGCTGTGAATATACCGAAGGTAGAGATGGAGCGATACAGTGTTATGTTCCGTAGTGTTTTGGGAGAGAAGCCGTCGTCTAATCTGTTGACTAGACGGAATCAGGCGTTAAACCAGCTCCAAGTGAATGGCAAGGAGGTGAGTATTCTCCATTGTAATTAGGAAGTTCACATGGCTGACGATAAGAAGCCTGGCCTTCATGAACCACAAAAACCACAACGACGCGTCACATCGCCATCAACAAACAGAGAATCAACCTCCACGTTGTTTCCCGGAGATCCTCAAAATAGCGCCATTGCTAACGGCCTCTCCAAAACAACTGATACCCGCGGTCTTGCTCCTCGAAGTCCCGTAAGATCAAACACTTTTCCGCGAGTAGCCAAAAACCACCACCACGAGAATAGTTTGACAGTTCCGGACTTCACTCCTGCTTTGTCGACTGGTACTTCATCTCGATTCTCTTACTCTTCTGCAGAACCATCGCCGATCCATTTCAATGGGCCAATTACAACGGCTAGGGATTATATCGATGGCAAGAATGAGCCGGCCTGGGAGATGATTACCACTAGAAAGTCTTCATCTGTATCTCCGGAAGACATCACACCGGGTGCAGAGGCATCTGGAAAATCTACCTTGACGCCGACAATGACAACACCGTTGATAGCACAGGATCAAGTTGAAGTTGGCCTAAAAGCGGAGCCTACAACTAAACCCTCAATCACAGTACTACCACAACGAAAAGCCTCCCTACCCGCCTACGCAGACAGAGCAAAACTGAAAGTCAGAAACAGCAGCAACAGCAGCAACAAAATCTCAGGAAATATCACTCCACCGGCGAACGAAACCAACGGCCATCCACCTCCAACCCGCGCCCCTCCATCACCACCACGCTTCCAACTCCAGCGCTCCCAAACAGTCCCCTTACCCCTAAACATCACAAAAAGGTCCTCGACCACAAACCTCCTCCACACCTCAACCGACTCGTTCGATAATGATAACGCAGCAGGAATAATATCCCCTTCCCTATTCTCTCAAACACCCGTATCCCAAGCTCCGTCACCTTTTATCCCGCAAACACCACAAACAATCGAAATCTCCATTGCACGCTCGGTATCAGTTTCAAAAAGGATAATACCGCGTCAAACACTTGTACCCCTGGGTCCGGCGAATCCGCAACATTTCAATTTTGGCGCGAATGAGAATGAGAGGTTTGGTGAGTTGAGGCCGAAACGGGTCCCGGTTGTTATTGATGTTGGCCCACCTCCTCCTGCTGCTAGTGGTACCAAAGATAGTGATACTGGATCAAATACAGCTGAAGGGCAGAGTGAAGGTGGTGGTGGTGGTAGTCCGGGACATAGGCATCAGAAGTCGGAGCATATTGTTATTGAGTCTGCCTGATCTGATCTTTCCTTTCTGGATACTCGTTTTCTTCTGGTAAGAAAATCAAGCTCAATAGATGAGCTCATTCGTTGATTTTGCTATTTTCCAAGGTTTGTTCGTTGAGTGTTTGATATACCGACTTTAATTGTTTAGATACCATTTGTTTACAGCTGGATTGTCAACATTATTGTCATTTGAGCATGGGAAGGCCCCTGATACATGAGTTATCGAAATCTCATTCCTTTCTTGATTGTATTTCTTATTTCTTACAGAAAAGCATTGTTCCATTCAGAGAAGCATGTAAATATCACCTTATGAGTGTAAATTCATTCCTACATAAATGGACTGAGATCGAACGATCACCTCTTCTCAACTTGCGCATCAACATCCACAGTCCTCGACGATCCAGAGGAAGGTTCCTCACCATTCGAGTTTGATGATACCGGTACCTCGACGCCGGTCACTTTCCACTGCATGCCAATATATGAATCGCTCACGATAAGCACATCGACCTTCCTCGGCGCTGACGCTGTTGACTGAGAAGGCGACAAAAGCTCTTCCGGGAATTTAACAGTTGCTTTGGCTGTGAGATTATTATTGTTCCTTCTTGGACCAACGGAATTCTCAGTGTTGTTTCTGCTCTGAGGATTGAACCACGTCACTCGTTTCAAGGCGAGTAGTTCTCCGTTTCCGTCGGTGCTGTCAGTTGATGCAGTCACAATCAAGAAATAGCCCTCTGTCTGTGGCTTGGGGAACTTTGGAGCATGGATTTTGAAGTCTGATGTGAGAGGTGGGTTCTGTCTAGCGAGCGAGATTGTTACGCTCTTAGCTGATATGTCAGAGACTGAAATTGATAGCCGGGGTAGAGCCGAGGTAACGATTTTATCGACTTGTCGAACCGCTAATGGTCTAAAAGATGGCGTCGAAGAAAGCGTGTCATTCAATGCCTGAACTATAGCGGTCGGTCGCATGGCCGAGAGTGCAACAAGTGAGTCTGGCAAGTTAGCAGAGTCCTTCTTCTTCTTCGATTCCATATTGGCCACCGCTTCTGCCAAAGCATTAGGCTCGACACTAGGCAAAATAGACAACGGATGATCTTCAGGCCATCGTGCAGATTTAATGCACTGCAAAAGAGTCATCATCATACGGCATGCTGGCAAATAGCCCAGTTCAGCCAACACGTCAATACTAGCCTGGATAATACGAATACCCTGATCAAGGACTGATGTTTGGTCACCCACGTAATCCGAAATAGGCAAATCAATTCGAGACATGTATGCCTGCAAGAGCAGGAATGCTTTGATATGTGGATCCCACATTGGTAAATCGTCCATGCCTTCTGGCAAATCGGATATCGGAAGATTGCGTGCAAGCTCAGCGTTGATGAGGTCTTCGTTATGACGGACGGGTAATTCGTCAAATTCAGTGGCTGAGCACATCCATGCGAGTACTTGCTCAAATGATGGCTGACGAGTTGCATGGCTCATCAAATAGCGAATTGTCTTATGCGAAAGGTAGTAGTAACTCATAATCTTGCCAAATGGGGTTGAATCAATTTCACCGGTTGCTGCATCCAAGACTACACAGGAAGATTCTGCAAGTTCATTGAGTGACTTATCAACAAGGTCAATCATGAACTCAGAAGCGATTTGTTGTGCGGCCATGGTGTTGTGTTCCTCAGCAGAAATCTCCAGTCCATAATACGATGGATTCTTGTGCAGACGACGAAAGAAGAAAGTCCAGGTAAGATAGTCAAGTGCGTCCTGTTTCGTTACAATGGTTCCTGCAGACACTTCGGCGCCCAAGTGATTGTCCAAAACCTTGTGTAATGTCGATTCTACCGGGAATCCTGTATGCAAGAAGTGCTTGTAGAAAGCTTTCTTCGCATCTTGCGTGAAGATTCGAGCAATGCCGGAGTTATCGAACTGCGGTCGTCCAGCACGACCAAGCATTTGCAGGACATCAGTCAAATCCATGTCTCTGTATCCTTCAATCTTCGCATCAAAATATTGCGTTCCTTTAACCACAACAAGATGTGCAGGCAAGTTCACGCCCCAAGCCAAGGTACTCGTAGCCACAAGAATTTGAATTTTATTATTGGCAAACAGCTCTTCAGCGAGTTGTCTGTCGGACTCAACAAGACCTGCATGATGTAAACCAATACCAAAGCTAAGAGCTTCTCTCAGCGCATCGTCCTTGACACGCGCAAGGTTGAGCTGAAGGTCCTCTTCAGACATTCGGACAAATCGTCTCGGGTTATCTTCCATACCGCAATAATTGATAAGATCCTTAGCTGTCAGTCGCGTCTGTCTTCGAGAAGCTACAAAAACAATGACAGGTTTCTCCGGTGAGTGATTTTTAATTGCAAGGAACGTTGGGCGATTCATAGACTGCATTAGGGGACAGAACCCGCGCTGCTCCGGAAAGCCGTCGATATAGATTTCCAGCGGCACAGGACGGACTGAATGTCTGAAATTATATAGTCCCTCTTTCACACCAAGCCAGTTGCCTAGGTCTGTAGCATTGGCACATGCAGTGGACATGCCCATCAATCTGACGGAACCTTTAGATTGAGATGCAATATAGTTCATACGAGAGACAATAATTTCCAAGATAGGGCCACGGTCACCACCTAGTAGATGGATTTCGTCAATAATGACCAAACTGACTTGACGCACGTATCCTCTGGTCTGCCAGCTACGAGATATACCGTCCCATTTCTCGGGAGTCGTAATGATGATATCTGCGTCTCGAATTGTGCGAGTATCAGGAGTATTATCTCCAGTCAACTCGACCAGCTTCAGACCCATTGCAGCTGTAAGTCGCTTTCGCCAGTCCTGCACTCGTTCACGAACCAGTGCTTTCATTGGAGCGATATAAACAACCTTTGATCCAGGTCTCTCACGGAAAGCCCACCACATCGCCAACTCACAAGCAACTGTCTTTCCACTACCAGTGGGAGATCCAAGCAAAACATTGGCTGAGGTATGGTAGAGGGTATGGAAAAGCTGTGTTTGCATAGGATTGAAGAATTGGAACCGTTGTCCGTATATTTCTTCCAAAATAGGGTTCTTCAATGCTGATATAGGGAGAGGTTGAAGGTCGAGAAGATCTGTATAGACGCTTTCTGTATCAGGTCGAATAAGGTGTTGAAACGAGACTGGAGTGACAGTCTCAGCTCCAAGCCACCGATCCGAAATTGCACGCACGTAGATCTGCGCTGGCAGAGGATCAGATAATGGAATGGTGAAATTGAGCTCATGATCATCATAGAGCTTCTTCCGACTCAAAATAAAGTATTCGTGATGGTAGATTTCTGAAGTGTCAGAATTCTCAACCCAGATCCAGTATCCCTCAGATGATCCGTGGTGTCTGTCATTCCAGGAGAACTCGGGATATAGCGAGAGGCGAATGCGAAGGACATCCCTATTCAATGGCGCAATTTCAGCTTCAACACTTAGTGTAGGGAAGTTGTCAAGCAACTTTGTAAGGGTGTTGCCCATGCGATGGTTATGAACAAGCTGGCCAATTTCAGCTGGTTCCATATCTCTCATCGATTCAATTGAGGAAGTCGGCAGTTTTTCGTCCAAATTCTTGAGAATTGGTATCGGGAGATCGAACTGGTGGAACGGGTGTTGGAATGGCCATATTTGCTTTTCGATAGACTTGCACATTGACAATAACACCTGACACTGGTACCCCCATCGGCGGTTGAGAGCAATCATGAACAACGCGCGGCAAATACGTGCTGACTGCTGAGCAACGTATGCCAGATCCGAAACTAATGCAAAATCTTCTAGCTTGGCACGAGAAATGTAAGACTGCAGAAGAATGTTGGTTTTTGCATGAGAAGAGTCGTTGTCTCCTTCGACCTCTGTCTGTAAAGCTTCTTCGCGTAGTCGATTAAGTTCCTTGCATTCATTCTCACGAGCTTGGATATTGTCAAACTCCCCACTCATACTGATCATCTTCAAAACATCTGCTTCAGTGGCTCTTGGTCGCATCATCTCGTTGAAAATCTCGATACTGGTTTGCAGAACGTAAAATTGACTCGCAATACGACCGACATCCTTTGCACGAAGCTCCTCAGTTCGCTCGTTAAAGATGATCATCTGACTCTTTTGCAAAACCCGAGCAGCATTGACAATCAGCTCCCGGCGTCTCTGCACAAGCATAGGGTCATCACGGATTTCCGCCCATTCGATACCGTAATTTCGAGGTTCACGCTTCATTCGAACAAAAAGATACGAATAGCCAAGCCATTGTACGGCTTCAGCTACAGTGGTGACGGTGCCGAGAGAAATCTCGGCGTTGAGGTTATCAACAAGCTTGCCGGAAAAGCGTGATTCAATAGGCTGTTGCGATGTCACTGCAGACAAGTAGTGGTGAAGCTTGTCGTGAGTCGTGCAAATGAAACCGATACCAGTATCTTGAAACTGAGGACGACCAGCACGACCAAAAATCTGCAATACATCCAGGATACCAAGATCCACAAATTTACCCTCTTGAGCACTATAAAGCTGAGTACCTTTGATGACGACGGCTGCCGCGGGAAGGTTGACACCCCAAGCCAAAGTTGCTGTACAGCACAATACTTTGATGTATCCCTCGGCAAACATGCGTTCCATCAAATTACGGTCAGACCTCGTCAATCCGGCATGGTGGGCGCCAAATCCAGCAGCAAAAAGATCACGAAGTTCACGTGCGCGAGCACTTTTCAAATCCTTGACGGCTTGGCCATACCCCTCCGTGTCCGGTGGTACCATAAAGAGGTCCTCACACTGTTGTTCTGCCGCCATCTGCTTGAATGTGCGTGCTGTGAGAACCGTATCTTTACGCGAGTGAACGAAGACCATGACTTGGTGGCCTTGCTCTAGCATATCTCGGACTTTCTCAAAGGCAGTGACGTCGAGATTCTCACGAGACTGTTTGGTATTGGATTTTCCTTTGACTCCGATAAAATGCTGCTCCAATGGTACCGGACGGAAAGATTGATCAAAGAAGAAGAGACCAGCCATTCGATTCACTTTCAAGAAATCCGCCACGTCGATATAGTTCGGTAGAGTTGCGGAGAGACCGACAATACGAATCAAGGACTGCGTGCTCTCGACTTGGCGTTCCGTTCGGGCGACCAAAGACTCGATGACTGCACCACGTTCGTCGTGAAGCATATGCACTTCATCAATGATCAACAAGCGTACTTTTTGTACAAGTTCTGTGTCTCCTGTGCTTTTCCTGGTGACAACGTCCCATTTCTCTGGGGTCGTTACGATGATCTGCGTTTCCACAATCTCTCGTTTCGTCAACTGCATATCGCCTGTCAATTCGCGAACTTGAATTCCAAGCCATGCTAGACGTTTCCCCAGTTTTTCAGTAACCTCAGCAGCCAAAGCCTTCATTGGTGCCACATAAACAATCTTGAAATCGTCGACCTGTACTGTAAATTCAGTGGCATCTGGCTCCTCGAGAGGGTTCGGTATGACGTTTTTGGCGATAGCATTTAGAATAGTCAACATAGCTGCATCGGTCTTACCAGCACCGGTTGGAGCACAAATAAGCATATTCTCGCTTGTCTTATATGCCACATCATACAGTAGACTCTGCATGCGATTTAATGATTTGTACCCTTTGAATGTGCCTCTGCATAATCCATCTAAAGATGAGATCTGCACCAGTTTCTGATTCGGACCAACTGGAGACTTTCCACGAGAAGCAGGGACGGTGATCTCGGTATATTTTTGCTCTTCAACTTGCGTACTACCCATCGGAAGACCGTATTTCTTTCCTCCCAAAGACAGGGTGTTGCGAGAATCATGCAGTTTGTATACGTGCGGGTACTTCGGTTCTTCCCGAGTTTGTGCTGGTGCAAGTGCAGCATGTTTGTGCTCATAATCCTGTTGACGAAGAGCAGCTTCACGCTGTGCGCGAGTCTGTAATCTGCCAGCAATCAATCCATCTGTTTGTGCAGTTGTTTTTGGCGCCTTGGATGAGAGAATATCCTTTCGATGCGTAATGATATCAATCACCAAGTCCAGATCATCGAAGCCGATGATTTCTGCCAGTGACATTTGCAATTCATCGTCACCACTATCCGAAGCTAGAAGAGCCTCAACCTGCTGCAAAAGCGCCTCAGAGTCGAGCCCGGATTTTTGTGCTGCTAGTTCCTGACATCGGGATTTCAGCCAGGTGTAATCATACTGATCGTACCCCGCAGTTTGTGATACTCCATTTGCATCATCAAGATCTTCGCTTTCTTCGTCGGAACTGATAATATCCCAGATATCATCTACGCCAGACGAAAATTCGTCATCGTCCAAATCAAGGTCGATATCAGTTTGGATCGATGATTCGATGCTTTTGCGCCGTTCTTCCAGTTTTAGGTCGGCAATCGACTGTTTCATCTGTGACAGCTGTTGCAACCACTGAGACTGCAACGACGCAATATCAGTCATCTTTGTCCTTTGATTTTTGTTAAAAATATCAACTGTTGTACTAAGTAAAGAGAAAAGAAAAAGAAAATCCTGATGTTGACAGGCAAATAAGAAAAGTAGTCGGCAACCCAAAGCGGAAAGGTGCTTAGGGCATATGTCAGCAAGTGGCGCTAACCTTTACTCAGACTAGCGTGGTAAGCTATCTAGCGGGGATTGATACAGACGTCAGCCAGGAGTCGGAGTAGATACACCAAGAAAAAGGACCACACCCAACAGGCAGCGAGATACCGGACATTTTCTCGCAAATCGACAGAATAAATTCATACCTTTGATTATCAGCTCTATACTGCAACCGCCATCATGAAGATCTATTACATGGGAGTACGTTCTGGTTGTCCATTGCCTTGCCATATGCTTACGTGGATATAGATTCTCCGCAACGAGACCAAGCCTGCCTTGGAGCTCTCTGGAGAGAAGGATCTCAGCAGGTATTACTTTTGACAACTTTGTTTTGACATTCGAGCTGACGGTCATTGCAGTTTCTCGAGATTTACCCGCGAGAACTACAATGAGTTTATGATGTAAGTCCTGAACCCTAGACTGTCTTCTTTCATGGAGATACTAATATTTTCTAACAAAACTCAGGCTATTCACAAAGACAGTGGCCGGTGAGATACACATCATGGCCGCAGTACGAACCCAACTCATTAGTCGCAGAACGAACAAAACCTGGCCAGAGGCAAACAATTGAAGAGAAGAGCTATAGTGAGTGAGATCCTGGTAGTTGGAGATGGAGGATTATTCGACAATATGATGGCGGGCTGGAGATTAATTTTTATATCAACAGCCTTCCATTCCATGAGCCGAGATGGCATTGCAGGTGTCATTGTCAGCGACAGCGAATACGTATGCACCAGCACGAACCTCTCTCAGTACTCGACTAACAGCTGCAGCCCCCACTCGTTGCACAACAACTACTTTCTAAGATGTACGGCTATTTCTTTCTTGCCCGTTGCTATACTTGCTAACACGGGTTATAGCACCGATGAATTCATCTCCAAACACCCACACTGCGAATACGCCAATCCAACCCTCCCAGAGAGAAGCTTGTCGTTCCCCCAACTCGCTGAATATATCAAGAAGTACCAAGACCCGTCGCAGGCAGACTCGATTATGAAGATTCAACAGGAACTAGACCAGACCAAGATTGTCCTGTATGTACTACAGGACACGAAGTGGTGGATGTTGGCTGATATTATGAATACAGACACAAAACGATTGAGTCCGTTCTAGAGCGAGGTATGATTCTCATCTAGTTATGAGAGATGCGAATCTGATCTTTTTCAGGCGAAAAAATTGACAGCTTAGTTGCCAAATCTGACGGTCTTTCTGCTCAGAGCAAGATGTTTTACACTCAAGGTTTGTCTTCATGCTTATTCGGAGAATTTATGCTAACGTCTGCTAGCCAAGAAGCAAAACTCCTGTTCGTACCTAATCCCAACTTCTTCAACTCTCAAGGCTTGTCTAACTGACAAATCTAGGTTGTATTGTTATGTAATTGCCATCGTTTGGTTACTTGACTATTTGAAGTCATTGAAAGAAGCTTCGTCCATATTAGCACCGTTGTCTCGGTTTGATTTCAACCCACCCATGATTCCCGACTTCCTGTTTTCTCTTGTCTCATTTGAGTTTAGAAATGTCAATACTGCGTTTTCGGTACAAAGCATCTTCACCCTTGTTCGACTCTTGTCCTTCGTTTTATGTTTATTGGTTTATTTCAGGTCAATAACGATATACAAATCACATCAATATACACAATTTTTTACTCCTACCAATAGTTAAGTCTCCTCTTCCTCCAGACTATCAGAATCCTCACTCTCCCCTTCCTCACTCGGCAACCTAGCCGGAAACCACCCATACCGCGCCATGTCAATATAGAAATCCCCCATCGCATCCTGCTCAACCGTGACACCTTCATGTCTCAACGCAACAGCCTGTCTAGATGCGCTTCCGGGGCCTCTACCTGCTAATTAGCAACACAAACAAACCTCATTTCACACATAGAAAGATTGGGGGGAGAGGGGAAACGAACCGATGTGATATCGTCCCCTTTGAATTCACAACCCGCTGCCACGGAACATTATCATCGTGGAAATGATGGTATATCTCTCCTTGCTCGTCGTTTTCGTCCTCTTCTGCTGATTCATCGCCACCACCCTTTGCTGAGGATGTACGATTGGTTCTATTTGAGGGCAGATGCTTGAGGCATATGCCTACTTGACGGGCTCTTCGGGCTGTACACAAATTTACTGAATTTGAGTTTCGTGATTGGTGGGAGATCAGGGGGGGAAAGCTACGTACGATATCCTAATAAGCGCGCTATGTGTCCGTATGTTGTTACGCAACCCAGAGGGATTTCTTGAACGGCTTCGTAGACGGCGTTGAACCAGTGTTCTGCTTCGTCTGTACGGGGCATTTTCCTGATATGTGCTATTTTGTCGCGCTAGATCAATATTTGAAATCGAACAAGTTGTTGTTGGATGAATCTGTATGTATTCCTCCTGACAGCTGTATTGCCTAGATATGCACCGGTACTGTAGAAAACGAGCGTTTCCCAGTTGGCTCTAACTCAAAGATCTTGTCTGTAAATTGCAAGTCGGATTCTCGAAAGGCAAATAATAATATTGAACAAAAATACATCGTATCTATCAAAAAGCTGAATAATCTCATCCTCCAGACATCCAGTCAATAGAAACTCCGCAAAAACTTTTCTCCGCCTCCACCACATATCATAGTTCCAGGCTCTACTCCCAACCTCCGATCCAAACAATCACAATATAAAATGTCCTCATTAGCAGACTACCTCGCTAAAAACTACTTAACAGCCGATTCCCAACCCGAACGCCCTAAGAAGAAACGCAAGAAAAACAAACCCACCGACAACAGCGGCGATACAGGCCTAATAATCGCAGACGATGATCCTCCATCTTTACGCGCATCGGCAGGCGATTTGATGAATGATAATGAATATGATGAGAATTCGCCGTATATTCTAGACTCTACAACGTCTAGATCGATAAGTGCAGAGTTTAAAAAGAAGAAGAAATCGAATTGGAAGGTTATTGGAGGAGAGAGTACCGGATCAAAAAGTGAAGCGAAAGGACAAGGACAAGGACAAGATGAAGCTGATGCAATACTTGCCTCTGCTGTAGCGGAGAGTGCAGCAAGGCTAGAAGAAATTGAAGCCGATGACGCGCCTACTATTGAAGGTGGCATCCATGAAGCAGAAGATGATGGACCTCGCATGGAATCCGGAGCCCGCGCCGGCCTCCAAACAGCCGCGCAAACCGCGGCGATGGTCGCAGCCCAAGAACGTCGCAAAAAGGCCGAACTCGCCGCCTTCCAAACCTCGGTAAAGCAACAGGGCCAAGAAGGAGGAGGAGGAGGAGAAACAATCTATCGAGACGCATCAGGACGCATAATAAACGTCGCCATGAAACGCGCCGAAGCCCGCAAGGCAGCCGAAGAAGCCGCAAAAGCCGAACAAGCAGCCAAAGAATCACTCATGGGCGACGTACAACGCCAACAAAAACAGGAACGAATTGAACAACTCCGTTCTGCGCGGGCAATGCCGTTAGCACGGACCATTGAAGATGAAGACCTAAACGAGGAATTACGTGCAAAAGAAAGATGGAATGATCCCGCCGCTCAGTTTTTAACATCTAAAAAAGCTGGGGTGAGTAAAACGGGTAGACCGCTATATAAAGGGGGGTTTACGCCGAATAGATACGGCATTAGACCGGGACATAGGTGGGATGGTGTTGATAGGAGTAATGGGTTTGAGAAGGAGTGGTTTCAGGCTAGGGCTAGGAAGGAGAGGATTAGGGATTTGGAGTATGAGTGGCAGATGGATGAATAGTCTTTTTTTCTCTTGTCAACTGGGCGAGCTTCTTGTATATCATCTTTTCGTACTGTATATATACCCATAACGAATTGATTTCCTTCCTTTCTAAAGTTATGCGTTGAATAGATCAGACAAGATTAGTATAATGACGTTCTTTTCTTCTTAGAATCAAACAATAGCATCTGGAATTGGATGGCGCTCATCCCATCCAGATTCCGGAACCAATCGATCTTCAGATTATCGAATCTGATAAGATCAGACCATCCTCAAAAAACATCCAGTAATATTCATGATCGTATCAAACAATACCAAAACGTTAGGGAATGAGAGGGGAAAGAAGTTCTTTTCAAATGAATGTCATATAGTAGGTGAAAGAAAACACAACATGCAATCGAATGAACATTAAAACAGTCATGACGAAAGGATTGGGCAGGGTATGCATCTACAACCACAACCACAGCTCCACGAACACACAAATTGCAGCTGACCAGTGGCAGAAGCAAAAAGACTACCGCCTCTTAACCTCCGAAGCCCAACCCTCAATCCCTTCCCCTTTCGTCCCCGGCTCAATCCCCAAATCCGGAACATCATCCATGCCCAAGGTCGATTTCAAAAACCCATGACTCGCCATTCCACCTGCATTTGCTCTATCCTCTGGCATCAGTTCGAGCATCGGTAATAAGAAGTCGCTTATTTGTTTGGCTTCTTCGGCTGAGAAATGGTATTTTTCGCGGAGGACGTCTGGTAGTGCCCAGTGACGGAGGCGATGGATATTCCGGAGTTCGCCGCGGCGGTTGAAGATTTCTTGAGACCAGCGGCCGGACATGCAGAGGGATCGGGGGAAGCTGCCTAGTAATTCGATTATTTGCGCAATATGGTCGTCGTCTTTGCCGTATTTGGTGCCGGACTGGGGATCGAAGAGGTAGTCTCCTGTTATTAGTTCGAAGACCTGGTCACGTTAGATACTGACCTCCATTGTAAGGGGGCGAACATACCATGCATGCCATACTCCATACATCTGTACTGGCACCCCATTTTGCGCCTAGAATAACCTCTGGTGACCGGTATTGACGTGTCTGAATGTCGTTTGTGAAATGATGACCAACCCAGCAAGCGTTACCAAGATCTGCAATTTTGACGGAAATAATGTCGTTTTCACCCTCTTTTTCTGGGCTAGACGACTCGGATGTGTTTGTATTCAGAGAAATACCGGACACCTCTCGTTCCAGTAGATCACTATAAAACTTAGCTGAATCCTAGGAAAAGAATAGGCTTGGACTCACGCTGTCTTTTCGCGCTGCTTTTGCTTCTCATCTTCCGGAATCGTGGGAATGTTTTCCTTAATACCCAATGAATCCTTCATTGACAATCCGGCTTTCGACGTATCTAACCTGTCAGCTTGCATCGTACACCCCTGAAAAGGAAACTTACCAGACTCACTCATCACCTGGTTCAGGCTACTATGGGAACCGAGCATTTTAAATGGATCCATCTGGCTGAAACTAGTATGCAAAGGACTCGGGAGTGGTTGACTCCCCGTAATGAGTGTCCGTCTCCGTCGGCGACCACTGCGATTATCTTCCTTTTCCATCTTTTGTTCCTCCTTCACATACGTCTTGACAATCTGTTCCACATCGCCAATCTCAATCAAGACGTTCTCCGGCTTCAAATCGGTATGAATTATACCGCATTCCCGATGCAGATAATCCAACCCCATCAACACCTGTTTCGTAATCTGTTTAACCAGGGGCATTGGGATGCCACGGTGATTCCACCGTTTGATCAATCCGAGCAAATTCTCGCCGAGTACCTCAAACACCATACACACATGCACACCGTTGGGACCTTTGTGTTCGAACGAGTCTAGCAGACTCACAACGTGTTTCCGACCCGGGTGACTCGGGTTCGCCTGGACAATCTTGTTGAGCAATTTGATTTCATCGATCGCGGTTTCGGTGTAGTGTGCGGCCGATCGCACCACTTTTAATGCGACGTGTTTGCCGCTAGTCGTATCGCGCGATAACCACACCGTAGAAAAGTGACCCCATCCCAGCTTGCGAACGACAACGTACCGGCCGTTGTTGTATGTCTCGCCCACATGTACCGGGTGGTAACCGCCTTTGCAGTAATCCTCGGAATCCTCTTCATCCGCCGTGGTTTCCTGCTCTTCTCCGGATGATGACGAATCGGAGCGCGACAGCGGAATACCGTATGCAGCTTTCTGATGGGGGAGAGAGGATGCGGCCGGCACACTAAAAATGTTAGATATCAACGTGCAATTGTTAGAAAACGGGGAAAAAGGAAATACCCTTGGCTAGAAGTACTCCCCGAATTCGAGTCCACCGCCATGTTGTTCTCGTTTGTGACTATCGGTTTTAAATCAGTGCCCTTTCTTCTCTTCTTGCTGCCATTGCCATTGGCGGCTGCCGAGGCAACGCTTGCCATTTGCTTTCCTTTATTGATCACAGCCTTCTTGATATCACCCCCATTCATCATTCCTCGGACGTCGCGTGGGTGAGCGTGGGATGGTGGAAAACCTGGTTCCAACCTGTCCACCCTAGACCTGTTTGCGATCCTATCTCGATGGTCGAGTTAAGCGACGCGCGACGGAATACGTGTCGTAATAATTGTATTTCTTGTAGTGCCGATGTCTGTCGGTGAATGTGATGGTTGTTGAAGCGATGGTGGATGTGCGGGCAGAAGCAAGCTTTTGGACTTTGGAGGGGTTGGAGCTGATCTTCCGTCACCACAGATTTAGCCGGGCTGAGTCTATTAAAAAAAAAGAAACAAAACAGACAACAAAAAAGATCATACGACGATTTTCCAATAGACAAAGAAGACAAGTCAAGACGAGACAAGAACCAAAAAGAGCCGGGGTGTTTGTTGTTCGGGTTCGGTCGCGATGTTATGACGATGTTTGCTAGAAGAAAGAGGAGGGGCCGATCGGTGGGAAAAGTACGTGACGGGTCCCAGAGTATACACGGGATGTGTTCTGCACTCGGTAGCGAGAGTAGAGGAGAAGGATAGTGAGAGCAATGATAGTAGATGAAGCGCAGTACATCTACCATCCACCAAGTCTCTTGAGATAGAGAGTGAGCAAGGGGAGAGAAGTTGGCAATCTCCAAATCGTGACGAGAACATGAGTGGGCGCCGCCGACGCTGATTGGGCGAGGGTCTATGGATGGGCTGGACCCGTCCTTTTGGCGATTTCTTCGTCTCTTTTCATATTTATTCTAGACACAATTAAGATCTATGATATCTACAGACATGGGCTCGGTATACCGTTGTGTGTGCTATCTCCTGACCATGCCGGCCGTCAGATCTGGAGTCGGGATCGCAAGACTGGGCGAGCAACTTAGTCAATCTTTACTCAGGAATAGAGTAAGCAGGACATTCGATCTGAGCCAGCCACTTGCGTTGTGCGCGCCAACTAAAAACCGCATCGATGCCCAATCCTCGTGATGCCAGTTCATAGGGTTGGGGTTGGGGTTGGGGTTACGATTATTGATCCTTTGGTTCAACCTCATACTGCAAAAAAATTGTATCAATCCTCAACAAAAGTAAGTTCAATGTTGAAAAGAAAAAGTCCTCCAAGATTGAGAGAAATCGACTCACCATAGCCCATTCTTAAACCCGATCTTCTCCAACCTCCCCCTTTCCACAAATCCCCGGGTTATATACCATCTCCGTAAAGCATCACCGCCATCCGGACCGTTAGGATCAACTGCCATAACAGCCAATATATTCCTTACTGGGACACCCATTTCATTGTCCCCGGCAAAGACTGTTCTTTGATCTTCATCAGATCCCGTAGACTCATAGACGTGACAGTGATACAGAAACCCAGATTCTGCTGCCTTTAGAATTGCAGCAAGAAGCTTCGAACCCACCGCTTTCGACTGGTGCTCCGGATGAACAAAGAGCGTGAGCTCTACGGTCGAAGCGTAGGAGAGCATGTGGCCCCGGTAAGGCGAGAGATAGGCATATCCGAGGATGAGACCGGAGCTGTCCTCATATTTGAGTTCGTCGTCAACAGCAACAAAGTAAGGCAAACCGTGTGTTTTGATCTCGTTGTATTTTGTGAGGATGGCACCCGGTGGTGGTGGGGTTTGCATGAAGGTGAGCACTGTGTTGAGGATGTAGTGAGTGTTGATGGCGCGGATCTGGGGAAGGTCTGCTGGAGTTGCGTTGCGGATCATAGCCGTCTTGTTTGCTTTTTGATATAATTGTATGGGTTCGTTATTGGATTTGCGATGCTAAGTTGAGAAGTTGTAGCTCCAAATGGGATTTGTGGTTCCTAAACTACCTAGCGAGTTGTTGACCTTCAGGGCGTCGGATACGATACCTATGCCGATATCTACCTACGTACCCGATTTCCTTTGACATCCATCCCATGGCTTTCCCTTTCCGTTTTAGTGCTCACGCCCTCGCCGCTTTTACTTACTGAGAGCATACGCACTGATCAAATCAGCGAGCTTCACATATGTTGAGAAACATGCTCAGTGAGCTGAAGCTGAGCAGTCTGGTCCACTCACTGGGTTAATGAGCTAATTCACCCCCATGGCGACCTCGCTTCTATACTTTCAACTGGATCAACCAACGCCAATGAATTTTCCCTTCAGAGACGTATTTTACCTTACGATGATGTACCCGTCGGGTTCTTGATGACATTCAATCGCAGTTATAACTTATAACTATATACAACCTGTACCATACAGTGTTTAGTCTAATTTGTTGCTGTTACTTCACATCCCGCATGTAACGCCTAAAGTCCGAGGTGCTGTCCAACGATCTAAACATGTATACCATCCTTGTTGAGCTTGAGAGAGCAAGTAAAGCTACAATGTCATCTACTCCCGTAGCTATGCCGGGATAGCATTCCATACCATGGGTACTCACGATGCTAGAGTATAAATTATACTAATAAAAGTATTTATTTGCCCGAAGTGTGTACGGAGTATTAATTGCGCCTATCTGGGATCAAACAGCTTCCATAGGACCCTTTACTACTCCATCGGGACAACAGGCCTCAAACCAGTGGTCGTGCAATGTACTGGTTGCGCTGGATAATTAAATGACACACATGTTTAGTCAACCATAATAAAGTTCTTTATCTGTTAAGACCTGCTGGAGAGCCTTCCAGCCTAACATAGGCCATATACTAGAACTCTGCTATTTGGACTTAGGGCTCTTCAACGTACCCTCACTCCGACTTACCTCGAGCCCAATCCAACGACAAGCTGTAAATTCGCCCTCATACATGAATAGAAATGAGTAGTAAGGAATCTAGATATAATAATTATTACTTTTCTAGTCCCTCAACAGTTCATGACCTAAATGATTATTCATGAATACAGCAAGCAGTTGTGCATCGGTGTTGTTGCCTCGGTTCGGACTATATCTCCCAAATTGGCATGGTGTATCTACGTAGCTGGCATCTTTATGTTGACTTGATTAGACCGCTCTACCCCTCAGACTCGACAACATACATATCACACTTGCACTCTTTTATTTAGTCACTCTACTCTCATTGCATTCATATCCACCCATTCTTATTGCTATCGTTTTGGTCTTACCAGCTCTCAGAAGCTCCTCCCAGCGAGTCCGCGGCCCATGGCCAAGGCCTAGCCGCATCCCATCCAACACCTCTCTTAACGCTCAACCCAAACAAGCACAAAAGAAAGATGGCAAATCCCTTTATCGAAAGACCTCTCGTTGACCGCCTCCTCGCCTCCCCGCTCGCCTTCTTCCTTCACCCAATGCACATCCTCCTGCTACGACTTCGCGGCGCTCCTCACAGCCCTTCCTCAACAACACGTCCAATCCGAGTCGTTTGTATCTCCGACACGCACACCCTCGAATGGCACGACATCCCCGATGGCGACTTACTCATTCATGCGGGCGATCTCAGCAATGACGGCAGCGTACGCGAAATCCAGGCTACAGTAAACTGGCTCAAGACATTGCCGCATCGACACAAGATCGTAATTGCGGGGAATCATGATAGTTACTTCGACCCAAGGTCACGATTAGACGAAGACCGGGATACTGTATCTTCCTCACTGGCGAATATATCCGCCTCCACTGCATCCATACGCTCCGTCGACATTGACATTGACGATTTCGACGGCGGCAGAATCGATTGGAGTTATCACTCGCAAACCTCCGAATATGACTACCCCTCCTCCTTTGACTCGAAACCTCAAAACACCACCCACGAAGAAGCAGACGAAAAAGAAGACATCCACTACCTCCAACACACATCCATAACCCTAACCTTCCCAGCACAGACACCGACCCAACGCTCCCGTACCCTCACCATCTACGGCGCCCCTCAAATCCCCACACCCATGCCCATGGGCCCCGAACACGCATTTACCTACCCCCCGGCCCAAGATGCATGGACAAACACAATACCCATCGAAACCGATATATTAGTTACCCACACCCCACCCTATACGCATCGCGACCTGGGCCCGAATTTCAGCATCGGTTGTCCGTTCTTATTAAGCGAAGTATGGCGCGTAAGGCCTATATTACATGTCTTTGGCCATGTACATTTTGCCCATGGTTCTGAGCCTGTGTTTTGGGATGAGGCCCAGCGCGCCTGGGAACGGATTTCGGGGCGATGTTCTGCCAGACAGCGCCGTTTACAGCAACAATCAGCGGGTAGTCTATGGGCTGGGAGATTGGGTGGATTGTATGATTTGGTTACGCCGCGGAATTGGATTGATGCATTCAAAGTTTTGTTTTATGGGGTTACAGGGATTATTTGGTCGAGGGTTTGGGGTGGACAGGTTAATCGTGGGGCCGGGTGGATGGTGAATGCGGCTATGATGTATAAGGATACAGGGATTTTGAGGAATAAGCCGCAGGTTTTTGTCTTATGATCTACTCAAAAGTGTGTTGAGGAGCTGTAACTATGTAGATTGCCCGTCTAGCGTATATAGTGTAATATATCTAATATATGAACATATCCTGGAACCGGGTATAAGACTGAAACTATAGCTTCGACTTTTCAGCAAACCTCGGCGACACCAATGGATCATAAACATTCAATCCCAACGTATCCGACGGCGCAGAATAATGACCACCCACCAACCCGCGCGTATCCACCATACTGGGTTTCAAATCGTCAATTGTGGCCGCTCCAATTAATCTCATATTCATCTCCAATTCATCCTTGAGTAGTTGGAATGCTCGTTCAACACCTTCTTGTCCATAAGCGGACATAGCATACAAAAATGGACGACCGATACCAACGCCTTTTGCTCCCAAGCAGAGAGCTTTGATGATATCTGTTCCGCGACGGATGCCGCCGTCAATAAAGATTTCGATTTTGTTTTCCCATCCGCGTTCGCGTAGGACGGGCATGACTTCGGCGAGGATCTCGATTCCGGAGCGAGCGAAGTCGAGTTGTCGACCGCCGTGGTTCGAGAGGACGACACCCTGAACACCGGCCTCGACGGCACGCAGAACGTCTTCCACGCACTGAACACCTTTGAGGATAATAGGCATCTTGGTGATAGATAAGAACCAGGGGATATCCTTCCACGACAGACTGGGGTCAATGAAGGAGGAAATTGCACGTGCCGCACCCTGTGATCGGTCGATGCTATCACCACCGGAAGCTTGTACATTCGACCCGGTATCGGAAAATTTCACACGCATATCTTTCTCTCTTCGGCCCAATTGCGGTGCGTCAACTGTAATGAAGAGAGCTTTGCAGCCCCGTTTCTCGGCATGTTGGACAATCCTCTTTGTGATTGCTCTATCCTTATTGACATACAACTGTAACCATTGTACTTGTTCGCCTTTGCGTGCATCGACTATTTCGTCAAAGGAGCATGATGCCAAAGTCGGGATCATCTGGATGACTTCGTGGTTGTGCGCGGCTTTGGTAAGGACAACCTCGCCTTCTGGATGACCGAGTTTGCCGAGAGCGGTGGCGGTGATGTAAAAGGGGACGGAGGTCTTTGATCCGAGCATTGTGGTTGAGAAATCGACTTTCTCGACGTCGACGAGGATGCGTGGCCGGAACCAGACTTTGTGGAATGCGGTATGGTTTTCTCGCATTGTCTATAAAGTCAGTTTGTGCAGAGCTTAGAATAGAAGGATAGACATACAATCTCATCATCAGCACCACTCGAATAATAAGCCCAAGCAGTATTCTTCATAACCTCTCTCGCAACAGATTCAAAATCCAACAGGTTATAGCATTGAGCAAGTGCCGGCATGCGCTTGATACGCTCTTCCCGCTCAATCTCCAACGGATCCTTCACTTTCTCATCATGTTCCACTGTGGACATGTCGACCTCGCCCAAATGCTTGGATGCATCGAGGTACTTGTCAAGAGTGTCTGGCGGGTGAATAGGCTCGAATTCTTCGGTTGCGTCTTTGCCGGCATATTTGAGGATTATTTTTTGACCGCCGGGGTGTTCTGGTTTCTGTTAGTGATCAATTGATTTTTTCGGTGCAGTGAAGCAGTGCGACATACCCGGCAAGAATTCGGTGACATCATATGCTTTTCCATGCACAATAACCCAGCACGAGTTTTTGTTGTTGTGTTGAGCAACATCTTGACCTGTGAGTTTACCCATTGCGTAGTTCTATGAGTACAAAGATATGAAGATAGTATACAATTAGAGAAGAAATCGAGGGAGAAAAAAAGCCGTTATATAAACCGGCCCAAGAAGGAAAGATGGATTCGGGACCTCGGGGTAGGTGTTGACGCACCAATCAGAGGTCGCTTGTGTTATATGGGGATTCAGGCAGCCAATCACACGGCAGCCGATTCAAGTTGGTTTTGCGGGGAGCTTCGGGGGAAGGAGTCTTCTCGGCCGATTGTTGCTGCCTCAGGTTTAATCAGATACCGTGCTTATCTTATCTATTATCTCTTATCTTATCTCCATCGTTATCAGCAGCATATCATTGAGACCTTAAGACAGCTGTATTTCCACTTCTCGTGTAAACTTCAATCCAGGAGACAATCATTCCTTGCGATCACCACTGTCGATTCGGCATGTGCAGCTTACATACCACCCCTTCCCCCATGCATTTAGTATTTACCCAGACATTCGCATCCCGTACGCTGTGTCACGCACGAATAAACGACCCGACCTACGTCCTCGTCTCTTCATTGGCGAGTAGAATAAACTCAACGAACGCGATCTTCAGCTGCAACGTGATGCAATGCAAGATCGATTGGCAAATGACCTGAAACCAAGTCATGTCAAAAACAGGGAAATATAAGTCACTCATACCGGGCAAGATAAGTTAATAATATTCGCATATACCTGAAGAAGGAAACTGTAAGCGTCAGAGAGATCCGGTGATCTGATCAGTCATAGTGGCGGTGTTGTAGTTTATTTATATGCCTAAGTACAGAGTACTCTGTACCAGATTTCCTTTTGACACCCGGTGGCTTTCCCTTTCCATTTTAATGCTCATCCCCTCGCCGCTTTTACTCACTGAGTAGAACTGAGCACGCCCTGAGGGCCGCTGACCGGATCAGTGAGCCAAGGCAGAGAGCAGTCTGATCCGCTCACTGGATAACCCCATGGCGACCTCGCTTTCTAAAAAGTCGAGATCTTGCAACTGGATCAACACAATGATTTCCCTCCTCGGAAACGTATTCACCTCAATACCAAACTCTGGAGCACGCTTTATCTCGTGACGTCGTGTCACCTTGACCTCGATGATGTCCGATCACAGTCGTTAATGTTTCTCTACCATCCTAGCTTAACTTGTGGTGGTGGTGATGGCGGTAGTAAGCATTTCATGGTCCGCATGTAAACCAGAATAACGGTACTGTCAAGCTATCTTATACATATTTACCATCCTTATCAAGGAGAGACGATAAAATCATGATTCCATCTAGTCCTGTGGTGACAGCATTCCGCACCACGGGGGGCACTAGCAAAGCACAACTCCGAAGGAATTCCACCATAGAGAGAGAAGGGGAGGACAGTAAATTGGAGCTCACGGTATGAGAGTATCAGGAACCGCATGGTTACAGCGAGCTTTTGTAACAGCACACAATAGGGTCGTTGTGACAAGTCAAACCGACTAAGTAGAGAGGTCAGATTTCCTGTCAGCAGTCCACCGATTTGATCTATCTCATGCCGACTCTATCTGACCTTTCATAGTTAATAAAGACTTGAAGACACCGAACACTTCTGCCATATTGAGAATTACTCCTGTCTAACCATCGGATCAACCTCCTATTCCTGTGACGGATGTGTAGATCTACAGCACGGAACCAGAGCCCGAGGCAGAGAGTATGGAAGTACAGATAGTCTGCAAGACGGCGCAGAACTGACCTAGGGTTAGGGTAACGCCACGGAGCTGAGCGATATCTGGTGGATAGCTTCAAGACGCCCCTTCTCCTTTCCCCCTTCTCATGTCTAGTTATTTTGCTTAGCTACCAGAATGAAGTCTGAATTGAGCCCTCCCAATTACAACTTTCCTCGTCCTAATTTTATATTTTTAGTATTCCAAAAAAAAAAAATACACTGGATCCTTCAAGTCTAGCAGAGTATGATCTAGTAGACCAGGGCATTTTACAACTGATTGTGAACCGTAGCTATAACTTTACTCCGTACATAGGAAAAAATTAGTGTTCGAAATTCTAATAAGCTATAAGCTATATATCACCTCTTAGCCTTCCTCACCGCCCCTAGCCTCTTCGGCATGGATTTTACATAGTTATCAATACTTTTTAGTATGAACATTATTAGATATGGTGTTGAGTTGGGCGAGAAAATAGAAAAACAAGCTACGTATAAGAATTTTAGGTGTGCTGGGTCGATTCGGCCAAGACTTTGTGCGGTGTACTTACTGTACGTCGACCCGAATAGGAAATTTCAGTGAAAGCTGACAGCTCTTGCCTGGGTCCTTCACTGATAATCCCATGGATCAGTTTAACAATGTATTTAGCATTCAAGGATCACCTTTCGAATGGCTTGACAATTCCTGAATATTATGCTCGCCGTTCCGAATGTCCGAGAATCTCATTATCTGGAAACGATTTAGGAGTCGAGGTTTCTACAAACTTACCTTATGCTGGGTAAATAGTTCTCAGGTAACGTCATCGTGAGGCCGTCACGCGCATCGAGGTATTAAAGAATCGAATTACCTGTGAAATATCCCCAGATGATTGACTATAGACCAAAAATCGGAGCCGAAAGCAGGATAACTCACGGCTGTCACGACTGCTTAGTGAACACTCAAAATGTCCAGCACACCTTCCCCAGAAGACTTTGGCTTAACTCCCAATACTCCTGTCCATAAATACCAAGATGTGCATCATTTCTCTGAAATGGTCTTTCGTGAGTTCAAACTTCTCCAATCTCGCCAGGACAGCAGTCAGTACGTTATTTTCACCGACCTCGATCAAGAACGATTCTCTCGCGATTTCCAAGATCATACGGATGCTCTCGCTATCGAATCATATTTCCCTCGGCTGCAAATCCTCATGGCGAAAATTGAAACGGTTACTCACGCTAATGCCGCTGACGACTTCGGGATTATGTTTATGGAAAAGCCATGTCTAATGAAGATCGATCGGAGGCAGCTCATAAAAATATCGACGGCTAGTATCGAGACAGACGAGCGTAGCAAGAGGGCGGACAGAGCTTACAAACCACGGCGTCTTCCAAAATATCGAGACCAACGATGGCCTACCCTTGTGGTTGAAGTCGGGTATACGGAAGTAAGGCGAAAGCTGGCGAACGACACTCGATGGTGGCTTACAGCATCCAATGGAGATGTCAAAACTGTTGTCACAATCTCAATTAATCAGAAATACCGAGAGATTACCTTTGAGAAATGGGGGCCGAACACTGAAGCGCCGGAACAACCGGTGGTGCTACAAAGCATTCAGGTGCAGCAAGATGCAGATCTACAGCATATCAAGATCTCCGGTAAATGTCCTCTGGTACTCAGCTTCGAAGCTATTTTCCTCCGCCATCCACAAACCGCTTGCGAGACCGATATCGAGTTTAGCCAGGATGAACTCGAAAAGTTTGCAGTCGACACCTGGGATGTTCAGTTTAACCATAACAATTAGCCCGCCACCCACGGGATTAACAATATATCCAGTATATGGAGGTACGTAGTTCTTAGCATATAATGCTAGTTCCGAGGCCTACCATGTACCAGTTCCATCAGCATTGTAACTGGTTTAAATTGTTATGACATTGCACTCACCTAGAGCAGTCTTCTCGCAAACATTCTCTCGTAATACATCCCCCGAGTTTATCGCCGCTAACTGTGGGATTCGTGCAAGTAATCTCTGTTTGCGTGCGACTCCTCCCCCCAACGCCTAGAGCTCCGATGAGGATGATCCGAGCGGCCTTTTTGAGCCGCTTTCGAGCCGCTTTCGAGCCGCTTTGTGGCCAACGTTGTCATGGAAATCTCCAAGTATGTGTCAATAGCTATAGATTAGTGCGGTTTAAGCACAATTTGATTGCAGAATGACAGGCAGTCGCCGATAAACGAGTCTCAGTGCGCGATTACTCCGAAGTTTAGCTGCTGTTATCAAATACCTAAGTATAAAACAGACAAGAGAATAAATAGAAGGTCTATAGGACATGAGCGGCTCTGGGAGCGTAAGCTCCAGACTGAAATTTACTCAGTGAATCAGCGTGTGACCGCCCTCACAAAAGCAGCGCCAGCCAAGATAGGGAAAACCCCCACCCGTCAAAGGTACATACTAAGTAGAGGTACCTAGTGGACATTGTATGTAGCGAGCGTAGGCACCGTCATAAGGCTGGTTGCTCCTAAATTAGCCCCGCAGCAACCAGTCAGCCTCCATAAATGTCACCGCGGAGTCTATCAACACCAGACCACTGTTTATTATCCTTTATCTGTTCTTCTCTATTGTTCTTCTTCACGCTTATTGTATTTTTCCCCCCTACAGGCTATCCACCTGGATATGCAAATCCAACCGGCGACTTTCATCCACTCGGTCGCGTCTCCTGTCGCGACTCGGTAAACCCCTCATCGCTCACAATGAGCTCCTCACTAGAAGCCAAAATCGTCGTGTTGGGGTCACAGGGTTTGTCTTTTACCCCTGACTATACTTTCATTTACTAACCAGACACAGGCGTCGGCAAAACATCCCTCGTCAACCGCTACGTCAAAAACGCGTTTGAGCCGGCCAAAATAACATCCACCGTCGGCGCATCCTTCGTCACCAAACGCGTCCTCGATACAACCTCGGACACAATCGTACGACTCCAAATATGGGATACAGCGGGTCAGGAACGGTTCCGTAGCATATCGCGATTGTACTACCGCGGCGCAAACGCCTGTCTCCTGTGCTACGACATTACAGATGAGAACAGTTTTAGAGAAATGACCGGTTGGTTGCAAGAACTCAAGGAGAACCTCGGCCATAGCAACGATACTCCTGGAGACAGTCCACTCGTCATTCATGTCGTGGGCACAAAATCGGATATTGTCGCCCTCGAGCCCTCACGACGAAAAGTCCCCTTTGAGCGAACGATTGCATACGTTGCGGAGCAACTATATCCATCTCAAGCATCCACACCACCGCCCACGGCCGGATTTGGCAATATGGTTGTCACGACGCCGATGAGTGGTAGCCTACAAAGTCCGGATAGTAAACGAAGCAGTGGATTCTGGGGGCAGGATATCGGATGGGATTGTTGCCATGAGATCAGCGCCAAGGACGGGGAAGGTGTGGAAGAAGTGTTTCGGGTGATTGCGCGGAAACTCGTCGAGCAAAGAAATAAACAAATCAATGAGATGAATGCCAACGGCGGCCTGAACGGCGGGTTAGCAGACCTGAATACTTCTGATACGGACGGCGGCGGCGGCGGTGGCTATGGGATGAATGGGATGACCGGACGGGGGAGTTTTCGAATTGGTCTCGGTGATAAACGGAGGAGTTGGCTGGGATTTCCTCCTGGAATGGTTGTTTCGGAGGAAATGGCATTGCCTTCTGAGATCGGGAGACATAGACGACCGTGCTGTTGATCCTTCCCTCCATCTTATATTAGAAGTTTCTCTCGACGCATATGAACGACACGGTTATGATGCATTCATGGTGGTATGGTGTTTATATCAGGGATATCTTGACATGTTATTTGCGATATGATTGTTATGTTTGATGTTCGTTATGAAGATAGGGGTCTCGGTTCGGGCGTTTGGTTTGTCTGTGTAGTATATCTTTTCGAGAGTTGGAAATGAAATGATACCTCTATTTAGAATAGTATGAAATCACCGTCCTGCATAAGTGTATCACCTGATCAAGGTTGTCCAGGTAGGTAGGTGAAGGAGTCGTTCCTTTCTAAGACCGATTTCAACATTGTTGAATCCAACAAAAATTTCTATTTTTTTAAGTTATACGAAAAATTTTTGAAAAAGATTAATATCTAAATTTGCTCAAATTCAGAGAATAAATCCTCCAGAAGTGCTTCTACCTCACTACAGGCAAAACCTCCCTGGTAGCCTAACCCTCGACTTCTGCTCTCCCCCCTTTTCTTCTCTCTTCTCTTCTTCCCTTCGTCTTCTCCTCATACACTCATGTCTTCCCTGCCGGAAATAATGAGCCTTGGAACACTCACAAATCACTTGCCAGTAAGGCACATTAAGGGGATCTCCTTTTTGGTGGAACGGTATAAAAATCGTTCCAATATTCTCTTCATCAGCCACATCAAAAAAGCGATCGACTTTCATCTCAGACTCAGCCCGAGTATCACAAAGCAAGAATCATCACTCATTCCCCAGTTGAACATCATCAAACCCTGCAGAACCTACCTACAAATACAAAAATGCATATTCGAATCTGGATCCCGGGTGCTCTAGACGGGCAATTACCTTTCCTGAAACACAGCTACAACAACCACTACAACGACAGCCAGAATGCAGTCTACTATGCGCATCGAAGGACTTGCAATCCCATCTCTCACTCAAGAGATGCCGAAAGACGTTGAAGTCCACGGGCGGGGAGGTGTAAAGTACCGCTGAATAATATAAAATGCGTTCCAATACAACGACCACCACAACGACAGCATCAGAATGCAGTGTACTATAAGTGTGGAACCTTACCATCCTTTTGATGACTTATAGGAAACACACCAAGACAACTTGGAGATTTTGAGGCGAAGAGACTGATCATGCGGAAAATGAAGGTCAACAGACCCAAGAGCACTTTAATCTTGAAGCTGACAGCTACCGAATACAATGATATCAGCAAAGCTGAGGCGTCAAAGAAGAGAAGGATAGAAAAAATTGTGGCAGAGCGGATGTATACCGGACCTGAGTCTACGAAGAGCTTTGGGATTATTGGAGCAATGGGAATTCATCTGGATGTTGGGTTCTCTTTTTCATTATGCAGTACATGCATGTTACTTGAGGATGATTTCATTAGAGTTCTGATGTGTTATGACCCTTTATCTTATTCGTCTACGACTGTATTGGGTGGTTTACGAGGAAGTGGTTTTAAAGGTACATTCAGATTCAGGAAGTACAGCAGACATTATGTGTATTGGTTAGGTACAAGTCCATTCAAGTTAAAACAGAGGCATCAACATCGAGAAAGCAGCATAGAGAGAACGGCAGATAAAGGCATTCGAGCAGACCAGGTCAAAGCATCAAAAGAAGAACGAAGACATATCAACACAACACAACACCAGACTCAGAAAGTCAAACCATGAGGACAGAACAAAGTGTGAGAAAGGGGAAGAATATGACAAGACCCAGGGTATTTTTTTCAGCCTCAGTATACTTCTGTCCACACAGGTTATCACCCCCGGAGTACAAAGACAGTCGGAGCTTATCGTCGAAGCTATGGTACCCGCAAATCTGCTGCTCAGCGGGGCGTCTACATCATTGGCCCCTGGATCTTAATCACGACGAGAAAAAGAAAAGAAAAAAAGTAAACGTGCGAAGAAACCAACCATCTCATGAAAAAAACAAGAGAGGAGGTTCGATCCATATAAGCTCCGATAGGCCACATCATCTTGCGACAGTAAAAAGAAAAAAGGATACTAGGTATCGTGATGATGAGGATAATGGTGGACTTTGAGGGTGAGAGACAGAGAAGCCAGTGACTGTTGAAGGGCGAGGGAGTGTTCCACTACTAAGTGTCAAGCTGAACAAGATGAAAAGCAATGAAAAGAGAACAAGGAGAAAATGTTGACCTGTTCGAGCTCTGCTCGCGTCAATGCAAGGCCTCAGCATCTATCTAGAGAAAGAAAAGAGAAAAGAAGGAAGAAGATGAGGAGGAAGAGAAGGGGGGAATATTTATAGACGAGGGGATGGGAGCCTCAGGCTCTCGAGGAAGGACAGATCGGTGTCTTTCGAGAGTCCGACCTTGGGATTGTGCCAGGTGAGTCGTTTCTCTCGTGGAGGAAAGAGCAATAGGATGGAGGAGAGAGCGATTCACATGCGATTCTTCCATCTTCCACGACAAGGGTCGGGATACACAAACGGTCTCGACGAGGTGTGCAGACCAATCACTTCCCCTTATCTCGATATCTCGTCATTTTGAGCGCGAAGACTTTTCCAGGCACATGATCTCGAGCGTTTGTAGGGTGTAGCTGTTGGGTTCGTTTGGTCTGTATGATTTGAATGATTTGGGAGTTTTGGCTGGCTTGGATGATTTGTAGGGGGTAGGTTGGATAGGGTTGTGGTGGTCCCGTGACTTGACACTGGTTGACAACCAGTTGACGGGCTGAGAACAAGAAAGCATGTTGGATATAAAACTACAGTACAAAGAAAATAGCTAGCGGTAGTATATACGGAGGAAATGTGATCTCTCAGAGTGAGGGTGATATAGTCCTGACAGAACGATACTAGTATCAGATTAAAAGTAGATAACAGAATCAGATAATGAACATTCTTGTCACCAAATCTAGTATGCGTTTACTCATGACACCATTGCTGCTAAAATACTCTTGACGTATATCCTCGAAATTCTGTCATCTAGGCATGCCGCTTCGACAACTCCGCCACAAAAGACTGACCCCATCTCGCACTTTATCATTGTCAGCTTCATTCTCCAAAAGCAGAGAAAAGGGGCATACCTAGTATTCGTATGCACAAACTTGGCAAGTTTGTCGTATCTCTCCTTCCTCTCCTCCTTTGACATCGTCAACCCCTGATGAATACACTGCGACATCTCCTTGATATTCGCCGGATGGAACTGTATTGTGCCGTCAGCCATGAATACAGATGCACCCGCAAACTCGGAAAGCGCCAATACGCCGTTTCGTTGTTCTTGACATGCAATATATTCGAAAGCGACGAGGTTCATGCCGTCACGGCTAGATGTTAGAAGACACATGTCTGCAATTGAGTATAGAGCTGTGAGTTCGGTGAAGGGGATGGAACGGTGGAGATATATGATTGGAGAGTATTCGGGTTTGCCTGTAGAAGTTAGCTCATCACCACTTCTACTGTCCGGTTTGGGGGATATACTAAATTTCCCGTTAATCTTCCCAACCAGGCAACTAAGCTCCGTCTCTAGTTCCTGATACTCCTTGACATCTTCTCGACTTGGTACCGCAACTTGGATCAAGACGACTTTCCCTTGCCATTTCGGGTAATCGGTCAAGAATTGCTCGAATCCGTGTAATTTCTGCGTCAGGCCTTTGATGTAATCCAGCCTATCCACGCCAACAATTACTTTGATATCTTTGTATCGCTCATTCAGATCGTGGATGCGTGCCTGGACGTCATCTTTCTTGAGCGTTTCGTTGAATTTGTCCGGATCAATGCCGACGGTGAAATGGCCTGTTTTGACGAGTCGGTCTTTGTATAAGATTGAACTATCTTGTACTCGTGCGTTCCTATTCTCGTTAGTATATAACATTTCATCGACCGGAGAAAACGTACAATAAATATTCACAGCTCTCGCTGAAATTCTTCCTATAATCCTCTGTGTGAAACCCGACCAATGTACTCGACAACATCCCCTTCAGAATATCCTTTGCCACGGGCAACACCTTCAACGACTCTGACGGCGGGAAAGGCGTATGCAACGAGAACCCAATACAGGCTTGTCGTTTCTTCTTGGCCATTCGCTCTCTCAACAATTCCGGCAGTAGCATCAAATGATAGTCATGTACCCAGATTAAGTCCTCTTCCTGAGCAGCCTCTGCTATGGTATCGGCAAAGATTTCATTAACCTTTTTGTAGGCTTCCCATTTCCCTTCGTCGTACGTCACGCCGGGTTGGTAGTGTAGAATCGGCCACAGAATTTGATCTACCTAATCAGTCATATCCCTACATATAGAGACTTAGGGATACATACTGGAGAAACCATTGTAATGCTTCTGAGCCAACTCCTCATCCAAAAACACTGGAATCGCATTATGCGGCGCCAAACTGCGTCGAATCTCGTCCTGCTCCACGGACTCCTTCGGACTCATCCCCGGCCATCCATACCAGCGAAATTCAGCTGTCTTGGTCAACCCGGAAAGCGAGGTGACCAGTCCACCGCTTGACATGCTGGAGATATAGGAACCATCTTCACTGCGTTTGACGGAGAGAGGGAGTCGGTTGGAGATTACGATGAGGTTTCGTTTGGTGGATGTAGAGGCTTGTTCTGAGCTAGGCATTTTGTTGTTGTAATGTCAAGTTTGATCGCCACAAAGTCTAGAGAAATTGTGAGATGATAGTTTATCGTAGCAAGCTTGTATGCACTTATCAGTATGTCCTGGCTGCAAAGAAGAATCCAGACAGGTCATATATATTCTTCCTCCATATTCTGTCATTATGACTGCAAGCTTGATCGAATCACAACTGATCTTGGCTGTAGGAGAGCGTGTAACGCTTTCGTGGATGAGAGGCCGGGAAAGAATTCCATACTATGTGGCGTGGGTAGACATTTAGCCTGCCAATAGAAAATAACAGAAGGATTAAAGGGGTGTTGATGGTTGACGTCATCATGCTGAGTTCACGTGAATCTTCAGATTACTCGATTACAACCAACAATTAATCAGAATAAACTATCTTGATGAATATGAACAAATCAAAAACAGTGCAGCGACTGGATATCACTTGAGATACGAAGAAACCTCCGGCGCGATCCTCACCAACTTATCAACCAACACGCCGACAAACTGCTTCTGTATCCGCACTCCTTTCGCACTGGTCACAGACGACGACGGACTAACACCATCAATTAGTGGTCTATATAATCAACCAATTTGACCAAAACTCACCACTCAACATGACAATTAGTCAAATACTCCCCATTCGTCTGCACCCCCGAAACGACCCCGTGCACCAACGCACGACTCCCTTCTTCCGTACTCCGAGCCAACAGCTTCTCCATCACTCTCCCCGCTGTAGATCTCCCGGCTTGTGTGCCTTGCGCAAGCGCTGATTTGCAGTAGCTAGGATTGGGTGTGTTGATTATGATTGCTGTCAAGGATGTTTTGCCGTCCGCATTGATTTTTTCGGCGAGTTCGCGACAGGCATAGATGACTAATAGCTTTGATAAGGGATATCGTCCTGCCATATCGGCTTTTTGCGGATCGTTCAAGGTGGTGAAGATATCCATGTTGTTTTCTAATTCCTTCAATGGAGCCATATAATGCAAGGCAGAGTTTGGGATTGTGTATCGTGGCGCAATGTTGAATCTTTCGGCTGACTCGCGCAATTTGGGGACCAGCAGTGCAAAGAGCAGAAATGTGCCCACGACATTGATTGAAAGAGTACTCTCGTCGTCTCCCACGAGTTTGAATTTGTCAACCATGATCCCGGCATTGGCAAGGACGCCATCTATACGTGGAAGAGTAGTCGCAACACGAGCAGCAAAATTCTTGATCGATTCATGACGGCCCATATCCAACTCCCATACTTCAATGGAACTTTCCTCACGGCCTGTTGATCTGAGGATCTCGGCTCTAGCCGTTTCGCCTTTGCTGATACTCCGAACGGCCATGATCAGCTTCTCGGCACCGAGCTTGTTGATGTGCCGACTGGCCTCAAAGCCAAGACCGGTATTGGATCCAGTTACGATGTAGGTTTGGCCCTTGAGGTTGGTTCTAGGGATGGGTAGAGTTATGAAGAGATTGGAGGAGAGGGTTGAGAAGGCCCCGCGGGCTGCTGATCCAGCGGACATTGTTCAATCTTTGCCAGAGAGGGCTGATACCTGTCAAGTTTTGGGAAATAAGCGAATCCACCACTGTGGATAATCAAGTTCAATTAACTATTCACTTACGTGCCTTTTTATATTATTTCATATCCAAGCTTGGCTTTTACCAAGCCATATGGTTGCAACCTACAACTGGATTTATACGGATTCACATATTTCCATGAACTATTTAAAATATGTCTCAATAGTTCCGACTAAATCTAGGCAAAACAACCCCAAAATTACCCTTCAAAAGATTTCTAATCGATAATTCCGGCCTTGCGAGTACTATACTCATAGTGTTAGGGCTAACCGGAGATAATATCTCCGTCGCCGGATCTATGTCCTCAGGCTCCACCTGTTGGAGTGCCTCAATATAATTGGTTTGTTGCTGACACGACAAGTATCAATGTCCTCCTGCTTTCTCTTCTGGAAAGGAGAATGAACGGATTTTTAATGCGAAGAGCCTAACGGACTCAGAATATAGATATTCTTCGGCTCCCGCAGTAACGAAACATGAACACCGCAGATAGACAAATCGTATATAAAGACAACAAACGGAACCGCAGACCAACATCCTGCGAACAATGTCGTATACGGAAGTGAGCTATCACCTCTCTTACCTTCATTGACCTACTCATACTGATAAAGATAGAGCAAAATGTAACCGTGACCTTCCATGCGAGGCTTGTATCAAACGCGGTGAAAAGTCAGCGTGTAAGTACGCAAGCAACGCTATCCGGAACCCCAAGCGCAGGAAGAGTAATGTAGGTGAACGACTAAGGAGAGTTGAGAAGTTGGTTTCAGAGCTTGTTGGGGAACCTAACTTGGATGATCGAGTGCTTGATAGTCAGGGAGATGGTATTGTCAACAGCAGTCGGGAAAGATTCGCTACACGAAATGATCATATATATGCTCATGAATCTGCTTCGGAAAGAGAAACACAACCAAGAGTATCAAAAAAAGCAAGAGCTCATATAGAGAAAGCTCACTGGCTATCGATTCTGGATGATATTAAAGAAGTTCGAGAAGAACTCGCTCAGTCGGAAATCATGACTTCTCCTGAAGAGAATGAGGATATCATCGAACAGGAAGAAGAGATTGACTTGGTCTTAGGACCAACGCAGAAATTACCTACTTTTCAAAATATCATCAACTCCTTACCCTCAAGGCCGATATGCGATACACTCCTGTCGCAATATTTCAATGCCCCGATGATTTTGCGTACGGTATTCCCTTATTATGCTAGTGGGGAGTACTTAATACTAATATAGCCACAGCAATCATCCATGCAATCAAATTCCAAAACGAATACGAAAAATTCTGGCACAACCCACTCAATGCACCACCCTTGTGGGTCGGTCTCTTATTTTCCATTCTAGCACTTACAGCATCCGTCCACCAAGTCATAAAACCACCAATGGCAGACGCCCAGCCGTCTCTCGCTGTCAAACCATTACGCTCAAGAACAGTCCAATGCCTCATAATGGGCAACTATACCAGGGCAAAATCCTACGCCCTCGAAACGCTGGTCATGCATCTCTTAAGCGGGTATATCGGTAAACCTGACTCTAGTTTTGACGGCTGGTTCTTAATGGGTACTATAATCCGTCTCGCGATGCGAATGGGATATCACCGTGACCCGGCAACTCAGGCAGGTATTACACCGTTTGAAGGGGAAATGCGACGACGAAGATGGCACGCAATGCTACAACTTGATACATTACTATCATTCCAAATGGGGATGCCGAGTATGATCCCGCCAGAATTCTGTGATACGGAACCACCCCGGAATCTAAACGATGAGGATATATGGCCCAATATGGAAACACTACCACCCTCCCGACCACTCTCAGATTATACGCCGATATTATACACAATCGCGAAAAGTAGTATAATGAGCATGTTCAGAAAAGTCCTCGCTCACACCCATCAATCTTCATCTTCATACGCCATAACAATAGACGTCGACACCCGTCTCCGCGAAACATACACCTCCCTCCCACCACTCCTCAAATCGCGACCTATCGCGCAATCCTTCACCATCTCCTCAGGCCTGATCCTGAGCCGCATCACAATCGAACTGCTCTACCTGAAAGCAATCATAGTCCTACATAGACGCTACCTAAACACCGAGCGCCAAAACCCGCACCGCGAGTTCTCGCGAAGAGCATGCATAAATGCTGCGATGGAGGTATTGTCTCGTCAGAAGGAAGTACATGAAGCCACTTCGTGGCTGCATGGACGGTTGTATGCGGATAGATGGATGGTGTCGTCGTTGACGGCGCATGATTTTCTGCTGGCTGATGTCGTTGTTTGTTTAGAGTTATCTGTCATGAGATCGACGACAATGGCAGTGGGAACGCTAGAAGGGAGGAATACGGCGGGATTTGAGACGTTGTTGGATGCGTTACTCGATTCGCAGCGGATTTGGGAGGAGAAGAGTGTGGATTCGAATGAGGCGCGGACGGCGGCGGCGATGTTGAAGTTGATGATTGATAAAGTAAAAGGAAATACAGTTCCGGTTGGGGAAAGAAATGTGACTAAAGGTCATGACAATCAACCAGCCACCGAATCATACTCAACAAGCACAACTATGTCCGCGCCAACCGAGCTGGAAATGGATGTAGCAACCGACTTCCCCTTTGCAGATACAATGACGGATATGATTACCGGTTCTGAGGAATTAGACTGGGTTCGTCCCCTCACTCCCTTGTCTCAAGGATCGTATCCTTCGACTTCCGTAACTAACCATTAATTCTGTGTATAGGCTCTACTAGATCACTACCTCCAAAACACGAACACCGCACTCCCCTCTCCGGGGGGACATGCATCTCATGCTGCGGGAGGGTTAGATAATTCGTTTGATGAGTGGGGACTGTTAGATTATTCTCATATGGAAATGAATATGAATATGGGTATGGATATCGGTTTTGGGACTGGTGTTGATGGGACGGAGGGACAGCATTACCAAGGGTATTTTGGATGACGATTCTTCACTATAATATATGATAGAACACTTGGGTGCACGTGCGCCGATGAATAATGATATTTATTCATAACCTATACCTATAAGGAGCACCGCCTCCAATGTATAACCAACACCACCCACCACAGACGTAAACAACCGCACCTCCAAAACCTCCAGGGAAACGCTATATAAAGAGGCCGATCACTCAGCCTTCTTCATCTCCGTACTCTGATAAGACTCAATAATCCGATTCCCAATCTGCAACGCCTCCTTCCAATTCTTCTGTCTCTCCCAAAACGGATCCGACGGACGCGCATCATGCAACGTTCTAGCTCTTGCATCTTCTTCCAGCGTCTTTCTGGTAATCTTCTCTTCCTTTTCACCCCCAACACCGCTGGTTACATCTTCATTACCTCCAACAGACAACGACTCATCCGGAATCTCAGAAATGAGTGCCTTACGCATCAGGATTTTCTGAATCCGTTCTTGGGCGATACTCGGCATTTCGATTTTGGTCATTGTCTTCTCGACTGCGAAGCGGACGGCGAGGTAGATGTGCTCTGAGAAAAAGATGGTAGTCATTAGCATCCAGCCTCGGATTGGGTTCTGTATTCCGTCGCCGGAGTCAAGGCCCTGGCTACGGGCGAGGTAAACGAGGGCAGGACTGGTGATGCTTCCGACCCAGGCGAGAAATCCCAGTGTATCAAGCCATGGTCCAATGGTATCTGCTCGTTCGGGAACGGGTCTTTTAAATTCTTTGCAGATTTTGAAGAAATCCGAGCGTAGTTCCAGCCAGTTATTGAATAGGAATGACACTGGGACTAGTGGCCATACGGTCGAAAACAATGATAAATAACCGAACTGGATGGCCATTTGTCGAAGATCATCTGTTGTGTCGTATTCAGGCAGATCTGCTTCTTCGCGGACCTTTTTCAAGAATTCGACTTCATCGGGATGGTCATCGTATGCGGCACTTGCTTTTTCGTGACCGTTTGCTTTTTCCTCGGAGTATTTCTTATATTTGGAGCTTAGTCTTTGCAATATGAATGGTAGGATAGTCTCGAGGAAGAAATTGACAATCTGTGCTGTGACTGCGAAATAAATGACTTGGTTGCGGAGACGGTAGGGATCGATTTTGAATTCCGTATGATGGATCGTCTTTTCATCTTCAGGAGAGACAAAGGGTCGGACGGTAGCTCGGAAGATGTCAAGGTATGGAACAATGACGTGAGCGAAGGGAACGTAGACGAATGCTGTTAGGAAAATGGCCAGATATGAAGTGATAAAGTTAATGACGAGCATTTTCTGAATAAAGGCGACATCATGGTCTTCTTTGGTTTCGTAGTTTTCGAACTCTGTAAGTCGTTTGGCCACTCTGGTAAGGATCGTGCTGGCAATTGGCAAAATGGAAGAAAGTAGGACGGTGGGAATGAAGACCTATTCAAATCTCAGTATGACTCTCAGCAGCGAATTGAAGCACTACTCACCAAATATGACTTCAACGGACCATTATAGACCTCCGAGATAAAAATCTCAATCGCAAAGCACGTAGCAATAACCGCCCCCAACGCAACAACCGATACAATCGCAAACGGAATCTGAAGCAACTGCCTTTGCAACCGCTTCGTCCACGGAAACACCGGCCTTAATTCACCAGTAGCCTCATCCCGAATTTCACTTTCAGGCCTAAAACTCCTATTCCGCGACGACAGCACCGAAACCCCACGAACCTGCCACCTCAACGCCAGATCCAACTCTTTCCTCTTCCAGAACTCCACAAACACCACACACCAAACACAATTCACAATCGCGTAAACGGGTGAATAATACCCCAACATAAGCCAAGACGAAAACCCGAACAAAGCTGGAAAGAACAAAAACCGGAAATACGTTTGCAAAAAAGAAAAATAGAATCCAACCTGTTCCCCGAATTTATCACGAATTTGATCGAGATCTTCGTTTGTGAGGAATGTCTTTTTACTCCAGTCCCTCATCCAGGCTTGATTGGTCTTGTCGTCGTGTAAAGGAAACAAAGAGTCGACGTGTTTCCATTTTCCGAATTTGGGGGTTATGTTTGCGCCGCCGTCGTCGCTGGGGGCTGTTAGCATGTAGTATATCGCTCGTAGTCGTTCTGCGTCTGCTTGTGGGCCGGGGGAGGAGTCGCGATCGGGTTGTGTGTGCCGTAGACCGTAGAGCCAGTCGCGGACACTATCAACGTCAGATTCAACTATCATCATGAATCAGATTGGGTAAAAAAATACCGAGTAGTATGTGTAGCCCTGAGTAAACTCTTATGCGGCGCTCGAATAAATATCAATAGTGACGACCTATCTCCAGGTCTGACCTCGGTCTGAAATCCTACTCCTGCAAGAGTCTGCAGGAGGTGATTCAATTGCTCTTTTGCTTCTTCCCGGTCTATACCAATGCTTAATTAGTCCATCGAGTCGAAGAAATCAGTGAAAGAAACTCTTACCAGGTCCCCCAAAAGAATACCGAATGACGTAGTCGACATCATAATTACTCTGAAGGGCGACGTCGTTGGGTGTTGCTGTCATTGCAGCAGTTGCCTTTCTAAGACACTGGAGCTGCTATAAAGAGTTGCAGACTCAACACTAGGAATAAAAGAAGAATAATACTAAGAATGAGGTGCGACGTCGTTTTTGAATGCGTCTCAGAAGTCTTGGCGGTGAAGATGAGATCAGATCTTCGACGACGTCATCCCGCTTGCTCCACTTGGTCAGTTTAGGGTTAGCCCTGGTTGAGATCTGAATGAGATTTTACTGTCGACCGCAATGATATAGTCAAAATAATTGATTAATGGTATATTGTTCAAATATTATATACATGAATAGTTACATGAGAAAAAACACAAAGCCGTAAAATAGTACACCTATCAACCCATATCCTATGCTAGTATTCCTGTACCCGGCCTTGCCAATGCAAATTAATAACAAACCAAAAAGAGAGGTAGCACCAAACTTGTCTGGTATAGGCAGTAAAATAGTCAGATGAATTGCTGAAAGAAGAAAGAAAAGAAAAGAAAAGACAGAGAATCGATGAACTACATCCACCTCTCCCTCTTCGACGGACTAGGCGTACGCGCATGTAGCTCGCGCTCTCTAGATCGACCAGTCACAAAAGCCATATCCCGCGAGGGTGTATTCTCAAGAAGCAGACGACGTGATTGCCGGTCATTATCCTCATCATCGTCCTGATAGTTTCGTTGACGACGTGAGGGACTCTCCTCGCCACGGCCGGGTGTTTTGGGATATTCCAGTGGGTACTGATTACCGTCAGCAGCATACGAAACTGGAGGAGCTTGTCGATGCTGATAAGAAGGTTGTCCTTGTGGATGTTGAGAGTTGGGGTATGGGCGTCGATCTTCTTTTTTCGTATATTGGTGTCGTAATGCAATGAAAGACCAGTTGCTGGCGATTGTAATGGTTGTGATTGTTAAGAGAAAGTAAGACTAGACGATGTTAGTATAGATTCCAGAACTTCCAGAGGAATGAACGTACGAATGCTTTGAAGCTGATCGCATCAACAAAACCAGTAATTATAGCTGAGATGGTCTGCACAGAGACCGTCGCGCGTGCCACCCGGTTCGGATCCTGATCCATACACCGTTCCCAATTATTGCAAACCTCGTTCAATGCCGGCGGTCGACTAGCGAGATTGCAGCTGTTTTGAATGTAAAACTCCTTGCAGGTCGATATCTCAGTAAGTATGTCGTTCCTCTTCGCATCCGCCGCGTGATCGATATCTTGTTTGATCGTCAGAACGAACGAAACGACAACCCACGTCACCAGTGAAAACAGAACCAGGTTCCAGACCAGCTGTAACCAATAAGATAAAATCGCTGGGAGATTGGGATGTTCATCGAGAAAGGCAAAGAAGTGTGCCCATGTGGAACCCTGAGGTGGTAGCGACGGCGACGGTGTCTGCTCGAACTTTTTGGTCTCAAATTTGGACAGTTGCTGCGCTTCTTCCCGGCTACTAGGTCGATCACTATCGTAATCACTATCTCTGCGTAAATGCCGGTTTATATCACGATCACGTATCTTGCGTTTATGAATCCTCCGCGCGTGGTCAGTTTTGTGATTTGTCACGCGAGGAATTTCTCCTCTTCCAGGACTAGGCGCAAATCGACCGTAGAACCGAAACAATGAATTTCGTCTTTCATTCTTGTTGACCTGTATCGATTCAGGAGTACCTTCATTATCGGCGTTTTCAGGCGAGGACATGTTCTCTGCGCCAGAAGAGAAGTCTAGATCGAACTTGCGAGGGGTCTGGAAGGAAGATTTGCCAAAGATCGCATCTGGCCGGTTCGGTGATCCATTACGCTGCGGAGATGGTTGCGAGAAATTAAACGATTGTGTCGGAGCAGATTGCTTCTTCAGCGGGGAGTCAAATACAAATGCTGTAAAATCCGTCAGTTTCTCAAGTCACGCAGCAAACCAAGGGCAAAAATTAAAATAAAAAAACGGACACTTTTTCTGATTATCATGTTGCAGACCAAGCTGATAAAATGGCGAAGTGATATCTCCAGGAGCTCGAGTCTGCCATTCGAAGTCCATTGGACTTTCTGCAGTGCGTCTCTCCATGGTTGAATAATGTGGTTGATGTGGTTGCTATGATAGATGGTTTTGTGAAAGCGGGAAGGGCGAGATTTGTTTGGGGAATGTAAACAGTTCTTGGCGTGGCCCTTCCCGGGCGACTGCGCATCCACCTTATTAGTACAGCTTAGTCCAGCCCTATGTGCTCTGGATTCTTTGACGGAATTTATCTTTGACAGATGGATCGTTACTGGACACTTTACTCCGAGTTTCTAACAAGTTATATTTGGCACGAACTGACTATCGATTTCCGAATGACTATACAATCTTGTGCCAAATCACAACCGATAAAAGCCGATAAAACATCCTGACTGCAACAGTTGAAGTCTCAAAACAAAGAGGTAAAAGAACAAGAAACCCATGTCTGAATCATAATATACAGGCTCAATCTTCAAGGAACTTCAAACGCCGATCGCTCCTCTCTTGATGCCCAGTGATGGTATATACGCAGAACCAAAAAAAAGAAATATACAAACTGTGATGCGGCTCAGTGCCACCTAAAACAAGAACGCAAACGAAATATTCCCGTCATGTACAGATCTATACAGTTTCGTGGTCGATAATCTCGAAATCATCAACGTCGGCGATGTAGCCGGTGACATGGTCATCCTCCCGCGAAACAAACTCGTACTCCTTGGCCAGCTTCTCGGTCACTTTATTCTCGTACTTGACTTCGGCCTTGGAGACGGCGATTGCGAGGATATTGTTTCCCGAAATCGCATACGCAGAGATATCGTCGTCGACGATCGCCATGTTATCTGGAGCGGCGCTCTCGTGGAGGATGGTCGTCTCATCGGAAGACGAGTCGCTGGTCAGCGCTTCCTTGACATCGTGTTGAAAGTATGTATCGTTCGCGTTACGGGCCGATCTGATGGTTGATTCGTTGTAGCGTCTCAGTACAGATTGTGTACTGTCCTCACTGTCAGTGCCGCTTTCAGGAGACACGAAGGGGAGTGGCTTACGCAGAGGATGTAGGAGGTACAGGACGTAGACGCACTGGCCCGGCAGAGTCTTTGGTCCATTTATCAAAAGAGGAAGCTTGCTGTCCATATTGACGCGCTCCATGGGCCCATTTGGCCTTGTGGTTATGGACACGCTTGACTCCCGTAGCTGATCGGCGCAAGTCCGACATGATGTTTATCGGTTTCTGGTGCCCACTTCTTGACAACGAAGCGGAACGAGATTTGCTGAAGTTGATATATAAGAGGCAAATGATGACTGATAAATACCGTATACAAGAAGCAAAGAGTTGATTCAGCCTTTGTCAGATTGAGTCACAGCCTGGATGACTCGACCGTGGCGGGTTCCGGATACGGTTAAGTTGATAAGATAGGGGACAAGATAAGGGAGCGCGTCCGTGCAAGTCGCAAGGACCTTGCAAGTTTGTACAAGGTTGACGAGATGGAGTCTCTGCAGTTATATATTCATTTGTTTGAAAGGTATAGAATCGTCTCCGGGCAACATCGGAATAGGCTCATGGACAATGAAACAGGAACGTGCCAGCTTTGGATGACTTGCGGCGCTGACGCCATCCCTGGACCCTTATCTTATCAGTGGCTGCCTGGGAAACATGGCTACGGAATGTCTTATCAGCCAAAGATCGAAGCGCGTGCCCTCTTTAAGCCTTCACCTGGGGGATCAACAAGTGCGGGGATCTATGTATCTCCGACACTTTTTGAACCATAGCATTCTCATCATACCTCTTAGTCTGCTACTAACATACAGTCATTTCGAATCCAGCTCTTAAACATGTATTCATACAGAGTAGATAAACAGATCCATAGGGTGAAAGTGAGAAGGCAAGAAGTAGACGGCCTGAAAGATAAGGCTGTCAGATGATCGGCCACAGTGTCATGGGACACATTCTAACCCCAAAATAAGGCAAACCTAGATGAATAACCCCCTTCATACGTAGCATCGAACCAGCTAATAATATCGATTTGCTCTGTAACGTGCTAAGTACCAAGCTGAAAAAGGCCAAGGGCAAAACAGCGAGTGACGGGTGAATCTAAAAATAGGTAACCTTGGTAACCCTAACCCTCTTTTGCTCGGAGCCTATTTCGGGACCAAGCCCTAACTCGAGATGTTAATAAGGTAGCCGGTCAAATTGTGTATAGAAGATGGAAACCTCGGTTCTCACGAAGTTAATCTGTGTTTAGTTTCTCATTTATCTTCAAGCAAGCTAGGCTAGTTACTTTCTCGATATGAGAGCTGAAGATTGTTGTATGCGAAGATAAACGGCGGAACTTGAGGGCACGCCAGAAATTGACCATCAGACGATTTGTCCCGATTGGAACGGAGGAGAGAGTATCTCGGTGTGTCATGATTCTTGACTCATCCATTAATATTGCGTACTTATAACTCACTGCATTGAACGTGGGATATAAATATGGACTGGCCGACTCCTTCATGTCAGGATTCGTATTTACCCAGATTATCCATCGCATTCTCAAGATAGCTCATTGCACACACCATCGAAGAAAACATGTCGCAGCACAAAATAGCAGATGAAGACGAGAAATTCGATCCCGGTTTAGATCTACATGGTTTTATCGATATACTAGGTATAGAGAGACAGAACCCCTGAAAGAGAAGAAACATCGAAAACGACTGGTACGCCTGAAGACCATGTCATGAACAAGCTATATGAAAACGACAGCAATGGGCTAACCGATATCCTTTCAATAAAGTCTGGTAAAAGGGATGAGCTCGGGGACGTGAATGAACCCGGAAGTTCTATTTCAATACGTTCCACGGCAATTCGCAGGATCCCGAGTTTCCAACCACCTAGCTACCCAAATTGTTTTAGAGGCGCATACGGTACTTATCTGTACCATAATACATTCCAAATATTGGATAGTCTATCAGACGTCCATAATTATATCCAACGTTCTTTTTGCAACAGTCGAGTAGTCATTAGAACCTTGTATTTGGCGGGATGAGCCTTTCCAAAACTCCAAAAGACGGCTACCGAAGAATGGTCTTGAAAGGGAGTTATGTGGAGTTTGATCTTCTAGACTATCTATGGAACTACTAAAGATTTTGTATTAAAACTAGACGATCTCTGTTGGGATGTGAAATGGTGGAAGGAAGTTGTAGCGAGCAACGCATTGCCGGTGCTACTTTGGGATGGTTTGCTTGTATTCTGTTACCTAAGTCTGTAGCCACTGACATGATACATTGCATCTGAAGATTCTCAGCTTCTCAGCTCCTTTGTACGGGTTTTTTTTATGCATGTAGTCCTCAAGATTCCTCCTATATCTGCGGTTTGTCTGCTCTCGAGAGACTGAAAAGGGTTGACTAAGTATACCTAGCTAAAACGGTACGTTACGGAGTCCTTCAGGAGATGAAATAATAATAAAATATTATTATATCTGCCCCATGTCATACGCTACGCAGTCAGATGATTGCAAGAAAACGGACTATTGATATCATATTAAGGGAATTGGCTTAAGCTGATACGCCATTGTTGAAATTCTTGAAATCTATACACGCCTTGCACCTGAAACTTCCGTTTGCTTCTATTTGTGTTTGTACAGTTCCATTGTAGTATACATCTCCCCTTACTTAGACAGCAGCAGAAAGTGCCCAGGACTCGTCGACGAATCAGTGTCACGAGGTAGAGTGAAGATTATTGTTTTGTTATGGTATTACTTCTTTAACATTTACCATCGAGCAGTTTTGGAAGATACAGCTCGTAATATATGTGGAAGAAGAGGACAACAAGATATCCACAAATCTTTCAAAGTGGATATCATGGATGAGCCTCATCTTTATGTTTCACGTGGGCACTCATTGATAGAAACTAAAATCATCTGTAGCAATAAAACAAAGGGGTGTTATCGGTAACCCAATTCAGAAGGATGTGTAACCCAAATAGCTCGAGTCACATTCTCAATCTAGTAGCGTCCATATAACCCGTTCGAGGCCCTATATCGTAGCCCTAATGCGGCACCGCCAGCTTGGCCGCCATACTATTACACAAATCTGATGGTAGACACTAAGTTAATAATATCATATATAATTACGTACTGAGTACAGCTTGGGGAAGTACAGTACCACGAAAAAAGTGTTGACACCCTCGTGCGGGTGTTACCAATATTAGGGGGTGCCAACACTTTTTTCATCCCACTGTATCTCAGAAGACGCCCTGTTCCTTTGTATCATTTTATACAAAAATTCCTTAGTCAAACATATAACCATACTGTACCTAGGCACTACGAACAAATCAAACACAATAATAGCCTTTTTCTTCTAAGAGACCTATACAGAACATATATTCCAAAACAATTCAATTCAGTGCAATTTACTTCCCGCCATCCGCCAAATTAAGCAACCCCTCTCCATCAAGCATCATCTTCTCCCACTCCACCATCTCCCTTGCCCCCAATGCCTTGTAGAATTTGATACTTGGCTCATTCCATTTGAGTACAGACCACTCCAACCTCTTCCCCTTAATCTCATACACAACCTCTTTTGCCAAATACCTAAACAACGCTAAACCATAACCTTTCCCTCTAGCGGCAGGTTGCACGTATAGATCTTCAAGGTAGATGCCCGGTGCAGAACGCCAGGTAGAGTAATTGTAGAAATACAGAGCCATTCCTACCGGCACTTTTGAGCCGGGTGGGAAAACGAGGGCGGTGTATGTAGATCCCCTTTTCTGTGACTTGGTGGCGGTGGAATCATTAGGAAAAGAGAGGGTAGCTAGTAAAGATTCCTCTGTTGCTTCGACTTGATCCAATGCATTCTCGTACTCGGCGAGTTCGCGAATGAATTGGAGGATGTATGGAACATCTATATACATTCATCAACATTTATAAATTTCGAAGTCTGGACCCTGCAGAAGCTGGGTCCAGTGCGGGGTGTATAGACTCACCCTCTTCGGTAGCCAGGCGGATAGTTGGTTGTTCAGACATGATTCATATATATTGAATTCTTTTCAATACGCTTTCTTTGTCGCTTATAGAGTTGACAATTCGAAGATTATCAGAAAGACGAGGCTTGAGGCTTATATATTCAGTTGATATTGCAGCACGCCCTTTGACAAGCTTACTTTAGGACGGAAAAAAAGTTTTATAGACCCAATGCCCCACTGTGTGCATAACATGAATACTACGTAGTACCGCCTAAGTAGCCATTACCTACATAAACTGAACGTAAATACTGACATCTAAACAACAATTCTCTGCTGATTCTTGCAGCTTGTACAAATCCATCGTCCACGGTGAGATATTGTCCCCTTTATCACAGAATAAGCAACGGTATATCCCAAATCCAAGTCGTGCTTCTCTTTTAGCGCTTGGCAAATTAAGTGGAATTGTTGACCGCAAAAATAGGCACAACATGCTCGGACGCTTGAAGAACGTATTGACAGGACGAAACAAGGACAAGAAAAAACTCTTACTCCTCCAGTGCCAAGTACTTTAGAATTCACTGCCAGTCCAGACCCAGAGATTGGCTCAGTCGGTCACCAAGCTGAAGAACCCAAGTCTGATAACCACGATGCAAACGATCATTGGCAGATGGCGTACAATGAGTTGAGCGAGAGCGACCGGAACACTCTAGCAACACTTCTCCCGGCAATCACAACCGAGCCCCAGGGTTCTCCGGGTACTTTGCAAGCCTGTACAAAGCCGACTGCGTAAAAGTCATATGCGGCGTGACCCCAAATGCCCTTGCAGTTTCTTTCAACTTAGGAACAAGCTGAATTGCAAGCAAAATCGTGCCGATGACACTTACACCCACAGCCTGCTCTGTCCCATAAGAGAGTTTGTATTTGACAGTTGATACTCCGGCATTATTGAGTAACACATCCAAACGGTCGAGTTTGTTGGCACGCTCCACAAAAGCCTTGATCGAAGCGGGGGGCCTCGATATCGAGTTCCCAGACCTCGAGAACATCTGCACTGCATCGCAACGCGGATAAAATCTCGAGCTTGGCTTGTTCGCCCTTCGATTTACTTCGGCAGGCAATGATCACCTTGCTGGCGCCGAGCCGAACGAGGTGTTTGACGGATTCCTTCCCCAGACCCGAATTACCACCGGTGACGATGGCGACTTTGGAAGCAAATGAAGCGGTGGGCTTGGGAACATTGAGCACCCATTGCCGGTGTATAAAATGACCGAAGTAGGAAGGCATACTTTTTTACTTGAATGATTCGAAAAGAAAATGAAAAAGCAAACTTGCACTTGACCTTGCCTTCATCTTTGGAAGGATATCAATGTCCCTGATATAGAAAGCATTGATACAAAGAGAAAAAATATCCATGGAGATGATGGAGATAGATTGAAGTCCATGGAAAAAACCAGATTCTCTGAGTGGCCGATGCAAATCATTTGACCGGGTTCAACACAGACGCCAGGATTTAGGGATACTGACTAGGGCACCGACGATATTGGCGAATAGAAACACTGTAGCCTAGAAATGGTAGTACTACGCTATCTGCACTAACTTGCTTCACCTGAATAATGCATGTTCTTCCCATCAGCGCATTTTCGTATTAATTTGAGTTCACTGACATAAATCCGGGCCACGTAGGTTTCTCTCTGGGTTACTCCTCCAACACTTGTTTCTACCCGGTACTAGAATCATCACCCATATTGACTAGCTGCCACTCCACTTCACAACCCTCACCATGCAGCACGAACGACAGACCATCCCGGATCCTGTGCCTGTGCACCTATACAAAGCTGGGAGAAAGGCCCGAATTCCCCTTTCATGTGACCCTTGCCGTTCCAGAAAGTGTGTAGCTCAACGACCCCGAGTAAATGAGCATAGTCCTAAAAGATGCGGACAAAACTAGGCTAAAGTGTAATCGTGAGAAACCTTGTCAGAATTGTATAGCTCGCGATGAACGGACGAGCTGCAAGTATCGAGGCTCTAGAAACACACACGGCACCGATAGCCCATGATCAGAATAACCATGAAGATTTAATGCAGCACCGGATAGAGCACCTGGAAGATTTAGTAAAGAGAATCATAGCTCAGGGCCAGATCGGTCTGCCCACAAATGTAGCCAATCAGGAATAATACGTCGAGTGTGGTGTCTATTGCAGATACAGGTTCAACCGTAATCGATGGCGTCCATTCCATCTACAAAGTGGCGGATGATTGGCATAATGTACTAGAAGAGGTTTGTCAATTTCTTTTTCCCTGCCGCCTTCTTCCACTTTTGACTTACAGTTTTCTTGGAACGCACGCCTGTACACTAACTCTGGCTTAGATCAACAAGCTGAAACAGACCTGGTCCCAAAGTCAAGATGACCAGACAAATCATGGCCCCCTATCATACACGGAGGCTGATGGATCCAGCTTGCTCTTTGGCCAAGTCAAACAAATAGAGAGAGCAGAAGTATTGGCGACTTTGCCGTCAAAGCTTGAAGTCGATGAGTTGATTAGGCAGTTCTTCGATTATACGACCTTCCCTCTATCAGTTCCTCGTAAGTCATCTTCATACATTGCCTCATGTTAATCGCAAGCTCACAACCCTACTAGCTATCTTGCATGAGCCAACTTTTATGCGCGAGGTGTGCAATTAGCCCACTTGTCTTGCTGTCTTTACTGATCCGCAATAGTACAATGAGCACTGGAGAGACCCTTCCCAAACAAATATTATATGGCTAGGCCTGCTCTTCTCAATCCTCGGCATTGTTATGCTGTCTTACCATCAATGGGAAGAGCCACCAGAGTACGAAGGAGTCTCAGAGTCGCTATTCCAGCTCTACCGGCTCCGCACAGTCCAGTGTCTCCTCATTGGTGATATTGCTAAATGCCTACCATACACAATCGAAACGCTACGATTTAACGCAACCGCCGAACTTAATCGACAAGATGATAATAGCCGCAATCTATGGATTGTGGCAGGAGTAATAGTTCGGGCCGCGATAAACATGGGCTATCACCGCGATCCTTCTCAATTGACCTCCCTTTCTGTTTTGCAAGCAGAGTATCGACGCCGAGTTTGGAATGCAGTAATGCAGATGGACGACTTGGCCTCGTTCCTAGCTGGCTTCCCCTGTATGATGGGAAATATCTACTCTGATACGAGAGAACCACGCAATATTCACGACTGGGAATTATCTGAAGAGACAACAGTTCTCCCACCTTCGAGACCCTTAAGCGAGTGTACGCCGGTGACCTATATAATTGTCAAGGGATGTATAGCTCATGCTGTTGGCCGCATCACCGATTTCAACAATCTTCCAGGTGAAGGTTCCTATGATACTGTACTGAACATTGACAAATCCTTGTGTGAAGCATATCAGAACATGCCCTCACACATGAAGGTTTTTCAAGGCAAGCGAGACTTGAGTTCATTAAATCGTCAATCCGGAATATCCGGCGTGCAGCTCGAATCCCTGTACCACAAAGGAATTTGTACTCTGCAAAAATTTATCGCGAAAGCTAGGTTGGATCCTCAATACAAACTTTCTCGCGAGCGATGCCTCTCCTCAGCCTTGGCAATTCTAGATTATCAGCATCTGTTAGATTCATCCTGGTATAAGTTTTCAGGAGTCAGGCAGATGCTCGCTTTCGCCGCTATGATATTGTTTCTCGAGTTGGAACACGGACGCAAGGGCCCGGATCTTAAACCACCATATGATTGTGCGGTTCTTTTGCATGCGTTGGAGACATCTTGCGCCCTTTGGAGTAATGCGAAAGGGTCTTGTGAGCAGGCCCATGCGGTATATCAGATTCTATCTGGTATACTTTCGAGCTTTCAAACTTCGACGGGGAGTAGCTATTCTCAGAAAACAAACGGAAGTCCCGATTCGACGTTTGAAATGTCAGGACAGAGTTCGCACTTTCAACCACTTGATCGTGGTATGTCCATGGAGAAGGATATGTTCCGGATGTTGAATGGTGAAATGGATATTGATTGGGTTGGTGTCTCCCGTCTGTATGTGCGAAAGTATTTATATACTAATCCAGGTACAGGCTACATGGGATGTGTTCATCGAAAAAGCAAATTTTGAAGACGGGATCGTATGTCAAGATTGGCTAACGAGTTAGATCTCTATCTGAAGCGAATACATTCCACTTTGGATTGGATTCAAGTCTTCGTCTACGGATTGTACTCCCCGAATTCTCTCTTTTTAAACTACCAATAGAATACCCAACATCTGTGAATGACATTGTTTGCATGTATTCATAAATCTTTACTTCTAGAAAGCCAAATTTTTCGTGGGGTTCAGGGAAACAATGTGTCAAACTATACTTTCTAGAGCAACAACCATCTATCAATTGCACATCTCACTTGTTCATCTGGGACAAAGTCACAGATCAAAAAAAACTGCAGGACCATATTCAAACTGAACAGATATCTGATTCACTCGATATTTCAAAGGTTTTGGGTCTCTTTTTTTCAACCCATACATTCAACCCCTTTTGCCTGAAGAACCACGTTTTCTCAACTCGGAAGGCCTTCGGATCTATGATATGCAACTGTATACTGTTAGATTTGTAAATATCATGATGTATTGAAACTTACATTGTAGTTAAGAACAAGGAATGCGACGAGCTTTTTTATTTCCATAAGCCTAATATGTTTGCCTATGCACACACGTCGCCCAGCACCAAACTGTTAAAAGGTTAGAAACAGGTAATTGTCGAGAGATTATGTGGGAAACCAAACTGACCGTCAAAACACTCCTACCAGTTTTTGCTTATGTTTCTCATCCTGCTCGAGCCACCTATCCGGCCGCTAAAATTCAGCATCTTGGCCAAAGGTTCCCTTATGGCGATTAACAACATATGGACTACCACTGATGACAGTCCCAGCAGGCAAATAATGCCCCAAGACTGTGATTCCTCCGTCGGGTACAATACGCTCAAAAGGTAGAGCGAATGGTGGATGCATTCGGATACAGTAATAGACCTAAGGAGTTACCATAGAACAGGAGCCTTGATGCATACTTCATCATAGATATCCTTCGCATTGAGCTCCTTAGGGGAGTACGTGGCGTTAAATTGGCCAAGAAGTGGAATGTCCTGCTTTAATATATAAAGCTCCTTCCTAATCAACTTGCTCATACTATCAATAAGCATTGAAGGGATCAGCTCATTATTATCTATAAAGATTTACCGTCCTTCAGGTTGCTCAAGGAGAGCTTTCCGCAAGGCCTTAACACGGGTCTTAGTATTGTGGGCATATGGAACTGGCTGCGCAGTTGCCATATGCCGTATGAAGTCTTTAATACTCCATCTGGGAGCAGTATTCATGAATTGATAGATCGATTATATACACTCTCCGTTGCTAAGACCAGGCATATATCCGTCAGATAATCCGGATTACAAAAGAGGCAGAGAGATCCGACATTCGATCTTACAGGTCTAAAAAGGCACCTTAGGGCATATATCTGGGCACCGAGATTTCAGCCCAATGTTTACCCCTCATGATAGCTCACAAATCACCCCGCCAAAGATGTTATAAAAACACAGCTTTGAAACTTGATGGACAGGGGGAGAGAGAGAGAGAACGGAACACAGACAATCTTGCTAGTCACTTCTTTTTCCTTTTTTTGTAAAACTGCTATTCAGGATTGGCCTGAAGTTAACCCAACAATCCGACAAAACTGAGATAAGGAGCGTTGATGTTGACCTAAGCTTTGTATAGTAGGCTTAGATGTGTGAATGAATCAATCAATCAATCGATGTGCACGGACAAAAAGCGTGGAATTGATTATCAGCATGCATAGTAGTACTCACTATGTGCATTATGCTGAGGAACTTTGCCACACAACCCGTTATGGGAAATCTATGTGTTTGAATAGCGATCTTACGAATCACTATACGGCGCTGTAGCACGCCGTCGATTCGTACGCGAACTGGTCGGGATTACTATTCTCCGTGCGCTAGAGCGACCAACACCATATAATGTATCTAGGCACCCCGGCCCCCCCTAGTTTCGGGGGTCAGTCTTTTTATAATATTACATTTCGTGCTATATAGCAAGGCTCACCACGTAGGGCAGTTGGATCGCCCTAGCTTACGATATCCTACGCTTCGTGATACGGGACGTAGCTAAACCAACACTATGTTTGCTGACATGGTATGCTCTGATTGACTGGAAAACTCGCCTATGCTCTCTTTCTGTACCCTAACAGAGACCTGAAACTTGGCTGGCGGTTCTAGAGTAACTACTAAATCTGATTCAAGCTTTACTTGGTTTATTGAATCACCAATTGGAGAGAAATACATTCTATACCGAAACATTCAATTGAACTCGTTGGGAGGACATATCACGGCTCTCATAAATATTGTTGATTGTGTGTACAGGAATCCCCAGGTGTTAAGTATCAGCACCGGAATATTAGTTATTCCGCTTCTCCTGCCTGGGGATATCCCCTTTACTTGCATGTAATTATCCTTCTATTTTGGAAATATGCTGATACTGATATAAATGTACACAAAGTACGTCCAAGTGTCATACTGTAAGGGCTCATTCAATAGTCATATTGGAAGCTAAGTACAAGAATACCAAACATGGAGAAAGAAAGAAAAAGCTAGGAATGTGAGGCTATCTGCAAACAAGATGTATTGTTGTGATCACGTGACAGAATCACGATATTGGAATCTTTTGGTACTAGTCCGAACGGGGTTAGGCTCTGATAGGAGTTGTACAATTTGGGTGAGGAATAATTGACTCTGATTTGCACGTCTTCTAAAACATAGCTAACTACACATCTTGATCCTCTTTATATACACATCATAGTGGCAAAGTATCACGGATTTACGGGATAAATGACCATCCTGACTCCAAACTGTAGGCTTGAGTTTGGCTCTCATGTTCTCACGGATATGTCGTTATTCCGAGGAATCATGATTAGTAATGACATCCTGATTGGGATTAGCGTATCAAATATCCAACACACCCCTCCAGGAATGGAAGCTTAGAGCTTTTTATTCCTGTGTCAAATGGCCTATATTCACTAGTCCTTGGTGTTTTCTCCAATCTAGGAACGGCTGACCGCGTAGGATCTTGGTAAGTCCATCTGCAGCCATTCGCTTGGTGTCCACCCATTCAATCCGGAGGCGCTTCTTGGAGATCTCTTGCCTTAGCCAGTGATGATATATATCAACATGTTTGAGATTCGTTCGAAACTGCGGTTCTTCACTAGTCAATAGTGCAACAGTCTGCTTGTTATCGCATTGGATAGAGAGCTCTCTATCAGGCTTGAAGCCAATTGACCTGAAAACACGTTTCCAAACTTGAAGCCTCTTGGCGGCCTCGGTGGCAGCTCGGAGTTCGGCTTCGGTGGTTGATGTCGTGACTAGGCGTTGTTTTGTGGCTCTCCAGTCGACTGAGCCCCCATATATTTGGACCAAATAACCCTCGGAACTTGTACGGTCGGGGTTGTCTCCAAATGAGGCATCTGAGGCACATATAAACGCGTCTTTCTCAGGATTTTGCGGTGGTGAGAATTCAATAGCTAGGAAGCGAGTGTTATAAAGATATTGGATAACCCTCCTTATCTGCTGGAAATGGGCGATTGAAGGATTTTTCGTGTGTTTGGCTAGTTCGTTGACAGCCTTTGCAACGTCGATCCGTGTCATGATAGAGGCATACAGGGCGGATCCAACAAGCTCTTGATAGGCGTGAATCTCTTGATTAGTTGCTTCTCCTTTTGAGGCCTCAATATTGCCAGATATTGGTGTGTCGACGTTGTTCGTGGTGTTGATATTGAACTGACTGGCTATCTTCGCGATATAGGAATCCTGACAGAGCCAAATCTTTCTCTGGGCTCGGTCACGAAGGATCCTAATGTTCAGAAACCATTCGAATTTATCCATTTTTCGGAGCTCGTATTTGCTCGTAAGGCCTTTCTCAGTTTCTTCGAAAATAGCTTGTTTTTTGTCCTTGTCGTAGAACACAAGGATGTCATCAACAAAAAATAGTATAAGAACGCCATTTTTGATAAATAGACATTCTTCATCAGGTATTGGAACAAATCCCAGGCTTAATAAGGTCGTTGTTAGTTCTTTCTGCCATAACCGAGGACTTCTCCGTAATCCGTATAGAGCTCGCCGTAATTTTATGACCTTGCCACTTTGTTTGAAGCCATCTGGACACAATGTATAAACCTCCTCATCCAATAGACTGTTTATGAAGGCATTCACGGCATCGTATTGCACAATCTCCAAGTCGAATATAGCGGCTAGAGCCATCATCAGCCTAAAATTTCGGGCTGCCAGTGTGGCTGCTCGCTTCTCGAGCTCATTGGGCTGTTGTAGATCACCGCGCACACAGATCCTTGCTTTGAACTTTGAAAGTTTGCCATACTTGTCAAATTTGTATTTGAAAACCCATGTCAGTGGTAGAATATGCTTATTTTGAGGTCTAGGAACAAACTCAAACGTGCCTTTCTTGTTTAAAGCTTCAAACTCGGTTTTCGCAGCTTGTATGAACTGATTTTTGAATTTGTGTCGTAAAACGCCTGTCCAATTCTTAGGTTCTGGTGGAAGCTGTTCTGTAAGTGGTTTTTCAAGCTTTTCTAGTGCAGCTAAAAGGATTTTGTCCGTTGTCGAATCTTGTAGCAACTTTTGCCTGGCTAAAAATGCGCGGCTGAGTTTTTTGTGCTTCTTCCTTGATAAAGAGCTTGATTCTGGACTTAGGGCTCTTTTTGACGGTACTCGAATCCTGGGTCCTGTCACTATATTGCTTTCTGAGAGGTCCGCGTTAATCTCCTGTGCTCGAGAGGTACTAAGGGGTTCCTGAGTTCCTGTTGACTCATTCTTTTCGCTTGAATGCTGAGAGGCTCCTTGAGGCGGGGTAGGTAAGTCGTTGTTGACGTTATTTGCTTTTTCTGCATCATGATTGGCTGAAAGCCTTTCCATGGTCACGGGACTTGAAGATTGAGGAAGCTGTTTGTCGCTGGGGATATTCTTATCCTCGTCAACTTCTTCCTTGATATTATCCTCATGCTCCACCCCTCCAGCTGAGTCGATTTTCAACTTCTTCACCACGGATTTCTCACGATTGTCAATTTGTGTCGCTTCTTGGGCTTCATTTTCGGGATTTTCGTGGTCAATATCCATAGTATCCTGATCCGGCTGGGTTGGTTCGTCAATCTCCATGTTTTGTGGCACATCTTGTTGGATGTCCAGTGCTTGACCTGGCCTGCTAATATCCATGGAATCATGAAGTAATGTGCCTCCAGTATTTTCAATATTTGACACAACTGGGCTGACCATGCTTTGTAGATTCATATCTTCGTCAACTGAGTCGATTATATCGTTTTGCTCGATGTCTTCAAGATTTGGTATGTCAACGTTGTCAACGTATCTCTGCACACCTTCTCTGACAATCTCTTTAGCAAATGGATGTTCTGGGTCATATTTCTTCATCTCGTCGAAGATGACGTCTCTGGCGCGTATGACTTTCGATCCATTAGGTCCAGTAGTCCATATCTTCCAGATATTGTGAGCTTCATATCCCACCAAGAATCCTATCTGGGCGCGCAGAGCCATCTTCTCGCTTTTCTTAGTGTCCACTCTGACATATGCCTTAGATCCGAATAGAAACAGATTCCCAACGTATGGTTTCGTCCCATGAGCCATCTCATATGCTGTCTTATAGCCCAAGGCTTTTATCGGAGTTCTGTTTAGGATCCAAACGGCAGCTTTCATAGCCTCTGGCCATAATCCTTGAGGTAAGTTGGCTTCCTGGATTAGGCTGCGAGATTTCATGCTGATAATTCCTCCAGCTCGCTCGCTTGGGCCGTTTTGCTCTGGTGTATCTGGCACGGTGACAATCAGTCTGATTTTTCTCTTTTGAGAATAGTCCCTGAAGCTGATTCCATTAAGCGATGACTCTCCGTCTAGTTGGATCTCCTCAATCCTTGTCTTGAAGGTATGTTCGATCTCTTCAATCATGTTTTCAAGGTTGAAGTTGACTGACTTTGTACGAGTTGTCGTTAGGATGTGAAACTTCGTGTATGGGTCAACAGCATGCAATGCATATGAATCCTTGTTCATTGCAAGATTCATGACAATAATATCCACAAATAACTTTTGGAATGGCCTTGTCGGTGGCGTCATTGGAACTCTGCTGATTTTCTTGCGTATCTTGGTGATTGCACAGACTTCGCATTTTTCCTCGAATCCTTCCTCGTTCCTTTTTTGGAACGGTGCGGTAATGTTTGCTCCCTCAGTGGCCTTCTCTATGTTTTCAATCGATTTATTGGATACGTGGGCGAATCTCTTATGCCATACCTGTGCGGGATCCTTCAGTATTCTTTTGTCAAACGAACTTAAGGCTAACTCCTTTGATAGGGATGTCTTAGAATTCTTATTCGAGTTCCATTCAAGCAGATATAGCTTGCCAGTGCATTTGACATGGCAAAGGTCCTCGTTTGTTCGCTCGCTCCACAATCTGTCGGTTTTTCCATCGTATTTGATACCGTGGCTCCGAAGCTGGCTCATTGAGATAATTGTTGTAGGAAACCCTTCCACATACCACATTTCCAAGATCCGTATTCCTTTGCATATAACTTTATCGCTAATAGGATCTGTTGGGTGAAGGATGTACTGTCCTGGTCCATACATTTGGATCTCTGTTTTTCCGGCCATGATTGTTCGAACATTCGACTGCATATTAATAAGCTTATCCCGTTTATTGGTGATATGAACTGTCGCTCCACTGTCGAGTAAGGTCATCTCCTTAATATCAAGATTTCTGCTTGAGGCTGACAGTGCTGTACTGATCGGTGGATTTAGAGATGGTTGCTTGGCGTTGAGAAGTATGCCAATATACTCATCCGAATCATACAATAAATTTGCTGATTCTTTATTCCCATTGTCATTCTTAGCATCAGTTAAAAATGAGACTTTCGTCCCACTACTGCCTTCTTTTTCCAGTTTCTTCTTGATTCTTTGGAGCATTTTTGCTCTGGGATGTCCATGACGTCGCTCTAGTTGCTCGAACTTTTTCTGTATGGCTTCATCTGGTTTCCAATTGACGGTACGTTTCTTCGAATTCACATATGGGCAATCTTCAAATAGATGTTCCTGACCGCATATGCAGGTTCTCGTCTTTTGTTTGGGTGTTGTGTCTTGTTTTTCCTTCTCTGTCTGGTCGGATTTATCGCCAAATGTCGCCATAGCAATATCCCGTCTGGAAGGTGGATTAGATTTGGTATACACCTCTTCCCATTGTTCGAATTGACTAATAATCTCATCAACTGTTGGTATTTCTATTAGATTGGTAGCTCCAGAATCAAGATCGAATTCGATCATACGGGTGGTCCATGTCTCATAGAACTTGGGTAAAACATTCTCAGTTGTTTTGATGAAGTCCCTGGTTAATCGGTCGTCCGGAATCTCAGTGAATTTGGCGAATTTCATGTCAATTATTAAATCTCGCCATTTCTGAATCAACTCTTTTGGTTTCAAGGAATTTTTCGTCATTATGAGCTCTCGATGCTGCTCATACAGCTCTTCTCGGTTGGTTTGGAGCAAGCTCTTTCTAAGCTTTCGTATTATTTCAGAAACTTCGCTGATTTCTCGAATCATAGGCTTATGTCCAATGTACACAGTGTCGAGAATATAAGAACGCATATGCTTCATACGTTTCTGGTGTTTCTCGTACCGACTGAGTTGTCGTTCGTATGTGTTGGATTCAATCTGATATTTCTGTAATAACAGCTGCGCTTCACTTGTTTTGCTGAAGTCTATCTCAGGCGCAACTGGCTCCGTAGGCTTGGCTGGTGCGGGCTCAAGTACCATCCGGTTTGGGTCAGGGTTAATGTATTCCCATACATTCTCCTTCATTGCCTCCGTGCTAAGCTGTTCGATCCATTTTCTCCAGTCGTCTGTCGTTTTTAGGATTACAATGTTCTTCCTGGTATCCATTGCTAATATCTTGTATTGCTCTTGGATCGTTTTGAACTGTATCACAATCGAGGACGCTCACTGGTTTGGTATCGTGGCTGGCTGTACAAGATTTCCGAATTGAGGATTGATCTGTGAATAGCTTCAAGTGTAGCTCACAGTGATCCCGGGCTCATAACTATTGGAATCTTTTGGTACTAGTCCGAACGGGGTTAGGCTCTGATAGGAGTTGTACAATTTGGGTGAGGAATAATTGACTCTGATTTGCACGTCTTCTAAAACATAGCTAACTACACATCTTGATCCTCTTTATATACACATCATAGTGGCAAAGTATCACGGATTTACGGGATAAATGACCATCCTGACTCCAAACTGTAGGCTTGAGTTTGGCTCTCATGTTCTCACGGATATGTCGTTATTCCGAGGAATCATGATTAGTAATGACATCCTGATTGGGATTAGCGTATCAAATATCCAACACACGAACCCCCCTACGTAACCCTAGCATGTGACTACGTAAACCAAACTCTGCAAATAACCTCATTACTGACCGTCACACATACTACATTTACCAAGTTTCGCGATTTGCGTTTTACCTTTTTATAATTATGCCATCCGGATATCATATAGACTCTGAACAACGACAAGATCATGATCCTCCCTGTGTGGATGAGACTGGGGACAATTATGGCTATTATAGACTAATTAGTGAGTTATCCAAAGTAACCTCATTTATTATTGCTAGAGAGCAAGGTCTGATTATGAACTTTTTGGAAGGACACTGCTTGGGGAGCTGTATTGCCAGTTTGAGCTGTTTTCCATGCTGCTTTTGCTTCCCAAAAGGCTACAAAATCATCGAAGAAGGCCAAAGTGCAGCCGTTTTGGAATTCGGTAAATACAAAAACACTGTTGGGCCCGGGCTTATCTACATCAACCCGTATACACAATATTTGAAGATATTCAATATGAACATCCAGACTATCACCGGTGAAAAGCAGACAGCTAGGATTGAAGATGAAACTTACAGAATTAAACTGACCATATCTTATAAGATTATCGATATGTCGGCAGCAGCAAGGTTTAGGGGGAATATTGAGGAAGCTCTGAAACGGCATATACAGGAAGAAATTCATTTCGCCTTAACTGATAACGACAAGTGGCTTGCTCGTAACCAGCAATTGAAGGGAATTCATGAGCAATTCAATAAAAACAAGAGGGATTGGGGCATTGAAATACAGATATCACATTTGATGGCCTACCATGTATAACAGATTCTCCACCAACTGCAGGAGACAAAGAGACTCAACATTGTACTACTACTTTACACTGTCACGCATGTCGCATTGAGGGAGCTGGTAGTTGTGGAGATCATAAAAACTAATAAATTTCATTTTCCGGATTTCAACTGACAGAATCTAACAAGGTAGCAGGCTCTTGTAACAGTACTGGAACAGCACAATATGATATCTGTGACAAGCCACACCAACTAGGTGAATAACGTGAGGTCTCCTGTCAACTACTCACACATTCATAAGAGGGATGTTTCTTGTAGCTAGGATTCTTTCTTCTCAAGCTTCAGTCTCTGTATGTTAGCAACAGTATTTTTGTTAATGAACATTGAAGACAATGAAAACTTCTACCATACTTATATTCCTCCTGCCCAACCATCGGATCAACCTCCTATTACAGGGACCAGCCTTTTAGGTGGCACTCGGCTGGCGAGGAATAGGGTGCAATGCGCCCTGCTCGCATGGCCGAACCTGGGATGACCATTACGTACTACCAAGCATTTCGAATGATACCATCCGATCAGAAATTATATTTCTGAGCGAGAGAAAACCCTTGCTGGTGATAGCTGGGCGAGTGTAACAAAAACTGGTGATGTGGGTCTAAAGGCCATTTAACTCCTGAATTTGACCGTACATGCACTAAGAATAATATTATTCCAGCCTGTATGCCCTCCTCATTCCTCCCATCTTTTATAGCCTCTTGATGTTGGCTATTTTCCTGTTTTAAAGCGGAATTATGGATGGCTTGTTGAGCAGCAAATGAGACTTGGGTTCAATCACATTGACGAAATCGACTTTCTCACTGTATTTCCAACGGCCCATACAATGGCATACGAAGCTCAAACTGTTCGAATAGCTTTGCAGCAACTGGATTAGTACCATTTAATCCGGATCGAGTTTACCAACAGCTTACTGTTCGATTGAAGACTCCAACACCCCCTCCAAGTCGATCAAGCAATGCACAGTCATCTTGCTTACAGAGAACGGGAAGTATAGATAATGGTGCTCCAAATCTGGCTCGGCTTGTGACTCTTAGGAATGATGGTGAGAAACGGACATTCCCGACAGCTGAAGTAAGGCCGTGATGGTGGAGGATGAACTATGTCCGCACAAAATTATGCTAGCTTGATTAAATGTCTTTCTAGCGCTGGTGATTGAAAGCTCCTTAAGCTTTCAAGGAGATACCTCAACTTGCATTGCATGAGTACTTATATACCACTTCACTATGTAGTTATTCTCTATAGCGCAAAAACGTCTTATTTTGAAGGCATGCTAACCGCTGGCCACCCTCATGAATCAGACCTCATGAATATGGACTCCTTGGTTTAAAAGTGTAAAGCCTGGAGTGCTAAATGACTTACTGACATGTTCAGAATATATAAATGTGGACTTCGTCAATTTTCTCTTTTTGAATTTGTATTGGCAGAGCAAGAGCTAATTCGTGTCCACACGTTCAAATCTGACTCCGATGGATTGCTAGGAGGCACACCAGTCTTTGAGGTTTTGACAGTATGTCAGGATTCGACCCCATCCATGCTATTTGGCATCTTTTCTCGCATGATTGTAACAACGTTACGAGGGATATGTATAATTACGTTCGAGAGGGATCACCGAAGGCTAAGAAAACAAGGTAGGGTGTGGAATTGCAATGTACTGAAACCTCTCTTCCCTGGACTTAGTTAACCTAAATCATCTGTTTAGTAGCGAATATCGGTAGACTCACCGCAAGATCATCAAGCGGATAGGCTTGTAGATAATCTTAGCGAGGTTTTAAGACCCTTTTATCATCACCATTATAAACGGTCTGCTTGTAAGTATCAACGCTCAACCAAGGAAGCCTGTAAACCCATTTGTAGGGGTTAAATCTAAACCATCGGAGAATTCTCAAGCAGCTTTGACATAGCTTCGACATTTGGGATAGTCACTATAACCTTGGAAGAGGACGCCAAAGTGATCGCAAGTAGCCAGCTTGTAGGTGTGAAGGCAACAGGATATATATATATTTTGACATGGACCATTGCACAGTGAGATATGCTGTGCTGTTCTCTAAATGATATCGTCGCTTAGTAGGACTGTTAAAATACGACACGGAATTATCATATCCATTTCAAGTGTTAAATAGGCCTTGTTATCATTGTGGTAGCCCTCTTGGAGACCGCTCGACCGTTCGAGATGCTGAACCGTCAATCCGAACGCCACTCCAGTAGTTGCACCATTTCACAGAACGGCAATTCGGTATTCCTCTCAATTTCAAGTACAGCACGTAATGGTTTGAGGATTACATCAACTCTGTTGGTACTCCGCCATACTGACCGTTCGGTGTCATGAAAATGTACCGGCTATCGAATCAACCACCTTATGAAATGCGACAGCTTGCGGTAGCCATCATTGTGATTTCCTCCAAGCACTGATGTACCATTGAGAAGGAATAGTGCTTCACCATCGGAAGTAACGGTCCTCTTCTTCCTAATCTTTTTCAATACAACCGACTCAGCGTTGCACCAGTTCCATTGGTATACGTCTGAAAATATCTGTGAACACACTTCAAAATGGCTTCTTCTCGTGCAGTCGAGGGTGTCAAAGAGATTGTTACGGGAGACTTTCAAACGAAAGGCATCAACAAGATTGGCGACGACGGTCATATGGTCGACGTGAATGACTTCAAAGTCATTCATGATACTCCAAAGGACTGCACAGACATGTTGTCATGCCCTAGCAACCGTAGTGTAAAGCCGCGGGATTTGTTTCAATACGATAGAGATACACTTTCGGAGTACCCTATCCAAAATCGCCCTATCCTATGGTCGAATGAATTCAGGGTATGCACCAAAGAAGATGAATGTTTAAAATATATCAACTCTGCCCTACCCATACAGCATGATACCGAACCCCGACACTTCCAAGGTTGCTGGGCCCTTGAGACAAGACTCAATAATCAACATAATCCGCACAATGCCCACACCATCCGCAATCCTTGTCACAAAGAGCATGATTATCTCCGATATCTGAGTAGTCTTCGCCATATGATGAGCCCGAATGATACGAATTGCTTCCGTTGCGTTGAGCCTTTCCCCCTTTTCGCCATGATTTCGTGGGTTGGTTCGCCCCGGCCTTGACGAAAGCTATAGGCTCCTTCGTCCAATGGAGGGTGCTTGATTGTGACTTGTTATCCGTGATGGATGGATTATGTGTAGACGTCTCATTTCCCGTGTCACGATCAGCTGCTGGCTGTGCTCTTTCTTGAGCATGGAGAGGGGAGTCGCTAGTATGTTGCGTCATAGCTTCGACTGTTGCAAAGCGTTTACCGCACTTGCACCGGATGTTCTTTGCAATTGCCATGTTGTATGGGATTGAGGATATCACAAGTGCAGAGAGTAGAATAAGTGATTTCTTGAAAACTGTAAAGGAAGACTTGCTATCATTGAGGTCAGGCTGGATATCAATACCCCGCAGACTGGAAGACATTCTAATCTATCGCGCCTAAACAATCCTTTACGGTACTATGTATTTGCACAATAATCCTACGGCAATCCCCATGCTAGACTTAATACTCCTTGCCGTCTCTTACGGTACTGCCCGTCTAACCCTGAGTAATCTACTGTCCATAATTACTATTGAACCTCGATCCTATTCCCCTTTCGAACCTTTAGTCATCCTGTTACTCTGCCGCCAGTTTCATGATGAGCATACCGCGTTTCCGACATCTTCACCATCGGATTTTCCGTCCATCCACGACAATACCATTCGTGTTACTACTAACATCACCCTCTCATAATAATCTCGCCCGACAGGTATATCTAATAATATAGTCTAGCCCCATTGATGTAGGACAGCAGAGAATCTCGGCCGTTGACTCGTTAGCAGGTAACACGCCCAAAATCATGATTACTGAACATGTCCATCTTGACCTCGGCATTATTCATACATTGCATGTTTTGAGTCGTATATGTAATCGAAATTAATAATCGAGCATATAACTAAGTTACCTCGTTTAGCTTCACCCATAATTGGTAATCAATCATCCTCCCTTCTACATGTAGGAAGTATATAAGAGGGCATGAAGACCCTTCATCCGTCCTGATCCATAGCAAGCCTCAAATCCCATCCAACCTCACCTAGGTATATTTGAAGCACAATGTCAGACCACAAAACAAAAATCTTCATAATCGGCGGCACCGGCGCCCAAGGCATCCCCGTCATCACCGGCCTCCTCACCGACAAAAAATATCACTGCAAAATCCTAACCCGCGATCCAAACTCTCCTCGCGCAAAACAACTCGCTGCCCTTGGAGGACTAGACATCTCATTCATACAAGGCACATTCGCCGATGAACAGACCCTAAAAGCAGGCTTCGAGTCCTGCGACGGCGCATTCGTGAATATCGATGGTTTCAACACGGGCGAAAAAACGGAAATGTTCTGGGCTATTCGTGCGTATGAATTAGCGCTTGAATCGGGAGTGAAGTTCTTTGTGTATGGGAACTTGGATTATGTTTATAAAAAGTCTGGATATGACCCGAAATTTCGAACGGGGCATTATGATGGTAAGGGACGGATTGGGGAGTGGATTTTACAGCAGACGCAGCAGAATGGGGGCAGGATGGGAGCGGCCCTGTTTACGACTGGGCCGTATATGGAAATGACTATCGCCAAGGGGACGCCGATGACTCCTACCGTTGAAGAGGGGGTTGTGACATGGCGTGTCCCGCTGGGACAAGGGGCTGTTGTGCACGTCTCCCTACAGGATTGTGCGTATTATGTTCGCTGGTTGTTCGATAATCCAGCCAAAGCAAACGGGATGGATCTCGAAGTCGCAATCGCACATATTGATTATGCTGAAATGGCGACTGCGTTTGAGAAGGTTACTGGTCATCCTGCACGATACATCGACACGGACCTCGAGACGTATTGGTCCTCTGGGCCCTTGAGTCGAAATGCTGATGCTCCGGCCGGATATAGTGCTGACCCTACCGACAAGTCGACAATGACTATGAGGCAGAATTTCACCGGATTTTGGAATATGTGGAAATACTCTGGGAAAAATGCCGGCGTTGTGAAGAGGGATTATGAGCTTCTGGATGAGATATATCCGGATAGAATCAAAAGTGCTGAGGAGTGGTTTAGAAGGGAAGACCAGCGAGGAAGAGAGTTGGGGTTGGGAGGGTTGTGGGAGAGGGTGCAGAAAGATAGTATTAAGCCTGTGCTTAAGATTGCGGAGGATGGGAGGAGGGGGCGTCTTTGATCTTATACCTTTCTAGAGGCTGTGGAGGGTGATTGTTGTGCCTGTTGGTGGTTATCTGGTTGAGGTTTCTATCAAAGTAATGGTATTATTGCAACTACACTGTCCATAAAGGGATCAAACACCACACCGGGCAAGAAGATAGTATATACATTCCTCGAATTAACCTATAATACACTGTCCACTATCCCTACCTATACACCTCATCTCGACATCACAGCAGACATCCACCTCTGCTCATCATTCCTATCACCAGTTAGTCACCACCTCACCCCAAATGTTGGGGAAACTCACCGATCAAAATGCAACAACATCGCTAGCACCGGTATAAGCTGTTTCTGATAATTCTTATCCTTTTGCTCCAAAAACTGCAACAACACATTTTTCAGGTATATGTAATCAATCGACCCTGCCGTCTGACTTCGCTCGGTAGGCGTCTCGCTCCTCGCGACGGATGGATTCCGTTCCCTGGATCCTCCAGATGTGATTCCCGGCCTGCGTGAATCAATGGATGAACGTGAAGACGTAATTCCCGATTCCATTGTCGACGGTCTTTTAGCCATGCCGTTACCGTTATTTGTACTGCCGGCACGATTAATCTCCTCTGTCAACGATTTATTCGCTTTCCGTAACCTCTCAAGTCGAGAGGTCGTCTCCTCGATCGAGCGGCGTAATTCCGCTTTCTCCTTTTCCATATCTCGAACTTGTCGCTCGCTTTCGTCTAGTGCATCTCGCAGCTGAACCATCGCTTGGCGAATTTCCTTGGCTTCTTGTGTTGATCGCTCCGCTTGAATTTCCAAATCATCTCGTCGTCGTTTCCAATCTCGTTGCGCATATTCCAATTCTTCCTTGTCGTTTTCTGCTGTTTTGAGCGCTTTCTCGGTTTCTCGGACTTTGGTTTTTAGTTCCTCCAATTCCCTTGCGCGTCGTCGTCCCATCGTAGTTGCCTCTTCTTCAGCTTTATCGCGCTCTTCAATGGCGGCTTCGAGTCGTTCTTTGTAATCCCGGATTTTGGCTTCTGTGCGGCCTTCAATTTCATTCAGCAAACGACGCATGGTCTCGCCTTCACGGCTTCGTTCCGTCAAGAGGCGATGCGCTTCGGCGAGTTCTTCTTCCAGGCTTTCGCATCGTTCACGCGCTTCTTTCATCTGCATTGCCATTTCAGACGTCTGGTCGCGCATGCTGGTCATCAAGCTTTGTGCACTAGCGTGTTGAGCTGTCTTGAGCTGAATTTCTTCTCGGAGACCGATCAGTTCTCTATCGAATTGGGCGGATTTCTCTTCTGCCTCTCGCATTTTCGCGCGTAGATTCTTCAACTCTTCTTGTGCTCTAGACAAGTCCTTTAAAAGTCTCTCTTGCGTGTCTATAGCTTGCTGTTTCCGTGCTTCACTCTGCCGCAGATCAGACTTGGTAACAGACAAAGCGTCCTCAGCTTTGAGCCGACTATCAGTCTCCTGTCGAATCTTCTGATTAAGAGTCTTGACCTCATTCTCACGATCCGCGATACTCGACTTGAGCGATTTGACTTCTGCCCGCAAATCGTCATGCTTATTCTCTAATTTCTTAAACTCAGCCGTCTTCTTATTCAGCTCCTCCTTGGTAGTTTTCAACTCTGCAGACTCGGCACGCAAATTTCGCAGCTCCGGTGTCAACTTTTGCATCGTGTTTCTGAGATCAGTCAAATCCTTAAACCGCGACGCGGCCAGTTGTTGAGCGGCAGAAAGATCTTTCTCCAATGTAGTCGATTTGTGCTTCAGTTCCTCAAATTCAGCTTTCAAATCGGTATGCACTTTCTCGGAATCGGCGGTTGCGGATGCATGGTTCGTACGCAACTCGGCTACCTCCTTTTCAATCTTTGCTCTTGCTTCCTCTAGAGCAGCCTTTTCGGCTTGTAGAGCTTTGACTTGGTCTTTGGCTTCGACGTGTTCCTGGCCGATGTGAAGAAGTTCGTCTCGCAGAGATTCGATTTCTTCTTTCAGGTCCTCCTCGCCCTTTAGTTTTGCATGTAACCGGTCAATTGCTGCTTCTTTTTCGGTGAGTTGCTCGGTCAGCTCTTCAACCTTCTTTTCCAAGGCAGCTACATCTGTTGCCTGCTCCTTTGATGCCTCGGGTGTCTCTTTGGTGGCAGGCTCGTTATTCTGCTTGCCAGTTTTCTTCTTTTTGTTCTTCTTCTTCTTAGAGCCAGTGCTTTGGTTCTCAGCAGCAGGCTCTTGAGCTTCAGATTTCTCAGACAGCAAAATCTGACGCACGTCATCAAAACTAGCCATCTTTCCGGCCACAACAGACTCTCGCGTCGTCTTCCACTTGGGCGAGAAATCAAGACCATCATCTACAAACTTGGCAATTCGCCCCAGTCCTTCTAATTGAGAACCCTTTTCTGTAAGCTCCGTGCGAAGCGAGGATACAGTATCCTCTCCTTCTTTGACCTGAGTCTTTAACTTATCGACCAGTCCCTCAATAACTCCAAGTCGTTTTTCCTTGTCTGCTTTATCTTTTTCAATGAGAGAAATCTTCTTGTCAAGTTCCGAGGTATCGACTTGCGACTTGGTATTGGCAGCCTCCGACTTCAAACGATCGAGTTCCTCTGATTTTTCATTCAGCTGGCTCTTGACATCTGACAACTCAGTTTTCGCCTTCTCAATAGCAGATTCCGCAGACTCCAGCTTCGTCTTGATCTCATCAATCTCCTTCTGTTTCAAAGACTTCAAATCGTCAAGCTCGGACTCATGCTTATCCTTGAACTCCCGCAGTCCTTCCAATTCTCGGGTAGTTGATTCTAACGTAACGACCATGCTCTCCGTCGACTCGCGCGCCACGGTCAAATCACGCTTGAGCTGATCCACCTCTGTCGTGAGTTTCTCAATCTCGTCTTGTTTCGCCTGCACTTCCGACTCGAGACGCGGAATTTCATTATCAAATGAGAAAAAGTCTTCTGTATCTGCGGTCGACTTCTTATCTTCCTTCTCTTCCGATGGTTCCTCCGTCTTCTTCTGCTCCTTCAGCCTAGCCACCTCATCCGAAACCTCTTTGGCAGATTTTTCCGCCTCCGCCAATTTCTTTTTATAATCGTCCCGATCCGAAGTCACCCTTTTCAACTCATCCATCAACATATCATTTTTCAACGACATCTGATTCAAATATTCAGTCAACGCCTTCGGATCCCCGATCGAGGTCAGCGGCGTATTCTCTTTTAGCGCCGATTCAAACGGTTCAATCAATAAGACGCGCGCATGAGCGAGTTTGTACGCTTTGAGTAGATCTGCCACCTATTAGCAAGGCCTTACCGGGCAGAATGTGAGTTGAGGGGTAGTACCGGAATATTTCGACTCAATCTTATCCAAGCGTCTCAATTTCGAGCGTACTTCAATCGGTAACTCCGGTGTCGAAGCAGGCTTCTCCGTACTCGCGGCAGGTTTATCTCTCCCTTCCTCTGCAGGCTCCTTCTTCTTCTCCCCATCCCCAGTATCAGTCCTCTCGGACCCATCTCGCTCCGAAGCCGTAGTCCCCGTCGTCGACTGCGTCACCTCCAACCTCGGCGTCCCGGACCGACTACTCTGAGTCGTACTTACTGATGTACTCGCATCATCATCACCAATCGAAAACTCAAACTCCCTCGGATCCGGACTCCGCGGTGGCTGTTGTTGCTGTTGTGGTAGAGCACTATTACTTCGTTGCCGTGCTGTTCTGGTTGATGAGCGACGGGCGACTGTCGATCGGCCGCCGGCGATTGATTCTTGAGCGGATCGTTGGCGGGCTTGTTCTTCGGCGATTACGGAGTCTATTGCGCCGCGGATTCGCTGGAGATATTCTATTAGATTGACTGATGATATAAAAAGAGAGGCGGGGATTGTGGTACCTGGAACATGATGATGGCTATTGATTGATACTCCGTTCCCGCGAACGGGCGAGACTGATGTTGAGAAAAGGATAGGGAATTAGAAAAGAACGCAGTCGTAGAGTGTCAGGCTAGAAATGCAAGATCCAAAATGAGAAAAGCAAAAACGAAACAAGAATTAGGAATAATACGAAATAATTGTCGGATGTTGTAAGCTGTCAAATTGAGGCGAGCGGAGGGAAGGAGGCACTTGGGCGCTTAGCTTATCCATGTGGTCGGGGCGTCAGGGCAGCCAATCAGCAGCCGTTCTTATAGATATAATTATATTCACTGCTTAGGAAGATGAAGAATGCAAAAATAAAGGTATAAGCGAATGTACTACTTATATATAACAGTACAAAATTAGGTATTATTAAGCAAAAAAACAATCCAAGCCAGGATCCCAACCCTATTCCACCTGGATGACCCAGAGAGATGAGAGAAGACATGATGACCCTCACGCTAACAAGCAACAACCAACAACAGGTATAAGCAGCATGTGAAAAAAAGGACGGTATAGGTATTAGAATGTACATGCGATAGTGGTATTCCCCCTTTCATATCATTCATCGTATCTCATGATATGTTGTCGATTCATCAATCGTATCAAACGAGATTTAAAAGAGCCGGACGAGGAATATATCTTGTGCCAGCCTCGTCCTGGCGTTTTGGTCAAAGAGTCCACTCTTAGACAGCGGCGGCGCCGGTGGTGTTGGCAGGAGCATCGAGAGGAGCACGAGCGTCGCCGTGGTGCTTCTCGCGGACGATAGGGTCGTGGTCAGCGTCCACCCAGCGGGTCATGGTCTCGAAGAGGAGGCCAAGGACAGTGAAGAAGCTGTCGTTCGTTTAGTATGAGAATATAAAGGCACTCAAGTGATTCGGGGTGGGGGTGGGGGAGGGGCTTACAAGGCAAGGAAGGTAAACGCTTCAGCGGCATGCTTGACAGATACCTTGACACCGAAAGGAGCATTGAAGTAGACGTTGCCGTAGTTGTAGCTTTGGGACGAGAAGATGAATGCAGTCAACCACCTATCGTATGAATCAGTATCACGATAGTTGTAAGTGTATATTGAAAGGCAGGAGAGGGCGTACAGGTAAGAGAAGATCATATCGATCAAAGCAACCCACTTGCTCAACAAAGTCGACTTGAAAGGCGAGAGGAAAGCTGGCAGGAAGAAGACGACAGACAAGACAGAGATGACCAAGTTGAAGATGATGTGAGTACCGTGGTGCTGCTTGTGGACGAAATAGGCGTAGATACCCATGGCAATCACAGAGCTAACCCATTGCATAGTCCGAGTGCCCAGCAAGAGGGGTCGCGCGATTGTTGATTGTAGGATGGCCATATCGATTCTTTGGAGAAGCTAGGGGGCTAGATGGGTAGTCGCGAAATGTTGCTGCGCTTGTTGTATACTCAAGGAAGAGTGATATTCTGTCTGATGTCTGAGGAATGAAAAGAATCCAGGGAACAATCACCGTCTTTATACTTGGTTGGCAAAAACTCCAAGGTGGGACAACACACACATGCGCACACACACCTCATAACAACATCACCTCCAACCGGACCACGAGCACTTCTGGATTGGGCGAATTTTCCATGTCTTTCTAACCCAGCATTGGCGTTTCCTCCGCGACCATCCGTGGATCGAGTCAATAGAATCCATAGAATCAACACATAATGGCAAGGAAGGGCGTGACGGCATCCTCAGTTGATGGAGAGGTCTAGATTGGCCAAAGCTTCGTGCGTCATTATGTGATGGTCATAGAGAAAGCATACAAAACAGGAAAAACATGCACGTCCCAAGACCAAAGCGGCAATTAGCTACGTTCCTTACTCAGAACTTTATAATCGACTATATACATAGTAGTTGGTTATATAAGGACGCTACATAATCCTTAACAGCTGATGAGTTAATCACCAAAACGTCAATACCCTCCGCTCCGCTCTCTTCAAGCCAAGGATATAGTCAAGGACATAGTCAAGGACATAGTCAAGGATATTGGCATATGCAAGGCGTAGAACAAGTCAGGCAAGGTGCATACAAGAGAGGAGATCATCATGCTGACATTGTTGATGTGGCAAGCGAGAAAATGGAATATCAAAGAATGCCGTGCGCTCGCCTTCTGATTGGTTGTTGGCGTACATGACGGTATGGACATCTGATTCCTCAGGCAGGATTCGGATACCGCTGCCGAGAGCTAGATTAGACATCACCTGATTGCCAGGAATTTTTTTTTCCTCTTTTTTTCCTCTTTTTTTTCCCTATGCTTTCTTTCTATTAGTTCATCCTTTTTAGCTTTCTTTTCAAACTTTGGTGTTACAACTACCGAGTCAAGAGTCAAGGGATCATCCCTTGACTTGCGCCATGGGAGTTCTGATCGGGGTGGCTAATGGACACGGCGAAATGGGGAGCATCGATTCTACTATGTACACCAAAGGAAACGATTCGCCTCGTTCTATTCAACAACCACCTCAATAAGCTTATTATTGACGGGATGAATAATAATAATCATAATAATAATCATAATAATAATAACAGACAAAAAGACAACAACAGGCATGACGTCAATTGAGTCATCCACTCCTGCCGAATCCCGACCGCGCTAGTCTACTCTGAGTCTAGCCGTCGATCATGGACCATTCACAGGCCGACCTTCCACGCTAGGACTGCCCGGATGTCTTGTGATTGGCCAATTGCCTTCTATACCCTATTCTTCAGTCTGAAGACTGCCTGAGCCGCCTACGGAGTACATCGTGCGACGGAATACGGCGGAAGATTGACTACGGGTTAGTAATACTAATGACTCTAATGAGATGCATCCTTTAGTCAGATGACTCTACCATCCACTTCGGAAATGTCGGGGCAGGGGTATATGACTACGTTATTATTCCTCGCTTACATGATACGATGGTCTTCTATATTGAAAGCTTATTTTGATGCCGGATTTTCCTTGCTGAGATACCATGCAAGGCCTATTATAGATAATAGAATTATGGAATTTTCTATTGAGACGGGACGGTTTGTTAGAGTACGACTACCTAGGTGTATATACGTACTGCCTCAGGCACGGAGTGGCTAGATAAAAGAAATAGACTTCAATCATCCACGTCTATTGATATGGTTAAAGTTCGATGCTCGGCCTATCGCCGAACCATCTTGTAAGCAAATCGGAGCTTATTTTTCCATTTGTTGTGATACGCTTACGGAATAATGCGATGGAGGGTCAACATGTGACCTCTCTTCCTTGCTTTCCTTGCTACGTAGTACGTACTTGACGAAGGGAGCGAAGGGTGGTCAATGTCTAATCCTCGATCGACAGCGTCCCGTGCTTGCAGGTTATCGCCGATGCTGGCAGTGTGAAATACAGCCGGTAAGGGTAAAATCCGACCAGTGGTATCCTAAGGATCGTTTAGGCAGGGTTTAGCAGGGTTTAGCAGGGTTTAGCAGGGTTTGGCAGGGTTTAGCAGGGTTAAGCAGGGCTTAGCAGGGCTTTTTATTAGCTTTAAGCATACGGAGTACAGAAGAAAGAATATCGGGCTCGCCATAGCCCCGCTTTGAGGATTCTGTCAATGAATTGTTCTCTGGCCACGGTCAATCTCTTGCATCCGAACGATTGATCCTTTCTTAAGTGTTGTGAAATAGTTCGAGATCAAGTCTATTATAACGAATATACAGTCGTCCCGAAATCCAAATTAGTAGCCTTCTCGGTCCTCTTCAAATTCTAGTCTTCATAGTCAGTTCTCGCCAGCCAGTCTCTTAGGACAGGGTGAGTACTCCTGAAAATAAGGACCAATCGTAGTTACTATCACGCCAGGTAGTGCGTTAGCTGTTGAAATGAGGATCCTTGTCTGATTATGTCGTTGCCCTCAAATACCCGACGGGAACGGCACACTCTTGCATGAATGGATGCCAGAGATGACTTCTAGGATTGCTTGTCTTACGGATTTCTTCGACAAGTCATCAATTCAAGATGCCGTTATTAGCGCCGCGTATGTCGTTGGCGTAAGTACTCAGTAACATCTGTAAGATACTCACGGGCTTTTTAGTATCTGTATCCGACTCACCTCAAACCTCACTCTTTTTCCTTGCTCTTCGGCCCCGGAAATGAGGATATATTCGCGATAATATAACTAACCCGCCCTCCTTTTTCCATTTCTTAGAAACATCGAGGCGCTGCTTTGACTCTTTAGGTTGAGGATCAGAGTAATCACAAAATCCATAATTTGCAGACGGAATACATCCTTTCTTAGAGATGATATCAGTGATTAACCTTGCAGCTGACGAAAAATAATGTGGTCCTGCGACGGATAATGATAAGAATACTCTTCCAAGGAAACGATGATCGCTATAATCTGCGCCGCGGGTTTGCACAGAAACATCCCCTGCTTGGCGTGTACACTATCATCATCCCAAAAAGGCGAAGCGGACCGCACCACGGACGCCAGTCCGGAAAGCGGTATTTCAATGCTGCCATGAATAAAATAGAAACGTTCATCATTCAAGGGAGAATTATTTTTCACGCCTGATTTTATGTTGTGTTTGGGAAGTCGGTATGCTAATGCATAATCGAGTATCTTTGTGAGTACAGATTTTGGGGGGTCTACGCGTAGACTGATTCGTCGTTTCCGAGAGGATTGTGCTGTCCACAGCACTGTTGTCAGGATGTAGACAGAGCTGTAAGTGAATCTTCGGCTGGTGCTGGTACATTTCAGGTAGTGAGTCTGTTCTTTAACGCAGAAAATACGGCGACTCCTAATCAGTTCGTGAGACAGTTCCTTGCCATGATCTAGGCTGAATTGTCGGTGTCGGTAGGCATAGGAATGACTTGCAAGGCCAATCCGGCCGGTCATGCTAGAGTTGACGGCTTAAGACCTGAGACCGTGAGCTATCCAAAATTAGCTCACTGCACAGTCAATATATGGTATGGGCTCATGGCCTCTAAGAGTAGAATTCCATCTCGAAATGATTTTGAAGTTGCATCGATCCATAGATACGTGGCCCGTGCTTATACGCGCTAGTCCTTAAATAGTCTAGCCTAGACATGCTCCTATGACGCGGCATCGAGATGGACAGCTTTCTCTCAACCAACAACAGCTACGACTTTTGCCATACCATTTGTCCAGTACAATGCGACCACGTCTGTACAATCAGTAATATGGTCTCACTCTGGCCCTGGAAGGTATGCAACCCCAACCTTTCCAGTTTGGTAGAGGACAAGACTAACAAACTGCAGGGCGAAGATAACTCCCCCGCCTCCTTCGAAAAGACGCTCTCAACGCTCTCCACGAAAGCAACTGAGACAAACGCCCAGCTCGACAAGCTCCGTCAACAAGCGCGTCGCTTCAAAGCATTATGGACTCTGTACTCGGTATTCATTTACCTGCTCTATTCGACCATTGATGTGTTGGTATTGGGATGGCAGAATTGGGGATATTGGGAATGGGGGGCTGTTTTGGGTGGTCCTTTTGTGTTCGTCTTTTTGTTCCAAGAAGATTAGGAGGCGGCTAAATGGACGACAGGATTTATACCGTCCGGACGGTGGGCAGCCGCATGTTCGATTATCGCATATCGCGCTCGCAGAGCTACCTGGACAGTCTCAACAAACAACGAGACGAGACGATTGAAAAGTTAAAGATTGCTACAAAATACAACTCGACGCAGCAGTTGCTTGAGAAGTACGGCGGAGAGTCTCCGAAACCGACAAAAGCGGCGAACAAGAATACCGCCAAAAAGAAGGATAATAATGAGCAGCAGCAGAAAACATCGTCTGGCAATGTCCCAGGGAGGACTGGACTCCAGCCTCCACCAACGGCAAATATCAGACGATTTCCATCTAATAATAACCCCCAGGGACAATCACCTTACAATCAACCTCGACAGTCTCCTCCCAATGAATACCTACAAGGAAAACCATTACCACCCCCTCCTTCCGCAGTCCCGACTTACACCGACGAACCCGGATTCGCACCAAACGCTTTCCCGCCTTCATCGCAACCGCAATACGCTTCTGGTGGTGCGCCGAAATGGTACGACCGTTTGATGGACGTGTTATTAGGCGAAGATGAGACCTCGCCTAAGAATAGACTAGTTCTGATATGCCAAAATTGTCGACTGGTGAACGGCCAAGCTCCGCCGGGAATTAAGAGTTTGGGTGAATTAGGCCGATGGAGGTGTGGGAATTGCGGTGCATGGAATGGTGAGGAAACCGAGGCTAGGAAAGTGATTGCGTCTATTCAGCGGGAGGCTACGGAAGAAAGAGAGGCTGCCCAAAACGCGGAGAATGAGAAGTCTGAGTCGGAAGATATTAATAATAGTGAATTGGCTGGGAGAGGAGATGACGAGGTGGATGAAGAGGATGAACGGTCCGAGCAAGAAGAAGAGCACATTCAGTCAGTCCCTGAGACGCCAGGCACGACACAATCGGAGGTGCAGTCGCCAAACGGAGTAGAGACAAGGTCTCGAAGCAGGAAAGCGAAGAAATGATTGAGTTGTTCTAGAGCGTTCATTGGGTAGATAGTCTATTGTTAACAGCATTTAGCGTTATTACTAGTTTATTCTTAAGCGTTACTTTCATAATATTTTGTTCCAATTTATCATACTCCATCCTTGGGGTTATGGCTGATAGATTCTTCCTACCACCTTTGTCGCTATGTATGTAGAATACTTGTGGCATGTAGTCTATTCCACAATTTAATGAACGTACAACAATCATCCAGAACCCATCTATTTTGAGTACTTTCAGCTGCAGGATTTGATGAAACTGTGCCATTTTCCTTCAGACGAACAGTCGATTTTCTTTTGCTTGCCTCGACCTAGCCAGGAGATAAGAAAAGTCATTTTGAATAGTTGAACGATCTAGGCTCCTCCGGTCAGCTCCCTAGCCAAAATCCCATGGGATGCCGGCGTCGCTTAGTGACTTACTACTGGCAAAGGAGGTTAGGTAATACAGGTATGCTAGTCAGCCAAATTCGGTTTCTTTTTCTATTGTTTCAACTACTCATTTCCGTACTAGCTGGTCAATATCAAATCATTGCACGTTCCCAGACTCAGCAAATGACGACAGAGTAACAAACTTCATCTGCTTCAATCCTCAATTTCGAAGATTTCTCATGTATCTTGTCAAAAGGCTGCAGGCTTAATATCTCTTTTCATTGTTATGAAAATCCCAGGGTCAATGGCAACCACCCGACGAAACGGACAACTTTCTTCGTGCGAGCCTTGCAGGAAATCCAAGCTGCGCTGCGATCACAAAACTCCCACTTGTGATCGATGTCTCCACCGAGGTCAGGCCAATGATTGCTTCTATCATCCTGCTCCTTTGACGAGGACTCTTCCACCACAAGCATTTGCACCGAAAGGATCATCAAGACGAAGAAGAAAGCAGCAGCCCGGGAACCAAGTGATCTTCCGTCTCAATAAAACACCATCTACAGTTACTCAAACTTCCCCACTAGCCACCTCGTTAAACACCGGCATAAACACCTATGGCCAGTCTGTCGGACAGTGGACCTCGATGCAAAAACGGCCAATGGCACCTGGATACTTGGGCCTCACATTCTCAGAAGACATCTTCAACGAGTCTCATGGTACAATAAGTTTAAAAAATCGAGATCAGAACCAGTTTGAAGATGCGCAAAATCCGCCAGCAGACCTGGACAAGGCTCAACTTGGAGCTCAAGTTCTTCTGCACTTGGAAAAGATCTGCTGGTTCCATGAAATAATCAAATTCAAGAATAAGGTCTCCCCCGGCTGGTTCCTGGGACCTCCATTAACGGACAGTTTATGCATAGTTATGGAGAAAGTATATGGTTCTGCAATTCAAGGGTCTAGTGATACCCAAGCCTCTCTACTTCGCTTATCCTATGAGATATTTACCAACACTATGGAAAGGATTGCAGTAACTCAGACGATGACCATAGTGGAATATATGTCTTTGATTGCTGCGAGATGGGAGACGATTGGGCTGTTATTTGCAGTCTTGGGGTCGGTTACCTTTCATATACCGGCTGACGATCCTGTCTTTACGAACAACCCTTGGAATATCGACCGAAAGCAGCTAAGGAGCATTTCTATTGCCAATAGTGAGATTTGTAGTCAGTTCTGCAATAGTTCCGGGCTCATCAGCGATCCCTTATGTTGGCTTATGACCCAGCAGACGGTGCTTTTGACTCTTGTGGCTGGAAAGAATGGTATGTCTTGTATTCCCTTGACGCCCCAACCTGCCTCAGGGGATTTAGAGGTAGTAGATTCCTAATAGCAGTTATACAGATTTCAGAACATGGCAGAAGCTGGGTGACCTATCAACCGTCACATATGCCATCGGTTTACATCGACCTGATTCGGCTCTAGAAGAGAATTGTCCGTTCTTCCTTACTGAGATACGTAAACGAGTGCTGGCATGTGCATATTCTCTTGACAAGGAACTGGCTACCGCATTAGGACTTCCGCCTCGCATCTGCTCTCGATATGTCTGTATCGAGCTTCCTCTGGATCTTAGCTATGATGAAATCATCTCTACACCAAGTGCGGTCGAGATTGCGCTGCAGAACCTTGATCCTAATGGATGGAACACCAAAGGAGACTTCACTCTCGAAGTCAGGCTCCGGATTGCTTTGTTGACAGGTTTTATGAGGGAGAATATTTTAGAGCTGTCTATGAGCTATCAGACAGGTGATCTTTTGGATCGAGTTGAGTGCGTATACAATGCTTTTCATGTCTCCTCGGACAAGTAAAGAGAGAGATGCTGACTGCATTCCTGGAACAGGAAAATGATGGAGGATTCTCGTCAGATGCAACAAGACCTTCCCCAATCTCTGCGTTGGACACCTAATGAAGCTGTGTCAAATTTCATTGATGAGAGTCGTTCCATGACGCATTTAGAATTCACGTACCAGGAGCTCCTCCTGTACCGGATTGTTTTGAAGCGCCTAGGGATCAAATCACAGAGCTTGATTCATACCTCTTGCGAGATAATTTCTACGCTGCTTAATCTAATTACATTACGAACTAAATCCGCGAAAGCTATTCATGATATGTCATGGGATGTATGATCACCTCCACCATGACATAAATAAGTCGATCCATCTAACATATTTCCTTATAGTTATGCTACATGGGCCTACCAGCTGCAGGAATTCTAGCTACCGAGCTCCTCGGCATACAGCCTACCTCAATACCACCACCCATTCATACACGATCTGAGATGATACAAAAGCTCAGCATTTTTCGCCTCGCATCTCAAATCTTTTGTTGAGCCGCACGAAGGAATATATGAGGTAGCTCAGCAAGGCGCTGACATAATTTGCAAAGTTCTGGATCAGGTGCTTTCTGTTGATTTTTTAGAATCCGTTCAAGTTGCCTCAGGTGCTAATCATCCTGTTGACTGGGTGGGTGATGATACAGAGAATTATGATCTCATTCCTTGGCTGGAAAATGTTGACTGGGGTCAAGATCCTTGGTTACATTTTACTTGAGCTTCAGGTTTGCATGATATACTGAGTTCCAGGTTCTGGTAACCGGGAATCCAATATAAAGACTAGCTCGAGGGATATTCTTGAATGGATGCTGCTACTATATGTGAGAACTGTTGGCCAAGCTTTTACTTATAAGTCCGATACAACTTCCTAAATTCCGAGTCTTTCAAAAGCAGGACGTCTGGTCTATCCACCTCCAATGATCATCACGACGCCCCTGCAGATACTGAGGTTCAGGTTTTTGAGGGCTGGCTCCTTCTCTGAGGACCGTGATATTTCTGCATTCTTGAAGGAGACTAACGGGGAATTGACTGCTTGAGAGACCTTGTATGGTTGTGATTCCTTGTTCTCCTCGATATTATCATCGGAAAGTGTGGTCGATGAAACGGGTAGTGGTGTAGAGTTTTTATAGTACTTTTCGATACGACTAAAACAAGCGATTGCTTGTATATTAGCGGGTATGGCTTGACAAAATACGAGAAGTGGATCGGTGAGAATCGAAATCAAAGCTAGGGTGGTGAAAGCTGTTGTTGAAAGAATCGACCCATCCTGTCTCACCAAGGCTATAACGGCGTAGATGGTCAATGTTGCGAAAGGGGCTAGGGTCACTGGAATATTGGCTAGATACACGTTAATTCTTTTTGCTCAAAGTGATCGACAAGTTACCTTACATAGAGCAATTTGCCATATGAGCAATTTTCGGAATCGGGCAGAAGTTTGAACCTCAACTTCCCGCAACCGCGAAACGGTTTTGAACAGGATATCACTGAGTCCAAGTATCTGCACCGTTTTCATTCTGCTGACCATGCTCGAGGTCATTGCTAGTTGGTCCTGGACACATTCAATCCATCGCTTTTGAGCTTGGCCGAACCTGGTCGACACCGGTACCATTGCTAGCACAGAGCCTAGGCGAAGGATCAGAAAGATAAACCATACCAATAAACTTCAAGGCGTAGTACCTAGAGAGATAACGAGTGGAATAATACAAGCAATCCAGACCTCACGCTCCAGTAGCCAGATTGCAACTCCAACTTCCAGGATTGAGGCCCATAATTCATGGAGGTTTCTCATATTCGTCACAATGCGTTCCACATCGGTGCTTATTAATGTAATTGTCTCTGAATCCTTGAGTGCAGTTGCAGACATGTCAAGTGTTTGCGTATATATCATGGATATAAGTCCAGAACGTATCATGGTAAGAAACCGGAGGGTTTGACGCCAGTATACTGCTTTGGACATCTATTTATACATGTGTCAACCTGGCAGGGACCCTGCTAACGGATTCAGTAGCCTATACGTACTGCTAAGCCCACATATACCACAATATATGCACAAATGAGCGCTTTTCCGCTTGATTTCGGTTGTGATGTTGATGGACTCCCGATGTAATCTATAGTAGCTGTGATGAGGAAAGGCTGTGCAAAGGTGAATACACTCAGAGCCACACGCGGGATAATAGCTGACAAGAACGTCCATCGATATGCATAAAAGATTGCTCTAACCAATTGATGACGATGGTTGCAGTCCGGGTGTAGGGATTTCCAGGCTTCTTGGAGCTTTTCACCACACTCTTCTCCTTGAAGACCTGTATCAATTGCCTCTATATCCTCAAGCCGAAGTATATTCGAATAACCTCTCTGCAAGAATGGGAGAATCCAGATGAAAAAACTTCGGTTTAAGAAACCACAAGTTTACTCCTTGGAAAGGTTTTTATATTCTGGCTTCAAAAACTTGATTTTTGGAATTGATTTGACGCAAAGGGCCAGCACTGTTGTAATGAAAATCGATAGCCAAATGTACTGACACACATTAACCGATGGAGATGAGATCATCCAAAGTGACCGCAATCTGGGCAAGCTGCAAAGACTGAGTGCCAGGAAAGAAAGAACAAGAAGGTCTGATGGTCTCAGAGAGCGCTGATTTCCCACGAGGGAGGTACATGTTGCTGCAAACGTTGCGACAATATTGAGTACTGCTGACGGCAACGAAGCATTGGTGTGTGAAGTGCAGATGCTCGGATTTGGAATGCGGTGAACAGGACATGAAGCACAAATAAAACTGTAATAATGGACTACTTTACATCAGCCTAATGTAAGTGGACGGTTTAGGGATTCATACCAACTTCGGGATTGCAAGCTTGTAGGAATCTACTTTTACACATCGAGTTCGCTGACAGTAAAGCCACCGTGGGAGAAGTAAGAGGAATATAGAAGGCGGTAGGCAGACGAAGATTATGTCTTCAAATAAGAGACTAAAATCCAATGAGCGACAATGGATGTTAATCTGTAGCCCAAACTGGTTGTCAGCTCCCAAGGGGCAACCCAAGGATGTATCAGCAGCCATCTCAAGGCCTCACAACGCCAGATTCCACATTCCTGAACTTAGGACGAGGTAGTGAGAATGGATAGATTATTTATTCCAAATTTCCACTGCAAAAACCCTCTCCGATAGTGATAGAAAGCCATCTTGATAGATGCGATAGATGCAGATCGGAGTGAACTAATTATTTCCCGATACAGCAATGTCATTTGCTCCAACTCCGACGATGCGATACCTAAGAAAGAGAGAAGATGAACTCCGAAATGAAGTTGCCTAACTATTCAACAAGTCCATAATCCTTATCTAACACGCCAACATCTGCAAATCTAGACATCGGACGATTCCTAAATTTGTCACATTCAATGGGCAAAACCTGAGACCCAGGGCAAATTTCATAAGCATCTTTGCTGCCAAGAGAGATGTTAAACATGGTGAGCGCAAATGAAAGAACTCCATTACTGGATAGTCCCCCAGATAATGACGCGCCTGAAGAACAACCTTTGTCGGCTCGCAAGTCTTTCTATTCGATCGAGAATCGCCGTGTGCTATACACAATCGCATCCCTTTGCCTTGTTCTATTCATCTTCGATATATCCAACTACATAGCCGTAGTTCCGCAGACAGCTATCTTTGAAGAGATAGTCTGTCGTGATTATTATTCTTCCGGATTTTCAGTACTGGGAAATACAAGCGGTGATAAATGCAAGATTGAACCGATACAGAGCGAAGTGGCTCTAATCAGTGGTTGGAGGGATACATTTGAAACTATTCCAGGTATGAGCATTCAATACTTCTTATGCACTTACTGATCCTCTGCGATTTCTAGCCCTCTTGGTGACAATCCCTTTCGGGGCTCTCGCGGACAAAATTGGACGCAAGAAAATGGCCTTACTTGGAGCAGTTGGCTGTTTGCTTAGCGATCTCTGGGTGAGGACTGTGTGTAAGTATAAGGAAGCGTCTAAAAATGCATTCTTTGAGAGAATCTGACAGATTTGCATGCCAGGTTTATTTTCCGATATTTTCCCTCTCCGCTTTGTATGGTTTTCAGGAGCTTTCCAACTCATAGGTGGAGGTGCTACTACCATGTCCTCCATGATTTATGTGATGGCAGTAGACGTGTGTCCTCCAGAGTATAGGTAAGTCGCATCCCTACCTACGTGTGGTAAGATCGGAACAAGCACCAACAAAATAAAGGACGACATCCTTCTCACAGATCACTGCTGCTGGTTTGGCATCAGAATTTCTCTCAGTCCAAGCTAGCGCCTGGTTGATGTCAAAGAATCCCTGGATTCCATACCTAGGATCATCCTTGATATTGATAACTGGGCTAATATTGATTATCGTCCTGATTCCGGAAACATTCGTTCCGAAAGACGAGTCTTTGATGGACACAAGTACCGAAGAAAACTTGACTCATACGGCGGAGTCTCCTAGCTGGATAGATTGCTCTTATCCCCGCATTCGTCAGCACATCAGCAACCTCGGTCCAGTGTTCAGATGGATGAGACGAAATGTTCCAGCCATGATGATCATATCTTCCTTCTTTTTTGCCAACATTGGAAGGCAAACAGCGGGTATATTACTGCAATACATTACACAAAAGTTCCATTGGACGTTCGCTAAGGTTAGTGGATTGAAGATATTGCAATTAAGGATTCACAGGTGTCTGACACTTATTCCAAGGCCGCGTTCGTTATTTCTCTCCGTGCAGTTGGGAACCTCTTCGTCCTTGCATTCTTACTTCCCACTCTATCAGAATTAATTTCCAGACGGACGCGGCTGGCTGGGGAAGTAAAGGACAAACTCCTTTCTCAATTCAGCGTTGTTACAATCATCTTAGGTTACATTTTAATATTTGTTGCAGACTCACCTCTAGCACTGTCTATAGGTGTCATCCTCTCTGCACTCGTATCTGCGTTTACGGTAACCGCAAGGAGTATACTGTCAAGCTTGGTTGATCAGAGACATCTAGCAACAGTATATACAGGTCTTTCCGTCATGACTTACAGCGGCATGGTTGCTGGTGGACCCTTACTGGCCAGTTCCTTTCATTGGGGGATGAAATTTGGAGATCCCTGGATGGGATTACCTTTTATCGTTGCTGCTGGTCTTTATGTTGTCATTCTGCTTGTGATATCGATGGCGAGAATGCCCTAAATACTGTTCAGAGGTAGAGACGTTATGAGGCTATTGAAGAATAGAAAGCTACAGTTAGGAACTTAAGGAGGTAATCCAGGTAGAACAAGTGATATTCGATATGAACTCCTATTAGCTCTACTTATCCCTCATGGCGCTCTTCACCTGGGCACTCTCTGATTACTTGTATCTCTCGTTCGGACGCACTTTTCACAACAATGCCAATCTCTTAAGCTCCAAAAGCTTCTTTTACCTTCATGGGTATCTACCAATGTGGTAAATGTTAACACCTAGGTATTCAGACGTCCGATGAATGATCCTGTATTCATAGAATGTATAGTCTATGTATATGTATGTACAAATAAACAACAAAAATGAACGCCTTCAATGCTTCAAACGGTTCTTCCCAAACACCATGCACCTCAATGCAACGCTATATATGCTAAACTTGCAAACTTCCAAAGAATAAATCAAACACTAGCCCTCCTGGGCGCCATAGTCCTCCTCAACTTCTTCTCCTCCGTCGACTCCTCCAAAACCGGCAACGATCCCTCAGCCCTCAACTTATCCAAAAATCTCTTCCCATAGCTATAACCCACCTCATAAATCTCATCGAATTTCCCAAACTCCAATGTCCCGTATGGATCAATGGGCGGTCTCATATACAAACATCCCGGCATATTTTTCGCTCTTTCGAGACTATCCACTGAACTTACATATGCTAATCGTGCCTGAATTTCGCTGAGTGTGATGGGGTTCGGGGTAGACGAAAAGGGATTCCAGCGATTTGCGAATGTCCAAAACCCGGAAAGGGTGTCGCCGTAATCTTGGGGCGTGTTGTCGTCTAGACTACCTACGTCCACGGCGAGGATTATGTCTGCTCCTAGACTTTTCATGTGTGCTACTGTGAGATTATCGACGTAGCCGCCATCCAGCAATAAACAACCTTCATCGCAGAGTGGAGGGAGTAAACCGGCCAGAGACATGGAGGCACGTACGTATCGCCATACATAGCCTGAAGAATGGAACTCATTCCGCGATTTACTGATGTTGGTTGTGTTGCAGTAAAATTCGAGCCAGAAATCTTCGATTTGGCTGTCGCCAAAGGTTTTGAAGATACCCCGGTTGAATTCGTGGCCTGTTGTGTATGATACGGCCGGGTAGGTGAGGTCTAATGCGAAGCGCCAGATACTGCCCATTCGACCGGCGAATTTCTTGGCTCGGCCGTACATGGGTACGACGTCGGCGTCACGGGCGTATAGAGCGCCGATGAATGAGCCGATGGATGTACCGCCGACAATGTCGATAGGGATACCGGCTTCTTCGATAGCTTTTATAACCCCAACGTGTGCGATACCCCGTGCACCTCCTCCGCCGAGGACGAGACCAACTGATTTTCCACACAATCGACGCGCTAGACGGTGGAAATCACCTTTGAAGGGGGTTTGTTGCGAGTATAATGGAGTCTGGTGAATACGGCGAGACGTGTACTTTTGAATTTCGGCTTGTATAACCTGTACACGTTGTTTGAGCGCAGTCCCAAACCGTTTGGTCCGCGGATTTGCCGGTTCAGTAGTTAGACGATACGACATTTGAACATGATGATGGCCGCCGTTAATCCACATCCGATTCTTTAACCATCGTCGCGTCAACCCCGGTCGACAGTATCGTTCGGCATGTAGCAAGACAAGTTCTTTGCGCGCAGTGGTCTTCATACCAAGTAAGAACCGTTCATATTCGCCAATACTAGGCGATCCTTCTGCCAGTCCCACTAGAAGTATACAATCGGCTTGAGTAATACACGTCTGTGTCCATGGTGAATTGACATTTGTATCCGCAATATATAGCACCATGCCGTACTTTTCTTCCAAATCCGCCAGATACTGCGCGAGTTTGAGTTTGCCCATTTTGCTAAATGCATGTCGACCGAGATGGTTCAAAATAGCTGCTTGGTTCAACGAGGTAACTCCGTTGGTCACTCCGATTTGAGTAAACGCATTCATTAATCGATTCCCGAATTCGACGACCGGTACGCCCATTGTCACCGGCAGAATTGCAACAGTACGCATATTCACCGTCGACGTAGCCGTATTCGCTGTACTAATATCACGAGGAATAGACGAATCAGTCACCAAAGGATTATAGACAAGATCCCTCATTCGTTGCGCAATCAATTTCGAGATCTGAATCGTAATACCGGGATGTTCCTGAGCCAGACTGTTGAACAGCGAGCGCGGAAATTTTGCTAGTTCAGTATCACGAATCGCGTGAAGTGTTGCGGGTCGAGTAGACTCTGTCATGACTTCAAGTTCGCCGACACTTTCGCCTTGGCCGTATTCTCCTAGGACTCTGATTTTGCCTCCTTTGCCTTCTAGGACGGAGCGTAGTCGACCGTTGAGGACGATGTAGATGGCATCGCTGTCATCGCCTTGGTGGTGAATGACTTGGCCGGCGTTTACTTGTACCCATTCTAGCGCAAAATCGATATGCAGAATTAAGCGAGGCAAGACACTTGTCAGTCTTTTGGCGAGAGTCAATAATACAATGGGATACCGCTCTGCAATCCGTTCGAGAGTCGCACGCGGTAGGAATCCAACATAAACATCCGTCTTGGCCACTACATCTGTGAATGAGCGATACGACGCCACAGATCCAACATACCCCTGCATACCACCCGGTTTGATCAAATACAGCGACCGTCGAGGATATTTCCGCCGCTTAGGGTCTGCATGAGATACGCGCGAAGAACTAGTCGTTGTACGTTTCAACGTTGGGAAACTCTCATCGGATTCCTTGGATGTACCGACAAGGTCATCCCCACGATCGTTGACGGGGACACCGACATCCAAGAAACCGTCAATCACGTAATACAATCCTGGGTTTCGTTCGCCTTGTTCTACGAGGACGGATCCCTGGGGGAAAGAGACGATTTCAATTTCGCTTCGTAATTCTTCGCGAAGATTATGGACGGGTGAAGTTCCGCCGGCGCTCGTCACGGACATGGACATCATAGATTCAGACTCCGCGTCGTCGAAAGGATCCATGAACCCAAATGCGTTATTGAACACGGCCTTTTGTCTTCTCGAGTCATATGACACCAGCTTGGGTGATTGTTCACCAGAGTAAGTCTTTTGAAGAGCATCGCGCGTGCTGGACGTCAATCCGATCCCTTTCATCATGCATTCAACCACCGATTCGCGGAAAATACTATCTTCGTCCACAGCTTCTCTTCGCAAGAATGGAGAAGTAGCCATATGCATCGAACCACCTCGAAACGGCGAATGCTCAACCTGAGCTAGCGGACTTGTGACCTCAGCAAACGGCGTACCCTGGCCTTGTGAAGGTGGTCTATGTCCAATATCAGACCTGTTTCCGTACCGATTAAGTTGAATCGTCGACAACAAATCTCCAGGACTAGTGCCACTACTCGCGTGCGTAATATTAGAAGACAGGAAATTTTCATTAGACATGGACAAATGTCTTCTCGAGGCAGCTATCTTGGTCTGCAGAGCAGCATCTTTTCTCAATGAACTGCTTGATCGACGTCTTCGGTGCGCTTGGGGATTGTGTAGAGCAATCCCCTTGGAATCATCTTTGGGTCCGAGACGTTCCCGTTCTTGTCTGAATTTATCTTTTAATCTTTCCAGCGCTCTGCCGCGCAGATCATTCGGCAAGTCATGTGCCGTAAACTTATTGAGCTGTCGGTCAATGCTGAGCACCTCGGTATCCAAGCCCAGATAGGAGTGCGCAGTAGAGAAAGTCACTCTTTGCAACCGCGTTAGAATGACTTGAACAATGTGCGCCGTAGCTCGTGGATACATTCTCGTCAAACGCCGGAATGCGCTCGCTGGGATGATTGCAATGGTGGTATCGACCATTGCTCTCGCAACAATGTCGGGATGTACTGATTTATTTTTATTCGCGTGACGCCGACCTTGAGGTTGTGACGACGGCGCTGGGGTCTGAGGCGACTGATCAGCAGTACTTGTGGCGGCGGTTTTGGTCTGTTCAGCGCTGTCCTCCAAATCCAAGGGTGGGACCGTCGGCAGAGGTGCAACTCCTAATCCATCTGCTGTATGGTCAGCAGGCGGAGAGCCCAGCTGAGGACCAGGTACAAAACCCCCCGGACTTCCAGGGATAGAAGGAGGGATTAACGACTTTTCAGAAACATTCCTCGTACTATCATCACTACCCTGACGTAGATGAACATCTTCCGTAAACAACGTCAATATCGAAAACAACGACGACATTGACGCCCCATTCTTCACCTCAGTCAGCAATTGATATCCCTGATTCCCATCCATCCGATGTAACTCTTCATCATCCGTATCCTCCATCCCAAACGTACTCGCATGCGGATTGGATTCATTCCCACGAATCGACTTGACAAAAATCTGCACCAACCCATCAACCACCAGACAAAACCCTTTTTCTTCCTCCAACAACAAGGTCTCCCCGGCCATTAACTTTCTTGTTTGCATCGTCCGCGTCAATTCATGGAACACGGGTCTCTCCAAATACCCAAACACCTTGATTGCGCTCAGAAACTCATCCAGATAATTCGCCAATCCCGGTTTCGAGTCTCCTTCCTGGGTGTCTGGGAATAAATCGATTTGGGGTTCTTTGCGTTGCGGTTCGGGGGGAAGACGGCTGTACATGTTTAGGTATCGGTAGCGAATGAACCATATCACGGTAGACATGAAGGCGGCGAAAATGACCATTCTACCAATTAGCTTAGTCCATATCCAATTGAAGGGTGTAAGGGACATACAGAGTAGTAAAATTCATGGTGAAGGTCAAACTCATCGAAAACAACGTAAACAACCACGTCGGAATCGTAATAGTCGCAAACCCAATCACCCAAAACAATATACTGGGGATAGTATGCAACACAAAAACCAACACCTGACCCAAAGCACCGGGCATTGCAGTTTCGACTGGCGGAGGAACAGCGGGGAGTGTTCGCAGGGCCATTGTCGACGCCGTCGTGGCAGAAAGAAGAGACGAAGAGGATAAAGAGGGGTTATCGTTGCCCGACACCGCACTACTAATACTTAGCAGCGAGGTCGGAAGGGAGAGTGCGCCGTCTAGCGACGTGGAGATTGAAGGTGTATCGCCCATTTGTCTGGCTGGACAGACAACCCACCGGGGCGTCTGCTGTTGTTTTTGCTTGATTGTGCTAGATGGTTCGGAGGACGATTGTGGGGTCAGTCAAGTGGATCGCAGGGAACGCTGTTACGCTTCACCTGGTTGTGCGTAGTAAAAACTGTAATAGACTGCTGCATTAGAACAGAAAACACAGGTTGGAGGACCGTGGATGAGCAGACGGAGACCTACAGGACTGACAGATGGCAGATATGCGGGTGGTGATTGGTGTACCGTATTAGCTTATTCCTTAAGCTAATCAGCTCGTGCAGCGAGCACTGTGGTTGATTCGATTGATATTCTTGATATTTAGTGTAATATGTGGTAGTTGGACTGAGACGTCTTGTAAGACAGTGTAAGTATCTGAATTGTCAGGTGAATGTAAGGAATCAAGGCATCCAGGAACAACGACGTCATCGCCAGAACCCGGCAGAACCAGGGTCATAACCCTATAAACTTAGGGTAGTAACCCTACATCTGTCTTGTGCAAATTAGGGCTACATCTACATTATCTACATCGTTGCTATCACGAATCTGTTATTTTAGGAAATTGTTAACCAATGTATGTCGTTTGCTTAGTCTATCTCCAATATTTTCCTGATATCACTAAACAAAACAAAATTCTTATCGAGGCTCCTGATCCCTCACGCTGTCATAGAGCTTCTTGACACTCTCATAGTCGGCCTTCATCTCATCTTCCGGGTATGGCACACCACTTGTATGCATAGATTCCAGCCATTTCCTCACAGCCGCGTCGCACTGCCCTGCTATCTCATATGCCTCTGTCTCAAGCTTAGTGAACCAGGCAAGGAATGTCAAGTTGCCTTTCAAATTAACCATCTCAATAATCTCCTTTGGTGCTTTAGAGAACTTGTCGTAATCGAAAGACGAATGTTCAAATCCATAAGCTTGTTGAAAGCCTTGTGATGCACGTCTAACTTTGTCGTGGTTGTCCAGTTGAAGCGAGATTTTTAGGGCTCGGTAATCCATCAATACGTCTGCACCATGATGGGTCTCGCTCCTTTCGAAGAGGGCTAAACATGCCTGTTGTTCCTCCATCTCCTTGGACAGTTCAGCTAATTGCTTCTCCATTCTAGCCATGCGCTCGTTAAAAGCGTCAAGTAAGGGTAACATCCCGTCATTCTGCATTTGCCTCATTTCTTCGCTAACCATTTTCCAAAGAGCCGGTGTTGTGGTCTCGTCGCGAATAGGATTCTTGAGGTCAGCCGTTTTCAAATTCCGGTTAACGCAAGTCAAATATAGTACAGAACCTCGCACTGCCCAGTAGGTAAAGAATCCATGAGATATTTATGCCCCGTTAGTCTTGCATATTCTGTCTTCAAAGTTTCGGAAAAGAAAGGTAAAAGGCCATACTGGAAAGGAAAGTTGCCGGGATATACCAATATTCACATACAGACTGAGGATCATCATAGTACTTAGCTGGGGATTTCCAGCTTCACTTTGCATACCTAGGTGACCTTTCTATTATGGGCTCGGCTGGCTGGTACAACCCAAGAAAACGAGGTTCTTACTGGTACATATAAATGATCCACCATCAATTTCTATGAAAAAATTAGCAAATCCCACGCGTTACTGTATTATCTGAAGTTGGCCTAGTCTGTAAATCTATGGCATGCTAAGTTTGCAAATAATAAATATCAATTTGGCTATGCCATGTGGACGGAATCTACCAACTAATACCCCAAACCATTCCTCGCCCCCATGAAATCCACAAGATCAAAAAAGCTCTTCTTAAACCACCTCTCCTGCGTCGTTCGATTCACCACTTGCATCCCAAACTGCGCCGAATAATCCCCAAATTCCCAGTTATCCATAAAACTCCACGCAATCGCCCCTATAACATTCACTCCATCCTCCCATATCGATTTGAGTACTTCAGACATAAAGGATAGATAATACTGACTGCGGGGGGAGTCATATAATTGATCGACTAAATCCCGAGTGGATTCGTCGTAGACGGGAAATCCGAATTCGCTTAGGATTAGGGGAGTTTCGTAAATGTTCCAGAGATAGGAGAGGTAGGCGCGGAGGTAGGTGGGCGTGATGTAGACGTAGGATTGGGAGCGGTAGCCGATATCCCATCCGTAAGCGTTTACGGTTTCTTGGGTGACGCAGTATGGGTAGAGCGGGTTGGTGGTCATGTTTTGTTTGGCGCATTTTTCGATTCCGTCTCCGGGGACGGAGATGACAGTAGCTGTGTAGGCGTCGATGCCGATGAAATCGGTTGTGTTACCGATATATTCCAGCTCCTTTTTACTGAGTGGTTTGGCACCTGGTAGAGTGTGGAGGATAGATTTGGGGTACTGTTGGCCAAGACAGATCGGATACATGAAAACACCAAGTTGCATATCATTAAACCGATTCGCAGCATCAATTTCGGTCTGATTCTCGGGGTTCTTGGGTATGCCAAAATTATCGTTCAATTTCAACCCGACTTTCCCGGTTCCTTGCAACTCATCGTGATAGAAATGATACAATTGTGCATGGGCCTTGACGACATTGTCCAGTCCGGTAAAATTGAATGCGTACAGCAGCGGCTCGTTGATAGTAACCCAGAACGGAACACGATCCGCAAAATGCGTAAACAGAATCTTGCCGTAATTCACAAATGAATCGACAAATTCTTCATTCCAGTATCCGCCGTTCTGGTATCCGATATCCGGCTTCGCGTGGCGGAGATCAGACTGATCCACAAAGTACAGCGGAGTATCGAAATGGAGCATCGTCACAATAGGCACCATGCCGACCTCCAGGATGTAGTCAATCAAATCGTTGTAATGCTTGATACCTTGCTCGTTAATCGGACTTCCGGGCACTGTAAATGGGAGGATACGACCCCATGAAATCGAGAAACTGTAGTACTTGACGCCAATGGACGCCAAACGCTGAATGTCTTGTTTGTACAGATAGTAGTTCTCGTTAGTCACGTAGTCTTGTGGCGAGGTGTCTGGCAACATCTTCTCAAGGATACTTGGCGCACGACCTTCGAGAGCAATGGCACCTTCGATCTGAGCAGCAGATCCTGCAACACCAAACGTGAACCCTTCCGGAAAGGTATAACAGTCTGTTGGGCCGAAATAGTCCCGTGGAGGGAGGACAAGTTCACTTGTAGGTAGCGGTGTAGGACTAACAGTAGTAGTATACAGACCAATGTTGGTATAATTCGCCAGACTTGCATGTAGCCATTGCGATGACCACGCGGCTTGGCCGTATTTATCGGCAGTGTCAGTTGCAGAGATGAAGGTCTGATTCGGTACCCAGCTGCCCCACGTCGTAGTTGAGAGGGTCGTGGACAATTTTGCTACTGCCTCTGAGTATCGCGGTCCATAGGTCTTGGTGGTCGTGGGAGACGGAACTGAAATGGCACATCTCCGTCAAAGTCAGCTAGTAGCAAGAAGCCATATGGGGAAGAATGAAGACATACCGAACAGTTCCATTGAGCGATGCATACGAAAACGACTGGAAACGGTAAGTCGGGGTAGCTGGCGCTTCAGTGCACTGTGGTCGAGCTTCATAGCCAGTGGTCGTGATGTACACCTCTTGAGATTGTACTACAGCGGCGACAGCCGCCAGTAGAGAGACGGACTTCATAGTGGATAGATACCTGATCATACCCAAGGACTGACTATATTCCAAGACAATACATTCATCCCTTGCGGGGATATGTCGTCTTTTATACCTTGCACTTCCGCATGGTGGAATATTCCTCTCGCAACATAGATCCTCAAATCGATAGTCACATCCCAGCAACCAAGGAACATCAAAAATTCGGCTTCTGTAATATGAACACTTTTAATTAATATCAAGAATATAAGGTAATTCTTCACGTAGATCAGTCAAAAAATCTCCACAATATCTCCGTCTATGAGATCGGCCAAGGCAATCTTTGGGGCAGCAAACGCCGGATTTCATCTTTCCAGGTAGTGGCAGATAGCAAACGACAATAGCGCCGGTATATCCGGTCAAAGATTCGGGAGTTCAGGCTCATATTTTAAGTCTTTGGACCAAATGTTTCTGCATCCTGGAAAGGATCGTCGTCTCCGTGGGGGTTTTGCGCGTGTTCTTTGCCATGATATGCGGGGAATTTGCGGGGGTTCATAGGCCGGAGAGTTTGGAAAGTTTTGCTGGGATAGGAAGGTCCAGCAGATTCAAGCGGTCGTTAATAAGCTGGGAACATGGAAAAGGATTGGCGTGGCGTAGTAAGCATATTTGACCGTGATGTAAGTGTAAATTCGCGAGTGCATGTTCTGCGAAAATATATCTTGTCCGGACATTGAGGGGTGGAGCGCTTTGTAGGTTGGAGGATGTAATTTGTAATATATTTGATCTCCCGGGTCCTGGATGTATAGAAAGAGGTCAATGTGTGCTCTATACATCAATTGAGAAGACGATAGCCAGGTGTAAGGTATGTTGTGTTTGAGAGTAAGATGCAAAGACGTCAACAAGAAGAGTAAGTAGCTATACGGCGCTAGTCCTGATACAGGTATGAGCTAACCTAAGAAGGTTAGCGTTTCACATTACGCAACGACGCATCTCCGAACTCAATCAACAATAAGTTTTCCATCTCTCTGGAGGGTTAACATCCTGTGAACGAAGATGGAGCAGACAGGCTCGCTCATGCTGCCTCTCCGGCCGCAGACAACCAAGACCTCAAAAAAGGATAACCTACCCATCCGCATAGCTCAAATCAACGCCCAGCGCGGCTCGTTTCGCAACATCACTGAACAGAGTCTCCAAGACGAGATAAAAGCACAAAAAGAGAGAAGCAAAGACAAGCTTGAAGAGGAGGAAGAAGAAAGTAAAAGTCAGGAAAACGTGAACGAGGTCGATGCGACCGAGCGTCAGGAACTGCTGTATAAGCGACGAGCGGAGATTATTCAATTCGCGGCGTGAGCATCTTATCTATTATTCTGAGCTGAGACTGAGACTGAGACTAATTTTTGAGTATCAAGTCAAGCGCATATGGAAACTCAATTTGCGCTGGATTTCATATCACTACTACTCTCGAAACACGCCCCCCGCCAAGCAGAAACGAGTATATCGCCCTACCTCAAACAAAATGTCCCCATGGGCTCGCTGAACATCGATGTCGTCAAAGCACCTCCAAAGTCCCAAACAGCATTACGCGATACACAAAATGTGGCTCACGGATGGAAAATAGAAAGCTTTAATGCTTCTGCAAATAGACTTCTTAAAGCTGCGTCGCGGTTGGAGAGTGAAGTTGCGGCGGAGACAAAGTACTGGGATCAGGTTTTGTCTATCAAAGATAAAGGTTGGAAAGTGTGTCGACTTCCGAGGGAGAGACAGGTGCTTGGTGTGCAGTATGGGTTTATGGAGGGTATGTGTCGATCAGTTGAAGTGGTGTTAGACGCAACTAATGATTAATAGCTGCACCCACCTTTCGTGATCGTGGCCTGGCTTCTTTACGTCGTGCTGATGATGGCACGCTCGTCTTGGATAAAGGGCTGGTACCTTCAAGGGCGAGAGCTGTTCGGGTACGGGTGAAGAAACAGGGCAAGATCACAGGGAGTTCGAGCTTGTCGCGATTCGTTGCCGCTGCTGTATCTGATGATTCTGTGGAAAAGACTATCCTACAGTCGCGAGACACACTATTTGAAGAAGAACTATTTCACGAACTTACGCGCGAAGCACGGGTCTTGGTCAGCTCAGGCGTGACAGCACACAAAGACCTGATTGAATTTGAGTACGAAGCAGGCGAGCAGATTCTACTTGAACTGGCCGATGTGGATGATAACCCCGAGAATGACTCAGAACCGTCCGAGGGTAGCACTGTGAATAATAATGAAGCCGAAGCAATAGCATACGCTCTACGGATCTTACTCTCATATGCACATCGACAAAACTTACGACGACGAAGTCAATTTCCCCCTCCACTCACAAACCAGAAACGACCGACACCACAATACCAACTCCTCCGTCCTATTCTATCGTACATGCAACATGACGCGCATGTGCGTTCTTTACAGTCTTTTCTACAAGATGTTTATCAAGTCCTTAATTCCGCTGGTCTTGCGTCAAAGTACACAACCTCGAAATTCTCCTCCTTACAATTCAAGTCCAGCGCAGATGTATCTTCATCAACATCAGTCGAAACATTGCTCAGCCAGTTTATGGAGCCGCTTGAATCACGATTCTCGGGATCTATGGCTAATCCTACTAGTACATACAACATTCGCATACACACTACTATGCCAGATACATCATCTCGCCAAATGGCTCTAGGGACGGATTATGAGTTGACAATCCGTCTACCGAATTATCCATACACACAACCTCCATCGCGAATTGGACTCAAGCACGAAGTTGAGCTATTGCTTTTGCGTCTGTTTACTCTTGATTTGATCACATACATCTCATCAATATCTTCCCATAATGCGGCTGCAGCCAGAGGCGGAGATTTTACCAAAAATCTTTTACTCTGGGAATCACCATTCCCGCATCACGGCGAACTTTCCGGCGTGACGCAAGACGGGAAAGCAGTGAAACAGCTAGCCATCAACCTGAGTCGAGACAGTCTAGGTCTGTGTCTAAAATCTCGCAGCCAACATGACGACAAATCAGACACGAATGAAACAGCCAAAAAGGAAGATGAAGCCATTGACCACGACGAAGATCCTTTCCAGTCAGAATTTGTGGTTGGTCCTGGTGGATTGCAATATACGCGTCCACCTCAGAGACTGGCAGGCGGAGAGGTTGTGCATGTCTGGCGACGTGAGGATGTGAAGGGTGCGCCGAAGACGTTGGCTGAGGTTATTCGAGACATTTCCTCTATATAAACTACCTTTTTTGGTTTTGCTCTGATCTACATGTCATGTAATGATAAGTATAGTGTCATGGCAAATGAAGAAAGATTAATGACAAACAATCTCAGCTGATTCTATATTCGTTTGTGATCAACCTCCAGGACAATAGGGCGCAAATTGAGGTTGGTCATGTGATGCAAATGCAAACGAGGGTATAAATCTGGGCTCTCGTCCTCGTCTCTCTCTTTTCCTTTCTTCTTCCTTCACCTTTCTCTCATCGCTGTCTTGAAAAGCCCGTTCCTCACTATCTCGACATTTGCTTCTCAAATCACCTCACTCACTCATTGCCTCAAGGAATTTATTACACGGAGTTCTCACTTCGCTCTTACGCATATAAGCAACAACGAACGAGACTGCTAAACATGAGTCAAAGCCCACCAGACGTGGCTCCCAAGATGGAGGATTTGTCTATCGGTAGGCTGAGATCCAACGAATACTCCTCAGCGATACAGACTAGCTAATTGACCACCCCCAGGGCGCCTCTCCCTCCACCGCTGATGCTTCATGTCCAGCACTATTCAACAAGACAAAACAAAACGAGCACAGTACAACCAACACTGCGGACGCTAAGCAATCAGCCTCTGTGATTCCAACGACCGAAGATTCGAGCGAGAAACTCTAGGAGAATGATATAGATAAAGCGGACGTTATACAAGAAACCTCCGAAGTCTTCGACAAGTTTCGCTTCATCATCAAAACAATCCCCGAACTACATAAAAAGGCTTCTGAGGACGAATTTCTAAACAATATCGGACTCGACGCGGCGGCACATTCTATGCTAAGAAACCTAACTGAAGCAATGATTGCAATTATTTTTGCCCTCAAACAGCTCAATGACTCAGTGGAGACTTGACGGTTTTGCAATCTTGGGGAACAGAATGAATTGGTTCTTTGTTGTGTATGTCTTGATGTGTATTTCCTGGTATCTCTTTTGCTATCATGCCCCTCTCCAATGACCATGTCATGATGCCAACCATAATCTCATAAAGTGATACAAATTGAAAGTCATTTGCAAGCACAATAGCCCTCCATAAATCTAAGTCGCTGGGCATGAACAGATCAGAGTAAGCACGTGATTATGAACAATGATATAAAATTGAGTCGTGTCCTTGTCTCTTCTCCATCATCCCACTCTCGTCCTCACTGAGAAAAGGACATTCCTCCTACCTCGTACTTTGGTGCTTCAACTTACTCTCCTCACTCCTTCAAACATCAGCCCCTGACTATCTTACAATACATTCTCTTCTCCATGTGAAGTCACACGCCTTGCAAGCCAGGCATTTTTATGGACTCTCTCGAACAACGTAAGCTGAACCCCGTAATTATCAACAATGCAAGCTAAATGTCTCACAGTCCACAAAATGCAGCCCAAACTTGAAAACTCTACTGCTAAGCAATCTGCCGCATCAGCATCCTCAACAACATCTTCAAAGAAGTTCCAGAAAAAGAAGGCAGCTACCAGCGAACTCAGCATGATAATCCCATCAAGTTACACCATTGTTTCCGACGAAAGTTCGGATGAGGATGACATTTTATCTACTGAATATCACTACAGCAACCTCGAAGCCGCTGCGCGTGTCAAGCAAGAGATCCGTCAACGCCACGAGACCGCGGAACTCATTCGTTCTTACGGCGAGATTATCGATTCGTTCAAGTCCGTCTGCAGAAAGCTATCTGTGCCAAAAGGCCCAGTGGACGACCACAAGCGTGCTGAAGAGATTGATCTGTTTGAAAGGGAAATGACTAGTGTTATCATGTCAAGGGTCTCAAAGTTGATTCGTGAGATGCCATGAGATGTCATGGTTGGATGGTGAATTGGTCTGTTGGATTGTTTCGAGTTTGAAAACGTGGTATTTTCTGGGCGTTGATCATTCTTGTATCTTTCGGTTTCCAAGCTGGAGTGATCATGTCCTCCTCCAACAGCCATGTTATGATACCTACCATAGCCTCATAAGTGATGCACGAATCCGTATTTGTTTTCAAGTACAGTAACCCTCTATGAAATCTAATCTACTAGGCGTAAACAGATTAGGCCAAGCATGTGACAGAAATGAATCTACTAGCTTAACCTTCCCTTTCCTCCCTCTATCCTTCCTAACCCCTTATCTTCCCTCTTCCCCTCTCGCACTTCTCTCAGCCCACTCCTTTCCTTCATCAAAACTTCCACCTCCCTAGTCTTATCAAATCTACAAAACCCGATTACTTAAACCTCACGAGTTTTGCCGTTCACGATGGATCATCTCTGGGACATTTCCATCGTCCCACTGGCAGAGGACGGAATTACAATCCAGTCAACCCAAAAAAGTAGCAGTACCATTTTATCTGTTAAGTTCATAGCTGCTAGCTAACATCACACAGAAAAACAAGCCTCTCGTCCATCTCCAGCATCAGGTACCTTGAAGTCAAGCCCTGTGCCTGGAAAAAAGGAGAAGATAGGAGAAACCGTCAAGCCTCGTTCGTCTGTCTCTTGGAGTGATTTGGGTACTTCGTCAGCAGGTACGAAGGGCTGTGCTGAGAATCTCAAGACTTCAAGCGGTGACTCTGGAAAAGCTAAGAGTTCGGGTGCTGCTTCTGTGAAAGAGGCGAAGTCAGTCGATAACCTGAATACACAAGTTCCCACGGATCAAACTAGCCCTTCTAAAATGAAGACGAAGGCCGCCCCGGATTCCCTATCCAAGTCCAAGTCCAAATCGCAGAATAGTGACTCAAAACAGCCTACAGGTATGCTCCAAACCTCAAGCCATCAAATATCAGCAGACGTCAAGACTAACAACATCTCGTCCCCTAGTCCCTGCATCTCAACCGTCATCATCTTCTAAACATCCTCTATGGGAGAACCCCGATACTCAATCATCCCCAACCCCTGCTGCGAAAAAACCCAAGACCAGCCACACCATGCCAAACATCAAAAAGGAATATCAAGACCCGAGGATAGAACCGATGATACATTTCCTTACAAACGACAAACGAAAACCAAAACCAAGCACCTTTTCGACAGGTTCAATCACGAACATAAAGAAGAAACATCAAAACAGAAAGATTGAGCCACTGAAGCCATTTTTTATAAAAGAAAAACACCAACCAAAATCTGGCACCCTCCCGAGACAAATTCAACACCAACCACAAAAATAGACCATCCCAAGGAGAAAGATTCCAGAAAATCGAAACAGTCTCCTGCAACAGCAGAAACCTCCAAAACCCGTCGCCAAAAAAAAAAAAAAATTTGGAATGACTAATACTGGTACTGAGACTTTGGAGTCTTTTTGACTGTTAGGATGCAGTATATGGCTGCTAGGAATTCGAGATTGCTTGTTGGGACGTTGATGGAGAAGGGTAAAAAGAAGTGAATACGAAAAAAAAATAGAGTGTTATTGCATTGCAATAATTTATTCAGATCAGGCTGTTCATGTTTCCTTCTAATGTTTCCATATGGGGATTTGCTTGTGTGGGTTTAATTGATTGCTTTTGGACGCTGTTATTAGATACGCTTACCATCCAAATAGATACTCCTCAACTCCACAATCAATACAAAAATAGATATCTCTTGAAGATGGATACCATCTACTCCCCCTTGGAGTACTCACTCTCCAACTCAAACATCTCATCCAACAACTGCACTGTCTCCGCTGGATTCGCGATCCATGCTGTTGTGCATGCCGTTCTTGCCTATTATCAACCAACCGATTAGTTCCCCAATTTCGAAACATGCAGAGAAAGAGGAGGGATACCTTGAAATCATTAGCACCAGCAGACAAAAACTGATCACCAACATGTAACGTCGTGGATCGATCGATACCGCCAAAGTAGCGTTGACAGGCTCTCACGCCCCATGATTTATCGCCAATGTCGATGAAGACGTCGTTTCCGCCTGTCTCGTTAGAATGTCTATATACACTAAGAGCAATAGAAAGGTAGGAGGTACCGTTGAAAGCGCAGAAAGGTAATTTCTTGCCCACTTCACTTCTCTCAACCATATTCTGCACAACGAGGACTGTCTCTTCTAATTGTTCGCGATGCATCTTCTTCCCTTTTACGGGGTAGATGCCCACCGCACGTGATTTTCGTAGCACATTAGCTGGTAAACTCAAATTACTGACGCATTCTCGCAGCGATGCTTCGGCGACATTGAGGAGTTCATCGATATCCTTATCGTTCCATGTATGCATTTCATCCAACATCCATTCTGATCTCGGTACGAAACTCAATAAATGAGGAGAGGATTGATCGTATCGAAAGAGGAAATTTGATTCACCGCCCATTACGATCAGACCACTCTTTTGATCTGGCGTTAGCGACGTATCGGCTTTAACAGCATCTAGCAACCCCTTCAATCGGAGATAATAATGCGACGGCTCCGTGTACCCGGCCGCAGTGACAATACCAATCTTCTTCCCCTGACTCAACAACCTCAATAACCGCGACAGTACGGGGTTATCACCATCCAGGCAACAACCATCCTCGTACAAGGTAACGTCACCATCAAACGTCAAAAGACGAATTGCACTACTGCGTACCAAGCCCATCAATTGTGCCGTGTTGAGGGTTAGACGCACGTCATTGAATGACGGCGCGACAAAGCGGCGACGACTGATGTGTCGTCGTTGGTCTTGGTAGATGAATGCATCCTCGAGTAAAAGAGGGGTGAAGAAGTGGCCGACTGTGGGCACGAGAAGTTTGAGTTTTGATTTGCCGGGGAGGCTGCGGTTGTTATGGTTTACTGGACGAATGTCAGCACACTGTGTGGAGATATCAGGAGGTAGGACCTACTGTGGTCTTTGATTAATAACTCGACATCACGCATGATCTCGGCATAGCGTTGCTGCGTGGCCGTGGCCACTGCAGCTAATCTGATGCTCTCCTCATGAAAGACGACAGTGGGTTGCGAGTGCAGCACAAAGGGGACAGCTAGTAAGCCCTAGTCCGTTGTTTTAGTAAACTATATTCAGGCAGAAGAATATTCATCCATCTTTTGTATCATGACATCTCAGGTAGCGAGATAACTGAGTCGTAGGATAGACATACCTTGATCCACTCGATCTATCAAATCAAAATACTTAGTAAATAATCAAAGAACATCAATGACCACATTACCAATTGGTCCCGACGATGGGTCTAGAATGGTCGCCATAATATGCATATCAGTATATCAACATCGACGTGCGGGGTCCATAACGAGTAAACAATTGACATGGACGAACCTTGAGAGCATCTAATCGAAGACAGAGTCAGCATGTAGAAGAACAGACGGAAAAGATAGGCATCAATGTAATAAGCCAATGGATGGATGCACTAACATTCAACGCGATATCTGGTGGTCATTGTTGTTGCGGTAGAGGTGGTGTTTTTTAGGTCGGGCTCTCTTTCGGGGAAGAAGGGCCAAGAAAGTGGATGCCTGGACACCCTGTTTGTTAGGTGTCGATCTGCGCGGAGTTGGGTTGATGCCTGATCCAGCTCCGATGACAATTCCTTCTTCTTTCTCGAGACTTTTGTTATTTTCTCGAACAAGAACTGGTTCTGTTATCTTGCAGTTGATTGTCCAGCTGATGATTATGAATTGAGTCAAGTTGAACTGAAAAATCCAACTCCGAATTCCTCACCGGTATTCTGGAGGGATCCCGAACCTCATACTCCGTACAATAATACTAACTGCAATAAGTCGAGGCTCTATACCCCATAGTCTGCTACAATTAAGTTAAACCTAACTGTGACTGTCAATCTATTTTCTGACTCATCCTTACAGCCTCATCAAAACTTATACAGACGAACTGCCAATTAAATCTACTGGCGTCCTATGAGTCTTGGACTCTTGCACACTCATCTTCTTCGCCAGTCTCGTATTCTAGCTCAGCCTGGTTATATGACTCAATTCTGTCGCCTAGAATATGCAGAAATTAAGCTACAATCTAAAAAAAATACTGCCTAAAGAGTCATATTGCTTCGTCTTGGCCTCAAAGCCAATTCTTCCTTTGATGCATGCGGCTCAATTGGTCAAAGCAGATGTATGACTCCATCATTCACTTTCTTGTAGTCCGTATATTTTTTTTCTGACGATCAGAGCATCTTGACAGGGGTGAGTAATTGGCTGATGGCGTATATCTTGGACCCTCGGAGTTCCCACTGTCGTGAATTGAGTTCCGATTATTTACCATATCCGGTAATATCTATGTTGTGATTGAGTGTATAGCTTCGTGACTTTTTTTCAGGCAACAAAATAGTCATCATGAGCCGGAGAATAGACCTGGGTGGATTTGTAATGTTGTGGATGAAGAATCGGTGATGTGGTGGTATAAAATGAAGCTGTTTCCTCTGCAACTTCCTATCCAAGACTCAGACAAGCCCTAAACGCGATCTATACAAATAGACTCGCACTCGAGAAATTCATACCTACACATATGATAATAAACCAAACCCACTCGCAACAACCACAAGCAAACACTATGGAACACACAAACTACAACAACATGCCTGCTCTCCGGCATACAGCTACGACAAACACAACAACAACAACAACGACAGAAACAGACCCAGACTCCGCCTCCCTCTACTCCGAGCACGCAGCCCTCCTCCTCCCATCAAAGGACGGCACACAACCCGGCTTCGCACCCGAACAATCTCTCTCTCGCGGCCTCCAAATCCCTTCCAAGACTTCCCGACTCACATCCGGATTCGAGTATCCTTCCATACTGGGTACTCAATACAACATATCGCGCGATGAATGGGAACAATTCACACATGAAATTACGGAAAGTGCAAAATTATCACCTTCGCAATGGACGACGGTCATTGGTGTGGGTATGGGTATAATGGCTGTAGGGGGTATGATGGTGGGCTTCTTCGGCGCGATTCCGGCTGTTATAGCCGCGAAACGGAAACGGGCGAGACAGGAGAGTAGGAATCTTGCCAGGGCTATGGGCATTCCGTCTCCATTCGAATCAGACCAGCAACAATCAAACAACCAAGACGATTCTCAAATACAAGAAATAACAGATGAAAACTCCCTATCATCCAAAATCACTGCCTGGAACGAAACATTCTTCAAACCTCGCGGAATCATGATTCGCATTGACATGCCGTATGATCTCTCAGCGGTGGAAGACGGACTAGATGTGAGCTCTACCTCTCGTACTGCTGCCAAAAAATCACCACGAAAATCTTCTTCTCCTTCCCATGCCTCGTCGCGGCAGGGGTCGGTGTCTTCGTCTCTTTCGGGGTTGTCGGCAGATAAAACTGACCGGGTAAAGGAGCGGTATAAGGCTAGTCATCGGTCCAGGATTGTGATTATTCCGCTGAATTCTGATGGGAGATCCGGGTCGGTGATGAGTCAGGCTACTACTTTGGCGGAAGAGAGCCCTTATATTCCTGCTGTCTATAATTGATTGTCTCGTTTTCATGTCCTTGGTATGAAATTGTGTTTTTGAGGGATTCCAGATTGTTAGCGTTGTTCATGATAGTATTTACTTAATGATGATGAATACTAAATTGATACAATTTCATTTCTATACGTACATATTTGCACCATATATATACTGTGAAAGACAAAATTACAACTTCGCCTTGAACCCCGGCGTAAAACTCGTCCCTCCACCAATACTCTCAACAATCCGATCCACAACCCCAATCAACCATATACTCCCTTCATCAGACGCTAACCACTCCCCCCCTTGGATATCGCTCTCCGCACTCCCATCTTCAAACGCCTTTCGCAACCCAAAAACATGCGAAATAACCTGCGGCCCAACCCCCGTCTGCGCACGGAGACAAGCCACTGCAACAATGGACGTCAACACCCTGCCTACCTTCGCCGGAACCACACCTTCTGTCGGGGTGGTCGGATCAGCAAATAAATTCCCGTATTCACTCTCAATAATGTGAACTGGTAAATCTGGATGAGACAGGGCGAGTTTCTGTTGCAGTTTTGTCTCGAAGGGGTAGTAGATTGATTTCCATAGTGAGTGGCCCCGGCTCAGGATGTCCGGAATGACTTCGGGTTTTAGTTGGCGACGCGCTTGGGTCGATAGGGCGTCTTTAATGTCTGTTGGTAGCCCGGCGCGAAATTCGCCGAGACAGTTTATTGTTCGTGGGATCTTTTCTGTCAGTTTCTACGTAGTATTGAAGTGATAGAATGAGAGAAACGTACGCCATTGAATCCAATACATTTTAATCCAATCTCACGGATCAATTCAGCAAGATAAACACTCTCCTCTTTGGATCTCGATTCCGAGACGAGTTTGTGTAATTGGACCAATGATTCTGGTGAATTCATTGTCATTGTTGCTGCTGTCTGCGTATCCAATTAGCCACTGTCCTTCAAAGTGTAAGACTAAAAGCGAAGACGAACGGCAGCACTAAACCAAGCTTTTAATCCCACATTCCGTGGCTCGGCTTCCTTTGCTATACTCGCATATACAGAGGTTATTTGTGCCGGAGCTGGGTTTGTGCCTGGACGAGCATGGGGAGAGTTGATCAATGCTTTGAGGGCGGGTGACAATTTTGCCATTTTGCTTCTAATTGGAGAAATGTTGAAATACTTCAGTTTTAGTTAGAGAGACATCAGGATTGGCGATTTTTGAGGAAGAAGTGATGTTTATTGAGAGACGATTTATCCTCGGCCTGAAGGGTATTTACGTAGGCGGTGGGACATTTCGGGACTACTTTTGCTGCCGAAGAAAGGCAAAATTATTAGCCCTAAGCCCTAACCCTATATTCTCCGTACTCTGTATAGATACTTCAAATATAGATCATGTATCCAAAGAATCAAATTGAAACTTTCATGAGCCTTATAGTAACATTCTGTAGAAGGTCCCGTGATAATCATATCATATCGAAAAGAGCGACTTTGCAGGCCCTGAATGGTAGAGCGTACATGCACGACAGATTGAACGATGACGATTTTCATAAAACTGCTCAATTTTTCAACATCTTAACGATAAGACGGACCATATAGTTGTGGATTTGTTGCACAATTATCTGCCGCTGTTGGCCATTTGGTGTCACCCGCCTAGCCGAAGAACTGTAAGTGAATGCATTCTGCAATGTTGGAGTTAAGTCAAGGACTAGATTCACTTACTCTATGGTCTCTACTTGTCCTTGACTTCGCCATCGGACCAATTGGAGTCTGAGTTTATTTCTCGACCGAGAAGATTTATTGATCGAAGTTTTTGGGTTATCATTTGTGGTTTCTGTGATCTGAAGCCCTGCTTCCAATAATGCTTTATCAAGGAGATCTGCCCGCTTTGAGAATTCACTGATCTGAATTAGGAGGGAGGTTGTTTCTTCCTCGTTCTGATTACGTGTACGCTGGAGGTCCTCTGAAAGCTGGTCATAATCTTGCCTCATCCAATCGTGCTCCTGTAAAGCGTTGTCTCGTTGTTGTTGCATTTCGTTGTGTTCATGAGCCAGGAAATTACTTCGGAGCCGCTGTGCAACCAGAGTGGCTAGTAATATATTCACTTGACGTCGTCTCCGTACATCAAGAGTGATATTTTGCTGTCGAAGTCGGTTGCGTTGATTTCGAAAGTTGCGCACCCGTGCCCATAAAGTGTTGTTCTCTTGTTCCAGTGTATCTCGGTCCTGAGCGACCTGCTCTCGTGCAGCTCGTTCCTAGGCGACCTGTTCTTCCATAGCATCTCGTTGATTTTGAAGCTCCTCCAGCCTCGTGCTTAGTGCAGCTCGTTCTTGCGCAGTGGCTTGTTGATCTTGCGGCTCGATAACCCGTGCTCTTAGAGGGTTGATCTCTTGTTCTAGCGCAACTTGTTCTCTGGAGGCGCGGTTTCTCAAAGCAGCTTGTTGATTTTGAAGGTTGCGCATCCGTACTCTTAAATCCCTGGTCACTCGTTCTAGCCTAGCCCGTTGGGCGGCATGCTCTCGCAAAGCAGCTTGTTCATGTTGAAGTTTGCGGACCTGCGCTCTTAAAGTTCTGTTCTCTCGTTCTAGTGTAGCTCGTTGAGTGGCCTGTTGTTGGGTAGCCTGTTCTCGCGCAGTAGCTTCGTCTCGCAGCCGCGTTCTTGGATTGTTGTCCACTCGTTCTAGCCTAGGTCGTGCGAATTGAGCCCTTGGTGCCGGGGTGGGTATTCTCGATCGTTGGCGTCGTTGGTTTTGATTCATTGTGTTGAATGATTCCCTTTGTTTTCTTGTCGTACAATTAATGAGACGAGATAGATAGAAGATGCTGGTCACGGTATGGGTTGTAGAAGAGACTGAAGTTGACTGAGCATCAAGGTGGACAAGGGGAATAAAAAGGGGATGAGGAAACAGACAGGTATATATACAGAGAAAAGAAAAAAGAAGAAAGAAAAAGGGGAAAGGGAAGGGGGGAAAGTCCACCGCAATTCAGGGTAGACAAGGCTACACCAGGTAGGTCCCTCGAGCCGAATTCAAACACCTTCTCTTCAGCGTTTCTTCAACGAGTTTCTACATGAACAGAATTTTGAGAGCCGGAGATTAGACTATTTGACAGAACACCACGTCCCATTAGCGGTCTGACGATTCCTGTAGTTTTGTAAGCATTCTGAGCCGCATTTCCCGGTTGACAAAGCTGCCGCGATAGCCCCATGGGGTATGTATATGACGATACTTCTCCAAGCCATCCTAATATGACATAAAGCTTATGTTTGCGGATATCGACGGCATCAGCTAATGGCTTCTTTGTTCCCTTCTGGGACAGATGCGTCGACATGTCAACCCCTCGTGCAAAGTTCTGAAGACTTATAGCAATGATGGTTCTGTCATCCGCCGCTTATTCAGCAAAACGATTCGTGGCTATTGATGATTCCAATGCAGAGAGCATGGATGTTGAGTTGAGGTGCGGTTGATAAATTCAGTCATTGGCCGTGATGTAGCCAACAAGAGGAGCAGGTATATCGAACGAGGCTGTTGCTCATGCAAGCATGCCGCAAAAACCGGTGACTATGAAATCATGAATATGTATTCACCAATCAGACGGAGTTTCGCTATGACGTATCCCCGAGATGACAGATTTAAGTCTATGCCATCTTAGGGAAATGCAGGAATTTTGAGGTTGATGTGTTGTAGAATAGGTCACTAGCGTAGTGGGATTGTACAAGAGCACCGATTGCTACTTGGGACCATTCTACCGGAAGAAGCAAGGAGCGCCATTAGTCTCCTCATAAGATATTACAGGATCTGTGGTGGCAAAAAACTCAGCGAGAATCGTTTTGGTTCTTCGATTTAGTTTTAACCAGCAACAGGGGGAAAGTCGGATGAATCCGTGTATCATCTTAACGCCGGGTAATATTTGAGCATATGGGGTTATTGTGTATATATGCACATCTAGAATTTGCGTATAGCTGGTATCTCTATTACTACTCGTAATCCAGCGATTCCTCTAGTCCTTAATGACACGAGGATTGTCGATTAATTTCACAAATAGTATTCCAAGAACAGACCTTGCCTAAATTACAACATCAGACATCTTCCCAGTAAACATTTCCTACTAAAAACAGACAATCATTTACTCCACATTGTTACCCCTGTCAGCGGTTTCCTACAGTATCAGATTATGTACTATACGCTCAGCTTTCTGTGTAATCCCAACATATTCTCTCCATGCATGATACATGTATTCGGCTGACAAGATCAATTCTCCTTCAACTCTATCATACACCTCGGCACTTGACTTAGAAGTTAAATCAACTTAAATGGCGAACAGTTTGCTACCTAGGTACTCAATCATTGAGCCCAGTTCATACCGTCCCCCAAAACAGCCTGCCCCTTCTCAAGCGACTCCGAAGGCTCCTCCCCCAACCACTGAGGCTGCAACCGATCCAAATTCCGCTCAATCTCCCACGCACGCCCACCTTCAACATACATCGCCATCCCACTCACCCTCTCTTCTTGTCCCTCAGCAGCTAGAACACCCGTAATAACCTTGGCCACATCCAACGGTTGATTAATCGGGAGTTGAGCTTTGCGCCACCCATCCTCAATACCAGCCACCATAGCCGTCTCGGTCATCCAGGGACAAATAGCATTAACGCGAATATTATGCGTTGTAGGGAAAGTGATGTATTTCCTCAACGAGCGCATTAGCCCCAGAACACCGTGTTTACTAGCTTGGTACACAAATAGACCCGGTGATTCTTTGAAGCCGGCTACGGATGAGACCAGTGTTAAGGAGCGGTCTTGTCCTTCTCTGCGGTTTTGGCGCAGATACACGCTTGCTATGCGTGCGGTGTATAGACAACCCAACAGGTTGACATCGAGGACTTTGGTTGTGGGTTGCTACACTACTTAGTAACTGGTTCATATAAGCGGGAAGAGGTTCTTACTTCTTCGACACTTTCCACTGTCAATGCGGGATCGAACCAGTTCCCTCGTTCGACGATTCCGGCATTGGCAACGACGTGGTCAATTCGTCCGTATAAGGAGAGTGCAGTCTTGAATAGTGACAGTACGGACTGGTAATTCGTGACGTCCACAGGGACGAATCTGGCCGTGGGCGGTGATGATTTCTGGCTAGCGTTTGCACTCTCTTCGACGCCACGGCCAGCCTTTTCGTCAATGTCGCCGAAACATACGTAGGCGCCGTGTTGGGTGCATAATTCGACTAGACTTTTGCCTATTCCGTGGGCACCTCCTGTTTGGCGTTAGCTACGATTCATGAATAAGACTCCTGTTCAGGGTTTGGGCGTCGTACCTGTCAAAACTATCACTTTATCCTGAAGTGATTCCCGGGAAATGGTTGGATGGAATTGAGACATGGTGTTTATCGATGTGGTGCTTTCAACTTTTCAACAACTGCATTGTCGGTGTCGATTTCTCATTCTGCTTATATTATTCAAGATGCACGCTTTAACCGGGATCAGGGATTCATACCGAGGTACATATCCTGCTGGCCATAAGTACGTGTGGCAGCAATATCATGTCCATTTCCCCTCATCCGGAAAACCTCCAGAACTCCACCGGGAGCGTATTCGACCCCGTATTCATATCGGCAAGCGTCCCGGCCAATCTAAACAGAGATTCTCAAGATTTATCGTCAATTATCCGGTCGATCAAGTTGTATTGACTCAGTAACCCCGCATTCCTGGGGCACGAGGTACGGAAATTACCCTTTCCAAAGTTAGGGTTCGGAGTTGATATATGAATATATAAATGACCAATCCAGCTCAGTATGTTAAATCTGTATTTTTTGTAATTAAATATTGAAAGAAATAAATCGTATCGTCCTGCAAAATGCCCCTTCAAAGCTACTACCACGTATCCAGCGAAAAAGGCTTGTCAAGCGTGACATCCCTCATCGTTGGCTCCAAAGAAGCCGTCCTCTTCGACCCCCCATTCCTCATCCCCGACGCCAACGACACAGTAACCTGGATCAAAAATACCCTCAGCACCCAAAACCAAAAGCTCAAAGCCGTCTTCGTCACTCACCACCACCCGGATCACTTCTTCTCCGCAAACCCGATCCTCGAAGCATTCCCCGAAGCTCGTTTCTTTGCTGCACCGTACGTGTTGGCGGGGATCAACAATGAGTACGATGATAAAGTAGTTTACTGGCCATCTATCTTTGGTAGAGAAAATATTCCCGAAAAGCCACGGAAACCCGATCCGTTTGAGTATAGTTTTTTTATCTTGGAGGGGGATCCGGATTCGCCGGTGCATTTGTTGGGCCCTGTGCAAGGGGATTCGGTTGATCATACTATTTTCTGGCTGCCGAAGGAGCGGACGTTGATTTGTGGTGATACTGTTTATGCGCGCAGTACGCATGTTTGGTCTGTCCTTTTGTCTACCAAAGTCATTTGAGCTGCAGCTGACATCTTACAGGGTCGAAGAGGTCGAATCGGCCGCCCTGCTAGAAGCCTGGCAACGCACAATCCAACTAATCGAGCACCTCAACCCCATGAAACTAATTCCCGGCCATATCGAATCCGGCTGGGAACCCGACGTCGCCGCCGACCTGGCCCATATGAAGAAATATCTCTCCCTATTCGGCGAGAAGATCACCTACGCACCCAAAAAGGCGCAAGTTAATGAACTGTATGAATTCTTTAAAAACAGTTTCCCGCAAGCGGATAAGAATTTGGATTTCTTTTTGGGCCATTTGTCCAATCAGTTTGGCGAAGGCGGGAAAGTGTGGGAGGAGAATCGGCATCAGAACGCTGGCGAGAGGGGGAGGGAGAGGTTGCAGGGGTACTGGTTTAGTTAGATGTCTAGATTAGTAGCTGTACTGTGTATCAATGAAGAGCACCTCCAATACATTATTCTATTTTACTAATAACAAATCAGACGCTCTTCAATGCCGTATTGAACCCATACAAGCTGATAACTGTGGAAGTATGGAGTGACCTTTCTTTCATTATAGCTAGCTTCTACTGTATACGAACACGAAAAGTCTGTCAAATGATGCCGATCTCATCGGATATCCCCCATTCTCTGGATGCCATAACTACGCGCCCACATTCGGATGAATGGACAATGATCATATCACATAGATTTGGTACGGATTAGGAATGCATAGAGCCGCGATACTTTAGCATTTAAGAAAGTATACTGAGTCAAAAGATACCGCACTATCCAAATTGCCCTAAAGACAACTATTCCCTTTTAGGGAGAGGTCCAAATGCTTCTCCGAACCGCCTCTTCGTCGATTGTCAGTAGTACTCGGTGAAAGTATTGTCATGAACCGCCCATACGTCTGGTGCAAATGATTTCAATCGGCCCACATCAATGACAATGTCTCTCCGCGATTCTTCCGTTGGTTCTCGCCAGAAAACGTCGACAAACTTGATCACTAAAGGGTTATTATCCGAGATACGAATACTTGAGGCCTGTGATAAGACTGTGCGAGAAATATTCTTCGGTCCGTTATCGAATCCCCAATTTTCGCTGGTGATTTCTTTGTATTTTCGGTTGATCTCGATAGTTACAACAGCCCGAGCTTCTCCCTTTGACTCATTCATCCACAATTCAATAGCTTTTGTGAGTTCGCGGTTTCATTCAGAGTAACCAACTTCAATAACTAATGTCGGCTACTTATCTGAACGGGATTTGGGCAGCCGACGTGGTAGTAGCTTTTGTCTGTCCGTTTTATGCGATCCTCGCCTTGGATGTGGGCCAAACCCTACAAGACGAGGCCCATTCATGGCTTTGGTGTGGCCGCTTAGGATTGCTCCCAGTTCTTCAAGGGGCGAATCCGTGAGTCCGCAATTCCATTTTAACGAGCAATAATTCAAGTCCCGGATAGAACGTCTTGAAGCCGAGAGTCCCGAGACTATTGTCGTCGCAGTCGTGATTGAACGTTGTTTCGTTTAAGCCGGTGAATACGATATAGTCGCTTCCTTCGCGGCTAGTATCAAAAACAGAGAGCTCGCGATCTCGATTGAGAAAAAATTCCTTCTTGTTGCGATGCTCGTATTGAGCGGTGTTGGGACTAAGGCCCAGGGGTTTCTTGCAGTTCTGTGCCATGGTTTTTTGGGCAGATGCACCAGCACTATTCAATTTGATGTTTTCTTGCAAGGCACGCACCCTCTTCACGATAGTATTGTGTGGTCTGGTGCAAGTTGAAATACTCTGTCCATAAGGCTCATATTGGAAGAAGCGCGCGGTCTGCACTTTATGATGATCTAGATTTCTTGATGCATCAAAGCACGGCTGAAACCTTTCAGGGAGACCTCGCGCCTAGCCCTAAGCTCAGCGTCGGAGTTCCCCATCCGAATCCGAATTGGACATCAAACTGTTCAGGGACAATATAACCCTAACTCTGGCCCCTATATAGTGAAGAACATGAGTTACATAACTAGTTATTATTCCTAATAAACGTTAGTTACTGTAAAGAATATGATCATCAGGTCACGGGATGACTAGCGATTCCGAGACTAATTATAGTTAAGAACCCCCTGAGTCGTATGTAACTAGAAGTCTAGAAGAGAACAAGATGAGTAGTAAGTAATACACAGAGATGCAACGCATCGCATCGAATCATCTCCTTATCAATACTTACAAGCAGCTGATCCATTCACCGATTTCTTTACAGTTACTAGCTGCGCGAATACCGGATATTCCAGAGTAGGAGCTTAGTAACTTAGGAGATAGCTATAAAAGGAGACAGAGACGGAGTGGGATGATGTCCAAGAACCCATAGACACTAGCCACCCGGACACGTGAGAGATGTATCAACTTGTTACTTGACAGACTGATTGTAAACTTGTCTAGATAGTTGCATTCTAGTTGCATTCTGATAGAGCCATCATACAACTGTTTGGCTGACCGAGTCACCGAAAGCCGATGGAATCACGTGTGTCGATCTGGTGTCCCGCCCTAGTCCCAGAACAGGTTAGCCTGGTATATCGAGCATTCGATTTGTTTCTCACTTGACGTTGTATGCTCTCAATTATTTAATCTCTGCCTTTCTCGGGGTATTCTATGATCAATTGATAATATCTCAGTATTGTTCTGGCCTCAACGCGCCCAATTGAGAGCTCGTTGACCCTCTCGAAACAAGACAAAAGCAGCTGCCCCAGCTCTGTCGTCATAGTCTTTCTCTGACGTAGAGAGAGCTCCGCCGCCAATTTCTCTCACCGGAATCTTCCCCCACCACGAGACATCGCTTTTTTCTTCTGCTAACTTCATCGATTGACTTGTCGATTGATACGAACGAACGAGGATAATTATCGAGGCTGGGCAGCCACGATGAGTTCGACTACCGCTTCGACCGCTTCGACCGCTTCGGCCATCAAACCGCCCATCAAACCAGCCAAGAAACGTATCGCCGTCCTCACGTCTGGTGGTGATGCCCCTGGTATGAACGGCGCTGTCCGCGCCGTTGTGCGGATGGCGATTCACAGCGGCTGCGAAGCCTTCGCCGTACATGAAGGTTACGAAGGCTTGGTTGCTGGCGGAGATTTGATAAAAAAGATGCACTGGGAAGATGTTCGTGGCTGGTTGTCCCGCGGAGGAACCCTAATTGGTTCAGCGCGCAGTATGAAATTTCGCGAGCGATCAGGTCGTCTTCAAGCTGCAAAGAATATGGTTCTGAGAGGAATTGATGCGTTGGTTGTCTGTGGAGGAGATGGTAGTCTGACTGGTGCTGATCTGTTTCGGTCTGAATGGCCCGGTCTGTTGAAAGAGTTGGTAGAAAAGGGTGAATTGACTGAGCAACAAGTCTTCCCGTATACCACATTGAATATCGTGGGTTTGGTGGGATCGATCGATAATGATATGTCCGGTACAGACGCCACAATTGGTTGTTATTCTTCTCTGACCCGAATTTGTGATGCTGTGGATGATGTCTTTGATACCGCCTCGTCTCACCAGCGAGGTTTCGTGATTGAGGTCATGGGTCGACACTGCGGTTGGCTTGCACTCATGTCTGCCATTAGTACAGGCGCAGACTGGTTGTTTATTCCTGAGATGCCCCCGCGTGATGGCTGGGAGGATGATATGTGCTCTGTAATTACCAAGGTGAGTGTATATACATTTTTATTCAGTGATCAAAGCTTAACATTTGTAGAATCGCGAACGAGGCAAGCGCCGAACAATTGTTATTGTCGCCGAAGGCTCCCAGGATCGCCATCTCAACAAGATTTCCTCAAATGCAGTCAAAGATCTTCTCAGCGATCGCCTGGGACTCGACACTCGAGTGACGGTTCTCGGACATACACAACGAGGTGGTCCTGCCTGCGCTTACGATCGGTGGTTGTCGACCCTTCAGGGTGTGGAGGCTGTCAAGGCCGTGCTTGACGTTAGACCAGACTCCCCATCTCCAGTGATTGTCATTCGCGAAAATAAGATCGAAAGAATGCCGCTGATGGAAGCAGTTCAGCAAACCAAAGACGTCACTGCTCGTATCCACGCCAAGGACTTTGACCAAGCTATGGCTATGCGTGACTCTGAATTCAAAGAATACTACAATGCATACCTCAACACCACCACCGTGGACCACCCCAAGATGCGCCTTCCTGAGAAGAAGCAAATGCGCATCGCCATTATCCATGTTGGTGCCCCCGCTGGTGGCATGAACCCCGCGACCCGAGCAGCAGTCGGATACTGCTTGACTCGCGGTCACAAACCAATCGCCATTCACAACGGTTTCCCAGGCCTTTGCCGCCACCACGACGACAAGCCTATAGGTTCCGTGCGGGAAATCGAGTGGCTCGAGTCAGACGACTGGGTTAACGAGGGAGGATCCGAAATCGGCACAAATCGAGGTCTACCAGGTGATGATCTCGAAACCACCGCTCGAGCATTTGAGAAACACAAATTCGACGGATTGTTCATTGTCGGTGGTTTTGAAGCCTACACTGCCGCGAGTCAACTGCGCAAAGCCAGAGATTTTTACGATGCATTCAAAATCCCAATTGTCGTTTTACCGGCAACCATTTCCAACAACGTCCCCGGAACGGAATACTCCCTTGGTAGCGACACCTGTCTCAACACACTGATCATGTTCTGCGACGCTATCCGTCAATCCGCCTCCTCATCCCGCCGCAGAGTCTTCGTCGTCGAAACCCAAGGCGGTAAATCCGGTTACATCGCCACGACAGCCGGTCTCTCCATCGGCGCCGCAGCAGTGTACATCCCCGAAGAAGGAATCAACATCAAAATGCTAGCACGAGACATTGAATTCCTCCGTTCCAGCTTTGCGTCTGACCGCGGCGCAAACCGTGCGGGAAAGATTATCCTGCGCAACGAAACCGCTTCCCAGACATACACCACTCAAGTCATTGCGGATATGATCAAGGAAGAAGCGAAAGGCCGCTTTGAGTCCCGTGCCGCGGTACCAGGTCACTTCCAACAGGGTGGTAAACCGTCCCCGATGGACCGCGTGCGCGCCTTACGTATGGCGATTAAATGTATGCAACACATTGAATCCTACGCCGGAAAGTCGCGCGATGAGATTGCCAAAGATGAATACTCTGCCTCCGTTATTGGGGTCAAAGGTTCTCGAGTCTTGTTCTCGCCCATGGGTGGCCCCGGAGGTCTTGAGTTTACAGACACGGACTGGGAAAAGCGTCGTCCTAAACATGAGTTTTGGCTTGAGTTGCAGGATTTGGTGGATGTGTTGAGTGGTCGGAAACCGCATAAAGAGGCTGGAATGTTGGAGGATAGTCATTCAAAGGGGAAATGGGGGTATGAGAGTCCGTAGAGGGTTTGATGATGATGATCATGATAAATAAACAAATATGGAGTTATGACTTTCTTTTGATTTTTTGGTTTGTGTACATTTTCAATCTTGATAAGACTTGAATTGAGATTTTGGTGATTCTGTATGAGTATTCTAACTATTAACTATGGATTGGGATGGCTTGGCTACATTCTAGACCGATACATGCAAACATACATGGGTATAATGATCCGAATAAAGCCTCAAGCCTTGATCCTGAAGTTTGTCGGCGGTAAGACATAGAGAATCATGAGATTGTCACTCCGGGTCATGCATCACGATGCCATGGATGATGGCGCAGAAACGGCCCCCACAGCCCTACCGGCGACTTGCCTATTGATTTTGCCTTAACGGACTAGACATCTTTATCAATTACTGTTCATCGTCGGCCTGTGTACGGAGTAAATTGTACGAGATTGTAGTTTATCCAAATCCTCAATCTCACAGACCATCTCTCTGTGTCCACTCAACAGCACTCAAAGACAACAACCTCGAACAAACTCGTAAAGCCCCTAACGCCACATCTCATGAATCTCCACCCCTGGCTATTAAGGCGCTTGATTAGTCTCGTTTAGGCAATAAGGTGCTTCACAATAGCCCCTTACTGGCCGCTGGAAAATCGACATTTAGAGAGTAAACGGGACGAGAATCTAGCGCTGCGTAGCCACTTTTGTGGTCTTTTTAACTCAGTTTAAGTTCGACTTTGATGTTTATTAGTTTTCAGCTATGGTTTAATTAGCGTAGAGTAAACATGTCTAGACCGTTGGAACTTTCTCTGTTGATTTCCTTGATCCGGTTCTTCATTCTGCTTTGCGACTCGGTTCTCATGTACAGGTGTATGTATATGAGTATAAGAATCTCAAGTCAGGACAATGTCAGGCCAATTCATATATCCGCCCCCAAACTCTCAAGATGTTACATTAAACTACAATTATCGCGACTCCGTGGACGTCAGTTTTCAGACCACAGCCCAAGATCCGAATAACACATTCCTCTCGTTATGGTATTATCTCGATGGACAGCCGTGGGCCATAGGTACGTCCCTCAACCCTCCTCCGTTTCTTCTTTTTTTTTCCCTTTCCTGGTGTATACTGACCCTTGAGCAGGATACAACACCTCCGTCCCCCCCAACGGCACAATAACCGTCGACCTCAACATCCTCGACCAACCCTACTACGGCCAATTCAACTACGATTTTGACGGCCACAAAGTCGCATATCTCAGCTGCTTTTTTAATGTTGCTCATAACACGACGCAAAACCCCGTGACTTGGGGTCAGAGTGCGGCGGCGGCTTATTCGTCGTCGTTGGCGGCTGCTACGTCTACTATCACTACTACTACTAGTACTACTACTACATCGGCGGCTTCGAAAGGGACATCCACATCGACATCGACTAGATCTGCGACGACGGTGGGGAGTCTTGGTTCCGCGGCATCGGTAATATCTTCGCCGTCAAGTACACCGTCTTCTTCGGGATTGAGTGGTGGTGCAATTGCCGGTATTGTCGTTGGTGTTGTTATAGGTGTTCTCGCCGTTCTGGGTATGGGATTATTTTTCTGGAGACGGAACAGGAATGGGAATAAATCTGCTGAAATACTTGCGTCCGGAAGTCAGCATAGTCCTTTGCCTCAGCAACAAGAACTGGATAATAACCAGGTGGAGAAGCCTCTTGGATCGGTGTCGATGTATTCGCATCATGGAGGGCTGCCGCGGTATGCGGAGTTGGCTGGGAATAATGGGTTGCAGGAATTGCCGGGTTGACGTGTTGGAAGATGCAGTGGGATTGTATATAGAGAGTATGTATTTAATGAATTGGTAATATTGGGTGACAGTTTGGCATGAATTAAGTAGTTAGAAGTCATTAGCATATCGATACATCTGGATTCTCTTTATTATCTTAGGGGAATATTCCGCAAAGCTGATGTACATACAGTGTGCCACGAACCCGGAAAAAGTTTAAGAAATCTGTTCAAATACATTCACCCAGGTAATGTTGGAAAACGGCGGTGCATCAATTTGGCAAACAGTCCCAGGCTTTGGCAAAGTACCATTGACCCAATAGCTCGCAGTGGTCTTCAAAATGCACAAGGAAGGCAGGCCGAGAGAGGTATGCTGAATTTTGCAAGGTTTGTGGTTAGTATCATATCAGAACTCCTGATTACGATTGAGACAAGGAGAGGAACGTACACCGTATCCATTAACTTCAAGAACTACACTCCCCTCAAATCCAGCACTGACGTTATATGCATACTTTATAGGCGTATGTCCGTCGTACATATTCCCAATAAGAAGTACCGGACTCTTTGGACGGACTTGAAAGTCGCCTTCGTAGCGTTCCTTTGCATCTAGTTTCCATTGCGCACATGTCATAGTGAGAGACATGTCCGCACGACCTGCTATCTTGCTCGTGTTTGACAGCTCATATATAGCTGGTAGAATCTTCTCAAAAGTTCCTGCACGAGCTGCTGGAGCCCGATCTGAGCAGTGAATTCCTTCTAGAGCCGTATACACGGATCCTATTGTAAGTAAAGTTGCATTATCAACTGGTACAACCTGTCCGACAAAGTCCAGGAATACAGTCTTATCAATATCCCCGGTTAAGAGCATGTCGAATATCGACGTGGTATCCTCCCAAACTGACGTGGCGTAGAGAGAATTGACCGCGAGTGTATACAGCAAGGAATCGTCCACCATCAGACCGCCAACTGCGATATGATGCATTTTCAGGGTATCCACTAGGTCAAAGAAACTTTTCTCAAAATCCGCGGCTGTTGCGTTGGGGTTACTCTTTACTAAGGCGCATTTATCTGGACCGGCTGTGACGCAGCTGCTGAACATTCCTGAGAATGATTGATCTGCTACTTCCCACTCTTCGATATCACTGTTATTTGAATGTCAGTGTCTATCTGTATCTTTCAAACCCGTGAGGCATACGCGTATGAATGATAGTATTCATGAGGATTCTGAACCCCATTCAAAATCACTTTGTCGACTTTATCTGGAAACATGGATACCAGTGTAGCTCCCAATGTGGTTCCATACGAGAACCCTAACCAATTCCCTTGAGTTAGCAATGCAATCCCCATCAATCTCTCTCTGGTAAAATTACCCCAATACCTCAACAGCCCATCGTCACCAATAGATTCCGCAATACTCATCACGTCTCTGGCAGTACACGCAGTACCAATAAGCGTGCCGATTACATTGTGTTTCTGTGCGTACGTATTTGTATCGATTGTGCCTCGAGTCCACAGCCTCCCCAAAGCAGCCTCGTCATCTGCATCCAGTGTAGTTTGAGGATCAGCGAATTTTTCGAGTTTGTATTCGGTGTTGTAGCAGGTGAATGGTATGTTGCTGGTCGAAGTACCACTGTCATGATATGACATATCAGTATCTGCACTCTGTATATGAGCTGACTGGGAGTTTACCGTGGATCAAAGAAAATGAGATTATATTGACCACCAGAGAGCCTGTATAACAATATCAACTGTTAGGTTCTTCATAACAGTAGAGAAGAGGACTCGTACGCTTGTAAAGGGACCGCAGAACCAGCCAACGTCGCCCGCCCTATCTCCCCAGGACCACCAAAGTTGAGCACAATACTTCCTTTCACCGGCTGGACGGTAGCAGGAACCCTCAACAGGGTCTAATGTGTATGTAGCGTTTGAGGTTACTGTGTAATCAAGAGGGACCAGAAGTGTGCCACAGTCGACTGGTAAGGGGCTATCGAAGTCGTTGTTGCAGGTGCCCCCATTGAACGACTGTTGTGGCCTGGGCGGCCAAGAACAAGGTGGAGAGTTGGAGAAGAAAAGGGGTTGTTTGACCAAAAATCATAGTGAGAGTGTCAATTGTTGGAAGTAGTCCGAAATCTGGGCTGCTGAGAGCCGGAGAGAGTCGACTGAATATATCTTATTACATGACCAGACTTGACCCCCAACTTGACGATGGCTGAATATCAAGCTCGTTTTCATCACTCTATATGTAGATCCACTGAAATGACAGCCGCACGTTGAATATGTATTTCATGGCGGCGCATAACACCTATTTCGTAGTGAGGAACCGGAAATAGCCTTTTGGCTGTCTACGTCCTCCATATTCGGCATCTGGTAAACGCCTCATTATCAACACGTCAATCGTATTAACAGCTTGAGATCTTCTTTAAGCTAAAGTTAATTAGGCTTATAAACTGTGTTTATTGGTTATTATAAGCCCGTGAACGGCAGGGCTTGGATAGCCCTAACTTAGTGATGGTCTGGCGCTACAATTAACCGGATCGGGATGTATGTGGCGCCTCTAATAGAGCCTCTTAAACATCCACACGTCGGCTCTGTTCGTTGGTTGTCTGGTACGCTTATTTTGATTATGAGGAAATGAGAGACTCGTAGGACGAACAGGATGGAAGAGCTTTACTGGATATTGTTTTCTGGTGTGAAGTGTATGTATGGATCCGGTGCTCGAAACTTGACTTCTGCAGTTTATCCTCATAGTTGTATACGTCGGCGTCAATTTAAAGGAACTAGAGCAAGTAAAAAACCCTTTAACCTTGTCAATTGAATATTGTGGGCCGTTATATGAGCCCTGTCTTGAAATTCATAAGGTCCTTCGTCTCGGACATCTCCAGGTATGCGAGAGTCTAGACAGCACTTAGCATCTGGTACTGCCAAACCTACCGCCACTTATATTTATAGCATGTTTAACATTGGACAACTACATCAGGGGACGATCAATCTCACAGAGCACTTTCTGATTCGACGAATATAGGGTTCTGCTGCGAAGGCTTTGGGTCCTGGATGAAGCAGCTTTGCATGTCGGTGGTAGGATATCAAAGTCACATCGATGACCTGATTCGGATCATATAAGATAAATTTCTTTTACCCTTTTTCAGGTACCATATCTGATGTGGAAAATGAATCATCGCCAGCAGGGGCAACGGGTTCTGCGGATTTTGCGGGACCACGACAGCGTACAGCTTCATCATGATGCACATCAGTTTCCATCGAGTACGTGTTACGCGTTTACTGCCTTAGAGCTACTGGATATATGAAATTAAGTCTCCATTACGTCTAGTCATGTTACTATTCCATGCCTTTCGACAGAAAATCAGGAATCGACTTTCCATCACCTGATTCCATCGAAACCGCTTTTCCCGCTTGACAACTGAAACCTCGAACGGGCTCACCGATAAGAAGTGATCCACATCATTATGCCACCATATGATTTCTTTTTTACAAGATGCATTTATATGTAGACAGAATCTTGTCAAATTTCTTAATTTTAGACACAATGAACTACAAAAATGAATAAGATGGTATTTGCTAATGCGCTGGGGTACGATTCTGGGGACGACCGAAAATGGTCAATCGGGGCTGGAAGACCATTCCCACCAGATCTTCCAGACCGACAATATTATCTCGTCGACTTTGATGGACCAGATGATCCTCTGAATCCTCAGAATTGGCCGTCGTCAACAAAGTTCGTTTATTCTGTGAAGCCGTTCGAGATATCCACTGACTTTGTGTGCTAACATCGTGTATCATGTAGACTTATATCCTCTATATTAGCTTGCACTGGTACATTCATCGCTGCGTTAAACAGTGCCATGTTTTCTCCCGGGATTGATAAGGCTAGCCGTGATTTTGGCGTGGGAAGAGAAGTGATAAATCTTGGTACAAGTCTCTTCGTTCTGGGCTTTGCCACGGGCCCAATGATCTGGGCGCCAATGTCTGAAGTCGTGGGTAGGAAATGGCCTTTAGTCATTGCAATCTTCGGAGATGGGATATTCACGATTTCCGGTGCTGTTGCGAAAGATGTTCAAACACTTATCATCTGTCGATTCTTTTCTGGCGTCTGTGGTGCTAGTCAAATGACCGTGGTCCCAGGTGTGGTGGCCGACCTTTATGATAATACATATCGCGGTATTGCCATGGCTGTGTATGCTTTGACAGTATTCGGGGCACCGTTCATCGCGCCTATCACTGGTGGGTTTACGGCATCGAGTTATCTTGGTTGGAGATGGACGTTGTATATCCCTTCATTTCTTGCCTTTGCGTGCGGCACGCTTTCTCTCTTCTTCTTGAAGGAGACATATGCTCCTTGCGTTCTCATACAAAAGGCTTCTTCGCTTCGCAAAAGTTCAGGGAACTGGGGCATTCATGCAAAGCAAGAAGAGATCGAGTTTGAGATTGGTGTTTTGGCTGATAAATATTTACTACGGCCTCTGAGATTGCTTGCTACCGAGCCCGTGCTTCTTCTGATATCGATCTATATGTCGTTCATCTATGGCTTGGTCTATGCCATGCTGCAGGCGTATCCTTACGTTTTTCAAAACATACATGGCATGACGCCTGGTGTTGCTGGTTTGATGTTTATTGGGCTTTTCATTGGTGTTGTCCTGGCGCTTGGTTTTATTCTCTCGCAATACGGACAGTACATCGAGAAGTTAGAAAAGAATGGAAACGTTCCTGTCCCTGAATGGCGGCTGGGTCCAACCATGGTAGGAGCCCCTGTATTCGCTGTTGGACTTTTCTGGTAAGCACCGAGGTATGTTGGTCTCAATGCACCGAAAGTTCTAATGAAAGTACAGGTTTGGCTGGACTGGTTTTACCACCCAAATCCACTGGGCGGTGCCTGCAGTGGCCGGAATATTCATTGGCTTCGGCATACTCTGCATTTTCCAGCCGTGTTTCAACTATCTTGTGGATGCCTATTTGCCAATGTAAGTACCCCTGATCTCCATACGTCGGGTATTCAACAAACAGTTCTAATAATATACAGCGCCGCCTCTGCCGTAGCAGCCAATGTAATGCTTCGGTCAGCCTTTGCATCAAGCTTCCCCTTATTCACTCGACAAATGTTCGAGAACATGAAAGTGCAATGGGCATGCACTCTTCTCGGCTGTTTGGCTACAATGTTGGTTCCGATCCCGTTTTTATTCAATACATTTGGAGAGAGACTCCGAAATAAGACCCGATAGAAGCTAAGTTTCTCGTCGGTAGGTGTTTGTTTGATGCGTGTTGTTCCTCCCTCCTATAAAAAAGAATCTGCTTTCTTTCAAACTTCTGACTAAACAGCCATGTCGCAATAACGAATTGGCTGGAGCACTCTGCACACATTTATACCTAATTTTTTCTTCTGAGTCTTGAGCGAAGCAAGGGAAGACGGCTTGTGAGTCTTATAGATTTCTGTTATATAGATCCCTGTCTCATCTGCGGAAAAGGTGCCCAGCACACCTCGATACATAATAGACAAAATACATAATTAATATAGAGTTATTTCATAATTGGATATTTCTATGAAAAGTAAAAGTCAACCTCTGATTTACCTACAATAAAGAGTTCCGGTTGTTGCGAAACTTCTGCCCAGGGGACTCCTCAGCGGTGTCCTATACATATACCTAGAACAATTGCAGTAGCATAACTATCTGATCAGCTCGAGCAATCTATACCCATTTACCTAGGTAGACTTTGTGTAATCCTTTCTATCTCTCCAGCACAGCGAGAGCAGACAACTTGATATTTCTTGTAAAAAGTGTGAAAAGTAAAAGTCACCAACGAGATACTTCCAAGCTTGGGTTATATTATACGCAGTGTTCTTGTTGAGTGTCTCCATTGTAACACAATGATCCTCAGAGAAAGCGAATAGTCTATTAATGCTGGAAATTATTGCTCGATACCTAGGTAGGTGTGGATGTACGCAGGTAGCGACTCATATGGTATTAATTAACCCAATTTCTGCCGCCAAACCAAATCTATCTAGGTATTTTGGCATGTATTCACATTAACTGCACCTGACCATCTAGTCTGATAGTCCCTCCCTCTATCATGTCCAATGTCCTAGTGTGATTTTCATAGAAAACAGTAACAATTCCAGCTGCTAAACTCCTGAGGACTGCCATTACCAAAGTTCCCTCGGCCCATTCTATATCAATTTCAATATTCCCCCGAGCTCGAAGCCCTTTCACAGATCCAGTTGCCCACTGTGTAGGCAAAGCCGGAAGAAGTTCGATTTCTGATCCGTTCTTACCCCTTGATAAACTTCGAATTAGCATCTCGGCGATGACTGCTGTGCCGCCATAATTGCCATCAGCAACGAAGATGGTAGTCTCGGCGCCGGCAATACCGGGTTTGGAGTAGGTTAGAAGGTTATCAAACGAAAGATCATAAATGAGGTGAGCAATCTGCTTAAAGGCATTTCCTCCATCATTCAGTCGTGCATAAGCTAGCCCAAGGAGTGCCGCTGTGAACTCAATGTCCTCTAGATCGGCTTGCTCTTGACGGCATGCGAGGGTCACTTGTACCGCGTCCGCTAATTCGGGCGTATGTCTGCGTGATATCTGGTCGCTTCGACACAGACCTATGATATGAGACAAGTGACGGTGATCCGGTTGTGCTTCCTCATAGTCCTCGAACCATTCCTGCAGTTGACCCCGTTTGCCGATTCTGAAAGGGGGTAGCTTGGCTAGGGCTTCATGAACTCTAGCCGCAAATTCGCTTTCGTTCAGGCCCAATTCGTCCACTGAGAAAATGCAGAATTTGAAAAGATCTCTAACCAGTGTAATGTCAATTGTTGGCCCTAGAGAAAGCTCTTGCTTTTCTCGCGGGGATTGTGTCGAAGGGTAGAAGCTGTTTTCCGGAGAGTTAGAAGGGCCGGTAACCAGATAGCCTGTTCGTGGATCGATCGTCATATAGTCCAGGAAGAATTCGGCAGCTTCTCTCAGAACGGGATATGCTTGAGTAGTGAGGAAATTTCTGTCCAGAGAATATTCATAATGTTCAATCATATGCGTCGCCATCCACAATCCCCCGGTGATATTAAGACCCCAGGAAGTTTCCCATCCAGGATCAGTATATCCCCAGACATTTGAAAAGACATGAGCCACCCAACCACCAGCGCCGTAGAAGTTGCGTGCCGACTTTTTTCCAGAGGAGGCTAGGTATTCGCAGTATCGCATAAGAGGTCCCTGAAGGTCACCAAGATTGGTTGTTTCTGTGGGAAAGTAGTTCATTTGTGTATTGATATCGAGATGATAATCGCAGCTCCAATTCATTGCATTTGCTTCTCCGTCATTCCAGATTCCCTGTAGATGCAAAGGTAACGGAGAGGTAGCTCTGGTGCCAGAAATTGTGAGATACCTGCTATACTGGAAGAATAAAGCGAACAAAGATGGGTCATTATAACCTGATTTTTGAAAGCTTGCTTTGCGTTTGTTCAAAGGGAAATTTGAATCTTCAGTATGGCCAAGATCAATATGAACACGCCTGTACAGGGATTGGTAGTCTCGGACATGCAATGCTCTAAGTTCCTCATAAGAGGTGTCCCAGACGTTGTCGAGAAGTGTTTGAACACGCAATTTCCAATCGTCGTTGAGCGATCGGAAATCAGTCTGAAAAGAGACTTTGATAATGACCTCACTAGCATTTTTGACTCGTAGCTCGCCGTCGACTATGTGGACACTTCCTCCCACTGTATGTGCCTGGACAATTCCACGCCCTCTTACGCCGCAAGTCCCATTGCTATGAATCTCCTCCACAGCCTGTGTTTCAAAGACTAGGCAGTCAGTTGTCTCCCCATCCGATATTGAGAATTCCTTGGTCACCCCGGATACACCAAGCTTCAAATTCATACCTTCGAGGCACTCTGTCCGTAACCTGGCCATGAGCACTTGATGTGGATATGAAGCAAATACTTCACGACGAAACAATACACTTTTTGATTTGTATTCAGTCCTGACGATGGCTTCATCCAAATTCAACTCACGTCTGAAGTCGGTGAAAGACGGCTCTTCGCCACCATGCTCCAATGCAAGGTATATTCTTGCAACCATAAGGTTTGTGCCGTAGTTTCCTTTCTCAGGTTGCAGATATTTTTCAGTCAGTCTCTTTCCGTGTTCATAGTTATCGGCGAAGTATTCCTTTCGAATTTTGTCAAGGGCTTCTCGGCCTCCATACTCAATGACTGGCGTGCTCTCACTACGGCCTGACCAGAACGAAATGTTGTTAAATGACCATATCTCGCTGCTCGGCTGGGATATAATCACTGCACCCATGTGGCCGTTACCAATGGGAAGCCCATCTTGCCATTTCTGGGCGGGTTGATCGTACCAAAGCTTGTAGGCAGTCATGGCACATCAACATCACCGTCAATCAAGATGACCATGCAAAGACATCTCATGACCAGCATTCAGAAACACCTCTGGCTATTTTATGAAATTGACAACCAGCTAAGTGATATTTTTGACGCCATCAACGCGACTATGAACCGTGTCTCGGAGGTCGAGCCGTTCGGCGAGATTCTCGGCTCAATTTGCGGGGAAGCTCACCATTGCCTTTCCCCATATAGCTTCATTACTATATACACCCAAATGAAACATTAGAGTGGGAGGATTCTTAGGATTTACCCCCGCAAATTTGCCCGGAATTTCTGGGGAAGCGTTACGGTCTACTGTTGTGTACCATGACAACTTTTATGTAGCTAATGTGTCAGTAGACAAAAGTAAACCGGTGGAAATTTTGGCAAGGAGGTCCATTAGTCATATATAACCTCATTTCAGTTTCCCGGCCCTATACTGACTACCTTGTCGTGAATCATTCTAACTCAACAGTTTATCTTCGTCCTCTTATCTTTCACTTTGCCTAATTCGAAATTTTTATAATGGAGAAACAACCTGAAGAAGACTGGGTGGAGACCACTGCCAAAGAGACAATGAAGAAGGACAATATCACCGACCTTGCCAGCCGTGCTACGGCAATGGAGCATGAACTGGGATACTGGGAAGCATTCAAGATCTACAAGAAGGGTGCTTTTTGGTCTATGTTCATCTCATTGTCCATAATCATGCGAGCATACGATATTGAGATATCAGGAAATTTTTATGCTCTACCGGCTTTCCAACAAGCTTTTGGTCAAGAGGTACCTGGCCATGGTTATCAGATTCCTGCACGCTGGCAAGTTGCTATGTCTATGGGTTCTCTAGTCGGCCAAGTCGTCGGTGCATATCTTGTCACGTATCCGATGGAAAAGTACGGCCGAAAGAAAACGTTTGCTGTATGCCTAGTATTGACTGCGATCTTGACCTTTATGCAATTCTTCGCTAGCAGTATCGGCATCCTCGCAGCCTCACAGTATATGTCTGGCATTGTTTGGGGCAGTTACTGCGTTATAGCAACAACCTATGCCTCGGAAGTGCTGCCGTTGCGTCTTCGTGGCTTCTTGACAGGCTACATCAACCTGTGTTATGTGATGGGCCAGTTCATCCAAACCGGAGTAACTCGCGGCTTCATCAACCGAATCGATCAATGGGCTTACCGGATTCCTTTCGCTATTCAGTGGGTTTGGCCCATCGTTCTCCTCGCTGGACTTCCCTTTGCGCCCGAGTCTCCCTGGTGGCTTATACGTCAGGACAATCGTATGGATGATGCTGAGAAAGCTCTACTGCGACTGCTCAGGCCAACACCAAAAGTCGACCCAAAAGAGATAATAGCTATGATGGTCAAGACCGACACCTTTGAACGCGAAATCGAAGTTGGTAGCACATATGCCGACTGCTGGAAGGGGTCAAACCGGCGCCGAATGGAGATTTGTATCTGTCTGTTTGTCATTCAGAATTTCTCTGGAAACCCCGTTGGCTTTGCAACGTACTTCTTCGAACAGATTGGCCTTACCAGTGTGCAGTCATTTGATATGGGTGTTGGATTAAATGGGTTGGGATTCGTAGGAACATTGTGTTCTGCTATTCCCTTGATTTATTTCGGAAGAAGAGTGTCATACATTTTCGCGGTTTCGTTCATGGTTACAGTCCTCTTCATCGTTGCGCTGATTTCGTTTGCCCATGATTATACGACTAACTACTCTTATCGATGGGCTCAAGCTACTTTACTCATTATTCTACAATTCGTTTGGCAGGCTACGCTTGGTCCCCTTACCTACGTTGTCGTCTGCGAGACACCTTCCACCAAACTAAGGTCCAAAACGCTTGCTATTGCAACATCTATTGACGCTCTTACTGGTTTGGTCACCACTGTTATTGGTCCATATCTCCTCAACCCAGGAGCAGCAAATGCAGGGGCAAAGATTGAGTTCTTATACGGTGGGATTTCCGTTTTTTCTTTGATCTGGTGCATTTTCCGTCTTCCGGAGACAAAGGGGAGGACTTTCGAAGAACTTGATATCCTGTTTGAGAGGAGAGTCCCTGCAAGAAAATTCAATGCATATGTTATTGAAGATTTGGACGCAGAGGAGATCAAAATTGCTGCTTCAAGTGGTAATGTTAAAGCTTTCCCATCTAATGTTGACCAGGCACCAGATGTATGAATGTTTATCCTGCAAAGATAATATCGAGGAAAACGCAATTTGAAGTCAACATAAAATATATAGTGTCTATGCTGCATTGTAGTAATTCACGTCCCTACTGGGTCGTATGCTCCCGTGATAATTGCCGGTATGTCAAAGAGATCTGTGTCATGGAAGGTGGAATTGAAGGCTGTGAACGAAGCGGTCGATATAGCCGTAGGAAACCAAGCCGATGGGTCAGAAACCGCTATCAAGGCTGCAGTATCATGTTCAACCACGTTTCTTGCAGCACAATTGGCGGCGCTACTACCAAATAGTGCCCATGCACCCTGCTCCAGGGACTCATCGTCATTAGGAGTAGTACTTTCCACGGCAGTATAGAATTTACTATGACCAAAAACTTTCTGAACCCTTTCCCTTAGAGATTCTCGGAGATTGGGGAGCATGACTTTCGTAGAGAAAATGAGATCGCAGATGCTCTTGAACGTGTCACGGGGCCGAATGACGAAGGAAAGCGATTGACTCTCCTCTTCCTCCGGTTGGCACTCTATAGAATTTGCAAGAGCAGTCGCAATCTCTGTCATTTTAACTTCCATCCCAGGACCATGAACTTCAAAGGCCGTTGGATGTATATTTCCAGTTTCCAGAAGCATGTCCAGGGCAATCTGGTGAGGATAAAGCGTGCTCATTTCCTTCCTGCTACTGATCCCATTAGAGGCAATATAACCAGACTGGAGAGACAATTTCCATGCAAGTGCACGGATCCAATGCCTTGTGGCGTATATGTCCACCCGTTGAATGCTATTCGCTTCTGGTGGAATCTCAGAAGGAAGAAATTGCAATTCTTGCTGTAAAAGTAAAAGTTGCCTGCTGCTCACAGCAACCTGGGACGACTGAGCGGTCCATTTATTGAAAAAGTCATTCCCTGGGTACTTAAACAGATTCACTAGGTTCAGGAACCCGTCTATGACACTGTTGTCGGCTGTGTAGGAACATAATGAAATAGGAGATTCCGATGCAACCCACGGTTCTTGATCATTAGAAAGATTTATCGTCTCTCTTTCCGCTGCCGGTAGTGCGATAGACGGCTCTAAAACTGTAGGAAGGCCATACTGAATGCATAGATACCTCTCTGTCATGAACAGTAGAAAATAGAGCTTTCGCATGATTTTTTGATCATTAATGGAATACCGAGAGTAAGTGTCTTCCGTGTGCATTCCTAGTAGCTGGGCGAATGATATGGCTTCTCGAATATAGAAAGCAGCTGTCTGCATGCGAGACGGCTGTTTTCCATAGAATATGTGTAGAAAATATGAGGTGAGAACTGTTGCCAAAGTAACCGGTTCCATGTAATCATATGTGCAGCGGACACGCCGTGCCTCCTGGGCAAACGCATCTGCCGTAAATAGGCCGTCAAGTTGTGACTGCTCCTGCGTGATAGTCCTGTCAAGGTGTGACAGGGTGGCGGCGCACAACGCAGTGGACAAAGCATACGTTTGTATATCATCGGTGCCTATTATCAGCTGTTGAAGTAGATTTTCGGTATCTAGTAAAGGCCAAATTCCATATAAATTGTCCCGGAAGATCTCAAATACGCTGTTTATAGCAGATAATGAGATGCGTCTCGCGGGCGTCGTTGTAAGTAAGCCGGTACCTAAATCATCGTGCTGGATTCGACGCATCTGCATTCCATTTGGCTCGGAAACCCCCACAGAGGACACTTGTGTATCCCATATCTTTTTTGAAGACTGTCGCAAGCGTCGTGGGCCGCTCTTCTGACGTTGACGCAGATACGTACAGTTTAGTCTGTTATTGATACAGCGCTGGCATGGTTGTGCACCATTGCATCGGATTTTGCGGATGTTACAGCAGTCGCAGGCCTGTTTGAGCGGCATTGCTTGTAAATTCCAGAGGTAACCGCCTACTGTAGGAGACATTGAAACATCAACAGTGATCTTGCTTTTCGGTCACCTTTGGCAAAATAGTCCAGTTGCATCATACAATTATTGACAGCTAAGAATCGTGGGGAAAAGGATCTCTGATATGCGCTAAACTTCTGTCAGCTGCATAATGGAGAAAAATTTCCTCTTTAGGCAATTGCTCTCTTCCCCGCAAATCTCCTATTTGTCTTGCGCTCGCCTAACCCCTTTTAGCAGTAGGTTACTCGCCACACAGAGCTTGTGGATGTCTTTGATCTAGCTTTTACTTGCTAAACAGTATATCTAATATTTTCTGAACTTTAAAGACCACAGAAGGCTGGACTATCTCTGAGACAGCTATATCACCGACCTTCTCTCTTGCCACAACGAAGCCGGGAGGTCCTTCGGATCAATTTCACTGATGTGCGGCAACATAGTAGACAGATTCTCTGACTTCAGGTTCGGGAAGTGTTTTCGAATTGTGTCTAACAAAAGGTCGTACCACATACGATATGCCGAACCTGAGAAATGTACTCCATCCGTCAAGATATCTCTCAAGTGTAGGTCTGATGCTGAGCCTCTCTGTCCGATGATCGGATCCCCAGTTTTCCAACCTTTCATAGCAAGCATAGCGTGCCACATATCAGTAAAAGGGACATTTTTTTCTATGGACACCTGACGGCAGGCTTCAGAATATTCGCGCGCCCTCGTCGTCGATCGCCCACTTCCCTCGCACCCCTTGGCCGAATATTCATCGACTAGGCCAGGGCCAACCAGGATTGTAGGGATATTCCTGTTCTGTGCTACATCAACCATATGCCGCAGGTTGGCTTTGTACCTCTCCAGAGGTACGAATTGGCTGTCATTCTGAGTTGCGTCGTTGGTACCGAAAAAGATCGTGAGCAGCTTGACATCGGTCAAGAGCTCGTCTTTCTTATCCGGTACGGAGCTCGTTTCGTAGTCAAGGATTGGCTCAAGAATATGCCGAGCATGTTCGGTGTTATATCCACCATAACCATGCACGACGATTTGTAGTTTTCGGAAGTATTCGTGCTGTAGAGCTGGAGCCAATGCAAAGCCCAAGGATTGATCACAGCTGAGCTCAGTGATGGAGTCACCAAAGAGAATGATCTTTGGTCGAGCAAAACGCTTCAGAACTGATAATGACGTAGGCATGTTTGTTGATTGATTGGTAGTTTATTTTTGATACAGTAGGTTTTAGTTTTGTGGTGATTCTTCAAGTCTTGTGCGCATTTAGTACTCGACGGCTTGCAACGTGGCAGATGAGAAATCATGGTAAGGACCCAATAGACATTTGACTTTTTCTTTACAAGGTTTTTTAGCGAATCCAGATGTCACTTCATCCAGGCATGGGTTGTTAACCCCGCAGCATTTAGTACGGCGAGATTCTCGGTGAAATGGGGATACACGGAGTAACTACCCTTGATTCGGCATAGGTGCAACAGTTTCTCTTACAATTGTGTCTAATATAGCCTAAATATAAGCGGCAAATTTACTAACTAAGAGATAAGGTCACACTCCAAGTCTTCTGACTTGGACGGGATGGCGCTTGAGTGAAGTCCACTTGAACAAGCTGTAGGCCATCAGAAACAGAGTTGATCTGAGTCTCGGTCGATTCGCCATCTATTCGGGATGTAAACCCTCCAGCGCCTAGTCTCTTCACAATGAAACCAAGTATGCCATCGTATTTTGTCTCTACCACGAGAGAGGATTCCTGCACAGTTATGCTTTGAATACCGGCCAATGCAGCGTATTTGTCCACCAGGCCAATAACAGCTACCTTGGCCGTACCCAAGACGTTGTAAGGTGCCACTGTCAAGATTTCATAGCCCTTGGGCTTGATCGATGTAGCCAAAACGGGTGTCGATGCAAGAATATCATGAACAGATAGTGATGCTGGGTGGTTCGAGATTTCAACAGGAATAGCAGTAGCAGCGTTACAAGCCCAGATTACTCCCTCCCAAGTACCATGAAAAATATTGTCTCTCAGCACATCCAAAATATCACCTTCGAATATGATATCTATGCTGTTGTCCACTGCATCTGAACGACCATTCCAGAGTACAATCGATGCTGCCCGAGATTCTGAGTCATACGACGACGCTTTGATAGGTGGTCCTCGACCAGGACCTAAAGTGTCTTCCCAAACATTTCGACTGAGTGGACAGATGATATTCTTTGCGCGAACTACTCGATTCGGTACCAGATCTCCGGGGCATCGAGCTGTCAGCTTTTTGTGAACTGAGAAGTCTCCAACCCCAGGTTTATCGGCAAGGAATATAGGACCGTCAAAAAACGCTCGGAGAACTGCATGGTACTCTGGCCATTGGGCACTCGTCATGAACATGTCAGTATCGAGATAGAGACACTGATTTGATAGCAGCACTCCGTTGTAAAGGTTATAGTGGATATGATTGCGATGGATATTAGGGCGTGAAAGACCAAAGTCATCTGTATTTCGAATGATAACCTTTTCACCATTGGTTGCCACACCCATACCAATATCACCGTTGAAAAAGCGCTCATAGTGAGCCATGCAATGGATGACACGATTCTTCCCGAAGATTTGGTTTGCGGCTTTGATCATATTGTTCCATAACGCGACGAACTCTTCGCCACCTTCCACTCCTTCCAAATAGGAACCATAAGCTTGATTATCAACCTTCACGAATGTCACACCTACGTCTGCTTGAGTCTGGAAATAATCCCTCCAAAAGTCAAACGCCCGGTGCGGTGGAGGAAGGAAGTAAGCACGCAGCTCAGGGTCTGGTATTGTGCCAGTCTGTTGATCATCGGCTTCATCTGGCCACTCAATACCGAGTACATTGCTTCTATCAATTGGATACATTCGCATATTGTACTTGCGAGCTAGTGGGGAGTAAGGAGACACCGAGTTCCAGTAGCCGGCCAATGTCATCCAGACTCCCACATCCTTGACCATTGGCAATTTCTTCTTGATCAATGACACATTATCGGCAAGGCTACTTTTCATGCCTTGCCATGTTCTGAAGCTCCACAATCCCCGGTGTTTAGGGCTTCCATTGTGCCCATAGCGGATATCCTGCCAACCGTCATCAATAAGAAACGTCCCAACTTGAACATTGTCACGATTGAGCTTCGTAAGCAAGTCATCCATCAAGTCGTATGTAAGAGGTATGTTCTCCCCAATACTGCTCCAAGTACAGAATCCCAGACGATCAAAAGGTGTCTCGCCGGTCTTCTCCTCAATGAAAGAGGCATCAGCGGGAAGACCATACTTTATTCGAGCAAGATGTATAGCATCGCGCATGACATTTCTAGTGCCTTGATTTATATGAAGTTTTCCAGTAATGCAGACTTCTATCTTCCCACCTTTTTGTACTCGTCGAACTCTGGCATATACGCCTGGTACTTCCCCATCTCGAGCTGCACTGAGAGTCACAAATGCCTCCGCCGTAGACGCTGGGAAAACAGCTAAGATGGCACCTGGGTCGATAGCCGGGTTTGTTGGGCGCAATAAAAGACTGTGACTAGGAGTCTGGCTGTCCAATTTCACTAGAGATGTATATCTGACCTCGATCCAGGTATCGCGAGGACGGTACCAAGCCCAGCCTTCCCAGTCATCAACATTCAACCATGCTACCCTTTGGCTTTTGAGTTCTTCGTCCTCGGATAATGAGATTTCGGTAATAAAGTTCTCGTCGGTCCCTCTGTCTTTTATTGATGATAAGATATTCAGATTGCCGTGCTTGGTCGCGCCGTCTGCGAAGATTGCTACTTCGATGGATGTAGACGAAATCTGTATATTACACTGATATGTAAAAAGTTGTTCTGATCCCACTGTTTTGATCTTGCTTTCAGTAAAATCTAAATCAAGTTTTTGTTTCGAATCATCCACCTGTGCACGTAGGGTTGTTACATCAGGACACAAGCAGTAAATAGTCAAGGAAGTGGTATGTAGAGGGACGACAATTCTCTTATTCAAAGGGGGTACAAAGACCAGACGATCTGATGCCATATTTCCTTTTGCCTCGATGTAAGTTACCACTTTCCTAGGTTTGTGCGATCACGCAGTGCTTTAATTTTAAACTCTCTAGTTTATAAATTTATGATACCTCGAAATGTTCGCGGAAAGTCTCTGCTGCTTGATCTCACCGAGAATTAGGCCGCACTGGTATTTTCTTCAACCCCGAGAATCCAACCGGATGGCGAGTGACAACCCTTCTCAGTGAGGCATGAAGCACTTTGCTCCACTTAAGCACGTGAGGTCTAATCCATTCGTAGCCAATACCTCATACGTACAGCCTAGCTGTTTTTTGACTAAGTTATAGAAACATCAGTCAGCATTGGGTTCACACGGAAACTGAGGAAAGATCAACATAAAAGCTTACTTATTTTCGAGCTGTGTCCAGAAACCATGAACTATATAATGTAAGGCTTGTCAATAGAGGAATATTGTTCTAATCGGTATAGATCAGAGACGATCTCGACAAAATGGCCAGACTCTTTGCCACTGCCATTGCCATTACAGGTGCTCTTGCTCAAACAAACTGCACAGGTTCCTCATATGTGCCCGGAAGCGTGAATTTCACATTGGAATGCTACAATGCCATCCAGAATTGTGTCTCGAAGTTTGAAGCCAACGCCAGCCTTGTGGACTGCAACGATGGCCAGGGCAACATCTACATGCAACAACAAGCATCTCTGACTTCAACTTCCCCGAACAGTGACATTGTGATTGCCTTCCAGGACATATTGGAGCTTTGCATCCTCAGCGGTTCCACTTCAGGTACATGGGGATATAGTGATAATCAATGGTACTGGACCGCGGCAGAACCTGCATGTTATGTTGATAGCACTACAGATGTTGTTCCGACTCGGCCTGCGCCTTTCTGTATTCAGGATAGAGATTCCTCGCTTCCTGACTGCTATCCTCAGCCAAAATCAATAGCTTCGTCTGCGAACAAATTCAAGGTGCTGAAAACTTCTGGGAGTACGCCAAATGGTTTCAACTCATCCGCGAGAGGCTGGAATACATACGGTATCCAGGCATTGTCAAATGGGTCAGAGGTCGTCCCATCTTTTGTTGGGTCGTCGGGCCTAAATTACTTGCAAGAGTTCGTCAAGACGCAATGTGGAGTACTCGCCCAGTCCGGATTCCAACAAGCGGGTTATGTATATTGCAGTCTTGATTCTGGCTGGCAGACCCAAACTACAGACGAATATGGTCGTATAGTCTATGACTCAACAAGATTCAATTTACCTCAACTAGCCTCGTGGCTACATGGTCAAGGCCTTAAACTTGGTGTTTATGTTGTTCCAGGCGTCCCTTGCTCTGCGGCAAACAAGACTATTAAAGGAACTAACATTTCAATCAATGATGCATTGAACGGCAATAATGATCAGCTTTATTGCTCTTGGAATTTTTCCAAGGACGGCGTGCAGGAATGGCACGATTCCGTAGTTGCGCAATGGGCGTCATGGGGAGTTGATATGATCAAACTGGACTTTTTGACCCCAGGAAGTCCTCAAAACGGAGCAAATCTGGACTGCGATAGTTCCGATGCCGCACACGCATATCTCAATGCAATAAAAGCCTCTGGTCGGCATATGCGATTGGATCTGTCATGGAAACTGTGCAGAAACGAGACTTGGCTTCCAATATGGAGCCAGCTGGGTGATTCAATGCGTATTGATCAGGATCTCGACAACTATGGGTACAATACATTTGTCGCTTGGGCAACTGCTCAACGAGCAATTGATAACTATCGTCAATACATCGGCCTCCAAGCACAGCGCAATGTACCACTCACAACCTATCCAGACATGGACAATCTTTTCACAGCCAATGCGGAAAACCTGACTGGAGTTCCAGACTTGCAACGCATCACAATCATGAATCATTGGCTTGGAGCCGGCGCAAATCTGATCCTTGGTGGCGATCTCACGGCCATCGACTCATTGGGCTATCAACTGCTCACAAGTGCCGAATCTATTGCTGCCGCAGATTTCTTCAGTCAATATCCTATGCAACCCCGAAATCCAAGTACAGGAGATAATCTTGCGCAGCAGCTGCAGGCCTGGATCGCTGGACCATCGGATGATTCGATCGCTTATGTTCTTCTCGTAAACTATGGGCCTGATCAGGGCCAAGGAGGGTTCGGTACCCAGCTTAAAGGTATCCAGGACGTGACTGTATCGTTAGAAGATCTAGGCATTTCTGGAAGTTCATGGCATGCAACAGACCTTTGGAACGGGACAGCCACGAAGATCACCGACTCATATACCGTGGCCTTGGATGAGGGCGCCTCTCAGCTTTTGCGTCTTACTACGGCTTCGTGATCTCTACACCGAAGGAAATATATGAATACGATATGACCAGCGCCTTAGTTTTAAGTTCCAAAATTTTCCTACTGTGCATGTAGCGATTACGCTTACATTGAAACATTTCCGCCCTGCTCCATGGTTACCTACCCCTGGATCCCAAACGCTATCGCTTTACTTGCTACACTATCTCTCGAAATATTTATTATTCGCTCCTGATGGTAATCTAGATCATCGTTGAAACATTCTGAATGACTGAAGCATTGAGAACGACATCACCGGGGTAGTAAAGATAAGCATGGACTTCTAGGGAAAGGAATGTAGCCATCATTTCCAATTTGGGTAACAACTCACATTCCTTCTTGGATCAGCCAATCCCTTCTTCCAAGGTTGGGTGATCCACCCTTCCAAGGTTTGTTTATCTAGAATTTTGAGATCAGGTATACGAGTGTAGTTTTGCACCAATTCCATCATACTAGAATTGGGCACAGGTTCATATGTAATACCTTTCCAATAACGATTCGATTGCGACTGCATGGTGGGCTTCACGAGCGCTTCGGACTCATAACTCTTTGGTATTTTGTCCGACTCTATCAATTTTCGAATAAAGGACAACAAGGTATCGAATGCCTTAACGCTTTCCACCGCGAAAGGAAGGGGAGGGATCTCATCCCTCTACTCAGCAAAGACACGCCAAAACTGTCAGGTGTACCATCTGAATTTTTATCTTCTCAGGACAGAAGCGGCATAATTCTACAGACTCGAAAGAGTTAACGGAATCACGAAATTTTGATTGTATGCAACGATGTTATCGAAAATACGAAAACCAGGTCATGTCATACCAACCATTTTACTAGCGACGAAGGTCGTTCGCGCTATTGACCTCAATCTCGATGACACAGGTATTCACACTGTCCGAGATATTCTAAATAGATAACTGACGGACAAAGACTCCATAAAATCCGCAGCCAAAACAGCAGCCACCGAAATGATGACCTACTACACCGGCTACCGACCAGGCGACAATCCCGGAAACCTACCAGATCCATACTACTGGTGGGAAGCAGGCGCAATGTTTGGCGCTCTAGTCGATTACTGGGCGTACACCGGCGACAGCACCTGGAACAACATGACCACGCAAGCCCTGCTTTGGCAAGCAAGCCCCGACGCGAACTTTATGCCCAAGAATCAAACCATGACGGAAGGAAATGATGACCAGGCGTTTTGGGGTATGGCAGCCATGTCTGCGGCTGAGCGAAATTTCCCAAATCCACCTCCCGATCAACCGCAATGGCTGGCGTTGGCGCAAGCGGTTTTCAATTCGCAAGCGGCTAGATGGGATCCCACGACGTGCGGTGGCGGCTTGCGATGGCAGATATTTACCTGGAATAAGGGATACGGTTATAAGAATACCATCTCGAATGGTGGCTTCTTTAATATCGCGTCTAGATTGGCGAAGTATACTGGAAATCAAACGTATGCCGAGTGGGCTGATAAGACGTGGCAGTGGACAGTCGATGTTGGGTTTCTCACGCCCGAATATCGGTTTTGGGATGGAGCGGATGACGCGACGGACTGCAAGAATTATAACCTGATTGAATGGACGTACAACTCAGGAGTATATCTGCTGGGTGCAGCGAATATGTATAACTATGTGAGTTTTCTTGACTTGATGTCTCCCGGGGCACTAGCTGATTTGTTCAGACCAACGGTAGTGACATTTGGAGAGACCGCACACTTCATATCCTCAACGCAACAAACGTTTTCTTCAGCACAGACCCTGAAAAGGTGATGTACGAACGTGCCTGCGAGCCCGTAGGAACCTGTCAAGTCGATCAAAAGTCCTTCAAAGCACACCTTGCCCGCTGGATGGCAGCGACCACTCAAATGGCTCCATTCACCTACGATATCATAATGCCTCGACTACGCACATCAGCCCTCGCAGCAGCAAAGACCTGCACGGGCGGTCCCAACGGAACCAGCTGTGGACTGAAATGGACCGAACAAAAATGGGATGGTAATCGAGGTGTGGGAGAACAGATGAGTGCTCTGGAAGTGATTCAGAGTAATCTGATCCATGAAGTCGCGCCGCCTGTCACAGATGCGAATGGTGGCACGAGCAGAGGTAATCCTGCTGCTGGTTCGGGACCGAATGGTCGTCCCAGTGGCAGCGGTGACGCGTCGCAGGGAAAGTCGGGTGATTTCAGAACTCGGGAGATTACGACCGCGGACAGGGCTGGAGCTGGGATATTGACGACTTTGTTTCTGGCAGGTGTTGTTGGGGGAACGGGGTGGATGATTTATGAAAAGTGATTTTCTCGAAGTACCATAGTAACAATAATGACCTTCGAACCGTTTCCGAATGTTGTATTTACCGTTCTTGAGAACCGATACAGGAACTTGCTATTGTGCACGATAAAATCAAAAAAAAAAGATGTCTCAAGTTTGCCTACTAAATGGAAAACTGTAAATTCCACTCTTGGCAGTAGGATGGGTCCCTGTCAAAGAGTCATCTTCACTTGTATACTTGCTGGCCGCCAGCAGAGAGTGATGCAAATGACAAATTCAACAGCAAGTTGCACAGTCGGATCTGTGTGCTGCGTATGCTGCCATGCATTATAGTACGTAAGCCCGAATATTAATGCCGGTTCCTATACCAGGAACGAAACGACAACAGGTAGTTGGTACCACCAAACGTCATTCAATTGACAACACAAATGTCGAATCGGACCTATCTTCAGACGAGGCTGTGTGTTACATATCAATCATTTCTTCTTTGCGATTCCAGACCTATCTTTGTTCCGGAAGTGTTCGGAAACATGTTTCAAGTTTCGTCTTCATGGCAGATGGCAGTACGTAAGATTTGGTGCGGTCACTCCTGCAACTGCACGACATTACTGCAGCTGAGCATGAGGAATTGGCTTGTTGTTGATATGATCCGTCATTTATGAGACGCGTAGTATCTGAGTCCGATTGTCAAGCAGACTGTCAAGTTGTATGCCCGAAGAGATAATTGCAGATTAAATGAGTAATCAATATTGGCCAATCGGATCCTTCTGCTTGTTTATGGGCACGCGCAAACTACAGATTGCTGCATCGCGAGATCGCACGAGTCATGCAGGAATCGTCAACAAATAACGAATCCTTTCCAGGCAGAATAATAAATTCAGATCTAATTCGCTATTCCGGCACTTTGAACATTCATCCTTATCACCGTTACAACAGGCAGCTCAATTACACGCATAGAAAAGATACCGGATGTGGCAATCATGCTGACCTTCAGCCACAGTGCTATTTTTACCACATGCGGCTGTGACCGCTTGTTGGGCCAATCAGCATTGATCTGGCGGATACTGTTGTACCATACGATACGGTATCATGTATCTAAAATACGCGTATATAGTCACACGCGTCCCGGGATGATAGGGGAATTAAGGCTGGCCAAGGAGCTACTTTGTAGGCTATCGTTTCGTTTTCTCACTAACAAAGCCTAACATAGGTGGTTCAGATATTAAGATGAGATGTTGACTTCAGTAGCATGTCGATCGACTACATTAGTTTGATTAGATTTGCTCTCTTCTGTCAACTTTTAGTCAGGTCGACTCAATTGATGATACATTGCCGGGGAACCTTCAATGTACTACTACATAATACTGACAAATAGTCCATACCGTTTCTCAGACTAGGGGCGACTGAAGTGGTACCAAGCACAAACACATTTTCCGTATCGTACTACATTGTAACGTACTGCGTAACAAATCCTGTCCACTGGCAAACTCGTATTATATAATCAGACTGTGGAGAAATCTTCCCCTTCAATTAGCGAGCTTTCAGACTGCCGAGCCTCTTGGATAGGTTCTTGGGGCTGAGCATGCCCCCGCCTACTGAAAAACATGCGTTTTCTGTTGCGTGATTTGGCTAATTCGTGGCGTAGGGTTAGTGTATCGGCCGTACGAACTGCGGAGATTTGATGATGTAGCACGTAGGGCAGTGTTACTGAACAATGGTGCCGGGGGCCGATCCTAAGATGGCCGATCTGCTCAGCTCGTCCGGTACATAAAAGGGGCGTTTTCGCTCGTTGAAACAAAGATCTTGATTTTGTTACATACCACATCACATTCATCCTCGCCCTCTGCAATTGATTACTTCTCCCAGCCATCAGGCTTGCGTATCGATCTGAACCATAACATAGATACATAGATACATCACCAACAAAATGCAATACAGACTCATCCTTGCTTCGGCCTTACTTACCACGGCCTACGCCGTCCCCCACCCCGAAATCACAGAACCACCCACCGTCTACCGACGACAAAACATCTGGGACCAACTCGGTAGCGACTTTGGCGCCGTCGGCACCGATATTAGCAATGCCTTCACCAGTCTCGGCGGAGAATTAGGTTCCGACTTGCAAAGCATCGGTGGCTCAATCACTTCTGGCTGGGATTCCTTCACTCATTCCATTGCTTCATACGCCAGTGCCGCCCCGTCAGATTACAGTAAATGGGCCAGCGACGCTTCGAGCCTTGCTAGCGATGCACATGTGCAAGCCACTTCGTGGGCAGCTAGGGCCCAGAGTGAGACGAATAGTGCTTCTGCCTCGATAGCATCACAGTTTGCTTCTGATGCTTCTATTGTGGCGGATAACGAGAGCAGTGCGGCCGCATCTTTGGCCTCGCGTGCTTCGAGTGCCGCTGCCAGTGTTACTGGAACTACTACTTTGACCTCGGCAACTACGCTTACCAACTCCGCTGGTTCTGCTACTTCTACTTCTACTTCTACTTCTACCGGTACTTTGACTACTACGCACACCGGGGCTAGTGCTGCGACTACTTCTGCAACTTCGACTTCGACTGGTGGTGCTGCCGCCGCTACTGCGGGATTGGGTATGGGACTCGCCGGAATTGCTGCTGGTCTTATCGGTGTTGTTGCCGTGGCTTTGTAAAAAGATGTTAATCTGGCGTTACAACTGGACTGATTTAGGTTTATATGGGATCTGGTGTCTGGTTCCTTATTAAGGGTCTGCTATGAGTTATGATTTTTTATTCTTCTATGATTGTTTGGCGAGACCACCAATGAGCCTGCTTGGTTGCCCGGCAGTAAGGTGATAAATATGATAGTTTTCTAACTGCATTGATCCACCAACTCACTTAGCCTTTAGTAATATCCGACTGTGACTATGGGAGGGGTAAATGATAGAAGCGCAGATAAGAAACACCCCCCATCTTGGTACTCAAGGATAGGACTGCAGAAGGTGGCTCCGGGATAGAAATTGCAGCGACTCCAGATTATTATTTAATTGAAAAAGAGCTCTATTCTGCGGTTGATAACTGTGCAGACTATATTCTCTCTCGAATCGAATATGCCCCGTGCGATTTAAGGTCATAAGCGAGAACTTGTACCCGACAGAACCATCAAGTAAATACTTAGGCATATACTCACATCGCAACTCCCAGTTCAGCTTCATCTACTCTATCTACATATCCACAGAACTGGAACTACCAACAAATCTCTTAATCTACCACTCAATGGCGGTTTAGTTACCTCGAATCGGCCCCCTCATAGACGTCACGACTATATTTTCCTCCACCTATAAAAACCCATCCCGGCATAAACGGTTTCACTGTGGGGTTTGATAACGAAGAAGTTCTTTTGCCGTTGATCAGTTGTGTCCGTTTGCGGAATACTGTCAACCATCTGGTCTCTTGCTGCGGACCAATCAATAACCAGAAATTAGAACTCAATTCAAAGACTTTGACGGGCAGAGTCTAGATTCTCGCAGGTTAAAGATAAAATGTATTCGTGATTCATAGCTTAGGTAGGTTATAACTTATGCTGTTCGTCTGGAGATGGACCATTTAGGGCTTGAGTTAGTTACTAAATGAAGTTGTCTGAGGATCATGACACGACCACTTGAACTCAATATAATTCATAGGCTGATACCACTTCTATTCACTTCGTACTTTCAAATTTGTGTACAGGTAGACGAATGAAAAGAACCGTATCTGGACGCTGTCTGTGTCTCTCATATTTCAGAAGTGCTCTGATTCCCCTGTTAGATTTCGATCTAGGTACCAGCAAATCATCAATCCTAGAAGCTTTCAAACTCAATTGCACATTTTGTGGTTCATTATCTACAATTGGTACAAACTTTCCATGGTTAGATTGACTGCTATCTAGTATGTTACATATTGACTCCCCCTGTTGATTCGATTCTCCAGCTTTATTCCCATATCGAGAGCGTGAATGTTGCATTGCACTTTGAGATCGAGCTCAGCTAATGCGATTGGAGTATAATTGGCTTTCTTCTATCTGATCCTGGAGGTGCTAACCTAGGTAGCTATATATGAATTGGTATAGTCATGACGTGTAGTCCTCTATTCAGGTAGAAAGTCAGAGTAAACCTACTCTATGAACCTAAACCAGAGCAGTAACCTCAATGGTAATAGATCTATAAGAATGTCACATCCCATCCCAAACGCTCCTTGCCCTGAGTTTCTCTTACCCCTAATCCTTGCTCCTCCCCGCCATCTACGTGACCTGGACCGATCCCTCACTGCACCAACCTAACCCCAAAACGCCTAGAGAGTCCTCTGGAGACATCAAACATGAGAATCCTCAGCTCCTACCACCGCCGCTCCGGCCAAACAGAGCCAAACCTCTCCCGTCTCTCCACAAACCGTCAAGCAGCCCAACTGCCCATGCTAAACTTAGCTGACAACAACCGCAACAACTTAATTGCCGTAATCGGTGAATTTGTGGGCACATTCATGTTCCTCTTCTGGTCGTTTGCTGGTACTCAAATCTCTAATACGCCTATGCCACCGGCCGGATCGTATCCGAATACTTCGAATTTATTATATGCCTCGCTGGCTTTCGGGTTTTCGTTGACGGTTAATGTTTGGGCTTTTTATCGTGTTACTGGTGGATTGTTTAATCCTTCTGTGAGTTTCCCTCCCATCAGAAGGAAGAATTATGGGGATGTGGGCTTATTTGAATGACAGGTTACGTTAGCCCTCTTCCTGGTTGGTGGCATCCCAGCAATGCGCAGCGTGCTCATTGTAATTGCTCAAATCCTCGGTGGTATTTGCGCCGCTGCTGTGGTGTCTGCCTTATTCCCCGGTCCTTTGAATGTTGCGACCACTCTTGGTGGTGGTGCCAATACTGCCCAAGGTCTCTTCATTGAAATGTTCCTCACGGCTCAATTGGTCTTCGTCATTATCATGCTTGCCGTTGTCAAACATAAATCAACTTTCCTAGCTCCCGTGGGCATTGGGCTGACTTTCTTCTTGACCGAGCTTTGTGGTATGTAACTTCTCTTCTCCATCTTCGATTGTCTCAAACTAGACACTAATCGACGATAAAGGTATTTATTACACCGGTGGCTCACTCAACTTCGCGCGCTCTCTCGGCCCAGCCATTGTCAATCACAGCTTCCCACATTATTTTTGGATCTACTTCCTCGGCCCCTTGCTTGGGTCCGGCCTCGCGTCTGGCTTTTACTATCTCCTAAACAAGATGCGTTACGAGACCTGCAACCCCGGTCAAGACGCTGATAGTATGGAGGCGCCCACCAAGGAAAGTACCGGCACTTCTTCCTTTAACCAAAGTATCCCAAGTGCCTATGACCGAGGCGCCGGTAATGGTGTGAATGGAAATGTCAACGGAACCGGTGGTGCTGCTGGATATGGGCACCAGCGAAATATATCCGAGGCTACTGCTGTCAGTCCTGGTTATGCTACTACAAGCGAGAAGAATGAACCTGCTCTTTCTCCAACCGGTCACGGCGAGTATCCTTCCACCACTTCTGCAGGTCAGTATGCGAACACGCCTGCGAATCAGCCCACTGGTACATACACCAATCAACCATCAGGAAATCAACCGGGGTCATTGAATCCGGTCCGTGAGAGAGGTGAGAGCGGTCAAATCAATCAATTCTAATCTAAGAGCTAGGACGATTAGCAGAAGGGACTGTTCTCATCTGAGTGAGATACCAATAGTGGATAGCTAGTGTGTGGTTTAAGGATGGAGGAGATATGCCAGGGTTATAATGTTTGTACTTAATGATACCTTAAGTTTAATATACAGAACATAATCGTGATAATACTAATCGTGATACATCACACATGTCTACCTAAGCCTTCTCACTCAACATCTTCAAAAACTGCTTACCCAAAGCATCCGCTGCCAACGGGTTTCCACCAGAAACAACCTCCTTATCCACCGTAATATACCCAGCCTTCTCCCTAGCACCCGCCACCATCTCAGCCCCAGAATCTTTCAAAGAAGATTCGACTTTCTCAATCTCTCCACCTAACATAGTCTCCATCATCCTTTCTTCCGCATCACTCCAGCTCGTGAGTTTGTAGCCCTTATAAGCAAATTCGCCTGGGCTCGTAGCCTTTGTACTCAAAAACGCATATGGACCATGGCAAATCGCCGCTGTCGGCTTTGTCTTGTTATGGAAGTGCTTCAGGATCCGACCTAGTTCCGGATCATCGCCCAAATCTTGCAACGGCGCATGTCCACCAGGAATAAACACACCCGCAAACGAATCCAATTCTTCATCGCTTATCGACTTAAAGGGTCGGGGGGAATCGAATCCATTCTCACGTCGCATTCTATCAATCAATTCATTCTCATGTCGACGTTCGTAGAAATTTCCCGCAAAGGCAAGTAAAGTCTCAACTGTTGGGGTCTGGAGCGGGTTTGGCGCCCTTGGGAGATGCAAATGTTACTTGGTACCCGGATTCGAGGAGTTGTGCAAGCGGTTTTGCGAGTTCCATCAGAAAGAAGCCCGATGGTTGTTGGACGATTTGGTCCTTATCATTGCTGCTGCTGGCGGGCTTTTTCAAAGGGAAAGAGTGGGCGTCGCTGAGGACGATGAGGACTTTTTTGGGTGCCATTTTGGTGGTGTATATTTATTTTCTCCGTTGAATTGCGTAGAAAATCAATGATAGATTGTTTAGTCGTATGTGAGATATGGTCGAGTTTTATAGAGCAGTTGATGCGGTGACGTCGCAATGGCACAAAGTCACGATACTCAGCTTGCCCTAAAAGATAAGGATTGATCTAATATTGATACAATGATAGTGGAGCAGTATCATGAAAATGGCCATGAAAATGTTGATACTTGATGAGATCAATGATACAATATATCGGCTATGGCGACACGAAGACCTCTGCAAATCTAGAATCCAAGATTTCTGGTGCAGGTAAGTATTTTGATATCATTTCTGTTTTGGGTAACTAGCTTGCAATCGTTTACCGAAATAAATTCCTGACTACGCTTGTTAAACAGTCTGGACTTCATGTAGGATTCATATCTCGTGTCGGCTTCCTATTTTTCTTGATATAGATATAGTCATGGCTACTCATCGTCAACATTTCTGGAGTCTTACAGGGAGGGGTGACACCGGCTGCTTATTCAAAGGAGGAATTATGTGAAGAAATCCATTAATTATTAGATTGATAAAATCGATACGTTAGGCATTGGGTATATGCTTGGGAATACTCAGTGTCATAGCTCATTGTACAAACTGGAGCCAAAAATACATTATGATCAAGGGGGGACTGTTCTTGCGCCTGGGAAGACCATCCCCATACATACATCAACGTTAGACGATTCAGAGGCACAAGAGCATCTACTCGGCCTTGACATCATTCTCCTTGACTTCAGTAGTCTGGAAATCGTCACTAGCCGCTCTATCCACCAACCCCAACTCACGACGGATCTGATCCATTCTTTCCTTATCCGAAGCAGCCACACCCTGGCTACCAAAGATAACATCCATCTCCTCAAGGGTCAACTGCTTAGTCTCAGGGACAAACAGCCAAACGAATACGGAACCCAAGAGAGTCATCAATCCAAAGAAGATGAAGGTACCGTATTTCATACCAGTGATCATGTCCGGGGTTACTTGTCCAACGATGAAGTTATTCATCCAGTTGGAACTAGCACCTAATGCAATTCCATAAGGTCTGGCACTTAGTGGCCAAACCTCGGCGACGATGATCCAGGCACATGGACCCCAAGACCAGCCAAAGTTTCCTGCGAAGAGCCAGACCATGACGATAGCAGCCCAACCGGCGGCGTGGTGTGTTGGCCATTGATATTGATTCTTGGCGAAGATGATGGCGATGATTAGATGGTTGATACCCATTGCAATGGCACCGGCGATGAGCACTGGCTTCCGGCCGACTCGGTCAACGTAGACCATCATTGGGATGGTGGTTAAGAACATGACTGAATCTGTTAGCTTTCTGTATTCTCAAGTGAGTAATAGTTACATACCGATACCGACGACACCAGTGGCCAGCAGAGATGTCGTGTTACTCGACATTCCCAACGCACCAAAGATACTTGGCGCATAGTACAACACCGCATTGATACCAGTCCACTGCTGGAAGAACATAGTCACAGTAGCAACAATGACACGACGGAACATGGGCATAGTCTTGAACAAGGAGCCGATGGCAACGAATTGCAGTTTGAAGGTATTCCAGGCAGTCTGTTCCTTCAAGTGAGGGAATTTCTCTGCAGTAGAACGCTTCTCGAACATTGACTGGGCCTTAATTTCGAGGAATTCAAGCTCAATCACTTCATCCATGTGGTCCGACGTGCCGCTACCGCCGTGAAGCATGGCAATGACGCGGCGAGCTTCATCTTCGCGACCGTGGTGTACAAGCCATCGAGGAGAGAAGGGCATGAAGAGCATACCAACGAAGAGGATGAGGGCGGGTGCAAGCTGCAGGCAAAGAGGCACCAACCAGGCTGCATCACTTTGCGAATCGCCTGTTCCTCCAATATAGTTTGTACCGTAGTCAATCCAAAAAGAGATAAGGATACCAAACTCGATGGAGAATTGTTGTAGACCGACTAGCAAACCGCGGATTTCGGGAGGAGCACATTCGGCGTTGTCTATTTCAACATTAGTTGGGACAAAACGAAGAGAATTGAATCTTCCTACACATAGGCACAATCATCCTTTAGAAAACATGTTAGCTTCAATCCTATGTAGATAGACCCAAGAGCAAGACGGAATACTCACGACAACGAACCAACACCCATACCGGTAATAAAACGACCGGCCAAAATAGATTTCGCGCCAGATGAAGTGATGGCAGTGCACTGAATGACAACACCCACGATGAAAATACCAGTATTGATCAGAATAGCATACTTGCGGCTGAGCACCTCAGCCAGGAAACCTGAATAAAGCGTTCCGAACCAAGCACCCAACTCCAAAATTGAAGTCAACCAACCCTTCTTCGTGCTGTTAGTAGTATATTCGCCCATATGATGTTCGAAAGCTTTCATGGTCAAGAGGCCTTCACGAAGTCAGCAAGTGAGCCGGTGAGATAAATCAAAGGTAAAATTTCGAACGTACCGCTAAAAACACCCTGGTTGTAACCATACAGCAATCCACCTAAACAGGCAAACATGGCGATTCCCACGACACGTAGATTGTGAAAGGCAGCCAGCGGCCCAGTCGAGCCGGCAAGGGCCATGCGTCGCTTGAGAGCGACATCGTCGGTCTGTGAAGTAATAGCAAGAGGCATGTTGATGATTAACCTTGTCTTGTATCAGTTAGTATGCAAAGTTTGGCTTGACGATCACTGAGAATACAAAGTGAGAAAGGGTGGGTATAAAAGCTTACCAAGTCTCAATAGCCCTTTAGCTTTTTCTTCCCTCTGTTCGAGAAAGTTTCACGCATCAGATGACACAGCTCAGGACGAGACCTTCTATTTATACGTACTAGGTATATGGCATCGGCATTATGACTACTAATCAAGAGAAGAGCAATTTTCCCGGCCAATACTTGACTTATCCGGGGATACTATACATTAACGGTCTGAGCACCCTGACCATTCGAGAAATGCCATGGCCTCGTATCGAGAAATCCACCAAACAAGCTCATCTGCAGCCTAAGTCTGTGCAAGGAAACAGGCACGCGTGAACACGGCACCAACAGCAGAAAGAAGCAAGATCAGCGCATCCAAATTGTGGAGGAAGCTCTATTTAGCCTGAATACAGACTTGTCTCTCATAGCCTTTTTCTTCCGAGGCTATAGCCATTGGTTGATGTGGGCTCCCCGCGCCATATAGATTCCGTCCTTTTCTGTCAGAATATCAGAACCCGAAATGTCTAGTCTTGATTCGTCCCCATGGGGAAAGTAGGGGGTGAGTCAGCAAGATGTTACGGTAGTTGTGCACTACGTCTTTTGCCGGCTAAATGGAAGGGTTACAACAGCCGTTTGCATATAATAGCCGAGTCAATATACCTAATGCGCCAAGAAACTGACATTGCAGTCATGTGTTTTTATCATCTTCCATTTCTCCAATGATAGAATAGCCGGGGAAATCTCTCGAGTCTTCAGCCCTGGAGGTTGTGATGTAAACTCTGGAACTCTGGTATACGAAGTCCCGGCTAACATGGCCGGATCATACAAAATGGAAGACTAGAGCACATGGTTAGCACGCGAGACAGTTAGTAAACAGGGAATATTAAGTTAAGTTTTACGTACAAAGCAGTCATCGGGAACGAAAAGTATAGTCAACAGCCGAATTCTAATTCGATGATCATGACTTCAAGAAATCCGGGCTGAGTAGCAAACCCCCGGTATGTCAGGCCGTTGTTAACCCTAACCCCGAAGAGAACAACCATTTTCGCTCTTACCGGCCTAACTAGACGACAAGATACGGCATTGTAAACGAAATGTTACTGGATTTTACTTGGGATACAATGTATTACATTCCAAACAATGTTATGGTTGCCAGGTTGAAGCACGAAGCTTGTCAATGTGGAGTAAACTCTTATCGAACGTTTTGAGAAGGCGCATCACACTGAAACCATTTCAAACTCGACATCTGAATGTTGCAATTCAATTTTACTAGTAGAACATCTTAAATTCCCCAAATACTACCTTCTTCTACTATAAAAGATGGCGCTACTTGCTAAGGCAGCTAAAAGTACTACTCCCAACGTTACCAGCAACTTCACAGCAAGACGTCTAGCATCAACATCCACTCCACAAACCCAACTATCCGGTCTCAAGATCAATTCCAAGCGGCTATGGAAAACACTACATGAGACATGCGAATGGGGCGCAGCTCACAGATATGGCGAGTAGGTAACTCAAGCCCGAAATGAGTGCATATCTACTGAATATATCTATAGCAACCCCACTGACACAGGCATGGCTCGCCTCACTCTCACCGATGCCGACGCAACTGTTCGAGGCTGGTTAAGTGACCAAGTCCAAAACCTGGGCTGTATACTTCACATAGATCAAATGGGCAACATGTTCGCTAGGCAAAAGGGTCGATTGAACTCACCGGTGCCTATGACTGCTATGGGAAGTCATTTGGATACTCAGCCTCGTGGTGGCCGATACGATGGGATTTTAGGTATTATGGCCGCACTAGAAGTGTTGAAGACGATGAAGGAGAATGGGTATCAGACGGAATTTGATGTTGGTTTGATTAATTGGACGAAGTATGTTTACTCCTTGCATTCTCCCGATGTATTCATGTCCTGATATGTGAAATAGTGAGGAAGGAGCAAGGTTTCCAAAATCAATGGCTTCATCGGGTGTCTGGGCAGGTCAAATCCCCTTACAGGAAGCATGGAACCTCCGCGACATTCACAATCCAGATATCACCTTAAAGTCAGAACTTGAGCGGCACGGATACCTAGGCGACATCGCCTGTTCCCACGACCCTCAATCCGGCGGATACCCCCTTGGAGCCCATTTCGAATTACACATTGAACAAGGCCCGATCCTACTAGAAAGTCAACGGTCCATAGGCGTAGTACAAGGTTCTCAGGCATATAGATGGTTAAGTTTTACTGTCACTGGCCGCGACGCGCATACAGGCACAACGCCGTTGAGCGCACGCAGGGATCCGCTTCTCGCAGCTTCGAGGATGATTGCAGCCTCAAACGAGATTGCACAACGACATGGGGCACTGGCTTCAACGGGAATATTCAAGATTCCTTCCAACGCATCTACAAATACTATCGCTTCGGAATTGACGTTCACTCTTGATCTTCGCCATCCAAATGACAGCATCGTTGATACGGTTCAGGCCGAATGCCTCGAATCATTCAGCAAGATCGCATCACAAGACGGTAAAGGGGTTTCCTTCACCTGGCAAATTGATACCGATTCTAAAGCTGTCCGTTTCGATGAAGATTGTATAAATGCCGTGAGGACTGTAGCTCATGGGCTTGTTGGTCCAGACAAGTATATGGATATCACTAGCGGTGCTGGCCATGATAGTGTATATACAAGTCGACGATGCCCTACAACAATGATTTTTGTGCCCTGCCGGGATGGAGTAAGTCATCATCCGGAGGAGTATTGTTCTCCAGAAGATTGGTATGTTGTTTCTCAGGCATCGTGGTAGAATTGTAGGGCTAATGTACATATAGTGCTATTGGAACGCAAGCATTGTTAGAGGCGGTTGTTTGCTATGATAAGCTTCGGATAAAGCAGAAATCTGATGAAGGAAGATAGAGAGTATTTACGCAAATGGGAGGAAAGTTGTTCATGAATCTAGATCTTCGAAAAGGTTTTAGATTTTAAGGAGCTCGGAAGCATCACCAATTGAGTCTCTCAACCCCCGAGCATATAATATTATCATGGTCTACTCGCTTGGCCTGGACAGAATGGAATGTGCTTCTGTATGCTACTGTATATATTACATGTAGCTGCCCTACCGCTCCTAGCGCCTACTGTAAAATAACATTGTAAACCCCTCCAGCTTTGGTACCAATCGCTCCTGAATATGTCTGGCCGTTAACCTGGAAGGAGCTTCCGTTAGCCACTCTTAGCGCAAGAGTACTACCCAAGTTAGACGTGATAGTTGCAGATCCAAGAACACCGTTTGACCAATGGATGTCGACCTTAAACCCGCCGCGTGCAACGAGACCAGTAACGCTACCAGTAGGGACTGACGATGGAAGAGCTGGCAGAATATGAACGAGGTTGGCATGAGATTGGAGGAACAACTCTGTAACACCAGCAGTGAAACCGAAATTTCCGTCGATTTGCATGGGTGGGCCATTATTGCTGTTAAACAAGTTTGTTAGAGGGAAGGTTTGTAGATAGGTCTGCACGCTGTTCCACGCCGAGTTGCCATTAAAGAGACGCGCATAGCAGGCAATGACCCAGGCGCGTGACCAGCCCGTGTCGCCACTACCGTATTTTATACGATGGTCAAGCAGGATTCCAGCTGCGCTTGCTAGTGAGGAGGAGACGGTAGGAGTCATCTGTGATCCGGGGTAGAGGCCAAAGAGAGGTGAAAGATGGCGCATGCCGGGTTCTGTTTCGCCATATTCCTGGCGCCATTCAAGTATCTGTCCGTACGAGCCAGTCTGAGGCGGTTTAATCTTGGAAAGGTAATTCTTTGCGTTGCTGCATTCGCTGGATGTCAACCCAAGGATCTGACAAGCTTCAATCACATCACTGAAAAGCTGGTAGAGTAGGGAGTTATCCATCGTCGGCGAAATATCAATACCTTCTGCATTGCCTGCTTTACTCTCATTCGACGGGACTATGAAAGAGTTCTCAGGCGACAAGGACGGGCCGGTCGTATAATAGCCGTTCCATAAGAAAGTATAACAAAAACAGAAATCAGCAGCGCTCTGTAAGATCGGCCAAGCAGTCTCCTGAAGGAAAGTCTTGTTTCCCGTGAATCTGTAATGCTCCATTAAATGAGTTGAGAGCCATACTCCGCCCAACGGCCAAATAGTGTATGGAGTTCCATAGTCAACCGGCGCAGGGTCTCCCCAACAATCAATGTTGTGGTGCAAGACAAACCCGCTGCACCCATACATGGACGAGGCTGCAAGTTCTCCTCGAGTTTTTGCCACTGCAAGGAGATCCCAGAAGGGCTTCGTGGTCTCTGCCAGGTTTGTCGTCTCTGCGTGCCAATAGTTCATCTCCAGATTTATGTTAATCGTATACTTGCTGCCCCATGCAGGGTTGAAGTCTTCATTCCATATTCCTTGGAGGTTAGCTGGTAATGAAAGAGGGCCGGTGTCTCTGGATGAAGCTACTAATAAGTGTCTGCCCATATTGTACATGAGTGTGACGAGCTGAACGTCATTTCCAGGGTTGCTTTTGTAGTTCGACAGTCGTTTATCCGTAGGTTGGTTGGCAGCTGAGCCACTAGAACTACCCAGGTTAAGAGAAACGCGGCCGACCAAGGCTGTATTATCTGCAATGGCAGCTGTTCGCAATGCCTGGTAACCTTGACTAGTCGCACTGCTCAGTTTTCTTGTCAATTCTGTTTCGGCAGCTGCTTCAGTGCTGTACCGATAAGAAGCTTCAGCGTCGAAAAAAATGTCTACAGTCGTTGCTCCGCTAACCGACAAGGTAGACCCAGAGGCAGAGACCGATCCTGGGGTAATATTGGTTTGAATTTCTGTCTAATATGAAGAATTGTACTTACCTCCAGAGGCGATAACTTGGGCCTCTGCGGCAAAGTAAGGGTTGGACCCTCCACTGTTTCCCTTCATGACGATGGAGTTGGCACCTCCGCTTGTGGAAGCAGTGTTGCTGATAACGTTTTGTAATCGTGATAAGGAGATCTTTATATTTAGTTGACCTGCCTGGCTAGCCTGAAGCCGCATAGCTAAGACTCCGGTAGGATAATTGGCAATAATCTCTCGTCTATGAGACTAGTAAGTATAATGTCGTTAGATTACTGGGTATGCTTACGTGTAGTTAACGCCATTGTAGATGTAACTACAGCCAGAGTTCCCTTGATATGTATCAAGCCACCGGTTCAGCGATCCTTGGCTACTATGACCGAAATCGAGATTGAGCTGGCCTAGCGGCGTGTAATGTTGCGGCGAATTTGGGTTTCCAGCCATATTCGGCAGAGCGACTTGGCCAGCTCCGGTGATGTTTCCTGACTCGAGCATAGAGCGAACTTCAGTCAAAACTGACTTGGCATTTGGGTTGAGACGGTTCAAGAAGGGGCCGCTCCAGATGGAGTTTTCATTCAAGGAAACTCTCTCTGTAGGAGTGCAATACATCAAGCCTCCCAACCGGCCATTGCCCACCGGCAAGGCAGAGTTAAAATCGGTGGCAGCAGAAGTATACCATGCGTATCGAGATCCATCATATTGGCCGCTGACCAGAAGGGCCAGCGACAGAAAGGAAAAGATGAAGCCTTGTAGGCCCATGATCATAAACGGAATGTTGGATGATGTTCACGCTTACCATCAGCAACTTTCAACGAAGGATCCATTGCTGTCCTGTATTCTAAATACTGAGAACATCATAGTCTTCATCTGTTGAAGACACGCCCCCCCTCCGCGCGGCATATCAAGTCATCAGAACAACCCAGTTACCCCAGAATTCGGTTAATTCAAACCTGGGGTTTACCTATTCATACCTCTCCAATTTAGGCAAGAAAGCAGAGAAACATCGGATAAAAACCGCTCCATAGCGGCGTCGGGTGTATTCATCGTTTCCCCATGTTTAGCCTGTATACTATGCATGCCAAGTGCATCTCGTCGGAGGTTGGGGGAATTATCCTCGTAGATCGTCGTGTTCTAGATATTTGAGCTCTGACAATTACCTTGCGAAAATACATCTTTCACCATTCTTAGCTTAACGCCCTGTCCTATCCCCTGAATAAAGAAGATCATGGAGCTGAGAGCTGCATACACCTGGGGAAGCGGAGCTACTTCATCTATGATAGGTAGTTTTAACATCCTTAGTCACGCCACCTGTCGATCAATTGAAACAAATGGATCATGGATTATCCACGAACAGGAGAATGCGGTTTTCGGCGGACGAGAAGAAGTAACTGCCGAAATGAAACATGGTGTCGTTATCGGGTATTTACAGGAGAATAGCCCAACGATCATGCCCCAAGACCTAAATTCCACTCTTTTCTAGATGAAACAATATTAAATAAAGACCCACAAATTGTCACCAGATCGCTTCTTCCACAGCAGCATTTTTCCGAAACAATTAAGCCTTGTTTTAGGCGAGTTCATTCCACGAGTCTTCTAAGGGAATCTAGGATATTATTACTTCCCGCTGCAGAAATAAGGCTCTAGATCCAATTTGGTCTGGAATGAAACGATTGGCGAGTAGAAGACTGGAGGCTAGGTCACAGATGTGCACAGAACTATAAAATGACCGATACTCCTGGATAGGATTTTCATTATCATCGACCACAGAATAGCATCATTTTTTATCATGAGAATCCTTCCCACGCTGTGGCTCGCGGCCACCGCATTAGCCACTAATTTCAATCAGCCAGTCCTCTGGGAGGATCTAGCTGATGTGGACATTTTTCGCGTGAACGACACCTTTTACTACTCCGCATCAACCATGCATTATTCCCCTGGAGCACCCATTCTTCACTCCTATGACCTAGTAAACTGGGAGTTTATTGGCCATTCAGTCCCAAACCTCGACTGGGGTAACATCTATAACTTAGATGGAGGCCAGGCATACGTCAAAGGTATATGGGCATCGACGTTGAGATATCGCAAGAGCAACGGAATGTGGTATTGGATCGGCTGTATCCAATTTTCCACAACATATGTGTTCACGTCTCCTTCTGCGACAGGTCCATGGAAACAAAGTGGTGTAATCGACACATGCTACTACGACTGCAGCTTGCTCATTGATGATGATGATACGATGTATGTGGCTTATGGTTCGACGCAGATATCGGTTGCTCAGCTTTCGTCCGACGGTCTTAGTCAGGTTAAGACACAGCAAGTGTTCAAATCGAGTTTTAGTATTGAGGGATCACGTTTCTACAAGAGAAATGGACAATACTACATCCTTAATGATCAGCCTGCCAACGCTGAATATGTCCTTAAATCCAGCAGTCCTTGGGGTCCATACACCCAGAAACAGCTACTGAATAATATTGCAACTCCTATCTCCGGAGGAGGGATTCCTCATCAGGTATGTACCATGGATATCGGATTCCCGAATGACTCACTAACACCTTCAAGGGAGGAATCGTTGATACCCCGAATGGCGACTGGTACTATATGGCCTTTGTTGACAGCTATCCCGGAGGACGCGTACCTGTTCTAGCCCCGATAACCTGGGGCTCAGATGGATTCCCTGTCATTACAACTGTGAATGGGGGCTGGGGAACTTCATATCCATACCCCTTAACACCTCATACACTATCTTCTCCCTCAGGCAAAGATACCTTTCAGGGAACCTCACTCGGTCCACAATGGGAATGGAACCACAACCCAGATCCAAACTATTACAGTGTGAACAACGGCCTCACATTACGAACTGCCAAAGTCACAAATGACCTCTACGCTGCCCGGAACACATTGACGCATCGTATTCTCGGACCCCAATCATACGCAACTATTGAACTCACAATAAATAACATGAAACCCGGAGATCGCAGTGGGCTTGCTATGCTCCGCGACTCATCTGCCTATGTTGCCGTCATAAATAACAGTGGCACTCTCCGTGTGAGCATGGTACAGGGACTTACCATGGATTCCAACTGGAATACTGCCTCAACTGGTAGCGAAGTCGCTGGTATTAATTTACCGAGTGGTACTTCCAAGATTTGGCTTCGGGCCTTTGCAGATATTCACCCTGGCAGTGGTCGAACGGCGGCGTTTTACTATAGTACGGATGGCACGACTTTCCATACCATTGGTTCACCTTATGTCTTAAATAATGCGTGGAACTTTTTCATGGGCTATCGCTACGCAATCTTTAACTATGCCACTTCATCGCTTGGAGGGAGTGCGGTGGTGAATTCGTTTGATATGGAAAGCGGTTCACCTCAATGATAGTTAGACTTCACATGAAATCAAGTTTGTATCTAGCTCGTTTATTACTACCATCATGGCAATATACTTAATGAATATGTTCTTGCATGGATGTGTATTCTAACGAGAAACTCGGTTAAAGAACTATATAAGATAGCAGTCGGATGTTATGTACTTGAGAATATCCCGTTAACAATATCTTTCCGCTTAATTATTATATCATCGTGATATCGCATCTTTTTATGGCAAAAACTCGGTTAATATCGATGTTTGATACGGATGTCTTTCTCAATATGCGGTTACCCCAAGGTCAAGGGGAGTATCGGATCAATTACATCTTAGCGTTGCAAATGAACGTCTGGGGAAGCAACCCCAGGTTCAAACCGAGTCTATATCTAGATATTGAAAGGAAGTAACACCTCTCATGCACTCCACATGTACCATGCTTAAAGCGAGGTTCAGAAGGATCGCCGGCATTTATTGGTTAGCTTCTAATCTCGTGATACAACAGTAAGCTAAAGTATAGACTAACGAGATAGTCACTTCTGTTAGCGTATTAGGCTTCATGAGTGGTCCTAGCGGAGCTGAGGCTACCAGCAAAAGAGCCCACTGTTTGAATATTGAATGATTCTATTCTCGGGTAACCCTAAGATTGATTGCATCAGACCACGCAGTATACAATGTGAACTGGTGGGAGAGCCTGTCGTAATCCTCGTGTTTGAACACTCTCCTATGTCCTCGTAATACTAAATACTTCACTATGCGGAATAATTAGCAATGGACAAGTCATAGCGCAGAAAGAAATGTCAGGGTAGTATCGTGCCAACGAGCACGCAGTACAATTTATCCCTTTTGTGGAAGAATAGTATCTAATTTGGAGTATCTCGCCAGCCCCTGAAATTCATACATGCGAAGTGTTAATCTGGAAGCAATATCCATATCTGGGATGTGAGGCAAATTACTGACAGAGATCTGCCGATGTATGCCATTGCTATACATCCATGGATCTTAAAGTAGGAGTATAAAGAGGTCCCCGAAAACTGGTTTCGACGGTAATAATATTTGAGCTTTCTAGACTATACTTCTCGGTCACAGGCCATCTTCTTCACCATGAAGCTATCTACTTCACTTATTACTTTGATCGCCACAGTCCAGGCTCAGCAAACCGCATGGGGACAATGCGGAGGAACCGGCTGGACAGGTCCAACAGCCTGTGTTTCCGGCTGGACATGTAACTATGTAAACCCGTATTATTCTCAATGCATCGAGGGACAGAGCACATCTTCAAGCCCTTCCACCACTTCCACTCCCAGCACTACAACTTCCCCTGTATCATCATCATCATCATCATCATCATCCGCAATTCCGTTCTCCTACAACAGCAAATCTTTCCTCCTAAACAACCAACCCTTCCAGATCATCGGCGGCCAAATGGACCCCCAACGCATCCCGCGCGCCTACTGGCGTCAACGTCTCCAAATGGCTCGCGCCATGGGCCTAAACACAGTTTTCTCATACGTCTACTGGCACTCCCTCGAACCCAGCCAGGGCGTCTTCGATTTCACCGGTAACAACGACCTCATCACATGGTTCCAAACTGTGCAGGAGGTCGGTCTCAAAGCCGTTCTTCGTGCGGGACCTTATGTATGTGGTGAAAGGGATTGGGGTGGTATGCCAGCATGGTTGAGTCAGATTTCCGGTATGGTTGTTAGGGCTAATAATCAGCCGTTTTTGACGGCGGCGTCGAGTTATATGCAACGTCTGGCGCAGGAATTGCATGATCAGCAGACTACGCAGGGTGGACCGATTATTATGGTGCAGGTGGAGAATGAGTATGGGAACTATGGCTCTGATCATAGTTATACGCAAGTGATAGGGAATATTTTTAAGCAGAATTGGCAGGTTACGCTGTATACTAATGATGGTGGAAATCAAGGAGCTTTGTCTGGGGGCCAGATCCCTGGGATTCTGGCTGAAATCGATGGGAACCCTCAAGGTGGTTTTGCGGCTCGAAATCAATATGTTACGGATCAGTCAAGTTTGGGTCCCTTGCTAGATGGGGAATATTATGTGACTTGGTTTGATACCTGGGGTCCGCATAGTGGGTATTCTACTGATGAAGGTAACCAAGGCGCGATCAATGGGGTGATCAATGATTTGAGCTGGATACTATCCAATAATGACTCATTTAGTATCTACATGTTTCACGGAGGTACCAGCTTTGGCTATGGAAATGGCGGCGAGAACTATGGGAATTTGACCCCTTTTATAACAAGCTATGATTACGGTGCGCCGCTAGATGAGAGTGGACGAATAACACCAATCTATAACGATATTCGGAATATGATATCGAACCATGTCCCCTCGGGAACTATCCCCAGTGTCCCATCAGTCCCGACGATGTGGTCTATGCCAACCACCACTCTTCAGCCGGTAGCAAGGTTATTCGATCAACTCCCTTCAGCGACTAATTCCAGTTTACCGCAGACAATGGAGCAGCTGGGTCAATCATTTGGCTACGTGCTATATTCGCATCAGGCTACATCATCTATATCAGGCGCAGTCAAATCGGGTGACCATGCGAGAGATCGGGTCATTGTATACAAAAACGGGGTAAAGCAAGGTGTCATTGACTCAATCTATAGCCACCCGGCCACTGTCAATGTACAGCTTTCCTCTGGAGATACTTTATGGCTTCTTGTTGAGAATTTGGGTCGTGTCGACTACGGTAGTCCTATAGTTGATCAACGGAAGGGTATTGTAGGCAACGTGACTATCGGGGGCAGCGTCATTTCCAACTGGGAGATATACTCCTATCCTTTGAATACACCTCCATCAACCGTTGATACAAGCAACTCATCTATTTCCATCCCCTCTGGCTCACAGCCAGTCTTCTACAAGGGAAGCTTCGTCGCCCCTAGTAGCGATAGTGCATCAGACACCTACCTGACCTTACCGGGAGGTATCAAGGGAGTAGTCTGGGTCAACGGCAACAATCTCGGACGATACTGGATCATCGGCCCGCAACAAAGCCTTTACCTCCCTGGTTGTTTTATGAAGACCGGATCAAATGAGATTGTGGTTCTAGAACTTGAGCCACAAGCGGGGACTCGAGTGGCGTATGGTGTTACGTCTAGGACTTGGGGGAATAATCCGGATCCGGATTGTAATAATTGTTCTTGATTGTATGTATCGAACTGGATCAGAAGTAGTGTCAAATACCGTAGCGTTGGCAGCTATTAAATAAGCTCGTTCATGAAGTAGAAACACTTGTACAGAACCGTATTGAGTGTCTATGAAGCATACTGCCTACTCAAATCGTTCCTAACCGTCGTCTCAAAATCCTCCGGCTCCCTCCCCAAAAGTTCCTTTAACACAGGCGTCACAACCGCACATTCCCCTTTTCTGATAGCCTCCCAAGCCGTAGCCCATTCCCGACTGAGATCAACACCATGATACGTCGACAATGGCGGAACATGCGGTTGACTTGCATACTCATCAACTGAAACTTGTTTAATCTTGATACGAATGTCACTATTCGTTCTTTCGCGTATCAATTTTTCCAATATGGAAATCACTTCATTTAGTGTAAGCGCTTTTGGGCCAGAGAGGAGTAGTGTACTGTTCGTATATGGGAACCCGGAAGGATTGTGCATGTATAAATTGATGAGTTTGGCAGTTGCCTCACCCAATTCGTCCCGTTTTGCCCATGCAACGCCCGGTCCAGAGCCGTCGTGGGGAATTTTAACGTGGATTTCGCCGCGGTCGTTGGGTCCGCCGTGGTGTCGGCGCTTCATGTTGTCATCTGTAACAGCATCGATGACTTCCTGAGGATGGAAGAAGGATGTATATATCGGGAATGATTCATGATATAAACCTTCGCGGATGATGGTATAGGTGAAATCTGGTGCATTGGTACGACCCAACTCTTCCAGATATGCCTCTGTATCGAGATGGGCGCGCATAACTAGTGCATCGGAGGATTTGGTGAGGTTTCCGGCAAAGGCGAGAGAGGAGTAAAAGATATGTTTTACGCCGCTGCGTAGAGCGGCGTCGATTGCTTTTCGGTGTGCCTAAAAAAACTATTAGAACACAATCATATTCATATACAGTAGATCGAATGAACCTTTGAACGATGCTCATGTTCACACGAAGCATACGAAATCAAAAACAAAACTCCAACACCATCAAACACGCGATTCAGTGAACTGTCTTCATCGTAATCCGCGCGTCGAACTACGGCACCTTGTCGACTACACTCGGCCAGAGTATCAGGTTTGCGTGCAATCAGAATCAAGCTGGATGCCGGGATGAGCGAGGCCAGATGCTTGACGGTGCTGCCGCCGAGGCTGCCTGATGCAGGAAAAATGCCGATTTTCTTTTCTGTCATGTTTTATTAGGTCTTTGTATAATCAATTGATGGAGTAAGGATGGAAAGGATATATTTTTGGAGGTACCTAGTGAGTTTATATGTTCTGTATGGATAATTATGCCGTCATAACTCCGGGTTAGGGTTAGTAATTACGCTGCGGAGATTTCTGACTGCTGTACAACAACTCCGCGATATGCTCAAGCTCAGTATTGGCTCAAGTTTTCGATGGCATCGATTGGAAATAGAGACTATGTCCCGAGATAAGAATAATATATGATAATGCCATAATTCTAGAAAATACGACATGGCTCTATGGCGCGTTCATGCATTGGCAATGGCTGGATGATGTATCGACAGTAACATCACATGCATTGAGACCAGAGAAAGAAGGACGACGACACATAAAATCTGCGCGAACATCGTCGAAACCCTAACCCTAATTTCAATCCGGCTGTCTCGCTTGGGTTACGGTGTGATTGGGCATACTATTCAGGGTTAGCTCAGGGTTAGCGGTGATGCCTCGAGTTTCTCGGACAGGACACGATTCAGGATCAGCCTATGGGATGAAGTTATTTGCAACACTGCACAATGTATAAATAAAATGGATTGATAAGCACACTATACTGTCAGCACAAGGTAACCAGGCTGTATACACAAACGAAAAGCTGGCCGGAAGCAAACAAGCTCACTGAGAGAGCGCTGTCAATCCACCCCCATATCCACGCGCGCCATGACCTTCAAGTCAGCAATACGCATCGACTTGCCGAGATTGCTTCTACTCATATCATCAATCTTCCTAGCCTGGTTCATCTGGTACACCTTCTACATCTGGTACATACAAACCCCAATCGCGCCTCCGAGCGCCCAGCAAAAGACCAACCTGCCCTGCACAGACGCCAACTGGTCTGCAGGAAGTGCCTTTTTCACACTTACAGCTTTGATTTTTGGATACATCGCTCATCCACGCGGATGTCTATTCTGGAATCGTTCCGGTCGCATCTGGCGGTTATCGCCGGTTTTTGCCCTGATCGAAGTTTGTGTTATTTGCAAGAGGATTATAGAGGGATTATTATGGGCGAATGCATCCTTTCGAGTTGTTTGTCATACGCTGATGGCGGTGCGGGTTGGTAATTCGTGGCAACTGGGGGAGATTAAAGCGTTTTTGAAAAAGATGGATGATCATACGGATGTAGAGGCTGAATTCGGCAGCAATGGCGATGCGAATGAGATGAAAACATTGAGTGCGTACCGACGTGTCGGACATTTTCCGCCAGGAATTGAACGAGAGTACCACAGTACATGCGACAGGATATTCCAAGAACATCTGAATATCGTGGGCGATTTTGAGAAAGGTCCTTCTTTTCGTGTTTTCGTATGGTTCCCGATGATCCTGCAGGTAATTAAGCTCGCGGTTGTGGGAGGACCAGGTGCAATTCTTACCCAGGTTACCGGCTGGAGCTACTTTGGCGCATGGCTCAGTATCGAAATTCTCATGGTCACTATTTCGCAACGACCGCTTACAGCACCGGAACGCGCGCAGGCGACATCTCTGAGCAGGCGATGGAGAAAGAGTTACGAGACTCCGGATCTTGTATCCTACTGGCTCGACAGGGTCTATTTATGGGGTCTTGAGAGATTGATGATTTTTGACATTTTACCGCCAGCAACGTTCAGGGTAACTCGTTACTCTGGTCTATGCGTTGCAATGTGTAATTTCTTCCTGGCATGGACTCTGTCTTCAGCCAGCAGTGGGGGAGAGAACCATGAACCGGGCACATATCTCAGCCTTTTCGAATGCGCAGTGCGAGCTCTGAAGATTATGGCTCTGTTACTTGCTACGGTGACTCCTGGCCTTCCACTGCTTGCTCAACGGGTGTTGCACTTTGTCTGGAAGAATTTGAGATCCGTTTTGTGGTTTGATATCGGCTCTTTATGGTTTGAAGATAGTCTCGGTGATCTTGAGCCTCTGTGGCCGGGATATATCGCGGTGTGTAGTTATGTCCTCACCTTTCTGTTCCATTCGGGCATCTGGTGGACTGAGCCGTTCGAGTGCTGGGCGACGATGAAACCGGGTTATTACGATTGGCTTGGTTGATGATATATCTCTCGGGATAGAATGTAGCTCATAGAACAGTCAATGCGGTGTCAGATCAGGTGCTTATCCTTGGCGAGGCACGGCTCAGTCATATCATAGGCGAGACATAGCCAATCGGACTGAATATTGTATAACAGCTCCTGACTCCTGAAATCTAAACGGATCAACATCACAATCAATTAGTCGTAGCAAAAAGTAGTCATCATCGATCAATAGTATCATTAATATGTGTTCGGAACAAGGAGAAATAGAAAAAGAGAGAATCTCCCCGGATTTTCTTTTGTAGTTGATGTTTCACGCGAGTGGCTGAACCATCAGCCTTGTCCCACTATTTACCGTATTGGGACACTTGTGGAGACGCTGATTGGCAGGTTTGGATCTGTTGCCAAATATAGAGCCTCAGACACTCAGCCGTTGACGAAACTCTGAGACATCGTTTCCTTGCTTTGTTCATATACTCTCTTCTCTTCGTTTTCTCTTCTTCTTCTTCTTCTTCTTCTTCTCTCACAACTGTCAATACGAGACTCGTTCACAACACACCGAGGTCGACTAATTCCATCTACACATCTATACCTCATCCTGAACTCGCCTCAAGCGTCAGTGACACCTCAAAATGTCCTCCACAACCCTCTCCGTCACCTCAACGGCCACAACCACGACCACAGCCCCAACCTCAACCTCTTCAATCCACTCCTGCCCGCAAACAACCTGGGAAATCCCCACCACCGACGCCGCCTGCGCCATCCACCCATCCTCCCTCAGCAATGCAACCGACGTCCTCAAACACTGCTGCGGCCCAGCACCCGTCGTCTCCTACGACGACGGCTGCGCTTCTTACTGTCTTGCTCAGGGCCAGAATGTTTCCTCATTGACAAATTGCCTGATGTCCAACGGTGCGGCCCCGTTTTGTAACAATGCGTTGAATGCTACTGCCACGGCGGCGGTGAGTAGTGCTGCCTCAACTGGTACGTCGACAAAGACTGGAACGGGTACAGCGACGGGGTCGAGTGCGACGAGTACGAAGACTGGTGCTGCTGCAAAGATTTCGGTGGGGGGTGTTAGTGTGATTGGGTTGTTGTTCTGCTCTGCTCTGTTTGGAGCGTTGGCTTAATCTGTCTCTGGAGACTTGTCTACATGGTATATACCAGGGGAGCTGATCTCGGTGTTTGGCTTGATTTATCTACTGGTGGAGATCTAAGTGTGATGAATCTATACCCGGGCCAGACCTTGAGCTCGATGTTTAATGCACGACGCATACCTATCATGTTCATTTTCATTTCTCATGTACTCTACCTTTTACCTATGATTGCTTAAATGACCGTCTGAATATCTCATTCACCAATCCCTCTGAATACCAACACAATTAATCAAAACAACATCAGTGGTAACCCTATCGTCGCCTCCACATCCACCTCTTATCCCTTATCCAGATAAGCTACAGTGGATATAGATGGAAATCATCTCCGCCCACGCCCCATATACACAAGTGGTCTGGGTTAGCGCCACAAAGACGTTATCAAGAGGCTAAATTTATAATCCACCATCGCCATTGTCATCATACAAAACATCATCTCGAAGCACTTTGAGCATTTTGAGGAGGAATAGGGGGTGACATCATCCGCCACAGCGGAGGATTTATACCGCTGATTGTAGCCCTGCAATCCCGGCAAGGAACCTTGAAGTGTACCAACAGAAAAAGATCGAAGTTATATTATCCTTTTTTTTTTCGAAAGCAGAAATTAAAAAAGCAAAATGCCTCGCTCCCAATCACCGAATCCCACTCGCCAGGAGGCCGGGTTCAAAGCGTACGCCCTTCCCCTTTTCCTCTCCCAAACATCAACCCTAACTAACAACACCCCTTGATCCGGGGTTACAATAGAGCGCTGAATAACCCCCGCGTCTCCTCTTCCGCAAAACAGAACGCCCGCCACGTCCTCGAGGACCAGTTCGGCGACGTAATTGAACAAGTCGATGTCTCCGGAGGCAGCAAGTACGGCGACGAGAATGTGACCTCTAGTCGTGGTGTGGAGAGAAGTAGGAATAACGTTGTTAGGGGGTATAAAGCGTATGTTCCTTCTCTAACCCCTAAGCACCATTGGAGCTGGAAAAGGTTGTCGGAGGGAGGCAGGTGGCTAATAGAAGGCAATAGGGCCGCGCATAATCTCTCAAATACCGAGGCTGGAAGACAGCATGCTAGACAGAGTTTGGAGGATTTGGGTGTTAATCCTGATGAGTAATTCTACTCTTATATTGTTTAGGGGTGTCCCTCCGGGAAAAAGAATGGATGGATTGATGATGATATGATTAGACTGTGAATACATATATGTACATATTATTGATGTTTTGTATCTATTGCGTTTTTGTTCCAGATTGAATGTCGTTTTGTTTCGTTTCAGGTCTATACCGTCCAGACTTCTATAGTGTTCAGGCTGCTACGGCGTCACTGATAATAAGTCTATTTCTTTCGCTGCGCTCGCATGTTCTTCCACCGCATTATCCACGTGGCAAACGGGAAGAACAGAATCGAAATTGCGCACCAGGCAAACAAGATACCAAAATCCTCGCCGATGGCCGATTTGGTGTCGAAGATAAGCGTTCGGGAAGCATGGACAACTGTATACATCAGCGACCTATTCCATCCAGGGGAAGACGGGGGCGTACTTCTATTCAAAGGCCAGGCATACCCCCACCGATAAAAATCAGACATTAGCCCAATATCATTGAACGACGTGGCCACATTCGTAATAACCCAAAACACCAACCATAACGATGCATAAGGAAAGCCCAAGATCATGGCCATGTTCTCGCTAGGGAGGCCGAGTGATGTCATACCAACCCAGTTGAGCATCCAATATACGACAAAGGTTCCCTTGCCGTATGCATTTGCGTTCAGTGCACCCTCCGTATGTGATGCGCTGTGGTTTGAAAATGGGATTTGAAACGCAAGCGAGACGAGGGAGTAGAATAAGGAGAGAAAGAAATAAGCAACTATGCTTGACATAATACGCCAGATGATAACGTGTGTTCCGTTTACAGGTGCGTGGGTCTCGGTACCCATGAATATGCCATGAACAGGCATGAGGAATGAAAAACTGAAAAACGAAATGATGATCAAATAAATCAACCCAATCGAAATTGCAGGTGTGCCTGTTGGGGGAGTAAATGGTCGCAAATCAATAAAACTGAACCCTATGCCCGGGTTCACAGCTTGCGGCGTCCGAAAAACATTCTGCGTTGATGCGTTCTTGGCTAGAATCGAAGACCATTCTTCACCGAATTCACCGATAATCGGGAACATGACATCTATCAAAGCGGGGAAAATGTATGCTGACATCGTGGTCTGGTCACGAGCACTGTTGTAAAGGATCTGAGCCGCGCCGGTCGGATCATACGATGAGTTGCCGTTGTTGACGGCCTCTAGCAAGAGAGTGGTCGCATTGGCATTCACAATTATCGCGGTCCACGCCTTTTCGTTGTAAAGTTCCTCGCGCACCACCATCGGGTCGTAGTTAAAGTCTGCGGCAGATTTGACCGTCCATCCCAGTTTGTCTACTGTCTGAGGTGTCAGCTTCTCGAACGCGTTGGTGATGAACGGGCCGACAATCGGCGTGGTCGTATTGAACGGAGCGACTTTGGCATCGAAATCGACAATCCAGACGGTCAAGCTAGGCAGTTTCTCGTAGACGTTAAACAGTGCGCCCCAATACAGGGATAAAACCATGAGGATGTACACGCCGAGTCCGAGGACTATTCGATGTTAGTAACCATCAATGACCAGCGGCAGTTATAGAATCCTGACTGGTTATAGACCACCGTTTGTATGCCTGTCCACGATGTTCCTTTAAATCCGCATGAAAGAATCCTATCGTCTCTGGTGCAGTCACCTGCGCGGGACGATCGTCTCCATCGCGCTCATACTTGAACTCTTCTGACGAAGCCTGCTCTGTGTCGGTCGCCATTTCCGATGATTATTCTCTGAATAGCAAGTAAAATAATGCATGGCCACAAAAGTGCGAGGGTGACGGGATATATAGGCGCGGATAGCAACAAAACGGAGATAAAATAAGCATAGAGCGAGCACGGCGGAGATAAATACGTCAGCGACGCTGATGAATAATTTGTTAGTTCTGTGTCAGCCGCCGCGTTACCCGGTTGGTGCCTGTATGTTCAGGCATCGACTCGAGATCGATCGTGAGCCTCGTTGCGCCTCTTTTGCGGTGGCTGCTAAGTCAGCCTTTGTCATGATTCTAACTATTTCAGACATGTTAGAACTGAGAAGAATTGGAAGAAATTTAGGAACGTCAGCGCAAAAAGACGATCGCGTCATGTGATCTCGAACGTGATGAGATGAGGGAAGTCCTGGCTTACCGTAAAAGGAAGGCATCACCTCGATCTTGACTTCTTCCACTCGCTAACAACACCTGTGAGAATCTTCCTGTCATGACCCGAGATTATTTGGAGGATAGTCATCGATTCCAGAACAGATCCATCTGATGATGTCTGTTCAGATACAAATGAGGCCATTTCACGATTTCAATGCATACACCCCATATTGAACAACTTGGTGCGACATACAATTCACAGCTATCTATCCAACATCTCCTAGCCGGCCAGCTCTGCTCATTTTCGCCGGTACAAATTGACCGCTCAACGGAATATTCCACCGACTAGTTATTCTACTAGGACAGTTATCATGAAACCCTACCATGTTTAACTCGTTTATGTATCCAGGAATCCAAAATCAGAGATAAGGCACGCATCAATCCGTGACCAGCAAGTTACTTCCGGAATGACGGTATGCATCCAGAAAGCCCCTGAGGAATCGCATCTCGTCTAACTTTATCCATTATAGTTGTCAATTGTATAGGTCCGTGTCTTAGAGACTCTCAAATCATTCGTCGAGACAAGCAAATACCGACGTTATGGTTCCGACGAGATTTCACCTTATGCAGCCTCGCACAGTCCAATATCCACCGGAATGCGTCGAGCAGATACGAGTGCATACGTGCGACTAAATCCGTCGTTGCGGTGTTATCTCCCATCTTGGTCAAAATATCCTGCATTGTCGGCTCGTAGTCAGTCGCATTCAAAATTCGACTACACTATCGCTTTATTCTGGGTCACTCAAGCTCGTTGTTCCGTGTGATATATGATAGAACGGACTAGGTTGTACCTCGGAATCGGCACATTGAACTCCGTCAAGCCGTGATGTCGTCGTCTCTAGTGCTTACCGGTGCAGTTGCGCCGATTCCAGGATCTTACACTCATCTAATGCTGGACTAAGGTACTAATCCGTGGACGTATTCCGGTGGAGGCAAAAGCCGTAGTCGAAGCCGATATATTTGGATTCCATTTGATGGTGATATGTATTCGAAACTACCGGATGATATCACCATTGATCAATGATGCGGTGAGTATACGAAGATAATCAGAGCACATCAGAATTGTCGATCAATAATCATGGGCCATGTCCAACGGATGTCTACAGATGTTCATAGCTCCGGCAACAATCCGAACCATGGACCAACCCGGACGGAGTCCAGACATACGGTAGCACATCGCCAGGGCAGTGATTCGTCACCTTATCCAAGTCCATGCAAGGATGGCGAGGAAATCTCCCAAGAGGCTAGGGTCAATCATGCATACACGCTCTATTCGCAACGGTGATTAGCATGCAGAAGCGGTGCAGCCGATGATATATTCGATGCATAATAATATGCTCAATGAATTAAGATCAACAACAGCATTCTCACTTCGGCGGTGTGCTGATTTGTCTTCGCGGGTTGTAGGCCATACCAAAGGTACTCAAAGTGAGAGGCCTCAATATTGAGTCCCCACCTGGACGACTAACGGTCCGAGGTTGTTATTTCCGTTGTCTTATCAGCGCAATTCGATGCGGACTCACACTCGACGATTGAAATCATTGGCTGGGATAATATATTTGTTTTATTTTTCCGGCAGCGGTGAGTTGTCACTGCTCGGACATCGCCCATGACGAGCAAGTAATCAATCCGTCCATCGTATCGTCTCGATTCCGCATCAAGGCACACTAATAAGCCAAGTGGAGCAGCTGGCGAATGCCCTTGCATTGCCATAACAAGCAGCTAGTCCTGCACGCACTGATTAGAAGCTTATCATGCTGTTATCGAATCGTCAAAAGAGTCAACTTCTGGTACTTGTACGTGGAAATCGAGTGTAATCACTTGAGAGCTGCACCGGCCAACCGGATGACTAGTCAAGAGTGAATCCGACAATTGAGCGATACCCCGGTCGTTCTAAGCTTCCAAGACGAACTAAATTTGCTAAATTTTCTTAGCCGGAAGTCAATCCTTTCACAATAGCAAACCTCTAAGCTCCGTCAATGAGCTCATTCGTGCAGGGGATGGCAATTATTATTATTCTCTGATAACGTTGGATCCGGGCCTATCAATCGAAGCACGAAATGCATGCAATATGCAACCACCGACAGGGATATTGCTCTCAACCCACCAGTCGCAGAGAACCTTCGATGCATGTTCTGCGATATCGTTATCTCCCTCCTTCAATTCGCGTAGTCATGGATTTATTCATGGTGGGACGATAACGGAGCTGTTGGATCATTCGATTATCTTTGCTAGCCACCTTTCGCCATAGCCACTGGCTCTAGCACGCGCCGGTATCGTTCGATATTGCAAGGTTTCGTGATGATTTGCAATTTACCCGCTTTGTAGTTCCCAACTCAATACGCACTGCGACGACTTTCAGTAGGGATCTCTCTCCCTGTATTCGACGGCTTCTTGACCGCCATTCTTCTCAACCCATACCGGAATCCATTTTTCGAGATATTCTTTCGCATGTGATATCGATGACATCGGGTCTCACCATTGTGGTGCCTTCAACGATACATCTTCTGGCGGGTTAAACGGGAAATTCTGTCTCTTGAAAGCGGGCACAAGCTGCAGAGTTTCAGCATAATGACCCAACTCAATGCAAGCCTAGCACTTCTTGTTGCTGATGGTGGGCCTTTATACCGTCCTAACAGATAGCATCTCGACTGGGTGAATTTGCGTGTTTCACAAATAACTTTAGGCCAAGCGTGCCGTCGAGGGGGATTTATAGTCCCATGAGGACGTCACAAGACTCGTCCCAACTTCAGAAAAAAATTATTTTTGCGCGGTAACCTCGCCTGCCCTTTTTTATTATTTCCCTCACTACTTGTCGCCTCTGGGCTCGACCACATCCCATCACAACCAATAATCTTTCTTGATCCAATGTCTCAAACAGTCACCCTGACAAAGGCTGTAAAGCCGATAAGTTACGATATCAATATCCCTTACGTCAGTGTCTCTGATGATACAAAAAAGAATGTCAAATATTCTCACTACCTGCCCACCTGGGACAAGGTCTGGTTTGACCCGCTGCCTTCATTCGAGTACCAGGACCCCGCTCTCCGGGTAAAAGACAAGTCTAAGCCGAATTTGTTGTCCTCTACTGCCAAAGTGTCACATATCCAGCCTTGCATTGGTAGCATTGTCGAGGGCGTGCAATTGAACAAGCTCTCCGACGCGGCTAAGGATGAACTTGCATTGCTTATCGCCGAACGCAAGGTTGTTGCCTTTCCCGATCAGGATCTCATCGATGCTGGACCGGAAGAGCAGTATTCCTTTATGCGATATTTCGGCAAGCCGAATTATCAGCCTATTTCAGGGTCGATGAAGGGGTATCCAGGTTTCCATATCATTCACCGTGACGGAAATGTGGATGAGATCAACCGTTTCTTGGAGCAACGCACTACCACGACGTTATGGCATCAGGATGTCAGCTATGAAATCCAGCCCCCTGCCTATGTCATGTTGGGATTACTTCAGGGCCCCGAAGTCGGTGGAGACACGGTCTTTGCCGCTACAGACGCTGCGTACAAGTAAGTCTTAGGCCTTCGGAGCTTACCGAAACCACCACCCCTATGGATTTAGAACGTATCTAACGGGCGCGACTGTAGGAGACTATCTCCCACTTTCCAATCCTTCATCGACAATCTCAAAGCCGTCCATACATCCGCTAAAATGATCGCCCACGCCAGATTAACTGGTAGCTTAGTGCGCAAGGATCCCGTGGAGAACGTCCACCCTTTGGTCCGCGTGCACCCCGTAACAGGCGAAAGATGTCTCTTTATCAACGGCGAATTCATCACCAGGGTCGAGGGTCTAAAAGAACCCGAGTTTAGAGTTTTGCAAGATTTCCTCATGCAACATCTCATCACGGGCCATGATTTCCAAGCCCGCGTGCGATGGCAACCTCGTACTATAGTCATGTTTGATAATCGATCGACAATACGTATGTCCATGACAGCCTTGTCTCTATTCTTATGCTAACGAAATTGATAGATTCCGCTATTGTGGACTACATCGATGAAGAAACAGGCGCGAAACCGCGCCATATATTCCGACTCTGCGCTCTGGGCGAACAACCTATCCCTGTGAATCAAAATACCACACCATCAAACTAATTTTGGAGCAGGACGAAAAATGCTGACACGATATATAACGAACACTAACTTGGAATTTTAATCTCGCTAATTGATAGACTCCTTAAGCTCGGCGTTCGGTTCTGTTTACTGATATTTCTGTTACGTTTTATCTCTTCCGGGGTTCTGGATTTTTTTCATACTTTTTTGATAGACTGGATGGATATTTAGATTTTTTGACTTTTTTTTGCCATTTGTCTTCTGGGTTTACTTTGTGATCATGAAAAGTGTCATGTTTCGTTTTGGCTGTGATAAGAAAAGTATAATCTGTTCACATCAAGCTGATGTATGAGGATGTCTCTTCAGAAGGTCTTTAATGTGTACTGAGTTGAATTGTCTTTGCGACTTGGTTAGGAATTGATGAATGGATATCCTATCAATGAGCTGAAAAGGTAGTGTCGAGTATTTTGCTACTAATGTAGGTCTCTTGTGACTACGTGGTAGTAATGCTATCACCGTAGCGTATCGTCTGAGGCCTCCATTGTTATCCCGATATCTAGATATCCCTATGAGTCGACGGTTTTCTGGCTGAGGTCGATTAACGGTTTGCTATGAGGCCGGGGGCACCTGCCAGAGTTAGCGATCCTTGTCAGAACGGTCAAATATCTTTTTTTCACGGCAAATTCTGCGTTGGTACTGAAGTCGAAACATAGATGGTATTCCAAGGAATTGGATACGGGCAGCTTTTTAAACTTCTATCTGCTATGTATATACGACAATTTTGGTCACTACTATTACCATCTATTTGTGTCTCCATAATTTAACTGACAAGATAAGAACCAACCACAACCTGCTTCGAAAAATTAAACGTGTCCCTCCTCTAATGACGAATTGATTGTTGATCGAGCGGCCTACTCAAATATCATGTTGATCGTTTAGGGTCAGGGCCCAGTATACCTAATGGGGAGTTGTGACTGACCGAGGGGTTTTACGCAACCTACACTCAGAAGCGGGGTCTCACTCGTAGCCCTAATCCATTCACGTTTATGAGAGAAGGAATAGTACGAGTACGAAGTCTAATAAAACGGTTCTTTTTGAATCCCGCCTCACTACCCCATTTGGACCAAAAACCGAGTAAAAACGTCCAAGACCTCGTGGCGTCCACGAATGACGATGCCCATAAATATGAGTCAGGCAGGACTGGTCGAACAGAAAAGTGCTCGGTCGATGTAACCTTGAATCATCTGACAGAACCACCACGACACTCGCTCGATCAGGACTCGATGTGGCAGTCTGGTGGGCTCGGCAATGCGATATATTGTGGAGGGGTACATCGCCCGGTATTTGTGCAGATCCAAGATTTACCTAGGATCTATAGAGCAGATTTATTGGTCTATCTTTGATCTTGTTTGTAGAGGAGAGGTATATAATAGGGATGTTAACTTTCTGTATACCCTGTAACCCCGCATTATGGCACGAACGATCCCGAGGTTTGTCTGGGGTCTCCATGTTCTTCAAACTACGTGTTAGTCCCGAATTTTCATGAGCCTTGAAATGATTGGATTTTTCAATGTATGCTGGTACTTAGATGTTGGAGCAGAAGCTTCATTCGGGTTTGTGCTCGCATCAGCGCAACGGCAACGAAGTCCTGCCCGCTAACTGGTATAGAAATGGAGTCCTTGATAGCAAGGATAGCTGAGAACTTCTAGTTCCTCAAGAGGACATCAAATCCATGTCCTTTCAAGATATAAAACTATAAACATATATGAAGTCCTCAGTACACGCGGTCATCTCTCGAATATCAGATGTGATTACTGCTTAGGGCAACATATCCGATCCTGCAGGTCTTGGTTTCTTGGATTATGTCTTGATTTAACGAAATCCGAGGAGAAAAGTTTATACACATGTCAGAATCCTGATTTCTATTATGAGGCGGTCTTTCTCGGCCATCAATGAGAATTTCTTCTCAAACCCGGCATTCTGCTTCTCGTTGAAACTGGAAGCGAGTAAACTGTAGAGTCCCTGAAGATCCTCCTGCCAATTTACGTAAAGAGAAATTCTTACCAAGTGGTAGAGTCACCGTCAGCATGATTCGCGGGGCTGGGAATGTTGAGTCGCGTGGCATTCCTTGTAGTGATGATACAGGTTCTTGCACATGCTATATCCCATGATGTTAAGCGCATCAAGTCTCCCATCATCCGTAATTTTCTTTTAATTTTACCATCTACTTTAACGCCCTTAAAAATCAGCTATATAGCCATGCAAATTATCAACCTGCTCCGGTAACGCAGGAAACCCGCTTCGAATATAAGTCATGGTGGTATCCACTAACCGTAACTTTCAAGTCAGCTGGACCAAGAATTCCTTTCATGAACTGAACAACCGAGGGTATTTATTATACATGTGCCATCTGAAATAGCTGTCTAGGTAGTGTGGTCAAATATTTATATGTTGCGTGTTTGGGTAAACTCAGAACTTTTGGATCCGCTCAACAAGGGATGAAAAGCCCTCAGGCAACCACTATAGCTGCCTAAGTCGAGTATCTTAATCACAAATTGTAAGAGCTCACTCTGTCAGTTAAAATCTATTTGTTCTTGGGATATTGAACATCATGAAGTGGTCTATCACCATTCTGTCCCTGGTCTTGGTGCCGTATGCCGCAGAAGCGGCTCCGGTAGAAGAGTTCGTCAAACGAGGAACCTCTCCTACAGTTACCATTGCAGCACCATCTGCTACTATTGTTGGCTCTACATATGGCAATGTTGATACATTTAATGGTATCCCCTTTGCCAAACCACCCACGGGCTCTTTAAGACTTAGACCCCCACAAGCCCTAACTTCCGGATTGGGAACAGTAACTGCCACGGGCACAGCACAGTCGTGTCCTCAGATGTTTTTCTCAGCTTCCTGGAGCAGTTTGACTGGCATTCTTGGGGAGCTTCTTAACACCCCTCTTTTTCAAGACATCACCGATGCTGGCGAGGATTGCTTGACGGTAAATGTTGTTCGACCAAAAGGCGCCAGCTCTACATCCAAGTTACCGGTCCTGTTCTGGATATTCGGTGGCGGATTCGAGCTCGGAGGAACTTCAACGTATAATGGCGCGACAATTGTAGAGAATGCTATTGCAAACGGGAAACCCATTGTCTTTGTTGCTGTCAACTACCGCGTTGGCGGGTTTGGGTTCCTGGCCGGCAAGGAGATTCTGGCGGACGGCTCCAGCAATCTGGGCCTTCTCGACCAGAGACTTGGTCTTCAATGGGTTGCAGATAATATTGCACAATTCGGTGGGGATCCCACCAAAGTGACGATTTGGGGTGAATCGGCGGGATCCATCTCAGTCTTGGATCAGATGCTTTTGTACGACGGTGATAATATATATAAGGGTCAACCATTATTCCGTGGTGCAATTATGAACTCTGGCAGTATTGTGCCTACGAGCCGAGTGGATGGTGATGCCGCACAGAAAGTGTATGATTCGGTTGTTTCTGCTGCTGGTTGCTCATCGGCAAGTAACACTTTGGAATGTCTTCGGGGACTTGACTATACCGCTTATCTCAATGCAGCCAATTCTGTGCCTGGTATTCTCAGTTACAATTCTGTTGCTCTCTCATATCTCCCCAGGCCAGATGGTACTGCTCTCACCGACAGTCCGGAGATTTTAATCAAAGAAGGAAAATATGCACCAGTTCCATTCATCGTTGGCGACCAAGAGGACGAGGGCACGTTATTTGCCCTTTTCCAATCCAACCTCACCACCACCCAGCAAGTAATCGACTATCTTCAGTCCATATTCTTCTCATGGGACGGAAACCAGACCATCGTCGAAGGACTCGTCAAAATCTACCCAGACGACATTGCCTTCGGCTCCCCCTTCAGGACAGGCATCTTAAATAACTGGTACCCTCAATTCAAACGTCTAGCCGCTATTCTCGGCGATGCAGTATTCACCCTGACCCGCCGCGCATTTCTGAATCTGGCCACTGCTGCCAACCCAAATGTACCAAGTTGGTCCTATCTTTCCTCGTACGACTACGGTACCCCTATTCTCGGCACGGGTCATGGGACGGATATTTTGCAAGTGTTTTATGGAATTTTGCCGAACTATGCTTCCAAATCGATTTGGTCTTATTACCTCTCGTTCGTATATGAGCTGGACCCCAATGCTAATACGACATATCCCAATTGGCCGCAGTGGAGTGCGGGGAAGCAGTTGATGAATTTCCAAGCTAATAGTGCTAAAACTGTAGCGGATAATTTCCGCCAGACACAGTACGAGTATATATATCAGTATATATCAAATCTTAGGGTTTAGCTATCAAAGAATGATAATGAAGTGTTGGTGCTGCAGCAAACCTCTGAATCTATTCCTCTTACGTCCAATGAGTTGCGAAAAGCGTTAGGGTTGCGTGTGCCGGATTGTGTGGTAATATATCATGACTTTTTAACAGTACACGCAAAAATGCGAAATATTCCGGATAGTAGAATACCAAGTATATTGGAGAAATTCTCGGTCGTAGCATAGTAGAAAGGCATGGTTCATGACAAGTCTTGGAGTATGTCCAACTCTACAAGATTCTCGACTCTCATGTGTTCCAAGGACCATGAAACCTCATCTCTTCGTTCGGAGCCCAATCCCACATATTTCACTGTTTGCTATGTCGCAGCCAGAAAAACAAAGAACTGTTTCACCCAAGGTCCTTGTTCTCTGCTGCTCCTGGTTAGCGTTTGAAGAGGCTTTCACAATCAATTCTGGAGGACTGCGAGGTCCTTTACCTAGGTAAGCGTACAAAACCGTCGATAGAAGTCGGCTCTTCCCCGTTCGAATTCAGATTGATTCGTGTGAAATTGATAAAGTTCCAAATTACTCCGTACAACTGTTCGGTATCAGATATCTCTCTTATTATAGGCGTTGATGTAGTTTTTCATAAGATAGACAATGTCTTTCTCCCAGGTCGATCTCCTGTACCATACAAAATGATCTAATCTGCAAGATATCTCTTGGCTCCATGATTCCCTTCCTAGGAATCTATCTATCAAGTTCTGGAGCAACTTTGAAGCATATCAAATTGCACTGGTACCCCCACACACCTGTGCGATAGGAGAGTCGATCTCCCACGATATATGTGGACGCTTATCTCACCTTAATTTAGGCCCAAATCATAAGATATGTGCCGTACATCCCGTTCAAGATGTGGGAAGGGGATGCGGTATGTGCAGTTTGGTATAAATTCCGTTATGACTGCTCTTCACCAGCCGGGTTGTTTTCTCTCAAAGGTATATTTACAGCCATCGCAACCCACAGCACTCCAGAAGCAATGGATGACATTGCTAGTACGCCGCAGGCAATCTACACGGCCCCCGAAAAGTATGATCCTGAGATGGTAACTGATTCTAAAGATCCAGACGGAGCCCCTGAGCTCGCGGAGATGAAGGTCTTGAAGTACGAGCTACCATGAAGCGGCACTCGTCTTCTGGACGTTACTAATTGTATGTCAATACAGAAAAGGTCTACATCAGCGTCACATCCAAATGATTGCTCTTGCAGGGACAATCGGGACAGGCCTTTTCCTTGGCTCTGGTCGAGCACTCGCAAATGCTGGACCTGCAGGCATTTTCATGGGCTATGCCCTGATGGGTCTCTTGATCTCAGGAGTAACGCTTTCTATTGGAGAATTGAGTGCCCTCGTTCCTCTTAGCGGAGGCGTGATCCGGCCTGCTGCTTATTTTGTAGATCCTGCGTTCTCCTTTGCACAAGGCTGGAACGTGACATATCAATACTTGATTTCAATCCCGGCGGAGATTGTTGCAGCTTCCGTGATTATGCAATTTTGGGTAACCGTTAACAATGCTGTTTGGGTGACAGTTTTCAGTGTTGTTCTCTTTGTGAGCAATATCTTCCTGGTCCGGATCTACGGAGAAGTCGAGTTTTTGTTGGCTATTCTGAAGATACTACTCATTGTTGGAATGAACATCATGGTATGCAGCTCAGTACATTATGCTTGTATCAATTATCCCATACTGAAAAGACTTCATAGGGTTTGGTGCTAACAGCAGGCGGCGGTCCTGATCATAAATCTATTGGTTTCCAGTATTGGCATGATCCTGGACCATTTGTACAATATCTCGGTTACCCTGGGGCATTGGGTCGCTTCATGGGCTTTTGGACTGTTTTATCAAACGCAGCATATGCATACTCCTCAGTAGAGACAATCTCGATGGCTGCTGCAGAAACCTATGCCCCTAGACGTAATATCCCGAAAGCTGCGAAAAGAGTCTTTATCCGAGTGCTGCTGTTCTACGGTAGTTTCCATATTCAATTACTCAACATCAAAGGCTAATCACTCTCTAGTCATCTCGGTTTTCATGATTACACTACTGGTTCCTTCAAATGAACCCCGACTACTGAAGAGCTCTGGAACAGCCGCACAGTCACCGTTCGTCATTGCCGCGCAACGGTCTGGAGTGAAAGTAGTGCCACATATTATCAATGCAATCGTTCTAACCAGTGCGTGGAGCTCGGGCAATTCTAGTATGTCCCTATCTCAGTTGCGGCGGTTATGTACTGACCGTTAATAGCTCTCCTCAGTGGTTCCCGTATCCTTTACGGCCTCGCTCGTGAAGGCCAGGCTCCACGCTTCCTTGCGCGAGTCAGCCGTTGGGGTGTACCTTACATGGGAGTCGTAGCAATTGGTGTCTGGATGACATTGGGCTACATGTCCGTCAGCCATACCGCCTCTACTGTCTTCACTTGGCTACAGGACCTTGTTGCTTGTGCACAGATTATGAGCTGGCTCGTTATCTGCACCACATATTTGCGTTTCTATTATGCTATGAGAAGGCAAGGGATTTCTCGTCGCAGACTGCCGTGGACAGCGCCTTTTCAGCCGTATGCAGCGTGGATCACTCTGGTTGGACTCACAATCATTTTACTTACTGGTGGTTATACGGCTTTTCTACATGGCCAGTAAGTCATTCTCCTATCCTTCGCGAGTTGCGTTTCTTCTGAGGGCTCAATTAACAACACTCTCACAGCTGGTCTACAGAAACATTCATTTCTGCCTATCTCGATATTGGCATCTTTGCAGCTTTGTACTTTAGTTATAAGATCTGGTACCGGACAAAGATTGTTTCTCTTGATGAATCCCCTGTCGCTCGGTTTGTCGAAATTGCAGAGGATGATCCCGATCCCGTTGAGGAATCCAAGTTCGCATGGCCAATCGTCGATTGGCTATGGGCTTAGAATCACTCTTACAAGGTGGAATCGTGTTTTTTGACATGGAGTGTTGGTGTAGTCAAATGAACTTTTGAATAGATGTATTTATGCTGTCCTGGTACAGGATTTGAGCGTCCTTATTATTAGGCTTGGCGACGAGAACATCCAGCAGCTACATATGAAAAACCATAAAAACCATAAAAAACATAAAAAACATAAAAAGTACAAAAATATTACATACAACAGCGTAAATATGGTGATGCTCACCCACTCGATTGCTGCTTCCAGCGTGGTGGTGAAGCGTTCCATACCCCCCAGAACACCTTGGAATATGGCTTCACCCCCAACACCGGTAAGAACAATTACTGGAAAGAATATACGAGTATATGTCAAACATTTTAAATCCATAATTAAGTAAAACTTAGTCCGTAAATCTCCAAATTCCCATCCTCAGTCAACCAAGACGAGAGCTTAAGGCCGAAAGCTTGAATCTGTCAATGAGTACCTGTATCGACGACGAAAAACCAATCATAGGGACCAGGATCAAGAACAGAGCTAGCTAGGGGAATTGGAGCCATATAAATAGACGTCCAACACTTGGAGGTAACTAGCAATACACCAGGCGTAATAAACATCATTCATGCTTCAACCTCGTCAATCTCCATAAGTGAATGAACTCTGATCGCTTTCAGTGATTCTACGTCCGAGCGGGTCTCTCCTACAATTCTGGCGTATGAATAAATGCATTATTTGACACCAAAGCTACTCAACAGCCGTTTATTGAGAGAGAACCGTCCCAAGTTCTCTGCAAGTATGGAGTAAGAGACAGTTGCATCAATCCATGACAGGAATGGAGAAAGGTCAGCTAGACTTCGCACCTTTTTCAAGCTCGATATGCTTTTTTACTCAATTCAAGAATTTAAGGAATGGCCAAGGGCAACTTCAATCCCTCCCCATAACGTAGGGTACGGTACTAACCGATTCTACTGCGCGGGCTAGAAAGGACTTTTAATCTGTATATGCAACCGAAGGATTCCAGTGATGTCAAATTCCACTGTCGAATTTATCTCCTGAGTCCTGAGTAGACAGATGGAGTATCTGCTTGGCCACGCTACTGGATTGTTCCGGAGCGAAATGTGAAAAGCAAGGACGTGGCTGTATGTTACAGTTGCCAAGGGGCTCGTAGGCATGACAGGGTTAACCACATTCCTGTTTATTTGTCTCAATCGCGCCTCCCTGTGACTAATTTCTCCACTATATGATATTTTCTTTGAAACACTTGTCTCGTGTGTCAGTCGCTTTACTATTCCACGAATCTATCCTCTATTACCTCTCAGTTGCTATTCTATTTCACCATGATCTCAGTACGGCCAGCAAACGAACTTGCAAAAATGAAGCTTAGTATTGTATGCCTGACTGTCCTCGCCGTCCTGGTCGCCTCACAGGATGCAACTTCGACAACCGCCTCGTTGACATCCCAGCAATCATGTGCAAATAAGTGTAAGTTCTGCAACTTCTCAAGGGACATGTCTATACCAAGCTGACCGCAAACGGACAACTACAGGCGACCCTATCGACATATGCTGCAGTGCCGCATGCTACCAAGTGCCATGCCCCAACAATGCCATGGCAAATGACACCACCGCTTGCGCAGCAGCTTGTCCTCAGGGAAGCGGTACCGCCGATGACACTGCGGCCTATGCCAGCTGTCAACAGTCTTGCTTCAGCTCTCTTTTCTTCACAGGAACTGCTACCCTTCCTAAGGCCACTGGCTCTGGTACTCAGTTCGTTGCTGATGTATCTGCCACGGCTACCGATAGAAGTCATACTATCCTAAGTGGTAGTACGTGTCTTTCCCCTACCCAATCTCAATATTCCCGGCGGCTACAATTAAGACAGTTACTAATAATTCTTATTTGTAGCTGTCGACTCCCATGCTGGCAATGCTCCGCGGACCGGCTCATCTCAGAGCTCCGACAGCTCGGCCACTACCACCGCTAGCGGTAGCAGTACCATTGAATCCGGCGCCGCAAGCCAGATTGGAGTTCAGCTCGGTGTTGCCGGCATTCTCGGCGCAGTGATGGCCGCTTTCTTCCTATGAGGTTGCCGTACTTGGTTTTATTAGCTTGTCAGGGTCATTCAAGGAGATAGTCTGAGAAACGAATCTATCTGATCATTTTTTCTATCACTTCCAAGACGGTCTCTGCTGGAAATTCTCAGATCTGCCAAGATTAAAACAAGTCTTTGTCAAACGTAGCTGCGTAATTACATTCAAAGATAGACCATATCCTGTACAACTCCAAATGCAATTAATATTATAAGCAAGTGCTACTTAGCTAGCATCTCAACTGGCAAACCAAGATTTTGCTGCAGGAATTCCAGAATGTCATCAATTTCATCAGGGACTTTGTACCAGTGACCAAACCCCTCGTAAGCCTTCCATGTGACATCTATTTTTATCTTTTTCGACAGTATCTCGGCCATTTTCTCACCCAAGCGAACAGACACTTTGGGATCAGCCAATCCATGACCTAGAAAGATTGGTGTCTGAAGGATTGGGAAAGTCTTTGTGGTCATTTTATGGTTTGTTTCGTTATCATCGTCGTCAGGAGCAGAAGGGCCAATAACCACGGGTGGGAGATCCAGTATGTCGCGAACAAAATTGAGTGCATCCGCAATGTTATTTTCGGGATTATCCTGAGGATCAAGCTGAAATGCGTCGAAGGAAGCCAAATTCACTTCTGCATCCGATGCGAAGTTATCACTTTCAGCGTCACTGAACGAGACATTTATCCCAACGTCGCTCTCTGAGCGGTCATCATCATCACTACTTTCACTGTCATCCTCTTCTTCATCTTCATCTTCCGTCTCATGGATTCGTTCATTGCTCACCATACTATTCAGCTGTTTCTCAAACGGTAGCCAACCGCTCATCCCAAAGAAAGCCCCAGGCCTCTCATTTCCACTCTTTCCAAATCCACCGCCAAGAAGAGTAAAAATGGCAGCAGCACATCCCTGACTCAGTCCTCCGATAATAACTCTTTTGTACCCCGTCTCACCGGCACCGTTATCCAGAACCCGTGCTTCAGCATCAACTAATTCTCTCAAGAACTTTGCCGTCTCCATCAGCCCATCAGCTTGCAGATCCGTCCTCTGATTCGGATCATCCAAGCTATAGTTATCAAACCACTGGTTAATTGGGATCTTTTTCAAAACTGTAGATCGACGCTTGGAGGCAGTGGGAAAGACGAACTTCACAGTAGGCAGACGAGCGGGGAGATTGGCCGAGGCCAAAAGCTCGCGACCGAACTTCTCTGCATTACTACCTCTGCCATGGAGGATAATGAACGTATGTGTATGTTGGGGTCTTAAAGGCTCGACGCAGAGTAGGATTGGGTAAGGATTTTTCCTTTCTTGCTTCTGCATTTTTGCGTGTATTAGGTAGTGAAGGATTCTAATTCTTTTCAAGTTGTTGCTGAAAATATAATCCAGTATAGACACCACCTGGGCAGACTCAGTGAGGCTCGTGGGTATTTAGGGATATTGCGGATATAGCTGAAGCAAATGCAGCAACTCGATAATATGGAGGATTAATCAAAAGAATAACTTGCGTCTGGCCAAAGCGTCAGTAGAGACAGGAAGCCAGTTAGCCGCCCACCAAAAGGCATAGGGACTATTTCAATTGGCGCCAGCTTTTTTTTATAGCCGCCACTAATATGAAAGACTACGTGAGTGAACCCCTAGAACTTGCTATTATTAGACACACTTAAACATATCATTGCAAGCATTGGATATTATTTGTTGCTTACTGAGTAAAGATTTCTGGGCTACTACTTGGGCGAGTCGGAGCCAAGTGACTCAAGCAACCCTAACGCCCTCTCGTAATGTACCCAGGTCAGGGGAGGACGAGATACACCCTCCATAGCATGGCAGACCAATTGGTGATTCCCACTGTTCCCGACAGTTTGATACTGTCGCTAATGTTTCATAGCCTAGGACTATGGATGTATGTCTATCAACCAATTGTTGGACTATGTGCCTTGTTAATGGCCACCGCCAGAAATTTCAAACCTCCTATGGTAGGACGAATCATGGTACATAGGCGCCTTTGAAGGAGGTAATTTTTAGAACATGAAGCATGAAACATGGAAAGTGTCAATATAGCAGATCGTTTTCCGAGTCATCATGTGGAATCTGTTCTAGTAGGTGAATAGCAGAGTTATAAACAGTACAAGATGGCCTCGTATAACTACTTCTCATCAGGCTCGCACGAAGTCATAAATACTATCTTCCATCTCTTTCATTCTTGCCATTGAACACTAAAATGTCTAAGTTGTCTTCAAACTCAAATTTTGTCAAGCGTTGCAATGTCTTCGCAAGCAGTTCCATCGACAGAACCGATGGAGTCACCCTTAATTTGATATAGCTCCTCAATGTATCGTTTCAATTCGTTATAATGTTTTGACGCTGCTCTTCAGTTCATATTAAAGGAGACGAATCTAGACTCGGAGTATAATACCAGTACCTTCAGCCAACGAAGCAAGGCTTTAGAGCGCTAAGTCGGCGCTTTACAGGGTCAAGTCAGATTGTACAGCAAGAGATCAAGAGATGCAACGAATTTGAAGAGCGATTTGCGTTCTTGGAAGAGTTTTGCATTCTGTCAAGGAAGACTTTCTGCTTCGAGATTGCAAAACACTACTATTATTGAGAAGCGTCATCATATGTCATGAAACGAGCTTTGGTTTCAAGGAATAAATCAGATGCAAACTGTAACGTTCCGTACATACGTACAGATATCGTAGACAGATGGAACCTGGGTTGAATACCCTGGGCACTCGTGCATCCTTTCCACGAAGCGGTAAAACGATGTTTGTATTGAATATAATCCTTGAGGTATATACTTTTAAAGTTTTTTTTTTTTTTTTTTCCTGAATTCCATTTCGCAACTGTCCCATTTCAATTTGAGATCGAAGCGAAGATGCCAAAGAAACAGTAAAGCTTCGTCTGTGTAGATAGGTCGCCTACCAGCTTCTAACTGACGGCTTGACTGACGAATTCTTCCGGGAGAACTACCGACAAGGAGCGAGTCCAGCGGAGCTTCTTGTTCACACTTAGATGTCCCTGTCATCCAGGAATAATGTTGCTCGCAGATATTGAAGACAGATGGAGCGTCCCTTCGTATTTTCCCTCTGTTGTGCCGCTCCCTATTTGGGACTTTGTAGACCAAGTAGCGGTAAAAAGCCTTTTTTGAATTGAATTTTTGCTTCAGCCTTCCCAAGCGAGAGTCGGTGCTCGATTAAGAAATCGGGCGGCGGTGCCCTTTTGAGATATCAACAGGTATAATTAACAATTCTAACTGGATATTCTCAAAAACCAGATAGGTTTGTAATTCGAGATTGTATTAGTTGATATACTACTGATTAGCTGAATCTTTCCATCAACAGTGGCTGTGTAACTATTGGTTAGTAGATTGTCAGGAGGTCCTAGTTCATATGAACTGGAATTTTATAGAAGGGTCGACGCGCGACATGCACCGGTTGCCGACCAGAAGAAAAGCGAGATTATCTTGACGATTCTGATTCAGAAGATGCTCCACGGGATCTACCTTCTACGGCACGAAAACGTGCTTTGACCTTCTCTTCTTCCTCCCCGCAACGCCAACACCGATCTGGTCGGCAGTATAGACGAACAGATGATTCGGCACAAGAGTCTATGGATTTCTGTAGTTAGCGCTGCTTGCTGTCATTGAAAACTAGCGACTTGCTAGATGAAAATTGTCTAAATGTCGGTCGTCACCGAAAGACCGATAGCAAACGTCACCAAATTCGACTCCCTGACTTCTTGCGCCTACTCAAACAACAGCTAGATAACGATCTAGATCATTACTGTGCCCCATGTGCGGAACCGGGCATACGTGGAGTGCCTTTTAAGACAATTCTTGGAAAGGGGACCACCGAGCGTCGGTGGCCTGTCGTACGACGAGAGGAAGACGTGTACCAGGTTCTGCATTCAGTCGAAGGCTCTGCCGTACCCGTTTTCCTCGGCACTGTTGATACCGACTAGGTCTATTTTTATGGAAGTGCTAAAATTACTCACTTTTTGGTTCTAGCATGGGGCGGGCAAGCATACAACAAATTTTCCAAAGAACAATGGAAGGAGTATCAGCGAAAGGTCAGAGAGATTCGCAGTCTTGGCGTTATCCATGGTGATTTACACCAGTCGAATACATTGTGGAATCCATATTTGAAGTGTGTTCTGCTTATCGACTTTCACAAAGCCGAACTATTACCAACAAAGAAGCGAAAACGAGTGATGTGCCTGGGTCTTGATCGAAGATGTATTCATTCGATAGATTACTATCGACCATGAATTACCGATCTTTGATTTCCTACACTGCCCTGGCGGTGTTCATCACATCCGTTTTGGTATGGCTTCGCAGTTACCACTCGTTGCCCGCAATATCAATATCAAAGCCCGTACACTCACCAATGTATTGGTTTGCCTTGTAAGTATCAGCTTATACATAACATCCAGTCATTAGATCCCGGCACGCAGAGCGGTGGCAAAAATTAGATCGGATACTTGGTCACACAATATAACACTACTTTAATCCTAACATACAGTCTAGCCATCGCCGGTGCAACAATTGATGATTCTTTAGCTACCTGGGGATTCGGTGATATGACTTCCCAGATAGACGCATTTCACTTATTTTATGCTTCGAGGCCAGAATCTGCGCCTTGGACGGCGGATAGTACAATTGCTTCGTTCTGGATTGGGATTAACGAGTAAGTCATCTTCCCAGAGTTCTTATTCCATTACTGATAATGGAAGTGTATATTACGGCTTCGCGCATGAAGACGAGCCTTATGATTTCGTATCCACGCTTATGAATAGATATCGACCACTCATCGAACAAATCTATTCTAACGAAATTCGAAAGTTCCTCTTTCTGAACTGTCCACCGTCAACCCACAGTCCGCAGGTGCATGAAGAAAACGATTTGCCAGAACAGTTCCAGCGTCATGCCGAGATGATGACAGCGTATAATAAGGCTCTGAATAGCATGTTGTTTCAATTCAGAGGTGAACATAAAGATGTAAGTATATCAATCCTTCTGATTCCAGTCGAGCTGACTCCGTGTAGGCAACTGTCGTGTTTTACGACTCGTTCCAGTATATGGCTCGCATTCTTGACAATCCTGCTCAATATGGTTACCAAGATGCCACATGCATGAATACCGATGGGTCGAATTGTGTCTGGTGGAATAACTTGCATTCTGGTTGGAAATATCACCAGTATCAAGCTGAGGATATGTTGCCCATTCTTGCGCCTCTCGGATGGTGATATCACTCTACAATTATACAGCGTAAACCATGGAGTTTAGAGTACCTAGGTATATCTGAGTAATTATAATCAAGACAAGCTTGGATATGCTGTTCTCAGGGCGGATGAGTATCTCGTTGTTAAGCGCTGTCAGCAGGTCATACAAGGAGCCAATCGTTCCCATGCTGCGTTGTTACAACCCCTTTGAGCTCCGCCAGGGGACTGTTTACCGAAACTCAAATTCACTTCGACAAGTCGATGCCATATGTGGATACGAAAGGACTTCTCGCCTCTTCGGGCCATTAGAGATGAGAGTCGCAAGGCAATTACGGAAAGTCTCAGTTTCTGCAATTGACTCTCATGTAAATTGTGAATTGATCCCATACCCTGTAAAAAAGCAAGTGATCCTTTCGAGATGCTGTTGGGCAGGTTTATTAGCATAATTAAGGATCAACAATTGGCTGGCTCCCAAAATTGCTCGAAGAACCAGCATAGGCAATTTTAACGTCCTTCAATCTACAGAGACACTTAGAAGAGAATCAACATGTATTTGGTAAAGATCATAAAGAAATGTCAGCATAATATCCTAGCCATCAATACCCTATCACCTCGCAGGTTGACAACCTCAAAGCTTCCACGCATGTCCTCGGACAGAAGCAAAAAGTCAGATGCCATGCTAATAACCCATGACCTGTTCAAAGTGCTTAGATGAAGACAAATACGTGTTAAAGAGTTCTTTCCTAAATCAGTCGGCGCAGCACACTTCAAAGACTATCCACTGAGCAGTAGTGTATCTTGCAGACTAGTGGTATTAGGACCTCGACGAAGCTGTTAATCTGCTTGCTGACTGACCGTCGGTCTTGGAACTGTTCATCTCAACCGCGCCAGGCCATAGCTTCTCATGATCTGTATTCACAACGGTAGCCCAATGATCGACGCATTTAAACACAGCCTTCAACTGCTTTGGTGTAACTGCAAAGAGCTCCTTATGTTTTGTGCCGCATAGACACCGGCCATTGGGCGGCTCATAAGGCCAGATCTGCAGCTGTATATGAGCCATGCGCTCGGCCTTGAACCTAAAAGGAATTTTTTTCTTTTCTTCTTTTGGAAAGACCTCGAGAGGCTCATATTGGTAATATCCACAATTCCAATGGAGAGTTTTTAACCGCCTATCAGCGTCACGGGCACTTCCAACTTTAACAATTATCTTCTTCTCTGAGTTTACGTCTTCTGCTGATGCCGTCGTGGAACGTCGCTTTTTTTGTTGTCTGTAGTCATTTGAAAACTTTGGACTGGGGTTGCCCGGAAGATGTAGACGTAACCTGGCCCATCACTTCTTGGGAACTTCGGAAGTTCCTTAATGATTTCTGCGGCCACCAATACGTCTTTAATACCCTCCATCAAGTAATTCGACAATGCTCTCTTGTACGGATCACAAGTACCGTAACTGACTACGCTCTCGGCGGTGTCCACTCGCTTCGGCATCACTGGCCATTCCCGGACTGAAGGTATGGCCTCGATGTCATCTTCATCTTCGACATTCAAGTCCTTGAGCCGGCCCGTGAGTTCTTCAATACCATCACTACTTGTTCTGGTTAAAGTAGGAGGTGTAGAGTCAGCTCTAGGGAGTGAACTGCGCGATTTACGGGTAGAAGCTGATTTAGGCGTAGCTTTGGGGGTAGAGTCTCGTGTACAGGGCCTCGGAGTACTCTTGCGGTCAGTACTTATCGGTGTATTCGTTGCTGAAGTAGAGCTGGATTTATTGCGCGCAGTTCTGGGGCGTGTCGGTGTATCCGTTACTGGGGTAGATTCGCGTGTACGGCGTTCTTGAATGATACTGCGTTCAGCCGGGCGTGTCTCTTCCTCCCTTTCTCCTTCATCGCTATCATGCACCTGTGGTTTCCGCAACTTATGTTCGGCACATAGCGAACCGGACTTAGGTTTCTTTCCGCATTCTTTTGCCTCTGGTTTGCCTTTGTGAATAATATAGGTACATTTCGACGGAGTAGTGGTTTGTAAAGGCATAATACTACCAAGAAATGGTAAAAACGAGGAAACTAATTGATTCATTTGTTTTTGCGGTTCCAGTCTCCCGGCATTGAAAATACTTCAAACTTCAGTGTTTATCTGAAGCGTGACTGAGGCACCATTCTTAAGCTTACTATGTAAGAACAAGCGGGAAAAATGCGGCGCAGACAGTACAAAAGAGGGGGGGGGGAGCTGAATCTAATACACTGGTTTCTAAGCTACCAATAACCCTAGACACGCCGATATCAAAATAACCAATTGAAAGGAAAACTAATCCCGCGGGTAATATATGAATTTTGCTTTGTGAGTTACTAGTGGTCTAGTACCTGTCTAGTTTGCAAGCCAACGTAGGCGTGTATGGCACTATGCAGGGATTCGAAGCTGCTAAACTTCCGTGAGATACTGAATTCTTTCCTTTTTGGGAAATGGTCATGTTTTCATTGCTTTTTGCAGAGTGAAGTACCCTGACACTTTAGTGTCGACTTTTCACATGGCATGCTTCAGCCGTCTCGAGACGGAGAATCAATAACTCAAAGGATTTAGTCTCTCGATCTTATCATACTAATTAGAATATTGAATCAGGCTGTGTGTAGACGACAATTAGGGCTATTTCATACACGGGAACGTATACATCCCTCTAAGCATCCCAGAAGCTAAAAAAAAAGACTAAAATAAAAAGCATTATGCTCGCAGAGAGTTCAAATATTAATCGTTGAAAAATGTGTATTCTGCTACCTTGGTATACTCCAGTAGAATAATATCACAATATGAGTCGAGGAAACAGATACATGCTGACGATTGGTCATAGCCCTAAGTTTACTTCAAACAACACAGCGAGGTCAACAATGTAGGGTAAATCCAGACTAAACCACTAATAAATCAATGCAATCCCAGACATGATACCAGTCGACTGATTTAGCAAGTCCTGTACTGAACGCCATCATCAGAGCTGCTATCAAAGTACTGCGTAGTACCATAAATATAATAATGATCCCGCGTCGCATCACTGTACCAAACGCACTCATCACCACTGGGAGTGTCAGCAGCAGCCTCAGCACGCTGACTCGCATCCTCGGTCCAGTCGTAGCTGGAGTACGTGGTGGTACCAAAGTAGTAGCCATTACAAGTGGTAGCAACGGTGCCGACGGATGGGACAGTGATGTTGTCGCCCCAGAGGATTGTGAATTCGTTCTCGGTGGATGCTAGGCCGCTTGAGATGTCTCCGCTGGCGTGACAGATCCATTCGCCGTAGGGCTCAATTACGGCAATACCGCCTTGTACCCCCAAGCGGGATTCGTCGCCTTCATAATGGACTTTTCTCACGTGCAGATCTGGACAATATTGACGAAATACTTCTGAACGCGAGTAGTGGGTGGGTTGAGGCGAACAAGACTTTACAAAAAGTCATCGATGCAGCCGTTTGCACCGGAGTTGTGAAGCGTATTGAAGCAGAAATTACCAGACTGATTTTTGATGACGATGGGAATGTTTGTACTGGTGCTCGGACTGTAGATGGCCGGATCATCTCAGCAGACTCGATCATCTTGGCGACCGGAGCGGAGACGGCAAAGCTGCTCGTAAAAAGTGTTCCAGAGATTCCAGAGCTCCATGTAGGCAGTCGTCTATCGGCAGCAGGACTCATCACAGGGATCTTAAGACTCAGTCAGAATGAAACGAGCCAGTTACGATCCGCTCCTGCTTTTCTCATCGCTGGAGGTAAATCTCAAGGTAAGATGATCATATCTCCAGACCAATCAACATTATATTGCATAATGGAAAATGAAAAGAGAAAGGGTGTAAACCGGAAAGGCAAAAGGGAAAGAAAAGAAACTAATGGAGCTGGCCATAAAGGAGCAATTATACCGCCCAACACAGAGAATGAACTGAAAATCACATGTGATATCAGTTTTACAAATACGGTCGAGATTTTCAGCAAAGCCTACGTTTCGATGCCTCCAGAGGATTACATGTCAACTTACTCCATTCTGTCGGCTGAAATGAATCGCGCGCTCGCCACTGTTAGAGAGAGTATTCTAGGTGATGGAACAAGGAACCATCATTTTGAGGACTGCCGGATTTGCTGGTAAGTATACACTTGATCTAGTCCCCGTATCTCACCTATCAATAGCAAATCATCTATTTATTTTTCTTTTCCTTTTTCATTGATTCCATTCTTTCTAGGGATGCTATCACGCCTGATCAAGATTTCATTATCAGCGCTCACCCGTACTGCAGGAACTTTTTCATAGCGACTGGAGGATCTTTTCATGCTTGGAAATTCTTGCCCATACTGGGGAAGTATGTAGTGCAGATGCTTGAGGACAGATTAGATCCAGATCTCGCCCAACGCTGGTTTTGGAATCGGGATTTTTCTGCCGCAGCCGCAAATGAGAGAATGATGCCAGTGCGAGAGCTGAGGGATTTGGCCAGTAACCAGGTATTCAGCAGTTGACTTTCACAACACTAGGATCTCGAAGCTGAAGTGTTTGACAAGTCATTGGTTAATTGGAGGCTGTACGTTTTGATCTACAGACAAAATAGGGCAGGGAAAGAGGGGGAAATCGATATGGGAAAGTTTAGCCGAATACCATATTCGCAATTCCAGGCTCTGGCGAGAAGCAACTGAAAAGACTGGAATGGAGAGAAAGATAAAAAAATAATGAAGATCAAAAAACATACAACAGCGTAATTATGGCGGTGCTCACCCAGTCTATTGCTGCTTTAATTCTTGTTGTTTCCGGCCTGGGGGTGAAGCGTTCCACGACGCCCCCGAACACCCTGGAATTGCTTTACAATCTATAACCAGGCAGAACACAACACTGGAAAGATTAGACGAGCATACTTTTACTTAGTGTGTGAATATCGATCTTACACGTCTATGCTCTTGCACCCCAGACGCAGGAGCAGCGCGTCACTGCTCGGAATGGAATTTCTAGTCATTCCTAGCGCGTACGTGCTGAGCCCCTATATAGATAGTTAGGCACCTCTAGTACCCCTACGTTTTCAGGGGATAGTTATAATATTAGGAATCTTTATATACCATAATATTGGGACTTATACTTGTAGGCTCGTTGGACTAGCCTTGCACCAACCCTTGCTTCGTAATCTAGGACTGTGCTAAATCAACACTAATCAGTGAATTTATAGATCAGAATCTTTACTATTGTCCTCTTATTTTAAATACGTGTTGTTTGCTCAATTATAATTTAAATCTTACTTTTAACGCTCCAACACATATATAGAATAACTAATAATATGGCTCCAACTATGGATTATACAAAAAGCTTCAGCGGCAAGGGATATCTTCACGGCTTGGTAATCATCGTAGATTGCTTCACCCTTCGCGATTTCAACCACACCTAGGCTTCATCAGAGCCCACAGTCGGCCCAGGCCCAACCCAGCACGGTATTCTTCAGTTGATCTAGATTTGTCTGAAGAACAGCTAACTATAGCGATTTAAAGATAAGGATTTCTTTTTGAGAAGCTTGGAAAAAAGGCTCTTGCCTTTTATGAATGTAATAGTAGACAAATCCTTATCTATAGCAGACTTAATTACTTAGAAAGTTCGTCCATATTCATCTAGCACTTCCTGTGCTGTCTTGAACACATCTTAAGAGTAAAATTGAATCTGATCATCTCGCTTCAGATGATCGCTAAAATGTTGTGAAATAGTACATATCAGAGAGACATCTTTAGAGAGATACTCAATATTAGACTCTGTTTATTGAACCTTATGATAGAATATGCACAGCCTAAGGACCACAAGTACACTGAGATCAGCTATTTATACGATGCTGCTAATAACACCAACAGTTTCAACACCAGACATGTTCGTTGTATAAATAAAGTTATATTCCGTTACCTCTGTCAGGGTGGCTATCTTCCCATGAGGGAACAAGAAGTCGGAATATGGTAACCTGCCCACGATCTCTTTACCTGCCAGTGTGGCGCAGCATCGCCTGTTCAAACTTAGGGTTTGAAAATCAATAGGTGTATGTACATTTGGGAAGGAGATTTCTGGTGCGACTGTAAAGCACTCACCATGGTGTCTATCTCAAGTCTGAACTTCGTTTTGTGGATATTTTGATTATGGCTAGGTCCCTACAATGCCTACACCCAGCTGGAAATAAGGGACGAGGCCCAGGAGCAGTAGACGGGGTGAGCTTGTGATAGTTAGTCAAACTATGTTTTCTTCCTGAACTTATGCGAGCAGGATGAACCACAACGGCAGCAGTCTGTAGCACTGGCTAAAATTCGGTCCGAACTAGATACAATTTTGGACGCTATCCGACTGATCGATGGCAATTTGCTCAACTCCGAGATCATCAAAGAGATCCGGAACGGTAGTTCATACCAGGCTGTCCTTAACACGGCTAGCTGCATTGTCAGAGCAAAGGGTGGCTTTAAATAGCGTCAGTCTTCCTGGTGCGGTGGTTTCTAGCCACAGGTAAGGTGCTGATTTATGAAAGTGTTACCATATGTATCATTCCTTGGCTAATGAACACTCAGCGCTCTGGATTCATTACATCACTGCCATTTTATCCTGTTATTACCAACAGTGAAAAATTCAAAGGGAAAAAAGAAAATGAGTACACTTGATATTTGTCTACCCTTTCCTTTTCACAATAAAGTCCTGGATTATCTCTTTCTCAGGATATGAATCGTACCAGCTAACTTATCGAATATTACATGACAGTACGACTGTAAGGGATACGCGGATTTGAGTCCGGTCCCCTTTCCATCATCATCCATTGAGATATCTTGGGCACACATGCATGCACTCTTGGCGCCGTACCTGTGTCAGGCGTTTCATATATAACTAAACTTTATATTCCTTCCCTCACGTCTCTTTCTTTATTTATTCAAGTTCTACAGCAACATCTTACAATGAATAGCACAAGGTTCATCTGTGCCAACTGGGGCGCGGAGCAGACAACTTGCCAAAAAGAGGGCAAATACACATGCAAAAATTGTTTCCTTATATTGATCAGCTCATACCTAAATAGCCAGATGGCCTATGAAAAGGAGTTTGTCTTGACATATGTGCTTACAGTATTGCGGTCCAATATGCCAAAAGTCCCACTGGTCCCACCACAAGATTGAATGTAAGTCGGCCCTGGGTAAGGAAACATGGCAGCCCGCCTGGGTTCTTGAAAAAAGAACTCCCGCATTTATTGGTACGGGCATCGGAGAGACTTTTGGAGCGACGAAATACCTTTGGGGTAATGTGCCTGCTTTTGACGTCCTTGAACTGGGATCGAATGAAGGAGAAGAATATGAAGGAGATCTTCGGATCTTATTGCAGGTATGTATTATTACCTGTCTAGTCTGGAGGCTCATTTGAAACTGAAATATCTTTGCCAATAGCTTCTGGAGACCTTCGTAATCTTATCAAGACGATTGCCCGTCTTCCGAGCAGCTACAACCACCTTCTCGAAGTCACGTTAAATGACAGAGATTTTGAAATCGTGGCCCGCAATCTGATTCTGCTTCTTGTTGCACTAGTTGTCGGAAATTCTCATGAGGCTGTTGATTGCATCATTCACCTGTGGTACTCGACTCTCGTGCGTGAATCAGATATTCGCATTCTTCAAGATCGTATACAGCCTCTGATCGAGGAAGTCTGTGAAAAGACCAAAAACAAGTCACCTGGAACTCTTCTTGGAAAGACTTGGACATTTGCCCATTGCTCGCTGAGAGTTGTCATCGAGCAATCATCATGGAATCGCCTTTTACAGATTTTCAACAAACCATCAGGCTTGACAGCCGAGCAGGCACTGAAAATTCGCGCAACTAACACCCTAGCCTTTTCAAGGAGAGACTATCGCGACCGATATATGTCCTGCCTTTCCCCTATCGAGCGAGTCTCTTTTCACAAGTTTCGCCAGGATGGCCTTTTGCTTCCGTTCGGATTCCCGCGCCTGGATTTTAGGGCGCCAAACCCGTGCGTCAGCGGAACAAGTAAATTTTCAAAAGTGATACTGACACGAAATAGGACATTCTTCCAGACGGCTGATACCTGGCCGATGAAATACAGTGCAAACTCTCTTGATGGGTGGTCATTAAAAGAGGTTTTGAATACGACAAGCGGAGGCAACTGCTGATACCTACGGCAAATTATTCTTTTACCTTCGCGGTCTACTTTACTCCTTTTTGAATCGAGTTTCTAGCTCAAGTATCTCCTTCCGACTTCTTCACCTTGATGCCTCTTCCCTTCCTGGTAGTCTTGATAGTGATTCTTTTAGCCGCATTGATGTAAGTGCTTAACACTGTCAAATCCGCTCTGCACTCCCACCGACTGCGCATCTTTCAACGATAGGAACCACAATTTTCTGACATGTCATGCGTACATATATCACGAGACTAATATCCCTACGCAGGTGTCAAACATCTCGGATATAGGCTGGCTAGGAATTCACCGTACATTACATTTGATGATTCCCCTACTTCAAAATCCGGTGCAGAACCCACATGCCACCATGATAACCCTTTTCATGAATGCAGTTGATGAGAGCTTGACCGATGATGATAGAATGCAGGGCCTTCCTCTCCATAGTCGAGCAACGAGGGATATACTCAGATATCTCCCTCCAAAAGGAGCAAGAAATTCCACATACGATCCTGCGATTATCAAGTTCAATGTTGGTCGGGACCTTGTGACAACCTACAACCACGTTTTTGATAGGTAAGTATGATTCTGACGAAGCAGCCAGGCTTTGCCTTACTGTTATTATAGGTTCCTAAAGGACTTTGAATTCCACACCGCTGGTCATGTATTCGGCGCAATGATGAAAGGAAAACATACTATCGTCGAGAAATGGCCCTACAGGCTAAAACTACGACCCGGCCAGCCAGGAGCTCAAGATGAGTTTGACCGCTGCATGAGAGAAAGTGTTTCAGGGAAGGAACGCTATGTGGAGTGGAAGAGAATCCATCAGGGCCTGCTCTGAAAAATGTGTGTTACATTTCCGTTGCACTATTGTCAAGGCCGGGAAACCTTGGAAGGATATAAATCCAAGTCATTTTGTGTAGAAGAATTCTGTTTTAATTCTTCAGATAGGTCTCCAAATCTGAATATTGGATAGCTCGATATGTCTACTCTACAAAGCTTTTTGATTACGTATGGCATGCTCTAAAATAGAGACTAAACTTCTCTCCACATGAGGAGTTGCTTTTCCGTCATTTCCTAGTCGATATCGATTCCCTTAGATTGTTGGTGAAGTTTATGTGAACGATCGTTCAATACAGAAGCCATGACTGTAGTATCCTCCAACCGAGCGCGTCGGTCACTAAATACTTTTCGGCTTTCACGCGTTCAACCTTCTTTAAAACCTTTTGCCAGTATGCACCAGGTGCAAGGACCACGTCTGGTTCCGTGACTTTTGTAACTGTTCGGTTGTTCAGTTTAACCTTCCAGTCAATGAGATAATGGAGATAGATTGGCGGATGCTCATCATAAGTCTTATCCATGTCCCATGAAGAGATGAAACATAATTGATCAGATTTGGCTTCTCGCTGTGAAGGATACTCCAGGAATGTGCTGGGTGCGGCGAGGACGTTGCGCTGAAATTACCTGGGGTGAGGGCATATAGAAGGTCGTTATCCCATGAATCATGGGTTAGTTTCGGAGCCACATCGTTGCGCGGGTAGTGGGGCCGCAGCTGACAGGCTCAAAAGAATATGACTAGCAGCTGCATACGTGTAACTTAAACGAGCTGGCGATGATTCAGTCACTACTTCAGTGTCCAGGCTACCCAGCATGGATTCTCATGCTCCGCTATTCTCGGTGGATAAATGCATTGTATAGAATGCGTACAGACTTACCTTGGGCCTACCAGAAATTAGGATATGAAGCGGGCTGCAGCCGATGATCCTAGCGCTTACGTTAAAGTTATGGGACACGAGCCAATCCATAATGCAAAAGGTCAGTTAGACTAAGTTAGCTAGATTTCACGCCCTATTTAGAAATCCGTAGCGCATCGTCAACCGGTTTTTTAGCCCTAGTTTAACTTTAGGCTCACTTAGTTTGCTGATGCCTGCAGTCATCAGCTAACCCCTCACGAATCCTCAGAGCTTGGGGCCATAAAGATAAGATTCACTAACAAGCAGGATCCAATGCTGGAAATATGAGATCAGAGCTATAGACTTCTAAATCCGGGGATATAGGCTATTATAGTATAGTATGAATTGTTCGAGCCAGCATTTGAAGTAGCTGCTCGAAAGGATGTTCTTCATACGTATATGAAGACTTCATGCTCTAGGCCATTAATAATAGCAACGAAGTCTGCCCACACTCTTTCATTCGCAACTTCTGCATAGTGTTGGAACTAAGATGAGTTTCTGCTGACTGATATACGCGCCCGCTTCAAGGAATTTTGATATTGGGTAACCAATACTGAAGAGCGCTATCAAATACGCCGAGATAGCCTCTGGCACTAATCAATTGAATATCCCCGACGCTTTCCATAAGACCATATAACTAATTAGGCTTGATGATACTCTGATAGCAATTCTTCAGCTGGCTAGCTTGCTGAGCTAAATATTTTATGTGATAGGAGCATGGCACTGATTGTACTTATCAGTCATTTCCTGCCAATAATGATCAACCCAAGGATTACACCTCACCCCACAACCTCATGTTTGTCAGATTTAGCACGTCGATTCTAATTTTCAAGCGCATCCATTCGCGCTCATTGCTCGGCCGCCGGCGGGTTTTCTTTGACCCCCGCCCCCAAAGGTGTCTGGGTCTGGCCCATTCTTCCCATAATCACAGCTTGAATATCATCACAAAACGCAGGAAACCTTCAGTCGGTCAAGCAGGTCGTTATATCAGATATCACCAATATATCGTGAATAAGAAGTCACTGCAATGGCTTCTACTACACCTTTGACCCGATCCGCCTGCGATCGATGCCATGCCAAAAAAGTCCGCTGCGTATTAAATCGACACCAAAGCAAATGCGAGGGATGCTTAATCCATAACATTCGATGTGTCTTCAGCAGTCCCGGCCGAAGTGGACGCCCGCCCTATTCTTCCAGGCAAACCGATGAAAGCTCAAGTGACTCGACAAGCTCATCAGCCACAGCAGCAGCAGGAGCATCTGCCAATTCAAACACACAGACGGACCTTAGAGACGGCCTCGGTAGCTCGACAATATCTCTATCTCAACTCGATAACGAAACGTCGGCTTTGGGCCATGGATTCCCCCAAAATATAGAGTGTACAATGGACGAGCCCTACCTCTATACCCAATTTGAATCGGACTGTGAGGTTTTTGGGAGTCAACACCAACCTCCAGATGTGATTATGCAGGAGATCCTGCAAAACTCCGATTTGATTGGTCTGAATGCGGATCAAATGGCAGCTTCTGGCCCCGGCCTAACAACAGAAAACATCGGATCTCTAACCGAGACCATGCGATTGCTGCATGTCATCCAGCAGCGTCTATATGAGGAAAGGGCAGTCATGAATGTATCCGTAACCACAACCTCAATATTTCCAGGTCATGCAGCCAAGGCACCGGACTATGGAATCTTCTTCCAACTGATCGACCAAATGCACGATATTCTACAAAAATGGGTTGACAATTTCCTCTCCAACGGTGCAACCCAGCCTTGCGACTTGACGGCTTCTATGTCATTCACAACGGCTTTAGCGACCGTCTTAGAAGTATATGAGCTCGTAGCTCGATGTGGCATTCTCATGCTATCTCCATCACCACCACCATCATCATCATCATCATCATCCCTGTCAGCAGGTAGCGAGGCTGTTTCTTCTTCTGCACCTGCAACCGGTAGGCATCGTTCTTCTGCGTCGGATGTGGATAAGCCTGGTGCAGTCCAGGACTTGGGTCGGCGTGGATCACAACATTTCATGACCTCGTCATCTGGATCTCTACCCACATCTGATTCCGTCAACAACCAGGGCAGAGTGTGGGTTGGAAGCTTCTCTCCATCTCAAGAGATCTCGCAACGCATTCTTGCATGTGTGCTCGATCACCAGATATCCATATCCCAGAAACTGTTCACCCAGGCACGACGGCAATTTTTCGTACAGGCACAGGGGAGTGAAACACTCCCTCAATCGTCTCCGCAACCCTGTTACGCTTTGCTGCAGCTTCTAGAACATCTGCAGGAACGCTTGGCCAAGATAAAATCTGTTGCGTTGGCTAGTATGTCCCAAGTAAAGTCTCATATGGATATTGCAAATAGCAAGTAAGCGTTTTCAATGGGCTTGGACCAAGTTACCCACCAGGTTCAAGGTGTCCAAGCGATTCGTGGGTGTGAATACAACAGCACACAAGATAACATAGATGTGTAAATAAACATCTCATAACAGGCTGTCTACAAGGAATCTTACTGCAACTGAAATGAGACTGTGCTCGGTGGGTTTGTTCATTTTTGATAGACCGCACATGTACATTCATCCTTGAATCAACAACCCGCCGGCTCCCTGCCTTCCTAGGAGAACTACCTGAGATTAAGAGACCTCACTATCAACTCCATGTCCGAGTCTGAAAACTTATTAACCTTAGCACCAGGTACCATACTACGTACATATGTCAAGCGCTAAAGCCTGAAAATCATACTTCGGCACTTTTGAACCTCGCAAAGAACGAATTATCAAAATGCTTCTGCTCGCAACCACGGTCGTCATTCAATCTTTTATTCAACCTGACGATTCACGTACAGAATCTACTGAAAACGAGGTGATGCGGAGCCTCATACCGCTCCGGTATCGAAACCACAGTTCAAGGGGGGAAAAGGGGTCGAGGGGCAACACTCTGCGTCAGTCGAGCTTTCGTGAATGGCTTCACAGATTGGGTTATATTATATGAAGGTATTGCGTCTTTACATGGGTTGATTTTATTTTTGAGTTTCGTCGCTTCACACTCGTTTCCATTGACGACGATCTATGAGCCTGGTAGCGACGAGGCTGTGTTATTCATGTATTCATCTTCAAATCAGTTTTACATCGAAAGTGATTCTACGCACGTAGCGCTATGCCACTATAGTCATTGTAGCTGTGACTGACGTTGTAGGTGCTAGGTATCACGTTCCTACAACCTCGAATTTCGGATCGTACTTTGGTGAATCACAAGTATAGCCTTCTTCCTGAGTAAGATTCTTGCCTTACTTGGGGGTTTTCAATATTTAGAAGATATTGGCAGGCTCCTTTTCGACTTGGAGAATGCTTTAACGCTTAGAAGAATGGTATGCCGAATAGAATTTCTCCCTATGTCTAGAGTCCATCATATTGCGGTTGGTATACAATTTGGTCCACGATCCTTCAATGCATCTAATAATATGATCTCTTTAAAGCCATCTTCACGCGTCCGGCAAAAAGAAAAAAAAGGTTCATGTTGTTGAGACTCACTCTTTTAATCCATCATCAATATCGAATGTAGAGGTTGGCCGCAATTTCAAATCTCCCTTTCTGTACGTCTCGTCAATGACCTCCATCTGACTGATACTATCTTCTCTACTAATCCACAACCCATTGCCGTGACGAGCCTTAATGCGATTAACAAACTCTTCGAGCTGATAGCGATAAGTGGTCCACCATTCCATACCATGGCAATCCTCTGAATCTCCAGGCCAGGTATAAGCCTTAACGTTCTTTCTTTCTACCCATGACCTCAGGTCTTCTGAACCAAGCCTGATTATGTGCTTATCCTCGATTGTAATACAGTGGTAAACGTGTGGAAAGATATGATTATAGAGTGTGACGACGCGTTGAACTAAGTGTTTCTCCCCATGAGTGGTATGGTCATCAATAAGCTTCTCTTCCAATTCGGCCGTGCATTTGGGCCACCCAATGCTGGGCCAATTTTGAGTCCAAGAACGAGGAAGCAACGGCCAGCCACCCCTTGAGTTCATGTCTGCGACCACATGACCGATTGCTCCAGTTTGAGATATGTAGGACGCCGAAACTGCTTCATCGACCTGCTCGGGATTTTCTCCCTCAACGGGGGATGTGGTGCTGGAATGCTCATGTGTACGGAATACCACACTTTGCACTCTGGGATGTGGATCATCTAGCATTTGCCGAACGTGGGATATATTATATGCCGCAAAATCCATCAGACATCCTCCAGCTAAAGAATACTTGAACCGTATGTCGTTGTCTGGAAAGTTGCCCTTAGGCATAAAAGACTGGCTATACACGTTTTTAATTGGACCGGCGGAGGGATCGTTGTGGATAAGGTCAAGGAATGTTTGCCATGCCGGATGGAATCGGTAATGAAACGCTTCGAGTAATACAGGTGCGTCACAGGCAGTAACAAGCGGGTGGTCGAAAAGTTTCTTAGCTTCGATAGCATTGGACGTGGATGGCTTCTCAAGAAGAACGTGCTTCCCAGCCTTGAGGGCACGTAGAGCCCATTCAAAATGATGTGAATTGGGTAATGCAAGGTACACACAAGAGATCGAAGGGTCATTTATGACATCTCACTCAGTTTTTCAGCATGTCGTAAGTTGGGACTGGATGTGTAGTTATAGCATACCGTCATATGTGTCGTGAACAACAGGTATATTATGCTTCTTTGCATAGATGTTCGCTCTATTCCGATCTCGTGCAGCCACGCAGTAGATGATCACTTCAGGGTGTGATCTGGCAGGCAATATCACCGCCTCAGGTCTACATTTGATGTCACTTTCAGCTGTCGTTAGATCTTTTCAGCAGGAGATAGATACATACGCAATATTTGATGCCCCCAACAGCCCGATTCGTAGTGCATCATGTTCCTTGACAACGAGGGGAGGTGAAATTGAACCTAGATAGAGGCGGCGAAAGAAACTCGACATGACGTAAGGTGACAATGCAAATCTCTTAGTGCCAGGTGGTACTCATTTGCTCTCGGATTCAATGAACTTTTGAGCCGGTGGACGACCGAACTGGAGAAGCTAAAGCAGCGACTAAGTAAGAGGTGACTTTCAATGCTCATGTACGGGGGCATACATCGAATAGCCAGACTAATCAGTAGATTGGGCAAGAAGAAAATTGTTGAAATGATCAAGTAGAGTTTATCCTGAAACCAGAGTCTTTTTGGTGCAGTAGTAAATCTAACAAAAACGGGCGTTGGCCATGACGGTCACTCCTCTTTCTAATTCAGATCCAATCAGAATATCTCCTAGTGGCTCAGGCTGCATTTGCTATTGATTCATGTGCTCAAAGATTTCACCGTTCGGGCCTTTTCTTATTCAGAGTTGGTTTTATTTTTCGACTGCTTCCACCGAGACGATAGGTACCTAGAAGAAACCCGCCGAGCCTAACCCACGAATAGTTACGTTCGGCTTTCCTGGTACCTGAAAACCGAACATGTTTCCCATGTGGACGCTGGAATCTATATTTGTCGTACCTGATCACGGTGAGATACATTTCCAGAACCCTTTGAAGTGTTTCCTACATAAATTCGCGAAATTGCAAAGCGAGAGTTTCTAGATTTATTGTTGATAAAGCTTATGGTACCAGTCGCGTTCATATACAGACTTAACGAGCTTTGTTATTACTTTAACTCGCAACCTAGACTACACCATGGCCACCATGACTGAGACCTCGAACATTGCCAACAGCCAGGGCATGGACGCCCTCATGGAGGACGCTCAGCGCCGCGGTTTTCAGGAGGAGATTGACCGTCTGACAGACAACCACCGTGTATACACTGACGCTGCTGGCGGCAAGCTCTCTTTCGCCCCGATTGACTGGCAACAGCCCGGTCTTCGAATTCTTGATTCTGCCACCGCTGATGGTGTGTGGTTTTCTCCCAAGTCCGGTGATGATTGTTCAGACTGATGAGAATAAATTTACTACAGGAATCTGGCTCCAGGACCTCCGCAAAGAGATTGGACCTGCCGCCGAGAAGCAGACCTTCATCGGCACAGATCTGGTAACAGATCTGTTTCCAAATCCCCCGCCTGAGGGCATCCAATTTGTCAAGCAATCCATCACAGAGCCCTGGCCTCAGGACTGGAAGGAAAGTTTCGACCTGGTCCACCAGCGTCAGGTCTTGGGGTTCTGCGGTAATTTTGGCCTCGACCAAGCTGTTCGCAACCTGTGCGAGCTGGCCAAACCCGGTGGTTATGTTGAGCTGATTGAGCTTGATTGCGACCAAAGCGTGCTTAAGGAAGGGTCCGTTGCTCAAGAGTTCTTCCGTCTGCTTGAACAGATTTGGCAGATTAAGAAAATGGGCGGTAACTTTGGTCCCAATTTGAAGGATTGGATGGTGGAGTCTGGGCTGGAAGATGTTCAACAAACTCTGTTGCATTGCAAAGTCGGCGCCCAAGCTAAGCCTGAGCTGCGCAAGGCCAGCATCAACGGTGCATCTGGCGCTGGTCCTATGATCGTCGCATTGGCCAAGAGTAAGTTCCTGCACTCCTGAAGGGAAATATGACTAGATGTATTAACCATTGTGATAGCCTTGCCGGAGCTTCAGGGATTCACCGATGAGCAGCTTGACACTCTCAATGACCGTATTCGCAAAGAATTGGAGGAGGTTGGCTGCGAGTATCAGAGCTTTTCTGTCATTGGCCGAGTCCCTGCTGGTGGCCTACCTCCTTACAAGAAGGACACCTAAGTCTATGTATTCGTTTATAGTCAAGACCATTAAATAAGAATGTAGATGCCTCTGTATGAGAACTGCGCTACAAAGTATGCTCCGACAACATTTGCTCATGGGCCAGCGTATATATATCTATGCGGGTACTTAATTTATACATAAATTGTGGCATCTGATAGTGAACGCTACGATAAAACGTTGCTCTTCTTTCTCGTTCCTCTTCTCTGTTATGTTGGCTTTGGAATTCGAGACATATCTCATCCGTACATGGCATCATATGCTCCATACTCTTAGAGCAGTCATCATAGCCATGCTTCAATATCTTAAGACCAAGTCCTTCCTCTATTACATTAGGGAACCCAAGAAGTACATTTCACCTTTAAAATCGAATTCACGAACTCAGTAGTCATAACATAGTGAAGCAGACGTTTAGTTCCACACTGAAAGATATATATGATTGAAAAGCACATATTACCTAAAGTGGGCTAAAGAGTCCTCTTTCACAATAAGGAAAGTATTTGCGAATATATTCAAGACCTTGTATTGTCACAAGAGAGCACTCATTTCACTGGCAAATCACGAACATCAATCTCTTCTTTCCCAGCCAATGCTTCCAGATGATAGTCTCTCCTTCGGATCTCGACCTTAGCAACAGGATCACAACCAATTGTGAGTCCAAATTGAAAGATTTTCGGTTCCACGCCTGGCGCTAGTCTCCAGTTATATTTGAGCAAAATATGGCATAATGCGACTTTGACTTCATTCGACGCAAAGAATCGCCCGGGACAGGCGTGTTTGCCGTGTCCGAATCCCAGATGTTGTGGCGAAGTAGTAACAAAGTGGGCATCACCATCCTTACCAGCACCAAGCTCATCTCTCATACGCAGGAAACGATAACCATCATATTCATTGGGGGAGGGATAGTACGCAGGATCACGCATGCGGTGAGAGGAGATGGCGATGCGGGTGCCTTTGGGAAGGTGAACACCGCCGGCGAGATCGATGTCCTTGAGTGCTTCACGGTGCATGGCAACTACTCAAAACAGTCAATTTTGTTGATGCTCTGTATAATCGGGTAGAAGGATAACAAACCAAGTCCAATAGGTCGCAGGCGTTGAGTCTCCTTACACACGCTGTCGAGCAGTCGCATCTTGTATAACGAGAGTTTGTCCCATCCATCTTCCTTCAAGACAGCTGCAATCTCGGCACGCAGCGGTTCGATGTACTCCGGATGCTGTGCGAGGTCAAGTAATATTTGAGTGAGGAAGTCCGAAGTAGTATGAATTGCAGCCACGGCCATGGCCAGCTGGAACGTTGCCATATCGAAGCCGACGTCTTGTTCGATCTCTTCACACCATTCAATAGCATCGTCGAATTTTGGAATTGGCTCGCCACGGCGTCTGGCCTCTTCCTTTATCTTCTTGCGTTCCGCAAGCACCGGCTCGACGATAGCGCGTGCCTTCTTTACATCGGAGCGAACCTTGATGCTTAACGGCAAAATTCGATGTACGAGAGGGCGAATGGGCTTTGGAAACATGCGAACCATGTCAGCAGCTAGGAAACAGGTCATAGCGTAATCTGCTGTTATCTTCTGCCATTCGGGATTTCGACATAAAATCTCACCCGTGAAGACACGAGCGGAGATACGCGAGACAATCTTGACAATTTCGTCCTTGAGGATAATTGTATGCCATTCTAATCACTTCGTTACAACATTGTATTATAGACAGGATTGTATGTATACCTTTTTGGTCCGTGAATACGTCTTGCAGAGTAAGAGCGGTTTCATTGGAGAGAGGAGCAGTCACTTTGGCTTTGGGAAATAATCAGTCACGGCATCTCTATCGAAGAGCTATCGAGAACATACACAGAAACTGGGTCAGACGCGTTCGAATGACATGACGCAGGACGGTCTTGTGCAGATTTTCCTCTTTGAATACGTCTAAACCGGGAAGATGGGCTTGAAAGTTCTGTGAATCAGATCAGCCTTCCATATGAAGCTCCTTGGGTGGAACACGCATGATCACTAATAACCTTCTCTACAACACGATCAAAACTAAGGTCGTCGCTATTGCGAATCTCGTTGGCATAGTCAGGCGGAAGAATGGTCATATCACCAAAGTCGGTCAATATACGGTAGGGTTGGTCCGGTGCTTCAGCAATTCGTTTCTCTAATATCTTTCTGACTCCGAATATGAAATCCCATTTTGACTTCCATGCGGTGACATCCCAGAACTTTCTGGGATTTTGTAGCGGGTAATCGGTATGAGGAAAGTCTTCTTCCTGGACAAGGGCTAATATGCAAATGAAAGCAATCAGTCCCGTGACGACCCATGGAACTGGAATACCCCAAAGAGTAGTCATATTTGTAAATGGCATTGCGATGACTTTCTTCAACTGGGGTAGTTGAGCCCACGATGGTAGCGAGCCTGTTATCTGCGCCGCCATAACTGTGAGATTTCGAGCCATGTTGGTTTCGACCATATTGGCGTGTTCGTCTCGATATCCTTTCAAGGTAGACATCACAATTAAAACATATAAATTCAGAGAAGAACGCTGGGGTACTCTAGAACAAGCTACGCATAATCTTGGCCTACCTTGTATTAGTTTTTACGCCGAAGAGCGGGCCACAGTGGCTCTTTACGCGGTATGGTACGTATCTCGGCCACAGCTCGAGTACACCGGCTGTATCAGGGCCATGGATGAAGAAATTCATAGCATCCGAGATCTCAGGCTTGTCGTATCTCCCCGCAAGGGAACCCTCCGACGGGACTATTGCGTAAATTACTGTATTTATGGGGTATATCCTGGTTCGAGACGGTAATGTACGTAGATGGGGGCCAAATATGTAACTCATTTATGTACTGGATATCGAGCTCAGTCTGACAGGCACTGTTTTAAAGAGTAGGTTAAAGCTGGTTTTTTGCACCTATACATATAGCCGTACGTGCGAGGTATATGTATTTGGACTACAAGCCCGAACATTTGAACCCAAACCGAAACTCACAAATAGCCACCAACGCCTCCGACAATTGATTCGCAATGTCTTCCTTTGAGGGAGGCTTGCGTGTCATTGAATGGGGTATAGCTTCCTTTATTCTGTACTCGTTGTTCACTGGGGTATATAGGCTTTTTCTATCACCCATCTCCCATATTCCAGGCCCGAAGCTGGCTGCACTCACGTACTTCTATGAGTTTTATTACGACGCTATCTGCAAAGGCCGCTACCTCTGGAAAATCCAAGAATTGCACCAGCAGTATGGACCAATTGTGAGGATTAACCCGCGCGAAGTGCACATCAACGATGTCGATTTCTATGACCAGATATATGCCAGTGGGCCTCAGCACCCGCGCAACAAGCTCCGATTCATGGCCACGCATGATGAAAGCATGTTCGATACTTACGACGCTGATATGCACCGTTACCGCCGGGCCGCTATGTCTGTCTCGTTCTCGAAGAGCTCGATACGAGCGCTCGAGCCTGTCATTCGCAGAACAGTAGAACAATTGTGTTCACGTATAAGGGCACTTGTTGGGACGGGTGCTGTTGTCAATATGAAGGAGCTCTATAGTGGGCTCACTATGGATGTCATCGGCCAATACTGTTTTGGCGAAAGCATGGACAACCTCAAGCAAGAGCAATTCGGCAAGGCTTTCCTTGATTTTTTCCACCAGATGCCGCAGGGTCATCCAATCGGCCGGATGTTTCCCTGGCTGTTTGACGTTTTGCAAAAGATTCCTATCGGAATACTGGCCAAAATTGATCCAGGGCTTCAGCCACTGGCGGACTACGATAAAAAAATCTCAAGTCAGATCAATTCAGTGTTGCAAAAAAGTAAACACGACAATATTCGTACGGTTTTTCATGAGATGCGCGATAGTAAACACCTTCCACCAGATGAAAAGACCCTAGAACGGTTCAAAGCCGAAGCCGCAATATTCCTTGGTGCTGGCACAGAGACTACTGCTTCAGCGCTGACGACTATCAGCTACTATCTGTTAGAGAATCCTGGTATGCTTCTACGTCTACGTGCAGAGCTCGGGAGCGGTATTCCGAACGGGAGCAATGAGCCTCTTACGCTCGCGCGATTAGAACCACTTCCTTATCTTGTAAGTTTCTAGGACAATTTACCAGCCGAAAACTGACAAGATCATTAGTCCGCTGTGATACAAGAAGGAATTCGCCTCTCTTTTGGTGTTCCTGGCCGACTTCCTCGCTATTCGCCTAAGGAAACCCTAATTTACAATGGCTACACATTGCCAGCTGCTGTAAGTTAGAATCCACGTCTGCGTTTCTGCTCTTTTTTAGCCAACAAATCCTTTAGACAGTAATGAGTGAGTCCTCCTACCTCATTCATACAAATAAAGAGTTGTATCCGGACCCTTTCGCATTCAGACCGGAGCGTTGGCTTGACGGAAAAATCTCCGCCTCCAACTTTGTGCCCTTCTCTCGTGGAGCACGCATGTGCATTGGTATAAACCTCGCTTATGCAGAGCTGTATTTGACACTTGCCGCGGTATTCACGAGCTTCGATTTCGAGCTGATTGGTACCACTAAGCGAGATGTTGAAATTCGGCACGACTTTTTCGTGGGAATGCCTGCTCTTGAAAGCCAAGGAGTAAGGGTTAAGGTCTTGCAGGAGCGTCGGATCAATGATGGGCATTGCTGACGTTGATATCATAATGTTATAACGAGTATAGGATGGATATTTTTGTGAAAAGTCAAAGTGAATAGATATCTCTTGACTAGCTAGATTCTGCGAATGAACGTTGATAATCGTCCATTTGACAAGTCTAAACAACCCCGGAATGAACCTTGGATCAACTAGCCGACTTCTATGTACAAGTAGCTAATGATCTCAATCATAAACACATCAATACGCTTATTCACTTCCGGTTAATGACGTGCCAACTTGACTCTTGCCCATAGAGGAGGCTTCTGCCTCGTGCTATATGTAACTTGACCTTTCAACCAGTTCTCCGACTCGGGGGTCAATTCGATATCAAAACGATATAGCATTTTGCACAAGGCAATACGCAGGGTGTAGAAACTCAATCTTTGAGAAGTCAATCTCTGTCCCGTAAATGAAGAAAGGGGGTTCAGTGAACACACTCACTCTTGTCCAAAACAGCTCTGAGGACCGACACTAAAAGGATGCAAAGTGGTCCTCTTATCATCATTGAATAGGCTCGGGCGACCACTTTCTGATGGTAACCATCGTTCCGGTATAAAGTCATATGGTTTGGCAAAATTCTCCGTAAGATAATAACCGACCTGATGAAGCATATTCACCGTTGTTCTACCAGGGACATACTGACCAGCAATCACTGCACCCCCGACGGGGACCTGGCGATCTGTGCCTGTAGCAGCAGGTGAATAGCATCGAATTGATTCTTGTAAGCAGGCTTCAAGGTAAGGCAGAGCTCTCTGCGAGTGTTGGACCCGCTCCATATTAATATCACTTTCCGAGGAGAAATAGGACCGCACTTCAAGTAGTAGGCGTTGGCGAATTGCGGCGCTTTCGGCACGAAATATAAAGTACACGAACCCGATAAGAACAGTCGGCATAGCCTCACAGCCACCGAGCATCAGGAAAGGGGCGAATTCGCGCAGTAGATCTCTGGGCATGGCTCCCTGCTTGGTGCCGTCACCGTCTAGAATCAGTTGAAGCATGTCGTCCCGCGGAGTCGTGAGCGAGACACGGCGATCGAAACGGTCAAATATTGGCTGCATGAACGCGTCTCGCTCTTTTCCTCCCCAACGACGAATAGCAAACAGCAAGATCTTGTGAATATATGGAAAGCGGTTCAACACAGCGAGAATGGTGACACCTTTTCCAAAGCGTTCAAAGGAATGCACCCATGGGCGGAAAGTCTCCTCTTTGTACAAATGCAAACTTTCGCCCAAGAACAAGTCTGCAATCAAGTCACATATGAGGAAACTGCACATATCTCGCATATCGATTGGACGCCGACTTCCCTCTTCTGTCGCAGTCAAAAATTCTTCAACATGCCTGTTGATCATGCCTTCCAGTTTCCTAACGTTCTCTCCTTTGAGAGCCGGAACCATGGCTCTTCGCATAATCGCATGAGTCTGCCCGCTACGCGGTTTAGCAGGATCAGGGTTGACAATGTCTCCTCCTACGAGAGCAGCGAGACGAGGATCTTTGGCCATGCCATCTTTTGCATACTTGCTCGAACCACATATATCAGCCCAGCCACGTTCGTCGGTTACAGTGATTGCTCCGGGAGAGACGCGCACAATGCCACCGTATTTCTGATGCAGATCTACCAGGATAGGTACCTGTTTTCCCGACGCTGTCGCAATCAAATAGGGGATGTTTGATACGGCCCAGAGACGGGGGCCTGGAAACGCAGCAAGCGGACTGAAATAGATTTCATATACGTAGCTTACTAAACAAGATATGACGATGAAGAGAAGAAAGAGAAGGCCATATTGCACAGTAGCAGAATCGGATCCAGCTTGGACGGCGATGTTCATCCACTCCATTGGTGACCTGAGGACCGAGGATTCCATGGAACTTTTTACTAGAAGACCAGAATGGTTGAAATAGCAGATTGGATGTTGCAGAAATGAATAACGTGTGATCCAGGAATGATGTTTGGTTGTCAGTGTCACACTTATTTTCTCATAATCTCGAATAGATAGTGAGGTCTCCGTGTTGATGTAAAATTTCAAAGTCTGCAACAGTGAAATACAATTACCGTTCTTCAGAACGGGTTCTCCCTTCGCTCGGAGGGTTCATGAATGATGCCGGCTGACCAGGAACCCCCCGAAACACGCTTCCCCCACGGTACGGTAGCTATCTACCAAGGGTACCTAGTAGAACAGAAAATAAAAAGAAAGTAAAAACGCAAGGAATGTCATATGACAATGGCGTAATTAGAAAGAAGACAATATAATCTTTAGTACTAGAATCAATATCACGCCAATTGGATGTCCACCAGGGAAACTGTCACTCTACAATCTATCCATCCCCGAGAAAGAAACCTCTGTCTACGCGAGTTCGAAAACACGTGCATATTTCGTGCCCTGCGCTCATTGAACAGATTTTCCATTTCCCGTTTCTTTCCTGGTAAACTTTATGCTATTTTCTTCACTGTTCGATTGAGAATGGTTGCTCTTTCGGAGATAATTGCGCACAACGAATCCCTCAGACAACACCCCTCGGGATTGGTAGCTCTCTTCGTCGGGGCGACAAGTGGGATAGGGATAGCCACCCTTCGGGTTCTGGCTAAAAGTCTACCTGATTCGAGGCTTTATGTCGTTGGCAGGTCAAAGGAAAGATTTACGTCCGAGTTATCCGAACTAGAACGACTCAGCGACTCTACAGAAATTATATTCATCGAGACCGAGATATCTCTGATAAGAAATACTAATAAAATTGTGGCTTGTCTGTCAAGCCGTGAATCCAAGCTGGATTTATTGTATATGAGCCCGGGGAATTTGGCCTTTGGCGGCCCTCATTGTATGTTGAGAAAGCCTGCAATGAGTGTCTCTCTATGTGGGCTAACTATGCAGTGACAGATACCGATGAAGGTCTGGACCTCTGCACCAGTTTATCCTACTACACACGCATGCACTTGGTTCAGCGTCTGACAACGCTGATGCTTTCGAGCCCCAATCCTCGGGTGCTGTCCGTCCTAGCTGGTGGCCACGAGAGGAGCCTTTTCACAACGGACCGTGACCTTGGCTTGCGAGATCCCAGTAACTACAATGCTCTTCGCGTTGTTGACCAGTTGACAACGCTTCATTCCCTAGCCTTTGCTCATCTTGCATCTCTATACTCCAAAATATCTTTCTTGCATGTTCATCCAGGATGGGTCGCGACAGGGTTCCTTTCGAATCTCCTTGGGTCAGGAGGCATAACGGGAAAATTACTTGGGAGAGTCGTTTCTCCCTTGTATCGACTCATCGCAACCACTGTAGAAGAGAGCGGAGCACGGCAAGCTTTTCATGCTACATCTGCCATGTATCCGAGTCGAGAATATATCCGTACTGCAAGGAACGATGTCAATAATAGTGCGGTCTGCCATGCGATGTATAGTGGGTTTTATCTCGTAGGACAAGATGGAAGCACTGCGGGTGCTAACAAGTTTTTGAATGGGCTGTTAGCCAATGGATGGGCTGGGGAGGTATGGAAGCACACTGAGAATGTGTTTCAAGAGGTTCTTACGAAAGGGTGACTGGTTATGGCTAAACTACAACGAATCATTATGTTTTCAGTCATTCAATGTTCCTTTCTATGATCTCACCAACAACTCTCTTTGGAGCGGTGCTACTGCAAACAGACAATCTGGTCTTTATTTATCTTTATATAGATACTTTCAAGTAGCGAGACTTTCGCTCATGTGATTGAGCCAGCTGTTATACTTCAAAAGTCATCAGAGTTAGACGCGGCTAAGCAGTGGACGGAGTCCTGGTCACCATGGTTCCACGATGATCTTATTCCCATGCAGATTACTTGGTCCTACACGCATAACAGGTGTATAAGGCTTAGAGTCACCTGGCCTAATAGACTTATACCGCCGGCAGATCATTGTCAAAACGTATGCGGTCTCGGTAGCAACCAAGATATGAGCTGGGCAGATACGCGGGCCTCCGCCAAAAGGCACAAAGTGCCACAGTGGACGAAGTCCATCCCAACGCTCGGGCTTGAACTCGGTGGCATCTGGTCCCCAGTAATCGGGGTCACGATGTAACAAATATCGGTTACAATGGACAATGTCCCCTTTGGCGATAAAAATAGGCTGCTTGCCATCGGAGCCCCCGCCGCGGGGGAGGGTTGTATCTTTAGCAGCGATGCGGATCATCTGGATGCCATTCGGCATGAGGCGATGAGCTGTAGTCCTCGTCAGTAAGATTCAGAAAAGTGATTTGAGGGGAAAAAAAACCGACTTTCGTTGATCACCCAGTTCATATACTGCATTCCCCGAAGCTTGGAGAAAGTCAACTCGTCATCACCAAGACTCTGAACCTCCTTCTGCAAACGATCCCATACATTGCGATGTCTCGCAAGAGCCCAGAGAGCATTGGAAACATGAATACTGGTAGTTTCGTTGCTGGGAACCCAGACAGCGGTGATCTGGTCTCGCAGAAGACGGGGATCGTCTATATGTTGCGTCATGTCCCATAACAAATCCGTACGCTCTTCTGTCCCAAGGAATTTTTCTGGATTTTCCTTGTGCTGTTTCCGCTCTTCGAAAGCTTCATAGATGTATTCATCCATGAACTTGTGGACAAGTCGGATTGATGCGTACCAGCTGGGATCACGATGCAAGAACATGAATTTACCCATCGTCAGACGCACACGAGCGCCACGCATGATATTGACCATGGCTAACATGACATCTTCACGTTCAGGATGACTGAGGGAGTCTCGGGACCTGCCAAAAAGGAATTCGGTGGATGTGTCAAGGAACTAATCCAATCACATTAGCACGTTTGCGATGGGATCATGGTGAAACAAACAAACCCATCTACGCATCAAGACCTGCATGTCAACTGCGTCCCCATTAGTAGGGATACACGCCAACATCTTCTCCGTAAAAGGGCGCAATCGATCGACGTTAGCAAAAGCCGATCGATCAAAGTATGGCTTGATCATATTGCGACTATGCTGCCAAAAGTCCCCATCAGCAGTACTGACACCTTTACCGGTAAAAGGGGCCGCAGCACCATTATCGACCCGGATCGGTTCAAGAATGAATTCTTGCCACTGAGTGGTACTCATTGCCTTCATGTTCTCCATCTCGGATGAATAGACCATTCGCATACCTAAGAATCGGGCTCGAAAAGTTTTTGCGTGAACCTTTGCCCAGGTCTCGTCCATCCAGACAAGCCATCGATGCTCTTTGAACGCGCCGGTCATGGATAACACAAAATCAATACCCCATATGGGTTCCTTGTGTGGGTATTTGGCGAGATCGCCACATTTCAAGTGCCGAGTCTTCAGACGATATGTAACAGAATCATGTACTTTTTCAAGGATGTAGAGAATAGCAAGTGCAGAGATGACTTTCCAGATTATGCTGACAAGGTCTGCCATTTTGGCAACGATTGAGGGACTGTAACAAGTGTTGAGACCAGAGACAGCCTGATAAGCAAGCTTGAATTGGATAATGAAGCAAGGCGAAAGAAGAGGATATTCTGCAGAGTGGTCAGGCCAAGGTTGGAACAATTGCTGGAAATAGACGACTCCCAGCAGTCGGCCAGTCGGCGATATTCAGTCTGGGGAGCTGACTGTATAATGTTTCACGCACAGTAATGAATGATGCATAAGGCACGGGGGACTTAATGAGTAAGTTGTTGGTCCCAGAAGTGTACGCCTCTCGTGCTAGTATCGCAAGGTCTCGCTCCGATACCGAATAGTCGAGAACTCAGCGAGTAGAGATCGGGGGTGCATATTTTTCAAATATTGATTGCAGCGACGAGAAACCCACCATGAAACCCTCCGAGGTCACAGACTGCCACCGATACTGCCGGAGCGTTTGATACATCTCTAAGTATCTATGTACCTCTTTCCTATAATTGATTCTTGACATGACTGAGCAGGATTGTGGTCAGTTGATGCCTGGAGGAGTCTCAGTGATGGAAATGTGAAGCAGTAGTGTTTGTTGAAATAAATGTCCCTACAGACTCGACCTACCAATCCAACTCAGCCGAAACCAAACACATTGACTCGTGTAAGGCAGCCCAAAACGGCAATAGGTGTACTGCTCAAACTGTACGTAATGCGTAATGAGATGAGGATCCTGTTCGCCCGTAATTATTTTCAGTATTTCCAAACCATAGTTATTTAGGACTACAGAATTATGTATTCAGGGTTAGGGTTGGCTACTACAGGAAGCGGATCTCTGCTTGAACCTCGGCTCGCCCAACGTCAGTCTACCTGACTCGACCGGCTGGATTGTTCATCATTCAACTTTCTTCTTTCATGAACCCGTGAATAGTCTCTGAACCTACTGCTGTCCTTCTCCTGGCCCGGTACCTAAGGATGTGAGACTTCTATTACTAGCTACTGATCTCCTACCGCAAACATGGAATACGCTTCCAGCCTGCAGAATGAATTGGACGACTTGAAGCCCTCGCTTTTTGGTATGTTGCAGTTCCCTCTGGGATCCCAAGTATGGCACCATGATTTCTGTCTGGACTGATGGGCCATTTCATAAAGCTTCTTGCTGAGGAACAACTCTCCTCGCTCCTCCCCCCGTCAATCCGTTACCTACTTGCTATCGCGACCCATCGACATCCTTAGTACCTTCTCTGAATTCTCAATGATTTCAACAAGCTCTACGCGCTTCTTTCGCTTATTGTAGAGCGATACTATCTACGCACCTTTAGCGGCTCTTTTACTAAAAACTTTTATTCTCTTAAACGCGAATGTATTCTCTTTATTAAAAATAGTGAGATACCTCAGGCGCAGATCAACGCTGTAATAGTAGTACAAAAGATTCTTAGACTACATATATCTAATATCTAGAAAAATCTAGTAGTTATAGTTAGACTGCCATATCTTAAGTACAAACTTGATAAAATCTATAGAATTTATGTTATACTTCTTTATACTAGCATTCAACCATGCCTATCTCTTTAATAATATAAAGTAAACAATCTGTTAAACTTGAAGACATAAAATGTAATAGCGCTACTCTTACATGTTATACATGACAAATAGGTATAGTAATCATTCCAGAGAATTTTAAAGGAACTTAAGCCTTGCAAAGTAAGAAAGCGTTGCCTATGCTGTCTCTACCTGAACTATACGTAATGATTATATATACTATGCATTGGATTTATGATTGAACTTGAGAACTTCAGATATATTTTCTCCTTAAGCCGAGATTCTTGTTGTTATAAGAAAAGGACCTTATACTTTCTGTATTATATCTGTATTTAGAAGTAATTGATACCCTTATGGCTAATATAAGATAAACTGAAGAAACTCGCATCGAAATCTGCTGATTCTGTGGTGGTTGATATGCCTCGATTTAGGGCACGGGTGTTTGCCGGCGTGGAAAAATAGTTCACCCGGAAATATTCATTTTAATCATATTCATAACTCGTGAATATGAATAAGGTCAATAATCATATTCATTTATTCATTTCGGAGCTCTAGGCCGCACTCTGCAGTCATTCTCATTTCAGCTTTCGTGCACATATCACATACAACTATCAAACACAATGTACATATAGTAGACTCTATCGAGCCAGCGTAATCGCACATGAGGACAACAGGAAATGGTTTCAATGAGGGTGTCCCATCTACCCAGTCGTTCCTAAGAACGGGAAAACCATTTTCTCGCCCTTCTCAGTTATGGCTTGAAGGTACGCAATGATCAGTTCTTCGAGCCCTGCAGTGCGAGCGTTCTGTATCCACGTCTCAAGAGGAATTTCCTTGAAAGCTCCGCCGTAATACTTCTCCATGTAGGCTTTAAATCCGCTAGGAAGAACCTTTTCGCCGCTTGAGTAGTGGCGATAGGTGACGCCTTGAGCCTCATCATCAATGACAGTAGCGGCTATTTCATCAGCCACTTTATCGACGCTTTGGAAGTCAAAGTAGCCGTCGACATTGATCGTGGACATATCCGGCACCGCACGAATGACTTGTGAGAAGCGTAGCAAAGCGTTGAGAGCATCTTCAAGAGGCGCCTCAGCACCAACAACGGCACATGGCCGATGGATTGTTACAGATAGTTGAACGTTCTCGGATGTAGCAGACGCCAGTTTTTCAAGGAAAATCTCACTGGCCCACTTCGCAGATGTAAAGCCTTCGCCACCGTCATTGCTAGGCTTATATTGAGCGACACTGACCGGTGGTAGGGCTGCCTTGGCTTCAGGATTAAGCAACGTCACCCGACTAGACGAAATGAAATGGATAGGAATTCTGCGTGGCAGGGCGAAGAGACCCATTTGACGGGTCGAATGAACGTTTGGCCTGCGCAGAGAGAAGTAACTGTTCAGACAATGACCCTGGCTACCTGCAAGAATAATGCGGTCAACTCTGCCTTGGAGATGAGCATAGATATCGCTGCTGAGACCAAGGCGAGGCTCACTCAGGCTGCCTGTGTAGACAGCGACGCGGTCAGATTGAATATGAGACTCTTCAAGGTCAGGGGAAACACCAATACAATGCACTTTTCGTATGGCATGGTTCTTAACAAGCGACTGGAGGATATGACTGCCAAGGAAACTCGTGGAGCCAGTGAGAAGAACTTCCAGATCCTTATTCGACTTTGCATTAACAGCATACTGGTTGGCAGCCATATCAAAGCTCAATGGCAATGATGTTTCTGCATCCCAGTCAATGACCTTGTGGATGTGTTGAGCTTTTTTCTGGTCAGAAATCAATTCAGCCATGTCTCCCAACGTGCTGTTATGATATAGGTCAACGAGCGGTATTGTGATCCCCATATTTGAGCGAACCGAAGCCTGTAGCTTGACAAGAGAAAGAGACGTCCCACCAACCGCAAAAAAGTCGGAGTCAGGAGTGATTTTCGCGCCAACTATGAGCCGCGGTAAGACACTATCCCAGAGAATACGCAATTCACCCTCAGTGAGGCTGAGAACCTTTTGCGACGAATCGGACGGGACTGTCATTGATGGCAAGCTGAGACAGCTAACGTGCTTGCGATCTATCTTTCCATTGGAGGTCATTGGTAATCGATCAAGGGGTATGATCAGCTTAGGTCTCATGTATCTGGCTAGGGGTAGTGCGTTAGCAAGTCTTTGCAGCGCTTCCTCCTTCATTGGGTACTTGGTAGATAACACGACATGGGCGACGAGGAATGCAGGATTGCCGCGAACCGTTACAACAGCATCACTTATAGAGCCGCGAGATTCATAGATTATGGTGCTTGCCACCTCATCCAGGTCAACGCGGAGGCCACCAGGTAATTTGACCATTGTATCGGTATCCATCCGGCCCATGAATACAAGAGACCCATCAGACTTCAGAGAACCTCTATCCCCAGTCCTGTATATAGTAGTCAAATCGTGGGCATTATCTTCGGTACAGGAAAACGTGTTTGGGATAAATTTTTTCTGTGAAAGCTCCTCATCCAGGTATCCAAGAGCCACACCGATCCCTCCAATTGCAATCTCACCGGGCAAGCCAGCGGGGAGAGGTTTTCCAGCGTCGTCGAGTATATATATCTGGAAATTTGGGTTTGCTTTGCCAACGTCTTCGTCGTCACCACCATCTATCCTTCCTTGGTCGACGTTCAAATTGACCTTGCGCATTGTAGCACAACAGGAAATTTCTGTTGGACCATAACAGTCAACCAACATGGGGATTCTATGCAATGAACGGAATGCTGCCTTCAGTTGTCTAGTGACAGTCTCGCCGCCGCTGCAAGCAATCCTCCAGGCATCCTGCCGACGGAGATCATCGAATCCATATCGAAGAAGCATGAGATACTCGGTCGGAGTCCCTAACGTAAAAGAAACCCCCTCGTCAAACATTAATTTGGCCAGGGCAATTGGATCACCGCGAACGTCTTGTGGAGCAATGACTAACGTGCCTCCATGGGTGACGGAGATACAGGCCTGCGCAATAGCCATATCGAATCCCAAAGCGCTCTGTTGGAGTACCACCTCGCAACCGAGAGACAATTCCTTGCCTTTAGAAGCGGCATAGTTAATAAAACCCCCCTGAGAGAGCACGATCCCTTTGGGAGTTCCAGTTGAACCACTGGTGAACAAGATAAAGGCTGGCTCACCAGGGCGTTCATTGATTGGAATCTGACAGGGCTCTGGTAAGGTGGTAATATTGACAATATCAACTCCGGTGAATGATTTAGTGCGGGATAGAGTCTCCTGGCTGCAGAGAAGAGTAGAAGCAGCGCTCGTTTTGACAATTGCTGCAAGGCGCTCATTAGGTAAGGTGGGATCAAGTGGTAGATAAATGCGCCCAATGCGCAAAATGGCTAGCATGCTAGCAACCCAGAAGATGGAGGGCTCTACCAAGACAGACACGGGTGAATTCGGGAGGGGACTCTTTTCCAGAATGGCCTTAGCAAGCTGGTTTACCAGCTGAAACAATTGTCTGTAAGTCAAAGCGGTATGGGCATCTTTCACGGCGATGTTATCTCCAAACATCTTGGAGACAGCTTCAAATTTTTCTGTTAGAGTTTTTGGCCAGCCAAAGTCGTGACGAGGCCCCCTGCCCAGAGCGACCGCTCGATCGACTTCTTGTGGAGGATAGATTGAGTAGGAAGACAACGGCATAGCTGCATCTCTACTCGCATTCACAAGCAACGTCGAAAGCATTTCCAAAAGTGAATCTGTGGACTGTCTATCATACAGATTTGCATTGCTAACAAGCTGCAAATAGCATGTACCATCAGTCGGCGTAACATGAAACGCAAGATCATATGGACTCCTGGCGTCAAGCGCCGTTCTGAACTCCAACGATGAGCTGCCCAGTGGTATTTGGGAGAAATTGCCTTGGCGATAGTTAACGGCTATTTGGAACAGAGGCGTGTGGGTTATATTGCGCCGGATACCCAATCTCGCCAGAATCAGATCGAATGGCACACTATTGTTTCTCTGAGCATTAGAATACCGTAGGCTGGTACGCTTGACAACATCGGCATAATTCTCAGAAGCCTTGACATTGGCACGGAGGGAAATAAGGTTGAGGAAGAATCCGATGGTCCGAGAATTATCGAATGAACGGTTTGCATCCAGGATTCCAATAGAGAAGTCTTCCACTCCTAAGAGGCGATTCAACAAGACTTGGATACCCGCCACGTAGAAGTGAAACGGCGTGACATTGAGATTCGCGCTGGTTTTCTTGATTTGTTGGGTGACATCAGCCCCGAGGTCTCTGAACGACTCATTGTTCGAATAGGAATTAGATGTTTGTCTAGCTTTGAATCGAGCTAAAGGTAGCAGTGGAATAGTCGGCGGTGGAGGCGTAAGCATTTCCGACCAGAATTCGATGTTTTTGTCAAGGTCACCTCTTCCAATAGCTTTTCGCTCCTCCACAGAGAGATCCATATATTGCTTAGGAGCTTCATTCAGTGCGTTTCCCACATAGATGGAGTTGAGCTCTTTTAGGAAAATGTGCAAGCCAACTCCGTCCATTACAATATGATGATAGGCGATGATCATAAAGTGATGCTCCTGGGATCGTGAAATAAGGACGACCTTAAAAGTATCTCCTTCGGCGAGGCGCCAGCTACGATTCCTCAAAGCCTCTTCTTGGAATTGCAATGCCTGGTCGTCGGAAGTCCACATGTGCTCGAAGACGTCCGATTTATCCTTGAGAAGCCCTTGTACTGGCTCTCCGTCGGATGGTCTCCGATAGAAGCATGTCCTCAAGGCATCGTGACGATTAACAACCACCGCGACAGCCCGCTTTAGTCTGGGTATATGTATCTTGCTCTTAATTTCATAAGTGTACACGCTGTTAAACAACGTAAGATCTTTAGATAGTCGACTCTGGAACCATAATCTATATAAATAAAGAGGACCTTAGCTTGCATTCGTTACATACATGACACTTAGAATAATAGAGTCCTCTCTACCTTGATTGGGCGAAAGACAATTTTTCAGTCCTTTCTATTTCTGGCTTTTTCAGTACGTTCGTTTCAGAGGTTGTATCAAAGTCCACACTCGTTGCGGTAGTAGAGGTTCCAGGCTCATCACCGACACTGGAGGAGTCGGACTCTTTTTGAGATTCCGGTATTGAGTCGGATTCGTTGCTCGCAGGTTCAGAAACGCGTTCGGTCATCTTCGTGGTCAAATATTTATTTGTGGCGTCGGCGCAGATTTTCCTGGCATTATCTCCGCTCAATACCTTAAGCACAGGAACATCTACATGAACCTGTTTCAAAAACCACGTACGAATTTCAACTGCCAACAAAGAATCAATGCCAACGTCTAGTAGTGGTGCGTCAACATTGAGACTTCCGGGGCTTATCTGAAGCAGGGTCTCCAGCTTGTTTGAAAACGCTGACAGTAGAGCAACAGCAGCTTCTTCTTCAGAACTGGCGGCATCCATCTGTTCTCGGACTGGAACGTTGCTGAATTCATCGCTACGTGTCTCTTTTGATTCATCCTCCTGTCGCACAAAGTGAGAGAACCTGGGATTCGCAGACCACGGCGGACGATTCTTGGTGGAAGCAGTGTATGTGAAGGGCTGAATACCCGATGCCATTTCAATGGTTCCCTCGACGTTATTCGGGTTGCTAGCTGCGACGGCCTCGGCAAAGATCAAATGTGCATCAGTCTCGGAAATAGGCATATAGAAAACTTTCTTGAGTCTCTCCATAAGTGATGCTCCGCGCCGGGCAATATAACCGACATCGGCAACCATGCCCAGAGACATAACTGAACCAGCCAGACCCTGAGCGCGACGAGAATTCATGAGAGCAGCCTGGAAAAGGGACGCGGCATTGTAATTAGACTGGCCAGCGTTTCCAACAACCGAGCTCATCGATGAGAAGGATATAAAGAAATCAAGGTCTCTCTCTGAGAAGATTTCGTGCAGGTGAAGCGTGCCAGCAACCTTGGGTGCAAAGACTTCATTCAATGCTTCCGGCTTCATCTCGACAAAAAGTTGATCATGTAGAACCAAAGCTCCATTACAGACACCTGCGATGGGTGGCATTTCCTTCCTGACAACGTCAACAACGGATTGCACAGAGTCCCGCTTGGATACATCCATTTTGTAAACTTTCACAACAGCACCGGATACCTCAAGCTCTCTAAGCCATTGCTCGTCAACTCTTGCACTTCGACTGGTGAGAACCACATATTTGGCTCCATTATCAACCATCCAACGGACAATAGAGCGACCAAGATCGGAGACAAGACCAACCATCAGGTAGGTCTTCTCCGCGGAGAAGAGACCGTCACCGTTTATAGGCTTCACATTGACCTTGACCACTCCACGTTGAGTCCAGTCCACAACATGAGGATATGAAATCGATGATGTAGGTATGGATAACAATTTTTCAAATGACAATACCGAGCCCATTGACCGGGTCGCTGAGAGAGATCGAGCAGCAAAAAGAGCATTGTCAAGAATCTCTCTGACAGTATTGCTAGCAAAGTTTGTTGCCTCCAACTTCATGAAAGGATACAACTCAGACAAAAGTGCTCGTGTCTTCTCTGCACCCTCACTTGCGAGATCGAAGGCGTAGCCGACATTCTTGGGCAGTGCTTGTCGAATTGCCCGTGCAGATGCTTGAGGATGGATATAAGTGAACAACGTCGACTGTTCTTTGCTAGTTGTGACGAAAACAAATTTGTATCCAGTAGAAAGCTGTGTTAGAGCCTGTAAGAGCTCTGAGCTGGCCCCAAAGATAATCACGCTGCTATCAGGTAAAACAGTGTTTGAGATAGTGGCCAAAAGAGCATTAGCAGTGATACAAGTAGCAGTTGTCCTGAGCAGTTCTGGGTCAACTTGAGCCCCTTCTATAACTAGCAATTGGTCTTTGCGAACGGACATCTCCGAAATGTGATTGTTAGAGAGACAGAAAGTCCAATCACCAGACCTGTCAATTTTGCCCGAACTTAGAACGGTGCGCGAGCTACCCGAGTAAGGCAGAGAAACGGAATAATCAACAGTCATGGTGACTTTGTTAGCACTCTCAGCCGGTAAAGGCTTGAACCATGGGGCAGTCTGCTCAAGGACAAGTGAACCATGGTGCGAACTGACAGTTACTGGCGATTCGTCAAGGAAGACATCTTTAGTGATGGTTCGACGCAGCGAGTTGAGGCGGTCATTCCGCTCTTCATCCAGAATAACACGAGGAACCTCCAACAAACCATTCCGAAGAACAATCTCCGGCTCGTTGCACCATAACATGTGATTCGAACTCAACGAGGATGTCTTATGTATCTTGAGCTTGAGGAACATCTCGGCAATAAAGCGAGAATCGTACTCAGAATTAGTGATGTCCAGATACTGCAAGTTCAAATTTGGCAACTCCGTGATGAGTGCACGGCCTAGACCGACACTCATATTTGCGTAGGGATTCTCTTCGAGCCTGCCAGATGTGACCCAGAGGACGTTGGTGGCCGTTGAAAATAGGCGTTGCAGATTTTTTAAACGCGATTCAGTGACCGGCTCTGAGAAAAGAGGCTTCTCCAAATCTGACAACACAATATATGATGTGTTCTCAACCAAATGGATATCAGCCAGAGAGTCAATGCTGTCTGCAACAAGCACATGAGTAGTGAACCGAGAAGCAATCTTTTCAAGGCCTTTGACAGTGCGAGATAGCTTCAGATTCTTGCCGCCGACAAGTACGAGACGCTCTTCCAAAGGAAGCTCATCCACAAAAGCCAACGGATCCTGGAGCATACGAATATCGTCGTCAACAGCCTGGCTCACAATCAGAGAACAGGCATGCTTGTATTTATCTGGAAGGTCAGAGACATATTTTTCCGCGCCGCTGAAACCCGTGTCACAAAGAAGTGTGTCCCATTCCGTCAGAGTAATGCCTGGACCACGAGTACGTCCTTCATCAACACCAAGCCACCAACCTGGAAGTCCACCCATGAGAAGCATGAGTTGTAGATATTCACCGGTGACTTCTACCATCATGAGATAACCACCCGGCTTGAGGAGCTTGCGAACATTCTTCATAGTTTCTTTCAGGGTACGAGTGGCATGTAACACGTTGGAAGCAAGAATGACATCTTGGCTGCCCTCGAGGAAACCTTGTTCAGTCGGGTCACGTTCAATATCGAGTACTTTGTAGTCAAGACGTCTGGCATGTGAAAAACGATTCTTGGCAATGTCGAAGAAGCCTGCTGAAACATCGGTGTAGGTGTACCGGTTGTAAGCGTTGCCAATTTTGTTGAGCACCGAGTTAGTCGTACCACCAGTGCCAGCACCAACTTCCAGAATGTCAAGTCGCGGAAATTTGAATGTGAGATCTTCCATCAATTCTGCAACAAGTCTGTTGAGCGGCTGCAGGGCGCGACCGTGGGTGTACAGGTTGCTCAGCATGTCATCGACCAGCATAACCTCTAGTAGTTGAACATCGGATGTCATCACGCCAACAAGGTTCTCCCCGACTGCGTGTATCAGCTTGAGATCAGCTTGGTTGGCATACATTCTTTTCCAGTCCATGATGGTGTCTTCCGAGTCATTGAGCCACTCGACGTTCGTTGTCGGGTGTTTGTTTTCTCGAGTTTCTCGAAGAACGATCTTGGCTGCATGGAAGAATGATTGATGGAATGGCTTCCAGCCGGTTATATCATTCTCAGTAAGCGGATCGAAAATCTTCCTTAGCCAGAAAAACGATGTGCGATCTATAATTTCAGCAAGGGCAAGTTCCTCGCCGTCGGGTATGATCTCGTCGAAGTCATTAGAGGAACTAAACTTGTCCACTTTCCAGACCGTCTTCGAAAACATGGGACGGTCGTCGCTTGCATGAGCTTCGGTGAAGAGCTTGAGAGTAAGGCCCTCTGCCTGAACACCAGTACGGCCGTCCTGGCTGATAATATGAACATCACCCTCAAAGGAGTTTGAAGTGATTTTGGTGATAAAAGCGTCCACCTCAAAATTGATCTGTCCCGGTTCCCCCTCATACTTGACGTTCGGAATCAGCGCAAGGCGATCAACCTTGACGGGGAGATACGGCGCCCAAAGTGAGCTACTCTGCGGATTGCAGAAGGCTCCGATAATAGAATGGAATGCAACATCAAGAGGTCCTGGATGAATGACATATTGATCGCCGACGTCGTTCATGGACCAAGATGCCGTAGCCCTGGCATATCCCATCCTCCGGTCAAAGGTTTTGATACCACGGAAGAGACCCTGATAATCTAAACCTATTTTCGTGAGCGAAGAGTAATATTCATTGACATCAACCGACATCATGTCACCATCGACCTGGTCCCGAGATGGAAGTGTGTCCTCTGTAGCCTCGCCGAACTCGATAGAGATAGTACCATAACAATTCTTCTCCAGGGAGTCAACTGTCTGATTGGAGCAAGAAAAGCAGGTGAACTCTCCGACGAAATTATCTTCGTCTTCTTCAGAATTCATACGCTTGAGTGAGAAAACAAACTCAACGCCAAGCTTGCCTTCTTCGAGAGTACATGCACGAGGAATCACCAAGTCGCGGATTTCCACCAGTTTTACAGGACGGGATCCTGCCACTTCCATGCCAGCCTGAATAGCCATGGCCATATAACCCGTGGTGGGGAAAAGAATTTGGCCTTGGAAAACATGACCTCGGACCCAGGAAATCTCATTTGGCTTTAAAAAGTTACGCCAACGCATCTCAGTATCAGAATCGTCTCCCACACGTCGGCCAAGAATCTCATGTGGAGGTTTTTCTGCAAGACGATAACGTCTAGATGGTCTGGATTCCGTCCAATGTATTTTGGAATGGTTCCAGGCGTAAGATGGAAGGTTCTTCAACATCTGGGGCCGCAGAGCATCCGGGCCTTCGAAAGCAGTGCGATAGCCAGCAAAATCAATGAGGTTTGTCAGGTAAGTCCAAGCATATCCAACACCGTCGGAGAACGTCTCAACGTCATCGTGTCCGCGTTCAAGTAAGGTAGAATAAGGCACTACGCTACCTAGTGTCGTCTTCATCGTTTGAGTCGCTGGACCTCTGAGGGCGGGATGGGGACCAATCTCCAAAGCCAGGTTGAACGGGCCTGCTTTCCAAAGAGAACATTCAATCGCCTCTGAGAAGAGTACCGGCTTGACCATGTTATCAACCCAGTACTGCCCTTGGAGCTGCTCCAGATCTTCATCATCGTATTCAAATTCGATGTTGCCGTACACAGACGAGATCCACTGGCACCCATCCGATGGCCGGTTTGCTTGAATATTTACGGACTTCAACGAATTGAGATAAGGCTCAGCACATTTTAGCATGTGGTGAGAATGATAGGCAGTGTCGACTTTGAGAAGACGGGCAAATATGTTCTGTTCGTCCAATAGTGCCTTGGCCTCAAGGATAGCATCCTCGTCACCTGATATGGTGCTACTGGTTGGTGAATTACTCGCGGCAAGTCGAATGCGACCATCGAATTTCCGACAAAAATCCATAGTTTCTTCATGCCCGAGTCCTACTGCCATCATGGAGCCTTGTCCCCCTTCCCCACCGGAAGCCAATCTAGCGTATAGCCCACGATAATAGGCAACACGCATAGCGTCCGTAAGGGAGAGTACACCGGCAGCATAGGCTGCTCCAATTTCACCAGACGAGTGGCCGACAACAGCGTTGAAACGAATGTTAGCGTGGCGGAGAACGTCAACAATCGCAATTTGAGTCGCAGTACACAGAGGCTGAGAGATCATGGCTTCGTTGATACGAGACTCGCTCTCCGGAGCAACCAGTTCCTTCAAAAGGGACCACTCAGGACCATTAGGAATGTCGCGTAAAGCATCTTCACATTGTTCAATTGACGTTCGATAAACGTGAGAATGCTTGACCATCGAACGACCCATCGCCGCCCATTGGGCACCCTGACCAGTGAAGACGCCGAGAATCGCTGGAGATTCAAGAGAAGATTGAACACGCACGCCGGTTTCGCCTCCCTTTTTGGACGTCTCGATCGCTGAATTCAGAGCTTCCAAGAGTTCTTCTCGGGTCTTGGCCGAGAAGGAAGCACGAGTTGTGAACGTGGTACGACGGGTCTGCGTGACGAAAGCAAGATCATTTAGGTTAACTGATGGATTTTCACGGATATATGTGGTGATATTCTTAATGTTAGAGCAGAGCGAGGCCTCATTTTCTGCGGAGAGCGTCAGAGGACCGACAAACTTGTCAAGAAGAGCATCATTGCTGGAAGGCGTGGGTTGAGGGATCAGCTTAGATCTGGGTATATAGTTCTCAACAATGGCATGAACATTAGTCCCCCCGAAACCGAAGCTGTTCACACTGGTGCGTCGTGGTCCGTTAGAGACAATCGGCCAGGGAATTGGGGCGATTGGAACTTGTAAGGTGTCATAGAAAGGTTCTATGGCCGGGTTTAATCTAGAAAAGAGAAGATTAGGCGGAATAACGCCATGTTGCACGGCGAGCGAGGCTTTAAGTAAGCCGGCTAAGCCAGCACATCCCTCTGTATGACCAATAATTGTCTTGATCGAACCGCAGTAGAGCTTTTCGGACCCGGACAAAGCTTCTTGTGGAAAGAACGATTGCCTGACTGCACGAGCCTCAACAGGATCGCCAGCCAATGTACCAGTGCCGTGACATTCGAAATATTGCGGCCGGTCGACAAGGGAATCTAAACCAGCTTTCTTATATGTGCGTTTGATGAGCGCTGACTGCGCCTCGGAGCTAGGCATCGTAATACCGGTTGTACGACCATCACTGTTCATGCCAGTCTCACGAATAATGCATTCAATATGATCCCCATCAGCAATAGCTTGGCTGAGAGTTTTCAGGACAACAGCACTAACACCCTCACCGCGGGCATAACCATCCGCCGCAGCATCCCACATCCGGCTGCGTGAAGTGGGACTAAGCATGTGCAGTTTTGACTCTGTGATGTAACTCCCAGCATCGAGTATTAAATTGACACCACAGGCAATGGAAAATCTTGATTCTCCATTGCGTAAAGATTGCACAGCCAGATGAACTGCCGCTAGGGATGATGAGCAGGCAGTATCAAGCGTCATTGACGGTCCGCGAAAGTCAAAGAAATAAGAGACACGATTGGAAAGAATGGCCTTTGAAGTGCCAGTAGCGAAGTAACGGTTAATAGACTCTGGATCTCTCATCTGTATATCATGCCAGTCTCCCGTCATGACCCCTAAGTATACAGATGTGGGAGATCCTCGCATTCCTTCAAGTGTGTACCCAGCGGCTTCTACTGATTCATATACCACCTCCATTGTCAGTCGTTGTTGGGGATCCATTGAATCTGCTTCGGCAGGGCTAAGGTTGAAGAATTGAGTATCGAAATGCCGAATGTCGTCGTCAAGCAAGTAGCCTTTGTTGCAGACGTCTGTCCTGCCGTGATATTCTCCATCATTATGGTGAAAAGCATCGAGGTTCAACCGATTCTTTGGGAAAGTCTTCAATACATCATTGGGATGGTGCAACAATTCCCATAACTTGGAGGGTGAGGACGCCCCTCCGGGGAATCGACAGGCAGAGCCGATTACGGCGATAGGCTCCCCTTGGGAAGACATGGCGTGCCTAGGTATGATAGACGCAATCCTGTCGTTGAGAGAAGAACAAAAACAAATAAGAACAAATTCGTTGAAAATCTGCTCTTACTCCCTCTTAAGTGTATGTAGTATGTCAAATGCAAAGTTGTTAAGCGGATTTTGAGGGAACCTTGAAGGAAAAGGAAATTATTATATCGAGATCGTAAGAACCGACAATGCTAACAAGGATTCCACTGCACCACTTTTTCAGCAAGGAATGGAGTTTGCAGGCCAGAGACAGTCTGGCGCACCTAGGGAAGCTAATAAGTTGATTTATTTCCCGTTTCGGTCTGTTCGGCGGGTTTGTTTAGGGTTCTTGAGCGTTGACGCCGAACAGAAAAAGGCGGAGCATTCAGCAACCCATATGTTTTCCATTCAATCTCTCACGTTTCAGCTCGGAGGCTGCTGCCTGTTCATTGACTTTTTGGACTAGTCAGTGCTCCAATCAACCATGCTTTACACGTTGCTCCGGTATCCTTCGGTGATTACGCTTCGCCTCCCATATCTGTCTCGACTAAGCGTATCTCGCGCGTTAGCATTATCCTGATAGCTTAGCTGCAAATATTGCGCTGTTTAAATCTCCGCAGATAGTCAGCAACGAAGACTGCTGCAGAAGTCTAGTGTACAATAAGAAATAAGATTAAAAGGATCTATTCTTGTCTCTCAAGCTTCGCCATACCTCATCCCCAAGCACACGCTGACGTGTAATATGGCAATTCAATTGACTCAATCGCTGCCAGCATTTCAAAAGGCATACAAAGTGCGAGGCGCTGGCGATGCCAGTTTAGAAACATCCGTTTCTGTTCCGGAGCCCAAAGATGACCAATTGCTCGTACGAGTTGTTGCCGTTGGGCTTAATCCCCACGACTGGAAATCTCTTGATATGTCACCCATGCCAGGAGCAACATGGGGATGCGACTTTTCTGGAGAGGTCGTGAAGACTGGCAGTGGGCTAGCGAAGAATTTCCGGGTCGGAGATCGTGTCGCTGGTGCAACTCCAGGAAATAACTGGGAAGATCCAACAACAGGAGCTTTTGCTGAGTATGTCGTTGCTCCCTGTGCACTTGTCTACAAGATTCCAGAGTCGATGGGGTTTGAAGAGGCAGCTACACTAGGTGTTGGTATGCTCACGATTGGCCTTACCTTGTACCACGCCATGAAGCTTCCCTTGCCACATGCTCCGGTGGAGAATCCACAATATGTGCTCGTATATGGTGGTGGTACGGCTACAGGAACGCTTGCTATACAAGCTTTAAGATTGTAAGATTTATTCAGAGTCGACTTTCGTGACGAACCAGACTAGTGCAACTAACATATCACAGGTCTGGAATGATTCCATTAACAACCTGTTCTCCAAGCCGGTTTGATCAAGTCAAGGCTCTTGGTGCAAAAGAAGCATGGGATTATCACTCACCTTCGTGTGGGTCTGATATTCGCGCTTATACCGATGACAAGCTCGTATATGCTCTCGACTGTATCACAGATACGGGTAGCATGAAGGTTTGCTACGCCGCCATAGGCAGCGGGGGTGGACAGTATGTTGCTCTTGATCAATTCCCAATTCGGGGCCATACAAGACGCAACGTTAAGCCAGATTGGGTTATCACATGGACGCTCCTAGGGAAGCCTGTTCACTGGAAAAAGCCATACCGGCGCGATGCGAGGCCTAAGGACAAAGCATTCGGCGATAAGTGGATTCCTATGAGCCAGAACTTGCTCGACTCAGGAGATATCAAAACCCACTCTATTGAAGTCAGTGACGATGGCCTGGCTGGTATTCTTGCCGGCGTTGACAGACTGCGGAAAGGAACTACAGGGGGAAAGAAATTAATATATCGGATCAACCAGCCATTGGCAGTCTAGCAATTCAATTGTTTGCGGCATTCGCCAGAATGGGTGTTCCATAGTCATTGTTGTTTTGATTATAATATCTCGTGGGACAATCTCATGTTCCCACTCTATCTAAACCTACCGTACCCTTCTAGGAGGTGAATGTGAAGCGCACTTTAATTACAACGTTGAATGATGAAAATTAGAGGGTTCCGCTGGAGGATTCTCTGCGAGTATCTAGACGCATTATTTTAGAAGCTTTCTGAAACTGTCAAATTTCACTCATCTGTGCAATACCGCTTTCTGCTGGGGCAAAATGGCAATCCACCAGCCTTTGAAAGGATTGGACAAGGACACATAGGCGATGCAAAAGTTCTAGCTATTAGATCACCTGTGGATTACTGATCTTCGGGCAATAAGGTCACGTTACAACGACGGCCGATTGGGGTCGTCATGAAGAAGTTGAGCGCGTGCATGGAAGCATCGGTCGTCGTTCGACTCAGGCGCGCACCCCTGCACTCGCGAAAGAAGAATGCGACGGCAATTCTCATTTCCATTTTGGCTAGATGGACTCCTAAACAAACTCGAGATCCTGCTCCCCAAGCACACAAAGCCGATTTTTGGTCGTCGGTCAGCGAGCTTGGGGGCAAGAACCGACTTGGGTCGAACCTGAATCGTTTCGATTAGTTTTATCATTTGAAACAAATCAGATTTCACAGCCGACGTACACTTCAGGGTTGTGGAAAATATCAGGCTTTCGATGCATGCTATACGCCTGCGTGCTCACTGTTGTTTTCTCAGGCAGGTAGTATTTCCCGAAAGTCGCTCCACCAGGGGGAACAGCCCGTGGCAAGCTTCCTGGCGCAGCACCGTATACTCTCAGAGCCTCTTCTACAACCGCGTTCAGAAGGGGGAGTGTTGCTAAAGATGCATCCTCAAAGCTGCGTACAGATGCGACTTCTTCTTCCAGATCTCTTTGAAGATCTGGGCGCTTAAGACAGGCCCAAATCAGGTACGTGATGGTCACCGCTGTCGTATCGGAGCCAGCGACCACAAAGTTTCCAGCTTCAAGGCGCACGCTTCGTTCAGTGAGACCTGGCTTACCACCGCTCTTGTCCACTTCTTCAAGAAAATCCGCGAAGATGTTCCTTGATCCTTTATTGCCTGCCCGACGAAGGTTCTTTATCGCATGGTCTCCCCATTCCTCTAGATCTTCGGTCGCCTCCATAATCTTTTGAACTAAAGCAAGGGGCACGTATCTAAGAATCTTGTATAAGAGGGGCAATTCCGAAAGGAGTCCACCCTGTAAGGCGACCCTCTCCAACACCAACACGTATTCGGCTTTCTGGATGCAAGCAAAATATTAGCCTCAGACTGACAACTCAAGGTTACAGGACAGCACAGCCTACTTCGCCTCGTTCCACCATGTCGAATTTTTCGGCAAAACACAGGTAGGAGAGGATATCATTCGTCATCAAAGTCCACCATTTGAGCATATCCACATCGCCACGTTTGGCATTGTCTTTTATCTGCTGGACGGCAATTCGTGCCCTTTCATGAATAGCGGGCTCCCAGTTTTCTCGCAACGAGGAGAGACTGAAAGCACGCGCAAGAACTCGCCGACGCGTCACATGCTGTTCGGGATCAATCATCGAAAAGATACCCGGCTCCGGCTGCAAGCTCAAGCTTTGATACCACGGATCTTTTAAGAAACCGGATCCCATCGAGTGAATTTGACGGAAAGCTTTCAGGTCGTTGACTGCGACTTCGTTGGGAGCGACACGAACAAACGGTCCGTATTTCTTGTGTAATTCTTCGATATAATACATACGACGAGCACAAAGCACATTAAGTTTCAAGACGTAATGCGTATAGCGAGCATACCAGGGGCCAGGCACCTGATTTAATGGATTATTTGATGCTTGCATGATTCTTTTTGTAAGCCATACAATACAGACGCAACAAACGAGGAGCAGCGACCAGCTCTGTAGGAGTGCCATGGTCAGTTTTCAGAGATTAGGGCAGTTATGTCTCAAAGTATGGCCGTGTTTTTGCAGGAAAGGCAGCAAGAAGTAGCCACAAAGACTGGCTTTTAATCATAAAAGATAATTGTAGCAGGATGATCTCACTATGTCTGTATATGTATTGTGCGTACTACATACTGTGCATACGCCGATCCTTCACCACTAGGCAGCATACAGGTAGGCCACTTATCGGAATAATACATCTTTTTGAGAACATATACTGATGTTCTAATACATGCGGGCGAGCTTGGTTCCTCGACTTGAGGCCAACGTATTATGTTCTCTCCACAGAAATGCATCGACTCCGGTGCTACATAGGGGGCCATAAGCTCGAGTCAGCCTGGTGAGTGAAGCCACCGCCGGAAGGTTACCGGCGTGATACCATTTACATATACTTCGTGGTATCACACTAGTAGAAAACCCACCGTATCATGCCGGACAATATCTCACAGACGTCAATTACATTACCGGTCATCGTTATCGTTACTAGGTGTCATAGTTGAAGGAAACATTTGTTCACAAAATTTGATCAGAGAAATAATCAACCTGAATCTGATTGACTCTCGGAACCGGGCGAGTGAGGAGAGGTTACGCATGTTAGAGCAGAGCAACGCCTCGGAGTCAAGAGATATTAATCTCTTATTGTCTCGCCCATATTTCTCCTTTGAGTATACAATGTGCACGCCAAACATTCTGTCATCCCTCAAATATTAACCATGTCGGACATTGTACAAATAAGACAATCTTTCTTTCCACCAACCCCGTCAGCATACATTTGGCTGCTTTGGGTATTCCATTGGTTTCCTGCGGTAAGTCGGCTCAATTTCAAACGTTCTTATTCTGTCAATTTTCACAGAAGATTTGCTTATGTACGTTTCTTGCAGGGTTCGATAGGACAGTGGTTCAGTGACCATCACCCAGTCGGCAAATTCTCCGTTTCACGACGTTCCAATATCAACGGCAGATTTGGATGGCTCTTTATGGAAATCATTGGACCTGTAAACATGCTCTATGTCATGTGGAAACTGGAACCGTCAATTCTCGGACTACCTTTGTGGAACAAGGTTACCGCTGCACTGTATGTGATTCACTACGTTAACCGCGCCGTCCTACAACCATTATTTATCGCGCCGAGCATGTCTCCCATTGGGATGGAGATCTTTCTGGTCGTATCGACGTTCAACTGGATGAATGGAGCGATATTTGGATGCTGGGTTGTCGGGTACGATACAAAAATTGCCGGATACAACGTCAGAATTTCTGGTTCGGAGCCATTATCGGGTTGGCGCAAGGCCATACCTTACGCCGGTCTCATCATCTTTGCATTCGGTTGCGTTAACAACATCCGGGCACAGCTCACTTTGTGGCGCATGAGAAGAGAGGAGGCCCATCGCCGCGTCACCAAAGACAAGAAGAAGCATGCGCAACAGGAGAACATTTACAGCAAAGTATACGTTATCCCACCCCCAAGGGGGCTTTTTACCTCGCATTTATATCCACACTATTGGTATGAATGGATCGAGTGGTTTGGGTATACACTCGTGGGCACAGCGGTCTTGTCCTCGATTGCTTTCGCTTCCCGCCCAGTCACGACACAGGAGTTGATGGTAGCACCATGGCATTGGCCCCTAGCACAACTGGCAGAGAAATATCAGATTCCATTTCCTTTGCCGGCTCTGGCTTTCCTGTTGAACTGTATGGCGGCGATGTTGCCCCAAGCGAGACGCGGACTAAGATGGTATAAGCAAACGTTCGGCAACGAGGCCGTCGTTGGCCGGTCAGCTATCGTCCCTGGTGTCTCATTCTTATAGTCATCCCATTTCTACAGTATACAAAATTACCTTTCTTTGCTGCGTGATGCACGGCAATATCTGGTTCATAGTCTGAATGATTTACTTTGTTGCTACAGTACCACGAAAATAACCCCTTATCCGAACGCTACCCGAACGTTCACCGCCTTCCTAATATAGTAATAAACTAGACACCCGAAACCTCCAAAAAGCCCTAATACATCGTATACCAGCCATCCGCCAGGCTTTGAACGTTGATTTGTACATTCTTGCTCGTGCTTAATAGTGTTGCGAATAGTGGATATAAGCATTTTTTATATAAAAATATAGATTCATAGATGTTATTACAAATTTGTATGAGACGTGATGCTACGCGTTTCTGTCGGCAGAAAAATGGCGGTGTGGAAATTTCGGATATGGGGGTGCGGACACTTTTGTCATCCCACTGTATATGTGTTGTTTGACTTCCTGGGCTCTACCAAACGTTAGATATACCAGCCTTCTTACACTTCACTTACAACAACCCTACAAGTCTCGAGATTAGCTTCATATACCTCCAATTCATAAGCTCCCCACGAATTCCGTTCGTGGGTGTTTGATTTTCCAGCGATAGTGCTAGGGCCCCGGGTTAAAATTGTACATGTAGCCCAGGTAACGTAATTCACTAGTGAGTTGGCCACCCTAGCGAGTTGGCCACTTTTACCCGGATCCGCGTTCTATACTAATCCTTCCCAACTCAACGCGCCAATATGCCACCAATTCGCAATAAAAGTCAAAAAAATTCTACTGAGCAAGAAGGACGAATCCTATTAGCTATTTCTGATTTAAAGAATAGTAGAATACGCTCTGTACGGAAAGCAGCAGAGATTTATAATGTCTTACAGTCAACTCTTCAAAATAGAATTAACAGCATACCATATCGAGCTGAAAAACGCGTCAACAACTATAAATTAACTCAATCTGAGGAGGATTCGCTTGTCAAATAGGTGCTTGATTTAGATCGACATGGATTACCTCCCCGGCACTCTCTTATACAAGAAATGGCTAATTATATATATTTATAACGTGGCAATCAATAAGTTAGTGAAAATTGGATAACCAAGCTGATTAAACGCTAGCTAGAGATTGATTCAAAGTTCTCATAATGTTGGTTTATAGGTGCAATCGAGATTCCTGGCACCGACGCGAACCAAGGAGAGGTCACGTGAAGGTACACGTGACCTCGTCAAGCAAGGACTATATAGACCGCGTCGGGGTCTCATTAAGAGAAGAGACAGACAATCAGAAGAATATGACTTTACCAATTGGTTACTAAGCTACTTGTATGCACATGTGCAAAAGCGAACCCACACATAAAGATATAACTATGAACGCGCTAAATATAAAGATCCAAAGATAATCAAAGAATATTTTAATCGCATATAAGCTGTTATATCTGAATATGGTATCTTGCTAGAAGATATTTATAACTTTAATAAGACTGGCTTTGCTATAGGACTCTATGTAATTATAAAGGTTATTACCGGAAGTGATTAATATACTCGGCCGAAGCTTTTACAGCCTGGAAATCGAGAATAAGTGACTGCAATTGAAGTAATAAATTCAACTGGTTAGATTCTGCCTTTGTATGTGATTTTCAAAGCAAAGAAAAATATACGATTAGGCTGGTTTGATGAGCTTCTAGATGATTAGAGAATTATTATTAGAGAAAATGGCTAGACTACAGATCAAGTAGGATTAGAATAGCTTAAAACCTATTTTATTCCCTATATTAATGATCGTACAATGAGAAGATATCGAATATTAATTCTTAATGGCCATAGAAGCTATTTGACTGTGGACTTTAATCATACATGCACTGAGAATAATATTATTCTAATCTATATACTATCTTATTTTCGTACAGGCCCTGCCTTTGCGATCCCTGACGGCCTAGCCAATCGACGTACTGATGACGAACTCAAGCTAGGTGGATACACTCCCATGGAAGCTCATGCTTGGAAGAAGGGCGGATGCTTATTGGCTCCTCCGGGGACCTTGGCAGGGCGATGGGAGAGCCGACTCGCGTACGTCCAGGCACCGTGGCATGAGCCTCCAAAGATTATGATCGATAAGCGAGAAAAGGCGATATCAGTGCATAACGACATCATACGTAAGAATGAGCATATCGCAATATACACAGACGGCAGTGGATATCAAGGCTATATTGGCACGTCCATGGTCATCCCGGCCTTTGGAAAACAACGAACAGAGTGTATTGGTACGGAAGGCACCTCAACCGTGTATGCAGCTGAGGCCTGCGGCATCAAATTTGCGCTTGAAACCACGCTTCAGATCGCGGATCAGAATATACAAACCAAGAAGCTAGTTATCTTCTCAGATAGCCAAGCTGCGCTCAGAACCCTCATGAATCCGCGTATGGTCTCTGGCCAAACGTACATTCATGACTGTATCGATTCACTAAGAAAGTGCATTGATGAGGATATCGATGTGACGCTGAGATGGATTCCAGGCCATGAGGATATTCCCGGAAATGAAGCCGCAGACAGGGCTGCAAAACGTGCAGCTCTAATAGGTGCACGAAGGCAGATTGTACCAGGAGATATGGACAACTGGACCATACTCGCAGCAGCTGCAAAGCGTAGAATACGCCAATCAACCAAGGATGCCTGGGAGAAACAGTGGGACAAGCAAAAGGCAGGGAAACCTACTAAAAAACTTGTCCCTCAGCCTTCCAAGCGCACACTCCAATATTGGACCTTTCTCCGTAAAGCAACATCGTCAATACTGATACAGCTGCGTACCGAACGAATCGGGCTGGCGCACTATCTGTGGCGAATCAACAGGCGAGAACAACCATACTGTGCTTGCGGCCTATCTGGTCAATCAGTACGACATATCCTCATGGAATGCCCACTGTATGAGAATGAACGCGGTCTTATGTGGTCACGAATCAAGGGATTCCGACGCACAACAGATCTGCAGGCATTACTCAGGGAAAAAAAGGCCGCAATTGCAATCGCGCAGTTCATCATTGATACGCGAATGCTTGATCAATTCCGTGAGGTAGATCCGGAAGCAGTTGGCACCTATGAAAGCGCAGAAACAGCGGCTCAATTGGAGCCTGCAAATGACAAGGACACTGACGTGGGAACATGTACGAACGCGCACGCAGATGACGTGCGTTCCAGGTCGACGTCGTTATCAGTAAGGACCAGGATTGACACGAATACGAGCCTTGGATCAAGTGATTCGGAGCCAGCCAACGGGATGCGATGTAGAGGACGTGCAGTTCGGATTTGCGAAGGGAGAGAAACGCAGATTTTTATGAGGGATACTGGATATGTGGATTTGAAGCGAACTGGTGCAGTTCGGAGGACTTGAAAAGAATTTGGGGATTCGTATAGGCGGGGCGTACGCGCACTAGCCGACCAAGATGTTTGATTTATTTGTTTGTTTGACATGTTTGCATTCGTTATTCTTGTTTCCTTAGCTTCCGTTCTCTGTGGCGCGCCCCTATGGCGCACCACCCGTGGCTGGGCCGCGGATCTATTGGTGCCTGCAGACTTAGGCACACACCTGGATAGCGGCTCTTCAGTCAGCGGCCAGCTACAGCGGGTATATCAATTCTACTACTACTACTACTACATACGTGACCTCTCCTTGCTGCATACCAGTGCCATGCATCTCGATTGCACGAAGCAACCAACAAAAATGATAATAAATAATCTTTTACTTATATGGAAAGAAAACCGTGACTTACAAGCTACACATGAAAAGAAGAAGCAAAAATGCGAAAAATCTAAAAAGCAAATATCTATTAAGCAAGGGGTTACTAGAGAAGAAGCTTAAGCGCTTATATAAGGTTAGATTAAGGTATCTCAAGCTGTTACTACTGCTCTAGCTGAGCTGGAGCTCCCAGCTTCTTAAGCAGTTATACGCTGCTAATTTCGCTGCAGTGGTTGTGGTGTTGAAGGACATAAAATTAATCGATGTCCTAATCGTACTAGTAGTTAGATTTTTGTATATATTTTTGTATGTGGCTTTGAAAATTGGGATTTGAAATCAATATAGAGTTATTTTCGGGTAAAAGTGGCCAACTCACTAGTGAATTACGTTAGAGCTAGGACTAAGGCTGAACTAAGCAGTATATACTATACAGCTGAGGCTACCTCACTTTCTTAGTTTTGCACAATCAAATCAATGTTGGCCTGTTTGACATCATCCTACGTGAGTCATGACAATTTCAGATGCAGATTCCCCGAGTATTGTCACGACCTCGCTCACGGGAGTATTCGCTCACTAAGCCGGTGCGCCAAAAAGACCAGAATATTGAGGATGGTGGGTCCTCTCTACTACTCTCTCATATAGTAAGGTTGCCAGAGCCGTCACAAGTATAGGCATCCCGAATTGTCTGTATAATGGCCCTGCCACACCTCATGTGATCAGAATAACGACAAAACTCGGCTCAAACCATCTTGCTAGTCAATTATTCTTTCCTAGTTAACTCTCAATCAGCGACGCAGGTCCGGAAATACCGTTCCAACTTCTCAGGGTTAGCCTGGATATTGACTTGCTAACCCAACATGGATATAACTATGTTAACCCTAGTATTTGGTCAATGAGACAATCGATCGGAACACGAATGACTGCATGACTTACCTGGTATCTGGTACGGTAATATTTCATGTTGATATAGGGTGTCGTTGACCCGTTCGGCGGATTTGTAGCCGTTAGTACGTATTGAATTAGGGCTCGGTGGCACTTTCTGGCTCAAAGCCGCCCCCAAACTCCGCTCATCTTTACTAGCATAATGTGCGTGGGTCTGCGTACAAGATGCAATCAATGATCTGTCAGGTGCTGATGAAAGGTCTGTACTTAGATAAGTAAGCTCAATGCAAGAAAAGATAAAAAAACTTAGTGATGCTATCGTTCCTGGACTTGACAAGTAGAGGCTATGAGATACTGCCGTTGACGATTTTGTTTACACGGGTCTCGCAACCGTTCGTTGGCTTTTACATTGTGATCATTTTTGAGGAAATCTACCGAGATGAGCGCAACTACAGTATCAGAGCAAAGCGCAGTGGCGATTGAAGCCGACCCTGAGAAGATAACTTTCGTGGCAGATGGAGACGCGAAAGCAGCAGCATCAAAGACCGAACAGCCCTTGTCCAAAAACGCGAATCAGGGACAATCTCTTACTGAACAGACAAACACCACGGATGTCCTTTCCTCCTTTCCCCTCTCAGTCGCCGATGGTCTCATCACCAAACCGTTTCGTGAACACCTCCAAAGCTGTAAACCTCAGCCTCGCCCCGAGCTTACATCGGACCAAGCAAAGAAATACTCAGAACTCCTTGACTTGATCTCAAACCTATCCGACTTGCCGGTCAGCTCAAAACTTAATACACCTGTCACACCTCTAGCTGATAATGAACGCATGTGGCTTACCCAGGAGTGCTTACTCAGGTATTTGCGAGCCACAAAATGGAATGTCGCCGCTGCAAGTGAGCGCGTCAAATCCACTCTAATCTGGCGACGTGAGAATATTGGCGAGGGCAAACTCACTCCGGATTATATCTCTCCAGAAAATGAAATGGGGAAGCATCTCGTGCTTGGGTGGGATATCCACGGACGTCCCTGTTTCTATCTTATTCCGAGGAATGAATGTACCGAGAAAGGCCGACGGCAGGTCGAGCATTTGATTTTCATGCTTGAGCGCGCCATTGATCTCTTGCCAGCTGGACAGGAGACTATTGCTCTAGTCGCCGATTTTGGGGGCGTCAGTCGCAAACAAGCGGCGAGTGTGGGACAGACCAGGGAGATCTTGGATTTCCTACAAAATCATTATCCAGAAACATTAGGCAGAGCGCTTGCGATTAACAGTAACACTCCCTTGCTTCCTGTGGTTTTCCCGTTGACTTTGCTTACTCATTAAATCTTAGTGCCTTTGATGGTCACGATCTTTTTCAAACTCCTTTCACCATTCATTGATCCGGCCACGAAGGAAAAACTGCGATGGAATGAGGACCTTCGACAGTATATTCCGCCGGAGCAATTGGCACAGTTTGCAGGCGGAGATGTTAGATGGGAGTACGACCATAATGTTTATTGGGCAGCGTTGAATCAGTTGACCGAACACAGACGGAAAGCATACAAGGAACGCTGGGTTCGATCTGGGAGAAAGATCGGCGAAAATGAAAACTACTTGAGAGGCGGTCCGGAACCGCCGGTTGGTGAGTCTACTGACAGGGTATCGTGAGAAACCTTAGAAGGGAGGTATTAGTATTGCTCCGGCGAGGATGTATATAGATATAGAAAACCACATGATGAAAGTGGTCACCAACCGCGATGCTTCCTGCAAACGTCCTCCCAAATACAAGCGATCAATTCCAAGATTTTTTGATATATATATATAGTGCATATGTACGTATAACACATAACAGCCAATACAATGATCTAGGGGCTCATCCGTTGGGCAAGACTTCAGTCGACACTCGAATGATTCTCGTCATGCTATTCTACTATATCCAGTGATAGTCTACTAGTTCAAGCAGAGATTTTGTCGTCAAAATACATTTCATATACTCTCCGTTCTTTAAAGTAGAGGATGGCTCGGCCCTTTCGCCGGGAATCGATATGGCTTGGTGTCTTCGCATGAAGGCAAAAACAAATCATTGTGTTCCTCGAGTTGTTTAGACATCTAGGACTAATTCCATCACAGACATCTGACTGCCAAACGGCAAATGCACACGCTTCACCCTAAGCCGAGGATCTGCCTCCTTATAGATAGCCTCCCAATCCTCTATATTGCGCTCGCCGCTATTGTGAATCTGCAGCATGGCCAAGTCACGGGTACGGAGCTGACGCTCTGTGACAGTTGTAACTGATCCTGGGGACGGGAGGACAGTGTCCATGACGAGAATCCGACTGCTGTTGGGCTTGAGGACACTGACTAGTTTTCGTAATATTTTCGCCGACTCTTCTATTGACCAGTAATGCAGGATCATTCGCAGCAAATAGACCTCGGCACCAATGATCGGTTGATCATCAAAGAAATTGTGTGTTGCATATGTGATCCGCGAAGCGATGCTTTCGTCTTTTAAGTTGGATATGTATTCTTTCCCCTGCTTGACAACGTCGGGGAGTTCCTGCACGACAAAGCTGAGGTCGGGATATGCCGTTGCGAGGGCGACAGATGCAAGACCAATAGATCCACCAACCTATACATACAAGAAATTGGTGTCAGCTAGCGCATGGATATACTAAACGTGAGGAGAAGAAAAGAAAAGACAAGGGAGTTCGAGAACGGACGTCGACTATCTGCGCTTTTCCGAGCGCCTGCCAGTCATACCCGTGCACAAGATGCTGTAAATCAAGACCTTCGGTGCTAGCAACCGCTTTTTGATACTCCGAGTACAAGCGCAGATGTTCTGGGCGGGTTTTCAGATGGGCGAAAAATGGTAGATCTGTCTGCAAGGCGATGTTGAATGCTGTTTGGTTTGTTTCAGTGCTACTAGGCCATTTCTCCGTCGCCTCAACCATATTTAATGCAACAGCTACGGCCTCCTTGCAAATGTACAATGCCCAATCATGGAGTGGCTGATTTGTTGCCAGCCACGCCGAGGTTGCCGTATGAGCGATGCGGTCAGGGGTGGGCTCATAGAATAACCGCGCCGTCATCGCCATTCGCGCTATGCTTTTGAGTGTGTTTTTTGGAACATTAGCTGCAGCTGCTAGTGCATCAAAAGTGATATCACCCTGCAGCGGTACAAGCTTGAGGATATTAAAATGACACAGCCATCGGAGGCATGCAAGGGATTGATACTAGCTCAAATTAGATCGTGTTCCTTTCTTTCTTCCCCAAGAAGGATTCCGACACATCGAGCATACGGTTTCTCTACTCACAGATACAGTTAGGTTCGACAAAAATTGAGAGGGGCCTGCAAACAGGTCAAAGATCTTGAGAGCAGAATTCATCGCAGCATCCCGAGCGATCTTGACATGACGGGGTGCGTTCTCCGGCACAGCATGAGCCGGTGAACCATTCTCAAATGACGGCGGGGGATATTCATTTGTGCGATAGTAGTTCATTAAGATTTGGACATCTTGCATCAGCGTCTGAGCAACTTCTTCGGGTGATGGCTTCAAGTCAGTCATAGCGATGGATTTGCATTCGGTTGTTTCAGGAAGAAGAAGAGGCGTTTAGCACAATAAAACGTGGTTGAATGTCAACCGGGGTAGTAGACACGTGAAGCACCTGTATATATTTCTCTACCTCGATGACTAGGCAGTCGTTATTGCGGCGAGAATACATAATAGTCCGTGCAGAAGGCTGAAAGGTATGTTGCAGCTGTCAAGTCGGCTTCGGACGTGGAACACAGCCGAGTTCACATCGAAGCGACGCTCGAAATAGGACTAGACGAACAGAAAACTCAAGGCACTTTACGTACATTAGACAGAAGCAGTTTTGATGCGATAACATTCCCCGAACTTCATGTTCGGGGAGTTTTTAGGGTTATGTCGGAATATAACCTCGTGGCTCCTGCGGAGGGTTACCGTAACGTAACTAGATTACACACTCGCGTACAGGGAAAATGAGGGCTAGAAAGCCAATCGCTAAGTCCCACTCGAACGCATGAATGCGAATTCAAAGCAGTGCAAGCGCATGGCGGCAGTCATCAGTGCCGTTGTTGGTGATAGGTGTGATTTTTAGCAACACCTGAACCCTAATTCATATACCTACATGCATATACTCGAAACATGCAACGTCAGGCGACGGGCTCGGAGGGTTTATTCGCTATTGTGCTAGGCATGATGACCAATTGTACGACCTGGCTTTTGACTGAATATAATAATCATTCAGGTATCTGGTGGCACTGGGTAGATAAATTATTGATTCTTCGTACTGACTTACAACCTTCTCAGTTCAAGAACTTTTGTAAACAGGTAAACAGGTAAACAGCATAAGATGAGTACCATTTCGGAGACGGATGTGTGAGTGTCTTCCACTGACGCAGAGGCGATTGTAACGCCTTGAGAGAACAATAAAGAGCATAGCTAACCACCGTCTCATGTCGAAAACAGCCTCATTGTCGGAGCGGGTCCCGCTGGACTTATTGCCGCCTGGTGGATGGCCAAATGCGGCATTCGCCTTCGCGTGATTGACAAGGATCCCAATGAGCTTTTACATGGCCGCGCGGATGGTATGAGACCACGAACAGTAGAGATCCTCGATAGTATGGGAAGCCGTATGATGGAAACCATCACTCAAGAATCTTTCCCTATGCTAAGCTCCCACAACTGGGTGAGAAATGATGACTGCTATGTATACTAGCCGCAAAACTAATCCCATTCTTCGCAGATGCGTGACGAAGATGACAATATACAGCGTGTCGAACGACTTGATATGTACGAGGACCACCGCAAGGTTCTCGCTACTCCGTTCCATTCGCAGGCTCTATCGCAAGGCCGTATCGAGCGCATTATTCAGGATGCAATTCTCGATCTCACAAACGGCTCCGTTGTGGTTGAACGAGGTGTTGCTGCGTTGGGTTTGGAGTATGATCAGTCGCTTGAACAGGATCACTCTGCTTATCCTATTGCGGTCACTATCCACAAACAAAAACAGAACCAGAACCAGACCGAAAAAGTGAAAGCTAAGTACTTGATTGGGTGCGACGGTGCTCGTAGCTGGCTGCGCAGAGAACTGGGATACAAGACTGAAGGGTCGAATACGAATACAATCTGGTAAGAAGATAAGCCAGAAATTCTCCCAGTTTTGCGGCTAACCCAGGGCTTCCTGTACCTTTCAAGGGTCGCTTTAGACGTTTACCCTATCACCGATTACCGTGAGTAGCCTAAAATATCCATTAGGGCACTTTTTGTTAGCTAAGAATGAATAAAAACAGCCGATGTTCGAAAACCAAGTTCTATCCAGACGCCTAAAGGAACCATGTTAATGATTCCTCGCGAGAAGGGTCTTTTACGCATCTACGTTCCGATGGGAATAGAGGGACAGGACGCGGAGCGTGATACAGTGACATTGGAGCAAGCCAGTGCATATGTGAAGCCGCTGTTTAAGCCTTATAAATTTGACTTTGAGCGATGCAACTGGTGGTCTGCTTATAGTCTGGGGCAGCGTCACTCAGAGCGCAATCGACACGATGGCAATCGCATGTTCCTGGCCGGCGATTCAGTCCATAACAATTCCCCTCTTATCGGACTCGGTTTGAACGTGAGTGTGCATGATGCATGGAACTTGGGTTGGAAGATAGCAATGGCATTCTCGTGTCCAGCCGGTGTAGATCGCAACGCTATTCTATCTACATACGAAGCAGAACGTCTGCCAATCGCTAAAACTCTCGTGCACTATGACCGCAATTGGACCAGCTTGTTCAACAAGGCTCTTGTCGAGCCTGCCGTGTTTATTCAACGGTACATTGAGTTCCGAAACTTCTCTGATGGGTATCGCTGGAACTACCCTGATAGCAGGCTTATCAACAGGGCTACCAGCAAGCAGGAGTTGGCCTCCAATCTTGTCGTAGGCGAGTCCTTTACCCACGCTCGCGTGTCTATGCACGCAGATGGACAGACTTACTGGACCTGCAGCCGCCTGCGGGCTGATGGACGATTCAACATCATTCTGCTAGCTGGAGACTGGGATGACGCCCAGCAAAAGGAACGCGTGCAAACTTTTTGCCAAAAACTAGAGGAAGAGAAGGACGGTACCTCGCTTCTGTACACCAGATACCCGTATCCCTGGAAGTCATCTTCGTCTTTCTACAACTATGACAAATCTAACTGCGACAGAGGACGGCCTCATTCCTTGATAAACATCCTGACCATCCATACCGGTGGTGACGAGACTCCACTGTTGGAATTCCCGACTGCTGTCCGTGGTCCATATCATTATCTTTATGGCTGGGACTACTCGCGCATCCTGGTTGATATGGCTCGGCCGTATGACCGCTATGCTGATGGCAAAGCCTACGAAGCCTGGGGCGTTGATCGCAGAAAGGGAGCCGTTGTCGTTCTCCGTCCCGATATGCATATCGGATGGCTTGGTGATCTCGAAGATTTTGACGCATTGGAGGGATATTTTGAGACTTTCTTAGGAGCGGCCTGGAAAGAGTAGATAGCTACAAAGCTGATTTGCCTCCAAACTTATTTCGAAAGTGCATATAACTTTTCTTCTTTTTTTCTTTGCTCCTGGCGTCCATGGATAATTTCTTTACCGGTATATGGTACCCAGATATTACAAACGTTCCACAAATTGATGACAGCCTGAAAATGCCACGACGGTTATCTAGGTAGTCGCAACACCCTCTCACATCATTTATAAGTCTGATACAGTTTCCTGAACTCCGAGTCCCTTGAAAGCAACACGTCTGGCCTCACCACCTCCAAAAGTTCTCCGTTTCGTAGAAGGGCCACCCTGTCGGATCGGTCGATATATCGAAATGGATGGATAACCGCTATGATCGTCTGTTGGGGGAATACAGCCGGTGGAAAGCAGACAAAGAATACCTCTTGGAATAAGAGAGTGAAATCAAAAGGACAGCAATAGATACTAATCTGCGGCCCCAATTGATTGTCAGACATTAATGGGCAACCGGGGCATGTATCAGCAGCCATGTACCTAGGTAAATGTAGATGGAATGAAGAGGATTCAGGCAGTGAACACAAAAAATCAGGGGGCTGGTAAAAGAGGGATAAAATGGAGGAGGGAAGGTTTAGCCGAATGCCACAACAGCAAATCCAGTCAGGCGAGAAGTTCCTGGCAAGGCTGGAATTAAAGCGGCAATGGAAAGAATGGCTCGAGAAGCAAAAAAAAACAAGTGAAGTTACACATACAACAGCTGGGATTCGCTGGTGGTCACCCACCCAACTACTAACCAGCCGGCGTGTGGCTTAAGTACGGCTGAGCGGACGGGAAGCCCTGTTTTCCACACCCTATGGTCGTATGTATTAGGGGAAGAGGAGATATGATTCATAACATAAAAGTAGCTGTTGGTTTACCTTCATTAGATCGCAGAATCTAATGAGGACACAATGCAACAAGCTGACTGAGCCAGTAATCCTGAATTCCTAATATTGTGACTGATCCTAAGAACTAGGGGATGCGCTAGTACCCACGGATAAACTATACGGTATCCCATTCCAGCGCCGAGATAAGCAGGATTGCTACACCGACAGTAGCCGTGTCCATGTTTGACAGCTACCAGCACGACATTAAGATTGTTCGTCTCCGGACCTGTCCTTTGAGAGCATCTTGATAGTCGGTACCTAGGTAGAGATCTGGATCTTATTATTCTTATATACCAAAAGTACCTGTACTAAGAAAGACCGCCAAACGTTGTAGTACATTCTAAGCTGCTCATGAATTCATTGCACACAGCTGAGAAAGATTTAGGGCATGGCACAGCGAGTGGCATATCATTATTGTAAGGATGATGTGACGTTAGGGCCGATATTTATCCGTACAGGATAGAAGACCTCACCCCTTAGATAGTTTTCCCATAATGACAGACAAGCAGACAGAGAATAAGAACGTTGAGAACGCCCTATCCAGAATCTATCATTCCCCAAAGGGAAGTATACAACTGATATATTTACTACTGCTCACAATCCTTGGCAACCAGATCTTACTCTGAATTCTTTACAATGATTAGCAAGAATTATGGAATTCGGTAGAAGAATCCAAGTACTCTGGACGGCCGGTTATTCGCTTTAACAGCCAACCCAAACTAGGAGCAGAGCTACGAACGTTTATCTTTGATGTAGAATGGCAGTATTGTTACGACATCATCGATCATATCAGAGAGATACTGCAATCATGGTTTCATCATCTGATATAACCTGGAGAATGAGACATATCGTTTCTCGGAACTATCGTTCTAATGTCAACACTGTGGAGAATCAAGCTCTTAGGGCTTCCTAAGGTTCTCTTGTTCATTAGAATCCATCCCGACAGAGAAAATCTAAGCTCCCCCCGGGTTAGCCTCTAGATAGAGGTCTGAAACAACCATATCTCTGATCAGACCAATGGCTAGGAAGCAGTAGGCCTTCTTGTTTCCCATCTGCTATTCCATCAAACAATGTTATTGTGTTGTTCTTTCATAAATCTTCAAACACTCAATTTTCTTTCAAGCATGTACATACAAGCTTTGTTTCTTTCTTCTACGAACAAGAATTTTTTTCTTCGTGTTAAGGCATAAGACTGTCCCAATTCCCACAAAGATATAAGGAACAATCCCCTCGTATACGAGACAAATAAACAAGTCTTTCTATACCTACAGTCAAAGAATAGGATTATAAAAATACCATTGTTGCATTATGATATTCAAAGACCGTAGAAGAGAACCAGGCTCATTCATGTAGTGAACCCCGGTGCTATATAAGCCATTGGACTTTTCTCTTCCTGTCTGAGCTTCTAAAATTCTTTCCTAAATACTTGAATCAATACGAATAGAAGAATTTCCATATTCAAACATTCTACCATGGCAGCAACATCTGCGGCGGCGCCTGCAGCACTTGTTGCAGCACTTGTTAAACGACCTTGGAAGCTGTTAACCATAACTAGTCCTGGCAACTATTATTCATATGCTGAAAGTACTTGGATGGAATTCCATGAACCCTGCTGTGGTGTTTGTGGTTTATTTATTGAAAAAGACCCGAACGCCAAGGAATTTTTCAGAAAAGTCGATGGCTTTACTCCAGAGCAAGGTAATCCGTATTATATCAAAATTTCCCATGACGATATTCAGGGGCACCTTGCTGCCGGCGAATGTAATTGGAAGTCTATATACAGGGCCAGTAAGTTTGTTTGTCATATTTGATGTTGCTTTCCTACTTTGATATTCCCTAATTTCTAATATTTGAGTCTCGTGAATAGTCGTAATGGAAGGCCCAAATGACCCCTTTCTCAGCGGTGTGTCCTACCGTCATTCCGGTTTCTGTAAGAAAGGAGGCTACCAATTGGGCGTTCCAAGAAATAGTGACGATGTTTTTCTCGTCAGAAACGCCATTCATCCCCGTAATATTAGCTGGTTCAATAGACCTGCCCGGTGGTCTCATGAGCCATTCCCGGTGAATTGCGGCTTCCCTATCCATGAGTGTTGTTATCAGCTGCTCACCAAGTTCTATGCACCCGAGCACAAGATAAAAAGAAACACATTTCGCCTTCTTGTTGCTTTCGCGCGCGAACATTGCACCAAAATCGAAGATTTCTCCCGTTTCGGTCCACCACCGGAGGGATCCGAGGCATGGAAAACAGTCCAATACGATCCTTTGTTTATCACAAACTACTATGAGGCGCTAGAACGCTCCCTCGAGTGTTACCAACGAGGTCTACGTGATGGCGTAGTTGATAGCAACCCAGGTGTCATGACTCAGATGGGGTTCTACATTTCACCCGGTAGCTTTAGTCGAGTATCGGAGGACATTGCCCAAATGATCCTGGATTTGCTTGATGGAGCAGATTGGCGAAGACTCATTTTGGGAGCTGGGTGGAGACTATCAGCTCATTTCTGGCAGAAATATATTCCTAAATGTATGTTTGAGGTTCAAGAACTGGACTCCCGTGGGCTATATTATCAGTCTCTAGGCATGGATTTCCACAGAATGATGGAACGAAGGGACGGCATATGGCATAGAATAATGATCACCCATTATGTGGCACGCATATGGTCATATAGACACACACATTGTGTTGATACTATACAGGGGAAATTTACACCTGAGCTCCACCTATGAAATCTCGTGATTATCCTCCTGCAAACGACTTGTGCCGTGTTGTATATATGTCTTAAAACTACCTAGTAATCTAATTAGTGAGTCTAAATCTGAATGATTAGGTTTGTCTGAAGATGTTTTTGGATTCCTGTTTAGTAAGTTACTGCTACACGCGAGTCCAGTTCCACTATGCCTACCTACTTGATGCTAACAACTACCATGAACACTGATCCTCATTGGTCATCGGATAGTGCATGTCTTAGACTCATATGAACCTAGTCCATGCCACTTCAGCCATTCCTGTAGCTAACTTACTGTTTAAATGTACCTCGTAGATGATATACTGTGGCCCGAGAGCTACCTAGACAACATCTTTGATTCCCTAGGATATGACTCCTGATGATACCTCATCACAGTCAATACTCATGTCATAAATTGATAGCGATGTGTAGTGATATTGATATGAAATACTCTACTCTTGGCCGTCCACAAACGCCCCGGCGGGAGTTTCGCCGGAGCCAACGCCATCTCAATCAGTATAGAGACATTCTGATAGGGAAAATCGGATTCCAAGGCGTAAAACGGAAGTAGTGTTGGAATATCGAAACTAAAAGGAGACAAAAGATGTTCGACCATCTTAAAGAAACAAGACCGAGTGAAAATTGTTGAATTGAGGAATACCTAAGAAGATAAGGGAATATTGAGACGATAGAGGTAGGAAAAGATGAGCCAAGAAAGTTGGACGTCGCGGATGCCGCATCATCAGTCTCTCACCAACTACCCTGTTTATTAAATTCCAGTTATGACCTACTCTAGGAGGGTATCGGTCAATCGAGTGTTAGCGAGAACAAGACGGGTGCCAATTCGATACACCAAGTTAGTCAATGCAACAGACGGGTGGTTTAGGTGTACCTAGCATTGTCAATCCCATTGCAGTTGATAACATGGGAGAGCTTAGAGTACACTTGAAGCTATTTCTGTTGGGCTCTTCTCGTCATTCAGGAAAGTCTACATAGTAATGCAAGATAGGTTTCCAACGCTACTCCCACTCTGTGTAATCAAAGTATTTGCACGACCTAATTTTAGAAATTCTAGCCGATTTCTTTGATGAATCGTGAGGGAAAAGAACGACTGCTTATCCATGCCATCAATACCAGAATCTCAATATGTAATTACCGGTTCCTCCAGGAGGTGAGTGATCGAAGGTTACCATCCGCATTGAATACTCCTACACTCGAGTTGGACGAATACATCAAAGAAACCAAGTATGGACTAGCAGATTTCCGGTGAGGTAAAAGAGCATCTATCCCTAATGAAACCATCTATGAATCTCTTCGATCATGCGACGTTGAAACTCTCCGTTGATCAACTAGATGATAACCTGTCCAGGTGAGATCTGTGTAACTGATCGTAGAAAAGCTCCGAACACGACAATCTACCCGCAATGATTGACGTAGTAAATGCATCTCGTATTGAATAAATCATGATTGATCTGAAGTTCGCATCATGACTAATTCCTCCCTCGCAATGAACGTGCTGTCTCAGTCCATGCTTCCCAATAAGCAAGGTTTAGAGCTTCGGATATAGCAATCGCTCGGTTTTTACCCCGCAATATCAATACCAGAATTACACGAAAGGCGTATCATTCTTACACTTCAGGCGTGCCTCAGTTATAGAGATTCCTGATCAGTCATTGGTTCTGCTATTGAATATGACCGATTATCCCGATGTTGTCTCACTTTCTCTTGTTGGCATGGAGGGGATTGGTTGGCCAAAACCTAGAATATGCTCTCTACACGACTCTATATGAAATAACCTTACTATATGATCTTTTCGGAGAGGATAGGTCACTGATGTTGCGGTCAGCGTGTCAGTAGAACGGCGACACATCTATATATTACCCTACTGCTGCATGTCTGTTACTAATTTGCCCGTCAGCCACCTAACTATGGTTTTCTGCATTAAGTCAACAACACTGAATTCCAAAATCTCGTCTTTTATTAGCCATTCTATAGCTCAGTTTGGGCTCGTATGTCCGATCTTGGCATGCTGGTAAGTTCATCACGATAGGCAGTGGACCATCAAATCTTGATTTGACATACCTCACTACCTCACCAAGGATCTGGTTTGTCGTGTCTTAGAGAGGTGAGATCAGATCTTCGGCCGGTGCGTATAATGCAGCTGATTCGGCTTCATGCGTCATTATCTTCAGCATTAATTGGTGATAAAAACGAGGACCAACACTGACCTGTTGTCAAAACGAGGTTCGAGACATTGATGTGCAATACCAAGGACAGCTGAGCACCTGACCCTAGGAAAGGGCTGAGGCTTCAATCTCTGGTAGTAGCAAGATGGGTATAAATAGGGCAGATGAGCTCTCTTCTTGCTCATATTATAGACAGACAGCAGCAACACTCAAGTTACTTACTATTCAATCTGAATCAAAGCAATAGTATCAACTGCTCTCTTCTCAGAGTAAAGCTTTTAGTAACTGAAAAAATGCGTACCTCATTCGCCGTTCTCTGCCATTGCTGGCCTTTCTTCACTGGCCTCGGCCGTCGGTAACGCAGTTGTGATCAACTAGTGCTCATTTCCCGTCTATCTCTGGTCTGTCGGCTCTACAATCAGTCAAGAATATACTATTCAGCCAGGTAAATCCTACAGCGAGACCCTTCACACCGATCCCATCAGTGGCGGTATAGCCATCAAGATCACCACCGTTGAAAACGGTCTCTTCAATGGCTCACCTCAAACAATCTTTGCCTACACGTTGACCAATGGCCAAGTCTGGTACGACCTCTCTGATGTTTTTGGAGATCCTTTTGCGGGCAAGTCGCTCAATGTGATCCTTTCGGACACTTCGTGCCACGCTGTTTGGTCTAATGGAATACCACCTGCTGGTAGCCAGGTTAATGTGTGCCAACCAAACACCAACCTCAATTTGAAGCTTTGCTAAATAACTTTTGTTGTTTTTTTCGGTCATTTAACCTTTTTTGGGCCGCACTGTATGGTTCAACTTCGGGATATCGTGGATCAGGGCTTTTCTTGTCACTTGGGGCGGAATGAGCTTCAAAGCAAGCAACACATATCAACCATCAAGTTTTGTCTTCAGTCGGTCTTTAGCAGAATCCCTGGTATATTTCAGATATGTTCAACGTTTTCTTGTTCATGGCAGAAGCCCTCATTAGCTTAGTACACGAATATTTTGCTCAAGTGTCGCAGATTGTTTCTTTCCCACTTGCGCACATACCGCTACTTACCGACGCCCTAGATAATGGATCAGTTTCCTGTTGGTCTTGACCAGTAGCCGAGTTTACAAGAAGATCCTCCCTAGTCATATGGATTATGCACGGTGTTGTTAACATCCGTAGCCGCCTCGTTTCACGTTTCTCGAGAGGAAGACAAAGTAGGGTAGAAAATACAAAAGCTGATATCCTAACAACAAATCGGCCAGAGGAGTGGCATTGCGGTGCTATAGCTTGGTTCGCTAGGTTTCATCTTTTTGGGGTGTATTTTGTTGTTTAGTCTTGAGCATGCCATGAGCAGTGAGCAACAGTCATCGCAGAACAGTCAGGTAACTATTGCACCAAACGCAACATACATGACCCCTGACCATCTATCAATGATTACCTCGTGATCCCATCTTTCCGATTGCCAGGCTCTATTCCAGGTATTCCAGCCAATTTACTGTCAGCGATCTCTCTCATTCACCATGCTAGCATCACAGTGCTATCAATTTGGAAAAGGGAGACGATAACAGACTCGACTTCGTGTTCTCGCACTCGGATTCAGCCGAACAATTTCATGACGGTTGGCAGCGAAGCTTAGCCATCTCAGCGAAGACACAAGGAGTCTTAACCAACATCACGGATTTGCAATTATTAAGCATACTAAAAGTGCGAATCCCTTGTTGCGTCGGCTGAAAGTAACTCACCTTCGCCACCTGGTAAACAATAATTGGATTCATCTATTGATTTCAAAGCCATTGTTCAGACGTATGACAAGTCCGAAAAGGGGTTGATGTCTTACCTTTTCATTGTTCGAAAGAAAATCGAATCGACTTTCGGTGTTAGGGGAATAAGAAAAAGAAACTAACGCTTTGAGAACAACAAACAATCTGAAAAAAATCTGGGCAACTTATTGTTTTTTCTTCCAACACCATGAGCATACTAACTTACGTATGGAGATATGGAACAAGTTCCACATTTTTTTCTTGCACTTGCACATCTACTTTCAGAACCAAATACGTAGGAAGAATAGGAGGCTACAAGAAGTTGATCCGGCACAAACCGAACGTGTTTATTCTCCGAGAGTTCCGTCTACATTCATCTGTACAATTATTTGGCCAAGAACGGATGCTCTATGCGACGAATCCTAGACAGCCCGGGTACAATCGTCTGACTGCGAAGTTGACCGATCTAAAATAAATCCGAAAAGCGGCGATTAAAAGCTTTGGAGTGTATCTAGCATTTTGTGTATTGATTTGACATGCTGGTAAGCGACTCAAGCACCTTCACAGGGCTTTGTATTGAAGTGATACTGGGGTATTCGTAGGCGTTGTAAAAGTGAGAGATAAATGAAGCAGACAAGACAAAAAACCAATGCGCAAATAATAGTTTCACAGCATAGTAATGAAGATCAATTCACCCTGTCCTAAAATTGCTGGTTTTTAAGGCAACACCAGCCCGAGCAAACTACATGCATTTGATGATTTGAGTGTGTAACACATGTAATCGGAGTGCAGCATATTCGCCTGTCTTCTGCCATAATAGGTAGTGCTGTCTCGGATAATATCCGAATCACAACCTGCAAGCGAAGATTCCGCAGGAGAGGCCTAAACCTTGTCTACTTTTTCTGTCCCCAGCCTCCTAGACGCAGGATGTGGTCCATGGGTCAAAGCAATAGCAAGGGACGGCGATTCGGTCGACTGCGTATGCAGACGGAGTCGCATTGCCAAAGACTCAGAGCAAGCTATTGCTAATTAGCATGTGCGCTGGCGAGATCCGGAGTAAACACATCACCTTTACAACAAACAGTTCATACACTGACTCCGCGGACGGTAGTTCTAAGTTTAACAGACACATGTTTTGACAGTTGACCTCGGGATTATGCCTTGCATACTCCAAGAATTGCATAAACTTACTTTAATTCCATTTATCGAAGTTTCTGATTCATATTTTCTCATGGATGACAGTAACGAGCCACACCTTCCTACCTATCATATGTCTCGTCCACGTTCATACGACGTCTCATTCTATCGTGCCAAAGGAGTCTGGACGAGTCGGGATGACCAGTAGTGGTAGTTTTACAATTACGATATCATCACCCCATGATAAGCCTGCGGTCAATCATCATTTTAAGAATTGGCGGACTTTCCTGTTTTTGGCAGACACTCCATGTAGATCTGACTCAAAATTGTATAGTCTTTTTTAGTTTTCTATAGTGCGAATCTACCGAGTGGGCGTCTCTCCACTTGGTCAGTGCATTTCTCCCCTCAGTTGGGGAACAGTATACGCCCCAAGCCGCTATGTCTAACAAGCGGCAATAAGTTATCCTTTAGGGCTCGCATAGGCGGCCCACCGATTCTGACTGGTCTGTTCTTTGCGGACGTTCAGGTACGCTAATCCCGTCCGGATTTGAACGGCAGTGAAGACAATGGAATAGGAAAAAGAAAAAGCAGATCATGCAGTATAATAATCTGGCTCGTGTTTAGCTGTGTGCTAAACTGTAGATCCATAGACCAGGATACTCGCTGTCGTCCATAGCTTGCCTCTTGCAACTTTGCAGCTTTACTCGGACTATCAGTTAAGAAAACCGCTCTCTTGCAGTTGAGTAACAAGCAATCAAGAACGGACCCTTGATATACAGATCCTTCAATAGTCGCCATTGAGGCTTGACTAGATTTGTGATCCGTCTGATTTGTTTGCTGTTTTCGGTCGTAACAGCGACCTACAGCCAATCTATGATAAATCGTCGGAGTCACACTCGGCGGAGGCGTGGTATGCCCACACGACGACAAGCCTAGACCATGCCCTAGATACATGAATATGCAGGTACACGCGTGTTTCTTTCTCTGGCCTTGTCTTCGATATCAGACTACTGTTCAGCCGCTCAAACACGACTGGCGGGATGTTTGTAAATGTTCTCCGTAGTTGAGCTGTACGACTTAGCAAGCTGCATACTAAGAGTAAAAATCAGTCGAATTTCGTTCGCAATCCAGACCGGTTCCAATAACTAGTCTCAACTTTAGATTCTGTGAACCCGACTCGTACAAGCCCTGAACTCTTACTGCCCGGTAGCCAATCTTGGTCCCATTCCCTTTCCCCTTTCAGGGGCCGAGAACGAGGTCTGGCTTTTTTTAGTCGTCAGGTAACTACAAAATAGGATTCATTCCCATGCTTTTGATCTTCTGTTTCTTTTCCTCAACCACACAATCACGTTCGCTCCAGTCACTCTTTCGACCCAGACCTCATCGTTCGTCGGTGTAAAGCAACCACTCGTTTTTGCGATACCCAGCGCCCACTCTTTTCTTAATATACTATCCGCTTATAACTTCTATAAAGTTAATATCTTACTAAATAATATCACAATGAAGAACTCTGTCATCCTCTCCAGCCTTGCCCTCGCGGTTTCTGTTGCTGCTCAAGACAGCCTCATCAGCATCCCTATCGGTCTCTGTGCTGGAATCCTCGGTGATGCCACCTGCAAGCAGACCACCTCCGCTCCTGGAGGATTGATCAATGTCCCTCTGAACGCTTGTGTCGCTGCTCTCGGTGACGTTAAGTGCCACCAGGCTTCCACCGCCACTGGCGACCAGGGCTCCTTGATCAGCGTTCCCATCAACATCTGCCTTGCTGTCCTCGGTGATGTCGCCTGCAACCAACAAGCTAGTGCCCCCAATGGTCTCATTGACATCCCCATCAACCTTTGCCTCGCTGTCTTGGGAGACGCCGAATGCAAGCAGGGTAACGGAGACTCCGGCTCTGGAGGTTCTGGATCTTCTGTCGTCGGTACTGCCACTGGAGTGGTCCCTACCTCTGGCGTTCCTACTGCTACTGGAGTGATCCCCACCTCTGTCGCCGGTACCGTCCCTGGAGCTGTCTCAAGCATTGCCGCTAGTGCCCCTACCGCTGCTGCTTCCACTTTCACTTCATACTCCACCATCAGCGGCCCTGCTCCTTCTAACCCCCCCGCCGCTGCTCCTCAAACCATCACCTGGTCCACCAGCACTGTCGCCGTTCCAGGAACCGCCTCTTCCTCTGCTTCCGTTGTGCCTGCTGGCTCCAGCACCGTTTATTATGTCCAGACCAGCACCTCGACCTACTGCCCCGGAAACACCGCTTCCACCACTCTCGTACCTGCTGTCAGTGGCCCTGCCGTCGCTCCTACTGGCGTCGTTCCTCACGGATCCACCAAGCCCTCGACTGGGGTGACTCCATCTTATACCGGTGCGGCAAGCCAGATGGAAATGTCCGGAATCGCCGCTGCTCTTGCTGCTATGGCTATCATTGGTTTCCAGCTATAAATGTGCGAGTTGGTTGATTTTGGTCCATTATCATTGTTCAAGCTCCCTCGTTCGTCATGTCCATAATATGAACGCTAGGTCTCGAAAATTGAAGCAATGTCTGTTTTCTGGGCGCAGTGCTCGTCTCTCCCGTGTTGGGCTATCCAGAGTATTGTCTTCCTATGGATATTTGTTTAATAATTATTGCTTTCTCGAATCGATACCCCTTCAACCATGCTTTGTTTGATACACGAATGAGCCATGCATGTGGGTTATTTTCTACCAACACCAATTTCTATATATGGAAGGCCTGTCGAAGTGATACATGTCGGACTTGCTGTACGTACATCAAACTTTTACGGTCCGTTGTCTTCTGCTATGCAATTCTTTTCAGCCATCAAAAGTATATTGCGTTTCATGTGGCTTGATTTGCAACTACTGTATTCTAGATTTTGTTTCTCTAATGTGTATGTCCCTTATCGCCTTTACGACAGCACTTATTCATGATACTTTGATTTCGACTGCTGCAAGTTTATACAACCCATTGATCCATCCATCTTCTAGTCAAGAGACTGTAAAAGAGGACTATAAAGTATATCTTAAGCAAGACCATAACTTTTCCATTTCGAGTACGAAGCTAGTTATAATTAGAGTCAATAGTCCGCGCAAACCTCAACAAATTTGTGCATCCAGGCCGTGGGGGTATAATCTACCCCGGTACCTAGGTAGGTAGTTACACCAGTTGACGCCTGGAGATTCCAGAAATAATTCATGAATTTAAATATTGAAACTTCCAGCATGAACCTCAGATTGGCCTCTTCAAACAGTCTTTCTTCCACCTAGGCACTCGATTGCATTCTAATTACATGTCACCATTCTTAGGTTTCAATTTCCGTGAGTTTCCAGATTCCAAGGTTCACTTGACGAGCGTCATGATATAACACCCAGCCCTAGAGATAAATATAACTATTCAGTCATCGAAAATTATAGACCTTTGACCTTTGGAAGTAGTATCTAAAGATATCTGAAATGCATATTCGACAATAAGGCTTTTTGACCATCACACATACGGCTAACTACAATATGTTCAATATGCAAAACCGCCAACGTTACGGGGCGGATCGTAGAATCAACTATCTAGGCATATAAGACGCTGAAGGCCAAAAGTTAGAGTTCTGCAGATATTAAACTCATGTATAGACTGAACCCTTTTTTCTTCGTTATGCAACTGAAGACGAAAATGGGAAAGTTGATAATGACATTGCTGAAAGAACGATCATAAAAGGTATTACTTAGCAATTGAGCTCAATCCATGCATGGAATATTGCATCTATAGCTGATCCATAGATTGAGAAGAGAGACCTCTAAACTCTCAGCCTGGACTTGATTCTCAATCGAACCAAATAGACTCATGCCCTAGTCTACCTATAGTCACAGCCTTGCATACTCATATATTCGCCCTCATCTCCAAACTTTGACCCCCTAGATCCTGTAGGCCTCGACTGGAAATGAGTTTGAAGTAAGGATGTTTCCATCCCTCTCAATCAAAGTTCATATACTTTGTGGTGGACAACGCACTGGTAACCTGCTGTATTCGTAGTAAGGCCTCCACAAGGTCCACAACAATATGTATTATTCTTAATTTTGTAATGAACCTGGATTTTCTCGAGCCAAGCATATATAATAGCAGTTTAAGAGCAAATCGGAGACTTCGGATACCACTAGAACAATTCCAATGTGAAGCTCGCTCCGATTCATCGACTCCACAAATAAACAAAGCTCTTATCCGATTCGGTATTTTCTCATCACTGGCCGAAATAATTTGATAAATCTTATTGCCGAGTGAGGCGAATAAAAGAGGGAGAGAAAAATCAATTCGGCGTCCCCTTGCATCGATGTCTTAGGGCTAATTGCCCGATCGGGTGTCTGTCAGGTACACACAATTTTAGCGTGCATGATCGATCAGATGTGAGCGATTGAACTACTAGTTCTACATCTGTCATGCAAGTTACTACGATTAGACTTGGATGTTTATTGGTTAATACTGGGGTGAAAATAATAGTCAATAGAGCAGTAGACAAGAAATTGGCAGTGGTGCGAGTTTATCAAGACTGATATCTCGAAGCGAGGCTAGAGGCGCCTATACTCTTATTTATTTGACGTGTGAATCTAAGGCATAAATCGGACATGAAGACAGGGGTCTTTTGCTGATACCAAGAATCAGCACTTCTTGTTAGATACTGCACTGTATGAAATTCCACTTTCTGCATGCAAAAGGGGAACTTGTCTGCACCAATCTTACCATGGCCCACAATGTTGGGAGCTACGTCTTTGGAGTTCGAAATCTATTGTGTCCAGGATTGCTCCTTACTGCATGCTCCCTGTGCTCTAGACTTTACTCATCTTGTCTGTGGCGTCTATTATTGGAATATCCATGGATATTGGCAAAATCGAGGACCCCCTCTCCCTGATGATTGGTAGTGTTGATATCCTCAGCCAGGTCTTGTTTGCTGCGAATGTGTATATATAGACTCTCCCAGTCGACCTCAGACCGTCTACCTTCATTCTGTCATCAGAAAATCAAAAGCACTTCTCTTCGTTTTACTTAATATTCACTCGTTGACCAACTCGACACTCTCGTTGATCCAATAATCACCCCATTAATTCTAACAACAACAAAATGCATTTCAACGTTGCCTGTATCACTACCTGCGTCTTCGCAGTTGCTGCTCTCGCAGTCCCCGTCGAAGTTGAGCGAAAGGTCGTTGTTGTCCGCGCTGAAGTTTGCCCTGCACCTGCACCTGCACCTGCAACCACTGCTCCTGAAGTCTCACCTTCTCCTCCGACTGCTGAATATCACTCCCCTCCTCCTGTCACTGCTCCTGCTCCACCTACAGCAACAGTCTCTAACCCTCCTCCGGCACCGCAGACTACCAGTGTCGACAACAAGCAATGCGCGGCTGGGACCACGGTTCACTGCTGTGATACCGTTGACAGCACTGACAACTCGAATGTTTTGAACCAGCTGAATGCTGCTGGTATTGATTCGCATGATGCTGAGCAGAAGGGTCAGGTTGGATTGACTTGTAAGTTTCCTAGGTTTATAGCTTGGGTTCCTTGAACTGATTTTTCTAGGCACACCCATCACTACCTCTCTCATTGACGCTCTCAATGGAAACGTTTGCCAGGGTGCAGTCACTGCTTGCTGCGAGAACACCAACCAGGTAAGTCTCCCTCATATTGTGCGTTCTTTCACATCCTAATATCGTCTCAGGTCGGCCTCGTCAACCTCAACCTCGGTTGCACCATCATCCCAGTCAACCTTTAAACCCATGACTAGATGATCTCGAGAGCAAGTAAAAAGACGAAGGCACGAATTTCACGACGTACAAGACTTCAATATAATCCTACGTGGTTTTTCGTCTTGTTCTCGCACGCATACAAAACATCCATCCAAGAGAATTCCTTTCGAACAATGTACTATTTAACTCTCTTCTTCTCGTACTTCATGTCCATCATCGGGGACTTGCATAGCCATTATTATGTCAGGCCAATCATTTTGTTATTTCATAATCTTCGATTCTTTTCTTTTGAGTTGTCTTGTTGCGACTTGAATTTTGTATTTTGAATATTGACTAGTCTTTGTTCATTTTTTATAACTAGTCAGACAGTTTTTTCAAACTATCTCGTTTGCTTGGATGGATGGATGTCTCTTATTGAGAGTGTATACCTCTTCTTCGGTGGGTCGGAATATATGCCCAAAAGACTGTAAAGTCCTTCCTTTCTGCTCATGCAAATTCCGAGGGCTTTATTAATCATTGCACCATACACTAGATATTCGGCATTCTTAACTCAACTGCAACCTTTCTTCTAGTCCTAATCAGTATTCCGACCTCTCCTTTTTGGTAAACGTGAATGTCAGCTCAATTCAGGTCTCCTCTCGTCAACGGCAGCTTTTGAACAAAGGGGGAATGATACAGATCACATGGCATGCAATTTGATATCGGCCATGAACATCCGCATACTGGTTTGAATGTATATATATCTAGCAACCTTGGAACCTGATGATTACCGCAACAGTCTTGGGGCGAAGATCATATCATAATTCATTAGAACATTCCGTAATCACCAACATCGCTAACTTAACTATCAAAAATAATACACAAAACGCTTAGTAAGAATACATCTCCGTCGGAAACGCAATCTCAAACCTCAACGCCTCCAAATCCATCCCCTCCAACAACATCGGATACCGATCAATAAACTCCGCCGTCAATCCCCAACCATCCTCCCGACTAAAAATCTGCCTAAAATCCTCCCGAATCTGCAGATTATCCTCCGCATCCCGTTCCAACATATCCTTATTCCACGGCCAGCGCACCTTCATACAACAAGACAAAAAATCAAAGACCTCCACGAAATCGAGCTCGTGCCAACGACGAATCATGTTCTCCCGCATCTTCGGCCAGATCATCATGTCGATTCCGCCGAAATGGTCCTGCTCTAGTTGGAGGGGGGTTGGATGCTGGAAGGGGACTAAGCGGGCGAAAGTAGCGGGTGTGGGCGACGCACGCCACTTGCTATAGTTGTATATGAGATATCCAATGGCGACGGTTTCGGCGTCTCGGAGCGCGCGTTGGCGGACTAGGTCGTGGATATTATTTGCCAGGTAATTTCGGCGTGTGCCGTACAACAAGTCGAGAGGAGACGGTTGCAAGGGACAGGAAGTAACCAGTTCGGGATGCGAGAACCAACGTGCGGATATCAATGGGACGACGTTTGTGTTGTTGGTATCGTAGCTGTTGCGTGGTACGCGACACCAGACTGGAACCGAGGATGATATAGCAGGCGGAGATGGCAGGTGGACGACCGGGTGTGGAGTGGGCGAGAAGTTATGTGGTAGAGAAATCGTATTGGCGAAGGAGGTTAACGCTGATATAGGTAGTGTAGCTGGTATCCCCGAATGTGCTTCCAGTTTGGGGTCGATCCTGTTCATCGTTGCCGCAGTAGCAGTGATATTCTGATAATGATTCTCAGCCCCGGGACTCGAAGAAGCCTCGTAATTGCTCTCGGAAAATGCCTGGCCGCCGCCATTAGAGAACACACCACTCGAGGATCTGAAGGCGCGTTTCTTCTCATCATTCCATTGTTTCTGATCATGCTCTTCACTTAAATCCCACGTTCCTACCATCTGGCGCAGACTCTCCTGCCGCTCGCGCAATCGATTATTCTCCCGTCGTAAGCTCTCCACTGTATCAAGTAGCTTCTGCACGTCGGGATCTTGAACTCCACTCTGATCTAATACTTCCTGTTTGGTGACTGCTCCATGATTCCTCTCGCAAAAGGCCACGCGGGCCTCGAGCTCCAGCATACGATTCTGGCGTTTTTCGCGCAACGTCTGCTGAGCTCTTCTGTCCCGCAGCCGCTTCTTCTCTGACGAAGAGAGCACGTTTGTGTTACAGGTGGAGGACATTATTTCTTTTCTTTTCTTTCCTTTGTCAAGCGTCTGTAGAATTGGCACGAGGCCGAGTCTAATATAATAGTTGCATATTGTCCATGACTATTCTGTACTGCGTAGTCTTGAGGTATTTTGTTTTCGCGAAGGTTGCGAGGTGAGGCGCTTCCCCGGATGTCCACTTCCGATTAAGCTCGCGGCACTAGCCCGGAAGAAGCTAGCCTCATCATTAAGGATGCATAAAGATCCGAGCATAACTCGGCTTTTTACGATCCGATCTGCCGCTTCTCTCGCCGACTTCCGCCTTTTTATATTGATTGACCTCCTTTTTATATTGAAACAGTTCAGCTCCTTGACGGTGGCTGACATTAATAATAGATGGGCTGATATTGAAAGCTTGAAAAATTGTCTATGATGTCAGACCGCCCGTCAGGCCACCAGCCATCAGGTCACGATCGACCCGAACCAAACCCCGGTCTAGTACTTGTCCAGATCAACAGGATACTTCTCCCTGATCACCTTGCCATACCTCGTGAAGAAGATCGGAATTGGCACAAATGCCAGTGCCAAGAACCCGAGCAACGAATTGCCCCATCCCAAACCCAACGCCTTGAACATCTGTGGCCCAGCCAGTGGCAGCAAGGCGCCGAACAACGAGCGCGTGGCGGTCAAACATGCTCCTGCTGACGCAGCGTACATCTGATATGAATCAATGACATATGTCTGAGTAGGCACGAACAACCCCATCATAGCCAGGCCATACGGAAACATGCCAATGATAGGGACAATCCAGTGGACATGTTTGTCCGCTGACCAGCCGTACCAGAAGAAACTGATGGGTGCAACGGCGGCAAAGAAAATCATCATTGGCAGCCGCATTTCAGGCTCGTACTTACCGCCGTTTCTCTCCATCAGTTTGGACACGATTCGGTCGTTGGTCAGACCAACAATCAGCACAGCGAGAAAGAAACCTGCGCCTATACCGAGATAGGCGAGACCTGCCAGTCCGGGAGAGAACCCGTATTGCGTCTCGAACACGGTAGGAATGGTGGTGAAGAACAGGTAAAGTAATCCGTAGACCAGACTCATGTATATCGACAGCAGAAAGACGATAGGGGACTTGTAAAACAAAACCACCGGCCGCTTGAGTCCTTGTATCAACACTTGGCTTGGACGGTGTTGCTCTCCAGTCTCATAACCACTACGCAAATCATCCCGACCAAGCTCCTTTGCCATTTTGCGGGTTTTCCATTGAATGAGAACACGCGCATACGTCTCGCGGTTCAATACCTCAATACCCGCTGCCAACGAACCCGCTGCAATCAGCAATACCCAAAACACCCATCGCCACCCAACTGTTTCACCAATAAATCCACCACAGATCGGACCAGCGACGGGTCCAAGCAAAGGTCCCATACTCCAAAGCGCGGTTGCTTTTGCACGTTCTCGCAGTGGAAATAAATCTGCAATGACCCCTGCACCTAAAGTGATAGAGCCAGCTCCACCAATACCGGCGAGTAATCGGAATATGATGAGTGCTGATATGTTGGGGGAGAGGGCACATCCAATCTGCCATGCGACAAAGAACCAGTTTGCGCAGCTGAGGACGATTCTGCGGCCGTAGATTTCGCTCAGAGGCGCTAGGAATAGGGTTCCGACCTACGTCTCACTTAGAATATGCTTCCCTGACGAGTTTGAACAGTACTAACCACATATCCCATCAAGAAAATAGTGACACTAAACGAAAGCAACGTCTCATTCGTCACCTTCCATTCAGCCGCCGCATTTGATGCTGCCGGCGCGAACATGCTGGACGCCAAAGGCGAGATTAACGTCATGGAACTCATGAGCGCTAATAGCGCCCATTTGCGAGTTTCCGAAAAGTTCTGAGGGTTTGCAGGATCATCTTGTCCGTCCCAGCCGACGATGCTTTTGTCGAGGTCTGTTAATGGATAGAGTTCTGCAGTGCTTGCACTTTCTTCGGCTTTGCTCTCCTCTCCATCCTCTGCGGGTTGCGGTGCTGCGTCTGTCTTATTCGAATCGGTGATAGACGGAGGGTCGACGGGCCCGGTTAATGTTTTTTCATCGCTTGAAGTACGTTGACTCTCGAGGTCTTGCATCTTGACGTCTCTCTGTTGATACTCAAGCTTTCCTCCTGATACTAAATTGCGGAATACGCTGATTATATACCAACACCAACTCTTCTAGAACTATTCCAGCCAAGATTTCACATTAGAAATCAATCTTCTGTCTGTAGTGGCGTACCTAACGTCCTAACTTACGTATATACCAAGGAATCCATTCCAAACCTTGGCTTCAGCCGTCGAGTCCCCCTGACTGTGTTCTCCATTCTGAGATACGTAAATACATACTACTAGGCCGTCGGTAGGAGTCCGACCCGCCAATACATACGTAAGTTGCATCGAATTAAAGGATGGAAAGGATAGAATTCAGCTGTTTTAAGATGTGGATCTACAGAGATTCTACTCTTATGATATTTTCCAATGGATCGAGTTTTTATACGCGGTACTCTATATCTACAAGTAAAGGTTGTACCGTGGGCCATGTGACGCTCATGATCAAGTCAACCTGCGCTCAATGTGCTGTTGTACGTGATCAATCAATCACTCAACTACAGTCCAGACAATATAGACTAGCTGAGGTGCTCGATATTTCCAAAAGGAAACTTTGTTGATTACTGATCAGTACATTAGTGACATGACTAGTATGGATCAAGTTTATGCTATCCACTAGGGCAAAACCAAGTCCATTTTTAGATCAAACTATGAGCTCCGAGGCATATAAAATTACTTATATCCCACATCTGACTGATCCTACTTCTCTAATGAACCAAAATGCGATATCTGGGATCTGCGGAGCATTTGAAGTCGAGTGGTGGGATGAGAATCGGCAAGAACCCCGAATATGCCGAATCTCCTCTCCATATCAATGGAATTACCGAGATAAGATCCGAGTCTGTTGATAGCTTGACAGACTGGCTAGCTGACTATCTATGACTCTGGTTGGCAATAAACTTGCTTTGACTCTATCGGCATATATCAGATCTTCCCGAATTTAGCTGTAGTATAAGATTACGTCCATCCTAGGATACCTGGGTACTTCTACCAATATATCAATAACTACTCTGCAGAAATTGAGCTTCATACACATCAAATAAAAATGCACCGCTCCGAAATCGAGAACCTCCCCACGACCCCAGCACACAAGGCCCGCCTCCTCAGCCGACACAACCTCGTCGAAACCACCTCAGGCCTAGCAGGCGACTACATCCAAGCCAACCTCATCGTCCTCCGCGCCGAGTATGCAGATGACTTTCGCATGCTCTGCGCTCGCAATCCTGTCCCCTGTCCAATTCTAGGCGCGACGCCAATCGGAGATCCGCATCGAATCATGCCCACCATCCCGGGGGTAACCCTGGTCGATGAGAATGATTTCGACATTCGAACTGATATCCCATCATACCATACCTTCCGCACCGTCGACTGCTCCAAGAACGGGGGAAAGAAGAAGAAAGTGCTAATCGAAACAAAACCCACCCTCCTCTCCGACTGGACAACCGAACACATCGCCTTCCTAATCGGCTGCTCCTTCTCCTTCGAACAAGCCCTGACCCAACAAGGTCTCAAAATCTGCCATCAAGTACAGAACAAGACGGTCGCAATGTATCGATCCTCCATCCCGTTACTGCCAGCGGGGATATTTCATGGAAGTAGTTTTGTGGTTAGTATGCGTCTTTACCGACCTGAGCAACTGGAGGAGGTTAGGAATGTGACCAGGCCGTATTTGGCGACTCATGGGGAACCGATTGCTTGGGGGTGGGAGGGGGCGAGGAGTATTGGGGTAGATGATGTTGGCAAAGTGGATTATGGGGATGTGCAGGTTGTGAGGGATGGGGAGATTCCTGTCTTTTGGGTATGTGTATTCATCAATTCTTCTTGAGTGACTGTTTAGGGCTAATGATGACAGGGCTGCGGAGTAACACCGCAATTCGCCGTTGAAAAAGCTCTTGAGCGAAATGCCATCTCAGGCACAGTCATGTCACATAAACCAGGCCAGATGTTGGTGACGGATTGGAAGATAACTGATTTTCTGGAACAGACGAGGAAGCAGTTGGATTTAAACGGGTAATTCTATTTAAGAGTTATGATATTGTCTGGATGTGTATGATCATCTGGTATGTAATGAAAATACAAACGGCCAACCCACGGCCCGTTCCCGCGCCCACATGTCAGGCCCGCAATTGGCCCATTTGCAGTGTGAAACTGAAACGTGTACCACGTGTATTTTTCTTTACATAACTCCGTATATCCGCTCTACACGTGGTTCTCCTTTAGTGATTATCAAGGGAAGTTCCATTCTATCTACTGCCCGTTTCTGCTAAGTACGGCCCCTCCAGCATATGCACGTACATAGTATGCTGACTGCAGGATTAAAGTTCTACTTTCATACGTACTTCTGATGTGAGAGAGAAAAGAAGATTTGGGATCTCGGCGATTAAACCGCAACGGTCAGGTTGATCCCATGTTCGTACGGCCGTATACACAGCAGTATTATTAACTCGGCCCTGATTCGTCTTCATCCTTGTTTCGACGTATGAAACCGTACGGACTCGTACTGATAAATTAGGGTTGGCCACACTTTCCGCCCCCATATTCCGTCCTCCCTGGCCGGTGACAGGGATTCGAGACTGGTTTTTGAGTATTCTTCCCATTTGACATCGGCGAGCGTGCATATAAAAGACTGCAAAGTCTTTTCCTCGATTTCTTTGTTATGCAGGTTGAGTCATGATCAATGCTACATCCTTTCATTCTTTCATTCCTCCAAGGACGATGTTCCATGCTGGAAGGATTAAAGTATGCAAATAAACCTTGTGTACTCCGTATGAAGATCGGCAAGCTGAAACACCATTCATTCAATTCACCTGGGCAAAGAGACAGCCTGGCATGGAGTTTGGAGTTCCAGACCGAACTGAATTCTGACTCGTGCGTGGGCTCTAACATCGTTCAATCCCGCTCATATACAGGACTCTGCCATGCGCTTTTGACAAGTTTCAAGTACCTACGCTTTCCTCCCGTACGTACTCTGTACCGCATGTCAACCACATGCCATGTCTCATCTCTCTGCCGGCGGATCTTCAGGGGGCGGCGTTAGTGGATCTTGTCATGTTGGTTGGTCGCCAAACTCCGTCGTTAGACTTTTGACGGCATTTCACCCTGGCTAGACCATGATTGTATCCATGCTCCGTGATGTAGAAGGATTTCCAGTACGGAATAGTTAGGATGAGCACTGTGTCAGTGTCAGTTGTAGAGCAGGACAATGAAGTGTATCAACAAAGCGGCTGAGATTCAAGTTTTGACAAAGGCGTACGTTCACTAAAGAAAAGCCAAGCTTGGGGGAAAACCTGGTCTCCACTGTAATATTACACAGTAATACCATTACCACGGTACACTGCAGAACAGTTCAGCGTACTCACTCGATAACCAGATTGTGCAACAGTACAGACTCATTCTCGATCATCAGCCTACTTGGTAATATCATGCGATGAATGTACTCCATGTGTCACGAATTCCACGATCACGTATTCCTCATTCATCTTTAACCTCGTGGACTGTCTCGGTGGGCTCTTTGCCGCGTGGTGGAGAATCGACATAGTGAACTGTCTGTGCTAAGAGGACGTACTTTCTCCTTTCAGTCAAGCTATGGAGCCTGTCCCTTGCAAAAAATGAACAGCTAACCCATGAAGAGTTTAGACATTTCTTAATTGACCTGGTGCTAAGCAATTTAATCAGTCGACTCTAGCCAAGCATAGCAAAGTCTAAGCTAGTGCTCCACCACCAACCTTTCTTCGTTACTGCACAGAATGTTCTCTTCCTTTATTCTACTCCAACCTTGAACGACTGTCCTTACTACTATCGAACTCGAAACATCGGCAGTCGAGAGAGTCAACTCTCGAAGTATTCGTGAGATTTGTGCACCTTGCGGATTGTTAGAATCGATAGTAGGTGGGACAACATACAACATACGGAGGGAAAAGGAAGAAAGAAACGATCAACGAGGTGAGCTTACTATGACTATCGATCATCAATATCGATGTCCAATTCTTAAGTTCGTCCGTTTATCCATTCTGCAATTGTGCGTTCAAGCATTTCTTTATCAAGATCGAAAGAAGACATGTCTCGTCCGATCATTCCTAATTCTCCGAAGGAAAATCATGTTGCTTTTGCTGAACTTTGTTTTTTTCTTAACTGTCTTGGAGGGTCCTATCAGAATGCAATTGTTGCTGCATGGCATGGACAGGGTGACGAGCAGCGGCTGAAAGATACTACACACCATACTTGATATGTACCACATGGATATTGTCCCATCCCTTCATACTTCTGTGAAGTACCGCAATGCTTGTCTTTATTTTCTGTTCTCTTGTTTTGTACCGCTCGAACTATTTCGGTTGACTAATGCAGTTCAACGACAGATCCTAATCGCCCGCTTTAGGTTCCTCCCGTCATCCTCGTCGAAGAGCCTTGCCGATTCACAACAATTGATGCATTGCGTCGACACCAATTCCCCATATACCTACGAGCGGATGCGACGGTGAACGGGATTGACACATGTGTCGCGTATATATACAAATCACTTCGCAAACATAGACTTATCCAGCCATGGGTTGCATGAGCTCCAAAGTCGAGGTGGAGGACAAGGAGGCCGCCAGAGTCAACGCCGGTATTGAGAAACAGATCCGCAATGACAAAAAGACATATGACCGAACGGTCAAGATCCTCCTATTAGGTATGTTCACACACCTAACACGGTCTTGGCGGATGGTATCTTACAAGGACTAGGAGCTGGAGAGTCGGGCAAGTCCACCATCATCAAACAAATGCGTATCATCCACTCGGGCGGATTCCCGGAAGACGAACGCCGGCAGAATCGTGCGGTTATATACTCGAATTTGGTGGTGGCATTCAAAGTGTTGATGGAGATTATGCAAACACAGAAGATTGATTTTGAAAAGGAAAGCAATCAGGTATGGTACCGCTTATTGCTTGGTCACAGCATTAGCTCAATACTTTTTTTTAGTCTTTAGGAGATATTCTCGCCAAAACCGAAGCCGATGTTGACACCGATGAAGCATTTTCCGATTTGAGTATTAAAGAGGCGATGGTACAATTATGGAATGATCAAGGGGTTCAGCAGGCAGTTGCCCGAGGGCATGAATTTGCGCTTCACGATAATTTGCATTAGTATGTCTGCCAGAGTCAATTGATGAAACGATACGATACTAATAGTGCAGTTTCTTCAACTCGATCGATCGTCTATTCACACCCGGCTGGTTACCCGACAACCAAGACATGCTTCATTCTCGACTTCGCACAACTGGTATCACAGAAACATTATTCGAATTAGGACAGCTTAACTTTCGCATGATGGACGTGGGAGGACAACGGTCCGAACGAAAGAAGTGGATTCACTGCTTCGAAGGTGTGCAATGTCTTCTTTTCATGGTTGCGCTATCTGGATACGATCAGTCTCTACTCGAAGATCAGAACGCGGTACGTCCAATCCAGCGAATCCTTTGGATGTAGCTAACATTAGTAGAATCAAATGCACGAAGCAATGATGCTCTTTGAATCTCTCGCAAACGGCGAATGGTTCAAACGCAAACCCATCATGCTCTTTTTGAATAAAATGGATCTCTTCAAAACCAAACTCCCCTTATCACCCATCAACAAACATTTCCCGGACTACAGCGGCTCGCCAACAGATTTCGACACGGCTGCAAAATATTTCGCCGATCGGTTCCGCAGTATTAATCGCATGCCTGATCGTGAGATTTATATTCATTATACCAATGCGACGGATACGACGTTGTTGAAAGCCACGATGGATTCGGTGCAGGATATGATTATTCAGAAGAATTTGCATACGCTAATCTTATGACGGTGAACGAAGCCCCAGGAGTTGTCTGCACCTGTGGGCTTCGCTATCTGTCTTCTCAATGTTCACGTGCGCCGAATTCCTCACTATATTCACATCGACATCGATCGACACGCTCTCCTTGACTTCTTTCATTGTGTTGTGAGCTCTAAGATACCTTGTCATGATTCCACGCCTCTCCTATGCTCCATACCAGCATGCGACTCGACTCGACTCTCATTGTCACGCTTCTCCTTATCTTTGACATTCTCTTCATGCAGGTCCAGGCGTCTTTCATTCTTTTCTGCTCTTCTAGCCCATTGTATATTTAATCAGCAACCTGCATGCTTTTTGACTTTGTAACATGTAGGATGATGGGTTCGTTCTGAATCCAGAGGTTATCGCAAGACACATCAATTTATATAACTAGGTATATGTAGGATGACAGTCAAAGTCATTTAAATATGGAATATAAATCAATAAATATCGCCTGATCTCTGTCATGTCCTGACTCGGAGAATAATCATTCCACTCTTGGCGCTTACATAACATACTGCACCACCTGACCGCCTTCTCGGCCCATCGCCGCAACCGAATTCGGTCACACGCTCTGATTCTTCGCCTCCCCATCGTCCTCCAGTTAACCTCAACCGAATACTCGACTCTACGAGTATTTTGGTTTTACAAAACAATGCTATCATCCTCCCTCCGTCGTGCCGTGCGCACGACGACTTCGTCCTCTTCATCAACGATCGTACCATTCCCGAATTTCCTCATTCCAACAACAACAACGGCTATTAGCAACACGGCTGGTGCTGCTGGATTTGGTCGACGAGGAGGAGCTTCCCAGCGTCGGTATTCGTCTTCTTCGAAACCGCCTGTGCCGCCGAATGATGGTTCGAGACCGATTGAGTCGTCGCAGACACCTGCTAATCCGTCTGCGGCGCGGAAGGTGAAGGATGCTGAAGGACGGAAAGATGCTGGTGGTGGAAGTGGTGCGATTGGCGTCGTCAAGTCGAGACAGGGTTCTTCGGCTGCATTATTGAATTTACCTAGTGTGCCTTCGACGCAGCATACGCCGTTGGAAGGTTGGTCTCCCTTTAAGAAAAGTTTTCAATTTCATAATGCTAACTTGGGTGAAGATATCCAGCTTGCTTCATTCTTCTCCGTCCATCGCCCCATATCAGTCAGCACATCTATCCCTCCTCCAACCAACGAAGCAGCATTTAACGCCATCTTCGACCTCAAACAATCCTCTAGACGTTCCAATCGTACCGCCGACGTCATCAACACCCTAACATCAGCCGTTGCATCAATGGAGGGCGCAATGCAGGGTCGGTCTGCCACCAATGCCGAGCAACCACCACGAATCATCCATCTAGATGATGTCGCCCTCTCAGAGGAAGATTTACATTCTTCCATCGCCGAGTTTGCAAGTCGATTGACCCCCTTTCAACCTCCCCCCGCACCTGTACCGCAGGAAGAATCTGCTGCCACGCAAGAAACCGAAGGATCCGCCGATGCGAATATACGAACATACTCGACCCTCCTCACAATCCGCGAAACGTCCTACGCAGACGGTCAACGAACATTCGAGACTTCCCTTGCGCCTTTGGTACCTACCCAGGACACCGCCTTCATTGACGAACCCGTCCCTGATGCGGGAAAGACATATATCGAGCGCACAGTAAATCGAACTATGTACACAATCTCGGTTCGAAGACAGCGAAAACTGAAAATGAAGAAACACAAGTTCAAGAAGTTGCTCAGAAAGACGAGGACGTTGAGGAGGAAGCTTGATAAGGCTTGATCCCTTCCCTTCCTCCTTACGGTCGTTTTTCGGGCTATGCGGATTGCATGAGCTTGGGAGCATGAGGCATTACAATACATAGTTAAATCTCCATATATTCATATTCACAGGCGTTTCGTTTCGTTTCGTTTCGTTTCGTTTATTACCAAACATAACGTTTGATTTATTTCTTTCTGTCGAAGTACATATCTGCTACTGTCTGATGTGTTTCGAATAGAGTATACCTATATAACCAATACCATCCATGTTGTCTCTCAAGGAATAAAACTGTGTTAACAAGCAACCAATTAAAAGCACTGGTAGGATTCAAATTCACATACAGACCTTTGGACACAGATTGGCATCGGGAAAGGAGGCCATCTCATTACACCCAAGAGAGAGGCCATAAGCCAGGTCTTGAAGGATCAAACTTGGACTCGTGGACTAATTCATACTCTTCATCAACCCTCTAAACCTGCCTCCTATTCAGGTGAAACTCTAACATCTAGTTTAAATCTACTCAATGTAATTCAAATATATATGTCAATAACGTAAAACATACCAGAACACACAAACAAACAACAACAGAAATAAAAAAGAAAAGAGAAAAGAAAAGAGAAATGATTTTCTTTGCTTTACATGAATGGCGAGAATAGACTGCATATTTTCTCTGTGTGATATAAGTTCAGTCTCGTCTAGTACGATATTCATCAGTAAGACTGCCAAGTAGCTTTGTCTCAAAGATGGGTATCGTTTATGGCTTGACTTGCACGCAAGATGCATGCACAGACATTGGGTTCAAGTGATGACGATGAATGATGCATCGAGTTTAGATATATATCCAAATCGACGTTAATCCGATTTCCAGTCACTTAACCCATCTCCAATACGTCGTGTTTAATAACATTCACCGCGTGAGCGCGAGTTCATGAGTAGAGCGACGATGAGACCGTAGAGACCTATACCCATTAGCCACATCCCATCAAAACCAGATGGAAGAAAAGAAAAAGACGAACCCAAAACTTCAGCAAAAATAAGAATAAGAATCATTCCGACATAAAGACGGGGTTGTTGAGCGGACCCACGGACACCGGCGTCTCCGACGATACCAATTGCGAAACTACACAGATCAGTTTATATCATCCACCAAGGAGGAAAGGGAGAGGGAGACAAACCCAGCAGCCAAACCAGCCAAACCAACAGCAAGGCCAGCACCAAGTTGAATGAACCCCGTATACAGAGGCAGACGTTGATTCAAATCATTCGCAATCAGCACGGAGACGACGAGACCGTAAATGGCGATAATACCAGCCATGACAATGGGGACGATGTCTATGCTATATTAGTATAGAATGGTCTGGTATTGAGAGGTGACGCACTTCGAACAATCAGATCAGGCCGGAGAACGGCCATACCGCAAACACCTACACCGGCTTTGGCGGTTCCATAGGCGGCACCGAAACAGGTGAAGACGATAGCGGAGGTGCAGCCTAGGGCGCCGAAGAAGGGCTATCAAGTGTTAGTTGTGTCGTTCTGATGTTCTAACAGGACATGGTCGAGCGATCGATTGAGGTGGTACTAACCGCGTAAACCGGACTGCACATTTCAATTATTAGCATTATGTTCAACAGGACACATTATAGTGAGATAGAGGAGCTGCCACCCAAGCGAGATCAGCTCCAAGGACAACTCACCAAAGATCAGTGGACATCTTGACGGTCTTTATAAATAGCAAACAGCCGATTTTATTTTCTGGATATCTATCGGAGCTTGAGGATATGATATCTCAAGGGTATCTCGGTAGAGCGGTGACGGAGAGGGCGGGTGATGAGGTTGATAGATAGATGAAGCCCATGCCCGTGGATGAAGGTTCTTGATTTGATCAAGCTCCCCTGTCACGTGCAATGTCTTGGCATGCATCCTCTACTCTGCGCTCTTCTATCCATTCTTTTCATATTTATTTATATATCTTAATATTTTCGTTGATAATTGCCATATGGATAAATTTGGCTTCTGAAGATTTGTTTCAAGTCACTTTGTCTCGAAGTTTACCACTACCCTACACCGATCGATTCTCCAGGACACTCTGGGCAGATCTTTATATATCGAGCCCTGGAGATACACATGGTAAGGTCGATCTCGTAGGAAAACTTGGAATTTTTCGATGGATATAAATTTTAATATTCGCCTAGAAATCATTGGAAATGAAAATATCAGACAATATAAATTTAATTATTTAGTGTGGTATTGTCATACATCTAATATACAAAGCAGCCGGCACATCAAACAATCGACAAATTTATCCTCGACCCAGGAACAGAAATCTTCGTCTCGCATTGCGCTTCCCCAGACAAGTCCTTGCGGGAATAACTTATAGCAGATTCAGACACTGCGCCAAAATGATTCTGGAGTACGGTTATATCTCCTGAAGCCGTGGGAGATGTCTCTGTCGATTCGTCGGGCGCGTCTACGCCGAATGAGTATGTAAGTGTCCTTGGTTTAGACTTAATTCTTGACGGTATGGTGTTGTCTGATTCAGAAGTCACGAAGAACTGGATATAATCTCCAGGTGGTGCTACCTGTGACAATGAGGATATGTTCTCTTCAAGGCCTAATCCTTCAAGGAAATCTGGGAAATCAGTCGCTGCGGCTGGTGTCTCTGTAGATGAAGCGAAGGTCTGATCGAGTGATGCTTCACGAGACAACCGGTTTGCGCCACCGAAAGAGACTTCTGGGTCTAGTGATAACAGACCCTGCTTCTTGCCCCAGCCTCCGCCTCCACTGACCACGCGATGAAGCTTACTTCCTTTAATCAACAAACCCTGAACATCCCGATCAGACGTGTTGGTCATAGACGAGGTTGATGGTTCCACAAGCGCCCAGACAGCGACTCTTTGATGCGGAATCCCGCGTTCATTCACGTATCTGGGGAGTTCTTTCTCCAACTCGGATGAGGCGGGAATACCTGCACTCATACCATCGTCGGTCGTCGATTTAGAAACTTGCCGTAGAATATTTCCCATGCTTGAAATGACTCGTCGACGTTGTGTCACGGGGTGAAAGGGTACATTGACGGCGCAGCATGCCTCATGGACGGGTGATGTTACGGAGCAGGAGGATAGGTCGTGGTATCCATCGAGAATATAACTGTTTGAGGGTTCGTCCCGAGTCCATCGCATCCCTAGGAGAGTTCTGTCCCTTCCGTTTCGGAATACCGTTCGCGCGAGACGTAGGCCGACTTCGTGCGATGATTGACTGCTCCTATCAACGTTTGTTGTTAGAAAGAATGCCGGTTCTTCGGAGGCGTTGCTCTTTAATCGTGCAGGCGTGGCGATTGAAGCAGTTACGTGGGAACTGTCAGCGAGTAGCAGCGATAACCCTTCTCTAGCATCGTTGTTGCCAGAGATTTTGTCCACGACAGCCGCGATTGTGTACGCAACCTTCGGCGCATCACCGGCATGGACATGATCGAGTAATGGAGTCACCCATCGGGGAAGAAGCGACCCCGTTGGCTCTGTCCATGCTGTAAACTCGGGCGATGCGAACAGTATAGGCACGGTGGTTGCTTGCGAGACAGCAAAATGAGCGAAGGAGGGAGCTATATTTTCTGGAGTCTGCAACAATAAGCTATAATCAATCAACTTCAAAGCATAGGATATGTACCACACGGTCAGGGTGCTGTGTAGTCCACGTCAGCGCCTGCCATTGACTATTCGCACGGCCAGAATTGAACTTCCGAGCTGTCGGTAGCTTGAATGCAGATCCGGACACACATTTCCGACCAGCTCCCACGAGGCTATCTCTCGCAATGGAGCTGGAAATGTACCCGATTAAATTGGGCATGGAGACATTGATGCCAGTGGCCCTTTTTTGTTGTGGTAGTCAAGCCTCAAAAAATTGTTGGAACATGATCATCATGTGATGATGACCAATGATTTTAGTCTGTAGAGTGGGGCGGTTCCCCGACACTCCGATATCTTTCCCTCTGTACGGAGTACTCCGTACATGTTGTTCTGCGCCCGCCGTCTGATTGTCAGTAAACATAGTAGGTAGCAAGGATCTAGAATCTGAGATAGATGAGCCATCCCTCAGTTTATGTAAGTTAAGTTACTTGGCTCAATTTTCAGCTGACTCTGTACTGCAGACTGCATAGCAGAGAGCAAGTCAGGTGATACACTCGGGGAACACAACAGGCTAGCCGGAAGAGATAATAATAGAGCTTTTCAATGTCCAACTGAGGCAGCAAATTCCTTGTATGAAGTCAGATCGACTGCACGTGCCGAGCCTGCCGAGTGCGGAAAACGTCTTTGTTACGCAAAAAGGCGCAGCCAGCCAATCAGAGGGCGCCGCGGCTGCATAGCTTGCGCCTCATCTGTGGCGGTACGTGCTGACTATGCTGAGGTAAGAGCGGCAATGACGTCGTCCGCGGCTTCCGTTCCAAGCAGGAACGGAAGGAGCAGACCTGGTACTTAAGCCGCTCCTCATTTCCGTCATCTTTTGCTTTCTTCCTTCCGCCAACTCTCATCACCAGCCTATTTATACCAACCCTCGTTATCGCCTCAGACAAGCACAGCTATACATAATCTCTCTCTGATTATCCAATCAACCTTCAAAATGCCTTTCACCGCTTCGTAAGTCTACCTTGTTTGCGAGCAGCCAGCGTTGCGACCGTGTGTCTACGAGTCGAGTGAAAACTCAGATGCGACCGTACGATTTTGATTGTAACGCCTGCTAACATTTCACAGCGACATCTGCAAGATCATCTTCGCCATCATCCTGCCTCCAGTGGGTGTCTTCCTGGAGCGCGGATGCGGTGCCGACTTGCTCATCAACATCTGCTTGACCATCCTGGGTTACATTCCCGGTATCATCCACGCTTTGTAAGTATTTCTCAGAAGCTGAGAGAAGCATTCAACGCTAACGTTATCGCAGGTACATCATCCTCAAGTACTAATCGACACATCCCATTTGATCATGGGTAGCGCGCTGCGAGCACGGAAACCCCGGCAACCTAGTCGAGCGAGCTGAGCTGTGTTTCTGTTCCGGCACCGAGGGGAATAATCTACGCTGCGCTTTCTTACCCCCGTTCAACCAACGCTACTCCGTCTTGGGCTAGCTCGGCAGTCTTGGCGCTGTGGCTCGTTAAATCGGTTGATTGGGTTAATTGGAACTGATTTCCCGGTCGATAACGATTACTTGATTTGCTTGATTTTGTTCGCTGCTTGCTTCTACATCTCGATGATACCAGTTTTGTTTCACATCTTTACTACTACTACTGCTACTACTACCTCTTCTTGCGCTCCGATGCACGTTATATTTGATAGGGTGTCTGGCTGAGCGAGTACGCATGGCGTTTACGCTGTCTACTATTACCATTTAGTACGACTAATTGATAATCGTATTGAGCTTATAATATTGACTGTAAGTTAGAGAGTAATTCTCGACGACCTACATCATTTGTAGCCTCATCCGAAACATACTAAGTGACAGTGAAGTCAGCCGCTTAGACAACATCGAACGGCTTGTCGATGTTTCACGTTAGCGCTTCACTTTCTCAACATGTAGTCAGAGCTTTAGTAGAATGAGATAGACTCAGCTGGCTGAAGAAGAACAGGGGAGATCTTGCCTGGCATCCGATTGACGAGGCTAAACACCCCGAGATATTGAGATATCTAATTGGCTCAGTTCCTCAGATCACATGACTTATTATCCCAGCTCAGTTAGCCCCAGAACTAAACTGGGCCATACTCCATTCTGATCATCTGATTGGTCCTCGCAAAGCGCCAGCTCTTCAACCTGGGCGCCTACCTTCCCTCCTCTGCTCTCTCCCCCATCTTCTTCAAGACCAACCACTTCTCTACGCGCTGCTCGAGGACCTGCATTCGATCCTATCGCACCGATGTCATACAGTTTCATGATGGCGCCTAGACAGAGGCAAAAGGGGAGGAATGAGGCAATGCATGGTGAATTACCCCTAGCTTCTAAGTAGGGAACCAATGGCGGTATGTTGAGATATGTTGAAGAATAGGAGGACTTCTCTTTGGAGATTTTGTTCTGTTTCGTATTTCATGTTTGGCATCCTCTTTTCTTTCGATTCTCTGTCATTCTTTTTTTTTTCTTGGTTCTTTGTGTTCCTTCTTTTTTGTTTTGCTCGTTTAGACTTCTAATTCCAGTCATTATTCATATTCTACCATTGTATATTTTCGACACGATCACTTGTTTCTGCCTGAGCGAAGGACAGTTTTACTATGTCTCATTATAGACCGTCATATTCTTCTGGGTAGTGATCTACCGCGACATATCGACTGAGCAGGTGAGTCCCTGATTCTTTCGGGCAGATGTATACTGACATTCTCAGTATGCTGGCGTCATGTCCACTATGGAGAAGCAGTGTCTTCCTCGTGTCTTTAGCCGTGTCGCGGGGACTTGGCCAAACAACCACAGCCGCTGCATATTGTAGCCCATCCACGAGCAGTGGATACCTCAGCACTATCCCGTCATGCGCTTTATACTGCGTCCAAGACTTCATCCGTACACAATATGCCGGCACCTGCTGTTCCGGGTCTCTAGACTGTCTCTGTCGGACAAATACTACCAGTGGCCTTACCCTAGGTGAAGGCGCGTTGGCATGTATAGTGGGTTCGTGTTCGTCGGAAATCATCTCGACTGCAGGCTCGGCTGCATATGAGATATGTAGCGATGTATCCGGTGCGTTGCCAGAGACGCATGCGGCAATTACGGCGACGAGGGTATCTGTTGTTACTGAGACGACTCATTTGGTCACTACAACGTCTGTGGGCAGTACAGCGCCGGCTACTAGTGTACTTGTGACGAGCACGCCTAAGAGTTCGTTGGTGACTACAAAGACAACGACAGTACCATCGACAATCACTATGCTACCTGCAACGACAATAACGACATCGACTACAACGACTAGGTCGACCTCTACATCGACCACATCAGCCGCCGCGGCCGCTAAATCATCATTAAGCTCACCCGCTGTGATCGGCGTATCGATCGCATCTGGTGTATCAGCCATATTTCTCATGGTAGTAGCAATGATTCTCTGCGGCAGAAGATTACGGCGTAGGAAGCTACGACAAGCTGCACCACAGAGTTTTGAGATTGGAGGCGAAATGAGTGAACCGCCGGATTTTACTGCTGCTGTTGTGCCGCAGTTGTTGCCGCCGACGCAGCCCTCGCATTTACCTCGGGGTACGACTACCGATATGGGTGCTGCGACTGGGCCTAATTTTCACCAGTTTCCTCCGCATCCGGTGCGAGAGCAGGGTCCTCTTGTGATTTTGACGCAGTCCAGTCCTGCAAATGGAAATGCAAACACGAATCAAGCCATGTCGCCTGAGACGGAGTATAATGCGTCTCCACAAAGTCAAACGTCGCAACGGACGATATCTCGTCTTTTACCTGAAGGAACAGCGAGACAAGGGATAGTTCCCGAGCCGTTGAGGGTTATTCGTCAGCCTGCAGCCAATACTATCAGGGTTGTAGGTGGTCCTCGACCAGCTAGTGAAGCAACCGTTATTGATGAAGATGAATCACAGCCAAGCAGCAACAGTACCTCCACCAGAAACAACATATTTGGACCGCCACTGGATAAATTGCGACGTGCATCGCGGGGAAGTCCCATGCGGGTCGTGGGACTTCCAGCTGGTCCTCGAGCGATGCTTTCTCCGTTACGGACGAGACAGCAGAATCCGTATGATAGCGGGAATTCGTATAAATGGGATAAAGAGGCTGTTCCGATTCCTGCGTCTCGCTCTCCAGGATCCAGTCTCTCTCCTGCAGAGCACGTCAATGAAGCAAGAGATTGGGGCAAACCGCAAAGAAACTTCTCGCGTCTCGGACGTGGACCACGATCACTAACGACACCCACACGAACAAATCCAAACACACCCTGGTCTCGAAATACCCTTTCCCGAAACGGCTTTGAAGTCGCGCCGGTAGATTCAAGCTACGAAACTATCATGTACGAAGATGATTATACAATGGCAGATCGCAGCAAACTCTCCATACCACGACAATCCCAGCAGCAGCAGCAACAACGATTATCACCGGTATCCGAACGAATCCCACTTCCTACAAAGTCTCCTCTTCGATACCCTGCGATCCCTCTCTCGGCAGCGATTGTACCCGCGACAGCACAGGGAATGCGTAAATCGCATGTTGCGGAGGTGTATTATGATGATTCACACGAATATCCCACGACTGTCCCACCGATACCACCACCCGAATCAAACCCGATTCAACCAAAATTCATCTATGAACTAGGGACCGGTCAACGATCCCGCTCCGCCAGTCCCACCCCCAGCAGTCCAAGCAGTCTTCTAGCTAAACGACGCGGCGAGTCCGTAGCCGATAAAATGGAGACTGAATTCAGGAGTGGAGTTCAACCGAAACCGGGAGTTGGTCGGAAGGTTGTGGTTACCAGGAACAATACTGATGAGGGTATTCAATCACCTCCATCAGCAAAGAAGCATAATATTACGCCTACGAGACGGGGCGAGGATCTTTATTTACGTGTTGATTGATTTTGCCCTTGATTTGTTTGTATAACTACCCCTTTTGTTTGTTGATCTCATTGTTTCGGTGTATATGATGACACGAGTTCATTTCTTCCTGTCTAGATCATTTCTCTTTGCTTCGCAACTTATGGTTTTTGTACTAATAATTCGACTGACCTAACCATTTCCTTCCATTTTTATCCATTGTCTTGTTGTTACGGATGTTTACTTATGTACTATACAAATGCACATATATACAATAGTACTATTCACGAGAAATGTATATATATATATACTCTACATCATCGCTGAAATGTATTCGGAGTCGCCTGTGTATAAGGTACCTAAATAAGTCCAATACGTCAGCGGCTGTCCATAGGGCTGATACTGTCCTCTAACTACACATCTAACAATATATGTGGATAGATAGATGTAACCTTCGTCATTCCTTGACTACTCGTTCATGAGAATAACTTGCTATATCTATTAATCTCTACCTAGGTAAAGGAAGGGATGGCATCATTTCTCCGAATACGCCCCAGTTGTATCATAACGCTATATCTCCCTAGGTAGTAGCCCTAAGAGTTAACTCCGACATCCTCGAGTCTACGCAGATAGCTTTGAGGCAGAATAAGAGTGCCTGCAAGCCACCTGCAGCCACACGCTCTTATTCCCCTGCTTGACCGTCAATCCATCCACGAAGCACTATGTAGATACATAGGAAGAGAGGGAAGTGAGATCAGACCTCGATCGGCGACGCGGGATGATGTGCCAATACCTAGCCGAATAAGTAGGATGTCATGCACGGCACCGGGGGACATGGAGCCGGTCTAATAGAATTTGCGTCGTTCTGTTTGTTAGCTGGGCAGGGGATTGTATGGGGGGACTAGGTGTACTGTGCTCCGATACGGATTACCTAGGTAAATACTCCGTAGATGACCGAGTCAGATATACCGCACTCGATGTTTCTGGGGGGTCTGATGCAGATGAAACTCATACCTCCGAGATACGCAGTTGTACGCACGAGTACTCATTGGATGTTTAGGTATGATGCAGCCAACAATAATATACTCTACGAGCACGAAGCCGGTGTGTCGTCGTGCCGAATGCTGAATTCACATGCGTGCCCTGTTGATACGGAACATCAATCGACAGTCTGAGCGTTATAGCAATATGCAGAGTTGTCTTCCGATCTATAACATCCTAGATATCGTATGGAGATACGTACTCCATAGTCACGACGACCTCCGATCTCCATACTCCAGATGATAGTCCTGAACACCGTACGGGGAAGTGGATACTTTCAATCCTATTCTGATCCTGACAATCCATCTGGATGGATGTAACTCGATCTCCGCAGTAATTTCCTCTACTCCGTATCCAGGGATATATGCCTCAGGCACACTAAACCAAACGTGACGTCAAATCATCCCGATAGAGCCCGACACGTTATCCCGCATCAAGACTAGTGTCAAGCAGGTTACATAATCTGACTACTGCTCTGAACCAATCATGTCAATACAAAGACAAAACAGAAGTAAATTACAGAGCGTAATTGGTGGCGGTGTCGAGGTACCCCTCTACTGATCTACCCCTCCATCAGATAAGTACTTTGTCTTTGTTTCGTATTTGATATGTACTGTGTATCTATGGAGATACTAATGCATTCTTCTTAAAGGAGTAGTCTTCTATTTTGATTTTCATTATTATTATTATTTTTATACATATATACATATATACACATACATATATACACATACATATATATACGTAATATATATTTTAGTTTGGTGAGTATTCGCGGTTATGTATGTATGTACTATGTACTTGTCGTTCGGTGTGGATTCACCCAGTCATTAGCCTGTGATTGTATTGGTTGAGTACTCCGTATTGCTCTATGTTTCAGCTTTACGAGTATTAAATGGCGCATTCAGATTGACTGTGGTCTGATAGGTGACGTTGGTATTGCTGTGACGTGTAAGTGGCTAAGCCACCGTATTTGGATTACGTGTATTTTTGAGGTCAGAGTAGATCAGTCGGCTGATTATTCATTGTAATCATCTAGTTTTATATCTGTTCTAACCTCTCTGATGCGATGCCTGTACGAGTATCCGTCAACTTCAGCGGCGTTATCACGGCGATAACGCCGCCAGATATCCTTGTCATTCAAAAGTCGAGCTATCGCTAGATGCATCAGACTCGACTCGATGTACTCCGCAAGAAGGATTCAGCTGAATGGTTAGTTGGTTACAATACACTTGCTCCACCATCGCCAGCAATTCAACAGTGTGGATATCCAGTTTCATACTATATGGATCCACCATATCAACAACTCATTGAGGCGATTGGCATTGCATTGATTGCAACACTCGGGGTCTGTCCCCGCTCTCTTTTGTCGACTTAATAACTGGCTGAATTTTATGGTGCTGATTGGTTGCTGTTCTCTCGACCAAAATTTCGACGTGCCTGAAAGAACTCATACCCGCCTCCCTGACGATAGGTATATAAGTATGGCTCCAGTCCCAGATCCACTGATGGTGATACTATCGCCTCTTCTGTTCAGTGTTCATACTTCAAAAAGGGTTGAGTTGTAGTTATTTTATCACTGCCACCCCACTGTTGCCCTTTTTCCCTTCCATCTTTCTTTCTTTTCTCTTTCCGTCATACAGCAAAGTACACAATGGCTGAAGCAGAGAAATACCTCGCGCCCGAGTCCCAACGGACTCGCCGCCTCTCCTCCATGTCCGCAACCCGCGCAGACCTCTTCTCAGGTCCCACCGTCCTCGTGCCCCCGAAACACCTCATGGCCAAACCCAGCGACGCCTTTGAAACCGCCCAATCCATAGAACTCGCAAAAAGACATTTGGACGAATCCACCACATCCTCTGAAGAGGCAACTCCTGCCTCCGGGTCACCTGTTCTCAAAGCCGTTCCTACTACAGATTCACCGGCGTGTTCTATTACGGACAAGTATGCGTTTGCGTTTGATATTGATGGGGTTCTGATTCGGGGTGGACGGGTTATTCCTGAGGCTATTGAGGCGATGAAGGTTCTTAATGGGGAGAATGAGTTTGGGATTAAAGTGTTCGTCCCTTCCTTCTTCTTTTCTTTTCCTTTTTTAATTGCAACACGCTAACGAGAATTAGCCCGTATATATTCGTCACCAATGGAGGCGGCAAAACAGAAGAAGAACGCTGTCTCGACCTCAGCCGCCAACTCGAACTCGAAGTCTCCCCCGGCCAATTCATCTGCGGCCACACCCCCATGCGCGAAATGGCCGAAAAATACCACACAGTCCTTGTCATTGGTGGCGTGGGTGAAAAATGTCGTGAAGTCGCTGAAGGGTACGGTTTCAAGGACGTCATTACCCCAGGAGATATTATCAAAACAAATGCCGAAACAACGCCATTTCGTAAACTGACCGAAGAAGAATGGAAAAATTCTCGAGTGAGAGATTTTGACAAGATCAACATTGAGGCTATTTTCGTCTTTGCCGATAGTCGTGACTGGGCCGGTGACCAGCAAATCATTCTGGATCTGTTAATGTCGAAAAACGGTAGAATCGGTACTCGCTCAGAGACCTTCCAGGAAGGACCGCCAATCTACTTTTCGCATAACGACATCGTCTGGTCCACCGCCCACGACTACACACGTATCGGTATGGGTGCTCTCCGCGCTTCTCTTGAGGCTTTGTATAAAGCCGTAACGGGGAAAGAATTGACCACCATCGCATTCGGAAAACCGCAACTCGGCACCTTTGAATTCGCGACTCGTCTCCTCCGACAATGGCGCAAGGATACCCACGGCATCAACAAAGCGCCCGACACCGTCTATTTTGTGGGTGACACACCCGAATCCGATATCCGCGGCACAAATGAATATAACGCACACGCTTCCTCTGGGGATGCAGAATGGTTTTCGATCCTGGTGAAGACGGGTGTGTTTCAAGAGGGGACAATCCCGCGATATCCGCCTAATAAGATTGCAAATAACGTCCTTGATGCGGTAAAGTTTGGGATGCAGCGTGAATTCGCGAAAGCGGTCAAGGAGCATGTTATTAATGAAGCGGATAAAAGACAGATTGTCGATGATGATTCGGATGAGGCTGTTGTTTTGGAGTGATTATTATTTTTTTTCCTACTCTCTTGTCAGAGATGATTATGATTTACGGCCTTTTTTCGTTACATGCTGATGATTCCCCCCACCTTGATATATGGTCTTTTGATCTCTAGAATAGATGATCTTGTTATACAGTTAGGGTTGTTGGGTTGGCGTTTGGTCATCATTTCAGAACAATCAATACATATATTATGATTTATGAATTATCTATCTATTCTTGATACTCTCTCTGCTGTGCGTGTCTAGACTATAAATTACATCTTTCCGAGATCGATAATCTATGCAATCGGAAGATACATGAATACATGAATACAAGTAATCTACAAAGAGAAAGCCTGTGCTTATAAGAAACATATTGACAAACTCCAATCTAGTTATCCATCTATACGCCATCTACACCCTATATACACATATATACCCACCTGGACAAAAAAAAAACTACACATGAAACCCATGATCCAACCAATGTCTAACAACAGCCTTCCCCTCGGAAAACGAAGCTTTCGGCATCCGCACTATAATTGCTGCATGACTATGGCGAGCCTTGTGTATATACACGGGATATTTCTTAATTCCCAGCGCGTTCAAGGAATCGATTATTTCAAATTGGGCCGGTGTTAGGGCTAAGAGTGGGAATTGGGAGGTCTCTTCCTCTTGCGTGGTTCCTGTTTTGGGTTCGACGAGGGATTGTTGTCTTGTTTCAAGGGCATGTTCTTCGTCGTCTCGTTCGCGTTCGGAGAGGTATTCGTTTCCTTGCGCTGCATTTAGATTTTCAAAGACGTCTTCTACGGCGCCTCGGACGTCTTGGATCATTAGTGGGACGCGGTAGCGACCTGGTAGGAGATCGGTCTTGCCCTGCTCGTAGAGTTTGATGCGTTGCTGGCTGAGTATGTTCTGAATGACGGAATTGATTAAGAACAGTACCGAGGCGATGGGTAGGAATATCGACAAGAATAAATAAGAGGCCAATGTGGTATAAAACCTTTTGAACGTTTTGCTAAATTCATCGCCTCGGACTTCTTGTATTTTTGGGAGGAAATATCGATCTGGATCAATTATGACCTGCTCATATCCATCCACATAATTAATGTTTGCATTTTCGGGATCGGGGAATGGATCGATTTTCGATATGGCGGTAGTATAGAAAACAGTCGATCGATCGTTGACGATATTCGCATAGACGCTTCGATGCTTGAACTTGGCTAATCCGCGTATAAAGATGCTGTTGGGATCTGCCAGCACGCTGAGCAGGGGCTTCCCTGTCCCGCGAAAGTTGTCAATCATGAACAACTGTCTTCCGGACATTGATATCGTGCGCGCTCCCAAAACATTCCACATATGACTCGGCCATCCTTTTATGGGCGATCGAACGCCAACATGAGGAGACACAAAGGTGGTGAAATTCACAGGCTCGATTTTATCCAACGTCCCGCTAGCCTCTAGCAACCCAATCGCATACCGGGCAACTAACCCTCCTAGCGAATATCCCACAATGCTCAGTTTCTTAATTGCATGACCCTTTGCGGATAACTGCTCCAATGTATCCTCGATTTCGTGCGCAACACGCTCCCCCCCCAATTCGATGCCATCGTACGTATAAGTCCCGGAATTGCGCTGAGCAGCAAGAATATAAACCCGATCTTTACCGTGTCGTTCTCGAATCGCAGAAGCCACATAATCTAAATGTGAAGGATTCCCCCAAAGCCTTCAAGTCCCAATTAGCTTGTTGTCCCATTACGTCAGCGCTTTTATTTGGGTCGGGATGGATCGTAAAGCTTACCCATGCACGAGAACACATAGATGATCGGCTTTGCTGTCGGAGTTGTCGAAGGTATCGTCGCCCATTTCGAGGATGCGATAGTAATCGTGAGAGGATCGGTAGGAAAGGATACTTGAGACAGCAAAGGGGAGTGGGAGACTCATTTTATGGCAGCCTGAGACGACAAAGAGATGGATTCAATCGGCCAATCAGGTGTCCCGTAGCCTTGTCTGGGTGTTTGTCTTGTTTGTTCGACTAGATAATCTGCTTCTGAGCCTGTTCTTTGGACTCAGCTCACTGATGAACTTGATTCACCTCGTCGTATATATCGTCTCGATGTCGACCAGAATGAGAGTAAAGTCCAGACTGAGCTGGGTGACTGGTCTGAGGACACAAGAATGACTGGACAGCAATCCTATCACGTCAAATCGAGTCGGATTCTCAAGAGTCTCCTCGAAAGATTCTGATGATCCAATACAAGTTAAAAACACCATCGAGTTGTCTAGCGGTTTACACACCGATTTATAGTATACGAGATACCTCACATTAACGTGGACACCTTATCAACCCGGTAAATCTTTATCGGTGTGCCCAACTCTTGTTTTGGCTTCTCCACCAAAACAAAAAACTTCTGTACAACTAACTCTACCAAGCATTTCGCAAGCCTTATCTTTGGTGAAATCAAGATAAGCCTGATTCTTGAATCTTCTCCCACTCGGAGGCGCCAAGACTGGGTCTATTGGGTAGTTGTTGCACTGTCGTACCGCAGGCAGTCGGCCTTATCGACTCACCGTCTTATTCTACTTTGTGAATTGCTGCCGATAATTGTACTACCTGAAGCTACGGTAGGCAGCAAAATTTACGCGTCATGTTTGCGCCGCTTGGGTTATTCAAAGGGATTACTTGCCCGGGAGGAGCAGGTTGTGGGATATTGAATTGCATATTTCTTCATCAAGAGACAAAAGTTCGAGAAACGCAGCAAGTTCCGTGCTTGGATACTAAGACAGATGTCGAGCCGCTGGAGAAGAAGCGGAAACTAGTCCGTGGGAATGAGGAACCTGTGAGAAAACGTGCGGTTCAATCCGAGCAAAGTCGCGATGCTGCGCCCAAAGAGATCAAGGATCTTGTTTCTGCCCGGAGAAAGGTATCACCTCCCCCAGCCAGGCCAGCGACAACTAGTCCAAGTTTGAAACGAAAAGCACCGAAAGAATCTCTCAATCCGAGACTACTCAAAAAAGCGCCTGCGACTCATCCGGTGCGATCTTCGATTCTACTCAAGCTTCACGGCGCAATGAAAGTGCTGAATGAGAAAATGGCTAAACTCAAAGACCTGGAGAAGGCGTCGCTGGTCTTGACGCCGGACGAGTTGGTTGTAATGGCTTTGGACGAGGAACAGAAAACCGCGACGGAGAATTCGGCTGTGTACAGCAATGTCATCAAACTCCGAATCGTGAAATTATCGCGAATGAGTCTGGAAGAATGGGAAAAGGAAGTCGTAGCTCACCTCAATGCACGATACTATAAAATCCAAGCACCGAAACCACCTCAACCAGAACAACGATACACAACAAATCTGACAGAAGAAGAAGAAATCGAGATTGCGCGCATGCTCCGCACCGAAATCATAGGCAAAGAGCAATATGGCTACATCACTAAAATTCCCACCGAAGCCGAAATTGCAGAAGCCAAACGCGGCATCGAAGCAGCAGACGGATGGGAGAAATGTGATCGATGCGCGGGTCGGTTTCAGGTCTTTCCTGGTCGTCGTGCGGATGGAACTCTTGCCACTGGTGGGAAGTGTACATATCATCCTGGAAAAGTGTTTCGACCGCCTAGAAAGCCGACGGATCATATCACGGGTGGTCAGGCTGAGGCGTATTTTCCGTGTTGTAATGAGACGGTTGGGACGTCTGCGGGATGCACGAAAGCAGAGCATCATGTTTTTAAGGTATCAGATCCGAAACGACTGGCTGCTGTGATGCAGTTTGAGAAGACTCCGGCGAGGGATGATGATGTGTCGAGAAAGCCGGTTACATTTGACTGTGAAATGGGATATACGACACTGGGGATGGAACTTATCCGATTAACGGCACTGAGTTGGCCAAAGGGCGATACTCTGCTAGACGTATTGGTGAAGCCAATTGGAGAAATCCTCGACTTGAATTCGAGGTATTCTGGTGTTTTCCCGGAACATTTTGTGAATGCCGTCCCATACTCGAAGCCTCCACAAACAAAGCCCAAAGACGTCGAAGAGACGGCTCCCATGCAAGTCGTCGACTCTCCCGCTGCTGCACGCTCATTACTCTTTGAACTAATCGACCCCTCTACACCACTAATCGGCCACGCAATCGACAACGACTTGAATGTCGTACGTATCATTCATCCTACCATCATCGACACGGTCTTACTCTACCCTCATCCGAGAGGGTTACCGGTACGATATAGTCTGAAATATTTGAGTAAACTCCATCTTGAGCGGGATATACAAATGGGTGGTGCAAACAAGGGACACGATTCAAGAGAAGATGCATTGGCGACGGGGGATTTGGTAAGGGTTAAGGTTGTTGAGAAGGCGAGCGTTTTAAAGCGTTCATCTTAATATATATGCATGATATTGGAAGCAATTTATGGAAATAATTCCATTTCTATAATTTTTCAACCACTCAGATCTAATCATGAGTAGCATGATACCGACTAGTTACATCACGGGTATCAACTTTTTTCCCTCCATCGTCCAGTGGATCAATCCAGAACCAGTTCAAGTAATGGGTATTTGACTCCGGCAACATCAATCACTTCAGTAAAGAATCAATCGACGAGCATTTACTCCTCATCCTCATCAGCCTCGTCATTGACAACGTTGTAGAAGCGAAGCTCGTAGACACCCTTGGAGGTAGAAACGACGCGAAGCCAGTCACGGAGTTGCTGCTTCTTGAGGAACTTCTTGGTCCTGTTCCGCATAATTAGTCTTTTTGTTGCTCCATGCATGGGGAACATTAAATCGGGTGGAGGACGTACAAGTACTTCAGATACCGACCAGAGAAAGGAATGTGAGTAACAACCTCAATCTTTCCATCGCCAGACTGGGAGATTTGAACATTGTCTCCGAGGTTACCGACACGTCCCTCAACCTTGATGCGGTCGTGGAGGAACTTTTCGAAAGCGGAGACGTCGAAGATCTTGTCGCTAGCGGGCTGGCTGGCGTTGATGATGAACTATTCCCATTAGTTTATTGCCTCAAAATCTATTTTAACAAATACAGGAAGGGGGAGGGGGAAGTATTACCTTCTTGGTAACCTTTTGAGGCTTCTTGGTGCGAGCCTAATAATTGTCCGAATTCCATGATTAGCCTACTGTTCTCAAGGACAGCAAAGCGGTTTGTGGTTTAACGTACAGCGGTGGGAGCCATTGTGACTGATTTTGTCTGTCGACGAGAAGTAATTGAAGTGGAAGGGACGCAAAGAGGTGAATATCCTGCGCCTGTTGAGGAGTTTGTACTTGCTGGTGGATGATAAAATTTCCTGGCGATAATTCAATGTGGATTTAGTGGTGTCCTAATCGGGAGGGAGATAGGGCTAGGGCTTTTGATTGTCTTATCTGATTGGCGGAGAGTCTCTATGTTTGCAGTGTTTGCATGTTTGCCATGTTTGCCACCTTTTAGCCGCGCACGGACCAACATTTGGCCTATATAAACAGCGATTCCCCCCCAAAGTCTTTCCTTGCTTTCTTCTTCTTCTTTTCTTCAGCTCTCTTTGCCTTTTGGCTTAGATCAAGTGTAGTATCTGTTCTTTTCAGTTTAATCTCTGAAAGTGTTCTAAGGAACACAACATTGATTATTCTCATTTTTGGACCGAGCACTGAAGTCTCTGTGCTTGCACATGCTTCGGTGCACTGTGTCCTTGGTCTTACACTATCACCAAGTGACGCGAACACCCAACTTTTTCATTATGCGGTCGGCTTGTTCGACGGGATAGAGAAGAAGCATCCTTCGGTTCTCGATTCTATAATGGTGATGATTTTTCGTGACGAAGGCGGTGAGGATGTGATTGTCTTCGAAATGTATGTTGACTGAACTATATGTGCTGTTCTATCGTGTTGATTCTGTAGATAAGAGATATTATCGTTCTGCAGTATTTTCTATATCGTAGACGGAACAATAACCTGTCTCGCTGTCGACTATTTTTCGAGCGATGAACGAACTCTCCAGTCGTGTATCGTCTGTCGCTTAATGTTGTCTGTCAAGATCATAGCGACTTAGGGTTACATCTATCTCGCGATGGCGGTGAGGTGGCCCATTTCCTGGCAATTTACACAGAATACTGAGGTCGTTGAGATGCTCCTCGACTAAGGAAGATTCGTGCACTCCTTTTTTGGGGTCAGGCCCTTGGAATCCTTTGTTGTCTTGCAGATTTACAACCGTAATACCAGAAGGACGTTCAGACTGAATCGACGCGAGACTGCGTGGCAACATTTTGTCTTCTATTTACGACAGCCCAACCACCGATCTCGCGGTTACCCACATGACGCTTACATTCCTTAGACCAGTCATCACTGATTCTATCCCAATCACGGCGCACGCACCATGTTCTCCCTTTGCTATATCCGGAGTAATCTAAGGTCGGAGGTACTTCACTATCCTCGCAGTGAGATGAGCTGCTTTTCAGTATACTGAGAGTATGAGTCTGCACGTGCCTGCTTGAATTGCTCGTTGAAGGGACTGAGCGCTTCGATTTCGAAGTTGGACGTGGAGTTTGATCGTAGTTGTGACCAAGCTTTAGATATGTCGACATGGTATTTTGCATCGACACTAGTCTAGCTAGGAAGTCCAACCTAGTCCACAAGCCGAGCTTACTGTGGTCCCAGAAGCGTTTTGAAGCAGCTCCCGGACGGGTGCGTGTTTCACGCACATGTAAGCCTGGTGAACCATTGAATATCTGACCTTATCGACTTCAATATTATTGTCGGGTTGTAATATGAGTTCTTCCATGTGTTCCCAAGTTTTGGTTGCCAGCACCAGTCCGGGCAACCGCTGTTCCTTCAGTTTATGCTGAGTTCCACTTGAGGTTCAAATGGTTCGGAGATCATTGATCCAACTATCAATTCGACGACTCGTGTAATTGATTGACTTCGATTCAAAATCACTTGTGAGTGCTCCAACACTGTCTATATCTATGGCGCTGCCATGCTTCAGTCAAAATCATCTGAATCGACATCGGGCTGATGATGTCGCTGTGTGTACGGGAATCTCCAGGTGTTGAGTATCAACACCGGAATATTAGCTATTCCGATTCCCTGGGGATATCCCCTTTACCTGCATGTAATTATCCTTCTCCTCCCTTTTTGGAGATCAGTCATAATATTCGAATGACATCAATATTATCAGGCTCATGGGCTCTTTGGAATAGCCTTACTGCGTAATCCTGTGCTTCGTGTTATCAGGATGCAGCTAAACCAACAGTCGCCGTGGCTTCATCTCGGGAGGTAAGAAAGAATGTGCGCCGCCCAGACAATACGGGCAGCATGCTCTTTTTCTGCTGCTTCTGTCCCCTTTTGTGAGTCCATCGGTCAAAATATGAAATGACTTTTGCTTGATCAATGGGTTCCTGATTATTCTCAATGACCAGGTTTTCGTTATGATGACACTGCAACCGGCAAGTTGGGTAAATAGTTGGCGGGGTAATCAGCCAATGTACATGGCTTTTCTGCAGAGACCCCAGCCGAGTTTGGCCGAATCGTATGAGAGCCTTGATGCATGATAGATCCGTGAGAAAGAGTAGATTGAAGTATGTGCTATTGACCCGACCATGTCCCATTGGTTGTCATACTTCTTATCCGCAAGCCCACGCGGCCCACGCCTACTCTTTCAAGTCAGGACAATGATTGTGCACTTGGTGGTTCTGAATGTAAGTAGACTAAAATATGATTTACTAAAGCAACATTACTACTCTAATATAGACTGCCGATAGTTACGCTATAGTTCCCAGAGCAGCCCTGCTGGAATCTCTGCTATCACGACTTCCAAACAACTGGAGATCACTTCTTCTTGAGCGATACTTCTCTTTGGGAAAGTATATACCTTGCTAGTGCCCTAAGGTTCTCAGAATTCACAATCCTAGGAAGAGTCAACTCCACGCCAGTTTTCCTGCGAATCCAAGTACGCAATTCTACAGACACCAGGGAATCCAAACTATACCTGGACAGCGGACTGTCCGGTTCTATCTCGTCTCTCTCGATCATGGTTATGGAGGATACTCTATCCATCAAGGCATCTAGGAGATACTCCAGCGGATCACTTCCAGCTTCGACTTGTAATCGTTTTGAGCGCAAATCGCTGCCCTGGCCAGGGTCGGTGACGCCTTCGGCACGGGATTCAGCCCTAATATAATCCACCAGAGCTCTAGGGTGGAAGCACTGCCATGGTAGTGCGCTACTGTCATCCCCTCGTGCGAAGCTGAAGGAGATGGCTTTGCCGTCGCGATTCATGGAAGACGACGGTCCGATAATAGCGCCCTTGATGACGGTGCGGAGGTGTACTTCTGTCAGAATGGCGCCTAGCGATGCCTTCAATTTCTCATCTATTCCGTGATCAGCTACATACCCGACACCCATGACCACGGGCAATGCAACCGAGACTGTTGGCTGTCCTAAAGAATTGCGATACTCTGCGAAGCTATCGTAGAATGACTGATGCAAGTTAGAGCGTTGCCTAAGGGGTATTTTCGAGCTAACTCACCGCAGTTCCGGAATATATTGATTGCCCGATGTTGCCACTGCCTGAAATGAATGAAGAGAGGGCAACGAAGAAATCGAGGTTGTCGGGTAATAGCTCATGGAGGTTCCATGCGCCCTGGTTACGAGGTCTCGTGATTTCTTGCCAATTTTCATATGTCGTGTTTTCCAACAATTTGTCCAATAGGAGTGTCAGTCAAACTCTTAAAAAACTCAAAAATAACCTACTCTGAGAATGAGAGCGCCGTGTACAACGCCGCTAGCTGGAGGAAGATCTTGGATGGATTGTAATGCCTGAGCGAGGTCTTCCCTAAGGCCGACATCACAAGACACGGCTCTTACATGGATGCCGGTATTTTCATATTGCTCCAATATCTTCTGGACCTCAGGCCGAGAAGAGCCACTTCGACCGAGCAAAACCAGATTACGGGCTCCATGCTCGACCATCCAAGGCACAAGGGAAAGGCCAATTCCGCCGGTACCACCAGTGATGATGTACGTCGCATCGGGACGCAGCAGTCTACCTGCTGGAACTTGAAGTGGTAGAGGACTCTCTGCGAGCACTCGTTCATCGGAATCCATCGTGAGGACAATCTTGCCTATGTTTTGACCGGACTGGAGTATGCGCATGCCAGTTGCAATCTGAGATGCGGGCAATGCTGTCACTGGATGAATAGGTACGACGACTCCACGGTTCACAAGGCCCACAAGGTCTGATAGACAGGCCCGGTGCTCGTCTGGCTTGTTCAAGAAGAACGTACGAAGGTCAACACCACTAAAGGTCACGTTCCGATCAAAGGGCCGCATGGACAAGTAGCTGTTCTGGAGCAGATCCCTCTTTCCAATCTCTACAAATCGGCCAATATCTGCGATAACTGCCCAAGTCTCCTGTAGAAGATTGCCGCTGAGGGAGTTGATTATCACGTCAACTCCTTTGCCGTCTGTGACGGAAAGAATTCCATCTCTAAAAGCGGAGGTGCGACTAGAGAAAATGTGATCTTTTGGAATGTTGAATCTCTCGTGCAGGAAACCTCTCTTGGCTGGAGAACCAGCCGTTGCAAAGATTTCGGCTTGTAAATGCTGCGCAAGCACGATACACGCTTGGCCGACGGCGCCAGAGGCAGCGTGGATTAGGATGCTCTCTCCTTTTCGGAGCCGACCAATGCGCATAATTGTCATTATTGCGGTGGAATAGGCAACTGAAATACCAGCAGCGTCCACAGTGTTGAAACCATCAGGAATCTTACAGGCCATCCACGAAGGTAACTGTATATGACTGGCAATGCTGCCTCCGTGCAGTGCCCCAAAAAACACACGATCTCCAGGCTGTAGGTTTTCAACATCACGGCCTGTCTTGAGCACGACACCAGCCCCTTCGAATCCAGGACGGGTCCAAGGGATCGAACCAAGGACGAGGAGTACATCGCGGAAGTTGACTCCTGAAGCCACAATGCGGATTAGGATGTCATCATTACCCAAGGATTGATTGAAAATGTCAGTTCTCTTGAAGTAAATGGAATCCGGACTCCCCGCAGAGTCAACTGTCATCTCATATGAGACCCCATCTTGCCACAGACTTTGCTCCTTACGAGTTGTGACCCCTGCTTCTGAAGCGAATACTTCCTTGGCCGCTGGCAGTGGCCGATAGCGAGGCAGATACATCATTCCTTCATGCCACGTAAAATCCTTATCTGTACAGTTCGCCATCTCTGGATCTTGAAGCCTTTGGGCGAGTTGCGTGATTGCAGAGACACCTTCCAGGTTGCGAGGCAGATTATCAAGAATTAACAGGTTCCTCGGCCCGGTTTCAAGGCGAACACTACGCAAAAGACCCTTGATCACGTCGTTGTCGGGGGTGTGATTCTCAGGAATAACCCACAGCAATCCTTTTATCTTCAACAGAACATTTTTACAAAGTTCGAAAGTGTCTGATGAGAAGTCTTTGAAAATACTCTGGCCAGGAGAGTCAAGAATTATGCAAAAAGGATCATCCTCTACCGTGATTTCGGCGAAAGGCTTGATGGACGTTACACAGCCTAAATGTTCACTGAGCACGTCTGAGACCATCTGAGCAAAATCTTCCTCCTCATTGTCAAGGAGAGGTCCACAGATAGTAGTCGATGCTGTCCCTCTGCTTTCTGACATGCCTACTCTTGTAGTCGATATCAGATTGAGTATATTTTCAGGGTCATCGGGAAACGCAGCGACTAAATTGTCTAATCCAGAGAAACCTCGATCACAGAGAATACTATTCCAATTATTCTCAGAAAGAAGAGGTCCTTCTGCAATGGAACGGTGTTTATCCTCGGCGAGCCACCAGCCGGGGAGCAAGGCAAAAGGCAGAACCAGAGGTGCATGCCTGCATGCCTCTATCATGACGAGCTTCCCACTCGGTTTCAAGAGACTTCGTACATGGTCAATAGTAGCGGCCATATTCGGAGTGGCATGTAGCACGTTCGAGGCTATAATTAGGTCATACTGCTCGAGACCAAAGCCCTGCTGTTCAGGGTCTTGGCTGATATCCAGCTTCTTGTATGTGATGTACCTTGACCACTTGGCCAACTTCTCGCGGGCCTTCTCGAAGAAGCCAGCTGAGATGTCAGTGTAAGTATACGTGAAAGAGTCTGGCAACTTTTCTTCGCCGCGCGACAACTCCTGAAAGACTGGGAAAGTAGCACTGCCAGTTCCAGCGCCGATTTCCAATACACGCAAGTCATACTTGACATCGGACAAATTGCGGACCCATCTCGCCAATGTCCAACTGAGACGCACATTTATCAAATCATCGTCGTAGTACTTTGATAAGCGATTATCCCTGAGCATTATTTCCAGCGCCTGAATCTCGCCCCGAAGTATTTGAGGGAGCTGTTCGCCTAGGGCACACATCATTTCACCTTGACCACCCGAGCTGGATAATTTGTCCACAAGTGCAGACGTGTCAATACCATCGAGGGACCTTTTCTGTTGTGCAACGACTGTTCTCGCCCAGTCCCTAAACCGGAAGAGGTAGGACGGAAGCTGGGAAAAGTCGCCTTGAGCAGTCTCTTGCAAAGCCCGGTCCATATAGTAAACAGCAGCCAGATTCAACATGCGTACGCGAGAAGTTTCGCGTTCATCTGCTGGTCCAATCTCAAGGATTTTTCGAAGTTTCCCATCGTCTTTGAGATGGTCCAGACTTGGAATCAGGTCCCAATAGTAGCTAACTGGCAGGTTCGAAACCGAGTCGCCACTGACTCCCGGCGTGATAGTGCGCAAGGTTACTGATTCCCATTCTGCAACTGGCACAAGCGAGTCGGAGCCTTTTAGAAACACTGCTACGCTTATTCGTATAATACCGGCTTTCACTTCGTAGTCGACGAGGCGGGTTACAACTGTCATCCTGAGCTTCTCTATCAGCGGGATTCTGTTCGAAATCTGAAGCCGACTGACGTAGTTAGGCATAAGTGCTGGCTTTGGACCATATTGTTCTAGAAGCGGACCTAAGCCCTGAAGACAACTGTCCAGCGTTGGAGTATCAACTGATACGGGAGATCCATAGGTTGAATCTTGTGACGAATCCAGGTCACGCAGCTCGTTTTCCATTACTGTCCAGCCAGGACCTTCCCATAATCCGACCATGCGTTTAAACACAGCACCGTAGTGCGTCCCTTCTCTCCCATCTCGGAGATATTCAAGCTCTGGATTGCGTTTCTTGAGCGTCTCGCTGTTAACTAGAGGTGCTGATGACTTGAATGTTGGGCTATCAATTGTCATCTCGTCCGGTCCCGCTTCTACATGGCCATGACAATGTGTCGTCCACCCATACTCTGCGGACCAAGTTAAGATCTCAAACACCCAGATGCTTGAGGAAATATTTTCTGTCCCGGTGGCTGCTGGTCTGAGTTTTGTGACTATATCAACGCGCTCATCTTCCTCAATTTCAAGGCTCCGTTTGGCGTGGAATTCCCGAACAAGTATACTTGGAGGGCAACTAGAAGCCGTTCTCCTAAAAGCCTCCATAGCTAAAGATAGGTAGCCGGTCATCGGGAATATAACATGTCCACCTACATTGTGATCTCTGATCCATGGTATTTCGTCGAGAGTGAACACCTGCCTGAAAGAAACCTCGCTGCCCTCTGTGTATGGACTCTTCCATCCAAGAAGCGGGTGGTATGGTTGGTTGGGATGCAGTTTTGCCTGTGTAATGCGCGACCGCATAAAATACCGTGTAGACTTGTCCCAAGCATATGGCGGAAGATCCTTGAGGACACGTGCATTGCGATGATCTGTCTGGTTGACAGCTGCTAACTGGAGTGTAGCACCCAGACAGAATAGGTTTTTAGAAAGGTCAAGTATCGCTTCTTCACTGTCTCTTCCTCGCTCCAGGCAAGCAACGTATGCGAATTGCTCTTGATGTTGGTCGCTCTGCTGCGGATGGAGAGCGTCAACGGTTTGTTTTATCGGACCTTGAAGAGCGGAATGCGGACCTATCTCTAGGACGACATTGAGTTGTTTGCCACGATGCTGTTCTATACTTGGAGACCTTTTGAATAGCACAGAGAAGATACTCTCAACTGCATCTGAGAATCTGACAGGTTCAAGAAGGTTTTTGACCCAGTATGAAGAATTGAGAGTGTCTACATCCATCTGACGACCAGTGACGGAAGATATGAAAACTGGTCGAGGAGCATCACTACTCTCTAGATTGACACGGACATCACAAAAACAGTCAATGGATTTCCGGTAAGATGCCGCTATATGCTCCATGTGTCGTGAATGATAAGCTACCTCAACTCGGAGTCTGCGAGCAAAGATGCCACGCGTATTTGCCATTTGATGGATACTGTCAATGGCTGACTGATCTCCAGAAAGAGTTACGCTTTGCGGACTGTTAATAGCCGCAATTGTCGCATATCCCTCCTTGTTGTCTTCCAGAAGTGTTAATGACTCATCCGCACTTATCCCAAGAGCCAACATGGCTCCCTTCCGACCCTGTTCGCTGCTGAGCTGAACGGCCAACAAACCACGAAAGTAAGCTATAGCAACCGCAGCTTCAAATGAAATCAAACCTGCGGCAAAAGCTGCAGCTATCTCTCCGCTCGAGTGTCCTGTGACTGCAGTTGCTTCGACTCCCCAAGACTTTAGCAGAAGCACTAAAGCGAGTTGGACGGCGGTACACGCAGGTTGACTAATTTCAGCCTCATTAATCCGGGATTCAGATTCCGTCTTGCGGAGTTCCTCTGCCGGACGTTAGTCTCATATGACATGCATGCTAGTGTAGAGCTAGGTACCTTTCAATGACCAGCGGGCGCCCAATTCGTGGAGATGAACTTCAACCTGTTCAATGGCGCGGCGAAAAGCACCGTATCGGTCTAATCCAGTAGCCATCTGGGCGCATCTTCTACTGGTGAGCCAACTTCGATATGTGGTACGTGGTCTTTGACTAAGAAAACGCGGGAAATAGAGGGGATACTTACTGAGCTCCTTGACCAGTGAACACAAACGCAATGATGGGGTTTCTTGCCCTCTTCTGTTTGGCGTTGGCAAGATGGGCTCTTAGGCTCGTCAAGGAATCTGCTGTGACTGCAACTCGGCAAGAGTGGTGTGTGCGTCGCTGCCCTAGTGTGTAGCTGAGGTCTTTCATAAGGGATCGTGATCCTTCCGCGCTATCAAGGTATGCCATGAATGAACCCAAATATGCGGAGAGGCTACTCTCAGACTTTGCAGAGAGCACATATAGGCGCTTCACCGCATTGTTGTCCGTGTCATCACCATTCTGAGCTTCAGGTTGGGCTCCATTTGTAAGTCTGGCATCATCGTTGAGATCAGTAACTTGTTGAAATTTACTGTTCTTAGTGACTTTAGGAGAAACTGCCGGCGCTTCGTCAAGAATAATGGCAGAGTTACTACCGCCGAATCCTGTTCAAATTATAAGCCATCCATTCTCTTACCAACACATATATCAATAGTTCTCCCTCACCGAAATTCGTTACACAAACTCTCCTTGGCTCATTAACTGGCCAAGACATTTTGGTTGGAGGAACCTGCGTCACGTCAGTATGGTTTCTTCATCAACCTTAGGATGATAGATGAGAACGTACCCTTAGTTTTTCCCTCCCTTCAATCTCTTCGTTGAATTTCTCGAAGTTGGCATTTGGCAAGATACACCCATGTTTGAGCATCATAACTGCTTTCACCACACCCAGGACTCCACTTGCACCTTCCAGGTGGCTGCCGATGTAAGTTAGATGGCGTTGGCAAATTACAAAGGAGCTGTCAGGGGCTTACCCAAAGTTGGATTTCAGTGAGCCGATGTACAGCGGATTGGACGATGTTCTCTCTTTTGCCAGTACGGTTACGAATGAACCAGCCTCGATTGGATCACTTGCGAGTTGTTCATTAGATTTTCGAGTTCGATGTGCTATTTGGCAAACTTACCCAACTTTTGTCCCAGTGCCATGTCCCTGATTGGCCTTTAGCAAATAACATTTAGGAATAGGGGTTATAAACGGTGGAATATACCTCGACAACGGGCGTTTCAGCAGGATCCAAGTCAATCTCCTGGTGAACGCGCAAAAGTAGCTTTTCCTGAGCGGATCTGCTTGGCATCGTGATTCCATCAGATCGCCCTCCATGACTGCAAGCCGAGTTGCGGATGACAGCATGGATGGGATCACCGCATCTGATTGCATCTTCGAGACGTTTCAACAATAAACACGCACTGCCTTCGCCTCGCCCGAAACCCGAGGCCCTTGCATCGTAGGAAAAAGATCTCCCTTCCAGTGATAAGGCCCTATTGAAGTACAGTGAGCCTCAAAAGCAAAAACTAAGAGTGTGTGAGTGACTATTGTACCCCATAGTATCTAGGAAACTCCACTGGCCCGGTCCCAGGAGCAAGGCAGAGCCACCTGCGAACGCTGCTTCACATTCCCCTGCATGGAGGCTCTGACAAGCCATGTGAATCGCATAAGTGCTACTCGCGCACGCAGCATCCAGAGCGATGCTTGGTCCTGAAAGATTGAAAAAGTACGACAGTCTATTTGCCAACATGCAAGGGGCAGCACCGACGCATGTCCATGTTGATGAAGCAGGCATATCTTCTCCCATCATGTGCCCATGTTCGAGAGAACCAATTGCTGAGAATACCCCCGTATTGGATCCTGCAAGGTCATGCAAACCAATTCCAGCACTTTCAGCCGCTTCTAAGGCACATTCTAACAGAATCCTTTGATGGGGATCAACAACCCGAGCTTCTTCAGCCCTAAGATTGAAGAAAGGGGCGTCAAACGCGTAGATATCATCAGGTAAGAAATGTCCTCCTTGGGCTGCGATACACCCAGCCTTGTCCTTATCCGGAAAATGAAATGCCGCATAATCAAATCTTTCTACCGGTACCTTAGACCAAGCGGATTTTGCTTCTGCCAAATATTCCCATAAGCCTTTTCGCCCGACGCCGGGAGCACGGTAAGAAAGACCTATTATAGCAATTGGAGAGTGGCCATCCATTTTGTATTGTGTGTTATGATATAATCTAGTAATTTAGTAATAATCTTGGACAGAAGAAGAGCCTCTATCCTACCGAGTTATAGAGATGGCCGCAGATGAGAACGAGAAATTTGTTACAGTCGACCATGATATACACTTTCCTAACTGGATATCTGCCATCCGCAGACTGTAGACTTTCCCTCAAGAGCTTGTCCCACGCGAACTCGCTAGAGAAACCTCTTTCATACACCTATATTTTGTTTTCATGGGTCTGTGGGTTTAACTATAGTCACTGACTTGTTGGATACTATGGCTAGACTCTGGCGTCCCCATGCGGCCGCTACTCCTTTCGTCGTAGTATTTCTCAGCAGGGACTTTCAGTACCACCTCCGTACAACTAGCGACTATTGCCCTCAAATATCGTATTAGTGAGCGTCAGGGTTACACTATTGGACCTATACGTTCCAGATCTGTTAGCTATCCTTTTATCATTTGGGCTGCTCTAGTGATAGTTACACACCTAGGTAAACCGAGATATCTACCCAAGTTAGGTAATACTGAGCTTCAAGTACCATGTTGGAATGCCAGCCATAAGTGCCTAGGGAGCCTTGATGGCAATTGAAACATGCTCCTGAAGTTTCACCATCATGCTTGTACCTTCTCTCGATTTATTGGACATGTTTATCTGCTTTGCGGGCTGTATTGTTACATTGTAGCCTTGATGTTTACGCAAGTGCTACCAAAATCAAAACTTTATGTTAGACAATCAGGCCTTGCTGTAGAGAAAGATCTCATGACAGCAATTCTGTCTTTTCCAAAATTCACATTCACATACCTAGGTATTTGTATAACTGTGCTAAATTCGTGAAATGCACTTATATAGTGTTATATAAGGTGCTGTTTAGATGCTGTATTGGATAATCGACGTGTCTTAGAGTCACCACACTTGTCACACGAAGTCTTGCACATTATTCAGTTGAGTTATGCACTATATGGGTCCATGGACTCAAGAGTCTAAGTAGAAAATTTTAGGAATCCGGCATCAGGGCCCCGGGATATATCTACAAGTTTCCGAGGTCCTTACAAAAGTGATATGCTGTTATGTCTAAGGTGCACTCTTCCTTGTGGACAATAAAGCATTATCAGCAAAGATGGAGATTTCCATGTCTACGGTAATGTCGCCACATGACGTTAATGAAGAAACGCTAGTTGAAATCTCGAAAGTGTGCAATATATCCCCTGAGCAAATAGAAGACATATACGCCTGTACACCTCTACAGATTGCCACTGTAGCTGAATCAGCCATCTTCACCCATGCCAGCATGTTCCACTTTATCTTCACGCTCTCTTCATCAATTGATATTGACCGCTTTTGCACCTCTCTTCAACAAGTTGTCTCGCTCAACGCTGTCCTACGAAGTCGCTTTGTCCACTGCCAGTACGGACTAGTACAGGTTGTCACGAGCGAGAATCACCATACAAAGCGTCTATCTGGAGATGTTGAGCAGTATTTAAGTGTGGAAAAATCGAGGCCATTGGATTTAGGAGAACCCTTGTTCCGAACTGCGATCATCGACCGCAAGTTGATCCTTACGATGCACCACGGAATCATGGACCATGCATCTATGACCCCTTTATTTAAGGAAATATTGAGTGTATACTATGGCTATGAACCCGAGAAGCGAGCTCAATACAAGGAATTTGTAGCGCAGTGCTTAGGAATCGATGAAGCTGAAGCGAAATCATTCTGGACGTCTCAATTCAAAGGCTCGCCGACTATCTTCCCCCAAGTTGACCCAGGATACGTTCCTCTCGCAACGCACGCCGAGAAGCGCAAGATATTTCTACCCCAGATGGGTACAGAAGTCCCTATTGCCCACATTCCTGCAATTATTGAGACAGCATGGACTTTAACTGCTTCTACTTATACTACGTCTGACAGTATTGCTTTTGGTATCGTTCTCTCCGGCCGAAGTGCCGCATTTCCTGCAGCGCAGACAACATTGGGACCAACAATAGCTATCGTTCCCGTTCAGGTAAACCTGCAGCATGGTATGAATATAGAAGGAATCCTTAGAGAAAGAACAGCAGCCCGTCGGCAGCTCCAGACACATCAAGCTTTGCAATATGGATTAACGAAAATTCGTGCTGTAAGTGAAGCGGCTCAAATAGCTGCGGGTTTTCAAACTTTACTCAACATTCGACCGCGCTGGTATGACTCTAAAAAGTCATCGGAAATATGTTACAATGAGATGCATGAGCCGTACGAACCTTTTGCACTTTCCCTATCATTCGATCTTGTGGATACAGAGGTCCTTGTAAATGCAGTGTCGGATCCAAATGTTTTATGTGAACGTCAGTTGGGTAGAATTCTGCATCAGCTCGAGCACTATGTACAATCGCTCATGGAAGCGTCTCGCCAAAAAAAGATTGACTTTCTGCCACGAGTGAATCCTCATGATTTGGAGGAAATTCTAGCATGGAATTGCACGGCACTACAAACAGTGACGGTGGAAAGATGCCTCCATGACCTCTATACCGCCAAAGCCCAGGAGCAGCCAACTGCTGTGGCGGTAGATGCTCACGACGGAAGCCTGAGCTACTGTGAACTGGAAGATAGGTCTAACCGCCTTGCTCACGAGTTGCGGCAAAAAGGTATATCGTCTGAGTCTACAGTTGCTTGCATTTTTGAAAAGTCTCTCTGGACGGTCGTGTCGATGATTGGAATAATGAAGGCTGGCGGAGTATGCGTCCCTATTGCTGCGTCGGATCCCCCTGCCCGAAAAGCAGCCCTCATATCTAAAGCGGACGCAAAGATGGTCTTGACCTCATCTGTTGAGCATGTAAACTTAATTGACTGTGCATCAGATGTCTTCGTTGTCAGCGCGGAGTCGGTCTCGAACCTTCCGGAGATTTCTGCCTGCTACGACTGCGGGAGAAGCTCTCCTGATAACCTCGCCTACCTTCTTTTCACAAGTGGCAGCACTGGACTACCAAAGGGAGTCATGCTAGAACATAAATCCTTAGCTTCTTCACTCTGCTGCATCATTCAACGACTCGGCTTGAATCCTCACAGTCGGACTCTGCAATTCGCCTCGTATGTGTGGGATGTCAGCATCGGTGAAATTTTTGGAACGGTTCTGTCAGGCGGATGTCTTTGCATTCCTTCCGAGGAAGCTCGTGAATCGAACCTCACTGGGTATATCCAGTCCAAAAAGGTGAACTGCGCATGGCTGACACCTACCGTTCTTCGCACTCTAGAGCCGGACGATGTGCCCAGCTTGCAGTTGCTTCTCTCGGTAGGCGAGGCGGTTTCCCCAGAAGCTTCGAGTACTTGGGGAAAATCTTTACGCCTTATAAACGGATGGGGCCCTTGCGAGGCTTCTATCCTCTCTACCATAGCGGAAATAACGCCTGATTCACCCTACCCGAAGAGCATTGGTACTCCGCTCAACTGTGCCACCTGGATAGTGAATACAAGGAACATAAATGAGATCTCTCCTATTGGTGCCGTTGGGGAGATCCTGATTGAAGGTCCCGGTGTCGCTCGGGGCTATCTGAAAGATGATGCGAAGACGAAAATATCCTTCGTCAAACCGCCTCTCTGGGCTCCAACTCGAGGAGGAACGGCACGACATTTCTACCGCACGGGAGACTTAGCTAAGTACAATATGGATGGAAGCATCCACTTTGTCGGCAGAAAGGATCACCAAGTGAAGATACGGGGCCAAAGGTTAGAGCTTGGAGAAGTAGAGAGTGTGCTTGCAGGCTGCAGCCAAGTGAGAGACGTTTTCATCACAATCAAAATATGTAAAGGCCGCACGGAACTTGTGGCTGTGGTGTCGTTGACCGATCCTCTTGTACCTGGACAGGCAATTTTACAAGAGCTAGCCAACGAATACACCAAGGTCACCATCCCACATCTCTACGCCATCAGGGAGTACGCGCAATGCAGACTACCATCTTTCATGGTGCCGACTATCTGGCTGGCAGTTGAAAGAATGCCACGAACACCATCAGCAAAGCTGGATCGAGTCTCCATCTCTGAGTGGTTGAAGACGAAGGATCTCTTGTCAGCAAAAGAAACACTAGATGTTGCGATAGAGACGCTGACGCCACCGTGCACTTCAGAAGAGAGACTACTGCAGTCGATCTGGAAGTCAATTTTGGGCATTCTAGAACGAAATATCGGGCGTGAGAGTCACTTCCGTCAACTCGGAGGTGATTCGATTCTTGCTATGCAAGCAGCAGGTCAGTGCCTGAAGCGTGGCTATAAAATCTCTGCCGGATCATTATTGAAAAGCACATCTCTAGCTGAGGTCGCCAAATCCTTAACCAAAATAGATCCCATAGGCCATGAATCTGTCGCAACACCCAAATCGTCATTCCACGATGAAGACGTGGGTAAACAAACGTCAATCTTTTGGGATTATGTCCTGGCTCGTGTTCCAGAACTTACTCGGTTGAATCGACAATTCAGAAGTGAAAACATAGAGGTCATTGTTCCAGCTACAAATGGACAGGAAGTCATGATTGCAGCTGGGGAAAGTGGAGGCAGAGGATATTATGTCCAGTTCGTGCTGGACTTCAGACCCGGCCTAGACGTCACACGAATCCGAAGAGCCTGCGGACGGGTTATTCGGCAAAACCCGATACTGCGTACTGTATTTGTTCGACATCGATCGGCTCTCTGTCAGGTTGTACTTAAAGATGTACCCCCGCAAATGGTCGTCGAAAGAAGGGAGTTCACGCCAGCGGTTTCGTTCCGTGAAGGTGTTGCCTTGGCATGCTTTCATTTGATTTCTGATGGACAGACTTGCGAGCAATTATACTTAGAGATTCATCACAGTCTATATGATGCCGTCTCTCTGAGAATGATATTTCAAGATCTTGACTCCGCATATGAGGACAAATCACTATCAGATGGGCCAAGTTTTCATTCTTGGGTATCGTACATTGAAACACTTGATCTAACCGCTTCACGAGAATTCTGGAAGGGCGTCTTAGATGGCGCTTCGATGTCGTTTTTAGTGCCACTGGTACCAGGAGCGACACGAGGTCACCCGCTGGATGAGAATATAAAAATTCGTGTTCCCATGCGAAATGTGACGATGTCGTTTGGAACACCCTCGACCGTGGTAAAAGCAGCATGGGCACTTCTCCTTTCTATCGCCTTAGGATCAAGGGAAATCGTCTTCGGAGAAGTCAGCACAAACCGCTATTTGACCTTGCTCGGAATGGACAAAGTGAGAGGGCCTTGCGTCAACCTAGTGCCAGTTAGAGCGGGCCTCAATCCGACAATGACTTTGGCCTCTTTGGTCGCCCAAATACAGGATCTTTCAATATCCGGAATACCTCACCATCACCTTGAATCCAGATCTATCATTGAGGACTGTACTTCATGGCCACGTTGGACTCGGTTCAGCACCGCCGTTGTCTATCAAAGCCATGATTATCTTCTAAAGACGTTCAGAATCGGTGGCACGAATGTTACACTTTCAACTAGTGGCAAGCTGGGAGATTCTACTGATATACACGTAGTAGCGATCGCGGGTTTTGGGGAGCTGGAAATCGAGTTACTCTATTCCTCTCTGACATTCCCGTACCAGCAAATTCAATGGATAACCCAGTGTTTCGCTAAAATCCTGGAATTTTTCCCTTCCCGCTTGCATGCGACTCTCACTCAAGTTGAAACTAGCATTCATGATGCTCTTGGTTGCTTCGCTGTGCCCCTAAGCTACAAAGTCCCACTAGGCAGTCCGAATGAGCTTCCAACATCTCCATCAGCCTCAGCACAAAACGTCGTCTTACGGGCCTGGAAAGAAGTTGGCCTGTCTTCAAAGGAGCTAGACAAAGACTCCTCAATGTGGGAATGCGGAGCCAACATTGTAACCTCTCTTCTGCTATCCGAATACTACCGTGCTTGTGGCTATGACATCAGTACTGAAGACATCATTGCCAGTCCCAGTCCGTTAATGCAGTCCTACTTGGTGGATGCCCATAATTGTGAAAATAACAAAATTGAGGATCCTATGAATGGTGTTGTTACTCATCAGAGCAGAAACGTTTCACAACAAACTGGACTGATAAATTATTCGGAAATTTCGGACGTGCATACCAGGAGTGCAGGAGAGTAGATGAAGTCGACCGGAGCCTTTCTTCCCAAGTATAACGGTTTCTTTATCTCTGAGATAAGCATGTTATTCTCCTGACCAGGTCCGGTAAAGATTCTATGTAGGCCGATGCAATTTTCGCAAACGTCCCGTTTTTATAGAGACTCTACTTCGTCTATGGCCGTGTATCCTACAATTCCGAATCTCTTTTATTTAACAATTATTGCTTAGGTCACACCGAGGCACTTTGAAATCGAACTCCAGTGGTATTGGGCAAGGTGTACTCTACTTGTCTGGATCCGAATCTACGGTAAAACATTCCAGCTACAGCTTACAGCCTACACTCTGGTTTATTTAGGGGTTCTCTAGTGCTTTGATATATAACATGTTTTTTTGAGGAGTCTCTCAGACAACTGGATGCGTGAGAAACCCATAACATTCAATTGAATTGTGATCATAGGGAGGACGATTTATGTCACCCAGTCCCAACAGCTAGTTACACAATAAGACACTAAATATAAGCACTGGGATCTTCTACGAAGCATGATATGGTCCCCTCTGGGAGTGACGACGGTCTTTTCCATGACGAATCAGATGATGCCACATATGGATGGAATCGCACCTTGTCTTCAACCTTGGAAGATATAACATTGATACCTATGTACATGTATCAGCTGGACATCTGGCGAGAACGGGGTACAAGTCCACTCCCCAACAACAGGTGTGGGCCCTAGGGTTTATTGTTTAACACTGGGGTTTCGTCCGTATCACTCCATGAGCTACGTAGTCTTTCAACGCTATGGCACTGGACGAATGATGGCATTGCATCATATTCGTAACACAATCGTGCCAGAAATGTTTGCCCGAAACAGTTTTGTGGAATGCCATTATGCTTCTAGGTCCATTACACTATTGTAAATTCTTGAGGTTCACAAACTTAGACCACGAGTCTCTAATTGAGTAGAAATGTCCTGGCTGCTCTCTAATCTCTCATTCTGGGGGGATTCACGACCTTTGCCGGCCGTGGTCTCCACGGACGAGGTCGTCCCCGTGCATTTGTTTGATGACACTGCGGCCTTACGAAAAGTGATTATGGCGTGGACTTTCCGATTGGAAGAGGTTCTGGACCCGGATATGCTGAATAATGCGTTGTCACAGCTTTTCCAGATGGAGGGATGGCGGAAGCTTAGTGGGAGATATAGGCGCCGTGTAAGAAGATGCTCACTGTGCTTTAAGTCTTATGCTGGCCAATGCTCTGTGCCAATGCTAACCGGTGTATAGGCTGACGGAAAATTGGAGATTCACATTCCACGCACTTTCACAAACGAGCGCCCACCTGTACATTTTACCAAGGAGAACCTCGACATGCGTCTAAATGAGCATCACATCGCGTCAACCTTGCCACGAGCAACGGGGAAGCTTGTCACGTTTCCGAGTCCGCGGGCATTTAACTCCATTGCATTGGGACCTGGCTCCCCTCGCAACTTCGACGACTATATACATTTAGACATTCCACAGTTCGCGCTTCACATCAAGACGTTCAAAGACGGTACCCTTGTGAGTATAATCCATTCTCATATGTCAGCCGACCTCATGGGACTTGCTGCAGTGGTTAACGCGTGGAGTCTTGTTCTGGCCGGGAAACCGGACATGGTGCCTCCATTCATTGGCCTCCACGAAGACGGGATGAAAAGCCTCTATGACCCCCAACCGAACGAGAAGCATATATTGTCCGGGAAAAAGCTGGCGGGCTGGCGACTTGCTTATTGGGGTCTATGGTCTTTGTATGAGTCATGGAGCTCCCATCTGGAGTCGAAAATTCTCTGCATTCCCAAGAACACAATGGAGAGATTGATGTTGGAATGCAGGAAAGACATCCGGCCTGAAAATAATATTGATGGTACTGCCAAAGGGTCTTTTATAAGTGAAGGTGACGTGCTAGCTGCACTATTTTGTCGAATGATAGCGCAGGATCAGCGTTTTGGTTCAACCCGTAACATTATGACCCTGATTGCTGTCGATCCTCGCTCTCGGGTGAAGTCTGTATTTAGCCAAAACTCTGTCTATGTGCAAAATTCTCCAACAGCTGTCTTCTTCAATTGCCCTGCGAAGGAAGCCCTTGAGTTGCCGTTGGGGAAATTGGCGTCACTATCCCGCGAAGCCATCATGACTCAAGCCACAGAAGAGCAGTTGAAGGCACATGCCTCTCTTTCAGCAGAGTCGGTCCGAGTGAGCCACATGAACGTGTTATTCGGTGACAAAGACATGGCATTCCAACTTGTATCAAATTGGCTCAAAGGGGATCTCTTTGATAAAATGGATTTCAGTCCTGCAATACTGAAAGAAGCGCCAGAAAATGTGCTCGGAGGGTCGCGCGGCCATCCAACATACTACCACTGCACGAATCCAGGAAGTGATGCACCTCTTCTTCTTCCTCTCTGCGTAGTCATGGGAAGGGACTACGAGGGGAATTTATGGCTGTCTTGTGTGATTCCAAAGCAAACGTGGCCAAAACTCGTGGAGCACCTACACGCCTTTGAGCACTAGGAGAAAGCTTTTCTTGGACTCTACCTATGTAAATAAGTCTTGCTGAGCGGCCCGAGAACTAACTCTTTAATTACACCGTTGATGCCAGCTGTAGTAGCCCTACCTCTGATATGCTGGAACATATTTCAACTGATATACCTTCATGTTACCCTAATAGTCGAAGACTTATTCTGTCGCTAAGATATTGCGATGAGCGTTGCAATAGCGGGTTGACTTCGACAGCCCACTCGGTTAGAAGCATGATATACGAAAATATCTCGTAGAGCTGGTCATATAATAGTGCACTGAGATTTATTTCATTTCTCCATGGTATCATACGCCTGGACATATCTGGAACGGGCAATGTGTCGGGAGCTCATTCTTACTCCAGAATGCACCGTATTTCCTAACCTATGATTCTATTTAGTAAAATGCAGAACCTCCCCTACCGCAGTTTGGGCGTTATAGATTCCTTCATTTCCATTTAAATTCACTTTAGTTTTTTTGGGCGGGAGGTGATTTTTAATTTGTCAGACTCTACTGGTCATATGTAGCCCCTTTTGTGAATTATCTATAGTTGACTCCGTCTTTACGCATGACCATTTCAGTTAACCAAAATGTTAATATGTACCTAGGTACTATGTAAGCGTGAAAGTTCGGCCGTCAAGGTAGCTCACCGTGCCCGTGTCAAATATAAATAAGACTCTGGATCCTCAGCATTGAACCAGCCGTCTCGCACTGTTCAGGTGTTCCTGGAGTGATGAGAAAAATATTTGATACAATCACCGCTATATTGAATACAAAAAGGCTCAACCGCCTTGGACTAGATATACCTAATTTCCAAAGGCAGAATACCCTATTGGCAAGAGATATATACCAAGGTAGGCGAGTCCACCGGTTGCATAACTTTAAAAACCTAGATAAATCTAGTATGTGCTAATAGGGTCCTAACTATTTTTGCCTCGGAGAGGAGTTCTCAGGCATACATTCAGGCATTGTTTACTTGATTACTGACAAAATAACCTTGTCGCTACAGATATTCTTGATTTACCTCTCTCATTTCCTTCTTCATTCTAACTTAACAACGACCTGAAACATAAACCAATCACCTGACAATATTGCATGCATTCAACCTAAAAAAATGTTCCCACAACTACTTCCCTGTCACCCACGACTGTCCATTCTCAGCCAACGTTTTCACCCTGCGTCGGTTACATTAGGTAGTTGCAGCACTGGTCATCCTCTAGGGAATTGATAAATATCAATCTCAATTGTCAGAAACCTAAGCAGTCTATGCGTTAGATAAGGAAGACAGCACATTACGTTTCAGCAGTAGACGGCCGATATCCTCTAATCTGACCGTATTTAAGGCCCAAAAGGCACCTGAGCATATAGGCCCCTAAGGTCCCCTATATATTCCCACTCGATAATATCTTGCCTTTGGAGTAGGTCCCGTCCTAACCATTCCTTTTACAGGTTTTTCTCTGCTGCATAAGTCAGAACAGATATATTCCCCCCAGGATCGTCAAATCGGAACTCGCTTCGGAGGCAAGACATCACTGGGTGGAGATATACAGGGTACTTTAGGGGCCTTCATGTAGAGGAACCTATAGTAAACGAGAATTTGAGTTGTAGATTTATAGACAAGTTCCTTGGCAGAATATAGATAAAGAAAAGCTTTGTAGACGTTACCAGAAGATCAGATGTGAGATAAACAGCTCCGAGGATGGCTTCCACAGATGTTGCCATCATATCATGAGATATTCTGGCTGTACCTGGATTCAGGTTCAGGCAGCCATCCAGCCCCATCTGGAATCTGAAGTGACCTAGGTTATCGTTTGATAGCAGGCTGTTGTGAATCTGCGTCCATTGACCTTTATTTGGAATGATTAACGGGGAAGGTTTTAAGATAAGACATATTTGGGGTACACCTTTAGTCAAGGAAGTCTCAATCCATTTACCACACAAATAACGTGTCGCAGCTGAATCACCGTACACAGCCAGGCGCGAGTTAGTGGGTAATCGAGCCCATTCATGCTGGAACATGATACCCTGTCTGGACATGTTGAGGGCTTCGAGGAATGATACGATCGCATTCTGCAATTTTGGCCTCCATTTCCACTTGCTGGGACTTTTAACAAGGTTGGTGAATGTTTTTAAGATGTGAAGAAGCAAGCAATGAAATGGTTAGAATTTGGAAAAGCGAAGAAGAGAAGAAAACAGAAATTACCGCACATTTATAGTCAGCGGACGACAGTGGCTGGTTCGCAGGAGGCTGGTATTTGCAGGAATGTTCGCGTACCTGGATTCGACATACCTTAGGAAAGGCGAGAATTTGCTTGTGTAACCAGTAAATATACGAGTCCAGTTGGATCTGTGAGAAGCATTATGTATTAGTACCCCATAGACTTAGCGTACTAAATATCATTCGTTCAGTCATATAGTGGCAGTTGCCGGTGCCCGTTGACTTCGCCATTGGGGAAAATAGTTCGGCATTGGTATTCGTTGCCCCCGCATTAACAGGCAAACATTTCAGCTTTTCCGAAAAGCGGACGAAGGAAGTGATTATCAATATATAATGTTTATTATATAGACTGAATTAAATTTTGTTTTTCTCTTTTCGTTTCTTTTTTTGCGTGTTCTGTGCTTCAAGTGACTCCTTTTTCTCTCTTGCCGCTTCTTTGCCTACCACAGTATGGGCTTATCAACTGTTGTGTCCAAGCCGAACCAAAGGACGTGGTGGAAGGATGCAGTGATTTATCAAATTTGGCCAGCAAGCTTCAAAGACTCCAATGCCGACGGTCTTGGTGATATCCAAGGCATAATTGACAGCCTCGACCATATCTGCAGCCTCGGTGTTGATGCGATATGGCTGTCTCCTATTTTTGAAAGTCCTCAAGTTGACCTAGGATACGATATTTCAAATTACGAGAGCATACATGAACCATACGGGACAATATCTGACGTGGAAACGCTTATTCGCGAATGTCATAATCGAGGGCTACGGGTATTGTTCGATCTTGTTATCAATCATACTTCAAACCAGCATGCATGGTTTAAAGAATCCCGGTCGTCAAATTCCAACGACAAACGCGACTGGTATATATGGCGTCCAGCAAAGTATGAGGACGGGCAACGAAGGCCACCAAATAACTGGCAGTCCTTTTTTGGGGGCAGTGCATGGGCATGGGACGACACAAGACAAGAATATTATCTCCACCTGTTCGCGGAAAATCAACCAGACGTCAATTGGAATTGCCAAGAGCTTCGCACGGCAATTTACCAGAGCGCTATAGTATTCTGGCTCGACAAAGGAATTGACGGTTTCCGGATAGATGCTATGGGTGTTTGGAGTAAAGATCAATCATTTCCAGATGCACCCGAAACAGATCCATCCGCTCCTTTCAATCATCAGCCCCAGACATTGGAGATTCTTCATGAGATAAATACTATTCTATCGCGGTACGGTGATATCATGACGGTGGGGGAATTCGGCAGCCTGGATGATACGTCGATCGCACTGAAATACGTTGGTGCTCGTGAAAATCGAGTGGGAATGGGCTTCCAGTTCGAAAGCGCGTGTATAGGCTACTCCCTAAGCTCCTTCGACGTGAAGCCATTCACCCTGGTTGACTTCAAAAAGCCTTTTGCTAAATGGCAGCAATTCATTACTGGTACTGACGGATGGACTACCATGTTTCTAGAAAATCATGATGTCGCACGATCTGTCTCCCGTTTCGCATCAGACCATCCCAACTTCCGAGTTGCTGCTGCCAAAATGCTGGCAATGATGCATGTCACAGCCACGGGCACGTTATTCTTATATCAGGGCCAGGAAATTGGTATGACAAACATCCCTGCTCACTGGCCCATTGAGGAGTACAAAGACATCTCAACGCAACGCTACTGGAGCTCTATGACAACAACAACAACAACAAGTGGCTCAGAAACCAACCAGATATCAGGTCGCCGGAAGCTGGCAATGGCTAATATCCTCAAAGTGGCTCGTGACCATTCCCGGACCCCTGTACAGTGGAACAACTCTGCCCATGCCGGGTTTACTACAAGCCCAAATGGGCCATGGATGCGAGTGAATGATAATTATGTTGACATCAATGTCTCTCAACAGAATCGAGACATGGATAGCGTGTTATGCTATTGGAGGAAGTTGATTGCATTACGAAGAGAATACATTGATCTTTTCGCCCACGGGGCATTTCGATATGTTAATGAGGGTAACTCTGAGATAATGAGTTATGTAAAGACATTCGACAAGCAATCTGCATTGGTTGTATTGAATTTCACGGCCATGGAACGGGTATATGAAGTACCTGAGAACTTCCGCACAATGCATTTACTCGAGACGAATTATTCAGATATGCGAGAAAGTATACTCCAGCCTTTTGAGTGTCGTTTATACGTAAACACCTCATGATCTGGTCACTCAAAACCGATGCCATAAGGATTGGCCAATTACTACTTGACATATAGTTGATAGATAGATAAAAGGATACACACATATGCATACAAATTAAACATTTTGTAAAGGATTCAATCAAAATGACGATATTACCTCATGAACCCACTAACGCCTACGAACTTGACAGTCCTGAACATTCATCTGATAGTTACTGCACTACTTTCACTATGATTTATGTTGCATAATTATAACACTCCTTCATCGTTTTCCCATTCAGCCGATATCAATGAAAGCCAATCCACACTGGCCTGCTCCCGGCCAGAGTTGATATGATCATATACCCAGGAATCTACAGATGTTTGAGGCGTTGAAGTAATTGGTTTGGATACAGCCCCGGATGATACTGATGTTGAATTGTGTTCGGTCAGGCACTGACTGAGGTTTGCGGGGCTCGCAAGTAGATCTAGTCGGATCAATGCATGTTTTGTAACACCAAAACCGGGTAGGTGAGCACGTAGTAGGGTTCGATACTTTGATAGCTTATTCATCCAGTAATCATTCTCTCCATCTAGGATTGAGTGAAGGAACATGAATATCATAAAGCTGCCCGCTATTGCAAAGTTTATTTGGGATACTATGTCTGTCGTGAGACCAAGGACGCGAAGAGAAAGACCTCTGACTTACCCGCCAACCAAAAAGCTGACCTACGAGATACTGAGAGCGCCTCTAACAGATTTACCACTGACGACGCAATCTCCATCCCGCGCTGCCGGAGTCTGGAAGCAAGGTCTACGGTCTGGGCCTCGAGATGAGAGATAATCCGCACACATGCACGATAGAGAGCTATTTGTACCGCGTAGAAGGCAAGCTCAAGCGACCCTATAATCATGTTAGAAACCATTCGAGGAGATGGGGCGGAGGGAAACAGACCTGTTGGATCGGGGAAAAGCTTTTCTCTAATCAATGGGTCCAGATGACCGGTACGCCATGTTTCTAGTTTGGCTTCAAACTCGGTACACGAATTTTCAAGCTGCTCTAATCCGATGACTGGATGCGCATGAATTTCTTTCACTGTATAGAAGGTGGAAAGAATGTCAGCTAATATGACACTCAATTCCGTCATTGCAATAAACACTTTAGCTGGGGCTTGATTATCTGGAGTAGGCAGTTCCGAGCCTTCATCTGCAAAGTCCGACAGCTTTAGCATGGCTACGTTGGCATCATTATCGTGAAGATGTGAGGGTCGCCCAAGAGCGAACGCGGTCCTACAAAGTCTTAGGCCGATTGACTAGAGTTTTGAGTATTCAGGATGGTACTTGCCATTTATCCTCGTTGAAAATTCCCCACCAGAGTCGTCTCCGCCTCCTCTTTTCCGACATGGAGATACCCCAATGTTCCGGATCAACATTCAATCCCAGGTCGTGACCAATGCCAACCAGCTATCCGACATTAGTACTACTAGCGTACGAGGAATACAGCGTAGATGCTTACACTTCCAACCTCAGAACTCATACCCGGCATCGTGGGTGCTCTGAAACATATCAACGTTCTTAGAGAGGTATTCTCCAATTGAATTATAAGGATTGGCTCACCGAATGAGGGAGGCATGCCGTTGAGCAAAAAGCAGAGCAGCTTCTACTGTTTCCAGTTTCGCAGTGTGAGTTTCAATAGGAAGAGCTTGTTTGTTGAAATCGGTGAAAAGCCACGGATCAACACATTGGGCAGGAGGATGATAAGGCTGAGCCAAACAGTAAATGGAAACCATCAGTGTTGATTCGTTAGGAATGGTAAGAGGAGTCTGTGGGCCAAGCACAGGGAATGATTTGTGAACGACATCAAAGAAAGCATTGATCAAAGCCTCACGATATGGCCCGATCACGGCTTCGATCTTGTTCTGCGGATAGTAGGTTGGACTTGCGTCCAGGTGTTCGGCCGGAAACCCCTTTACGGTGGTTAGTATGAAATATCAATTTTGAACGTTTGATGAAGGGTTACCGAAAAGTGAATCGGATAGTGGGAATTCTTGCTGACTCTCTGCCATGCCCAGTGGATGACACCCTCTCGAACAGCACCCTCTTGCGAGCGGTGTAGCAGAATAAAGGGGTCGTAGTCACCACTCGGCCCAACATATTGGAAAATATGCTCTGAGACCCTCCTTGCAGATGAAGGTATGGTGGTGTTTACACTGAAGTGATCCCTACGAGGGGAAGGATTTCGTGCTGGTGCTTTCGAGGCACGACTCTTCTCCGAAGCGTCTTTTTTCTTTTCTGTACTTGGCTCAACAACGCAGTCTAGACCACGCCTGCTACATAACGCGCAGGCCGAGTTCCCTTCTCGGACGCAGCAAACACGTCTCCGGCGACATGCGGAACAGGGCTTTTGTCTTTTGGAGCGATAAGGGCGTCCCACTACAGGGGCGTGGGCAAGCATGGCGAGTTGACTATGATTAATTCAACTCAGATCTGTAAATGAAAGAAAGAGAGAAAAAAGTAGAGCTTATTTCCACGTCACATTAGGAATAAACTTGGTCTCCATTGGGATGGTATAAGTTGTTGGGTCAGCTTATCTCAGTGGCAAGAAATTCCCCTCGCCAGTGAAACCAAAGAATTAAGATTTCTTAGCAAGTTAGGCTAGTCATTTTTAAGCTTGATATTAATTATGATACCTGAGATAAGAGGTCAAATTACTATACTAATAACCGTAGTAATAACCCTAAAAACCTCAATAATTCTAACATCTACATAATAATCTAATTCATTCAAAACTTTTTTTTTACAAAGCTCGAAACAATCGTTATTCATGACAAAATATATCTTTATAAAGTGTATATACAAAAACGTCGTAATTATGGTTACATAAATGATAACCACATTCGCCAATGCTGAAAGATAAATACTTCAGGGTTACAAGTTCGCCATTGGCATACACTCTTAAAGTTCGCCAATGCCGAAATCACGTGTTACGTATCTTGACAGAATATGAGAGTTTTTGATAACAGATATTGGAAAGTCATATGGGCTGGACTCATGATCACAGGTATGAAGATATATAGGATGACAGATCTTGCCTCGATATGGCATTGTCAATCTCCACTTCCTGTGGACTTGTGTCATAGTTACTTATCGGCATTTAACAGGGATATACTCAAGAGAAAGTCATGGACCCAGAAAAGCTGGCGACCCCCAAATCGGGGACGACAGTGAACAAGTCTTCGGAGTTACCAGCAAAGCGTGATTTCATCGATCAGGCCCGACATGCTACGGTGGACGAACATGAGATGACTCTTGGCCAAGCTTTCAAGAGATATCCAAAGGCAATATTCTGGTCTATTTTTCTCTCAACTGCTGTTATTATGGAAGGATACGACTCCGACTTGATATACAGTTTCTTTGGTCTGCCCTCCTTTGTGGAAAGATATGGCAATCTCCAATCGGACGGCACACACTCCGTTTCTGCGCCATGGCAAAATGCGTTAGGGCAAGGGATAATGATTGGACAATTCTTTGGCCTATTCGTGACTGGCTGGTTCACTGATTTATACGGATTCAAAAAGACAATTGGAGGAGCTTGTGTTGCCATCTCTGGCTTTATATTCGTTTTGTTTTTTGCCCCTAATATTGGGACACTGTTGGTGGGAGAAATTCTTCTCGGTCTTCCTCTTGGTGTCTTCCTAACGTTAACAACCGTTTATGCCACGGAGATATCTCCTCTCGCCCTGAGGCCTTATCTCACAACATACGTCAACATCTGTTGGAGTATTGGGAAGTTTTTGGCAAGCGCGGCCCTCAAAGGATATGTAAATGATCCAACCTCATGGTCTTATCGGGTTCCCTTTGCCGTTCAATGGATGTGGCCTCCCATCATTATGATTGCGGCTCTCTTCGCGCCGGAGTCTCCATGGTGGCTCGTTCGCCAAGATCGACCCGAGGATGCGCGGCGGTCTCTAGAACGCCTTTCGACAAACGCCAGCGCAGAGGACCTGGACAACATGCTAGCCGCGATGGTTCTCACGAACCAGCATGAGAAGGCCATTGAGGACGGAACATCGTACTGGGACTGCTTCAAAGGCTCTAATTTACGACGAACCGAGATTGCCTGCATGGCACAGACCATGCAACCCCTTGTTGGCTTCTCACTAGTATTATACTCGACTTATTTCTTCCAACTTAACGGGATCAGTGCGAGCGATGCTTTCAGTTTGAGTCTTGGTCAAAACGGCGTTGCCTTGGTCGCTGGGGTTGCAATCTGGTTTCTCTTTTCCAGCGTCGGTCGTCGGACTATCTATCTCTGGGGCCTTGCAGGTTGTGTGATAGTCGAATTTACGATCGGAGGACTTGGGGTCCCGGAACCGCGTAAAGCTACGTCGTGGTCAACTGGAAGCCTGATCATAGTATTCTATGCTATCTATTCGCTCTCAATCGGTCCTATGTCCTACATCCTTGGTTTCGAAGTTTCATCCACCCGTCTTCGCAGCAAGACGGCGGTTCTTGGTCGGAACGCTTATCACCTTGGATCAGTATTCAATAACACTCTAACAACGTACATGATAAATTCATCGGCGTGGAATTGGCGTGGCAAGACGGCGTTTTTTTGGGGAGGGTTTTCCCTCCTTCTTTGGATTTGGGTTTTTTTCCGATTGCCAGAGGTCAAGGATCGGTCGTTTGCGGAGTTGGACATTTTATTTGAGTCTGGAGTCCCTGCCAGGGATTTTAAGAATACTTCTGTGGAAGCATTTGTTGAAGAGAATCATTTACAGCCAACAGCCACTGTCAATTCGCTCTAAGCATTGACTATGCTGATTCAAGGCATCACTTGGCAGTCACATCAGCCATATATTTATTTGATTAATTCGGCTAAAGATATCCGGCAATAACAAGTAGGTAGAATCGAGTGACCAGGTTTACTAAAACGGCTGAGCATTTTCCTACTCTCCGTTTGGACTCATCTACCTCAAATCCAATAGGATTCCGGGTTGCCTTGTGACTCTGTCTGTTTCTGTCCATCAGACGGACGAGCGAGGAGATCGATTTTAATACGAGGCTCGATAGCTGGTAAGTTTACAGGTACGGAAGGAAAATTACTATATAATTTACTGTACATGTAATACTGATATTTAATACATCAAAGCTCACATTTTTGAATCAAACTCCACATCAAGAGTACCAACACAATGTAAGAGCCTTTAGGCCACAAAGATTGTGCTTTGATCGAAGAGATCGATTATCCATCTCCTAATTCCAGCGCCGACGAAGAGTACCACTCTCATGAGCCGCAGAGCTGGACTTAAACTTTGAAAATTTGAAGGAATGTGCTTTAATCGCACTATTAACACGTTATATTAGCGTCAGAAGGCTGACGCGCGAAAGATTCCAGGAGATCTTTTTGCTGGCGTTCGAGTGAGGCTCAGACGCGAAAGAGGAGGTAGCACGAGCAGAATACACTTGCATCGCAAGGCTAACTCGCCGCAAAGAAAGTATAGAGAAAGTGCTCAGTGAACTTGCCACTATGCGTTTATGTCAAGAGCCATACCTCAATCCCGGCGGTGGAAATCTTCTACGCACACCTACGGCCTGACAGTCCAATTAGAGCTCCGTTCGTACTAATGGAGAGGTTCCTGGCAGGCATCTCTATAAACTTCGGGATGGGGTACCCATTGATCACAAAAAAGACGTTCAGGCACAAATTGCAGAAACATTGACGCGCTTCGCGGCTTGGAATTTGTTAAGACTGGAAGTTTACAGGATAATAGGCTAAATCCGATCGTTGACACTTGCCTTCCGCTTAGCCAAGGAGGGTCTTTTAAGTCAACATTCGAACTATTTGTGTGTGTGTGTGTGTGTGTGTATGTGTATTTAATGGCCGTGGTTCGTGACTTGCACGCTTCCCACCGATCCCTGCTGGGACATAGGCCGCCGAGAGGTAAGCCTCGGGCTTCAGGTCCTATCAGATTTATATACAAATAAGAGACTCTTTGGCGCATTTCCGTAGCTGCCGTGGTCTTATAAGGAGGCCCACTTCCGAGTGGGTTTTGGGTATTTGCCAGCTGCAGTGGTCCACCTACGCTCCATGACCTATAATTCTACTACCATCGCAATTAAGCAGTGAGTTTCAAAAGAAGGAGGGAAAGAAAGAAAGAAAGAAAGAAGAAAAAGAGAGATATAAGGGGAAAGTAGGGCTGACTTAGCTAGGTTTGATATTCACGTTCCGACAGTAGTACCTAACAGAAAGGAGATGATCTCAGAAGGGGGCCCAGGAGGACAAGGGGCTCGTCTCTTAGCTATATAATAGAAGAAGAAGTGCAAAGGTGCTTTCTATGCTCCACACTAACAAAGAAGATGAGCATCATCATAATTAAAATATTCGTGATAGTCTGCAAAGTCTCCATAACCAGTATAGACTGCAATGATACAGCCAAGATTAAGTTGGTTAAGCAGAAGCTCTCTAGGACACTTAGGAGATGTAGTTATTTCTAGGTCTTGGTATGTCTGTGGTGCTACAGTCTGCTACCATGTCTGAGTAGCGGATAGGAATTAAGTCTTGGCGTATCTCTTTAGCAAGGTATATGAGGACTTGTATGGAGAGGGGGGGATAGAAGTAGCTCCTTCCTTTGCAGTGAGATTAGCCGCTTCATTCTTAGGGATTTTGATGTGTCCAGGGACCCATCGGATTTGGATTGATCCACTTTTGATGTGTGGAAGCCTTTTACGTAGTGGCCAGGCAGCTGCAAGGGTGCGAAAGGATTCAAAGACTTCTTGAGAGGATCCTATAGAGGGAGATAGGAGGCGCGTGGCAACTTCCAGGTTGTCAAGACAGATCCATAAGTTGGTAGCAAATTGAGCTGTTAGGTATGCTATTCCTGCTTAAGTACTAGCTAGGGCTGCTTCTACTTCTATGTTAAAGACCTCTTTCCTATGTCCATATAAGAGTGAGGAGTAGAGGAACTGATAGTGTGCTTGAAGTCTAATATAGCTACCCCCTACAAATCTATCTACTAGCCTAGATCTATCTGAAAAGATTACAATATCCGAGCTAGGGATGGTGTGTTGGAAAGCTATGAAATTAGCCGCTATCTGTTCCTTAGTGCATCCTATGGAAGCTCCTATTCGAGCGTGGGCATTCTCACGAGACTCGCGAGGGTGCCAGGAAGCGTATTGGAGAGGGTTTATCTATTCAGAGTTAGGGAGAGCCAGTATACAGCGGGTAAATTGGCTGGTTTGTTAGCTATTACTAGCGATCTATTCTGCACGTCTTCAAAGTGGGTGATAAGGATCAACATACTGTAGGCGGATAGTTACAAGGAGGGCTATTCGATCTAGTTCAATTTCTGGTGGAGAGAATCCAGACTCTTGATAAAGGACAGGCATTGGGGTTGTGTGGAAGACTGGAAGGACTGCTCTTGCGCCTGTTAGTATTACTTTAGTTAGTTTCTCAAGATATTCTCTAACTCGGTTTGAAGTCTAGGAAGGCCCAGGGCGAGTGCGTCCCAGCCACCAGGTTTCAGCGCCATAGTATACTTTATAGAGTATACAGGCTGATACAGCCTACTATAGTAAATGAGGTTTGACTCCTCAAATAGTATTCCCTAGAGAGCGAAGGGCATTAGCTACAGTGAGGGCTTTAGATGCTGTTTCTCTAATATGCTATTTAAATGTTAGCTTTTTGTTAAAGAGGATTCCTAGCTATTGTAGATATAGATATTTAGTGTTTTCTAATATTGTAATAGATCTAGCTTTTACTGAAGATGTGTAGGTTGGGTCCTGGTCTGCTTTATGCTAGGAGAAGTGAAGAAGCTTATATTTATCTGGTGTAAATGTAATGCCCTCTATAGCGCCCTAGTTAAGAGCTTCTTGAAGTAAGTCTGATAAGGCTTCGCAGTTAGTAGCAAGAGATGTTGAGATTGCTAGGTTGGCTGCGTTGTCCGCGTAACCAAATCTGTTCCTTAGGTTTCCTAGACGGAATAGAGGCGCTATGTAGAGTATGAAAAGAATGCCAGATACTAGGGATCCTTGTGGAAGACTGCAGGCAATGTCTGTTGAGGGGCTGATCTCCCTATCGAGTTAGATCTGAACTGATTGCCCAGTAGCGAAGGAGGCAATCCAGAGAATGAGATTGGTAGGCCAGCCCTGCTCACGTAATCTGTGGATCAGTCTGCCGGGAAGCACGGCATCAAATGCGCCTTTAACATCTAGGGTAAGGAGTGAGGCAGTCATGCCTTGATTTAGCGCTTGTTCGACATCATGTGTTAGGCATGTGGTCAGGTTAGTTATGTTACGGGCTAGTCCCGCCTAATGCTCACTATAAGGGCATACTTGAATAGAAAACATAACATGAGAAAAGGAAAGAGAAAGGAAACAACAGGTTCTTCACACGCATACAATTTTATATGGGCAAGGGGAATTAGGGGCTTCCAACATGCTTCTTCCGGGAACCCGGGGTTGCCTGATATCGTATGACTCCGGACATCGTACGACTCCGGATAGGCAATGTTGCGCAAGCATGCGGGATCTGGGAATAGCTTCATATTTAGGTTTGCCGGGATCCAGCAGATAGCGCTGTTGTCAATATTCGTGAGGGCTTCACCCAAACATACTCATGAGGTCAGCTCATAACATTACCCCCCCTTTTCAAATCTTCCTAATCATCAAGAGCGATGGTGTCCTCCAGGTTCTGTGCTGGTTACCAATCTCGTTTCACATAACCTAACCATTTAACTAAGTATTGCTGAACCTGGCCACGTTTACACTTGACGGTCCTCTCACCCTCGATTCTCTCAACTATATATTCTAATTCTCTATTGACTAAAATTCCTAGTGGCTGGTAATCTGACAGCTCCTGCGATGGAAAGGGGTTCTTGGAGGCGGGCTATAGCAGCAATATATAGAAAACGTTGTGTATCTTGCCATTAATATCCAGTCTGTAGGCATGTGTTCTAACCTTTTCTAAAACTATGAACTTAGCATGTTGGTAATCCAGTTTCTTTGACAGTCTGTCAGTATGGATATTCCGTAGGTCAAGCCAGACTTTGTCTTCCACGCGATAGTTATGGGCTGCGTCTCAGTGCCTGTTCATAGACTCTTCTATACGCTGCTGCGTTGCTGCTATTTCTATCTGTGTAAGGTCTGCTGCTTGTGCCAGCTTCTCTATAATATCCTTTGCAATCTTATGCTCTTTATAGCGTGTTGTTAGTTTATAGACGGCATCCCGTAGATCTAATACTTTAAGATCATATCCGTGCATTAAAAAGAAGGGGCTCATCCCTATCGATGAGGATACTCAATTATTAATCGCTATTTCGGCCATAGGGAGGAGATTGCTCTAGTCTGTCTGGAAATAGTTGCAGTGCTTCTACAGGTAATCCTCAATAACTGCATTCATTCTTTTGGTTTGACTATCTGTCTGCAGATGCCAGGCAGTTGATAGGCGCCGTTCCATTTTTGCACTTTGGCAGATATAGGCCCATACCTCACTCACAAACTGGGAGCCTTGGTTAGAGATAATGCCTGTAGGAAAACCATGGCGGGAAACAAAGAATTGTAGGGACTCACGAGCAACTGTTTTAGCAGTAAGATCCTTCAATGGTACTGGAATGACTCCTTTGCTCAGCCTGTCTACAATAACTATGAGGCTATAGTATCCGTTGCTTTCCGGCAGCTTGTTGATGAAGTCGATACTTATCTCTCGCCATATCCTATCCGGTCCTGGGAGCGGCTTTAACATTCCTTGTCTTCAGTCTCTCCAAATCGTGTTTATACTGTACTTGCCGCAGTTATTTGTCAGTCGTTGGACGTTGTAACTCATATAAAGCCAGAAGAACATTCTTCCTACAATTATACTTGTTCCGTTGTGACCAGGGTACCCTGAGAGCATTGAATTGTGGCAATATTGCATGATTTTTGTTTGGAGTGCTTGTAGTCAGGAACCTATCAGCAGTCATGGTATAGAAGGCGTCCTTGTTCATTGATCTTATAGTCAGCTATTGGCACTTTTAGACTAAGGTCTTGTGGGAATGTTTGGAGGTTATTAGCAATGGCTTGCTTGATATGGGTATAATTGTCATTATAGGCTTTAGCTTGTATCTAGAGACTTTGGAATTGCTCTTTGTCAGTTAACACTTGAGTGGAAGGAATCACCATGCGCAGCACCTACATGGAGTGTACACGGATCCTTGTAGTAGTAGGACTCAGTCTCAATAGGTAAGACAATCATCGTTCTCATCCTTTGGCATGTCCTGCAGTTGTCGAGAGAGGGCATTAGGATGAAAGGCCTGTGATCCAGGCTGATAAACAAGTTCAAAGTTGAACTAGGAAAGGAGGATTTGCCAACGCATCTGTCATTTGTTTAATCGTTGGATCTTAGTGAAGTAGCGCAGGTTGTTATGATCTGTCACAATGATGAAAGAAGAAAGTTTAGCTTCCCATTGCTTCATGTAGTCAATAATAGTAAGTAGTTCTTTATCATAGATCTCATAATTACATTCCGCGGGATTAAGCTTCCAGGAGTAATAGGCACAGGTTCAGAGCTGTCCTTTGTCATTATACTGAGAAAGGGTGCCTCTATTTGCATATCCTGAGGAGTCAGTTTCCATAATAGTCTTTTGTTCTGGATTAAAAGGGACAAGGGCAGGTTTAGTAATAAAGAGGTTCTTGAGGCCTCAGAAGGCCTTGTTAGTGGTGTCACTCCATATAAAGGTTATATCTTTCTGCGTGAGATTGGTTAATGGTTATACAATGGCGGAATAGTCGTGGATGAATTATTGATAGAAGTTGGCAAAGCCTAGGAACTATCAAACTTCCTTGACTGTAGTTGGTGCTTGCCATTCCTAAATTACTTTTATCTTTGCAGGGTCCACTTGTATTCCCTTACCAGTTTCCATAATAAAGCCGAGATATTTTGTGCTTTTCACCTTAAATTCTGATTTATCGATATCAATCTACAAGCCTGCATCACGGAGCCGTTGAAGCACCGCACGCACGTGCTAACAGTGCTCCTTCAAGGAGCTGTCAGTGAAGATAAGTATGTCATTAATATAAGCAGTCACAAAGTCATCCAGGAAGTCCCATAGGGTCCAGTTGATATAGCGTTGGAACGTGCTCGGTGTATTAGCCAGACCAAAGGGAGTCACTAACCATTCAAAAAGACCAAACCAGGTTTGGAAGACTGTCAACCACTCATCTTCCTCTATAATATATATTTTGTGAAAGACCACGGGCACGTCAAACTTCGTAAACCACTTTGCTTTGGATATCCGCTGCAGAGTCTCGTGTATTAGCAGCAGGGAATATCTATTCTTCTTAGTAATAGTATTCAGAGCTCAATAGTCAATATAGAAGCGCAACCCTCCTCCCGGCTTCTTAACAAACAGCACCGGCGCGGCTGCGGGCGACTTGCTAACTCGTATGAATCCCTTGGATAAGAGATCGTGCAGTGTCTTCCTTAACACGAGGAGTTCTTCTTGGGATATGTTGTATAATAGTCCCCATGGCACTTCCGGCTTCTTACCATTCTTATCTTGTTCAATCAGTTTAATAGCGTGATTAGTGCCAGGTCGGTGCTCTGGCAATCTATCTGCTTCAACAGGATCAAATATATTGGCATAATCTTGTAAATAATCAGGTAAGGTAGTTTGGGGGTCCGTTTTCACTTTTGGAGCAAGTACCTTGTCAATATTAGCCATACTGGCGGCAAAAATCTTAATTCTAGTTTTAGGTCGTCTTCTCTGGCATCGTGACGGCGTTTTATGAGGCGATTTGCATCTTTTACATAAAGTGCACCGCTCGCTTTGACATGGCGCCTTGTAGATTTTTGATTCTTGCGTTTTGCAGTCTCACGAACCTTGGCAAAGCTCTCACGGTGTAGATCGCCCAATTCGGCTAAAGTGAGGCTTCCTTGATTCACCGTTTTTATACGTTTTGAAAGGCCCAGGCTTGCTCCGTCCAAAATATCCTTTATACTGTCAATCAACTTCTCAATCTTATTGATATAACGACGTAGTTTTATGACGGTTGACGGTGGAGAGATTGATTTTGTAGTTGGTGAGCTGGGAATAGTGTCATCCGCCTCGCCATAAATTTTTAGTGTATCCCCCTCAGCAAGCATTGCTTCAAATTCTTCTTCTGGTGAAGACATTTTATCGAGTATAAGCTGAGGATTCAATGGCCAAATGCCTCGCTCTCTCCAACCGTTGCGAATCGTCCTCGTTGTAAAAGTTTTTATCCGAATATCGCGTAATTCTTCAAAAAAGTCGTTTTTGTCAAAATCGAAGCCACCTAAGCGCGCAACTTTGTTCACAACCCTCCCATGAACGTGTTTATATTGCTGAAACGGCACCCCATCGAGCGGTTGTAAAAAATGCGTGGAATGAGGAGGAAAACTGAACGGTTGAATGTGCCAGATGTGACAGTATTCAACGAACTGCATAGTAAGGTGAGTTGTATAATTATCCATAAGAAGTAACCGCCATTCTAGTAATCCCCATTCTGGCTTTGAATAGTGTTGAAAAATGGAAGCCATTCAAAAGCGATCTCATCCGTTATAAATCCATTTTCAGCAGGTGCAACAAGCCATTCGTCATCTTACAAATGCCGATACCATTCCTCCAAATGAACCTTGCCTTTTGGAATCAACAAAGGTGGTATAATCTTTCCTTCGGCGCTTACACCCTCAACGACAGTAATTGATTCTCGGGAGGACAGGCTAGAGACTCTTTTTGACGTTTTTGGGAACGCTGTTACTACCGCTTCATCTTTTCCTTGTCCGACAATGAATTCGGTCTCGTCGAACTTCCAAAGATTCCGAGGTTGAATTTTGAGATGTTTTATCATGAATTTGAGGTCAATAAACCATTGCTCAACCTCGCCGTAATGCTCTGAAGCGGTACGTTCCTTTTCTTGAGGCTTTTGAACAATTCTCACGTATTTTTCTGGCAAGCGACCGACAAAATCGTATACCCATATTTTTCCAGCCCGGGGGGGCTCTCCCGGACCAGTGAAATCTTTGGCAAGCAAATAATTCGCACTTTCCTCAATTTGCTGGTTCGTTGGAGGCGTACCCATGTGATCTAGATACTCAAGCCATAGAAAAAGCGCTTTTTCTTGATCCAAAGACAATAGGCGGTTGGTTGGTGGGCGTGTTGAGCGAGAGGGTAGGCCATGCCACCGTCGGGACAGTTTTTTACGAGACACCCCATATTCACGCGCCAATTTGCTAAAATTCGGTTTTTTTTCGTGTTCGCGCGCGCTAAGGGCTTTTGCAATCAATGCCTCCTCTTCTTTGTATAACTTAGGGGTCATTTTGGCTGTGTTTTTGATGTTTGTAAATGGCGGGTTGAGATTTTGAAGATTTTGGCCCTTGAGCCCCGGCCGACTCCCAACCGCAGGGTGGGGGAGGCGACGCGACGGGTATGGCTGTGTTTCCATATGATGTCGAAAATGTCTCAAAACCGCGAATCGCATTTCGTCAGGCTACGCCCGTACCCAATCGCATCTACAGAGTTTGCGAGGAGAACTTCAGCTTAGGTAGAAGTACGGAATGTAATGATCAGCTTCACAGACCGCTGCATCGATATGGAAAATTCAAAGGTATGGAAATCAGTGTCCTAGAGAAGATCCTGGACTTTCCGCCTGGACGCTTCTGTGGATGTCAATTTAATAATCCGGCTTATCAATCTGCCAGGTCTATTAAAACTTGTGAAGGACGTTTGGTTGCTTTTCTCAATGTATTGGAGCATCATCTTCAGAAGTTCATATTGCTGAATCCTCTTCTTCCGGGCCACTATCGTACCGTGAAATTATACCTGGTCGATCCTCACTACCGTATATGTTCTACGCGCAATGTGCCACCATAATAACACTCTTAGTGGGCACAGGAAGTCATGAGGCAGTTCTTCCAGAAGGACACCACGTTACCGCAAGAGATTGTTAATGAAATCATGAAGGGAATAACTAATTGGCCTATGGGTATAGAAGAAGCGAAAAAGCATCAACTGGAACTGATGAAGGAGCATCACTGGCATGATATAGTGAGGGCCTATGTATACATACAATTTTTTGTTGGTGGAGCAAGCTTATACTGTGACAGCTAGGATGCAGGATACGTGACGGAGCCCTAGGCCCTAGCAACGACTTGGAGGACTTAGAAGATCTAGGAGATAATAATCTAGCAGATGATCTAAATCTTCAGGAATTCTTTAAGGCAGCGGGCAGTGACCTAAAAACACTATATAAAGTCCTAGCAAACTAATAGAGTAATGAGCTCAGTGGTTTCGAACAATCTATAGACAGGATGAAGAAAGCCTATGGGAAGAAGATTAAGACAATAGATAACGCTCTATCCTTCTTAATTGACGAGCGTAATGAGCTACACTCGGCTCTAGAATGTATAACCATTTGTTACATATCCCTCGCGAATGTGTTTACACATTCTGGAACGTGCACCATAGGTGCGTATATACGTGCCTTACCCCCGGCACCCTGTTTGGTAGGAAGCAAGCAGAATATTTGAAATAGAGGAGATATCTCGGAAACAACAATAACAATAATACAAATCTAGCCAGAGCCCGTCACCATAGACGGCTTTGTACTGAGGACCGAGAACCTGTATGCCTGCCTGCAATTGTGTATATTCAACTGTTCGAGATGTATATATACTATGCTATATTCCGAAACAGCAACATCTCCAGCATCTAGACACAGAGACGATTGGAGGAAATAATCCCCGAGGCCATATCCCGTGCTTTGATAAAGGAGTGAAGGTTCACCACTACAATATCTATGTACATGTATATATCCTTGGGATTATACAAGCATCACCTACCTAGATATAAGGTCCATCACAGCCAGACTGGACCTTCTAGAGGTAGATGCTTAGGTACTGAACTACGAATTACATTGCTAAAAGTTTGAGAGGACCTCGCTTTATTTCGAAATTATATACAATATATCAAGTCGGATTCTAAGAGCTGACGCGCTCTGAAAGTACTAGTGATCGCAACAAGCATATGATTAAGCGTTGTTAACTTCAGTGACATCCCCTAGGAAAACAATGCCTGTCTTGGGACGATCCAAGAACTTCTCCTCATCTGCCGCAATCGTAGCTGCGATGTCCGGCTGGCTCGTCTTGGCCACGTAGGCCTGAACAGCCTCTTGACTCGCAAAGGTCAACTCGGTGTAAGCATCGAAATCGAAGTCAGACTGTTGGCCCAAGAAAAGTTTGGCTGGTGTCGTGGGGTTTCGCGCAGTCGTTTCAGTTGCGTCGGCATCGCTACCTTTCTCCTCGCGGGCAATGTAGCTGCGGCGGTGCGAGATAGGGAAAACGTCGCTAGCCAGACGCTTGAGGAGGTGACCATGCTGCTCACTATAGCTCTTGAACTCTTCAAGTGTAAGGCCGGATTTCCGGTAGGTGAAAACAACAACTCGGATAAGAGTCATCTTGGAATTGAGTGTAGGTACGGTAATGTTGAAGGTGAGGAAACTGGCGATACTGTAGATACAGCTAATTTAATATTCGAGATATTTGGAATGTTTGGAATGTTTAGGATGTTGGAGATATTCACAACAGAATATTTTTGAGTCTTGTCGACGGTGGCATGCTCCATATTTATATTTATTTTCATGAATGACAGACATATCCCCCTAGGCTCAGATCGGCCAGACTTCGCTGTATCCAACTCTTCGGATCGTATAGGGTCCGAAGTGTACACTCTGAAAATAGCTTCCAACGGCGACGATACCTCGTTCAGTGATGTTGGTTAGAGCCATCCAATGGTTATGAAAATACCGCTACAGATAGATAACGTTTATTGAGGATTTGGAATCAAAGCGTTCAAATTCATCCAATGGTCGTAAGTTATCCCGACAGCCAGGCAGGCCAGGTAGAATGTTCGGCAACTCCAGTTCACCCGTTCATTAGCCATAGATGAGTCTATTGTACGTAGAATGTACCATTATTATGTTTCAATACAATAAATATACAACATCCTAACCCTGATCTACCCATACTCTCCGACGTTCTCCTCAGGACTAACCCTCCTAACCGTAAGTTACGCTATACACTGTATTATATTACATCATGTTACGCCTAAGCCCACGTATATGCGGGAGGCGGGAGAACTGAATCGGATGTTCCTACATCTACCGAACAAACCCTACCACCAAGCTCCGAAGTACCGAAGTACCGAAGTACCGAATTGCGTGCGACGAAACACCAGGAATGTCAAGATGGTTAGAGACTAGAATCATAGTAATCAATCTTAGTTCATATTCAGGTATATCAAGACGCCATCTAATACTATTAAATCGAATTGCAGGGAAATTCCGCCTATGAAACTAAATTTAATTAATCAACTCGTCGTTTCCCAAAAAGGACGCCATCGGGTCTACTGCAGCCAGTCGATTGCGCTTGTAACTTTTTTAAGTCCTCCTCGTCAACACCCTGCTGGAGCGCATGGAGGTCCTGCTTCCTTTTGTCGATATCGACCGTTGTAACGCTTCATTCGCTTGTTCGACGCGCTCCTCATCAGGTTTTGTATTCTCCTCCTCCTGGTTCGAGAATCATGGGAGAAGTCTGAACACGGTAGAGAGCATATCCCCAGCTTTAAAACAACTACAACAACAGATGAATAGTACGCTAAAACGCTAATAAATAAAATATGTACATACGTACCTAGGCACTGGGGGGAATAGAACATAGAAATGTACTAATATTAGAAGATATATATAATGAAGGGCGAGCTAGGTCATTTCAGATGCCAATACCGTCAGCTGGATGTACGGATATCCATGTTCCATACACAAGGCTCTAACTGCGCCAGGCTGAGTACGGGATTGTGTGACCATAAGCCTAGTGGTAGAGCACTTTTCAATTATTTGTGCCATCTTGTTGGAGATGCCATTGTTAAGCCCATTCCTAATTCCGAGCCTCGTACGTCCTCGTCTTATCGCGGTTCAAAAGGCCCTATTTCCTCCGATGACTTTGTCGACTCCGTTTCTACTTCTAGGTGGTTACCTCACTAGGGTTTCAGAATTCATCACCTAACTAGACAATGGCTAATTCCAGTCATCGAAAACTGATCGTTGGCATTGATTTGGCACGACCTATACTGGCGTTGCCTGGGTTGAATCGAGACGTGTACATGGTTTGATTCTAAGTGAGCTCGATCCTATCCTAATGTTCTATCTTAGAGCCAGACAATATTCACGTCATCGATATATGGCCTTCACGGTTGGGGTCAAACGAGGGTGAGAGCAGCGTCAAGGTGCCCACGCAGCTACGGTACACACCTCAAGGAATAGAATGGGGTTTCCAGATCCCCCATTCTGTGGAGCGCAATTACTGGTTTAAATTGTGAGTAGTCCTTTAACAGGGAGTGCTTCATGATCCCAGTAAGGCAATGGAAGTTTGTGGGCTGATATTGTCTTTTTCCGCATAACTCCGTCTCAGAGGATTGGAGGAAAACAAAGAATCCGTTAATTGGCAAAAAAGCGCAGAAGAACTGACAACAGGTTTTTTGAATGAGATTTATAAACACATAATCTATACCCTAGAACAAAAGATTGGGGCAGTAGTTCTTCGAGCTGTTCCTATCGAGTTCTGTCTAACAGTGCCTGCTATTTGGTCCGAGGCGGCTAAAGAGAAGACGCTAAAAGCTTGTCAAAAAGCTGGTTTAAAGTCCTCGGAGATAATGTTGATATCAGAACCAATACGTATCAGAATTTCCTAAGGGGTAGTTGCGAGGCTCGTTGGCTAATTCATATGGCTTGGCACCAACAGGAAGCTGCTGCGATATCCGTACCCCATGAACTCGATTTTACTACCCTCAAAACTGGAGATTGGTTTGTGGTCTGCGATGCTGGTGGAGGAACAGTAGACTTGATTTCGTACAAGATCAAGTCCCTTAAACCTATAGTTCAGGTTGAAGAAGTGACTTCTGGAACCGGTGGTCTCTGTGGCTCAGTCTTCTTAACACGCCGATTTAACGATTTTATAACTCGAATGCTAAGCGGAGAAGTCGGGTGGGACGAAGAAGTGCTTTCAGAAACTTCAGATCGGTTCGATACAGTGGTGAGTACCCATGACTACATGTATGCTATCCGAAATGATAACCAGAGGTCAAATCATGATTGGGTGAAGATCAAGCAACAATATTTTCCTATGAAAGATGGAGACGAGGGATATCCAGTACCAGTGCCCGGCCTTCCCGATAACAAGGGACTAGGTATACGACGTTCCAAGTTTATGATAAGAAAAGAGGATATGCGTAATATCTTTGACCCTGTTATCGAAAAGATTATCTGGTTCGTACAAGACCAGATACGTCTGTCTCGGGGTGAAGCAAAAACTGTCCTCCTCGTTGGGGGCTTCGGTCAGAATCTCTATTTAAAGCAACGACTGCGTGAATCGCTACCCACTGTTCAGGTGTTGCAGCCACCAAATGCCTGGATAGCTATTGTTTGTGGAGCCGTCATGATGGGCTTAAGCCGCGCAAATTCTTCACTTCACAATGTCAAGGTCGTATCACGAAGAGCACGAAAACATTATGGTATTACGCTGAATTTGGAATTCGATCCACGAAAACACGACGAGATTAAAAAGCAAGAACCCTCCACAACTCTAGCATATCACTTTGCTAACTGTGCACTACCAGATATTGGTGTCCATTCCATAAACGCTATCAGGTCGAAGTATTGCAATGGTTCGTTCGCAAAGGCGATGCTATCCAAGAAAACAAGGCGAAGAATATTAAATTCCACGAAAGATTTCCGGTTAACCAAGGCAAACCTAAATTCTACGATCTGACTGTTCTGGCTGATTCTGAGAGCTCAGTTACGCCAATTCATATTTGCGATAATGTCAAAACTCTCACAACTTTGAAGATTGACCTCAGTCCTTTATCTGAGTCTCAATGGAAGAAAACCATCAAAAAGGGTGCGGATGGAGTCTATTATTACGTCCTCGTTGGGAACATCGAAGCCACATTTTTTTCTGCTTTGACGACGTATAAGCGGGGGGCTTATATGCTACAGTGACCGCAGAATATGCATGATGCTATGCGGCTTGTAGAAGAAGACAATAGCACTAGGCTGGTTAGTCAGTAACAATGCTACGGCAGATTCTGATCAAATCATGGGCATTTTCGAGAATGGATATCTATTCGAGAGTAATATCTAGATAAAACGTTATGCAGAAATGATCTATGCCTAGGTGAATGTGAGTACTTGAAAGTCATTGTAATCAATCATTAGTTAACTAGTCAATACGCAGGCATTTATGTAATAGCAAATATAGAGCGGTTACCTACTTGGAAATAAGTAATACAAGATACGCACATTATTTCATGGATTTGAATTGTTTGGATTTCTCGATCGGATAAAGGATTCGAACGTGTAAAACAAATTCGTATATTCAATATCGCCTAGAAAGCTAGGAAAGCCTAGGTAGATGTAATAGACGGCTCTGTATACAACCGTTCAAGCTTCGGAGCGGGATACCCAACGTATACTTATCCGACAGACGAAGCAAGCATATACGGCCTCTCAGGAGCGATTCGGGTTAGCGAGGTGTTACATGTACATAATCGAATCATTGGAGCAAGTTTGGTGGCCACACTTAAAACGAACGGTTACAAACCTCTGGATTATGTGCACGGCTCCACAGCTCCAAGCACTGACAACATTGCCAGTAACTCAGTATTCCAACAACATTATCATCATCATCAGCATCATCAGTTTGTTGATTGGGTATAGAATTCTTTGAGAGCAGCTCTACAGTCTTGTTCAGACGAGTGGTGCATTTCTGCGAGCTACTGAGCAAGACTATTCAACTTTCTGTGGCTAAACACCAGCTGTGGTTCTCACAAATGATTGTTGAGAGAAAGTAGTCGATCAATGCGGAACTTGATGCCAAAGATCAGGACCTATGTGTAGATCATGCTCAGATTAAGTATTTGACGTGAAGGGAAGCAGCTATCCATGGATCCTAGGTGAATGTCGGTATCTTCCTCGCTCGGATCTTTTGAATATTCGCCTTGTCGCTGAGATTAAACCTCGTCGTCACACATTGCTCTTGACAAAACGCCGATTCAACATAACGAGGGACCAGAGAAGATGAACTCCGCAAACAGCCTTTGTTCTGTTATCAAACATGATATGAGATGGGGGCATTTGTATTTTATCCATAAAGATTGCCAATGTGTTGGGAAATCATTAGCTTGCAAAGCCTTGTCTTCAACTGCATGCGTGATTGGTAACCAAAGAGCTTACGCCACTACAGCTCAGCCTTGTCAATGGAAATTATATCCTATCTCTACGTAAACTACATCCAAGGCCGACGGGCATAGTAAGAGAAGTGGTGAAATTCTCGACTTACTGCCATGTCCACTAATTAGGCAATAAATAGGTTAAGTTGACTATGATGATGATTTATTACGCCCGGAGGGACTAAACCTATAGGGCACTAGCGCTAGATATATACAATTCGTGTGTTTCCGACCTATCCTCCTATAAGCCCCTGCTTTTCCTGCTTCCACGTATTTATCTTGGTATCTGAGGTTAAGGTCTCCTTGACATATGGTTCCCCGTCTTGAGTACAAAAGAATTGATAGACCGGCTTAAAGGCTGTCTTCTTCAAGTGTGCAGCGTCTAAGTTGACTATCATGTTAACTTAACTAACGTAATTCACCACCGAAGCGGCACCACTACCGAGCCGGCATTTTTTCCCGAGCGCGTACACGATATTGATTTTATATTATTCAACACGTCAATATGCCACCAATTCGCAATAAAAACCGGAAAAATTTAGATGAGCAAGAGAGACGAATCTTATTAGCAATTTCCGATTTACAGAATGGCCGAATTCAACGTGTAGCTCAAGCTGCAAGGATTTACGAGATCCCCCGGACAACTTTACAAGATAGACTCAATGGTATTCAACAAAGATCTCTCGTACGCGCCAACAGCCATAAATTGACTCAATATGAAGAGGAATCGCTTGTCAAATGGGTGCTTGATTTAGATCGACGTGGATTACCCCCCCGGCATTCTCTTGTACGAGAAATGGCTAATTATATACTTTCACAACATGGCAAACCACAAGTTGGAAAAAATTGGATAACTAAACTGATTAAACGCCGTCCAGAGATCGATTCCAAATTCGCAAGGAAATACAACTACGAACGTGCTAAATGCGAAGATCCAAAGATAATACAAGAACATTTTGATCGCGTACAAGCTGCTATATCTGAGTACGGCATCTTACCGGAAGATATATTCAACTTTGATGAGACTGGCTTTGCTATGGGACTCTGTGCAACTGCAAAGGTTATTACTGGAAGCGATCGATATGCTCAGCCGAAGCTTTTACAGCCTGGAAATCGAGAATGGGTGACTGCAATTGAGGCAACAAATTCAACTGGATGGGCTGTGCCTTCGTACGTGATTTTCAAAGCAAAGAAAAACGTACGAGAAGGCTGGTTTGATGATCTTCCAGATGATTGGCGAATCAATATTAGCGATAATGGCTGGACTACAGATCAGATAGGATTAGAATGGCTTAAAACCCATTTTATTCCCTATATTAATGGTCGTACGGTTGGAAAATATCGAATGTTGATTCTTGATGGCCATGGAAGCCATTTGACACCAGAATTTGACCATATATGTACTGAGAATAATATTATTCCAGTCTGTATGCCACCTCATTCTTCGCATCTCTTACAGCCTCTTGATGTTGGCTGTTTTGCTGTTTTAAAGCGACATTATGGGCAGCTTGTTGAGCAACGAATGAGGCTTGGTTTCAATCATATTGATAAAATGGACTTCTTAACAGCATTTCCACAGGCTCGTACAGTGGCATATAAAGCTCAAACTATTCGGAATAGCTTCGCAGCCACTGGATTAGTGCCTTTCAATCCAGATCGAGTTATACAACAGCTTAATATTCGATTGAAGACACCAACCCCCCCTCCAAGTCGATCAAGCAATACGGCATCATCCTGCTTACAAACACCTCAAAATATACGCCAATTTATACGCCAGTCGACTACAATCAATAAACGTATAAATGAGCGTACAGAAAGCAACCAAAATCAAGAAATCAATCAGGCAGTTGTACGGTTGTCAAAAGCCTACGAAATGATAGCGAATGATGTTTTACTCGTACGGAAAGAGAACTACGATTTACGAGCTGCACATGAGAAAGAGAAGCAAAAGCGCCAAAAATCTAAAAAGCAAATATCTATTGAGCAAGGGGTTACTAAAGAAGAAGTGCAAGCGCTCGTACAAGGTCAGGTTGAGGCATCCCATGCTGTTACTACTACTCCGGCTGAGCCGGAGCTCCCAGCTTCTCAAGCAGTCGTACGCCGCCAATATCGCTGCAGTGGTTGTAACGTTATGGGGCATAGAATTAACCAATGCCCTAGTCGTATTAGTAGTTAGATTTTTGTATATAATTTGTATGTGGCTTTGAAAATTGGGATTTGAAATCAATATCGCGTACGCGCTCGGGAAAAAATGCCGGCTCGGTAGTGGTGCCGCTTCGGTGGTGAATTACGTTAGGGTTTGGTCAATTGGCTTAGTAAGCGGATTACTGCAACATTTGTTACTTAGGGTTATTATTAACCCTAAGAATCTCCAAACAAACAATGCAAATCATCTCCAACTTCATCAAGCTAAGCTCCCCACCAGCAAAGAACTCATCCCCGCATAAAAATAATCACTCCAATCTCACCTCGTCAGAACTGATTGATTCTTACTCTGATCTCAATTGCACACATAAAACAGCAAAAATGATCGACCCAGCGATTTTCGAGAATTTACAAACCAAAATCGACGAAGAGACCGTCGTCCGTGATGTAAGCTACCCTGATGAATAACGTCATTGGGGGAATTGAGAGCTCACTTCAACATGAATATAGGAATTGCACGAAATTGTTCAGAGCCTTGCTCGAAAGGGTATTATATTCCCATTTATGTGTAATAATTTCAATCTGATGCAGTTTTACACAGGGCGAACGACACAAGCGATACTCTCCAGAGCTCATTCAACTCCTTCCAAAGACCGTACGTCAGTCTCCTTTCCCCTTTTCTATAGTCTGACTCTCACACTTGTTACGGAATAGTAAAATCCGTCCTCGACGACGCCGCAACCCAAATTCTAGCTCAAAAAGAAGACGTCTCTCGCCTCGCTGAAATCGCAAACAAGCATCCCTTCTACAAATATAACGGTGTTTGGTCGCGCGAATTACAGAATTTGGTACTATTCCTATTCCTCTCTGTTTCAATGGCCATGGGTTGATCTTTGTTGGAAGGTATACTATATCGAACTCTGTGCCTGGCTCGGCGGATTAATTGAATACAAAAACTCATCTTCCAAATCGTCATTCTTGACAATTGAAGAAGTTGGGAATTTCCTCGATGGTTCGCCTTCCTCACTTTCCTTTACTCGGTCCATACTAATTCTACATGTTTCGTGGAACAGTACCAGTAAACCTCAAAGACGAAGACAAATTCCACCTCACAATCGAAGAATATCTCCTCGCCTTAATCTCTATGGTCGAAGAATTATCCCGTTTGGCCGTGAACTCTGTGACGCTAGGCGATTATCATCGTCCGCTCGAAATCAATAATTTCATCAAAGATTTGTTTGCAGGATTCCAGTTGTTGAATCTGAAGAATGATATTCTCAGGAAGAGGAGTGATGGAATTAAGTATTCTGTGAGTTTTCCACCAACTTTTAAGTTTCAGCTCTTGCTGATAAGGTATAGGTCAAAAAAGTGGAGGATGTGGTTTACGATCTTTCATTGAGGAACTTGATTCCCAAGGCATGAGCCTCAGGATCCTAGCATATGGTTTGGTAAATGGATAAAAAGGTTACTGGGTGGCTAAGACTATTCATTCATATTAATGGTAACATCAATCTCAAAGACATAGCGTACTGCAATCTGGTATCAAGAAAGGGACACAACGTAACAGTGGAGGGCAAACCAACAGGAATCAATAAATCAAGCTTCCTTGGCTTCAGTCTCAGCTTGCGCAGGAGCAGCAGCGGTTTCCGTTGCCGTTGGAGCAGGAGCAGGAATATCACCACTCTTCTGCGCATTCTCGATCTCTTTCACAATCGTCGCCTCCAAGCTCTCCGGCTTCGTAATACTCCTCCATCTTCCAACAACCTCCCCCTTGGAATTAATCAACGCCTTTTCAAAGTTCCACAATACCCTCTTGACACCGAACAGTCCTGGTTTCTGAGCCTTGATCCATTCAAAAACCGGCTCGGCTTTACTTCCATTCACATCAATCTTGCCCAACACGGGGAACGTCACGCCGTAATTAACCTGGCAAAAGCTCTGAATATCGTCGTTGCTTCCAGGGTCCTGGTTTCCGAATTGGTTGCAGGGGAAACCCAAAATGGTGAATGCGCCGGGATGTTTGGCTTCAATCGATTTGTATAATTTTTCGAGACCGGCGAATTGAGGGGTGAAGCCGCATTTAGAGGCTGTGTTGACGACGAGGACGACTTTGCCTTTGAAGTTGGTGAGGGGGTAGGGATTCCCCTTTTCTGTGATTGTCAGTCCTTTGCTTTTTGATTTGTAGCAGTTTGGAATAAAACGTACTGTCTGGGGGAGAAAAGTCGTAGAAAGTCGTTGCAGAGGCCATTGTGCTGTGATTGAGTCTGATTGCGCTATATAAATGAGGGGCCGTCAACAGCTATGCATCGTCAGTATGTTCTCTCCGTTGAAGAATAGATCAGACGAACCGACAACCTAGGATAATGGTATCGTAAGAATGAAATTTTGACGGATTATCCGAAACAATCGTAGACAGAAGATGGAAGAATCAGATGGGGTGGTTCAGATTAAGTAGCAGAAGGTGTAGCACGATGCACGGAGTCCCCTACGTAATTGGCCCGACCTCAAACTTCAACGGTCATCCAACGACAGCCAATCAGCAGTCTTAGTAATCCAGAAGCTTTGTCATCGGGTCAGCGGATTTCCGGCCCCGAAAAAGGTATTTGTCATTATACGCCTTCACGATCAAAATACTAACTATACGAAGTATTCTATATTTTGATAAGAGGCCCAGTTGCTGTTCACTACGCTCTACTAGTATGGACGAGCCTCCAAATCGGGTATTTCGCGTGACAAATCAGAGTACTTTACTGTGGGCTTGGCAAGGGCTGAGATGCCTCGGCAGTTGGTGACTAAGGCAGATGATACTTGAAAGATTCTAATAGCAAAGCTATTCGACGAACTACTACGGGCATCTGAAGAACAGTTGGTTCCACCATCTGTATAGATCTAGAACTATTTACGGCCGAAAGTTCATAATAGCCACTGGTACGTGGTCTAGAACGATTTGCATGTCGTCAAAGATGTCAAAGTTGTAGAACAACTGGCAGTCCGCAGCAATTGGAGGTTTCAATCCAATGAGTCAGCGGCCATATCTCCATTTGGGCCGATCAGTCCGTGTGTATCTCTCGATGACCCTGTTCCGTCCTCTTCTTCGCCAGAGTGGTACGTTATCCGGCCGATGACTGGCCATAACCAAGTAGTTCGCTTGCTGAGATGAGGAGACACCATGTCGGGTAGACGAGCTAGTATGGCCGTATCCGCTTCATGTAGCTAAGTATCCCATACGACTTCTTCCAGTAGAATCCCTCTTATTCCTCCTCCCTTCGCATTATTTTCCCAACTCCTCTTTCAGCACATCAACATCTAGCTCCTCAATAACCCCCAAAACAACGCCCAACGTCTCCATGAACCCATTCACAGAGACCCGCAACATACGATTCGTAGTCGCTCGGTAGGTAGTCTCCAGCACCGTCTTGTTCTCGTCACCTTCGTCTCGGTTAGTCTCATCGCTCGCATTAGGGGCTTTAAGCGCGAAACTTCGCCGGACAAAGGGGGAGAGTTCTTTGTCGACTTGAATGGCTTGAAGGGCGGCTGAGGCGAGGCGGTTTGTGGGGAGGGGGATGGAGATGACTCTGCGGAAAGGTGTTAGCGGCCGGGAATTTTTGGAAAGACCGTATTGATCGTACAGAGAATATGGAAATTCATTTTCTATTTGAGAGGAGGATACCATTTTGCTATATGTCAAGTGAGACGAACGTTTTTGTCAGAAGATAGAAGTTGAAGTTTTGACGTGCCGGATTAAAATGGTGCGGGGCCGCCGGCCGATTGGTGTCATACCTTAAGTCAAATGTTTTTGATATTCACATTATTCAGTCTATAGTTTATGGATTGTATCCAGATTTTGTCTGGGTAGCGTCTATTGGCATAAGTTTTGGATTATTGGTGAAACATCCAAGGGTAGGAATAATTCTACCTAGGTAACTTGCACCGATGTACCTACCTGTCTTGATATTTTCATCCCGTGCATTTATATATTATATCATTGGCTAGGTCTTCCAGAGTTATAATATAGAACTTCAAATCTGTACCCAACTTGAATGAATAAGCTGGCTACCTGGCAAGCTAGAAGTATCTTGCTAATAGTTGTCACAAACTTTCGAATTATATAGGTAGATATATCTGGTGGATATCAGTCAGAAGCTTTAGGGCTATTGAGGCGCAGCAGCTACCTAGATACAACGTGTCGTACCTAGGTATATTGTCGCATGATTCCCTTCTACCTACGCCCAAGTAGGCCATAAAAGTTTTATGAGTGTTGCCTAGACCTGTGTAGGTGGCACAGAGCAGAGAGCTCTTTCAATAGCACTCTAGGTGACCTGATGTCATGCTACAATGAACTTGACACAGACATGATTGATATGATTAGCGGTTGAGCATGATAGAGGCAATGTTGTTGACAGCGTCATCGAGAATGCGACCAATCGGAACTTATATGTCATGGGTTACACCTTTGACAACAATCAATAATTTGATCTGATCTTGACATATCTGTAACTTCTTTGAAATGCTTTCGACCTGGACACAGCAAGACTCAGCCTGTGATTGGCCGACAGCCAAATTGAGGCCTTGAGGCCTGAAGCTTCAGGCAACAATCCGTTGTCCCGTCAACCAAACAGCACTAGTCCATTTCGGGCGGATCATAACACGCCAGCCAATCAGCCGTCGCAAAAACGTTTATTATGATTCTTCTGTTGGAGATTGCCGTCAACTTCACCTTCATGCTTCTTCAGAATAAGTACTTACCTTTACTCCAGCCTACCCCTCAACTTTTATCCTCGACTCTCCCTCCTCTTTACTCTTCTCTGTGGTACCCTGCCTGCAAACTACTTACGTCAGTATTCATCTGTTGCATCGCATATTGTCGAATTGCTATTCTTATTCTCGTCCGGTCCCCAATTGGAAACCCATTGATCTGTTGGGTCATGCGAGCTCAATAAACACATCTTTTGCTCTATATTTACTTCCGACACGGGTTTCCTCTGATCGGGAAGTTACTGGATAAGCAAAGACTCCCACATCAACCCAGGGAATCACCAATAGACCGCCTACCGAGTCCAAGATGCCGTCGCACACCTCTGCTGCTCACGGCCAGGTGATCGAGTACATTCAAGGTAATAGAATGCATGGTTTGTTTGAACCAGATATTAATCTCAATATAGACCGTCTGTATCTTGCGTCGTACTCTTCCGAACCTGATCGCTATGCTCCCTTCCCGTTCCCAAGCCATGCAACCAGTCCATCCAAGCGCTCGGCAAAGGCATCGCAAAGCCCTGTGAGGACCGCTAAACACAGACACCCTGTATATTTCACGGTTGATGACACTCTACTATACAATGCGTTCCACGCGGATTTCGGCCCGCTCCATATCGGCCACCTCTACCGATTCGCCGTTCATTTCCATGAGATTCTTGGTGACCCAGCCAATGCTGAACGGCCAGTAGTCTTCTACAGCAAACCAGACCCTCGCAGTCGAGCGAATGCAGCGTGCTTGGTTGCCTGCTATATGGTACTTATTCAGTCATGGCCCCCTCATCTGGCGCTTGCACCTATCGCTCAAGCGGATCCTCCATACATGCCTTTCCGCGATGCGGGATACAGCCAAGCGGACTTCGTTCTCAACATTCAGGATGTCGTGTATGGTGTGTGGAAGGCCAAGGAAGAGTCCCTCTGTGGATTGAAAGACTTTAGTCTGGAAGAGTAAGCCAGTGCCACATGAATGACAGGCGGCCTCATGTTAACCTTGACAGATACGAACGCTATGAACGAGTTGATATGGGCGATTTCAACTGGGTGACTCCAAACTTCATTGCATTCGCGTCACCGCAACAGCAGCCAGTTGCCCCAATTCCCGCCAACACCCCCGAATACGCAGCTCTGCCGTCGACGATACCCCAGGTTCTCTCATCTAAGCTTCCTGTGCCATTCAAGAATGTCTTGACCCATTTCTCATCGAGGAATGTCGGGTTAGTAGTTCGTCTCAACTCTGAGCTCTACTGCCCTTCATACTTCACTGCGCTCGGAATAAATCATATCGATATGATTTTCGAAGACGGAACATGCCCACCTCTGCCACTGGTCCGACGATTCATCAAGATGGCTCATGAAATGATTACTGTTCAGAACAAAAGCATTGCTGTTCACTGCAAAGCGGGTTTGGGACGCACTGGCTGTTTAATTGGCGCATACTTGATCTACCGTCACGGATTCACTGCAAATGAAATTATCGCCTTCATGAGGTTCATGCGCCCCGGTATGGTTGTCGGACCACAACAACACTGGCTTCACCTCAACCAAGGGGCTTTCCGTGAATGGTGGTTTGAAGATACCATGCGTGAGAAGTTGGCGTTGGCAGCGCCCGTGACACCTGGCCGACAACTCAACAAGCAGCGGTCCAGCAACGGACAGACCGTTACACCTCCTCAGCACACTGGTCATTCACGACGCTCAGCCCTCGGAGAAATTGACAATAATGAAGCTTCTAGCTATAATACCGACGAGAACCTGCCAGCCCCGACGCCTGGACAACCTCGCAAGTCCCATCGCAAAGACTCTCGCCACCATCCATACGCGCGCAATGTCTCCGGGTCTCTAGCTGTGAATGGAGATACAGATAAAGAGCGATCGGGTAAACGAGCTCAGCGTGCAGGAACAGAACAGAGTGAGAGCGAAGAGGAAATCCAGATGCGACTACTTGCCAAGCGCGCATCGCGATCTCCCAGCGCTTCCCCCAAGACACGATCAATCAGCTACTCTACCACAGTCACTACCAGCTATGAAGTACACGAAGACCGGGAAAACTGGGTTGAAGCTGTTGTTGCCAAACAAAAGACTCCTTCAAGCAGCAAGGGCGCCATCACCATGAGCAAAGTTCGGTCAAGCCCCCGACGAGTCACCGACAGCAAAGGAGAAACCAAAGGTATCCGCAAGATTAGCGGCCGCGTGGGTAGCGTTGGAACCTCTTCCCCGACTAGGGTGAAATAAGTACTACGCTCTCTCTACTGTCTCACGAGTTATGAATATGATTTTATATACACATTCTACTCTGCGTTCTGCGTATAGGCTGTTTTGAAGGCTATTCTTCGTCAATCTATAGATACCAGCAGCCTGACAAGTCCGTACATGTATTGTCAGGTTAGCTTTTCTCTTCATATTGGTTATACTTTTGGATGGGTTTGGTTTTACGGAATGGAGTGGCGACTGGCGTTGTTGGCTTGTTTGAGTTTTCATTGATCGGTGCGGGAAAAAACTGGACTGGTCTGCTAGTCAGTCGGTCTCGAGCTTTAATATCCTTGTATTCTTCTTTTCAGTTATGATGATTTCATGTTCATGTTGCATGGAGTTTGCATTGATCCCTTGCACTTGTACTGTATGTGACTCGCGTCTTGCCTCGGCTATGACTGAGGTGTTTTGTACGGTTGATTTTGAAAAATAATCAAATATTCTTACATTGAGGATTCTAGCGTGTAGTCTGGATTGCCACTGCAGAAGATCAATGCTACAGTTCAAAATATGCTACGCGAAATGCAGCTCTTTTCTTCTCTTGTCCATAACCGTTCAAAGCTCAGTAGCAGGCGACATACAAGTTCCCTATTCCTCATCATGTCAGCCATCATCACCCCATAACCCATCACAACCCTAGATGCAACGGAGAGAACAAAACTCACCATCAACCTACAATCCCTCATCTCCCCAAGCCCCCTCCCCTTCCTTTCCGGTTCAACTCCTCCACACATTTTTCTGCGGAACCACCTCATCCCTTCCAAAACATTCCCATAAAACTCCTCCTGCCACTCTTCATCCCTCTCACAATCCATCCCCGTTTCCCCCAAATGCTTCAAATCGCTCGTTACTTTCCTCAACGCTTTATCCCTACATTTCATGGTCGATTTGTCCAATTTCTCAGCACATAAATCTTTCCTTCCGGAACATTCGACAATATCCCTGAAATATTTGAGATGGGCGGATCGGGCGAGACAGGTAGTTTTGTATTGGATGTTGATTAAATGTGGGATTATGTATTGTGTGAGGTAGTGTGTGTCGCTGGGGAATGTGCCGGGTTGACAGCCGTTGTTGCAGATCTGGGTCCATTCGTGGCCTATGGCGTCCAGAGAGGATTGAAACGGATTTATATCTTCTTCTTCATTGACAGTAGTGTTGGTGGATGAGTCGGCGTTTGCTAAAGTCGTGGTTGATGAAGATGGCTCGGCATGAGTGGCAGTTATGTAGAGGAAGAGGGTTGATAAAATGAGCCTGGAGAACTGCATTGTATCGTTACAGGTTCAGTAGCGCGTGATACTTGGAACAACGGAGCCACTGCTTGCAATTGGAAACATCTCAAGATGAGAAGGAGAAGAAAGTGCGGGTTGAAGAGAAATTCTGGTATATGTGTCTTCGTGTGATGCATTCCATGCCCTTGATTAACAATTTCCTCGAAGGTTCCAAGACTCCTAGGCTCCTGGGTTTTGGATTTTCATGCCTTTGTTTGCTCAGGAATGTGGAAATCTTTTGAACTCACTGGGGTTAACCCTAACATACAGCCCTGCCTACACCTAGGACATAGATTGTCCACCTGGGCTAATCTTTTCATATATTTCATAGAGCAATATGTAACCCTCAATGTGAGATTTATTATTGCCCAGGTGTGATCGCAAAGTGCATTTGAACAAATTCCATACAATGCACGCAGTCCTTGCGTTTCGATCCCATCTGTCTACCAAGGGATGATAAAATGACACAATGACAGAACGGCGTCTTGTCGGAACGAGCCCTTAAAGAGACTAAATCATACTCCTTTCACAAGCAGATAATCCAATCTCGAGTTCCTCGATTCCTCCCTCTCTCCCAAAAATGATAAGGTCGATAAATTTCCTGTTCCGGTAATAACGACTTCCTAGCCCTAAGTTTCATAGGTTTTGCCTTCTCCCGCCACCACACATGAAACGCTAATTCGAATAAACTCACGCAACAGATCCGGAGGCAAATCGTAGTTGACGGTAAATAACCTTAGTAAATAATCCAGGTAGTCGATGTATATGGCCACTGTGACATCATCCTTCATCACTGCTATGCTCAATCGCGAGGCGGGTTCTGGAGAATCTCTACACATAACACCACTCTGCGAATACTCTTATATCACTATTGTCAGAAGTGACAGATTTTTTATTCAACTTGAAAATTGTGTATTGCCAAATCGACAATATGCCAAAATATAAACCCGGACAATGGGTCGAATACAGTCCTATTGATAGTATGCTTGAACCCTTCCACTTCCGAATCATACTTGATTTGTCATAGACTAATCGTCATTTCCCAAAGATCCATACAGACACACCGGCGTGATATTCTCGCTTATAAAAGATGACGATGGGAAACATACAGGACAGTATCTGGTAATCTCCTCTTTCCTTTACCTAAGGATACGGAGACAAGGACTGATCAGTGTACGAATGTGATGGTTTTAGGTCCGGGAACAAGACATGCAAGATCGGATGCAGACTGTAAATGAGAGGTTCATCTATCGAGTTTTGGAGAAGTAGGTTTCTCGAGATATGGAATCGGGTGTTCCGGATAAAAGGAGGCATAGGGTTCAAGAGTGAGAATTGTTTGAGGAGAATATACTACTTAGGCTCCTACCTAGGTAGAGCGGACATAATGAATAGGAACGGATATAAGATTTGTGACAATTCGGAGAATAGCCGAAATCCTAACACAGAAATGTAACAGTCAATCTATACACATACCGTCATAATCGAGTTCATGTGCCCATGAACTTTTAAGTATTACAGTAACCGGCACGTTACATGAATCCATAAACCATCACCCATCAATCTTGGACCAAGATACCGAGTAAGCCTAGTGAATGTCACCCCTCATTTCCCCGATTTTAATCCTGATATTATATGAGACTAAGTACAGGGATCGACAGCGGGGAGAAAACATCAACCACTAAACTAACCGTATACAAAATGACACCCCGTTAACGATATAGCCTATTAAATGCCTAAAGTTGCATAAAACGACTTGATCGACAGTGATTCCTTCCCCCTCAGCCTATTTATTCCCCGCGCCGGTTTGCTGGTCAAGAGACTCTTTCTCCGCCAAAAGTGGGAAGTAATCTGGAAAGCAACAGAGCGGGGGGGTTTTTTTTGTTTCGTCATGAGATCAAAGGATCAACCTTGTAGAAATGTGGCTGAGAAAGCACGGTCTCGGGGGTTGTTTCGGTGTGTCAAATGATAGACCGAGAGTAATATGTACATCGTTAAGGGGGTGCATTACAGACGAAAGGCATCTTCCATCCGAGATAATTGTCCAGGCAATATTTTTGAAAGGTGACACAGGTGATATAATCAACTAAGTATACTTATACACAAAGATGAAGAGATCCCGACAGCGCAGCCATCCGTTTTCCCTTGCAAGGTGGTATAAACCCGAAAAGGCAAGCAACACAAGACTTAGGGCTAATCTACCCACTTCTCCCTAGTCTTCATCTCAATACTTGCTACAAGTGCGACGTCATTAGATGAATTATACATTTCCAAGCTAAATAGATTGTAATCAGACTAAAATCTTTTAAGTCAAATAAATTCATTATTGCATTATGGAGTCAATCATGCGGTCAATCTTCAACATCCAGTAGCATGTAACATCCCGTCATGCGACCCATCCTTGAAACAATCCGAATCCTTCGTGATGAGTTTTGAATGGATCCGAACAACGACTCGATCTTGGCCCGATAGTGCACGATGTTTACAAGGAACGGTGATTACTGAGGACTCTTCCTCATCCCTTGCTCTTATTTGTTGTGCTGGTCGATCGGTAACCTGCATGGCTCTCCGGAATGCGTGCCGTCTCGTTAAATATCGCGAATTCCCACTGAAAGAAAAGTGTAGAGTAGAGATGGAATGTGGAATTCGTCCACTGTTCTTGTACATATTCTTTGTGTATCCCTCTTTTGAATTTTGAATATTGAATTTAGTACTGCTCCGCCATCGCGATATAGGTCACAGGCGCGTCGTGATGCTGTGGAGATCAGTTTTGGTTCTTCCCATATTGGGAGTTGCTGCAGCAGCTGCTTCTATCGATGAGTGTCCTGGTTACACTCTTAGGAATGTGGCCGAGTCTGATAGCCAGATCACCGGGGATTTAATTCTTGCTGGAAGTGCGTGTAATACGTACGGCGAGGACTTGAATAATCTCAAATTATTGGTAGAATACCAAACAGGTAGGTGAGCCATATAGAAGATGATTGTTCAGCACATGCTAACAAAACAGATTCACGATTACACGTCAAGATCTACGACGCCAAGGAACAAGTGTACCAAATCCCCAAGTCCATCCTGGTCCCTCCATCCGGCCAGCGAGATTCATCTTCTCAACGATCAGATTTGGTATTTGAATACACCAAAAACCCATTTTCGTTTGCAGTTCAACGTAGTTCTAATAGAGAAACTATATTCAATACCTCTGGCACCAATTTGATCTTTGAGAGTCAATATGTACGCCTGCGTACTTCCCTGCCGCAGAACCCGAATATCTACGGATTAGGGGAGGATTCAGACTCTTTCAGACGAGAAACCACAGATTATACACGTACACTATGGAATACTGGCCAGGCCTTCTTACCAACGCATTCAAATCTTTATGGCAGCCATCCAGTGTATATCGAAATGCGGAATGGCCAGGCTCATGGAGTCTTTCTTTCGAATAGTAACGGTATGGATATCAAGATCAACCAAACTGCAGAAGACGGCCAATATTTGGAGTATAATACCCTTGGTGGCGTGCTCGACTTTTACTTCATGGCGGGTCCTGCTCCTGCAGATGTGGCTCGTCAGTATGCTGGTGTTGTTGGTATAGTATGTCTTACTTCTGGAGAGACTACCTTCGCTAAACATGAACTGACGAGAAACATAGCCCGTTCAACAATCATACTGGACATATGGCTTCCATCAATGCAAATACGGCTACCAAGACGTCATGTACGTGGCAGAAGTGGTCTACAACTACTCGCAAGCTAAAATCCCACTGGAAACCATGTGGACAGATATTGACTACATGGACCTCCGGCGGACATGGACATTAGACCCTGAACGTTTTTCACTACATAAGATGCAAGAGCTAGTTGCTTACCTCCATAACCATGATCAGCAGTATATTCTCATGGTGGATCCTCCGGTCTCGTTGAATGATAGCACATCATATGACACTGCGTCGGATGCTGGAGTATTGATCAAAAACAACGATGGTTCCACGTTTGTAGCAACCATGTGGCCAGGTGCTGTATCGTATGTTGATTGGTTTCATCCAAACGCGCAGTCTTTCTGGACTGGTCAGATTAAATCCTTCTTTGATGATCAATCCGGCGTTGGAGTGGACGGTATGTGGATTGATATGAATGAGGTATGTGATTGTCCATCCATTTCATATTGAATATAGACTAACGTCTGCAGCCCGCCAATTTCTGTGGTTACCCCTGCTCCAACCCAGTCGAGGTAGCTATTCAAGGCAATGACCCTCCAGCTCCACCACCACTTCGCACAACCTGGGATCCTCTTCCAGGCTTCCCGTCTGATTTCCAGCCTCCGGGCTCGAATTCGCGAATCATGAGACGGGACACATCCTCAGCCAACATGACCGGTTTGTCCGGGCGTAATCTCAACAACCCAGGTTATACTATTGCCAACGGAGTTGGTCCTCTGACTGTTGGTACTATCTGGCCTGAACTTCCCGAGTACGGAGGCTATGTGCAGTACGATACCCACAATCTCTACGCATCTTATATGATCGAGGCCTCTCGTCAGGGTCTGCTGGCTCGTCGACCATCGGAACGACCATTCATCATTTCACGAAGCACATTTGCCGGTGACGGAATCAGGGGCGGCCACTGGACCGGAGATAATGCCTCCATCTGGGCTCATTATTTACTCTCTATAGTCCAAAACATGGAGTTTGCATCCATCTTCCAAATTCCTATGGTGGGAGCTGATGTGTGCGGATTCAACGATAACACCACCGAAACCCTCTGTGCTCGATGGGCGATGCTAGGTGCTTGGTATCCATTTTATCGTAACCATGCAGATATCACAGCCAATTATCAAGAGTTCTATCGCTGGCCGTTGGTCACAGAAGCAGCACAGAAAGCTATAACTGCACGCTTTCAAGTACTGGATTACTTCTACACAGCATTCTATCAGCAGACCGTGGATGGTTCACCGACAACCATCATCCCGCTGTTTTTCGAGTATCCGAATGACCCGACTACACTCGATATTAGCTATCAATTCTTCTTCGGTCCTTCAATCCTAGTATCTCCCGTAACAACCGAAAGTTCGGAGAGTGTATCACTCTACCTGCCCCCTCAAGATATCTTCTACGATTTCTGGACTGGTGAACGTGTCAAACCAAACGGGGACTCAAACACCCTCAATCTTGACAACGTTACCTACACCGACATTCCCGTCCATATCCGAGGAGGCTCAATTATACCTTTACGCGCCGACGCTGGCAACGCGAATACGACTGCTGCGCTACGTACCCATGACTTTGAGTTGCTGATTGCGCCGGATGTCGACGGTAGAGCTACCGGTAGCTTGTACCTTGATGATGGGAAATCGATCAAGCCAGACAGGACTTCATACCTACAATTTACGTATGATAGTGGACATTTGTCGGTCAACGGGACGTTTGACTATGATCCTGGCGTGGGATTCAAGGGTGTTACAGTATTGAGCAACGGAAATCAGAATGGTGTTAACGGCGGTGGTAACGGCACTGGTACGGATAGTTATGGAAGAATTGGTTTGGTTCGACAGATTGATGAGGGATTCAGTGGTGGATGGGAGGTGGACGTTTGATTACCTTCTACGATTAAATAATGACCTCATGTAACTAGGTAGCATTGAATGAACAATCTTTGCCTTTTGCTGTTTCTATGGAGCTCGGGAATACCTAGGTACGTATACTGGAGAATATGCCTAAACGATCATATGGATAATCACACGAGCTTCGGACATAAACAGATTATATTCATCCCAAATGTCTGTCTTACAGTGACAATATGAACAGTGCTATACATATTATTGCTGAGTGGTAAAAGGTCCTATCACAGTCAAATTATCGATTCTACCCAGCAGGAATTCCAGCTGACGGTACGCAGCTCCAGGGACATACTGTGGGATTTCTACAGCCATTCATCAGTCACAGCATTCAAACAACAAAATAAAGGTTCGAAATAACTTACCATGTCCAGAGCCATAAACAGACGAGAAAGTTAACCCACGCTCCGTATGCGCAGTCCCCAGAATTCCACCACCGCCACTCCAAACCACAGGATCAACTTGACTACCAGGAGAATAAGGCACAAAAAGTTCCTCGGTGGGCGGTTTCTGGAAACCCTGTGCACCATTCCAGGTCATGTTCTGAATAGTTGCCAGAGAACCATTCATGAATAACAAATAATCGTACCAGCCGTGACCAATAAGAACGTTGTTGGTAGCTTCAATGACACCTGGTAACGGTCCCAAAGCGCTTGGCACAGATCCATCGCCATTAGGGAAAATATCTCCGCCGCAGACGGAGTAATCGGTTGGTGGAACGTGCAATGCTTTCTGGACGTCGGACTGGTTGAAATAGTTATTAGGGCCTTCGGCGGCAGATGGAAAACCCATCTCATCCCACAAGAAGGGACAAAAATCAGTGAGATGGTAGATGTTGAAACAAGGGTTAATCAGTGTTGCTGCATCAATGATTTGATCCCACGTATCGCATCCCTCGGTACGAAGTGCTTTGTCGAGGTTCGGGAAGTTTTTCGGTGGTGGATAAGTAAGAGCCTTGTTGAGGAAATCGGTATAACCACATTTTGCGTCGGCGGCGTTGATGTGTTTCATAAATGTGTCATTCAGACCGAAGACGCTGGAGAAGTGGTTCAATGCGGTTACAGCAGGTGCTGTATGTATGTGAGCCCTTGTTTAAACCAAAAGAGAGAGATAGAGGTACCGTAAATCATCACTGAGTCGTCGTTTATAGACGGGTCATTGATCTGAATCCCCTTCAGATTAAAGTATTCTGTATCGTTTTTCTTAATCATCCCCTCGGCAAGATAAGGAATATACTGGCCCGCATAACTCTCGCCAGTAATATACACCTTAAAGCCTTTCATACCAAAGGTGTCGATGAACCGCTTCCAGAAATCATTGAATTGATTAGACACATCAACCTCATTCTGAACAGTCGCCGGACCAGGCGAGAGACCAGTACCAGCAGGCTGGTCTATGTAGACCACGTTTGTCAGATTGTTGAACGAGTACGGGTTTCGCACAGGTTGATAAACGCCTGATTGCCAGAGGAAGGGTCCGTTTTCTTGAAGTAAACCATCGAGAGAGCTGCAACCGGGTCCGCCGTTCAACCATATCACAATTTCTTTCTCGTTATCGGAATTAGGGTTCACTGCTGGGAAGAACCAAAAGAATAGGCTCGATTCGCCTGATGGAGTGTTATTGAGAAGACCTGCGTATGACTCGCCGATATCGAAGGAGACTTGAGGGAAGTGAGTGCCGTTCACCAAGTAATCTATCAATCGTTTAATATTAGCTTAGTAAACATGGGCTTTTGAGGAGTTAGATCATACGCTCAGTTGTGTTTGACAAAAACCGATAATTAGTACTCTTCTCAACCTCCACAGACCGTTTATTCAGTGCTGGAATGAGAGGCCTGGATTGTTTGGCTTTAGTATGAGGGTTACTCTGCACAGCTGAAGCAACTGCTGCGACTGTCGCGAATACCGCCAAAGTACGCATGTTGGCTGTCTGTGTAGTGAGCTGATAGTCGACACTGAAACTAAATCCAAGGCTTTTTGAGGACTACTTATACAGAAATCATAAAAAACTGAAGTAGCCTTATTAAGCAGGCGCAAACTACTCTATTTAGTTGACGGCATCGATTTGCATTAGGGCATGATCTTATTCAAGTAAATAGTGGGTAAATACGACAACGTCTTCTTCTCGAAGACAAATAAACAAGCTTGCCAGCTGCAAAGATCCACCCAACAACAAAACAAAACAAATCACAAGCATCGGCTCTATTGCTGTCTGGGAATAGTCTTCTTTTTACAGGCCGTCGATCGCCAACTTTCGGGGCTTTACAGTAGCATTTCTAACCATGTATGTAACGGTCCGGGATTAGGGCTTACGGGGCCGTGGAGCTTCAGGCCTATGCAAGGTATTCATCCTGCCAATCCTCGTTGATCTGAGCTGTACTTTTATTATGCAGTTCCTTGCCAGCCGGTGATAACTATCACGTACCCGTGCCGCCAAGCCCGCGACCACACGCTGCGTACATCATTTGATTAAACGATCACGTTTGATTCTTGAACCCTGCATGTCTCATTGCCACAATAAATTAATGCAGGGCAGGGTTGAAGATAAGCAAATGACGCAGATAAAGTACCCTCTGAGCATACCATTTCCGGCGTGCACGACAACACTGCGGTATAGTCGCGAATAAACAACAAATCGGCGACTATGCAAGTACTCATAATATATTCAGCATAGGCACTTTTAGGACCCGAATTTAAGTATTATTTTAATAAGCTCGGATATTACATAGCCTCAACAAGCTTTTTCTAAGCCTCCCCGATCTTCAGCCATGTTTAGCCCTAATTTAGGAACTACCCGCCCGAAGGATAATTTAGAAGAACAACCTCTAGGGCTGCCAGTCAGTTACCAGTTGATGTATTTAGATTAACTACGAAGAGAAGCCATTGTTAATATCACAGAGTGTACGGCACTGTAAATCTAGCCCAGATCGATAGCGATGAAAGCACAAATAATATGCACCAGTCGTTAACCCATGTCATTCTTCAATATCTTCGACTAAGACAAGTCATAACCCGTACAAACAATTCGATCAGATGATATCACAAAAGTCCCAACCATCCATGGATCATAGTTGTAGTCAAACCATTACATCAATCAATCATATTCTCCCCGATTCAAACCTCTTCATCGACTCCGCAAGCAACTCTCTGTTCTTCTCAGCTACTTCTACAGCGCCATCCACACTCTGATCCAGCCCTTCCGGCGGATCAATCCCATTAATCCTCCACAACTGCGGCGGAACCTGCACCACACAAAACTCCACCTGGACCCCTCTATCAATCGTGTAGGGTCTCAGAATCTTATCGATACTATTTTTGAAATATTTCGAGAATTTTTGAATCGTTGGATCTATTTGTTTCGCGATATGCGTGATTTCAATGGATATCTTTTTGCCCTGCGGAACTCCGCCAACGTAGAATTCCTGTTCGGGAAGGGGGAAGTAGAAGATGTTGACGTAGAAGGCGGGTAGACCGAGGGAGGTGTAGTATTCTGTGATTGATTTGGAAAGGGTGGTTTTGTCTGAGGGTTCGAGGGTGTCGAGGCCGTGGTAGATTTTCCAGTATGGCATTTTGATGGTTTGGGCTTGTTATGCTGATTGACTAATAAAGTGAATTTGTTTGACGAGCCTGTAGAAGAACTTTGGAAGATCTGTGGTTAAATATCAGCTATTCTTCGACTTCAATTTCAACTTCTCATGGCAGGTCGAACATTTATATGCAAGACTGTAAGCACATACTACGATTCCTCAGAAGCAGGCATATAGAATGTTAGGGCACAACTACCCACTTTGCTCAAATAAACGAACAAGCGCAATACTCGTCTATCCCACGAAATCATTGGTCAATGTTATATCTGATACGATTTTACGACAATATTTCGTCGAGTCGGGTAACATTGAGCCATCTCCATCAGCGGACGTCGTCTCCGATTGGTCCAGAGATAAGGTTCGCTCGGTTATTGGCAGAGCGGTTTGCATAGATCAGTAATCAATTGAGATTTGTAGATCGACTGGATGTCGGACGGTTATTGAAGATTTATATTGGTTGCGATGATGTCTTAGTACGGCTTTGGCTGTTCCGAATGTTACCATTCGGGACACGTCGATTTACCCCGGTCTCTACGTAGAGAACTGAATAGATGTATAGAGTGAAGAATTGTTTATTAATTTGTAGCGCTGATATAGTTAGACAAAAGAAAAGTCTAAAGCAAAATGATATTCAGACAGCCGCGCTCCCAATGCAAAGTCAACGCAGATCTAACCACGGCATGTTTGTCGAACAAAAGAAAAATTATACATTATCCTGCTTCTCTGCTTGAACCGTCTCTTTCGGCAGTCCATCCACTAGATACGTCCCCCGACTTCCATTCGGGATCCAGAACCGTTTATCAACTCTCACGAGAAGATAGGTGTATACCACCAAAATCTCAATGGTAAAGTAAAAGACGTAGAAACATGCCCTACCCTGGAAGGAGTAAGGGTGAGTGATTGGCCTGGCGGGCATATAGTTAACAGCTGCCCTAAAGACCGCTCCCAGACACAGAAGGAAGGAGGTAAGTCCGATAATCCACAGCTTCGCTGCGAAGGAACCGGTGCCGAAGTTTTCGCGATCCGAACCCTTGGGTACAATGGCGATGATGATGGACATAGCGAGAGGTAGAAACGAGAAAAATGAGAGGTAAGTTGTCACAACAAGGATGGTATCACGGCACGAGTTTAATGCATGCTTGTCAAGCGTATAATGCATATAAACCGTCGTCACAATCACCATGACCAGCATACACGGAATCAGCAAGTAATTCAACAGGAAGAAATAGTGCACCGCTTTCGACCACCCGAACTTCGGGAATGCGGCACGTAGACACCGTTGCACGTAAATCAATTCAAATACAAAAAGAATCAAGACGCCGGCATTGGCAAAGATGGATGCTGCGATCCCGAGTGATACATTGGTGGATTTGTACGCCCAGCCTATCCGCAGGCAACAGGTGAGAGTGCGCATCATGCAGAAACCGAATGTGGCTGCATTGAATATAAATTTGTGGCCTTCGCGACGGTTGAGCTGGAATATGGTCATGTGACAGCCCGCGCCGAGGATATAGAGGACTAAAAAGACACAACTAACGGGTACGTCGACGCCTGTAGATGGTACGAGGCCGAGCTGTGCCGTGAGACTGGGGTATGGCGCCCCATGCTGTGCATGTTAGAACTCTGGTGTATCTGATAGAATTCGGAACACCATACCTTTGCTATCTCTGCCATATCCATGCCGAACACGTGGAATCTCCGAGGGTGTTGAGCTTATTGCGGTTGGCGTGTACAGCAACCGACTCTGTTCAACGTTGAGTCTGGCTGTCACACTCAGGACACGAGATATCGATTCGTGATGATATTCCAAGAGATAATGCTGGCTGGGCATCCCTGCCCAGCATTCTTATAGAGCTTTACATATTCCCCTAGCTTGCAAATCTCTTCATCGGTCTCACAAGCACCGTTAGTCGACGGCCTCGCGTGAAAACCCTCTCCGTCAATTGTCCTCGATATAAGGTTGGATATACGGCACTTGATTGGCCCTCAACTAATTTGTCAGCAGCTGCGCACACGGCATGTCGGCGGCCGACTCACCGATCTGCCGACTTTTTTTATGATTAGTCATCATTCACGCGCTTTATAGGCAGACAGATTTCATGTGAGCTCAGTCCCTTCCCGTTATCAATCAGAGACAATTGAATTGGTGAAAAAAGGGTCTGAGTAGCACTTACCCAATATGGCAGGTGTATTGTGCTAATCACGTGACTAGAATATAATTGTTGATGTGATAAGTTGTTGTTATTGGTTATCTAAGCTAACTACAGCTGCGCTGGCCCCTTTACGGAGGTCACATGACTCTCGGATCATAGTTGATCCGCGCCGGAGGGAGATCCACGGGTGTAGCACGCTGACAATAATCAAACAGTGCAAACAGTGATGCTCTCACTGCCGGCCTTGTGTGCCGGGGATATACGCTTACCCCTGGCTCCATGCTGACCAGACACAAACTCTCATGTTTGCAACCCCGTGGGGATATCTCCACAGACGACACGCTAATCATAAAGTCTGAAGATGCCTCTGCTCAGAATTCCATCTAGATCGGTAGATACGCGTAGAGAGAAAGAACAAGAACTCTGTACAAAGTAAGCCTCCAGCCATGTCACAGACTCGGCTTAGCGCCCGCAGCCAACCGGTGTGCCTTGGTGCCTGGGTGCCTGCATGCCTTACTCGGATGGCACGTGAAGAAAGAACGAAGAAATGCAGAAGGAAAGGCTCAACGGCTTCAAAATTGCCGTTTATATCTTCCTTACTCACCGACATACCCACAATCACGTCTTCCACACTCCTCTATATGGACCTCTCTTCCACACAAATTACTGCACCCTGCGAATCCCCATCTCTTGCCTGCACTCGGTCGCTCGGGGTATTCACGTAGTGGAAGGTGCGTTGGCGTCGGGATACTAGGACATAAAGGAGCTCTTTTCCAGGTGGGAATACGGTACTAGTTTCTGCTCTATGTCTATCTATTTCTTTGTTCGCATCTCTCATCAAGTAAAGCATCAACTGGCAAAGATAGTTACACACCGGGCGGCATTCTTTTATACCTTTTCGGCCCGACCCGACTGCGATACTCCTCTCGGCTTCATAAGATAGACTGAATCCACATCATGAATGCTAAAGTCGACGACAAAATGGCCCAAAAGGTCATTGACGAGGAAGAGTCTTCTCCTGTGCCGGAGAATATGACAGAACTCGCCCCTCAGCATCGAGAATATCTTCTGCAACGGCATGGAACGCTCGAGCTGGATCCCGTTCCTGCAATGGACGATGCCGATCCATACAATTGGGCGTCGTGGAAGGTAACACGGCTTTATTTGCACGTTGGTACAGCTGTGTACTAACAATGAATGATTTCATAGAAAGTTATCAATCTTTTTCTAGTAGCATTTCATGCCATGTTTGGCACGTTCACTGCCGCCGCCATTATCCCCGCATACCTGGAAATTTCACTCGACCTGGGGATCAGTATCAATACCACATCTTATTTGACCTCGTTACAGATTGCTATTCTCGGAGGCGCCCCACTCTTCTGGAAACCACTGTCGAACAGATTCGGCCGGCGTCCAATCTTCCTCGTCTCTTTGCTTGGAAGTCTAGTGTGTAATATTGGCTGTGCCAAGAGTCCAACTTATGCGTCAATGGCCGCTTGTCGTGCACTGGTAGCCTTTTTTATCAGTCCTGCTGGCGCTCTGGGAAGTGCCGTAGTCATGGAATGTTTCTTCAAGCGTGATCGCGCCAGGTACATGGGTGTTTGGACATTGCTCGTTACCCTCGGAGTTCCGGTATCTCCTTTCATCTTCGGTTTCGTCGCCCAGCGAGTGAGTTACCGATGGATTTACTGGGTTCTGGCTATTGTAAGTTTGTGACCTTTACTATTGTCTGTTCTTACTCATTTGTCGTAGGTCAATGGAGTACAATTCTTTTTGTGCGTCTTCTTCCAGCCAGAAACTAAATACATTGGCCACCGGGATGGGCCTGTTGCTTCTGGATTCCGTCAGGAGTATTTGAGTTTCCGCCGCATTGATCCAACTCCCTTTAATGTATACGAGTTTATCAAACCATTGACAATGGTGACTCGCCCCACAGTGATCATCCCTGCCGCTGCTTATGCTATGGTTTTTCTTTTCGCGAGTGTTATGTGCACTGTCGAGATACCTCAATTGCTGGAGCTTAAGTTTGGCCTAGACGCGCAGTCGCTGGGCCTACAATTTCTGAGTCTGATTATAGGTTCAGTTCTGGGCGAACAACTCGGTGGCCCTCTCTCCGATTCATGGATGAGATGGAAAGCACGTCAGAATGGACAGCATCCGCGCGCAGAGCATCGGCTTTGGCTCAGCTACATCGGTTTCTTACTTGCTATTGCCGGGGTAGTTGTATTCCTCGTCCAGACCCAAAACTCGCCTGCTGGCCACTGGAATGTGACACCCGTAGTGGGTGTCGCTATCGCCGCGTTTGGAAACCAAGTCGTTACCACGGTTCTTATAACCTATGCCGTTGACACGAACCATACCGAAGCTGCGTCCGTCGGCGTTTTGATTACCTTTGTCCGTCAAATCTGGGGATTCATTGGACCATTCTGGTGAGATGCCTCCTTCCATTTGCCTTTCTTACTACTGGCGCTGCGTGTCATCAGTCAAAGATGGTTGCTAATAATTGTCTTAGGTTTCCTGATATGTTCGCCAATGTTGGAGTAGCAAATAGTGCTGGCGTAGCTGCTGCTCTTATGGTTGGGGCCAGCTTGCTTCCAACCATGTTGCTCCAATGGCGCGGACACACCTGGCGACGGACCGAAAAGGTGGTTGTCGGTGATGTTTGATCCCCTTTCTTTCGTTTTTCTCTTATTCAGTCTCATACCTTATTTGAGGGGATTTTCCTATAGATGCATTACATGGCTATGATACGGTTAGAATGGGTTGTTTACATGCACACATGGATATTAGAGGGTATATAGACCAAATAGATTTCACGATAATACATCACAATCGGGTGCAAGTTTCATTGGTACAATAGATGTCTGCGTTAAAAGCTTCCATCATAGTAATAGACCGCCCTCGTTACACTGGGAGATCGCGAGCGGGCCGAACCGTTCGCTCTTGAAGGCCGAAAACCACAGTAGCACTCATTTTCCGCGGTAGGTTCCCACATCTTCACCTGTTGGCTACAAGTACCGGTCCGTACCGTTTTTTTTTTTTTCCAATTTATCTCTGTACCTACACTCTGAATAAGTAGTTACATAAGCGATTTTGCTGACCTAGAAGTCAATCTGTTTCAAGATCGCCCCCGCGGCCTCTAGAACTCGATGTAACGTACTAGACAGATTGTACCTTGCCCACTTGCCCGAAAAGGAAATTGGATACTATTTCGCTTGTCTTGTTTCAAGGGCACATCTAAACTGTGGCATTTCTTGTAATCTTATCACTCTTATCACTCGCCATCAACGATATTTCACATCTAGTATCATGATAATTTAAAACTCTGTTCATACTTCTACCACATGACATACGCAATGCAACATTTCGGCTCGATGCAACTAAATGATCGCAAATTGTGTATATAGGCAATAAACAGACGATTTTCCGATTTGGGAAACTGTTACTGCCTTTCTATGACAAGCAATTTGATTTGTATGTTTGGAAATGAATATAAATATCGTAATGGCGACTTTGAATCAATGATATCTTTTATTCTGGCTGAAAACATCATTTCTGACCCTCGGGAGAATACTTTCTTTCATTCGAGAGAGTCGTAGATCGACTAAACAACTTCACAATATCCACTACATTCATTTGAATATATCAACACCTAACTCTCATCTGGGCGATATCATGCATTCTCTTTCAAAAATTTTCATCGCGGGGGCACTTGCCTCGACAGCGTTGGCATTCCCTACAGTACACCAGCGAGACTCACAATACAAACTCACTGTATACTGGGGTGCGGAAGACGACTCCACCACACTTTCTGACGTTTGCTCCGACGACTCTTACCAAATCGTCAATCTCGCGTTCGTCAGCTACTTCAACGGTGATGGTGGCTATCCCACCTTGAGTCTAAGCACACTAGATGGCCCCTCGCAAGCTCAACAGGATGCTGGTGCAACCTCTTTGCAAGATGGTTCGTCCCTCGTTGATGCTATCCAGGCATGCCAGTCTTCTGGAAAGCTGGTTCTTATGAGCCTTGGTGGTGGTGCTGGTGACTCTAATGTCATCCTGTCCGGTGACGATCAGGCAAAGGATGTTGCTGATATGTTGTGGAATTTGTTTGGTGGTGGTACTGATGAAAATATCACTCCGCTAAGGCCGTTTGGAGATGTGAAACTTGACGGATTTGATATCGGTATGTTTGAGAAGTGGCATTTTATGAGCTTGGAGCTAATATTTCATATAGATAACGAGTCTGGAGATCCTACTGGATACAGCGCATTGGTCTCACGACTACGTTCCAACTTTGCTCAAGATACGAGTAAAAAGTATTACCTTACAGCAGCTCCTCAGTGCCCGTATCCAGATCAATCTGTACCTCTCGACGTCTGCAAAGAACTCGATTATGTTTGGGTACAGTTCTACAACAATGGTGATTGCGATGTCGCAAAATCTGACTTCATCAACTCTGTCAAGACGTGGAGTAAGGGAATCGGTAATGCTAAACTGTTCATCGGCGCTGTTGCCAGTGATGCCGATGGTGATGAGGGATATGTCGATTCTGAAACTATGGCTTCGTCCTTGAAGAAAGTTGAGAAACTGGGATTGTCGAACTTTGGTGGCGCTATGTTGTGGGAGGCACAGCTGGCTGTGAAGAATGATAACTACCAGTGGGATGTTGCGGCTGCGTTGTAAGCATCCGTGAATGAGTGTGATATAGTCATTGACTTGATGCTATCTTATGTTATATCTATTTTGTTGGGATATATTTTGTGATTTTCTATTCCTGAGTGCTAATCTAAAGCAGTTCAGATATACCTAATTTACGTGTTGTTTCCGGGTTGTTTATACATGCAAGGAATTGTTGTGCATGATGAATTTTACAGGTACCCGTCGCGTCGCCTCCCCCTGCGGTTGGGAGTCAGCCCAGGCTCAAGGGCCAAAATGTTTAAAATCTCAACCCGTCATTTACAAATTTCAAAAACACAGCCAAAATGACCCCTAAATTATATAAAGACGAGGAGACATTAATTGCAAATATTCTCAGCGCGTGCAAACATGAAAAAAAAAAACGAATTTTAGCAAATTATCGCGTGAATACGGGGTGTCTCGCAAAAAACTATCCCGTCGGTGGAACGGCCTACCCTCTCGCTCAACACGCTCACCCACGAACCGCCTATTATCTTTAGATCAAGAAAAAGCGCTTATTCTATGGATTGAGTATCTAGATAATATAGGGGCACCCCCTACAAACGAGCAAATTGAGGAAAGTGCAAATTATTTGCTCGCTAAAGATTTCACTGATCCGGGAGAGCCTCCCCGCGCCGGAAAGATGTAGATATACAATTTTCTCAACCGCTTGCCAGAAAAGTACGTGAGAATAGTTCAGAAACCTCAAGAGAGGGATTGGACTACTGCAGAGCATTACGGCGAGATTGAGCGCTGGTTTATTGACCTTAAAATCGCCATACAAGAGCTCAAAATTGTCCCTCAAAAATTTTGGAACTTTGACGAGACTGGATTCATTGTTGGAAAAGGAAAAGACGAAGCTGTAGTAACAGCATATCCAAAAGATTCAAAAAAAGTCTCTAGCCTGTCATTACGAGAATCAATTACCGTTGTTGAAGCTATAAACGCTAAAAGAAAGATTATACCATCTTTATTGATTCCAAAGAGTGAAAACCACATGGAGGAATGGTATCGGCATATACAAGATGATGAGTGGCTAATTGCACCTGCTAAAAATGGATTATTACGGATGAGATCGCATTTGAATAGCTTCAACATTTTCAACACTATTCTAAGACGGATTGGTCATCGGAATGGCGATTACTTCTTATGGATAGTCATACAACTCATCTTACTATTCAGTTCGTCCAATACTCCGAAATTTACCATATTTGACTGTTCCGTTTTCCTCCTCATTCTACGCACTTTTTGCAACCGCTCGATGGAGTGTCTTTTCAGCAATATAAATATGTTCATGGAAGAGTTGTGAATAAGGTTGCACGTCTGGGTGGCTTTGATTTCAATAAAAATGACTTCTTTGAAGAGCTATGTAATATCCAGATTAAGATATTTACAACACGAACTATCCGCCATGGCTGGAAGGAGCGAGGGATTTGGCCATATGATCCTAAGCTTATACTCGATAAGATGCCTCAGCCAGATGAAGCATTTGAAAAATTAGCTGCTGATGGGGATACATTAAAAATTTACGGCGAGCCGGATGACACTATTCCCAGCTCACCAACTACAAAATCAATCTCTCCGCCTTCAAGCGTTGCAAAACTACGTCGCTATATCAATAAGATTGAGAAATCAGTTGACGGTATAAAGGATATCCTTGACAGCGCAATCCCAGGCCTCTCACATCGTATAAAAGCGATTAACCAAGGCAGCCTCACTTTAGCCGAATTAGGCAGACTATACCGTGAGAGCTTTATAAAGGTTCGGGATACAGAAAAACGTAAGCAGCAAAAAACTACAAAACGACAAGTCAAGGCGATGGGTGCGCTTTATGTAAAAGATACGAATCGTCTCATAAAACGCCGTCATGAGGGTGATTTGTTGAGGATTCATAAGAGCCATATCCTCGGCGTGGAAGAACTGGAGCAACAGGAGGCTCCAACAGAGCCTGGGCCGACTCCCAACCGCAGGGTGGAGGGAGGCGACGCGACGGGTAGAACCTTGAAATACTCCCATGCTACTTCCTATATGGACTTCAAGTAATTCAATTTCTGGTTGAACTCTCTTTGTACTTCAGAGACCCCAAATTTCGGCAATAAAATTGTACAGCGACAGGTTCTTTATCTAGATTTCACTTCTGGGCAGAATGTTGAGGGTGCTCTATGATGCACTGAAAGACAAGATGATATGATATGTAAATCCAGCTATTGGGTTTCGATCAAAATCGCATTTCAGTGTATAGCACAATGTGCCTACGTATGCGATCAATCATATCGAAATTAGGGCTAAGTGGCGGAAACTGGTGCCTAAGGCAACAATATGTAAAAACTGGTACATAGTTTCACAACTTGCGTTCATCAATCAATTCTATGCTCATGACCAGGCTACAACTTTTATGAATCGATCAAAGAGAGAAGGTCGCCCTACGTATCAGTAGCTTTTAATTTCCTTTTCAGTCTCAGTACCAAATACGTTGATCAGTTCCATGTCGAAATTAGGGCAAAAAGTTCATAGCCACAAATGTGACCAATGGAAGGACCCTGTATGGTAGATAGCCAATCAGATTGATTGTTGATTCCCGCTTCGCAATGCTTCCCTGAAACGGAAATTTCAAAATGGCCTAATATTTTTGGTGGTGTTGGTCTCCATGGCTGTCTATAAAAGGCTGAAAAATTCACCAGAGTGCCTGCTATGATTATTCTTCAAATCAATTCACTGTGTCTTGTTTATCTTTAACCTTGTAACAAGAACCCAAGTCATCTCTCTCAAACGAACACCGAAAACGACAAAATGGCCAGCAACGGCCCTATTGGTAAGATATCTCAAAAGCTTGCCTCAGGTGTTGCATTTGCTACAGAGGTACACCAGTACAATAAAGTCAAAAAGGCAGCTCAGAAGCAAAAAGAGTTGGATAAACTCTCACAGGAGATCCAACCAGGGGAAGGGAGATCAAATAACGCTACACCATCTCCTACTAGAGAACAAATGGCCTCAGTATCTTCGGCTCAAGGTGAAGGTGATGAGCGAGAATGGGAGCTCGACGAAGCTCAAGACGAATTGGTCGATGGCTCCGAACCACAGCAAAAGTCCAAAGGCGGAGCAGCCAATCCCGACAAACTCATTGCAGCCTTTCTTGCTCGTCATCCTCTCACAGTCCCTTCTACATCGCCCCCATCATATGATGCTGCTACTACAACACTACAAGGAGAAAAATACAAGCTCGAGTTCCCTGTCGTGATCCCGCAACGTCGCCCTCAGAGCAAGAAACGTGGCTTTATTAGGGCCTATGCACCTGATCTCGAGGATATGGGGATTGATCAAAGCACCTGGTTAGATTTCATCGAGACATTTAATGAGGCTAGTCTCGCAAATCCATGGATAAATGCACTCAACTTAGCGTCCATTGCGGCAAGTGCATTACCGTCTGCGATTTCGATGGCCGTTTCTGTGGCTGTTATGGTTGCGACGAAGATTGCAATAGAAACACAGTCTCGCTATCGGTATGACTTCTGTTTTTACCTTTATTCAAAGAAAAATAATCTAACAAATACCAAAGACAAAATAAAGCTCTCGACAAACTGAATGGTGAATTTTTTCGTCCTCGAGGTCTCTATTGTCTTGTAATGACTTGGGACTCTACATCAACCAACTCGCAGACAACGGATGTCGATCTCATTAACAATACCATTCAAAACTCCTTGAACAGCCAGGGGAAATTATCACACAAGTTCCAGTCATCGAGCGGCACAACCAGAGAATTTGAATTTATGCAAACAGCAGAACTAGTATTTCCGGGACTCGATTATCTAGCTTCTGTGCCACAAGGAAAAGAGTCTCAGGGACTCAAGAATAAAATCAAAAGGGGGAAATTATTTGTGGACGATTATATGGATCGGAAGGCTCAAGCCAAGTTTGTATGCCTATCCGACACAGCTGTGGACCCCGAATGACATTAGAGGGATTCAGACTGATTATCCCTTTTATTACGCAGGCTGGAGAAAATCCAGACAATCTTCTCTCAAAAGGAATCAATCCAACATTTGCATCTAAATATTCCGATCCATCTCACCCTATTCATAGTGGCTCCTTATACTCTCTCCTGAGCCTTGGTCACTTCAATCCACCTACCCTCAGGAATCTACAGACACGAGGTGCTCGTCCTGGTTTGCTGGGCTCAAGATCTACTAGGCAAGGTGTAATCGGTGCACTAGGCGGTCGAAGAGAGTTTTCAAGATTAGGAGAGCGAGGAAGTGGTGGTCTTTTTGGGCTTATTGGCACGGCGGCACATGCTGTTCGGGATCGTGACCGGGACCAGAACTCGTCTATATTACAGAGTCAACCAGACGGGTATCAGCAAGACCGATATCACAATAATGACCTCCAGACTAATTCAGCACGTCAAATGCCAATGTCACGATCAAGATCAAGCGACAGACCGCTCGGTGTGGGCAGGTTACTCCAGGAGGTATGTTCTTAATTCGCTATTATTTTGTTCTTCCTCTTCCATCTACCCGGAAGCATAATTCCGAAAATATTCTGACTAATGTCAAATGCAGAAAGTCCTTTATCTTATGGTTGTCAACATGCCCACCGACGAAGAACTTGCACAAGCGCGGGAATTGGCACAGCAATGGAACATTCAGAGCTGAAACTTAAGTGCATCTGGGTAGATGGGTAAATCTTAACTATCAATACTCTGAGACATTACAGAAGAAAGATTGAGCACATTGTTAAGGTTGGTAGCTAAGATGAAACGACTGGGCCATCTGACATTGGAGGTTGTGATGTTGACAGCTGCGAGGAGTTATGTCGATTGAGGGCCCACCTGATGACCTAACTATCGATATTGAAGACTGATATACTTGTATCCTATATGAATTTAATATAATTGCAGTTTCCTGATGACTACCAGAACGAAGTTTGTAAACCGCCCATAAAACACCCAAACAACTAAAGAACGAACCAATTGCTTAAGCTGAGAGTGGCAAAATAAAGCATGTAGAACAGGATGTGTTAGCTATGCTAAGTAGAAGGGAGTATAGAGAATCTAGTAACTATGTCAATCACAACAACGAGGCTACAGATGACTATCTGTATTGCCGCTATAAGCGTCTCGTCCTATGAAGAACACTCCAGACACGCACAAGTAGCGATTGACCTCCTGAAATTACTGCTCATGGTTGATGGCAGTCTTCCTGAACTTCCGAGCACTGATTTTCTTCTCAAACCGCAAATCCAACTCCTCAAAAGTTCTTCCTTTTGGTTCCGGTAGTCGAAAATACGTCCAAGTTAAACATAAAAAGCACGAACCGGCCCAGAAGAACCCGGCCTTCCCTTTCCAGTTCCATGCTGATGGGCTCAGCATGTATGGAGTTATCACTCCGTTGATAATCCCAATTATGTTGTACGAATTTCTTCCAAGGACGATGGTCTTGGTTCGGAGGCGACTAGAAGGAATCTCTGCTACGATGGAGAATGCCACGGTGCCCACAGTGATATCGTAAAGCAGCGTGTAGGCTAGTAGTAGAGATCCAATTACCCATGCACCATTGGAAGAAGTGTTGCCAATAGCAACGAGACCGATCACCAATAGTATGATGAACATAGATACAAGCCCACCAAGATATAGTGTTCGTCGTCCGCAATGAGTCATAAAAAACCACGATGCAAAGACACCGATTATTGCAACGGCGTACAGCGCCATTGACGTATCAAAGGAATACGACACAGATAACCCAGCCTGCTGAAAAAAGTAGGATGAATACCCCATGAAAGCTGCACCACATAGGTTTTGGATCGCCCACGTCACGCAGACAATCTCAGTTCGTCGAAGATCTATTCCTCGGAAACAATCACAATAGGAAGTGCCACTTGTGAGTCGTCGGTCGAGAGCATCGGTATGCACCATCATGGCAATGGTTTGATCAACATCGAACCCCGAATTTAAGATATCCAAATGTTGGCTTGTGAGTCGAAGCAAAGCTTTCCGTGCATCATCAATTCGATCTTTCCTAACCAGCCACCATGGAGACTCTGGAGCAAAAGAGATTCCAATAATTAGTGGAACCGGCCACATCCACTGAAGCGCGAATGGTATGCGATACGCCCATTGATCAGAACGGCTGAGTAATCCTCTTAATACCCCAGCGGCTATCAATTGACCGATACCCCAACAGACATTAGCATAGGTAGTTAAGTAACCTCGAAGCACAACTGGGCAAAATTCCGATGCATATGCCGTGGTTAGTGTCTGAAAGACCCCCCATGGTATTCCCATCAATATTTCTCCGACTTCTAGTGTCTGGATGTTGGATGCAAAAAAGGGGATGAAGATGAAACATGTTAGTGCAGTAAGTGACGCGATCATGGTAAATCGATATCCATATTGTTTAGATACGATCCCATTGATGAATAAACCGAGAATTTCCCCAACATTTGCACCATTTGACAACCCTGATTGCCATGCTGCGGTGATTTGGTATTCACCACTGGGAGTCTTTTGCCCGTAACGTTTTGCGAATGCAGGGAATGCATAGAAGCTTTGCATTAGAACGACGTCGTAACCTTCCATGACAAGTGCAGTCGAAAGGAAGATAGACCAGCTGATTGCTTTGGGGTATAACCGTACGGCTTGCCATAATGTCATGTCATGTTCTTTTGCCGTTACCTGTATGGCATCTATAGTAAGCTGATACTCATGGGGACCAGTGGAGACTTTTTCTAGCTGCTCACTAGTGCCGTTATCTCTCGATGCAATGGTAAAGTTGTATCTATACCTTGTGTCTTCAAGATACAGTGCTCCAGAATTCCTTCACAATCCAGTTCAAGGACACATGCCATCGTTAAGATTAAAGGCTGCGGTCTCTTTGTTCGTTCGAAACAATTGAAGATAGGCCACATGAATAGCCAGATCATCTCTACTATCCAACAGTGCGGGGTAAAGATATAAGTTTTAAATTCAGGTTATGGTTACATCTTGCTTTTAGATCTATTTTACACGACATGCAAATGACCTAGGCACGTAAGAAATGTTTCCTTGAGCATTATCAGGTCCTACCACGCAGGATTGCTAACCGATTCTACCCAATCTTCAATTGAAATATTCTACTCTACCTAGGTAACTAGTGATAAATCAATTTGACTTGTACACAACCTCGACGATGCTCCTCAGGGTCTCGGGAGCTGATGCGACAACTCGGAAGTCAAATCGCTCATCAGCCTTTTTGATCACGGCTTGCCATTCCTCGATAGTTCGTTCGACAGCATTTGCAAAAGACATCATCTAAAGATCAGTGGTGCAGAGCATGCGTAAAGTTGTGGAGGGCAAATTGTACCTGCCTTCAGCGTCAGGGCTTGGGAATATGGACTCGAACATCACTAGACGACTGCCAGCCTCAAGGTATGGCTTTAAGTTCTGTAGAATCTTTATCACGTATTTGTCCGGCCAGTCATGAAGCATTGTTTTGAGGACATAGACATCAGTTGAGACTGCCTGTGGTGTGGAGAAGTCGTGAGCTTGGAATGTGACTCGATCTGATGATTCCTGAGGAAGATGTGAATAAAAAGCAGCTTCAAGCTCAGGGTGATCTTGAACAGTGAGAGATTTGGGAACGCTCTAGCCAGAACGGGCATCATGTCCCGACGAACCGCCCAACGAGAAAGGTCGCAGTGCCAGAAAATACTAAATCAATGAACCACTCATTGAAGACTTACATCTACAACTTTGCCTTCCCAAGGCTCGCCCAGTGATAATTATCCCTTAGATACTCGTTGATAGTAATCCCCGAAGCCGCTGCAGCAATTTGCATAGCTTCCGCAAATCGCTTCTCTCTATATCCCTCGAGTTCGCCTTTTGGGGTACGCTTGAGATAATCCCAAAACGATTGTAGTTGGCCAGTCTTGTCGATATCGGCGACGACAAATGTTGATTCGTTTATCTCTTCGCTCAGAGTTGGTTTTCCAACGCTGAATCTTCTCAGCGGTTCTGAAAAAAAAAATCAGCGAGTCGAAATTCTTGGGCATTGCGGTCAATCATGCTATGCATTTAAGGAGTCCTGACTAAGAAGTCGAATTGGTTGAGAACGTCTAAGAATATGGTATCATGGTATCATGGTTATTCTATGTTACTCAATGAGACTCTGAAATCCAAAAATATTTCGAAGCTAAGTGGAAGAACTAACGTAGATGGGATGTAGCAGGCTGTAAGTTTTTGGGCCCATAGCTAGATGCATCATATCGGTCAGTGCATCAAAAATCTGTAAGCGGGCAAATTAGACCTCCGGTGCCATCAAATATCTTTCTGGGCCATTCTCCGCAAATGAGGAAGAGGAAGATTTTGTTCGTTCAGGTAGGTCGGGATGGTGCTCGCGGCTTGAGTGATTGTGGCTGCTAGACCATCAAGAATTGGGCCTGGCTGGGATTTCCCTTCGAAATGAAAATTCCTTGGAGATTAGTGAAAAGAAGGGTAGAAGTGGTTAACTGATGTTCGCTATAGTAAAACGGATATTAGGTAACTGCTGGGTTCTTTGGAATTTATATACCTTGCGGTATCTACCTAGGTACACTTGAGATAATTGCACATGTTCCTGCAAATATTCAGCTTCACTCTGCCTAGACAGCCTAGGTTGTTAATCCTTGTGGGCTGGAAAGACTATGAAATAGAAGCAATGGCTTTTCATCTGTTGGGTACTATGTGAAGCTGAACCAAACAAGGTTACCGTGCTAACTACTTAGGCATGGTTTCGATTATTTGAATTGGGGGCCGCTGGTTCCAATGCTAGGGCGTCACTGCCCAATGCGTCAGTTGCTACGCTCACCCATTGTTAAACTGTAGAAACGCTAGATAGGTAAGAAATGCAGGGAAGCTCGCTGTCCATCGTTATTTTAAGTGCGCACACTCATAGAGACACACGGATAAAATTACTGAGCCGTCTAGAAATACACGACGAAGCCTAACGGCAACTGCAGAGCTGATAATACGGGCAAGAGAGGATGCTAGTAGCATGAGTGTAAAGACTCCTCACTATCATGGTAATTTTGAGCGTTGGCGACCATCGATGTGTCAGAAACTGAACTCGCCACGCATCTTTATCCACTCACTATTGCCCGGAGCATTACATACTGCTGCTTGTTCACCCTAAATGCTATGTTGAGGAAGGGAATAGGATTTATTCGGAATTATAAACAGGAAAGCTCCATGTCCTCAACCTCGGTCTAATTCCTACTTATCTGCCCATACACAGGATCTACATATCAACACTGCCACTTTTCATTTACCGTTTGAACTCCTTGTTTTTTCCCGGGATTGGGTTCCTGTGTTTGCGGGAAATACCTTAAAGAGTATCGATTATCGAATCCCACGGTTACAAAATATGGACACGCACGATGACACAAATGCCCAGATTGGGATCCGATTAAGGATTGGATTTTTCTGTCTTTCGGGGATGTCTCTCCCAAATCCCTAAAGATAAAACCAGCGCTACAGCAGAAAACGCAGCCAAAATGACATTCTGCCGGTTGAAGCCCTCGGAAAATGCAGCTTTCACAGCCTGTTGTTGATTCTGCGAGAGATTTTTGATCGCATCAAGCGAGTCTAGGATAGCTTCGAGCTCCGGTGGACTAAGTAGTGTGGATAGTTTGCTCTTCACATGGTCATTAAGGACTGTGGCACTGCGTGCGTGTTAGTTCAGACTCCCTGGGAGTTTGATAACTTGTGCTTTACCTAATTGCCAGACCGAATGTGCCACCAAGAACACGAATTTGTGTCAATGCCCCCATAGTAACAGCTATGTCCATGGCGTTAATAGGAGGTGTATGCTATGCGAGCATTTCTTGGGTTCAATACTAACGTAGATCCTTTTTGTTTGCAACGACTGGTGCAAGTGTGAGAATTGTACTTAGAGTCAATCCAAGCCCAATGCCCATGATCACCTCGAAGGCGTACTGCTGTGGTGGAAAGATCAAAGTGTTCGTTGGAAGTGAACACATTAGTCCCATACCAACCAATTGAATGACTTCACCCACGGTAATGACATATACAGGTGGTACCCTTCCATTGGATGTGAGAATCCCAGAAGTAACTGTAGCCAACGGAGAAGTGAGTAAAAGAGGTAGAAGTGTGATGCCGGCGCGACGAGAGCTGAATGCGTAGACGGCCTGGGCTCTTTGTGGTATATTGACTATTACTGAGTTGAATGGAAACCCTAAAAAGAATGATGCCCTTCAATATTGCCGTTAGTCTCAACGGCTTCTTTCACTGATGACGCTACCAAGTACGTACGCAAACATGGATGCCATAATCCGACTTTCGAGAATCCGTGGCGGGAAGATCGGTTCTGTGATCTGATCTTGTCTTCGCTGTAACCAGACTTCCCAGGTTATGAACCCAAAAAAGATGGCAAATCCAAGAACCAGCGTAACTATAATTGTAGGACTTCCCCACGCATGTTGGATCCCAGCATTTTCAAAAGCAAAGACCAGTAAAATGGACGCAGCAAGTAACAAGACCACACCGATATTGTCAATGCGTCGTAAATTTTGCGAAGATAATCTGCGGCGACCGACTTCCCCATCAGAAGGTTGTGAAGCTTTATTTGAACTTGAAGGTAGGGTGAAAATATGATAGCACTGGCAAGAATCCTGTAGGGGCACTCTCATTTGCATCAGATCAGTATAACTGATATATAGAGATGTCATAACCGACATACTTGAACAGGAATATCCATTTCCAATGCCCACTTTCTGTAATTGCGCCGCCCATCAAAGGTCCCACCACACTTGCCAATGCAAATACCGTAGCCATCAGTGCAATGTATTTGGGCATTTTCCCTGGAGGAATGATCGTAGGTGCTATCACTATCGTCATGCAATATATTCCAGAGGCTCCGAATCCTTGAAAAGCGCGAAATATGATACTAAATGGTTAATTAGCCCGTGCAATAAGATTAGGGAGACATTAAAAACCAATATTACAGCTCAACGATATTGCTTGATACGCCGCAAAGGATAGAGAATATACTGAAACTCCATAGTCCAACAATAAACATCGTTTTCCTTCCGAGGATGTCACCAAGCTTCGCATAAATTGTGAGAAAACCTTCCAAGGTCGAATTGTTAGGTACCTAGGTATGTTTCGTGGCATCCGCTTTGGGACAATTAGGGCTAACGTACCCGTATATGTTAACAAGTACGATGTCACCACCCAGTCGCGTTTATCAAAGCCACCCAATGCGTTCGTGATTGATACTAATGAGGTACCAACAATTGTAGTCTCAACAGTTGAGAGAAAAAGCGCCAGCCACATTCTAACGTCCCTCGTCTGTCAGCGTGTTGTTTGTCTGTGCGACATAACCAGAGGAGGTCTGTTTACCCAGCCGTCAGAAGATGGAGTCTCCATCCTGAAAGGGACATTGTCGGTAGCTCTTCTTGCAAATTTATTTCATTTCGAGGTTCTTCAATTGGGATGTGCGGTTTCCCTGCTGGAACTTGTCCTCCTTCTAATTCCATCTTTCGTCTTGTCCTATATTTGCCGAGAGAAGGTCAACGAAATACAACGAGAAATGTAATACGGTGAACAGAGCTGACCACAACCAGTCAACGAGAAGTAGAAAGGAATTTATAGTTGCTCCCAAGACTTGACACTCAGCAGAGATAAACGATGTGAGCATGTGGGTCTTCCTCTAAATATCTCTTCCTAATTAGGCAATCTATGCGATCACGTGATAAACCCCTATTTTCCAGATTATCCCAGTGGACTATGTTGGATTACAGCTGGGCTGCAAAGTCCGACTTTGCAACCTCCCCGTGGTGCAGCCTAGTAACATCATTCAAGTGGTGATGGCCAAGAGCAGAGCGGTGATTACAGGCTTCTTGTGAACCTAATATCACCTGGGGATCTACACGAATACTGCGGCAACCCGGAAGTCGATCGAACGTTCTTTGTCAGATATGAGAGAGCTCACCTACTACGAACAGATGCTGACGTCTTTCTATCTAGGGCTCTTCCCGATACTATATAGTCAAGATTTGGCTATATCGGGAATAGTATCAGCAAAGCTAAGGTTTCGCCAATATTTGCCAATATACGTAGTATGCAAAGATTTTGTTTTGCCTATACTATATGGTTAAAAACAGGCTGGTTTTCCATACCCGGTATGGATTAGCTTGGCAATCCATACTTGATATGGATTAGTATGGTATGGATGGAATACTTATCCATACTTTTCCATACCAGCCCACCGCCTCTTAGTAGATCCCACAAGTTAATAATTCGATAATTCCCATCTCAATAATCGACGTGCTTTAACTTCTCCCTCTTTATTCTGTATATCATACAAATATGGATTTGAAATTGGATTCATCGCTTCTTGCACCCTCGACAACCGTGGATTCAATCGCAACTCAATAAACAAGAAGTCGGTCAGCTCTTGCGACATGGGCACATGCTCGAACAGCACAAGATGGTGAACCTGAATTTAAAGGCCAAAATCGCATTATGTACTGCATTAATTGTACACTAGAATCACAATATACTTGTCGCGTCGCCTTCCCCCACCCTAGACCGGGTGATGGTCGGCCCGGACTCAAGGGCCACCCGGACTCAAGGGCCAGAAGATATGAAGTCTCATGTAAAATGCTTTACAGTCCACCAACGCCATATAAATTGCATATAAAAACTGGAGAGGTGTTAAATACAAGCATTGTTCACTTATTTCCTTGAGTATCAAAGAAAAAACCGCTGTTTTGAGGCTCTATTGAGGCCGCTTCTTCCGTCGGCTGCGACACGCCAACGGCATGGCTCTTATAAATCTTCAACAAATCTCCATCATGACGGCGTTTTACGAGGCGATTTGCATCTTTTATATAAAGTGCACCGCTTGCTTTGACTTGGCGCTTTGTAGTTTTTTGATTCTTGCGCGTTGCTGTATCACGAACCTTGGCAAAGCTCTCACGGTGTAGATCGCCTAATTCGGCCAAGGTGAGACTGCCTTGATTAACCACTTTTATACGGCGTGAAAGGCCCGGGCTTACTTCATCAAGAATATTCTTTATACTGTCAATCGATTTTTCAATCTTATTGACATAGCGACGTAGTTTTACGGCGGTTGACGGTGGAGATATTGATTTTGTAGTTGGTGAGCTGGGAATAGTGTCATCCGCCTCACCATATATTTTTAGTGCATCCCCTTCAGCAACAAGTGCTTCAAATGCTTCATCTGGCTGAAGCATCGTATCAAGTATAAGCCGAGGATTAAGAGGCCAAATTCCTCGCTCTCTCCAGCCGTGCCGAATTGTTCGTGTGGTAAAAGTCTTTATCCGGATATCGCGTAATTCAAAAAAGTCGTTTTTATCAAAATCGAAGCCACCTAAGCGTGCAATCTTATTCACAACCCGTCCATGAACATGTTTATATTGCTGAAATGGCACTCCATCGAGTGGTTGTAAAAAATGTGTAGAATGAGGCGGAAATCGGAATGGGCGAATGTGCCAAATTTCACAATATTGCACGAACTGTATAGTAAGATGAGTTGTATGATTATCCATAAGAAGTAACCGCCAATCCGGGAAAACCCCGGGCCTAGAGAAGTGGTCAAAGTATTGAAGTCATTTGAATGCGATCTCATCTGTGATAAATCCATTCGAAGCAGGTGCAACTAGCCAGTCGTCATCTTTTATATGCCGGTACCATTCCTCCCAATGGACCTTGCCTTTTGGAATCAATAAAGGTGGTATAATCTTTCCTTCGGCGTTTATACCCTCAATGATAGTAATTGATTCTCGAGAGGACAGGCTAGATACCCTTTTTGATGTTTTTGGATATGCTGTTACCACCGCTTCATCTTTTCCTTGTCCAACAATGAATCCGGTCTCGTCGAAGTTCTACAGATTTTGAGGGCGAATTTTGTATTGTTGTATAGGGAGCTCGAGGTCAATAAACCAGCGCTCAGCCTCACCATAATGCTCTGCGACGGTACGTTCCTTTTCTTGAGGTTTTTGAACGATTCGTACATACTGTTTTGGCAGGCGCTTGGTAAAATCGTGTACCCAATTTTCTTCCGGCGCGAGGGGGCTCTCCTGGACCCCTGAAATCTTTGCCGAGCAAATAATTCGCACTTTCCTCAATTTGCTAATTCGTAGGAGGCGCGCCTATATTATTTAGATACTCAATCTATAGAACAAGTGCCTTTTCTTGATCTAGAGATAATAGGCGCCTCGTAGGTGGGCGTGTTGAACGAGAGAGGGTAAGCCATGCCACCGACGAGACAGTTTTTTGCGAGACACCCCATATTCACGCGATAATTTGCTAAAATTCGGATTTTTTTTGTGTTGGCACGCACTGAGGGCCTTTGCAATCAATTTCTCCTCTTCTTTATATAATTTAGGGGTCATTTTGGCTCCGGTTTTGACGTTTGTAAATGCCGAGTTGAGATTTTGAAGATTTTGGCCCTTGAGTCCGGGCCAACCACCACCCGGTCTAGGGTGGGGGGAGGCGACGCGACAAGTAGTATGGAACCGTCCATACTAATCCATACTAGGTATGGATTGAAGCGGGTATTATGGTATGGAAAACCAGCCTGGATATCATCCTAGGGTTTAGGGCTTCCGTCCTCCTGCACGGCGACTTTGCCTGGCCCGTCACAGCAATGCCATGGCTTACAGCCCCTAGACCAGTTCATTCCCAAGGGAAAATCAGAGTCACTATTTACTGTTACATGCCTTAGATGTCGTGAATATAGTGCAATTGGGCATCGTATTAAGCGTCTTCGAAACCATACTGAAGAGCGTATCCAGTTCCATTATCGAGGAATTCACAGCTCTGACAATACTCAACATGCCCAAGCTCGCCAGGAGCAGGCCAGGATATCCCGAGAACATCGCTCGAAGAGAAGACATGGAGAGGAGGCCTCACTCACACCGTGTATAACACAAATCATGAATGCACAGGATCATCAGACACCTGCGCAGTCAATTGCATCTCAAAGATATCCTGCAAGCAGCCGTTCTTCTACGTCTACGCCTCGTCCACTTGTTACATGTTATTTCCGATGTTTCCAGTGCGAAGCCTTACGTTCAAACGATGACCGGTTCGGCGATAATGAGGATATATGCTTTTACTGTGCTGACAATACATAATTTGAAGAGCAAAATAAATACTGCATCTATGGCAGTAATCGAGTTCCACGGCCTGCTTTCTGTGACGCAGCAGGTGTTGAGTCCGATACATGCCATTTTTGTTTTAGTCAAAAATCAACACCAATCCCTAGTCGCCATCATACGCTTATTCATCTACGTCCAGCGGTTAGACGTGGTCCTGTATCTCAACTAGATCTTTCTCCTCATGATGACATTGTTTCTAGTCCACATTTTCTGCTAGAGCAGCAACCACGTCAAGGAAGCCGAAATACATCATCAAATGAAGCTCCATTCGTTGAAGACCCTCCTTTAGATATGAGCGACGAGAATATCCTTTCAAAACCTGCTTTACATCCGGATAATTGGGAATTGGTGGAAAATTTTTACAACACACTGTATAGCTTTGCACAGGAGGAATGTGGACGGTGTCAAGAGCAATGGTTTAAAATGAAGCTTCGCGACGGTGTCTGCGATAGATGCAGGCGTGTTGACAGAGGTCAGATGATATTTCTGTACTCTCCTGGAAATAATATGGATCCTGGTGATGTCCCTGCTTTTCTTCCTGAACTTACACAAACTGAAGAAATGCTGATTGCTCGTGTGCATGTTCATATGGAGATTCGACAAATCCGGGGACAACAATATATCGATATCAAGGCCATATTGTTAACTTCCTTCGGGACACGCAACGCGTCTGTAATCGATTACCATTACTTCCACAGGACCTTAGTATGGTGCTATTATGCCCACAGACTGCAGAAACCCACGAATGTCTCAACCGCCAGTTCCGACGCGATTTAAGGGTCAGGCGCGGACATATGCGTGGTTAAGCTATCTTATAGCCCATCACCCAGGCTATCGAGATATTCAAATTGATCATGCCAACCTTATTAAATTGCCTGAAGATGGCTCTGTTATTGATCAAATATTATCAGAAGACGTTGCTATCGAGTCTATTGAGAATCATACAGATATTCCAGTAGAAGCAGATTATCCTGAGACTGTTGCAGTACCAGATATGACGGTTTCTGAATCTGAAGTTCAACAGCCGCCAGCAACTCGTTACCGCATAAAATCCTCTTCATATTACTCTTCCTGATCCACGGTCGACGCCGATATCCGAATATAAGACTACATTGCCGCTTCTTTCGCTTGCTTTGCCTACGTTATTCCCCCAGGGAAAGGCTGATTATTCGATTCCTTGGGAACGAACTGTCAAGTTCCACGATTATACACAACATTTGATGGAGTATAAAGATGGCCGTTTTGCTCGTCACCCACGATTCCAATTTATCGTTTTTAATACAATGATGAGGTAACGAGCTAATGCTCAAGCTGGATTCATGGTCAAGAGAAGATTGAATCTTCCTAATTGGATAGTGGACCAGTTAAGAGCTGCGTTTGAGGAGGATTCAGAGGAATCGAATTCAGTCGTTAATAGTATTACTCGCATGTCCAATACAATTCAGGGAACACGGCCATATTGGGCTTCAAAGAGATCTGATCTCATTGCATATAACCAGAATCTTGGTGCCTCATACCTCTTCTTCACCTCCACTCCTGCAGATTATCAGTGGGGTGATCTCCAGCGCCAATTTCCCAACTATGAGCGATGGAAGGACGGTAACGCCATTGAGAGACGTGTTATTGCGCGAGAAAATGTTGTCAATAATCCTCATATATGCGCATATTGGTTTTGGCTACGTTTGAAAACCTTTTTTAACGAGATTTTGCAGAAAAGTTATAACTTAAAGGATTACTACACCCGATACGAGTGGAGTATTTCCAACACTAATTTCCAATCAGTGAATAGAATGGTATAGATGAGGAAGTTCTTTTCGTATTCGTGACGGATTGGCCCTAGTTTCTGCAGGTTTGGCGCCGTTATATTGATTGGGAATCCTTGTATGGAGCTCTCCGTCAATAAATGTGATATCAATCGGCATTGTTCTTTGCTTTTGAAACGCATTGATTCCATTTGGGATACCGGCCAGGCAATAGAGATTTGTATGAAGATTGAGGCCGATAAATACGGACTGTTTCCCCTGGGTAGATAGTGTTCGAAAACTCGATGATTCTGTATATTCTCAATTCAATGCTTCTATCTGTCTGACAAAAAGTTGTGCTGTTTCTAACAGGGAATTGTCCTCTATAATGAAGAATCAAAACCCCTCGCTTTAATACGTGTTTCTTCCTGATTGGTAGGCCAGTTGGGTCTCACTGTGCTGTACACTTCACCAACAATATCTAACAGATAGTTTCCCTCTTCATGCTTAGTTTTTCTCCATCAACACTGCTACCCTCTCAATAGGATTTGTTAGGCTTGAGCACTCGTTACAGTATATGCCTATCAGAATCGTGGTATACGTATACTGAATGTCAAAATATGCATAAAATGATCTGTTCGGTATCATCAAGCTTGATATTGAAGCAAAAGGGTACTCTCTAGACGCCGCCAGGCTATTCGTGCTACAGGTCCCAGTTCTGCTCTCCCATACTCTCTAGCCACTGTCTGAATTCATAATCTGGACCTGACATCTGTGCGGATATATCATAACTAAAGTCGTTCAAGAAAGTAGGGTTCTCTAGTATATGCGCGTTCTGAAGCATATCAGTCGTCCTTGCCATTGTATCAAGCTGCTGTGTCTGTATCGGAAAAGCGTGAGACTGTGGACTTGAGGTGTTCGGACTCAAGATCTTATCAAGAATCCGAGTTATTACTTTTTGACCCTTCTTGCAAAGATTTTTATCTCCAAACACTGTATCCAACTCTCCAAGCTTAGCAGCAAATATCGATAAGTCCTGAATTGTCCTGCTTCGAGGTAATAGCGGCTCGTTTGGGTATTCCGGAAGTTGTTCCTGTTTCAAGGGTTCTATCGCTAGTATTACCGCACTGCGCATTCCATGTACCGCCAGAAAATAGATGAAGGATGCTGCAGCGGACATTTCGACACGTTTGTAAGTTCGCATCACATCACCCAGGATTGTCTGTGCTGTACGTATTAATTCTGCTGGATCGGCGCCTGCTTTGCGCATGAGTACGCGATGTAGTAGAAGTGAGTTGACCTGCGGACCTTGACGGAAGACATTTCGAAAGTGTAGATCAGAGACTTCCTCTGACTCAAGGCCGAAGATACTTTCTTTTATGCTCGACATGTAGTGTGGCAGAGTCGCCCAGTGTTCTTCAGTTTCCGGTTGAATGTCAATTGCCTTTTGTCGCACCTCTTCCTGTGTATAGTTACCCAACGATAGCTCTAGGATATCCTCTCTCCTTGCCGTGAAGCTGATAGAAGACCCTACCCAAGAGACATGACGGATCTCTCCATCTCGATTGTAGCCATTCTCATCCACAAGCAATTGCCACAGTAAGTTCCTGTGGATCTTCAGAAAATAACTGCGCGTCTGTCAGATCTAGAGGCGGCTCCAAGTTCATATAACGATGCGAAAGTCGCGGTGGCCGGCCTAGGAACGTGGTTATGCTAATTTCCGATTTGTAGATTAATGCTCGGAGTCTTTTCCGCAGTTCGGCGAGGAAGAAAGGTACTTGAGCATCAGCTTTGATCTCCTGGTGAAGACCCATCGTAATAAGGGCACTGTTCAGTTCGGCGCCAATACGGTATGTCGCATAGCACGCTTCTCCCTTGGTATATATGGTGATGTTGTATTGCTCAAACAGCGCACAGAGGAATGTGTCATCCAAAGCCTCGTATTCACAGCAAAATCCCTTGCATACATCTGACACATCGAGCACTTGGTTCAACAATGATTCACGGTCCATGTTGAACTGCTGGAAGAATGGGTCTGCTGATTTGCTTATCATTGCATATGATCCGACATAATTGGCGATTATGGCGAGAACACCCCAACGTATGTGGCCACCAGTGGAAGAGTTAATCCATTGCCTTGCCGTGGTATAGCCATCAAACACCACCGGTGTCGCCGTGTTCTGGAGAGCAATTGACATAGCTACCATATCTTTTCTGGGTTCTGACTTGACAACGCCTCACCATGAGACGTCCACAGCTTTGAAAGCCAAGCTCTTACGATGAACTCGCCGCAGTAAATATTGTGCATTCAGCAGACTTGAAAAACAAGTCGATGCCACGATCTATCATCTCCTTGGTTTCACTTCAGACACTTTAATCATGACAGAGGACTTGATGCAGCTCGGCGTGGCTACTACCGATCTGGAGCAAGTCCCTTTTGTCCTCGAGAAACCAATTATGAACGAAAGGATGGCCAGTGGCTGCCGCATTCTTTCTTTTTTGCGGAACAGGGAAGCCACGCTTTTCTCTCGAGGGATCGGACCGGTTAGCCGATGGCGGAATGGACCCTATGCGTGGTAGTGTTAAATTTTCCATGTGGTTATATCCTTGCAAAGTAGTAGCAGTATCAGAATCACTGCCTGTTCGAGCTTGCTCATCTGACGAAGTCAAGGCAGTATTGTTCAGCGCTGGTACTGACTGAACATCTCTCGCTACCACCGGGCTGGTCACATCCGGTCGGTTCTAGCCACCCTCGTAGCCAAAAATTTGCGAAACCGCTCATCCAAAGATTTTTGAAGTATTGACTCATCTGCAGAGCTTATCACCAAGATTGACAAGAGCAGAAAAGGCTATTTTTGGCAAAGTTTTTCTGCTGTTGTGTTCTTGGGGACGGAAACGAATGGGAAGAATGCCGTTCTCAGCTGATACGATTCGACCATCTTGTCGACTTGGCTCATTGTGATATGTGGTCTTTTGAAAGTACACTCACGAGACCTCTTCTGTCTATTTGCCTCATCTGATTGACAGGTCTGAGATTGTGGTGTTGTTTGAGTGGCTTCGGCACATCCAAAGACATTGCCATGTATTTGAACCACTTTGTCAGACTGACCCTCGTAGTCGACATCTAGGGTTGCCGGAGTGACTTTTCCCAGGATAGACTCCAAAGCTGATGTCTCTCCTTCACGCTGTCTTGCTTGTGGTTTATTTCTGATCGAGTATAAATGAGTCCCATGGTTGGTAACTAGGCGTCTATGGGCTTGGACATACTTTGATTGTTGAACATCATTGTATAGACATAGAGTCCCTATCTTCTCACACCTATACGAGTATTAGCTTTGATTAGTCCTAGCGCCCTAATGGAGAGAAAGTAGCCACTTTACCTTCGACATTGATCCGAGCGAGCAGACGGCATTTGCACGAAGCACAAGCACGGGCTGCTCTCGGCCTTGGACAAATAAATCTCGTATCATCTGGATTCATTTTCTTTGTTGCTCAATTGATTAATCCAATAAAATGAAGGATGTTGTCGGAGAAAAGTGCTCAATTGCATTTGAGACCAGGTTGATATGTTTGTGCCGGATGGCAGGAATAGCCGAGCCGAAGCTGCCTGTAAGTGCCTGAGGCTGCAGTGCTACTCTCCGGATGGCAACTCGACGCGGGCATCTATATCCATGCATTCAGGCAGGTCAATATCGAATCACATTTGCAGTATGGTTATTCAGATGTCTTCATGGAGTGAAAAGAACTGAAACATGCGCCTGTACTTTCCTTCCGCAGACCAGAAGTTTAAGCTGCCACAATCCATCCATCCTGGTCCATGCAGCCACTACCTAGGTACGGAATGAAGTTGGACTGGCAGAGTAGGATCATGAAGAGGGTGCTTGGGTATATAAACTCCTTGAAGTTCCATCAAATTAATTCATTCATCAAACCAAAACAATACTCACTACTCAAACTACAATCAAAGTTTCGGTTCAAACTTCCCAATACCATGGCTCCCGTCCGCTTCGGCATCCCCCTCTATGAATACCAAGCCCTCGATGTTATGGGGCCGCTTGACGTGATAGCAGGAGTAAACGTGGCCTTGCTAAAGCAGTATGAAGAGAATAACTTAATTCCCAAGGGCCTTCACGAAAATGGCCTTGAGCTTGAATTCTACCACATCAGCGACACCACACACAAATCCAAGCCGACGAACTTGGAGCTCGAAAACCTCGATGTTGTAGCAACAGTCACCACTGCCGAGTGTCCACCAATCGACTACTTGCTTTTTGGGGGTCCCTTGCCAAGTTACAAGCTCTCTGAAGAGATGAACACCTTCATCCAAGACCGCGTGGCAAAAGGAGAGATCAAGACCATCTTCACCACCTGCACTGGAGCTGCAGTCCTCGCACAGACGGGCCTGTTAGATGGAAAACGTGCAACCGTCCACATGGGAATTATTGACTTGGCCCGTCAGATGTATCCCGCTGTTAATTGGGTGCAGAAAACCGACAAGGGCAACTGGGTCATTGATGGAAATATTTGGACTGCGAATGGGGCCTGTACGGGCATGGACATGTTTGCGCATTGGTTGATTCAGCAATGTGGTTTGGAGCTTGCGAAGTACCAGTTTTGGACGCTGAATTATGCTCCGCGAGGCATTGATGGGCAGCTCCTCTCTTTATAGACGGAGCGATAATGTTTGATGGTGTTGATTGATGCTTGAACCTTTTTACTCATGGATTTTAGGGCTCTCCATGGATAAGATCCATGAAAATTTTGCATATCCATATCCATATCCGTTAAATTTTAAGAGCACGGATATATCCGCGGATACTATCCATGAAAAAATCCACTATTCATATTCATATCCATGATATCCATGGATCCATGGATATATCCATAGATATGTGTTAGTATTATTTACTAAGTGAATCTTTCAGTATAAGGAGCTTCCTCATAGTTCCACTGCTCAAAGACCACCTCCGTAAGCCAAGAAGATCCCGTCCAGTGTTAAATACTCTCTCAACATCAACCTCTGCTGCTGGAACAGCTAAGTAATCCCGTGCAGCTGCTGCCATGCATGGATATTCATTTATATAACCTCTCCACCATGTATAGATCCAATCTCTCTTCTTGTCGTTAAATTCCACAACGTCAGAATTGAGATATCGTGCAATATCAGAGGACTTTTCTGTAGACTTTTGTGACTTTGCCTTAATCTTACTCATCATCTCCGATACTATGGTCTTATGCGGATTTTCCAATGCAGCTGATAGTCCTAGCTCTTCTGAAGCTATAGGAAGTTCCAGCTTATAAGGTATAGGATACTGGATCTCAAGCTGCTCTTGCATAGCAGTAATAATATCCTTAGCTTCATCCTGTAGCTCATGCTCAAGAACAAGTTTCTTAAACCGAGGATCTAAAAGCATTGTAATATAGAGAATATCGCATGAATCATCCATAAGAGTATAGTACTTGTCGTATTTCGTCATGGCACTTTTAGCTGCATTAGCGATATCTGCGTCAAAGTCCTTGAATTTTCCCTCCCTATCCTGGACTTCTTGAAGAAGATCAAAGAGCTGATAGTAGATAGCCAAAGACTGACTGATTTGTGGAATATCAGTAGAGAGCTCTAGTGTATATCTATCAAACTCTGCAAGGACTATCCAGATTTGTCCAAGCTGATTCCAGTCTTGGTCAGTAAAAGGAGGTAAGATATGATTTATCTTAAGATATTCCTGAATCTGAGGAGCAGCCTATTAAAAGTTAGCTGTATTTTTTTTTTTTAAGATTGTTAAGGCTCATACATTCCAAGCATCATTAAGCATGCGATAAGAGGAATTCCAGCGAGTAGTAACATTATACTGAATAAGCTTTGAATCCATCCCTTTTATCTGGCATAGATTCTGCCACTCTCTCTTTCGCTCTGTGGTTGAAGAGATGTATAAACTTAGAATGCGTATGCGAGAGAAAGCACTTTGTGATTATATAAGAGATAGATTATTCTTTAAATCTTCAATGATCTGAAAGTCTCCTGTAATATCAGTAGCTTTTAGAACAGTAAGAAATTCTTTAACAATAAGATTTAGAATATGTATAAGACAGCGAATAAAGCTACCTTCTCCCTAATATCTTATTGCTTGCTGAGTATCGTCTATTTTATAATCAGCTTTGAGTAAATCATGGAGAATTTCAGCCATTGCTAAGTTATTGCTTGCGTTATCACCAGTAATAGAAAGAAGCTTAGCTCTAATATCTAGTTCGCATAGAACCTTATAGACAATAGATGCTAGATTCTCTCCAGTATCAGGGCCTTCTATCTCTTGGAAGTCAAGAATTCTATGCCAAGGCTAAAAGTCTGCTGTAATCCAATGACCAATAATTGTAAAGATCTTGTAGCCATTTGCACTCTTCCATCCATCAAGAGAGAGTGCAATAGCATTACAATTCTCTATTTTTCTAAGCTCATTCTTTAGTTGTATCCGAGCCTTAGCAAATTCTTCGTCAACACGGTGGGAAAATGAATTCGAAGATCCATATTTACAAGAATATCCTAGAAGGTCGCTCCAGATCTGCCTGAAAAGAGGGTCATCAAATGTTGAAAATGGCTGCATTGTTCCGATAGCCCAGTTGAAAATATTTTGATCGAGAAGTTCTTGTAGAGATTGTAAGGGCTGAGCTCTAACATAGGAAAGCATTGAACTCTGAGAGGACGTAATAGCTATACATATTAATATATATATAATGAATACTAGTAGAAATAGTTACCTAAAGAAGTGTCCCGATCTTTATAGATACTATGCTTCTGCCCTAGATGCTTCTGCAAGTTGCTAGTTGAGCCCTTGGTAACTGACTTAAGAGTAGTCCATTCCTCTAGAGCCGTACAATGTAGACAAGAATACTGTATGTCTGCTTTTATTTTTCCAGTCTGTTTATCAAAGAAGGTCTTTCCTTGTAGTAATGTTTGTTGAAAATGATTATAGACCTATGAGGTTTCTTTTCGCTATCTCTTTGGCGTTGGAGGCTCAAGAAAAGGATTCATTAAAGTTGATGACTGTATTTGTGAAGCTGAATCATTTGGAGTAAGAGAGCTACTTTGTGATGCAGTGTATTCGAGAGTATCCAGAGCTTCGGCAGCCTGGCTTTCAATCTGATCTTCAAGACCAGCTTCATCATCACTACCACCATTTGCAAGCTTCCAAAAGCCTGGCTGGCGCGTATTCTCTCGATGGGGGCGTATAAATTCGTCCATTATGCCGGTAGATTTTGAAGCTGAAGAAGCAGCCTAGAAGTTTATTCATAAAATCATGTCTCGGAGCGGAATAATAATTTTACTATTACACGTGACTCTATCCATGAATACTCATGGATATTGCACGCAAATCCGTATCCATATCCGCGAAATCTCAAAGCTTCGGATATATCCATGGATATTATCCATGAAGAGGAAACGTATTCATATCCGTAAGATCCATGGATATATCCATGGATATATTCATATCCGCGTATCCATGGAGAGCCCTAATGGATTTTAAAAACGTATCGAAATAGTTTGTTGTATTGAAATAGTTATGAATACTGAGGATTGATTATCAAATGGTGTGTTGAGGAGGAAGTTCACAAAAGGGGCTCAGATGTCGTGTATATAGCTGTTGGTTTACCTTCGTTAGATCGCAAGATCTAAGAAGGACAGCTAATCCAACAAGCTGACTGAGCCAGTAATACTGAATTCCTAATATTGCGACTAATCCTAAGAACTAGGGGGATGCGGGTGGTGAGATGTAGTTATCCTCCGTACGCTATAGTGCACGGATAAACTATATCCCATTCCCGCGCCGAGATAGGCAAGATTGCTATACCGACAATAGCACACATCAAATCGAGAGATATGTCCATCACTCCTTGTCAAACGTTCGTATGTATCAGGAATGATCAAGCGCTTGGCAAAATATTCAGCGTCAGGGGCTAGCGCGATGCTTCAGATATCCGTTAGGAACGGACGGAGACTTCTTAAAAACCCGTATCCGTACTTGAAGTCATGCTCCGCCTCTTGACATGACTACCAAATCTCGATTGGTCACTTGGCCTACCTAAACAACAAAGGAATGTGAGGCGTAGGTAACAAAACCAGTGTTGGCAATAATTATTTCCTGCTTGAATTAATTCCGGATAATTCTTATCCCGAATAAGAATAATTAATTCGAATTAATTCATGATAGTCGGCAGAAACTTACCGCCTATATTGTACACTACAATTGAACACTTTGACTAAATTCTACCCCGTCCATACCCTGTCTTGTAATACTGCTATACAAAATATGGATACTGACGCAGATTCATCTAATTTCATACATTTGTCTACTATTGATTCAGTTGAAACTGAGTCGAAAAAAGGGAATGACGCCAATGGCTCAGGTAGTATGGCCTCATACTCATCCAGCTCACAACGGAGAGGCTCAATTTTACAAAGGTCGATTAATTCAGTACTGCATATACTGCCAAGAATCATCATACAGTACTTATATTACTACAGATATGCGAAATCATCATAAATCAAAGCATCAGATCTTTGTCGAATCAATTCCAAGTACACTACAGCAAGCAACAATCGATCAACTTCAACAACTTTATCTTACAGCAGCATCCTCCGGTCAGACACAAGAAATCAATGCTCAGGCTCTTCAAAGGACTTTGAATCAAGATATTATTGATGAGGCATTGGTCTCATTAATTGTTACACGAAACCTTCCATTCTCTCTTGTTGAATGGCCGGAGTTTCATACTTTTTGCCAAGTACTGAATCCGGAGTCACGCAGCTATATCATTACAGCACATAACTCTATCCCCAAGAGGATTGAACAATCGTGGTAGGCACAAAAGGACGTTATACGAAAAAAGCTCCAGTCAGCAGTATCAAGTATCCATCTTTCACTTGATATTTGGACATCCCCAAATCGGCTTCTTTTCCTTGGAATATGTGCCCATTTCGTTAAACAGAATCAGGAAAAGCTATCAAAGGCCCTTCTTGTTCTCCGGATAGTGGCAAATCAATAGTGGAGAGGAGCAATTTACAACTCTTCTTCCAGCCCTAGAAGACTATGGGATCATACAGAAGCTTGGGGCTGTTGTCTGTGATAATCATACTACCAACGACAAGCTCTGTCGTATAATCTCCAAGCATCTCAAATAAGCAAAAGAGATTAAAGGGGATCCAACTTAAAAATTGGCTTAGCCGATATAATATTAGAAAGTCAAATATAATCACGTGTTAAAATGCCTATGACCAGACCCTCAGTGGCTTTACAACTGGTGGCGCTTACATAGGGAGGGATTTCCTCAGATAGCTGCTGCTGCAAGGGATTATCTAGCCATCCCAGCTTCAGAAGTAGCAGTCGAGAGGTTATTTAATGTTGCAAGGGATATATTAGAGATCCGCAGGCATCCAATAACAGGAGATACAATTACAACACTTATATTGCGAAAGGACTTTGGGGCACTTAATTAAGAAATAGAATGGCTTTTTGATTTCTTTCTCTTAGATGACAATCTGATTCGATATATATAGGAGATATCCTATCCTGTGTATATATGTATATCTATATAATATATTTGTCGGATTGGTAGCTTTATTCCAGGCCAATCCTGAAAAGTGTTTTACTAGAATCAAAGAAAAGAAGTGACTAGCAAGATTGTGTGTATTGAGTTCTGTCTCCCTCTATCCATCAGGTTTCAAAGCCGGGTCCTTTATAGACACCTTTGGCGGGGTGATTTGTGAGCTATCAGGAGGGGTAAATATTGGGCTGAAATCTAGGTGCCCAGATATATGCCTAAAGGTGCCTTTTAGACCTGTAAGATTGAACAGTCGATCTCTCTGCCTCGTTTGAAAGCCGGATTATCTGACAATATTTTCTGGTTTCGCTGATATAGTAAACCCTAACCCTAACCCTACTGCAGGAGTGGTCCATTTGTAACTGTAGAGCTGAACAATAGTCACCGCGATATTCGCAGAATTCGGTCAGTTCCTCCGGGCGTAATTCAATCCGGATGAAGTGTATTCCCGTAACCCGATGACACCTCAGGCCACAATATCCTACTAGGACCACAGACGCCTGTTCGTTTCGTTATCTCCACTACACCTTCGAAAGACCATTAAACTTTCCAAAAAGTCCTACCATTTGAGCTGCTGTCGGTATAGCAATCTTGCCTATCTCGGCGCGGGAATGGGATATAGTTTATCCGTGCGCTATAGCGTACGGAGGATAACTACACCTCACCACCCGCATCCCCCTAGTTCTTAGGATTAGTCGCAATATTAGAAATTCAGTATTACTGGCTCAGTCAGCTTGTTGCATTAGCTGTCCTCATTAGATCGCAAGATCTAATGAAGGTAAACCAACAGCTGCATTTATTTTAGGTGATTGAAAGATGGAACCACAACCCCAAAAAGAGACATCGTCGCTACAACCTCACGCGTCCATCGTGAGGGTAGCTGCGAAAGCTCTAGTTGACAAGAATATCCCTGTGGTGGAGTACGGGCAGCAGGTACAGTGGCGCCGTGGAGACCCTGTGGCTCTTCTAGTAAGCGACAAAGATTTTTGAGGTATTCGGTACTCTAGTCGATAAGAGAGTGCCATTCTAACACACACAATTTATTAACGCCCGGCGGCTAAGCCGAAAGGGCAACTATCACTAATCTACTAATACATGTCCTAATATATATGCAATGTCTCGAATATGGATCTGCCAACGATAACAATATTTACACACTGGGTGAGATGGGGAAACACAATGTGGTGATCATTCGGCTGCCGAAGGGGGAGTATGGTATAGCCGCCGCGGCCAGTTCTGCGGGAGATATGGTACGCACCTTTCCCAATATCAGGATTGGCCTTATGGTTGGCATCGGTGGTGGTGCACCCAGTAAACGGCACGATATCTAGCTCAGCGATATTGTGGTTAGTGCACCTCACAATGAAAAGGGTGGTTTGTTTCAGTATGACTTTGGGAAAACTATACAAGACCAGGAATTTCGGTCCACAGGGTTCCTAGATCAACCTCCTGGTCTGCTTCGTGCCGCAATGGGTGACATTGAAGCTAAGTATGAAATGGAAGGTCATCAGCTTGACGAAACAATTAATAGCGTGCTGGAGAGGCGGCCGAGACTACAAAGAAAGTACAAGCGACTAGATTTCAGTAGTGTTGATTATATCAATCACACATTGTGCATCACCCCAATGACGAAAGGAGTTGTGAAGCAGTGTGTGGAGATGATGAATCGAAGTTGATCGTACGGCCTGACCGAAACGATGAAGAGGACAACCTAGCGATTCATTATGGCTTGATTGCATCTGCGAACCAGCTGATGAAGGATGCCTTGGTCCGAGACAGGCTTTTTGCTGAGAAGGATGTTCTCTGCTTCGAAATGGAAGCTGCAGGTCTGATGAATCATTTCCCCTGTGTTGTTACACGGGGTATCTGTGACTACTCCGACTCGCACAAGAATAAAGAATGGCAAGGATATGCGGCAATGGCTGCGGCTGCCTATACTAAAGACCTCCTCTCTCACATTCCGCCAAATAAGGTTGAAGTGGAGAAGAAGATCAGTGGCATACTTTTTGTTGGTTAGTCTTGACCGAATATTGTACGTATAAGTCTTTTATTAACAAAATGTATAGTTGAGAAGAGCATAAAAGAAATACGCAAGAATATAGAGCTTCATGAAATACCACAGCCTATTATCAAGCAAGACATTACCACTTTCTTGCAATACAGGTTTACACAGATCCAGGAGAAAAACACAAAAGATAGCTGGTCACTTCTGTTCGATTGGCCTGGCCTGGAGGCGATATCAGCCTTGGTTAAAATAGCAGTTCTACTTTTTATTTTTACTGCTACTCTTTGCCGATTTATTAAAAATAAAGTGTATTTAAACCCCACAGACCAGCTAAAAAAGGTTCTTAAGTATCGAAATATGAAAAGTAACTCTGAACTGGATAAGCTGGATGCCACTTACTCTCCAATTCTAAAGCAGTTGATCGATGGGCGCCCAGAAAAGGCGCAGAAATCACTGGCGGAGAGATTCGAATCATTATAGGCACAATTGCCCACTTAGCTGAGCCACTTTCACGGTCATCTCTGGCCACTTTGCTAGATATCAACACCCAACAGATTGAAGAGCAGCTCTCGTCCCTGCATTCTGTCCTTAGTGTGCCGTCCTCTGCCGAATCTCCCATAAGGATGTTGCACCTGTCATTCCGTGATTTCCTTGTTGATGCTTGCTGGTCATTGTTAGTTATTTTTGGTCCTTTCTTTGATGATGTTATGTGTTCTTGTCTTTGAATCATGTACCTTGGTAGACAGTAATGACGGTTTATCTATAATGAGATACGAGTTTTGTAGTATATAACTTTGTATCAATATTTAATGTTTCTTCTATAAGATTATTAGAGGTATAGCTACCGATTCATACTTCAGCCAGATCCATTGACCCCGAGTGGTTCTGCCCGTTTGCCGCTTTGAGCATATTCACAACCTCGACATGATTTCCTTCCTCAGCCAGATCCAATGCTGTCCGCTCTTTTTCATCCTTGAGACCCAATTTGATATCTTTTCTGTTATCAAGTAATGCTTTCACTAGCTTGACGCGACCTTTTGAAGCAGCTAAATGCAATGCTGTTTGCCCCTTGTTATCCTGGATGTTGATATTATCCCAGGTGCATTTGGTAAGTAGTGTTTCCACTACTTTAGGACGCCGGTAAAAGACAGCAACGTGCAAGGCGGTCCATCCGTAATTATCCTGGGCATTGACATCAATTTCCCTGTCGTCGCTGAGCAGCTTCTCGACGATACCGCCATCGCAGGCAAGAGATGCTATATGAAATGCCGTCAGTCCTCGATTATCCTTGGCGTTGACTATGGCGTTGTTGCATCTCTCCAGGAGTAGACTCATAATCTGAACAGTTTGTTCTGTGACAAGGTCTCCTCTACCGTCATATTTCGGGTCATCTTGCTCGTCCGAGTCGCTGTCACTTCCTTCAGAAGCAGTACTATCCTCCTCCTCCCCGGAATTCTCTTCGTTCTCATCTTCATCGAAATCCTCGTCTTCATCATCACCCTCAGCTTCTTCACGGTTGTCAAGTCTGAGTACAATATCATCCATATACCCACGGGAGGCTGCATAGTGGAAAATTGACCGGCCGTCCTTATCTGCCATCTCAAGGTTCACATCATGGCAGATCTCCACCATCGTCTTCAGTGCATCGAAACGGCCGAATTGAGCCGCCACATGAGAGACTGTCCGCCCATGTACGTCACGAGCATTAATCTCCACAACATCTTTGTAACTTTCAAGAAGCATTTTGACTATCTGGCACGTCTCATCAAACCGTTTGTAGAAGAGTCCTTTTTCTAACATGATATGCAATGCTGTTCGCCCATCTTCAAGTTTTGCATTGATGGAGAGATCGCAGCGATTCTCTAGTAGCGCAAAAATTGATCTCGACTGATAGCTCAAAGCGCCTATAAGCAAAGCTGTTTTGCCTTCGTTATCCACATGATTAATATCAATATCTTCTCGTTTATCAAGCAAGACCTGCAAGGTTTTCACGTCCTTTTCTGTTATTGCCATCTGAATGGCCGTCTGACCATTGGGAATTGCTAAGTTGATATCAATATCTGGCCGAGTATCAAGAAGGACTCGCACTATCTGGGTTGATTTCGTGCTGACAGCATAATGTAAAGCTGTGTAGCCCTTCAAATTGTCCACTCTGTTGATGTCAATGGTCGATTTTCCGTCGAGCAGGGCCTGCACAGATACGAGGCGGCCTTCAGAGCACGCTATATGTGGTGCCGTTCTCCCATACTTGTCCGCTACATTTACACAATCAGGCCATTGTTGGATCAATCTTTCTAAAATGGGCTTCGCATCATTGCTGGCTACCCAGTGTAGCATCGTCCATCCCAACTCATCTTGTTCGTTTAAATTCGCGCCCTTGCACTTTTCAAGTATCATCGCGAATGCCTCCGAATGCCCTTCCTCAGCTGCAATATAGAGCGCTGTCTTTCCCGCCCCATCCTGACTGGTTGTATCAATACCATTTTGAAGTAATACCCGGACAAATTCCGTTGAATCATGTCGCCACTTTGCAGCATAATATCCCTTAACGTACGTTGAGTCCAAATACGTTGAGAAACTTAACGTGAGGTGCAACGCTGTTTGTTGTTTATCGTTGCGTGCGTTGATATCAATGCGGCTAGAAAACCTAAGCAAGGACTCTAGCACTGCGGCGTTGCTAGTTGATGCGGCTATATGCAATGCAGTTTGCCCATTGTCATTTGCGATGTTGGGGTCAACATTCGGATTCGTAGCCAATTCGTCAACTATGTCCTCACACAGTTTCTTGACGGCTAAGTGAAGTGCCGTCTGGCCGTCCTTGTTCCTAATGTTGACTTTGAGATCCTCACATCCTTCTAGTAATGCTTTAACTGCCTCAGAGCGATGGTTCTGACAGGCTAGATGTAGTGCAGTACAGTCATCAGTATCTTGTACATTAATCTCGAGAGAAACGCCATTCATAAGCAATGCTGATATTGCTTCGGCGTTTCCTGCTTCGCTGGCTAAATGCAGTGCGGTTCGCCCCGCAACTTCTCTAGTATTGACTTGAATGTTTTCACGCTCGTGAAGAAGGTTCTCTATCACTGCTACATGACCGTACTTAGCCGCCAAATGAAGTGCGGTGCAGCCATCCCTATCTTGGAGATCGACATCCAAGTCATCTCGTTCATTAAGCAGCACCTGGACGACTTTGGCATGTCCATGTTGAGCCGCACAATGCAATGCTGTACGACCATAGTCGTCAACACTGTTTACTTGAAATGCATTGTCCTTCCCAAGGAGAGCCATGACTACACTGGCAAACCCCTCCGCCGATGCTATATGGAGTGCTGTACAGCCATCATCGTCTTTTTGATGTATATCGATGTCATTCCGTTCTCTGAACAAAATTTCAATGATATCCACATAGCCCCTTCTGGCAGCCACATGTAATGGCGACCCTTCAGAAGAGTCAGCGTTGATTTGAATATCGTCTCGTTTTTCAAGTAGCATCGTAACGATGTCAAAATACCCTTTGGTAATTGCCAAGTGTAGTGGGGTCAGCCCAGGAAAGTCTGACACCCAGTCTATAACCAACTGTAAATTGATATTAAGATCCTTGCTGGAATCCAGCAAGAAGCGAACCATTTCAACATGTCCATGGTTTATAGCATGATGAATTGCGGAGTGTCCACTTCTATCGCGAATATTAACATTGACATCTTCTCGTTCAAGCAGGAGGAATCTGACAACCTCTGTGTTTCCGCGAATTACTGCTTGCTGTAAAGCAGTCCGTCTTTCCTTATCATCAATTCGAAGATTGATGTCTATATCTGTGCGTATGAGTGCTTCGACGACGTGTAATTGGTTGTAATAAGCTGCGAGATGTAGTCCATTCCAGCCGTTAAGATTCAATGCTTTGAGCTGCTCAGGGTTCTGATCAATTGTTTGATTGATTATATCCATGAAACCCCAGACACATGATAGAAAAAAAGGGCAAGGGGCCTCGATAGAGCATCCTTGATGTCACCTATATAAAACCCGTGCCAGTCTATGCCTGCCAACACCCATGCGGCAAACTCACTGCCAGCAGATGCCCCTGGTATAAGTTTTTTGAAAAGGACGGTGGATGAACACGTCTTCCCAGATCTTGAGTAGTGCAAAGCCCATCGTGTCAGCGAGTAGTGAAAAAACTCGGCCTCCATTTGACCGTACACATCATAATACGGAAAATTCTGATACGAAGATAGTAAATACTGCAAACAAGTTTCAGCGACCTGATTATTGGTCTCTCCTTTTGTGAATTCGCTGGCGAAATCCGTAGTGAGTTGGAAATATTCCTTAACTGAGATATGAGCAAACTGTACCGTGTCATGCTCATCTATAACAAGCAGGTTGCTGGCCAAGTTGAGAATGTAGTTATAGTTAATATGACCAGTTGTCTCTCCTTGTTGCTCATAATGAAATTTGAGAGCGTCCGTGAGCAGTCTGATATGGGCGTTTTGTATGCAGGCTAGAGACCACTTCAAAAGAAAGTGCAAGTCGTCTTTGCGGGTGAACGAATCGGAGATGTTATGCTCATAGATTTCCTTGTAGGTGTTGTTGAGATCTAGTAGGCCAGTTCTGTTTTTCAGCCTTTCGAGACGTCTTTTGATGTCTATCGGATTAGGGGGTCTGCCAGATGGAAAGAACAAAGCTAGCTGAAGCTCTGTCCACCGGAAACTGTAACTAAATTAGTTGGCTTGAACGGGAATATTGAGGGTTCAGCATCAAGCTACTTTGCGGGAGGACCCCAGGCTCAAATAGAATAGTAACAAGGGGTATATCACTTACGCAAGCTGCCCGCGATCGGTCAACTCATCAACTAAGCGTTGTAAGATACTGGGGTCTTCCCACTCTGTAACCTGCCGGAAGTGTTTAAATTCGTCGTCGACACGACGTTCAATGTAACGACGAAGATCTGGGCCAGTCGCAGTAGAAGTAATATTGAGGGCTAGGTAATCAGAAAAGGTCGTATGAACATCGAAATGAACTTCATCCCGACTGGAGATAAATACACTGACACAAACTCTCTTCTCTTGGAAAGAAGCCGACAAATCCTTCAGGGCTTCTAGGAACTCTCGTGGACTGTCACACTCGTCGAGAGCATCGATAATAAGGATTGTCTTTCGAACTCGTGGAATGAGTCGCAAAAGTAACATCTTGCAATCATTTAGAGAAAGACGATCTGTTTTGGAGGCCTGTCGCCGTTTCCACTCATCGTTGATGTATTGCTCTATCTGGGAATCTTTCGGTAACCAGGCTAGCTGTCGTACCATGGACTGAAAAAGTTCTATCGGTTTGCTTCCTAAGCCATGTGTCTTTGCACAGTAGAAATAGGAGACTTGTTGTTCATGGTTCTTGGGAACGGAACTTGACTCTAAAAAGCACTCTATGACTCGTGTACTGAATCAACCTTGAAATGTAAGCATGTGTAGGCAAACCGTATTTTATTGTCCAAAACGTACGTCAAAGAGGTCTTCCCACAACCGACTGTAGAAAGAGTAAACAAATGCATATTTCGGTGGTTTGTAGTCAAAGGTATTATTCCTACCTGGACCGTGCATCCACAAGAGTTTAAGGCCATATTGGCTGCTTGAGCTATCGTCACTGTCAAGCCATGATGTAAAAGTCTCATGTTGAAAGAGCCATTCTCCGATATCTGAGTACGTTTCCCCGAGTTTCTCTAGAACGTGTTTGCGTTGAACTGAAGGGTCATGGTCAATGATCCACTGCAAGATGTCATTGAACTCTGCTGCTGCGTTAGAACAGTGTCGATAGTAACAGTTCACAATACAAGCCATGAAGTACCTTTTCGTCTTTTGGCTTCAACGAGCTCATCAACATTCCGTCTGGCATCGAGAATATCTTGAACATATCACCTATCAGCCAGCAAACGCACAATAGACAGGAGAAGAAGAGCATACCTGTTGCAACGTGTATATTCACAAGAGACTGGCAGCGCTGATCCAGACGATTGATGGAAGTCACTCGTTCTTGCCAGCCGTCGACCGCCGGGATGGCTCTTAAGAAGCGGACTTTCCTTCGGTCAGCTGAGGAAAGAAGAAAGACTCGATTATGGGAAGGCGCGACTTACAGAATCCATGTCGGCGAAAATGGTGGAGAAGAGCAACTTCACAATCCAATACAGCTTTATACAAGTCCACTAGACACTCTTCGAATTTTGCCTCTTTTTTGTGTCTTTCACAATAAATGCTCTCAACCTGTGCATAACGATAGATCAACAATGAGATCTCCGAGAATGCATCGAGAGCCGCCTCATGCTGCTCAAGGTCGATTGCGGATAGCTAAACGAGTATCGGGAAGGATTCAATATTTGATTGCTAAACTGCTCGAACGGTGCGGATAGGATCGGGTGCGTACATACATCCACGAAGAGACTGAAAGGCAGCCATGCGAGTTTAGCATATCCTGTAGGATCCAATTCTATGAATGCATCTCCTTTATCCTTGACTACTTTTGCAAAGGTGATGAATTTTCCTAAAAGTGACCGAATTTCAATTGTCTTGCCTGCGATGCCTATAGGAAGGGCCCATTGTCGATGCTCCATATCTTCCAGTCGCCATTGGGCTTCGCGTGTCACAAGTTCTGGTAGGGATAAAGCATCTGCAGTTTCTTTACTATCTTCATTCTGATCGTGGGTAAATAACCGTGATCCTCTCACTTCATCTAACGCTTGGCGGACTTCGGGGTTTAGCTTTTCTGCAGCCTGCTCCCACAACGACTTGTGTGATATCGGCTCTGAGGTTGGAGGCTCAACTTGAACAGGTTGGGGTAGGACATTTTGGGCAGCATTAGGGTTAGAGTGACTAGATGAAAGCTTTTTCTCCTATCTGATTGTTGATCATTGGTGCTTCTAATAAGGTCTTATGGAGGACGTACCGGAATTGGAAGCTCAGGTTCTCGCTTGCCCTTCGAACGACTAAAGAACCCTTGAAATGGGTTTCGGCTCTTTTTTTCTTCCTTCATAGTACTCTCTTGCAACGTCGAGTACACTACTTTGCGGTTGAGAAGATATCAAATGTATCGGTAAGGTTTCGCTAACTGACGTAGGATGTGGTTGGAATTTTATGTCATACGGGAGCGTCTTGATCAAAATAACTGCGTGGTTTGGCGGGGTATGGACTTTATCATACATAGTGCCGACACCTTTTCAATTTCTGCAGCATGCATTATGCATTTCTGGCATCTCCTATAGGCTACGTATAATAGATGATACTCGATCGAGTGGGCTGTGCATGCTCAATGCTTATGCATGTCGCGTAACGTGGCCGTTTTTGACAGGACCAGACTAACTGTGTAAAGAATTATTTTTTTGCGTAACATTATAGGCTGTTGAAGAGAGCGAGATGTTTTCACAACGCTAGTCATGCGGCTCATTCGGAGTACGTCTGTGTACTCTGAACATGAGAAAGAGAGAAAGTGAGCGACAGGGGTTGACCAATCAAATGAATTAGGAAGCGAGTTTAGGCAAAAGCCCGCTGAAATAACCCTAATCAAGAGATCACGATACGTATTTTTATTTAACCTCTAGAATGTAAGTCAAAAAAGTCCTGCCATGCAGCGTTCTGTTAGATTCGTGGTGACAATCATACACTACATGGCCAGCGAAATTCTTAGCAATTACCGAATGAAGACTGGACGGAGAATGCCGTTCCCTGGCACATGCGAAATGAAGGGATTGAGCGAGTCTGCAATCAGTTTGAATTCGGATATACAAATTTCGAAAGTCATCAAAATCCGTATATAGGCTGTTGCTATCGGGTAGCTGCTAACTGTGTAACAGTGATGAGCTTCTACAGTGCAAAAGTCATAATAGTAATACAAATCGATTCCCTGAAAGCTTCTCTGTCCTATTCATGCTGGTATATGATACTGTAATGGGTGTCTCCGATGGCTAGATTACTGCTGTCGCCGCTTCATTTTCTGTCTCAGGATTTCAGTCGACATCACTGTCGTCTTTCTCCCCCAGAGCTCGACGACTGACAAACATATGATAGTTTTCTTCCAGCCCCACTGCCACGGCATTACTCCAAGTAGGTTTTTGAGCCATCGTGAGGGCTGTTGTACTCTAGTAAATTATGAATGAAGGAATCCTGTCCAGAAACATGTTCTCCACTCCTCATCCGTTGCTTCAAGTGTCACAGAGGCATCAAACTGAGCTCCAGAATGGCTGTAACTATACACATGCTAGTCTTGGATCACAGAGGCCTCTTCGTGTTTCTCACGTTGATTTGAGTCCAAAGGAACATTAATGCTAGCCACCATATCAGGATGCGCATGTCCAAGCACCCTCTCGAGTGCTTCTAATGCCCGTCGATGCATCGCTTCCGCCTCTTCGTATTTCCCTTGCCTGTAGAGCACCAAACCAAGGTTACTAACACTGGTGAGCGTGTCAGGATGCTCCGGTCCAAGCACCCTCTCTCGTGCTTCTAGTGCCCGTCGATGCATCGTTTTCCGCCTCTCATATTTCCCTTGCCTGTCAAACACATTGCCAAGATTGTTGACACTCGTGAGCGTGTCAGGATGCTCACGTCCAAGTACCTCCTCACGTCCTTTCAAGGCCCGTCAATACATCGCTTAAGCCTCTTCGTAGGCTCCCTGAAGATCTAGAAACCATCCACAGCGAGATGAGAGGGTGGCTACAATTAAGAATTTTTATCGTGAATTTTACTGGTAGACTCCAGCACACTGTTAGCATGCGCAAGAAGCGAACGACATCATGCCCAATTTTCGTAATCCCCATCTGGGAACACTCGCGCTATAGTCTTTCGCGAATCGCGATTTGGCCAATGCTGGAGCTGCTGGTACGTTTCTAGCCACGCCCGGACCGATAACTGTACCAGTCGGTGCATATCAAACAGCCGTTCGTCCATTTCCACCCGGATCAGAGAATAGCTAATCGGCGGCGCCAATGCATCGTGAAAGTCCTGGATATCTTGGTCGTCGTCGCGCACCAGATCTCTTGGGATCCCTTGTCGATCGAGCTATGATCAATAATTTCACAGTTAGAACACTTGGTAGTTCTCTTTTCCGAACAGTTATCTGATGCAATTTAGTAAAATGGGGTTTGACTCCAAGAATCTGTCAAACTTGACAAAAATTTCTCATGTCAGAGCTAAGTCCGTGCACTACCACTCGCCAGGCTTGCGGCTTGTTGGAACTATACTACGCTATTCCTCTTTGGGATAGGATTCAGAGAACCGTACAAATACTGATCACAGGAAATTTCGAGAAATTGGATTCACATATCGACATAAGACTGATATTACAAATCAACATTACAGCTTATATCTAGAAAGTTCGATCGAGTACAGATTGTGGTTTCAAGTGATGTCATTTACATTGAGATTGTGAATATAAAAAGGACCAAGATTGACAGATAGTGAAGTTTGAGATAGTGTGCACGAATATCAGAAAAATCTCTACTCTAAGAAACTTCTTTGGATGACCTAACCAAGTTAGCACTAGTACGGAAAAGTTCCAATACCTGAGGCATAAAGATATAACGTCAAGGGAACAAGAGGGAGGTTTATAGTGAGCTGAGCGATGAATTTCTTTAACTCCCAAAGGGTGACTTCTGTGGAGACTTTTGCCAGATTGACGTTATCTGACAGGGTTATGAGGTAGAGAAGCTTTGGGAGGTCAGACTTTCTTGAAAGGAAACGCTGGCGTACTTACAACGTTCTGACGATATCATCAATGTATTTAATCTCTTCCTAACTCGTTGAATTTTAGTGTGGCTCGAACAAAGTGCTTTCTCATATCCTGCCAGTGCTCGCCTGTACATCTTCTCCGCCTCCTTCTGCTTATCTTGCTTTTGATAGAGAATCCCAAGGTAATAGACTGAATTAAGAGTAGATTTATGATCTGGACCCAGTGTGTTCTCATAGCCTTCTAGTGCTCGCCGGAACATCTTCTCTGCCTCCTTCAGTTTGTTCTGATCAGCATAGAGGTTTCCAAAGTTATTGACGATCAAGAGGGTGGAAGCATGATCTGAACCTAGTGTGTTCTCATCTAGTGCTCGCCGGTACATCTTCTCCGCGTCCCTCAGCTTACCTTTATTCCGGCACAGATTTCCAAAGTTGTTCACTATTAAGAGGGTAGAAACATGATCTGGACCCTGTGTTTTTTTTCCATAACCTGCTAATATTAATTAATGAGCAAGGTTTTTTCCCACTAAAACTCTGAACAGGGTGAAATTATTTCTGATCGAAAAATTTATTCTTGAGTGAAACTGTTAATGAGCGGATTTTGTCGATTTTGTCGGATTAGTCGGTTTATTCCAGGCCAATCCTGAAGAGTGTTTTACTAGAATCAAAGAAAAGAAGTGACTAGCAAGATTGTATGTATTGAGTTCTCTCTCTGTCTCTATCTAATACATCAGGTTCAATGCCGGGTCCTTTATAGACACTTTTGGCGGGGTCTTTTGTGAGCTATCATGAGGGGTAAACTTTGAGGGCTATATTGAGCCCTGATAAGAGGATGACTCCTTATTTGCTGAAGTGTAGGTAGCTTGAGGTGACTGGATGACCTGATCAAATAGCCTATCTTCTACATCGCCGGATATCCCGGTTATCTGACACAAGATATACTTGATATTCATTCCCCGATTTGTTGATCCTTGAGTCGATTACTGTTTAGGGGCTGACACGGCAATCTCTTCATGATCTAATATCGTACAATCAATGTCAAGTGTTGTATCCATCGCGTATTTTCTGACTTACTCGCTGACTTTAGTATGGATTCAGATTTGCCTTGTACACTCATTCTCAACACAGATATGTTTCTGCTCAAATATTCACTCCGAGCAATCTTTAAATTTTCATCGAGTTGTCTGAATAACTCATTCTGGAAATTTTGGAAATCTTTGACAGACGGAAATGACTCCATATTGCAATAATAGGAAATAATGGTTCCTAAACATAGAAAATCAATAGAAGGATTGAAAATATATATTTCGAGCGTATGAAGATAGCCTGTGGCGAGGCTGCAAGCCCAAGGCTACATACACGAGGCAAACGAAACCCAGGTAAGCCTATCTCGCCCAGGCAAATGGTCCTCAGTATTCACCGCTTGTATCAATATTTTTTATCCTCCGAAAAGCCGATGTGATCAACGTGCTTTACCGCTCTTGCTAGTACAACGATGCTTCCCAGGAATTCAGTCCCGGGAACGCCTCCATTCGAGGATTGGATTCCTATTAGAGATATAACATGTTCTTTAGTCCATATTTCAACTCATCCTAGGACTAATCTCCCGGAATCACCGAAGACCTAAGACTCTCTCCTTATGATGTACATCTTCCTAGGACTAGCTTTTCGTGACTTGGAAACTATGACTGACAAAGACAGAGGCTAGCCTGCCTAGTTCCTGCACAGTGCCGGAACAAATTTCATAGTACAGAACTCTTCCTAGGACTGATAACCCAGGATCAAAAGGCCTAGATCTTGCTAGCTAGGGTGAAAAGTTCGTGGGAATAGCAGGCAATCAGGGGCCAGATTACGTAGAAATGTCACTGTTGGTTTAGCTACGTCCTGATAACACGAAGCACAGGATTACGCAGTAAGGCTATTCTAAAGAGCTCATGAGCCTGATAATATTGATGTTATTCGAATATTATTACTGATCCCCAAAAAGGGAGGAGAAGGATAATTACATGCAGGTAAAGGGGATATCCCCAGGGAACCGGAATAGCTAATATTCCGGTGTTGATACTCAACACCTGGGGATTCCCGTACACACAGTCACTGACCCAGCCTGATCAGCTAGAATGCAATACCCTGATGAGCTGAGAGTCAAGTTTTAGTATCGGGAGCTGGCATAGAGCAACTTTTGGCATGGAGCACGTTTGGCATGGAGCACGTTTAGCATGGAGCGAATGTTCTGCCCATGGATTACCAGTTAGAAAAAGCTTTAGCAAGGGTTGGCATATGTCGAGGATTAGGTAAGCTAAACCTAATCAAGGAAAGCCTACAACATTGATACAAGGAAAATTCGAGAATTGAAGTCACAAGATTGAATCTACGAATCAACTTTACAGCTCTGTGTCGAGAATCTTCTATTTGAGATTGCGTGGATGGGATTCTCAAGCATAAATAGTGTCCAACAATCCCCTCAAGATGTAGATAGAAGAGTGGGCAGAATAAGGCCAATATCAATATTTCCACTATAAAGATATCTTTGAGTATTAAGCTTAACTGAGTTTGTGCTAGTGCACTGCAAGTTCCGATAGTATCTCATTATCACGCTCTCTACCCACTCTCTTACATTGATACATCCTTGTCCCAACCATCCATTACATTTCTAACAGGGCATAATGATCAATTTTCCCGGCGGAGAAGGCGCTGCTGCCTGTCATGGTTTTTAACTATCCTTTATTTGATATTCTACTCATACAATGAAATGCCGCTCTGGTTCAGCGTCCCACAACTGCTTGAGAGGCGCCGAGCAGCAGATCGTCATATTGAATACTGTACGTACATTGTTTAATCTATATCTACGTAAGATATACGCAGGATTTAGACAACATAATGTTTTTCTGTTCTTTTGGCCCCGCTCTTTAAACAAGCAAGCAACTCCGACTCATCCCTGGGAATGAGCTTGACCTTAAAGTCTCTCGGAATGGCCACAAGTGCACTCTTAACGGCATTGTAATCCGCATAGTGGGTATTCGGCGAGAATTCCTCGCTCGCTACAATACGATAGCTGCTCAGCAAGCGTACCAATGCCGTATAAATCACGCGGTTGGCAACGAGTTGCCCTGAGCAGGCCCTCGCCCCAGCGCCGAAGGACATATGCGGTAGCCCTTGGATACTTCTTTCGACAGGGATGTTCTCTGGATATTCCAGCCATCGCTCTGGGTTAAAGACATCGGCGTCGTCTCCGAAGTGATCCACGTCATGGTTCGCTGCTTGGAGATTGACCAACACCACTGTCTTGGCGGGAATTACCACCCCGTTATCCCAGGTGATATCGACCGTGGTCTTTCGGGGCAGATTCATCGCGGAGGCGGTATAATATCGTTCCGCCTCTTTGACAAGCGCGTTCACATATGGTACCTTTTCTTCCGCGAAGGATTCTAGAAAGATATCGTCCAGATTTGAGTAGTACCGTCGGATATCCTCGTAGGCTCGCTCCTGGAAGATTTGTCCTGTCTCCGTAGCTAAACTTCCGATGCAGCTGGTTAAGGTGGCAGGAATGGTCTCGAACCCACCAGATACAAGTGACAGACAGATTGATGAGACTTCTACGTCAGTCAGCCGGGTTTCCTCTCCCTTGAGAATGGCAGCTGACACGCATGGCTTATCTGTGCCCCTCTGGATCCTGCCTCGAACAGTGTCGAGCAGAAAAGATAAATATTTGTCCCTTCGCCTCCGTAATGATTTCGCACGTTCCGTTTTTTTGTTTCCCGGTAGATACCGCAAAATAGGGATATAATCCTGGTAATTCTCCGAGGCGGATCGAAGCAGGGAAATGGCAGAGCCAACTTCTAGGATTTCCCGGAGGAGCTCATCGTGCACGCCTCGCATACGGATACCATAGCAGAGTGTCAGGGTGGTATTCAATGCTAACCGTTGGATATACGGTCTGATCTCGAGTTCTTTGCCCCCCTTGCCATCGGCATAAGTGTCGGAAATCAAATCATATGTCTCCAAGTCGAACATATCATGATATGAGCGGATCGCCGGTCTCGAGAGAACCATACCGGCTGCTCGACGCCGGTTGCGGGTCGAATCATCCCACGGGCTCGACCCGATGGTGAAGCCCTGCGTCGATGAGATCACGCCATGGAAAGTGTACAGGGTTGGCCGGTCGATGAGTGCGGATTGATGCGAGACGAGGATTCGACGAGCATCATGGAAAGAGTTGACCACCACAGCGGCTGTGTTTCCTAGGCGGATTTGAAAGATGGATTCGTTGTACTTCCGCCATAGCTTTTCGCAGACGCTTGCGTGGTCGTCGCCCAGGAGATACAGATGGCCAATTATTGGTAGAGCATTGGGAATAGAGAAGAGGCCAGCAATAGGGGGGTTGGAAAGATGCGAATGTAGAAAAAGTGCGGCCAAGATAAGAAATGATAATGACAATGCACAGGGCCACAGCCATGGCCAGGACCACAGCTCCTCTGGAAGAAGCGACGAAGGAAAGAAGGAGTACATTCTCAGTGTTAATTTTCTTTCTTTTTTTCTTTTTTTTTTTCATTAAAAGAAACTTCGTGGAAACCTATAATTACGTACTCAATCTCACGGATCGCAGGCTTCATCGAGAAATTGAGTGAAATTGGAAAGATCCTGTAGTATTACTCTGTACTACATGACATGCAGTCTAACTTATATGCCAGGACGTTACATAAAGAACTAAGTATGTCGCCGCCTCTTGCTGCTAAGATCCAACAATATTGGACAGAATCACATCGTATCATGTATGTATCCTGGATCCATCCCTGCTAAGCTTTGAGACATCCGCATGAGTTAAGCATCAAGTCCCACTTACGTTGTGTTAGCCCCAGAGTCCACTGGTATCGCTATTAACTTATTATTCCTCCTAATCCTAGCACTACGAGGAAATTGGAATGGTCGAGGGTCCGGACCATCCGGAAGACACGGGAGGACCCTGCTATTTTGTGGCGTAGGTAGTCGAACGCTCCAATCACCTCACGTCGATATCAAGGAAATGGAGTGCCCTCTTTTGGGAAAATGCAAACCAACCAACACAAGTCTTAGCCTTTATCTGTTGCAACCTTGACAATATAAGTCAAACCACTTAGGCTAGAAGACAAGCGCATCTTTTGGCCGAGTGGAAATTAGGAACGCATCATAGGAACAGGGATCAACAGTGGAAAGCTTGACTATGCGCCCTTTCTTAGATACTGGATCTCAACCCCGGCTTGCTCACCCGGAAATGCTTACAACAGTTCCCATTGGCTCACTAGGAAGTTAGTATAAGATGGTTTTATATGAGTCTATGTTCTTGAGCTAGCGCATATTTACAAATGCACACGGAGTAACATACACATTTCCAGCTTATGATCTACGCATAATTCAGATAACTACTGATACAGAGGTGACAGGGTTGTCAATCAAATCACTCTTCCCCCCCTGACTCCAACCCATCCGTCTCTGTATGCACCTCATACCTTGTGGTGACCTGAATCTGCCCCAGCATGCCCATAGAGCCGGTCAACCTTTCCGAAGAAAGATTGTTACAACCCGCAGTGGTGCGATCTTTGAGCGGGATCGATGCCGACAAATCTCCATCCAGCCCAAATCCGGTTTCAATACTCGAAAGGAAATTTCGCAGGTATAGGACACACGTGCACACTAGACAGCTGCACTGGATAACCTGCGTGGTCACGGAAACGGTCCATTCCGCAAAGTAAGGGTCTGTGGTGGTCGAGACGTTATGCCACAGCACCATATCCGTAATGCAAGCTGCAATTGTACTACAGGAGAAAAAAAAAAGGAAACGGGAAAACAAGATTAGTGTGACTGTTTCAGAAAAAAGTACAGCTGATGCTGTATCGATTTGTATTGCTCACCATATCCGTAATACGAAAGGAGTGGAGACCACAACCTTGCGCGAGATAGGCCACTGTACCAGGCCGATAACGTAGATAGGCATGAAGATCAAGGCGGCCTCGGTGATGATGTTGTACACATCGAAGACGATCCACCATACGGTCTGTTGCATAACAATGTAAGCATATGTTATATGAACAATGGAGCTTTGGTTTTGCCCCATTCTTTCCATTCGATTGGAAAAATTAGTTCCCAGGTTGCCCTACCCTATTGATGCACCTTCCAGAAGCGTAATCCCATGTTTTCGGCACCGAGCAGGAAAAGGAGACCACAAAGATAGAAATAAAAGTAAAAAGAACCACAAAGAGGCTGATGCCGTGCATGACTTGATTGTGCCGTTTATTCGGGGATATTTTGGCCAGAAGAAGAAGGAGGGACAGTTTCGACAAAGCCAAGGACACAACATAGAGGACGTTCGCCGCCATGCCGGCTTCCGTGATCTTGTTCACCTTTTCGACAGACACAGTGTCGAAGGGTTTTCCAAACCCGTCTGCCGCTCGGAGGATGGTAGCCAGCGACTGTGCGGCGCACAAGACCAACGCACCTGTGAGAAGATAGTCATCGATTCCAAAGTGCATGGCCTGGCGCGATATCTTGACAATGGAGCGCATAATGTAGGCAAACGCGGCGAGGACGAGCAGTAGCCATGTCACGATGAGGATTAGTGGAGATTTATTCGTCGCGGTGATCTGAACGCCAGGGGTGGCCATGACATAGGATGGTAGTCTCAAACAATAATTGAAAGACGAGAGAAGAAGACAAAGGCAAAGTCAGAGATGAATATTTGAAAATCAAGGTGTGAGAACGAGTCAAAGAGGAAAGAGAGGTGTATGGTTCTGGAGACAAGACCTTCTACTATGGATGGATATACTCACGGGATTTAGGGCAAACTGCATCTTCCATGTCTTTCCTGGTACTCGCATGATACCTGGGTGGTTGTAATAATACAGTAAAAAGAAGTATCATGAGTACTTAGGTAGTATACTAAGTAGGTTCTAGGCCGGTATTTAATTTGGTAACCCCTGCACCTTCAGGGTCTGCTGCTACATTGCCACGTTCTCTTTTTTTTGATTTTGCTTTTTTACCGAATTGTCTGTCTTTTTTTTTTCTTTTCCCCATATTCTTCCTCAACTCTCATCTCTAAGTTTTTCTTAGCTTTTGTACACTGTGAACTCTACTATGGATGCAATTGGACTCCAGACCAAGACCAAGGTCTCGACCGCGCGCGAGATGGAGGGCAAGTCGACCATGGACCGCGAGGAGCGCGACCGTGCTCATCTCTTGAGACTGGGTAAGCGGCCTGTTTTGAAGGTACCTCTTACCATATACGAGATGTATCATGTTTACCTGCTTATGCAATGATCAGCGAACGTATGGCTTCATGGCTATCCTCGGTTTCACAACCACCATCCTCGTCACCTGGGAGGGTGTTCTTCTAGTTTTCAACATTGGTCTAGAAAAGTATGTCTCATGGTCCTGGTAATATGTATGCAGAGTGTCTAACTAAGCAATACAGTGGCGGCCCTGCTGGGATGATTTATATGTACCTCTTTGCCTGGATAGGCGCATGGTGTACCTTTGCCTCACTGTGTGAACTGGCTTCTATGTGAGTATATGAGAATACAACATTCGGAATGAGTGCAAAATCTAACAGATAAAGGGCTCCCATCTCCTCTGGTCAATATTTCTGGGTCGCAATGCTGGCACCCAGCTCATGTCAACGTTTCCTGTCCTATCTGACTGGCTGGATGACATCCGTAGGCTGGCAGGCTCTGGTCGCCTCGACGGGTTACATTGCCGGCACGCTCATTCAGACGTTAGTCGCCATTACAGTCCCCTCGTACGAAGCGACCAGTTGGCGGGGACTTCTTATCATCTATGCAGTGCTCCTGTTTGGCTTCATCATCAACACCATCGCCCGTCGGCTACTACCAACCCTTGAAGGCCCGGTTCTGTGCATCCATATCCTGGCCTTCTTCGGTGTGCTCGTTCCACTATGCGTGCTTAGTTCCAAGCGCGACGCGAGTGAGGTCTGGGCCTACTTCGTTAACGAGGGCGGCTGGGACACACAAGGACTCTCTACCATGATCGGCCTACTCATGTCCATCTTCTTGTTCACTGGTGTCGACGGCGCCATCCACATGTCTGAGGAAATTAAGGACGCTGCAGTCGTCGTGCCGCGCTCCATCATGGCCAGCATGGGCATTAACGGGGCCTTTGGCTTCGGTATTTTGCTCGCTGCACTCTACGCCACAACCAGCATCGATGATACCCTCGGCAGCGAGGCGGGTGAGGCTGGGTATCCCTTTCTATACGTCTTGCAAAATGGAATTGGATCACTTGGTGGTGCGGTGGCCATGGGCGCCATCATCGCCGTGATGCAAATCTTTGGTAACATCGCTGATATAGCGGCCGCCTCGCGTATGTGGTGGGCTTTTGCTCGCGACAAAGCGATTCCCGGCTGGAGCTTTTTCCTCAAGGTAATAAGCCACCCAACTCTAATAACATACTTAAATATCATTGATTTGGCTGAACAATCTTCTTCTAGCTGGATTCTCGCACCTCCCTACCCGTTCGCTGTATCTTGTTCACCGTTACTGTGTCTGTCCTCCTCTCCCTGATCAGCATTGGTAGCACAACGGCTTTCAACGATATTGTCGCCCTTGTCACATCAGGCTACTACTCCTCTTATCTCATGGCGAGCGGACTCCTTTTGTACAGACGGTTGACAGGAGCCATCGTCCTGCCAGACGTGGACGACTCACCATACGAGCCGGTCAACAATGTCGGGAGACGACTCGTCTGGGGTCCCTGGCGCATCCCGGGTATTCTGGGCATTTTGATCAATGCGTTTTCCGTCATTTACTTGACTGTCGCTCTCTTCTGGTCCTTTTGGCCCTCGTTTTACCCCGTCACGGCTGAAAGCATGAACTACAACATTCTCATCATCGGAGCTACCTTACTTTTGTCAATTGTCTATTACATCTTTCATGCACGGAAGGAGTATACTGGTCCTATTGTCGAGACAGCGCCATCTGATTTTGTGACACAGTGAAAAAATGGCACATATGGATGTATCTCTATGCTGGGTGGTGAAGGGTGCGCAGGTGCTGAGGGTGTAACATATATATAGTGAAGATAAGAAGTTGGATTGTACGGTGGTACCCTTCAAGCTGTGGCGAGAAAAGTGGCTGCTAGACTATCGAAGGTTGAGACTCATTTGACCGGTCTTTTAGTTGTTTCTCTAGGTTGAGTGACAGAAACCCGACAGCTGCACGTAGCGAGCCGAGTAAAGCGTCAGCCCCCTCGGAAGTGAGGCAGGTGCCGTCCCCAGAGATATACAGTCCTAGTCGATTGTCCTCAATAGTGGAATGGACTTTGATGTATGAAAAGTTCACATGTTCGTGCTCGAACCAGCGTATTTGTGTCTCTTTCCCACCAACCAGGAAGGTCGGTATACGGTCGCTACCCACGTGTTGAAGGACAGAATCCAGGTCGGATTGAGATGGCCAATCAGTACACCTGTCGATGACATCGTGTAATCCCATCGAGTCGGACTGCGCAATGGACACGAATTGATACTGGACTCGGTTCAGAAGCTCAAGTGCGGTATGCTAAGGATCAATTTTGACTCTGACCGGAACAATGTTTGCACACAGCCCTATAATTTCTGAGACATTCGGAATTGAGGCATTGCGGCCGGAAACGACTTGTCCATAGACGACGTCGCATTTACCTGTCAAGGAGTAGAGAGCAAGAGCCCAGGCCGTAGAAGCAAGTGTGGCCAAGGTCAGGTTTCGAGGGAGCTCTGGCACGGGAATTGAGCACTTGGCATGGACCAACACTGGCATGTTACCAATAGGCTTGTTGGCATGCGACACTTGTCTCAGAGAAGTAACTTGAGCCCCTTGAAGGATCTTGCGCCAATGCGTACCAGACTTCAACATGCGCTTCTGGGTGTACGCAAGATATTTGGAAAAGGGAGGATGATACATTACATTCTCCTTGTGATAAAGAGCCAGTAACGCCCGAACAATAAGTGGAAGACAGACCCCGTCATACTGCGCATGAGAGATTCGGACTACCAGCCGATGCCCTAGGGTCTCGTGACAAACTATGAAGAAAGCGACGAAAGGAGGTGCAGGCAGTAGCTTCTGCTTTTTGTCCGTGTCTATGAGCCGGCGTGCCGTTGTGTCTATGTCCCCGGCTGCCCGAACAACTTGGCAGGACGGTTCGAGCTTTCGCAGGACGATTTGCTCATGAATACTGAAGGAAGGGTTAAAGACTGTACGCAGAATAGGAACTCGCTCCACAAGTAAGGCACAGGCATTTGTAAGACGATCAATGTCCGTGTCAATGCCAAAATGTAGGGAAAAGTAATTGAGCGAAACCGAGGGTCGGTCAAGACAGAGGAGGAGATAAGTTGCTGATACAACACTGACTGGCGTACATTCAGAAGGACCATATACGTCTATTATTCTAGCGTGGTTCCACCATTTTTGCACGTGCTGATGAGTGAGAAGTTCGCCTCCCATAATGATCGCTTCCACCGACCGATGCATTTCCGGCTGCATAAGACATGCAAGTGTTGGAGTTGCAGCGATCAAGGTAGACGCTGCTTTGGCAATACTCTTTACAAGCTCGTTCTTTCGTTCCATGTCGGACAATACGTATAAGCATCCACCAGTCGCTAATGTGACCACAGTGATAAGGACAAACATGTCGAATGCATGCGCAGCGATATCCAGTACACGTGCCATTGAGTTGAATCCAAGCCGCCGCGACGGGTAGTGAATGCTCGAGAAGAAGGCTGAGTGGCGGATTATGGAGCCCTTTGGTACACCTGTACTGCCTGATGTGAAGACAATGGCCATAACCGATGTTGGATCTGACGGCGGGAGTGTTCTTTTATGGCTCGTGTTACTTTCGTGAGAAATCGACCCAGAACTAACCGTAACGACTCTCACGGGGGCCAGGCTTGAGCTGAGAGTGAGATTTGATGGCGACGAAAGAATCACTATTGCACCCGTTTGCTGCACGATAGATTGAAGCCGGCCGGCAGGATGAGCTGGATCGAGCATGCAAAACGCAGCTCCAGCCTTCAGCACCGCCAGCAGGGCGACTGTCGTCCCCATTGATTTCTCAAAGCATAGCGGCACTACTGTCCCGGGACCGACCCCTTGGGCGACCAGCTGATACGCAAGCTGGTCGCAAGGCCACCCAGCTCGCTATAGGTGAGCTGCCCATCCCATGCCTGGATGGCCAGGGCGTCGGGTCGCAGTTGGACCTGCTCTTCGATTAAGTCGTGGACACATCGCTCGATCGTCGACAGCGCATTCATGTTCCATAGCCACAGCCTTTCCTGTTCATCGCCACTTAAAAGTTCCAGGTCACCCATAGTCCTTCTGCCCGCATCTGCTTCTGCCAGCTGCTTCATGAGCAGGGTAAATTCTGCCAATAGTCTGTGGACAGTCCGTCCATCAATGGCGTTGGGATTGTAGTCTGCTGCCAGTCTTGTGCCGTTATTTTCGAAAAACATCTGGATCACGAGCCTATAAGCCGTAGCCATTAAGTCCTTCGACTCTGGCTTCCAATTTCCTACTGCTGGATCCATGTACAGATCATTTGCTGTCGGTTGGATAACAACCAATGTCTGGAATTCGCAGGCCCTGTTTGTGGAGCTGTTTATCTTGGCAATCCTGGAAAGCCCAAGGTACTCAAATCTTACTCGATCTTGCGCGTCTCTCTCTATTTCCTCAAGAAAGTCAGAGACCTTCTTATGTAATCGGACATTGACACGGATCGGCACGGTCGAGATAGTTGGGCCAGCGATTTGCTTGATCCCGTACACGTCTGCCTGTCGCCCGGAGTTTATTCCTCCAAAAACGACATCTCCAGATTTTGTCTCAATACTCATCGTAATGGCCCATGCAGCATACGCCAGGACCGATCTTCTAATGTGGTGATGATCTTGCAGTCGAGCCTGACCAAAGTGCTGCTCGACTCTGAGATTCTCGGGCTGGACCCGTGTTCGTGACGACGAAGGAGCGAGAAAATGCCCAGAGTCAAAACCTTGGAGTGCCGAAGCCCAGTACTGCTCTGCCTCTGTGTTGTTTTTCTCAAGCATGTGCGCAACAAATGTCTTGAATTCTATCATTTGTTCACAAGGGTGGCAGAGGTACAACTCGCTCACTCGCCGCGTTACTACTAAAGACAAGAACCACCCATCAAAGAGGGAGTGATGGATGGTCCAAATGAAAGAGCTCTTCTTGCCCGGCTGTCCTTTGATGATTGCATAGCGGGACAGAGGCTGTCCAGAATCAGTTTCCAGGATTCGATGATTCCTGGCTGTCTCCTTCAGACCACTTCAATCCCTCCTTTGTAACGACTTGGAGGAAGCCGAGCTGGTCGTGACTCACAAACTCGGTGTGAAGAGTGGCTTGGTCCGATAGACCTCCTCCCATGCAGCGCAGAATTTGTCCAACGAGGTAGTTGTGTTCAATTCCAGGATTTCATGTAGAACATAGTCGGTTGGATTTCGAGACGTCAGAGAAAGAAGACCGATTTGCAAGGGTGTGCAGGGATAGATATCTTCGATGGATTCCGCATTGATATTATTGTTGCTGGCAATCTCGTGAAGCAGCTCGGTAGTAGTACTCGTACCATGCACGAGCAATGAATACGGCTGCATCGTTTTTTCGGCCATGACACCTACCCGATGAATGCTCTTGAAAGTTAGATGTGATCTCGTTTAAAATTCTAGATTAGATTTGATTTATCGGTTCGCCATCCAGAATGTCTACTAACTGGGTATCCTGAATATAGACTTTGCGTCATCTGTAGTTTCTTGAAGTCTGGAGCTCCTGTAGTCTACCGACTGTTCTCACCAAATTATCGTGTGTTTATCGGTCAGCGGTCCTTGCGCTCCGTCTCCTCTCTTTATTAGAGATACAAATGGTGCAAAGGATGCAGAATTAAGACCCCTGGCCTGCTACGAGCGGTGATCACCCCAACCAATTCACCGCATTGCCCCGAGAAAGTATCCGCCACGCACTCCGCCAGCGGTCATGTTTTCCAACTGAGAGGTCCGTACATGCATGAGGCTGGCGACCATCAACTTGTTCTATCATACCTAATCTACCATCAACTTTTATCTGCCGTGGACCTCGTCAATTGCATGACCTATAAATTTTTTCATCGACATGATCGTGATCTTCTTCATCATGGCTGCATGGTGGTCCTCTCCACTGCCTGTTCTGAAGTAGAAAGGCCCAGAGACCATCCTGAAGTTAACACCAGCATCAGCGCCCCCAGTGAAGAACCTGTTGAGGACTAGCTAGGTATCTCTGGATTATCCTGAAGTGTCGCCCGGGATACTTGACCAACCATGCATGTATCTTTGGTCAACATGGTCAACTACGAAAGCGTTCACGTCGTTAAATCAGTCAAGAACGGTCCTCAATGATCAATTAGTGCTCTGAACGAGGTCGTGGTTTGTAGTGACGGACAAAGTTGTGACTAGGAGTCGATTGCCATCGCGGTGACAAACCTCTCGTTGACTATTAGGCCAGTTTTCAGGTGGATTATTATAAGAATGACCTGTCCAAGAACACCTCTTACGTCTCACTTCAACGATAGACCCGCAGCATAATCGGCGATTCTACGATTACCTGCAGTCGACTGGAAAGGCAGATCATGGCTGGATGGAAACATAAACTGTTCGCTTGCGGCTGCGACAAGACCTGTTTGTTTCTCCTATTTCAGCAAGTAAATCGAAGACTGATTGATGATAGGTCTCCTTGGCTCCTTTTTGCCATGCGTTACTTATGGTCATATCCAGCAACGTCTCCAGAATAAAGATAATGACGAGATTGCGAGTTGCAGCCTTCCGGTATGTCCTTTGCGTCATGATAAACAAGGTGTTGAAAAGGGGACTCCAACTGCAACTGCAACGGGCAAGAAAAAAGCGTCTTCTAAGTGCTCCAACCGCGGGGTAATTGGGCATACAATCAGATCGTGCAAAGTATAACAATTTCAATCAATCTGCATGCCAAGTTGAGGCATCTTAATCATATAACAATTGACCAAATTATCAATTCAACTGCGGGAGTGCGCAGTTGTAGTGAGATTATATAATGACTATTAAGTTGTGGTGTGGTTAGTGAAAATCTGTGGTGTCCTTAACAATTCCCAAACCCGATGGATAGAGAGGGAGACAACTTAACATATACAATCTTGCTAGTCACTTCTTTTTCCCATCCTTGTAAACTACTATTCAGGATTGGCCTGAAGTTAACCCAGCAAGCCGACAGAAGGAACAGAGGCGGCTGCACATATAATTTAAGTATATACTATCTAGGTAGTCGCTCAATTTCTAAGAGATTATCTCTGCACCCAAACTCATATATCGCATACTAGCCTTGACAATTTCTAGGATTATTTGAGTCTCATCCGATGTCCTCGGTGCATATATTAGCAAATATGTCGCTGGAATGTCTACAATTTTTTCAAAGATGCCACCCCAAGGCCTCCATCCTGAGAAGGCATGACGCTGACCCCAGCCGGCATCAATGACCTGTTTTGCATCGGCTGGAGAAAGTATGACGTGAAGAGAATGATCGCCTGTCTCATGGATGTGCGCGATTTCGCCTCCCGTTTGGGATGCTTCTTGTGTGCGAGGAACGCTGTCAACGAGCGACATGGCATCGCTTTGTCTTTCGGCTTTTGAACGTGCGACTTTGATTATGTGAGAGTTTTTGCCGGCTAGGGCATAGAAATCCGCCACGAAATCCTGCTTCGTTTTCTTCTGTCAGTGATATTTTCAATGAGATTTTTGACTGGTTGAGAACCGAACTTTTTGTATATTGGCGCTGGGCATCTGACTAAGTTGTCTCTGTGGAACAACATGCGGTCCAATAACCGGTCTTTCTCCATGGCGACGAGGAAGCTGACCACCATCTGTAAGGATGATATAAGATGCGTTCTCACCATTCTGCATCCTTCGTGTGTACATCCCAGTATTAAACATCTCCTGTCCAAAAGGTGTAGCAAGAAACCGGGACATGAACCAGCCGAGTGCATTGTGAGGAGGTCCACCGGGCCCATAGGATATAAAAACCCCATAGTCTCGATAAGCAGAGGTTGACATCGCTGCAATCACAACTGCCGTGGCAGTCGTCAAAATGGGATGACGCCGAAGCACTGAAAACAAACTCGACATTGTGGAATAAAATCTGGGCTGAGTTTTGTTGCAAATATTTTCAAATGAAAGAGTGCAACAGGACCTAAGTCGCGTATAATCTCTAGTTTTCACTTAGACAAATAAATATAGAGAGAGAGAGAGAGTAAACATATCATAGCTCACATAAGGATTGGAATTTGACGGGCCAGAATTAGATGATTCTTCCTTCAGCTGGACAGTTAGACCTTCCCTCGTCGTACACTTCGGGTATTATCTTTAGTGCTTAGGTAGTGAGCCGAGAAAATTAGCAAATCGGCTTCAAATTGTGGAGGTCATCTGTTGGTTTGCACAACTATGCTAAACTACTACGGACATAAGCATTCCAATCAGACGGCTCCTCCGACGACATGCCGCAACATGGCATGGAAATAAGGGTCGGACATGAGTTTGGCCCTTAAACGTATTATATCGCATATACCCCAATTTATCAGGATGAGGGAAAACATATCCTGCGCAGTCATCCTTGGAGGGAGATTTCCGTTGAAGCTCAAATGCACTAGGTACGACTAGTTAGGTAAACACTCCACTCCAAGTTCCAAGGTGGTATGTTATGAGCTGACCTCATGACCATGTTCGGGCGAAGCCCTCACGGATACTGACAACAGCGCTTTTCACAGTCAAAACGACCGTCGAAACGACAGTCAAAATGACATGTAGAGTTTCGCTAGATTATTATTCGGCAACCCTGAACATGAAGCTATTCCCAAATTACGAATAGACACCCAATATCCGGCCAGATATTGACAATAGCGCTCTCTGCCGGTCCCCGGTAGCCCCGACAATCTCAGCAACCCCGGACATGAGGCTATTCCTAGAGAGAAGCCCGTCGGAAGCCCCCAATTCCCCTTGTCTATATAAGATTGTATGCGCGTGAAAAACTTGTCGTTTTCTTTCTCTTTCCTTTCCTCATGTTACGTTTTCTACTCGAATATGCCCTTATAGTGAGCATTAGACGGGACTAGCCCGTAACACCAGGCCTTCGGTAGCTTCCAGCAGGATGTTTCCCATCTGTCTCCAGAACCGCCGTGCGGTTCGCATTGTCTACTTTTACTGAGTATATCTGATCCCTCAACGCTCTTATGCCTAGTATGGCTATCTTTTGTGCAGCCTCTGTAACCAGTTGGACCTCTATTTTATCCCTGGAGATTACCTTCACCTGATCCGCATTTTTAGCATGCTTAACCATTACTGCGCAACGCCAGTTCATTTTCTCTTCCTTGGATCGCATATCTTTCTCTAAGAGCTGTCTGACCTCGGCAATTTTGAGTTTGGCCTTGTCCTCGTCTCTAACGCGAGACATATCGATCGTGCGGTGCAGTATGTCGGTATGTCTGATTGGTGTTGCAACGGCAGCAGGTCCGCCTGCGTACATCGGTTGTTGATTGGTTTGCGTGGGTTCTGTACTAGGTAGGCTGTTTGTAATAACATCTAGCTGTTTCCGATGACTGGGTCTGAATTGCCCTCAATTGTCCCTGCAGGCTTTCAATCATTTCACTCTGTTCCTTGATCATCCCGTGCTCTCGTCGAGGGCGTCACGACGCGTCCTGAGCGCGTTGTTACCAAAATCACCAAAGATCGTCTTCCAAAAAGGGAAGAACATGTAAAAAAAAGAGTTGAGTCCCCCGAGCCGGAATCGAGCCAGCGACCTTCTGATATACAAGAATCATGCGTAATATATAATAAATATATTATGCATTACCATTACAGTCAGACGTGATAAACCAACTACACCATCAGGGGTTATAAGGTGAAAAACAGCCCGATGCGGGGCTCGAACCCGCAACGTTCAGATGCCTCAAGAGATAAGAGTCTGACACTCTACCGATTGAGATAACCAGGCAGCTAATTGTGGCTGGGGGTGCTAGTAAAGTCCCTATATACTGACTAGTCAATACGCTAAACCTAATCGGGATGGGACACTTAACATCTTCTGCATGCCCCGTAACTCGTAGAGACTATTCTGTCCCACGTCATTCCACTGCTTGAAGACCAGCTTACCCTTTGTATTGGCTAAAAGCCTGCATGTTTAAAAATATTTATTATTGGGACCTAAAAATTTGATGAGCCAGACATGTCGATACCTATGGCAAGTGTACGCGTCAGGAAGGAGCCGAAGTCCACTTGGATTATGAGTGGAATCGACAGAGCTATAAATGGGATTTGCTTACACCATCCAACTATCACTGACTCAGAAGATAGAATTAGGCTCATATAATTGGGTCAGGTCAGAAGGTGGGACTTCGGCGATAGCGGTCCCTGGTAAGATTTACGAAATATGTGAAGTCAACAACTAACTCTCTCAGGCCATCCTCCAAAGTGAACACCAATTATTCTATCCCCTAAGCTACTGTCAAATATGGAAGACTTCCAGCAACGTGAAGTAATGCATTGTCATCCCTATGCTTTTGAGCCTTTAACTACGTCCGTCAGTATCTGCTGATACTGACTGCCAGGCAACCTTCAACTTCTCCCGTATCCACGTTGTCACGCAGCTACACAATCTTCGAAAGCTGTTCATGTTTGCAAGTGGAAGAAAGAAGGACGCTTTTATGATAGATATTGAGCTTGTTGGGACAACAGTCTTTATGAGCCGTTTTGGCAATGATGAAATCATCGCAAATGGTACTCAATCTGCGGGTTGATGGGGTCAAGTATTTCAAAATCATGCAACAACATATTGTTCTTCACTCTACGCAATGTAGGCCGCAATGTAGGCCGCAATGTAGGCAAGCACGCAAGCCTCGGAGCTTTAAAATTAAAAGGAAAGACTGGGTCTTTTCGCAGCTCTGGTTTTCAGACACGTATAAAAATTTGTTCGCTCATAATTATGGCAAAGGTGTGTTCACAATGGTTGATAATATTCCTAAAAATTTCTCGGACAAATTCAAGCGCTGGCAGCCAAAAAAGAAGGGTACGATTTGTGCAGTTGGAGAAATACTAAAGCTTATAGTGCATGAGGTCCAGGTACATCAACCAAAGAGATCGAATAGATTTTCACTGATATAGCGGCCACAAGAAAGAGAATCTTGTTTAAAGTTGTACTCTCTGACATGTGCTTCCTCGTAATCCCTCTCGAACGTGACTATACATATCCCTCGTAACGTTGTTACAGCTACGTAGAAGCATTGGACAAACCGAGAAACCATTTTTGCACTCATTTTAAGTTGACCATTCCTTTGCTACGAATGTCTAGTTGACCAGGAATAGGGAGCTGGATGTGTGGTAGGGCTTTTATTTTTTTCTCTACCATACATCCACCAGCAAGTATACGAGGTTTTTCTTCGACCCATCAAATCCTGGCATATGTTCTCCTTTATACCATTTGGCGGCATGCATATGTAGACGAAAAATCACTACCTGTGTTTATAAGTTAGCAAACTAGAATTACTCTAGTTGATTCTGATTATTGCGACTGAGATGCCAAGTCTAAACAGAGTGCAAGCTATTTAAACAGAGGACCAAAACATCAATCTTGGCGAACGGAATACGACATCCAAATCGATTTGTTTTTTTACTGAGAAGTTGAAGGCGATCTAGGGTATATCGAGAAGATTCTAGAAATGCTGAAAGAACCTTAGGACAGAACATACCAGTTTCTTTCATTGACAAATCAAGTGAAGCTGCAGAAAGTTGAGCAATGAATAATATCCAAGATACAGTCGTACACGGGCTCCAAATGCCCATTAAAAGCTATCTTTCGCACGGCTAAAAGGGAGGGCAAAGTAAAAAGAGACACAGTTGAAGGCGATGACACTCTGTATTCAGGTCGCAAAACAGAGTTACAATACCTTTGACCGACGTAGTGGAAGCTTGATCAGGATTGCAAAGTCAGGTTCAAACAAGCGTGGGTGAATATTGCCTGTCTCGGAGCTAACGCAGGAAGGAGTGTCTGTGCCTGGCTGACTATCCGATTCTAAAACGTCTGAGCTATTTACAGATGAAATCTCGCTGTAGCTATCATGATGTATTGCTGAGAGATGCTGCTTTTTGATTTTGACGTCTACGCATGCACTGTGACAGCATGGGCCAAGAACTCTGTGACTTCTCTAAATTTGGGAAGGTCACGACAGGTTCCCCAAGTACAGCTAAACCCTTCCTGTGCATTAGCCAGATAACAATTTTCGGATTGCTGGGTTTATTCCAGGTCGATCCTGAATAATGGTGTCCTAGGATGAGAAAAGAAGAAGTAACTAGCAAGATTGTATTTATTGTGTTGTCTCTGTCTCTTCTCCAGTACACCAGGTTCAAAAGCCGGGTTTTATAAACTTTTTTTGGCTGGGCGATTTGTGAGCTAACATGATGGCTATTGAGCGCTGATAAGAAGATGAGGTGACTGGCTGACCTTCGAGATCGAATAGCCTATCTTCTGCCTCGCCGAATATCCGGGTCATCTGACAACAATCGATAAGATGGCGACGGAGAGAATCTTTTCGCTTACGGGGAAATTTATGGAGAGGGGGGGTTAGATGCTGAGCGGCGAGATAGACCGCAACAGACAATACAGACATCTGTTGGACAGATCGTGAATTCCTGTTCAGGAGGCAATGAAGCTTCTGAATCCCACTTAACCTGTTCGCCTCGCCGACTCGGCTCACAGAGCTTGCTTGGCGCAAACCTAGATACGTTTTGCAAGCAGTTGTTCCTGTTCAAAGTTCCTCAAATCTGGGCCGTAGAAGTTTCACAGAGCCGTGCTCGCTCAGAGAAGACGTATTTAAGGATGGGAAGTTCCCAATCCTCACCGTCAAAGCCGCTACTGTTAGAGTCCTTAACATCAACCTGACCGGGTGGTTGCTCAATCTGTCTGTCGACTTCAAGCACAGGTGCATTATGGAAATAATCCTTTCTGGCTGTGTCTTGGGTATCGGTAGCTAAAGCTTTTCTTAGCTGAGAAAGTTCTTTCGTGACTGCTTCGTGCCCCTGATAAAGTTGAGAGAGAAAAGCTATCGTGCTTTTTTTTTTCCTTTCGTACCAGCCAGGGACCACATCTCTTCCATCAACTCTCTCTTTGCTCGCCTAAGTTCTAAGATTCGGGGGTCTTGGCATATAGCACGTCACTGCATCTCGGTAAGTTCGGATGACGGAGCGAAGGAATCCCTTTTTATAAGCATGCTCCCGGCAACTTGGAGGATGCCTTCCTGAGATGGACAGGGAGGGACCACATGCTGAAGCTCGCGCTAGATAAGCTGAGATTGGTAGTGTTTTTTGAAAACGCCATCACCAGACTGGCCTAGCACCCTTTGCCTCTCCTGACTGGTGAAGTCTCCTATGGAGAGCAAGTTAGACTATAAGCTAGAGAAGCGTAATTCTGGAAGCTAAGAGAAATACAACTCACTTCATTAGCAGTCCAGCGGGGATGATTGTAGTGGCGAATATCGTCTTCAAACTTATATTGTAAGTTGTCTAGGACAAATTGAACAGGAATGGGTGCAACAACACTAGAATAAAATGTTCTTAGAGACATATTATTGTATAGTGCAGTCGATTTAGCTCATCTTGGTCCCTAATGACAGATTTTAGATGAGCGCGCTGAAGCTTCATCTCCGAGCCATTCAAGACCCATTGAAGGTTATTCGCAGAACTTTATCCCAAAATTCATCATGTTTGACCATTAACAGTATGGTAACCACGTCTAGAATTTTATTTATCTGATGAGGGTGATGTCTTATGACGATAGTCTTATATCCCAATGCTTGGTTGTTGACAGATTATGATCCCAGGAGACTACAACAGGTACCAAATTTTGACAGAAAAAGCTGTTGTAGCTGAACCCCTCAAGAAGAATCAAACTTTACAAGCTACCGTTATCAAATGAATTGTCCAACGTTTAAGCCCTTCTGCCATCTCAAGACAACATCTCGGATGTTCTTGGATTTCTTCCCAACCCCTTTTACCTGCAATCCGCTATAGATAGTCCTGATTCGGATGTGTCGCACAAACCAGCTCTACTACTACAGAGGTCGCTGTCTTCTGGATAAAGTAGACCTGCTGTATATGGGGTTTTTGCTAGTGTTAGATGTTGAATCAATCATAACTACAAAGTTCTTAACCCTATCATACTGTTTGGTTTGTTGTGTTTGCATATTACCCCGCCCTATTATTTCGTTACGTACAATTAGCACGAGATATTACTGTTCTGCAATATACACTTTCCATTACTCAGTCGAGCTTGCATTCAGCTGAGTCGACTAAAGTATTTATTGCTTAATAATTCACATTGATTGGTGTGGAATGGCTAGGTCTTCGTCTCTTATCCGGCCAACACCAATACGTACATAGTGGCGTGTAGGTTACAGTCTCAGCGGGTCGCGTAATTGAAATCAGTTACAATACTAATCGTACTGAAACAATGTTCCGTTATTTGACAGTATTGTGATGTATTGTACTTAACTGTTATTGTCAGAAGACTATTCGGAGCACTGTGCATCTACCTACGGTGGCCTGTTTGAGTCGATATCCCCGTGTAATCTTAGTTTAGCTCTTTGCTATCTTCAAAATACGACAGTTGTAAAGTTGACTTTCACTTCTCAGCTGAAGGTGAAGATCGATGGTCTAAGCAGTCCAAGCAGTCTTCAAGAACATCACCAGCATTTTTACACCGACATCAATGGCCCCTGATCTGACTGCATTCTTCCAGCAAAATGCAAAGCACCTGCCGGTATCACCTTGGAAGCTTGCCTGTTGGTTGGGCCTCCCATATATTGCATACCGATTCAATAGGTACTTGAGTTACAGGGCTTTGAATAACGGTGTAGTGGATAATTTCGACTGGGAGAAAGAAATCATCCTTATAACTGGAGGTTCTAATGGTATTGGTGCAGCATGTGTGCAGAAATTGGCTTCAAAGGGGACTCAGGTAGTTGTCCTGGATATACTACCGTTGAGCTATGATTCTCGTAAGATATTCACTCTTAGGAAAGTTTCTAGTCATTCTAACGTGAATGATAAGCTAAAAACCTGCACTATTACCGCTGCGATTTGACCAACTTCGATGAGGTTCAGGCAGTTGCAGCCACCGTCACTAGGTTAGTTTTCATCCCTCGATTCGATCTAGATATTTAATCCAAGTGAACTTTCTAACACATTAATAATAGAGAAGTTGGTGCACCAACATGTGTTGTAGCAAATGCAGGAATTTGTCGTGGCAAGTCACTACTACAAGCCACCAAACGCGATGTTGAATTGTAAGTTCAACCACTATTTACTTCTGGCACCATCTCATTGTACTATTCTCAGGACATTTGGCGTCAACAGTTTAGGTCTTCTATGGACTATCAAAACATTCTTACCGTCTCTTACTGCGAAGAACCATGGTCACTTTGTGATACTTGCCTCTCAAACAGGGCATCTTGCGACAGCTGGAGTAGTAGACTACGCTGCCACTAAAGCCGCTGCTCTAGCCATTTACGAAGGTCTTCAAACTGAACTACGCCATATCTATAAAGCCCCAGCAGTGCGCGTATCATGTGTTTCACCGTCTGCTGTAACCACGAAGATGTTCAGAGGAATTAAATTGCCATCTTCGGTGCAACCCTTGCAACCTTCAGATGTAGGCTCTGCAATTGCGGAGATTCTCTGGAGTGGTCGAGCACAAAATATTATGCTCCCAGCTTCGGCGTATATATCACCCATTACTCGAGCTCTTCCGGATTGGCTTCGAATTGGATTGCAGGAATTTGGCAAGGATGTCATGACTGATTTGGATCCGCATAAACCCTTGGACTGACCATATGCTGTGATTACCGATAGAAGTGATTGACTGGTTTTTTAAGGTTGTATTGAGTTTATGATTGATGGGGGATCTTCATATTTGGGGTGAAGATAACGCCAATATTCATTTTAATAGTTTATCTATGCAGTTTCAGCAGACATCATACAAGTATCGGCCGCAGCCGTACCCTTAGTCCGTCCTTCGGCCGGGAAGTGAGTCCTGTCTCAATCACCAATTCGGCTGTATTGTCCTCCAGCTCCATTTTGAACGACCCAACCAGGGCAGCAAGTAAACATGCGAACTCTCCGCGAGCGAATCCTTGCCCAATGCACGAGCGGGGGCCTAAAATATTAATTAGTCTCTAGAATACATGTTGTAGGGAGGAATCCAAACCATGTAAAAACGTCATGAACGAAAAGTTTGTTAATCCACCCCCACTATTGGCCTGGCCTGGCTTCATCCATCGATCGGGATTGAAGACTAAGGCATCTTCACCCCAAAGGTCTTTGGATATGTTGACTGCACGGGGCGAAATTACAATCACGGTCCCTTGCGGAATATGTTGATCCAAGATAGATGTATCCTTCGCAGCTACCCTTCGAGTTAGACCAGCAGGTGGATAGATGCGGAAGACTTCGTTGCACACTGCATGAAGATACGGAAGGCTATCCACCAACTCTGCAGTGACGGGCATTGCACCCCCCTTGCGCATTGTTCTAATAGGTAGCTTTGAGCGCACTTCTTCACGGAGCCTCTGTTGCACTTCTGGATAAAGGCATAACGCATACAATGCCCATGTCATTGAAGTGGCGGTCGTCTCGTGTCCAGCAGCGAGAAATGTCAGGAGATGATTTTCTAACATTGTATCCGTAAAGTTACCAGAATCAAGCGCGACGGATAAAATATCTCTTCTGGCCGATACGTCCAAACTTTCTTTTGAGCTCTGTGTCCTCTCATCCTTTTTATCCTTAATCAAGCGGCGAGATACATCGGTCAAGACTTCTGTAGCGGTAGTTATACTATCTCTGGGCTTGATGCTCAAAAGATTCATTGTCTGCTGTTTCGCAAGGAAAACCAAAATACCAAAAATACTTTTCGGCGGCTTCTGCTCAAAAACTCCCCGATATGCTCTGACAATTTCATTCTCTGGATTGTGTAATGTGTCAAACTCTCTCCCGAGGCCTGCAGCTCCCAGTATATCCAAGGTTGTACGAGCAAGCCAGTCCGCAACGTCAAAAACTTGACTGGGTTCTCCAGGAACACGTTTGATATTTGCATCCAGTTCAGCGGCCAATGAGACTGATTTTTCCCAGAAAATTGGATATAGATCCTTGACGGGTCGGTGCAAAAATGCCGGCATCAAGAGTTTTCTTTGCTTCTAAGGTATATTTTAGTTTTGCTCTTTGTGATGGATTACGGTTATAGAGGGCATACTTTATGTTCTTCGCCCTCCGCAATAATCAACCCAATTCCGAGTATCCTTCCTAGTCCCTGCCGCAGTTTGTACGGCTTGGAAAAATCATAGTTTTTTTGAACCAAGACCTCCGACAATGCCTTTGGACTCGTCACGAAAATAATTTCCTTGTTAAACATCATACGATACCTAATGAGACCATTGTTTGGCACCTCATTGATCCATTCCTGGAGAGGCATGCCCGACCTCTCGTTGGGAACGAGTTTCGCATGGCCGTTGAACAGAGTACCTCCCTAAAGTGCCATCAAACTATTAGTCAATGTGAACGCTGAACTATTTTCAAATGATTGATGCATTTTGCTAACCTTGGGCTCGGGTAGGTGCCGTAGTGGACTGAACCAAAAAGGCCGCAAATAGATCTTCCAGATACCGAAAATGAATGTTGATGAGAGCACAATGACACCAGTAGTAGATAGAGCTATCTGCATTGGAAATATCAGAATTAGTAAAACTGCTAACAGAAGCCAGCAGGTCGCCGCGACTTTTGTGGTGGACATGATTGACGAAATAAGCACAACGCATTCGTATATCCTGAAATCGTCTATTTCGGAGACAAAATTCTTCAAGGTCTTTGTCAAGATAATGGACTATAGAATTACCTTAGATTCCTTTACTGGCCATCGGCTTTACACGTTCACAATATTTTTGCTTGTTTTCCCTAGCCCCTCCCTCACCTTACGTAAATGTTTTATAAAACTGTCCCGTGACAATACATAATCAATCACATTACTGAGTTTCAATACAATGCACGTAATTCAAAACAAACATACCGTACAATACGATGACTGGGAGTGGATCTAGAACCTAATCTTAACGGCGTCTTCAAAACAGATGCTTAAGCAACTGCATCTTATTATTCCCTCTTGTGGAGTGTTACATCAGGCCAAAAAGAAATTCCGTTCTTCTTCACTAACGTGTCAGCCTGCAGAAATATGAAGAAAATCTCTTTAACCTAACCATACAGAGCGCACGGACGAGGTTCTACGATAGCTGATAGCTTGTGCCTAAAAATTGCCTGACTCGAGGTCCGTACAACTCAGCATAAGGTTGGCGAATGGTTGCTGAGCAAATGATAATCGAATGGGACCATGTTTCAAGGTCTACGTGATATTTTCGTATATCTACTTATCACCTTCTTAATTGGGTGTTCCGGGTTACTCCAACTCGTTCAAATTATGCTATGATTTCTCCTTTTCATTTTGAGCATCTAGCGGTAATTTGGTAGGTGTATAAGCATCCGATGGCACCGGTTTATGTGTTGATGGCTTTATTTTTCCATCGGACCAAACTAAGAATAACTTCGCTTACCTAGTGCTTATGGAGTATGGAGTGCACCGAGTAGCAATATAGGGTATGATTAAAACTCCATCTGATTGAAAAATGCAGTAGGCAGACTGGTTCGACGAATTACTAAATTAGACAAATTTTACGTGCCCATGTTTTTTAGTTTGGTAAGAGCATGTAAAAATGGTTAACGTAAGGTAGGTCTCGAAGTCCTATATCCGGCGCAGGGAATCGGGACCCAAAATTTACCTACGTACAGAAATGAACACTGAATTTTCTAATGTGACCAATACGTAAATAGTGAGATCAAAAGTTTCCCGGCCAGTTGGACAGCTTAGAAACTAGTCAGGGAAACACCTAGCCAGAGAAGTGTATCAAGCTTCAGGATTTGACCCGGGTGGTAATATGGACTTTGAGTGGAATCTTCTCCCATGATGTGTATATGTACTGATCTTTGGGCCAATTGGCGCACTCCGGAGTCAGTTCAAAGTCGAAATGCCAGAGCATCTTGGCTAGAATTAGTCTCATCTCGATATTGGCCAAGCTATCAGGTCGAGAAGACCTTGGAGTTAGTATTTTGTGCGAGAACATTCGAGATATGCGATTGGAATGACCAGGGAAGAGGAAGGAAGAATGAACATACTTTCGACCAATACAGTTTCGTGGGCCAAATGAGAAAGGCTGTAGAGCTTCACGGCGATCGTCTTTATACGGGCCTTCTTCATCTAACCAACGTTCAGGTAGGTAGATTTCAGGATCCTTGAAATTGTACGGGGAGCGGAAGACAGCGTATTGTGCCATGCCCATGGATGTCTATGGGAACTGTTAGTATAACATCAAAGTATTTTCAAGAGATATGAACAGTCAACATACATTACCCGGGAGCCACTGGCCAAGGATCATAGCACCCTCTGGTGGAGTGATACGAGGATGGCTACCTGCAGCTGGGGGATACAAGCGGAACGACTCATCAATGACAGCATTGATATATTTCAGATGGCTAATGCGAGCAATGTTAATCTCATCGCTTGAATTGAATGAGGTGCGAACTTCGTCAAGGAGCTTCTGCATTACACGTGGGTGCGTGCACAGGTAGTAGATTGTGCCGGATAGAATTGTGGCCGTCGTTTCGCTACCCGCGATTACCATCAAATTGGCGTTTGCTACCAGATCCGGCAAGGTGAGGTGACCTTTTTCTTCAGCTTGAAGTAAATGACTCATGAAGTCAATATAGTCAGGGTGACGGGTTTTGCGTCGCTTTACCTTCTCTTCAACAAGACCGATATGCCATTTACGGCGTTCAACAATCCTTTTTGGCATGATGGCCAGAATAATTGATCGAATGTCGATGAATCGTTGTAGTGTGCGGATGTAGTGAACGTAAACAATAGCATTGAAGATCATGGACATCCAAGGATGGTAGTCATTGTTCTTGAGGCAGTCAAAAGGCTCATAAAAAGCGAGATGACCAATGATATCGAATGTCACGTACTATAAGCCGCGGTGAGTGTGTCAGTTCCGGATACCACATGTTTTATGGCACTTAGACACGATAGAATACTCACATTGAACCATCGAACAATGTCTACGGGCTCTTCCCTCTTGTCGGCCACCTCGTGCAAGCGGCTAACAAGAAGATCAATGTAGTGCAGCAGGACCGGCTCCTGGCCCTTGAGAACCTTGTCCGAGAAGGCATTAGATAGCAGTTTCCTCAAATTTCCGTGCGTTCTACGATCGGCATTGATAATAGTTGGGTGGGATTTGTCTGCATCCGTATTTTCACCAGGGTCTTTGCGATTCTCTGGAAGACCGTTTCGGAATCCATAAATCTCTTTCCATGCATCGGCACCAGTGAATGAAAGTTCAGTAGGAGCTATGCGAACAATTTCGCCATATTTGAGATGCAACTCGTGAACAATAAATGGGAATCGACCGCTCAATTGCTGTTTCATCCACCACAGACGAGTGGCAGCTGCGAGCTTGGGACCGGGGTACTTTGATAGTGGGTGGAAGTAGATTCTGTATATGACAACACCGACTACATATGCAAAAAACTGTGAAATTGTTAACTACAACAAAGATATTATGGGAGGCATCTTTTCAACTCACAGCTCCAGACAGCAACACTGCTGCCTCCGTAATGGAGAGAGAAGATATAATCCTCGGCGCCATGCTGATGTGATAGAAGACAGAAGATTAACGACAGACTTCTCGTCGCCGTCTTAGATTTTCACTCCGTTAGAATGTTCGGTATTCCTTGCCTTGTGGCACATACCCTCTTTATTCAGAGCTACTGGTGAACTTTCCTACTATCACGTTTCACTGGCGTTTTCCGATACCGGCTCGAAATGCAAACGAAGAGGGGTTGACACCAAGTTCCAGCACAGATACGACCTGACTGTAAGATACGGTGTATCTCGAGTGCTCCTGAGTTTGAGTAACAAGTACAGTTCCGAAACACGACTTGAAGGTTGTGGATTTCACATGTGACCAAGTCTTCAAGATATCTGAGCGGGGTAACGGATTATTGTTCCTTATGAGAAAGGAAGTGATCTGTGTAGCTGAAAACTATTTGATAAGAGATTGACAATCTAACATGCTTCTAGTAAATTGTACGAATTTCCATATTTGCCAAAACACGCATAAATGGATATTACCTGCATATACCTAGCGTAGTCTGTGGGGCAATAGTAAATATATGACCCATGATCGCCCCATTTCGCATACTGTACGTATATACCCTGTATCGTATAGAGAAGGCAGTCTGCGGGTAATTGAAACTAGGGCTGTATTGACCCTCGTGTTTCTCGCTACAAGGCGATGGGTCCTGATGTTGGTGGCTTCATCAATGATGCTTCAGTTCGGATACCTCTCGCCCGGCGTATAGAAACCAATAAATAATGATTCCATTCAGATCCACGCCGGATAAACTACGTTCTAGCGCCCGGGTTCCGAGTCATGGGCAAACGTAACAAATGGAAATGATACTGTACGCGTATTTCAGTACGGTTCTGGCGAATATCGGATTCGAGGAATCCAGCTCTATATGTAAACAAAGTATAGGTGTAACTACGTACAGGAAAGGTTGGAAATGTTAGGAGTATATCGCCCACTCTTGATAACGAAAGGCGTCTTCTCCAGACGGAGAGCTATGTTGCTCGGATTTTCACCACCGTAATTCCGACCTTAAATAAACATTCGTGTATCAAGGAGCCTCGTAGGACTTCTTCCTTCTTTTCCAGCTGGTACAATAAGCGCAATGGATTTGCAAAACTCGGCAGCAGCTTTGGTGCAGCGATTGGGGGAGAAAGTTGAAGATGGCCACGGCTTCGGGTTCATGAGCCCTGCTATCTATGATACCGCTTGGGTTTCTATGATTAAGAAGACGATCCATAACCATAAGATATGGCTTTTTCCAGAGTGCTTCGAATATGTCCTTTCGCATCAGCTCAGCGACGGTGGATGGGCGATGTATGCGTCTGAGATTGACGCCATCCTCAACACTGGGGCTTCATTACTCTCATTAAAGCAACATCTCAACAATCCGTACCAAATCACATCTTACACACAAGAAGACCTCTCGAATCGCATTGAAAGTGCTCGCAATGCATTACAGAAGCTTCTGGATGACTGGGACGTGAAGAGCACACTCCACGTTGGATTTGAGATTCTTGTGCCGGCTCTACTCAGATATCTGAACGAAGAGGGCATTACTTTTGAGTTTTCTGGAAAAGAACTTCTGCTTGAATTTGAAAAACAGAAGCTATCAAAGTTCAAAGCGCAATATCTCTACCTTCCTATCAAGGTATCTGCTTTGCATTCTCTGGAAGCTTTCATAGGGGCCATTGAATTTGACAAAGTCAGCCACCACAAAGTCAATGGCTCATTCATGGCTTCTCCATCTTCTACAGCGGCATACATGATACACGCGTCAAAATGGGATGATGAATGCGAGGAGTATCTTCGGCACGTCATTTCCCATGCATCCGGTACTGGATCCGGAGGTGTACCAAGCGCTTTCCCATCCACAATTTTTGAAAGTGTTTGGCCTCTGTCAACCCTACTCAAAGTAGGATATGACCTGAGCTCTTTTCCTTCTATTGATAAGATCCGGTCATACTTGCATGATGCATATGTGGCCGAAAATGGGATTCTAGGCTTTACGCCCTTCGTGGGTGCTGATGCTGACGATACTGCCACCACAATATTGGTACTCGGACTCTTAAACCAACCCGTGTCGGTAGATGGTATGTTAAAGGAGTTTGAAGAAGAAAACCACTTCAAAACCTACTCCCAGGAGCGAAATCCGAGTTTCTCTGCGAATTGTAATGTTTTGCTTGCCTTGTTATACACTCCAGATCCGTCACTCTACTGTTGCCAAATCGAAAAGGCCATAAGATTTCTACATAAGCAATTTACAGACTCGGAATTGGATGTTCGAGATAAGTGGGTGCGTCCAATCTCAAGAAACCCTAAATCAAACCATGATACATTGACTAACAAGACGGGATACAGAACTTGTCACCATATTATTCGTGGATGCTCATGACACAAGCAATCACCCGGCTGACGACCCTCCAAGAAACTTCTAAGCTGTCAATATTGAGAGATGATTCCATCAGCGCAGACCTGATTAGCCTGCTACTTAGGATAGCCTCCACCGTAGTTCGGGATCAAAAGCCTGGGGGTTCATGGGGTACCAGAGCTTCAAAGGAAGAGACTGCCTATGCAGTATTAATCCTCACTTATGTCATCTACTTGGATGGGGTGACAGGGTCATTGCGAAATGATATCAAGATTGCCATTGACAATGGCTGTTCATTTCTATCGGAAAGAATGACGGAGTCTGCGTCAGAATGGCTCTGGGTAGAAAAGGTCTCATACAGATCAGAAGTACTATCGGAAGCGTACATTTTGGCTGCTCTTAAAGGGGCAGCTGACTTACAAGAAGAGAAGGCAAATGGTATCCCAGTTGTCCACGAGATCTCGACTGAAATAAACAATGAAATCAATGGGGTCAATGGGGTCAATTCTAGGCTCGAATTCGATGGTACAAATGGTACCAACGGGAAGAATGGTATCAATGGTATCCATGAAGGCGAAGTGACGAATGGCGTTATCGAAATCAATGGCGATTTTGATGCAGCTCAAATTACGAATGGGAACATGGAAGAGCATTCTGTAACCATGGAAACAAACGGCCACGACATGGCACACATGCAATTCGAGATCTCCCCAGCAAACGGCCATTCCAATGAGGATTGTGTGTCAATCCATACAGACGATTCAGACAGTTACTATCAGCGCAGTCAGTGGACAATTGATCAGGAGCATATCCTTTTGGGTCCATTTGACTATCTCGAAAGCTTGCCTGGAAAGAATATGCGATCACAACTTATACAATCATTCAATACGTGGTTACAAGTTCCTGCAGAGAGTCTAGCCATTATTGATAAGGTGATATCAATGTTGCACACAGCCTCACTTTTGATCGATGATATCCAAGATCAATCATTACTCCGGCGCGGACAGCCTGTGGCGCATAGTATATTTGGTACTGCTCAGGCAATGAACTCTGGAAATTATGTCTACTTTTTAGCTCTCCGAGAGATTCAGAAGCTACAGAGCCCTAAAGCGATTACCATATATGTTGACTCTCTGATAGATCTTCACCGTGGTCAAGGAATGGAGCTTTTTTGGCGAGATTCTCTCATGTGCCCCACGGAAGAGGAATATCTGGATATGGTTGCAAACAAGACGGGCGGTCTCTTTTGTCTTGCTATTCAGTTAATGCAGGCAGAGGCGACCGTCAAAGTTGACTTCGTTCCACTTGTCCGGCTGCTCGGAATTATCTTCCAGATTTGTGATGATTACTTGAATTTAAAATCCACAGCGTACACGGACAACAAAGGGTTATGCGAGGATCTAACAGAGGGAAAATTCTCATTTCCCATCATTCACAGCATCCGAGCGAATCCTGGGAACCGACAACTGATCAACATTTTGAAGCAAAAGCCACGTGAGGATGACATCAAACGTTATGCTCTTGCGTGTATGGAAAGTACAAAGTCGTTTGACTATACTCGCGATGTCGTTAAGAAACTGAAGACGGAGGCACTTAGTACCATTCAGGGTCTGGAGAAGCAGGGGTTAGCGGAAAACATTGGTATTCGAAAGATACTAGCTCGCATGTCTCTGGAGCTATGATATACACTTTACTACTTTTATAGATTTTGTCATAGTTATGATCATGACCTATATCTTTTATTGCAAGATCGAAAGTGCTTTTTGCTGAACTCCACGGATTTCAAGATTATAATCACTATATATACGTATATGCATTGCGTTTGCCTACGGGAAGACGATGTTATGTACCAAACTCATATTCGCATCATCTATTTTGTATCGACAAGGATAGATACTAACGTATCAACTTCATCCTCCGTCAACCCACAATATTGAATGAAATAGTTTCGAGCACCTCCGAATTTGGTCATCACCACATCCTCCAGAAAAGACTTCATATTCTCTGGCTGGCTGGCAATAATGAATTCCGCATCCTCGCGAGTCACAGCTTCTTTCCTTTGCAACAATCGCTGAATAAGGTGCTCTCGCCACGTTCCTAAGCCCTCGGTCGTGATAGCATAATCTTCAATCACTGTATCATTCGGCACGCCGCAGAGTTTTAGCAACAGTGCCGCAAACACACCGGTTCTGTCTTTTCCCAATGTGCAGTGAAACAAGACCGGCCGGTCCGGATGTCGTAATATGTAGTCTGTTATTTTACGAAAACTTCCATTCTCTGCTCCACTGCGTGCAATGGCTTCATATGCTTGAACAAATCCTGCTGGCTTGGCATTTGTTGGATCCGCTGTATTATTGGAAGCCACTCCATACTTCTTCGCTAACGACACCGGGGAGAAATCGCCTTCTCTGAAAACTGGTACAGAATAGCGAGTCGTGCCAGGTATTTCAAGTAGCGAATCGGGGTAGCGAGTCGTAACAAGCTCTATCTCCGTCTGGGAACGAAAGTCAAAAATCGACTTGATACCAAGCTCGTGTATCAATGTCTCAATACCGGCCGGGGTAATCTGTGACGGCTGAGCCGATCGAAACAGAAATCCAGGCCGAATGCGCAAGTCGTCGCTACCCCGAGGGGTCACCTCCAGTTTGTTGTCCGGTGAACTTTTTGAGGCAGGAGTAGGAGATAAGCCATTGCACGAGTGACCACCTAGTTCACGGATATTCACTACCCCGCCTACGGAAAGAAACCGTGGAGGCGGGGACTCGAGTCTTACGGCAGAAGCGGCGGCAGTGGTAACATTAGCCATCTTTTCACTGTGGACGGCTGCTGATTCTGAAATATGTGATTGTAGGTTTCCCACCTATCGCACGCGGGGGGACCAAACTACTATATTCCCGTGATGGGGTATCCGAATGGGGGCCAAAAAGTGGGATGAAGGAACAGGAATATATGCGAACAAAACGCGAGTTGCATTTCAATGTTACATGAAGCCGAATTCATGAGGGGGATAAAGTGTCGATTGGCAATCGGTATGAAATATTGACTTCAAAGTTTGAGCTATGGAAGTCTCAGGGGGTATGATGGTCTCATCCGTCTTCGGTGTGCACTTTACGTACTCTTATGGGTATATGAACGCACTAAGTGTATCACTTAGACTTTAGAAAGATTCGACACAGTGAACACTAGTGCGGGGTACAATGTACGTACATAGTCTCTAATTTACTGAGTATTCTGCAGCAAGTCCATGAAACGAGCAGCGAGCTGAAAAGCAGTCGTAGACAACAAGCATAGGCTGTCCAATGAGATACTCGGGATGTTGCGAGTCAGCATGGAGAGTTCGCTGCAGGATTGATTCCGTACAAGCTTCGGGGGTCTCCCCACATCCGGGGAAATTACTTGGCTGACAAAATATGCTTATTCATGCTGTGCATTAGCGGTATTGTATCATGTATTGCTAATGCTACGAATATAATACGTGCATACGTGTATCAATACATGTATGAATTGAAAAACACACTACCCATACTTCAGGTATTTTTCTATGGTACAATACTCGTACAGCCATTACATGCTAGTCCCTAATAGAGAGTATTACAGCTATGTAACAAGTTCAATACTGGGAACATTAGAAGTGCACTTGGTTGCGATTCCAAACAGACACTATAACTGAAGGATAAACAGAAATCAGCTCTTCAACATGTCCACTGCTTACAAAGAGTATGATATTACTGAGCAAATACACGACCTTCACGAGAGGCTTGTCAATACCTTCCAGTCGGGGAAAACGAAAGATGTGGCATGGAGGAAATGGCAGCTCAAACAGCTTTGGTGGATGCTGGAGGACAATCAAAAAGAGCTTATGGCTGCTATGAAATTAGATCTTAATCGTTCAAGCATAGAGTCCATGATAACCGACTTCGCTGGGGCCCGAAAAGACATTTTATACCATCTCCAACACATCGATAGATGGGCCTCAGATGAGCCATTAGGAGACACCTTTATTGCAAGATATCTGGGCCTGGCGCATATACGCAAAGAACCCCTAGGTGTGGTTCTCATCATCGGGGCCTGGAATTTCCCTCTACTCCTTGTCCTGCAGCCGCTCATTGCAGCAATAGCAGCTGGTTGTTGTGCAATTATCAAACCATCGGAGCTCATTCCAAATAGTCAAGGCCTATTGAAGCAATTGATACCGAAATATCTCGACGAAAGTGCTATCGGCTTGGTTTGCGGTGGCGTGCCTGAAACCACTCTATTGCTTGGGCTCCGGTTCCATCACATCTTTTTCACAGGCTCTGCACCGGTTGGTCGCATCGTCAGTGCCGCAGCTGCGAAGCATATGACACCGGTGACACTGGAACTTGGCGGGCAATGTCCAGCAATTATATGCAGATCTGCAGATATTGATCGGGCAGCAAAATGCGTGGCCTATTCTAAATTTCTCAATTCCGGACAGATATGCCTTTCAGTGAACCACATCTTTGTTGATCCAACTATATATGATAAATTTACTGAGCGCCTCAAATATTGGATTAATGAATTCTTGGATGGTCAACCGACGATCGACACCGCCATTGTGAATCAGAATCATTTTGATAGGTTGTTGAATCTGATTCATGATACTGATGGAAGGATCTTTTGCGGTGGAAGTGGAAACCCTGAAACTCGCAGGATGGAGCCTACTGTGATACTGGACGTGGATATAAATGGTAAAATTCCTATTTTGTGTGTTTCGTATTCTCTGCCGTTAGCTGACTATCCTGTAGATTCCATTATGAAGGAAGAAATATTCGGACCTATCTGCCCAGTTCTAAAAGGTGATTTTCGAAGTGCCTATAATGCGACAAAACTGTGAGTGCCTTCTACTATTGGAATATCACGTACTAAAGGCGCTTTAGGAAGGGCCAGCCCCTAGCCATTTATATCTTTAGCAACGATAAACGGGAAGTTGAGGAGAGTAGGTTACAATAACTTGAGAAGCCTGATATATATTCAAAGCAAGTTCTATGCTAACTTGGATGAATAGTACTTGAAAATTCGAATAGTGGCGGCGTCACTGTTAACGACGTGATTCTTCATGCAGGGACTTCCGGTGCACCTTTCGGAGGAGTGGGATCCAGTGGACATGGATACTACCATGGCCCCTACGGATTTAATAGTTTCACTCATCTCAGAACGATTATGAATGCTCCGAGTTGGCTGGAACGGGCATTGAGATTTCGTTATCCCCCATTCAATGCAACTGAAACCCCAAAGGCCTTGAAGCTCAAGGCGAACTTCAAACGAGGCGAGGGTATTGATGACCAACGGCGAAAATCGTCGAGCGCAGTGAGGAAAGCTACCAATGCTATAGTAGTCATTTCTGTGATAGGTTCCCTCTGCTATTACTTCTACAGCTAATCATTTCATGCGAAGTATTTTCTAGGTATGAAATGTAGTCTATCTCTAAATTTGAAGATTGTTGATATTCGCTGTGACATTAATGCAGAGATGTAATGGCGAGAAACCGTGGATCGCAAGCAAAGTGTTCAATATTGAACTCATGACTCAAAATGTATATTATCCCTTCGTCGAAAGTGGGAGGCGTACACATAGACTTAAATTCGATGGCCATGAAATAAGACCGTTCACCAAGTCTAGGAATTGGTACTGGGATTCTCTCTGCTCCCCATTTCAGACAACTGTACTAGGAAAATTACTCAAGCTTATTTTCAATCTTCATTACCATACTTATTACCGTTACCTGAACGTCAATACATACGACCGTGTGAAAAATGTAAAGTTACAGGCCCACTACATACCGTCACACTTGCTGACTATAATCCAGCTATTATAGAATTATCCGATGCCTGCAGCCGCCCCCGAAATACAAAATTGAGGGTGATAGATGCTTATCATGGAGCTTCTCCGCTGTCGGACATGATAGTTACAATACCGACATGAAAGATAGCGAACGTTATAACATACGATAATGGAGTAGAAGGTACTTCGACTATTCTAAGCCCTTATTCCAGTTACAGTGCTGAATTAACTTAGCCTGTTCCTTAGAATGTATGGGGATTAAAGATAGCGTGTTGTTTTTGAAGATAAGTCTTTCACAGCAGCTCTGGTTTGTTATCGGCAACTACACCTTCATCTCCTTCACAAAGATTTGGGGCGCAGATTATATGTTACTGTTCCAAGTTATCGCGAAAAAAATGATTGCAGAACATATTCCCCAACCCTCGTTACTCCAAGGCGCAATACTAGTCCTTGTTGTTTCCGTTATTGCCCGAATCACGTACCTCGAGATCAAGCATAGTGCGCTACGCAGCATTCCAGGCCCGTGGATTGCTAGATATACAAATGCATGGCGTTGTTATTTAGCATGGGTGTACAGTGAGCGCCCAGGAGGCATTACATATCACGAAGTCATTCACCAAAAGTACGGGGATGTAGTCCGCGTGGGACCCAAAACTGTCTTTATCAATGATCCTGCTGGCATTCCCGTAGTCCTAGGCTTCAAAGATCGACTTGAGAAAACGGATTCTGTCAATGCTTTTATGCAACCCGGAAAGCCAACATCCATTGTGGGTATCCGGAGCGAACAAAAACATGCCTCATACCGTCGTCCGATTCAGGGCGCTTACTCATTGTCCAGCCTGAAGCTTTACGAGCCAGCAATCAATGACATGATCAAAAAGTTGACAAGCATATTTGATGAGAAAAGTCAGAGCAAGTCAGTAATCAATGTTACTGAATGGTGCCACTTTTGTAAGTTTTCCCGCAGATAGGAGAAAAGCAATCGGATTGAATATTTACTGACAATATCAATTTTGAAACCAGTTGCGTACGACACAATAATGAATATTACCTTCGGATCCCCGCTAGGCTTCCTTGATAACGCCAAGGATATGTATGACTTAATTGCGAATCAAGTGAAACATGTTGCATATGTTCGAGTGGTAATGATCTCCCCCCAAAGACATGCAGGACGATGGCACGGACTTACTCATGATAGCTTACCCAATGGCCAGCACTGGACTGGCTTATACGCACGAATCCCATTGTGGTGGCATTCAAAAAGCACAAAGAATCGCCCTTCTTTCGTTTTGCAGTTCAGCGTATCCGACACGAGCTTGAAAAACCCACACCAGACGATATTCCCAAACGAACACTCTTGCAACATTTTGTGGATGCAAAGTCTAGGTATCCGGACATAGTTGACGACACACAGATCCGTCTGTACTGCGCTACCAACTCCCTGGCTGGTTCCCTCAGCCCATCTCGTGTGCTGGACTGTGTTTTGTCTTGGTTGGCGCAGCATCCACAAGAACAGGATCGACTTTATCTTGAAGTTATCAAGAATGCAAAAGAGTTTCCGGTTTCACTGGAAGACACTGCTAATATGCCATACCTTGAAGGGGTTATCCGCGAGGGCTACCGATTGCATCATGGCGGTGATATTGCTATTGAACGCAAAGTTGGACCAAATGGTGCCACTCTCCCAGATGGTCGAGTTATTCCATCAGGATACGACATCGCCATGAGCAGCCCATCCATCCGTGTTTGCTCGGCATTCGGGGGGGAACCTCATGTATTCAGACCGGAACGATGGATGAGGTCGGAAGGAGAAAGTGAAGATGAGTATAAGGCTCGTCGGATGTATATGGATAAGGCAGATTTAACATTCAGTCAAGGATCTAGAGCATGTATCGGGAAGAGCTTTACTCATTTGGAATTATTCAAAGTTGTAGCCTCGGTAATGGGTCAGTTCAAGGTATGCGATCTCCATTTGCATGTGGTTTGACGCAGTGCTGACAGAATATTCTTGTAAAGCTTGAACTATCAGGTACGCCAAAGCGATTTGTAGTACCTGTTCAATTGGTCCGCCGGCCACTTTCAGCAAACACCAAGGTGTTGAACGATATCTATCCCGGTGACCGAACTGCAGCCGCAGCATCACGACTTCGGGCGCAGCATAACGTGTCAAAGGCAGCACTTGGTGGTCTTGTATTTGCGCCCATTAATTTCAAGCAACGCAACCTCCAAGTACTCGATTGCGGAACCGCTGACGGCTATTGGCTATATGACTTATCAAATCAACTTGATCCATCGGCTTCTCTCATTGGTACTGACATTGGCTCCTTTCCATCGGACTCTTTTCCAAAGCCCAGCAACATGACACTATCCATCCATTCGTATAAAGATCCTTGGCCAGTCTCTTGGCAGAATTCATTTGATCTCGTACATATGCGTTTTTGCGTTGCTGGCCTGGCAGATCCGGACGAGGCACGTATCGCTATTGACCGTCTGATTGGCCTTGTTAAGCCGGGTGGATGGATTCAATTAGTCGACAGTACCCTATCTTCAGGCAAAATTCTAGACACTGACAAACCTAGTACAATTTTATTCAAATCTATGGCCCACATGCTTCAGAGCAAAGGTCAAGATACAAATGCCGGGCTGAGAATCAGGCCGCTGCTGGAGAATTCTGGCAGGCTGTCGCATATCGGCAGTAAAGAAGTTATTGCAAAACTTGGCCAAGGTGCTGAATCCGATGAACTTCGTAAAGACGGAGTATATAACCTGATGAAGATGGTCGATACACTGAAACCAAAATTGGAAGGTTGGTGGTTTCTCTACCTCTTCTTTTCTTGTTTTCCTATACCTATTGGAAAATGATCTAACAACACAAACAGGTCTGGACAGCTGGCCAATAACATCATCGAAGCTGGAAGAGTTACGAACTCAAATCCTAGAGGAGGCAAATAGCGTGGGTGCCGACAAGCCATATTATGCCGCTTGGGGTAAGAGGATATCCTGAGGTTGTATACTCCTTTTACCGGTTGTCAATCAAATTATGCCTACACTCGTAAATCTCGGTGGTTTGGATCAGAGGGAGGCAATCGATAGGATGAAAATTCTCACACCTTTCGAAGTGCTTGATTTATTCCACAGCTATCAAGTATCAAAAATAGAGCAAAACAGTGATCCCTCCCAAATCCATCATCGCCTTAGCTGTAAGAATTTCAGATGGGCATACAAAAATAATCAACTTTTATACCTTAGATGTAATGTTGATGCTTGCCTCCTCTTGTTCCTTGTCGCTCCTAGCATCAGGTGATCGGACAATGGTTTCAATGTCAGTATGAACACCTTTACCCGTCAACATATTTCTTCTCTATTTCCATGACAAGCCAGGAGTGTCATAAACAACATTGGAGCTCTTCTAGAGTAGGTCCGCGAGTTTCGACGAAAGAAATACCCCACAACAACCAACTATAATCGTATTGGTGAGTCTCAACATGCAGATAACCCTGTAGGAAAAGACGGGAACTCACCTCCAACAACGTGTAAACCACGTAAGCTACATAATAATTCCATCTGACGTTCTCGAGACCGATCGAGTTAACAAAGGTAGCAAAGAAACTAGAAATATACAGCAAGCCAGTTTGGACTGTCACTCCACGAGGTTCAGTTTGTAAGTCAGGATCTCGGATGGGGAGGACCATAAAGGTACCCAGCCAATACAGTGAAAGCCATTTACCAAGAAGATGGCGGCCAGTACTCCTTTGGCATAGTTTGGATTGTGCTCTTTTGTGTATACTAGACATAGCGCAATAGTCAATTAATGATAATTACAGTAGTTCTCAGGGAAATACTTACGGGCTTGCAGCACTGTCCAGACAATAAAAGACAACAGCATGCTAGTGGTCGATATAATGAAAAGAGGACGGCGCCTTATCTTTTCAACGCCCAACGAAGCAATGCCACCCAGTACGAACTTTCATATGGATATACAGCTGTTGAAAATAGTCTGTGTGCGACTACTGGTAATATCGAGGCAAAAAAAACCCCGGCTTTCAAACGTGAGGTATTCGAGAACACACAGAGAGACAACTCAGTACATACAATCTGCTAGTTATTTCTTCTTTTCTCATCTTAGTAAAACCACTATTCAGGATTGGCCTGGAATAAACCCAGCAATCCGACAAATATAAAGTTTGCGGTAACATAGCTCATTTCTCATATCAAACAATGCAGGAGTATCTAGTTCATAAGAACAGCTAGTGACAGTCGATCATTTTTGAGATGAAGGCGGTGGGAGTTTAAATAAAGGGTTGTGCTCATACATCTCTGGGTGGTCAAATTGATAGTCTAGTATGATATTCCTTGGCCTGTGTGAATGGACAATAAGTATTACTATCGGTTAAAATCTCGAGAAGTCTATCGAAACTTCTATTATCGAGCTGTCCCTATAGACATGAACCCTCGACTGTGTAAGAGCTCATTGTACTCTGTGAGGCCTGACAACAACATTTAAATTCAGAAGTCTGAGGTCACACAGTCTCTATTCAGGCCCCGGTTTCTGACCACATCAACTGTAGCTGTGTGACGATACACTCATAGTACCAGGGTAAGGCTGATGATGTACTACATAGGAACAGATTACCTCATTTTAGGATGTTTCCGTGATTTTTTCAATGTTATTAGGCGTATATGATGATTCACATTAGCATCATAAGGCTTAAGCTTGTACTTTTTTGCCCTGATCCACACACTATTCATTGAGACTAATGAGAGACTAGAGCCAGCCATTTGATAATTACTGACTCAGAGTCCCCAGAGAATGAGGCAAACCTATGCATCTTCCGCCAGTCATCGACATAACTTTCTGAGGCTAAGTAGCCCTGTCAGTTCTGGAAAAAAGATTCATGTGTCAGCTACTATAAGTGCTATCTCGGCCCTATACTAACGGTTTCTCCAGGGCAGTCATCGAAGTTTTTGCTCTATCATAATAATGCACATGACGTCCCGCATTGCCTCTCAATGTATCTAGGTAGATCAAAAAGAGTCAATATGGCATGAATCGATTCATGGAATATCCATATCAATATTGCGAGGAGCCGAGTCAATCTATTTGTGGTCATGCATGACAAATATAACTGTGTATGACTGCACAGAGTTTGCAAAAAGTATAAAAGATCTCCTTTGGCACCTACATGGAAGTCCTTCTGGAATATTCAACAACAAACTCGAATTTTTCATACATTGACTTGCCCACATTCAAAGAACCGCACAAGGACACAAGAAAGTGACAGATTCCGGAAGTATGAGTGTGAATACACTAGCCCTCGTGCTCTAGAACCTCGAGCCTACCTTGCGATGGGTTTTCACCATATGGCTGGTGGCCAAACCTGCTTGACGAAGGAACTAGGGAGAAATATCAACACACCTCTGAAGCTTTTCCTTAGCACATACAAGATGATGCTCGGCGTCAGTCAAAATTCTCTGGAAGATGTGAGCGGAAGGGAAGAACCAAAATATCCCTAGAAGGACTGGCAATTGGAACTGAGCGAGACAAAGGACCACAGTATGAAGGCACCAGTCAATATTAAAGTTGTCTGTGGTCATATTACTATTGAAGCATCGAGTATAGAACCGAAGTACAATATTACACCGTCAGAGTCGACTGGTGTCTAGCTGGGCGATATCGATCTAAGAAAAGAGGGAGAAGAAGGTGATGCTGGTTGGGGATATTCACCACCTCTTTCTTTCTGGCAATGAGCTAAAATACAAGAGGCACATCAGGAATTTCCGATACTATATCGAAATGATTTAAGGCTCCTTTACTTCTCATAAGCGACCTCGTGAGTATCCACGGATTGCAAATAAATCCAGGTTGACTGAGTGTTTGGATATACATCCATTATATACTCGATTCATGGATAGAGTTACATATCCATCCCAATTAATCAAGTACAAGCATTTAACGATACCCGTGTACAAGCTAGGAACCTGCCTCTTTATCGTGACCGTATTTAATGTGTATCCATAGACGAAGCTCCATGATTCTCGAGTTTTCTCTCAAGTAAAGTGCCCGAAATATATATAGAGTGAGTGGTATGTAGGTCTGGAATCAGAAAGTCCATCTGATGCCTTGGGAAGACTTTTCTTAATTGAGACCGCGGACAATTATTATTGTTAGACCTAGGCTAGGGTCTACTCCTATACTGTACGTTACACTACAAGCGATATATAAGTCCCTCTTAGATGATTTTCATTCATGTCGAGCGTTACTCCTAACATTTCTTAATACATGCATGCTCCTAGATCTTTCCGTTGATGTTGCGAACTGACCACCTGGGCAAACCCTCGGAAATTCCAGCCAACCCAATGTAAAGATATTTCGATCCTCACACTCACCTACGATAGACGTCAAATTTCAAGTAGTATCAATATGCTAACTTGACTTGAGTAGCGATTTATATATAATCGTCGAGGACCATATCCGGTAAATTATTAATGAATGGCAAGTAGCTTTATATGAGTTGACTTATTCGTCTGATTGTATGAGTGAACAGTTTACGAGGATCAAAGTGTATCTATTGTAAAGATTGGAAATGTCCGGTTTCATTATTTGTCAGGGATGAATAGACGGATATTACCGACTTGCTTTTGATGCTTTTTTATCCTAATTATAAGATACATTGACTCTACCTCAATAATACCTTCCTCCTAATCACCTCTTACTGACCCTACAAATTTATCAGACATTGCTTACATTTGAACTTGGACCATCACCGTCGAAAATGACTCATTCCTATGAGAGAACCATGCCCTCCCTTATTCTGGGGTTCGATAACACAACAGTATGTCTGGACGGTCTTATACAGTTCGCATTAACCGATCGGGTAACTGAGAACTCCGGGCAAAGCCCTGACCATCCTTTCGAAATCCGTGCAGGGCCAGACTACCTCACACTAAGAGTGTCTTACGATACGCCGGTCGAAGTGATTAATGCAGATGGCGAGATCGAGGATCATTACGAAAGGGAAGTCTGGTACATGGAAACAGAAAATAAGGTCGTGATCCCAGCTGAAACCATCTGACCGATTGTGATGGTCTGCGGATCTGGGAATTCATTATTAACCCTACGAGCAGATGGCTTATTTAGTCAACTCAACCTACGACGATATAGTCCAGTTTGGTACCATAGAGCTCAAGAATAGGGGAGATTACTAGTTTATATTTGTGGGAGACATCCATCTATGTCTCTGGGATGATTATGGTGTGATGTTCGAGCCGGTAGCTGGGAATCTCAAGTATCATATTCGTGTGATATACGAGACGATCTCTTCACAGTTTCAGCGAGGACTATCAATATTAATTTCTTCATAACACGTTTTTGGTCTCGGGCCAATGTCAGATTGGTATAGCATCAGCTGGCTTTTCATTCTTGCGAGGATCTTTAGATTTGCTTCCGGCGTGTGATCAATTACAAAAGCCCAAGAAAACTTACGTCGAATGTTATGAATAAAGGCCTGGTGTATGAAATACTTGAATCATGCGCATTATATATCTTGTTACCTAGCAATCTGACTTCTAAGACAGAATTGCAACTTCTTTAGGGCATAAGTTAACACTTGGGTATCCCTTACAGCTATATGGGTAACACCCTCTACGAAAACTTTGCACAAGGTGTTCCTAGGTAGTGAATACTGATAAAAAAAATACAGTCTAACTCTCACACCCACACAAAGCTTTCTGGATTTGTTCGTTTCAATGACAGTCGAGACGACATCCCTCTAAATTGGGGTTACCTATCCCAGATGGGCTTAATTCGGGATCATTAATGTTGGTCGCTGTCGCTCAATTGGAATTTGTCAGCAAAACGAGAGGCCCACCAGCTTCATTAGATCGTAAGGTTCAATTTAACCAGCTGCCAATCTTTTCTTTTATTGAAGATACTAATCGATGATTTTGACTACTAAGCTATTCATGTTGAGCAGAGAAAATGCCTATAAACGGAGGTCCAGAATCAACTATTCCAACTCTAGAATTTGTGAATATCAGCAACCCTAAAGAGATCCACGACCGACAAAACCAAAGGGTGATTCGTCGGAAGGCAAGACAAAGGGGTATCAATAATGGCCCATCTTCTCAACAGAAACCACAGTCTTCTGAGCTAATGCAGCTTTTGCACATTGAAAATCAAGAGCTTATCGGACAAAGGGACCCTCTGCGAGCATCCCCTTCTTTGCAGTTCGACATAACCAGTTCATATCCGGCAGGACCATTTCCCATAAAAATGAGTTCTCGCGCAACACAAATAGCCATATTTTGTGAGAACAGACTCCTTATGATTTACATGCTCCATGTCTGACTTATTAACATCCCTCACTCAATGAATAGTAATGCAAGGCGCCGACGGAAATTACTGCCCATTGAAAGATCTTTGGTGGAATATGGGCCTCTTCGACCGCACAGCTTTCCTAGTTATTTTAGGACTTGCATCCAGGGTACTGAATCTATTGACTTGTTCTGAGAGCAAAGAGCACCCCGAAGCAACCACATATTACACCAAGTCAGTACGGGCTCTCCAGAGAAGAATAGAAAATGCAGAGGACCGATTAAGTGAAGGTGTTATTGTTACGGTTCTCGAATTTGCGTACTACGATGTAAGAAGGGTTATTTAACCGTACTTTGGATTCATGAAAACTTCTGACCGAAAAATGAAAGTTCATCTCACAGAATCTCTCACGGTGGCTCATCCATATGAACGGTGTTAGTGCTATCATTCATGATCGTGGGGGTACTGAAACTCTGAAATCTTCCTATGTAATTCAACTTCTCTGCTTTTGGTAAGTTCCTCTTAAGATAAATCGTGGTGAACAAATTCTTAGATACATATCAGGATCGATGTTTCGGGCTCTTTTATTTTCGACCGAAAGCCATTCTTTCCGGCGCCTTGCCATCTTCTCCATGAACTGGAATACGTTGAGCAACCAGGCGCAGTACTTTTCAAGTTGAATAGTCGTTTCCCAGACTTATCGGGAGTTATCCACTTTTTATCTGAGACAACCAACTTGATGAGCTTTATAGATGGGCACGCCAATGAATCTAAAGGTTTCGAAGACGACCGCTTTCTGAGCAGAACGTTCAACGGCTACGTTCACAAGCTTCTCTCATTACCACGTACTTCTCAGACTTCAGAGATCGAGAAATGTCCGAAAATCATAGTTCGAGAAGCTGTACGTCGAGCATGCATCACTTTGTTTGCTTTACTACGAGAGAACTTTTCAATCAAACCAAGCGGGGTCTATGAACACAGAAATCTGTTGAAAGAGCTTCTTTTACAGTACGAGATTGACTGGACGCCTTACTTAGAGCTGCGCTTGTGGGTTCTTGCAGTAGCAGCACTTGCCGCAGATAATGTGGAAGTTCACTGGTATATGGATGAAATATGCGGAACTGCAACGCAAATGGGGCTTCTTGAATGGGACGAAGTTCGACGAGTCCTACGGCATATCTTGTGGTCGGACCAAATGTTCAAGTACCAGGAGGGTAAGATTAGAGAGATGTTCGAAATGGCTGATCAGTAATTGTCGAAGTAGGTATGGATTGATTCCTGTATATATCAAAACATGAATTTATATCTAAGAAGGACGCATCATTGATTCCCAAGATTCCATTTTATACTTCCAAGGTTGCTTTGAATACCCACTCCAGTCTGCTGATGGGCCCCAATGCAATTTCATCCCGAACCTTAGAATACGACTAGCTCTCTTATAGCGCTGTAACGCCTCCACTAGCAGAAATATGTTGAGCAGCGATCCATCTTCCTTTCTCCGATGAAACCAAAAGCACGGTATCTCCAATATCTTCGATTGTCCCTGGTCTATCAGCAGCCCTTGTCATACGAACAATTGGCTCAACAGCTGCTTTCCGGAATTCAGGGTCAGAAGGAACAATGTCTGTTTCGACAAGACCAGGGCCAACTGAGTTGACAGTTATTCCACGACTTTTGCCAAACTGTAAGTCATATTTAGCTTTGTTTGGGCCTTGAAAGAACGATTGGATGAAACCTTACCTCTTCGGCCCATATGGCTGTCAGATAGTCAAGCGCAGCCTTAGACGTTTCGTAGACACCGTAGGCAGCCAAAGGCATTCTCGCCGCTGTTGATGTAATATTTATTATACGTCCTCCAGGAGGCATGTGTGGCACGACCGCACGGACCATGAACAGAGGACCGTATAGGTTGACTGCGAAGGTCTCTCTGATCTGGTTCAGAGGTAAGTCCAATGTAGGGCCAATATGTCCAACTCCAGCGTTGTTGACTAAACATGTCAGTTTGGATTATTACTCTGGACTTGACGGAGATAAGTTACATACCTAGAATGTCAATGTGGTCTGTCCCAAAAGCTTTGAGTGTACCCTCGATGAGAATCTTCGCCCCTTCCTCGTTAACAGATGCTCTGATAACAGTCGCTTTCCCGCCTTCAGTCCTAATTTTCTGTGCAACGCCTTCAGCACGCTTTGCCGAGGACTCAGAAACATAATTAATGGTAACGGCTGCACCGTTACGAGCTAGGGCAAACGCGATCCCAGCACCAATACCGTTTTCACGACCAGAACCGGTAACGATGGCCACCTTTCCGGCTAGTGAAAGTGCTTCAGCAGACATGTTTGCAGTATTCTCTTGTTACTCTCGTAAACAAGAACGTAGAATGTTTAAGTCAGATGATGCAAGATATCAAAGAAATTAATCGATTTGTTGCTTGCCACAGATGGATGTCTCTAACGGAGGCAAAGCTCAATATTTATATCTACTTATATCCATCCCTCAGCCAGACTCTTCCATGTATTGCTTAGAGCAATGCACTTCTTAGAAAACCTTCCTTGTCAGATATTCAATTGAGATTTTCCTAATCTGGAAAGTGTTAGAACTGTCAAAGTGGGACCAGAATCATCCACCCAATAAGAGCGCTTTAGGGCTTACTGTTCCCCCTACTAACCAAAAATGGAATATCACATCCAGCCTACCGGACGATATATCCAGTTCGTCCGCTCGCAAAAGAGCATTCTCCAATATGCTTACGTGCCCGTATAGTCAAGACAGGTACAGATTGATTTCTAATCGTCTTCATTATTTGTAATTTGAGCAGTCCGGATACGCTGCTAGTGATAACGCTGCGACCATTCAATTGCAACCAGACCGTTTTTGAAATTATTTTCACTGACATTGTGCTCAATCTGGAAGGCGTGAATTAACTGAGATGCCTCCTCAAGGTGTTAAACTCTTTCGGGTCTTCATTCGTTGTGTTACACATCACCATTTCCATAGACTCGCAACCACGTCCTGACAAGGGAAGTGAAATAGGTTATGAATGGCCGTTGCCGAAACATCCCACGTACGTCTCTCTCAATCTTGATGTTGGTTATAAATATGGTCCCACATGCGCCCCCTCGGACCCATGAAGGACTTTTTCGTTGTGGCATTCCGGATCGATCCTGATGATCTTGACATAGTTGAATTCCTACAACATATTACCACAAAAGTGGCCGTACAGAGCAATATGAGTTCGGTAATGGTATTTCTCCTGAACAAATAAGTCGGTAGTCATGTATCAAGTCGTTTAGGGTTGGGGTTCGTGTCCATATGCGTAACAATAGAGACGTTAATCAGACAAGAAGAGATAACTGTTGAGGTCTACATAACCGCCTGTGTAAAGACTAGCAATACTCTGCCACTGCACGCCATGAAGGGTGAATTTATATGGGTTGTAATAATTTGTTCCCTTTTTGCACTCGCAAAGGCTTGCATCCAATTGCAGAACAATGTCGTCTGAAACTCAGGCCTCAGGCATTTTGACCTGCTTTACGTCTACTCAAACAAAATAAGACCCTAAGATTTAATAAGCCATGTCAAGGTACAGTACAAGAGGTCTTCGCCGTACCTGCAAGTCTGTAATACGGAATTAGGGCTCTGAAGTGACGCACTAACCAAAAGGTAGCATCCGGGCTTACCACTGAGGGCTCGACTATGCGTTTACTCACACTCCTTGTGTTCATGAATAGCTAGTGATATACCACTATTTTGCTACTTAGATACGTAATCCTATGTGATGATCATTATGAGCACTTTCCGAATGCCCATAGATTGTAGTGGATACTAACAGAGCATTTTCCAGCAGAAAATTTTATTTTCATGACTGTCACAATGGTTATGTTGTGGTTTGGAAAGAGTTCCGAAAATATTTTACGCGATCTACGGCTTCTAATTGTGTTTTGTGCGGCTTTCTTTCGCCGTTGACTCATTCTTTTACCATTCCACCAGTAATTTCAGATCACATAGCATGTCATTTTGATCTCAGTGTTGCTTGATTCTTATCAAGAGGATGGTTATTCGTATAATCACAGTCTCATATTGCATTATTAATAATCTTATATCCGAGGAATTGTTACCGTATGTCAACACCATCGCGGGGGATAATGACGTGATGTTTTAGAGCAACCGTTAGGGCAATATATAAATATTCATTAACGTTCCTATCAGTGAAAATAACCTCAACACCTCACTAAATATATCACAGTGTGAACCTTCCAAGGCGAGGATTGAATTCGAAGATGTTTCAACTACTAAATAATGATAACCTCCAAGTCGCCATTATCGGCGGAGGACCCGGTGGTCTCGCAAGTGCTATTGCCCTGTCCGCGTTGCCAAACGTGGAAGTAACCCTGTACGAAAAGGCTCGTGAATTGAGGGAAATTGGGGCCGGATTAAATATTGGATATAACTCGTGGCGTGTTTTGGAACTTCTCGGAGCGAGGCATGAGGTCAATGGGCATTTAATTGATGAAGTTCAGCAGCGGTATGAGACCCTATAACAATACTAATCTATTAATCAAATCTCGATCACCATACTGAGTTGCAAAGTACAATAGTAATGGGATCGACGGTGCACTTCTAAAAAAACGTGGACCATCCGCGTTGCCAGTCAAGTATCAATCACGTCGAGTAAGGCGAACACGTCTTCAAAGAGCTCTACTCAACCAGGTCCCGGCCGGAATTATTCACCTACGAAAGGAATTAACTTCAATAGAGGATGTTCCTAAAGGTGGAGCAAATTTAAAATTTTCCGATGGAACAGTGGCGTTTACTGATTTGGTCGTCGGAGGTGATGGAATCCGATCGGTTTGTACAGCGAGCCCCTATGACCCTTGATGTATTGGAAACAGGACTCGATTAATTCTCACAATCTAGGTTGTGAGACAAACCGCCTTTCCTGACCACAATATCAAATTCACTGGAACAACGATATGGCGCACACTAGTGTCTCGGTCACTCATCTCGTATATCCCCGACGTCCCAACTTGCACATCCTGGTGGCATGGTACAGCGGGTCACGTATACTTTTCGCCGGTGGATGATCCATCGGAGACAGACGAAAAGGATCAGTTAATTGAGATCTCGGCCAGGTTCCTCGTTGATCCCGAGACTGATAATGCCAAACGATGGAGCTGGGGAGTACCAACTACAAATGAGAATGTAGAGTCGCATTTTACGGTATATTTCCCAGCAAACTCACAAAGGACATGACAAAGAGCTGATAGCATCTTATTTAGAGCTACGACCCTAGGGTGAGAGAAGCCCTATCTAAAGTTCCGAAGGATAATTGGAAGGAATTTTCCGCATTTGCTGGTCCACGGTTGAATGAATTACATGCATGGAACAAACTCGTCTTGATAGGCGACGCAAGCCATCCTTTGACTGGTATGATATCACGGTTACAATAAGTAAGAAGAAGCTGATTCAATGAGTAGGCGCATTTGGTTCCGGGGCCGCATTCGCAATGGAAGATGGCTGGATTCTTGCGCGAAGCATTGAATATGTATTCTCTACTTCCGCAAACGAGACATCAACATTCTTGAAAACAGATAGACTTAAGAAAGTCGTGGAAATTTTCGATGAGATTAGATCACCCTATTATGCACGCATGTAGGTATTATAGTGATTGAATATTTCTGTATGATAGGGGAAACTAACACCTATATCTAGGTACGAACATCTAGACAACATGAAAGCCAGATTTGCAGGGATTAGTGGTACTTTCGAAAGTAGGCTTCAAGCAAGAGTTTCAGCCTTCAGCGAAGGGGGTCTTGATTGGATATATCAGAATGATATTGAGCGGGTATGGAAGGATTGGTTAGAAAACAAATCCAATCCCACAGCAATCCAAGAAGGTGGATCTTTTGTGAGCCCTAGTCTTTAGATATAGAGAGATTGGGTACAACGTTCTTGTCTATATCGTACCGTAGACGAAGGATAGAGAGAGAGAGAGCGTCTCACTGAGGCTCTATTTACATGTCTCGATCTCGATGCCAGGGACAGATTTTGGACTCAGTCTTCGAGAATTCAGCAAATACGTACTACCTAAGCAAGCCATCCCAAGCAGCCTACGAGCGACGCTAGTAATAACTCGGTACTCAATAATTGATCTTAATGAACTCCTTACCAAGCGCCATCTGGCAAAAAATGATCGTAGTGCTTCACTAACAGTAGAATACTCGCCGTTGGGATGCTGTCGGGCGACTAGCATTCCCAATCAGCATGACATTTGACTTCACAATCAAAACGCAGCAACTTTGTTTATTATTGTATCATGAATCGTTCCGAAACTGCATTCTTAAATGCTAACCACATGCCCTCGTTTCCAACGCAGTGCCAGTGACTACCTCGACGGTGATTGTTGTCGCTGTAAAATCCATGCTTCTTCTTTTTATGTATTTGGGGATACAAACCCAAGTTCCCGTCTTTGAGAGAAATGACTCGTTTGGTCTTCGGACCACGGATAATGTCAGTTGATCCTTTCCAAGGGCACGCTACCTACTCCGCTGTGGTTTTGATGGATTTATGGTAGTTGTAACTTAGTGGGGGTCCCAAAGAATCGTCTGATATACTGGGTATGCATCGCTGTATTGCATCGGTCGTCTTCGGAACTCATCTCGAGGGTTTTACGATGATTATTATGTCAATCGTGTTGGTTGGATGGTGCTAAGTGGCCTAGAGGCTAGTAGTGTTTGAACAATTGCATCTAGAGGTTATTGCAAGAGAAGTAATGGTTTCTTGGAGATTGAAATGGGTGATCACAGACTTTGCCTCGCTGCCGTGAACTTGTCATGATGAAGTATGTATACCGAGCTAAATCCACCAAACTCAAAGTTATTGATTTTCATGATTATCAGTTTTTGAGTCCCAGTCTTTAGACATTTCCATAGTTGATTTGTAGCCACATAGAATTCTAGAAATACAATTAGAGGAACCCTAGTTTGGTGTGGTCAACTATTCCGATAAAATCACAATTTGAATTGAGCGCATCCATTTCATCGTCTGGACGATTCCCAGAATCTACTGATCCAGTCGTACTGTACTCATCCACAAGATGATTTAGATTCATATTCAACCATGAACCTTGATAAGTTCCCACACAGTCCCAGCTTCGGTGTTCCTCACCACCACTAATTCACCATTATTGACCCTCATGGGTAAAAATGAATTCCAATGCTTCGCAAGAGTCAAGTGACCTCCATCAGGATGCTGTCTGGTCACGAAATACTCCCATTGATAATGTCTTTACGCGCCACAACGGAACCTCCAATGCCATTCTCTACCATTGTGTCCGATAAATCTATTAGATGCCACGGTCTGGAATCCAAGCAACATAGCCGCATTCTCATGACAGCGCCATTGGCCAGCCTTTTGACTGAAGACACTTCCACCACTCATTTGCTTTCCTTGAGGAGATAGACGGTAATGACATGTTCGGTTTTGGGGTAGCGAATAATGTATGTTGAGCCTTTTCTAGGACATGTTCCTACACTAACTGAGATCGCTAAATTCGAATAACGTGGTAAAAGTTCAGACGCGTCTGGTATGCTGGTATGGGTCAGTGTATTGCATCGCTCCCTCTCCGAGGATGATGAGGGCAGTATTTTCTGGACCTTTGGAATGCAGTTTGAGATGGAAGTGTTGAAAAAGGAAGAGAAAGCTCAATCCGAAGCAAGGGAGCCCGTGTGTCATGGAGTCTATAGGTATCGTCCAACTCCATACAACACTCAAATACGTGCGGAATGTGCTGCGAGCGCTATGCAGGTGAAGTGCATTCCCGTCAATATGTAACTTCGTTGGCATCAGCTTGCTGCGAAGGTGGGGTTTGCTCTGCTTATTATGTGATGGAGAATCGACGCTGGGACATAAATTTGTTGGTAACTTATTTCTCTTGTCACCACAGTTTGAACCGTATGTCAAACAACATCGCCTAACTTTAGACGAAATTGCCCATGCTAGGGGTCCACTGCCATTGTTTCTCTTCCATTCATTTCTACTGCATCACTGTTGCATATGACTTGTCTATTCATAGCCGAGCGGCATCTACACCGCAAGTATAGGTCCCAGCCTTCTAGTGATAGCATAAAGTAAAGATGTAGATGTGTGGAGCGAAGAGCACTCAGAACAAAATTCGGTGTGAGAGCTTATGCTCGAATCTTCGCTAAACTCTCATAAAGCGATTCTGGAATCTTTCTCGAAATTGGTCCAAAACATGCTTATTCTAGTCACAGAGCAAGATTAGCACAAGCAAACGCCGGTGTCGTGGAACCCGAATAATCAGCAATAATAGCCTCCACCGCCGCATAAAGTCCTGGTCCCAATAAAAACAAACCGACAATCATGACAAACGCATGAATAAAAGTCATTACTGTCCTGCTAACGCCGTCGAACAGATTTTTCCTATATAAATTCCAGTACGCAACAGCAAAGAAGATAAATCCGAAGAACGAGTCAAATGCGGCACCGAGCAAAGACAAGAAATCACCCATACTGGGGACAACCTCGGAGAAGACAAAGGCCAGGATCCAGATGAAGGCCATGACCAAGAACCAAATACCCCATCCGATAACGGTGTTGCTGTGGGCATGGTGAGATTTTCCCATTATTCGGAAATAGATAAATTTCGCAGAGACGTTGGCATAAATCGCACCGATAACGAGTGTGGGAACAATGACGAATGCAAATGAGGCTTTCTTGTATGCGACGACGCCCAGGCTTCCGAATGCAGGCGCTGTTGAGTACTGACCAAGGTATCTGAACCCGATGGACGGCGGGATAATGAACAGTATAGTAGAGATACCGGCCAGAACGGCCAGAGACTTGGGAAAGTCTTGCGGCTTCTCCATCTCGGAGATGAATGTGGGGAATAGGATCTGGGGGACCCAGAGGAAAGTGATGTTCAACACAGCGTTCATGCATTGGACCCATGTGGTACCCGGAAGAGGGAAGGCGTAGGTATGAACAGGGCCGTCGGTTGGGTAGTTACCGCTGTAACCGACGAGGGGTGCTGCTTCGATACCCGCGAAGATGAGGAATAAAAGGATAGCCATACCCATGCAGGCAGCTGGCGCAACCGGTGTCAGTATTGCTCATTATGGCTACTTCGAGTTTGTCTTACCAGAAAACATTGACATGAACGAAACGTGATGTAGAGTTCGGGGCAGTGATAGCACAATACCCATCAACATTGCGATTACCGAGAACACTACAGTGCAAAGCGAATGGTCCGAAAGCGTGTTGAGAATCTTAGCGCCAGTGAGGACATGGAAACCGATGAGCAAAATGTTGTTAGCCAGCAACATAAAGGCCGTGAAGATATATGCGATTTTGCTTTGGCCAAAGGCATAATAACCAAAGTCGCCTGTAAAGCCGTTAGAGTGCGCACCTCAGACTTGGAAAGAACGCATACTTACAGATGTCTCGGATTTGAGGGTGTTTCATGATGAATTTGTGCATCGTAATTGAGGTGATCCAGAATAGGGCTCCGGATAGAAGCATGGTGATGATTCCAGGAACCCATCCCAGGACACTAAGACGGTAACAACATTAGCGCAAATAGCATCATTAAGCAATTGAGAACTTACGAAAGCGACCATGACTGCGACATAATGGCCAGACAAACCTGGTCACCGGCAAGCAACCAAGCGGCCTTTTGCCATGACATTGTCCGCAGCTTGATTTCGTGCTTGTGGTCCTCCACCACCAACGCAGTGATGGTATCGATGCTGCTAGTGCCGTCTGAATCCGGCCCCTCATCAACCCTGGGCTTTTTAGTCTCCTCGGGTTGCGACATGACGGCTGTCTTTGATGTCGATTTCTTCTATAAAACGCTCCAGTATAGCGGACGAAGGGGAGAGAAAGGGAAAGAGACTGAACAAAAGAAGGCGAAAAAGATTGCGCTAGCTAAATGAAACATAATCTCTTTCTCTTATCATGATAGGCATCTTTATGGCGTGATTACCTAGAATACGATGCTATTTCCCAATCTATACTAGTCCAACCAATTCTGCCCTCTGATTGGCTGCACGTAGGACGTGGCGAGATAAGGTTATTGTAACATGGCCTGGATACCTGCAGAATCAGGCAGCAACAGCCAAGTGGAATCATCAATTAACCCGATGCGGTTAGCCTAATAGGGACCGTCGTCCGTCCCACCCTAATCTGACGCCTCAGGCATTAAGGCACCAACTTTATCTCCGAGCGTAACCCTAATTCCATTCTTAATCAATCCTCTCTATGCCTGATCTTGTATCAGCACTCACACCACGGGCTTTCCTGCCTTTATATCATAGCACCTATTAACCGAGCATGTTTTTCGAATTAATTCTACCGTTTTAATAGACTCAGATTAAGAAATGTCCAGTAATATACGTGGATTTCGAGGTAATCATGGAGAAGGTATGGCTAACAAAGACAACATTTCTCATGTTATAATTTTGGTACATGGCCCATTCACTTATGATGAAAGAGAGATGGTTGCGGGATAGGACATTCGGGAGTGAGGTCGTTGATTCTTGCTTGTTACACTCTCCTTAACGTGTTTCGAGACAATTGATTATATACATTGCGATGTCGCCTGAGAGATAGAGTTAGGGCACTACAGTAGATAACCTGCCTACATAGGCAATCATATCAAGTAGTCTTTGGACAGAACTTTACTGAGAATAAACACTCGTATCGGAATCTCGTGCGGTGCTTTTTATAGTATAAACACTACTCAGTTATAGTTATACCGCGCGTCTTATCAGTGGCCAATCTCGCCATACAAGAACCATCTTCCGCCATTTGTTATTTAGTCAAATACCCCACCGCCACGATATAGCTTGATGAACATCAAACAATCACCTGTTTCTGTCAGGAAAATTTTGATTGATTCTTTTTGCCTAGGCAATTAGACTGGCGATAGTACAAAGCATAATAAATAGATTCACAGCAGGACGGCATAGCGTATGCTAGCCCCGACCTTGCATCATCTGCGCGACGCGAGTATTTGAGCTGGTGCATCTGCCAACTCGCCACGCTAGAAAATCAAAAAAGAGGGAAAAAAAAAAGGAAAAGGAGAGAAGGAAAAAAGTAACCATCTTGCAAGGCTTGACGGTGGAAGAGATGTCATTTCTCAACAGCAAGATCGCTCACTGGCTCTGGGGAGATGACATCAAGGACCGCCATCTCCTCGGCAGACTGGACATCACTCTCTTACCCTACTTCTCGCTAATATGGTTCCTCTTCGGCGTAACTCGAGCGAGTTACTCGTCAGCCTACGTCAGTGGTATGCACGAGGCTCTCCATTTTCAGGGTAAAGACTACAACTACATGAACACGGCTTATTTGGTGGTCTATGCCGTGTGTCAAATGCCTGGAACCAGTCTGTTGACTATCGCAAGACCCAAATATGTCTTTGTGGCTGCAAATGTGGTATGGAGTGTGTTGACGTTGATCACGTATAAGACAACGAGTGCGTGGCAGGTGATCCTTTTAAATGCGATTGAAGGCGGGTTTTCGGCTATTGCTTAGTATGTGGAATCTTCGTTTGCGACATATCAAGATAACGAACTAATGTCCGTAGTGTCGGCGCACAATTCGTTCTTGGATCGTGGTATAAGAAGAATGAGTTAGGTACTCGTGCTGCCGTGTTTTGCGTTTTTGGTCAACTTGGTAGCATGGCTGGTGGTTGGATCCAAGCTGGACTTTTGGAATCATTGTCAGGGAAGAGTGGCCTCCCAGCGTGGAAATGGATTTTCATCATTGTCTCAGTCATGACTATTCCAGTCGCATTGTTTGGTAAGATCCTCGTTCGCCTTATTTCTAGAGATTCGGAGGCGCTGACCATGACCAGGCTGGGTCTTCATTCCCGATCTCCCAATCCACCGAGCTGCTTGGTATCTCACTGCTGAGCAGAAAGAACATGCCATCTCAAGACTCGGAGCTAGTCGTAAAGAGTCATGGGATCTGACTGTATTCAAGCGCATCTTTTTGAGCTGGCAGTTTTACCTACTCCCATTCCTCTTCATGTGTATGTTCCTAGTCCTTGCCAAAGTCAGAATTAAGCCTAACAAAATATAGTATACTCGCTCTGCGTTCAGATGCTCCAAAACAACGTCATGGCCCTCTGGATGGCTGCGCGTGGTTACACGGTTATCCAGCAGAACAACTATCCCACAGGAATCTACGCGACCGCTATCCTTGGCACAGTCATCTACGCCGTCATTTCCGACAAAATAAAGTCGCGTTGGGAAGTCTCGGTCGCAATTGGACTAACGTTTATCATTGGTTCCGCCATCCTCGTCGGTACCGGGGTTGACTCTGACGTCGCTCACTTCTTTGCCTTTTATCTGCTCGGTACGACCTTTGCTCCTCAGGCGGTCTGGTATTCCTGGATGGCCGACTTGACGAGCCACGACGTCCAGCTTCGAGCAATCACGACGGGGTTTATGAATTCCTTCGATTTTGCGTTCGTCACTTGGTGGCCGCTTATTTTCTACCCCGTTACAGATGCGCCGGATTATCATAAGGGATATATTGCCAGTCTCGTAACGGGAACATTAACGTTGCCACTCATTGCGATAGTCACATATCTGGAGAAGCGTGACACGGCAAGAGGATTGATTGGCAGGGTTTCGGAGGCTACTAACAACAGCAGTGGTCAAGATGGTGAACCAAATGCTGGTTTCAAGGACGGCAGTGTTAATGTGCGGTCAGCAGAGGTGAGTGTCTAGGGAATAGTCCGGACTCCGGAGGATATGAGGCCGAATGAATCAGAGTGAGATAGAACAGAATCAGTGAAATTAATCAGCCTAGCTGAGGTTGAATCTCCCTCATGAGGGACAACGGAAACATCCCTTGAACTAGCCACAATGGTCGTACTGTATATAATAAAGGCGGTGATAATAATGGGGATAATATATATATCAAACCTAGCAGCGGCAGAATATTCCGTGATAAGATGATAAGATAATGACTTGATCGCATGAGAATTTGACACGGGATCCCATAATATTAAACCAGCAGGGTACGACAAATACTCGGTGTTATGAGCTGACCTCATGACCATGTTCGGGCGAAGCCCTCACGGATATTGACAATAGCGCCTTTCGCCGATCCCCGACAGCCCCGAACATGAGGCTATTCCCAGATCACGAGTGGACATCCAATATCCGGCCGGATATTGAGAATAGCGCTCTCTGTCGATCTCCGGCAACCCCAACAATCTCAGCAAACCGGACATGAGGCTATTCCTAGAGAGAAGCCCGTCAGAAGCTCCCGATTCCCCTTGCCTATATAAGATTGTACATACGTGAAGAACTTGTTGTTTTCTTTCTCTTTCCTTTCCTCATGTTATGTTTTCTGTTCGAGTATGCCCTTATAGTGAGCATTAGGCGGGACTAGCCCGTAACACTCGGTTTGAATTTAACTGAACGGCTATTATTCCCAATTCTATGACAACCCATGAGCATTCAATCATGAAGACATTCAACTTGATCCCCTCTGCAGCGCCGCCGCTAATCATTTGTTTTACGCGTGACGGGTCCTCATAACACCACAAGTCAACCAATCTGCACTCTCTCACATCGATCTTCATCCGATACTGTCCTCCATGTGCAACCCCTAAACCACCTGATAAATGGCACGCTTACCATGCTAGACCGCTTTGTTCTTAACCTCGCATTGCTGGAGCCTCCATGACCAATATTGACAACTGACGACATCCCTTATGTAGAGTTTTGAGAAGCTAGACATGGCTGGACTCGACGAGTGCTCAATGAACAAGTGGTGGCTTCTTATTCCCTGGCCCATATGATGTCGGGCTAGGGAAAGCATTTGTTAGGGTTGCTCCCCGACGTTTCCCAACGGACTCAAAAGCGGATACTTTCTCGCTCTACGACGGAAAAAGACTCGTTTGGCCCATTTCCAGGCTTCGACGCCCATGAAGATAATACGGCCTCCACCGCCACGATGCCCCATTCCCAGGTGATAGGCTCGTGTTTGAAAACGACGTCGTTCAGCACAGGGATGTAAAGGATGGGAAACATGGTGATCCACCCCGCCATAATGGACCAGAAAAGGAACTTGTTCCTCCAGACATCGTACATCCACTGAGTGAAATATTTATTGGATTTTGGCTGCATGCGGAAGAATGACCGACGCAAATTGACCATTTCCCAAGCCAGGAATAATGCAAACCATGTCAGACACACAAATGTGGTAGCTCGCGCTCGGAAGACTAGATCGCAGTCTCGAATCTCATCCGACCACTCCATATTGCAGCCGCGAGCCAGATTACCGTTGCCAAACCCCCACACGCGCACAGAGAATGCTGCTAGGCACAGTACCGCGGTCCAGAAACCATATACAAGGATATCTACAATTACCTCCCAGGTAAAGATTCCTTGCTTACTCTGCGGAGGGCGATCCATGATATCAGGGGCAGCTACCTCCATACCAAGGCCCATATCAGGCATACCGGACGTAATCATGATGATCCAGAGGATTTCCACGGGCGAAAGAGGGAAAACAGATTGGTTATCGGCGTCTTTGAAAGCCAATCCGATAAGCAAGGTACAAGCCTGAGCAATATTCTCGGATAATAGATGAAGCACGAATTTTTGAATATTGTCAAAGATACGACGGCCTTCTTCAATGGCGTTAAGGATCGAGGCAAAGTTATCATCCGTAAGGATAATGTCAGACGCGTCTTTGGCCACATCCGAACCTGCCTGACCCATTGCGATACCAACGTCGGCATGCTTGAGTGATGGAGAATCATTCACCCCGTCTCCAGTCATCGCCGCAAAGCGACCACGACGATGAAGGGCGTCGATCATGCGTACCTTTGTCTGAGGAGCACAGCGTGCAATGACCAAAGGCAGTGTCGGAAGCGCATCTATCTGTTCATCGGTGAGTTTATCGAATTCACTAGCAGTCATAACCATATCGTTCGCGACGTCAGCTGCCACAGTACTAAAGTCAGCAGGGAGGATCCCCACTTGTTGTGCAATCACTTGGGCAGTGCCAGGGTGATCTCCAGTAACCATATGAACAACAATACCAGCGCGATAACAGGCCTGTATCGAGCCCGCTGTTTCAGGACGCGGAGGATCATACAAGCCGATCAGTCCTAGGAAACACAGGCCAGTCTCTACATCTTCACGTCGCAAGTGGGCACCTTCGAGCACTTGTGCTTGTTCAGTATATGGTCGATGGGCCAGAGCCAATACGCGAAGCCCCATCTTGGCGAGTTCCTCCATGTTCTGAAGGATTTTGTCACGATGGTCATCGGTCATAGGCACAGGGGCAGACGAATCCTTGTCCCAAATCACAGGTGCAAGAGTCTATGACGCGTTCGACAGCACCCTTGGTAAACACCATTGTGCGGTCGACTTCTGTGGTGACTTTGCTGTATACCACGGACATTTTTTTGACGGTCGAGTCGAATGAAAATTCAGCCTTTAGTGCCACACTGCGCCTTGACCCTTAGTCCAGCGGTCGCGGTTCCAGTTTAATCTCGAAGCAAAGACTTGAATGGCAATCTCCGTGGGTTCACCCCGCGCGTTCCATTCACCCGCTTCAGACTTGTATACATGAGAGAGGTTGGCTATAGAGGCGACGTCCAGAAAGTCTTCGAGCTGGCGATTTCCTGAAACAAGTGTCTCTGGGGTTTCCGCTACGGTACCTTCTTTCTCATCATCTAATCGCACAGGAGGTAGAGGTATGAAGGTGATTTTCCCCACAGTAGGATTGAAAGGCTCGTTAGATGTGCCAACAGAGTACGTTCCTTGTGACGGAATCCATGCTTTTTTGACCACCATCTTTCCCTGGGTCAACGTTCCCGTCTTATCTGAGCAGATATCTGTGACGGCACCGAGCGCTTCTAACGAATCTAGTTTGCGAACAATCACGTTCCGCCGGACCATGCGCTTGGTACCCACCGCCATAGTGATGGTAAGCACGACCATCAGGCACGCAGGAATCATACTGACTCCAGTTGCAACAGCATACATAATGACTTCGGTGCTGTTATTGAAGAGGTTCGCGGCCATGAAAACAATGACAAAGACAACAGCAACTCCGAATAGTAAGCAGGCCAGTTTGGACAGCTTTCTTTGTAAGGGTATACCGACATTGACACCGAGGAAGCGACCCACGGCATCCGTCCCGGTGAGAGTCCAGGCTTGGACGTACGATCGTTTTTTGGCCTTGCCAGTAGGACCACGTTTGACCGGACGACGCTTGCTGTCGCTGGATCGCAATGCGAGGGCAATGGAACCGATTTCTGTATGCATACCGGTGCTGATGACACACCACGGCCACGAGTCACGGTACTGGAGCTATAAGCGATATTGAGACGATCTCCAGACCCGGTATCCTCTTTGAAGATCGAATCGCATTCCTTTTGGACGGGAAGTGACTCGCCTGTCAGGAGAGCCTCATCGGTTTCGAAGTTGACTGCCTCAACCAAACTGGAATGTTTTAGTAAAGAGCCACAGATTGTTCGCATTTGGACTGCCGTAAGAGACTCACCGGATATCCGCTGGAACAACATCTCCCGTCCTCAACTCGACCATGTCACCTGGCACGATCTCTGACGACGGTACTGAGAACGTCTGTCCATTTCTCGAGACAGTTCCTGTTGGCGAGGAAAGTGAATGTAACGACTCCATAGTCTTCTCCGCGGCGTACTCCTGGCAAAAGCCAGCAACAATATTCAAAATGATGACAGCGCAGATCACTCCGCCCTCAATCCACGACTGGATTCCGAAACTGACCGCCATGGCCAAAATCAGCACCTGTAGCAGAAAATTTGGATCAGGCTCGGAAAGTTCTCAAAAGTTTCAGGCATCATCGTAAAGGATAATGAGCCTCTTACTAGCATCATTGCGTTAGCCACCTGGCGAACGAGAATATTGACCACCGATACGCCTTCGCCTTCGTCCAATTTATTCGGACCATATTGCTGGAGACGATAACTTGCTTCGTCAGGGGTGAGACCTTCGTCCAACGAAGTGTTTAGTTCCTTGATCACAGCTTCGTAAGGTAGCGAGTGAGCCGGATGGTCAAGTGGGCTGCCGCCAGACCCGATATCGTGCTTCTTTGGCATTGGAAATAGCTCTTGGATATGTAGATAGATAATTAATAGTTATTCGACTGCTCGTCTTCAGAACAATATCCGGGGTAAAACACGGACAAGATATCGGTCTGCGCCGGAAGTAGAGTGGTTTTTAAGTGTCATAAAACTGGCCCTGCTCGCGTGGAGTCGGTGTGATACTTGGGGGATCTTCCTGGGCGCATCAGCGTGGCCAATGGGTCGCAATCCATACCAGAGGCTGTCGTTGGATAAGGCGAGGTATTGGCATTTGGCGCCATGGCTCTGGACCGAAACCGGATATGTACTCTAACCAATCTACCCAGACAATGTGACAAGATTTAGTAACGAAAGACGGTAACAAACTCGGCCTTGCAAACGCCAGTGGAGGTGGATCTAATAACTGTGATATGCCACAGATACGGACTACTTTGTGCACCGAGACAGATTCGTCATATTCCGCTGGCGCTTTTTTCTACCCGAACATATGTCGGGATTCCGCCCGGAATAGGGCTCTGAGAGGACAAGCCTTGGCGCCAAGTGGTGGGAATAGGAGCGGGTGCCCGTGCCCAGTAAACACCCTTCGCACAGACATTCACTGGATGAAGTCATGGAAAAGGTTGTTGTAGCAGAACCAGCAAGTAACTACTCTTGCCAGTGATGCGGCATGCCCAGCTCTTGGGCCAAGATTTAGGTAGTTCTGGGCATTGGTGATTACGTATCGTCTCGTTGCTGCCTCTTAGGGTAAAGAAGGGTTAGGTCGTCACATCCCTTGTTTAAAAGAATTTAAACAAGCTTCTCTGACTTACCAGCGGGATAAAGATCGATCCTATCTACTTTGAATTTGAGGCTTAAGGGTTCGATAGTTTTCCTTCGAGTCCGGTGATGAACCTTGGAAGATACTTCGGGAGCAATAGCAACAGCAATATATAAAGCTAGTGGATGCGAACAAAAAAGGCTTACAGTTCAGTTTGAATTTCAGACCTTTCATGTGTTCAGGAACTTCAATGTTTGGACGAAATGTCCTATGAGCTTGCTTGAACGACAGGATTATATGACAATACATTCGCAACGAGATTAAGGTGCACCTTCGTCGACTTCCTTTTCGAACGGTGCATCCTCCTTGTATACATTATATTTGTATTTGGATCCAACATGATCATCCCGCAATTTACTCTGGCCCTGTCCATATATCTTTTCTCGCGCTGTCAACCCAGAAACATCATCTCGCTTCTCAGGATACAATCCTCTCTTCCGCAGTTCCGGTATTAACAAATCGACCACATCTTCGAAGGTGCCGGGAGTTATGACATATCCAACATTAAATCCATCGATATCTGCCTCTTGGACCCATTTCTCAAGAATATCAGCGACTTGAGAGGGTGTGCCAACAGGGACAGGACCTAAGCCACCAAGAGAAGCTGCCTCAGCAATGATTCGTGGTGTGATGGATGGCAGTTCTGGCGTTCGAGCAGTCAATGTCTCGGAAATTGAGTGTACCTTGTGCTTCTCAAGTGAGTGCTTGGCAGGGTCAATTTCCTCATCTAATGGAACTTTTGAGATATCAATACCAGTCCATCCGGAGAACAATACTAGACCTCCAATGGTAGAGGCATACTTCTTTGCCTCCTCAAATTTCGCTTTGGCCTCTTCCTCGGTCCTTCCGATAATAGGCGTCACCGTGCTGAAGAATTTAATTGACTGTGGGTCTCGACCGGCCTCCTGGGCCAATTTTCGAATGTTTGCAACACGGGGTTTGAGGACTGACGGACTATGGGCTGAAACAAAGATTGCTTCTGCGTGGGTGGCGCCGAATTGAGATCCAGCGCTGTATGAGACTGTTAGTCACCGATACTGTCCCTTGCGGTTTGTAAGGCCACTTACGGTGAAGTACCAGCCTGGAAAAGGAGTGGGGTACGTTGAGGGCTGGGATCGACAATGTGTCTACTTTCTAGATGATAGAATTCTCCATCATGTTTGATGGTGCGAATTTTGTCAGGATCTGCATAGACATCATTCTCGACATCCTTTACAATCGCATCGTCGGCCCAAGAACCTTCCCACAGCCTTGAAGCATCTTAGCATGATATCCAGAAAATTGGAGTCTGAGATTTCAAGTGTAGAACGTACTTGTATAATACTCGCAGATACTCGTCTGCCTGAGCGTAACGACGGTCATGGTCAATGGGTTCATCCAGACCAATAGCTTTGAAAGCTCCTTTCTTCCACCCAGTCACAATATTCCACCCAAAGCGACCGCCCGTGAGGTGATCAAGAGTCGAGAATCGCTTAGCAAGTAGAAAAGGTGGTTCGAAGGAAGTGGATGCAGTGATGGCAAAGGTCAGGTTTTTTGTTACGGCGGCCATGGCAGTGATCGGCTATCAGCCCACAGTGCATTAGCAAGAATGGACATGGATGGTAATACCGAAAAAGAAGACATACAATTGCAGGATCAGTCATTGGCCACTGTGCTGCGCGGCGGATGCAGTTATCGAGAGAACCCTCGTAAGTGTCGTAACCACCATATGTATCTGCCAAAAAGAGGGCATTGATATCGCCGCGCTCCAGCAACTTCGCAAGATTTACCCAGTAATCGAGAGAGCGCTTAGTTGCTGATTTATCTGTCGGGTTCTATTTTTGATACCGCTATTGATCAGAAATAAAACTGTCATGGACATCATTATTTGACTTACCTTCCATTGGCCAGGCGACAAATGCCCTACAGTGGACATGTCGAATGCATTCAAAAGAATATGCTTTTTGGGAGCGCCATTGCTGGAACTTGATTCTGCCATGACCAAAGACGTAACTGGAGCTTGCCAATATCTCTCAATTGAATCTAGATCCCAGGTGTCAAATTAGCTGCTGTCGTCAACTTTGAATGGGCAATGATATATCTTTATAACAACCTTGGAAGTAGTCGGCCATGTCTCCGATCTATGGAGGGGTACTTTGTATTATTATTTCCTATTCCAGTAATTATATTCGCATTTATTATTTATCAGCAGCAAATAGAGAATATCGCGCTATGATGTTTATTATGTTGGCATCATCACGCCATCCTTAGTCCATTGACGTGCAGAGATAAACAAGACTGCAAAGTAAAACGAAAAAGAACCTGTCACCAATTGACCAATTCAACTGTCGAATCAAATATCGCACACCATCGCATCCCCTTATCGCATCAGGAAAAATCACATAGCTCCATCTGGCTTCGGAACGAGCCGTCACTAGCAGTACGCTGTCTGTCAGTTACACAACTACAAAAGCCGAGATGCAGGACAGGAAAATTACCTATTGCTTCTCGGCTGGAATATTATTACAACTGTATATATATCTCTCGGAATGGCGGAAAAAGGTGCCAATATCGACAGTTTCAATGTGACTGAGGAAGCAGCATCCAGTTCTGTTTTCTACAGCAACCCCGATGTTGATCAAGGAGGACGTGACGATCCATGGATTCGCTTCCTCACATGGCTGAAATGGTATCCCAAGGATATGCTACATTTAGAGAAGAAACTAGTTCTGAAGCTGGACTTGTTGATTCTGGTGTTTGGCTGTCTGTCATTCTTTACCAAGTACTTGGATCAGCAAGCCATTACCAATGCCTATGTCTCGTTAGTAACGATCCTACTTGTCATGTACTCCGTAAAGCTAATGCTGCTACGAATCCCAGAGGAATGAGAGAAGACCTGCATCTGCATGGAAATCAACTCAATTATATCACTGCTGTGTTCTGGGCTTCATACTGCACATCGATGATTCCGGCCTGCTATCTCTTGACCCGGACGCGAATCAATATTGCCCTCCCAACATTGGAAGTTGGTTGGGGATTGTTTACATTTGGCTGCGCTTGGGCTCAAAACCTAGACACCATCTACGCTATGCGATTCTTTGTAGGAATTTGCGAGTCCTGCTCCTTTACCGGCGTCATCTACGTGATCGGCTCATGGTACAAACCTAGCGAGATTACGAGACGGGTCGCCTTTTTCTTCATTGCATCGCCTCTTGGCACCATGTTTGCAGGTTATCTACAGGCTGCTGTATATACCAACTTGGATAACACCCATGGTTTGGCCGGATGGAGGTAAGTGGGCCAGAAACTTAACACCAAAAGTAGATGATTTTGCTGATGATCTTCCAGGTGGTTATTTATTATTTGCACTATCATCACGCTGCCAATCTGTATCTTGTAAGCTTCGAACTGACTTCTTATTTCATGGTTCGTTTTGGTCTCACACATGCCTAGGGGATACATCGCATTCCCGGACGTGCCTCACCGCAAGAAACCACGGTTTTTAACCCAAGCGGAGTTTGAACTTGCCAACAACCGCCTCAAGGGCTTGGTAGCACCCAGTGAATTAAAGGTGTCGCGTTCCATTATCAATAGAGTATTGGGACGGTGGCACTGGTATGTTTTCGTCATGCACTGGATATTGATGGACCAAAACTTCACGCCTTATTCCACCCCTTTCAGTCTCTACCTGAAATCAAAACCTAATATCTACTCGGTCACCCGGATAAATACATTACCAACGATTGCTACGGCAATATCAGTCGTAGCTGCAGTTACGGCCGGTATTTTTGCAGATCGAGCTCGTAACTGGTGGCTACCCTCTGTCGTGGTCAGTATTCCGGTTTTGATCGGGGTGATCCTACTTGTGGTCTACGATGTTGGGGAATCTGGTCGGCTGGCGGGTTTCATTATCACTGGGTTTGAAGGAGGTAAGCTCTTGTAACCCATCTCCTCATCTAGTTCAGTCACTAACTGAAGAATAGCAATAAGTCCACTTACAATGAGTTGGGCAACTGTCATCATGGCTAACGATGCCGAGGAACGAGCCATCGTAACAGCAAGTATGAATGCAATAGGACAGGCTATGGCAGCCTGGACTCAGATTCTGCAATACCCGGCTACTCACGCTCCTCGATTTCGTGCTGGATTCATCTCGAACCTGGTCACGACCGTTGCGCAGTTTGTAAGCATCGGTTTGATCACACATCTTCAAAAGAGAGACGCACGAAAGAGCGGCCACATTGCCAGTGGCCATGCTTAACAACTGGGACAGGACATAATACCCAGATATTAGCTTATATTCACAAGGATAGATGTAAATCTGCAAAGTTTCATTAAGGAATTGTGATAGAGGTATAGGTAGCATGCATTACACCAGAAAATTGTTAATTTGTTGGGGAGAATCGTTGAAAATCGTTGAAAATCCTTACCGGAACTGCCATTCTGTTTCTTGCGCCTTTCCACACTGATCCTGACTAAACACCAGAAGATTCAACTCTTGATTGTTTCAGAGACCCCACCCACTTTTATCTGAATGTGTATCCATCTCTGCCGCAACCGAATCGTAAGAACACAGCAGCCACCCCTAACGCAAAAAAAAAGTGGTATAATGCTAAATACAAGACTTGCTTTCTCAATTTACAGAAATGAAATAATAAGAAAAATCGAGGAACGGTAAAATATGGCTCCTCAAACCATGACACCACTCACATCATTCCAGCTCTCAGATGCTGGCTCCTCCTGCGCTGCGATCTTTGCCTTTTGATCTGCAACCATGTTAAGCTCCCTTGGAATTCTCCAAAACAAGACTTTGAGGCCCTTATCGTGGTGGCGTTCGATCTCACCCAGTAATGCCTCCCACAAATCCTTATTCTTCACTGGACCACTCCGAGTCCTCCAGTTATTTCGCAACCAGCCTTTCACCCAGTTCGTCGCACCCTCGACGACATATTCCGAGTCCGTGGCAATGACAAGAGTTCTGAAGCCTTCTCCTTGCCAGACGCGAAACCGAAGAGCTCCGATAACGGCTCGCAGTTCGGCGCGGTTGCTCGTTTGCGAAGACGGATCCCCAAACGGGCCTCTCTTTTCAAGGTGAAAAGAGGTATAGCCTTGACTCGGGGGAGGGAATTCCATGGTTCCGGGTCTCCGCCTGAACTCTCTAGTAGTTAGCAAAATAGCACAAATTGAGGAGTATCGGCTTTTGTATTGCAAAGAGAAAGAATTCATCTCACCTGTTGTGTCGACGGCCGTCTTGTGTGTCCTCTGCAGGCGGTCTGAAATAGAACGCGCAACCTGCCTGCGGGCTTAAACCGCCATTATCCAAACAGGCGCCGTCCGTATAAATCAGAAACTGTGTCTGATCATGTCGGTGAATAAAGCGACGCACAACCGGACTAGCTTTATGACTGATTCCTGGAGGAAAGATGTCCAGTGGAGTTGCTGAGCCTCCAAAGGTGGAAGATGCAACCACTTCTGGGGGTACAAATTTCTCAGCAATTATCCGGCCGGTGCCTCGTCGCAAGCTTAAATCCATATGCGCCCAAGGAGACAGGATCATATTCGGACTAGTCGTCTCGATGCCGCCCATGGTGATAACGTTGTCATCATTGCCTACTGCTTGTGTGGGCCTAGCTCGCTTCTCCCTGATGTGACTGAGGAGTGGTGCAATGGGTGACGGCTCCTCGCCGTCATCAGACAATTCATTGAGATATGTGTAGTCTACAGTGCAGATGGGACACACCTGTAGCAAGTGGTCAGAGCATGCCCAATGGCCATTAGGAAGTTGCACTGGTGAGGACGGTCTATAAGACATAATGACTCTGTCTTCTGATGGAAGGATTGTTGTTGTTGTTGTTGTTGTGAATTCTGGAGAAGAGGGGAAAGAGCTAGGCCGCTAGTAGCTAGCAGCTAGGTAGCTTTTAAACTGCACACTTTACTGTATTAAGTTAGACTCAGCAATCACAGATATGATTGGTCAATCTTTGTCAAGTGCATGCTCCGTACTAGCAAAATTAGTGCGCCAACCAATGAAAAGAAGGTCGACAATTGAGAGCTATCCAAACATGGTTAGAGGCAATCCACATAGGACCTTGTCAGATAATTCGGATATCCGGAAGCAGTAAAACGAAGCAGTCAATCAGAAGCCGTACTCTATAGACCCAACTTTACCCCTCATGACAGGTCACAAATCAAGTCAACCATACAAACCAGCTTGCCAAAATGTCTATATAAACCTGGCTTGGAACCCATATATTTAGACTGAGGACTGAACATGCACAATCTTGCTAGTCACTTCTTCTTTGACCGTCCTTGTAAGCTACTGACAGGATATCACCTGACTCACATAGATTGTTGGAACTCAGAATGAGCTAAGCCAGTTTGGGATAGGAATCGGGAATTCCGAGAATTGGCATCACATACTGACACGATATTGAGCACTACAAATCAACTTTACAACCTATCTCTACTAATTCTCTACATAGTAGAAAATTCGGTTTGCACAGGTGCCGATTTTCGTGATATCACTTCTATAGAGGTTTGTGTATAAAAGCAGGTTGAAGATAGCTGGGCTTAGAGAGAGTGCCGGAGAATAGGCCTAGCTCTATAGATAAGTAGTACCCATATAGTAATCCATGCGTTTCTATTAGTTGAGCGCTAAGCGAGATAATTCTGCCAGCAGAAAGCTAGACTTCGGAAAAGCAAAAACGTTTTTTCGAAATGTCGGTATAATCCGCCGTAATTACCGGCCCCAACCAGAGTATACGTCGGTTGTAACGACCTGGCTTGAATCGATATTAGCAACCCAGAGTTTGCTTAGTGTACTGGACAGAGCTGGGAGGAGGAATACGCCAAAGTTGAAGATGAGCGAGCCAAGGTATCTTCTTGTTTGATTACATAGTCATGCTTTACCGGAAATCTCTAGCTTACATTTGGCGACTCTGTGGGTGATGCTTTTTGTGTTGTTCATCTATATGAGCATCATGAGCCGCCTGTAGCGCCGCACTTCCTTTTAATGAAGCCATTGAGAAAGTTGTTCACAATATAAAGTCGTCCTTTGAAGCAAGGCAGTCAACAAAGTAAGAGGGCATATCACGTAAAAGAAGGATGGTCGACAAGTGGATAGTTTGTGAGGTGGGATTGACTGAGGACGAGATTCTGGATTGATTCGGCTTTTATGAAATACGGGGATTTGCGAGGTGAAGCATTTGCTCGCCAACATCCACTAGTCTGGTCACCCTCGTTGGCTCAACCATGTCTCATGAATTGGTGTGATTCTCGAAATCGCCCTGACCAACATGTACTGAGAAAGTCTTTCCAAGCCCCCATCGCCAAGGCCTTAGTGCAGATCATCTATTGAAGGGGTTGCAATGAAATGAGGCGCAGTAGATATAATGGGGTGGTAACAGTGCTTATAGACCTGTCAGTCCTATTGCAGCTCGAATCTTAAGCAGCATAAATTGACCAGTTCTCCCAGGCCCTCCCCCTGAAAAGTGACATAAAAATTTACATTGAAACTTAAACAGATAAAGGAATATATTTGATGATCTATGCATGGACTCTAATGAATGAGATCCTCCCAGACGCATGTCCAAGTACGAATGTTCCATCCATCCTAAATGTCGAACAGACAGGTCGATACTCTGGCGGTAACCAGAGTACTTGTTTACCCCGGAGTATCACCCACTGATTATCTTGTATAAGTACCTCCTCAACATTACTCTTGGCCAAATAAGAGGTATGATTGTTATACCAAGGTTGGATGTTGAGCAGTCCCATATTGGTGCTGAGATACGGATTGTATTTAGAAAATTCTAGGTTAGTGATTACCCCACTGGTTGTCAAACTCTGTTGCAGAGCTCCAGTGGCAGTATCCCAGAGCTTGACTGTCATGTCTTTAGACCCTGATGCCAATACCCGGCCATCCGGTGAGAATGCCACTGCTCTAGCCCTCTCCAAGTGGCCATCAAGAGTCTGCTGTAGAGTTCCAGTCGCAGTATCCCAGAGCTTGACTGTCCCGTCCTCAGATCCTGATGCCAGCATCCGGCCATCTGGTGAGAATGCTACTGACCAAACCCTTTCTAGGCGGCCTTCAAAATTCTGCTGCAGAGCTCCAGTGGCGGTATCCCAGATCTTGATTGTCCCGTCCTCAGAGCCTGATGCTAGCAGCCGGCTATCTAGTGAGAATACTACTGACCAAACTCTCTTCAAGTGGCCCTTAAGAGTCTGCTGTGGAGCTCCAGTAGCAGTATTCCAGAGCTTGACTGTCATGTCATCAGAGCCTGATGCTAGCAGTCGGCCATCCGGTGAGAATACTACTGACCGAACCCAATTCGAGTGGCCTCCAAGAGTCTGCTGTAGAGCTCCAGTAGCAGTATCCCAGAACTTGACTGTCATGTCGTGAGACCCTGATGCTAGCATCCGGCCATCTGGTGAGAATGCCACTGATTCAACCAAGTCCGAGTGACCTTCAAGAGTCTGCCGTAGAGCTCCAGTATCCCAGAGTCTTACTATACTGTTCTCAGATCCTGATGCCAGCAGCCGGCCGTCTGATAAGAATGCCACTGTCAAGACACATGAGTGACCCATAAAAGTCTGCTGCAGGGCTCCACTAGAGGTATTCCAAAGATTAAGTGTTCGATCCATGGAGCCTGATGCTAGCAGTCGACCATCCGGTGAGAATGCCACTGACTGAACCCAACTCAAGTGGTCTTCAAGAGTCTGCTGGAGATCTCCAGTGGCAGTGTCCCAGAGCTTTACTGTCGTGTCAATAGACCCTGATGCCAGCATCCGGCCATCTGGTGAGAATGCTACGGACCGAACTCCCTCCAAGTGGCTCTCAAGAGTTTGCTGTAGAGCTCCAGTAGCAGTATCCCAGAGCTTGACTGTCCCGTCCTCAGCGCCTGATGCTAGCAGCCGGCCATCTGGTGAGAACGCCACTGACCAAACTCTCTCCAAGTGGCCCTTAAGAGTCTGCTGTGGAGCTCCAGTAGCAGTATTCCAGAGCTTGACTGTCATGTCATCAGAGCCTGATGCTAGCAGTCGGCCATCCGGTGAGAATACGACTGACCGAACCCATTCCGAGTGGCCACCAAGAGTCCGCCGCAGAGCTCCAGTGGAAGTATCCCATAGCTTGACGGTCATGTCATTAGACCCTGATGCCAGCATCCAGCCATCTGGTGAGAACACCACTGATGAAACCAAGTCTGAGTGGTCTTCAAGAGTCTGCTTCAGAGCTCCAGTGGAAGTATCCCAGATCTTGACTGTCCGATCCGCAGAGCCTGATGCTAGCAGCCGGCCATCTAGTGAGAAGGCTACTGACCAAACCATCTTCGAGTGGCTATCAAGAGTCTGCTGTAGAAGTCCAGTAGCAGTATCCCAAAGCTTGAATTTCGTGTCATTAGAGCCTGATCCCTGAAGTCTCGAATGACCTTTGAGACTCTTCTGCAAAGCTCCACTGGTAGTATCCCAAAGCTTGACTGTTTTGTCAGAAGAGCCTGATGCCAGCAGCCGGCCATCCGGTGAGAATTCCATTGCCTCAATTCGCTGCGAGTGGCCTTCAAGAATTTGCTGCAGAGCATTAGTTGCGGTATCCCAAAGCGTAATTTTCCTCTGACTAGAGCCTAATGCCAGTAGCCGGCCATCCGGTGAGAATATCACAGACCAAAACCACTCTGATTGGCTTTCAAGAGTCTTCTGCAAAGCTCCAGTTGCAGTATCCCAGAGCTTGACTGTATCGTCCTGAGAGCTTGATGCTAGAAGCCGGCCATCAGGTGAGAATGCTACTGCCAAAATGCCCCTTGAGTGGCTTTCAAGAGTCTGCTGCAGAGCTGCGCTGGCGGTATCCCAGAGCTTAACTCTCCCATCCTCAGAGCCTGATACCAGCAGCCGGCCATCTGGTGAGAGTGCCACTGACCTAACCCGCTCCGAGTGGCTATCAAGAGTCTGCTGTAGAGCTCCAGTAGCAGTATCCCAGAGCTTGACTGTCCTGTCCTCAGAGCCTGATGCTAGCAGCCGGCCATCCGGTAAGAATGCTACTGCTAAAACCCACTCCAAGGGGCTTTCAAATGTCTTCTGCAGAGCTCCACTGGCGGTATCCCAAAGCTTAATTGTTCTATCCCTGGAGCCTGATGCTAGCAGCCGGCCATCCAGTGAAAATGTCACTAACTGAACCCAATCCGAATGGCTTTCAAGAGTCTGCTGCAGAGCTCCAGTGGAAGTATCCCAGATCTTGACCGTCCTATCCGCAGAGCCTGATGCCAGCAGCCGCCCATCAGGTGAAAATGCCACTGACTGAACCCAATGCGAGTGGCCTTCAAAAGTCTGTTGTAGTGCGCTCCAGGTCTCTTCTACTTTCGGTAGCCTGTTTATCCAACCAGGTAGCTCCTCAATAAACTTTCTCCTTACTATAGAATTTTTTGGAGTAAATACTAGTCCCGCACAATAAAGTTGAAGCGGTGCAATGTCAGCTATCTGCATATATTTGAGGATAACCCGTTTCCCATCACGGAGGAATTCAGATAACTGGGGTTCTGTCTCAGCCTGCATAAAAATGATTACTAACGCGCGTGCTTAGAGCTTTGTGCATATGGACTAACCATTATTGTAGATAGTAATGTATCAATTGCATCAACAACCTCCGATATGACTCCCATTATACTCATCGCTTCTAACCAATGAAGGAAATGCTTTTGAAGGAAAGAATAAGCATCCTCCATTCCTGTGGTAAGGTCCTTGCTTTGCACTAGGTGTTGTATCCAATAGCGACAAGAGTATTGTAGTGCTGGTGGTAAATGTTGGCTGATTGTCTGTTCACATATCTCCGTGCGGTAAGTTCCGTCACTTGGTAGATTGCAGATATTCTTCTTTAAGCAGTGGCACATAATCCTAAGACAATGAAGCGCTATCGTTTGGTGCTTCTCTCCCTTATCTACCCAGAATGGACTCGTGGCTCTCTTGGAATCAAGCAGGAAATCCCGAAAGGACAGATGTAGAATCCTGATCGGAAGATCTGGGTCACTCGGGATGCTGAGAACAGAATGGAAAAATTTCAATCGATTGCTGATGGCACCTGGACGAACGTCAAGGAATTGGCCAAGCGCATGAAGCGAGAGTGGAGTAACAAGCATGATTAGGACGCCAATAATATCCTGGAACTCTTGGATAAGCTGTTCTAATTCCTCATCCTCTTGACCAATGAGAAGCTGATTCAGGATTGGCAGGTAAGTTTTCTCCATTTTTGATGCATAGCTGCTCTGATCCTTTAGAAGCTTCTCAAGCCGTACTTCTGGTTCCCAATGCAGATCTCCCACAAAGCGACACACGGTAGCCGCAGAGATGAATAGTGGAACCGTCATGGCCACCAGTGTCTGAATACTGCTTTCTTCAGGCCAGTCCAGCGGTAGTGAGTGGTCATTCCGGATCTCGGAGAATTTATGCTTCAGAAACAAAGTAATATCATGCTTTATCACGGGTATTGGGATCTCCTGGAGTATCATATCCTGATGATCATTGTCCCTCATGTGTTTGAAACCCAGCTGGATAGGCAATTCCGGTCGACTTGTCAATAATGTCCGGCAACGAATAACAGTGGATGCTTGCATCTCTGGTAAAAGTTGTAGGATTGCTCTTATATCATTTGGTTTGTCGCACTCATCCAGCGCATCAAAAACAAAAGCAATTGTCCTGTTCTGCTCCTGCATAGGATTTAGGGAACAAAGAGGCTGGAGCAAAAGCTGATTAAATTGCTCCTTCAGGGACCGGCATGAAATATTAGGGTCACTCTTAATGGCGCTGCTGATATGAGGAATGAGCTGGGGAATCTCGATGATCAACTGAGACATAATTGTTGAGATAAATCTCTGTGCAGTTGCGCGATCTCTTTCGCCCCTTTTGAAGAAAAAACTTGCTCCTAACATCCGTTTCTCCTGAAAGGACTTGGCCATTGTTCTGGAAATTGTCGATTTCCCTGTCCCGGCCATTCCTTTTAGCCAGTATATATGTTTGCCGTCTGGTGACTGCGCCCAATCCGCAATCTGCTGGAGAAGCTCGGTTCGTGTTCCTGGAAGGCATATGTCTTCATGCTGATCCATGTATGAGTCAAAGGAAGCTCCCTCGGCAATAGACAACTTGGACAGGTCAAATGTCCGGTGGAGATCTTGGATCGATATGATCACCTCGTCAATTCGAACTAAGATATTTTCTGCTTCTGTTCTGTGGTGGAGATACTGATCAACTTGAACCCATTTCTGGAAGCTCTGCTCCTCCTCGTTGATGTAGGACTTCAGTTTCGAAAGTGGTTGATCAGTAATCGCAGTGACACTTTCTAGCACCTTTCTCCCAATATTGGCTTTCTGCACCTTCCATACCTCCGCCGCATACTGTAAGATAGCAGTATAAACTCGAACAATAGCATTTCCTATCGGAACTTTCATTTCGGAATGGTTCTCCTGATAGAAGATTCTTTCAATATAGGCATATCGAGCAAGGATATTAGCCAACAACTCTGAGGATTCAAACAGAGCATTTCGCAAGTCATGATGGTTTTGCGTCATCTATGAGACCATTAGCCGACTGTAATTCTCCTCGAGAATAACAAACAGATTTCGCGCACCGTGAGTCCAAGAGATACAATCATCCATGCACTTGACGCATGACCTGTGGGATCGAAATTGACAACCGCACTGATAATATGCTCGAACGATAAGGCTGCATTGAGTATTTTTTGTGCAGTATCTCGAAGGTTGATTGCCTCCGCTCTGGATCTTTGAATTCTGAAACCCCCTCTCTGATACGCCTCATATTGCTCCTTGGTCGATTGTATAACCTGATCCAATACGTGCTTTGTCCGTACATGTCTCCTGGAGCTATCATCACTAAGCGGAGCTGAAGACAAAATCTGCTGATCGTCAGTGGTAAGCTGGCTATACGCGACCTGCCACATATCTTGCGGTTGAGCATTCTTATTCCACCGTGTCTGTGAGACATTTGATTCACTAGGAAATGGCGACATGCCGGTATTTTTGAGGGCGTCTTTTGTTTTTCCATTAGAGTTGGCGTTTTCCAGCCGGACTCTCGCATTCGGCAATGGCTCATCCTTGTGGAAAAGTTTCCGCCGGAGTTTGTCAAAAGACTGTTTCATTGCAGCGATTTATCGCTCCTTTTCCTTCTTATTTTTCTCTAAATGATGATGGACGGATATTTGATTTGAGTGGTTTGGCGCTATTCGCTTGAGAAGAGTAACTGCAGTATTCTGGGTGTACAGACAGAGCGAGGGTGAACTGGCACGGCTGCATCGGCGGGATCTCCTCGGTTTTTCGGTACCCAATCTTGCCGCGACATGTACAGTGGGGGTGCAGTAGTGTTGACACCCATACTTAACGCCCACATTTATTGCTAGCAAAAATTAGCGCGTAGAAATCACGTATACGAAGAAGTAGGGCTTTTTGGGAGGTCTGTTGGATTGTACGTAACAATCTCAAGAAGTATATCTCAACGTATCTGTTAATTTTGCTACGGTCCGTATCACGAAGCATAGACGGTAGCAAGGCACGAGCACGAAGCGGCCTAATGAGCCAGACAATATGAAGTTATCTTGATTCTTAATATTGTGACTGATCCCCAAGAGCGAGGGGGACGTGTGTGTGTGTGTGTGTGTGTGTCATTATTTTACGGCCGTAGGCCGTGATGAATCACTGCCTACCCATTCCCTAGTGGGACAAAGGCCGCCAGGGGGTAAGCCCTGGGTGTCAAGAATTATATATAAGGTGTGACTCTTTGGCGCGCTTACATGGCTGCCGCAGTCAGATAGATAACCTCTGCATGTAGAGGGTGAATGTTTCTGCCAACTGCAGTGGTCCACCTACTCCCCGTAACCGAATCTAACATGTTCAATACCGATGTAGCTTTAAAGAGAGAAAAGGAAAGACAAGGAAAAACAAAAGAAATATGTAGCTATAAGTCTCTTAGCTTATGTGCTAAGAGGGGGCCTTCGAGGGCAGATATCCTCAAAGAATCGGGTCTCCGTAAGCCATTTGGCTAGTTTGGTGGCGCCCTTTGGGGTGCCCAGGAGGAAAGGAATGACTTCCAAAGGATGTCCAGGGAATCTAGGAGCCTTTCTCTTTGCAATCTGGCAGAAGATAAAGTGGATTGGGGACTTTCTTGCGCCGCATCAGCACGTGAGATGGGCATCTGTGTGGTTGAACTGTTCATGGTAGTCTACGAAGTCTCCATATTTTGTGCGTGCTGCAAGGATTCGTCCTAAGATATAGTGGGGAAGCTAGAGTTCTGGTGGGCGTCTTGAAAAGGTGGTGATTTCAAGATCTTGATAGGCCTGCGGAGCCGCTGCCTGCTAATATGTCTGTGCTCTTGAGGTAGCTTGTGATTTGGTATGTCGCTTAAATGCTACATATGACCATGGGTAGGAGGTAGAGACGGTTTTTCCCGCGCCCTCTTTGGTAGTGCAGTCTGCTGCTTCATTTCTAGAGATGTTAGCATGTCCTGGGACCCAGCGGATTTGGACTGCCCTGCTCTCAATTTGGGGGAGTCTCCTTCTTAATGGCCAGGTAGCGGCAAGTGTGTTGAATGACTCGAAGACAGCTTGAGAGGAGCCTATAGATAAGGAGAGAAGTTGGATAGCAACCTCAAGGTTGTCAAGGCATATCCACAGGTTTAGTGAGCATTGGGCAGTAGAGTGTATCATTGTAGCTTTTAACCCAGTAAGAGCCGCTTCTGCTTCTGCGTCAAAGACTTCTTTATTATGCCTGAGGGGTATTGAGCCGCGCAGGAATTGGGAGCCAGCTTGGAAACCAATATAACCACCATCTGTTTGGCCATTTTCTAGTTTAGATCTATCTGAGTAGATTATAATATCATTATTGGGGATGGATTGTAGGAGTATTTGGAAGTTGTCCACTGCTTCTTCTCTTATGCGTCCTAACAGGGCACTGACCCATCTTAAGGCTGCTTCTCTAGGTTCTTTTGTACTCCAGGGTGGATGAAGCAGTGGGTTGATCTTTTCCATGTTGGGGAGTGCGAGCACTTAGCGCGCGAAGCAGCTAGTTGGGTGGCCTGTTCGGGCTATGGCTCTGGCTCGTCTTCAAAGAGGGTGATATAGGTCTAGGCAGCTTAGGCGTGTGGATACAGTGAGGGTAATTTAATCAAGCTCAATCTTAGGAGGGTAAAACCCTGACTCTCAGTGTAGGACAGGTAACTGGGTAGTGCGGAAAACAGGCAGAATTGCCCTTGCCCCTATTAGAATGACAGTAGATAGATCTGTTAGATGTTTATTCACTAGGTTTGAGATTAGGGGAGTGTCTGCCTGAGGGTGGGAACAAGGTCGGGTGCGGCCTGGCCACCACGTCTCTACGCCGAAGTAGGCTTTACGGAGGACACAGGCTGATATGGCCTGTTGGAGGAGGTGTGGCCTTATTCCATGGACTGTGTTTCCAAGCGAGCGGAGGGTGCTAGCTATAGTGAGCGCTTTGGATGTCATTTCTTGAACATGTCAGTGGAAGGAGAGCTTTTTGTCAAAGAGGATCCCTAGCCAGCATAGATATGGATGGTCAGTTGCTTCAGTAACTGTGACTGAGCCTATTAAGACTGAGGGGGTTATTGCAGGATCTTAATCTGCTCGATGCTGAGAGAAATGCATAAGTTCATATTTATTTGGTGTAAAAGTGATTCCTTCCGCAGTGCCCCATTCAATTGCGTCCTGTAGAGATTCGCTCAGTGTCTGGCAATTAGTTAAGAGGAATGGAGAGATTGCTAGGGTCGCTCCATCATCTGCGTATCCAAATCTAGTTCTAGGGTTACCCATGTGGAAGAGCGGTGCAATGTAAAGCATAAAGAGAATAGAGGAGATAGGGGAGCCTTAGAGAAGGCCACATGATATATCTATATGAGGGCCAAGTTCATTATTAAATTGGATCTGTATAGTTCTTTCTGTGATGAAAGAGCTAATCTAGAGTATTAGATTGTTTGGCCATCCTTGTGTCCAGAGCTAGTAGATAAGTCTCTCTAAGAGGACATTATCAAATGCTCCTTCCACATCGAAGGTTAGTAGAGAAGCTGTTTTCCCTTGGTTCAGGGCTTATTCTATGTTGTGTGTTAGACATATAGTAAGATTGATTACTAATCTTAGAGGAAGGGCTCTAAATTGTTGGCTTGCCAGGACCTTGTAGTGGATTGCTATCCAGGCTGTGTTCTATGCCACTAGACATTCAAGACCCTTTCCTAGGACAGAGAGGAGAGTGATGGGCTGGTAGGACCTAGGGTTGGTCCAGTCTTCTTTACTAGGCTTTTGTAGAATAGTAAGAATTACATGTCTGAAACATTTTGGATGATATCCTAATCATAGGCAGCCTTAGAATAGGAATAAGATCTTGTCTTTAATTAGTGGTCAAGCCATCTTTAGGATGTTAGTTTAGAGTTTGTCTTCTCCTGGAGCGGTGTTTCTGGCCTTTAAGATAGACTTTTCCACTTATGCTATGGTAATCTTAGGGAATGGAAGGGTAGTGGTAGGGACAGCTGGGCAGTCTAGCGGGATATCTCCTGCCTCTGTTGTGTTTTGTAGGAGGTTGCGAACTAGTAGGTCTTGCTTCTCCTGAACAGAGACTACAGGTGGATTATCCGACTGTAATGGATCTTTGAGAGGAGGGCTGCGATATGACCTCCTCAATTTGTGCCATTTACTAATATCGAAGACCTCTTTCGTTTGTGAGGCAGTTATTAGCTTATTGCGCCAGAACTCTCTTTGTGTTTTCCTAATTGTGCTGCGAAACTCCTCTTTGGGTAGCAATCCTAATCGGTAGGCTTGTAAGGCTTCTTTGCATTCTGGATTTCACCATGGTTGTCCTTTTTTATGGGGGAGGGACCTCTTGGCAGAGCCTTCGTACGCACTGTGTATTGCTGAGGTCAGCCCTTGGGCTAGTGACTCTAGGTTGGCCTTTGAGGAGTCCAGCGGTTGGATCTATGAGAGGTTGGTGGAGAGGAGAGATAGAAAGAGGGGTTGGTCAAGTGTATTGAATCTTATTTTTTAGGTAGGTAGTGTGTGTCTTTGGTCCCACGGGATAGTGGTTAGCAGTGGTGTATGATTGGAGGTTAAGTCTAGATAAAGGGCAGTGCTGGTGTGTAGTCCGCTCAGCGCTAGTGAGCTAGTAGCATAGGTGAGGTCTAGAATATTACCTCTTGTGTGGGTTGGATAGTCTATTTCTAATATGAGGATAAAGCCTAGATGATCTAACCATTCAATAAAGGGATCCGCTGATATAGCAGGTTGGTAAGTCAGGGAGGGTTGCCATCTAATATGTAGAAGATTAAAGTCTCCAGCGAGGAGAGTGGGTTATAGGAATAATGTCTCTGGAAGGGATATGAGAGTCTCCATGGCTTTACCAGCTCTGGTGGAGCCAGCTAGGGCGTTATAGGCATTGATAGTGAGGACTGATTGTCCAGTTGAGGAGGAAATTTGCAGAAAGAGTAGGTTGGATAGGGTTGCTGGATCTATAATAATAGGCCAAAGCTAGGATACTTGTAGGCCTGCATTTTTCCGGACATAGGTAAGGACACGGGGCCGTCCAGTTACTGTCCAGCTATCTATTGGAGAGAAATATTCATATGAAGGATATCTCTTGGTGATTTTTTAGCTTAGGTTTGAAAATATGTATGGTTCCTATATAAGTAGGACGTTAATATTGTTAGTATATGCGAGTGAGAGGGCGATAGTGTAGGAATCAGTACCCCATCCAACATTTAGTTGGAGTATTGTGAGGGGTTCTTTTAGAGTGGACCGCTAATAGATTATAGGTGTTCTTTGAGAAGTGAGTTGAACTGGTTTTATGGTTTAAGGGTTGCAAAGCGCACCACGCTAGCTATGACAGGAGGTTCCTGAGAGGGCGCCAGAGGTGGAGGGGTGGTTAGTCAGAAAGGTGAGGTGACCTGGATTTGTGTAGATAGAGTATCTATGACCATGTGCTGCTCTTGTGTGGTAGCAGATGACTCTAAGGAGCAGCCTTGTTCTGTACGGGCCTTTACTAGATTGATAGCGCATGTTTTGCGGATTTCTGCTCGTTGGGCTTTGATGCGAGTGGTGCTAGCTTTAGGGTGGAGTGGGCAGTCAGTGAAGTCCACTAGATAGAGTCTATGGCAGTAAAAGCATCTTGGAGGACAGTAGTGAGGGTTTAGAGTAGAACAGCTATTGTTATGTTCTTCTTCTATATGTTCTGATAAGCTGCAGAGTTAATATCTTAGGAATTGTGCATAGGACTGTGCATTATGCTATTTCCAGCAGCAGTTACATTAGATGATTGTTACCTTCCTAGTAAGGAAGCGAGCATTGGTGATAGTGCCAAAAAGGCGGAGCCAGGTTGAGAGAGAGGCTTTTAAGTCTTCTGAGAAATTGATAAACTAGCTTGAAGATGATAAGTTGACATTAGCAGCACTAGCGGTAGTCTCACTGACAGATATGGGTCTATAGCCTGTTTGCTCGGCAATTTTAGTAGATAGTGTCGCAGGGTCGACTGGGATCATGGAGTATTGGCCATTGATGATTTGGCCAATCTTTCTTGGCAGGTTTGTAACTCTATATGAGATCCATCGTGTGCTGCATTCAACTTAGCAGTTGCCAAAGTACGTTGATATGACTTTCTTTTAAGCCTTAAGGGTTGAAAGGGCCTCCATAGTTGCAGGACAGAGAGCGAACCCAGTCTTTGTAGTTTATACTTCTTTTAAGGCATTGCTGTTAATACCTAGTTGGGCCCGGAGGCTAGTATAGATTGCGTAAGAGTCTATCATTTTTGCGGCATGGTCTATTGGGAGACGTATGAAGAGGCAGTAGTCAGGGAGAGATTGTTTTATGTCAAGTGTAGGCTTTTTTGTAGGTAGCTTTGTTTATTTTATAGCAGTACCTGATCTGGCTGGGTTGGACTTGGTGATTGTTGCGTAGGAGGACTGCGCGAGGCCGGAGGGGGGACGAGAGGGAGGGGGCGTAGGGGGAAGGAGACTGGGGATAGGGGAAAAAGCTGGGGCAGGGGAATGGGTAGAGGGAGTAGGAGTGATGCCACTTATATAGGTATTAAAATGGTGTTGAGCCACAGTGGCTAGATCATCACTTAGAGTGGCAAGAGCTCCTTATAGATGAGGGCTGAGGCCAGCCGTCTGGTTATAGTGTTTATCAAGAAAAGCAGCTATTGGGCTGAAGATTTTCTGACCCTTGGCTGCTCTGGTGGTAGCAGCAGTGGTTGTCTCTTGCAGAACAGTTTGTAGAGACCTCTTGTCGGGTTCAGAGCGATTCCATGCCATGGCGTTTCGGGACGCGTTTTAGCGCGTCTGGGCCGCGTCGCCTGGGACTGGAAGCGGGAGAAAGAGAGAAAATATAGGCAGGAATAGAGCGTCTGTCCAAACCAATGTGTGTGTTGTGTGTTTTCTGCGTGTGTGTGTGTGTGTGTGTGTGTATTTAACGGCCGTGGTTCGTGACTCGCACGCTTCCCACCGATCCCTACTGGGACATAGGCCACCGAGGGGTAAGCCTCAGGTTTCAGGTCCTATCAGATTTATGTACAAATAAGAGACTCTTTGGCGTGTTTCTATAGCTGCCATAGTCTTATAGGGAGGTCCACTTAGAGTGGGTTTTGGGTATTTGCTAGCTGCAATGGTCTGCCTACACTCCATGATCTATTACTCCACCACTATCATAACTGAACAGTAAGTTTTGCAGAGAGGGAAAGAAAGAAGAGAAGAGAAAGAAAGAAGGAAAAGAGAAAGAAAGAAGGAGAAGAGAAATATAAAGGAAAGAGTAGGGCTGTCTTAGCTAGGTGCTAAGGGGAGATTGACGAGGACAGATATCCTCAAAGAAGTGGGTCTCTGCTAGCCATGTGGCTAGCTTTTATACTCCTTTAGCAGTGCCTAAGAGAAAAGAGATGACCTTAGAAGAGGGCCCAGAAGACCAAGGAGATCATCTTTTAGCTATGTAGTAGAAGAAGAAGTGCAGAGGTGCTTTTTATACTCTACATTAGTAGAGAAGGTAAGTATTATTATAGTTAAAACATTCATAGTAGTCTGCAAAGTCTCCATGACCAGTACAGGCCACAATAATATGGCTAAGGTTAAGTCAGTTGAGTTGAAGCTCCTCAAAGCGCTTAGAGGAAGTAGTTATTTCTAGATCTTAATAACTCTGTGGTGCTACCTTCTGTCATTATAACTGAGCAGTGGATAGGGATTAAGTCTTAGTATATCTCTTTAGCAAGGCATATGAGGACTTGTGTGGAGCAGAAGGGATAGAGGCAGCTCCCTCTTTAGTGGCGAGATCAGCTACTTCATTCTTAGGGATTTTGGCATGTCCAGGGACCTATCAGATTTAAATAGATCTACCTTTAGTGTGAGGAAGCCTTTTGCGGAGTGGCCAGGTGGCTATAAGGGTGCGGAAGGATTTAAAGATTTCTTAGGAAGATCCTGTAGAGGGAGATAGAAGGTATGTGACAACTTCCAGGTTGTCAAGGTAGATCTATAGGTTAGTAGCAAATTAAGCTGTTAGATATACTATTACTGCTTGAGCACCAGCTAGAGCTACTTCTATTTCTACGTCGAAGACCTCTTTCCTATGTCCATATAAGAGTAAGGAGCGGAGGAACTGATGGTATGCTTAAAGTCTAATATAGCTATCCCCTGCATATCTATCTACTAGCCTAGATTTATCTGAAAAGATTACAATATCTGAGCTAGGGATGGTACATTAGAAGTCTATGAAATTAGCCGCTACCTGTTCCTTAGTGCGTCTTATGAAAGCTCCTATTCGAGCTTGGGCATTCTCGCGACACTCGCGAGGGTGCTAGGGAGCATATTAGAGAGGGTTTATCTGTTCAGAGTTAGGGAAGGCTAGTATATAGCAGGCAAATTGGCTGGTTTGTCAGCCATTACTAGCGATCTGTTCTGCGCGTCTTCGAAGTGGGTGATAAGGATCAAGACGCCATAGACGGACAGTTGTAAGAAGGGCTATTCGATCTAGTTCAATATCTGGAGGAGAGAATCACTCTTAATAAAGGACAGGAATTGGGGTTATGCGGAAGACTGGAAGGACTGCTCTTGCGCCTATTAGTATTACTTTAGTTAGTTTCTCAAGATGTTCTCTAACTTAGTTTGAAGTCTAGGAAGACCCAGGGCAAGTATATTCTAGCCACCAGGTTTCAGCACTATAGTATACTTTATAGAGTACATAGACTAATATAGTCTGCTGTAGTAAACGAGATTTAACCCCTTGAATAGTATTCTCTAGAGAGCGAAGGTGTAACAACGTTACGAGGGGTATAGTTACGTCGAGAGGGATCACAGAAGGCTTAAGCACACAAGGTAGGGTATGGAATGTCAATGTACTGAAACCTACTCCTTCTGCTTCTGCAGCGTGCGTTCTATATAAGAGACATTCATATTGCTTCACAGCAATACGTCGTTGACCATAACCAGCTGAATATTGACCATAACCAGCTGAACCCTGACCATGACCAGCTGAAGTATCCACACTTTTGCCAATCCTGTTCTAACCCTAACCCCTAGGAGGTCTATTAGACATGTTGGTTGTTACAGAAGGGCATTAGCTATAGTGAAAGTTTTAGATGCTATTTCTCTAATATGCCATTTAAATATTAGCTTTTTATTAAAGAGGATTCCTAGCCAATATAGATATAGCTATTTAGAGTTTTCTAATATTGTAATAGATCTAGCTTTCACTAAAGGTATACAGGTTAGGTCCTGGTCTATTTTATATTGGGAGAAGTGAAGAAGCTTATATTTATCTAGTGTGAAAGTAATGTCCTCTGCAGCACCCTAGTTAAGAGCTTCTTGGAGAGAGTCTGATAAGGCTTCGCAGTTAGTAGTAAGAGATGTTAAGATTACTAGGTTAGCTGTGTTGTCCGCGTAACCAAATCTGTTCCTTGGGTTTCCTAGATGGAATAGGGGTGCTATGTATAGCATGAAGAGAATACTAGAGACTAGGGATCCTTATAGTAGACCACAGGCAATATCTGTTGAGGGGCCAATCTCTCTGTTGAGTTAGATCTGGACTGATTGCCCAGTAGCAAAGGAGGCAATCCAGAGAACAAGATTGGTGGGTCAGCCCTACTCACGTAATCTGCGGATCAGTCTGCCGGGAAGCACAGCATCAAATGCGCCTTTGACATCTAGAGTAAGGAGTGAGGCAGTCATGCCTTGATTTAGTGCTTATTTGATATTATGTGTTAGGCATGTGGTTAGATCATTTATAGATCTTAGTGGGAGAGCCCCAAACTATTGTCTTGCTAATACTTTGTAGTATATAGAGATCCATATCATATTCTGTGCCATCAAGCGCTTAAGTCCTTTGCCAAGAACTGATAGGAGAGCAATTAGTCTATATAATCTAGGTGAGGACCAATCAGTCTTTTTTGATTTCTAGATGATTACTAAGATTGCGTGTCGGAAGCATTTAGGATAATAATTAATCTTTAAGCACCCTTAATATAGCATTAGTATCTTATCTTTAATTAGAGGGCATGCTACTTTGAGTATGCAGGTTGGGATTTTGTCTGCGCCAGGGGCTGTGTTTCCTGCCTGAAGTACTGACTCCTCCACTTGTAGCATCGATATATCTGGGAAGTAGAGACTAGTGGAAGGGACTGCTGGGGAGTCCAGAGGTATGTCTTCTACCTCTGCTAAGTTCTGGAGAAGATTGCGGACTAGTACGTCTTGTTTCTCGTGTATAGTAACTGCTGGGAGGCTGTTAGGCCTTAGCGGATCTTTTTAGTGGAGGGCTTTAGAAGATGCCTGTAGATTTATGCTATTTACTCATGTCAAAAACATCCTTTATTTATAATACTGTAGAGAGCTTGTCTCGCCAAAATTGTTGTTAAGACCATCTAGTAGTCTAGCGGAAGTCTGTCTTTGAGTAAAGGCCTGAGTAGTAATTGTGTAAAGTTTTCTTATAGTCTTTATTCTACCATAATTGTCCTATACCTTGTGTCAGGGTTCTCTTAGCAGAGTCTCTATATGCTCCTTGGATTGTGGATGTTAGTTTTATAGCAAGATCATCGAGGTCTTCTTCTATCATGATTGGGCTCTTAATACTAGTAAGGTTAGAGGTAAGAAGTGAGAGGAAGTAGGTGTGGTCTAGTGTGTTAAATCTCAGTTTCTGAGCTGTTTCCTTGTATCTCTGATCCTATGGAACAGTGGTGATTAGTGGTTGATGATCTAAGGTTGCATCTAAGTGGCTCGCTATACTAGTTTTAGCTCCCGCGAGTGCCAGAGGGCTTGAGGCAAAGCTGAGGTCTAACACGTTTCCCCTTTCATGTGTGGGACAGTCTATATTAGAGATGAGAACTAGACCCTAGAGGTCCAGCCAGTTAATAAATGGCTCTGCGAAAGGTGTGGGGCTGTGATGTAGCAAGGGCTGCTATCTGTTGTATAGTAGGTTGAGATTACCTATGAGTATTGTTGCTTAAGGGAGATATACCTCTGGCAGAGTTGTGAGAGCTTTTGCGGCTTCACCTGCTCTGATGGAACCTGCTAGAGTATTGTAGATGTTAACTATCAGAGCAGACTTTCCTATGGGTGAGAAAATCTAAAGGAAAAGGAGATCCGAGGCCTCTTTAGTATCAGTTATGAAAGGGCAAAGCTAGGAGGTCCAAATGCCTTTCTTCTTTTAGACATAGGTGAGGACTCGTGGTCGGCCACTTATTACCCAACTATCAGGTAGGGAGAAGTATTTATATGATGGATGTTTTTTTATAATCTGTTGGCTAAGGTCTTTGAATGTATATAGTTCTTGGATTAAGATAATATCGATGTTGCTAGTGTATGCCAATGTAAGAGCTATTTTGTATGCATCTGGCGCATATTCTACATTTAGCTGTAGGATTTTAAGGGGCGCCTTTTGAGTTGAGTAGTGATATATTATAGCTTCTGTTTAAGAAGAGAGGCGAACCAGTTTTATAGTTGAGGAGTTATAAAGCGGACTGCACAAGCTGTGATTAGAGGATCTATAGTTAGAGTGCGAGATGGAGGGGTTACTGGACGGAAGGGAGAGATAATCTCCTAGGTTGAAGGCTAAGATAGCATCTCATCTAATGCCATAGGTGTTTCTTGTGTGCCTGTGGAGAGCTGAGAGCTGCATCCTCCTTCAGTTCAAGCTTTTGCAAGGTTTAAGGCACAGGATTTTCGGATCTCTGCTTGTTAAGCTTTAGTGTGTTTAGTATTGCCTTTAGAGCACAAAAGGAATTCTAGGGAATTAGCTGGATGTAGTCCATGGCAGTGTATGCATCTAGGAAGGCATTGATGAGGCTCCAGGGCTATACAGTGATTGACATGGCCCTCTTCAGTATGCTCTAAGGAGCTATATAGCCAGCATTGAGAGGGGCGGGCACAGGATTATATATTATACTATTTCTAGCATCATGTATATTAAATAACTATTGTTTTCTTAGAGAGGTAGTAAGAATTGGTAATAGTGCTAAAAAGACGTAGCTGGATAGGCAGTAGTAATTTCATGCTTTCTAGGAAGTTGACAAACCAGCTTGAGGAAAGAGTATTAGGGTTGGCGGCACTTGTAGCGGTCTCGCTGATAGATATAGACTTGAGCCCTGTAGTTTCACTGATTTCTAAGGATAGTAGTGTAGGATTAACAGGGATTAGAGAGTATCGACCATCCAAGATTTGGCAAATTTTTCTTGGCACATTGGTGACTCGGTATGAGACCTATTGGGAGCTACGTTCTAACGTAATCCACAAGCGAGTTGGCCACACAAGCAAGTTGGCCACTTTTCCCGAAAACGCGCTCTATATTGATTCTACACAATTCAACACGTCAATATGCCGCCAATTCGCAATAAAAATTCAAAAAATTCAGTTGAACAAGAGGGACGAATCTTGTTAGCTATCTACGATTTAAAAAATGAAAAAATACACTCTATACGAAAAGCAGCAGAGATCTATAATGTCTCACGGTCAACACTTCAAAACAGACTACATGGCATGGCATATCGAGCTGAAACACGCGCCAATGGCCATAAATTAACTCAATCTGAGGAGGAATCGCTTGTTAGATGGATCTTAGATCTAGATAAACGTGGATTACCTCCTCGACACTCTCTTGTACGGGATATGGCTAATTGTCTTCTTTCACAACGCGGAAACCAACATGTTGGAGAAAACTGGGTATACAATCTTGTCAAACGTCGCCCAGAGATTGAATCAAAATTCTCACGGAAATATAACTATGAACGCGCCAAATGTGAAGATCCAAAAATAATCCAAGAATATTTTGATCGCGTACGAGAGGTTATATTAGAGTATGGGATCTTGCCAGAAGATATCTACAATTTTGATGAGACTGGCTTTGCTATGGGACTCTGTGCGACTACAAAGGTTATCACTGGAAGCGATCGATATGCTCGGCCAAAGCTATTACAGCCTGGTGACCGAGAATGGGTAACTGCAATTGAGGCAGTTAATTCGATTGGGTGGGCATTGCCTTCGTACATTATTTTTAAGGCAAAGAAATACACTCGACTAGGCTGGTTTGAGGATCTTCCAGACGACTGGAAAATCAATATTAGCGATAATGGATGGACGACAGATAATATTGGATTAGAATGGCTTAAAACTCATTTTATCCCTCTTATTGATGGCCGTACATTGGGGAAATATCGGATGTTGATTCTTGATGGCCATGGAAGCCATTTAACTGCTGAATTTGACCGTACATGCACTGAGAATAATATTATTCCGGTTTGTATGCCTCCTCATTCTTCACATCTTTTACAGCCTCTTGATGTTGGCTGTTTTGCTGTTTTAAAGCGACATTATGGACAGCTTGTTGAGCAGCGAATGAGGCTTGGATTCAACCATATTGATAAACTCGACTTTCTTACTGCATTCCCAAAGGCTCGTACGATGGCATACAAAGCTCAAACTGTTCGGAATAGCTTTACAGCAACTGGATTAGTACCATTCAATCCAGATCGAGTTTATCAACAGCTTACTGTTCGATTGAAGACTCCAACACCCCCTCCAAGTCGATCAAGTGATACACAATCATCCTGCTTGCAAACCCCTCAAAACGCATGTCAATTTAAGCGCCAAATGACTACAACCAAGAAGAGAATAAGCCGGCATACAAGAAGTTCATCTGAGGCTATTGGTGAAGTGTTTACACGGGCATCAAAGGCTTATGAGATGAGTATTAATAAGCTTACAATTGCACAGAAGGAACTCCATGATCTACGGGCTGCACATGAGAAGGAGAAGCAAAAACGCCAAAAATCTAAAAAGCAAATATCCCATGATCATGGAATTACCAGAGAGGAAGCTCAGGCACTTGTACAAGGTCAGATTGAGGCATCTCAAGCTGTTTCTACTGCTCCGGCCGAGCCTGAGCTCCCAGTCTCTCATCCACCTGTACGGCGTCATTTCCGCTGCAGTGGTTGCGGTATTGAAGGACATAAAATAACTGGATGTCCAAATCGTACTAGTAGTTAATTCTTTTGTATATAATTTGTATGTGGTTAGAAATTGAGATTTGAAATCAAGAATAGAGCGCGTTTTCGGGAAAAGTGGCCAACTCGCTTGTGTGGCCAACTCGCTTGTGGATTACGTTATCTAGCAGTTAACAAAGAATGTAGAGATAATCTCTTTTTGGGCCTCAAGAGCTAGGAGGGCTTCGAGAGATGAGGGACATAGTGCAAAGCCAGTCTTTATAGCTTGAACTTCCTTTAGTGCTGAACTGTTTGAGTTTAGTTAAGACTGTAGGCTAGAGTAGATGGCGTAGGCTTCCATTTTTCTAGCTGCATAGTCAGCTGGGAGGTGTACGAAGAGCCGGTTGTCAGGAAGGGGTTATTTTACCAGAGGCATAGGCTTTTTAACATAGGCTTTGGAGTGAGTAGTGGGAGTTGATTTGACTGGGGCATATTAGGTAATAATTGCATAAGTCGACTATTCAAGACCTGAGAGGGGACGTGAGGGAGGGGGTAAAGGGGGTAAGGAAATTAGGGTGGGGGAAGGAGAAGGGGAAGGGGAAGGGGACAGGGCAGGTAGAATGGAGGTCGTCGAGATACTGCTAATATAGGCGTTGAAATGTCGTTGGGCTACTGAGGCGAGGTCATCGCTTAGAGCGGTGAGGGCTCTCAGTAGGTGAGGGGCCAGGCCAGTGGTTTGGCTGCGGTGTCTATCAAGGAATGCAGCTATAGGACTGAAGATCTTCTGTCCTTCAGAAGCTCTTGTTGTGGCTGCAGACGTGGATTCCAGTAGGGCTGTCTGTAGAGGGCTATCTGTACTAGAGCCTTTACGCGCCATGGTGTTGCCGGACGCGTTGAGACGCGTCAAAGGCCGCACTTCTGGTGGCTAGGTGGTAGAGAGGGGTGAGGAGTTTGAGCCTCTGACTGTTTGATATAAATAATTGTAAGGAAGTTGCCTGATGGTAAGATGGGTGTGAAGAGCGAGGGGGACGGGGGATAGCTAGTGGCTAGATATATACGCGGCACGCACGTGCCACGTCGGACTAACTAATATCCGCGGCCGAAACGCGTAGGGTTGATATTCATGTTCCGACAGAAAGATTTCCTCGTCTTGACTCCGTGCATTGGTTCATGCCTTCTCTCATCGCTGTCTATTGCGTGCAGCGGAATAAAAAGTGTTCCAGCGTCTCACTTGCTTGGCCGCAGGCGACGTCAAATAGTGTCGGACACTCAGAGGCTCAACTGTTGGAACATCATTCCTATTTGGGTTAGGGTTGTGGCTTAGTCATAAATGAGATTCACCCGTAACTAGTCCTTAATTGGACCTAGGGTTGTGTTGTATTGTACGTGACAATCTCAAGCGGTATATCTCAACGTATCAAATTATGTATGCAAAGTAGGACTCTAATTTAGTGGCTAGAAAAGAAATTATGTGGTGTATTACTGATGATGAAGCAGGACCAACCCAGCGTCATTTTGAATTTTACACCCGCTCGGTCACACATCTCCTTGACAGGCACAAATGGCTTCTTGAGTGATTCCGGAATCAGTTCCTGACGTGGATAGCTGAACCTGTTCTGCCCTTCAGGTACATCTTCAGATACCCCGGAAGAGATACCGATCCGTTTTAGGTTAGCGAACCTTTCCTTGTGATGAGCAAGGACTCCTTGCATATTCGGCACGAGCACCGCGCAGTGTTTTGGCCAGCATTCGGCTACATGTAGCGACCTTAAGCTGGCAGGTAGAATGTCCTTGAGCACGACGCATTCGTCTTTATCGCGGTCATGGTAGTTGAGAAGGTTCTGGACGCGGATGCGAAGATCCTGTAGGTAACTGAATTCCGCCAGTGATCCAAACCACCGATCATATGCCTGGGGGCCGTCATTCTCCTCGTCGTCGCTCAGTTCATCTGTCGCAGGCCCGGTCACTTCGCCATTATCGCTCAGATGAAGGACCTCAAGGCTGTGCTTCTGCGTCAGCAGCGCCCTGTAGAACTTTCGGGGTTGAAAGTCGACGTATGACTCCGACCAGACCTCCGTGTCGTTGTGCTGGTATTTGAATTCTTTGAGGTTGGCGCAGGAGGTGATAATCTGCGCCATTCCATTTCTCTCGTTACAGTAAGATTTTAGAACCAGTGATTCTACGGGCGCTATGCCTAACGCAGGAGATATAGCCGGGTGGTCCAGTCTGTCCCTTTCTCTGACTTCCTTCACAGCGTCCAAATTCACATCCCTAAGCGATGGTAGATGGAAGAATGGCAGGAACTGCCAGTGCGGATTGATATCCTTCATATTGTCGGAGGTGATATGAAGCGTCTCCAACCGCTGCAGTGCCGGCCTGGTGTCAAACGGTGGTTCCTTGCGTGCCGCCCTCGCAACAACCAGCGTCACTCTCGGCGCGTGTACACAATATTCCCCAGACAGTGCGGTGAGATTCGGCACCGAGGCAAGAAGAAGAGCAAGCCATGCTTCCTGGTTCCCAGCTCGGAGATTCTCGATCCAGTCTTTCTGCTCCTCCGGTGATCTACTGATTTGCCCTGCCAGCTCCTCTGCCGCTTCTGGCAGATTGTCATCATTTTTTCGTTGTGGGTGGTGATCGATGTATGAATACCACCATCCGACTGATAGACTACGGATGGCTGGTCCTATCCGTGGGTTGGCCAGTATCACTTTCGTCAGGGGCTCGATCTGAGGCCCCTTGATATCGACATGATTGTATGCGACCTCGAGGAACAGGGCTCGCCAACGTCGGCATACTTGAAGCAATAGAAGTCTGCCACCTACGTCGGAAACATGACTACCGATGGCAAGGATGATCTCCACAGGAAGTGTGTCCATTTTCTGCTCGGTCATGCTGTGTATCGGACACGTCGGATTATCGTACGAGATCTACACGTCGCTCACCCGCTGTTACCGTCCCTCACCGCCTAATGCACGATCCCACCTGTTGCACGATATAGATCATAAACACGAAAATTGACCATTATTTGAAAGCGCGTTATCTCGCTCAATATGGCACCAATTGATCTCGCCCTTGAAGAATTACGCTCCAAGCTAGGGGGAAAGATCAATATTACAAAAACTACAGAAAAGTATGGTGTTAACCGCTCAACGCTATCGAGCCGTTTCAACGGAGTTACGCGCTCCAAATAAGCACAATCAGCCGATTTCAAAATGTTTGAGACTCTTGGCACGGATTTCTCCAAAAATGTCGACACACGTACATTTTCCTAGGTATTTTGGACTCCACGCGAAACAACGTGCTAATACGTGTAGTATTTACAAAATCTCGTGTCAAATTTGAGACCAAAGTCATTTCTAGTTTAGGAAATCTCCGAACATCGTGATATCGAACTATGCCACCTCGACGCGCCTCCAAGGATGCCACTGCCTCTCAGCAACCTCCAACAACGAACCCATACAACCTTCGATCGCTTCATATTCCACGTTCTATTCGACCGGGGGAGAGTTTTGATGAAAGGCACTATGTGCCAACTAGAGCGCAGAACCGAATACAGCGCATGAAGGAGCGGCAAGAAAAATTCGGATTACCTGCGCCAATAACATCAAAAAACCGCTATACAGAAAACTCGTCAAGACGCTGCGAAGAAAGCAAATAGTCATCCCAAGCGGCCAGCACCTTCAGGAAGGAAACCTACTACGTGGTCTCCTTCCAAAACGCCTTCTGCAAAGCGAGTACGGTTCGATATAACGTCTTCGAGAGACGCTCCAGACAGTTCAGTGGAAACTACACCTCTCCGCGCACAGTCTAATGCACCAAGGGATGAGTCTATTATTGCATCCCTGGAAGCAGATACTAATGAGGAAACCGATGACAACGAAGATAGCGTTAGTGAGGATGATGATCTTCCCGCGGTGGTTCCAGGTAGACCTCCAGGTTGGAATATGGCCGATTATTTGAATGGTGAATATGACGAAGAGAATCGCTTGCTGCGTGATACGCCATTAAGCGAGTCAACACCATTCAATTCGCTAGATATCGAGATAGCAGCGACAAACCTTTATAACGCGAAGGAGGATTTCAAAAAACTCAGCGCTAAACGACGTATCAAGGTCGCCGAGCACGCTCTTCGTGAGGCCCGGGAGGATATTAGTATTGTCAACACGTCTGATATCCAGAACGAATTTAATCATGAAATTGGCCAGCGTGATTATTCGATTGGCATTGATCTGAGAGTCCATATTAATAAGCGAAAAATCATCAGTCAAACACTCCATGATATGACTCGACGTTCATTTGATCTTGGTGTAGTAGAAGATTAGTTCCATGACCAGATTGTCAAATACACTGATGACGAACCTTTTACATTTGAAACCTGTACGGCATTTGTGAAATCAATGTCTGGTCGTGGAAGACAATTAAGCCATCAATTTGATGATTTTTCTATTACCGAGACCCTCAAAGTTTTAGATCTCATTGATAATAAACGAGAGGCTCATCCCGGTACAGCTTTATGCGTTCTTTTTGAGATCAAAGTGGCCTGCGAAGCCCTTACATTAAAAAAAAAGACAGCAATATTGACAGCTCAACAACCCCAGGATTCAATATCTATTCCGAGCTCGCCACCTGGCCTGCCGACACAAACCCGTTCTAAAAAACATTCACAGGTCCTCCCTTTACAGGGGAAAAAGTGCACATAGGTTTAGCGCAGTCCTCGAGGATGGCCTATAGACTGAAGAATGATGTCCTCAAGAGGAATACAGTTATTACCTAGATATTATTTTTCTGTCACAACAATCATGGTCCAGGGGTATCGAAAATCCGATGAAATTAACAATATCACGTTGTACGGGTACCTACCATCGTTCCTTCAAGTCACTCTGTAGGTTTTGTGAGATAGTATTTTAAGAGAAAGTATAATTCTATATTCTGTCCTGCTGCTGTCCTTCCGTACAAGCTAGCATATATATTTTGCTATTTGGTAAATCGGGTTTTATTTCAGATATAAAGAATAGTGGCGGGGAGTGATTGAATATCACAAGTACATAGTACGAAATATTATTCTTTCCTCAACAGTTCCATCGGGCCTCTTTGCAGAAACTTCATTCCTGAGGAACTGTCCAGTTGGAAGCAACGTCGTCATAGAATTGAGGTGTCACTTTCCGCTGTTGCCTGCTGCGTTCAGTGCGAGGATGTTTCTGGTGTTGTAGTCAGCAAGAAATGTAAGAATGGAGACGCGCAGAACATTTTGATCATCGACGACGTTTGAAATCACGCGGAATTGATGGCGACTTTTGTTGCGATGGGATATGATATGCTGGTTCCAAGGGTTTTTTTGACTGATGACTTAAAAGCAGTGCTGGCAGGGGTACTAGGACGGCTGGCCTTACCTTTTGATTTTCTGGTTAAAGCAGTAGTAGTTGCCACAGCAGAAGAAGAACCACTAAGAGTGGTAGGCCAGTTAGTAGCCGTTGGGGTAATGTAAGTACCAGTAACTGAAGTCGGGGCACAGGTCGCAGGTACGCTGCTGGCAGAGGTTTCACCCCAAGCTGCTGGTACCACTGCGTTGCGGCGGTTAACAACAGACAAGAATGCTGCATAAGACCAAGTAAGGTTTGCAGCAGAGATCGACGCGCCAGTGCTTTTGTCGAATTGCTCAGACAAGGTCAAGTTTGAAGGAGCATAATTTTGCTTTGGTTGTGTCAGTTGCAATTTTGTACTTTAACAGATTTCACGGGACTCCTTCACATACTGCAATGCTCAAGTATCCATCGGCATAAGTCTTTACAGCGGAAATGATGCTCGAATAGGCTGTCGATGATGAAGAATAGTTACCAATTGCAGCAGAGGAGTATACACCCTTGAAGAAGTCCAGCGACGTGCTGTCGATAGTGATGGTTCCGGTCTTGTTCCACTGGTACAAAGCGTCATAGAGTATCTCCGCAGCAGCAAATGTGCATAGCCACCAGGGATTACCACCCATGTAGGAATCTTCGGGGTATCGACCTACAGCTACAGCTTTTCCTGCGTCGATATCACTGTTGATATCATAAACTGATCTGAATGAATCGGTAACAACTTTATGATTCGCCAGAGCTCTGGATGAACACGGCTGGAAAGTACTGTCATCGCAAGCTGCTTCGGGATCAAATGTGTGGATAGAACCCAACAAACTGTTAGCATCCTTACCGGAACGACTGCTGTCGAAGTTTGCTAGGATGTAACTTCCGGTCCAGAAAGATTGTAAATAACAAAGCACTTGTGGAGCTTGAGAGATGCAGTCAGCGCAAGATTTGCCCACAGACTTTGCAAAATTAGCCCCTTCGACTAGAGCACGGTGCTGAGCCGCAATTGTGAAGAATGACGAGCCGTTGACTTCTTCCCAAAGATCTAGAAAATGTTAACGTTTTTTGCTAAGGTAATTATCCCACAGCATGAAACCTACCAAAACCTGTCTGGTTCCAGTACTGCGTGACATAGGCAAGGTCATTTTGAACAATCGGCCAAACATTGCTCAGTGCTAAGGAGGTGTATCCATTATCCTGGAGCATGAATTAACACGGAGAAGTGAGAGCGACCTGATATTCAATCCATTCCAAAGCTTACCACTAGCCATTGGCCATACGCAATCAAAGTTGTAGCTCGAACTGTTTTTTTCGTTGTCAGAAACCTTTTGTAGTACACATGAATATTCCACGAGGTAATACTAACGCGCAGGCCCATCTCGTTGCGGACGGCCCCAACTGTTTGTTCGGTGTCAGAAACCTTTTATAATACAGGGGATATTCTAACCGATGGGGATAATACTTACGCTCCGGTAAAAGCGGTCGTGTTCGCATAGAATTTGGGTTCCCCGAGACCACCTGTAGACAGATCTCCAGATGGGTTGGACACGGTCTGGATATGTGCCTGAGAACTAATATAGTCTTCAATTATGCTCTGCAAGGATGTGTCTCCTGCAATGAACTGTTCAATGAGTTGCTTCATTGTTAGAGCAGCATCGCGAGTCCAGGTATAGAAATCTATGATATACGTCAGAAATGCACTCCTCAGATGTTTATGGGTGTCACGTTTTAAACGTACAGTCAGGGTTGCTTTTGCTCGGGCTTGCAACCACGATGCCAGACGATGCACCAGCAGCCTGAGACCCGGACGAGCCAGTATTCGCGAGGATTCCCTTCAGAGCAAATGGACTCTCCTCGGCAATCCAAGAATCTAAAGTGCCACTCACTCTGGCCTCAAGTCGGGTAGGGGAAGCAAATGCTCCCTGGAGCAGAGATAGAGAAATAAGAGATAAAAGCAATTTTCCAGCCATTTTTGTTCACGAAGTATTTAACCTAACACTTCAATGTTGTCGATACGAAGATGGTGAAAAGAAATTATGGGAGTGGACAACCACTGGTGAGCAGGGCATTTTATATTCCTGTCTTCCTATCCAATGTCGGTTTTTAAGTGTTAAGTGGTATCTCGTTGTTTGTTTGTCGGTGAAAGGATGATCACCATGATTGCGTAGATCATACAACGTAATTTCTTGATATTCATCATCACCAACATCAAGATTCCGATGAGCTTACATGATCGCCATATGGTTTATATTAATATTCCGGCACTTTTTAACACTACCAACCTACTGGTCTTCTTCAGCCAATAATTTGCAACTGATCTAATCGGCTCGGTTCGTTTCATATACCTAGCAGCGCCGGTAATTATCCGCAGATTGTCCGTCCCCTAAAACCTGTTTCTTCATCAGTCTTGCAGGATGCTCTTGAAAATTTCCGTCTCCGAGTGTAACGCTCCTCTATTTAAAAGGCAGGAACGGGGTTATCACTTTAGTAGATATACAAAACAGCCTAGCAAGAACGGATGTCGGCAATTTTTTTGCGGAGAAGGATCTCTGTACCTTTTTTACGCCCTGAGGGATCTGCATCAGCTGGCATGGTGCCAAGGTATATCGGAAATGACTTCACATTTATTATAGCTAGTGTTACTTTGAACATATTGTAGAGCATGGTATTCGCAATCATAGTAATCCTACAGCTCGGAAACAATGACTATTAGTAGAAAAGAGTCGGATCAACTGAGGCACCACGTCCGCTGATGGCCATTTGCGTGCAAATCATGAGAATCTCGCACTTCAAGTAAGTATATTCCCTGCATAAATTCCCTAATTCGGTGTGAACCCCGAGATGTCAACACAACTAACGGTATGGTAGTCATGGAAGCTAGAAGTGACATGGATTAAACATATGTATACTTGAGGGGCACTACCTAGGTAAAGCCTGGCATCTAGGTGACCTGAGATGCCCAACTTCGCAATCGTGGACTGGGTTTCTGAGATTGAATAGGCACTCGGTGCCACTATTAATCTTTACGAGGACTTGATAGACTCGAAAAGCCAGCGATAGCCCTAATTGTAACTTGCCGGCCACGAAAAGAATTTATTCTAATGACAGTTCACCGACCTTGCCACTTGGTGAAACAAAAACGCTAGCTAACATATTTAAGCAGGTTTTAAGAAATAATGGAAGAGAGGACAGATATACAGCTGGTCAAGAATAACTTATATTAACTGCTGGCAGGATTTTGGTGATTTAATTCAATTACAGACTCGGAAGAGGAGCCGAGAAAGCGAATAATCTGTAAGGTTAAAATGCGACACTTGAGCTGCGCACAAAAACATACATTGGCCGAACCTCGCTCCCGGAGCTAGAAACCAAATATATGTTGAGTATTACAATTTGGAAGCAGTAGTTGGACTGTTCACCCTCCATATCAAACCCCAGATGGGAACACCACCAAGAGCCGGTAGTAGATAAAGACATCCTCTTGATTTGTCGAATTTAAAGGCCGCTGCAAGTGGGTAAACATGGGAATAATATTAAGACATGGTTTGATATACTGGATTGGAATCAAAACATGCTTTCTGAATCTGGTCTTCGACCTTTTGATAGCCGTCAAAACCATAACCAAAAATAAATGAGAGCTATACCATCTCATATTGATACGATGAAAACAGTCAAGGTGATGATTATGTTCACATGAGCGGACAATCAGTTATTATCTATGTAGGTGTCGAGTATCGAGTGCGGTCACGCGGCAGCATACTTCCAGTAGCATCCATGTCTCTGTCTTCATTTTGGGGTTTCTCTCCACATACCGAGTCTGGCGAATTGGCGCCACTGGACAGTCTGACTGGATTCAATGCTCGCAAGCTACAGTCTTGAAATAATTTGCAAGAAACTGGAAGAGCATTGGAAGTGCAATTCGAATATGGTGTAATGAAAGACGCCATCATCGCAGTAGACATTGCCACTTTTGAAATTCGGGGGGTTTGGGTTTGAATGATTTCGTAACTAACAATAATGAAGGCAAAATTCTCAAATTGTAATAGAAGCTTCACGAAGTATTAGTGAGGCAATCCCCACTTGCTTTTGTGAATAACAGTATCCCGGATAAACGATCAGCTCTTCTGAATGATGTACTGCTTATATGACAAAGCTACAACTCACTGGCTAACCGTCAATCATTACTCCGCCACCGAACAGAAAATTGTCAAAGTTCAGACCCAAATCCTGGAAGATGTCATTGCTGAAATAGTCCCAACCCTGATTTTCCATTAATACATTGCTGTTATCCATATTGAGATTTCGTGTTTGAGTGATCCTCGTTGATAACATTTCAAATGTCCGGATGCACTGTTGAACATATGTACTTAAATGTTCGTGTGCGCGAAGGGCCGACATAAGCTCACCCCAAGATTGCGAAACTGACTGGGTGAACAGATCTGGACTGAACATTGATGCCAAAAAGTTGGTCCCGGCGATATGTAAGTAATAAATTCGATACCACCATGGCAAGAGGCCCATTGGTTCGTGTGGCTCCAGCGTATCTATGATCAATTTTGTGAGTTTTTGCGCCGACTCCACACAAACCATGGCACAGTCCTTGATAATGCGATCACTGAGGCTGTGGCGGTTATATGCAGCCTGATCTCCTATCAGGTGAGATCTCGTAGAGTAGACACGTGCCAGCATGGGTCTGAAAAGGAACATTCGGTGAAGAAGGAGTCTAGTTCACTCGTGAGCATCACAACATAATACAAACGGTCAAAGTCTGGAATATATTCTCCAGCGAATCTTCTAAATGATTAGAAGCAGAGGGCGAAAATTCCTTACCGAACATGTAATAGGTATCCATGTGTCCGAGTCTCTCTGTCAACGACCCGGGAGAGTTCTTGCAGTTTCCATTTGCTTGGGATTCTATTCTCCCATTTGTCTAGACAAGCATCCAACTGCACTGCCACTGCGTGGTATTCTTCTTGTTGGTATGGACGTGGTAGTCCCAACTTGGCTGCAAAGATATTCCGACTTTGTGTCTGTGCCAATTGAATTTGATTGCCAATCTCATAAAGTTCCAGGTGCAGAAGCTCAACATGGCTCTTATCCAGTTGTTGATTGCCAGTTGAAGATATGGAACAGGATCCTTCTGCGCTGTGTGAAGGGAGGACAGGAAACAAGGTGGATATTGTACCGAGAGACCAAGACACACATCTAAGCCATAGTCAGCAATGCATGTACAATGAATCCAGGATTACCATCCCACCGGTCTAGTCCAACACAACTAGTCCAGATTTGTCGCTTCAACCGTTCTTCGTTGCTGGATTCACCTGAGGGTAGGTCATAAGCGAGATAGCACTGCAAACTCTGGGCAATCCGCATTGCAAACCCCGCTGTCATCCATGTTTTCTGTCGGTTCGTGGTACAGTGAAGATACCGATTCATAAGCATTAAGCATTGTACCAACTCGAGAGACCCAGGTTTCCAGAAGGCAGTATCCGGAGGAAGAAGCGACCATGCTCGCTGAAAGTATCCATTCCCTTCTTCATTCCGCTGTTGTAAAGGGGTCAGTTCTTGCCTCTGTACTGCCAGTGCGAAGACAAGATTGAGTATGCTGAGCCGGAGGGTACGGCCTTCGTGAGCCAATCCGAGCGGTGTGTTATAAATTCCATCATAATCGAGCAAGAATTGGTCTCTGTCCAGGACTGGTTCGATTGGATGGACATGTTGCCAGTATACTCCAACAAGTCGATCAGCATACGCACGAGGAGGCAATTTCTTTGCCAAATCAACATCACTACCTGGAGAATGCAAAACTAAATCACCAAATAATGGTGCATCAACAAAAGGAACAAAATTTGAAGTTCCTGACGGAGCGAGCCCTGCTCTATCGTCAACCGCGGCTTCGACTTCGCCAGAAAACTGCGCGTGCGGAGTGTAGTAGGCGCGCTCCTGATCCAGGGTCGGCTCACGATTCCTTTCTGGGTCATCTATTCTATATGACGGCCCAGCTATCGTTGATACCTCGATGGACTGGAGGTTCACAACAGAAGCCGAGGTCGGGCTAACAGCATGACTACGAATTGGCTGTTCGCGTCTTGTTGTTGATTTTCGTTTCGTTTGTTGCCTGACTGCAAATGGGTCATCGATATAGACACATTGCTTTCTTTTTTCCAAACATCTTGAGCAATCTATACAGAATATTAATCAGCGAAATGCAAGTAACAAGTTAGTGGCCATTGATAATCACCAGGGCGTACACCATCGCACTTTACCTTTCTCAACCGACAAGCTTGACAGGCATTAGCAATCCTCAACCGTGGTCGACGTGGCAGAGAAGACCGTTCTTCATGATCTTCGTTACCCTGAGGACTCCCCATCTCACCAGGCTAACTGATTCGTGTGTGATTTGCTTCAGTTGACAAAGACACCATACACTGAAACCTGTTCAGTTCAGCTTCGTAGCTCAGTTCGGATGTTGTTGTTCTCGGACCGAAATAGCCGCACTGCGGAAAGCGATATGGTTGGTCAAATCTTATGGCTGTTGGGCTTTCCGCTTTGGCGAATCATATGCCGTTCCGCCGGGGCTTCCAACAACCAATCATTTTTCTTGCCGCCCCAATTAGGGCTTTTGAGTTAACAAGCACAACCGCCTCATGGCCGGCCATCAAATGCCATAGACAGGACATCCAGTATAAAATAGTTCAGAAAGGCCTTGGCCGGTTTGGTATCAATTTTCTCTATGCAAGTTTCATCACAACAAACGAAATTTCGCCTATTGTTTCGAAACTCAAGTGTTTGACCACAAGCATGTTCCAATCCAAGAATGACGAAACCGTCACCAATGTCAGTGATTCGGAGAGAGCCCACGTATATAACGGCCAGGGCACGATAGAAGATCCTTTTGTGGTTGAGTTCCAGAAGGATGACCCGGGAAACCCAATGAACTGGTCTTCATTGAGAAAGTGGTTCATTACTTCTATTGTGACCTGGTCCGTTTTCGCAGTTACCTTCGCATCGTCGGCATATTCTGAGTCATCGGGAGAAGTTATTGATGACTTCAATGTTAGTACTGAGGTATTCATAGTTGGTGTTTCGATATTCGTGCTCGGATTTGCAATTGGCCCAGCGGTATGGGGTCCTCTGGTAAGCATCAGTTCAAGCACTTTTCTTCCGCTGTTGTGGATATGAAAATCTAACGAGCAGTTTCTGTGTGTAGTGAGTTTGAATGTCAAAAGGCAGTCATCGTGGTATACTAATAATTATGGCTGCCTCAAGATCCGAACTCTATGGGCGTCGAATTCTCTGGATCATCTCCCACATCGCCATGGTAGCTTTCATCGGCGGCTCCGCTGGCAGCTACAATATTACTACTCTCCTCGTGTTACGCTTCTTTGCCGGTACTTTTGGGGGATCCCCCCTTGTCAACTCGGGCGGTACAATCGCGGATCTCTTCCCTCCCGCTCAGAGAGGTCTTGCACTAACGCTTTATTGCGTCGCGCCCTTTCTTGGTCCAGTACTTGGTCCCGTTGTAGGTGGCTTCGTTTCTGAAAACAGTGGATGGCGGTGGGTACAAGGATTGTGTTGTATCCTCGTGGGAGTGATAGGCATTCTCGGGGCGATATTCATCCCTGAGACATATGGCCCTGTTCTGCTAATTAAGAGATCTGCTCACCTGTCCCGCATTGATGGCAAGGTGTACATCAGCGTTCTGGAAATAAAGCAGGGTAAGAAGCAGCCATCGAAAATTTTCAAGAAAGCTTTGATACGCCCATGGGTATTTCTCTTTCGAGAGCCTATCGTGTTTGTCGGTTCGCTATATATAGCTATCATCTACGGGACGGTCTATATCTTCATGAGTGCCATGCCCATCGTCTATAACGAGTACCGTGGTTGGAGCGAGGGCATTGGAGGGCTTGCATTCATGGGAATCGCTGTTGGTCTTCTTCTGGGATTGGTCTACGCCGTCTACGACAACTATGCACGTTATATGAAACTAGTTTCGACCCAATCGGCAACCCCAGAATCACGCTTACCACCAGCTATAGTCGGTGCCATTGCTCTTCCATTTGGGATGTTTGCTTTTGCTTGGACAAATTATCCCCATGTTCACTGGGCTGTTAGCATCATCCTGTCAACGCCATTTGGTTTTGGATGTGTTCTCGTCATCCTGCCGGTGCTCAATTACCTTATAGATTCATACACCATATACGCAGCTTCAGTTCTTGCAGCAGCAGCTATATTCCGCTCCATCGTTGGTGCCGTGTTCCCGTTATTCACTAACCAGATGTACCATAATATTGGAATCCATTGGGCATCCTCAGTGCCGGGTTTCCTGACCCTTGCTTGCATGCCCTTCCCGTTTATCATGTATCGTTACGGCAGACAAGTACGGATGAAATGCAAGTACGCCTCAGAAGCTGCTGAAACCATGAAGCGGATGCAGATGCAGCAAGAGCCGGAATCTCAAAGGACAGATACATATAACTCCAGCAGTGAATAAAGGAGAAACTGGGCTGGAAATATTTCCAAGATCATTTAAATGTACGTAGGTACCTGTCGTTAGTCGATTTAGATTTTGGACTCTGTTTCCTATTCTTTATCTAGATGTACCTTGTGACTAGATATTTATTTTCCCCCCTCATATTCCGAACTATTACCGATAATGTATGATCATAACAATTGTAATTATCGACTCATTGAAGAATAGTGACTTTCAGGCAACCACTGCTCAAGAGAACAATGCCTCTGGGCACTTTTCATCGCAACCAACTAGCGAGGCAACTTTAATCGCCCTTTGGACTCCATCGACCGTCCCAGTAGCTATCGCAATCCTATCATCTCCATTTTCTTTCCACTTGATCGGACCTGGAGGCAACGTTGTTGAAGACGGATCCGACCAGTTTAATGTATACTGAATAGCAGGACACAAGTTTGGAAGCATACCATTACTGAAATCAAAGCCGCCTCCGAATTGGGTGGGGATATCATCATGGTGAATGGATTGGTTCAGGACGGGATAGACGTCCACCGACTTCAACACTACGATCTTCTCCGCAGTCACAGGGTCCACGAACTTCTTCAGGATGTTCCACATCTGCGAGAAATATGTTGGAGCATTGCAAACCTATAAGACTGTCAGTTACGATCACCCTTTTGTGCTCTTGCTATAACTGACATGAATACGATCAATTGTTTCTGGATAGCATGTGGACAAGATCCAGGTAATTTCCCTTGCAAAGTCTCGAAGATCCCACGCTTGCTTAAAACCGAGAGATGATGCATCTATTAAATATACTGATCTGGAGACAGGTTCAGGGGACTGTGGCCGGTCGTGCATTGCTGAGCATAGTGGAAAGACGAATCGTGTAATATAATCGTGAAGTACGCAGGCTCTTTGAGCCATATCGGGCCTTGTATTATTGATATCGGCGCAAGAATCGTGGCTTGATATTTCTGTTGTTTCTCGCCAATGGGAAATTGCCTCTTGATCGAGATGGGCTACATCTATCATAAAGATGGGTAATCCTCGACTATCCCGACGGCCTGTCCAGTGCGGATACTATGATCTAAGATTTCAGTCGAAGCTTGAACACGTTTGTGGACAGCTCACCAGTTTTCGGGTGTCTTCGAAATCATCAACATTGATTAAATCATACAGTTGAGTAACATTTTTCGTACAATGGAATTTAGTTGCTTCCCGAAATTGTTTCAGTGCAGCTGACACATCCATCCGGTTTGCTTTGAGAAACCGTCTTTATAGATTAATATGAGAGTTTTAGCATTCTTGTATAGCATAACTTACAGCAGGGTAGTAGCATCCGTGATGCCGTCTGCTCGATCGCTTTCTTCCATGCCGTCACGACGGTCCAACAGCCCATGCTCGGCACATAAGCCATTGAATTTCGATAATACTGCGGTGTTGTCCGTCGCCATCATTGCTTTTACCGTCAACAGTAGTAGTCAATACAGCGGATCAATCGCTATTTTTTCTTATTGAGCTCCAAGTAATATAATTTGCAGGTGAGGTCTACAAGATTTGGGCGCTATTATAATGGGGCATGCCTGTTATGTATGGCGAATAACGAAGCCTCGGGCAGAAAATCTAGATTACAAACCCCATACGCTATTACCCTGATTCGGCAGGTCCGAGATTATCCCCTGTCACTCACTCTCCAAGGCAGGAAAAGTTAGACTCGTAACGCGCTAGGACGCGGGGGCCAGAAGGGAACAGTGCCGGTTGCGCGCTGTGGTTGGTCCAGCCGGTTCTCAATTGAAGCACTCGGAATCTGGGATGACTGCCCGAGCCATCGGTAATCGCCCTGGTAGTCGCCTATGGATCCGAGGACACTACATATTACGATTACGTATCCCAATATACACAGATGCACGGAGGTACACTCATGTTGCCATGAGGTATTTTGGGATGTCATACCTATTTCTCATATGCCGGGTAGCGAACTACGGATACGGGTATGGTAGAATGATCGATGAGTTACCTGGTCGCCGTGAAGAAACTTAAAACAATCGGGATCCTTGGAACAATGGTAGACCCTAGATGACATCGCTGACATTGCTTGATCTGCTTATCATCAAGATCTCATAAAGATTTGGCCGGTTCACTTAACCCGAGAGTTGGGGCTCGACTTAGTTTCAACCAGACGTTGGCGGTGTGTAATTCTCACCCAAGAGATGAGCAGACAGACTGTGACTTTGTCAGCATTAAAAGACGCAAATAGCACTGGAAGAGAACAGTCTAGAAAGCATACCATCGTCCGCGGTGAATTTTAACGAAGTGCGACGTTTGACTGCAAGATGAATGCCTAAGAAGATTGTGCTTAGAAACAGCCCTGTAATTAGTGTATCTTGGATAGGCAAATAAAGATATGGCAAGCGTGTACTTTCTAGCATTGTGCGTGTCAGTATTCTTTCCATTGCTGGTCAGCAAGTATATTGTTGTCCTCCATCGACCAATTCATAATTCCAAACAGTGCATCTAGCCATCTAGTATAAATACATGCTGTATCTGAACTTGATGTTTTCACACTAGTTTCATCACGATATGACGCTTCTTGGTGAGGGTAAAGTTACGGGTAAAGAATCGTAGGGAATTTCTTTCTGATAGCTTACACCCGAGAAAAGGTTCAGGGTACGGTCATCCAAGGACCAAAGCTCCCAGTGGCACGAGTAAGAACTAGCATAACCTTGCGAATCAGAATTTTCTCGATGGCGTATAATTTTTCAAGTTGATCGTTTCCGAATTCTTCACCTGTTCTTGAACGAAACGCTACCTTTGACAATTCAGAATCGATAAAAAAGTCCATATATCCATTTGCGGATCACTAGACGTCGTTCCTGATCGCTGGATGCACGTTCCCGTTCGGGCCACTGGATGTTCCCATTCCGATTTCGGGTCACGGTTGTTCCCTAGACATGAGCGGCTCAGTGAGCCGGACTGTGAGTGCCCTCACAAAAGCGGCGGCAGCTGAAAAAGGAAGACCACCTGGCAGGGAAAATATGGTTCGTATAGTCACCTAGGTAATTTCCTAAAGGTATATCAATGCGAACAGTCTTCCACATATATAACATGTGTTCCCGCAAACATTGTGCCATTATCTTCGAGAAACCATATCGTCGACCTTGATAATCTGTGACGAAATCAAATACTTGAACCCATTCAACTTTGCTTCGCCGAACCAAGCAGTTGCTGGAATGACAGGCAAGTTCTGCCATTCCTGATAAAGTAGTGGGTTGCTATCATCAAGTCCGAAGAGCGTGCTCCATCCTTCCCCATCCAGACACGCCGAATCAGAATAATGATGATAGCGCACCTCTCGACCATCTCCTTCGTTCTCCGCTGAATGGTATGTGGCCAGTCGTTGTATTTCATTGCAGACTAGACTCGACACATCTGTGACTCGGGCAAATGATATTGAGGATCCGGCGGATAGATCCGCATGTTGGAATCGTTTGCTTAACTTTAATCCTATTTGACAAATGGCTTCGGTCACTTCTGAGATGCTGACGGTACCCGGCGCTGCGTCGTCGTTTCTTCCGGTAGTAGCTCCATCAAGCATGCGAATAATTGTCACGGGAGTGCCCAATGTTTCCTGAGCCTGCTTGAGCAGTGTCTCATTGATGTACTTGCTAGCAAGATACCCAGTAACGTTTGGACGAGAGAGATATGCAACCGACTGAATATCGTCAACAGCCCCAGAAGAAATAAATATAATTGGCGTCTTCCTCGGCGCCGTTAGACGTACGAGCTCTTTAGTCGAAAGCACGTTAGCCGACCTAAGCAAGCGGTAAGGGTTCCAGAATGATCTATCACTTCCACAGTGTAAGATGACATCTGCATCTTGACTCAGAGCTTGGAAATCCACGGCTGATAGACCCAGGGACGGGCTTGTCAGGTCACCCTGGTAGAGACTAACTTTGGGAAGCGATTTGGAGACCAAGAGATTGAATGATTTCTGGCGGACTGCGAGACAGGAAATCCGGGATATGTTTTGCATGTCGCCAAGCTGTTTCAGGACATGACGACTAAGGAATCCAGAGGCACCGGTGACGAGCACATGAATACCTTCTTTATGGTTTAATGTTTTCTCGATTCGATCGAGAATTTCAACTGGCTCAGTGTCGAGAATGATCTCACTCTCCCAGTCAATCGGCTCTACTGAGAGTGCAGTGGCTGTCTCGCACGTGTTGGCCATACCCTCCAACGTCGTTTCCTCCAGAAGCTGTGCAAGCGGTATATCCAATCGCATTTCTTGATGTATGATTACCTGCAATTTGACAAGAAGAAGAGAGTTGCCGCCAGCGGAAATAAAATCGGTTTCTTTTTCCGGCTTGATAGACAAGGTTGCCTCTCTCGGTAAGACGCGGCACCAAAGTGCCCAAATGGCCTCCATTTGTCCAGCTAAATAGGATGTCTCGACAGATGATGATTCTGGAAGTGTGATTTTAGAGATTGCATCACGATCGACTTTGCCATGGCTTGTCATGGGCATCTCTTCAAGCGCAAACAGCATAGCTGGGCGCATGTATGAAGGTACCGAAAGTTGGTGTGGTAGTCGCCGTAAAAGCGCCTCTCGTCTCTCAGCGGACAATCCTGGAGTGAAAACCAAGTGACCAGCAAGAAATTTCTGATCAATTTCCTTGCCTCGAAGCGTAACGGCGGCCGAGGTAACCAGCCCATTTGCGCTGTCTAATATCGATTGTTCAACATCTGACAACTCAACCCTGAATCCACGCAGTTTGACCTGCGTGCTTTCCGAAGAAATTCTACCATCAAAGAGCAATGACCCATCTTCACGCATTCGGCCTCTATCGCCAGAGAAAAACACCGTTTTCCAGCCGTGTTCGGCGTGTATGGGAGTAGCGAATTGGTCAGGAAGGAATTTCTGAACGGTCATCTCGGACTGTTTAAAGTATCCTGAGCTTATACCGGGACCTCCTATGAGGATTTCACCTGGCCAACCCAGAGGCACAGGTTGCCGATTTTGGTCAACGATATAAGTGGAAACATTGGGTAGATGACGGCCCAATGGTACTCGTTGGTCCGAATTAGACTTGTATTGTAGCTCAACTCGATAACTAGATAGAGTTGCTTCGGCTGGACCATAATCACTGAAAACGCGAAGCTGGTCAAGGTTCAATGATTTCAATGCGTCAAGGAGCGATCGTGGAATGACTTCACCCCCGATTCCTGCAACCTTCCAATTTTGTGCTTCTCGAAGAGTGTCCGATCCAACCCACAGCCAACTATTGTACTCTGATGGAGTCGCTTTGGTGTACTCGATATCCTTGTCAACGATAAGACGACTGATGGCTTTGGCATCTCGGCGCATTTCGCGGGGTACGACATAGACAGAGCCTCCAAAATGCAAACCAAGGAAAACCTGAGTCAATGCATGGTCAAAAGTTATGGCGCTTTGTTGCAGGACTCGTGGCTTTACTAGATCAAGTTTTGACATGGCTTCGACGCGGTCCATGATACCCCCGTGGGTAAGGACGATGCCTTTCGGGGCGCCGGTAGTGCCTGAGCTATAAAGAACAATGGCGGGCGCGGAATAATCCATTGTGGCGGGCTGTTGTAAATAGGGCTCGGTACTTGTAAAGATAGAACGGAGGTCAATTTTCATAACATCATAGTCATTGTTTGACTGGTCGCAATCCTTTGTAAGGACAACCCGAGCATCAGAAGAACGTATGACTGATTCCTGACGGGCAGGAGGCCACGAAGGATCTACTGGAATGCAAACAGCTCCGATGTTCAGGATAGCGAGCATTGAGCAAATCCAGTCGGGAGTAGGTTGCTGGAGAATCACAACGTTGTTGCTCTTTTCAATGCCGAGGCTGAGAAGCGTGCTCGATATCCCGTCAATGCGCGAAGCCATCTCGGCGTACGATAAACAACTCTCAGAGCCCTCCAAGGCTACATTGTCGGGTGTATTTTGACAGTATGAACGAATAGTGTGCATTAATGATGGAGATGAAGTTTCCCGGATTTCTCCTGTTTTTTACCTAGTCAGACTCGTGGAGTGATTATGACATGATAGAGAATCTTACCTTGTCCAACTTTCACAGCCTTATCTATATCAGTCTTTGAAAACATTCTTACACCTCCCATCGATAGAGCTGGATTCCGTGAAAATGTCGACAAGAGATTCACGAAGCTGTTGAGAAGTAACGAAGCCGCCTCTGGGGGGTATGACGACCTTTGAGTTTTCATCCTAATAGTCGTTTCTAGTGGCTCATCATTCACTTCCAAAGATAGGTCGTATGCCGTTCTGCTGCGAGACGTCTCGATTCCCGCGACGTGGAGCATTCCTGGCTTAATCATTGCCGGATCTCTTCTGAGATCAGCCCGTCCCTTTCTGTAATCTAGAAAAGCCTGGAACAGAGGCGTGTGGAAGGAGCTGCGAGGGACGTTGAGCATCTGCACAAGCGCATCAAACGGCAGTCTGTTATGAGCAACTGCCGTGCGAATCTTCATCTTGCATTGCGTAACCATCTCTCCGAAGCTCTGCTCTCGCGAAAAAGAAAGTCGTATGGGTAGTAAGTTCAGAAACAGGCCCATGGTCTTGGCGTCACTTTCGCTGTTACGTCCATCATGTGCCATACCAATGCATACATCTTCGGCTGCCGTAAATCGAGCTAGCAAAACATTAAGCGCTGCCATATAAAAGTGGACAGGATTTGCTTTGTGTTTTCGGCTTTGATCCTTGATGCGCGTCGCCAACATCGGGGGTAGCTGTATAGTTGCTTCATGTTGATCATATAATAAAGGCTCCTTTCTGGACGAAGAATGGGCTATGGGCAAAAGGGAAAGTGGTGGAGGGAGCGTCTGGTACTCGGTTTTCCAATATACCACGTCTTCTGCCATCTTGCCCTCCTCCATTTCGGCTCGCTGCCGTTCCGAGAATTCCACATACTGGAATGGCTCTGGCAGGTTCTTCATGCCTTGGTGCATTGCATTCAACTCATGGAAAAGCAGATCGAAGCTAGCTCCATCTAAGATGATGTGGTGATAAGCAATTGCGAGAAAATGCTCTTCCGCCCCCCAGCTGAAAAGAACAAAGCATGCGGTGTCCCCCGATGCTGGGTCAAACCGACGGCGACATATATCTTTGAACCTTTCCGAGGCAGCCGCCTTGTCTGAACATTGAACCTCCTCCAACTGTAAACACGATGTAGGCGAGATAATCTGCAACGAGACGCCGTCTTCGCTATTGCAGAAGCGAGTACGGAATATTTCGTGTCTTTGAGTGATGGCTGCCACAGCGGCCCGCAGATTCTCTACTCTCAGGTTACCCGCGATCCAAAGGCCAATAGCGACTGTGAAGAAACTCTCATCCGGAACAAGGGGTCTCATGGCCCAAAACCGAGCCTGGTTGTAGGACATCCTCGCTTCATGTACTTGATTCTGACTCGAGGAGAGAATATTTCCAGTCAATGGAGTAGTCTCCGTGCAGAGAGTGTCTGCTGTAGTCGAAGTCTGAAAGGTAACGTAGTCATCCATGTCTTTAACGTCAAGACTGTCGCTTTCTGATGACGTTTCAGGAGTCAGCGCGGGTCCGTTGGATGAGACATCATCGCTCTGACTTGATTCTCTTGAAGACTGAGTACCATCTTCGTCTGCTGTTTTTTCTGATACCAGTGGCAACATCGCTGGGTCTAGCGTTTTCAGTACGCTTTGGGCAAGCTCAGAAATCGAAGCACCGCCGATGATCCGGAGAACAGGAACGTCTGCAGTCAATTCTTTGGAAAACCTTTTTGTTACATTAGCACCGAGTGACCCGACTATATAGGGTCTTTTACTAACCATGTACGCAAAGTGACAGCGACCAAAGAGTCGACTCCCTGGTCAATTAGAGGTCCCTCTTCATCCACAGGCTCGTTACTCGCGAGCCTCAAAGTCGACCTCAATTTGCCGACTAAGGCATCTGTAGGAAGGTCAGAAGTCGTACTGAAGAATCATGGAAAACGTGTGCATGCCTTTCAGTATATCAAATGCAGAATTCGCATCCGTCGCAACTAACAATTTCTCGCGTACCGACAGAGAGCCATGAGATGAAGAATGGTCAGACCGGCTTTCTTCATTGGGTAATCTCCAGAAAGAGACTCGCGGGTCGTCAAAATGAGTGATGTGTTCCCGGTTCTTGTATTCCAAATATGGGATTCCCGTAATAATTTCCACTGGCTCTCCATCTTGGTGAGGTTTACCTGCGACAACCGCCTCGGCAAATAGCTCATCAACATCCTGCTCACCTATGGGGACAAACGTATATGGGTTGAGTTCATAGCCCGATTCTCGCGCGGCTTTGGCAACATATCCAACTCCGTAAACGGCACTAAGGGCGATGCATGAACCGGCGAGCCCTCTACGTCTTCGCTGTGCGGTTAATGTAGACAAGAAGTTGTTCGCTGCAGTGTAATTACTCTGCCCACTATTCCCAGCAATAGTCGCCAATGAAGAAAAGCAGATAAAAAAGTCAAGAGGACGCTCAGAATCGAAGTATTCATTCAGATGAATGGCGCCGTTTACCTTGGCGTCGAGGACTACTTCCATAGATTCGTAGTCCATGTTCTCAAAAAGAGCATCCTGTAATACCATGGGTGCATGAGCAATTCCTGCAATGAGAGGCAAGCTTGCTTGAATTTTATCTAGCGCTGTTCGCAAAGAACTGCGATCACTCACGTCACTGGTGTAGTTGCAGCAGATGTTAGTCAACAGCCAGAACCAGCAAGAAAGAATAGAGCTTACATGGAGTGCGCCTGTACAGTGGCTCCTTCGTCTTTCATCATGTCCAGCCAGGCTGGGTCAATTTTTGGATTTCGACTTGCCAGAACAATATACCGAGCACCGTGCCGTACCATCCAGCGGCATAATCCGCGGCCGAGGTCACCAGTGAGGCCAAAAAGGACGTATGTCTTCTGATCCGCAAATAAATCAATTGAATCAATCGGTTGAACTAGCGTGGGTAGTGAAGCAACTGCCGTCCAATCTAGCAAAGTACAATCCTCAAGTTGATTTGGGACTTCCGTGATGCTTGACACACTGATAGAATGGCAAGGGCCGATATCCTTGGTTGTAACACCGCCTGCTACAGTTTCAAAAACCTCTTGACATGCCGTCTGGTCGCCAGAGAAGCTGCTGAGTGGACGCAGCAAATCGGCACGAGTGCGCTTGAAGCAATCCACGGGAAGGGATTCAGCCAACTTAATACCGAAGCTGTTGAGACCCTGTTCGGTTGATAAGTTCCAAAACGAGTGAATGTTGGTGTCCAAGGTACGTTTAATCATGCTCTGTGTTAGATGAGGGTGAAACAAAACCCAGTGGGCAGTACTCTTCTCGTTAACTCGCATTTTGTCAGTCGTGGTAAGCCTTAAATTCACATTCCTCTCAGCAGAATGTCTGACAAGTGGTCCGATGAGAAATTCAAAGGGTTCGTTGACGACAACAGTTTTCCCCGATGGTACATTGGACACAATACGTGATGCCAATAAATTCGCCGCTAGAGCAGCCAGATATTCCACTGGTCCCTCGGGAGAACATAATAAAGTCCACCGGGCAGATACTTTGACGATTGAAGAGTGAAATTCACTCAGAGCAAAAACATTTGTTTGCGTACCCAGGACCTTTCCGTGTACAAGGTACAGGAAGCCCGAATGGCCAACAGAAACAGCCTGTAATAAGGAGTGCTGGACTTCTAGTAGGATCCAGTCAGACCGAGTCCAACTATCTGAGAAGTTTCTGGTGCTACCTGACACCTGGAAGTGATATTGACCACTCTCATCGCCTGGAACAACACTGACAATATTGGTGTCAAGAGATGTCTGTTCTATAATTCGACGATTGCGGGAGTTATAACGAAGGTTCCGCGGAATGTCTGCTTTTATTCGAGGAAGATGCTTACTACCTCCTTGCAGGCGAATCTCTGGTTCAGTCGTCCATACCAGATCGTCAGGCCTCATGTCAGGGGCAATTTCCAATTGCAAAAGACTGGTTGCTATTTCCACTCCAGAGACTTCAGAAATGTCTTGGAAGTCTAGTATCTGCATGCAGACCTCGGGATACTCCTGCCTCAAGGTCCGCGTGAAGCCAACAACCATGGCTTGATATGGATTTTCCGCATAAGCGCCGGTTGTTACCCATAGAATAGTCCGAGCAGACGAAAATAAGTCCTTCAAACTATTAAGACTTTCATCATCCAGAGAAGCAAACAGCGGGCTGTCTAGTTCCGACAAGATGACGTATGACCTTTTGTTCTCTCTGGGAATACCCTTAATTATTTGGTATGAGCAAGTTGAACGTTTTGGCAAAGAGTGTCGGATATCTTCCAGGACTTGAGCTGATGCTTGGGTAGCACCTCCTATAACTGTGATGGGTGTATCCGACAACCATGCGCCCAGCTCTCGGAAAGCTGGAGACAAGGCTTGTTCAAGTATATTCATCTTGTCACTCATGTATCGAGATACCATGAGATCGGAAGCTCGCAAATCGCCGTCAGCTAGTGGAGAATGGTACTCTATTCCGGAAAAATCATGGTCACGCAAGAGGGAATCCCAAGAGGACCATGAAACGATAGGAGACAGCCCTCGTTCCTCGTCAATAGAGTCCCACCAACCAGGCAAAGCTCCAAAGATAAAGTCAAGCCGACTTTGTTTGGTATTAGTAATATTGACCATTAACAGATAACCACCGGGTTTCAATAGACTCCGTACGTTGGTGAGAACTTCGGAAATATCTTTGGTAGCATGGAAAACATTTGCCGCAATCACTAGACCATACGTATGCGGTTTAAAGCCTTGATACTCGGGACTAGAGCTGATATCGAGGGTACGAAATGTCATTCGACTGGTTGTTTTGGAAAAGTCCTCTTCGGCTTGTTTGACAATCTCCGGGTTGATATCGGTGAATGTGTAGCCCTTGTAAACTGATGCTAGATTCTGTAAAACATGCCGTGTGGCCATCCCGGTACCAGCTCCTTTTTATTGGAATTTTAGTAGAAGAATATTAGTCCAAATGCAGATGCCAGACTCACCGATTTCGAGCACATCAATGTCAGGATAGCGATGTGTTAAAGAAGAAACCATATCCGCCAAATGTTTGTAACCCGCCGAGTAGAGTTTCGAATCCAGCAAGCTTGCCAAAAGGTCATCTCGCGTCAAAATTTCGTGCATGTCGGCGTCATCAAAAATGGCTGCAGATAAGTTCTCGCCAATTCGCTTGACGATTTGAAGTTCGGCAGACGTAGGATACCTATCAAAATCTGACTTAACGTTGATGATTACTGTTGAGGAGCAAAGGTACTTACTGTGCTATCAGTTGCTCGATATCTTCGGATGTATCCCTTTCCCAGGCTGCTTGGTAGAATGGATGCTCCCCCAACGCAACCATAGTGAAGAGATGTTCTGCCCAGTTAAACATATGCTGATGGACAGTAAGTGCTTCCTGTTTGTCATCATGGGACAGATTCGACATAAGAGTTTTGGTGTAGTAGTAGACCATTCTCTCTGCTGCTGTGGCGGCGCTCTTGTCCTCTTCTGAGAAAGAGTCATCTCTAGCAATGGGTTTGGGAGGCCACTGTTCCCATACCCATTTAGAGAACATCGCTCTATCTTCTGCTTCAGATCTATCAGAGAATGAACGAGATTTCAATCCTTCGATTTGAACGACGGTGTTACCGTTGACGGACAGGCAGACATCTGCCGATTTTCCGTCGAGGTTATCAGCTGAAAAGTCGATGCTACCATCTGTTATAGACCGAGCAATAAAGGGGTTCAATGCAATGCGCTCAATAATGACTGGAACATAGACGGACTGTACTCTGCCATCCTTTGGAGCGTGGTATGCAACATATGGAGCCTGTAGAGCAAGGTCGAGCGTCGCAGGGTGGATGATCCATTTTCGTGATGTGCTCTCGTCGAATGGAGGAGCTACCCTCAATGTCCCACGGGCATGACCGGTGGCTCTTCGAATGGAGGTTAGCCCTCGAAAGTGGCCGGTGTATCCGAAGCCCAAGTCCAGTTGAGCCTTGTAGAATAAATCTGGAGAAGTCTCTACCAAATGAGGGGGCTCTTTGGCTGGAGGAGCAAGCTCTAAAGTAGACTCGGAACCCAGCATGACAAGTAGCTTACCCTTGGCCGACCAAGACAGAGTGCGCTCCTTGGATAGACATGAATCACATTGGAAGACCAATTCAAAAACTCCTTTATCATCAGGCACTGGAGATAAAACGTCCATCTTAAATGTCACCTCGGCAGCATCGTCCTCGCCATCAAAAGTTATAGCTTTTCCGAGTTGTAATCTCCTAACCTCTATTAACGCGACCTGCCTCTTTCCTGGGAGCATCAATAGCGCAGCCTCCATAGCCATGACCACGTAAAAGGCTCCGGGAAGAACCGTTAGCCCTTGAATTCGATGGCCATCTAACCAACTCATTTCTCGTGGAAGTAGAACGTTATGCCATTTCCATGATTCTGCGGTGGTGTTGGGATCCAGAGTTCCAAGAAAAGGGTGCTGGACCTTGTCATTGGCAAAGAGGTAGTTATGCAACAACCTACTCTCTCTGTAAAATAGCCGGCGATGGTCCCAAGGGTAAATTGGTAGGTCAGTTACCATATTAGGCGCTGGCGCACTTCCATCACCAAATATCACACTGTCAAGTAACGGTAGGTTGGCAGCTTTCGCGCCGAACCGCTCCCATAGGAACCCAAGCGCGGAACTTAATGCATTCCAGTCATCCCCATTTCTCTCCATACATCCAATATATGGGAGTTCTTTGCCAATAGCACTTTGAACGGTACTAAGACAAGGGCCCTTGAGGGCTGGGTGAGGTCCAACCTCAATGATTACGTCAAACAACTCTGGTTCGGAGTCGAGAGCTGCTTCAACTGCTTCAGAGAATAAAACGGGGGATACCAAGTTGTCCTTCCAGTACTCGGGATTTGCGTCATGTGAAGTCATTTGGTGTGGCGGGTGAACAGAAGATATCCATTTGCATTGACTGCGGCCACCAGGAACCCGGAAAAAAGGCTTCAAACTTCTTATGTAAGTTCTTGCACATGACTTCATGTGGTGTGAGTGGTATGCTTTATCGACTCGCAACATTCTGGCAAACTTATGTTCACCATCGAAAACTGCTTTTGCTTCCTCAATAGCGTCTAAATCACCAGAAAGAGTGACACTATCAGGGCCATTGCTCGCTGCCACACCAATGCGACCTGTGAACTTCTCTGAAAGACATAAACCACGAGCTTCTTTCAGGCTAGTTCCAACGGCCAGCATGCCACCGGACGCACCTGAAGGGCTTGCAGCTTCCTCGAGGACGCGCCCACGAAAGTACGCAGCTTTGATCGCTTGAGATGCAGTCAACCTTCCTGAAGCAAAAGCACATCCGATCTCTCCGGAGCTGTGACCAACAACAGTGGTGAAGTTAACCCCAGCAATTCTCAGCAGCTTCACTAGTAGTATTTGGACAGCCGCACACAATGGCTGAGAGAACTCCGCCTCATAGACACGCGAGGCATCTTTGTCTTTCTGCAGTTCTTCAAGGAGCGTCCACGAGGGTCTATCTTCAGCTGATAGACTCCTAAGCGCATCGTCAAGTTCATCAATAGTTTCTCGGGCATACTCGGAATGCTGCAACAACATCTTCCCCATGCCTGCCCACTGAGCTCCTGTACTTCCATTAGAGTGTTGTCCTTTTAGGGAACGCGACATGTTTCAGAAAAGTTACCTTGACCAGTAAAGATACCTAGCACACGAGGTTTCCTTTTGGTTAATACCGTTTTTGTCACAGTCTTCCCATTTCCATTGGCCTTGAGTTCGTCAAGCTTCCACTCCAGATTTGTGCATGCTTCTGTCGTGTCACGGGCAGGAACTGCCACGCGGAACGGCAGCACGGAGCGTTTCTCATACAAAGTCCAGCTAACATCTCTAATCGAAATTTGTGGATGCTGGCGCAGATAGATCAGAAGTCTTTCTATTGAATCGCACAACGAAATTTCAGAGTTGGCCGAGATTGTCAGTGGCACGCAGGAACTGAGAAGGTGATCTGCTGAGGGATTGTTCTGCAAATTCACGAACTGTTCAACAATTACGTGACAGTTGGTTCCTCCGTATCCTGTGATATATCGTCAGTCTATTTTCAGAAGATGATAGGATGATCAAGAGAAAATTATAAATACCAAATGAGTTAACACTTGCTCGACGGGGAACGCCTTTTGGGAGAGATGGCCATGGGAGGCATTCGCCGGTAACGATCTTTAGATCATCATAGTAAGGCGCCACTCTCGGGCTTATATTCTCAAAAAGCATATTCGGGGGAATCATCCCATGTTGTACGGCTAGGGAGGCTTTCAGAAGGCCTGCGACACCTGCTGTGCCTTCTGTATGGCCAATGATAGTCTTGATACTACCCACGTAAAGAGGTTCTTCGTATTCACCGCGAGAGCGATCACCAAAAAAAGCTCGGCTTATAGCCTGAGATTCCTGAGGATCACCTGCTGGTGTTCCAGTTCCTATAGGCTTGTCAGAGCATTACTCATCAAAGTAATGGACGACATATCGTACCGTGTGCCTCAAAATATTGGCATCTATTAGTTGGGTTGGAAGGATCGAGACCAGCTCGACGATACGTCTCTCTAATAAGGGCTTCCTGTGCAAGGTTGCTGGGCATTGTAATCCCCAGAGTTCGGCCATCCTGGTTGACTCCGGTTTCCCGGATGATGCAGTCAATCTTGTCCCCATCTTTCATAGCTTGATCGAGCGTCTTGAGGATCACTGCACCAATCCCTTCACCACGGCCATAGCCATCAGCAGCTGCGTCCCACATACGTGAGCGGCCGCTAGGTGAAAGCATGCTCAGCTTACTTTCGGCAATGTAGAGCTCTGTTGTATATCTTTAGTAATCGCGAATGGCTTGGGAATAAGATGGATTACATACTAGGTCCCAAGAGAAGATTTGATCCCGCTGCAACGGCGACAGAGCAGTCTCCATTTCTCAGAGCTCGAGCAGCATGATGAACCGCCACCAGACTACCGCTGCAAGCCGTGTCAAGAGTGACCTGCGAGATATTTATTTTAGCAAATTTGAATCGTCCATTATAGCGATACAAAACTTTTCTTCGGTAATACATACGCTCGGACCATGCCAGTCGAAGAAGTAAGAGATACGATTTGAGGCCAGACTGTTCGCGACGCCTACACCAAAATGTTGCGGGGTCATCTTGAGATCATGCTGCATGATATCAGTGTAATCAGAAGACATCAAGCCAACATATGCCGCGGTCGATGAGCCCTGGAGATCTTCCATTCGAAGACCAGCATTGCACAGAGCCTCATAGACAACTTCCAGCGTTAGCCTGTGCTGGGGGTCCATACATTCTGCTTCTTGAGGCTTGATGGAAAAGAAGTTGGCGTCCCAGGCGTGAGGATTCTCGCTTAGGAAGTAGGAGTGCCTAACATTGGTGGCATTGTGATGTTTCCCATCTGGGTGGTAAAAAGCCTCAACGTTGTATCGTTCCCGGGGAATCTCAGAGAGCAGGTCTCTAGGTTGCTTCAGTAACTCCCATAGCTTTGACGGTGAGTCGACATCACCTGGGAAGCGGCAGCCCGCTCCAATGATAGCAATGGGTTCAGAGGCCATTTTCTTGCAATGGTGTTATATTGGGACGAAGGAATAGGGAGTGCGATGATAAGAAGTGGCAACATATATAATGTATCTACATAGAGCAGGATATCGGTATTTAGGATGACATGCTGTAGAGATGAACCAGGAACAGGAGCTTGATCAACTGGGAATACTCCCTTTTTATTTCAAAGGGGTGATACCTTTGCATTAGCAACTGACAATAAAAACGGACCCCTGCCGTGGGTACCATTTCAGGCTATCCTTCTTACTATCATTAATCAAACACACTCAGGCCTTATAATGCAAGAACCATGTAATACAAGGCGCGCTTGCCGTCAAATAATCTCGGTTCTATTCACCCTGGTCAAAAGTGGTAAGAAATCAATCTAGAAGTGGAATCAATGCATGCATTCCTATATGTACTCAGCCCTGGTTCACAAGCTGATGGCACGAGTCACGCCTACTGATGGATGATTTACTGGTTTCCTAACTTTTAGACGCAGATTTCATGACCAAAGCATTATTCGAATGTGCAACTCATGCCTCTTCATCGTTGTTTAATGGTTGTTATGTTGATGCAGCTATATGACTTGTTCATTTAAATCCCTCCGGGGCTGTAGACACATGGTCACAGTTCTAGCGTCAGCAACATCAGTAGGTAGCTTTGAAGCTTTCAATGTTGATGGCTGCATATATACTGTCCGGTAGTAGCCCCTGAGAACAATCAATCGTTCAGACCAATGATTGATCCTGCTAATAGTGCTATAGAAACCCTCAGAGCTGCAGAGATATTGTCCGGTGTGTCCGGTGTCAGCATGAATCGATCAGTTGATCCAATAGTTGGCCCTGCTATTGGTGTTATAATCCCCTGAGAATCTGAGCAGTATAAGACTCCTCTCGAATCAGATACATAGGACTTCGCACGAAATCATATCTCAGAATTAATCTAGAGTTCAAGGGACGCTACTAAGTATATGCAGCTAAAGAAGGATGACTGTGCATTATACTGGCAGCTCTCTTATAATTGGGTCAAATGACGCCGCAACCAAATACAAATACGATGTGTTGGGAACTTGACCAATTAGTCCAACAAGCTGCGCGCCTACCTACTACATGTGGTAAGATGTAGCCAGCAACGAGGATCGTACCTAGTGTGTAGAACGAGAAGACAGAATTTCCAAGATAACATGACCGTCTGCATGTAAGTGATTAAATAGTATTCTAGATATTAATCTGCTGTTAGGGGCGGTATGTGTATATAATCACCTGCCTAGGTAGGTATATGTGTGATGATCACAGGGAGGTATTCATACCATATTTATATCCGAATTTCCAGTATGCTAATATTATGTTGGGAATATCACCTCACATCACATATCACCTTTGCCAGCTATTTACATCCATACTAGATCATCTAGTATGCGCGCAGCTTTTTGGTCTAGTTGGTCAAAAGCCCAACATATTATGATACAAGAAGTGTACATACATACCGTTAAACTGTGCCCAAAGCTAATGTCCACGTTTTTCTGGGTACGGAGCAGGGGATTCAAGTCCAATGCAGTGTCTCAATGCAGGGTACGTGATGACAGGATCCACTGTATTGATATTACACAGAATTAATTTTGGGGTCAGCTTTTTCTCACACATGTTGGTACCGGATACTATAGCTACATAAGCGACAAAAGTCATAATATGCTAGTTCCATATGTCCCTTACGGATTACGAGCGAAAATAACGTCTGAAACAACACATCACAATTGAAGACTCAAAAACATTGAAAATCTATAAGATTGAGGTACCTAATCCACTCTTCCAATTTACCCGAAAGTCTAAAAAAGCTTCTATCCTAGCGAGAGATGAATCGATTTACTCGGAAAGGACAGAGTATTCTGTACGTCCTAGTGAGGCTAGGGCGAGAGTCGGGTGATATTCGGAGCTGACATTCAAAAATCAGGAGATTGACTCGAGTCTATAATATCCAACACTTTCCGAGTCTGTCGTGTACAAAAGTGCGGCGCAGTCAAGCAACCTTGGAGGAGGAAAAGGTTGCATAAACGAGGAGTCACTTGTATTGAACGAGGTTGAACGAGGTTGAACGAGGTTGTAGCAATGCAATGGAGGCGCTAATTGGATCGTCCTGGCAAGGATCTGTCATGCCAGAACACCGGTAATATATGATCCCTGCATGACGGACAAAGAAATAACCGGGATCAACCGTAGTGTTATTATTAGTTTTAGTAGAAAGGTAGCCTAGAAGGTGAATAGAAAGAAGCCAATTAGAAAAGCTTGTCTTAACTCCGGTGCCTGCACTTTCCTTGGTGTAGTCCTTAGACTGCCTACTGTGCTCATCTCTTGGTTGTTTTTACTACTTTTCCCAGAACAGTTCACCATCTAAATGGTATTCGAGAAACTAAGATGGCTGTAGAAACGGATTCACCCATAGCTGCCGCCGACGAGCAGAATGGTCGCCAGCAACAGCTGCAGCCGCCACCGGGAGTTCATCTCTACGGCTGGCGTCTCTATCTTGTCCAGTTCAGGTACGCAGTCGTCTTTTTATTTTGTTTGATCTGTCGCTGATTCTGCTCAGTTTGTATCTCGGTCTCATTCTTAGTATCATGGACTCGTCCGCTGTATCCACAGCTCTTGTCACCATCGGCGATCATTTTAATGACTTTACGCGCATCCAATGGGTCGTGTTAGCCTACATGTTGACGTACCTAGGTTGATATAATTTTGCACTGTGGAATACATGCACTCAATTTGCTAATACTATTCTAGGCTTTGCCTTGACATTCTCACGAATGAGCGATGTAATCGGGAGGAAATGGGCAACCATTACCGTACGTCAACACGTCAGTTTATCAGTCCGTCTCCTTCAGATACTATAATGTCTACAGGCTCTTATCTTCATTGGCGCCTTCTCGATAGGCTGTGGCTGGGCCCAAACTATCCAACAGTTGATTGCCTTCCGTGCTTTGCAGGGCGTCGGCGGCGCCGGTTTGTACTCCATGGCTTTCATTGTCCTGCCCGAGATGACCCCTCCCGAAAATATCCCCGTGATGAGCGGCTTGATCGGTGGCGTGACTATTGTTTCGGCAGTGTTGTAAGGAATCGTATCCATACTTTTGTCTCATTCTCGTTCCCTAGCATTCCGCTAATAAAGTCCACTAAATATCTAGAGGACCTGTGATAGGTGGCGTTATCACGACGCATTCGACGTGGCGCTGGGTTTTCTGGTTCAACATTCCTGTTGTCGGGACCATCCTTGTGCCTATGATCGTTTTCTGCCCAGACTTCAAGTATCAAGGACGTATGAAGTGGAGACAGTTTGACTTTATTGGCTGTTTAATCTACCTGGTAACCTGCGTCCTACTCATTACTGCTCTTCAGGAAGCTGGCGCCGGGTCAATTGCATGGCAGTCGGCTGCATTCATCGTCTGCATGATCCTGGCTGGTCTGGCGTTCGTTGGGTTTGCCTCGTGGATTGCGTTTCTTTCTGGAGGCAAGCATTCCACTATGCCGCTATTCCCGGCGCGCATTATCAAACATCGTATCATGCTTTCAACTGTGATGTAGGTCTCATCCCAGCCTTAGTAGTCATAAGGTTTTTACTAACGAGGACCAGGGTATCTACCTGTATTGGATTCGTGTTCTACTCAATCCTAGTGCAATTACCGGAGCGCTTCCAGATTGTCAATGGAGACACTGCTGAAATATCTGGCGTTTCGCTTTTGGCTCTCTCGGGGCCATCGGCAGTTGGTATGTGTACACAAAAATTACAGATAAAGAATGAAACTTGCTAAATTGAACAGGCTCTTTCTTAGGCGGCGCTTTATCAAGCAAGAAAAACAACACGTTCTCTACCCTAATCATCGGGTGCAGTCTGATCCTCTTGGGCAATGGACTGTTTCATACCGTCGGTCCCAGCCATTCTGTCCCCTCAAAAGCATATGGATTTGAGGCTATAATGGGCCTGGGCTTTGGCATGATCTTCTCCACCACGACGGTCCTGATCAAGCTGCATGCCGAGCGGGAAGACGCCGGTACGTTCGATCTATCGCTTAATGTATTACGTAACTAGCCAGAGATAACTTCCAACTGACAAATCCCCAGCATCGGCGCAAGGCCTCATGTCTCAAGGTCGTCTCCTCGGCGGTAACCTCGGTCTCGCAATTGCCACCGTCGTGCTCAACCAACAACTCGTCTCCGACCTAAGCGGCATCGTGCCCTCCGACGAACTCGACAACCTTCGCCACTCCCTGCTAGCCATGTCATCTCTCACAGCGCAGCAGGCAGCAGTCGTGCGACAAGCGTTTGCGGACGCGTTCAAGACGCAGCTCGTAATCAATATGGGTGTTGCTGGCGCCGCGTTTGTGTTCTCGATGTACACCTGGGAGCGCCATCCGACCACATTCGCGCAGGTATTGCAGCAAATGGCAGACGATGAGGATGCTTCCGCTGCTAATTCTACGGCTGTAGCGCAGATTAACGAACGGCCTACGGCTTCTAGTACCTAAGCAAAGAATAACTTGCGCAGGTTGTTATACTGCTTTACTGTTTTTACTACTGAATATAGATGAATAGTCTCTGAGGAAAGGTTCGGATTGGTTATGATAACATTTGGTACCTGCATTGCTGAGATAACTCTTTACTTGTTGCTCATACTTTTCTATATTTCGTGTCCTGTACTCTCCCAGTTCAGAAAGCTGTAGCCCAAGTGACTGAGAGACTCACCATATCAGTTTACGCACTCATTGCCAAATCGAGTTGTCTTCCTTTTGCTTGACAGGTTCGACAATGGTATTGTGAATTTCCATTTCACTATTCGTAGATATTCAACGCATGCTCATTTGGATATCAACATTCTATACGGTCGGATGGGCTTTCCTAGTTGTTGAATTAGGGCTGATTATCGCTTCCGTGTCAATGCGCAATAGGTATCCGCAATATCCGTATCAAGTCAGCTGAACCCCATAGTTTCGTACGTAACATATGCTGAGTGATTACCGGGGACAATCCTGGTGATGAAATCGCGGGATTGTTTTCTATGAGCGCCCTCCCATACAACTTCGCTGTTCAGGAAAAGCCGGCTCAACAAGCGCAAACAAGACATTAACTTGAACGAAGACTATACGTTAACGACAGAGCAACATATAGGGTAAGTTTGATTCGGCAGCAGTGATTGTCCACTGTGGGTGGAATAGAAGCAGATGGTTTTGGAATCCATGTATACAGTGCTGGCACGTATAACAATGCCGGGTTCTATAGGTATTATATGGGATCATGCCTCAAACTCTCAACCGGCTCCGCTCTCCGGGTTCACCTTCTGATAAATTGTCAAAACCCGATACTATAACTTGACCATCCTGCTCCTGCCTTGTTAGGATATGCCGAGGCAGGTTCTGAGATAGCTCGGGTATTGCGGAAAGTGAACTATGCTAACTGCATATTCTTCTATAAAAGAGATAATCTCCAGAGTCTATATAAGGCCTTGTTAAGTTGTAAGACTTTTCCAGGTTTTCAATACCCTGGAGCCATTCTCATATACATATCCTTATCCAGTTTAGCGTTAATAAAGGCATTCACAGTGTTATATTGCCTAAGCTCCAAATCAGAACCGTACAGCTATTGCCATAAGAGTCCTAAAAGATCTGCTTGCAAGAGTAGCAGCGTACATGTCTCTCAACTCATTTTTCTTCTCTTGGTCTCCTCTTACCACAAGTCTTGCCTTGCACTTGACTAATCTTCCCTTCTTATTAGGTTTATACACATATACCCACATATAGTCGAGAATCTGCTTTCCTTATGCCTCTGAGATAGGCACTTCCGTCCAAGAGCCTGAAGGATTGTGGCTTTTAAGATAGGCTAACTCAGCTTCCAGGAATTCCTTACTATAGGGGTGATTTCTAAGTTCTCCATGACTCTTTGATGCAGGCGGTAAGTCTTTAACTATACTCGATTAGAGTCGTCGACCAGCCCCTATAGTATGTTGAAGGCTTGCATAGTTAAATATAATAGTGTTTACTCAATACTCTTAGTGCTAAGTACCTACAAGGAAAGCAGCTCTCCAAGGATTAAGCTCCCCTCATTGTATAGTTAAAGTAGCAGCAGCGGTATTAGTAGAGGTCCTAAAGGGATCTTTGCTGCTCTTCTCAAGCAACCTTTAAGGCCTGTCCCTAAGGAAAAGCTTGTCATAATATATCATAGAGTCACACAGATTGAGAGCCCTTTTAGCGCTTTCCCTAAACTCAGTAAGTAAACTTTTAGTTCTTGTAAGGCGGAGAACTTAGAATCGGGGATAACTTCACCACGGAATGTTGGAACGCAATACGCTATCCCTAATTGGGAATCCATCATAATACTAACATGAAGAAATTTCGAATACTGACGAGATATAGACATCCAATCAGCTTTATATGCCTATGTCTAGAAGGTTCGACTGGACGTCATCTCATGATCTAGTTTGTACAGGACCTCACATATAAAAGAGGTCAACATTCCTGACAAGTTTTGTATTAGGGAGTGTGCATCAATACATAGAAATTCTCAACTCTAAGTTCTTATTATTTGCCTATATTCCGTATCCATCCTTACAAAATGAGTACCTTTGCACCTACTAATTGGTGACTTAGCTAGTCATTTTAACTTAGCTGGTTCGTCAAACGTCACTTCTTTCCCAAAAGGAGTTGGGTCACACTAGATTCGACGTCTCTCTTGTGAGCGAGATGGCGACCTCTCTGGTCTACTGGTAGGCACTCTCTCTTTGCCAGCTTTTTGGCGCTGAATCTCCTTAGCAAGTGGTAAACTATCTGCTAGCTACTTATTAACTCATTTTTGAAGCCATGGTTGCAGTTTCTATTAAGGCGGAGCAAGTTCTAGGAACAAATAAAAATAAAACTAGATTGTATGCTAGCCTAGGCACCCTGCGTATAATATACATGTGGTACTTTCATAATTATAATTATGAGTATGCTTTCTAGAGTGCTCTTCCCTAGATATACTTGATTGTCCCCTAGAATAGTCTCTATCTTGTGAGTATTCCCAAGATTAATCTTTTCTTTCCTACTCTGTCTCACATCCTCTAGTATAAAAACTACCTTTGGAAACGCGAGAATTAGAGCGCTCTCTCTTAGTTCTAGAGATAAGCCTTCAGAAAGCATTTACCAGTTCCTTGAACATAAGAGTGCCTTCGTCTAGCTTTGTCTCAATAGTGAGCTCAAAAGCAGTTACTTACGCTTTATCTAGAGGTTAAATAACCTCAAGGAACCATGACGATCATTCCTCTGTGTTAAGAGTAAAAGCTATCAACTTCTTTTATCCCTTTATCATTATTTCTTTCTATTTGATGATCCAACTATTAAGGTCCTTATAGCCAGGTTTAAAAGAACATATGAGTTTATTATACTCGCTTCAGATGGATTTCTGTGTTTCCCAAGTCCGTTAACTAACTTGGGCTTTTAGATTGTTATATCCCTTGACTTAGTCGTGGGTTACGGCGAGGCACGTCTAGAAATAGCTCGAATTGACTAAGTCCTTCATCCATTGGTAAATTGCTTTGATTTCCTTATTTTGGGACTCATAGAGGCTATAGTCTACTTGGAAACCCTGCAAGTCCATCAAGTAAGCTTCCCTAGCCTCCTTAAAGAGTTTTGAAAAACTATTCTTGTTTAATATAGCTGTATAAGCGGGAAGCATCGTATCTTCCATCACAGTGGCTTTTAATCCTTAAGATCTTCCTCTGGTTTCACAATTCTAAGAACTCCAGGCTATCTGACAGTGTATTCCCCAGTAAGAGCCATCATGTGGGTCTGAGGTCTCTGATCTAGGAGCTGGGCCCTGGCTCCTGGTTAGGGCATAATTCCTAAACCGCGGTACCTCGGGTTCGGTAAGAGGCTCTTTGGTTCCTATGAGAACATTAAAGATCCCTTCACCTCTTACTTAATTGAAGAGCTCAGTTTCCCAGAGATCCCAGTCTTCTAGGGAATTGAGCTTGCAGTTAAAGGTGGTCGACATGTTGATACCTTAGAGAGAGTTGTATGGCTAGTAGGGGCACTCAGACTCTTAATTGTTAGATTGGTAGGTTTATTCTAAGCCAATCCTGAAGGGGGTTTTTACTAGGATGAAAAGAAAAGAAGTGACTGGCCTGATTGTATGTGTCCCATTCTCTGTCTGTCTATCAGGTTTCCAAACTGGGTTTTTATAAACATCTTTGGCGGGGTGATTTGTGAGTCATCAAGAGGGGTAAATTTTGGGGGCTATAAGATAGGGCTTCTGATTGTTCACTTCCTTTTACTGCCTCCGGATATCCGAATTATCTGACACTGTCTCGCTGGATATTCGGGTTATCTAACACTTGGTTAGCTCGGCTCTATTTACCTATACATAGGTAGCTGAGCTCCTTTGGAGACTTAGGATACACAACTGAATACAACAACCTCGAACCTACACTTTACCTGTGTGCACACCCCTGTGATACCAACACAGACCCTATTCCTCCTTCTGAAGGAGGTCCGGAGACCCTAGGACAAGATCATATCCAGAAAGCTGACCACAACTGCCGCCAGCGCACCAACGACTGAACCGTTACCACAAGTCATAGTGAAACGAAAAAAGCCAAAGCCCATGGACATTCAGGAAGCTATGAAATCCGCCAAAGCTACCAAAAAGTGACCAGCGTCACTGACCAACTGGTACGAACAGGTTGAGCATGCGAAATTCTATGACAATAATATGCACAAGATCGCGGCCACGCAATGTTTCCGGGTGACCCAAGATGAGGGGACGAACTCCGTTTTTGTTGTCATCAAAGATGGGCTATTTAAGCGGATCATTACTCGGGCTATGATGACAGCTGTTGACAATGTGAGTAAAGGAAGCAAGTTGGGGCGAGACCGGAAGCAGGCATGGTAATTTGTAGCACGAGGTATAGTATAGCGCTTCTTGAATAGCGTCTATAAGAGGAATATTTTTCCGTAACACGTATCCTAAGAAGTCAACGTTCCCATAACACAGATCATTCAAGGAGTATTGTTCTTTGAGTGGGAGATTCCGCGGAAATATTTGCCAAAATCGAATATAATTCCAGCGCAGAATTCCCCACATTAGATCTCTTAGTTTTTTGCAAGTAACTATATAACTACGATGTATAAGAAGTAAATACAGGTCCCTTTTCAATCAATATAAGTTTAGACGCCTCCATCTTATCACTATGCTGTTTTGTGGATATCGCAATGGTGGGCTAATACTACTATGCTAGGCGCTTAGATTGGGATCCTTGCAGGGATGGTCTCCTCAATAATGGGTAATAGACCAATCAATTGCCATTTCCGATGCCTATAAGAGGGAAACTGCCTCGTTACTAGCGTGGCAAATCTTGATTTGTAAACTGGTAGAACTGAAAGGCTGATTTATAATTTGCCAGACGGAAAGTAGTAAAACATAAGGCTTGATAGAGATTCTAGAACGTGATGATATTCTCCTTGTTATATAGATATTAGTTGAGGCCAAACCCTTAAGGGTATCTGTTTTTCTAGTAGATGTGACGGCTGGGCATAGCTCTGTGTTCCCGTCTCAATTCACAGATAGGGCTCGGGCCGTATAACCCTATCCGCGCCGTATTGGGAAGTCATATCAACATCAGATGTCGGAGCTGGATAGGGAAAAGCGCCTCGCACAGAGATTTATATGAGAAGTGAGAGCCAGAGAATTTGTTTCATTTCTTCCTTTTCCCCCTTATGCTCAATATTACCTGTCGATAGGCACCTCTTGTACGAGATAGCTAGGATAGCGCACTCACATCAAGCAGATTGGCAACGTCACAGTAGAAAGTAAATAACACCGGCCTCATAATGGATGACCTGACTGAGTTGATAGGAAATACCCATATGGGACCTAAATGTAGAGAGTTAAAACAGTTATTTACAAACGAACAGAATTTTGGCAAGGTGGTACGTATAGACTGTCGTACTACACAATTAGAAACGCAAGTAAATAAGGTTTCAATACTCAATTTCAATAATCGGATCGCTGTACACCTTCCTTGCCCAAAATATATAGTATAATGTCGAAAGGATACCCGTGGCTCCAACCATAAGGGAGCTGAAATTCATCGTAGACAGTGTTGGATCGACGGAAGTGGGCCAGTAGCTGAAAAAAATAACAACAATCATATATACGCAGCTAGTCGCATTGATTATTGTACCGAATGGCTCCGGAATCTTCCAAGGACCCCAGGTCAAATACTCCGCATTAGCGACGTTGATCGGCCCACGAGAGGTCTCGTCGTTTTCACTGTACGGTTTGATTTGGCCTGTCGCACGCCGCCACAGCAGAAGGCTGTTGCCGATAAAATATGAGGTATATAGCCCGTCGACGGTCAACGAGACCACGTCGTTGAATGCGACTGCTGAGCTGAGATTGATCAGGCTAAGCAAGCATGATATTGTGGTTGTGAGAGCAATGGCAACCACTGGGATGGAGGATTTGGAATGGAGCTATATATATACGGATATTCACTTTGTGATTAACACGAATGGTACTTGGTGACGCTGGTTGACAAAGAAAATGACAGACCTTGGTGAGCCATCTCCACCCGGGGAGGCCTCGATCACGCGCAAAAGACCACGTCATTCGAGAAGCAGAAGCAACGACAGAGATGCTCGCACAGCCGACTAGTATCGTGACTATTGCTGACATTGTTGTTGCTCCGCCGAGAGATTTTACCCCCTCCTGAAAGACAGCCATGAACGGATATCCTGCGGGAGAGGCGAGGACGGCATCGACGTCACCAAGACAGAAAAGAACGGCTATCAGTATACCAAATCCAAGCACTCCATTGACAACTAGGCTGAAAATCATGGCTCCTGGGACAACCCTTGACGCATTTCTGATTTCTTCCGACATCTACCAGCATGATATGTTAGCGAATCGCTGCAGTGATGTGTAAAAGGGATGTCAAGCTTACGTGAACTGCAGTATCGGCCCCTACAAACACGTTTGTATATTAGTTATAAGGTCCAATTGAGAGAAATTATTATGAAACTCGCCAAGGAAGTTGAATACTGGACCAATTATTCCAATCATGAAAGAAAGTCTCTGTGTCTTCCATCCGCCCTCGTTCAAGAATGTGGTGAAAACCGTAGTGGTATCGATGTGAGAAGACAAATAAACCTATGGGATGAGAATTGCAAAGAATCCAAGCACATGCAGAATAAGCAGTAGGCCTTCGATCTTGGGTAGAGCGCTGCTCAATACAGAGTTGATAAAGACAGCGAAAAAGATAGATGCCCATAATAATAGAGTGCCTTGGTAAGGTTGAGGGGAGTACTCTCCATTGTTCATGATTATCATGCCCTGAATAAGGGATCCCACGAGATATCCTTCTGATGCCGCTGCTGCCTGCCAGCCAACGACCATTAACCAACCTAAATTCAGGTTTAGTGTACCATGATCATCCCTCTTCAGTACCTGCAGGGATTGCAGTGTCGAAACCACGTACCGATAACGTAACTGAGAAGTTTTTGCACTTTTGGCGGCGACAACATCGAGACCCAATGGTATTGTCCACCGCTAGTTGGAGCCCTTGAATACGATAAATCAATATAATGTCTCCTCACACAAGATATAAGAGTCCCCGCTAGAGAAGAAACATACATAGATGCCAATTCGCCCATGGTTGCAAACACACAGAGCGTACCAATCCAAACAATAATGTAGCCATAAACCGAGCCAGCATAGCCACCATTAGCAAAGTTGTCGTCGAACAGCCTGATTGACAATTAGACAATTAGTCCCTTTTTTCTCCTCTCCTCTGGTTTTGTTTCATTTTGTTTTTGAAGGGAGTAGATGGAACATCAGAGAGTTATGAAACTTACAATAGTTCGCCTTCCCATGTAATCATGACCGTACAACTGAAGCCAAGCATTGACATGAAACCGAAGTTTCGCTGTCCGAATTGTCTGCATTAGAGGACCTTATCAAAAACTCTGGGGTGCAGTTCAAGACAACGATTTATACCTTTATCACCTGCTTCTTACCAAGGCGGTTGAGGTCCGCATTGTCGCGCTCAGCAACGGACTTAGCTCGCGAGCCGCCCCTCATCTCGATGGCTTCATCGATATCCCATGCTATATCTCTGTCGTTTCTCATTTTGACCGCCGCCGACTAGAGCTCTCACTGTATGGTCAATGAGAAGGGTTGGTTGCTAATAAGGGGGCAATGGAAAGAGATAGAAAAGCAAAGGCTCAGAGTTTTGTGTGATCGACTACCAAATTCTTTACAAAAAGACAAAAAAGGGTCTGTCGCAATGACACAAAGCACGTATTCTGGTGGCTTCCTTTCTGGCCAGTCGGCAGACATTAATTATTCCATTAATTATCCTGTTTTTACCAGCGTTGATTTAGTTCCCCTCGCCCGCGAGGCAGAGGAAGAGGTTGTTAATTGTGTAACACGACAACTCAGAAAACATTACATGAGCATCGACCTCGGTGGTTTAGCCAATTTTATACCAGGCTGTTTGATCCGCCACGTTATGAATTTGTGGTAACTAGTTGAAAACAGAAAAATAAAAACAAATTAATTCCATTCCATTCCATTACTATTAATTGATGGAATCTGCTTTGGAATATCCTATACAGGAGCGTGAGTACTATCCCTCTTGTGTTTTGTTATGTGTTGGTATCTTATTGCCTAACTAGGCGCAACACCACCCGCATCCCCCCAGTTCTTAGGAATTAGGCCCTCGTAGAAACTCACCTTCTCGTGGTGAGGGACGTCAGTAAGCGGAATTGCGTAGTCTAGCTGAAGCTGAGAACTTTCCAAGTCGAAACTCCGGTGGGAAAACTCTTATGGTTGGAAAAATCGGGCAGGAGAGCTTTGAAAGGACACGTCTAAAATTACAGCCACGTCGACGAGTCTTTTAATCGTTTTACTTACCTGCCACCAATCGATACTCACCGGATATTGCTAACGGTAACCCATCTGCCCTACCGATTCGGCCACATTTCGATTCGTTAGTCCTTCGTCTGTTATCTAAAGTTGTCGCCAGCGAGACAGTCAGCTACTTTGGGCGCTAATTTGAGAAGTGTTCTTGGTAAATCGCTACTAAGGGAAGAGGTTCACGAGACTACACTGAGAACGGTCGCGTGGGGAATCCAGTGTCTAAGAGGGATGGGCTATTGCTTTTGGAGAATATGATAATAATGACAAGAAGGGAACGTTCAAGATATAATGTATGGGCTAGAGTGGTTTTGCAGCTGATACAGCTTTTCCTCTCGACATGAGACCATGACACATTGTATGCAATGCAGGACAAATAGCGTAATGGGGCCCTTTAGGCTTGGTGCCTCCAGACGTAATGTATTTACTAATACTGTATTCCATAGAATCCTAATTACATGTCCAATAAGAATTTTGATTCAATAGCGCAAGTGTTGTGACTGGAGCAAGCTCCGCAAGTTCGCTCAAGACAATGCTGGCTACTTCAAGTACGCCCATCCGGAGAACTCTTCCTATGAAACCATCAATAGGATGAAGTATTGCCCATATGACAGTCTTTATCTGCCAAAAATTCGCAATTATTTTGGCTTGCCAAGTGATTGGTTGTTACGATTAGTGGATGAGGGATCGAGCTAGATAATTCAACTATACCTTAATATAGGAATATTACATCAGATTGTTTATGTGCCACATGTTGTGCTTTATTTCTGTTGTTCATTTCACTTATCATTTTGTATGGTTTCACGCAGTGTTTCGTTTGGTCTCACTGGTGTCTGCCGTGCTGATTTGAAAGAGCTATGATGTCCAAGATGAAGCTTATAAGGAGCTCATCTTCCCCATCAGCTCTTCCCGGAAATCAGCAGTCCTCTTGTTTTTACCTTAGCCTTTGGATTTTAGTCAGTTCCTCTATTTGATCACGTTCCGGAGTCAGATTCTTACACTCTGACTCTACAGACTATCTATCTACATAGTTATTGGATGTCAATACCGGTTTGACCGGCTGCTATTCCACGCCAATACCGCTAGCTTGGTGGATTCCCCGATGTATTATATTATAGTATCTCAAATACTATTACCTACAATGGGGCTCCAGGTGACTGCGTGCAGCTTCGGGATACTAGCAATACATACTCTGCGTGCAGGCTGCGGAGTACTACCGCCCAGTGCCTTGGAGCGATAGCCACTGAGAAGTCGGTATGCTAAGTCATAAGCAGCTAATGGAACATCATATATTGGTTATCAAAGCGCCGTCCCTTCATTTACCAAAATGGGAAGCCACACGCCGTGCTTCCGGGGAGTATTTCTGGAACTAAGGCGACCGTGTGTGAATAAAAAGTAACGACTGGGCATTACTATAGGTTGAATAGCCCATACGGACACAAAATTGATGGTCTCTTTACTGACCGAGCGACGTGTGTGTGTATATATTTAACGGCCGTGGTTCGTGACTTGCACGCTTCCCACCGATCCCTACTGGGACATAGGCCGTGACCGAGCGACGGCGTCCATTGGAGCATGTAGTTCTATGCATACGGCACAGCTGATCCGTCTGAGGCGTCCGGGATGGTGCATAATTAGGGCTTACAACCAATGTAGCTACGTTACACCGAAAAGCTAGCCCAAAACGGCAGCATTCTGGCGGCTATCAAAATACTCGCTGTAATACTGGGTAAATACAGGGTATGTATTTCACCTTGCCAACGAAGGATTGTCACCCTGCGCCGACCAACGGGGAAAAAGAGGTCATTTAAAGGCGTCGAGCCCGTTGTGTACTCTCCAAATTTCCTAAGGCTTCCTTTTCCAAGAGAACAAGGAAAAGGAGATGAGAACCGAGAAGAAGACAAGAGAAGAGAAGAAAGCTGAGCAACATTTGGCGCCTACCAACACGCGCGCAATAATGCCTCTTGAACGTCACGAGTTAGCCGACGACGCTGAATTCCCCGCTTTGGTCGATGGCCTATGGCGGGGTTATGCTGATCCTTTCAATGGCTTCTGGGAAATCTTGAAAGGCCCGTCGCAAGAAGAATGCACTGAACGTTATACCGCCTGGAACAAGGCTGATTCCACGGGCCATTGGATTTATGTCACCAACTCTGAGACGAAAAAGGTCGCCGGCGCAATGCAATGGCAAATATTCAAAGTCAACCCATACGCCGACGGTGTGCCGTCGCTCTCAGCATATTGGTGGCCTGAAGGTATGGCGTAGCTTACCCCCTATCTCTTTAGCACTGGTCTTATTCACTCTCACTTAAGTGGCTAAATTAATACATGGTGCAAACAGGTGCTCTCAAGGAAGTCGCAGACCAATTATTCGCTGGCTTCTTTGCTGGCAGACCAAGCCACTTTGGTCAGCCGCATATCCGTAAGCAACTAGGCCCTAGAGCTCCGAAACGAATATGAATAATATTCATATTCATGAATATTTGCGAATATGAATAATATGAATATGAATTAAATGAATATGAATATGACCCGTATTCATATTCACTAAATTCATGAATATATGAATATTCATGAATATCCATAAAAGATGAGGGAGGCAGCTGAATCTTGAACTCGCTTTTAAGATCAATTTTGAATAGTTACTTATAGAAAAACTATATACAAATAGCAAGCTTACTAAAATTCGATGAAAACCCCGTTTTCTAAATCCTAAACATTTTTATGCCGAGTCCCGGCGTTCTTTACCATATTGTCCCTTAAGGAACATCAGCCATCTAAACATCTCAGAATTTAAGCAGTGTCTCCGAATACCCAGAACATCTCGTGCGTTACTAAACAATCTCTCAACGCCTACTTCAGCAGATGGAATAGGAAGATAGTCTTGTACAGCTTTTAACATTAGGGGGTAGTTAAAGGCATTTGCTTTCCACCATTTCAATATCCAGTTAGGATCCCTATCTTCTATCATATTATGAAACCACATCTCAGGGCTTGAATCTAGGTACCAATCAATGTCTGATATTATGTCTGCAGATTGCAGAGGCTAGATTTTTTTGAGCTTTTTCCATAATGTCTCTAGCATACCTGGTGGACGCTCTGCGCTAGAGGAAGAGGTAGGGCTTGCAGGATATTGTTTCTTAAGATATTCACGTATATCAGAAACAATCATATCTGCATCAGACTTGCTTATTTGAGCTTGGATGAAGGAGGTCTTAACCTGTGGATTAAGAATGGCAGCCACGTAATAGATAATATTGGAATCCATCTTCTTGGTGAATTTATCCATTTTCCGGATTCCTCCTTCAACAGCATTTTGAATCTCCTTAGTAATCTCTTGAAAGTCGCCTTTGTTATTTTTGATATTGTCAAGAATATCATTAAGACTCCAGTATATTGGAAGGCTTTCAGTGATGCTTAGGCAATGTTTCGAGACAGAGTTGGTATGGTCCCAGAATGGCTTCAGGACCTTCTGAATTTGTCTTAGTGTTAACCAGTCACTATCTATTGGTTACATTTCTCGAATGTCTGGATGTTCACGAATAAATTGAGTAACTTCTTTTCGAAGTCGAAGAGCTTTAGAGATCATATTGTATGTTGAATTCCAGTGAGTGTCGATATTATAATTGATTTACTTGTAGGGAGAGATATCCTTCCATGCCTGCCTTCGCTGGGGGCTGTTACTAATCCATAAGGCCAAAAGACAGATCTTAACAATAGCACCTTTTATTGAAATTAGTGTTTCAGGTGAATGATCCTTCTGTGATGGCATCTCATCAAGTATAACATGTGCATCACGGACTGTACCGGTCTTTAAGGATACCAGAATATCCTTACAGATAAGATTTAGTATATGTGCAAGACATCCAATGAAGCTATTCTGACCCCAGAACCGCATAAGTGGTTTCATACGGAATAGACTATCTTCCTCGTTAAAATCTTTTAACAGGTCTGCATGAAGATAATCGCAGAGTGTTAGGTTGTTTCCAGCATTATCTCCAGTGATTGTTAGAAGCTTATGTTCAATTTGAAACGCTTCAAGTATACTTTTGACAATTATAGATAGATTTTCGCCAGAGTGCAATCCATCAATCTTTTTAAACTCAAGAAGATCTTCTTAAAGCTTAAACTCTAGAGTGAGTCAATGGCCGACAATAGCAAAAAATGATATCTGGTTATCTGACGTCTAGATGTCAAGTGAAAGTGAAATTAATTGGCAGGTATCAGCTAAGTCCTGCTTTAACTGGTTCCTCCAACTCAAATATTTACTCTAAACTTAATTTTGAAGAGTATCTGCAGTTTTGATAGGACAGTTGGCATTTAGACTCTTAAGGAGTTCTTCCATGTAGGATATTCAATAACTATAAAAGGCTGCTGTGTTTCAATCACCCAGCGAAGAAGAGCCTGCATGGGATCAAGTCCAGACTTAGCTAGTTCTATGAACATATCAAGAGGCCCAGCTGGAGGTATAATTATGTTCTATTTAATATGGTGTTCTTTGTAAAGGTGTGTAGCTAAATTGGTCGTAGCACCCTGTCGAGTAGAGTCCTTTGATAACTAATTGCATTGCTTACACAAAAGAAGTCTATCATTTCTGTGACGGCCTCCTTTAGAACACCATGTAGTCTCAAGGCCTATAGCATTAAAATAGTCGGCAGTCCAGCTAGTACGTGATCTCTTTCTTTTTTTTGTTGGAGTCTCGTCGAACTCACTCTCTTAGTCCAATTGAGAAGAATTATCTGAATTCTGTTGAGGAGACTTCAATCCTTATAAAGCTGATTTAGATGGTACCAAACTCAGTTTGTCGGAAGATATGTTTTAGTGAGGTGCAGGCACAGGCTTATTAGATAGAGTAGACATATCAGAAGGTAGAGATTCAGGGGAGGAAGAGTCAAGAGTATCTGCTTCATCGCGCCATGGAAAAGCGTCAGAAACTATGCCATTATTCAAGGCATTATAATCGCGACGAGGTCTCTTTCGAGTTATTCGAGGAGATGAATCATGAGAAAAAGCCATGAGAAGAGGGTATAAACAAAGCTCTGTAATAAATAAGGAACAAGAAGGAATATCAAGTGAAATACTCGGAGACAGATATTTGGAAAAGAGAATTAGGAATCTGGAAGAGCCTAATTCCCCCAATTTATATACTAAACAATATTTAGCTTTGTCCGTCACGTAGCTACTTAGTCTAATCCATTCCTAGCTATGATGTAAACAAAAAAGGTAAACATTATGTTAAAGTTGAATACATGAAATGTAATAGTGCTAGTCATACATGTTATACGTGACAAATGGGTGGAGGAATCATTCTAGAGAATTTCAAGTAGACTTGCCGCTTGCAAAGTAAGAAAGCGTTTCCTAGAATGCTCTATCTAAACTACACACCATGATTATATAGGCCATGCACTGAATTAATGATTGAACTTGAGAACTTCATATATATATCTTCTCCTTGAGCCAAGATTCTCGTTATTTTAAGAAAAGGACCTTATACTACTAGTACTATATCCATACTTAAGAGTGATTAGTACCCTTATGGCTAATATAAGATAAACTGAAGAAGCTCGCATCAAATTTGCTGATTCTGTGGCGGTTAATGTGTATCTATGTAGGGCACGGCTGTTTGCCGGCGCGGAAAAATAGTCCACCCGGAAATATTCATGAATATGAATATGAATATGAATATGGTCCATATTCATATGAATAATATTCATTTATTCATTTCGGAGCTCTACTAGGCCCTTTTTGCCATATATTATCAACGTGACTCTTGTCAGATAATCCGGCTTTCAAACGAGGCAGAAAGATCGACTGCTCAATCTTACAGGTCTAAAAGGCACCTTTAGGCATATATCTGGGCACCTAGATTTCAGCCCAATATTTACCCCTCCTGATAGCTCACAAATCACCCCGCCAAAGGTGTCTATAAAGGACCCGGCTTTGAAACCTGATGGAGACAGAGAGACAGAACTCAATACATACAATCTTGCTAGTCACTTCTTTCTTTTCATCCCAAAAAAAACTATCTTCAGGATTGGCCTGGAATCAACCGACTAATCCGACAACTCTTACCATCTAACTGTCGGTATAGCAATCTTACCTATCTCGGCGCGGGAATGGGATATAGTTTATCCGTGCGCTATAGCGTACGGAGGATAACTACATCTCACCACCCGCATCCCCCTAGTTCTTAGGATTAGTCGCAATATTAGGAATTCAGTATTACTGGCTCAGTCAGCTTGTTGGATTAGCTGTCCTTCTTAGATCTTGCGATCTAACGAAGGTAAACCAACACTAACTGTTGGTTTAACTACGGTCCGTATCACGAAGCATAGACGGTAGTAAGGCGCGAACACGAAGCGGCCTAATGAGCCTGACAATATGAAGATATCTTGATTCCTAATATTGTGACTTGTCCCCAAGAACGAGGGGGAACGGGGGGATAGCTAGTTAGATATACACGCGGCACGCACGTGCCACGTGAGACTAAGTAGTCCGGTGCCGAAACGCGTAGAGTTTGATATTCACGTTCCGACACTAACCTATCCTCTTAAAAAGTGATCAGTTACTGTGTCACTGACCCCAGTTACCGTCACCACGGCGTTGCTAGTCTCGCCATGCAGTGGGGGATCCAAAAGAGCGACGAGCTCGGCCTGGATGTATTCGTTGAGTCTACTGAACACAGCCGTGGCTTTTATGAAGCACATGGATTCGAAGTTTTTGATGAATTCTACCTAGACGCCACCACCGACAGCCCAAGTAAAGGATTCAGTCAAAAAAGGAAGGAGCTCCAGTTGCCACTCCACGGATACTATATGAAAAGACCTGTTAGAGGCGCAAAGTAGTCGGCATAGATATTAAGTATCACAGTATCTGGTATCTAGAGTATCTACGCTTTGGGAGCAGAGACGCTCACAGCAAGATGACAAGAAGGCATGACATGACAATGTACTTTTATCTTAGCTTAAGCGAAATGAAGTGAGACTTCTTCGTACGGAGCATCGAAATCCATGCAATTTGCATACATAGTAATCTCAGGTTGGAAATGTAATCGGACACCGAGTTACACGGTCAGCCACAGACCTCATCGCTTTCTACAACCAACATATCCAATCTATTTTACTTGAAGCTTTGCAGTGCCATACAAATAAATATAGGGTGGTGATCTAGCGACACCCCCCTAGTTGTCGGATTGGTAGGTTTACTCCAGGCCAATCCTAAATAGTAGTTTACTAGGATGGGAAAAGAAGAAGTGATTAGTAATATTGTATTTTCTTTCTGTCAGTTCGAATACATCATGTTCCAATGCCGGGTTTTATAAGACACTTCTGGCGGGGTGATTTATGAGCTATCATGAGGGGTAAACATTGAGGGCTATATTGAGCCTGATAAGAAGATAGCTTCTGATTTGTTGAAATGTAGGTGGCCAAATACATGCCCTGAGGTGACTGGTTGACCTTCGAGATCGAACAGTCCATCTTCTGCCTCTGGATATCCGGGTTGTCTGACAGGAATTCGGACGCGCAATGATTATCTTATGTCAGGATATCACCTGAATCACGTAGACGCCTGCCTAGGTGCCATACCGTCCTTCACCGCCTGATGCACGGAACCACCTGATGCACGGTTTTCACGATAGGCCATGTAAACTATTTTGAAACTTTACAACGCCATATAATAGTAAAAATAAAATAATAATTTGTAGTATTACTAAATAACAATTGTGATTTGTGGCGACACGCCCGTTTTCGGGCGCGACCGACGTCAAAACCTGCGTCCATTCCACAATCCGGTCCGTCACCGCCTTGTCCCGCTCCCGGGTTCTGCCGGTTGCCGTGCCCGCAAGGTCTCCCAGTGCGTGCCCGTAATTCTGCCAAGAGATCATCACGTGGTCCGGTGGTGGGGTGCCTGTGTTCCTGAGTTCCTGACCCATGCTTTTTGGCGCTTTTTCGACTTTATGCTGGCTCGCGATGAAGCCAAAACTGGCCTCACTTTCCTGCTGGGCCACGCGGGCGTCTGCCGCCTGCCGTGAGCCCATATTTCCTTCTTCTTCTTCTGCCGTCGCCCTCCATCCTCGTCCTTTCCTCTGCCTTCTCTGGCGCTTCTCTACCCCCCACCTGATTTCTGGTTTTGAGCACCATCGGTCGACTCATTTTCTTATGGTTCGCTATGAGTGTAAAGACTAGAGTCCGCCAACAAGCCCCTCCACTCCGCGAGTCTATCGACCCTGATGACGATTATGATGCCGCTGCTGTTCACGAGGGTGACGAGTCCAGTTCGTCTTCCGATTCCGACTCAGATCGCTCTGACGATGACTATGAGCGTGATGATGGCTACTCGACCACCTTGACCGAGCCAGATTCCGACGCCCAGCCATGTCTACCGGCACTGCTTCCATCACAGCGATTACGGAACCCTCCCTCGAGTGCTTCCAAGCGAAAGAAGACCTCCGTCGTACCATCTGAGTTGCCCGAGTACAGCGATGACCCCAACGACGATACGGATGAAGACATCGCGAACGTTCCTCTGGACTACGGGAGATCAGACAATACTAAGACTCGTAGATCTCAGATCAAGACACTGTGGCAGAAGTGAGTCCACCCAAGCCACTCCTGGTTGAGATGAATGGTTTCACTAACCTACTCCCAGGTACTGCGCGGTGAAAGCGGCCGAGCAGGATGCCCCTCCTAAATGGAGCAACGCAGAGCAGGCCCTCCGGCAAGCGACGACGAACGATATCCACCGTTTTTTTAATTATCGTATGAAGGTCAAGCGAGGGAAAAATGGCCGGCTTATGAAAGGGATCAAGAAAGGGAGCGCGCTTGAGGCAGATTGGAAGGCTCTTCAGGGATACTATCGACTGATTACGCGGACTAGCTTCAATAAAGTACAGTGTGAAGAGATCAACGCGGTAAGCTTTCATGCTCGATGGTGACCTTTACCTCTGTCTCTAATCAGTGAATAGGGTCTTCGAAGTCTCATGGACAAATGGAAATTGGACATGGAAGAACGCGAGAAAACTGGGGTCCATGTTCAGGATCTGACTGCCTTCAATGAAACCGTCCTCCGGACGACCGAGAAGCGATTTCACCTGGGGTTCGAGCGGATCCAGATCTGTCTTTTCACCATCCTGGGGATCTTCACCGTGAATCGAATCTCCGCCCTGCTCTCGCTGCAATTCAAGCACCTCCAATTCTCTCTTCAACGAGATCCCCTTGGCGGGCCTCCGATCCCGATGGTAGAGCTTCGTGCCGTCCACACTAAACAATTCCTTGGTATCACACAGCAGTGAGCATCCCTTCACCATCTCTTCTAAGTATAGGTGGTTTTCATTCACAACTAATCTGGTGCTAGCAACAATTTCCCCTTTCCTGAAATTGTGGATGATCCAACCTTGATTTTTAGCCCTCATGTCTTCCTGTTCGGCATCCTATTTTACCTGGATGCCTTTGAAGCCGACGGGCTTCGGTCTATGGAAGACGTGCGACGGCTGTTAGTGGAAGACGGTTGTGAGCAGATGGAGCTATATCTCAAACCTGAAATTGAGGAATACTTTCTCTTCTGCATGACCACGGTAGTCGACGGAACTCCAATGATCCAGTGGAATCGACCAATCAACGCGAGCACGATGTCCGCCCGACTGCAATCTTTAGGAGAGATCCACGGGTGGCTGCACACCTTTTTTGCCCACCGTATGCGATATGGCGGTGGAAAGCAGTTAAATGAAAGTGGTAAGTTCGCCCTTGTCTGGCATAATGTCATTTGTCCCCGATAAAGAGCGGAACCTGACAGAGAGTTAATATCAGATTGTGTGAGCGAGGCACAGCAGAATCTCATCATGAAGCATGCCTCCAGTCGCACATTCTTGAACCACTATCTACCACGCAATATCGATACCGACATGCAGAATATAATGAATGGCCGGAAGCCCAACACGATGTTAATGCACGCCATCCGGCGCATCAGTCGTTGGATTGATAAGAGGCGTCCACGAGTCATCAGCGCACAAGACCGAGCGGAGTTGTATCAGCATCCGGAGTATCTGGCGGCAGTACACGAGCGGGATGCGCAAGCCATACTTTGCCAACAGAGTCCCAGCCCTCGCAACATGTCCCGGCTGGGTCGACTGACCCAAGATGTTGATAAAATCTTCCGTCGCCTTTGCCGAGTCCGGAGGAAAGAAGTACGCCAAGCGTTCAGCCGGAAACAGGCAAAGATCGATATTGAACGTCAACGGTCGGGGACCGCCTTCCACAATGAAGAGACCAAACACAACCTACAGACCGTCGCCCAGATGCCTTCCAAAATGATCCACCTCCTAGAGAAGCTATTCACCTGGCCTACATCCCACTCCCTTGACGATGAGTGGAAGAGGCGAAACGCGGCCACCGCGGCCGTCACTCAATACTGCGGCGTTTGGGAAGGGGGCCCTCTTCGTGGTCGACGAAAACGAGCTTTACCCAGTGACGACGAACTCGATCAAATGAAGCCGTCTAAGCGCATAGCTAGCGCGACGCCAGTATCGGATGTTGCCCCTTCGGATTCACGCGATCTCCTGGAGGAAGCCAGGGAGCATATCATCCGTGCCGGAGAGCGAGATCGCAAGAAGCCAAATGTCGAGAAACCAATAGTCTGTTTTCAGTGCTTCGGTAATCGCTTGCTTCCAGAACACAAACGCGTCAAGAAGTGGTCGAGGCCCGACGCAACAGTGCGACATTTTCGAGACAAGCATCTTGCGGATCGGCAGTGCAATTTCTGCGATGACGGCGAAATTTTCCTGCATCAAATGCATTTACAAAATCATGCAGAGGCGGTCCATCGCCTCGTCACTGGATCCAGGGGATGCTGAGGTTGTGTATACTTTGCTCCGATAGATGTTTTACCGATAGATGTTTCTCTTTCGTGTCTTTGCTTGGACTTCCTCGCTACCGAAGACTTATATGTATATATAAATGTCCGGAAGAACAATTTGTCGCGCTTAGCGTGTGCCTTTTTTTATATATATGGAGCTGAATCATTCTGTTACTGAATGCGGAGCTAGTTTCTCAATTAGGTACTCTTGTGCATTATTAAAATCACCTAAACTTACAAATTAAGACCGTACTCCTACAGAAATGGACCTGACTAGTTACATTGACTCCGGGTAAGCTAACTCAAAAGTGTTCTAAGCATTAAATAGAGCCAGCCTTGGATCGGATGTCGCACAGTCCCACCACCATGGGTATATAACAGGCAAAAGCACCCATCAGAAATGGTCCAAGATCAGCCTTTTATTTGATGCCTCTATTTAAGATGACTTCTGATATTTCACCGTTTTCCGCCCTACCTACTGAGCTTATCATAAAGGTCCTTATGGAATTACCCGACCTTCACTCTATCCATTCATTAAGTAGGGCCTCCAGACGCGTGTATGAGATTTATCAAGATCCGCAATTGCAATTGCAGATAATAAGATCATTGATACTCCAAGCCGGCGACTTCAGTGCTGAAGCAAATCTATACAGTCTCCTTCAGACACTCAAATATATCATCAAAGAAAAGATGGTCAAACGGGAAGTGGCACTATCTGTATTACAGGATGGATGGAAGCCATTCGCAGAAAATGGGTACGAGCAGCTGCTCATTCCATTTGCAAGGGTTTTGGCATGGTCATATGCCTCCAACAAACGCAAACCTGAAGCTGTTCGTCTTCTCAAAAAGATTATAAATCAGGAGGAGCCATTCAATTCGAGGGATAGTCTGCCAAAAAGCTCCTTGACTTTTCTACCGCTCAGAATGCTATTACATCGGTTACGTCCGAAAACCCAGCCCCCTTCTATGACACAATTGGAAAGGCTCCGAGAAGATGTACCAGTCACTGAGGTCCGGCCGGGGAGTGTCAAATGGGATGTGATCTCTGAAGAATCCCGACAAACTGCTCTGTCACAAAAGGAAATCATCTTCAAAAAGGACCTGATTATGATCAAATGTAGTCCAAGGAGATCAACTCTTACTGCACCTACCATATATTCCATGAGATACCGCTGGGTGTCAGTTTGTGAGCATAGGACCGACTCAGCATCGGTAACGGCTCAAACATCTATAGTATCCATTGGTCGGCGCTTAGCATTGATGAGCTCAGCCAATGGATTGCTATTTTTGACAATCGACTTTGTCACATTACTTAGTTAATGCTCACAGCAGGGAACCATTGGTTGATTATTGACCCACCAATGTCTCAGATCTCTTAGAGAACCGAGTCACTGATAAATAATGCCGCCTTACCAGACCACGATATTTACTTCATGCGTTGACAGCGATTTAGCATCAGATCCGCTTACTAGCTTCATGCTTCATTGTCTATTTGATAATGGATCTTTCTCAACCGCAGACTGAAGAGGATGTCTCTTCCAATAAAGTTAATAGAGTCGGAAAAAAAAAACGCGATCGTGAGGAAGAAGCGGCTTACATCATAAACGACTTGAAATCTGGAAAGTTCATCCTTCTTCTCCAAGAAACTCCCAGAGTCAAAATGAGCCATTGCCAAGCATGGCGTTGTATGCCACGTAAACGAACTGGGAAGCCGGTTATCAAGTCCCATTATCGTTTCATGCTTAAGGATATCTCAGTGTCCTCAAGTATTGAGACTGATCCTCATATTACTGGATAATTTGCTAACGTGGGTACACACAGAGCCAAAAGGTGAATACTATCACGTCACATGTCTTGAGCGTCTTCTGCCCGATTTATCTGCTCTAGTCCGAGATGGCCACTTGAAGATGGATGGCTGTATTTCCGCACCGTTGACAGCAAAGTGTGCCTTGAATCATCCGCGGAAATGATTGCAGACTGGTTCAAGTATGGGGGTCGTACATTTGACCTTGGATGCTATGAAAATTTCAAGAAGGACCATCGTGAATGGGATGAAGATTGGAGTGTACACTGTACGGTGGATCAACCATCAGCTGGGCCATGGAGAACAGCCAGACAATACATGCAACTACTGTCAGTCTCTACCAAACCCAGAAGAACCGAAAAAATCGGACTACTTTCCAGAAGAGCCTCCTGTGATTTCATTAAGTCGGTTGTTGGCGTCGGTGAGCGGACAACCACATATTGACAAATGGTGGCGCTGGAGAAAGCGGCCATAGAAACTTCACACATTGACTCCTATATAGCAAAAGTAAGCAATACTACAGCGCCTTGCAAGTGCGGCTTTACGTGTTTTGCAACTCTTCGACTTTTTCTCGGCGCCACTCCCGTACCCTAATCTATACTAGGCTTAGATTGGTATTTTGGTAATTTACGATACGTATGGAACGTACCAGTACGATGGTTAGGTAAGCTACTCCATGATGGTTGTGTAACTTAGCTGTCTCATGATACATACAACCGGCGCAGCCGTCGTTCGGGATCATTGTGCGATATGACCTGAAGGTGCCGCCATTAACTAGATGAATTGAAGTGGTTTCGGTGTATTAACCCTTATCTACTTCATATCTACGCCTAGATGAGTACTAAGCTAGAACATAATGATGTGCACATATTCATCGTATGTTACAAGGTTGAGACTACACTACTCCAATAAGTTGTCTTTTGTCCAGCTGAATGGTGGGAATATGGCGGCACCAAACTAATCCACATCTTGTATATCTTGACCTTCGGCCCTAGGCGAGGGGGTTCTAGCTGCTATGATGAGCGGGTGATTTCCAAGAAATGATTTAACAGCTGGCGCATAAGGTGGATTGACGTGCGCTCCACGGGTCGAATAGGCGGTGAGCACAGCTGATAAAGCTACCGACAATTGTTCCCAGTGAGCAGTGATTGATTTGACAATGGACTATGCTCATCTACCCAGCCAATGAAAGTACGAGACGCTGACCTGGAGTCCGGATGACTAGGCCCTAATACTTGATTTCTGAGGTGAGAGCATTGTTTCATCAGAGTTAAGGCATTTCGTATTTTCCCCTGAGATTTCCAAGTATAGGCAAGGCTCGCCATGCTGATCAGAGAGTCAGGATGCTCCGCTCCCAGCATGGTCTTCCTTGTCTCCATTACTTGCACAACCAGCTTCTCAGCTTCATTCCATCGACCCTGATTCTGGTAGGTTAATGCCAGGCTATTTATGCTGCTCAGAGTATCAGGATGCTCCGCTCCCAGAACGGTCTTCCTTGTCTCCATTACTTGTACCTCTAGCTTCTCAGCTTCATTCCATCGACCCTGATTCCGGTAGGTTGATGCTAGGCTTGACATGCTGGTCAGAGTGTTAGGATGCTCCGCTCCCAGCACGGTCTTCCTTGTCTCCATTACTTGCACAAACAGCTTCTCAGCTTCATTCCATCGACCCTGATCGCGGTAGGTTAATGCCAGGCTATTTATGCTGCTCAGAGTGTCAGGATGCTCTGCTCCCAGCACGGTCTTAGATGTCTCCATTACTTGCACAAACAGCTTCTCAGCTTCATTCCATCGACCCTGATTCCAAAAGGTTGATGCCAAGTTATTCATACTGCTCAGACTGGAGGGATGCTTCGCGCCAGCTTTCTCCTGGTTGATCGTCATCAGCTTCTTATAGAGTACCTCTGCTTCTTGATATCTTCCATCACTAGCAAGGCAATCTGCAACCTTTCTAGTTAAATTCAAGTAATTGTTCTCTTGTACCACAAATTCATCTTCTTGCACAAGTGCTAAAGCGTGAGGAAGGTATTCCCGCCAAAGTCCTCGTTTGGTGTGGTGATTATCTGGAAATATATTCTGCATATGATCAGCCACCCTTTGGACCCAGTGGCTGAATAACGCATTCTTCCTGAGCCAGTTTCGGGTCGCAATATGGACAAGTCGGTGCATATTAATATCCATGTCTTGGCTGTTCGTAAACGAGTATGCATTTAAAAGTCCCAAAGCATCGACTTTCTCCTTTCTCGATGCGGGTTGAGGAAGCAGGGACTGGGTAATGTTTCGCGGGTCGATGCAGGCCATAAAAGATAAATAATCTGCAGCTAATTGATCTTGCTGCTGGATCTGTTTGAATGATATTAACCAGGTGGTAATCACGGGATTCTGAATATCCTTATAGCGTCCGGGATCCCTGAAGTCTTCGCTTAGAAGTTCCACAGCATCTTGTTCCTGCTCTTGGAGCAGTGAAAGATAGGTCGACAAGTCGATGCTGTTTTCAAGAATGTATGCTGATGCTTGCGCAATTGCTAACGGGAGAAAGGATAGTTGTTCAAGGAGAGTAGCGGATGTAGTAGGATCTCTGAGCAAGTCCTTGTGTCCCAGTATCTTTTCTAATATTTTGGCTGCCGTTTCTTCATCTATATCTGGGATCGGAATAGTATTGAATGGTGCCAGCCTCATAGCGAGTTTTCGGTTTCGGCTGGTAAACAAAATACGGCCTTGTCCACTTTCCGGGAGAAAGTCCTCAAGAGGTGGAGCTGTGTGGCTACCAGTTAACCACATCTCCGCATTATCTGCATTATCAAGGATCAGAAGCCACTTTCCTGCACGTTCCGAATCAAGGTAGCTTTTAACCTGTTCTTTGACCTCTGCCGGATTCACATCACGAAGTCCGAGTATCTGTGCAATTTGCAGGAACATCTGCTCAATTATGATATAGCTGGTACAGGGAATCCAGAAGACTGAGCACTCCTTATCTTGGTCCCGGATGCGGTGTGCTAGCTCAAGGGCCACTTGGGTCTTTCCGACCCCTCCTAGCCCGGTGATGGCGATCTTTCTGGGACCGTCTTGCATTGTTATTAATTCTTCCAGTTTCGCGATTTTGTCCTGACGCCCGACAAACATCGGATTCCTTGCGAGTGAGACCATCCAGTGCCGCGTTTTCTTGCTTTTCAGATTGATATCCATACGGCCTATAGGAATAGCCGATAACAATAATTTTGTATAAGCTGCCGCAGCCAGAGCAGCATATCCTTGCCACTGTTTCTGTTTATGAGAGTCGCAATAGTCGCATATCCCTCGGATCACAAGCGTTGGAAGCTCATCCATCAGCCCGGCCGCTTCCATTTCAAAGCAGAGGATTCCATACTGCTGTGCTAGGCGATCTCGTGTTTCTGAGTCCTTTATCACCTGATCCCCTGATGCAATCAACCCATAGTGAATCTGAGGTGTTCTTGTCTTTCGTGGTTGCCGTTTATATAATTTTTCTTTGTCGCAATGTTCACAAGTACCTTCCCCGGCGATATGATGATAAGAGGAATGAAATAAAAGGTCCGTATGCTGGTCTGGAGGTGAAAATCGTTCTTGCATATTAGGGTTCTGTATCAAGGTTTCATCCACTATATGAGAAAAAACATCCTCGCCTTCAGTCATTTGTTTTGCCTTCAGTTGACCCATATGTGTCAAAAGCACCTGTGGTGGTTTGTTCAAGGTTCCTGTTGCTTCGAATTGGCCACCTTGAATCGCCTTGCCATAATCATACTGGATCACCCCATTGTGCTTTCCGGCTGGTTTGCTTACCACTACATCGCCTAATCGAATGTCATGACTTTTGCTCGGGACTCCGCCTCCGATTCCTACCATCAATCCATATTGAAGCTGAGGGAAGGTCGAACGCATGCGAGATACAACGGTTGCGGCAGACACTTTGCCATATATACCGTTTGGTAGGCTGGCGATCACAACATAGTGGCCGTTTAGTTCACCAAGTTGATAGGCATTCGAATCAGTGGAGGGTATAGGCAGCGGACTGTGGGTACTGTCCAGCATACTGCGGGCCGCTGCTGCTTCCAGCGGCAAGGTGCATATCCATGCGATTGTGTAGTCGTCGTGCGTCACAGTTGTCATTGTGGTTCATAGAGCAAACGGGCCAAATATAGATGATGTCTGGATAATGGCACAATGAACTGTGAAGCTTTTTTTTTATGATGAGGTGAGAATGCAAAACACTGTTCATCATGCTGAGAAGGAGGGGTAACAGCATCATGCCCTAATGCAAGGCTGACAAAGCCTTCGCACATCAGTTTTCAAATATTCATTCGACTTGTCGCGACACCCTTTCTGTTTCCTTGATGGTGTGCCTCGTTTGCGTTGAACATGCCAACTAAAGTTCGAATTACGAGCAGCTAATACCATGTTTTGTATACATACGTTCAATACTGCTCGTAAATTACCAAGTTTACATCCTAAACCTAATATAGATTAGATTACGGCAGTGGCGCCGAGAAAGAGTCGAAGAGTTGCAAATAATGTAAAGCCGTACTTGCAAGGCGCTGTATCATCTAAGTAGTCTTTGGCCAGAACTATGCTTCCACCACATTTGGATAAAAGTCTAAACAAGATAAAATCGGCTTCTCACACTGAGCATAAGGGCAAGGATAATTCACTAGGTGATTGATGCGGAGGTGAGTCCTCATCGAAGGGGATGGTAGAAGGAGGAGATTCATGTAATATATCTGCAGGAGCTTCTATCATCCTCTCTTCTTCTACTCCATATATGAAACCAAGAGCATGCCAGTTATCAATCTGGACTGGTGTACGTGGTTGCCGTGTCTCCATTTTGATAGACGTGTTGGGTGTTGGAGAAAGAATTTCAAGAGGACAGAGTAACGGTGGGAAGTCAGCATTATTTATACCTGTTTGACCCATTTTAGGGGGGCTGAGCGGCCCAGCTCTCATAATTTCACGGCAATCCGGTGCATGAAAGTGGAGTGGAGATGAGCGAGCCCATTATGCAAAACCTAGCCTCGTCAGTCCAATCAGGTGTGAAAGGCGACCACCAACCACGCTGTATCACAGCGTAGTATGACCCTAAAATAGAGCATTTGCCATCGGAAAGTCGAGCTTCAATTCGTCTAACTGAGCATGAAGATCATGATTGACACTAGCAATAGCACCATAGCTCTTCCTTGCCCAGTCACCACTAGCTATCCTGAAGCGGAAAGTACTCACAGTAAGTGATGGATAGCTGAACTATCACCAACATCTCAGGCGCTGGAATCGATTCCTCACATACGGTGTAGATCCGGCTCGGTGTTCATCGGACGAGAGGCTACTCAAAGACTCTGAGGTGGATTTCTTCAGGACACTGCTGGAAATATCACTTCATGTATGATTTGTCGTCATGCACAGGAGCAACCCAGCACCTTTCTGGATACCATTGTGGCTAATTCTGGCATCAACGATTGGGCATCTACAGTCCTGGGTGTGGCTTTGGATAGGCAGAATTCACTTCCTAGTGGTCCTCGAATTCTTGAACGAGCAACCCCCATGCTCAAGCGTACTGATGGATCTGCCTCGCCGTGTGCTTCCGTCTAGTCCATGATTGGTGGTAGCATCGTAGATACGGTTTGTTTCGGCATCCTAGGAGGCCATCCTAATTAATGGTCTGAGTATATAAAGGCCTCCGTCCGCACTCTTGGTCTGCTTTCTTTCACTTCTCCCCCATCATTGAAAGAAACCCAGTGACATCAAAGGTATAGTACCCAGTATCACCATGAGGAGCATACTAATGACAGCGTAATAGGTCGTGAACTATCCATCAACTCTATCAAGAAGTGCTGCAAGTACTGTGGCATTTCAGAAAATATGGAAACCCATCAATCATCAACTCGACGGCCTAGTTCTGAGCCTTGTCGCCGCTCATCTTTGAAGCGCAAACAAGAGCTGAATCCAAGTCTTCCAGATCAGCAAGCTGCAAAAAAGATGCGGTGCATCAATCCAGACACACCACTCCCCTCAGTAGAGTTAGAAAGTTATCTGGAACTAGATCTTATTTTCGATGAAGATCATCCAGATTGCAAGCTGCGTTCAGCTCCTATATTCATCGATGATGGCGTAATCGTTGGCTTTTGGTCCACAGATCGGAGTGGAAATGGGAAACGACCGGTGTATTGCTTCGTGAAACAAGATTTCAATTTTGCATATCGAAAAGGAGACTCATTAATTCTCACAACAGACGACGATTTTGATCTCCTGGATGATCTTGGTGACTGGCTAGATGAAGAAACCGAAGATAAGGATGCCATGAGCCCAGAAGCGGTGAAAGTGTGGGTAGAAATGATGTGGGAGAGCAGAGTCTATGCCGGAACCCAAGACATGATACTTGAATATTGACTTCTTTCAACCATAAGACATGTAAGATAGTGGCTGCCAAGAGTCAAATCTTTTTCCAACATGTAGTACGCTCGAAACTACATCCAGCAAAGCTCTGGAAGAATAATCCTCTAAAAGCTTTACATGACTGTAAGCTACTGTATAATAACACGTAAAAATATGGTGGAACCAACTTCTAGGTGACAATTGGCTGAGTTGGCGTGGTACTGCACACCGGAGCCCATATGAGACGGCAGCCCTCGTGCGGTGGACAAATTATTGTAGTTCCACTATCCCTCATGAGTCGACAGTCCACAGGGGATTGACAGATCATGGTATCAAATGATACCCCGTATGAGTCAGAAACCCGTGTGAAACGGGAAAACCATCATATCCCAGGCGAAATGCCATCTCTTAAAAGATCACTGCCCGCAGGGGATGATAGCCCGCGTGCAATGAAAAAATCGTGGTTTCCCGCATGAAGCACCATCCCCCACAGGGGCTTGAACCCCGTATGGGGACAACAGTGATCGTCAAACCGTGGTAGCCCATCAGGACTGTTATTCCGCAGGGGAATGATAGTCGCCACCGTACTAACGAAAGGTCTGGCATCCATGAGGGATACCAGAGCATAGGGGATCACAACTCATTTAGAAACCACGAATTTCACCGGCAAAAACCATGGGATCGCCGTCAGTAAATACATCAACGCTCGCTAGAAACCATGGCCACAAAAACCATGGGTACCTTGTAGCGTTATAGTATCAATAAGAGAGGTGGTCCAAAAGTACGGCTGGACAAAAACGATGAAATGGCTTGGAAAATCATGGGTAGCAAAAATCGTGGGTTGTATTAGGAACAGGAAATGAAAAGCGTTGGCCTGAGATCGTAAAACGTGGTCGATCAGTAAGTGGGCCCCGGTCGACCCTCGTTAGCCAATCTGGCCAGAAGACCCATCGCTTATGACGTAACCAATTATACAAAGCGCTAACTTAGTTTCATATAAACAACAACCAATCATATGTATTCAACTATTAAGCAAGGCTAACAAATTGATCAGACCAAAAGAATACAACACACTCAATACTCAAATCCAAGTCATAGGTTTCTTTTCCGTTTTGGAAAACGTGTTTTGCTTGTAGGGACTCGGGAGTTTGGATGCTCTTTCTAGAACATCTTGTTGTTCCTAGTAAAGCGTGAGCAATTTGCTATTCTGAAGCTTCAGTTCTTCCTCGGATTGCCATACCAAAAATCGCCTATTTCTGCCTTCACGCAATGTGACACAACTGGATTCTGGAGATAAGGTTTATTGATGGCCGTCTCCCTACCAGGCACCTTGGCCTCATCGATGTTCTCATCGTCCCCTTCTGTGTAGAGATCTGTGCGGTTCCATTAAGGCCTGTGGATCCTCAAAAAATACCACTCTAAAGTGCATAATTTCTAGCTGGCCAAGTGGATCAGCCACACGCATCTGTGCGATCGAGAGACATAATCGGGCTTGACGCAGTCTAAGCACAGTCAGTTTTGGGCAGTAGACTGCAAGATCGCGAATGCGTGCAGTATCGATCCTGAACATCAAATCCAGTTCAAGAATAAAATGCAGTAACAAGGAAAGCGGAGTTTTATTAGCTATGTTTCAGAAGTGGGGTAACAAGGGCATCTAATCGAATGCGCAAGCACTCTCTTTAACCTGACCACAGTTGGCCTGTAAGCTGGTATCTAAGCATGGTTGCGTATGCACAGCATAATTGGGCATAGATCGTAAATTAAGTAGTGCTATTGTCCAGCTCATTTTCAGGCCAGCTATGCTTCCACCACGTTTGGATAAAAATCTAAACAAGACCGAATCGGCTTCTTGCACTCCGGATAAGGACAAGGATACTCGAATAGAGAACCCTTTGATTTGATGTCCTCCACGCAATTCTTACATAAAGTATGGCCACATCCTAAAACTTTCCAGCTCTCGTTGAATGTTCGATGGCATAGAACACACTTCAAAATATTGCGCCGCTTCTGTTCATTGACTTGTCGCTGTAAATATTGGATTTGAAGCTGCAACTGTTTCTTGTCCTTCTTCCATTGATGTCTCTCTTCAGTCAATCGTTTGTTCTCCTTTTCTAAGGCCTCATATGGTTCTGTGATTTCCTTCACAAATTGCTTCTGTTAATTGTTAGCCAGGTTTGAGAAAGAGATAAGAAACTCTTTACAATTTTAGACCGAAAATCTACCACATCTGAATCTTCTCTTTTCCGTTTGCGTAAAGGCGGTGCCGAGATCGCATGTTCCATTGTATCTTGGTAATCTCGATAAGTATAATCAGGGCGACGACCCGTATTTCGACGTCGCGGTCGTCTATGATTTTCCTCCTCATCATCACTTATTTCAATGACTGGTGAAGGGGAGCCCGCTGCTTCGCCAACCTCTTCACTGGGTGGCAATCGCTCACTAGGTAACTGCCGCGGAGGTGAATCCTCGTCGAAGGGAATGGTAGAGGGGGGAGAGTCAATTATTATCTGTGCGGGACCTTCAGTCGCATGCTCTTCTTCCGCTTCATATGTAAAATCTGGGATATGCGAGTCATCAATCTGGACAAGAGCAGGTTGTTGCTGTGTCTCCATTTCGATCAAAATGTCAAAATCGGCGAAAAAATAAAGAAGATGGCAGGTTGTCCTACTTCAGTGGGAAGCTGCAAGAATTTATACTTTCTCAGAACCAACAACTCCATACCGATGCTTAATCACCTTTAAGGGGGCTGAGCGTTCCAGCTCTAATTCTCTCAGGGGCATCAGGTGCAACGTTGCAAGTGAGGTGGAGATGAACGAGTTCAGTGTAGCGCCGTGCGAAGCACCAGGCCTCGCAGCTCCAATCAAATAGGAAGATATCATGCAGCATCAGCATAGTGTGTCCCTAAATAGATCATTCGTCATCGACGAATCGAGCTCCGACTTTCCTAGTCAGGCAGGAGGATATCTCATGCGTGGCGCTGCATGGCTCTGTTGACCAGTCGACGTGCTAGATGCATGGTTATTCCGAAAATCAGAGGCATATACTAGGTCGTTCTCAGCCAGGCGTCTCATGTCAGCTACCTTAGAGTGGAAAATACTCCAGGCGAGCAGTAGCAGTTCGGTCATTACAAGGCGTTCTTGTCTCGAAATAAATCATACCTTGAACTGTAAAATATGGCTGAAATGCCTCACAGTTCAATTAAGCAGCTCGAACAAGCAACCATGAACTCAACTTTTCATGTGGACTCTTTGGGAGAGCAATTGTCTGCGCCATTCATTGATAACGAAGCAACCATCTTTTCTCAAGTTAGAATCGATCTTTTGCATGGGGTGTAACTCTGTGACCAGCTATGCTTCGTCCCCCATGGTACACCCAGGCAGAGAGCCTAGGACAAAGCATGGGGCGCAGCTGGTTCCTTCATCAATGATTGGGCACGTATAATTGTATCTTTCTCTGAGTAGGCGGAATCTGCTCCGAGGTAATTCTCGAATCCTTGAATGACTACTAGCCCATGCTCAAACCGTACTGGTATGATCTGATCGCGAGTCACTTCTACCAAACTGCCTCGCCGTAGGCTTCCGCTGGATCCATGATTGGTTCTAACATTGCAGACACGGTTTGGGTTTCGGCATCCTGGGATGCCAAAATACTTGGTGGTCCGAGTATATAAAGGCCTCCTCCGCACTCTTGGTCTGTTTTCCTTTTTCTTCTCCCCCATCATCAAGCTATATTCCGATTTCAACTCCGTGAAAGTTGACTGTTCACACCCTATAGACAATGGACTCCGCTTTTCCTATTTCACAAATAGTACTCTTGCTAAGCCAAATGGCTACGACTTCTCTGCGTGATTTACTTGAGAAGATCCAAGAGTTTGCTGAGGCACGAAGGACGAGAAAGTTCCAGGACATCGAACTAGAGGTATGGTGCCTAGTATCACAGAGTGAGAAGCGTGCTAATCACAGAGAGCATTAGTTTCGTGGACTCATCCATCAATTCTGTGAAGAAGTCCCGGCAGTTGCTCAAGCCCTTGCTGTGGCGATTCAAGAAGACATGACAAGCCACGAATCACCAACTCGGCAGTGCGCCTCAGACTCGTCTCGCCGATTACCAAAACGCGAACAGGAACAAGATCCGCCTCATCAACCGAGTCACTCAATTGAGCCCGCTTCAAAGAAGATGCAATGCACAACGCAATCAAGAGGTTGTCTAGACAAACCAACCCCCTCGATAGAGGGAGAAAGTGATTCACTACAAAATACGACTCTCGAGGACGAAGACCCATGGTGTGAACAGTATTCAACTCCCATATTCATCCCTGAAGGCGTACTCGTTGGTTTTTGGTCCGCAGATGCGAGTGGAAATGGGAGGCGACCGGTATATTGCTTAGTTGAAACAGACTTCGAATTCGCATATCTCAAAGGAAACACATTCATCCTCGTGCGATACGATGATTTTGATCCCCTGGATGAATTCGGTGACTGGCTGGGCGACGATACCGAAGACGAGGACGCCATGAGCCCAGAAGAAGTGAAAGCTTGGGTAGAAATGATGTGGGAGAGCAGAGTCTATGCCGGACTCCAAGATACGACATTTGAAGATACTTTCGACAATTAAGGCATATAAGATAGCAACTGGCAAGAAGCCAACTCCTTCCATCTTATAGTATAGCGATAGAAGTCTGGCTAGTGATTGACCTTTAGCAGACGTTATTAAGAGATGGCATTTATATATGAAGAGTACCTCCTTAGTCTGTTGCCGCACACCGGAGCCCATATGGGATGGCAGCCCGCGTTCGATGGACAAATTATCGTAGCTGCACTATCCCTCATAAAAGAAACATCTTCATCAATCATCTTAGACCGTGATCAAATGCAGTCGATTATCCGAGTTTCTCTGATTCCCGGTAATCTGTATTTTTGTTGGATCGTGAGGCAGTCGAGTTGACCAGGCGGATAGCCGCAGTCACGTGATGTCTCACGTGACTCAGCGGTGCAAGGGTTATCTCACAGCGCTGTTGAATAGCTTCAGAGATAGAATGAACACAGACAACTTAGACTACTCGATTGAACCCATATTCCGCGTTAGGAAGCTTATCGTACTAGTACTAGTGCAGATGCACCCACACTTTTACATTTATTTCTCTTTTCCGCACATTTCTCTTCGCCAGATAATTCTTGTCTCTGAAATTTTTACTTTCACACAAATTTCGGTAAACCGAAATTCGATTTTGTCCGAAAAAGCCTCTTTTCTGCTCCACTTATTAGTTGCGTTTGTGCCTTGTCTGTAATCCGAGAATTCCGGGAGAGTGTGATTTCTGGGTTTCCAAGAATCTCTCTATTACGGAGGTCCTAATGGCGAAGGCGAGCACTAACAGTTTCCTTCCATTGTTTTATCAAGGGGTTTCATTCGATCCTTTGCGACCAACGAATGGCCAGAGCTATACGTGGTACCTAGATCCAAAAACGGTTCCGGCACCAAGTATGAATAGGGCTGTAACTCCGTAGGCAGAAGGCTGGAGTGGTGTGGCAAGAATGTGGCGCCCTTTTGAGACCCTAACGTCTCGTAGAGCACCTCACACGAAAGCTGTCTGTCTATTTATAGAAATTGTCTGTCCGCAGAAGTTGTCTGTCCGCAGAAGTTGTCTGTCCGCAGAAGTTGTCTGTCCGCAGAAGTTGTCTGTTCGCAGAAGTTGTCTGTTCGCAGAAGTTGTCTGTCCGCAGAAGTTGTCTGTCCGCAGAAGTTGTCGGTTCGCAGAAGGTACCTCTGAATAGACAACTTCGCAGGTGCTATCCATAGAAGTTTTACCCCGCTGGATTTACTCCGCTTATGGTATGTGATCCGTAGCGTAACTCAGTAGCTTTAATCCCAGCTCCTGTGCATCACCGTCAGTGCCGGAAGAACTATTCTCCATGATTTTATGCCTCAGGCATCTACAACCGCATATAGTGGTTGCCGTAGCTTGGAAGAGATCTTGTCAAAACCCATTTCGAGCTCAATAAATCACTTATCTACGCCGAGTGGGCTCATCTAGACGTATATTCATATACCCTAGCTTGAAATAGTCAAGTATGACATACTAGTCCGTTCAAAGACCGTACTGAAAATCCCTGAAGCATGAGAGAACCCAAGGATGATAGCTAGATTGATATATTCTTTGACTGGGTGAAGACACTAAGGAGCAAAGGCACCGAAATAATGCAGAGACAACCATAGTTACATGAAGAGATTACAAATCATAACTATGCACAGACACTAAGGTGCTAAGCCACGAAAATGGTGCAGACACTCTCTAGTGTAAGGACTAAAGAGTGCAGATACTCTCAATTAATGCAAAGACACTAATTTCATGTGTGGACACCTTGGTGTAAAGGCACCAGGTTAGTAGAGACACTAAGAAGTAAGAACACCAGAGTGGCAATACACCTCAGTGTATCTATATCAATGTGGCTCTGCGCCACAGTGCCCATACATATTTGTGCCTTTACATTCTGGTGCCCTTGCACGTTTTCTGTCTTGGCACTGTATAGTATCTACATCAAGTGAATGCTTATGCACTTTATTTGTGTATTTACTTAAGGTGGTACAGTAGTTTGCACCTTCAGAGTAACAGCTAACACTCTCTTCTCTTTCTTCTGAAACAGTGCTAGGAGTTTCCTAGTCTACATACAGCTAGATCCGGAATAACCCTCGCTCGTGTAACTTTCTCCGTGGCGTATTGCGCATTCGCAGATTTGATACGCCCGTAAATTACATGTATCACTACCTACTCGTAGGCTTGGGTAGTGCGCAAATTTATTTTACCTACTCCGTAGTATATGCGTGTTTTTCCATAGGTGGCCGGTCCAATATTGACCCGAGATGTCAGCAGTGATCGGAGTAACTATAAACACGAAGAATCTGCCATTTACTTCGGCTTTCTCGCCCATATCTGACATTTTAGTTTTCGTAATATATATGTTGTTACTAAGGTATAGCGTTACTTTACAATAGATTCTCCTGGATCTTAATCGACAACTAATGTTAAATAAAAACGGCTCAACATTTTGTATAATTAATTCAAGGGTAGTTAGTTTACGGTATAATTGTGAGTAATCAACTCAATTCGTCTCAGATTGCTGAAGCTGGTTAATGCCATTCAAGCACAATTAAAGACATCGCTCCACTTTGCGCTTATTAAGTCCATTCAAATGAATGAGAATGGTGTCTAGCAAGAATAATCCTTTGGATCTGGATCGACTCCATCCGTGTTGAGAAGTAACTTAACTATTGCCTCATGCCCCTCTGATGCAGCTCTTGATAGTGGTGTCTGGCCATCATTATCCTTTAGATCTTGATCAACTCTGCCTGTGTTGAGAAGTAGCTTCACTGTTGCCTCATGCCCTTTATATGCAGCTATTGACAGTGGTGTCCGGCCATCATTATTCTTTAAATCTGGATCAACTCCATCCGTGTTGAGAAGTAGTTTCACTATTGCCTCATGCCCTTTTGATGCAGCATAAAATAGTGGTGTCGAGCCATCATCCTTTGGATCTGGATCAACTCCATCTGTGTTGAGAAGCAGCTTCACTATTGCCTCATGCCCTTTTGATGCAGCATAAAATAGTGGTGTCCAGCCATTATTATCCTTTGAATCTGGATCGACCCTATCCGTATTGAGAAGTAGCTTTACTATTGCCTTATGCCCTCTTGATGCAGCTCTTGAAAGTGGTGTCCAGCCATTATTATCCTTTAAATCTGGATCGACTGTATCTATGTTGAGAAGTAGCTTCACTACTGCCTCATGCCCTTTATATGCAGCCATTGACAGTGGTGTCAGGCCATTATCAGTTCTTGAATTTGGATCGACCCCATCCATGTTGAGAAGTAGCTTCACTATTGTCTCATGCCCTTCTGATGCAGCACAAAATAGTGGTGTCCAGCCATCTCTATCCTTTGAATCTGGATTGACACCATCCATATTGAGAAGTAGCTTTACTATTGCCTCACGCCCACTTGATGCAGCATAAACTAGTGGTGTCCGGCCATAATTATCTTTTGAATCTGGATCGACTGTATCCGTGTTGAGAAGTAGCTTCACTATTGCCTCATGTCCTTTTTGTGCAGCCTCTGATAGTGATGTCTGGCGAGAATTATCCTGTGAATCTGGATCGATTCTATGCATATTGAGAAGCAGCTTCACTACTGCCTCATGCCCTTTTGATGCAGCATAAAATAGTGGTGTCCAGCCATTATTATCCTTTGAATTAGGATCGACTCCATCCACATTGAGAAGTATGTTGACTATTGCCTCATGCCCTCTTAATGCAGCATAAAATAGTGGTGTCTGGCGAGAATAATCCTTTGAATTAGGATCGACTCCATCCACATTGAGAAGTATGTTGACTATTGCCTCATGCCCTCTTAATGCAGCATAAAATAGTGGTGTCCGGCTATCTCTATCCTTTGAATCTGGATTGACTCCATCCATGTTGAGAAGTAGCTTTACTATTGCCTCATGCCCTCTTGATGCAGCTCTTGATAGTGGTGTCCGGCCATCATTATCCTTTGAATCTAGATTGACCCCATCCATATTGAGAAGTAGCTTTACTATTGCCTCATGCCCTTCTGATGCCGCGTATGATAGTGGTGTCCGGCCACGATTATCTTTTGAATCTGGATCGACTGTATCCGTGTTGAGAAGTAGCTTCACTATTGCCTCATGTCCTTTTTGTGCAGCCTCTGATAGTGGTGTCCGGCCATCATTATCCTTTGAATCTAGATTGACCCCATCCATGTTGAGAAGTAGCTTTACTATTGCCTCATGCCCTTCTGATGCCGCGTATGATAGTGGTGTTGAGCTATGATCATCCTTTGGATCTGGATTAGCCCCGTATTGGATGCTAATCCGAGCAGTACTCTCATTCCCGTATTTAGCAGCCCATAGTAGTGCGAAGCTATTTTTATTTTGACGGTCATACCGATAAAGACATGGAATAAACACGGAATAACAATGTCGGCCGGTCCGAGATAATGCGCTTATATCCTTTTCTGTTTCGAGGAATTCTGTCAGGAGTTGTAATAATTCAGTAGGTAAATCTATCAGTTTCATTGTGATTTGCTAGGGATGTTCATAGAAAGCGTTGAGAGGCTGGGAGTCGGGATTTCAGTCCAAGAACCCGTTGCTGGTCAACAGGAGACAGAAGTGTTAGGCTTGCTCTACTAACTTTACCAGGCAGTTTTAGAACACGTGTTCAGACTATTGTATTTTACCGCCATTCATGTATTGTAAATAAAAGTCTGTATCGACAGATACTGTATTATCTCCGCATTAACATTATTCCTACACTATTCTATATTTATAATAGCGTCTTCTTGGCACTGTTTCAGAGGAAAGAGAAGAGAGTGTCAGTTGTTACTCTGAAGGTGCAAACTACTGTATCACAAAAATTAAGTGCCTAAGCATCAAAACCCCGCCTTTACACTGCTTTGGTGGTTTTACACATAGTGTTCTTGCACACTTTGATTTCCAGCAAGCTTAAACCTTTTCCTTACCATAAAATCTATCCATCGAAAACTTGCTTATAGCGTTTAGGTGGTCATTGTAAGAAATGATTATTTAGAGCAGTTTAAACGGCCTATTGAAGCATAGTAAGTCTAGTATGATCATAGTTTCAACAAATTCATAGGCAGCTCACAAATGAAAGGTCATTTTGAAACGTTGAAGAGACCTCATGGCCGAAGGGACAGAAGGTACAGGGCCTGTAGTTAGTGGCAGGTCGCATACCCTGCCATAATAGTCATCATCCAAGGGCGGGTGTTCTTTTCGCTGGAAGATGGTCAAGGTCTAATAAGATGTGTACTATAATAGTATAGTTATATATTTACACAAATTAAGCAGGGTTGTATTTTTCAACAATGCAGTTACATTGTTGAAATAAAAACATGGAAGTGAATGGTGGTACGAAGTTGAACTAAGGGCCACCGTAATTTATATCATCATATGAAAAATATGGGGTGAAAATATTGTTCACCACAACGCCCCACTCTTAAACATGTTTTCTTACGGTAACACATTGTATAATTGACCAGTCATTTTCGTCCATTTCCTTATCACAATACATTAATATACATGCTAAAAATTACAAAGGGCGTTTTTGAATAGTATGTTCTAGAACGTTCCCTGAAACAGATCCACTTATGACGTATTTCCAACCCTCGCTCTAATATTTCTGATGTAGTGATGGGTAAAAACCCATTCTAGCTAATTCCATAGTCAACCTCCAACAACTTGTTTGTATACTTCTTTCCCGCGCTAGCATAACAGGTTTAGTGTAATGTACTCAAGCTTCTGCAGGTCGAATGGAAAAGGTGATCTGCTCTAGAGCAGGCAACAGGCTAGATAGGAATAGAAAATGGATTACACGACAAGGCAATAAGTTTTGCCAGCAGCTATTTTTCACTGAGTCCATTATAGGATTGAATTCCCAGGTACTTATTCAATCTATATTGTTTGACCCATCTCCCAACCCATCCCAAGACTAGTCACACAGAACTGCTGAAGACCCAGGATTCCCTCGGTATGGTGTAAATCTTCCTAGGAATAGCTTCCTAGGACTTAAATACTAGTACTGACATAGACCGGGGCTAGACTACCTAGTTCCTGCACAGTGTTAGGAGTAACTTTGTCACAGGATGGCCTTCCTCAAACAAACGCTGTGCTGGGAACGTTGACTGCGGATGCGGGGTGAATCAGGGCTATCAACCTAAACCCACTATAAACACAGGATCACTGGCCCATGGCCGGGATGGACTGAGAGCCCTACTTGACTGAAAGCAGTACATCTATGCTCGAGAAGGACCTAGGACCATGGTCCTAGGCCCAAAACCAGGCGGGGCTAAACTATTTTTAGAGATACGCCAAGAAAGGTCCACACCAAGGTGGGGGCATTTGACAGCTGATTGTGTGCCGTGGTTCGGCCCGGTTCTGCATCCGCCGGGAAGGATTAGGGGATTAGGATTTAGGACCTTTCAAAAGTTGATTTTTCAAGAAACTGCAATACCTATCTATTTACGATATTGTAACGATCCTCTATAGGCGCCCTTCCCATGTCGGTCTGTTTACGATATCGTAGCAATCCTCTGTAGGCGCCCTTCCCATGTCGGTCTGTTTACGATATCGTAACGATCCTCTATAGGCGCCTTCTCCATGTCGATCTGTTTACGATATCGTAACGATCCTTTATAGGCGCCCTTCCCATGTCGGCCTGTTTACGATATCGTAGCAATCCTCTATAGTCGCCCTCCCCATGTCGATTTGTTTACGATATCGTAGCAATCCTCTACCCATGTCGATCTGTTTACGATATCGTAACAATCCTCTGTGAGCACCCTCCCTACACCATTTCTCACTTGCCTATTCTCGATAATCGATAATATTATAGAAGTACTAGCTCTCAGATAGCTATTCTACCGTATATTATCTGATCGAGATTCCACTTTGGTTCCCCTCAGATAAGGGTCCAATTTCCGATCTTTCCACATCTAGACTTTGCCAGAGCAACTTTTGGCATGGAGCGATTTTCTGGCGTAGGAGCAATCTTTAGCGTTAAGCAACTTTTGGCATAGAGCAACTTTTGGCATGGAGCAATTTTTTGGCACAAAGCAACTTTTACAGGTATTTTTTGGGCAAACAACTTTGGCATAGAGCGAATTTTTGGCGTAGGGCAACTTTTGCAGATATTTTTTGGGAAAACGACTTTAGCATGGAGCGATTTTTTGGCACAAAGCAACTTTTTGGCATAGGGCAACTTTTGCAGGTATTTTTTGGGCAAACGACTTTGGCATGGAGCGATTTTTGGCACAAAGCAACTTTTTGACATAGAGCAACTTTTGGCAGAGAGCAACTTTTGACACAGCAATTTTTGGCCTTTTTTACAATTTCGGTATAGAGCAATTTTTAGCGTGAAGCAATTTTCAATATGCTGAAATTGGTCTTTGTCTAGCCCGAACTGGCCTAGACAGAAATAACCGTAGAACAATCACCATAGTAAAAGTCCATTTTAGCGAATAGTGAAAAGTCACCTTTTGAGAAGAGGTAAATCTATTCTAAACCACGCTTTGTCGGCACTATTTAATAGGCAACATCTTATATGTTCTTTTACTCACTCACTTCTTCTCCAGTTAAATTTAAGTGCTATAAATGAAAGATGACTATTCTAAAAGTCCAAAAGGTTTCAAAGACACCACTGCAAAAAAAGCATAAAAGACAACAGCGAAACCGGCGTGGGAATACACTTTTGAAGAAAGCATACGAACTTAGCATCATGGTTGATGCCGAAATTTTTCTTGGGATTCGATTTCGCGACACTGGTCGCATCAAGACATTTTGCGCGGATACAACTGGTATTTGGTCATCACTTATATCTCACCTGGTAAGGTTTCTCACGTTATTAATCCGCAGAGCTGACAAAAGTAGGACTCATACTATCCTATACCGGAACGAAAAACGCCGGGTGACTTCTCTAAGAAGAAATGAATCGTGGCAGTTGGATGAGAAAACAGCTATAGAGGGAGCAATTGCAAATTGTCTTATTCCTAATGAATGGGGTTGAGTAGTGCTGTTACATTATGCTCTAAAATGTGGAGAATTTCTACTGGTCGAACCCCACAGGGTACCCTATGCAAGGAATGGACCTAAAGTAATAGTGGATAGCATTCATGAATTACACCTGAAATTGTGAGGAAGACCGACTGGGGTCTATTAAGAGAACTCAGTCAGGTATGCCCATTTGGAGCACTTCAATCCCAGTCTCCCTCAATCATCTTGATCAAATCATCGTTGATATTATTCTGCACCGCTGAATCGTCACTATCGTAACCAAAGCAAGGATCCCGGTGTTCATCACCATATTCCTGGGCTATAATAATGTTAGTATGGTCTCGATGACGCTTGGTAAGCTAACTTACAATATTTGACGTTGATTCCAGCTCTCTTTTCACGAATCGCGTGAGCTGGTACCTTATGCAAACAGATATACGATCCTCCCTCATGTTGTTCTGCTCTTTTAGGTATCCTCACACCTAGGGCATCTACAAGCCTGCTGACTTTAAAGACATGGACTCCATCGAGCAAAGATATATCAATAGTACAGAGAGTCCATTCTTCGCTGTGGGGATTCGATCCACGCCAGGGCTCTGTACATCCCCAGTTCTCGGCATGATTCCGGTCGGAAAAGAAAGAAATAAATGGGGAACGACCTCGATAACCCCATGTAAAATGGTCCTCCACGGCCTGTTTGAAGAGACTGAGTTCGTGTGTGCTATTGCCGTAGAGTGTAGTTGTGTCTGTGGCCTTGAGTCCTTCGCCCGTGAGAGTTGTTTGACTCTCTGGGTAATGCACGCGGTAAAGATGGAGAGGAAGCTCCTCAGGCCGACAACAGTACTGATTCATGACCGATGACTTCTGCGAAGCTTAGACTGAATGTGGTGGTGATCAGCATAAACAATTCTCATTGAGAAACTAGGGTATCGGTATCAACAGGAAACTGTGTATGAGGAAGAAAACTGGGATACCGTGGTATTTATACCCCTCGTTTCTTCCTCATGGACAGTACTTCCCGTCTAACACAAATCTGTATGTAACGGCCGGTATCCCAATGCGGCTCCGACGTTGACTTCTCCTTTGTACGCGAGTCAAGCCCGATGTCTAGACTCATCCCGTGACGTGAGGTGTCAAACCACGCGATATTCGCGTGTCCTATCGATAACCTTATTCGTCAATAGGGCTTTATCTCGACGTGACCTATTCGTAGCCTTGTCGGAGCCACGCCGTCACACTGTTAGCCGCACTCTACCAAAAGTGAAGGATTCTCCTATGACACGTGAGTGAGATAGTATACTTAGCACGGTTGAGTGATAGCTAAACACCAGGACGAAATAATATATTTGACCGCCAGCGCTCGACAGTCCTTTGTTGGTCTGGAAGAAAGTATCTATTTTAAGAGGCCAGGAGCAGTGATTAGAATTGTGCCATAACTCATATTATCCCAAGTCCATGATACATCTACTTCACCACAAAATCGTGGAAGCAAAGCTCAAAAAGTAACGGCGGCTAGGGGTACACACGAATAACTACTATGTACTTCGAAAGTGGAACCTATTACCACTACGTCTTAGCGGCACCCCATTTTCCGCTAAGGAGTAACTCTATCCCGAAAATAGTCTAGTCTTATAGTTTAGTTCTGCTGTCCTAGCTTCATCCCCATCTCGCACTGTTTCCTTCTGGAAAACCGGCTCCAAACATTATGTATCTGCATTTTGCTCACGATTCGGGCTTATTTTTTGTGAATCCTCGCTTGGCAAAAATTTCCGACCGATGAAGAAGGTATTGCTCTTTTTGAGGAGCTTCTCGGACGATCTCCTCGAATGGCATAATAGCTTTGATTGCCCGAACTGAAATGATCCATGAGACGCTTGAGTCTTTACCTCTATGCTCGTTAACCGGTTCCCAATGAAGTTGCACATTTGCCTCATTACGGTGCTGCGAAACTTTCATCTGATTCAGCGTTCCAGTAACCTGTGAATAGTCTAACCATAATTTTTCGGAAGGCCCTCGAATTCCGTATAGATTGTCGAAATCGTTGGAGAAACGAAGTTCTCCAGCGAAGACACCGAGGAGATCTCCTTGATTCACCGGCACAATGGGGCAGACAGACAGAAATCTGTTATTTCTCCGGAAAAGAAATATAAAGATTGACTTGTTTCGGCCGCTCTCAGACGCGATATGTTGATCGGCGACGCACCACAGAGGGTCATCTGATGCAACATCAGGTTTACATGCGAGTGCAAATGTGGATGCTTCTCGCTTGAAGCGCCACTTATTGAACGCATTATTCCACGAGGATTTCCCGACGTCTATTATTTCTGCCACATGCGCATGCAGGAGATCCGATACACCGGTGAAATCCTCAGCACCTTGTTTCATCATTCGATTTTCCAGCTGTTCTAGTAGCGGGCCATAGACCCTTTCCCACGACATAACCACATCAGTTAAAGATCCAGCATCTTGGGTAAAACTTTTGCAGTAAGTGTCAAATTCGTTCGTTCGGTATAGGAGAATCTTGCTGATACCCGCCCTGCGCATCTCAGACAGCTTCTTCCAAAGATTCCGACACCGCCGCTGATTCTCCACACTGGTTCCGAACCCTGCTTCTCGCATGAACACCTTTGTCGCAACCTTTTCGGCCATGGTAAACTCGTCCAGCGGTTCCTTGGGGGTGGGTAAGGTCGCAGGGTGGATCAACTTGGCTCCTTTAGAAATGATGTCCCAGTAAACGGTCTCATTATACCGGCCTTGCATATCTTTTCCTGCCAAAAGCGCGTTGTCTCTTCTCACAATACGAACCGCCTCTTCATATTCACGTTGCGCGATATCGTCCACGTACAATCGCATTTTTTCGACTTCTGTGGTGGACCAGATTTGCTGAGTTTGCCGACCATACTTGCTAATAGTATTATTGAGCTTCACGCAATTCCATAATATACTTGTCATGGTGTCAACCGCTTTTACAGGGTTCAACAAGGTCGGCAGGTGGGATTGCGCACCCAGCACCAAGGAATCGGTTGGCGATGATGTGCAAGTGGTGTCATCAGCTGCGGACATGGTATTCGTTGTGACTGTATCCGCTGTTACTGTCAGAGGTCGATTGGTAGAGCCTGTTTGATGAGTAGTAGTATTTTCTGCTGTCGCTACATCCTTACAATTTGCATCCACTTTACTAGGTCCAAGATGGTTGGGTTTCTTATTCGCTCTTTTCTTTTTCCTCGATGGACTAGTTAGCCCTTTAAAATCGTCTGGGCCTCGTTTTAAATTGCGTGATAAAAGTCGGTAGGATCCTCGCAATTCTTTCGCCGAACTAGGAGGCGTCTGGGGGGTTGAGGCGTTAATCGGTAGAATGGGGTCTATGAACCCTTCAATTCCGTCCTTAACACGCGTTGCATGTACTTGGACAAACTTAATACTGTAGCCACGTCACTCTCGGCATGCTCACCATAATTCACAATATGATTAATGTGTTCCTGTATCGGCTCATCACTGCGATGACCGATTCCACAGAGCGCTAAAAGCTCTCGTATTTTTTGTGTCGCTAAACTTTTAACTACTTCCATCGTGCTGTACTTTATATCTAAGAAAGGAAGTTGTCGTGCGGTACTATACGAGGGACAACATGTATATACTTGCTACTTTAAATGGTTCTCGAACTTTCTGTGACTAATCTATTCTAGGACTAGTGCTCCTGTCACCTAGGCTGAGGCAATCCTCAGGCCTAATTCATCAGCCTCTTAAGATATAACCACGGCTGGAACGCGTGAAGATCAATCACTGATACAATACTTGATGGTAATGATGTGGTATTTACGTGATCATGAAATGCCCATAACAATGTCTCGATCTGTCTAATGAGCTGAGCCTGATCAATTTCATGTCGCCTAGCCAGATTTCTCTCGGCATAGCTCATCAGAGTCAAGTGAACCGTGTTGGCGATCCCATCGTACGAAAATGGTCGACGGATATACTCATGTATAGAGAAGGTGAGGCCGTTTAGACCGGAGCGTCTGTATATTGAGGTTGGGTGGTCTCTTCAAAGATCCAACCCGCTGTCTTGTCGGCCGGCGGTCAATTTGAGACCGGTGAAAATCTATGATCATGACCCGACGCAGTTCATCATTCCATAACATATTCTCAAACCGCAGGTCCCCATGCACGACTCCTAATTCACGAATTTGCCTCCGTGACTTCGAGATCTCCTGGCGTAGCGCCAAGCTCTCTGTTGTTCTGATACTCTCTCCCGCCCAACCCATAAGCAGCATATGTCGGATCTCGCCAGCTCCGTGGAGAAAGAAGATCGTTTTCAAATCAATAGCTCCAAGAAAAACTGGGACTGCAAGCCCCTGTGCCTTCTGGAGAACCTGATATACTTCTACTTCACGGGAGACCTCCTTCCAGAGTCGGGAAGTTGTCCCCTTTCCAACTATTGTGTAACCATATGTAGCACATGTAATCTTGAATGGCGCACCATATGATCCACAAACTCCGAACGGTGTACAGTTGTGGTCGAGGTCTTGATCGAGCTGCCCTTTTAGCAGCTGCACTAGCTGTTTCGCATCAATACTATGTCGGTCACGCTTTTCGCCTTGCCGATGGAGATCGACATTAGGACAAAGACCATCTAATACACCCCCCCGCTGCAGACCCAACAGACACCGTTGCGTACAGAATCGTGATGTATGCTGCTGGTATTGACCATTAGAAGGAGGTGTCGAATCCGTTGGACGTGTCGGTGAACGTTGACTAGGCGGAGAAGATATGATTTGGCTGAAGCCTCGCTTTCGACCCTGTGTAGCTGGGCTGGTGTCAGAATCAGACGAATCCATATCCTCTCTTTGAGGTGACGTTTCCGTGTCTGCGCATTTGTGTCGAGACCGGGCGGAGGGTTGACGCGTTTGCTTGGTGGGCGATAATGGAGATGAGGGCAAATATTCGGAGCCTGCATGTTCCGAGCTAGTATATTCCGAGCTTGTATATTCTGAGTCAGGAGGGGCTTGCTGTAGCTCTTCATTAGGAATCTGGGACCGTGTATGGTCGAAACTCGTCTCCCATATATGTAACTGAGATCTTGCAGCTTGCCGCCATGCCTGATCACGGATCCGGGAATGGAAACACATCAAGCAGAGGCATAACACCCTAGCGATCGCGGTTTTCGGTTGGAGAAAGCTATCGGGATTCCCCAGATTCACGTCGAGATTGGGTTCACAGGGATAGTAATAGAGCGTACTCGGATCGTCATATGGAATCCGGAGAAGAATCAAAGACAACCCGTTCGTGATATAAGAGTATTCTAGGCCCTCTTGAATCATAACGTGATATTCTTGAGTCAACACAGAGCCAACCAGTTGTTCTGCGTTGTACTTCAGCTTTTGATTCTTATCGGTAGGTATTTTGTTCCGGTTAACGACATCCTTCCAAAACTCCATGGATCGGAGGCCCGATCGTACGTCCTCTATTCTGAGCTTATGCGGCGGCTTGTACTCGACCGTGGTCAGTAAGGTATTGGTGGTGCCGTCGACTCGATGGATACAAAACTGGTCCGGTCTCGAATATTGTGTACTTGGTGTTTCATCGTCATCTTCTGGCTCCTCTAAGGCATTCGAATGGTTGTCAAACATAATCCCGTTGCCAAGTTGGAATCTCTGTCGGGCGCCCGGTATCTTGCACAGTTCAGCTATGATATCATGGACATGGTCCTCGACTGCGAATCGCTCGTAACTCTCAAGGTCCTTTTCACTTCGCAGCTCTCGGCGGGAAAAGCGTCGACTGAGGCCGTGTAATTCAGCTAGGGGTGCGAATATCTGGAGTGCATCTTCCTCTGTAGGTTGCAGGTAAGTGTAAACCGCATCAAAAATTTCCTGCTGCTGTGCTGGACAGTCCGACCAGTAGCGAAGCCGTGTTGGGCAGTATTTTCCAGTAGGTGGCGGGATCTTGCCCTTCGTGGACTTAGTTGGTGTGCCGGCTTTCAGCGGACAAGAAAGCAGATCGTGACAGGCTTGAATAAACACCCTAAAAGTTGTCGGTCGGGTATGCGTTTCTGCCTGCTTTCGTAACTCTGCCTCTTGTTTTTCTCGGTCTTCTGCCTGCCTTCGCAATTCTGTTTCCTGCTTTCGTAACTCTGCCTCTTGTTTCTCTCGGTCTTCTGCCTGCCTTCGCAATTCTGTTTCCTGCCTTCGTTCCTCTTCCGCTTTGAGGAAGAGAGCCTTGTAATCTGGTGAACTATTACCAGCCATAAAATCTCAGTAATGGGTTGGATAGAGTCCAGTTCAAAGTATAGTAAGTGCGATGCTGGCATTGAGAGAAAGCCTCGAGAGTGGTTCGCAGATAATAACCTTAGTCGCTACACGTGACTTGTTCTGGTCTAGTGGATACTAAATAAAGGGGTATCCACTCGGACAACCAATCATAGGAAACCAAGTTGAACATTCAAGTGAAGCGGGACGATTAAGGACGAATAGGGACGACTAAGGACGATCAAGGATGATTCAGAACAAATTAGAGTAAGCCCGTCGGTACTGGTAGAAATTAGTTACATTTTTTATAATTTTGGAAAATCTTGAATATCTAGAGAGAATAATTCGGGGTGCATCGAGAAATCTAAATAGCAAGCTACTGCACCCCCTATTCCGCCTCTCGATCTGCCAAGCTGGATTACTAGAGAGCTACTGATGGAGGCCACGCCGACCATTCCGGGATGCGAATGTTCTTCCCATAGAAAGATTTTTGAGACATGGCCCAGAAGCAACGCGGTTCTTCGTGTCTCATCCTGCATGAGGATCTGTCCGTACTGCGGAAAAAGCCATTCGAATGCCAGCCGTCTTCGAAAGCATCTCAGGACTTACACGTATCGTATCAGGAACCTCATTGTTGAAGCTGAACATGCTGGAGTGGAAGTGAGGTTTGTCATGTTCTGACGATATCGTATTATTCGCACCATTATGTTGACAATATGCTAGAACTCCTCACTGGATCGTCGCCCCCCTTCATGGGGAAATGACAAACATGGCAAAAGGTTCAGCCTTGGCAAGAGAGGACAAATTGGGCCTATCCCAGTCAGCAAGCCTTGTACGTGAAGCCTTGAAAGAAATTCAGGAAAGCTTTGGAGCCGCCTTTGGTGGCCTGAAGCATTGTACTCTGTACCCTCTAGATGACGTCCCGCCAACGGTCCGATCATTGTGGCAATCCTGCACCACATCCTTGCCAACGTTATACAATTCATCCCAATGCTGGACCGTCCGAACGCCTTTAGCTCGCGAACTCGTCATCGATGCGCTGATTAAAATCAGGAGCAAACAGATTCAGTCTGCTTCCGAAGAGGACTTCCGGCTCAATTATCAAGGCGAAGTTAACGAATCAATCGATCCTACAATCGTCCTTGCGCAACTAGTTGACCCGGACCCGTGCTGTCCTGCGTTTCTCACTGGTTTACGATCGCCATCCGTGGAAAGCTGCGGCTTTCGCTGTCCATATGATCTTTGTACGGTCGTGGAGCCGGAAGAAGAATGCAACATCCAGGTTAATATGACCCCCAAATTCTCTTTTGTTGATCTTCATATCGGTAGGTTCTCACCGTCGACCGGAGGAGACGTCGTACTAACGCTTCCAGATTATGGAGCGGACGGTTTGTCGACTCTGGTCGGCGATTGCCGAAAGATATGGCTGTTGTATCCTCCGTCGGAAGCCAACCTGAGGGCTATGAAGATGGTAGACAGCCAACGAGCAAAGCTCATGCGGATTATGCATCAATTGGAAGGAGGGGTGATAGTGCCGACAACCGCATCCCATGCCATCTATATACCGGCAGGCTGCATCCATGCCACATTTACCTTACAAGGAGGTTTCCTCGTTGCGAAGGACTTCACATCCTCCGAGTCTCTCACCGCGATTGCGTCATATCTACTGCATAAGTTGGATCAGACGCTGCCATCTGAAGCTCGTAGTGTCTGTTATGACTGGTTCGAACGCTGCCTGGATGTGTGTTTGAGCAGTGGGAAACTGGACACCGCACTCGAAGCTTGGATCCTCTCGCAAGACCACCTGGCTGCGTGGGCTGCATCACATCGACAATGGCGTATCAACGTCCGTCGCTTATGGGAACAGCACTTGCACAATAAAATATTCAGTGATTGTCCTTGCGGTATGCAGGAGAGGACCACGGTATTGTCTCATCATGTTTTTGCGACACACTTAAATTTTCTGTTACCGCCTTCTCAGCTACGTCGGTTGAAATGAATTGGCATGTATCATGATAGGGTAATTGCATAGAACTACCTGATAGATAAGCATTACAATGACAGCTATTGTTTCAAATGGTAGAATAGGTCCCCAAATCATGGATCTTTTTCATCCATTTAAAACGAGGGCTGTTCACGCTCCAAATATAACGGGTTGAGGGCGTAGTACTATAGATAGAACTGTGGCAGACTGATTCGACCACGTCTCTTGGGGCTCGGGAAATTGCAGTGTCCCAGAGCGTGATGGTGCGATTAGTACTCAGCATATACTGGAATGTGGCATCGGCCGGCCATCGCTTATCCAAGTTCCTACGGAGGAGCCTTGGGATGATACCGTCTGTCTCAAATTCCGCTTGAACCTCTTCGCGCCTATACAGCCACGTATACACGACCACATAACGCCCATCATCCAAGCGCCTTATCTCAGATATCTTGGCGTAACTTTTCCTGTCTTTCTCCAGACACACCTGGACTATATCCCCAAGATGGATATCCCATGTTTCGAGTGGAGCAGAACTTACGCGAGCTAGCTGCCTCCACGGCTTTGCACCGTCCACTGGTCTGGGACTCAGGTTTCGAACACCATCCCCCTTTGTAAGGTATAGAACATCTGCGGGTGGAGGAGCTTGCGATATGACTGGCACGGGAGCTGAATCTGCGGATGTCTTGTTCCTAGCGTTATCGGGGCAGTCTTCACCCTCATTCTCGATCATAGGTTGCACTGTGGCAAGTATCAGCCATATATGGGACTAGGGAGAATCATCGAGTCTCCTGCGTGATACTCTGGGATGGGATATGATAGGATATATCGTCTTTACCATCATAGTCATTGTCGGAAGGACCGCATATATCACTGTCTAAGTCCATGGACGCTGACCCCTTTGCGAATTTAGTTCCGTATCAGACAATCTTTTTGATTACCCACCTTATCGCTGCTCTCGCAGTCTTCGAGAAAAGCCTGCGCGATGGCGAAGCCATCATCTATATCCTTCGACCAGTGCAGGTCCCAAGAGAGATCGGCGCTGCCATGACTAGGTAGCTCGACACCAATTTTGTTGATAGCAGAAGAAATTTGCATACTAATGCTCAAGGACCAAGGTGAATAGTATTGAGGAGTTATACTTATCTTGCACCCTGTCGGCGTGTGGCCTAACACTGAATCTTTCCCTACCTGGCCGCCCTTCTACCGTGTTCGGTCAGCGCTACGTTGTTCCAAGTCGGCGCTAATTTATGCCTTCTAGAACATTCGCTGATAGGGTACCCACACATAGTGCCAGGACCTGCCTCGGCAACTTATTCGATTACCGTAGATAGACTATTTAGAACTAATCGTCGCCAGCCTGTAATCTCTAATTCAGACGGCAGCCTGCAAGGTATTCGATCATTCAAACGATCACCATTTTCCGCGGTGAGCCGCGTGGAGAGAGACGAACAGGGTATTTAGAGTTGGTAAGATGTTGAGTTGAACAACGGTCGTTAATAATAATTATGATTTTTTAGGATAAGGAAAAGGAAAAGGAGAAAACCAGCTACATAAGGTTTGAAAGCAGCCTTCTAAAATTACAAAACGTTTTGATTCAGACCTTTCGTGGGTCTGCCTCATACGCAAAGGTATTTAAGATACCGAATGATACAGCCCTCACTATTCCTCCTCCCCAAACAATTCAGCGATCAAATTGACGGCGCGCTTGGGCTTCCCGGAATGCTTCTTCAAGTAACCTAATATGCGAGCCTGACTATACTCCTTTTCTGGAAAAGATGCCGCGAAAGTGTTTGCGAGAGCTTGAAGCTCATCTTGAGAGATGTTGTTTCCGGGAATATTTGCAGGAGGAGACGGTTGCAACCTTGGACAAAATTGACATTGAGATGAAGCAGGTTGCTGCTGCTCCTTCTTCTCCTCCACCGGATATTCGGCATACATCAAGAGAAAGAGACGCTTGATACTATCAAAATCAGGATACTCAAAACTAATTGTCATATCTACCCGGCCTGGCCGTATCAAGGCCGGATCGAGTTTGTCTTTATGGTTGGTGGTCATGATAAGGATGCGTCCTTCACTGGCTATCACACCATCAATAGCATTTAGAAGACCAGACAGCGAGAGTCGTTGAAACGTCGTAAAGCTGTTATCTGGTTCGGTGGTCCGAGAATTTGTAATTTTCTGACTATCGACATCTTCGAGAAGCAAAATACATTGTTGGGGTAAGCTCGATATTAGGTTATTCAGGTCATCCTCTGCTATGTTGTTGAGATTGAGGATGTAAATCTTCAGTTTGAAGAGACCTGCAACAGCAATACACAGGCTGGTCTTACCCGTGCCTGGGGGACCTTCAAATAAATATCCTCGACGGTATGGGATTCCGCGTTCAGTGTGCCATCTTCTTGTTTCTGGTTGCAAATAACCATCAATATCTTCGATGAATTTCTTTTGCAGGTCAGGGTCCATGATAACTGTTGAGAGCTCTCGTATACCCTGGCCTGACGCGCGGGTCCAGGCAATCGACTTATTGTTGGATTGTGCACGATAAACGGCTGTCTTGTTCTCGTCGAGCTCAGCATGTCTCAGCCGTGCAGCGTGCAGTATCTTTCGAAGGATGGAGCCATCCCATCCAAAGCACATCAAGTGTAGACTTTGTGATCTTTCCCATGCGTCTTCTCTCTCCTCTCTTTCCAACAAAATTAATCGGCCTTCATATATAAACCAATGGTTTCCATTCGCAGGCGTTAAGGTGAGACTTGGCAAGCTGCAGGTCCTTGGAGGTGTTGTTCCCATGACATGTTCCTCGTGACTGTTGGGTTCATTCTTGTTCCAGGGAAGTCGTGATCCTGTTGTTGCAAGTCGGTGAGTGGACATCTTACAAACCCACTCTTGAGCAAGGAAATCTTCGAGAGCCTCAAAAATGTTGTCAGTCCATCGAACCTCGATTCTGGACATGAGCCAATTCTTTAGTATGGTCCTAGGTTTTGGTGGCTTCCATCCCAGGTATGCGGCAAGGGCACCCAACATAACAATAGGAGGCAAATATGACGATAAATCTATATTGAGATAGGTGGAGAGCAACTGGGAAAAGAATGAAAGACCTGGAAGTGACATCTCTGCTAAAGAATTTCCTGGTGGAAGACCGGCGGTAGAATTGGTTTCGGAGTACACCATTGTTTATTGCCGAACGTGCAGACTCAGAAAGGTTAGAAAGAAGAATAAGAAGGTCTGACAAGATTGTGTGTGAAGGTGGAATGAGAGACTGCCTAGAACTGAAAAAAAGGGGGTTACGAAAGGTTAAATAGATGGAATAATACAACTACTGCTGATAGAGCCCACTTTGCGGCACAGTGTAGACATTTCATGGAAGGTCTATGCTAAAATGAATCCTACGTGCTGCACACTAAGTGTCAGTTAGATCCTGCATTAGTGGTATTAAGATGACTGCAATCCTTGAAAACCGGCGCTGCGCGAGTCAAACATATCGCGTCCGGGCTCTGCTAGCATATGCAGTGGAGCAAGTTAAGCTTGACCCATGAATGTGCAGTGACACGCATATGTAGCATTCGCATTGATCGCGGTCTTGCAGCTTTAGACCAGATTATAGCCTCGTGTTGATGCACCTCGTGAGTCACAGCTGCTGGGTGATAGTGACCTGTAGGCCACATATGCTCAGCTATCTGCTTGCATGAAGCTAGCTTCTAACTCGCATTCTTTCTTATGAAACAACTTTCGCTCTTAAAATTTTCCATTTTATTATCCTTCCTTACTTGCTACGATTCTGGTAGTATTCTGGCTTCTATCTTCTTAATAAGTTTCCCTTTTCAAATCGAGTCGACTGAAAAGCAGTCAATGCAATGCAAGTGGAGCAGTCATCAAAAGCGAAAAGAGAGCAGGGAGAGGAGGAAAAAGCACCCAAAGAAAAAGAGAAGAAAACAATGTTAGATTATCAGAAAGAAACGGCGTAATCTAACCCATGATCTCAACTTATGTGTGCATGGATGCTGACTGGTCTTAAGAAATCTTCTACAATCAACGACTCAGCTATCTGATTGGGCCTGTAGCTGGTGTACAAAAGAAGAGATTCGTTGTCGGGTTGGAAGAAGCGATACTTGTCTACGCTGCATGTTACTAAAGCGGGAGTGTTGTCTCCCTGAACCTAGAACACTGTTCACCGATGACAGAGATGATTGTTTGAGATGGTTAGAACAATTATGACAAGCAATGCTTCCTAAAACAATAATATGATTGCTTCTGGCTCGATATAGCGGAAAATTAAATGAATAAGAGTTGAGGACTGAATAGGTTGCCAATAACAAGACACCTGACAAAATTGAGAAAGGGAAGTCGTTATTAAACCTTGAGGCCGATGCACTTAGTAATCGAATCTTGCGTATCATTAGCCTCCGTAGTGCTTCGTTCGCACTCGCACTCGAAGGGCTATCGTCCATTAGATCTTCAATTTATTCTCACGCAGTTTTAGATAGAAGCAAGGGTTTTTACTCTTGTCGCAACTGGCACAGGTTGGACGGGCTCCGTCACATCTTTCTTTGCTTATGAGACATCGGTCACAGGATGTCTGGGTTACTTTTTGGCGTCTCTTTCTTCCCTCGTAGAAGCAAGCATGGGCATCATTGTGACAATTGACGCACTTTGGACGACTTTTGTCACATCTTATCTTTCTTATTCGGCATCGGCCGCAGGCCTAATTAAATAACTGATTAGAGCGGTGACAGCTTTCAAAAGAATAAGGCGATTACCCGTCCGCCCTCAATGTGATCAGAGTATGAACTAGTCTGAGGTAGAGCTCCATCCACTTCTTTATATGGTGACTGCGTCTGCACCTGCGCTTGATAGCTGCTGGAATTCGGGAGATATGGTTCGGTCGGTAGTACGTCCGGATGCAAAGACCATTCTGTTGCATTTGATTGCTCAAGTTCAGCAAGACGGCTTCGTTGTTCCATCATTTGCTGGATTAATGCATATATCGCTGTAGTTCCATGCGTTCTGTATAATAGAATTTGAGCATTATGTTGTTCTTTCATTTCTTTGATTTTGTCTTCCATCCCTTTGATTTTGTCTCCCATAGTACTCATTGTGGCTCCAATCTCTCTTATCATGAGTGTAATTTTCGCAAAGCTCATTTGAATTTTCTTCATCTCCAAAGATTCTTGGCCTTGCGAAGAGGAGTTGTTTTCGTCTGCATGATGGGAGGCTCTTGCCTACTTACAAGGTCAGCGTGGGAGACCTGTTCCAAGGAGAATATGTTATTACTTACAACCCCAGTAACTTGCAAGTCGCATGTCTGAGTCCGTGGAGGCTTCTCCATCTTTGTTGGGTTGATTGTTATCCGTACTCAGGATCAGTCTGGCGCATTTATAGTTTAAGACTCTTGCATGTTTCCGCAGATGGAAGCGAACCAGGAGATAGCTGGTCCGGGACTGGCACCTGAAGAAGCATACAAGAATGGAGAGCCTACAGTAAATTGGATCCTACGTGCTGCCTACTAGGTGAATTAGATCCTGTATTAGTGGTATTCAGATGACTACATCCCTGTAGCTGCACGAGTCAAGCAGGTCGCCACATGCAGGTAACGCTACTTAAACTTGAATCCTGAATTTGTGGCACGGATGTGTAAATATATGACACTAGTTTCATTCTCCATTTAGATTATAGCATTCGGATGGATGGGGGAAACGCATTGCCAGTTCTAGACCAAGCTATAGCCTCGTCTTGAAACACCCAGTCCGTCCCGTGGATGAGAGCATGAGATATTTCATTATCCAAATTTCGCACATCAGCTGGCTAGACCAAGTCATAGCTTCATGTACCCCCTGAATCATAGCTGCTAATAGTTTAGCGAACAGCAGGCAATGGCGAATCATAAAGCACAGATTATTCAACTATTGAGCCTGGTGTGCGACTACTTGCATAGAGCTACCAGAGAACTTTGAGGCATTTTTGAGGCATTTGTGGGTATGGCGCTGTTCAATATCAAAGCCAAGTGAGCGGGGTCCTTAGAGCTGGTCTCATAATACAAGAATGTTGGCTCTGTCTCTGAGAATTCAGAAGAGATCATAGTGCTTCAACGTCAAGGATTTGTGAATTTTCACTGTATTCTTCCGATAATGAAACAAACTCCGCTCTTGAAATTGTTTCATTTCATCATCCTTCCCTTCTTTGCCTTACTTGCTACACTACTAGCAGTATTCTGGGTACTTATCTTCTTGACGATCTACCTTTTTCACTTGATTTGGCCGGAGCATAGGCAACGCAATGCAAGCGGATCAGTCGAACAAGAAGGGAGTTCGAGCAAAGGCGAAAAAGAAGAGTGAAGAATGGAGAAGAGAACAACAGTAGGTTACCTTGAAAAAAATATACATTTATCACTGCCTGAACCTCAAACTAGCGTACTATCCACCGACGACGATAATTGTTCTTTGAAATGGCCAGGAGGATCATGACACAATAAAGACTACTTCCCAAAAAAAGCCATGTCGCTTCTGGCTTGAATCAGCGGAAGCCCCAGGAAAAAAATCAGAATACATGAATTGGTACATCGAGGTCTCTTCCAGTGCAGGAATGTATGCCGAAGAGAAAAGAGTTGAGGATTGAATAGGCTGCCAATAACAGGACCCCTGACAAAATTGAGAAGTTGCAATCGTCTCAAATCTCGCGACCAATGAGATCAGTAATCAAAATGTGCATATAGATGAGGCCCGTGTAGAAAATTCTGGGAGTCCCATCAATAAGTTTAGTCCGTCCTCGTAGCCATTCTCCGCTTAGGTAGTGTGCTACACGGAGGCCAAAATACTCGAGGTCGTCTGGGAGCACAGATAGTGGATTATACTCCGAATCAATCTCCGCTTTCGAAATATCCCGAATGACTTTTCGAAAATCATCGATGTCACCGACAGGCATACAAAACTCCAAAGATCCATCATTAAGCTCAGCTTTGCTCCACCCCAAGCGCTGAGAATGTGAAAGAATATTGTTCACGTCGGCGTTCTCGAGGTTCGAAATGCGGACTAGTCGATGACCATACTTCCAAACAAGGCTACAAATGTTAGCAAGGTGGTATAGGAGGATATTCTGAAGACATACTAGTCGTAAAAAATAATACATAACTCATTATGCCTGTTTTGTAAACTCACCGCCATTGTCATTTTTTGGACTGGTTGACAAATGAGAATAGCAAAAAGGACAAGGCTGAGGATGGCATCGAATCCTCATTTAAATGCAGCCGGCATGGAGGCAAGGGGCCCAGGAGTCTAGACATGTGGAGGAAAAGAAAAGAAAGGTTACTAAGTAATAACTAATGCTGAAGCGAGATGAAGTGAACAGATGATTGGTTCATTGCCGAGTTCCTCCCGGTGGATACGCCTATTTTCAGCTGGTCGCTTGAATTTTGAAGATCACACCTAGTTTGTAAGGAAATAGCAAGCTATGCCAGGATCAGAAGAAGGTCATTTTGTGGCGGTTGCGGGTATATATTAGACTTTGATACAAGCGGGGAGTGATTTGGGGACTAATAGGGTCTAAATACTCCCTAGTGGCTCATGGATGTTCTCGCCGACTGTGGACTAATGCCGATGTGTTTGCACTAACCAGTAATGGACTAGTTTATGGGTATTTACACTAACTTTGCTGGAAGAATTCCGAGATTAAACCTGCACTTGTCCCGAAACATGGCACAACAGAGGCATCGTACTACAAATGCTATAGACCTCCTTCCAATTCTGCGAACGGATATCGGGAGTACTGGACTGTTTTTCAAATATGATAAGTCTCTTATACTTTCGCAATTTCGACTTCAACCGGATCACGATCCCAGGCTAGTGAGCCTCTTGGGAAGGCTCGAGCAAGAAGATCCTTCGGTAGCCCAGCTTAGACGTCTGCTCGCATCAAGATATCTTGCAATGGGCGAAGAGAAATGGAAACAAAAGCAAGGGTTGCCTGACAACGATGATCTCCTTCCAAGTCACTATCGCCATGGTTACGATTTCCTGAGAAGCGTGGGATTGTGGGAAGACAGGAAATTTGTCTCTGCTGGTCTGAGTCAGGGACGAAGATGTCGAAGAATTGAAAATTCCGTGGGGAACGTAGGCATCTCCTTCGCGCTTCTCCCAGTATTATCTCGATTATCTCACCTCACTCGTGAGGAGGAGAACGCCCTCATTCGCGAACTACAAAGCGGACGATACGATGACGTACAACAACTTGGTTTTGACCTATCGGCACTTGCTGGAGAATATCAACAATGGTTCAATGACGAAATAGATGCCTTGCTGTCAATTCAACTCTCTTAGCTTTTTCTCATATAATTATGTATCCTTCTTCCACCCTGTGAATCGAGTGGCGGAAGTTCCACATATTCGTAATTTGTCATGAAAGGAAACGTGCACGGCTGTCTTATATGATGAAACATTGGTTTCACAGAATATCCTATCCAAACCAGTAAGCAGCCCTCTGGAGGTATAATTTCACATCGAATTCCGCCTCGTATAACAAACACTTTTGTCGAGTCCATAATTGGCTGTTTTGGGGTTACGGAATGTGCTTGAAATTCTTCCAATGATTGATGGTGTGTCGTGGGATATATTTTGAACACTCCTTGACCGGGATTAATACTTCCATCGACCACTCGGAACAGCGAGATCCCATCTTTTACTGGATGCGCCATCTTGGGCCCAAGTTGAGTGGGTCTGGGATTGTGACCGACTATCACTGGTCCCTGAATGATTCCTGCATGACCGAGCTCCTTTTGGACGATGTCCTCGATCTAGAACAGATGTTATTCTTGTGAATCATACTCGATGCGTGAAGTACGGACCCGTTCCTCTATTCCAGATTGGACAAATTCCTCGCATATCCTCTCCCGTTTAACATGGGTTGTGGGCCCCTCTTCAATTGTTGAGCCGCCGTAGAAAGCTGTCTTGATTCGGTCCACCAACTCCTGGTCAGGGGGACAGCAGTCAATATGATAATATCCTAATATCTCCATCTTGTTATTGTTCGACGAACATTGCGTAGGGTGGAAAGGTTCATCCATCGCGTGTGGGGCAGTTGGTGAGCCGACTTCACAGCCAATAGCATTCCGAAGCGGTGTGGGTGGCAACTGCTCATCCAAAAACTGAGAAATCTCGGATAACAACTCTTCGACGTCATCGTCCATATCGCGGCTTAATCTGAGATCGAGGTTTCGACGGAAAGTTTTGATATTGGAAATTCCGGCACTATGATAATTTTCGCCAGGGAATTGGAAGTCTTTCAGTTTCAGTCGAGATCCCATACCTAGGTACTTATGCATCTATACATCGAGGGCCTATTTATACCTCTTTGGCCTGTAAGAAGACCCCTGGCTTCATGTTCTTTGAACATCACGAGTGCTTGCTTCTGAAGTTGTCTTCAGCTTATGTATTTCAATTCCTGTCGCATAGTCGAAAAGGCAAGCGGCTAGTCTAGCCAGCTAGCTTGTCATCGCTTGTACGATTCGAAGGGAGACCTGACCATAGGACGAGCTCCCCTGAATGGCAAGTGGTGGTCTTCCATGGTACTTGCAGGGGTGACTAGTCGCTCAATATGCAGCAGGATTAGTAAACCTGCTTTTTGTGACGGCGTGCCAATGACCAAGCCGTGAGTCAAGTTGGGATGAGTAGATGAAACTCGCAGCATAGCTGAACTTACTTTCCGAAGTAGCTATTTCTGATCTAGTCAGTGAAAGAGTGATGGAATGCAGGCCGCATTTTACTATTATCCGTATGCATAGTAATTGGCTTTGTTCTTGAAAGGCCAAACGTGTACAAGGTTCTGTGATTAAATCCATCTTGGAACTTTCTTGTTGAACAACCCATCTAAATTACCTTTCCTCATCTGTAGGATAATCACTTCCCATAGGTCATTCAAAGACACGTCGTCTTGACATTCCCAGTCTCGATGCGCTTGCTTCAGTATACTGCTGTAGACCTGCCTAACCTCATTTACATGCAATGGCCTGCATAGGAATGACTCCAAAGCGTTCTTACCCCCTTCAATCAAGAGCAACTCCTCAACAAATACAAGTCTCCACTGTTTGCGCGAACCAGACTGCCAAATCTCCATCTCCGCTCTTGCCTCTTTCATGTCCATATCCAAACGATTCTTCTTCATATAATAGGTAAAGTTCTTTACGATAACTTGCCGGTCTCCTGGTTGGTGTTATGGCTATGGGTTTTGATTAGAAAGACAATGTTTCACAGTATATATAATGATCACAATACCTGAGGCAGCTGCTGCATTGATTCAAGCCGTTGATACATGAGCTGATCCTCAGACGATTCAGATGGATGCAGCTTGGGTTGGCGAGGAGGAGCCGCTCCTGAAAAGTTTATCCCGCAGCACGTCCAAATACTCCCCCATACATATGCTAACATAATGAAGAGAGACAAGGATTTGATGCTAGCTTGCGAGATTGATTTATGCAGTCCGAATTGAAATAACGCAAGGCTGAATGAGTTCAATACCATGAACGCTTCGATTGTTTAGGCCGGCCAGGCTTCTTTACACCGGTAGTATTCTGCCAAATCCCCAGTGATAGAAACATTTAACCATGCTCCAAGAGCCTGAAACCGGTGAAAGACTTAAATTGGTCCGTCAAGATGCGGTGAACCTGGGACAAGGCTGACATCTTTATAGGTATCGGCCATATCGTGCTACTAGTAAGGAGCTTCATTTTGCCTATTTCAGCAATAGCCTCTCAAAGAGAGAGCTGGGGGACAAATACAACGAAGAACGATCATGTGGATGACGAACACCACAGGTTAAAGGGAAAAGATGCTAATTTAGGTATGGACTACCATATTCTATTACTCTCTATTACTCTACTGCTCTCAGCTGCAATATTTTTCCTACCCTCTTATCTGTCACGTGTATCTTAGCGCGTGCATAGGGTGAGTTTTATATAATTTAGCATTGCTGACTCAACCATACATTTGCAACCAGCGAAAAATCGTACATAATTGTTAAATTGCAGCATGATTAGAGTCTTTGAAAGTGTGATTGTGCAAATATCCATTTTGAAGAGTCACGAATCACGATTATGATGCTTGGGACAAACGGAAATAGTGGCGAGTTCAGTGTGGCGTTGTTCAGCCACAAGTTGGGAAAGGAATTTCGGCCCGAATTGTTTTACCCCTCCAAAAAGATCTCCAAGTCAAAGGAGCAAAAAGCATTGAGATATGCAACATCGCACAAGCGGTATGCTTTTCGACCAACAGCACAATACTTCTACTACTTTGTTGAGATTAAATTTAGCGATAACCCTGAGCAAGTGTCGGGAGGGTATAGATAATATGAGTACACTCTCAACCAAAGAGACCCTAGTCAGTATACTGACCGCATTGCTTTTTTTGACCTTTCACTAACCTTTTTCAGTGCGCACGTTGGAAGGCTCTACCCGTCGATCCAGACTATTTCAACGACTGCATTCTCCATCCCGTCATCTATATTGCACAAGAAAATTACGAGCGAAGATTATATTGCTACGAATGTGAAGAGATAATATTTCATGATGAGAATGGGCATGAAATATGGACAACAAATGGAAGTGGCTTTATGGACGGGCTCCCAACGCAAGTTTCTGTTATGATCAGGAAAGGGAAGCACCGTTTCCCATGATCGATCCTTCAGGCTGAATAAATTTTGCTTGCCATGAACACACCGTATGATGATCCGACACGGACATGCATGATCCCTTCATGAGGCTGGCTCCGACTTATATCTAAGACAATGCAGTCTGTTGTCTTGAGGAGAAAGTTATTCACCTCCCATTCACGTAATTGGCTTTCTTCAATTGCTCGATAAATATGATGCCCAAGAACCGTTGGTATTTCTGAGACGGATGCTCCTTGAAATGTAAAGCAAGCGTTGTCATCTAGCATAGGTTAGCGCAGGTTTCTTAAAGTATGGACTTTATCAACATACTTTGATACGATTCAAGAGTGGGCTGGCCTGTTTCTATATTATGTGTTAAAATAAATTTTTCCCAAGCGTTCGGATATAAAGCCTTGATTATTTCGCTATTAAAGCCGAGATCCAATCGGATTGTTGCGTCTTGCAGGTTATGTCGAGCAAAGTTCATGCGTATGCAGTGTGTTGTTTTCAGCAACCGAGTTTCCTTCTCGCGGATTCTTCTTGGAGAGTTCATGATAACCCAATAAATGTTCTCATTGAAAAACATACCGACCTTATCCAAAGCAGCTGCGTCACATATACAGCTGTTGTCTGTAATCATAGCCGGCTTCGGTTGAGATGCCAATTTATTTCCAACAGTGAAAAGCGAGTCTCGTAGTTTTCTATATTCATTGCTCTGACAGAGGGCCCTTCGATTAGCAATGGTTTCTAAGTCGGCCAATATCCCATTTCCGGGACGTATCCCCTGTTGCCCTTCCAGGAGTCTTCGAACTTCACCATCCTTCAAATTTGAGCATGATGAGGGCGAATAAACAAGAATAAAGGGTAGAAACATTAGCGGAAATGTTTCAAGGACTTCTAGGTAGATTTGGCGGGCTTTCTTCTCTCTAGCAGCCGAATTGTACTCGTTCTTTGACCGCCGTGTCTTCCTGCGCTCTAAGCGGTGAAGCTTGCAAATAAGCACAAGACGAGCTTCTAGATCAGACTCGCAATGGCTGGGTATGTGCTGCGCTTGGTTCAAAGCCTTCGTCATCTCATTCAGACGGAGCATTAGCTTCATCTTGCGTAGATAGAGTAATAAGAGCAACAAGAGCAACAAGAGCAACAAGAGCAACAAGAGCAACAAGAGCAACAAGAGCAACAAGATTAACAGGAGCAACAAGATTAACAAGAGTAACAAGAGTAACAAGAGTAACAAGAGTAACAAGAGTAACAAGAGTAACAAGAGTAACAAGATTAACAGGAGCAACAAGATTAACAAGAGTAACAAGAGTAACAAGAGTAACAAGAGTAACAAGAGTAACAAGAGTAACAAGAGTAACAAGAGTAACAAGAGTAACAAGAGTAACAAGAGTAGCGAGAGTAACAGGAGTAACAGAGCAATAAGAGTAACAAGAGCAAGAAGAGTAAGAAGAGTAACAAGGGCAAGAAGAGTAATAAGAGTAACAAGAGTAATAAGAGCAATAAGAGTAAGAAGAGTAACAAGGGCAAGAAGAGTAATAAGAGTAACAAGAGTAATAAGAGCAATAAGAGTAAGAAGAGTAACAAGAGTAAGAAGAGTAACAAGAGTAACAAAAGTAACAAGAGTAACAAGAGTAACAAGAGTCACTCAACAAGCGTTACTTATAGGCGACCAACAATGCACATCCGAAAATCTCCGTGACCCATTGGAACAATAAGGCGGTTAACAAGGATTTGCCATTGGATAGCAGGTCCCACAAGGTGTTGAAAGATGTGACTCCAAACGCCCTAATAAACTAGTCAATATCACTGCGAAGGTATAAGACTTTTCGCTCTCCATACTGTAACCCCACAAATCAACGGGATGCTCTATCCGCCTAGGATAGAGCTTAGATCACTCATTGAACATTAGTGCAAGCCCACGTATCAAGTGTCATCTTTGGCATGATTATACTTCGCAAATACGCTAATATCGTCTGAAACCCTGAGCGTACCAAAAATCGGCGTGGATAATATGCATGAACAGGACGTATTCATCGCCCAAATTTGAATACGGTTAGTCGGAGAATTCCTTCACCGTCGTCTATTCTGTCATACGGAGGACAACTACGGAGTATGCCAGTGTCCTGAAGGCTTCGCCCTTCACTTTGTAGACTGGCCATCATGAGGGTCTAAAGCCCACTACCCCATGCGCTGCTACCTGAAATCTGTCAAATCTCTACCCTCCCACTCCGTGTGCGGAATACCGAGAAAAGCACCAATGGATCCCGACTTCTCAATCGCGACTCGAGACTGCACTCCTTTTAGACAAAAAGCAGTCATTATATGTGTAACTAGGCGGTGGAGATATCACTTCGGTCTGCTCTCGTACTATATAAAGCAAGTTCCCTTAGGTATAATCAGAGTTCCCGAGATGTGTATCTTCTTTGACTGTATGAGTTGATACGACTGTCAGGTATTCCAAACCTTACTGTAAGGAACAGCCTCCAAAATCGATAGCCATTGCGTTTCTAATACCTCTGCAAAGCCCAATTGTGAATCAATATGTGCCACATTGTTTTTCGAGTCTATTCCTGTGGCCATTACGCCGCCACTTTGATGGGAGATCCATGTGAGGAGGCTGTGAAAGCTGGCGAGATATGCGACCCGCCTAAGATCACTACTCAATCTACAACAGGTGCGTTATGCAACAAACCAGGTTGTGATAAGAAACCGGGACTCAAAAGAGAGGGACCAGGTAAGTTGGTAGTTGTCATCAGCTATATCACGTTTTAACCAGTGCGCAGGGACAATCATGAATGGCGGATTGAATCGGTATCTTTAGGGCAGTATAAGCGTGCGGAAAGTCTTGGAGGTGGTAGTCCTTATCAACATGTACCCAGGCATGACAGTGGTTGGAAACCAGTTGGGGGCGTGTACTTTAATTTCAGTCTCTCTACTCTGTAGTTCTTTCTGAACCTGCGTTCACTCATGCTAAAAAAAAACCATGAGAAATGCCACATAATCTAGTCGCAGGATAGGCTGTAGAAGCTTGTCAGTGATATTGCATTGCGATTGTTAGTAAACTTCAATTACAGTATTAAGAAGCCCAACAAAGAATGTAATCTAAAGATCACCAATATTATATGTGTCCTATAACCACATCTACCCATCTTCAGGTATTATGTAAGGGGTAATTTGTTTTTGAGTTATGTAATTACTGTATCGTGACAATAACTAACTACTGGTGTGAGATGCGACGAATGGCTTTATGTCGAGTGGTGACACGTGATCATGTGTAACTACTTTATGAACACACTCGCCCTTTTCTCTGTCCTTATTCAATTCATCTCTCAACTTTGAATACTCACAAAACACAAGTCAAATCTCTTCCTCACATCCAACAAGATGCCCCAAAATATTGTTTTATCTTACGAGCTAGAATTCAAATCTTTCCAAGATTGGAATGGTGATCATCCTTCACAGACCCTGGTTTTCCACGACAACTTCTCTTCATGGTGGATCAAAGTCGAGATAGGTTGGTCTCTACCGGAGTCAATACTAAAGTTAGGCTATCTCAAACGCCGAGCCATATTTCAGGAATTTGTCAAGGCTATTGACTTTGGTCAATTAGATCTGATCGATGATACTGTGACACGCATCAGTCTAACCTTGGCTGAACAAAGCCATAAGCCAATCCCGATTCGAAATATTCGCAATGACTACCAGACAGAGGCAAATTTTTTTTTATCTATTGCCCATCGAGTGTCCTTCCAAATTGAAGAAGATCCAGGGAGAATTATATACCCGATTCTGGGCCAAGATCAAGATCTACCTATCTTTGAGGCTAGTCATCTACAAGACGAAAAGGTCATCGCACCAACCGTCTCCATAGTCCGTTTCAAACAGAAACGGTTCGCATATAAAAAAATCGACCGCCCTATCTATGAAGCAGGAGATACACAACATATCTTGAACGAGATTGACGCCCTCGCACACTTTCGCGGGCAGCCGAATATCGCACAATTAATCGGGCTTGTTATATCCGGTAATCCGTACAAGACCCGTCCACCAACAATTTCGGTACCGGTTATCACAGGATTTCTCCTTGAATACTATACCGAAGGGTGTCTTGAGCAGGTTCTTGCAGAGAATACGGTCCAAGATGATGCGTTGCTTAGACGATGGGCACTACAGACTGGTAGGGCATTGGAAATATTGCACATCCAGCGACGGACCCATCTTGACATCAAACCCTCGAATATAGTCTTTGACGCGGATAAGAATGCTATCCTTATCGATATCAGTGGGACTGGTGGGTATGAATGGGAATGGCTGTCGCCAGAGATGCAAAAGATCATTCAAGGAAACGCTGCGATGGCTCCTGCTAGTACGCCATTCGACAAACGTGTCGCTACAGACTGTTGGGCTTATGGAAAACTACTTTTGACTATGGCCAAGAAAATTGGCACCAGTAGTTTAGGCAAAAGGTTACAGTCTATCGGCGATGACCTGACAAAGACGGATCCAAAAGCTCGCATTTCACTTAGCGACGCTCTTGAAAGGATATGGGGTCAGGAGTAAGAATGCTGGTCAGTTGCTGTCCTCACTATTGTAGTGTTTGGAGAATATGTTTTTGTTTATCAATTCAGTCTGAATTTATTTGTTTCGGAACATCAAGGACCCCGACAGTCTCGAAGTAGGAGCAGAATCCCTGGGGCGAAGCCATCTGCGGTACCGTGAACAATGCCAGGGGGTTGACTGTCAGGTCAAATAGAAGGCACTGGAGATTGCCTGATTAACCAGGTTTTCGGCTATCAGCAGAGCAGAAAACACGAGAAAAGAAGCTCCTCGCTCAGTTGGAACAGCAGAGAGCAGAGTAAAACTACGGAACACTTCGCGAATACCACAAAATACCAGAATCCCTCTAAGGGCATCCTTTTTGGTGAAATGATATTATGTTTAAGTTCTGACAAATGATTATCATGTCGTAGTTACTGCTTGAACCAGCCACTGCAAGGATATGTCCGATTTGTAAGTCACGGTAACAAACGTATTTACTGCTACAAATCTTTTAATCCGGTTCACCAACATACCTGGAACAATCCGGCCGCCCTCCTGGGAAACTTCTTTGTGAAGCGTGTCACCATGTCTGGCAGGGCAACTCTTTTACCTCTCTACCTCCAGCTAAACAAAAGGCTCGATATCCTCTTTCGGGGCACACTGAAACTAGTCTTAACAATGTAATCATAAAATTTACAGTCACCGGAATCGTCGCCTTTCCTCCCGAGATAACGACTAAAGGACCCTCCCCACAATAATGGAGTTATCTACCCATTTTTCAAATTGTTCGACCAATACACCTGAATTGACCCTGCCGTCCTCCCAGGAAACTGTTCCGTAAACCGCTTCACCACGTCCGACTATGGCAACTTCTCTACTCTCCTTAGCTGAACCAAAAGATCAATTTGCTCCCACTCCCATGTCATGCCCTTCCGACCTTTCGCCGAAGACGGGGTGCTTTTAGGAGTCATCGGAACAAGTTGTCGTGCTTGACGGCGCCCTGCCTCTTTGGTCCGGGCTTTGTTCAATGACGGCCTCAGAAAGAAATTCCAAATGGTCCTCCATAGGCGCTGTCAAGAAATGCGAGCAAAGCGTAGGAAGGAGTGGCGGGTTCACATTTTCGCTTGGCGTGGTGCGTGCGCAAACTCTTTTGGATGGCTGTCCTGAATTATACTCCGGTGTCCTCCGTCTCTTGTTAAATGATTGCTCTTGATTACAGTCACCACAAGTGGATTGCAACGTAGGTGCGGTGCTCGTTTCCACTTCGGTTATATGAACATTCGAAAGATGAGTCTGTTGATCAAGAGGATCGTAAAAGGGAGCAGCTCCCGGACTGGTACTCTATTGTCCAGGCTGAGGATCGGGAATGCTTGCAAAGTGGTCCCGTATAGAGTCTAATTCTTGTGATAGCTCATCGGGGGATATGACACCGTTAACACCATTGTCTTACCGGTCGTATGTCAATGCGCAAGGCGTCTCGTCGCCGAGAATCGTCGGGTCGATTGGAAGGATTGTTTCCGATCTGGTGGGATATGATATAGGGCCATATTCAGTTACGCAGTGCGGGGTGATTTCAGTATTTGGGTAGTCATCGAGGACTGAGAGCCAGCTAGTGGAAAGATCAGTGTCATCCAGATCGGGATGGGGTGGTGACTGAGGTAGTGACGGAGACTGCTCTTCTGGTTCCAGTGTAATAGGCGTATGGTCCGACACCGTCGTGACATGAGATTCCGCAGAAGAACTAGAAGGTTCCTCAGGAGCCTCTGCATAACGGGTGTGAGAGAGTCTGGAAGAAGACTATGGCAGGCGCGGGTGTGCACACACCTCCACTGGTGGACGGCCGGAAGTGAACGAACAAGGGCCTGAGCACGGGTATGGGAACGTGTCCTGGTAAACAAAATCTGTGCATTTAGAGAGGAAGGGCAAGCAGAAGTCAGGGAAAGAGGGAATTCAGTGATGGATGTTGGGGTCGGGTATCGCGAGGGAGTCTTTTGATGGTGTAGAGATGAGGCTTTCCTGTTATGTCTCTCATAGGGCCAGAAATTATTCACATGAAATCAAGAGTTGGCCATGTTCACGGTCAAAGCCTTGTGTTCAATGAGTAGGAACTGAGGAGAGTCGCAAGTGCGGGAATCAATAACCTTTTTATGTCGAGAGAGGCTAAGAAGTACCATATCAGCCGAGAGGACCAGAGTCGCACCTTGGTTCCGATCTTCTAGCCTAAGACAGCGTCACGCACCGATTTCCAAGACTACTCACCGTCCTTGTGCATATAACTCGATGGAGTCGTGATTCGGCAGCCCTTGTCAAATTTCCCATTCTGCCAATAGAAAGGCTCAGCAACCAAGTATAACCTGGATCATGCCTTTCAGATGAGTCTATACGGCCCTTACAGCGTGTTCGAGACTCAAATCTAACACCGCCATCGTCTGATCTCATTACCAGTGTGGATCAGAATGAAAGCACCCGCATTGACGCTAGCGCTGCAATGGGTTGTGATGCGACGATGATATATGCTCAATTTCTGGCAATGTAGGACCCTAAATTGGAAATACAGGCCGCTGTGAGCTTCAATAGCGGGTGTGACGGAAAATAAAATTGAAAAAACGAAGAGAGAAAGGAGACGATGAGGTGAAATCGTTCGAGGGACACACCTGGGTTTATATAGACGACGCTCGGGCCCGCTATTCCTGAACGGGACGGGCTGGCACCGCTAGGCCCGGTCTGGTTGTCTCGTTCCCAGGATCGACAGGCGGTGGAGACTCGAGAGTGGCAGAGGAACTTACTATATAGTATTATCGTTTTAACACAGTGGGGCTTCCAATGAAGTGAACATCGTTGCCTAGATATGACTCATAGGTCACGTGTATGACCAGACCCGGTCATAAACATCCCCTAGAGTTTCGGGGAATGAAAGAATATTATTTTTTTTATCTCGACTTGATCAGACCATGAGCGAATTAGCTATGACTCTATGGTGCTTCTAGAATACTCTCGGGTAGCCCCACAGTATGCGATTCATGCATCTGAGTGGGCCTAAAGACCAACCCTAACCATTTTTCAAGCCATAAAATGAAGGCCACTAATAGCATTCTCTCTGAGCAACATCTTTATTCCTTCCGTCGGTTACAGTTACTTGTCTAAAGAATCATGCATTTATAAAGACTATGCATTTATAAGGACTGAAAGCTTGTGTGGACTGTACAACTGTGAGGACTATACAATTGTGATAACAGTGCATTTGTAAAGACTGTGCGATTGTGAAGATTATGCATTTGTAGAGACTATGCATTTGTAAAGGCTGTACATTTGTAAAGACTCCGCATTTGTAGAGACCCTGCATTTGTGAAGACTGTGCATTTATAGAGACTGTGCATTTGTAGAGACTGTGCATTTGTAAAGACTATACATTTGTAAAGACTCTGTATTTGTAAAGATTGTATATTTGTAAAAACTGTGGATTTCTCTACCTTCCTCAGCTGGACTAAAAGCTCAATTCCTCTGACTCCTATGACATACCCTTCCGACCTTTCGCCGAGGACGGGGCACTTTCGGAAGCCGTCGAAACAAATTATTTCAATGCGAGATGTCGGACCTGTTACCAATCCGTCTTAGCGGCACTCCATTTTTCGCTAAGGAATGACTCTATCCTAAAAATAGTCTAGTCCTGTAGTTTAGTGCTGCTTTCTGACTAGCTTCACCTTTGCCTTGCACTCCTTTTCCTGTTTTCCCTAATCTCCAAACATTATGTTTGCACATTTCGCTCACGATAAAGCTTATTCTTTGTGAATCCTCGCCTAGGAAGAGCAGGGAGGTAATTGAAAATGGAAGAATCTCAATATACCGTGATATGCTCTGGGTAACAAAACCATGAGCGGTGGGTAATGGCAATTCACTTGAATTGAAAAGCGAGGATCACCAACTCGCTGGTGGAATGTTCTCGAGAACAACTGAATCATATGATAAACTGGAAGACGCTTACAGATGAATCGACAAGCATTGTCCAGTACAATAAACGAAGCAAAGACAAGTCTCAAGTTTCAAGATTGTAGTTCAGACCTCATGCGTGATAACTCCCGTTGAAAGGTATCGGAGCGCTTGTTTGGGCTTTTATCCCAGACGCTGGTCACCCGCTTTCGTTTTTGATTGGCGGCAATAGAACCTAGTGCATCCGTTTTTGATACTGCGCTCGCTCGAAATCAATGAACATGACCCGTTTATTCTCTTCGTTCCAGATCATGTTCCCCGGAATAGGATCGTTATGGAGAATGCCAAGTTCATGAATTGCACGTAACGATGTCTCGGCCTGCTGAATGAGATGAGCGTGATCAGATTCATGCCGCTTGGCCAAATTTCTCCCCGCGTAGCTCATTAAAGTCAAGTGGACCATCTTGGCGATCCCGTCATATGAAAGCGGTCGACGAAGATTGAGTCCGCCGAGGACTACCGGAACGAACTGCCCTTGAATCGCACTGAGGTGGGAGTACATCATCTCCTCCCGCTTAGCACACTCGATGAATTCGACCGGACCACCTTTCCCAACAAAGGTATACCCATGGGACCAGAGAGTGATTTTGAAAAGAGCCCCGCGTATGCCATGTACATGAAGTGATTCGCATCCGAGTTCTGAGTTGGGGTCCGGGTCATTGGAGAGCTGTCGATCCAATAGTTTGATAGCCATCTTGGTGTTTAGTCGATGTCGGTCGACTCCATGCTCGCTCGCATTGGGACATTTTCTATCCAGTGGTCCCCTCCAGCGCAAACTCCGAAGGCACTGTTGAGTACAATACTTTCGAGACTTGCCTTTCGAAGACGAATGTTGTGACCTGGTAGAAATTCGGGTTGTGGCGGCTGTGGCTTGACGCTGAGGAAACCGAGAGTCACGTGGCGCTCGACTGGGAGTAGATGGATCCAAGCTATCATCAGTATCGTATTCATGATCTGATAATCGTGATTCTTGCGATGGATCACAGGAAATGGCCATCACAGACTTTGACCTGGTCCTCACTGGAGACTGGCGGCAATAATTCGTTCGGCTTAGCGGTGGTTTGTAGTCAGAAGCAGGAATGTCCTTCTCCTCGATTTTCTCCAGTAGGTCATCATATACCATTTCCCATGTTTCCAACTGGCTTGCTACCCAGTCTCTCCAAGCTATATCCCGCGGGGAAGTTCGCAAAGCTCGCAGAGTGAAAGCTAAGAGCTGGCCGACTGCGGTCAGATGTAGCCGATTGTCACCATTTACATCGCCGGCCCAGCCGGTAGTATTGCCAACATCTTCTTGCGGTACTGATAGATAGTAGAGTACGGTCGATGAATTGCTATAAAGCACTCGAAGGAATATGAATGCTTCGCCCGGGACCACGCAGCCGTACTCGTTTCCGCCTTCGTACATGTAGTGGGAGAGCTGTGTAATCACTGCGGCGACAACACGACGGCAAATGTCCTCCGGCGATTCGTCTTTCTGGTATCGTACGATGTGGTCAAGTTCCATGTCCTGCAGTCCGGCTTTGATGTGGGCGAGAGACAGCTTACGCGGGGCCTTGTATTCGATGAGAAAAGACGGAACCTTCTCGTCCGGTCCACGATTGTAAACGCAGAACTGGTCCGCGCGAGGACGAGGCAGACGTGGCTGTGCGGTCGCTTGTCTTCTCATTCGTGATGTTGATCTGGAAGTGTCCCTTGACCGTCTTGCTAGGCGCTCCGAGCGACGAAGTCCTTCCTGCTCCAAACTTAAAGAGTTCATGTTTGTGACTATTCTGGATTCATCCGTCAGTGTATTGGCATGGTTTTCAAAAGTCACGTCTCCATTGAGATGAAATCTTCGCTGTAGTTGCGGGTTGGCATGGAGCTGCTTAATGGCCGAGGCGACGCGCGATTCCACGCTATGGCGCTGGAAGTAACCTAAATCTAGCTCCGAGCTGAGCATCCTTTCTGTAACCTCCTTTACATATTCTTTTGGAGCCAGCAGCGGTGTAAAGTGACGTTCAGTAACAAAATCTTCATCCATTAGGTCCTTCCATATTGCCGTCTGCTCGTCTGGAAAGTCTACCCATTCCTGAATTCTGCTCGGTCGCAGTTTGCGGTCCGCATTTGCAGCATCACCCTTTGTTGACGACTTCTTGTCCTTCTGAATAGTCAGACCGAGGAAGAGATGTTCGTGGCATGCGTCGAGAAATTCGGGAAGCGTCGTATTTCGAGTCTGTAGTATTTCTAAGTTCAGGTTCCGTTCGGCTATCTCTTGTCGTCGTTTTGCTTCCTTTCGTCGTCGTTGTTCTTCCTCTCATCGTCGTTCCGCTTGCTCTCGTCGTCGTTCTGCCTCCTCTCGTCGTCATTCTTCTTCTTTTAGATGCTTGCGTAGTTCGTCTAACTCTTTCTGAGACATAGTTAACCTATGTTGACATGATGTTTTTACAGTAGGACACGGGAAGTTGTTTTGGTTCGGTCAGAAGGGGAAAGACCCACTACAACATTAATGTAGTACGTAAACTCGGCCAATGAGGGGCGATTACGGAAAACAACAACGGACGAATAGGATGATTAAGGACGACTAAGGACGACTAAGGACGATTCAGAACAATTAGAGAGTGTTGTCGTAACTGGACAAAGAACTAGCTTCCCAGACCGACATGATTCTAACTACCGTATCTAAAGAAGTAGCTTGTTATTCCGGCCACAATTTGCTATGCCACAGTTTCCAAGCCACTGCACAGCAGGGCCTTCGCATCGAACCAGAAAATTAGTCATCTCTAAGCCATGAGTTCTCCCTCTCCAAAGCGGACGTGACTTGCTTTCCTTCTTTTTGTTTTGTTACCCATTCGTGAACACCGCTCACAGCATCAGCAGGCGAATTTTTATGCTCTAGAAGGAATGACAAAACTTTGGCCGGACTGAACTCTTCCTCTGGTACATGAGCGGCAAACTCTTCAGCCAGTCTTTCAATCGCCAAATCGTCGATTTCCTTTTTTGGTTGCTCATATCCAGTAGGCGTCCGTTTGAAGATGGTACAGAAAAGTTGAGTGACGATTTTATTGTCAGCACGTTTAAACAAAATAGTTTTGTCCACACGGCCCGGGCGAATAAGGGCTTCATCTAGATGGTCGATGTGATTTGTTGACATGATGAGTATGCGACCCTCCTGTGACCCGACGCCATCAATGACATTCAAGAGTCCGGATAGTGATACTCCACGTTGAGGCGCATCCTTCTGGTTTTGCCCCACGCTGGTATTTTTACGATCCAAGCCAACGGCATCCACGTCCTCCAGGAGGACGATACAACGTGGAGGAAGCTGAGTAAAAAGTTTACTCAGTCCAGCATCACCCAGGCTGGACAAATTGAGAATATATATGTCCAGCTCATATACGCCGGCAACAGAAAGACAGAAGCTAGACTTTCCCGTCCCGGGAGGGCCATCTAAGAGATATCCTCGTTTGTAGGGAATCCCTCGGGACGTATACCATTCTTGGGTTTGTTCATCGAGAAATTGTCTCATATCTTCCAAGACATTTTTCTTCACTTCCTCGTCCATTATGACGGTGGAAATGTCTCTTGCGGGTCTCAAGCCAGTCCGCTTCCACTCGCCACCCTCTGGTTGAAAGACTGGCACTTTCCGCTGAATGAGACTGAGATATTGCTCACGGCACTCTTTCATCAGGTCCATTAAGATCTTTGGAGATGTGCCAATGCACGAGATGGAAATCTCCTCATGATGTTCTCTTTTATGGCAGTGAAGCGTAAGCCAGTGGTTCTTGTACCAAAAGCCAAAAGATCCATCCCAAGGGGAGTACGACAGAGGCTTCTTTCTTAACAATTGATCCTGAACAACGGTTCGAGTTTTGACGCGAACCATTAGAGAAGCTACTTCTTTGGCAAATGGTTGTTGTTGTACCCAGTACTTAATCATTTCATATGCCTCGTCATAGTAGTACACGTGGATGGTCGGACCTATTATTAGTCAGCGATGAGTTTACATTCTTCCCCCTTTTCTCTGAAGTAAACGCACTGAAATGTTTGTTGATCAATTCATTCGCATAGCCATATACATAGCGAGCAAATATTGCAAAAACAGCCCCCATACAGAGCAGCCGAACATAGCCATTCGCGTTGTTGAGAAGAAGCTGCTGCGCAGAGGCATTGAGGGTACTGAACCCAGGGAAGAAGATGTCCACAACAGATATTGGGGATGCCATTGGATGCATGGGTAGGTATTCAACTCCGCTAAATGCGTTCATTTTGAAGGGATATCTCAAATCGTCAAAATGTCAAGCCCAGAGATAGTATTAAATTGAAGTGAGAATTCGTAACGGAAATTGGAAATGTACACACGCCTTTTAGGTAAATAATGTTTGACCTCTGACCTACCAACCACCAGTGAACATACACTTCTATTTATACACAAAATTGTATACAATCCCACGGCGAATACGACTTCAATTTTATCGCGATGATCGAGAGCTTCGCTTATTGTGGCGTACCGAACGCAGCTGTGAGCACTGAAGTAGCATCGTCACATAACCTTGTGCATATACTTTTTTATGCAAAGGAATCAGGATTTAGGTCTCAGGCTGTGGATCATTTTGGCTCGGTCTGAGAGCTAATGCATTATGTTTTTGAGATCACAGATATAGAAATCGGGGAAAAAGCAAATAAGTGGATATCAATGAGCAGATTCAGCTCCTTGTCCCGATTGGCCATGTCTTCATTGTGATCAAGCAGCTTGAGGAGCCAACTAGGCTCTTTCTGGGCTAGCTAGTTTAGGAGTCCTGTTTTTCATTGACTTTTAATATTTCAGCTTTTTGAGATAACGCTATGCTGCATCATGCAGGGAATGTGGGGCGTGAACATGAGGGATTTAAACGGTCTCCAGCCCAGTTTCTTGTCTCTTTCAGGTCAGAGTATTGCGAGAGTTTTATGAAATTGCCAACATGTCTGCAGGTGCAATCATACAACAGTTTTCAAATCTGCTCAAGCACGCAGAATCTTTAGGTCCGAAATTGAGTTCTAATATTCGTCCACGCAAAGACCAATTGAAAGAAATTCAAATTCTGTGCATGAAGCTGAAGGAGGTTACAGCAAGCATTGAAGGACATGTGGAACATTTGTTGCAAAAAGCAGCTCCAAGCGACAAAGTATTGGAACTTTTAGACCGTCTTCGATCCTCTGAACCTGTCGATCTATTGGATCCGTTGCTTACGACCATGCTCAGGAAAAATCTTATCCTTATATTTCGAGGACCAGATGTTTCAGCATTGGACTCTGACAAGGTGAGATCAAGGAGAGAAAAAACTCGAGCTCGATGCGAGAAGCTTCGCACGCAGAACCCCCATTTGATCTTGAGATGGTCAATCACCTTTCAGCCTTCCACATGGAATCAACCTACGGTTATGACGGAAAATGCCGTTGATTTCCTTATTGACGAAATGAAGATGGAGAAACTCGGCCAAATATCTTCTCAGCTCGTGGATATTCTACAATGCCTCGCGCAGGAAGAACCTTTGAAAAGTTGCGAGTTATTCCAACAATTTGTTCAACAAACAATTAATACAATGAGTACGCGCGAGGAGCCAAATACTGCGGCCCCCCTACAAGTGATGACGGCAGAGCAACAACAGCAAAATGTGGTGCCGCCGAAGAGGAAGCATACAGCAGAAAGTATGACACCTGGAGAAAGCTCCCATGAAGATGATACACAAGAAAAAATAAAGTTAATAAAGCGAAGTGATGGTAAGCAATACCAACGCCAATATATGCACAAAGGATGCTGATAAAATAACAGAAATCGACTATAAAGGATCATCCATGCCAGCTGGTAACCTTCCGCTTCTCATCCAACGCCTTCCAGCAGCCATGGGAAGCAGTAAGCAATGGAAGTGGGAGCGACAACTCTTCGCGAACAACGCGATAAGATCGGGGAGCATTGGTGTAGACAGAACCGATTGTCTAAGTGCTTTTGTTCCAAAAGATCGTAATCATGATGTTTCCATTACATTAATGGTCGGATATGAAGCTGGAGTAGCTTTGATAGATGATATGGGGGCACAAATTATCCGAGTGTGAAAGTCACCGTTGCTCCGATCACAGGAGCTGCAATCACAACAACACGATGTCCAGCAGGGACATCTGCAGTGATTTCGTTTTCGGGGTTGCCCTCAGTTTTGAAATATGGAGGGGTCGCATAATCGACTTTTGGATCATAAATCTCTATTGATTGTGCTTTTCCTTTGAGTGTCCTGACATATTCTGCCTCTCTGAAGAGTCTGGCGCCCTTTATTTCATATGTGACGCCCTCCTCTGCCACAAATCCAATTTCCTCCGTCATTTCGGATCCTTGTGTTCCACGACTCGTAGGCGAATAGATCGGTAAAGTAATCGGGTGTGTTAGACCGGTTCATAAGTCATATCTCGAGGAATTGCGCGGGTAAATCGTAGGCAGGCAAGCTCGTAGAAATCGCAACAATCTTCCTCGTCGCGCGATAAAAATAATTTGAAGCCGGTAGGAGGGGCAAACGACACGTGACAAGAAAATTCGCGGCCTGATCGGGTAGAGACGGCGAGAGACCAGATTAGTAAGGCAAAATTGTAGGTAACATAACTAACGTCTAAGCACTCACTAGGAACGCGAAGAATGGAGACCATGCATTGTCGAGATGCACAATCCATCAACTATTTCGGAAGACTCTTGTAAGAAAATACGTCGTCACCGGCTTCATCAAGCTCAATACGCTCACTTGGACCTATTATTCAGGTTAGTTCCAACGCTCGGAAGATTGCGAAGAGACCTCACAGTTGCTAGCTGCGTCTCTAAATTCTGGAAGAACCAAGCACTGATAGTAATAGCTCCTGATATAATCCAGAAACTGATCGCAGTCAAGGTTGCTGCTTTGAAGAAACGTCCGCTCTTAGAGGGTTGATGATGAAAGAACGCAAGTGGCCCAGGCGTCGAGCTCAGAGTATTTGACCGCTCGCTAATCGTCCAAAGTCGAAAATACTGAATAGCAAAGAACAGTATTTCGATGGATGTAAGTGTAAGAGTTGATAAGAATAGGAGATGACGCCCTCTGCTTGGTACGTGGTCAAGGGAGTATCTATCCTTTTTAAGTATGCAGAATTTCAACAAGTGGGAGAACAAAACTAACAGTAGCAGGAGTAAAGTTTTGAATACCGGAAAGATAATGAAACTGTTGATCGCCCAGATATGTTGCTTGAACAAAAAGAGAAACTAGCAAATATCAGTGACTTGGACATCGAGCATGCGCAGCAAACGTACTTCGTTTATCGATGGTAGAAGCAGTAAGAATCCCATTTCGATCGTTAAAATTGGCCTCGAATGGTCTGTTAAATAATGGGGCGATTAGCTAGACGATTAAGAAAATTTCTACAGAGGTGCTCACCGCCTCGAAAGCCCGGTTGATAAACAGACAAGGCTACTGATGTGAGTAAACCGGTCAAAATTAGGATTCCCAGCACAGCTTGGGTAAAAATAACTGGATTCTGTCTGAGTGAAGCAAGTCGGGCTGAGCTGAAGCCACTGATTATGAAAAGCCAAAGAAAAAAAGATACGGCAACACATATCGATGCTGCTGTTGATACACCAATTTGAGAAATGTCGATTTTCGCCATCGTTACTCCGTAGTGATTCTGATCTATCCTGGCTTTTTTTCCTTCTATCGCGTCTTCTCTACGATCCTCTTTATACCTATTTTCTCTATGGCGAGGAACATCTTGAAACTACATTTTGATCAATCTCCCAAAATCATGACTTTTCTATAAAGTTGTAGCCCTTTGCGTCGTATCTAGCTAGGGGCGCTATAGGATGGGTATGTAAAGGCCAGCCAAATTGATGGTTTTTATGATCCGAATATTTGGCTAAGCGGAGACACAGCGGTGCCGCTGTGCATCTTGCATCTCTTCCTATTTGCTGCCAACGCCCAGCAAGTGCAGGACTGCGAGCTGTCCAATTTGAGGATCGAGGATCATCTTATGAATACATAAAACCCAGTGCGATGATCGCCTTTTATTTTCTTAGTTTGAGGCTAAATTAGGAACACAAGACCAGTGCGCTGATCTCTGAGCGAACGATATCCAATACTCTGCCACTGTTGAAAGAAAAGACTTCATTATTCTGTTTAAACCAGAGCCCACGACTGCCCTGCATAACCTTAACCGGATCGCCTAATCAATGATGGCTCGACAGAAATCGCTGATAATTAGCTCATAAAACCCAGCCAACTGAAGGGCTTTTGTATTCTATATGTTCAAGGCTGAGCCAGGATACAGAAGGACCGTGTACTACTCCGGCTACTCCTGGTTTACGTTTTCTACCCAGAAAAGCCGGTGAGCGACCTGTGATTTTCTCACTCAGTTTGAACCACATATGTAAATGAGTTTCACAGGTCCACCCAGTTGAAGCAGTTCTTCTATTCTGTCTTCTCAGCCTCGTGTGTATAGAGAATGAAGGAGAACGGGTTCGAAAGCCGAAGGCAGCTATGGCAGGGTTCATGGATAGCCCAGCTCTTAATGTGATCAGGCTAATGACTTTTAGATATAAGCTTTCAGGAAATCTGCTGAGATGCTAATTTATTCTGCTCAGACAGGTCATCACACCCACCTCCATTCCAAACTCGATTTCGATGATAAAAATCACACTTCTGCATCGACGGCAACATCCATAACCGCAAAGTCAGTCAGTCCTCCTCTCATCACCTTTAGCGTTAACTCGGAGACTGTCATCAGCAACGACGACGATGACAGCAGGAAACACAAAGCTTTCGGCTCAATCGCTAGAAGAGTCCGCTAAGAAATCTAAGTGGTCGCCGGAAGAAGATGCGCTGGTCATTGATTTACGAGGGAAGCAAATGAAGTGGGACGAAATCAGTAAGCGATTGCCTGGACGGAGTCCCATTAGTTGTCGATTGCATTATCAGAACTATCTCGAGCGGCCTGAATGGGACGAGAATAAGAAGAATAAACTTGCTAGGATGTACGAGAGGTATGCTGAAACCGTGTTCCACTCAAAGATGGCCGAAAGACTCTAATCATTGAAGACTCAAAGCAAATATGTGGGCCGAAATTGCCCAGGAAATGAACGTTCCATGGCGAGCCGCAGAAGCCATGCACTGGGAGCTGGGCGAGCAAGAAATGGCTCGACGTGCAGGTCCCATCGCGCTGCGTGCTAAGAGAAACATGACACTGAGGTCCAAGCCACGCCATCATTCGCTGAAGATCAATCATTGCGTCTCCTTATCACCCTCACCTCGTACAACTATACTTCATCCACCGCCGCAGTCTTCAATTCGGCATCCAAATCCTGCCCAAGGACAGCTTCGACTACCGTCTATCGAGGAATTGATAGCCGGTGTTCCACTATACGGTCCATCCAAACCCTATATCCAATGAACTACTATTCCTATTCAAGCATTATACTACCGTAGAGGGTAGATTCGATGAGTGTGGCCTATCATAACCTACTAGCGGCGGTCAAGCAGTTGTTGTTAATCAAGTTTATTGTCCATACCCAGCCCTAAAAGCTATGACAGACCAGGCGGTCAAGCAGTTTATTTAAAGTAGACTTTGCTTCTCCTTTCCATTGATTATCATGACTTCCTTGAATTTAGTACATGCATTAGATAATTTTACTGATAAGATCCATCCTTATTCTGAACCACTAGATATATCGACGCCTTCGTAGCTAGCCAGAACACACTAAGCTAGTAATCTTCATTGATATGCTCGCTTGACACAGGCGTTACTGCGAGCTAGGAAAAATATAAGCATTAAAGAATCTTATGGCAGGCATTTCGATTAAACGTCACTCATGACGATCTGTATGCCACCATTGTCAATTGACGCCTAGGTGAGATCGCATAATTCACAGGAGGGCCAGGTTCAGAGTCAAGACCAAGTATCTTGCAGACCTCGACCCAGCCACAAGTGCGATTCGTTTCGTGAGCTCTGGCGTCAGCCCCATTGCGCTATGATGATTTGCTCTCCCTCTCTAAAAATGCAGTGATCACATTAAGAATTTATATAAAACCCAGCAAATGGAAGGACTTTTATATTCTACTATATATGTTCGAGGCTGAGCCGGGAAGGTCTGTGCGCTGTTGAATAAGTATTGGCGGTGTCTTCTATCCAATCCGAATTGGCGATTAATTCAAAAAACCAGCCAAGTAATGGACTTTTACGATTCGGAACCCGGGGCTAAAGGCGAGGGGTTACTAAGGATCTACGGAGTAGTAAGTATATCTTGGCCCGAAGGTGAGATATCTAAACAATTGAGTGGCGGTATGATTGGCTTCTTCCTGTACGTGCCTCATATGCTTAAAAAGGCAATTTAATTTACTGGCACATGTTGTTAGATATACCTCGAAACTAATTAAGTACTGGCTCTGTGGATGGCAAATGTCAAATATTCAAATACCCTGTAGTCCACGAATCAATTAGATGCTCTACCCGCCTACGAGTCTGCCGATATTAGCTGGGAAAAAAGGGACATGACTCCCTCCTCTTTCATGTAGCTAGCTAAAAGGATGCCTGACTAATGCAGACATGTCCAGAATTAATTTGATTTGATAAGACACGCAGAGCACGGAGAACTAGGTTGCTGCCTGGATCATCAGGGTAAATCGACACGTACCATTTGCGCAAATGCTGCAACTTATTCTATCAGCGAATTGAGTCGGCGTACTCTGTGCAGCATAATGAGTGCATTGTTACACGACTACCCCAAACCAGTGAGCAATTTTTGCTAAATGACTGTTCCAGACTCACTATAAGTAGAGGCTTTTTCAACAGAATCTTGCTACACTGTGATGTCCTCAAACTATCCTTCTCAGCATTCCACTCATTACAACAACATGTGCAAGTACATCGATGCCATAAAGAAATACCGTGCGTGCACTAGAAACCCAAGACACACTTCGACTACAAGAACAATTACCGAGACTTGTGACCATCCACAAAAGGGGCAGTATTGTCCGAATCTAACAAAGGACACATCTCAGCAGTGGGGATCTATGTCTGTCCCTGGGCCGTGCCCTCTATGCCCTGCACGTTGAAGACCGTAGGCTCCGATTTCCACCACAGTCCTCATTAGTAGGCTAACCACGACGTGTAGGACTTCGATCTTAATTTGGAATCTGCGAGGACCACACATACTAGAACCGCCCATGAATGATGTTTTGAGAAAATAGGGTTACTCCCTGGACTTTGTCATTTGCATGCTAGGATGATTTCTTCGTCGTCGTTCTTTCTAGTGATAGTTTTAGAGATTCAATAACTTGACCAGTGTTCTCGTATTTTTCATCCCAACAATTTTGAATAACTGTAGCGATTCGAATCTCATGAAGGCAGGGAAATTCCTCACGATCATACCTTGCCTCTACTTCGTCATCACTAAGTCCCGAGAAAGGCTTCTTCCACGCCATTATTTCATAAATAGCAGATCCCAAAGCGAAGAGCTCTCTCTTCATAACTGGTCGTTCCTGAAAGTCTCTTCCTCGACGAGGTAATTCATAAGAAACTTCCTCACTGACAATTTCTTCAAAACCAGAACCTTCGAGGACAGATCCCCCAAAGTCGCCGATTTTGACGCGGTAGTCGGTAAATAGGAAAAGATTCCGACAGCTTAAATCTGAGTGTCGCACCCCTTTTAAATGTAGATAATCCAACCCTAAAGAAGTGTCGAGAGCCATATGAAGACGGATATGTTCTGGGGGTGGTTTGTCATGATGTTCTTCAATGTATTGTCGAATGTTGCCTAGGGGAGCAAGCTCTAAGCGGAGAGAGTGCACATTTGGATGCACCTCTTCTCGTCCAAAGAAACGTAGAATCTGTGGATGTTGACCAAGAATTTCGTATATGGTTGCTTCTCGAGAAATGATATCTTCACACGGTGTTTCACGACATGCACAGAGTTTCCCATTCTCCCATAATTGATAGCCTTTAAGGACCGTCAAGCCATCCGTGCATGAAACAAAGCCTGTTGAGCCTAAGCCTCTAATCGACCAGTGCATGATGTTAATGAATTTGCCAATGATTTGAGAGATATTGCTGTTTTGACAGAAGGAGAAAGCAAATAGGTTATTCAGTGAGACAATGGAAAGATCGTGCGGAGGTTCAAGGCGGTGGGTGAGTGTGACATGTTTGATGCGCTTTTTATCATGCTACTTTGCTTATTTTGGTTTAGCGTTGATTGCGTTCTCCCAACTGAGAAGAGTGATTATTTGACCTACGGCTTCTAATTTGCAAATGCGTAGCATGAGCATATTAGTACAGAGAGCATCATCGCGAAAAAATTTACTGTACTCTGATTGGTCTTCTGTAACTCGCAAAATTTCCCTATTGGGGATAGTTCCTGTGGTCATCTAGTACACCGTCCACGTAAACCAATAAAATATAAAGAAATGCCGCTAAGGGCGCCACTAAAATCTTGACGGTCACAGTGTATTCTGGAGCGTGTAATGGAGTCATTCGAATCTAAGCGCAGACCTCAACAAAATGCAGGGTTTGCAATGTATGGTATCGGGGAAAATATAGAAAGGCTTACTATATTTATCCGTCAAGTTCTCACTGCAATCTACCTAGACTCTCAGAAAAGGTGATCGGAGATCAATTAGAAACACGGTTTCTCTCGCTTTTTGGGTACCTTAGAGGGATTGGATGGAAACCACGCATGATAGAGCGGATCATAGGCCAAAGAGCAAATCATTCGAACACTGTGAGCCTGGTAGAGAACAGGTTCTGTTCCTGCCCCATGGATTCTTCCATTTCCGTATTGTCTCCAGACAGTCCTTCAAATCCTCTAACAATGAGTCTCTATCTTTACATATCACTGAGTGCTTCGTATGCTTGACCCAATTCAATACCAGAAATTGATACTGCTGTGTGCGGCATATCCGGATGTTCTCCATAGCAGATACTCTTGGAACTGGTAGGCCTGCTCTTCTAGCGACCTGCATAGTTACGACTTCTTCCATGCGAGTACCACCGGATCATTCTAGGATAATTATCTGGAAGCTGTGGATTATGGTCAGCTAGTCGCTAACCCTCATTACCTACGCATTGCCAAAGGCAGTATATCAGTGTCAAGCGTTAAAGCTTTCATAAGCTAACCTCATAAGGGACTGCAGTACCGAACTCTTTAATCCTTTACCGGGAGAGAGCTTCTCGATTTACTCTTCAGCCATCGTACCCGATGTTATTGGATGGTATGCTGGATGATCTCGGCCAGGATTCATTTACTAACTTACTGCAGACCTAAATGATGCTCTCTCTGAATTCTATACAAAATATGGCAGTGCAATCCCTCTAGAAAAGTGGTTGGAAAAACACCATACCACAAAAAATTTCTCGACGATTCCGAGGAGTGCATGGACTGCTAACAAAGTTTCTTGGCTAGCTTTCTGAAGTAATCGAATATATGTTGGTCACCAAATGCCTACGGCGAATAACGCTCCACAGCTCGGCGGGACCGAAGAGAATACTGCCTACGATTTGGCGAAAAGGTAGTATTCCGGTCGACCTCATCATTTGGAGTCATACCGGACGACTTTGCTGCTAACCCCTTGAGAGTGGTAGAGTATTGAACCTGGATTGCACCTGCTGTCCGGTCGGGGAAGTGCTCTTTTATTTGCGTCCATGGAAGATTTTCCTCTTCTCTTAGCCGCTTCAAGCGAAAATTCTCCTCCTCCGTCCACTTCTTCCTGCGCTTGTGTTTTCTTCCAGAGCCTGCCTCTCGAGCGTTCGAGTGACTGTTCCTTTGTTTTCTTAACTTTCTTGTGGTTTCAACTTTCGAGGACGTGTGAAGGTCTCGTTCCTGTGTGATATCCATTTCACATTGATCGTGACCTCGGTCGGGCGTATGGTCGGATTTTGGTGAACAATGATTCAAGTGTTCTCGATCTACTGTCCACGAGAAGGAACACATAATCTGTGATGAAAAGAACTCGCAGGTGAGCACTCCTCGCTGAACAGTCTTCAAGTCTGGAAGTGACAGGCTTCCAATTTTGAACGCGATATCCGCTTCCGGTTTCACTGAATTACTATCTGTGACGGGTTGATGTTTTGGTCTGTTTGTGGGACGGGCTCGGTCGTCTACGTGCTGCGATCGGTCAACGTAATCTTGATCGTCTGAGTCGTCGGAATCACCACTTTCGTCAGGTGGTTCTGTTCGATACGTCTGCATCCTCGGGCGCGACCGATGAGGGCGTTTGGCTGATCTCCGTGTGCGTGGCTTAGGAGGCTGTGCTGTGGCTGCATCTCTGGATGTACAGTTCTGTCTTTGTTCAAATGCTGGTGTCAGACCTCGAGTGCAGCCAGAGGTTGGCCCATCTGCCGAGGAATCATTGTCACAGGAGCTTGGATTTTGTTGGTCATTGTCATCCATATGAACCACGGAACTAGTCCTCGGGCCCGCGCTTGAGATCATGTTCGAAGGGGAGGTATCTAGGTTCTGAGTCGTTTTGTCACGGACGGCGTTCTGGCTCTCATCGACATCAACCTCAGGTAGTTGTGTCGGAATCTCTGCCAGCTGGGAATTCGTATTCCAACCACTCACGTGTGACACATCTGTATCATTGAGATGCGTGTCTGTGATATCAATATGAACGGTGTCTTCGCTCGGTGTTCCGAAAACTTAACGAATGAATCAGCGTTCTGTGTCCTTGTGAAGGCATCGGTAGTTAAACAAATTACATACTTGAAGAAGAATGAACATCATCCAGTTCTGGATCGCACATCAATCTTGTCGTTTCTTTGTGCGTTAAGCGAGGCCGTTCAGGCTGTATGGTCACTGCCGCTATACTTGAACTGGCCCCGTTATCGTGGCTTGCAGGTTGCACGTCGCTTGGACAATCTGGAATGGACTACGTCAATATTTCCTCGACACCTGTTGGAAAAGCTGGGCGGATCCCCCACTCACTAAACAATAGGTTACTGGAACCATTTGCGAAGCTCTCACTACCAGTGTGATGCTGTATCTCCTGCCCTGGAGTCTCCAGACCTGTACTCATAACGGCGGTGGTGGCCGTCGTGTTACTCCACTCTGCAAGTTCCCTGTCAAAAACATTTCTGTATGAGGACTCTGGAGATGCCTGCTCTTGACTGTTTGGGACGAATCTCTGATTGAACTGGTGAGGTTGGTCAGGGTAGGAGGGTGATTGAACTCGGGAACTGGGCTTTTGTGGCAGAGGATGGATCAATGGTAGTGGTTTTGACGGCAGTGGTAGGGGTTTGGAGGATATGGAGGGCTTGGGAGGGAGGGGAGGCTGATATGGGATAATCTCGTCTAACGTGATCATCATTGCAGGAGGGAAGAAAATTGATGGATATGGAAAGAGGGAGAAAATACAAATGGAGGCGGGAGAGGATGAGAGAATGGCAACCTGAGCGTCATAAAAAGGAAACGGGGGACAATCGTCCTTATTAGTCTCACATCACACAACCGACACGCCGACATTTCAACCTTGGCGGATCCCATTCACATTCAGGCAGGACGATTGAGCATGGAAAGACCGAAGCTATCCGGTTCTTCTCGGCAGGTTGATCTCTGCAGTGGGCCACCTTGACTATCGCAGCTGACATGTCCTGCAATATCCGAAATCAGCTTCTCTAAAGCGCGAATTTCCTGATTGGCAGCACTACCATTCATGAGCCTGTGCTATATCCCAGCGAGACGACTTCTGCGCGCCACTATCACATCGGGCAACTCTTCTAACCATCGACGCCTCACGAAAGGATGTGAAACCCGACCTATGGATGGCGTTCGCTAGTCATAGCTGACTCGCTTTGTCTCCATCTTCTCCATCAAAGCAATCACCTGGATGTACGGTGAGTTTTTCATTGGCTGTATCTTCCTTCCGTCCCCTGGTCCTCAGCCCCCCCTGTGAGGCATTTTTTTGAGGCTGTACTGTCGCATCAGACAGCCATTTCTCACCGCAGAGCCAACCAGGATGACGATACATGATCTGAGCTCATCAGTGGCGTCGCTGTTGGGTCGCTGTTGAGTCGCATGCACAGCGTCGGACATCTCAGGACCTCTCCTCAGCCGTTTTCCAAAGACTGGTTGATGACGGATTCGCGAAGAATCGCCGATCGTCCACTGCTGCCTAGAATGATGACGACTTGGGTTGCATCCAATTCTCATGCATCTGCAGCTCCATCACGACGCTGCGAAAAAATCTCCAGCTATCGACTAATCTGGCAGCATCTGCCGTCGCTGAGCGAAGCACAGTGCTGCATGCAGTGGGGCTAGGTGAGACACCGGATCCTTCCAGTTTTGTTCAGTTGGCTCGGCACCGTCGTTGTTGGTTTGAGCGAGAGAAAATGCGAAAGGAGAACGGCCGTCGTCGTTGAGCGACGCACTTGCGGTTTATATACTTCAGGAGATCCACCAGCAATGACGCTAGACCCGAAGTGATCACGCTAAACCGGAAGGAGGCCTTTTTTAGCGTCTGCGGGAGCGCTAGTCCTAATTTGGGGGACGCGTCGCGGGCGCGCGAATCAGCGTCCCTCCCACAAATGGTGATATTCCTAAATAAACAACCGCAAATCTAATGAACTAATTTTTACCTAGCGATAACGCTGGGGAGTAGAATCTGGCGGCTTCGGCGATTTGTAGTAATAACCTCATCAATAACCTCATCCTTGACCTCACTACTCTGTTTGGGATTCAATTTCTTTGAATTTGGGTTCGTTCGGTTCGTACGGAGCTTCGCTGTAGTCAGGGCATTTTTTAAGCTGTAAATCTGCTTCCTTGACTGCTTTTTGCTCAAGCTTTTGGCGTTGTTTTTCAGCAGCCTGTTGCGCGCGTTCTTCTCGTATTTGTTGACGGATTTGATCTCTTTTTTGCTTTTCTTGCTCTCTACCTTCCTTTAGAAGCTGTTTTTGAAGTCTTTTATCATCTTTTCTAGCGTTTTCCTGCGCGGCTTGATCCTCTTTTGTTGCTATAGTTCGCGGGCTTGCTAAACCTTTGAAGGGCTGAAAAAGATTGCACTACCTTCCTTTTCATTAGGTAAATCCAATGATAATGGCTTTTTCCTAATCCGGCGCTTTTTCTCTCTTTTAAGAGCCATCTCTAGGCTCTTAAGACGTAATCTGAACAGTACAACCTCGGTAGAAAGTTGTATAACCGTATTGGTTAGCTTTTTCATGTTTTTGCTTGGATTTTTGCCCTCAACCACTTTAACAAATTGACGAATATATCTCCAATCTTCAGCTGAGAGAATTGAAGCTGTAAAACTAGCTGAACTTGGCCGGCTGGTGGATTTCTCATTATATCGCTGTAAAATGATCTCCGGATTGAAAGGAATCAGGCCCGTATTTTTGGAGGCAGAGCTGATATTTTTCTTAGTAAAAGATAGTTCACAACTCGCCCAGAAAAGCCGAAAAAAGTCGCGTTTAGTAATACGGCTCAAGCCCTGGCTTTCATCAAGAAATTTGCGTAAAGCCATCGTATAATAAGTGGCAAGAGGTCCAAATAAGCCAACATCAAGAGTCTGTAAAGTATGTGTCGCATGTGCCGGAAATATTGCCAATAAGATCCTGTTTCTATCACAATATTCAATAAATCTCATATTGACGAGAAAAAACTCTTTTTTCTTTTGTCATAACCCCAATTGCAAAGCCCTTCTCATCCATATTGTAAATCTGATTCGGCCGAAGATTATATTGCTCAATTTTCTGGTTTATAAGCTCAAAATATAGAGCATAACTCCATGCACAATCCGCTCTTTTTCGATTGTTGTCAATGCCCGTAGAATAGCGAGAAATCAACGCATTTGGACGCTTCTTTAACCAGCGAGAAACCCAGCTTTTTCCGGGCTTTCTACTGGTTATCTCATACGCGAATTTGCAATCATTGAAGGCGTAGGTGGTATACCGTGCTCACAGAGCATATCTATCCATTGTATAAGCTTTTGAGACTGTTGGTTATTGAGTAATCGTTGATTGTCGTATTGCTCCTCTTTTGAGCCCGTAACACCTCGGTATCTTCTCGAGAGCGTTGAACAACTAACACCAAGCATTTTTGCAGTCAAGGTGGGTGTCATCTGTTCGCCTTCTTCCAAGAAATTCAAATATTCAATCGCATCCTCAATTGCACCCATTTTGACTGATTTATCGCGCTTTGAAGTCTGTATTGTTTTTCGCGTTTTGACGCGATACCGTGCATCACGTGGTTCCGTGCACCTGTTGGAAATAAAATCACGTGACTAGCAGAATACAGAAGTCGAACTACGGAACGGTTCGCAAATACCTCAAAAATACCAAATTTCCTTTAAGGGCGTCCTTTTTGGTGAAATGGTATTAGTTCCGACAGCACCAGGCGGTGAAGGACGGTATTGGGACTAGCCCGTTTTAGTCGAGGTGTTGATATCAACCCTCGACCTCACCACTTAGCTCGAGCACACATGACATCTTCTAGAGCCTCATTATCTTATCGGTCTCTCGCGGAAACTGACCGCTTCCTTAACCGCCTGCCTAGGTAAATAGGGGCGTTGGTATAATGGTATGGTCTTGTACGAGGACTAGCCCGCACGGCTCCAAATGCAGATTTCTGGTAGTATTTCTCAGCCAGTGGTGACCCCCATATAACCGGGCTATACGAAGGTCATGTCGCGCCAAGACCGCTTGCTACTGCGTTATCTGGCCGGCCGCGACATTTCGCGGGATTACCTGGGGTTTGCTACCTGTACTTCCATCCTTTCTGCCTCAGGCTCTGGTTCCGTGCTGTAAGTCTACAAATCCGTCACATTCATCTCCAGACCGGACACCATCGCCTCTGAATTGCTTCGGCTATTTCAGCACCATGGTGACTAGTGTCGCTATCAAGGTCTTCCTGCTAGCGGTCGCGTCTCTGCCGTTCACTCAGACCCAGACAATCCGTGATGGAAATCAGGTCGTCGGTATGAGCTCATGACTGTTTTGTGTGATATCTGTCTTGTAGCTACGATTCGGGACTTTTTTGTTTTTTTTTTTTTTTTTTGAACATTTCTTGACTTTTTCTCCTGCAGCTGCCAATGCAACGACAGTCGCGCGTGGCGCAGTTGAAGTGTCTCCCGACTCGTCCGATTCAGGCGTCGGCTACTTCTCGTTTGAGTCAACGCAGTTGACGCCCGAGGTCATTGCGAACCTCACGACGTTGAACTTGACAGGCATTGAGTATTTCAATTTTGGCGATGCATCTTCTACCACGGCGAAACTGAAATCAGCCAGTTGCAAGGCTTTACCAGGTGATTTCGCGTGGCCGCCGGACATCGTATGGTTCGTTCTTGATTTGCTTCTTGGCGGTGGCCTCATCAAGAGCGTCCCAGTTGCCGCGCCTTGTTACTCTGATTGGTATCAGTACAACCCAGACGAGTGTACGACTATCACCTCGCAATGGAGCTCTCCAGAATTCCAGTATTTTACCTTTGTATCCTACCCTATGGCTTCCCCCGCCCATCGCTAACTGCAAAACAAGATCATCTCAACCCACCGGTATTGACTGGCCACTCTTCGAGGGTGTGACCTGCCTACCCCCAGCTCTCGGTCCCACAAATGCAACCTGCACGCTCGGCGGCATGCCGTCGTACATTGTCAATGTGACCAATGTGGCTCAGATCCAGCTGGCCGTCAACTTCGCTCGCAGTTTGAACCTACGTCTCAGCATCAAAAACCAGGGCCACGACTTCAATTCCAAAAACGTCGGCGCGGGCTCCCTCTCTGTGTGGACCAGTCATTTGAACCATATCCAGTACCTCGGTCCCGAGTTCACCATCGGCTCATATAGCGGTCCCTCCCTTAAGATCGGGGCTGGAGTTGAAACGTTGCAGGTCTACGAGTTTGCCGATAGCCTTGGCCTTGATGTCGTTGGTGGAGTTGCAAGGGTGGGTGCACCATAAATCGACCGTTCTGCATGATGTATCGTTGATAAGTTCCCTTCTAGACTGTCGGCCTCGGTGGTGGCTACATCGCAGGCGGTGGCCATTCACCTCTGATGTCGATGTACGGCATGGCCGCTGACCAGGTTCTTGCCCTGGAAATCGTCCTTCCCGACGGTCGCTTCGTCTCGGTCTCTGAGACAAGCTATCCGGACCTATTCTGGGCGCTCCGTGGAGGCGGTGGCAGCACCTTCGGAGTGGTGACCTCGCTCGTCATCCGCGCGTATCCCAAGCTACCCATCACTACCTTGACTTTCTCGTTCGGCACCAGCCATACTATCACAGACTGCACCTTCTGGGAGGGTATGTACGCCGTGTGGGCTACGTTCCCTGTCTACGCCGACGCCGGCCACTACCGCTACTGGTCCATCTCGTGCACTTCAGAGTCCAGCTGTAGCTTCAGCATGTCACCACACTGGGCCAATAATTACACCACCGCGCAGCTGCAAGAGTTCGTTGCTCCTCTGTTCGCAAACCTGACAGCACTTGGCATGCCACCTCAGGACGTCGTTTACGCTGAGTATGACGGCGTTTTGAACGCCTTCACCACGACCTTCCCCGCGTCCACTGAAGTGGTGGGCAGCTGGACCTATCACACCGGCTCACGCCTGTTTCCACGTAGGAACTGGGAAAATGAAACCAGTCTCGCCGCCCAATCGGCCGCGCTCCGCAATACCGCTGTTGAGGCCGGCATGATATTGGGATACAACTTCAAAGCTGCCGTCAATCCTACTGTCAACCAGGACAACGCTGTGAACCCGGCCTGGCGCGACATGCTCTCTCACACAATGCTGGGCGCTGTCTGGGCGCAGTCAGCAACGCCTGATGATATTGCAGCTGCCAATCAGCTGCTGAAGAAGCGGTTGCAGACGTGGCGAGATGTGAGTCCCGGCTCTGGCGCGTACCTAAATGAGGCAGACATCAACGAGCCGGATTTCCAGCAATCGTTCTATGGCAGCAACTACGCGCGACTGTACTCAATGAAGCAGCAGTATGATCCGTGGGGGTTGCTGTACGCTATCACTGCGGTTGGCTCTGAGGATTGGTATGTCACGGGTCAGATTCCGTACTACCCGACCCAAAATGGAAGGTTATGTAGAGTTGGGAGCTAATGAAGTCGACGTACGTGTCACAAGAATCAAGAAGTCATAGCTAATAGATTAGCACATCGCGGATAGACTAATGTATTAAGAAATAAAAGATTATCCGATGTGACGGCTGAGCAGGATGCCATTCAGAAGCACGTCAGATTTGATGTTCCTGAAGCAACGGAGCCAGAGGAACGTTGTACCGGGATAGGGGAAGAGGGTAAAGCTTGGCCACGTGGTCACGCCACAATGTCGAGGATTAGGTAAGCTAAACCTAATCAAGGAAAGCCTACAACATTGATACAAGGAAAATTCGAGAATTGAAGTCACAAGATTGAATCTACGAATCAACTTTACAGCTCTGTGTCGAGAATCTTCTATTTGAGATTGCGTGGATGGGATTCTCAAGCATAAATAGTGTCCAACAATCCCCTTAAGATGTAGATAGAAGAGTGGGCAGAATAAGGTCAATATCGATATTTCCACTATAAAGATATCTTTGAGTATTAAGCTTAACTGAGTTTGTGCTAGTGCACTGCAAGTTCCGATACACAATATATCAAGTTTCTACCATGGATCCCATGGTGGGTGGCAGGCTTCGATTTCGAGTTGATAGACGAATTCCTTACAATTACCTATATCAAACAGTCAGAGGCTCAAACTCCTCACCCCTCTCTACCACCTAGCCACCAGAAGTGCGGCCTTTGACGCGTCTCAACGCGTCCAGCAACACCATGGCACGTAAAGGCCCTGGTACAGATGGCCCTCTACAGACAGCCCTACTAGAATCCACGTCTGCAGCCACAACAAGAGCTTCTGAAGGACAGAAGATCTTTAGCCCTATAGCTGCATTCCTCGATAAACATCGCAGCCAAACCACCGGCCTGGCCCCTCACCTACTAAGAGCCCTCACCACTCTAAGCAATGACCTCGCCTCAGTAGCCCAACGACATTTCAACGCCTATATCAGCGGTATCTCGACGACCTCCATTCTACCTGCCCTGTCCCCTTCCCCCACCCCAAATTCCTTACCCCCATCACCCCCTCCCTCACGTCCCCTCTCAGGCCTTGAACAGTCGACTTATGCAACTATTACCCAATATGCCCCGGTCAAATCAACTCCCACTACTCACTCCAAAGCCCATGTTAAAAAGCCTATGCCTCTGGTGAAACAACCCCTTCCTAACAACTGGCTCTTCGTACGCCTCCCAGCTAACCATGCAGCTAGAAAAATAGAAGCCTACGCCATCTACTCTAGCCTACAGTCTCAACTAAACTCAAACAGTCCAGCACTAAAAGAAGTTCAAGCCACAAAGACTGGCTTTGCACTATGTCCCTCATCTCCAGAAGTCCTCCTAGCCCTTGAGGCCCAAAAAGAGATTATCTCTACATTCTTTGTTAACTACCAGATATAACGCAGCTCCCGATGGGTCTCGTACCAAGTCACCAATATACCAAGAAAAATTGGCCAAATCTTGGATGGCCGATACTCTCTAATCCCTGTCAATCCTACACTACTATCCTTAGAAATCAGTGAAACTACAAGGCTCAAGCCTATATCTATCAGTGAGACCGCTACAAGTGCTATCAATCCTAATACTCTTTCCTCAAGCTAGTTTGTCAACTTCCCAGAAGGCATAAAATCACTACGTGCCTATCTAGCTACGTCTTTTTAGCACTATCACTAATGCTTGTCACCTCTCTAAGAGAACAACAGTTACCCAATACACATAATGCTAGAAATGGCATAATGCACGATCCTGTGCCCGCCCCTCTCGATGCCAGCTCTGTAGCTCCTCAGAGCATACTGAATAGGGACATGTTAACTGCTACACAGCCCTAGAGCCTCATCAGTGCCCTCTCAGATGCATACACTGCTATGGACTACATCCAGCTGATTTCCCAGAATGCCTCCTGCGCCCAAAAGGCAACACTAAATATACCAAAACTCAATAAGCAGAGATCTGCAAATCCTACGCCACAGACCTTACAAAAGCCCGTACTGATAGAGGATGCAGCTCTCAACTCTCCACAGGCACACAAGAATTACCTATGGCCTTAGATAAAATATCTCCTTAGTCCCTAGCTAGAAAGATACTCTCTCCTTTCCGCCTAGTAACCCCTCCACCTCATGCTTCTACTGAAGATCCCCCAATCATAGCTCGTGCAGTCCGCTTCACAACCCCTCAGCCACCAAACAGATTTACCTCTCTTCTTGAACAGGAGATATAATCTATCACTACCTAATTTAAAAGATGCCTCTCAATATTCTACAGTTAAATGTAGGCCACGCGCCAGCTGCACATGGAATAGCTCTCATATTGGTATACATTAGCGATATCGATATTATCCTAATCCAAGAACCATACATATTCAAGGATCTTAATCGACAGATCATAAAGAAACACCCATCATATGAATGCTTCTCCCCTACTGATAGCTAGGCAGTAAGTGGCCGACCACGAGTCCTCACCTATGTTTGCAAGAAGATAGGTATCTGGACCTCCCAGCTACGCCCCTTCACAACTGACACTAAAGAGGCCTTAGATCTCCTGTTCCTTTAGATTTTTTCACCCACAGGAAAGTCCGCTCTAATAGTTAACATCTATAATGCCCCAGCAGGCTGCATCAGAGCAGGTGAAGCCGCGAAAGCTCTTACAACCCTACTAGACACTTATTTCTCTCAAGCAATAATACTTGCAGGAGATCTCAATCTACTACATAATAGATGGCAGCCCTCACTACAAAGCAGCTCCACAACTTTTGCAGAGCCCTTTATCGAGTGGTTGGACCACCTAGGATTAGTACTTATCTCGGATACAGACTGCCCCACACATGATAGAGGTAATGTGTTAGACCTCAGTTTTGCCTTAAGCCCCCTAGCACTCGCAGGAGCAAAAGCCAGCATAGCAAGCCACCTTGACGCAACCTCAGATCACCAGCCACTTATCACTACTGTCCCGTGGGACCAGAGATACAAGGAAACGGCCTAGAAACTGAGATTTAATATACTAGACCACACCTGCTTCCTCTCTCTCCTCGCCTCTAATCTCGATAATATCAAGAGCGCAGCCAATACAGAAGAAGACCTTGATGCCCTTGCTGAAGAACTAACATCCACAATCCAAGGAGCATATAGAGGCTCCGCTAAGAGAACCCTGACACAAGGAATAGAACAGCCATGGTAAAATAATAACTGCAAGAAAGCCTTGCACAATTATTGCTTAGGCCTATGCTCAAAGGCAGACTTCCGACGGACAACCAGGAGGTCCCAACGACAATTCTGGAGTCTATAATCTTTTGCAGAACTCTTCTGAAGCAGGAGACATACCTCTGGATTCCCCAGCAGTGCCTTCCACCAGTCTCTACTTCCCAGAGATATCGTTGATGCAGGTTGAGGAGTCAATACTACAGGCAGGAAATACAACCCCTGGTGTAGACGAAATTCCAACTTGCATAATGAAAGTAGCATGGCCTTTGATCAAGGACAAGGTACTAATGCTATACCAAGGATGCCTGAAAATCAGTTACCACCCTAAATGTTTCCAACATGCAATTTTAGCAATTATCTAGAAACCAAAGAAGACTGACTGGTCCTCACCCAGATCATATAGGCCAATTGCTCTCCTCTCAGTCCTTGGCAAAGGACTTGAGCGCCTAGTAGCACAAAATATGGCATGGATCTCTATTCACTACAAAGTATTGGCAAGGCAACAGTTTGGGGCTCTTCCACTAAGATCTGCAATTGATCTAACTACTTGCCTAACTCACGATGTTGAGCAAGCACTAAATTAATGTATGACTGCCTCGCTTCTTACCCTAGATGTCAAGGGCGCATTTGATGCCGTGCTCCCTGGCAGACTAATCCGCAGACTACGCGAGCAGGGCTGGCCTACTAACCTTGTCCTCTGGATCGCGTCCTTCGCTACTGGGAGATCAGTTCAGATCCGACTTGATGGAGAGACTAGCCCCTCAACAGATATTGCCTATGGTCTACCACAAGGATCCCCAGTCTCTAGCATCCTTTTCATGCTCTACATAGTGCCTCTATTCTGCCTAGGGAACCCAAGGAACAGATTTAGCTACGCGGACGATGCAGCTGACCTGGCGATCTCTCCATCTCTTGCTACTAACTGCCAAACCTTATCAAACTCTCTTTAAGAAGCTCTTGACTAGGGTGCCGCAGAGGGCATCATATTCGCACCAGATAAATACGAGTTCCTCCATTTCTCCCGACACAAAACAGACCAGGACTCTATCTATATATCTTTAGTGAAAGCTGGATCTATCACAATCTTAGAAAACACTAAATGGCCATATCTACGCTAGCTAGGAATCCTCTATGATAAAAAACTAATCTTTAAGTAGCATATTAGTAAAACAGCATCTAAAGCTCTTACTATAGCTAATGCCCTTCGTTCCCTGGGGAATACTATTTGAGGAGTTAAACCTTACCTACTACAATAGGCTATATCAGCCTATGTCCTTTCAAAAGCATACTATGGTGCTAAAACCTGGTGGCCAGACTATACTCGCTCTGGGCCCCGCTAGATCTTAAATTAAGTTAAGGAACATCTTAGAAAGCTAACCAAAGTAATAGTTACAGGCGCAAGAGCAGTCCTCCTAGTTTTTCGTACAACCCCAACATCTATCCTATACCGAGAGTCTGGATTCTCGCCTCCAGAAATTAAACTAAATTAAATAGCCCTTCTAGCATCTATCCGCCTATGGCGTCTTGATCCATACCACCCACTACAAAGACGCGCAGAACAGGTTGCTAGAAACGGCTGACAAATCAGTTGATTTGCCTGCCAAGTGCTAGCCCTCCCTGACTCTGAACAGATAAATCCTCTCCAATATTCTTCCTGATACCCACGTGAGTCACATAAGAATGCCCAAGCTCAAATAAGAGCTCCTATGGGACGCACTAAGGAACAGGCCGCAGCTGATTTCCTAAATTTCCAACGTACCATTCCTGGCTCTGATATCACAATCTTTTCAGATAGATCTAGGCTTAAAAATAGATATGCTAGTGGTAGTTATGTTAGATTTCAAGCACACTATTAGTTCCTCCGCTCCTCACTCTCATATGAACATGGGAAAGAGGTCTTTGACGCAGAAGCAGAAGCAGCCCTAGCTGGTGCTTAAGCAGCAATAGCATACCCAACAGCTCAATTTGCTACTAACTTATGGATCTGTCTTGACAACCTAGAAGTTGCTATGCGCCTCCTATGTCCCTCTACAGGATCCTCTCAAGAAGTCTTTGAATCATTTTATACCCTTACAGCCGCCTGGCCACTACGCGAAAGGCTTCCACATACCAAAAGTGGATCAATCCAAATCCGATGGGTCCCTGGACACACCAAAATCCCTAAGAACGAAGCAGCTAATCTCACTACTAGGAAAGGAGCTGCCTCTATCCTCCTCTCTCCATACAGGTCCTCATACGCCTTGCTAAAGAGATACGCCAAGACTTAATCCCTTTCCACAGCTCAGACACGGTGGCAGACTATAGCACCACAGACATACTAAGATCTAGAAATAACTACTTCTCCTAAGCACTCTAGAGAGCTTTAACTTAACCGACTTGATCTTGGCCATATCATAGCAGCCCATACTAGTCATGGAGACTTTGCGGACTACCATGAACATTTCAATCATAATAATGCTTATCTTCTCTGTTAATGCGAAGCATAAAAAGCATTTCTACATTTCTTCTTCTACTATATAGCTAAGAGACGAGCCCCTCGTCCTCCTAGACCCCCTTCTAAAGTTATCTCTTTTCTTTTAGGCACTGCAAAAGGAACACAAAGGCTAGCCACATGGCTAGCAGAGACCTGTTTCTTTGAGGACATCTGTCCTCGCCAACCTCTCCTTAGCACCTAGCTAAGTCAGCCCTACTTCCCCTTTATATCTCTCTTTTTCTTCTTTCCTTCTCTCTTTCCTTCTCTCTTTTAAACTCTCTGCTCAATTACTATGATGGTAGAATTACGGGTCTTGGAGCGTAGGTGGACCATTGCAGCTAGCAAATACCCAAAACCCACTCAGAAGTGGACCTCCCTATAAGACCACGGCAGCTATGGAAATGCGCCAAAGAGTCTATTGACTGTACATAAATCTGATATAGATCCTGAAACCCGAGGTTTACCCCTGGGCGGCCTATGTCCCAGTAGGGATCGGTGGGAAGCGTGCGAGTCACGAACCACGGCCGTTAAATACACACACACGGACACACACACACTCGCAAATACCTCAAAAATACCAAATTCCCTTTAAGGGCGTCCTTTTTGGTGAAATGGTATTACGTTTTAGTTCCGACAATCACTAGTCATCACGTGACCTGTGATCATATTCTTTACATACCTATCAGCAAATTTCTGAGCAGCTTCATATTAACTATCGCCAAGCCCAATATGCTTGTCAGGCTTTACAAGTGACTCCTAAGAAGCCTCGTGGAGCTACACCTAAGCTTTCCGATGACCAGATGGATGAGATTATTGCTTGGATATCTCAATCTAAGAAGAACCGACGCATGCCATATCATAAGGTTATCAGAGCACTTAATCTTAGTGTATCTCCCACTACACTTGCTTATACTTTGAGGAAAAGAGGCTATACACGATGTAAGGCCCTTCGCAAGCCTGATTTGAGTCCAGAACATCGACGGCAACGACTTATATGGGCCTTAGAACATGTTAATTGGACAATTGAACAATGGAATAAGATTTTATGGACTGATGAAACTTGGGTTACTTCAGAGTGCCATACCCGGATTTATGTGACTCGTACGACTGGCGAAGAATACGACGATACTTGTCTTCGATCTAGAAGACAGAGATATTGGGGATGGATGTTTTGGGGCTCTATTCACGGAAATACTAAAGGTCCATGTTTATTCTGGGAAAAAGAATGGGGCACTATCAAAGCTGAGACTTATTGTCAAAGAACCGTGCCTATTATTGATGGATATCTTCGTTTGTTGAGATCAGAAGGCTTGCAGTCAATGCAAGATGGGGCTCCAGGACACTCTGGTGCTTTTACAAGGGAAGAGCTTCATTCACGGGGTATATATCCAATATACTGGCCGTCTTTTTCACCTGATCTTAATCCTATTGAAACAGTTTGGGACTGGATGAAGAGCTGGATTGATGAAAGATATCCTGAGGATGATGAATTATCTTATGATTTACTTAGGCAAGCAGTACGAGCTGCGTGGGATGCAGTACCAGATAGCTTTCTTGCTAAGCTTATTGATGGCATGCAGGCTCGCTGTCAAGCAGTAATAGATGCAGAGGGAGGGCCCATTCCATATTAGATAGTACAATTTAGGATTAATTCAATGGCAAAATATTTGAAGTTGATAGGCTGGTATATGTGATCCGTGCACCATACTAACGAAGTTACCTGGGTAGACCATAGTAAGTCCTCCGAACTGCACCTCTGTATCGTACAGATCGTACAAATGTCTCACGTTTCAACAACCGACAACCCACAACCCACAGATTCGCGTATCTCACCCTTCGCAAATCCGAACCGTACGTCCCCTACGTCGCAACCCCGTTGGCTGGTTCCGAATCGCTTGATCCAAGGCTCATATTCGTGTCAATCCTGGTCCTTACTGACAACGACGCCGACCTGGAACGCACGTCATCTACGTGCGCATTCGTACATGTTCCCACGTCAGTGTCCTTGTCATTTGCAGGCTCCAGACGAAATGTTTATTCAGAGGACAAGAGGTATAAAATCGTGCACCATTCTCCAACTGTTGTTGGTTAGATCCCGCTCGTTCCGCGAGATATGCAGATATGTTTGACCGCATTGTAGATTCGACGTAGCAATGTCTTGTTCTGTCAACTCAGGGGGAAGCTCGTCCCCTAGTCGAAAAGCTCCATGAGGTCGGACTCGTGCCTCCTGAGGAATGAAGTTAATTACTCCTTTTTCAGTTTTCCTATGTGTACATTGAGGTGTTGAGCGTGCGGCAACTTCGGCCTCCAGAGTGTCGAAAGGACCGCTGTCTTGAGAGTGGGACTTATGATTAATGCATTTATTGAAAGGTTGCGAGAATGTAAAATTAGCTCCGTCTTCAGCTGCATTTACTGATATCGCTGAAGTTTCCTCCAGCATCATGATTACTTCGACGAGCGCGGTTCCGTGGTCTCGCTTCGCGAGCCCCTGCACCTGATGCGTCCGTCGCAGTAGAGCGAGGGCTGCACGGCGAATCCTGGATTCACGGCACCTAATGCATGTGAACCAGAGCGGAAGACCGACACTGAGTTCGAACGTATACGGCGCCCGTACGCCATCTTCTCGCCCTAAGTCTCCTAAAGCAATTGAAGATTTTTCAACTATGGCTCGGAAGTTCTCTGTGTATGCATCAGTCGTGATGCGTAATGGCGATTTGCAGACACCGAGGATGATTAATAACATCTCGTGATAAGAGGAAAGGAGTGCATCAATGCTGACATGGAATGGGGATAAGTCGCCTTTTGCGCGCTGAGAACCCAAGAAGTTAGTGAAAGCAGTATGCCAGCTTTGTAGCCTCGCTGATAGGAAACCCTGTTGACTCATCATGTCTTCGGATATATTCCAGGCCTGTGACTTTTGTAAATATTGCTCGCAAGTTTGTTCGAAGACGGTGACCTCCGCAGCTAACATAACGATGGCCTCTCGAGCAGCTTTTAAAGAGCGAAACTCTTGTGGCAATGCGCAGGTATATTCAGTCTCGCGTGCCATAGTCATTGTTAAGGCCCAAGTGGTCTTGGGAGAGGATGATGCCAAGCGGATAAAAATGGGAATAATGGTGTCCTTTAACAATAAAATTTGTGCTCCTGTTACGGTGCCAAAGGATCTCTGTGCCCATAGAGTGAGTATAAGATGCACAGCTTGTCTGTAGAGGAGAATAGCTTCCTCCATGTTCCCCAGTAATGACTCAATACAGATAAATAGCATACACGTGATCAGCCCAACAAAAGAGTCGATGGCGCCACGTTCGATTCCCCGACGGACAGCTGACACTGAGCGCGAATACCAGTCCAGTGCATCTTTCTGGCTTTCCCCAAGACTTTGAGAATGGCCACGAGATACAGAATCAAGATGATGAAAGGCCCTGGGGACTTCGAATAGTGAGCTAATTGCAATCATCGCATCCCACACGGCCGATTCACTTTGGCAAATCTGTGGGATGGTAATGTTCCAGAAATCAGCATCTAACCCACCGCCAATGGACACTGCTGTGTGCTGAAGATAATAGGCAAAAGCGCGACGCTCACGCGATCCTGTATTTGGCGATAATGAGAGAGTCTTGTGAAGATTTGAAACGTGAGGAATCGGGGCGAGTGTACCAATAATTGTACTTGAGTACTCGCACTTCCGACCTGTGCTACTGCATCGTACGCACTGGGGCTTCTCCTCCCCACACTTGATTTTTCGTCTTCTGGCTCGAAATTAGTGACTACTTATAAGTCCCAAAAAAGAAAGAGTAAACCAACTTGCAGGTTTTGCACCCGAATCTTGATTTCAGGAGCTTGAGGGAACCCTCTCGCATTGGCCGACATTTCGACATTCCCGGTTATGTGGCTCAAACACGAACGTCTCTCTTCCACGAATCGATTGACCGGCTCGATTTCAAAAGCAACACGCAAAACACGAACTTGCGATGATCTTCATTGCTATCTTTGGGTGCTCCTTGATTCGCCGCTAATGATAATATGGCAAGAATGTGAGACACGTCCAGAACGATATTGACAGTATCGGATTATTGATAACCCGGCACTTTGCCTGCTCTGGTTTAGATAGTTAAGTCTTTGACAGTTTGACTGGACTGTTGTTGGAACGCAATACGCTATCCCTAATTGGGAATGAGTCAAGGAATCTGTTACAATACTAACGAGATATAGGCATATTCAATCAGTTCTACGTGCCTATGTCTAGAAAGTTCGACTGGACGTCATCTCATGATCTAGTTTGTATAGGACTTCACATATAAAAGAGGTCAACATTCCCGACAAGTTTTGTATTAGAGTGTGTGCAACAATACATGAAAATTCCTAGCTCCTAATTCTTGTTATTTGCCTATATTCCGTATTCATCCTAGCGTAACCGAGCTCTAACAAGTTACTGGTCCCCCGGAGACCTAGACAAAGACCACTCATATTCATCATCTTTCCACGATAGTGCACCCGTTATACAGCTGTGTTAATGTGCTAGTTGTTGTTATTGGTTATCTAAGCTAACTACAGCTGCGCTGACCCCTTTACGGAGGTCACATGACTCTCGGATCATAGTTGATCCGCGCCGGAGGGAGATCCACGGGTGTAGCACGCTGACAAGCTGTTATCCACCACGTGACTTGAACGTAGTATTGGAATCTTTTGGGACTAGTCCGAACGGGGTTAGGCTCTGATAGGAGCGGACAATCTGGGTAAGGAATAAATTGACTCTGATTTGCATACTCTCTAAAAACACAGCTAGCTACGCATCTTGATCCTCTTTATATACACAATATAGTGGCAAAATAGCAATCCTGAATCCAAAAGTAGGGCTGTCGATATTGTGCCAAACCTAGGATCGGCAATTGTGTTTTTCCGGGGATTCACCGATTAGTAAGGTCGTCCAGAATGGGATTAGCGTATCAGATATCCAACACGTAGGACGCAGACCACCCTTAGGTAGTATCGTACTACGTAGTAGAAACGGTCGCTGAGACATGAGCCAATTGTCCAGTTTTCTGAAGGTGGCTTGGCCCAACGCATTATAGTTAAAGTCGCCGAGCATGACCTAATAGTGGTGTTCCGCACTGGGTGTCGAACTTTTGTCGAACTCGGCTTGGCGCCCAGCCCTCTCAAAGGAGCAAGCGGTGAACACTGATTACATAATTTTCTTGGCAAAAGTTCGACAAAATGTCGAACTGTTCGACATTTTGTCGAACTTTCGCCAAGACGCTAAGTCATGTGACTAAACCTCTGGCCTGTTGGGGTACGTAAGCTTGGAATTAATTTAAATGTTAGTTACATACATATCTTTACTAGCACAATATCCATAAAGCAATTTCAAAAAGTATATGTATGGATTCGCAAATCTCAACCTCGAATGAGAGCCAATTGGCTGCTAATATAGCAGCTGCAGCGCTGCAGGCCACCGAATATATTATAATAACCTCCTCACCACCGCCGCCAGTCCGTTCGCAGCCTACAACCGATACCCAGGGTACCACCGATTCGCAAGCCACTTCATATAACAGTACTGACGACTCGGATTCGAATGAGGCTTCCATTAGTCAAAATACGGCATCTCAAGTGAAGAATAACAAGCGAGGGAGATCGCTCAAAGATGAAGAGCTTTCTCTGCTGTTTAAATGCGCGTTGGACCTCAAACTTGATTATAAACCAAAGAGAAAATATTGGGAAGCTGTTGAGGATAGATTTGTGCGCCTTATTGGACATTCTTATTCGTGGAAATCGTGCAAATCTCAGATCGAGAGGCTCTCTAAGAAACGGCGCTTATACCTGGCTCAATACGTTACTGGTAGAGAGGCGGAGGCTACATCTGAGTTGGACGAGCTTATCGATCAATGGAACGACTTTATTGACGGATATGAGAAAGATGAGGCTGAGAAGTTGGCAGAAAAAAACAAATATAAGGAAAATTCGCAGTTGGTGCTTGCATATCGAGACCAACTGGTCTCAACAGGCTTGCAAAAATCCAAAAAGCAAGCGCCAGAGGAGCTTAAGCCGTCTGAGGATGATACTGGGTCTGATAATAGGAAAGTACCAGAATATCGTAAGACTGCTACAGCCTCGCGGCCGTCAAAAAAGCGGTCTATCCAGGAAGCGATATTCGCCTTAGTTGACGTATTAGAAGAGGATAGACAAGCGTCAAAAAAGCCTGAATCGGTTGCAAAAAAAAGCGAATTGGAACGGCTTTCTGGGGATGTCAAAGAGCTTCAAAATCAGTATAAAAATCTTGATGAGAAGCTTGATAAATTAATCTCAATGATAGGGGAAAAGCGTACGGGTTAGGGCTCATTATCCAGAACACCAAGATATTCCTCTAACGAAGGTGTCTCAATTCCATATCTTTTACTCACAAGATTCTCACGTAAACATGAGGCTATATTAGTGAGTAAAATAGATACAGCATAATAAGCAGCAACGGCTTGTTTTATTGGCTGCATATTGGTATAAAGCGCATTTCCATGCCACTGGTTTTGAACTTTCCCAAATATCTGTTCTACAGATATTCGGTGAGCGCTTATCCTATCGTTTATCTCGATTTGACGTGCAGATAATTCCCCAATCTTCGGAAATGGTGTTAGGACAAAAGGACATCCCTGATATCCAATATCTCCATATAAAAGTAGCTGTTTTTCATTGCCAGCTATAGCCTCAAGTCGTTCGTCTGTTCTTGATATTTGGAATATATTCGAATCTGCAATCTTACCCTCAAAGGGCCCAATTAGTGAGAGAACCATGCCATCTGGTGTGATGATTCCTTGATATTTGAAGCCATGGCGTTTCTTATATCCTGAATAGGCAATACGTTGATTTTTAGATGGCCGACATGTCGCCCTAAAAGTCCCATCAATACAACCCCAGCCCCTAGGAATAGCGCCCTGAGCTTCAAGGATTTGGGCGTACGCTTTACAGCGTTCTTGAGTAAGTAAAGGATGCCACTCTAATAGCCTTTTGTACCGACGATAAAGGTGTTGTAAGACGTCATTAAAAATGGTACTTATATAGCCAAATGAGCGCCCAAAAAAAATCTCAAGATCTCGTACTCGTCGAGGGTAAGACAGGCGTGCAAGCAATATTGCAAGAGCCATAGAGGGCGACGGCGTTCTTCGTCCAGTATATGAAATTGTATGAAGCTCAAAATAAGGAAGAATTTGACAGAATTCTTGCCGGTCAAATCTAATAATAGAACGCGGAGTTAGCTACTGTAATATTTTTAGATTTAGGCATATCCAAACCGTATATTCTCTCGTAGGCACGTATCGCTAAGCATATCAATATCGAATATGAATGGTGTATAATAGGATTCTCGAAGGGGTAATCTACCAGCATGTTCGTCCTCAGCCAGTAAACTTAGCAGTATAATCAAAATAATAAGTATTTTCTGTCTTCTTGATAACACGAGCGCCATAGCTAAACGGTGATGGTGTCAAAATATAAACTTCTAATCTATAATCTTTATATACGCCATGTAAATTGATATGGATTTGAGCTTCCGGAGGTTTACTTAATATTATTTTAGGCATAGTACAGCGCTAGATTATTTTGGGATACGCTAACCGTAATCGGTTTTGTCCGGCAGAATCGAGTTCGGTTCGACAAAACTGCGGAACACCACTAATATGGCCACGGTCGAGCTGTGCCTACAATCTATACCATTTCTGGGCATACCATTCCCTTTGCAAGTGGACCTTTGCTCTCTCGTTTTCAAGCTAAGCCGTTCATGGTGCTGTCTCTTCAGCCCCAGATCTTGAATCTCACTCCATAGTATGATGTCAAACGTTTCTATAAAAGCCACAAACCCCCTTTGAACTCGCGATCTCATTCAGTAAGTATGCTTGTTAAAATGCCATTGACGTCCAGGAGCATGAAAATGGAAGAAAACAGGGTTTTACACATATGAGTCGCTTCTTAAGTTTTCTCGCTGTTTCTGCTTGCGAGCGACCTCTGGATATTAGATCATGCAGACACTTCGATGGGCCAATTTATCTTCCACGAGATGTAGCTTCGGAGGAATACCAACGTTCAGGTCATAGATCTTTCGCCCAAGGAGTCAAGACATTTGGTTTTCGTGAGATGGCGGGCAGTCATGTGACCGCAGTCCAAGCGAATGGTCCCGCACTAGTTAATCCGTGCTCAGCGACAGAATCAATCATGCTTACCAAGCAGATGAACTGCCAGTCGAGGAGACTCGTCAATTACAATGACCATCTGATAAATAGGTAAGTTACATGTGTTGATCCGATGACACGCATCCAGGGCTCTAACTCGTATTTTCTAGTGGTAATTTACTCTGGCAGGTCTTCATACAAAAGACCTCCATCGGTTCAGGCCGAGGCTTCCCATTGCGATGCCAGTCACACCAAACACCCTTGACAAAGAACTAATATTTGTGAATGCGCCTAAGCTCGCGAGAACTCGAACGGAGTCAGAGGATGGAGAATCCAGTATCCGTTCAAGGTTGATTCGGCAGGTGGTCAGGCAAAAGAAGGCAAACTCGGCAAAACAGTTGCTTGTCAAGAAGCCTGATGGTGTCATCAACCCTGTAGCATCCGAAGATGGAACCTCTCTACCCGACGATTTCAATGTACCGATACCGTACGCGGCTGGAGCTGCCGCTCCCCTCAGTGAGAATCGAGCCAGAACTGTCGCTGAGCCCACCACCGGAAACTCAGTTGACGATAACAGGATCAGACAAATGGGGATACCTGACCTGTTAACAGTCTTGAGCGCGTTCCGCTCCGATCCTTTCTCACCCTGGCATATGGAGTTGGGACGCCGTGGTAATGAAGTTCTGGATTACTGTAAGTCCAAAGACCCGGGAGTCACTGTAGGCGATGTATCCGCATGGAACTGAGACCATTCCCACAGGTATCAACGAATTTTGGCCCACCCTTCGCACCCCTACATACGCCGAGATGTGTTATCGTAGCCGCTTTCATCAAGGGAGCCGGCTTCTATTGTACGCCGTACTTTGGGTAACATCAGTTCATTTGGATCTCAACAGAGGCGGCCAAACAGGAGCAAAAGAGTCTGTTGAAACACTACGATATCTAGAGTTAGCATTACAGGCGCTCCAGGAGAATCTCGCAAGTACAACTCCAGCTACCGTTTCCGACGAAGTCATCCTTTCTATCCTATATCTCGCTGTCAATCACCAAGTCAAGGCACGGGCGGAAAGGGATCCCAGCCCATTCACCCCACCCCAGAGAAACCTGCATCATCTGGACCTGTTTGGTACCACTACCTTCCACGCTTCACACTGGAAGATTGCCAAAGACTTGGTTCAGGGCAGAGGGGGCATCCACACAATCAAAATGGTGACTCTTCCCTGGCTACTTACCATGGCCGACCTGTTGCATGCAGTGGGGTCACTGACACGACCGTCGTTTCCTCTTCTACGTCCTACCGGACAGCCAGTGATTTATACTCCCCCCTGCCGTGCGCTGAGGGTCCCTGAAGTTGCGCGTCACTTTCACAGGAACGGCGGCTTCACACAACTAAAGTCGTTAAACCCCAGTATTCACCAACCAATTGTCGAGGTCTTCCTAGACATCTGTGAATACTCTCAATGTCTCGATTTCCTTGATCAGACCGTAACATATCCGACTGACGAACTTGGAGATTGCCGAGACATCATTCATCACCGATTTATGAATCTGCCCAATGAACATGACCCAAACGAGTCCATATTCGGTCCATCTTATCTCCCTTGTCCAGAAGCCTGCCAGCTGACGCGCTCAATATATCTTCTCGTTCGTTCCGCCGCCCTCCTCTACATCACTCATGTAACATTTCCTCTACCGCGTCCTTTACGGCTCAGGAAACAATTACTCACGGAGCTCGAGTCACATTTTACTTCAGTGGGCGGCGCTGGCTATTACCCACCCGGGGTTCCGCTAGAGCTATTATTATGGCCAGCGACAATCGCAGCTACTGCGTCGAAGGACGAGTCTTGCCGTATGCAATGGATCCTATTAGTCCGCCAGCTATGTCAGCAAACGCTCATTTCTACCTGGGATGAATTTCGTCTTATAATGCAATCCTTTTCATGGGTTAACTGTGCCTGTGACAAGGAGGGATATGCTGTTTGGACGGATGTGCAGCTTTTAGGCTGAACTATTCACTTAGCGTACAAGGACCGATATCCGCGTCTCCTCTCATTCGCTGATACTGTATGACTCTACCTCAGGGTCTCTGGCAGGCTAGGTAGGGTTAGGCTAAGAGGTATTTCGGCACGCACCTGAAGACCGATGTGAGGCCGGGTTTTCCTTAACTTCTCTTCGTATACAAGCTCCCCAAAACCTAATCATCCGTTACCAGTGGGTTAGAAGCTGTGGCCACAGAAGATGCCGAACAAACGGACAAATCAGCGCCTCTACTGTTTATTAAACTAAGGTTTGCCACACGCCGATACACAGCTTTGTTCATGAACCATACAGAGAAGCGCAGGAAAAACAGAAGAAAGGAATGGCTCGGTTCTCACGCGTGTCTCGGGACCCACTGGGCATTGAGAGATGTTGCAAGCTGTCGCTTATAATTTCACGGGATCTCTCGTCATGGCAGTAGACAGAGCCTTCGGTTCCGTATTAGGCATAGCGCAATATAGCCGAGGATTGGGATAGGGATACATCTCAATCCTCGTACTGGCTTCTCTCTTTAGCAACACATAATCAAGTGTCTATGAGCTTTCTAGGCACTCATCAGGTTCTGAGCCTGGCATCAAGTTGAAATTTTGTATTGACAAATCAACACCTCTGAGAGCCGTTTACAAGTGGTATCTTGACACCAAAAAAATCCCCTGAGCTTGAATTAGGAGGAATGAATCTGTCCATACGAAACGATCCGTGAAAATTTTGACAGGTACGCATCTCGACAAGCCTAATCAAGAAGGCCGAAGACGACGCTACACCAGCAAATCAAGCTACAAATATCCCCAAGGATGATCAAGAGCTTAATCTACGATCTTTTGGAGGTTTTCCAAGGTCCTAAAGATTACAATTGATGGCACTTTGTGATCAGACGAGAGCTCAACCGTACTGACACGCTGGACCTCATCAAGAAATCCATTCCAAGACCTTCTAACAACGACACGAACTACAAGAAATGGAAACAGGCATCATAGATGTAGCCACATGGCTTTCTACGAGTATTTCGCGAGAGATATGCCAGCAAATAGACGAAACAGCAGCCAATACTGATTTCGCGGATGACATGTTTGCGGCGATTCGGGCAGTCTGTAAAGGGGAGGTTGAATCTCAGACTGGGTGGCATTCATGGATGACGCTGAAAAGGATCGAACGACATCAATATCCAACATGTGAAACTTTTATTAAGGATTTCAGAACTCACCTCGTCTGTCGGATCTTCTTTTGAATGATGGGGTCTTCCATTACAGAGACAGAAGGATCCGAATTGGGCATGACTGCACTTCAAGCGATAATCTTCCTTGCTCCATCCAGGCAGAGCTCACTTCGTGGACCACCTACAAACTCGAGAATATAGGCGACGTCATCGAGAGCTTCAGCGTTTCTTTGGTATGAGACTCTTGATGCCAAACTAAAGGAATTAGGATTTCTACAGATCAGCGAAAATCCTTGCAATTACAAATGCGAACGCGACGGAAAATTGATTGCCCTTTATGTTGACGATAACCCCATTGCTGCAAAGATACAAAGCGAAATTGACGCCATTATTGATCTCTTTGATAAAGCCTGGGGTATCAAAGGTCTAGGCAAACGGTCACGTTTTCTAGGGCTCAACATGTTTTACGATCGCGAGAAAAGGCAAATTTCAGTTAAGCAGGATGACTATGTTGATAGTGTTTTGAACTGGTTTAATCTTACAAAAGCAAACACCCGTGAGATACCCATTGATCCTAAGTTCATACTTGAAACCATGCTGCTCAGCATGCTCGATGGGCTTGGGAGGGAGGACGTAAGATTTTGGCAAGCTTCTGGGATCAACCTGGTATCAGCGCTAAGCCCGTGTCGTGTGTAGCCTAAGTTTTCGAAGGTAGTTAGTGCTATATTGGAGAATGCAAGCACTTCGATATGACTGTCAGAGTATCTAGGTTCATTGCATAGAGCAAATGTCTCCTATGGCTAGCAGATTCTTTCGCGTATCATACTTGCATAATCAAATGCAGTCAGATATTAACTTAAGTTATAAGGTCTTTTATTATAGCAAGAGCTGATTTTCGGATGGCATTCCGTTGAGTAAACCTTGGAACATACATGCAGTGAAGTCCCAATGTAGGGAAATACGGTTTCAATCATCATACTTAAAATATGAAACATATAAGCACTAGTGAGTGATATTGGCGATATGAAGACGGAAAATTGTGATATGGTTTGACATATGTAGTTCAACTACAGTAACATGCCAAAAGGGCGTGGTCAAAGATATTTCCGATACCTACAAGCTGTTAGTAGCTCTGTTCAGCTACCGACTTGCCTTCTTCCATAGGTGATCAGCAGGGGATTCTCCTGTTTATTTAGTAAGTTGATATAGCCGTAGCCCGCAACTTTGGCCCAAATTTCCATATGAGTAATGTGAGAGGAACGGGAATTGATATGACCACCAAGGCCAATACGGTATTTGTCCATCCAAAACCTAGCGCTTGGTACATACTTGGGGCAAATAGCGGGAACAAGAAAGCCGTGAGGCTCCTGGCAAATTGCGTTGCAGCCATGGCACTGCTTGTATGTTCTCCATATGTGTCAATGATGTATACCATCACTGTATAGGAAGTCTCAGGTTAGAAATCAAAGAAATGTGGAGGGAAAAAAATAACGACCACTTACTTGGCATGCCGCTTAACTGCATCCCAAACATCAATACGACCACGCCAACATCCACCACAAACCAAAATAACCGATAATTAGCAGCCCATCCATAAAGAAGGGCCCCTATACATGCGGCAAGTATCCCGGGGTACATGAGCGGGAGACGAGACTCGGGAGGTGGGTTTTCTCTCTTTTGACGCTTGTATAAAATGTCCATCAACGGCCCGCCGACTTGTGATGCAACTAATTCGCCTAAGGTACAGGCGATATAATGCAGTCCACTAATTTCTATGGATTCGTTATACTGATCTATCCAAAGATTGGAGAATGTGGAAAGTGTGATATACAAAATTCCGTAGTTCAGACCCTGTAGGGTTGCCGAGACCTGGATAAAAGGGTGGAAGATCAGGAGACGGAGCGGTCGCGTCATGGCTTTCCAGAGAAGGCCAACGGTTGATCGATTACCATCAGGTCTTTCAGTTTTCGTATAGTATTGGGTATTGCCAGTCCGTTGGCGCAAACGATCCGCACGTCGCCGAAGCAACACTGCACCGTATGACTCTTGGAAAGTGAAGAAGGAGACAAATATCATGACCATTTGAAATATAGACGTGGACCAGAACATCCATCTCCAGGTTGTATGCGCAGTTATAAAACCTCCAATAATAGGTCCTGTGTTAAGTTTTAATTGGCCTGTACATACATCTCAATCACCAGGCAAGGTTAGGAGGCTTACCAACGGCAGCACCCAGTAATGGTATCAACAAATATGTGCCTAACGAGCGGCCTCTTTGTTCTGGTCTCCAAATATCCCCTATAACACCGCCAGCAAGCGCATAAATAGCGCTAGCTCTGAAGCCTGCCAGAAAACGAGCGGCAATCAGTGTGCCTTTAGTATGAGCAAAGCCACAGAGCAGGTTCCAAACGAGAAACCAGACGTTCGAAGCATGTAGGATGATTTGTCTTCCGTAGATTTCTGATAGCGGACCAATGAAAAGTGGGCCGAAAGCGGTGGCCAAGAGGTAGATTGACAAGGACATGGCCGATTCGGTCGAATTCATGTCGAGCTCATAAGCGATGGTCGATAGAGCGGGTGCCATGATGGTTGACACCATGATTCGGTTGAAGCCCGTAGCCGACAAAACGTCCGTGACTCTCCATTTGAGCGCTGTTGGCCAATCTAGTGGGTTTTCGGGATCGAAAGGATGATTAAATTCCACGAGGAAGGGGTCGGAGTCTTTCGCATTTTTGTTCGCAGGTGGAGGCGGGATGCTGTGTAATTCCACGTCAGCAGAATCGGTGAAGGGGACAGGTGTGATCTCCTCGTCCTGCATTCTTGAATTGCCCAAGATCGAGTACACTGGAATAATTACGCTCAGTCAGGGCCTTTGAGGGAACGGCGTATTGATAAATGTGGTTGAAAGTTGGCGTGACCGCAAAACAAAGGGATTCTCAAAATGGATAAGTAACTAGAGAATTCCAAGACAGCTGAATCCGATTATAGACTGCATGCTAGCGCTGTAACTAAGATGAGAATGGGGTTAGTGTTAACTTCTAATTCTAAAATACTGTACAGATTCTACTAATTCTTTCGATTTTCAACATCAAACTATCGAGATATCAAAATATCAAACCAGTCTTCTCATACTTGTCTGATAGACATATTATTCACCGTTCCTCTGCAATTTTTGCTATTCTCAATTCAAACTACGTAGATAATAGTTCTAATACAACCAAACCTGTAACTTGTTACTTGCTTTAACTCATGAGTCTTGCCCATGGCTGGTTATCCGCCGAGTACCGGTCGGACTTGGTAGGTAAGATTATGATATCGTATCAGATGATCAGATAATGCAGCCAGAGACAAAGTGCCTAATCTCTGTCCCACCAAGGTCGACTAACATAATGCCACAACAACTCTGTCTCCAGTTCAGTGTCCACTGGCTATATCGGCGGTCTTGACCTCATTTACAAAAAGATACTCCCTACCGTATCCTATATCCACAAATCGGAAGTGACTATGTGGAGGTATAGTGTTGTCCTATTGGAGTCTGAAGTGTCTACAGTACTGTTGGAATATGGAATCGGTCTACGCCCAATTCTCACCAAAATGGCAGTGGTTGCCGGATGTCACATCCGTATTATATAGTGCTAACATATGCAATGCATATAGAACCGCATGCCATGTTTTAACGAAGGACCTTTTCCGGGCAATTCTGGATCTGTCGACCATTATTGCATCCATTATCACATTATGCAGTGAGAATATTGTCTCAGGTGCAGTCAGTTGAAACCATTTAGTCCGAAAAAGTGTCACGAATTGTAGCCTGGAACGGAAAATAGTCATCTCAAGATGTAAAGAAGTAGCGTTTGCCTGTATCTGCAAGCTGTATATGTTGCCAAGTTCTCTCGAATGGTTGAAGCAAACTAAAATTATCCTTGCCAAATATTTGTGCAATGTCGAAAGTAAATAGCACATTTTGTGAGAAAGCACCTAGCAAACCTATGTAGATAGCGTACGGAGTAGTTACAGTGTAGCAGTGCTGGAACGGCGCTGCCTAGGTAATAGGGTGTTGGAAAATTACAAAAATTTAGTGTCATGTAAACTTTGACATGCAGCCACTTTGTCATGTCAACTTTGACAATACGGCCAAGAATTTTAAAATTACATAACTGTAATTTATTAGCCAATAAAATTGAGTAATAAAATTGATTAACCAATAATATAAGCTATATTTTGTGAAATAAGTTACTAGTATGTAAAGTGCTCCACTGCAGCTGACAAGCAATTTTGTCAATTCTGACAAAAATTTACCGTCGCGTCGACAGACCCACTTGATATGACAAATCCCTACTAGGTAATCAACTGGAACACGCTATTCCGAAGCGGGTAGCGCGAGGGTCGTGTTTCAGGAGAGAGTTGAATGGTGTACGAAGTACAGTCACTAGCCGGTTGTTAGAGAATCTACTTGTTGGAACACAGCTTGGCCTCCGCGAGTCACTTCCGCTAAGGCAAAAGCTCCATTGGTTCGAAGTGTATTGACAAGTTTTGTGGAAGAGGATTTATTCGCAGTCCATTTTTCAAAGCCTTGTTTGAACGCAAGCCGTAGGTACGTATCATAGACATCAGCGTAGGTTTTGAGCTTTCCAGCTATATGGCTGTCAAGTGTCGTACGACCCTTCCCTGTAGGCTCGAAGTCGTTGGGACCAGAGCCTGCTATCTTGGTTGTCGATTCTTGGTTCAACCGAAGTTGCTATGGGGTTTGAGATGTGTCAAAAATTAGAAAAGAGGGGTTCGTTGAAAGTGAGGGTTTTTAAAGAAAATCAGGGGTGATTTTGGCTCGTAGACAGGTATCTGATCTGCGGCCACTGATCAGTGTTGGCTCGTCTTTGTTACTACGCAAATAATAACGATAGACCAGCTACTCCAACAACTGCACGAGTCAATAATATTGATTCCTAATAATATGACTAATGACTAAAACTAAAGGTGATGGTGGTGGTTGAGGTGTAGATATCCTTTGTATGCCCTACCCTAACCCTGGATAATTATTATCCCGTGCCAGAAGCGAGGCAGTGCCTATTTAGGAAAGAATAGGATACAAACAAATACCCTGAGTGTGGCTGTTTGGCTGTTCAAGATCGAATAACTAGTCTCTCTGCCTCGTTAGATATCCAGATTATCTGACTATAAGAGCTCATCCTGCCCATCCAGTCCTTGCTAGAAATCAGCAGTCTCTGGTTTTCTTTCCTGTTTCTAACCTTACTTCTAGTTTTCTAGTTTCTTAGTCAGTTTCCTCAATTCAGTTTAGTTCTTAAGCCCGTTCCTTACAGTTGATCTTGCCACAGACGAATGTGGCAGGCTACCCTGATCTTGAACAAACATATACAATACAACGTTGGTCGATGTATATATATATAGACTATAGCTATTCAATTATATAGTAGCTATCGATAAGATATCAAGACTACGAACATTCTCAAGGTTTTGCCAGCTGTACATATGACTCACGATCTGATGTAGGTAGACTTGCTAAGTAAGTAATTATAACATCATATATCGCATAAGTGGCAATATTCAATTACTCCTCTTCGCCTCATCACCTGGGTTAGATAGTTTTGATCTTCCAGTATACAACCTAGTACGTATGTCGATCGAACACCGAAAGCTAGCCTTGCAAAGACACTTACAGGCATAGAAGTGACGAATGATCAATTGATTCGTATATAGATCGTATACCTGGATAACACATTTTAAGTTTTCTATACCTCGTACCCAAGCTTCCACAAAAATGCCTGATAGATCAAATATTCCTCTCCCCAGTAACCTCAATAGTCTCCCCATTAACATACTGAAATCACGGACTTGCCGCCCCCCACAATCGCCCTCGTCGCCTCCTCCGGAGCTCCCGGTCACCTAAGCGGAATGTCACTATAAGCTGTCAACTGTTGTCCTTTGGACAGATGATGATCGTTTCCGTACCGAAATCCCCAAAGCAACTTTTGTGCCGTTCGCGGCTACGAATGCTGCACCTTTTTTCTTTGCGGCTATGAGGTGATGTAGCCGCATGTGTTACGGGCTAGTCCCGTCTAGTGCTCACTATAAGGGCATATTCGAATAGAAAACGTAACATGAGGAAAGGAAAGAGAAAGAAAACAACAAGTTTTTCACGCGTATACAATCTTATATAGGCAAGGGGAATTGGGAGCTTCCGACGGGCTTCTCTCTAGGAATAGCCTTATGTCCGGGGTTGTTGAGATTGTCGGGGCTGCAGGGGATCGGCAGAGAGCGCTATTGTCAATATCCGGCCGGATATTGGGTGTCCGTTCGTAATCTGGGAATAGCTTCATGTTCGGGGTTGCCGAACAATAATCTAGAGAAACCCTATATGTCAATATCCGTGAGGGGCTTCGCCAGAACATGGTCATGAGGTCAGCTCATAACAGCATGCGACTGTGTTTGCGCCGATTTGGGGCCTCCATTCTTTGACGATTGTTTTTGTGAGGTGGTCTAGGCCTGTTTTGGCGAGGGCGTAGTTTTCTTGGCCTCTTTTGTGGGGTATTAATTATCGGTAAAATATGTGATGAGGTTGAAAGAGGAAAATGGGGACTTACGCGTTGCCGTGAGTTCCGCTGGTAGAACTAATGTTGATAATGACACGATGTTCCTTGTACTTTACACGGATTATAAGATGCAACAGATCGAATGAGTTTGAATGGTGCTGTGTTGTATACAGAGAGCATGGTATTCTAGTCTTTATCGTTGATCTGTCTCCCAACATCAGTATTCTTAAGCAACAGTTGCTTACTGTTCAAGGGTTGAACGTTGTGAATAACACCGTCCCATGTAAATCTGGCACTATTAACAATGACATAAATCTTCCCACCGTCGAATTCAGCAAAACTTTTCACCAATGTATCGATATAAGTCGCATCCATAGCATTGCCTAAAACGGCGATTGTGTGGTTAGGTGAGATGTTATTGATAGATTTGACAACTCTACTTTTACTGTTTCCTTTGTTATTCCTCTGTACAAAATTGTTATAAAATTAGGTGGAAGGTGGAGGACGACCCTGATCAATATCAGCAATGACTACCTTGGCAACTTCATTTGGCAAATAAGGATTCTGCTTCAGCGCCAATGTCTTGACCTGCACCTGTGAAAATGACTGTTTGGTTATGAAAGAGTCCCTGAAAAGGAAGGTGAGGTGGGAGGAGACTTGCTTTACGCGGTCTTGCGTTGCCATTTCGTCTTCTCAATAAGTATGTTCGTGTTCCATGTATCCAAGGATTTGACTAGAAGCAAATGGAACAATTTTATAATGCAGTAGATGATTTTGCGGGGAAGGACTACTTAACCACTCTGAAAGAACTTCGGAGAACTATCCGAGATGATACCGCTTGCCGGAGGCCCTAGGTAGTGTGCCTATGATTTACTAGATTTCAAATTTGGAAAGATGATTTGTTTTGATGATCTTTTATTATTTTTCAAGTTTTATAAATATAAATGTCTATATACACTGGGTATCACAAATATCACAAGTCATGACCATTCTGCCATGGGGGTATCAAATTATATCAAATTGTTTCGTATTTTGCTGGTTGATTTGATTGTTTACGCAGCAGGTCCAATGTTCAAAGTCATCTGAGTACGAGCAGGGCAGCCGTGAGTAGCATGGTCGTCGTTCCAGACAAGGTAAGCATCAGCACAGGCAGTGTCACCAGGGGCACAAGTAGCAGAAGGGCAGCCGGAATCGTTAGAAGTAACTGCGAAACCGACCTCGGTGAACTGAGAGCCGGTACCCATATCGATGAGAGAAAGATCCCAGAAGATAGTGTCTCCCTGCAAAGTGTATTCGTACTGAAGAACATCGACTTGCTCAGGCTTCATGGCCATCTTTATGGAGATGCCACCGCCGTCGGGGTTGGTGCGCCAGCTCTCAGTATAGCTGGCACCGGGTTCGAGGGTCTTCATAGAACCGGCATCTTGGCTGACGGACCAGTAGTAGATAGTATCTTTCATGTTGTTGTGGATGTTGACGCTACCACCATCATTGCCGCCGTTGGTGTTGACAGAGCCGTGGGTGGGAAGATTGCTGAGGTGAGTGACGTTCATGGAAGTGGGAGCTGCAGACGCAAGAGTGCCAATGGTAGCAAGAAGACCGATAGCTTTGGTGAAATACATGTTGACTAACTCGAAACTCGAAAAGAATGTAATGTTGGAAGATTTTTGAAGTCCGATTTCTTGATTGAGATGAATGTAGTAAAAGAGTGGTGTTGGTTGTTTATGTCTCTTTCTGTATTCAAAGGGAGACTCTTTGATCAAAAGAGCGTATGATATATTGATTGTTTGTCTGATTGACGAGAACGAGGATGGACTAAAGTCGTGAATTCCATCCATACTTATACCTTTGATGCTCGGCGTGTTCGCTCTGCATTTCCCTTAGAATACCCAGAATTCAACCGATATTTTCCCTTGAGATTGTAACTTCTGTACATGAACCCCCGACTCGGGTAGATAATGATTTAACCATGGTACTGGCAGTTCAACGGCCATTGACTTCATACCCAGGTCTTGGTTCTTGCACCGATTGGCTCATGACGGTGTTGATGGTGGGAATGTCCTTTCTATAACCTTATCCATAGGCTGAGGGTATACCCGAACTATGGTTTGGTCTTCGGCGACTACGGTTAACTCCATGGGTCGTCAGTGGCGAGCGTAAGTCCTAATAGCCGCCGGTATAAAGGGCTCTGTTACGGGCCAGTCCCGCCTTATGAATTACTATAGATTCATTCTCGAGTAGGTAACATACATGAGGAAAGGAAGGAAGGGAAGAGAACAAACAACTTCCGCTCAACGTACAAACTTATATGCAAAGGGTGAATGGGGCTGTTCCAACTCGCTTAGCTCAAGCACGGAAGTGTGGATAGCTTCATGTTCGGATAGGGTACGTTCGGATAGAGGTGGTTTCCTAATATAGAATAGCGTGTCCGGGTGCAGTATTTGTGAGGGCGTAGCCCTAACTATCGATATTGGGGTCAGCCCTTACCAGGCTCGTTTGCCTAGCGAGCATTTTGCAGCTCAACATAAGAGTCCCAGCACTGCTTGAAAGCGAAAATTTTGCATTTGTGGATAGATGGGACTCTGGTGAACATGATGGTAGTGTTTTATTAGTAGTTGTTAAGTTGATTTGGTGGAGATCTCGTTATTTGAAACGGGAAAATTCTCGTCAGGAAAAACTTGAACAGAGTTGCGGTTGACAGGCCCGAAATGTGTGTCGAACCGACAGGCCAATCAGTTGGCAGTGTCCGCCGACTATCCGACCACTCCGGACGAACCTATCATAGTACATAACTTAGGGTAAACTCGTCCGGGCGTAATAAACATATTCATTCATTCGGTACTAGCAATTTTCTCGAAAATAGGGTTAGGAAGTAATACTATCTAAGTAATCTTACGTCCTGTGTAGTAGCAAACCAAGAAATATCATACCTCTATACAGTACCTGAATTGAACGTCACAGCAGGTGCCGCCGTTCTTACCAATCTACCCAGTTCAGCACTTGCGACAACTGCCGCTCTTCATCACAAAGATTACGCCTTCGCCGCCGTGAACTGATGCAGGCTCATATCTGCACCGGTTGTCGTCGTCCTTGGCAATCTAGTCAATTCAGCACTTGCGACGACTGCCGTTCAGTTCAGCAAACTCTTCCGATCATTGACCTCGATGGCGGTAATGGTACTTCGGTTTTAAGATACCCCAGACCTCTAGTTGAGCAGTATAGGCACCGACGACTTCAGAGTGATCTGTTCCCAATCCCGATTCCTGAATCATGTATCCGGAATTGCGTGGCTAAATATGACGATCTTCTGGAAAACGTCATGCATAGCACACAGCAGGTATTGGGAGCTGTAGCAGGTTCATCATAAAGACGGCGTATCAGATGACGGACGATGATGCACGTCTGTCTGTCTTTTCAGTAGATGACTCCGAGACATATTGTCTTGACTTATGTGCTTTACGGGATCATCGTTACTGGTTCTGTACGTCCTGCTACAATGCGATTCAACGAGACGTTCCACCGAAGTATTCGGCATTGAACGATGTGGATGTCACCTTTTGCCAGCAGTATCCAGAAGCACTGGAAGGTTTAACATTGACCGAGGAACTGTTGATCAGTCGATGCCGTCCGATAGCATCGATCGTGAAGTTGCGTCCCAACGCTGTGCGCTCACCGGTGGCATACAACCGACTACGTGGCCATGTCGTCGTTCTCCCTCAGGACCCAGGACCGCTTCTAGACATCCTACCAAGTGACAGTCTCCGCTTGCATGATAGAATCAAGGTGGTTTGGTTCGGAAAGAATGCTCCAGCGGTGGACGACCTGAAGCCATACCTAGAGGTTCGCAAACACGTGGTCTATACAGCACTCTTATGGCTTTGCAACCACAATAAGCTCTACAGCAGCATTGTTATCAACAGTGACGCTCAGGATTCTTGGCCTGACAGCTTTATTCCTCAAACCCTATTAGACGCCATGGTTCACACTGATGACGACTCACATGAACGGGAAGGGTATGCGTTTGGCTCAGCGGCGGAAGGTCTTGAAAATGATTTTCATCAAGCCCTTCCTGATGAGATACCGGATCACATCGGCAGTGGGTGTGTTTATACCGACTTGGAATCCGAACGTCAGCGTCCGACTCTGCACCTGATTTCAACGGTGATGGACCTTGAGAGGGAACGGCTACAGTCAGCTGCCACAGTGACCGAAGCGAGTATTGGGGGACTGCCTCGATATATTGACGATGTGCCGGTGATTCGCTATTCATCCAACGGCAGATTAGTGCTGATGAATGACTGGCAAGATGCTGACTATTTCACTGGAGCTTTCCCTACCTTATTCCCTTACGGGGTTGGTGGCCATATTTCCAATTCGGAACTTCGGCCGGTTTCGGTCTCGCTGAAAGCGTGGGCGAAATGGGCACTGAGTCACCACAGTCGAAGGTTTACCTGATATCCTACGTTCCTCTACTTGGCTTACGATGTCTTGCGGCGCCGCCATGCTGCTTTGGGGAATTCTATCGTGGTGAAAAGGAAGGATTGGGAGAAAGCTCAAGCTGTGATCTCTCGGCTTACGCTGGAGCGCCTGTCTGCAGCTGCCAGGTCCGTCCTCGAAACCGGCACTCACAACGGCCGTGACGTTCGATTACTCGAATCCATAGTGCAATCAATAGCAGCACATGTTCCCCAGTCCTTCTGACGGCTGCGGGTGATGAGGGTTCATTTGAGAGCTTTGTTTATTGCGTTTGGGATGCCAGCTTTCTGGTTGACCATCAATCCGGCTGATCGTTGGTCTCCGTTGGTCTCCGTTGGTGAAGTTTCCAGTCAGGATTGGCGACCTGGTTTACCAGATGCACCCGGAGCTAGCAGAGTAGGATAATCGATTAGTGAAATTGGGCAGCGAGACGATGAAGAGGTTAGCTGTCAATGCACCTGTATACATAGGATGTTCAAGATATCGTCACGCTCTTGTTCGTTTTCATTTCCAATTATTTCCTGCCGCAGCAGGAACCGAAACAGCCGAAGTACGACGTAGATACAAGATAGACGAACCCAACACTGCCTCCCACCATGTAAGACCATCAAACAAAATCAGTAACCGGCTTTATTCTTCGATTCTTTCGTCGACGACTAGTCATAGAGCTTGCACTGCACATCTCATCTCATGCGCACTCCTTTCATTTTCATTTTCATTTTCATTCAGGCCTCGCGTGCTAGCCGGGGCGCGCCTCCAGTGCCTGAATGCCTGAATGAAATGAAGGGTAAAAATATCTGCCAGGCGCGTCCGCGACACCCCAACGCTGGGTCACGTGCTGCCGCCGCCGCCGATTCTGGGCGACCCGGTTGCACACATTCAGGCCTCGCGCGCTAGCCGGGGCGCTGCCCAGGCGCGCGCCTCCAGTACAAGAGGATGAAGAAGGATGGAGGAGGATGGAGAAGGAAGGAACGACAGCTGGGGTTGATCCTTGTATAAATATTCGCTCACTCGTGACTCCATGGTCATTAAGAAAATGCCCGGGCAATAGCAAACAACCACAAACAAAGATTTTTTGTCGTACAGAGAGAGGGACTCCGTTGCGGTCTCCCAATGCGGTAGTCTCCCCGTTACAAAGCCGTTGCCCGGGGCTTACCCAGTAGAAGCCTGAGCAGGCGTTAGAGCTTCATTTGACATGATACAGTCTTTGCATTCCATTTTCAGCTAGTCTCATGATACCTAGTGAGAATATTTGTCGTAAGGAGGGCGAGCTATCTTTTTTTGAAAACAACAGAACCTGGCTATAATCAACAGAAGTCCTTTTGATTTCTGAATCTGCCATCTAGAAATCCCTCTCGATATTGGATTGGAGGGCCATTATACCCACTTGTTTGATTGACTTATTTACGATTGGGGCAACCCCTCATATTGACGCTACGTCAGATGTTTTTCATGGAGCTCTGGAGAAGCCTTCTGTTCGTCAAGACGAGTGCTTCGTTGCCAGGAAAACCCAGTCGCCTAGCTGGACTGCGGAGCTTTATTTCAAGAAACTCCATCACTGGTGGCAACTCTCAGAGAATTGACATAAAAGATGTCCAGTTGTACTAGAAGGAACTGGGTTTGAAGGGTTATGATGATGATGACAACCTCCTTATAGATGAAGAGGTGGCTTTCGAGTGGAAGTTGCTTACGCCCTCCCTCATTCATTATTGAAAATGGAATACCTAATCATGTGGCATGTAAGATCTCGATCTTGTTATATCATCTACTAATATAATTACTAGAGACCTACTTAGCAGATTGCTCTTGCCCTACTAAACCTCTTTGAACCAAATATCGTCAATACTATTTAGAGATCCGACGTTTGTAATCTGGATAGACGACTGATCCATCTTTATTGTGCCATTGCGATATTCTGCAATTAAGTGCTGCTGGGAAGCGTTGGATAAGCCAGGATCTTCTGTGCCTAGGTAACTTGATCCTGATTGGGAACTTTATGACAGTTGCTGAGTGTCAAGGCTGGAGACAAACTCACGCCAGAACATCGTCGATTGTATTAGCTGCATGGCATATCCTGGCTTGGCCTCATTATGAAGATCATATCAGGACCTCCCAGCGCATGGGGGCGAGCGACTTGCGCTGAATGATCGACCCGAAAAGTTCTAATTAGGGCTTGACATCAGATGGAGATGACAGACCAACGTATGACGAAGCAAAAAGCAAAGTGTTCAATAGATGCAGACTTTCTGTCTGCAGTTCAGGGCAAGCAAGTACTGCATTATCTTCGTACTAGTTTGTCGATCGTTGGGTTGAGTTGAGCTGAATGCAGGTGCGTACGAAAAAAGAAAAGAAATCAGATATACATCCTCGTAAGCCACTTTGTATTCACTGAAATGCATTTTTGTCCTACACCATCAATTTTTCTTTCCATGGCTTGAACACATATTTACTCAACAGCGTGGTAATTTTCAACTCCACGAGCAACATTTCGATATATGTCTAGTTGCAAAATGTTTTCGTCCATTGCGTACAAGCGACTGCCCAAAGATGAGCAGCAGGGACTGGCGGAGGAGCAAGATGTGACAGATACTAGATCTACTGTCGGAGTAAGACAGATGTCCCTAAATGCCTCGTTTTTCGTTGTCATCTTGCTAGCCTCAAACTTGACTACTTGGTCCGTATCTAAGAGACTATCAACAACAAGTAATGGTTCTGGCAAATCGTCTCTTGATATTCCAACTGTATTTGGTATGAGAAAAAAACGAGAGACGCAACAACTTGCTCTTTGACTAATGCCTTACATTTTTAATAGCCGGCTTGCAGCAAACAGTGACAGTAGCGCTTCATGGACATGATCCGTACACTGATCGCAATGATACATTTCGTGACGAGCTGTGGCAGTCCATCAACATCGATGAGGGCATGATCGCACTCCCGGACGAAATCGCTGTTGAGAAGGGCCTGCCTTTGGCGCAAAGATTTCCGTGGGATCACGGCAAAGGCGTCTATCTTCTTCATGGCTATCATAATCTACACTGTGTGGTATGTTACCTCTCCAAGTAGACGACCTTCGTTTTGAAATTTGGGGGAGCTGATCATAAATCTATATCAAGCGAGCTATATACATCGCCCTGATGGAGTACAAAAATAACTTACCCCAAACCCGCAATTTTCGGCACATAATCCACTGCCTGGACTCACTCCGTCAAGATGTTATCTGCAACGCAAATGATACTCCGCGAGTCACCACTAACGACTCTATTCCGGAGACAGGTCAGGGCCAATACCGCCAGTGTCGTAGTTGGGATGAATTGTCTGCTTGGGCAAGGCAGTATCCAGCTTGCTATCGATACATTAATGAAACACAGACTCCGCAGGAGTTTCCTCAAATACAGCGCTTTGTCTGGTGTCCGGAAGGATCACCGTATCGGGCAGAAGTTGAGAAGGTGTTTGAGGTAGATTATGATGTATGATTTCTCCGTTGTTCTCTACTATGGTGACTCCTGTTATAGATATATATACTTCTGAGCCTCTTGGTTCTTAACTAAGGATAATTACTGCAATGTTTCGTTTATTTCAGTTATATCAATATCACAATCTCTCATTCTTGCTTATAAGTTGTACCATATCCTGAGCTGTCTAGCCTAAAAACATGCAGTTCTAAACTCTTCGCACCATCCATAGTCAATCATATCAAGAACGTAAACAAACCATCAACTGTCTTTAATAGTATGCACCCGATCCATTCTCGGTGTCCTCTTCCGGATAACCATTCTCGAACGCCTCCCCTATATAAGGAACAGTCGCTCCAGGTTTTGCCGTCACTGAATCTACACCACCCATTTATATTAGTTCATTAACTCGCATTTTCAGAGATCTATCTATATTCATGAAAAGTTTGGGGTTTCTACCACGAGGAATTGCGAAAGCGCTGGTCACGGCAATAACCGCGAGAAAAGCATGTAGGAAGCGCATGGTTGCTTGGGCTGGATGATATTATATCAGAAGAAGACTTGTGTAATGTGCTGAATTCTGAAGTGCTTGAGAAATTGTATCGTTTGAGCTCTTTTGAGGGGTTGAGCTGTTTAGGAGGGACAATATGTGAAATGGATTGTCGTAGGACTCTTGACTTTGCTATCAGGGAAGTCGTGGAATAATCAAACCCTATATAATATCGGCGATAGGTAAATTACAAGACATGAGAGACCAGTGAGTGTCCTAAATAGTCAATAGATTAGGTGTGATTAGATTCATGTTCGGCTTGAATTGGCATGGTACACTGCTCAGGGGTACACCGCACTGTACCTGTATAATCACGTACTGTATCACTTTGTATGGATTAGTTTGGTTTGGTTCTTAGGCGTAGTAAGAATAAATTATCAATTATGGCCGAATTTGCAAGCTGAGATCTACGAAAACATTGCATGTACCAGTATTGCCGTTCGTAGAACCAGCTGTATCTAACTTTGGACGCCTAATCAATTGATGGTGATTGTGCTGGAATGCCAGGCGATTTTTTATTTTTTATGCATACGGGGCGGAAAATGCCAGAGAGAATGCGGATTGATCGACAATGTTGCGCGCGTGGTGCCTATATGCGAAGTCACCGAAGTGACTGTATTGCATTGGACATTTATTTACCGAATTCAGGCATTTGACACAACATATAAACCTGGCTGATCTAGAAATAGATCTAAATACTTTTACAGGCTATGAAGATCCTGATTCTAGAAGGTACCGCTGTACAGTAGCCCAATAAGGTGAGTCCTCCTGGCAGTGCTGCCACTCTTCAATCGTCTGGTAACCTGGTTCGTCCGGCTCATGGCCTTGGAAACACGCGGAGTTCATAGTAACAAACTCTTCTAGATGGCCCCAATCTCTACATTTTCGTGTTTGTACTTGCAGGTGTGGACCATCATTGGGCTGATTTCCAACCGCAATAGGCGTATCATCAGCAGCACACAAAACATCGGCGCGTAAAGAGTCCAGACAGTGGAGGACATGGTTGAAATCATATCGTAGATCTTCTTGATTTTGAAGTTGGCGTAGGTAAATGTAAATCACTCGCTGGAAGAATAAGTCCTGTTAACCTAAGGCGTTGTCTGAGAAGGTGCCACTTAACGTACCAGGCAATGCAGACCATGGAAGGCGTTAACAAGATAGACAGACCTGGATTCGTCCCATGGAAAAGCCTCTGATGTCTTGAGATTGGGCTGGTTCTTGTCCAAAGCCACAAAGCCTCGGCTGGTATCGAGGCTCCACCATAATGCATCTCTTTGAGTCTGGTTTGAAGACGAGCCGAATCCACTCGGGGGCGCAACAGGGACGTCAATCACCGGATATAATTGTTCTAGAAAACTCTTTAGTGCTCACCGGGAGGAATCTTTAGCAAGTCAAAAATGCGTTGCATGCACTCACCACAAGTGGACCAATCAAGCATGGATGACTTATGCCACGCAATGATGTATGCACTTTGAATAATATTCACAGCACAAGACATTACAAGCAGTGCCAGTAGTATGGACTTCACTTTTGAAGATGTCCATTCTCTTAGGCTGAAATGGCGACGAGCCTCGTGCAAGGTAGGTTGATGTTCCGGTTCGTCCTCCCCTCCAGACTGTAGTAGCTTATCTCTTTCCATAGTTGCACAGCAAGAATATTAATTGAAAGTAACCGGTTTTGTACTGAAGCAAGTCGGTCATCTTTGCACTCATGGGAAGCAGAGACAACGAGGCCATTTTGAATGATCTCAGTCTTTGGTGCCTTCGTACGAGGTAGTAGATAAGTTGCCCTAAAGTTAGTTGCATTGAGAAAGCTGAACCCTCGGCTACATATCAATTCAAGCTGAATATGGACTGCATGGCCATGAATGTACATATTGAAGATTATGCAGCTGGAAATGATGCGGTGATATTTTGTCGCAACTAATGCAGTGTGACGGGTAGATCGCTTCTTGAAAAGGGCTATTATTGCGGACATTGTTCCACAAACAACGAGCGGACAGCGCATTTCGATGATTTCGATTCGCCCTTGTAGTCATTTATTGCGAAGGTGGGTAGCTCGAAGCTGGTGGCCTGAAAGACGACAGGCGGCCTGTACGTGGTCTAGTGACCGTTTGTGCAACCTAGGGAGTCGAATCCTCTATTCAAGAACAAAGACCTCTGCAGGATCCTCATCCCTTGCATGCGAGCATTGTAGACCAAGATCATGCCAATGTTTTGGCAATAAGAACAAAGAAGATCAATTTGCCCAGTGTATATATGAATCCACTTGGATATAGGTTGAGGAACATTTTTGCAAGACTGTCTATTAGGCCCTGAAACAGATGAGAAAATGCCGACTTCTTCTCCGGATCAGGCTGGTTGTTATGCTGTCGCTGCCATCTTGCTGATATTCTCGACGGTAGCTGTTGGCGGTCGATTATTCGTTCGTCGCATGAAGAGGGCGCCTATTGGAGTTGATGATATCTCTATTTCCCTGTCCTTGGTAAGTGTCGGACACTATTTTGTGTTGTCGCGGATTACTCGCAAGGCCGCCAACTGATCATTCGGCTATATAGTTGCTCGTTTGGGCACTTGCCATTATTATCATCTATGGTAAAAGAAGGCTCATCAACAATGTATAAAAAACTTTCCTGACACCTTCTATAGGCACCTCTCAAGGCACCATTGGAACACACACAATGCAAAACCCCGTAACAGGGGCCATCATAGTGACGCCGCATGAGAACCAGATTGCAGAGGTCATCAATCATAATCCTAATCGATGTGCTAGGATTCGAGGGTCTCCGTGCTGACACTTACTGCGTAGCTTGCGTATATCTCTCAGATGATATCAATCGTGGCGTACGGCGCTCTAAAACTGAGTGTTCTGTTCCTCTTCAGACGGATCTTCATCGGGCCCCTTTTCTCAAAAGTATCACTTTTGGCGTTGGCCATCGTGTCGGCCTGGACTGTTGCATTCTTCTTTGCTACTCTGTTTCAATGTGGTACCATACCAAGTCGATTGTGGAGCAGTCCCCGTGATGTAGCTACTTACTGCTCCTCTTATAAGTACATTCAGCTTGGTCATGCTACATCCGATGTGGCTACGGATTTGGTTGTGCTGACGATTCCGATGCCGATTATCTGGCGTCTTCATATGACGATACGGCAAAAACTGGGTCTTCTTATTGTTTTCATGCTGGGATACATGTACGAATGTGAAATCGTACTCCTTGGAAATAAAGTTATTCTAACTAGTGTGGTTTTAGGTCTACGGCTGCAGCTACTGCTCGAATAGTATTTATCGCCCAAGATCTCTATGGTGAGGACAGATTTCTACAATGGTATATACCAGCCCTAGCTAATATGTCTTTGACTCTTTAGAAACCACCACAGGGGCCCGTGATTTAAGAGGTAGCCCTCGATTCCTCCTCTTGATACGTATTTGTAAAGTACCTGTGAGCTGATAACGTAACGAATTCATTAGGCGAAGAAAGCAATGTCATGGTTTGGGGGTATATTGAGGCTAGCGTTGGGGTTATTGCAGCGTGCTTGCCAACTCTACGACCTTTAATGAAGGCACGGATGCCAGAGAGTATCGTCAATAGCGCACGCTCAAAATTGTCGTTGAACTCATTGCGATCGTCACCTCCATCGCGGATGCGCCGCGTCTCAGATGAGGAATTAGTGCCAGAGTCCCAGGAGAGCTATCAGTTGTCCAAAAACGGGGGAGGGAGTGGAAATTTCATTACACCCAAGAGCTACCATACTATGGCTCATGCAGAGGGTTTGGCTCATTTCGATAATCAAGTTGAAGACAATCTGATACGCATAGGGCGGGACTTTGAGATTAGTCAAGAGTCTCAAGACCAAATTGGGGCTGTAGGCCGGTAATGAAGGTAGTGCGGTGTGGTAGTGTTATTACTGGAGTAAAATAAGAAAAATGAGCTCAACGTATATCGTATCGCTATAATCTCAATATGGAGCGAATAGATAACCTTGTCATACCCAAGTAGATCGCCTCCAGCCCTAGCCCTATTGACTGGCTAGCTAGCACAACATTCGGCATGCAATTACTCTATTTAAAAAGCAATAAAGTTCAACTGATCCTGCATAACTTTCTTGTCCGTTTGCTCGGCTTGTTTTTACTACGTAGTTCCAAAGCCAATTAGAAAGCTCGCCAGGCCCGCATATCTGGGCCCTTTGTTTATAAACTGCGTCCTTCCGCGTTCTAAAGTTCTTCCTCTTTCTCAACTCACTATTCCTCAGCCTCCATTTTCATTTTCATTTTCATTTTCATCTCTTACTATCCGTTGACTCATCTTTCACGCAAAGCTTCACACACAAGGTCAGACACACAGAGTCATTACGAAATGTCGTCTGAGAAAACATCCACCTTCTCAGAGCCCAGCTACGCCAAGTCTGACAAGGCAAAAACCGATTATCCATGGTATTCTCCTAACATTGACAAATATCTGGTCCCAGAGGTAAGTGGAAATAAAGTTCATGCCACGATTATTACATGGCTAACGCTGGTAACTTTCGTGTATAGACGCAAAAGCTGCTAGAGGAGTATAGTAATATACCCCGGGACAAGCAGTCGGAACATGTGCATGAGGTGGTAAGAGAAATCCTGCTGTCAATGACGCAGTTATGTATAATTGTTTCTGACTTGGCCTTTTCCCCTTTCATAGCGTGACCAAGCGTGGGCTATTCGCTCCTATCCTTGCACTGGACTAGGGGTCTGGCTTGTGCCATTCATTTCAACCCTTCCAGCCTATCCCACAATTCTCGAACGTCTGAAAGGCACCTCCAACGGCGGTAGTGGTGCAAGACTGATTGATATTGGCTGTTTTCTTGGCAGCGATCTACGCCGTCTCGCATTTGACGGTGCGCCCACGGAGAATCTGTACGGAATCGACATTGTCAGTCACTGGGACGTGGGTTTCGCTCTCTATCGTGACCAGGATAAGTTCAAAGCGCATTTTATTGAAGGCGACATGCTCTCGATCAACGAAGATCCTGATGCTGGTAGTGGTGAAACCACACCCTTGCAAGCCCTTTGCGGCACAGCAGACATTGTCTCAATTTCAGCAGTGCTTCACCAATGGGACTGGGAGGATCAAATAAAAGCTGCGAAAAAAGTGGCTGCTTTAACGAAAGGACCAGATGATTTGGTAGTTGGTTATCAGATTGGAAATGTTGAAGCCAAGCAGATATGGAATAAAGCGCTGCAATTGCATCATTGGAGACACACGCCAGAGTCGTTTGCAAAATTCTGGGACCAGGTTGGGGCTGAGACAGGCACGGCGTGGAAGACGGAGGGCAAATTGTTGTCCTTTGAGGAGATGGGTTGGGATCCTGAGGATAATAGGTGGATGGAGCTTGGGGATAAGGCGCTCAATTTTGTCGTTACGAGGTTGAAGTAGATGTATCAGTTAATCTTAGGCATCGGCATCTGTTAGACTCAATGATCAATAATCTCGATATGTGACTATTTGAAACCAAAGTGTTTCGACATTTGTGGATTCTTTAGATTTTCTCCCCAAACATATTTATTATGACTCCAGGTATTGCGCTGAGGAAACTTCGTGAAAATCACGACATTGTCTGGCCGTTGGTTGGTTTCCTAAAGCGGAAGTTAGGGCACGTCCTTCTTCGGCTTTGCAGTTGACTCCACTGCAGAAGTCTTACGACCACCTACTTCCGTTCTATACTGGAGATCCCGACGGGCCGTTTGACGTGGCGAGGGTGGGCGTCATTCTCGTACAGGTCAAGAAGAGAAAGGACTCAGTACTGTGACGGTTGAATGTACGGTTGGACTTGGCGAGGCCCAACTAGGAGCCACAACGGCAAATCCCGCCACATCTCATGATAGAGCTTGGAGCCCTAAGCGGTACTGGTTCTGAGAATAGCTTCAGGCAGTGCCTAGTTGGGGAAGGGGCCTCCCACAGAGCCATACAAATATCCAGCGTACGGGGGAAAGCGCGTTTTTCCTTCTCTCCTTCTTTTCCTCGTGTTCAATATTGTCTTCAGATACGCATCCTAGTGAGCAATATCAAGGATTGGCGATTGCCACAGTACAATCTTCAATGAGGATTTATTCGCCGCCGAGGAACAGCCCCTTGAGGGGTGGCCCTCCCACATCTCATCATCAACGACTTGAAGGCCAAGTTGCTCTATCTACTACTCGATTTATGGACGGGGGGCGATCTCGCCCCCGTAGAAGTATCCTTCAGCAAAAGCCGCCAACTGCCATTCACTCAAAGAGTAACGACGAAAATCATTTCGGTTGTATCGGCGCAATGAGAGCGACTACGCATGTCCGCGCCTTCTTCAAGGGCGCGGTAGATTTCTCAGACCGACCAATCGAAGTCAAGCATCATTGCGATCAATTACACAACGTCCGCTACTACGAAAATCACAGCGTCTGAGTAGCCCGAAGCGGAAGTGGAGGAAATGGACGTCGACCTGCCCCATAACGCTCGATGATTGAAGTCCCCATTGTGTACCAAAGACAAGCTTGTAACGGGACCTCGGTTTATGGTGCAGTAGTCTATTTCGTAGTCTTCGATACTTCGTTAAATACCAATACATAAACAAGGATATCTTCTAATATCTTCTGACATAGATAGTTCTTTTGTAAAGTAGAATTGACCTTCGAAGGCCTCCGCGTAAAACATTGAACGTCTTCAAAAAAGTCTTAATTGTGAATGCTGATATCTTGTGCTGAATTACTTTGTGAGGCAACAGAGACTTTAGAACGAAAGAAGAAAAGATGATACATTCAGTCTCAATACAACATATGGTGATATTTGGAAGCCCTAAGTCCCGCGTGGCCCATAGACTTCTTGACGGAACGCCTTGCAAAAGTTTCGAGCGAAATGAATTCTAAGTGTCTTCGCAATAGCTCGCATTAATTTAATTAGATTCACGACTAAAAAAATGGGGATTTCGTAAGAACAAAACAACAAAGGAAAAGGGATCTGTTTCGGAAGACTCTTCCACAGCAGCTTCCTGAAGACGGTATAGAGTGAACTGTGATGGGAGGATATTTTACGCCTGTTTTGATCGTAACCTTCCTCTGAACACGGCTTCACTTCGCAACCCAGATGAATATAGGCTTCAGGAAGCGGTGTTGTGCTCAGTATATGACTACATTCTTGAAGCATTCAATAGAGGTGGCTGGACGACTGATCAGTTTCAATTCTCCCATAGTTCTGCAGAAGATCAGAACAGCATTTGGCAAGAACTCAGTGATAGATCTTATGGCGCTTCTGTTCTTGTCAACAGATCATCCATGGAAGAGGCCGCTGAAAGTTTGAATTCGGTTTTTCGGAAGGTGAAGGTAGTTATAAAATCCACTAGTCCGTCAATGATGGTGAAATTCTGGCGAGTTGCTACTACCTGAACCAAATCGGGGAGATGATCAATGATTATAGTCATCTATATGACTTTCTTCGATGGTTATATAAGCTCGCGTGGGAGGAATTACGTTCAAGTACCGCGTCTATTGTTCGTCTCCTGCATGCGCTGTGTCAAATGAGTCATGATACTTTGATGTACACACTACGCATCGGCTATCTAAGATCGATTCACTGCCTGCAGATGGTTGTTAGATCAACTCATCATCTCACAATTTTGTCCATGTGGGTGAATTACGTTAAGCATTGGAACAAGCATGAAACGCATCATGATGTGTTAGCTGCGAAGTACGATCAACTTCTTCGGGAAACCAGGAATCGAGACCCTCCAGACCTGAAACAGGAAATAGCAGTCCTGCATGGGTTTTCCTACTTCTCATACTATTCTCTTAAGAATGATACACTCAGCATGAGGCTATTGGTAGAAATGTTGGACAAGTGCGGACAGTTTTTGGAAGACAAGAATGAATATGAATGGAGTTTCGAGACACAAGCTTTCGCCTTTGCTTCTAAAGCAACAGCAATGCTCTTCGAGAAAAAAGCGAGTCACTTGGCTGGTTCATACCTAGAAAAGGCAATTTTGATTCTGGAGCGTGGTGATAGAGAATGCCGAACACGTGCAGTTGCACTGATCGAGGAACTTATCCTATGGTGTGAAAGAACGGAGAGACATAACCAGGTGGAGTCTTTGCGAGAAAAGCAAAATTTCCTATTATGTTCTTTACTGTGATGTTTAACCAAATGATTTGGATCGAGCCTTACTATAAATCCATCAAGATCTCCAGCAGCAAGAGACGGAATAGGTTTGCATGAGTGATTGTTGACTTAATGCCTATAGAGATCCATTCAATCCACTTCTATGATAATATAGACGAAGATGGGCTGAATATTGAGACAATGGCAGTGTCTTTGAATCTGTTAGATTGATATATTTCTAACCCTGAGCGAATAGTTCAATTGCAAACGCACGCTTTGGATTTTCCTTCAACCCATTTGCAAAGCATTTCGCGCTGCGAGACTTATCACTTCACCGAAATGTGTGTCCGCAAGACTGAAGAAGTCTACTGAATATCGTCATATGCTGAAATGAGACAGAATACGTCGTCGTTTCCTGATTCGGTTTTTTCTTTTCACCCAGTCCAAATGGATCAGATTTAACCCGCGAAATGGTTCTTTAAGTATGCATTACTCGAAGTGTGCGGAATCTGATGGCAGAGGTCACTGTGCTATCTTTGTGTCAGTAGATAAAAACAAGAACTAAATTTAATCTCCGTGTTCCAGCTTATAAAATGATTAAGAGCAACTCATCCTTCGGTCTTTGACCCCTAAAGTCTTCATCAAACATAAATGTCGCAGTATCCTCGGGTCGTTTTTCTTCGGATGTCATAAAGAGCTTGTGCCAATTTCTATATTGTCGACATCCTCGCTTCTGAGATGGGGAGGTCTGTTTAGAGCATACGCTAAAGTTGAAGTGACGGTGACGGTCTAGAGCTCCGAAATGAATAAATGAATATGATTTTTGATCTTATTCATATTCACGAGTTATGAATATCAGAATATGATTAAAATGAATATTATTCATATGAATATGGGCCATATTCATATTCATATTCATATTCATATTCATGAATATTTCCGGGTGGACTATTTTTCCGCGCCGGCAAACACCCGTGCCCTACATGGAGACATATCAACTGGATTCGAACGAATTAGGAGCTCGGAGGCCACTGTGACAAGATAATCAACGGGAATTTGACAGTCATTTCTTCAAGCCATTTCGACAGTCGTTCCGACGACCAGCTGAGATGGCGGACGCGATGGTGGAGGAGCCGGCGACAACAACGCGTGCGGGACGCGTGATAACACCCTCAACGGCCTCGGGCAGCGACAACATCAGCGCTGTTAGAACGTCCAAGAAATCAATGACCCAAGTGGAATTAACAGCGGTAAAGAAAGCCGCTGGCCTTATTGAGGAGAAACAGAGCGGCAAAGACGGAAACAGGGACATGCTTAAAAAGATAGGCCAGTACCTAGAAAGCACCTATCAAGAGGTCAAAGGGCTGAAAGAAGTCCTTATTAAACAAGAGAAAATGATCAAGGAACAGTCTGAAATGATCCGGGAACAGAGCAGCACAAGTCAAGCGCTGCAGACCCAAGTGGAAGCAATCCAAAGCCAATCTATGGAAGAATGCAAGCAACTCTGGGAGCGGCTGAACACTATCGCGAGTACTCCAGCCAAGGCAAACTACGCGGCTGTAGTTGATAGACAATCCGGTCATCAACAAGATACGCCATTAGTCCCTCTAGCCCCTCCTACATTGGCTAATACGTTATTCTGCACAATCGACACGTCTCGTGTCGAAGAAGGAGACGAAGCGAAAGCCCAGATAGCTAGTATCAGGCAACAGATTGAGAAAAAGATGCAAGGAAGCGAGGAAACGAAAAATTGGCGCTGTGCAGCAATGATCAAGGACCCCAAAAATGCAGACCGAGTCAAAGTGGTTTGCAGACATGAAGATGAGATCCAGCGGGTCAAAGAAGCTGCCCAAAAGATTGATATACCAGGAATGAGAGTCCTACGAGACCAGCTATACCCAGTTAAAATCGACAATACCAACCGGACAGCAGTCATAGACGCGGACGGGAACATCCTATCAGGAGCAGCTGAAGCCCTAGGGAAAGAGAATAATGTCAGCATTGCTAAGATCTCCTGGCTCAGTAAGAAGGACTCAAACAAGGCATATGGATCAATGGTGGTTTACACCACCAAAGGAAGCGATGCCACACGGCTGCTGAGAGACCAATATTTTGACATAGCCGGAGAATCAGCATACACTCGACCTTTTGAACCGCGGATAGGGCCGACCCAATGTTATAACTGTCAAAAGATGGGCCACAAAGCATTCTCCTGCAAGAAGAAACAGACATGTGCTAAATGTGCTGCAGAGGGACACTATTACAGTACCTGCCAGGCTGTAGTCCTGAAATGCGTTCTTTGTGGAGGACCTCATGAGTCATTCAGCGGAAACTGCCATGTACGCCTCTTGCAATCTAATGCATAAATCATTCCGCGTTCTACAACTTAACGTGGGCAAAAGAGATGTGATACAGCAGAGCTTAATGAATGATGACAAAATTAGAGAATATGGAGTGGTGGCGGTATCCGAGCCATATGCGCGGATAATTGAAAATACGGTTGTGACAAGCCCAATGGGTCACAGTTATTGGTCGAAGATGATACCCACAGAGAGACATGAGGGCAGATGGCCAATCAGGAGTATGTTATGGGTTCGGAGTGACATCGAGGCAGAACAGATCCCGGTGGCGTCACCAGATCTGACGGCCGCGATACTACATCCCCTTAGGGCTCTTTGTTCCTCTTAGGGCTTGAAGCCCTATCCCGTGATCCGCCGCTCTGGTGCCGCCTTGCTGCGTCCAACCGTCACATTAAGAGTTAGAGCTGCGTTTTGCTATATAATGCCAGATTTAATCTATAAATAATGAAGTCCTTACATGGACCACTATACAAACTAGCTGTGCTGTTTGCACTACTGTAGGAGATGAATGAAGCTGGGGTACTGCAGTGTTCAGATCTATCAAAGAATGTATTCCGTGCTGATAATTTCAAAGAAGACATCAAAGCATCAGGAAATAATGAACCATAGAAAAGAGAGATCCAGCTGTGTTAGAGATGACAATGAATAATAACTACCCTTGTGTGTATATATATCTGTGTCGTCAATCAGGAGATTTCGAGAGGACGATTAGAATAGCACATCGACTAGGCGGTACGACATGTTGACGGTCACGATGCTCTCGATCTCGAGGGCTCTGCATACCCCGAAGTGTGACCGGCGCAAGAGACGGGATATGGATATGGAACCCCGCTTCCTAAATCTCTACTCGTTGGGTGTGCACGACCACATTGATTGTCTTCTGAGTTATGCTTCTGAATAATGAGTTTTGCGAGCCTGAGACAGGTGCGTAATCAGTCACTAGTGCATACGCATATCAAGGATTCTTTCAGGAAATATATCTTAGCCAAACTTTGATACATGTAATTTACAGGCGTATTAATTCTGTGAATGTAGAATACCAACGGAGAAAAATGCCCTGAAACGAACGTAGTGAGAGGAAGGGAAAAGTAAACGAGGGCGCGCGAGGGGCGTGGCGCGAAAAGCAGAGGACTTAACAGGTGGAAGGCTATTGCCACTCCCAGATATCATTCGCTCAGATTTTTACTATATTTGACTCTAGTCGACCCTTGGCACTTTTCATCTGCATCTGATATGCACGATTCTCATTCTTTACTGGATGCTAAGCCGTGAGGGTCCCCGCAGCCTTATTGCGACGCCCCTATGCTTCTAAACCCGTATTTGCTCGTGATTTTAGCCACACTCTTTCTGCAATTGCATTCTTGAGTATCTAGTATTCACTCGTCACTATCCTCTTTACCTCCTTCGTTTCAAGGCATCAGCGTGCGAAGTGCGCGTCTTCCAGTCGGAAATGGGAATTTGTTTTGGTCAGGCGGGTGCTAACAACCGACATGGTATAGCGTAGGCTTGGCATAACTGAGTACGAAGTGAGGAGACAACGGACGAATAGGGATGATTGAGGACGACCAAGGCCGATTCAAATGAATTAGACCAAGTTGTCGTAACCAGGCGAAAAAAATTTAATTACCCATGTATCTAAAGGAGAAAGTCTACTCATTTATTATCAGAAGTTGGGTGCAAGTTATGGCGCAATAATGGTCTTTGTGCGACTCTAGTACAGTACTCCGTATTAGCGGCAGAACAAACAACGGTTCTCCACTTCCCCGAGACCCATATTTCATATATATATACAGCCCGTCTCGAAACTGGCTTCCGCATCAGAACTTTCGTCGATTTAATTCAGCCCCACTACCAAAGTAATCAATGTTTGGGCTAGGCCGGATATAGTTAGCACGGTATCTTTGACTGTAATATTCCTATGTTCATACGCGTCTCGTACACCATTGATTTCCAAATGTTGCAACACATCTTCACAGTGCCACAGTCAATTCAAGACAGTAATGTAAGTAGAAGGTTAGATACTGTTAATGTACTGTGCATGGTGAAATGAGCGTCGTTATATATCCTTCCCTCTGCATATCCTTGATCTGTTACAGTATTTCAGAGCGTTGCTATGATATTTGATATCGTTGATATGGCTCAGTTCCTAATGCGTTCTCGCCTTGGTTGTACGGGATTATCTATTATCCTGCTGATGAGGCGAACCAGCAATAGCTACTATTCAATGGCTGTGCTTTTTTTTTGGTTTGCTCACACATACTTCTGCAGTACTTGGACAACGTCAACATGTCCTCCTTCAGAAGCAGCGTAGAGAGCATTTCCATGGAATCCATCTTGAGCACTGACGTCAGCTCCTTTCTCTAGCAACCTCTGCACAATCTCAATGTGTCCTTTCAAAGAAGCAGCGTAAAGGGCATTACCATAGAATCCACTTTGAGCATTGACGTCAGCTCCTTTCTCTAGCAATTTCTGCACAATCTCAACATGTCCTTCTGCAGAAGCAGCCTGGAGAGCATTGCCATATATCCTGCCTTGAGCATTGACTTCAGCTCCGTTCTCTAGCAATCTCTGCACGATCTCAACATGTCCTTCTGCAGAAGCCGCCTGGAGAGCATTGCCATATAACTTGCCTTGAGCATTGCCATATAGCCTGCCTTGAGCATTGACTTCGGCTCCGTTCTCTAGCAATCTCTGCACGATCTCAAATTGTCCTCCTGCAGAAGCAGCCTGCAGAAGCAGCCTGGAGAGCATTGCCATAGAATCTACCTTGAGCATTGACTTCAGCTCCTTTCTCTAGCAATATCTGCACGATCTCAACATGTCCTTCTGCAGAAGCAGCCTGGAGAGCATTGCCATAGTCTCCACCTTGAGCATTGACTTCAGCTCCGTTCTCTAGCAATCGCTGTACAATCTCAGAATGTCCACGAAAAGATGCCCATTGAAGCGCATTGGCCCCCGTATTATCTTGCTCTGTGATTAATTCACCCGGTATTGCACACATCCAGCTGACCGTGTAGCTTTCTGGCGGCAATTTTAACGTTTCCGCTGTTTGTTCGTCCGCCATCGCCGGTCTCCCACTAATCACGCCCAGCCCCTCGGACTGGTCCCTATGTAATGCTAGCGAAAGCCTTCACCGAGCTGAATTGGGTGGTTTGTGAAACTTTCGTCTTGTGTAGTATTTTTCGAGTCAAGATAATCCTATTACTGTAGCAGCACTTCGTCCGTTGATAGCTGGATAGATTTCCGACATTTCCAACCTTTCAAAGAAGCTGCTCGCATCTCCAAACTGGATCGATGAAAGGTGCAAGGCTGTGAGGCTCGGACCAGCCCTGCATCTCACGCGGGGCTGTGTTATTACGCAGTTGAAACGTGTCGGGCAGGCATAGGGCGTTTCTGCGGGCGGTCAGATCTGGCAAAACCGGGCCATACCGTATCCGGATGGATCTGAGGCAGATCGACAGAGAACGTGGCCTCACCTTGAGCGCTGTTCCGATACAGTACAATGCGCCACAGGGCTGAGCTCAGCGTTTGGTGTTCCGGAAAACCTGGCCAACCAGAAGGAGCAGCCGAGAGATACGCCTCACTGTCCACATGAGGGTAACACAGACAACAAGACACCGTAGCTGTCTATGTAATTACTTGGAAGGAAACCTTCATTCCTTGAGGTCGAAAGTGGCCGACGGTATGTGGGGCATGTAGGGTCCATTATGGCGGGGTTAGGCTACCGTTTCCATAAGCTTCTATTCTTGTCTTGCTTGAAATTCACAAAAATCCAAACGATCACAGCAAACTTCTTATAACACGGTATCGCTGCAATAATCACGCATTATGAAAAATTTGACTAGCTGGTTCAGCAGAACTCAATGTCAGCTTCAAACCCCTTTATTTGGTTAAAGTCTCGAGTTAACATTGTTTGCGTGTCAATAAGCGCGTGCTCAAATAATAAGTGGGTTTCACGTGATGTCCATGGCGAGTATAACGGGCACACTAATCGTGGAAGGATGATGAATATCATTGGTCCCTATCTAGGTCTCCGGGGACCAGTAACTAACTAAGTGGTGTCACGTGACAGCGAGCCCCTCTTTGAGCCCCTCTCTTGGCCCACTTTTGACCCACTTATGACTCCTCTTTGACTGTGGATCGGACTCAACTCTATTGCTTTAGTACTGTACTGCCCTGGGTCTTCCCACTTTCCCTCAGAATCACATTACTAACCGATTTGGATGAAACAAACCTATGAGTTCCCCTTCTGGAAGTGCAAACGGTGAAGGGTCGCGCGATGGTAGGACTGAAAGTCGCCTGCCAACATGGGATGACGCCAGAGCGAGTGCTTATTTTAACTTTGATTTCATGAATCCCAAATCCCTTAAAGGAGTTTTTCTATTGGGCCTTGGTTATAGTGTTGCTGCGTCAGGATGGTCAAGTTTTCAGGCGTATAGAGGACGCAGACTTGATCAAGAGGAAGAAAGACGCGCAGAGGAAGCTAGAGAACGCGAAGAAGAAACTAGACGAAGGCAAGCGGAGTTCCTCCGTCAATTACACGAAGACCTGTGAGTGTTAATTTTCCGGACTCGCTTTCAAGGACGCTGTGAATGCATCTTAACTACTGCCAGATGCTTATTCTCTCTAAGTGGGATAGATGCCGAAGCCGGAATTACGCAACAGGAAATAACTACAGCTAGGGATGAGATTAATTACGTTGATGAGGCAATGAACATAGTTGTTACGGGGAACCTTAACGCCGGTAAATCGTCTCTAATAAACGCGCTTCGAAATTCGACGCTTCTGAAACAATCGAGGGAATTAAATTCCTGCAGACAATTGCTGCTCACGAGTTTCGCTTTTACATACAGGTTGGATATTCCCCCCAGCCCCGAAGAGGTTGGAAATTAATATACAACAGGAACTGTGGATTGTGCCTGATCTCTTTGGCGGACACGACAACTGGACAGCGGAAGAGATCGCACAACAGCAGCAATACTACCCTGTCAAAACGCCACAATCAAGAGAACTCAGTCTCGGCTTCCAATACTTGGCTTTGCCGGAAAAGCCCATAGAGGATATCTTAGAAGAATCCAGACAGTGGCAACGACAGTGGTTGGCGCTACGTAATGCGCGGGTTTACGTCACTGTACACGGGTGACAAGGTTTGGCCTTGTTGAGAGCGTTAGGTGAGCGCTGAGCGACGAACAGTCGTCTATAAAGTACTCTGTTTCCTTCCTTTGCGAAAGTTGGTATGCAAGACCTCAAGCTCCCAATCTCCCCATTTCTTGAGCTCAGAGACGCAGACCAGCTGGACTAAGAGCTTATCCCTTTCTTTGGTGAGAGCACGCACTGCCCTCGTGAGAGAATCGCGTCCATCGCACTTTGTGTCCTGATTTGGGAGTCGGAGCTTTTTCAACTTGGTGCCCCAACGTGGATGCTCCCGCAATTTATCGAGGGCCGATCCATCCAACCGACTGTTTCCATGCCTGCTATGCGTAGTGATCTCTACATAAGAGATATCGGCGCAATTTTTAAACAAGGCTTCGAGCGTAATGTCCTGAAGGCCCGAGGTACCCTGAAGCTGCACGAAGCGAAGTTTGGGACATAACTTGGTGAGGTGAATCACAGCCTCGTCCGTGACTTCTTGAGCCGAGTTCTTAGCATCGTAACCGACATCTTCGAAATGGAATTCGAAACGTGTCAGACTACGACATAGACGAGGTCCAATCGAGGTCAGCTCGTAGATATGTTGGCTACTTGGCAATCAGTACGTGTACGAAATCGACTGTGTGAGATTTTGTGAGAAGGAACATACTCTTTCAGGACGAAGCCAGAGCCAAATGCCACTCTCTTAGTCCCTTGCCCAAGCCATTCCCGATGATAGGACTCCCATTCTTGATTGACTCGAAAGGTGACTTCCTTCAGTCCCCTATTCATTGGCACAGAAGTCTTTTGCGCTGCATTAGGTCCTTTGACTGCAAGATCGGCATGAGTTGGTGCAAATTCGCAAGCCTCTTCTGAGTCTCCGATCGCATGTGTCGCTGTACCTTCATTAAATAGACGTCCCTCCTCTGTCTCACTAGTTAAGCGCATTGTAGCCTCTCCAGCCGATTGCGTGGCGCACTCTTTGGTCGCTGCTGTTGCGCGTTCGTTCGCTCCAAGTCCGATGCCAGGAGTGAATCCGAACCCTGGAAGCGCCGACTTCCCCCTTGATTTCTTATTCCGTGTTCGGATAGGCGGCATTGCTTCTAAGCTTTAACCATGAGCGTATATAGACGATTAGCGAGGATTTAGGCGCAGGGTTGACTTTTTTTTTTGATGGCCAAAGCTTAGGTTAAAGTGCGCTTGAATATCGAATTGCCCTTTGGTTCGGAGTATGGAGGTTGGAGTCAAAAGAGAGTGTGTACGCTAATGTGGCACTAGCTCGCTCGCTGCATGTCTAGTAGTGGTGTTCCGCACTGGGTGTCGAACTTTTGTCGAACTCGGCTTGGCGCCCAGCCCTCTCAAAGGAGCAAGCGGTGAACACTGATTACATAATTTTCTTGGCAAAAGTTCGACAAAATGTCGAACTTTTGCCAAGACGCTAAGTCATGTGACTAAACCTCTGTGTCGGAACGTTGGTTTACTAGAGCGATGACTAAGCGAAGGCGAGCACTAACGTAATTCACCACCGAAGCGGCACCACTACCGAGCCGGCATTTTTTCCCGAGCGCGTACGCGATATTGATTTCAAATCCCAATTTTCAAAGCCACATACAAATTATATACAAAAATCTAACTACTAATACGACTAGGGCATTGGTTAATTCTATGCCCCATAACGTTACAACCACTGCAGCGATATTGGCGGCGTACGACTGCTTGAGAAGCTGGGAGCTCCGGCTCAGCCGGAGTAGTAGTAACAGCATGGGATGCCTCAACCTGACCTTGTACGAGCGCTTGCACTTCTTCTTTAGTAACCCCTTGCTCAATAGATATTTGCTTTTTAGATTTTTGGCGCTTTTGCTTCTCTTTCTCATGTGCAGCTCGTAAATCGTAGTTCTCTTTCCGTACGAGTAAAACATCATTCGCTATCATTTCGTAGGCTTTTGACAACCGTACAACTGCCTGATTGATTTCTTGATTTTGGTTGCTTTCTGTACGCTCATTTATACGTTTATTGATTGTAGTCGACTGGCGTATAAATTGGCGTATATTTTGAGGTGTTTGTAAGCAGGATGATGCCGTATTGCTTGATCGACTTGGAGGGGGGGTTGGTGTCTTCAATCGAATATTAAGTTGTTGTATAACTCGATCTGGATTGAAAGGCACTAATCCAGTGGCTGCGAAGCTATTCCGAATAGTTTGAGCTTTATATGCCACTGTACGAGCCTGTGGAAATGCTGTTAAGAAGTCCATTTTATCAATATGATTGAAACCAAGCCTCATTCGTTGCTCAACAAGCTGCCCATAATGTCGCTTTAAAACAGCAAAACAGCCAACATCAAGAGGCTGTAAGAGATGCGAAGAATGAGGTGGCATACAGACTGGAATAATATTATTCTCAGTACATATATGGTCAAATTCTGGTGTCAAATGGCTTCCATGGCCATCAAGAATCAACATTCGATATTTTCCAACCGTACGACCATTAATATAGGGAATAAAATGGGGTTTAAGCCATTCTAATCCTATCTGATCTGTAGTCCAGCCATTATCGCTAATATTGATTCGCCAATCATCTGGAAGATCATCAAACCAGCCTTCTCGTACGTTTTTCTTTGCTTTGAAAATCACGTACGAAGGCACAGCCCATCCAGTTGAATTTGTTGCCTCAATTGCAGTCACCCATTCTCGATTTCCAGGCTGTAAAAGCTTCGGCTGAGCATATCGATCGCTTCCAGTAATAACCTTTGCAGTTGCACAGAGTCCCATAGCAAAGCCAGTCTCATCAAAGTTGAATATATCTTCCGGTAAGATGCCGTACTCAGATATAGCAGCTTGTACGCGATCAAAATGTTCTTGTATTATCTTTGGATCTTCGCATTTAGCACGTTCGTAGTTGTATTTCCTTGCGAATTTGGAATCGATCTCTGGACGGCGTTTAATCAGTTTAGTTATCCAATTTTTTCCAACTTGTGGTTTGCCATGTTGTGAAAGTATATAATTAGCCATTTCTCGTACAAGAGAATGCCGGGGGGGTAATCCACGTCGATCTAAATCAAGCACCCATTTGACAAGCGATTCCTCTTCATATTGAGTCAATTTATGGCTGTTGGCGCGTACGAGAGATCTTTGTTGAATACCATTGAGTCTATCTTGTAAAGTTGTCCGGGGGATCTCGTAAATCCTTGCAGCTTGAGCTACACGTTGAATTCGGCCATTCTGTAAATCGGAAATTGCTAATAAGATTCGTCCCTCTTGCTCATCTAAATTTTTCCGGTTTTTATTGCGAATTGGTGGCATATTGACGTGTTGAATAATATAAAATCAATATCGTGTACGCGCTCGGGAAAAAATGCCGGCTCGGTAGTGGTGCCGCTTCGGTGGTGAATTACGTTAAACAATACGTATAAGGAACTAGGTCTATTTTCCGGCACTCCTCTAAAACCACTATCTAGGAGTATTGAACCTGTTTTTATATACAAGATTCCATAGAAGTGATATCACCAAAAGTCGACACTTGTGCAAATCGAACTTTCTAGAGATAGGCTGTAAAGTTGATTTGTAATGTTCAATATCGTGTCGGAATGTGATGCCAATTCTCGAAATTTCTTGATACGCAAATCTTGTCCTATTCCCAAATTGGTTTAGCTCATTCTGAGTTCCAACAACCATTTGTTGATGTGCTAACGTAATCGGTAAGCGAGTTGGTCACGTAAGCGAGTTGGTCACTTCTTCCCGAAAACGCGCTCTATATTGATCTTACATAAATTTCTAACCCACATACAAATTATATACAAAAAATTAAGTACTAATACGATTAGGACGTCCAGTTATTTTATGTCCTGCAACACCACAATCACTGCAGCGAAATTGACGTCGTACAGGTGGATGAGAGACTGGGAGCTCAGGCTCGGCCGGAGCAGTAGTAACGGCTTGAGATACTTCAATCTGACCTTGAACGAGTGCTTGAGCTTCCTCTCTGGTAATTCCCTGCTCATGAGATATTTGCTGCTTAGATCTTCGACGTTTTTGCTTCTCCTTCTCATGTGCAGCCCGTAGATCATGGAGTTCCTTCTGTGCAATTGTAAGCTTATTAATACTCATCTCATAAGCCTTTGATGCCCGTGTAAACACTTCACCAATAGCCTCAGATGAACTTCTTGTATGCCGGCTTATTCTCTTCTTCGTTGTAGTCATTTGGCGCTTAAATTGACGTAGATTTTGAGGGGTTTGCAAGCAGGATGATTGTGTATCACTTGATCGACTTGGAGGGGGCGTTGGAGTCTTCAATCGAACAGTAAGCTGTTGATAAACTCGATCTGGATTGAATGGTACTAATCCAGTTGCTATAAAGCTATTCCGAACAGTTTGAGCTTTATATGCCATTGTACGAGCCTTCGGGAATGCAGTGAGGAAGTCGATTTTGTCAATGTGATTGAATCCAAGCCTCATTCGCTGCTCAACAAGCTGTCCATAATGTCGCTTTAAAACAGCAAAACAGCCAACATCAAGAGGCTGTAAAAGATGTGAAGAATAAGGAGGCATACAGACTGGAATAATATTATTCTCAGTGCATGTACGGTCAAATTCAGGAGTTAAATGGCTTCCATGACCATCAAGAATCAACATCCGATATTTCCCCAATGTACGGCCATCGGTAAGAGGAATAAAATGAGTTTTAAGCCATTCTAATCCAATCTTATCTGTTGTCCACCCATTATCGCTAATATTGATTTTCCAGTCGTCTGGAAGATCCTCAAACCAGCCTAATCGAGTATATTTCTTTGCCTTGAAAATAATGTACGAAGGCAATGCCCACCCAATCGAATTAACTGCCTCAATTGCAGTTACCCATTCTCGATTACCAGGCTGTAATAGCTTTGGCCGAGCATATCAATCACTTCCAGTAATAACCTTTGCAGTTGCACAAAGACCCATAGCAAAGCCGGTCTCATCAAAATTGTAGATATCTTCTTGTAAAATTCCATGTTCTGATACAACCTCTCGTACGCGATCAAAATATTCTTGGATTATCTTTGGATCTTCGCATTTAGCACGCTCGTAGTTATATTTCCGGGAAATTTTTGATTCGATCTCTGGGCGACGTCGAATAAGATTATATACCCATTTCTCTCCAACCTGTTGATTTCCATGTTGTGAAAGAAGATAATCAGCCATCTCTCGTACAAGAGAGTGTCAAGGAGGCAATCCACGTTTGTCTAGGTCGAGTACCCATTTGACAAGCGATTCCTCTTCAGATTTTGACAATTTATGGCTATTGGCACGTGTTTCAGCTCGATATGCCATGCCATTTAGTCTGTTTTGAAGAGTTGACCGCGAGACATTATAGATCTCTGCTGCTTGTCGTGCAGAACGTAATTTTCCATTTTTTACATCGGAAATAGCTAACAAGATTCGTCCCTCTTGTTCAGCTGAATTTTTTGAATTTTTATTGCGAATTGGTGGCATCTTGACGTGTTGAATTATGAGAATCGATATAGAGCGCGTTTTCGGGAAGAAGTGACCAACTCGCTTACGTGACCAACTCGCTTACCGATTACGTTAACGTAATTCACAAGCGAGCCGCCACCCCAAGCGAGCCGCCAGTTCAAATCCGCATACAAAACGACACTTTTCACAGCTCAATAAGTCAACGAATTTCTTAGGAGATATAGGCTATAAAAAGAGATATACAATATATTACACTGTAGATAAGAATATTTTGTAGTTTGAAGAAGATATAATCTAATTTAATAAAGACAATAAAAATTACATTGTAATTTTACGTATTTTTAAACTCACCGGATAATTTTGATAATTTATCAGTGAATATCAGTATATTTTAAGTACGTAGTATAGAGTATAAATATTATAATATATATCTCTTTCCCAACGTACATTTTCTAAGAAAATTGTTGAATTATCAGACCGTGAGAAGTATCATTTTGCATGCGGATTCGAACTGGCGGCTCGCTTGTGGGTGGCGGCTCGCTTGTGAATTACGTTATGTTAGTTCTCTGATCGTGGGCATGCAGAGAATTGGGGGTTAAAGGGGCCATGGCGTGGCAAGGCACTTTATACTCCTTCTGGAGGCTGGACTCTATGTGTCATTAATACTGAGGTCCTCGGTGAGGTTTCTTTCTTCAAATTGAGGGAGTTAGTAAGAGATCTCAGACTGGAAATATCAAATAATGTGGAACAACACATCAATGGCGCATACCTCTGTCTTCATACAATTCCGGCAGCTGCTATTGTTGAAAGGAGGAACCCCAAGCAGGTTAAAGATGGTACCGCTAAGCGACGTCAAATATAAAATACGAATAATTCTCATATTTTCCTCACTAGCTACTCTTCAAATGCAAAATTTTTAGTAGCGGTAAACATGCCATCCTTCGTCATGGGCACAATGCCGTCACCAATATTAGTTAAAATAGCCACATAGACAAAGCCGCTGACAATGTGCGCAAGCCCGGCAATTTGGTCTCTCCTTAGTACCTTTGTCGCCTTCTCAAAAAGATCCATCTTCATAGGCCTGCGCAGTCGCGTCATAGTTAATGCCAGGCTATATACCATTGCGTCTTCTTCATTAAGATCACCCGGCACACTTCCATGCACAGGTTGTTGAATCTGCTCTTTTGACAGGCCCGAGGCAAGCGCAATTTCGGAGTGCGCGTAGAGGACATATGGAACGTCGTATTCTGCCAACACGGCGAGAATGGCGAGTTCTCGCTGCTTGAGTGTGAAGCGCGACTGGCGTGTGATGGCGAAAGCAAGCTTAAACCATGGCTCTACAAAATCGTCGGTATAACTATGCATGTGAAAACAAAATTTGTTTTGTCTGTTTAGCCTTGCTTTGGTGTACATATGTTACTTCCGCCTAGCCCTTGGACTCCAGGGTGTGTATCCATACACATTGATATTGGCAATACAGGCGGGAGGGAGTTAAGAGGTGGCCGAGGGGAACCTACAATAAAGCAGCATAAGGACCTAAAATATTGCCAGACGCATCTTTCCACTCCAATTGGGGAGGTGCTCGAGAAAACACGTCCTGGGTGTTTATCTCGATGAGTTTCTGGGCTCGAGTGAGTTGGTGGACTGGGATTTGGGGGAAGCGAGACATTTTCTTTCCCCCTTGATTGCAAACGAAGTGAATGATGGACCGGAAAGACGAAAGTGGGTAGATATCGGCAAAGCCGGAGGGAATGGGCAATTAACTACACATAGGGAGGAGTAGCTACGCCGCTCTGTACTGAGTACCGGGGGGGGATACTTGTGTAGGGGCTTGAATAGAGATCTGCAATGACTAGTTAACCCAACCTGCTAGATATTTCCTTGGTTCAATTTGAAATATGTGTCCTCCAGCATTGCACAAATAACTGGCGGATATAGACCTATTGGGGACTCCGGGGAGTATGTGGTTGTTAGATTTACCGGTGTTTGTTTTTACCCTCAATCTCATGAAATTGATAGCAACAAGATGATACTATGATTTTTCAGCTGAAGGGTTGAATTTTTTCTTTCTTGCTTGACCAAGTTGTCTCGTTTCTAACAGGGAATTGTCCTCTTTAATGAAGAATCAAAACCCCTCGCTTTAATACGTGTTTCTTCCTGATTGGTACGCAAGTTGGGCCTTACTGCGCTGTGCACTTCACCAATAATATCTAACAGTGGTCTACATATGCACATGCACCTACCTAGTTAAGTACATTGTTATGCGTGTGTCATCCAACATTACAGTTGATGGCAGCAAATTTAGCCCAGCCTCTTTCCACTTCTGATGCCTCGTATGAGGTTATCAATAAACGCCGAAATAGACACCGTAAGGAGGAAGTTCAGTGTTAGCAGCTACACGTATATTCTGTAAAGTTGGAAGACGGGAAAAACAGGTTGCTAGATCATAACTTATTAATGTATCCTTATATTTTGCCCCTATGTTCAAGCGTTAAGGAGATCAAAAACAAGTTGAATTCAATTCAATTTAAAACAATAGCGGAAAAAAGTGGAAAAGTCGAAATAAATTGATCAAGACACCTACCTACCTACCTACCTAGGTAATTATCTACTCCTTTTATCCCTTCAGACCAATCAATATCAACCGTTGGACTGTTGGTATTATAGGCATGGCTCGTGAGAGCGTTTCAACATCCACCACCATCCCCAAGGATGTCATAATTGTAAGCTTTGTGTATTTGCCGGACCATCATATCCTACTACTTTTTGAAATGTGTTGATCGGTTTGTTTCTAGGTCGGCGGCTCCCTATCCGCTCTCATGCAGGGCCTCGTCCTCGAAAGGTTCACCACAGATAAGCCTCCATCTCATATGGCAGGTGTATGTCTGGGTCCTGATGTGCTGCGTCTTCTAGGCCGATACGATCGCGCGGCCACTATCCCTCTAGGAATCCGAGCAGAACTCCTTCAGTCGGTAGACAGGGAAGGCAGACGTAGGCCATTTCTTCATATTCATCGGATTATGTCGTCCTGGGATGCGCTTTACTTCCGTTTGCGAGCGAACTTTGATGGCCTAGCCACGGAGTACATTCCCAGCCCCCCTGGCCCGAGGCCATTGGAAGGTGAAAGTATCGCCAGTGCCAAGGCGAGAGCAAGGTACCAAGTTGGTCAGGAGGTCGTCGATATCCGGCCAGCATCCGAGGGACGAGTATCCGTGTCAATCGTCGACGTCTCCGGTGAAGTGGGCAAGCGAGAACTGGCGGCAGATCTTGTCTTGGGAGCAGATGGCCCTAACTCAGTTGTACGCAAAGTCTTTGTACCCCCAGGTCTAGCAGACCGACGGTATGCGAACTATGTGGCTTGGAGAGGGGTAGTACCGGAGCTCCAGGCGAGCAAGGAAACACGGGAGATTTTCAGTAAAAATATCACGTACTTCGTATTAAAGGCCGAAGGAGCACATGCCATTGTGTAAGAAAAACTTCTCGTGCTCAACTTCTAGCCCAGGGAGTATAACCAGCTCACTTCAGCCCTTCACTATAGGTATAACATTCCTGGCGACGCAGGTTCGGTTGCTACTGGTCAGCGTCTTCTGAATTTTTGTTTGTATCTTAACGTGGCCCCGGGCTGCCTCGACGAGATCATGACCGATAGCGCAGGGGTGCGACATCAGATATCAGGCCCACCCAACAAGGTACACCCAGAGGTTTGGGCGCAGCAGAAGGCTTCCGCACGTCGAGTCCTCCCTGCCCCATACGTGGAAATAATGGACAAGATTGCCTCTCCGTTTGTGCATTTGATCACAGACTACTGTTCTCCTCGCGCATCGTTTTTAGAGGGCAAGGTGCTTCTTGTTGGAGATGCCTCGGCATTGCTTCGACCGCACATTGCATTTTCCACTAATCAGGCTGCCTATCAGGCTCTTCTAACAGAGCGCTTGGTAAAGGGTGAGCTGGATGTAGCCGAGTGGGAATATCAGGTAACGGCAGCCACGTATCTCCATTGGAAACGGAGCGTATGGTTCGGCCAATTCTTCCAACAGCCGTTGGCCGTGGCATTGATCAGTGCAGTGCAATATTGGGCGGTCGCAGCGCTCAACCGGCTTAGAACGTGGGCTGGTTGGCTGTCGGGACAGGCTGTTTAAGATATGCAAATAATTTGGGACTACCTAATAAGTAATAACAGGGCTGAATTCTGACCTTGGGCTGGGGGTAGGGGTAATTATAAATAAAGTTGACATCAGTGTTGTTTTTTATTAGCCTTAACATTAATAGATTTAATTATATTATTTTCTAAAGATAAATACAATCAGACGTCTCTGATGTGGACTTCCAGGGAATTGGATATGGAAGCGGCCAAGAGGATCTTGAATAAGGATGCTGATCAGAACATCAAGGATGTAGGCAGTCATATACCAAGAAGAACCATTAGTACGTCGCGAAGTCGCCGACGGATAGCGACGCTACGATATATCAACGACAAAAGGAGGCCTGGAGGGACTTAATGTAGAAACTATTGAACCATTTTATGACAAGGATAAAAGCATGAAGAATTTCCTCTTTTTGGGCCGCCTTCAACACTTAGAGATAATAAACGAATGAAATGAATTTTAGGGGAAACCCCTCGTAACAACAAAAGCTGGATTGAGACCACACAGCCGACTATTGCTTGAGGCTATATATGCAGACAGGAAGTCGACTGTTGTTACATAAACTCATTCAATGAACGAAGCAATTGCAAAAGACAGTCATGTCCATCCTGGCTAATTCACATTCAGTCACTAGTTCGTTCTAAACACGCGGACTGAAGTCGTCACTCCAGCATCCAAAATGAGACTTGTCCCATTGATGTAGCTGGCAGCCGGACTCAGCAAGAAAGTGATAGCCTCGGAAACCTCTTCACACTCGGCGGCACGCTTGATAGGTACAATCGCTGTTATTGCATCGCGCACCTCGGGATTCTTTTCTAGTTCGATATCCAACAGCGGAGTGCGGACCCAGGTCGGACAGACAGCATTGCAACGGATTCCCTCAGGTGAATGATCCAACCCTGTTCTCAAATCATAGAGGATTAGCCATGATTCATAAAAAGGAACGACCGGTACAGTGATGGTGAGAGCTAACCGGCCATTTTTGTCAACCCTAAACAAGCATGCTTAGAGATAGTATAAGAGCCCTTTCCGGGGAGCCCAACAGAGGAATTGGCTGAAGCAACATTCACAATTGCCCCCCTCCCGATATCACGAACACCATTCCGGCTGGTGAATGTCCGGGGCTCTTGTTTACGCATGGCTGCAGCTTCAGCACGCACGCAGAGGAGCATACCTCTGGCGTTGATAGTCATGATACGATCGAAGCCTTCAATGTCTGTATCGGCGATCGGGGCGTGGACACCATTGTCGACCTAGTCAAACCAGAATCAAGATTGTAAGTAATGTAAATAGTAAAATTCCTCTGCAAAATCTGATGAATGGAGGTCCATTGAGAAGAAGATAAAAGCAGGGAAGAATGACAGGAAAGGTTGATTTACCCCAGCACCATTAACAGCATAATCAATCCGACCAAATTGCTTCACTACAAAATCTACCATATCCTGTACCCCTTTCTCATCTGTAACGTTTACCTTGAAAGCTGTTGCCTGGTATTCCTTGTTTGTTGCATATTGTTTGCTTTCCTCGGCTGAAGCTGTTGCGGTTTCCTCATTCATGTCAGCAAAAACGATGGCCCTTGCACCAGCTTCAGCTAGAGAGAAGGCTGCTTGCTGGCCGATGCCTCGTCCAGACTGGGAAGAAAAAAATATACATGTATGATCAGTTTCATTCTTGCTGTGGTATAGAATATAGTGGTATAAATATTGATATAGCACTTACGCCTACAACAAGAGCAACGCCGTCTAGTTGGGTGCCAGGAATCATTGTGCTGTTGTTTTCGTCTAGAACTTGCTACACAGTGTAGTGTCTAGGTAGTAATTAAAACTGATTTGATTTTCCTTCGCGTAGAGAAAAATTAAAAATCAAAATAAACTCCTCATATATTGGAAACAAAAGTCTTCTCATAGTATACAAAGAATTTCTGAATCGTAGTATTTACGTGTCTACTCGTCATGCATTATCTGTTAGACGTAATTTCCAGTACAATACCTGACCGCATATACCCATTGCAGCCAAACACCACCCATAACTTGGTTTTCTTTGAGCACAGCGCCTACATGGGTTTGTGGGTGCATGACAGGTGCATTGATGGCACCTGATGCAAGCTTCCCCCACCACCAGCGACTAAACATCCCTACTAAATAGGTAGCTGATAGACAATTATTGTCCATTTCTTTGTCTCCGGTTTAATAGGCTGTTTGTCCGGTTTCACGAGACCACAAATGAGCTGGCGGTGGTTCACTTTTTGCCGCAGAACTTTGACTTAGTTACGGTAGTCACTGTGGTAAAAAGTGACCCACCGTACTGCCAGCTCATCTGTATCCTGCGGTTTCACCCACTATTAACAAGCGAGTTGTATAATACTTCATTTGATTATTGTTATACTGACAGGTGGCACTTGATATGGACTAAGTCACTCCAAGGTTTGTTGATTGTCCTTCTCCTTCCTGTCTAGTCCTTCACGATCTTCTAAGGGACTTTTTTAGAGTGCCCTGGGAATAGACATTATTAGGCAAGAAAGAGAAACCTGAACTACTAAATGCTAGTCTTGATACCTGCTTGTAAGAACAAATGCCATGACCTACCCGAAAGTATATCAATCTCCTCATAGCTTATTTGACACCTCACTATGCTCTCGACCTTCTCACCCTCGGTATATTCAGTGCCTGTAAAAGATGTGTCCTACCAGGACTCACTAAATGTGCCAACCCTGAGGATCAAATGAGGGTGACTGGCCATTATGGAGACGGTTCTTGAGTAGCTTCCGCATCATTAGAAGGAGGGAGCTTGACAAAAAGTTTTTCGCGTTTCATAAAGATGGCAAGGACTGTAGAGACCGCTGCCGCCGCGATCATCATAATAAAGACGTCGGCTATACTCTCAACAACAGCCCCTAGAACTCGAGTCCGGTCAGACGGCGACAAGGTAGTGAAAAAGGACGCTCTGACCCCGGAGATGGCTTGTTGAATTACACCCCTAGCCGCACCGGGCAGGATATAACTGATTTTATCCGTGGCTCTGTTCAGTAAGATGCTGTTGGAAAGTGCCAGCGCCAATTTAATGCCACCTACTTGGCCAACGCCAATAAAAGCAGTAGCCTGAGATAACTGCTGTGGAGGTGCCTTTACCTGTGCGACAGCGAAGCCGGCCTGAGAGTACAATCCTGTGCCTAAAGCAGCAAGGACAGAGAATCCGTAGACCCGACCACGGCTCATATACAGGTCGATGGTATGCAGAAGACAGCTGCCTATCAGGGCGAAAATTGCGCCGAGCAAGTACCATGGCATGTAATAGCCCAACTTAGCCATCATGGCGCCGTTGAGCATGACAGCAAACACGAGCACGAGCACAAACGGAAGCAAGCGAACACCGCTATCGATGGCATTATCCCCCTTGGTAAATTGGAAAAAGATGGGGATAAAATAAATCGGGAGCATGACCAAAGTCTGCGCAATCGCCATTTGGGAAAAGAGAATATCCATCTCCCACGACCGCACCAGGTCCACAGGGAAGAGTCGACGGGATGAAGTTGTCAAGAGAGCAAAAGCTTGCTGCAAAATAAACAACACCCAAAGAACTCCCGTGCTGATAAATAGGCCGATTATTTGACCGCTATCCCATCGGTAGACGCCTCCACCAAATGAGATAGCCATAACCAGTGTAGTCATTGCCCCCGCACTCAGAATGCCTCCGACAAAATCCAGCTCCTTTGCTCGGGTCAGGATACCGATACCAGGTCGTGGATTGTATCCGGGCAGAAGAAAAAGATAGACGGGTGCTGCGGTGCCACCAATGCAGAGATTAATGTAAAAAGACCATCTCCAGGTTGCTGAGCTATCTGCAAACGCTCCGCCGATGATAGGACCGAGACTGGAAAAAGTCAGAATGAGAGAACAAAATGGGCCAAAAAAATGGAAGAAAAGAATATCTGTGGAAGAACGTACATTGTGCCAATACCCCATGTCAGGCCCACGAACCCCAGATACAGCGGTCTCTCTGCTTCTGTCGTCAAGGTAGATACCATGTTGATTGTTCCTAGGTAAATACTGATTCCTCCGATTCCACATATTGCTCGCCCAATAATCAGGGCATCGAGGGTTGGCGCTGCGCCGCAAACTGCCGAACCGACCTCGAAAGTTACGACACCCGCAATGAATAGTGGCTTGTTATTGAAATGGCCATAAAGTTGGCCCCTGAGCTCACTCACTACATTAGTATACATTTATGTATACATTCATGGATATGATTGAGCTTGATATTAGAGACTGTCCGGCATGAGAGTTTCTTTTACCAGAAGAGATTGGTGGCCACGGCACTAAGTCCAAAAGCAACTGAGATCCATGGTAGTTTTTCTATGTCTCCGAGAGTATTTATGATGCTGGGTTGTACATTGGCCACAATCGTGTTGTCTAGTGCGAACAGGAAGAGGGCTGCCAGGAGAGAGAATATAACCAAACCACGAAAAGGCCCTCATGCGGCGGGCTGGAGGGATTGTCTGATCCTCGATAATTGTCGCTGCATTTCCTGATGCGACTTCTTTGCCCTCATAATCGGGCAATGAGTTTGGCGTCGACATGGTGGAAGGTTAGGCTGCTTTCAGGAAAGAATGGTAAAGAACGGTAACATGAACAGATTTGGTTTAGCATTAGTTAATGGGTTTCTTGCGCGGATTGCTAAAAGTCTCTATTTGGCTGGAGTAAGGTAACGTACCTACATCAGTTAATGTATATTTACCTAACTACATAGACAGGCAAGTATGTAGTAGATCTAGCCACACGACAACAAGACTAAGATATAACCGAATAATGAAATTTTAAACTAACATGCATGATTTAAATAGGAGGCTTCGTACCAGCAGTCTCTCACTTGTACCTATAATTAGAGAATGAGTAGCTACCTGGATATTATTGGCTGTGTTTCGTCGACCCTATTTGCTTTAGGTGGCAGGAGTAATAGGATCCGCGGGAAGGATGCCTATCATGCACACCCTGCAGCCACCGTCGAGAGTACAATCCAATAGTTCACTTCATGTTACCCCGGAGGACTCGGAATACACTTCATGTTACCCTCGGGCCTCGAATGTACAAGCGTATTGAACTGCTGTGTCACCAACAGGGCATGTCAAATATCCAAATTCATTAGATATAAATGGATGCATGGTATTTTAGAGACTCGAAAATTAGCATTTCTAGTCTACGGTCAATAAGGCATTCGACATGATGTATATCTTATCCTAGATAAGTATAAACATTGAAGATTACAACCCATATATGCATATGCATCTTCAGCTGCATGGCACCGCGGCCATAATTTATCAATCCCTGGTTTTAACCCTTCTTTTTTTGATGTCCTTATTTTTGGTTTTCGTTAAAACATCGGTCCTGTATTCAATAGTATGGCTAAACATATTGCCTGAAGCATGTGATTTTCTGGTGAGAATTGCCTTATCTCTTTATATCGGCTTTTAAATACCCCGGACCCCTGCCTCCCTCCCCCGGGCCTGTAACTATTTGAATTTTCGCGCATTTAGGTAGGCAAATAGTATTTGTGTGTCATCCATGCTTTCTGGAGCTGTTATCTCTTATGTCCCCGGGCGCAAATACAAAATTGGGGGCTTATTTTGTCGTGAATATGCATTTCCCATGAATTCCTAACAACCGAATGCAGGAATTTGTGGATGTCCACCATAGATATCGTTCCTTGGCTTTATTTGACTTGTTAGGGGGAAAGTTCGGAGTTATAATGGACTTGTTGGGATTTTTGTATTCTGGTTACTTGCCAGCTGACCTTCGGGCCACCAGCCTTGGAAGGGTGCTTGAAGGGAGCTGCAACAGGGTATAATGCATCAATCAGTGAATAGTATGCGTTTGCCATTCCATTGTAACATTACTGGGATGCAAGTAATACCGACTGATATTTGACAGGGCCAGAATCTCGGTCAAGAGCAATACGATTGATTGTTGTTTGTATTTCCCATGATGTAGTAGAGCTAAAAGCAACCCATAAGTGAAATTCGGTAGACATAGAAATTGCGATTCCCTCGGAACATTCTGATACCGCCACCGGATGAGGCTTAGCACTGCCTTGATAGTTTATTTGCCTGGTAGTACTGAAAATACCAAGTGGATATCGAGCGTTATGATTACTATAAGCGATGCTGAAAGTTTCTATCATCTTTTGGTGTATTAGAAGGATGAAGATAATGTATGTGTCTAACTAGACAACTCTGTAGTTAGTCATTCAGTATATTCGGTACTAGATATGCCAGCATGACTTGAATGAACCACCTCATTCCTAGTATCCGGTTTTGGCCTTTAATAAATTCTAAGATCAGTTTGACAAAGCAAAAGAAAACTAAAGACAAGACGCAAACATTAGTCTGCAACCCTACCCAATACTAACATCTCTCTGGATGCGGATGACGCTCGGATTCAAGATGTAGTCATCCCTTCGCACATTCCGTGATGGTAATGACACCGTAGGTGCAGCAAAAACGTGGGATTCTATCGAAGAAGACTGAGGCCACCTATGTTGAAGTTCAGTCCAATTTTTGCCCATGTCAAAACGGTTGATATTTGAATCGTCAATGTCACGATTGATGAGTCTACGGCTAGAGGAATATGATCCCATGTAGCTTGGCGAAGGAACATATTTCCTATAAATACTCTGGACGAGAGAGAATATGCTTGGTATCGAGATGCTGATGACAGAGATAGGGATTTCAGAACCAAGCCAGAATATTGGTACTACGATATTGTCTGTGAATGGTTATTTTTGCTCCTCATCTTTCTCATTCACTCTTGAAAGGTAAAAACGGGCACGACTTACATGTAGGGTCATCTTGAAGACCGCTCCCAGCTCTAGCGATAGATACGAGGCGCCCTATCGACACCACAACAACACTAAAGTAATCGTAGCATGTTAGAGAGATGAATCCAATATAAGAAAAGCTTCGATGTGCAGTTCGATACTACCTTCAGCGGAGTTCTAGTCCAATCTACCTTTGAGGGGCCAGCGATAGATGGTAGTCCGGTGTATAACTGCAGCGCATCTACGTCATGCGCGATGATTGTCCGAGTAGATAGCCATGATCTCCCTATCCAAGAGTACAAGTTCGGGGATGGTGTCGTGGCCTGGGCGAACCCTGGGATTGAGACTTTTAATGTTGGTGGAGTGCTTTATTCTGATATTGGGTTTGGCCAGCTCCACAACTATGATCTTCTGAATAGTGGGCAGAATTTCCCTTTTGGCGAAGCAAGTGGTGTGATCGGTTTCGATATAAACCTGTTCCAAGATTCTGGACAACCTAGTTTTATGTCTGCGATCAGGGATCAGGTGACAGGTAAGCTTCTAATTAATACTCCTAGATAGCTGCATTAATAAGCAATACAGAATGGAAATGTTCCATTGACTTGTTCCGTGAATGGCACAATGGCACATGGACTTTAGGACTCCCGAATAATTTCGGTAATGTCGCTGATATCGCGTGGGTGACACGGAATTATAATCAGCCCACATGGAGTATTAATATTACTGCAATATCAGCCGGCGAGATGAAGACACCTCCAATTCCGACGTGGTCTGCAACGGTTTCTACTCAAGAACAGTCTCTCGTTTGGCCGCAGAAGCTTTTAGACTGGTACTTTACAGGAATCGACGCTATTTGGTCTGCAGCGGACAATACATATCGTTATCCATGCAATACAACCCTGCCTGACTTCACCTTCGGCCTTGGTAACGGCACATTCACGATTCCAGGTACTTATATGCCATATCAGCGCGATAGTACCAGTAATACATGTATTACAATAGTCACAGGAGACAATTCCACAGACTCTAGCCATGAATACATATTCGGTTCTTGGTGGTCGCAACTGGGGGTATTGATCCTTGAGTACGAGAATTCTCTGGTAGGATTTATGAATAAATCGTCGCCTCTGCCAATTTTTGACATTTCGTCGCTTGAAACGTCACTATAAAATGCTCTTCGACAATTATCACACCGTCTCTTAGTTCATTTTGAACAATTTGGTTGCATCTCCCTATATCCCTGCCCCTATGCATTACAACAAAGTGTCATTCACACACGGGCGAAGTCTCCCGTTCAAGATTGCATTAGTTGATGGGTCTATCCATCCTTACTTTGTATTGGACTTCATGTACCTATAATACTCTCGAGGTAGCTGCTCAAGCACTATCATAGTATATTATTACATTACAATCCTCAAATGCCCGACCTCGGTCACAGTCCAGACTCCGTGGATCCGTCCTTGGTCAGGCAGCGCCGTAGTATGGTCCGCGCTATGTTACCTGTTTCGGCGTTAAGATGTCAGCACTCATATCATCCCGCATGGTCTTTTCGATCGATCTGATTTTAGTAGCTTATTTTCTTTGTTTGATCTAACCCACAATGACCAATCACGCTGCGCAGTTAAACTTTTGCAAGACTGCCCCACTCGATCGAAATAGACCATCAGCTGGTTATTCCCAGAATGACCGTAGAAATTATATCAGAACGGTTGCACCTGCAACAATTCAAACAGACTTTTACCTAATTATCCTCCGATCACATTCATGGCGTTTCTTTGATTAAGCCACAGACGATTGAAAATTCCCATAAGCTACAGAGTCATAGATCACAACGACCAGTTCTTTACAGAAATTATCGCAGAGATTGATCACACTACGTGTGACATCACATGGTAAGCTTAAAATTTATCTAGCTGATGCAACGGCTGATGAACCAAGTCCTCATTGTCTACAAAAAGTAATAGGCGAGTGTTTCCAGAACGAACACTTCGACTGGTGTCTCAGCCACCAGCGACTGGCTATCACAAATCACGAGGTCTGTACCCATCCAGAGGCAAAGTATAGCACTTGCAGTGTTGCAATGTGGGTCGATCCAGTATAGTTCCATTAGCGGCTGCCTACAATCGCGCTATACTTGCCGATTTGATGCGTCTAAAACAATCGAGACAAACGACTTCAAAAAGGAAATGCCTAAGAAACTCGGAGAATATGATATGTGTGGTTGCTGGAGATTCAAGATTCTTATGAGAAACAAAACACTATAATGTCGACCATGTCCAGTTTAGGTTCTGTTTATCTTTAAATAATCTATGTTGAATGGCCTTCTCTGCTTCAGTATATATTAGAAGGCCCTCAGGCACATCTGTCATTCAATCCAGCAACATCAATAAATCGATTACCATCTTTGATTTATAGTCGGTCTATTGCCACCAAGTTAACGTCATGAATGTATACTCGTCGATCGAAGAATACCAGCGGTTCCTGGACGATCTTTTCCATAATCTCGAAAAGCAGGTGAATGAAGCAATAAGTGAGAAGCTTTGCGCCTGCTGTGTGAAGTAAGCTAAAGGAAACGATACGTCCATCTAGTCATATCACGTTGAGATGTGTGGAGGGTACTTCTCTTACCATCCGTCTACCATCCGATGACAGCTCCTTGCGGGTTGACATACATGACTGCAAAGTTGTTGTGATCCTGCCGAAAGGGGCGCCTATTCGAGTCACTTGTCATAGTGATCGCCTCGTTTGAATTGTTCGCCAATGCCTAGTTCTGGTTATCAGCGAATGGAAAGCAGAGGGTGGATGGACCATGTAATTTCATGAATGTGGATATGCGAGAAACCTTCTAGCGACTTGACCCCACCAGACCCAGTAGCTAAAATCGACTACAGGCTGGAATTAGATTCTTCGTTTGAAACACTTTTTAACTTTGTACTTGTTGCCGTTTAGACTTCTCTCTTCCCAAGGTAACTGTTTTTGCCATCCCCATGTGGAGATCCAATTATGAGGTGCCTGATTTCACTTGAAACACTAGTACGCTTCTGCCTTAATCTGCCTAATGGATTGCGGGTCATTTCGCATTGATAGTTCCGTTTAGCCAAATTCGAGTATAAGTTAATTGCCGCCTCTCATCGAAATACATTGCATCATGATTAACTTCCAATCGCACTATGAGCGAGTAACAGAAGGATGATAGAAGAGGATGCGCTGAGAAGGACGATGCGGCCGCGCTCAAAATTTGAAGTTGCCCACATGCAATATATGATGGCTTGGTATGATACGACGGATCCTATCGCTCTGAAATTCGGCCACTGAAGGGCCAGATATGTTGCGGAACCATCCTGCAAAGACGTGAACTTCTTCCAATCATAGACGCCCACTTACCGCCGGGATCCCGAAGTCAGCCTCACTCTACTTTCAGCCTTGCCAACATCGAGGGGTTCGCGACGTACGATAAACGTCAGAGGGATCGCAAATTTACTGTCACAGCATCCTCAGTTAGCTTCATACTTGAATTGGTTCTTTTAGATGAATTACTCGATCTTACGCGAATATGGCTGGCCAGCAATATGCGCACGAGGATTATACGATCGGATGGATATGTGCTTTGCCAAAGACTGAACTCGTGGCCGCCGCAGCAATGCTAGACGAGGAACACCCAGTGCTGCCAGCGGCCGATCCGCATGACGCCAACTCCTATCTCCTTGGGAGGATCGGTGATCACAATGTGGTAATAGCCTGTCTCCCCGCTGAAACAACGGGCAAAGTATCGGCTGCCACAATTGCCACAGACTTGATCCGCAGCTTTCCATCGATCAGATTCGGGCTGATGGTCGGAATTGGGGGTGGCGTACCGTATTACGCATCACAGCGACAAGATACGGGCGGTGGAATAGAAGAGGGTGATCTTGATGATTCAGAAGACGAGATGGAGGAAATACCAGATATAAGGCTGGGTGATGTGGTGGTCAGTTTACACACGAAGACCACGGAAGCGGTGGTGCAATACGATTTTGGCAAGTCATTGCAGGCAAAGGGGTTTGTTCATGCCGGGGGCAGACTGAACAAGCCCCCGAACATCGTTTTAAATGCGGTTGCTAGGCTTCAAGCCAATCATGCTCGAGGACACCACAAAATCCCGGAGCTCTTATCAAAAATGCTTGCAGAAAATCCGGCTATGGCGAAATTCCAGCACCCCGGTACCAGAAAGGATCGCCTGTTCAGAGCAGACTTCTTCCATCTAGAAGGTCAAAAGTCATGCAAGGCCTGTTGTGGGCTAGATAATGCAAACGTTGTAAAGAGGACGGACAGGACTGATACAGCCCCAAAGATTCACTATGGTACCATTGGGTCTGCCGACCAAGTGATGAAAGATGCCATCCTTAGGGACCAGTGGGCACTGAAGAAGAGCATTTTATGCTTCGAGATGGAAGCTGCCGGTAAGTCGAGCACCTACTTTCATCGTCTCATGACTAACCTGAGATTTAGGGCTGATGGATTCATTTCCTTGCCTCGTCATCCGAGGTATTTGCGACTACGCTGATTCTCATAAAAATAAGGTGTGGCAGCCGTATGCTGCTGCAACGGCTGCGGCTTATGCAAAAGAGCTGTTACTAGTGATTCCTGGGCAAGGTGTTACGAAGTTATCTACGATCAAGCAGTGTACGTAATCGGGCTGAGAATTTGACACTATAATGTATTGCGTGTATAAAGTAGCTAATACGAAGTCGTTGGATTATCCTAGTATTGCATCTCTCTGACCAGATTGGGGCAATTGACTCTCGCCTTAAAGAAGCTTTCAAACAACGCGAGACCCACCATCATAACCAAGTCATGCGATATCTGACCGAGGACCAACGTCGCTGTCATCAGGTATTCAAGACGTCGACTTATGAAAGGTTCAAAAATATCAATCCCAACCGAGTGGAAGGAACGTGTGAGTGGGCACTAAGGAGCCCTGAGTACCTGCGCTGGTGGAATGCCATACGCAACGATCTCCTGTGGATCTCGGCGGACCCAGGATGCGGTAAATCTGTACTCGCCAAGTCATTGATCGATGAAGTGTTTCCGCTCTCTGACTCGAATGTCTTCATTTTATATTTTTTTTTTAAGGATAACGACGAGCAGAACAATCTGGCCACCGCGTTGTGTGCTGTGCTTCATCAGCTATTCAGCTTGCAGCCACAACTGTTACGACAAGCACTGCCGTTTTGGGAAAGAAATAAAGAGAAAATTCAGAATGAAGTGGACGACATGTGGCGCATTTTCATGGCCGCCATGTCCGATCCCGCATTCAGGAATACAATCTGTGTATTCGACGCCCTTGATGAGTGTCGTGATCATGATCAGAAACTCTTGATTGAGAAACTCGGTGACTTTAATAACAGACGTCCGGCTGGTCAAGGAAATTGGCTGAAGTTTCTAGTGACAAGTCGACCATATGATGATATTCAAGATCGGTTTCGGCCATTGACTGAGCGTTTTCCGCAGATTCATCTCCGCGGTGAAGAAGAGAATGATCAAATCCATGAAGAGATCAATCTAGTAGTAAGAGTCAAATTGGCTGAGCTAGGGAAGGACCTACGTCTGCGTGCAGACACGCAGGAGCGGCTCGAAAGAGAGTTATGCGAAATGAAGCATCGCACATACCTGTGGTTGTATTTAGCAATAGATGATATCAGAAGAACGTTGAAAAATAGTCTTCGGCCAGACCATGAAACCATTCCACCACTTCCGAAGAATGTCCCTGAGGCATACGAACGAATACTAGATCGAGTTCCTTCAGACGAGAAAACCAAGGTGGAAACCATTCTGCGAATTATTGTTGGCGCATGACGTCCACTAACTGTTCAGGAGATGGCCATGGCTTTAGGAGTGGCGACAAGTCCGTCTGCAGAAACAGCAACAGACGCCGGCCTGAACCCTAAAGGATTAGACAAAAAGATACGACAACTGTGTGGGCTGTTTGTTTTCATCAAGGAATCCAAACTCTATCTCATTCATCAGACTGCACGAGAGTTCCTGATTAGCAAACACGATAGCTCTGCCAACGTCCATTGGCATCTGGAGCAGCGCAAAACAGAGATGCAAATGACTGAAATATGTGTCAAATACCTTCTTATGAATGATCTGGTCAGCAATGGGGAAGAGTCTGTACGGAGCTTACTGGATTATTCTGCAGAAAATTGGGCCGATCATTTTCGAGACGTATTATCCCCGGAAGATGAGGTAGTGGATAGGGTCTGGAAGCTGTATGATGTCACAACGGAACGATTTCGCTTGTGGTTTCCTAAATTTTGGAGTGCAGTAATGTCACATCGTGGAGACCCGCAAATGAAGGCGTTACATTTGGCTGCTTTCAATGGCCATCCAGACGTACTGTACCGGGTAGATGTGAATAAAACAAGTGCAATTGATCTGGTCGACGGGTCAGGGACGACAGCATTACAATGGGCTTGTGAACAAGGACATCATAAGATTGCTCAGCTACTTCTCGAAAAGGGAGCAGACGTTAATGCTCAGGGTGAAAAATACGGCAATGCTCTTCATGCTGCTGCGCGAGGAGGAAACCCTAAGCTCATGCAGCTACTCCTCGAAAATGGAGCAGACGTCAATGCTCAGGGTGGAGAATACGGCAATGCTCTCGTTATTGCTACTCGAGAAGGGAACCCTGAGATTGTTCAGCTACTCCTCGAAAAGGGAGCGGATGTCAATGCTCAGGGTGGACAATACGGCAATGCTCTCCAGGCTGCTGCTCAAGGAGGACAACTTGAGATTGTTCAGCTACTCCTTAAAAAGGGAGCGGATGTTAATGCTCAGGGTGGAGAATACGGCAATGCACTCCAGGTTGCTTCTGGTGAAGGACACCTTGGGATTGTTCAGCTACTACTCGAAAAGGGAGCGGATATCAATGCTCAAGGTGGAGAATACGGCAATGCTCTTTTTCGTGCTACTGAAAGAGGACATCTTGACATTATTCAGCTACTACTCGAGAAGGGAGCATATGTCAATGCTCCAGGTAGATTCGATAGCAATGCTCTCTACGCTGCTACTGAAAGGGGATATCTTGTGATTGTTCAGCTTTTACTCGAGAAGGGAGCAGATGTTAATGCTCAGGGCGGAAAATATGGCAATGCTCTTTTCTGTGCTACTGAAAGAGGATATCTTGATATTATTCATCTACTACTCGAGAAGGGAGCAGATATCAATGCTCCAGGTGGGTTCGGTGGCAATGCTCTCCTCGCTGCTATTCAAGGGGGACATCGTGGAATTGTTCAGCTATTACTCGAAAAGGGAGTAGATATCAATGCTCATACGTTATTTGGAAATGCTCTCTACTTTGCTACTGAAAGTGGACATCTTGAGATCGTTAAGCTATTACTCGAGAAGGGAGCAGATATCAATGCTCAGGGTGGACAATATGGCAATGCTCTTCAGGTTGCTGTTCAAGGCGGGAAACAAGAGGCTATTCAGCTATTACTCGAGAAGGGAGCGGATATCAATGCTCAGGGTGGAGAATATGGCAATGCACTCCAGGTTGCTTCTGGTGAAGGACACCTTGGGATTGTTCAGCTACTCCTCGAAAAGGGAGCGGATGTCAATGCTCAGGGTGGACAATACGGCAATGCTCTCCAAGCTGCTGCTCGAGGAGGACATCTTAAGATTGTTCAGCTACTACTCGAAAAGGGAGCGGATGTCAATGCTCAGGGTGGAGAATACAGCAATGCTCTCCAAGCTGCTGCTCGAGGAGGACATCTTAAGATTGTTCAGCTACTACTCGAAAAGGGAGCGGATGTCAATGCTCAGGGTAGAGAATACGGCAATACTCTCCAGGCTGCTGCTCACGGAGGACACCTTGGGATTGTTCAGCTACTCCTCGAAAAGGGAGCGGATGTCAATGCTCAGGGTGGACAATACGGCAATGCTCTCCAGGCTGCTGCTCGAGGAGGATATCTTGAGATTATTCAGCTACTCCTTAAAAAGGGAGCGGATGTTAATACTCAGGGTGGAGAATACGGCAATGATCTCCAGGCTGCTGCTCGAGGAGGACATCTTGAGATTGTTCAGCTACTCCTTAAAAAGGGAGCGGATGTTAATGCTCAGGGTGGAGAATACGGCAATGCTCTCCAGGCAGCTGCTCGAGGAGGATATCTTGAGATTATTCAGCTACTCCTTAAAAAGGGAGCGGATGTTAATGCTCAGGGTGGATACTATGGTAATGCTCTCCAGGCAGCTGCTCAAGGATGGAATCCTGAGATCGTTCAGCTACTACTTGAGAAGGGAGCAGATGTTAATATTCAGGGTGGAGAATTCCGCAACGCTCTCCAAGCTGCTGTTCAAAGAGGGACTATTAATATCGTGCAGCTACTCCTCGGAAAGGGAGCAGATGTTAATGCTCATGGGGGATACTATAGTAATACTCTCCAGGCTGCTGCTCGACGAGGAAACCCTAAGATTGTCCAGCAACTTTTCGAAAATGGAGCAGATGTCAATGCTCAGGGTGGAGAATACGGCAATGCTCTCCAGGCTGCTGCTACTAGCGGATATCTTGAGATTGTTCAACAACTCCTCGAAAATGGAGCAGATGTTAATTCTCAAGGTGGAAAATTCGGAAATGCTCTCCAGGCCGCTGTTCAAAGAGGGAATATTAAGATCGTGCAGCTAATCCTTGAAAAGAAAGCAGATGTTAATGCTCAGGGTGGACAATACAGCAATGCTCTCCAGGCTGCTGCTCAAGGAGAGCATCTTGACATTATTCAGCTACTACTTGAAAAGGGAGCGGATGTCAATGCTCAGGGTGGATACTATGGCAATGCTCTCCAGGCTGCTTCTGCTGAAGGACAGCTTAAGATCGTTCAACTATTACTTGAGAAGGGAGCGGATGTCAATGCTCAGGGTGGACAATACGGCAATTCTCTCCAGGCTGCTGCTCGAGGAGGGAACCCTGAGATTGTTCAACAACTCCTCGAAAATGAAGAAGAGAGCTATGCTTATGGAGGATACTATAGCACTTTTCTCCAGGCTGATATTCAAAGAAGATATCTTAAAATTGTGCAGCTGCTCCTCGAAAAAGGAGCAGATGTCAATGCTCAGGGTGGAGAATACGGCAATGCTCTTCAGTCCGCTGTTCAGAAAGGGAATATTAAGATCGTGCAGCTACTCCTCGAAAAGGGAGCAGATGCCAATACTCAGGGTGGACAATACGGCAATGCTCTCCAGGCTGCTGCTAGAGGAGGGAACCCTAAGATTGTCCAGCAACTCCTCGAAAATGGAGCAGATGTCAATGCTCATGGAGGATACTATAGTAAATCTCTCCAGGCTGCTGCTCGAGGAGGGAACCCTGAGATTGTCCAACAACTCCTTGAAAATGGAGCAGATATCAATGCTCAAGGTGGAGAATACGGCAATGCTCTCCAGGCTGCTGCTCGAGGAGGACATCTTGAGATTATTCAGCTACTACTCGAAAAGGGAGCGGATATCAATGCTCGGGGTGGATACTATGGCAATGCTCTCCAGGCTGCTTCTGCTGAAGGACAGCTTAAGATCGTTCAACTATTACTTGAGAAGGGAGCGGATGTCAATGCTCAGGGTGGACAATACGGCAATGCTCTCCAGGCTGCTGCTCGAGGAGGGAACCCTGAGATTGTCCAAGAACTCCTCGAAAATGGAGCAGATATCAATGCTCAGGGTGGAGAATACGGCAATGCTCTCCAGGCTGCTGCTCAAGGAGGATATCTTGAAATTGTTCGGCTACTACTTAAAAAGGGAGCGGATGTCAATGCTCAGGGTGGATACTATGGCAATGCTCTCCAGGCTGCTACTCGAGGAGGACATTTTGAAATCATTCAGCTACTACTTGAGAAAGGAGCGGACGTCAATGTTCAGGGAGGGGAATATAGCAATGCTCTCCAGGCTGCTCCTCAAAGAGGACATCGTGATATTATAGGGTTATTGCAAAACCCCGACTAGCCAATCTTTGGAGCATTCGGAGATGGAGAATGGTTTTTCGCGGCCACATGCTGGTGCTGAGCGGGAAGGTTCCCCGGATTACGTGGGCACGCCACTAAGCAGAGATCCGGGGAAAGCTTCACTTTGTAGATTTTCGTCTCTCTCTCTCTCTCCATGCTTAGTTTCCTAGTTGCAAGCCTCTCAATACATTATGTTGATTTGGACCTTCACATAAAGACAAATCATATCATTCCTCCGTCTGCCTACAGTTGTCTTCCTAAAGTTGTCTGCCATTGATCAGGTGGAATATGTGGCTGGTTTACAGGCAGAAAATCATGCTAGTGGGAGTATTGGTTCGATAATTCCAATTTAGTTTACGATGTGTGCCTAAATCAGCACGAGATGCTGGCTATTCACGGCTCTTAGCCCGTCTCTACTTCTTTTCGTTGACGGCTTCAATTTATTACAATAGTGCACCGTCAGACACGATTTCTTTCGAAATGGGAATCGTTGAGCAAATAAAGCCTCGATCTTGTCCCACCTGAGCTCTTGAGCCTTTAACTTGATAATAAATGTACCCTCCTCGGGCAACTATGGAGTCCTTATTGCAGGACGGGCTCTCCATTGATGTATCCGGGGAAGTTCTATTTGTCTGCCTACGACTGATGGCAAAAGATGCATCTGTGAAAACTCCACGCAATTAAAGACCTCAGATCCACTAGATCGTGACCGAAGGAAGCCGTGGACAGGGATTGGCACACTCTCTGCGCTTAGATCTTCCGGCAATACTCTGGCGGCTTACCACGTGGAGACTCGGTGGATAATTGTCTAGGTACTCGAAAAGCAGATGAAGATTTATCTAGAAATCTCCGACGACGCGTAGCTGGACGCAAACTCTTGCCTGCTTTCTTTATCTCGGAGTAATCTGAGTAGTCTGCGTCGTTCTCGTCGTCAGAGGGAGCCGAGTTCGATTCATAAGAATCTCCGGCGATACCATCTGAGTAGCGCAAATGATTCTTGACTACGAGAACTCTCAGGTAAGATTCATGAGTAAATCATCACCTCTGCCAATCTTTGACGTTTCGTCGCTTTAAACATCACTATAGACAGCTCGTTGACAATTATCACACCCTCTTTTGGTTTCATTTTGAACAATTTGGTTGCATCTCCCTATATACATTGCAACAAACTGTCATCCACATAAGGGCGAAGCTTCCGTTGAAAATTGCTTTACTTAATGGCCTTATCCATCCTTACTGACTTCGTATTGGACTTCATGTACCTATAACACTCTCGAGGTTGCTACAACTAAACGTTGCTCATATCAGATTAGATGCTTATACCAAGCCGATTCTGACTACCAGCTTACCGGTACAGTAAAAGAAGAAATAACCAGCAATACTGTTCACCCTAACCCTGATTATTGAGAGTTATTGGAGGATTTTCACCACTAGCACCAAAGAGGAGAAATCGAGTATATGGGTGAAAAATCAGTGTAATATTAATCTGCCTGTTCTCTCATTTCTACCTGAGATTTCTGTCCCTTTTATATGTGCGAATCCTATACAAATAACCGACTGCAATTCCTTCAATCTGTGTGTCGGAGAATACTCAAAAATGCGCCTGTATTAAGGCTTCAAACTGTATCAAATAGATTCACGCGCCATATCCCTTTTCAGAGTAGTGGTAAAATATGGCCGACAACAGCACTCTGTCTAAATACGCTATATTCCAAAGCAGGGCTTTATATAAGCTTTGGCGGTGATTTTCCAGCTATCATGAGGGGCGAGCAACGGCGGCTATATGGAGCCTTGGTAAGATGCTGAATTGTAGGTGCGTAATACATTCCTTGAGATGACCAGTTAACCTACGAGATCGAACAACTTATTCTGAAACTCGCTGAATTACGGGATATCAGACGCATCCTTCCATCTGTCTGTCATTAGCTGCCAGTAATAGGGTGGCATAGATCGCTTGTTTACAGGGAAAAGTCGTGCTCCTAACTACTGCTTATATCAATCTACGATACGGCGCCAATATTAGTACAAAAAGGTCGTTATGCACGGTTCTTGGTCCGTCCTTTTCTACCTCTTTTTGACGACGTCTTTGATTTAGACTTGATCCGTCCCTTTCTCCCGCTCTTTAAAGACGGCTTCAGTTTCTAACACGATGCTTTCCGATACGGAAATCGCTGTGCAAATAGAGTCTCAATTTTGTGCCATCCAAGCTCTTGGGCCTTTAAATCTTTGATATATGCCTCCTCCTTGGGCGTATATGGAATTTTTGCCGAGAGATGGTCTGCCTGCTGATGTGGCTGAGTAGGTTCTGTTTGACTGGCCGCAATTGATGACAAAAGAGCCGTCTGTGAAAATTCCACACAATAGACGATATTAGATTGAATATATCGTAATCGAAGATGGCCTTGGATGGGGGTTGGTTCACTCTCTGCGCTGAAATCTTCCGGCGGTGACTCTGGTAGCTTCACAGATGGAGACTCAGAAAATGACTGTCTAGGCACTTGAGAAGCAGATGAAGCTTTATCTAAAACTCTTCGAGGGCGTTTAGATGGACGGGAGCTCTTGACTGTTGTTCTTATCTTGCAGGAATTCGAGTAGTCTGCGTCGTTCTCGTTGTCAGAGGGAGCCGAGTCCGATCCACGCGAGTCTCCATTGATACTATCTGAGTACCGCAGATGATCAGAGGTCAGTTGAGTGCTCAGTCGAGTCGACTTTCTCCGCAAAGAAACCGGACCGGATGGAACTGGGACCACGACAAGTGGAGCTGGCGGATAAGAAAGGCATGCTGATGGACTTCTCTTTCGTTTTGCTGATTCTCTTAATTCATTTGAGTTGGCACGTTTTGAATCTCCTGTATCTCCCTGCAATTCGGTGTCTTCACTTATCGCGGTGCTGCCGCCGGCTTCAGGAGTATGATTCTGAACTTCGTTTGCATGTGGAATCTCCATTTGTTGTCCATTGGTAACAGATGAATGTTGTGCAGAGTCCGGTGTGGTTACATCTATTGATTCTGTATTCAACTCATTGGACATTGATGCAGCTGATTCAGCTGTGCAAGATGCCAACGGAGAATCCCCAAATGTAGCTGACGCGATTTCATTGGTTTCGTTCTGTGGATGTGATTCATTTCGTGCGACTGGCTGCACTGGCTCATTAACCGGTATTTCTAGAGATGCTTGGACGGTGAAGCTGGGAGACGGCAAGATGTCTGTCGTGTGACTAGCAACATCAGGATCAGGCGAAGTTGCTTGACCACAGTCCTCGTCTCTATTATCTACTCCACGTTAGTCAAGCACGATCTATGTATACGATTTATCAAATTACCTTGCTGAGAAATGCACATCGAAGACTGTCCATCATCCTCACTTTTGCCATTATAAGAAAAGAAGTCATGTAACACTCGATCAAAATCATTCTCATGTGCCGGATGGGATTGGGCTGTATGTGGCGTGGTAGTGGGGAATTGTAAAGCTTTAGATTCTGCATGGCGATCGGAGGAAATGATAGTGGGTGGTCGGGGAGGCAGAGGGTGAGGTAATACTGGCTGTGGTAATAGAGGGAAGAGGGTTTTGGCAGGGGTTAAAGAGGTAAATTGTGGTGTTTTTGATGCGTGATGGGGGAATGAAGTGGGCTGATGATTGAGGGACTTTGTGGGCCGTGCTGGGAGAGAATGCGGACGGTAAAATCTGATTTCATCCAAGGTAATCGCCATGATAGCATTTTATCAGGGGGGCTGTAGCAGAAAAAAGCTGGCTTCTTAACCAATGTTAGGCTTCAGGCTTCAGGCTGTGAGGGTTTATATACCCGTCTCGTGGTTCAGGAGCTGGTCATGATGATCAGTTTGGCCATATATTCAGTAAGCCGCTCTTGCCGCCTTATTCGCTAGCACTCGATTGAGATGCTACTGTTGCAATGCAAACAGAGTTTTGGTCATAGATAGAGTGACCGTCCTCCAATCAATGAACAGAAACTGCAGCTCAAAAATGAGAAAACGGCTCAGCGGCACACTCAACACGGTTCATCCTCGCGCTCGGCTTTCTTTTGTTCCACAATTGAGGCGATGCTGTTCTCATTCATGCACGGATTATCCCTCATTCAGCTTTCAGCTGCTACCGGACATGGTATCCAGTCGTCTGATTGGAGATTTGAAGTCGGTGAAACTCAGACTCGCTAAGCATCCTTGCATCATCTCCATGATTAATAAAAGTACCATCCACTTTCAAGCAGGCCCCCTTTTTTCATTCCGTGATTGAGGCAAGTTTCGCCCCATCAGTGAACGTATTGTCCTCCGAGTCATCCGCTGTCTTGTATGGATCAAGCCATCTCATTGGAGGTCGAGAGTCAGCAAGGCGAGTAGGGGTGGTAATCGCGATGCTCTTAGTCTCCATCGCGATATGCCTGGTGTTCCAAATAGACTATGCGGTATTTTTGCCATTGGTCTGTCCTCCAAGAAGGCGTTGGTAGTGACAACGGTCATGCACTATCACACAGATAGGACCGCGTTGCGCCATAGGTCAAGAGTCCAGGCCTGAAGTGGCTTGTTTCGAGGATCTCCACCACCACGTAAGCGAGTCACCGGATCAACAGACTCGGCCATTCGATTAAGTTAAGCGAGCAGTGGCCACGGAAAGATGTCCCTGCCTGTTCGAGTCGGGTAAGGAAGGAAAATTGCAGTCGAGTTCACGGGTTTTGAGTCCCAAGCCAGGTAATTCCAGCATATGCTGTGAGTAATGTAGTACGATAGCGTTCCCGAATTGTATTTAGTCTTTTGTCTGAGCAACAGAGTAATCGGATTATTCATTCATCGTGTCATGAAGGGTCAGCGCTGTAGGCATAGAGTGGATCTATAGAAAGAGGGGGAAACAATGGTGTGAGATCGGCAATTTCAATAGTGTCTGACTAGGCAGACACATGGTGATGCTAGACTGCTGCACAGGTCGAGGGATGAGGAACGGACGTGGAAATGAAGGTTGTCGTTTGAGGACGCACTTGCATTTTATATAGGCCTCATCGGGTGGGGCGTCTCCCGTTAAAGCGGCAAGACAAACTACTACTGCCACGGCCCCGCGCTAAACGGGATCGGGTAATAACATTTTCCGTTCCGCGTTGTGGTTGGTCGGGGGCCGAAAGCTGCGCCCCGCTAACCATCACACAGATTACTCAAGTTGTCAAAGCTAAGGGGTACTTAGCACGGTTAATTCAAGACGATAGAATAAACTAAATACACGATAAATGAGTGTCCTTATTTATTCCATCATCATCATAGAATCCATAGAATTCCTCTGATTTCTCTGATCCTCGGATCATAGCTATCATAGAATATCTCTGATCTCTCTGATACCCTAACCCTAATGGTTACGGATAATCCTTGCTTCCGTAGTGCAGTAGTGTAACACTATCTAGTCAATCCATTGGCTGCGGATTCTTGATTCTTCTGACATCTAACCCTCTTCAACTCACCACCACTATTCTATAAACTCTTATTTATTCTTCTATCTTCTAATATTAATACTATCTCTCTTCTTCTCTTTATACTACTATCCCTAACCCTATCTCTCCTTCACATTATTATCTCTAATTCTATCTTCCCTTCATACTACTGAACCCTATCTCTTCTTTACACTATCATCTCTAATTCTATCTTCTTTTCATATTATGATCCTGAATTCTATTCTTCTTGTGACGCTGGCCAATACCTTGCATTTGTTGCTAACTAGGTGAGCCTATCTACGAAAAATAACAAGCATGAAGAAGGAAAGAAGAAAAAAACACAGCGCCCCTCTACGCACAGCTCCTTCATATGATCCTTTGTGTGGACGGAACTTCCCAATACAGTACCGCTCCCAATATAGCATTGCTTAGGGCTCAAGCCCTATCTTGAGATAGCGGGAAAAGCCTCCTAGGATGACACTGTACGGAAAGCTCCGCCGCCAAGCCGTAGAGCTGTCAAGCCGCAGGGCTGGCTGTCACATTCTAATATATGATTAACCATATTTCTATCCTCCTAACATACTACCATTTCTAATTCTATCCTCTGAATATATTTCTTGATCTTTCTTCTCTATCTTTGATGGAAATTGCTCCTACTATGGAATCTATTCTCTTCTATATATATCCTCTTTCTTATTCACTCCCTTAAATTCTAACCCTAAAACTCCATTCCCATGCTCCTTCCTCATATATATTCTTTTCTCTTGAATCATGCATTTCTTCTCTTAATATCTGGACCCGGCCCCTAAAATATATATTTAAAATATATAATCCTTAATCCCTATTCTTCATGGTATTTTGATGCTCTATTCCACTCCACCATATATATCCTACCACCGCCAATACCGGGAAATCATCCCTTATAAAAATCCAAAATCCATCATATGAATACAAATATATGTAACAACCAGCAGGCTTGGGGGTCTCACTATTCTAAGAAATGCACCCATGACGTCTCAAGTTGGGTTTCAACTACAGCAGGAGAAGGTTTATATGTTCGAGGATGGTTTCAGCTCCACCTCGACTGTTGGAGCTATTCGGAATAGGGAGATCTGGTATAACTTATATGTCTATAAAGATAGCAGATGCTCCAGGATAGCAGAAGATAGGTTTCAGTACATTGACATTCCATACCCTACCTTATGTGCTTAGCCTTCAGTGATCCCTCTCGAACATAACTATACATATCCCTCGTAACGTTGTTACAACTCTGAAACCTCTATCCTTCAAGACCAATCACAATGGCAGTATCTACAAGGAGAATTACTCGTTCAGAGCCTTTGGACAGCCAGAACGACCAACAGGACAATGGAATGGGCGTTGATCCTACTCAGGGACCCACCAAATCCAGCGACAATAGCGAAACCCAGGATGGCGAAGTGGACGTCCACCGACCGATGGGACTTCGCGAGATGCAAGAGATTGTGGATAATCAACCACTGTCTACCGAACAACTTCGAGTCCTTACTGACAGGATCTGGGTACTCGTGAAAGCTCGTACAGGAAAACGGGCTAACGAAAACACCGACGATGAGGACGACAGACCACGTAAACGACGAGCCGATCATAACCTTAAATACGATAATATCAAAGAACTCAAAATAGGTACAACCCTCAAAGCCTGGAGCGATTGGAAGATTGAGATCCAACAAGCTTTCGATGCATCCCTATATAAATATGACAACAACCGAACCAAAGTAATCAAGGCACTGATTCACCTTCATGAAGATTGCAAAACAATGTGGAATAACCATATCCGCTCTGCTCCTGACGATAAATATAACTGGAAAGCCTTTAGTACCTGGCTCAACTCTACTATTCAGGACTAAGGAAATGATGAGATCAAAACACAGATTGAGTGGAGCAAGGCCAGATAGAGATTTGATCAAACCCCATAGGCTTTTGACGCTTATCTCACAAGCCTTAAGAGAGAAATGGAGCCGAAGAATGAACGTACTCAAGCAATGGAATTCTTCAGCCGGTTGCGACCAAGTCTACAGCGTGCCATTCGACTCAGCAGAATCAATCCATTGCCTCAAACTCGACAAGCAATGCTATCTCTCGCCACACGTATGTGGGAAGAGATCAAGCATGATGAAAAGAATCCTAGAAAGAAGGACCCTAAAAAACCAGAGACCAGGACTGATAATCCAACCACCCCACTTGTTTCATCAAAGCATGCCTGAAAAATGGACAATAAAAATAAGGACAAGGCCCAGAATAAAACAGGAAAGCCAAGAGGCCCAAAGGAATTTGCCTCGGGCAAAAATGAGAAAGGAGAGCGAATTTGCTTCACTTGTGGTAGTACAGAGCATCTTACTAGCTACCATAAAAAGGATAATAAGGGAGATGCTAAGAAGAAGAAACCAGGCATTCACATCATCTAAAAAGTTGGCCGGAAGAAAGGTCATAACTGAATGGCCGAGCAGGCATGGGACCTTTCAGACTCGTCGGGAAACAAGTAAGGCTCCCTTCGGGTCCTGAAGAAGAGCCGCGGATGCATACAGGGAATTACCTACGCACCATGGGCCAGCTAAACGTCTTGGACAGCGATCCAGAGGACGTAGAGATCGCACTGGATACGTGCGCAGAAATCGACACGATTGGTATCGACTTTGCAGAACAGCGAGGACTGAAGCCGTATATCAAAGGGTACCCTAAGCTATAGCAGTCAGCTGGGAATGTTCAGCACGAAGCGAAAGGGGCTTATTGGGCCACATGGAGTATGACTGACCATTATGGGGTCACTCATTCCTATCGAAGGCCTTTCCTAGCTGTGAATAAAGCGCCAGAAGACGCACCATTGCTCTTAGGAGAACATACACTGGGAGAGATTGGAGTTAATATCTTATTATGGACAAAAGAGACTAGGGGCAACCAGTGGCGATTCCACCTACCCACCAATGGAGAACCAACCGAGCACTATGTAAAAGTCGAATCGACTAAGACATTCCAGAAGAGACTGATGAAAGGACTAAAGGTATACGCACTCATGGAGTATAATCCACTACTTGACAAGACTAGCTATATAGATAGCAAGGATAGTCTGCCAAGTACCTTGAAGAAATATACCGACGTTTTCTCTCCTCAAAATGCGGAAAAGCTAGCACCAAACTGTGAAGGAGTTGACCTAGCAATTGAGATCCAAGAAGGACAAGAACCGTCATATAGGCCACTCTACCCATTGTCACGAGCGGAACTGGAAGTCCTACAGCGCTACCTCCAAGAGAATCTCGAGAAAGGCTTCATCAGACCGTCAAAAAGTCCAGCTGCATCACCGATCCTATTCGTACCAAAGAAGGACGGTACACTGAGACTCTGTGTTGATTACCAAGGCCTTAATAAAGTCACCATTAAGAACTGATACCCATTGCCATTGATGGGCGAAATACTGGACCGCGTGAATGGAGCCAGAGTGTTCAGCAAGATTGATTTGAAGGATGTATACTATCGTATTCGAATCCAGCCAGGAGACGAGTAGAAGACGGCATTCCGCACCCGTTATGGCCATTATGAGTACTTAGTGATGCCGTTTGGGCTGACAAATGCACTAGTGGCATTTCAAGGTTATATTAACCAGGCCCTGAGAGGTTTGGTTGATGACTTTTGCATTGTATATCTGGATGATATCCTGATCTTCTCCAAGACGGAGGAAGAGCATATAGAGCATTTGAGACTTGTATGTGAATGGCTACGAACAGCCGAACTGTATGCAAAACCCTCAAAGTGCCAGTTCTACTAGAATGAAATGGAGTTCCTGGGCTTCATCATCAATGACCAGGGAGTCAAAATGGACCCAGAGAGAGTCCGAACAATTAGCGAGTGGAAGGAACATCCACCAGGATTGTACCAGGATGTTCAAGTGTTCCTTGGGTTCTGTAACTTCTACAGAAGATTCATCCAAGGGTATTCGCGCATTGCCAGGCCACTTACAAGCCTGATGAAGGGCAGTAAGGATGGCAAGAAAACTAGTGATTTCCGCAGGGAATGGGGTAACACTTAGCAGGAGGCATTCCTTGAGTTATTGAGTGCTTTTGAAACTGTACTATTGCTGTAACACTTTGATCCAGACCTTCCAACACGGCTGGAGACTGATGCATCCAAATACGCGCTTAGTAGAATACTATCGTAGTTGTTTAAAGAATGATGGCACCTCATTACCTTCTATTCTAGACAGTTCAAGGGTCCCAAACTGAACTATGGGACACTAGACTAAGAAATGCTAGCAATTGTGGGAGCTTTCAAGCATTGGAGACACTACTTGAAGGGTAGTAAGTATCCAGTGGAGATACTGACGGACTATCACAATTTACAGACTTTTATGAAATAGTCTAGGCTAAATGGTTGTCAAGCACAATGGTGCTATTACCTTACATCATACGATTTCGTAATTAAATGGCGGTCGGGATCAACAAATCCGGCAGACGCGCTGTCACGAAGACCAGACTATATAAGACAAAATCAGAAGGATGATCCAGAAGACTCATCCTTAAGGTTGTTGATGACGCTAGGGGTAAAGATCGCTCGCGTACAACAGATCTGCACAAGCTATCGTCGGAGGGTGATGCAATCCCGCGATAATGAAAATCCTCAAGGAAGTGAGGAAGAGAAGACCTGCAAGGTTAGCGAGGAGTCAACGCAAGCAAGTGAAAAGCCACAAGATATGGTCACCTGTGTATATGATAGTGAGTCGGGACGACAGGTGCAAGGTCGGGCTTGTGAATACGACAGTGAGTCGGGACGACAAGTGCTAACAGAAACCTGTGTATACAACAGTGAGTTGGGAAGACAGGAATCCAAATGGCAGAGGGGGACAGTGTGTCCGGGCCCGTTGGGACCCTCTGTAACACCCTAAGGAGATGGGGTTGAGACTGATCACCTCATTTAGTGTGTATTGACTCAGAAGGTCACACGCCAAAGGGCTCGGCAGGCGGTCCTGAATGAAGCACCACGGCAGGAACCCTCAGAGGGCCTGCGGCAGTTGGTAGCAGCTGCCCAGATGGAAGATGCCTTCTATATGCGGGTAGACAAGGACCTCAGCGAAGGAGACTCTACAAGACTGCACTATGGCTGTACAAGTGACGGAGTGTTGCTGTACAAGGGCCGGATACTAGTCCCTAATCAAAGGAGTCTAGTACACGAGATCCTAAGGTTACACCATGACGAACCATCCGCCAGGCATTGGGGAATCCAAAAGACATTGGACCTCTTGCAGCGGAAGTTCAAATGGGAGGGCATGAGACAAGACGTCGAGGAATACGTATAGACGTGTCTAGTCTGTTAAGGAAATGCCGCTCCAAGACATAAGCCCTATAGGCAATTGGATCCCTTACTACAGCTAAGCAGGCCATGGAAGGAGATATCAATGGATTTCATCACTCAATTGCCAGTATCCAAAGTAGGGACAGAGGAATATAACACCATTCTGACAGTCGTGGATCGATACACTAAGATGGCTATATTCCTGCCTGTCCAGGATACTATTGACGCAGCTGAGATGGCGGAATTGCTCCACAAAGAAGTTGAATTGCGATATGGATGCCCCAGTGGGATCGTATCAGACAGAGACTCGAGAATCACTAGTAAGTTTTAGGCTAAGATATGCCACTATTCCTTTATCAAGAGAAGAATGTCTACTGCTTTTCATCCACAGACCGATGGCCAGACAGAGATCCTAAATAGGATTATCGAAGGCTACTTGCGAGCATTTACTAGCCTTGAATAAATGGATTGGGCAAAGCTACTGCCTACAGCCGCGTTTACATACAATAACAGCATGAATCACACGCTTTGCGTATCCCCGTTCAAGGCCCTATATGGGTTTGACCCGGAATTTCACATCGACGTTGCGGACAACGTCCTAGAAGGGGAGATACCTACAGCCAAGGACCATATTCAAAAACTCCATAAACTTAGACAAGGACTGCGAGACCAGCTGAACACGGCACGGCAACGTCAAATTGAATACTATAACAAGCGACATACGCCGAAGACCTTTAAAAGAGGAAGCCTAGTGAAGTTATCGACACGGAATCTGAAGCTTAAAAACAAGAAGCTCCAACCTCGATTTGTTGGCCCTTTTCGAATTACAGAAGTAATAGGGTCTCAGGCATATCGACTAGCACTTCCCCAGCAATACTCACGACTTCATGATGTGTTCCTAATCCAGTTGCTCAAAGAATACCATCCTAGGAAGAAACAAGAGATAATGCCATTACCAGAACTAGAAGACAATCCTGAGGAATATAAGGTGGAAGAAATCCAAGATAAACGAATGATAAAGGGAAAGGTTCACTACCTGATCAAGTGGACAGGATGGCCTTCGGAATACAATCAATGGATACCAGAAGATGATATGAATGCACCAAGGTTGATCCAAGGTTTCAAGAAATCCCGAAAACGCAAAAGAAGGTGAAGCCAGACGATGTACTATAGTGGTTTTTATCCGATATCCTCGGTTTTCCCACTATATGGATCATACCAGATCTAGCAAATGCGTACTTCATGGCTCGCGTGGACGCAAGCCCTTGAAGAGGGGGATAGTTGTAACAACCAGCAGGCTTGGGGGTCTCACTATTCTAAGAAATGCACCCATGACGTCTCAAGTTGGGTTTCAACTACAGCAGGAGAAGGTTTATATGTTCGAGGATGGTTTCAGCTCCACCTCGACTGTTGGAGCTATTCGGAATAGGGAGATCTGGTATAACTTATATGTCTATAAAGATAGCAGATGCTCCAGGATAGCAGAAGATAGGTTTCAGTACATTGACATTCCATACCCTACCTTGTGTGCTTAGCCTTCAGTGATCCCTCTCGAACGTAACTATACATATCCCTCGTAACGTTGTTACAATATAACCCCTCCATGTGGTTTATATAAATATATAAAATACATCCATCTTTTCAATAAATTAACATAATGGAACTGTCACCTGGCTTACTGACTGAATGGTCAACTGATCCTCTTGTTAAACCGTCAACTGGCCCGATTACTTAACTGGCAACTGGCAACTGACTAAACTGCCCACTGGCAACTGCATAACCGCCAACTATTAAATGGTTGAACTGTCAACTGCCAACGGGCTTCCTGCCTGAACCGTTAACTGGCGACTTGCATAATCACCAACTGTCAATTTGCTTAACCACCAACTGCCCAACTTACTCAACTGCCAACTGGCTAAACCCCCAACTGTCAATTTTCTCAACTACCAACTGTCAAATCATTGAACCGCCAACTGTCACATGGCTCAACTGCCAACTGTCAATTGATTAAACCCCATTTGTTAACTTTCTCAACCGCCAGCTGGCAAATGGCTAAACTGTCAACTGGTTACTGCCTAAACCGCCAACTGTCACATGGCTGAACTGGCAACTGGCAACTGGCTTTCTTCCTTAACCTCTTTGCCGGCTCCATTACTCTGACTTGCTTAACCACCAACTGGCACTGGCTAAACCGCCAACTGGCTGACTTGCTCAACTGCCAACTGCCAACTGGCCCTACCGCCAACTGTCAACTGCCAACTGCCAACCTACTCAACTGTCAACTGTCAACCGTCAACCGCCAACTATCAACTTGCTGAATTGTCACCTGACTTACTTACCGAACTGTCAACTGGTGAAACCGCTAACTGGCAACTGCCTAAACCGCCAACTGTCAGCTTGCTTAACTGACAACCGTCACCTGCCACCTGGCTCAACTATGAACTTGATGAACGGTAAACTGGCTTCCTGGCTGAACTGCCAACTGTCAGCTTGCTCAACTGCCAACTGGCTGACTGGCTAAACCACCAATTGGCTGACTTACTCAACCGTTATATGGAAATTTGCCCTGCCGCCAACTGTCAATTGGCTGAACTGTCAACTGGCCCGCCTGCTTAACTGCCGACTGGCTAACTTGATAAACCACCAACTGCCAACTGGTTAAACCGCCAACTGTCAAATCGCTCCACCGTCAACCGGCTCTCCTTTCTCAATTGGCAATGCCCTTCCTGACTGAACCATCAACTGGCTTTACTCAACCATCAATGCCTTTGCCAGCTCTACTACCAATCGCCATCTCGATCAATCTATATATATTCTATCATATATACGATCCTAACCAATATTCCACTGCCACAATCAATATGTATAACCAACAACTCCACCATGCCAATCGATATAAACCAGCTTCTTGGCTCCACTGTCAATTGGCTTCTGGTGGAACTGCTAACTGGCTCCCTCGCTCAACTGCCACTGGTCAACGAGCTCAATTACCAACGGGCTCCCTGACGGAACCGCCAATTGGTAACTGGCCGGATCGCCAACTGTCTTACTGGTTTGACCGCCAACTGTCTTCCTGGCTTAACTGGCACTGTCTTCCTGGCTCAACTGGCACTGTCTTCCTGGCTCAACTGGCACTGTCTTCCTGGCTCAACTGGCACTGTCTTCCTGGCTCAACTGGCACTGTCTTCCTGGCTGAACCGCCAACTGTCAACTTGCTCTGCCATCCACTACCAACTTGCTCTGCCGTCCTGGTTCAACTCGTTTACCTGGCAATTGTCAATTTCTCTGAACTGCTACCTGTCAACTGGCTCAAACCCCAACTGCCAACTTCCTTGACTACGAACTGCCAACTGTCGACTTTCTCAACCGCCAACTGTCAACTTGCTCAATCGTCAACGGTCAACTGTCACCTTGCTTAACCGCTAATGGGCAACTTGCTGAGCCGTCAACTATCAGCTGGCTCAATCACCAACTGTCAACCTGCTCAATCGTCAACTTCAACTGTCAACTGGTTTAACCACCGCCTGTCAACGGGCTTAACCGCCATCCGGCAACTTTCTCGACCAACTGTCGACTTTCTCAACCACCAACTGTCAACTTGCTTAACCACCAACGGCCCACTTGCTCAACCGCCAACTGTCAACTGTCAACTGTCAAACGGCTCAACCGCCAACTGTCCACTGGCTCTGCCGACAACTGGCAACTGGCTCAACCAACCGTCAACTGGCTCAACCACCAACTGTCAACTGGCTCCCTCATTCCACTATTAACTGGCCAATGGGCTTCCTGGCTGACCGGCCATCTGGCCAACCGTCAATTTGCTGAACTGCCAACTGGCTTGCTGGCTTACTTGCTGACCCATCTGGCACCTCGCTAAACCACCAACTGTCAAATGGTTAAACTACCAACTGTCAACTGGCTTAACCGCCATCTGGCAACTTTCTCGACCACCAACTGTCGACGGCCCATTTGCTCAACCGCCAACTGTCAACTCTCAACTTGCTCAACCCTTAACTGTCAACTTGGTCAACGTCAACCGTCAACTGGATTAACCCCCAACTTTCGGCTTTCTCAACCACCAACTGTCAACTGGCAACTGTCAACTGTCCAATGGCTGAACCGTCAACCGTTAACTTGCTCAACTGCTAACTGTCACCTGACAACTTGCTCAACCGTCAACTGCCAAATAGCAACCGATTTTTCAGCTGAATTACCAATTCGCTTCCTAGTTCGATCGCTGGCTCAATGAATGGATATCTATTCCTTGATTCTGATACTTCTGAATTATAGTATACTCCAATCCCACAGATTAAGATATATAACCGGTCGCAATATAATCCGGGACATGATCCGTCAAGGATATATGTACGAAATGGAACTCATTTCACAATATATACATGTATCTTGCTCAACTACGAGCTAATGACAGTCACGAGGAATATAAATAACAATCTACAATTGGTTTTGAGAGTCCTGATGCACTTGATCCAATCCTACTCATACATATCGTCTCTTCTGGGTGGATGATTCTAGATTCATCCTCTCCACCAACAGTCACTTTCGCGGCCCAAGCTGGACCTTAAAGCTAAGGAATGAATGCCATTCCTAGCTAATAGCTCGATATTGCATCCGGCGCTCTTCAACATGCCCTGGTGCTTCCTTTAAACCTCGCGCGTAGATTGTGCCTGCTGTCTATGATGTATGACTTCCTTGCTGATCTGTCACCTTCTCGTTGACCCCATAATCCCGCTTAAAACCACCGCTGAGGAGATGGGCGCGAGAGATCGCAATCGCTGCGTGCCGATAGTAGGTGATGTTCCATTTGGTTTGGAGATGCTGCCGCGCCTCTCGTTCCAGAATCTTGCTGAGGTAGCTGCTGTCTTCCCCTTGATGAGCCTTGGGCCAGAGAAAGGGGGAGGGCGCCTCTGTCTTCCCAAAGGCAAGGATCTCCAGCTTTTCGCAGAAGGGAAGGATCAACCAGAGGTAGTAGATCATCATCTCACTCACTGGCTGTGGCAGATATCGATGGATAATCTTGGTCGATCCAGTGACATGATAGCCCTTGTGATAACTGGTTACTGTGCTGACCAATCCCTGCTCAATAAAGATACTGCGATGTCGCCTATGGACCGTATTGCGGTGACGCAGACTCAATATCTCTGTCCCTCGCGCGGGCTGGCCCCCGGTAATATGACACAGCAGCAGGAGCAGTTCTAAGAACTGATCGCGGTCTCGAAGATATGCTTATACTGTAGGAATCTTCCACTGGACCTGATAGCCAGGTTGCTGGATATCAAGAAATTCCTCCTGAAGCCACTCGGTTTTTAGCACGCGGTTTAAGAGCCATCGCTGCCCATTTGGAAGAGCCTCCATATTTTGTACATCTTGGAGAAAGTTCCAGCTACAACGGCTCTCCGTTGGATCATCCTTTAATTGAGAGAGAGGAATGATAGGGACGACATCCTCTCGAGTCTCCTCATCATGGAGAAGAAACAGTGTCTCTAGACTCTGCTGTGCCTGTCAAATCTCAGTCTGAATAAAAAGCCGGAAGGATTCCATGGTCATATCCAGTCCCTTGTAGGTGAGCCATTCTTAATCCTTAGACCAATAGATATAACCAAGACTGGTGGTGGTATTCTGGATCTTTTTCCCATACGTGCGGAGTTGTGTAATCCAGGCAAATAGGCTTCGCGTTCTGTGAATTAAGAATCGCTCTCGCATTTTATCAAGAGCATCTGCAGGGTGCTCCACCTGGTCTTCGTCAGCCTAGATAATAGCCTCCTGAACCACAAGCATCTGGGCCATCTTAACCAGACCAGATAGTGATGGGGTATATGAATATGCATCCCGAAAGGTCCGTTTCTCTGCATCAACGCCTAGCATAGCAAGAAAGACAACTACTGCGCTTTCATAGAGATCTCCTTTTAACGTGTGATCAAGCAGGGCAATCGAGAGACGGAGACAGGCCTGGTCCAGCAGCGCTTGGGCTTCAGCCAGGGTCAACCCTCAGATCACAGTGGGAAGCGGCCGTGTGATTTGGCCTTAATAGGCTAATACCTCAGTCCCATAGTCCACTATCTCATCAAGATGCTGGAGTTGCTGTGGGGTCAGCCGATGACGCAGCTGGACAGGCTGCTCAGACTGGGTGGAACGGTAGATGAAGGAGAGGAGCCGTTGCTAGAGATGTTCATAATTCCGATAGGTTGCCTTCTTTAATCTAATAAACAATGGCCGATCCCAGGCCCGTCAGTGTTGTAGGAAACTATTAATCTGGACTTGATCAAAAATATTGATCTTATCCTCTTAAATTGATTGATATGCTTGCTGGATAATCTGACTGACACTACTAGCAAATTCTGCTAGAAGTGGTTCCTGCAAGGGATCAGGCCGTGCTCCTAGCGGTGCTACCTGCTGAAAGGAGTATCCACAGAGATAGTCCCCCTAGCGGGTCATCTCAAGCCAGGGAGAGGCCTCAGTTGATGTACCATGGCTCTAGATAGTATTACTTGCAGTGTCGATGATCGCCTCACTTCTGACTAACATGGTATTGACCTCAGCTTCGATCCAGTTCGCCCCAGATCCTGGTGCGGGAGGCTGCTCGTGGATCTTAGAGGATAAAGGGGTGACAGCAAAGTATTAGCTTCCTGCGCCAGCGATAAAGAACCATTGATAGTACACTCTAGGGTATATATGGACATAGTGGGTAGAGGCACGCGGATGACCCTTAGGGTTCTTCGGGATCTCTGGATGCTGCTGACGGATGTGTCGTCGCATGGTTGCTGCAGCTCCAGTCACATAGGAACATATTATACTGGGGCATTGATACCCAGGAATGACAGGAAGGCAGGGAATAGGAGTACTTATAGTAGATGAAAATTGTAGGCTCTCTTTTTAAGGATCAATCCAAGGTTATTTTAACATTTCCTCTAAGATTTGCTGCTGCTGAATCTGGGTTTTTACTCGATAATTATGGCCATGTTTTCTTATTAGATGTGCTAGGAGATGGGATGGGGACATGGCATATCAACAGGACTGGCAGATCCAGATTTGATAGTCTAGAATGTACCGGAATAGCTCCATCACATCCAAGAATGTGGATATGGCCACTTTGGCTAGGATAATAAATATACAGATAGAGAGAGAGAAAGTAAGAAGTCAAGGACCATCAACAGAATCAAGATTAGAAGGAATATTTAAGATCTCCTTGTAAGGTGCGAATTATCTTGATTCTCTCTCTCTCTCCATCTAATGCGTTCTCATCATTGCTTTTTCCTCCCGTCCACTCCATCAACGCGACGCGTTCTCATCTTTTGCTCCTTTTGCTTTTTTTCTTTTTTTTTCTGGGTGTGGATTGCGGCTCCGGCAGTTAGAGCGCATGAACCCTAACCCTAGGAGTGGGGCGCGGGGAGCGGCAGCCAATCAGCGGGCGGACAAATGGATCCTACCCAGGATCCAATTGCCGATAGGGTATAGGGTAATTCTTGCACCATTGAATTCTAGAGGCTTGATCTCCGAGAGTCGTGTTTTTGGCTTCGCTTTAAAGCTTGCCTCTTACAACGTGGCTTGTTCATCTCTGGAGAACTTTTCTGTACAGATAAGAAGTGTGTCGTCCATTTGTATTCCTACAAGTCCAAATTCATTGTCTCCTAGCTTTGAGATAAGAGGGCATGGGTTGTATGTCGAGGCTTCCATGTTTAATTTGTTAAGATGGTGCGCCTGGTATGTTCCAAACCAATGAACACCTGCCTCAGGGATCCCATATAGTGGGCCTTCAACTAATAGGAGTGAATCTGGTAGATATTTATCCTGCATTTCAATGGGAAGATTGGCGATAATTAGACGCTTGAGCTTGGTCTTCGCCTGCGTGTATGCTTATGTGATATCCTGGATCTTAACAACCATTCCCATCTCAATGAGTGTAGGGATAAGCGACACTAATAAGTGTTGGCTTACACACTAGATTGTGGGTGCCTGGGTCAAGATCTTATCCTTCCCAGCATCGTTATATCCTTGTATAACAAGTCAAGATTTCTTATAGGGAATCTCATTCTTGCCCTTTATCTCATTAACAAGGCGGGAATTAAAAATTCTGATGCCACGCAGGTCTATATCGGCACGGTGAAGGATCTTAAAGGTCCCATTTGCTATCAAGCTGTCGATCTCTGTTTTGCCTAATAATTCGAATAGCGCGCCATTGGTGGCGATCTTGCCTTCACGCTGCAGCTTGACGGCAAGTTCAAGGTCGTCCCTCTCCTTTTTGGATATGAACACTTTGGCGTACGCTTTTGGCTTATTTTTAGAACCACGCGGTCGTCCTCGGCGGCGTGGCAACGCAGGCATCTCGGGGGTCTGCGGTGCGTGGACTCCTCTAGTCTCAATACGGTGATTCGGATTTGCAGGATGGTCTTGCAGTCTTACTCTTACTCTAGTCCTCGGAGTCTGGTCGAAGTTGACTTGGGACCGACTGTCCTGGCGATTGAGATCCTCTTGGGGGGGAGAGAGAGGCAATCTAATCAGGCGATCACTCTCATCCTTGCTATCATGTAAATACTGCTGTACTGATGTTGCCCTGAATGCAACAGCACCATTTCCAAGATCTACAGTCACGTCATGGCCATTGACTGATATAACTTTGTATGGTTCTGACCAACTATCTCCTTTGCGCCATACTTTGACTTTGCTCCCTGGTGCGAGATTGAGCGTTTCCATGATAATTGGGCCGTTCCTAGTGTTAAGTGTGTCATTGACTTGTCGCTCTGCCACCATACATCTTAATTTGGCCATCACCTTTCTCATTGCCTCAGCACGTCGAGCAGTTAACGCGGATAGGGGTGAGTCAGTCGTTATGCATAGGTAAGTGTCAAAAACGAGTACAGTTAGAACTATTCTATCTGGTCCCACAGTATCATTGATAGCTTTGACAGCCATCTGGAGGATCACATCCTTGTTGACGCTAGCACCTAGTTCTGCCGATATGATGTTGTATGCTCTACGCAGTGGTGCATAGTAACGCTTAACTTTCCCAATTGCATTGTGTGCTTCCACTGGCACTTGGTAATATTGGATTCCCATCATCTTAGCCTCAGTTTTGAATTCTAATGCGGCAAAATTGGTTCCTATGTCGTGTGAGATGACATCAGGAGGGCCAAGATAGGTGTCAATCCACACTACCTGGAGCGCTTCCCATGTATCTTTTATAGATAAAGACTTCAAGAATCGTGCGGCCTGGAAGGACGTCGTCTAATTGACAATATGAAGTACTAGCTTGCCATCTAAATATATAACATTAGCGACAATCTCATAGTTAAACTCACAATCATCATTCAATATAAATTTAAAGCGTCATAGTGCCTGCCAGTTTATTTGGCAGTAATGGCAAAACTTCTCAATTTCTGCAAGATTGTTGTAATCTATATCGTCATGGCCTGCTCGTTTTAAAAGCTTGTACAAGCGATTAACCGCAGGATGACTAAACCAACAATGAAGTTGTCTCATCTCAATCTCTGTGAGAAATGTTACTGGCGCCTGCTTCTTATTAAGGAAGAACTATGGGTGGCCTCGCTTTCTGATAATTAGGACCTGTACGTCTCCCTTTACCATGTAGTTTGCAATGTTATCTAGGTAAGTGCCATGTTTATCCATATCATCTAAGCAAAGCAAGAATGGGGTTGGCATGGTTATAATATGAAAATCAACATCACTAATTGGGGTTATTATGGTAATAGCACCTTCAGAGTGAACACTCTCACCTTGGCCAAATCGAATTGAGTGCTCTCCTGCATGGGTCCTATTAACGGTAATCTCTGGATAGCTTCTCTGTAAGGCAGCAAGTTGACGTCGGCCAATAGTTGATACCTTTGCTGCTCCAGTATCTGGAAGAATTCCTTGGAAAATCTCGCCTTCATGGTGTTCAAGTACAAATTGAGAAGCAGGTTCTAGGAGGCCATCCTTGCGCTCTGATTGATCAAGCTCTCTTACCTCCAATTTGTGGTGGAATCCTTCCTGATCGATATCGTCATGGTATCCACTTATCCAATGGATAAAGGAACAATCTTGCAGTTTGTTGATCATGAAATAAGCAGTGGCGTTGTCCTCAATGTCGTCTTCTTCTTCAATGTTATCCTCCTTACTATCTGACTCAATTATACAGCCCTTTTCAAAGTCTATAATAAAGGCGCGATATGTGTGGTCAGAAGCGGAGCGTCTACCATCTATATGTTGATAATCATTAAACTGCTCTCTCGCTCTGCGGCGCTCCTCATCAGAGTGTTTGAATGAGCGGTAATTAGATCTGTGGCAGATCCAACACTTTCTATTATCTTGTTAGCAGGAATTACAATCATCATATCCCTGGCGTCGATATTCTTGACGTGGGGTTTGTCAATTATTCTAGTTTGTGCGGCCCAAGAACTTTCTATCTATGTATAGCGTCATTAGATTGTCTTCTCCTATTCCATTGGGAGCTGAGTTGGCTTTAACTTGGATTAGATATTAACTGGCTGACTTCTTTCCTTGGACCACAGCGGCCCTGGCACGGAGTCTTGATACCAACGTCTCAAAATTCGTTGCAGGATCACTAAGAGCGTCGCTCATCTCAGGCGAATCTTGACAGGCTCTAGTGACAGCAGCAACTAGATGTTCCTGGCCCTTGTACGCATTTCCCAGGGCACATTGGCACAAGTGAAGTTTCTTAATAAGGATTTCTACTGCTTCCACCAGCGTTTTGCTGGGGTTGTTACGGAGAACGCCTTTTAATGTGATCGACGTCCAGTCCTGGTAGTACACCTAATGGTTGGAATCTATGTCAAAGTACGCCTTTATGGCTTTGTACGCATCTGTAAATGAAGCATCTTGACCAATATAGTGCATGTAGTAGGTTTTTGCACGCCTAGAAAGCATCTTGGGAAAGAGTATCTAACATTGCGTTAATTATACTCCAATCAATTGACAAACTCTCAGGAAAGCAAGGACTTTGTTGTCTAGGATATCATATCGTTCTCCTGAATAACTCTCTGCCTTGTCCTATGCCTTGGAAAACTTTGCGGCCAACGACGGGTCAATATCCTCTTGTTCATACTCTGTAGGCGGCAATCTCATGTACTCATCAAGTTGCCTCGCAGATGTCAACGACGTAGAGGGACGCGGAGGTGGTGTGGTAGATATCTTGATTGGACTGGGGGCCGGTGTCCCTATCGGCACTGCGTTGGCACCAGTCAAGGGTGTACGACTATTAAGATCTCGGACATGAGTCTCCAGCTGTAGGGGGTTATTGTTGATTCTTCTCTCTAGATCTCTCCTAAGTGTTGTCTCTTCCTTTTCCTTGTTAGAATAAGGCAATCCAATAAGGTGATTCCTATTATAATTCTTAATTCTCTTAGCTGGTGGGGTGGTGTCACTCCTTGGTATTAACTGAGCTTGTTGACCTAAGGCCATCCTTGATCTTGAGTTAAATTTCTTGCCAGCGATCATGTCATCTGGCCATCTTGGGGGAATATCTATCTGAAACAATTCAACTAATCCTTCTGAGATGTTTTTCTTACCTCTATGGTCTAAACATACACCACGTACCTGAAGGAAGTCTTTTAGCTTGCTTCTAGTGGTCCTGTCAAGCTTATTGAATTTGACCAGAGTCCATTCTTTAAAGTAATTATGAAGCTATTTAAATAGTTTATAGTCAAAGTGATGACTGACAGCAGCCTTGTACATGGCCCTTATTATGTAGTTGACCAATGCTTCTACACTGTCCCCCGGTCCAGCATCCTTTTCCCACAAGGTTAGGTTGATCTTCTTATGCCTGGTGACAGTATTAAATCTAGTCTCTGCCATAAAGTTATCGTCAGGAATTCCAGTAGGTTCTGACTCGGCTTCACTTTGATGGCTAGTAGTAGACTCAGACTTCAGGGTCATTGCTTAGCAGTGGTTATCTTAAATTATTAAGGGTTTAGGAAGCCATTATTCTCACTAATCTTGGTGATTTCCTTATTGGGTTGACTCGGTTATCTTGATGATTGATTGTTTGGTGTTGACTTTCGAACGTGTCAACGATGTGGTCTCGCGATAGGGCAGTATTATGGAATATTGACACCGTAGGATCAACCTATTCCTAACACAGACTGCCTAACATTATCTCTCAGGGGGGAAAGTCTTGTAGCAAAGATTCAGTTTGTTAGAGATGTGACGCTGTAGAATCTCCCTCTTCTACTTGGTTCGTGATGCAGTCAACGAAGCCTGGAATCAGATTCTTTATAACCACAAGTAATTACAAGAAAGAACCTAGGACCTTGCCAATCTATCTTGATATTGCAACTAAGACTGATCAGTGTGGGTGCATAAAGCACGTGTACACATTAATGTACGTACGTACGATGGATGGTTAGCAGGTACTGCAATTCTGTATGGGTTCAAATGTGTGTGATTGTAGCTATCTAACTCACGCCCCGACGCGGTCTTACATCCCTCTATCCTAGACGAGGTCACGTGACGCCCTGCAGCTCAGTGCGTTGGAGTGAGGCATCTCGATTGCTTCCACAAAACGATTTTCGAGTTGAAAGGCGACTTCCTTATAATTATTCATATCAAACAGTCGGAGGCTCAAAATCCTCAACCCTCTCTACCACCTAGCTCCCAGGAGTGCAGCCTTTGACGCGTCTCAACGCGGCCGGCAACACCATGGCGCGTAAAGGCCCTAGTACAGACGGCCCTCTACAGACAGCCCTTCTGGAATCCACGTCTGCAGCCACAACAAGAGCTTCTAAAGGACAGAAGATCTTCAGCCCCATAGCTGTATTCCTTGATAAACACTGCAGCCAAACCACCGGCCTTGCTCCTCACCTACTGAGAGCCCTCACCACTCTAAGCGATAACCTCGCCTCGGTAGCTCAACAACATTTCAACGCTTATATCAGTGGTATCTCAACAACCTCCACTCTACCTGCCCTATCTCCTTCCCCTTCCTCTTCCTCCACCCTAAATCCCTTACCCCCTTCATCCCCTCCCTTACGTCCCCCCTCAGGTCTTAACCAGTCAACTTATGCAACTATTACCTAATATGCCCCAGTTAAATCAACTCCCACCACTCACCCTAAAGCCTCCATCAAAAAGCCTATGCCTCTGGTAAAACAACCCCTTCCTGACATCTGGCTCTTTGTATGCCTCCCAGCTAACCATGCAGCCAGAAAAATGGAAGCCTACGCTATCTACTCTAGCCTACAATCTCAACTAAACTTAAATAGTGTAGCACTAAAAGAAGTCCAAGCTATAAAGACTGGCTTTGCACTATGTCTCTCATCTCCAGAAGCCCTCCTAGCCCTTGAGGCCCAAAAAGAGACTATCTCTGCATTCTTTGTTAACTGCTAGATAGAACGCAGCTCCTGATGAGTCTTGTACCGAGTCACTAACATGCCAAGGAAAATTGGCCAAATCTTGGATGGTCAATACTCTCTAATCCCTGTCAATCCTACACTACTATTCTTAGAAATTAGCGAAACAACAGGGCTCAAGCCTATATCTATTAGCGAGACCACTACAAGCGCTGCCAATCCTGATACTCTCTCCTCAAGCTGGTTTATCAACTTCCCAGAAGGCACAAAATTACTACTGCCTATCTAGCTACGTCTTTTTGGCACTATCACTAATGCTTGTCACCTCTCTAAGAAAATAACAGTTATTCAATGCACACAATGCTGGAAATAACATAATGCATGATCCTGTGCACGCCCCTCTCGATACCAACTATGCGGCTCCTCAGAGCATACTGAAGAGGGCCATGTCAACCACTGCACAGCTCTAGAGCCTCATCAATGCTCTTCTAGATGTATACACTGCTATAGACTACATCCAGCTGATTTCACAGAATGCCTTCTACGCCCTAAAGGCAATACTAAACATACTAAAGCTCAACAAACAGAGATCCGCAAATCCTGCACCATAAACCTTGCAAAAGCTCGAACTGAAGGAGGATATAGCTCTTAGCTCTCCATAGGCACACAAGAAACACCTATAGCATTAGATGAGATACTATCATAGCCTTCAATCTATAAGATTATCTCTCCTTTCTATTCAGTAACCCCCCCACCTCGCGCCCTAACTAAAGATCCTCCCATTACAGCTCGTGCAGTCTATTTTATAACCCCTTAACCACAAAACTGGTTTGCCTCTCTTCTTGAATAGGAGCTATAATCTATCACTATCCAATTCAAAAGGCGCCTCTCAAAATCCTACAGTTAAATGTAGGGTATGTGCTAGACGCATATGAAATAGCCCTCACATTGGTATACACTAGCGACATTGATATTATTCTAATCTAAGAACTATATACATTCAAAGACCTTAGCCGACAGATCACTAAAAAACATCCATCATATGAATGCTTCTCCCTAACTGATAGCTAGGCAATAAGTGGCCAACCACGAGTCCTCACCTATGTCCGAAAGAAGAAAGGCATCCGGACCTCCCAGCTACGCCCCTTTACAACTGACACTAAAGAAGCCTCGGATCTCCTATTCCTTTAGATTTTTTCGCCCACAGGAAAGTCCACTCTGATAGTTAACATCTATAATGCTCCAGCAGGCTGCAGTAGAGCAGGTGAAGCCGCGAAAGCTCTCACAACCCTGCCAGAGGTGTATTTCCCTCAAACAACGATACTTGCAGGCGATCTCAACCTACTACACAACAGATGGCAACCCTCGCTACAACACAGCCCTACAACTTTTGCAGAGCCGTTTATCAACTGGCTGGATCTCCAGGGTCTAGTACTTATTTCCGACATAGACTGTCCTACACATGAAAGGGGTAACGTGTTAGACCTCAGTTTCGCCTCAAGCCCTCTGGCACTCGCAGGAGCCAAAGCTAGCATAGCGAGCCACTTAGATGCTACTTCAAATCATCAACCACTAATTACCACTGTTCCATGGGATCAGAGATACAAGAAAACAGCTCAGAAACTGAGATTTGACACACTAGACCACACCTCCTTCCTCTCGCTCCTCACCTCTAATCTTACTGGCACCGAGAGCTCAGCCGCAACAGAAGAAGATCTTGATACCCTTGCTGAAAAACTGACATCTGCAATTCAAGGAGCATATAGAGGCTCTGCTAAGAGAACTATGATACAAGGCATAGGACAATCATAGTGGAACGAAGACTGCAAGAAAGCTTTACACAATTACCGCTTAGGCCTCTGCTCAAAGACAGACTTCCGCAGGATAACTAGATGGTCTCAACGACAATTTTAGCGAGAGAAGCTCTCTATAGTAACACAAATGAAGGATATTTTTGACATGAGTAAATGGCATAAGTCTACAGGCATCTTCCAAAGCCCTCCACTAAAAGATCCGCTAAGGCCCAATAGCCTCCCAGCAGTTACTGTACACGAGAAACGAGACGTACTAGTCCGCAATCTTCTTTAGAACTCGGCAGAGGCAGGAGACATACCTCTGGACTCCCCAGCAGTGCCTTCCACTAGTCTCTACTTCCCAGATATATCGATGCTACAAGCGGAGGAGTCAGTACTTCAGGCAGGAAACACAGCCCCTGGCGCAGATAAAATCCCAACCTGCATACTCAAAGTAGCCTGGCCTCTGATCAAAGATAAGGTACTAATACTATATCAAGGGTGCCTAAAGATTGGTTATCATCCTAAATGCTTTTGACACGCAATCTTAGCAATCATCTAGAAACCAAAAAAGACTGATTGGTCTTCACCTAGATTATATAGACCAATCGCTCTCCTATCAGCACTTGGTAAAGGACTGGAGCGCTTGGTGGCACAGGATATAGCATGGATCTCTATATACTATAAAGTATTAGCAAGACAACAATTTAGGGCTCTCCCACTAAGATCTGCAACTGACCTGACTACATGCCTAATACATGATGTTGAACAAGCACTAAATCAAGGCATGACTGCCTCACTCCTTACCCTAGATGTCAAAGGCGCCTTTGATTCTGTACTTCCCGGCAGACTGATCCGCAGACTACGCGAGCAGGGCTGGCCTACCAATCTCGTTCTCTGGATTGCCTCCTTCGCTACTGGAAGATCAGTTCAGATCCGACTCGATGGAGAGATTGGCCCCTCAACAGACATTACCTGCGGTCTTCCATAAGGATCCCCAGTATCTGGCATTCTTTTCATGCTCTATATAGCGCCTCTATTCCGTCTAGGAAACCCAAGGAACAGATTTGGTTACGCGGACGACGCAGCCAACCTAGCGATCTCAACTTCTCTTGCTACTAATTGCGAAGCCTTATTAGACTTACTTCAAGAAGCTCTTAATTAGGGCGCTGCAGAGGGCATTACATTTGCACCAGATAAATATGAGCTTCTTCACTTCTCCCAACATAAAGCAGACCAGGACCCAACCCACACATCTTCAGTGAAAGCTGGATCTATTACAATATCAGAAAACACTAAACAGCTATATCTATAATGGCTAGGAATCCTCTTTGATAAAAAGCTAACATTCAAATGGTACGTTAGAGAAACAGCATCTAAAGCCCTCACTGTGGCCAACGCTCTTTGCTCTCTAGGGAATACTATTTGAGAAGTCAAACCTAATTTACTACAGCAGGCTGTATCAGCCTGTGTACTCCATAAAGCATACTATAGCGCAGAAACCTGGTGGCCAGGACGTACTCGCCCTGGACCTTCCTAGATTTCAAACTGAGTTGGAGAACATCTTGAGAAACTAACTAAAGTAATACTAACAGGCGCAAGAGCAGTCCTTCCAGTCTTCTGCACAATCCCAAAGCCAGTCCTTTATCGAGAGTCTGGATTCTCTCCACCAGAAATCGAACTAGATCGAATAGCCCTCCTTGCAACTGTCCGCCTACAGCGTCTCAACCCTTATCACCCACTTCGAAGACGCGCAGAACAGATCACTAGTAATGGCCGACAAATCAGCCAATTTGCCCGCCGTACACTGGCCCTCCCAAACTCTGAACAGATAAACCCTCTCCAATACACTCCCTGGCACCCTCGCGAGCCTCGTGGGAATGCTCAAGCTTGAATAGGAGCTCCCATGGGACGCACTAAGGAACAGGCAGCGGCTAATTTCATGGCTTTTCAACGTACCATCCCTAGCTCAGATATTATAATCTTTTTAGATGGATCTAGGCTAGCAGACGGACGTGCAGGGGGTGACTATATTGGACTTCAAGTACACCATCAGTTCCTCCGCTCCTCACTCTCATACGGACACGGGAAAGAGGTCTTTGACGTAGAAGCAGAAGCAGCTCTAGCTAGCACTTAAGCAGCAATAGCGTACCCAATAGCTTAATTTGCTACCAATCTATAGATCTGCCTTGACAACCTGGAAGTTGCTATACACCTTCTATCTTCCTCTACAGGATCTTCCTAAGAAATCTTTGAATCCTTCCGCACCCTTGCAGCTGCCTGGCCACTTCGCAAAAGGCTTCCTCACACTAAAAGTGGATCTATCCAAATACAATGGGTCCCTGGACACGCCAAAATCCCTGAGAACGAAGCAGCTGATCTCGCTGCCAAAGAGGGAGCTGCCTCAATCCCTCCTGCTCCTCACAAATCCTCCTACGCCTCACTAAAGAGATACGCCAAGACTCAATCCCTATCCGCTGCTCAGTCACAATGGGAGAAGGTGGCACCACATAGCTATCAAGATCTAGAAATAACCACTTCCCCTAAGCGCCCTGGGGAGCTTCAACTTAACCAACTTAACCTCGGCTGTGTTATTATGGCCCGTACTGGTCATAGAGACTTTGCAGACACCATGAATACTTTAACTATGATAATGCTTATCTTCTCTGCTAATGCAGAGCATAAAAAGCACCTCTGCACTTCTTCTTCTATTATATAGCTAAGAGATGAGCCCCTCGGCCTCCTGGGCCACCTTCTGAGGTTATCTCTTTTCTCTTAGGCACTGCTATAGGAGCACAAAAGCTAGCCACATAGCTAGCAGAGACCCACTTCTTTGAGGATATCTGCCCTTGCTAACCTCTCCTTAGCACCGAGCTAAGACAGCCCTACTCTTCCTTTATATTTCTCTTCTCCTTCTTTCTTTCTCTTCTCTTCTTTCTTTTTCTCTCTGCAAAACTTACTGTTCAGTTATAGTAGTGGTGGAGTAACAGGTCATAGAGTGTAGGCGGACCATTGTAGCTAGTAAATACCCAAAATCTACTCAAAGTGGACCTCCCTGTAAGACCACGGCAGCTATGGAAATGCGCCAAAGAGTCTCTTATGTGTACATAAATCTGATAGGACCAAAACCCGAGGCTTACCCCTCGGCGGCCTATGTCCCAGTAGGGATCGGTGGGAAGGGTGCGAGTCACGAACCACGGCCGTTAAATATACACACACACACACTCGATTGCTTCCACAAACCAACAGTTTCCTTTAATTTTAACAAATTCAATACAAGCTCGATATTGCTGAAAATCAGAGAATATCCAGTGAGCATTAATTGCTAGCATTGGTAGTGAATTCTGACTTGTCCAACCATCAAGAGATAGCACTATTGAGGAGGCTAAAGACATTAAGCCTCATAATTCACTATTAACAGCGTCAAGCCAAAGATTTAATCGACGTAAGATAGTATCTGCACTTGGTATAGAGTCCTAGGAACCAGCAGATCTCAACATAGTCTTAAATAAAGGCTGTTTGACGCATGTAAATGGCTGGGAGGTCAATATAATCCAATTTAAGAGAGCTTCCTCAAATGGAAGCTTTTTTTCCTTTGAAATCCATAAACTTAATGGTCCTTGGCACTCTAAAAGACCATCTTGTGAGAGCTTATGAGTCTGCTAGAGATGCTATTTTAATGCTGTAGTTAAAGATCATAGTTTAGATGTAAATCGAAAGAATCGACATGTAGATGGTAATACAACACATAGATGTTTAAGCTTAGGCCATTCATTATTCCCTAATTTCTAGGTACTGTGACGGCTGGGTTACGGGGCAGGATATCGTACGGACGTTGCCGGCACCTGGACGGAGCCCTAAGCCCTAAAAGGATGACCCTAACGGGGATATCCTCCTTTGTCTTCAGGATTTCCTAAATAGGCACCGACAAGGCCCCGGACGCACATGTAAAAAGAGTCCTTACGGGCGGCATAGCGAGTCTTCTCTCCCTCTTTCCCCATGCTTAGTTTTTGCTCGATTAGTTCTCTTAGGATAGAGAATGAACACCTTCACAGGTACCAGATTCAGGTGTTGTTAAGAAGTATTTCCAGATCCAGCTCCACTCTCTTAGCCTGATCTCATCTCTCTGCTTGATTTCGATACTCCCAGCCTCGCATTCCACCTGAGATATTGATTGCGAAGGGTGTATTTCTGTATTGAGGTTTAATAAACTCCGAGAAACATTACTGTCAGCCACTGGAGATCCTAAAATCCTAGTGCTAGGCGATTTTGTAGTATAGACTACTTTCTTTTTTCTAGGTGCTGGAAGTGATATATCCCCTTCAAAGAGACCATGTCCGTTAAGGGCCACATAATCGCGTTTTTTCTTTCTAGTATGGGGAAGTTCGAATATTAGAGCAAGTGGAGAAGTCATCTAGAATATGATATTAGTATATCCATCTTGTGCCTTGATTAATCACTTACTTTGGTTATATCTCCTTCAGAAGTGTTAGTTTTTATGACCTTTCAAGCTGACGGTTTGAAGTTGTTATAGATAAAAGCGCGTATCCGTAGAGACGTGTCCGCGTGGTTTATCCGCTAAGCCTAATTAATACTTGTAAAGTGTAAAGAATTCGGTGAATGGATCGTATAGACTCAGAGGAATAATATCATTCAGTAATAGTGATTAATGATCAATTGCTTGTTAGTATTGATAAGGAGTTGATTCGATGCATTGAATCTCTGTGTTCACTTATCTCTCGTTACATACAACTCAGGGGTTGAGACTATAATTAGCCTCGCACTGTTGGAACGCAATACGCTATCCCTAATTGGGAATCCATCATACTATAACATGAAGAAATTTCGAGAACTAGGTTCACATACTGACGAGATATAGACATCCAATCAGCTCTATATGGCTATATCTAGAAGGTTCGACTGGATGTCATCTCATGATCTAGTTTGTACAGGACCTCACATATAAAAGAGGTCAACATTCCTGACAAGTTTTGTATTAGAGAGTGTGCATCAATACATAGAAATTCTCAACTCTAAGTTCTTATTATTTGCCTATATTCCGTATCCATCCTAGCGTAACCGAGCTCCAACACGCACTAGTCATCACGTGACCTGTGATCATATTCTTTACATAAAGAACTGAAAACGAGAAGAAATCTGATTCTGATAACTAGCTGAGAAACTAGAAGCAAGGATAGAAAACAAGAGGGCTGCTGATTCCCAGGACAAATCGATGGCAGGATGAGCTCCTTATAAGCTTCATCCTGTCAGCATGGGGTTTCTTAATCAGTATCAGACAGTGCAGTAGCATCTAAATATAACAAACAAAGCACCTTTGAACATACAGAGATATAAATAACACAACAAGATGCGTAAAGAAAATGAGTATCAAAGAGTGCTAATCATAGAAATATGATATCCTCCGGAGAACTAAGAAAAGAACATCGCTTTCAATCGGTTAAGATTTCTCCAATCAGGGTTAGAGCGAGAGCGAACCCTGACAATACTGTTCTTTTACTGCACCTTAGTCCTCGACAATACTATGTATGCAAATAATATTTTTACTCTATATCAATTTATTACGTGTAAATGAGCGTGATCTGTCAGTTGATTTAATTTGAAGCAACATAGACTTAATTAAGGCTATTATGATGATGTTGAGGGAGTTTAGGGATAGAAATGATATATTCCTTAGATTGATCAATATAATTAAGTCAGGATTATTGGAAGTTTGAGGCTACAAACCAAGAATATCAAAGTTCGAACTTCTTCAGATTATAATATAACTATCTTCTACAATCAAAATATATATTTTCCCATTGTTACATGCCTCTCTCTCTAACTCTTCACAATATACACCACAATGGTTTTTCCCAGGCAGAAAAAAGGTGTAAATCTAGTATTACTGAGCAAGAAGGCTTATTCAGAAGATATATTTCATAAAAATACGTAGGGGTTTGATAGAAAACAATAGATTCGTAGTCGGACATACGAAACAGGTATAAGAAACACGAATTTATGAATATGTGTCAGCAGAGTTATCCATTCTAATTAGGGAAAGCGTGAGAAAGTTATGCATATGCGGGCCGTGAGGGTCGCTTGGCGGGTGACCCTCCAAAGATTCTATGACCCTCAGGTGCGGTGAGGGTCGCGGGTCGCGAGGAGGGACCCACGGTCCGGTTCATGGCGAGGTCTATCTGTCTAAGACTCTGAACGATTAACTCTTCTTATAGATACTGCCATTGTGATTGGTCTCGGAGGAAGAGATTTCAGAGTTATAATAACATTACGTAGGGTATGTATAGTTACGTTCGAGAGGGATTGCAGAAGGCTAAGCACACAAGGTAGAGTATGGAATGTCAATGTACTAAAACCTATTTCTTCTACCTTTACAGCGTGCATTCTATATAAGAGACATTCATATTGCTTTACAGCAATACATATTAACCATAGACAGCTGAACATTGACTATAGCCAGCTGAACCTTGACCATGACCAGCTGAAGTATCCACACTTTTGCCACTCTCTGTTCTAACCCTAACCCCTAGGAGGTTTATCAGGCATGTTGGTTGTTACAGACTAGCAAACAATGAACCATTCCTTTCTTCCTCTTCCCCCTCTGGATTTCTGTATATTTGCGAAGAGCATTGTGTGCTTGATTTTAGGCAGATCTTAGCTTCCTCAAACAGTCACGACACCGTGACTGCAAGTACTGATCCCCAACACCACGTAAAGGTGTCTGCCCGTTCGTTGGGGTGATGCGAGATAAGAGTAGGCAAAATCTATTGCATGTCTAGACAAGTACCGCATAGGGCTGATCCTCTTGATCTTATAGTCAAGTAAACTGGCGTGATTTGATAATGAGAATATTGATGCTCAGGGGGAAGCGCCGACAACACGCTTTACGGTCTCCTCTACACTCTCCAGCTTCAACCCCAATAAGCCATTCGCCAGCTGTTCATCTCGAATGTAATTTGCCCGAAGGTTTGGCGTATTACCGAGGCTAGTCGCCTTTACCAGCACAAACGCACCAGTCATGTCCCCCTTACCGAGCCTTGCCATTCCCTCGCTGACTTGTTCATCCGTAGTGGTTTGTGTGACAGTCCACTTGGAAGCGGTGGCTTTCTCCAAAGCTGCCAAAAGCTCGTTCTGCGATATCTCGACAGAGGCGATGTAGAGATTCTTGTTCGCTGTCTCTGCTGGACGCTTGAGAGTAGCAATTACAGCACGCTGGAGTTGGTCGACATTGGTCACAGTGAAGACGCTGTTGCCGCCGTCCCAAATGGACGCTGTTCGCGTTGGAAGGTCGAATCCCAGGAAACCGGTGGTCAAACACTGTTTCGTCGCATTAGTTCTCTGCCGTCAAGCCCATATCTACCTTGGAAGTATGGTTCCCTACCTGATCAAAGAACAATGCAGTCCAGATCGCAGTCCATGTCAACCCTGAGGCCTCCTTTGTTTTTAAATAATCCAGAACTTCCTTCTTCTGGTCAAACACCGGCAGCAACTGCACCACAGCCGGACTCAACGTGTTGGCCGAGAACTCGGATGGAATGAATCTCTTCACGCCAGCAGAAATAGCAGCATCGATGAATTTCTTCTGGTCGGTGAATGCACCCAAGCCCACGACAGAAATGACTACATCCTGACCCTTGAAGGCAGACACCAAGTCTTGTTCGGAAAAGTCGGATTTGCGGACAGTGACCCCTGCCGGGAAAGTAGCGCTGCTGGACGAGCGCGTCAGCACAGTGACGTTGAACTGTGATGAGCCGACGAATGCGTCAAGAATAATGCTGCCTACGTTGCCGCTGGCCTAGATTGGTACTTGTTAGATAACGAAATATTACTGGTATGTGGAGCCATACGCCAATGATTGCAACGTTCTTCAGCTGAGACGCCATTGTGTTCTTGAAGAAAGAGGATGCCGTTGTATTGCTATTCGAGGTTGAGGTCCTAGTGTAAGGATAAAAATCACCAATCGACCTCATCAATCGTGAGATCCTCGTTGCCATATTTATATGCAGATAATCTATCAGCTACAAAACTCGCGACATCCCCTCAAACAGCAGCTTACAAATGGATGCCATGCAAAACCGGATATAAACTGGCCTGAGCGGCTCAATTCCGCCCCTCCGATAAATACGTACATCAACGTTTTCAAGTGACTGTTACGTGACAACACCTCCGTCTTCCTACAGTATTACTTTCCTCTTTAGTATGACTGAATCCTACAACCTGCATTACAAAGCCCAGAAAGGTCAGTGCTCGATTACTTACCAGCAATGCGACATTAGTTAGAAGATACGCCGCACCTTGTGTCTGTCTTGAATTACAGGCAGCGCGCACTGCGGAGCCCCCTCCGAGCACACCTTGACTTAGTTATCAGCAAGGCGGATAATTTGTCAGCCACCAGATCAGAGAAGACGGAAGCACCACCGATTGGCTGGTGGGCGTGCTGGAGTTCGTATTCGTGTTCATTATATAAATATTGTGTATCGTGGACTCTTATTTCTTCGCACTCTACTTTATGCGCGCTCTCCCGCTGCGCGGTGTGGATAGGGGGCTCCCGCGTTATTTATCTACGCGTATTCTCGGGTTATACTACGAGTCGGATTCCAACGCGTAGAATAACCCATGCATATGGATCTACATAGTAGACACCATATCAAATCTCTCCACGTCAGTGGAGCAGTCGATTGAAAGATCGGCTGAGGCAATGCAAGATTCTTTCGATTACTACTGTATGGAAAGATGCCTAGGGGCTTTTTCAAAAGCTAAAGTGATCGCAAGAGGGATATCTGGATATGAAAACCACCCGACACAAACCTGTTCTAGGGGAGTGACAGGGCACCCTCGAGTTCAGCCAGCTCTGAGATTGAGATAGAACCCCCAAACATTATGAAGTGACTGATGAATCTATCTCAACGAGGGTAGGAACGAAGCCTAAGTGCTCTTAGGAAGTAATAGAAGTTGTTAAGGCTGGCAGAGAAGTGGTTGCCAGATGTGTTAAAGGCAAGGCCTACACTGAGACCGAACTACTTATCAATCTGGACAGACATAGCGCACCGCTTTCTAAGTATAAAGGCATATGGTGGGAACTGAGCTAGGTTAGTATGAGTCTACTATACAAGTATTATGCCAGGTGGGTATTACAAGTATTGACTTCTGCAAGACATGGTCGGCTGCTAGAGGGAGACTTCTAATAGTAACGGGAAACTACCTTATTATGGAAGTAAAGTAGCGGGCCGTAGCGCTATGAAGATGACCAGAGGGTAACTATGAAGAATATGTTCCTAGCTCGTACCTAGGCCATGGCTATCTCACTGGTATCTTTACTTCCAACTCGTACTTGGGCCACAACAGCGTGGTATCGCCGGCACTTGTACTGATATTTTATTGGTATCTGTGTTTTTAACTTGTACTTGGACCACTACTGTGTGGTATCGCCGGCATTTATATCTATTAGATTGGCAATGTGGTATCGCCAATATATTCTTTCTAGGAGACCTACGGAGATCTTATAGTGGCTCGAGAGGACGGATGCGCATGTCGGTCGGCTTAGAGAAGGAGTGCATTGTGCCTGAATCGTACTCAGGTCCCTGGGATATATATCCTAGCGCGGTATCGCCCATAATGCAATTGCCTTTGCAGCTAGCTTAAGGTGCAAACTCCAGAGATGTTGATAGCAGCAGATCTTTTGACCTGGGGATCTGCCAATAGGAATGGGTAAAATCACCACCGAAGTGAGAAGGCAAGGTGGAAGATGGTATTAGTATCGACCAGACTTATTAAGGCTTTACCACAGGCGACCGCGAGCCACCCAACCCCTATTGTCTCTGGCGCATATAAGGCTGATACACGACCTATGAAAGCGCCGGGTGCCAGAGGACCTGATTGGCTGGATTGAGAGCTTTTTAAGCAATCGCCGCACGTCAATCACGCTCCTAGAGTGCAATATGGGGGAATTTCCGGTCAATACGGGCATCCCGCAGGGCTCCCCACTGTCACCAATCCTATTCCTATTCTTTAATGCAGACCTTATTGAGCAGATACTCGCTGAGTGCCCGGACGTGGTCGTACTTGGATATATTGACGACATCTTCATCATGGCGTTTAGGACCTCCGCCGCAGCCAACTGCCGCACACTCACCAAAGTGCACCAAGTTGCAGAGCGCTGGGAGAGGACTCATGCCTCTAAATTTGCACCTGCCAAATATCAACTTACCCACTTCTGGCGGAAGCACCAAATGGTGCCTAAACCAAGGGGTAGGCTGGATGTGCCTCTCATAATCAAGGGAGTGGAAATCAAGCCTGTGGACTCAATCAAATATCTCAGGGTCTATCTGGATACCCACCTCACCGGGGAAGTGCACATACAGGAGATGAGAGAGAAGGCTGCAAAACTGGTGGCGGGATTAAGCTTAATCGCAGGATTGACATGAGGAACGCCCCTGGTTCATCTACGGAAGATATACATGGCTGTTCTCTAACCACAGATCATGTACACATGCTCCACATGGTATATACAAGGTGGAAGAGGCTTCACTGGTGCGCAACGGGCTGCGGAGCAAGCTATCTGATCGATCTAGGATCAGGCCCTTCACTAGATATCTGACGCCTTCAAACATACGTCACGACAGGCCCTAGAGGTCTGCCTCCACGTACCACCTGCAGAGCTCATACTCGCAAAGCTGGCTGAGGAGGCCTGCCTGCGGATCATGACCTCACCACTTTGATCTACGCTTTACCACATACATGGCCAACGTAACGACCCATACATGTTACCACTTCATCAATTAGAAACAGCTATCAACCGCAAACTTGGACACGATACTAGCCAACGTATCAAGACGATCTACCCCTTTATAGTGCTACCATGGTGGGAGCCACCAGAAGCAAGGATTGATGACACCCATGAGGAGGCTATCAAGGCTATTGAAGTAATCTCAGGAACAGATACAATAATACAGTTCTTTACCGACGGAAGTGGCTTTGATAATGGGATTGGGGCAGCAATCTACTCATTAATAGGATAGGCTTATAAGCCAGTAGGCTCATCTGACACATATTCTGTTTACACAGGGGAGCTGGAGGGAATCAACGCGGCATTAGAAATCCTACTCCGAAGCTAGCCACGCGGCGACAACCCATACGAAGCCACGATCTACACAGATAATCAAGCCGCGATACGCGCCACGTGCCAGCCAGGGCGGTCCTCTGGGCAGTATATCATCCGACGGATCGTACGACACCTGGGCCTCCTACGCGACAACCGATCTCGATGGCGTGTACGACTACAGTGGGACCCAGGCCACGAAGGGGTCCCAGGCAACGAGAAAGCAGACCAACTTGCAAAGTTGGCTGCAGTTGAGGCGACACAGCGTACACAGGAGAACGCCCGTATAGCCAGGATCAATGCACCTAACCAGACTACACCACACGCCGCACGAATGTCATATATTCCAAATCAGTCAACTATCCTTGTTGCAGTGTTGCCAGAGGCTACATGCAGGCTTTGCAAAGTGGTGGAAGGACCAGTAAGAGCATGCCAAGCATAGACGGCATCTCTATCAAATAATCAAAGAGCCAACGAAGATAGTGTTGCAGCTGCACGAAGAATTACGACGGGCTTAGAGTTCGGTGTTGATCCAACTACAAACAGGTAAATTAGCGCTACGCAGCTTCCTAGCGAGCGTGCGGATTGAAGACTCACCTCAATGCCAATGTGGCCTTGGAGATCAAGATATGGCCCACGTCCTCATACAGTGCCCTATTCATATAAACCTACATATGGAGACTCTCTGGAAAGAAGCACGCGAAACAGACTATCGGAAGCTCCTCAGCGAACCTCAGTGGGTTCAGCAGAGTGTCAATTTCATGATGCGGACTGGTCTATTGACGCAGTTCCGTCACGCAATCCCCCTAATAACCACGCGCTCACAGTGAGTGCGACATTATCTCGATGAAGAGTAACCACGTTGATTTGGCTCGTACGGATTAGCCACTTGACACGTTTAGAAATAGAACCGGACACCAAAGCACATATATCACGTCACTCCGCACCGAGATCCTTCACTCCTTTTGTATGTATACACATTTCCTTTGTTGTTTCGGCGTTCTGTTCGCTCGTTATTTGTTGTTAATGTTCTTCGGATCTGGATACGGATATGTGTTGGGATTTTCGCGTGGTGTTGACTGAGCCAGCGCCAAGCCGGAAGTCTTGGCACGTTGACGTTGATTTATGCTTTTGTACGGCAGTACGTCCGCTGCCCAATTAGACGGCGCCGCCGGCCACTAGGCTTAGATGCGTGTATGAATCAATCAATCAATCATCAATCATATTGTGTATCGTGCACTGTCCATGTGACTTACATTGTTCTCGTATGATACGTATCAGTTTATCATTGATTATAGGGAGCTGCTGGTCTGTACGCTCTAGTTAGGCCCCCCCCCTGGAAGGTGCAGTGGTGTGAACCGAATGGCAACATTCCGAAGTGACGATACCGCCGACCTCTCACGGACTCCCTCGCTGACAGTCCGCGGCATTCCGAAAGTAAATGCCGATGTTTGGACGAGTTTTCCCTTAGGCAGATCTGCAAGTAGGAGGGTTTGTTGGGACGTGGTTATCCCGATGTGCCAATGTGGGGCTACTCGGGGTTTGACTCCATGTACAGTGGGATGAAAAATGTGTTGGCACCCCCCATATCCGAAATTCCCACACCGCCATTCATTCTGCCGACAGAAACGCGTACACATCGCGTCGCATAAAAATTTGTATATAACACCTATAAATCTATATTTTCGAATAAAATGCCTCCACCAAGACGCCGCACAGCGCGTAAGGAACTTGATCCTTGTATGAGGGCTCGAATATGCGAGCTTCATACAGAGGCACATTGGGGTTATAAACGGATACACAGGGCGCACCCAGAAATCCCTATGACAACTATTCGGAATACAATCAAGAAGGAGCAAGAGCGTATAAATCAACGTTCAAAAACTCGTTCCAAAGTGTAAAGAATTCGGTGAATGGATCGTATAGACTCAGAGGAATAATATCATTCAGTAATAGTGATTAATGATCAGTTGCTTGTTAGTATTGATAAGGAGTTGATTCGATGCGTTGAATCTCTGTGTATTACTTATCTCTCGTTACATACAACTCAGGGGTGTGTGTGTGTGTGTGTGTATATTTAACGGCCGTGGTTGGACTCGCACGCTTCCCACCGATCCCTACTGGGACATAGGCCGCCGAGGGGTAAATCTCGGGCTTCAAGTCCTATCAGATTTATATACAAATAAGAGACTCTTTGGCGCATTTCCATAGCTGCCGTGGTCTTACAAGGAGGTCCACTTCTGGGTAGATTTTGAGTATTTACCAGCTGCAATGGTCCACCTATGCTCTATAACCCATAATTCTACCACCATAGTACTTAAGCAGTGAGTTTTGAAAGAAGGGAGGAAAGAAAGGAAAGAGAGATGTAAAGGGAAAGTAGAGCTGGCTTAGCTAGGTGCTAAGGAGAGATTGGCGAGGATAGATGTCCTCAAAGAAATGGGTCTCTGCTAGCCATGTAGCTAGTTTTTGTGTTCCTTTTGTAGTGCCTAAAAGAAAAGAGATAACTTTAGAAGGAGGTCTAGGAGGATGAGAGGCTTGTCTCTTAGCTATATAGCAGAAGAAGAAATGTAGAGGTGCTTTTCTTGCCCCACACTAATAGAGAAGATAAGCATCATCATAATTAAAGCATTTATGGTAGTTCACAAAGTCTCTATAACTAGTATGGGCCACTATAATATAGCCAAGGTCAAGTTAGTTAAGTTGAAGCTCTCCAGGGTGTTTAGAAGATATAGTTATTTCTAGATCTTGGTATGTCTGTAGTGTTATAGTCTGTCACTGTGTCTAAGCAGTGGAAAGGGATTAAGTCTTGGTGTATCTCTTTAGCGAGGCGTATGGGGACTTGTATGAAGAGGAGGGGATAGAGGTAGCTCCTTCCTTGGCAGCGAGATTAGCCACTTCATTCTCAGGGATTTTGGTGTGTCCAGGGACCCATCGGATTTAGATTGATCCACTTTTGGTGTGTGGAAGCCTTTCGCGTAGTGGCTAGGCAGCTGCAAGGGTGCGAAAGGATTCAAAGACTCCTTGAGAGGATCCTGTAGAGGGAGATAGGAGGCGCGTGGCAACTTCCAGGTTATTAAGACAGATCCATAAGTTGGTAGCAAATTGAGCTATTGGGTGTACTATTGCTACTTGAGCACTAGCTAGAGCAGCTTCTACTTTAGTATTAAAGACTTTTTCCTCATGTCTGTATGAGAGCGAGGAGCGAAGGAACTAATGATATGCTTAAAATCTAATATAGCTATTCTCTGTATGTCCATCTACTAGCCTAGATCCATCTAAAAAGATTACAATATTTAAGCTAGGGATGGTATGTTAGAAAGCCATAAAATCAACTGCTATCTATTCCTTAGTGCGTCCCATGGGAGCTTCTATTTGAGCTTAGGCATTCTTACAAGACTCGCGAGGGTGCCAGGGAGCGTATTGGAGGGGGTTTATCTATTTAGAGTTGGGGAGGGCCAGTATACAGTGGGTAAATTGGCTGGTTTATCGGCCATTACTAGCAATCTGTTCAGCGCGTCTTAGAAGTAGGTGATAAGGATCAAGACGCCATAGGCGGACAGTTGCAAGGAGGGCTATTCAATCTAGTTCAATTTCTGGTAGAGAGAATCTAGACTCTCGATAAAGGACAGGAATTGAGGTTGTACAGAAGACCGGAAGGACTGCTCTTACGCCTGTTAGTATTATTTTAGTTAGTTTCTTAAGATATTCTCTAACTTAGTTTGAAGTCTGGGAAGGCCTAGGGCAAGTACATCCTTGCCACCAGATTTCAGCATTATAGTATACTTTATAGAGTATATAGGCTGATACAGCCTACTATAGTAAATGAGGTTTGACTCCTTAGGCAGTATTCTCTAGAGAGTAAAGGGCATTAGCTATAGTGAGGGCTTTAGATGCTATTTCTCTAATATGCTATTTAAATGTTAGTTTTTTATTAAAGAGGATTCCTAGCCATTGTAGATATAGCTATTTAGTGTTTTCTGATATTATAACAGATCTAGCTTTCACTAAAAGTAAATGGGTTGGATAAGCTCGTATTTATCTGATATGAATATAATGCCCTCTACAGCTCCCCAGTTAAGAGCTTCTTAAAGTAAGTCTAATAAGGCTTCACAGTTAGTAGTAAGAGATGTTGAGATCACTAGGTTAGCTGTGTCGTCTGTGTAACTAAATCTGTTCCTTGGGTTTCCTAGACGGAATAAAGGCGCTATGTAGAGTATGAAAAGGATGCCAGATACTGGGGATCCTTGTGGAAGACTGCAGGCAATGTCTGTTCAGGGGCCAATCTCTCCATTGAGTCAGATCTGAACTAATTATCCAGTGGCGAAGGAGACAATCTAGAGAACGAGATTGATAGGCCAGCCCTGCTCACATAATCTGTGGATTAGTCTGCCGGGAAGCACAGCATTAAAGGTGCCTTTGATATCTAGGGTAAGGAGTGAGGCGGTCATGCCTTGATTTAGCGCTTGTTCAACATCATATATTAGGCATATGGTTAGTTAGTTGTAGATCTTAGTAGAAGAGCCCCAAACTGTTGCCTTGCTAATACTTTGTGGTGTATAGAGATCTATGCCATATTCTGTGCCATTAAGCGCTCAAGTCCTTTGTCCAGGACTGAAAGGATAGTAATTGGTCTGTATAATCTAGGTGAAGACTAATCAGTCTTCTTTGGTTTCTAGATAATTATTAAAATTGCGTGTCGAAAGCATTTTAGGTAATAACTAATCTTTAGGCACCCTTAGTATAGCATTAGTACCTTATCCTTAATTAAAGGCCATGCCACTTTGAGTATGTAGGTTAGGATTTTGTCTACGCCAGGGGCTGTGTTTTCTGCCTAAAGTACTAACTCCTCCACCTATGTCATTGATATGTCTGGGAAGTAGAGACTAGTGGTAGGGACTGCTGGGGAGTTTAACGGTATATCTCCTGCCTCAGCTGAGTTTTAAGAAGATTGTGGACTAGTATGTCTCATTTCTCGTGTATAGTAACTGCTGGGAAGCTGTTGGGTCTCAGTGGATCCTTTAGTGGAGGGCTTCAGAAGGTGCCTATAGACCTATGCTATTTACTCATATTGAAGACATCCTTTTTGTGTTACTGTAGAGAGCTTCTCTCACAAAAATTGTCGTTGAGACCATCTAGTTATCCTGTGGAAGTCTGTCTTTGAGCAGAGGCCTAAGCAGTAGTTGTGTAAAGCTTTCTTGCAGTCTTTATTCTACTAAGGTTGTCCTATGCCTTGTGTCAGGGTTCTCTTAGCAGAGCCTCTATATACTCCTTGGATTGTAGATATCAGTTTTTTGGTAAGGACATCAAGATCTTCTTCTGTCATGGTTGAGCTCTTAATACTAGCAAGATTAGAGGCGAGGAGTGAGAGGAAGCAGGTGTGGTCTAGCATATCAAATCTTAGTTTCTGAGCTATTTCCTTGTATCTCTGATCCCATGGTCAGTGTTGTTTTTAATTAGTCAATATGGATTCAATCAAGATTGAACATTGTCAATATAATATTGACAATTGACAATGTGGGTGCACTAAGGTGCATGTACGTACGTACGAAGCAATAGAATCAATTTCAATGGGTATTCATTCAGTTCTGTGTCTCCTCCTCTAAGTACATCATGTTCCAGAGCCGCGTCTATATAGACCTTCTCCTGAGCTGATTTGTAAGCTATCCCATGGGGTAAACTTAAGACCATTCTCTTACACATAACAGTTTCGGATTGATCGCTTCATTTGATGGCTTCATTGGAAAGCCAGCTTATCTGACACATCTTGATTGCATGAAGCAACCAACACTGGATCTCTTTTACAAATCAATTTGCAATCGAGGTCCAGAAACCTGTGAAAACCCATAGTAAAACATGACAACAATCAACAAGCGAACCGCTATCGTAAGTCAGCACTACCTCCCATATGCCACCTATTCGGCTCCTAGTCGGCTCCTAATCAATCCTAGTCCTCTCAACAAAGCCTTCCACCTGGATCATCACCTTGTTGGATCCAACAAAGTCCCACAGGGCCTTGTTTGGGTTTGACTTTGTAAAGGCATCTGCAGGGTTATCGTCACCATGAATCCATCAGATCTCGTCAATCTCATGTCACTTATATGACTGGCGAAGCGCCATGAGATCAATTATTAAGCGCTTTTCTTTGGTTGTTCCAAGCTTCGTGAGGCACTCATATAGCAAGTAGGAATCCATGCAGACTACTACCGGCATCTCAGGCTGGCCGAGCCTCTTGGTAATCATGTTGACTGTACTGGCCAGGGTAAAACCTTGGTCGAAGCCAGTAGTAAGGCTATAAATCTCGGAGACCAGTACACTACGTGTAATCTGCTTGCACTTAGATGAAGCCCAGTGCAAGATATTGCTGGTTATCGTGAATTAGCCTGATTTAGAAAAGTCCTCATTTACTATAACAATAAGGAGGCCAATTTGGGAGGTCAAGTCCCGGTTGTTGGCGAAGGAACCATCGGTAAATATTATGATCTTGGCCTTGGTTAAATCAATTGGAACGAAGCAGAGACCTCTATCTGGGTTCTCGGCTTGCCATATGAGACATTTATTCAATGCGTCATAATCTGCCTCAGATCGGTCTTTCTCCTGCAGCTGAGCGGCCACTGCCAAGTCGTATGCTGCTTTGGGTTGGCAGATTAAAGCTAAGTACGCACCACACACGCGTTGTTCCACGTACTTTTGTGCGCGATCTTTCTTGCCCACTAACTTTATCTTTATGGCTTGGCCCTTTTAGCGGAGATAGATCTTCCCATCTTACAAAGTAATTCTAACACTATTGAATTCTATTGACACTTATTGGGATAGGCGTGCCTTAGGCTTTACCTTGAAGCCAGCTTCTTATAAGGCCGCTTATTCCTCTCCAGCAAAACTTTCTGTTAAGATAAGCAGGGTATTGTCTGTCTGCATACCAACAAGACTAAAGTTCTCCTTTCCTTTAGTTGTCATGAGGAGGCATAGGTTGTACGTGGATGTCTCCATACCTAGCCAGTCCTTATAATGGGATTAATATATGTCAAACCAGTATACACCAGCTTCAGGGATCCCGTACAAGGCACCTTCCACAAGCAGTAGCGAATCCAGCGGGTATTTATCTCTCATCTTGGCTGGCAGATTGCCAATAATTAGGCGCTGTAGCTTGCTTTTTGACTGTGTGTACGCCTGGGTAATATCACACAGATTAATGACCATGTCTATGAGAATTAGCGTAGCGATAAGTAACATAACAAGGCGCTAGTTGGCACGCTGAATCGTCGGCACTTATGTCAATATGCTAGTTTTGCCCGCGTCATTATAACCCTGTATGATGAGGCGTGACTTCTCATACAGTTTCTCGTTCTTGCCTTTTATCTCATTGACTAACCAGGAGTTGAAGATTCATACGCCTCTGAGATCCAAATTATCATGGTGCATTATCTTGAAAGTGCCATTCACAATAAGACCATCGATCTCAGCGATTGTAGAGAGCTCAAATGGCGCGCCATCCACAGTTATCTTCTCTTCTCAGCGCAGCTTGACTGCTAGTTCTAGGTCGTCTTTTTCCTTCCTAGATAGGAACACCTCGACCTCAGTAGTATAGGTCTTTAGCTTATTCTTTAAACCTGGAGATCGTCCTCAGCGGCGTGGCACTAGCAGTATCACTAATGCGTCAGGAACATGAATCCCTCTCATCTTTAGGTGGCGATTCGGATTTACAGCGCCAGCAGGCTCTCCTAATTCTACTTTTTCTTGCAGCGTACCAGCAGCAGCATCACATGAGGAGGATCCCTGAGCAAATACTGGGCCACTTTGCTAGCCCGCCAGTAGGCTGTCGATTTCTTTACCTTCTTCCTCCTTTTGAGGAGGAAGATCAGTGCCTAGTAGACGCTGAGTTGGAGGCGACTCGATCTCGTCTCGCTGGTAACGTTGTACTGAAGTTGCACGGAAATCAGTGACACTGCTGGGTAGGTCCACAATTACATTGTAATTGTTAACTGAGATAATTTTGTGCAGGCCAGTCCATCCTTTACCTTCTTGCCAGACCTGCATATTAGTTCCTAGTACCAGGTTGAGTATTTCTGTGATGACTGGGCCGTTCCTGGTATTAAGAGCGTTATTAACTTTACGCGTGGCCACGGCATTTCTTAAGTCGATTATGGCCTTCCTCATGGTATGGGCACGCTTTGCTATTAATGCTAATGGTGGCAAGTTATAAGTTATACAAGGATAGGTACCAAAGACTAGTATAGTTAGTACTAATCTATCTGGTTCTACTATGTTGTTGACAGTCTTAACCGCCATCTGAAGTATAATCTCCTTGTCGACGCTTGTACCAAGTTCTGACAATATGATATTATAAGTGCAGCGCAGTGGTGCGTAGTACCGTTCGACCTTGCTAATAGCGTTGTGAGCCTTGACTGGCATCTAGTGGTATTGGATTTCTATTATCTTGGCCTCAGTTCTAAATTCTACTGCAGCAAAATTTGTTCCTATGTTGTGGGATATGATATTAGGGGGACCAAGATATATGTCAATCTACGCTACCCAGAGTGCTTCCCAGGTGTCCTTAATTGATAGAGACTTCAAGAATTTCACTACTTAGAATGAGGTTGCCCAGTCAACAATGTGCAGTACTGGCTTGCCATCAAGATATATGACATCAATAATGATCTTGTAGTTATACTTGCAGTTATTATGTAACGTAAATTTGAACTATTTGGGTACTTACCAGTTCATTTGGCAATGGTGGCAGAATTCTTCAATCTGCGCAAGCACCTTATAATCTACATCAAGATGGCCTGCACACTTTAAGACCTTGTGTAGTCTATCAACTGTAGAGTGACCAAATTATTGGTGTAACCGCCTCATCTCAACCTTAGTTAGAAACGCCTCTGGTGCATACTTCTTATCTAGGAAGAACCATGGGTGGCCTCGCTTGCAAATAACTAGTACGATAAGGTCTCCCTGGATCATCTTATTGGTGAGATTGTCAAACTTAACGCGTAGGCGATCCATATCTTTGAGGTAGGATAGGAAAGGCGTCAGTAAATCTATAGTGTTAAATTCTATATTACCAAACTGCGATTCCACAGTAATCACTATAGTTAAGATTATTGGGTTGTCCATACCGAAGTAGACTGAGTACTCCCCTACACGCGATCTATCAACCTTGGTGTGGGGATAGAGTCTTAGGAAGGCAGTAAGTTGTCCTTTACTAACAGTTAAGATAGTTGATGCTCCTGTATCTGGCATAATCCTATAAAAAGTCTTATTTTTATAGGGGTTGAGAAGAAACTGAGAGGCAGGTGCAGGGTGGTTATTTTCACCTTCTGATTGGTCAGATGATTTAACTTCAAAATCGAGATGAAATCTAGGCGGCTCTATGCTATTATTGCAGTCTATTATCTGGTGGATAAAGGCATGATCTTGCAGTTAGTTGACTATAAAGTACACGGTCGTCACGTCCTACTTAACCTCCTCCTTAGTGGAATCCTTGTCTTTCTCTTCTGACGAGGTGCCTTCATATTCCTGTAAGAAGGTCTAGTAAGCATGGGTTGACAGCTTCTTCCTTCCATCTATCTATCAATAGTGGTCATATTGATCTCGTGCTTCGCAGCGTTCTTCTTCAGAATGCTTCCATGAGTGGCAGTTCTCTTAATGATAAATAAAATGCCTTCCATTGCTCTTCCTGAGTTACTTGGCATTGTCACGGTTCTTGTGTCAGTATTCTTGACGCAATATAGGATAGTTATTACAATTTATGCGTCCTATAAACTTCCTGTCTGTATAGAATACTTGAGGATTATTAACTTCATCTACCACATACTAGCCTGCTGACTCCTTTTACTGCACTACATCTGCCCTAGCATGCAGCTTAGAAATAATTGTCTGGAAGTTACTTGTTGGTTCACTGAGAGCCTCATCTATTTATGGTATAGATTGGCACACTCTTGTAATGGCGGCAATGAGGTGTTTATCACCAGTATATACTAGTCCTAACACTCACTGGCATAAATAAAGTTTATCAACTATGAGATCTACGATCTTAACCTACAATTTGCCAGGATTGCTTTGGCGCTCTCCAGCTAGGGTGACTGTGGTCCACTCCTAGTAGTAATCTATCTAGTTGTTAGGCATGTTAAAGTATGCTTTTATCGCGTTGTACGCTTGAGCAAAGGAAGCACCTAGCTTAACATGATACATGTGGTACGCCCCTGCACATCCAGATAGCATCTCAGGAAAGACTTCCCAATATTAACTAATTAAGATGCTAGAGAGCTTACACGCTCTCAAGAATGCGCGTACTTTATCGTCCAAGATGTCGTACCGATCTCCAGAGTAAGTAAGCTTTTTGTCCCATATCTTGATGAACATGAGCATTGACTTTGAATCAATATGCTCACATTCAACTTTCCTAGGTGGTAGCATGGTCCAATCGTCCCACTTCTCTAATGATATTGAGATCTTGAGTGCTGGGGGTGCTATGGTATAGCGTGGTGTCTGCCTGCGCCAGTCGTCCTCAAGTTTGGAGCAGTATAGGTAAGTATAAGCAGGTCCAGGCAAGCTTAAGCGGTCTTGAGGTCTACTAGGCTTGTCATTTTGAGCATAATTTTCTGGCTATTGACCATAATCTTGAGAAGCCTGCTTTAGTGTCTCTACCAACAGTTACTTACCCTTTTCATTGTTCTTTCTGCCATCCTCAATTGAGGAGACTATTACCTCTGGTTCCTCTTCTTCACTGCCATTTTTGATGGCGAGTTAAGGGAACTGACCCTTGGCCATCTTCAACCGTGAGTCAAAGGTTCTGGCGGCAGCAATCTCATGCGGCCACTCAGGCATCCTAGTCATCTGCACTAAGTCATCTAGTGCCTTTGCAATCGTCTTTTTCCTGCCAATATAATCAACAAAGATGCCTCGGTCCATTAGCATGTCCTTGATCTTTTTCTGGATGTGTACGCTAAGCCGTTTGAAGTCATCATGGGTCCAGTTACCGAAGTAATCAAGAAGCCACATGAAGATCTCATAATCAACATATTGATTGCACGCGGCATAGTACAAGGCACTTATTGCACGAGTAGATAATGCTATCTCGGTGTCGCCAGGTTCAACTTCCTTATCCTATAGCGCCATGTTGACCAACTTGCGTCCCGTCTCGTTGTTGAACCTGATCTCAGTTATCCACCTGTCGTCAGGGAAGTTGATTTCCGGTACAGTTTGGTAACTTCCTGAGGAGACTCCTCTATCTCCTGGAGATGGGTCTTGGTATTGGTATTCGCTAGTATCGTCCTGGCTATTGTCCGACAGGATGGCGTTTTTGTCAGCCATAACTAGTCTTGTTGATATTGTGAAACTTTCAATAAGGTGTCACGTTTTTCTTGATGATTGTTTTTGTTGTTTTTGCTGTTGGCTTGTGTACGTGCCAACGACGCGTCTCGCGATAGGGCGGTAGCTCTGGAATGTTGTTGCAATAACAACCTATCCCAGGCCACAGGTTCTCTAGATCTCGCTCAGAGATGAGGAATCCTTTTAGCAAAGACTCGATTCGTCAACAGGTTGACGGCGTCAAATCTCCCTCTTCCACTGGACTTGGTTTCCTACACTAGGAAGCTCAAATCCTGGAATCCAGTTCTATTCTGTAGCCACAGGTGACTATCGATATAGAATTCAGAGACCTTGCCAATCTGTCTTAGTTTTTTTTTTGCAACCAAGACTGATCAGTGTGGGTGCACTAAGGTGCATATGCGTACGTACGAAGCACTTGAGTCAATCTCAATAGGTGATTCTTGGGTTCTGTGTTCTGTTGTGTCTCTCTGTCTTAATGAGGCCCCGACGCGGTCTATATAGTCCTTGCTTGACGAGGTCACGTGTAAGCCATACGTGACTTCTCCTTGCTGCATACCAGTGCCAGGCATCTCGATTGCACGAAGCAACCAACAGTATCACTTGTCATCTCAACTATCTATACATATCTCGCAGCAACACGAGCTGCCTCATCGTCTCCGCACTTAGCGAGTTTTTTCGTAAGCCTAGTAAGTCCCTTCCACTGTTGAACAGTCTTTCTACTGATACCCCAGAAGCTGGTATGGGTAAATAGTCTCTTGCCGCTGCCGCCATTCGTGGGTATTCATTACCATGTGTCCTCCACCAAGAGAGTAGCCAGTGCTTCTCTTTTATTACTGATTTATCAATCATCATAATCCCATCTTCGAAGTACCGGTCAACATCAGATATTTGAAGCTTTCATGGTTATAGCTTCTACAGAACTCTAGCCTCTATACTCTTCCCCATGACTGAACGATCTTCTCTGAGTAGCGATTGCTCTTCTACAGGCGCAGGGTACTGCTCATATAGTAACTCTTTAATATGTTTCACAATCATTAGAGCTGTCGTTTCCCCTAACTCTCTCTCTAATAGCAATGTTTTAAATTGTGGATCCAGAACTAGTGTAATGTAATAGGCATCCTAACCATCCATTAGGTTATAGTATTTCTGAAATTTTTTCAGACCTACAGATGCAGCTACAGCAATGTCTTCATAAAGATCTTGAAATTCTCCTTCTCTAGAAACAGCTTCATGCAATAGATCATGCACCTTATAGTAGATAGGTATTGCCAGGCTGACCTGTGGTTGGCGCTTTGAAACAGTGAGAGTAAACTCCTCAAATCTAGAAAGAACAGTTTCAATCTGCCGCAAATGATCCCATTCTTCTTCAGTGAAGGGTGGAAGATAAGTTTGATGCTTAATCCACTTTTTGATTTGCTGTTTTGAATCTAATGCATCTCTTAGCATTCAGTGGGTGAAGTTCCAACATATATCGACATCATACTAGATAAACTTATCCTTTAGATGATGAGTTTGACAGATGAGCTTCTATTGCTGCTTTCGCTGGGGTGTTCTTGCTATCCAAAAGGCTATGATTCAGAGTCTAGATAAAGCAGACTGTGGACCCATGTCTTTGTTTTCCTGCATAAGATCACAAGCTGCCACTGCTATTTTATGATCGCCGGCTTTCAGCACATAGAGTATATTACTGACAATCAGATTTAGTACATGCGCTATGCAGCGCATATAGCTATCCAGCCCTTGAAATCTTGGGAATTTTCTTTCGACATTGGCAGGAGACACTATATTATCAAACTTCTCTTTGAGATTGAAATATAACTCTGACATCAAAGTCTCGTTGATAGCAGCATTGTCTGCTGTAATTGTGAGCACTTTATATTCAATATTAAGCTCTTCCAAGGTCGTCTGGAGTATCTCTGCCATATTCTCTCCACTATGAATGCCTGTGGGCTCTGTGAAGTCAAGAACTCTCTCTTGGTATTGAAAATCAGCTGTCAACCAATGACCGATAACTGCGAATATAGCCTTGCAATTCTTGCTAGTCTAAGCATCTAAGGAAAGTGTAATTGTTTGACATGTCTAATCTAGATCGTCGATCAAACATGTTCGATAAGAATCAAATTCTACATCGATTTGGCGAGTAATTGTCATGCGGGATGTAAATGGAAGCTCAATCCCTAGATCTCTAAATATATTCTGGAATGTTGGTGATTCAATAGCATTGAATGCCATATTCTCCATTACTATCCAATGCACTAGATTTTATTCTAAGTGTTTTGCTGCCTGACTCTCTGCTTGTCTCTGAAAGGAACTGACAATAGATGATTATTTTATGCCGGATTTGTTACTTTCTTAACTATCTGTGGCTCCGCTCGAAAAGATGCCATGTTTATTAAGATGAGATCGCATGTTTGATGTTGAGGTTGCTCTTGCAGAATCGGTCGTCTTCCAACAACATTGAGTGCATTGTATTTCACGATCTTCAAGTGGCCCTTTCCTCTCTTTGGCCACCAATGATTTCCAGGGAGAGGTACGATATCAAACTCTGCCCATAATGACTGATTCTGCGGCCTTTTCTGTGAGCGCTCAGGGTCGCAAGAGATGCTGGATGTCTCAAGTTCGATGTTGCTTGACGCTTCCTGCTGGGAAATATATGCTGGCGGATTCCGGGCTTGGATTAATTGACTTGCTGAGTTGTCAGGAGTAATAGGGTCAATGCTATTATCTGGTTGAATTAGAGTTTTCTTGGTGATGTGATCTTCCAGAGGTACTTCCTCATCGCTGCCATCATTAAGAAGATGATAATTAATCCTTTGAGAGCGCTGAGGACGCTTGCCTAAAGATACAGAAGACTCCATCATAATATCAAAAGAGGAAATGGCTAAAGTGACCATTTTCAAAGAAATACAGCAGAACGGTAAACACGCGTCTATCAAAGTCAACGCGACATGTTATGACTTAAATAGGATTAGCAGTATTTTAGTAATTATACGGATAATTATGAATCGAATACGAATAATGGCCCCGGAAATGGTAGTCGAATACGAATAATATATCTCATATATATTTCGAATACGAATAAGCAAAATCCTTATTCGTGTGCACCCCTAATGTCACATTTGTTAAGGTAGCGAAGGTTTAGGACACCTCGCACTGTAAAATTTTTTCTCTTCTCCAGCTTATCCTTCATGTACAGATCAACGATCGTGCCTGTAACTGCATTCGAGATATTACATTCACCAACTATGCTATATAGCTTCTTCTACTTGGCTTAGTTCTATTACCTACTATCCACCTATCCAATGGAAACCCGGGGCAAGCGTTAAAACTACCTCGCGTTAAACGACGGTTATGATAATGAAGCATTACCCGAAGATCAACTTTCAAGTCCACCCCCTGAATCGCCATTTCCATCTACAATCATACAGCTAGAGTACAATGCATTCCTTGGTATCCCTAATATTGAAATCAATCCTTTATAATCTGCATTACAGTCATTGTCCTATCCAACAACTTCAACAGCTGTAGATTCTTCGATTGTTTCATATACTCAACATCTTCTACCTATAGCTAAAAAGGAAGTGTCGGTTTATCTACGTCTAGGTCGCTAGCACTAGTCACGTAGAACAGCTATTCCGACGAGCTGACGAGCCTGATCAATATGGTATGGAATTCCTGATATTGATGACTGCCCCCCAAGAGTAAGGGAGACGGGGGATAGCTAGCTACATATAAACGCGGCACGCACGTGCCGCGTTGGACTAACTGATATCCAGTGCCGAAACGCGCTAGGTTTGATATTCACGTTCCGACAGGAAGCATGGCTCTGGGCTTACTTCAGCAAGCATGAGGTTCTATGTGAGTGGTATACAAAGAAGCACAAGAAACGGAAGTTGATGGATATGGATATTCAGTGTGCTATTGTGGATAAAGACACTAGTAAGTGCTGTAGCTGGGTTATAATGGATTCAAAGTGGTAGAGTTCTACCAGCAATATGACGCTTCATCTCTTATGAAAGCATTCTATTTATCCTCTAGGTGCTTTAGTCACCGAACCCATCAAGAGTTCAAAGGGAACTTTGCTTAGCTTATGGGCAAAAAAGGAAGAAACTCTTACTTGCTAATAACGGCTGGAAAAGGACATCCTTCACTGGGTTGTTATTGATAAACAACCCTTTACAACTATTAAATCTCCAGCATTTCAGCAGATCTTCTCTAATATCCCAGGAGTCGCACTTCCATTTACTTCTCGGCATACCCTCCGACAGCGGCTTATGGATGACTTTGATATACAACGCGCTCAATTGAAGGATGAACTTAGGTTATCTTGCAAAATAATTGCTTTATCTCTTGATATTTGGACAAGCAAAAACCAACTTCCAATCCTAGGGATAATTGGCCATTGGCTTACAGAAAGTTTTGATTACTAAGAAAGAGTTCTTGAATTCAAAGAACTTTTAGGACTACATAGTGGAGAGAATCTGGCTGCAGCAGTTGAGGATATGCTCCTGGAACTTGACCTTCAATCCAAGTTAACTACAATAACAGGAGACAATGCCAGTAATAACGAGAAGATGGTTTCAATTCTATCTCAAAATCTGAGGTAAAAACTTGGGGTTAACCCTCTATTCCGTGGCTCAGAAAGTTACGTCCGTTGCTTAGCTCATATATTAAATCTCATTGTCAAAGATATCCTTGAGACTTTAAAATCTGGCAACATGGAGGAAGCGCATGTTGTGTGTGATCATTTTAAGGAAGGAGAACAGTTGTCTGTTGGATCTCAGGAACCTTTAGCAAGGATTCGTATTCTAGCTCTTTGGATACACCGAAGTCCGCAACAAAGGCAGAAATGGAAAGAGGTCTGCAATATTATCAATCTCTCAAGCAAATGCATCAAATATGATATTGATACAAGGTGGAATTCCACTTTCCGAATGTTAGACGATGCCTTGAAGGCAAGATACCAGATCGATAAATTTCTGCAGCTCCAGATAGATTTTCCTCACTTTACTACAATGGATTGGTCTTTGCTCTCGCAGATTCACAATATCCTTTCAAAATTCAACAAGTTGACTCTGTTCGTGTCGAAAAAGAAACCTCAAATTAGTCTTGCCATCCCAATCTACTACGAACTTCATGATTTACTCGATGAGGCATCCGAGCACAAGAAGAGGTTCCTAGATCTTGACGAAGATATATCCTTGGCTGTAAAGAAAGGTATGAAGAAGTACAAAAAGTACTATACCTTTATAGATGCTTCTGATACATACTACACTGCCCTCATCTTGGATCCTCGGATCAAAGGTGATCTCCTTCTCGACAAGCTGGAAGATAAGACTACTGGGAGGGAGATCCTTCAAGCTCTCCGTGACAACCTCCACCGTGATTACTCAGTCGCCACTATGGAATCAAGCTCACCTACAAGACAATTCCTACTGGAGCACAATACCGAGCATAGTGATGTAGAGTCCCGGTTGCTAAAGAGATTACAGCCACGAAATCAACCTCTGCTTTCTGATATTGATTGTTATCTCAACAGCCCCCGGGTTAATATAAATGACATAAAGGATCCAAATTGGTTGTATAATTGGTGGCGGATAAACAAGGGTGTTGGTTTATAGGTGCAATCGAGATTCCTGGCACCGACGCGAACCAAGGAGAGGTCACGTGAAGGTACACGTGACCTCGTCAAGCAAGGACTATATAGACCGCGTCGGGGTCTCATTAAGAGAAGAGACAGACAATCAGAAGAATATGACTTTACCAATTGGTTACTAAGCTACTTGTATGCACATGTGCAGAAGCGAACCCACAAAGGGTGAATATCCCAGAATGGCTGCTGCTGCTAGAGATTAACTCGCGATTCCAGCCTCTGAGGTTCCAGTGGAGAGGCTATTCAATGCAGGAAGAGACATACTGGGAATTCAAAGACACTCAATGAATTCCGAAACGATGAGGATGTTGATGTTGATGGATAATGTATATAGGAAGTAGCTCACTGTCAGTGTAATAAGTGATAAAACACCTAAATGATCCAACAATTGATTAATCTACGGATTGCTTCAAATTAGCCACCTTACTAATAAATAGTAGATGCTTCATAACCAACTAGAGCTTTCGATATATATATATCTCAATATATGTCAGATAGGATTTCTTGGATAGCCAGGGACCAGGGTTTGCCGGCTGATCCCACCTAGTTATATTATTGATTGTGTTACATTTTTCATCCGGGCAGACAACTTATAGAACTAGTTACGAGAGCTAATAATTATGATCTTGTGGCTCTTGGCTGAGCACTGGGACAATCACGTATAGTTGCATCTCTCTCAGTATGATTGAATGTACGGCGGATATTCGAATATCGGCGCGGTATAGCAGATATCGTATCCGCCGGGATGACCAGCAGTCGAATAATATTCGATATTCGTATCCGCCGTGGAAAGAACAGCGAATATCGTATCCGCCGCCGATATCCGGTCGAATAATATCTGCCGAGGCGGATATCGTCAACAGCCCTACGTAAGATCCATGGATATATCGATATCCGCATATCCATGGAGAGCCCTAAGATTCATGGACGACTCCAATGGCTTTCATCATCTCTAGAAAGGTAAGGTGCTTGTTGCCAGTAATGACACCGCTCAGGTAAATCCCTAACCCCAGACTCGTCCTGCATGGGCCCTACAAAATCACTGCCTAAATTCTGGACCCCCAAACCGCCCGTTGCAGGCGGAAAATATGGCAATTTATGTGCATTTGGCGAGCCCGTGGCAGCGAACTGGGTGATGTAATGCTGTAATATCATTGCAACGGTCGCGTTTACTTCATCAGTATCCACTGCTGATCCAAAATCATAAAAGGTGTATGACAGGTCGGCGCCGTGAACAGCTGGCGGCACCGAGAATTGGTACGCGTACGTTGCAGGTAAAAAAGCCGCTTGGTTCATGTAGCGAGTGTTACATACCTGGACTGCGTCTCCAATGGTTATGTTGTTTCGCTCAGTTTGAGTTGTGTATCCCTGACCGCCGTTGAATATGGGTGGATACAATGTTTGTGTGATGAAGAACAATTTTTCAGGGTTGTCTGCCAAAGATGGAAAGACAGATTGTAGGAATTCTCGATAAGAGGATTCATTGGTGACTATAGTACTAGGCACAAAGCGAGAGCCTTCATCTCCGTTATGCCCGGTCATCACATAAACAGTCTTGTCGAATTTTCCTTGTTGCAACAGTTTGCCTGGGAGGTCAGGGACATAATCGCCGTCGACGGTGACACCTAAAAGAAAGTTAGTATAATAGTGCATGGAATTAAGATCGACACAGGGATTTTGAATGCAAATGTCGCTTAGGGTCTTGTGAAGATGAAAAGAATTTACCAAATGTAAATGTCCCAAAGACAGGTGTGTTCCCAACAACGAGTGCATTTAGCGTCTGCAAGTCTGTTGATGACATGCTTTGTAGATCTGCAATCGACGATACATTCCCATACTTGGCTACGCTGTTCACATACGAGTTGGGGTATGGGTATTCCGGCACGAGAAACGGGCTTTGTGCAATGGCCCCTTTAAACAGAGGTTTGCCAACAATGCGTCCTCCGTACGCTGTCAGATGGGCTTCAACAGATCCACCACCGGCCGACTCGCCCAGGATGGTTACATTATCTGGATCACCACCGAACAGATGAATGTGTTTTTGAACCCAGTCCAAAGCAAGGCGCTGGTCCAGCAAACCAATATTGGAAGTCACTCCCTCGCCATTCATCCAACCCTGGGGGCCTCTGTTATTTCTCTTGCTCTTTCTTTTTGGGGGATACACTCACAAAAAGACCAAGGCGATAGTTAATCGACACCAAGATCACTCCTTGTTGATTATGCCATTCACTTCGCGCCACCAACCCGTTTCCGCGCCCGCTCGCATCTTTCCAGCCAAGTGTATAGCCACCTCCGTGAATCCACACGAGCACTGGCGCACGTTTTGTTGTTCTTGCTCGTTCCATCCATACGCGTTGGGGTAATAAGACATCTAGAAATAGACAATCTTCGGATGTGCGCGGGTCGACGGGTGGAAGGTTCTCTTTTGTGACAGGCACGACTGCGCCGTACAAGAGCCAACCTGGCATACCCTGCGGGCAGATGATATCGCTTGCATTTTGAACTGCGCTGCGGTTTCTACCTGGGACGGTTGGAGGCTTGAAGCGAGGGGCATCGGCGTAGCGAATGTTCCTGAACGTTACCAGCGAGTTGTTCTGAAAGCGAGTTACTTTTTTGTGTGTGCATTTATTGAGAGGGAAAAAAAGGCTCGCCTACCACGGTTTGACCCTGATTCAATTGGTAACCCAGATCTATGACTAAGTTGGAATGACCAAAGATATAAGATGACCACAAGGTAAATAACGAAAGCAAAAGGACTATCAGTGGGGTGGTCATAGTGTGTGTATATTTTATTGTCTATGAGATTGAAAGAAAGAGTACTAGGTAATTGCGGTGGTTGTACAAAGCATGGTATATAAGCTTACATTGTTGCTGCCTAAGGCCTTTAACTCTAATAAACAGAATATGTTGGGAATATCACCTCACATCACACATCACCTTTGCCAGCTATTTACATCCATACTAGATCATCTAGTATGCGCGCAGCTTTTTGGTCTAGTTAGTCAAAAGACCCAACTCACATCACACATCACCTTTGCCAGCTATTTACATCCATACTAGATCATCTAGTATGCGCGCAGCTTTTTGGTCTAGTTGGTCAAAAGCCCAACAGAATATTTACATTCACACCTATGTCCACACAGGTTAGTTTTTGAAGGAAGACATACTATACTAACTAGATTCTAGATTATAAAGACTTAAATTTTTTACTATTCCATATTTTCTAGAGTTTTAATTGAATCACGACCATAGTGAGAGCTTCGCAGAGGGAAGAAACCGAAAAATAAATACATGAGAGCTTTAACTCATAGTTCTTATAACTTCTTACTAGTCACTGAGTTAAATAATTTGGCCCCGTATTTCTTTGACTGCATCCCATAGTTCTTCGGTGAGATCTAGCACCTTCGCTGGCAAAGGGCCCTTCCGGACCAACTCTACCGTTTCAGATATCTGTGGTGTCTTACTAGCACCCAAAATGATGCCATCCTCATTCGATAGCGCGGAGTGATGGGCAATCCATCGGATAGCCACCTCGAGGGATGACAGGCCACATGCTTTGACTCTTGTATCAAATGCATTCATCGCATCAAGCAATTCTGCCGCTCCAAACAGTTTCTGTGCTGATTTACCAAGTGGGTTCTCATCTCCGAAACGAGAGCCAGCATGCTGGTTATTCACTAGTTTCCCTGTAAGGAAGCCTGCCGCGAGTGGCCTGATTTATTTCATATGTCAGTTTATAAGATTGGGCTGATGTTTGAAAAAGAAAACATACTGAAAGGCATTATAGGAAATGCCCCTAGCTCGCAGGATTGGCAAGAGCCTTGTCTCCATGCCTCGTGTGATCAGATTGTAATTGCCCTGGTAGCAGATTGGTTTCTGCCAGCCTCTATTCTCACACAGGTCCAGAACAGCTTGTAGTGTTTCAGGTTGCATATTTGAAATTCCCCACTAATGTCATCATTATGGGTGCACTGAATTGAACCAGATCAGTTGCACTTACAGCCTTACAACGACCCTGTGATATCTGCCTATTAAACTCTTCTATCTGCTCCTCCAAAGGTGTGGCAGGGTCAGGCCGATGTACATAGAGGACATTTACCTATGCATAGCATCAGAAATAAATGAGCCACTCTTAACTTGCGCGTAATACCCAGCTTACCCCTTCTACCCGCTGAAGCCGCTGCAAACTCGCGTTGACTGACTTCTCTATAGCTTCGCTACTCAGATCTCCACTCCCATCTGTCTTCGTGTTCGTATATATCTTGGTGTCGACCGTGAACTTGCTCCCCAGCTCCTTTGGCACCTCGCCAATCAGTTGTTCTGATCTGCCAGGATTGAGTGGTGGGTAGCGGGCACCTGTGTCAAGACGGTAGATATCAAGTTTTTCGAGGGTTTTGAGAAGGGCTGTGACTGATTCGGCATTTTGGAATTGTGTCTGGTCCATGCCGAGAGTGGCTGTCCCGAAAATGAAATGGGGTACCATTTTCGTTCCTTGCTTGCTTTATTCTTTGAATTTGAGTGATAATTTGGTTATAGGTAGAGAGACAGTACACTTAATTCTAACGAGTTGTCCGTCAAAGGAAACAAAGAAAACTAAATATACACGATACCGGTAATATATATATTGCAAAACCGTAATACCGGTAATACACGTACTGATCGTAGTACCGGAACGGGGTTTTTATATGCTCTATTCCTCTCGGCGTAGTAACCACCCACCATTTTGCAATCCCTGGAAAACACTTTCAGGGTCATATTTGTCAGCTATCTCTCTCAGCCTCTTCATATTTCCCCGATTGTACTGTATTCCTTTGCGCTGCCACAATATTGGAAACTGCCCTGAATATTCCTCTGAATATAATAGTCTCCTTGTCGTCTACAAATCGCAGCGTGAACCTTCTGGGATATATTCAGTTACTCATCATTTTTTAGCATATCAAACATGAATTGGACTGTTAATAAAGCAAGCTTGGGTGCTATTCAAAGTATTAAAAGTTCGTGCATGTTTAGTGTTTGGAGAAATGAAAGGAAGAGAAGATGCAGCAGACTTCGAAAATAGTGCACCAGGCCGCAATGATCACGTAAGTTACGAATATGTTTAACCGTAATCCACAAGCGAGTTGGCCACACAAGCAAGTTGGCCACTTTTCCCGAAAACGCGCTCTATATTGATTCTACACAATTCAACACGTCAATATGCCGCCAATTCGCAATAAAAATTCAAAAAATTCAGTTGAACAAGAGGGACGAATCTTGTTAGCTATCTACGATTTAAAAAATGAAAAAATACACTCTATAAGAAAAGCAGCAGAGATCTATAATGTCTCACGGTCAACACTTCAAAACAGACTACATGGCATGGCATATCGAGCTGAAACACGCGCCAATGGCCATAAATTAACTCAATCTGAGGAGGAATCGCTTGTTAGATGGATCTTAGATCTAGATAAACGTGGATTACCTCCTCGACACTCTCTTGTACGGGATATGGCTAATTGTCTTCTTTCACAACGCGGAAACCAACATGTTGGAGAAAACTGGGTATACAATCTTGTCAAACGTCGCCCAGAGATTGAATCAAAATTCTCACGGAAATATAACTATGAACGCGCCAAATGTGAAGATCCAAAAATAATCCAAGAATATTTTGATCGCGTACGAGAGGTTATATTAGAGTATGGGATCTTGCCAGAAGATATCTACAATTTTGATGAGACTGGCTTTGCTATGGGACTCTGTGCGACTACAAAGGTTATCACTGGAAGCGATCGATATGCTCGGCCAAAGCTATTACAGCCTGGTGACCGAGAATGGGTAACTGCAATTGAGGCAGTTAATTCGATTGGGTGGGCATTGCCTTCGTATATTATTTTTAAGGCAAAGAAATACACTCGACTAGGCTGGTTTGAGGATCTTCCAGACGACTGGAAAATCAATATTAGCGATAATGGATGGACGACAGATAAGATTGGATTAGAATGGCTTAAAACTCATTTTATCCCTCTTATTGATGGCCGTACATTGGGGAAATATCGGATGTTGATTCTTGATGGCCATGGAAGCCATTTAACTGCTGAATTTGACCGTACATGCACTGAGAATAATATTATTCCGGTTTGTATGCCTCCTCATTCTTCACATCTTTTACAGCCTCTTGATGTTGGCTGTTTTGCTGTTTTAAAGCGACATTATGGACAGCTTGTTGAGCAGCGAATGAGGCTTGGATTCAACCATATTGATAAACTCGACTTTCTTACTGCATTCCCAAAGGCTCGTACGATGGCATACAAAGCTCAAACTGTTCGGAATAGCTTTACAGCAACTGGATTAGTACCATTCAATCCAGATCGAGTTTATCAACAGCTTACTGTTCGATTGAAGACTCCAACACCCCCTCCAAGTCGATCAAGTGATACACAATCATCCTGCTTGCAAACCCCTCAAAACGCACGTCAATTTAAGCGCCAAATGACTACAACCAAGAAGAGAATAAGCCGGCATACAAGAAGTTCATCTGAGGCTATTGGTGAAGTGTTTACACGGGCATCAAAGGCTTATGAGATGAGTATTAATAAGCTTACAATTGCACAGAAGGAACTCCATGATCTACGGGCTGCACATGAGAAGGAGAAGCAAAAACGCCAAAAATCTAAAAAGCAAATATCCCATGATCATGGAATTACCAGAGAGGAAGCTCAGGCACTTGTACAAGGTCAGATTGAGGCATCTCAAGCTGTTTCTACTGCTCCGGCCGAGCCTGAGCTCCCAGTCTCTCATCCACCTGTACGGCGTCATTTCCGCTGCAGTGGTTGCGGTATTGAAGGACATAAAATAACTGGATGTCCAAATCGTACTAGTAGTTAATTCTTTTGTATATAATTTGTATGTGGTTAGAAATTGAGATTTGAAATCAATAATAGAGCGCGTTTTCGGGAAAAGTGGCCAACTCGCTTGTGTGGCCAACTCGCTTGTGGATTACGTTAGCCTGTGAACCTACTTAACTGGTTAGTATTTTCCAATGCGTAGTTATTGTGCTCCAGCCAATAGGAAGTCTCCACACCACCTACTATAGTATATGCCTCAGAATTAATAAGGAATCGCTAATCCCACACTAGGCATCCATGTATTCTAGTATTGTACATGTATTGTAAAGCAAAATTTGTAACAACAGATACGATGTTATTTCCGGATTCATATTATGCCGACATTATTCTATATTTACTACGGCGGTCTTCTTGGCACTATTTCAGAAAGAGAAGAGAGTTTTAGTTTGTTACTCTGAACCTGCAAACCACTGTAAAAGCCAAATGATACGTTTCAGTGACATAACAAAGTTCAAAGCTTCGCTTTCCATCAGGAGATATAGCTATGCAGATGAAGGCCGTCAAGACTGTCATTCAACCCACCGAATAGGGATGCAAAGGAGAAGTCTAAACACTCGTGGCGGTTTGAGGAACCATATCCCGAATAATATGAGTTCGGACGTGCCCACTGCGGCGACTCGAATTCCAAAACTTTCTGTACAAGTTGTTTATAATTTATACCTGGAAATGGAGCTGTCGGCCTGGGTGAAAGCAGATCATTTGACTGCATCTTCTTCGCGAGAGCCCCGTACAAGATTGAGCTACACTCATAGCCACATCCTCGAACGCCATTTAGGAGATCTTTGTGTATCTGGTGAAGCCGATAGATCAAGTTATCGATAGCCTCTTCTCTGCGCTTATTCATCGCTCCTGCAATTCAATTAGAGACAAACCAGTTTTAGAGACCGTATACCCTTACTTATGACTTGATCAGGGATTGGGAGTCCCAAGCCGCTGATCCAACCATTACTCCGTGACATAGCAATCGATGTTGCGTACTCGAACTGAGTAGAGAGCTGGAAAACCCAGGAAATCCACAACCACAAAATTAACTCTCGAGAATATGTTTTTGGAAGCTCTCCCTCCAGAGCGTCGATCCATGTAGTTGCCCAAATATATACAGCCTCCTTGCATTCATAGTAGTCAGCTATGACAGCAACTTTAGCGAGCATCTCAAGTGTTAGCTTTCGCGGTATATGGTATTGTTGTCCATGGATGGCACGAAGGAGAATTAGGAGTGCCTCGATATCCCAACTCTCCGCAGTAATCTCGACCGAGCTCGGCGCCAGACATGCGACGCTTTCTTTCCAACCACCGATGAGCATTTTTCTGAAAACCGGGGACGCGAGTTTTAAGTGCTTTGCAGATACTTGGATCCTGAAGCAACTCCTGTCCGGTGATTCAACAGGCTGTTCAATTGGTCCTTCTTCAGGAACAGGCTCTTCTGCAGGAACAGGTTCATCAGCAGGAATAGATTCATCAACAGGAACAGGTTCATCAGCAGGAACAGGTTCATCAGCAGGAACAGGTTCATCAGCAGGAATAGATTCATCAACAGGAACAGGTTCATCAGCAGGAACAGGTTCATCAGCAGGAACAGGTTCATCAGCAGGAATAGGTTCATCAACAGGAACAGGTTCATCAACAGGAATAGGTTCATCAACAGGAATAGGTTCATCAACAGGAACAGGTTCATCAACAAGAACAGGCTCTTCTATTGGCGTGGGAATTCGCTCTAGATCAGCCCGAGCATTTTTATGTCCCTTTTTCTTCTTCTTTTTCCCCCGAGGGTTCGGCTTCGGCGTCTCCGTATAGTCTTCGAGACGCTTTATGTCTTCGTCCAGTTCTGAAACGGTATTATACAACCCATGGGCAATCATATCCTCGCTCCCCTCCGCGAATGTAGTATCCACATTCAGCAACACTATTATCACTTCGCCGTCTGGATCGATAACGTGAGTTGGCGAATCCATGGCGCTGTTTCCGGCACTAGGAGTCTTTCTAAGCGAGAGAATAGCAGTCTTGAATGTGAAATGCCAGAATATGAATATCGGTCGGGCCCGTTATTTAAGTTTCGATTTCCTTATCCCTTACAGTGCGGACGTGGCAGTCGTTGATTAGCGTCATATTGACAGCACTCGCATAACTACGTGGTCATTAATTCATCTGCACCGAAACTCAGGTTGTGTATGACATTGACTGGCTCGGTAATTTGTGTTGGACCATTATAGGATGCCGTATGAACGAGGGTAAGATACTACCCGTGCCACCCGCACCACCCCATCAAAGACCAGGATGGGGTTGGTGCGGGTTGGCATGGGTAGTGCATGTCGACGTGTCCGCTACACATAGATTATTGTCGAGCTATGTGACCATGTATGCCCAATCAGAGGCCTCCGATCTAGGCGCTTGTACGCCATAAAAATCAGGCACTGACCCCGCTCCATACATAATATTTTCCATATACCCTGGTGTTATTCCCGACGGTCGTCGCGAACAAACGCGGCTTCTTACGCGTTTGGTATCAGCTGCACAAGGTTCATGTTGAGGACCGGCCTAAACCATCTCGTGTTCGGGTACTCGAAGTACAGGCATTATCCGATGTCTGATAGAGCAGTTATTTGCAAGGAAAGTAGAAGGTTGATCCATTGGCGAGTCAGAGCTTAAGTCGTACATAAGGGCATAGAAACGAACTTGTTGGTTTAACTACGGTCCGTATCACGAAGCATAGACGGTAGTAAGGCGCGAACACGAAGCGGCCTAATGAGCCTGACAATATGAAGATATCTTGATTCCTAATATTGTGACTTGTCCCCAAGAACGAGTGTGTGTGTGTGTGTGTGTGTGTGTATATATTTAACGGCCGTGGTTCGTGACTTGCACGCTTCCCACCGATCCCTACTGGGACATAGGCCGCCGAGGGTTAAGCCTCGGGCTTCAGGTCCTATCAGATTTATATACAGATAAGAGACTCTTTGGCGCATTTCCATAGCTGCCGTGGTCTTAAAGGGAGATCCACTTCCTAGTGGGTTTTGGGTATTTGCCAGCTGCAATGGTCCACCTACGCTCCATGACCCATCATTCTACCACTATCATACTTAAGCAGTGAGTTTGAAAAGAAAAAGGGAAGAAGGAAAGAAGGAAAGAAAGAAAGAAAGAACGAAGGAAAAGAGAGATATAAGGGGGAAGTAGGGCTGACTTAGCTAGGTGCTAAGGAGAGGTTGGCGAGGACAGATATCCTCAAAGAAACGGGTCTCTGCTAGCCATGAGGCTAGTTTTCGTGTTCCTTTCGCAGTACCTAAAAGAAAAGAGATAACTTCAGAAGGGGGTCCAGGTGGATGAGGAGCTCGTCTCTTAGCTATATGGCAGAAGAAGAAATGTAGAGGTGCTTTTCGTGCTCTACACCGACAGAGAAGATAAGCATCATCATGATTAAAGCGTTCATGGTAGTCTGCAAAGTCTCCATGACCAGTACGGGCCGCAATAATACGGCCAAGGTCAAGTCGGTTGAGTTGAAGCTCCCCAGGGCGCTTAGGAGAAGTAGTTATTTCTAGATCTTGATAACTCTGTGGTGCCACCTTCTGCCATTGTGACTGAGCAGCGGATAGGGATTGAGTCTTGGCATGTCTCTTTAGCGAGGCGTATGAGGATTTCTGAGGAGCAGGAGGGGTTGAGGCAGCTCCCTCTTTGGCAGCGAGATCAGCCGCTTCGTTCTCAGGGATTTTAGCGTGTCCAGGGACCCATCAGATTTGGATTGATCCACTTTTGGTGTGTGGAAGCCTTTCGCGTAGTGGCCAGGCGGCTGCAAGGGTGCGGAAGGATTCAAAGACCTCTTGGGAGGATCCTGTAGAGGGGGATAGGAGGCGCGTGGCAACTTCCAGGTTGTCAAGGCAGATCCATAGGTTGGTAGCAAATTGAGCTGTTGGGTATGTTATTGCTGCTTGAGCACCAGCTAGGGCAGCTTCTGCTTCTGTGTCAAAGACCTCTTTCTCATGTCCGTATGAGAGTGAGGAGCGGAGGAACTGATGGTGTGCTTGAAATCCAATATAGCCACCCCCTGCACGTCCATCTATCAGCCTAGATCCATCTGAAAAGATTACAATATCCGAGCTAGGGATGGTGCGTTGAAAAGCCGTGAAATCAGCCGCTGCCTGTTCCTTAGTGCGTCCCATAGGAGCTCCTATTTGGGCTAGGGCACTCTTGCGTGACTCACGAGGGTACTAGGGAGCATGTTGTAGAGGGTTTATTTGTTCAGAGTTAGGGAGCGCCAGCACTTGGCGGGCAAATCAACTGGTTTGTCGGCCATCTCTGGCTATCTGTTCTGCGCGTCTTTGGAGTGGGTGGTATGGATTAAGATGCCGTAGGCGGACAGATGTTTGGAGGGCTATTTGATCTAGTTCAATTTCTGGCGGAGAGAATCCAGACTCTCGGTATAGAATAGATATTGGGGTTGTGCGGAAAACTGGAAGGACTGCTCTTGCGCCTGCTAGTATTACTTTGGTTAGTTTCTCAAGATGTTCTCCAACTCGATTTGAGATTTAGGAAGATCCAGGGCGAGTACATCCTGGCCACCAGGTTTCTGCGCCATAGTATGCTTTATGGAGTACACAGGCTGATACAGCCTGCTGTAGTAAATAAGGTTTGACTCCACGGATAGTATTTTCTAGAGAGCGAAGGGCATTAGCCACAGTGAGAGCTTTAGATGCTGTTTCACCAACATACCATTTAAATGTTAGCTTTTTGTCAAAGAGGATTCCTAGCCAGCGTAGATATAGCCGTTTAGTATTTTCTGAGATTATGATAGATCCAGCTTTTACTGAAGGTGTGCAGGTTGGGTCCTGGTCTGCTTTATGTCGGGAGAAGTGAAGAAGCTCGTATTTATCTGGTGCAAATGTAATGCCCTCTGCAGCGCCCCAGTTTAGAGCTTCTTGTAGTGAGTCTGATAATGCTTCGCAGTTAGTAGCAAGAGATGTTGAGATTGCCAGGTTAGCTGCGTCGTCTGCGTAACTAAATCTGTTCCTTGGGTTTCCTAGACAGAATAGGGGCGCTATGTAGAGCATGAAAAGAATGCCAGATACTGGGGATCCTTGTGGGAGACCGCAGGCAATGTCTATTGAGGGGCCAATCTCTCCATCAAGTCGGATCTGGACTGATCGCCCAGTAGCAAAGGAGGCAATCCAGAGAACAAGATTAGTGGGCCAGCCCTGCTCACGTAATCTGCGGATGAGTCTGCCGGGAAGCACGGCATCAAAAGCGCCTTTGACATCTAGGGTAAGGAGTGAGGCAGTCATGCCTTGATTTAGTGCTTGTTCAACATCATATGTTAGGCATGTGGTTAGATCATTTGCAGATCTTAGTGGGAGAGCCCCAAACTGTTGCCTTGCTAATACTTTGTAGTGTATAGAGATCCATGCCATATTCTGTGCCACCAAGCGCTCCAGTCCTTTGCTAAGTACTGATAGGAGAGCGATTGGTCTGTATGATCTAGGTGAAGACCAATCAGTCTTTTTTGGTTTCTGGATAATTGCTAAGATTGCATGTCGAAAGTATTTTGGGTGA